ACCTGGAGCCTTATGTTTCGACAACTATTGTTTCGATAGCAGATTTTTGTGCGACAGGTTTCACATACTACTTCTTCACTACACAAAGTTTTGAAAGTCACAACGCCAATGCTTTTAGACGAGGGCCCTTGGGATTATTTTGTGCACAGCGACCGGTGGAGCGCCTAACGATAGTCTTTGGGATTGAAGTCCGAGTGCTTCGGATATTGGTCTGTACCCACTGTAGACCACTGCTAACCGTACCGCTCGATCCAACTTCTCCTCAGTTTCTCCGCGACTTGACGCAAGACGAAGCAAGTGCTCTCCCGCCTCTTCTCCAGACTGCGCCTGGAGGCCAAACGTGCACAAAGCTTTGTGTGTCTTGTCATGGACCCTGACAGGCTTCAGACGCACCGTTCGATCCCGCAATCCTTGAACTACGAAAACGACACCCCAACCACCATGATTGTGTTTCACGAACAGCCCGAAGAATTGAGTCGTAGTTGTGTTTGCCTGCAACCTCCGATGTTTCGCCCCCAACCTCTCGTCTAGTCTACCCCAGATGCAAAAACCAACCTCGTCTGAAACAGCGCGAACCGAACACGGATCCCAGACTCGTCTCGAGTCTTCCATGCGAGGATCGATAGCGATCGATATGTTCACCAGTTCCGAGCATTATTGAAACTTGAAATCGAGATATCACTCCATACCTAGTTCTCTGTGCGACCAGCAAGTGTCCGACCCGTAACTATTCACGCAAGAACTCGCTCAACCGAACATGGATCTTACCCTGCACAGCGAACATTCTTTGGTACGCACCGGTTTTCAAACGCCACACGAGGCGTATAATGGTACTGTTGCAGCCAAGCACCCATCTCTGGGCTTGTTGTACCTATGTTGCACTTCCAACATGAACCCGTGAACATTCGCGCATTGAAAAATGTGGTGATCGCACTTGGCGCCGAGATAGCTCCACCCCCATGCTCCAGGATTGCGCAACGAGATCGACACCTCCGTGGCCAAAAGGGCCGGGTTCCACTTCGAAGATTCTCTGCTGCTTCGTGAGTCGCGGCAGAACCACTGCATCTCCAGAATGAGGCTGGAAATCCTGGCTGCAGCTGCAGGTCGTTGAATTTTCACCAAGCTGCATGGTAAGCGCGAACGCACGAAGCGGCTCTGCCTCGTTCCGCGGTTGGACCCGCTCAGGGCGATTTTCGCGCAATCAACTTCGCGTGATATGCGCTAGCGTCCTGCAGGCCGCCTGCGGGCGCTCATTGGTGGCCCTGTCTACTAATCACCACGTAATGAACAATAATCGTCAAGATTGTGCGTGCATTGCATCTTGCTCACGCGGCTCTTGCATTGTGCGCCAGCTTGCACACAGAGCATCTGACTACGACATTCCGCCCGTCGCAGTCAATTGCTCGATGGCGACCCTGCCGAGACGTCCTATAATACCACATGCAGCTATCTAACTGTCATAAGCAATCCATCCTCTGTGCCAAGCAGCTCCACGGACACAGACCCCGAAGCAGATGATGCTTTGTGCAACGCACCTGCTCTTCTCGTCACTTCTCATTAAATCTCCTCTCAGGTAAGGACATTCTGCGTCTCCCCGCCATACGCTACACGGAGTACGATGGCTTCCCGCTACTGCCCAGACGTTTCTGTACGCCCTTACTGCACCTGCAGCAATGCGCCAAGCTATTCCGCCCAGCGATGTCTCGCTTGGGGGAATGCGTCTTTTTTGTGCTCAGCTTGGCAGGCTGTTCCGGCCGTGAGGCAGGCTCCGTGTCTGCGCGAAGCGCCCAGCAAGCCAGATTGTGCGTCTGGTGTGCTCGAGAATGAATTCAACGAATTTGGACCGGAGTGGATTACGGTGCCCCACACTCACCGCCAGAATTACCTTTGGAAAACTCCAGACTGCGGCTAGAGATGCCTTCGAACCGGCGCCGAAAAAGAGCGATGGTAGTTCGCTTCGCTACATACCTGCTTCTTCCGGCTCACCACGAGAGTGGGTTTTGCTGCGAACGACTCGTTACCCCAGGTTGAGCTCAGTGTCAGCAGCACTCCCACGTTCTGTCGATAATCTGACAATCACTTCTTCTCTTTCTACTTGAAACCTTGCAGCTTCTAGGCACAAGAAGCAACTTTTGTACTGTCGATCGCACAGCTACCGTCGCGCAGTTCTCTAGTATTGTCAATCTCTCACATTGCGCACAGGTATCGATCGACGCGGCCAGCCAGTCGCAAACACTCACCTGTAATTGTGGTCGTCAGCGCACCATTGTCCGCAATGTAACAGCAACTTTATTGTCTGGACGCAACGACAGTCGCAATCACCACATTAGTCGCTGCCGTGTGTCAAGATTACGAAGATGCGTTGTCTGTTAGCACACCCACAAAGTGGAGACGCAACGCTTTGATAGTATTCAGAACATTGCTGGATGAGAAGCGCAACCAAGTTCATAGCTACGTTGAAGGACAGTTTTCAGGCCTTCCGAAGGAATTCCGGCCGAGGCAAGTCACAGCATCGAGCTCAAGCGACAGACCATCCAGGCTCTTGCACACGAGAATAAGTGGCAATTGAGGATTCGGCTTACTATGTCTTGCTCACCGCAACGTGGGATTCGTAAGAATTAGCAGGCAGCGGTGTCAGCGAGGAGTAAGCTTGAATTGACCGCTGTTTTTGACTGTTGTTGCATAGTCGTTTTGACAATCACACAATCTTGCGTTAAAGAACCAAGAACCTCATCAAAATGCAAGAAACATTGCAACTCTTGAATTGTTCTTGAATTGTTGAGCCTGGCCGAGGTCCACCAAGCGCTCCCTTAACAGGCTTCTGGGGCGTCTGTTGATAGCGAGTGCTGAGCACAAAGCGGACTGTGCGATAGTCGCATAGACGCCCTGCAAGCCATCACGAGGACTTGCGGGGTTTCACGTATAGTCTCTACGTCTGCGCGAGCGAGCGTGGTCAGATCACGCTGTGGAAAACAGCTGAAGTTCTAGATGAGCCAGTTGCGATGTTTTAATAAGCTCGGGTTTGGAGAGCGTGATCGAAGAGTGTATGTCTCGTGAGATGTTGTCGGTAAGGATCTTCAGGTCGACATGCACGGCGTGATGACGAGTACGCAGGAGTCTAAAGCAATGTGGTTAAGTTTGACAAACCTGATAGGTGCATGTCTTGCGATCTTTGGGTGTATGCATATAGCTACTGCAGCAGCAGAGGCGAAGTGTCGAGGCGAATGGGCAGTACTACCGACGGGGTCTTGCGTTCTAGCACTTACTCTCTCCTTCCCAGATGGTACAGTGGAAACGAATTGAGGGTGCAGTGAGGTGGTGCTGGAGAAAGATACTATCTGGAACATAAAGGATAGAGCAGTGCGCTGTGTACACATTAGGTATCACTTCGCTTGGACAAAACTCTAGCAGTATCTCCTCACCTTGGTTGAAGCATTTGCGGTATTCTGATTCATTGCGATATTTACGACGCAGAATAGCCGGTTTAATCGGTGGTGGTACTAATGTACTGTTGTGCCTCAAGCCAAACATCAAATTAATTCATCCACTTTTTTGTGAACCTGTCCTCTTCTCACTGTCACGTCGAGTCATCTCTGTCCGTCTTCACGTAAATATACACTACAGAGCTCATAGAAATGACGTTGTGTGTACAACACCATCCCATGTCGAAGGATAGGTCATCCATCGAAGTAGAACTTTAGTGTATGTTTATCAACGATGTGTGGCATTCCATCCTGATCTCAAGTACACACTTCTGCTATAGAATATCCGGGCGGTTAACTTCATGAGCCAAAAAAATCCTAGCGAAGCATGAACATGTCCGTAAATTGTGACACAACAACCGCTACAACCATAGGACAAACAGTATAAAGCTGACGAGCACCCTAGTAATATAGGGCAAGTTGTGGTCCGGCTGGCTAGCTATTATGTTATTACACTGCAGGCGACGGGTTGAACACATACAGAAGCCTCTATCACCTCTGGTTTAGGGTTGGACAGCCTACACGTCCTTGCAAGTACCAACGAAATGCCGGTATCCCAGTAACGGAGGAATTCAGACGACGGAAGACTGGTTCATACAACATTGTCTAGATATCTCTGACCAGTACCAACAGAGCAGACATGTCAAAACACACGCACTACCAGACCAACGAGAAGCACGCAAACCCACCCGCGACAAGCTACCCAACACCCAAAACGAGCACACCCGCAGTATAGGTATGTAGCTCCGCCGTGCAAGACCCCAGACGCATACCACGTGAGCACCGTCTCCACACACAGCCACTTCCCAGTCCAGCACGCTTCGAACCCGCGTGCCGACGACAAACAGAGATACCACAACGGCGACAGCAGAGCCGAGCAGCGTTTCCAGCAGCGCAGAGTATTGACCGTGACCGCACAGGCCTACGGCTGTGTAGTCTGTAGTGTGGGCGTAAGTCGTATTGTAGCCGTATCGCAGCCGTATCCATACCGTACCCGCGGCCGTATCCACACCGTACCCTAGCCCTCTCCTCCCGCAGTGCGCCAGTCCCACCTAGACAGCCAGTACCAGGCGCGATACCTGCGGCGGCGTTTCCCAGCATTCTCCTCTGTAGTCGAGACGGTAGAAGCGATGTGTATGGCTAGTAGGTGTATCACGTGTATACTAGTGTTTTGCTTCTGTGTTTAGATCACGGTGATAATCCTACCTTGCTGTTTGAATTTTTGTAGTAGGAAAGCATGTCTTGCTTGAATGGGTTGATGCGTACTGTAGGTCTAGATCTCGACCTCCACGCCGGGAGCGTAGCTACGGCAGGCCTTATGCTTATGGGAAGAAGCGTAATGCGAGACTATGATGTCTCTCGGTGGGGATAGAGGGGGTGAGGGGATTCGAGTCGTCTTGGGCGCCGGGAAGAGGACAAGGGCATGCACAGGAAGCATGTTTGTGTGGCATCAAGCAAGGCAAGACTGTGTCGAGTGCAAGGCAAGTAAGACATGGGATTGAAGCGTGACATAGCCAGCGCCGCCGAGGCAACCCGGAACGCCAGACGATGCAAAGACAAACATATATCATACACCCCCGATTCGAGCCGTTGGCTTCTCAGCCGCGGTGCTCCCGCCCCCAGCCCTGCAGGCCCCTCAAGCCCTCGACCCCAAACGCCTGGCTCGGACTCGTGTACCCGGTGCGCCCCTCTCTCCTCTCCGCCGCACCGGCCTCCCCGTTCATCCGCCCGAGGACGTCCATAGCCGTCTTCGCGCGCTCTCTAACATCGAGATCGGGATCGCGCGTCAGCTCGCTGACCTTGGCTTCGAAGCCCGTGTCTCTGAGGACGCGCGCTCGCTCGCGGGTTGGGCCCTCTTCGGTGTGGTCCTCGACCCACACGAGGTTGATGACCATCCAGGCACAGCCGAGGCGCACGTCGCGCACAGGGTGCGAGAAGAGCGGGAGCAGGTGCCGCATTAGGCTTGTTTGGGAGAGGAGGAGCGAGCGGTGGTGTGGACGGCCGTTGGCGAGGTGCACGAAGATGAAGACGGCGGCTTTGAGGATTTCGGGGGAGTGGTAGAGAGCCCAGTTTGTCTGGGCTGAGGGGGAGGAGGGGAAGGGCGGGCGTTGTTGGGTTGTGCCGGGCCAGTATGACGGGACTGGGGTGTCTGATTGAGGCTGGGGCTGCGACCATGTAGTGGTCTTGGGTCGGATTTTGGAGTCGAGCATTTCGAAGAAGCGGCTATGGCCGTAGGTCTTCAGGAGGTGATCGATCATCTCGCCAGACTGCTTCTCCTCAGAGCAGAAGTTGCGAATGAAATCGAGAGACTGCATTTGGATTGCTTGGTCTTCGCGTTCCAGCTTGATTCGCGGATCTAGTTCATCAATCCGGATCTGCTGCAAGCGATCGCGGATGTTTGTTGCGCTCGTGTAGCGCGACCCAGGCCCCTGATGTCGCCGCATTGATGGGATGTTGTCGGTCATTGTATCCTCATCGTCGTCTGAAGAGGGCTCGTCATCCACATCCATGTGTGGCTCGTCCACGGCATTCAAGAGGTCTACCTGCTCACCGGCAGCATTCGGTGTGCCCATCGCTGGCTTGGTAGGTTCCCCGCTGAGTGTCTGCATGAGAAACCCAACGCCCAGCTCGTCCAGACACTGTATCTTCATAGCGACAGGAATGCCGAGACAAAGGTGCTTCAGAGCCCACAGACTTCCATACCGAAGATCGAAGTTGGCTGATCGGCAGTGTTCGCAGAGCGTCTTCATGATACCAGCCTCGATGATCTCCTATTGACGGGTCAATATCATGCACAGCCAGAGAAAACAACACACTTACAGTACGCATGGGTGACACCTCTAAGACTAAATTCGTAATCACCTCTGTCGCCGCAATCTGCACCTTAACACTCTGATGTTTTAGCAACTCGAAAACCGGATTCGCAATCCCGTGATCAATCAGACTTGTCCTGAGCACACTGACCGACCTCGACAGCGATCTTGTGATATTGCAGGCCGCCCTGAGAACCGCATCCGGGTTGCCATCTTTCTCACTCGACTCCGAGTACGGCACCAACGACTCGATGATATGTGTCGCAGCGCCCATCTCGATGACGAGTTTGCGATACGTATCCTGATCGCCAGCTATCGCCGCCAGCGCCAACAGTGCGCTTTCTCGGACCCGGTATGCATGCAGGACGTCTGCGCTGAGACCCGATCTTCCCAGCGTAGAAGACTCGGGGTCGATATCTTGGCCCTTGACCTCGAGCGACGCCGATCTTGGCTGCCAGAGAGGCTTCGCGTTTGTTGTTGCTCGCTCGAAGGACTTCTTCAGGATCTGCACGAGGGTAGGCATGATCCGCGCATCCACCGCGGCGGTCTGGAGCGTCTTGTTCCCTGTAATGAGCTCGGCTAGAACGAGCGGCGAGCGCTCAAGAACGAAGCGCATCTCGTCTCTCGCCGCAGGACTGAGCGTGTGTGCCTTCTTGGCGTGCTCAGCTGACTCCTCGACCATCTTGACGACCAGCGGTATGACGAGGTAAGAGAAATGTCTTTCCCTGGTCGTCCTCGAAGGGTCGTTGAGCGGCCATTTCTCGCCAAACTTCTTCAGCAGCGCCAGAAGATAGCACGCAGACAGGCGCTCTGCTCCCTCTCCGCGCCTTGCTACGTACATAAGCCATATGAACAGCGGCGACTCAGACTCGTCTGTGATGATGCTACGGCTGGAGCTTTGCTGCAGCGACTCCATGCTAGGGAGCCGCGCATAGCTCTCTCCGCTCACTGCTGTGTAGGAGCCGAGCGCTGGCCACGACTTGGTGTACGGATCGGTCTTGCTCGTTATGGTTTGCACGCGGGGTATCAGCTTGTCCCATGACGACTGTGCGAAGGCGGTTTGTGCGTCGTATGCGGCCGAGGTGCGCTCCTTCGGCCAGCCGAAGAGTTGTTGTATGGGCTGCGAATAGAGGAAGCGGGCCGTGTAGAAGTGTGAGCCTTTGATGATAGCGGCGATCGCCTCCATGATCTCGGACAGAAACCTTAGAGGGACCTGTTCACGCTGCAGGTGTATCGCCCCGGACTGAGGAAGCAGCTCGTCGGCGGCCGCAATGCTCGCCAGTTTACTGGCCAACAAGTCCAGTATGCCGGCATCGACCAGCATCTTCTTGTGCACATCCTCCACGCATGTCTTCTTCAGGAGCTGTATCGCCAGCAGGATCTGCTGGTTGGTCTTGGACGGACCGGCTGTCTGCGCCAGTATCTCCGCGATGTTGTCCACCACTGCGCGCGTGTACATCTGGTCGCGCACGAGCGCCGCCAGACTCTGGCCATTCGCATCCAGCCCCGGCTTCTCCTGCGCAACGGCATCGGCAATCTGGTTGAGCGTCATGAGAGTGGTCGTGAGGAGTCTCGTCGGCGTGTCGGTCAGGCGCAGCGTCTCGAGCAGCGGAGGCAGGACACAGCCAGCCAGCAACGGCGCCGTGAAGGCAGGGCCACCTGTACACCTCAGATCAGCGACGCGGTCCCCAACCGGACCTGTGCGGGCGTGGCGTGCTCACCGTTCGCCAGACTGCCGACGACAAGCGTGGCCTGGAATCGCAGCTCGTCTTCGCGCGTCCAGTCGTCGCGGCCCGGCCGTGTGCGCGACGGCGGCGCAGATCCATTGCTCGTTTCCTGCGCGGTGCCGTTGCTGTGTCGCTTCTTCCCTCCTCTCCGCGCGCCCTCCTTCAGCAGCCCGGCAAGCGGCCGGATGACGCCATGTGTGACAGCCAGCTCCTTCCTCTGCTCGTGCCCGACAATCTCATTCTTGAGGTTTCGCAGGGCGACCACCTGCGCCTCGGGGGTCGTTGGATTCGAGAGCTCGGCGAGTGCGGACGGAATCGTGGAGCGGCCCATGGTCTGGGATGGCTGCTCTGGGGGCGAGAGCGATGCAGCAGTGCCGAGGATACAGAGACGGGTATTGAGAGGAGGAATTGCGGCAGAGCTCAAAGTTCAAGCGAGGCGGATGGAGGGATGGTCACGAAATTGCGGGGAGATGTCCGCATCCGTGCTGCAGCTCAACGCGACCGGTGAGAGAGCGCAACGGACGGACGGCGACACGGGCAGTGCGCTGTAGGCAGTTCGTTTCGAGGGCTCACAGAAAGTGCCGCGGCTATTGGCAGGCGCGACGGCTGCAGGATGTCGTGTCGCTTCACGACTGACGTGCTGCGCGCCGGGTGGCCGCAGCCATCGCCGCAATGCCTCACACGTCACCCGCACGTGCCATGCGTCTGGGGCTCGACGACCACACCTCAGTCAGATACAGCATCGAGTGTGGAGCCTTGAAAGACGCTATAGAGTAAGCCATACATTCAGAGCACATGTCTAGGCGAACGTAATGTGACTGTCACCGCATCTCATCACCACTCCTTCCATTCCGACGTGCAATGCCTCACGAATCGCTCTCCCTTTCCTTGCCGCCTTCCGTGAGAATCACCACGCTCACACACGCCGCATACGCTTCCCTAATCGCACAAGCCATGCACGTCTCCTTGACGTTCGCCACGATTGCACTGAATCCGTGATGCGCGCACCACGCTCTGGCGAATACCTCGTTGTCGCTCACACCCAGCGCCTCGATAGCCAGAACCTGGCTGACTTGCTCGTGCGCAGACACTGCTTTCTCCAGGGCCATCTTCTTGGGTGAAGAGCGCGGACTGTGCCGGTTGATGCGCCCGCTTTTCATGTGCCAGTCGTGCAGGTCGACGAGGCCGTCGTCGATTTTCATCGCTCTGTAGGCGAAGTCGTAGAAGAGGACTGACAGTGTCAGTATGCACAGGCAAGCCAGGGCAGGAAGAAACCGTACCGTGTGGACCCTGATGGCAGGGGAAAGCGTTGATGAAGCTGACATCGTACTTCAGTCTCAAGGGCCAACTACTCCCGCCACACGCAAAATGTATGGCAACATCGAAGAGCATCGGTGCACCTGGAAGGTTGCGTGTCGAAGAAGGCTGCTCTTTCGCAGGCAAAAACGCAAGTTTCTCCATGCGAATGAGGTCCGTCACATCTTCTGTGTCCGGCATGGGGACTTCGTAGTCGTCCACAGGATATGTGTCGTCGATTGGGCCCAGGGGATTCGATCGCTCTTGCATGGAAAACACATCGGCTTCTGTCAAGCGCGGGTCGGGGGATTCGTATTGCTTGACCTTGACGCATTCAGTGCGCTTGAGGTCTGGGGTATAGATGCAGGGCCCGACCCAGCCAGCGATTTGCTTCACACCTCGCGCGGCACCAAGGACCTTGCCGACGATGCAGGACGCAGACCAGTACGTGTTAGCGCGATACTGAAATCCTGACGCCGGCTGCATGTGTGTGAGATATTTCAGGGCATCGCCCGTGTCGCGGTCGCAGTCTATCAAGCTGTTCATGATCAGCCAAGGTAGAGTCTTCCCCGGCAAGATAATGCCAGAAAACCAAGACATGGCGTCCGCCGAGCGGTCCTCCAGCGCTTTTTCTTTCATGTCTTCCTCGTCCAGAACGTACTCGACCTCGTCCATGTTCGGCCATTTGAGCGTTGCTGCAAAGTGGCGCAAAGCTTCTCTTTGCCTGCTCTTGCTTTTGAGCTGGAAGCTGAATGTACTCTGCTGCTTAGACTCGCGCTTCTTGGTAATAGACATGTTCTCCAGCCAACGCTGTGCGACAGCCAGGTCCCACGCAATGGAAGGATGCAGGTCTTGTATGAGTTTCCGCTTGTACTTGCTGCTGTGCTGTTGACTCTGTATACGCAGGTACAGCTCAACGGAGAGCAGCAGCTGATGGAAGAAGTCTTGCTTCTTGCGTTGATCTGGCGAGTCAAACCACTTGGCTACGACCTGATTTCGGGGGTTCGAGAAGTCGAGCCACTGCGGATTCAGCAGAATATCGACGAGGTCCTGGATCTGCTGTTCGATGCTCATGAACGGGCGGCCGTTGAGCTGTGCAGGGTCTTCGATCAGTGTACTGTAAAGGTAGCGCTGCATATCATCCGGGTTCTGCGAAACCATATGTTAGGTCACGGTTCCAAAGAGCTCCTCAACCCGGAGTAGTAGACTGACATGTTCCTCGAGCCCTCCCTCCAGACTCTGCAGCCGATCCAAGATCTGGAGAAGCCTCATCTGCCTCGGCACGGCCGTGCCAGTGCGCTCGCTCTTCGGCGCGTGGTTCGACGACCTGCTCGCCCAGAAGTTGAGCGTGGTGGTGCCCGCGCTCTTCCCGGCCGCATATGCCAAACACGGCTGCTCGAGAGACAGCCACGGAGCCTGGTTCTCAGACGTGCCCACCAAGTCCAGAGAGATGGCCTTGTACGCGTCGTCCTGAAACGGCACACGGTCGGTCCGGCCCTGGTGCTCGCCAGCCACGACGGCAAAGAAGCGGCTGTAGCCTGGCGGCGCACGGGGAATGGCATCGGCATAGCCCTTGAATATCGGCGTCCCAGCGCATATCAAGTCCTCGGCTTCGTGCGCCTCAAGCGCGTCGTCCGGTCGGTAGCCGCGCGGGGGCCAGTGTCGCGAGGCGCGGAACTCCTCGAGCGGCGTGGGCTGCGAGTAGGACGTTGCGCGGCCCGGCGAGGCAAACGGGCGGTGGTGGAGGGCGTTTGGCTCGCCGCCACTCGACGAGGGCCGGGCCGGGCCTTTGTGCGAGCTCTGGCGGACGATCTTGGTGCGCGTGGCTACGGGCGAGGTGCGTGTCTTGGGCAGCTTGCGGAGCGACAGCTGGTCGAAGCTGTCGGCGAGGCGCGGGTCGGGCTGCTCAGGGAAGGCGTAGGGCAGCGGCGCGTGGGCTGCCTCGGGGTACTGGGCGCCCCATCGGGGGTCGTATGGCTGCTGGCTCAGCTCCCACCTAGCTGCGTTCGATTTCATGTCTTCGGCATAGCAGGAGCGGACGTACTGCGCATGAGCGGCTCTGGGGGGCTGTCAGCGGGTGGTCGCGGCATGCAGTGGACCGCGGCAGAGCAGGAGAGGCTCCGCGAGGCCAGAGACATGCTGAGGGTGCTCGTGGCTTCACCTGCTCTCATGGTGCTCCGATGCGCCGCTGCCGCTGCCGCTGCCGCTGCTTAGCGACGGACTCGCGCCTACCGCAACTTACCACAAGCGTCGATCGGGTCGCCGTGTCGGGTCGAGTGCGCGCTTCCCTCCTAGTGAATACAGCAGCAGAATGCGTGCGGTGGAGTGGAGGAGACGGTCGTGGGCAAATGGTTTCATGTCAGAGGCGTCGTCACTAACCCGGCGCCGACAGCGTCTGCAGTCAGGACAGACGTTGCGCGTGGCATTTCTCGAAGCTGCGGTTCTCGCAGCGAAAGGGAGCGAAAGGGATGCAAAGAAGCCATGGAATGTGGAGTCCAGCCTCACTATTGTGTTGCGGTACGGGCCCGGCCAGCCATCGCGAGCTGCATTGGCTGTTGATGGGCCACGTTGGTCACGCTCGACTGCGTTGGTTGCTTGCCGGTTTGGCAGCACACAGAACAGCACCACTTCGGCAGATCGCAGCATTGATGTCATTGCACTATCTCTATCTACCCAATCGCGCTCTGCCTTGATGCGCACGTCTTCGGTCGCATCTCTCAGCCCCCTGCCGTGTATGCTCACTTTTGTGAGCTAGCCAACGGCCGGCGTCTTCTGCCATGTGCTTGCCCGTCTCCAAACGCCAGTAAATGCTTTTCGCTTGTGTAATGCGTGAGTGCATGATGAAACCAACCGGCATCATGCCACAGTGCCACATACGTGGTACTCTTCCGACGACTGTCGTCGACAACATCCCAACCAAACTCGCTCAGACCGTGGCGTGAGTTGTATCTCCTTCCAAAGAGAGCTTCCTTCGTATAGCGACAGCTGGTCCTGCACCAGCCTGCCAGCATCCTATACGGTAGCCTGCCTCTTTTGCGTAACACAGTGTCATGGTCGCCCTCGGCCGTCAGGTAGTCCTGTGTGGTTCCTCGAGACAGCAGGATTCGAGCGCCCACGCGTCCATGCACCGGTTGGCACATGCGTAGAAGCATGCTGCCGAGCGGTTACTCCCGTCTCGTCAACGCTTCATTGGCTGGTGTGTATGCCGGTTGCTGACCCTGTAGGGCTTGTCACGCGTTCGAGGCCGGCAGTCGGAGCTGCGTCCGGCTCCTTCTCCATGGCATATCCGTCGACTCGCTCCACCAGGCCTTTGTAGTAGTCCACCAGCACCTCTGGCTTCGGCACGATGCGCCAGTCCAGCTTCCGCAGGAACTCGAGTTCCAGCAGCGCCAGCTCCCTCACGCTGACACCGCCCACGCGCGCGTAGAGCGTGTTTGTCCAGAAGCTGTCCGAGAGGCCCTTGGCTGCCACGGTCGCTGCCGTGATGAGGAAGCGATGCACCGTCAGGCTGCTGATGGTGAAGGCCGGGTATGTGGCGCACAGCTTGTCAACGTAGAAGACCATGGCGAGCAGAATGGGCGGAGACAGGGTCGCGTGCACGATGAGGCGCTGCAGGTAGTCGCAGACGGAGATGCCGGGCGGGGCTCTGCAGCAGATTAGCGTCCGGCGCGCGGGCAGACGCAGACGGCAACATACCTCGAGTGGAAGCGGGTCAGCTGACCGTCGCGGAGCGGATGGACGTCGTTGAGGCGCACCAGCTCCATGAGCATGTCGGAGATGAGCACGCCAAGGTCCTTGACGTCGCACGTCTCGTACTTGAGCGGCATGACCTTGACGTCGGCCTCTGTCGGGCGCAGGCGTTTGGCGGGCGACGCGGGTGCGTCTTCGGCGGCGGCGGGTGTGGGCACAACGCGCGGCTGGGGCTCGGGCGGGTCGTCGCGCGGGGCGTCTCGCGGCGGGCGGCGGGTCTGGGGCGGGCCATGCGGCTGCTGCTGCTGCTGCTGCTGCTGCTGCTGCTGTGCGGGCGCGGGCGGCGGGTCGGCAGTCGCAGCAGCGGCGACGGGGCGCTGGGTATCCACGATGGCGGGGGCGCTGAGGGGCGGCGCGGGCTGGCCGGCGGCGGGCGGGTGGTAGGTGGGCGGGAAGCCGGCGGGCGAGTACTGGGTGGCGGCGTCGGCGTACTCGTGGGCTCGCTTGGTGCCCTGCGGCGAGGGCGCGAACAGCGGCACGGCCTTGGGGGTCGGCGGCGTGTCGAAGCGCCGCGCGGGCTGCGAGCTCACGGCGAAGCGGGGCGAGGGGGCGGACGGCGAGCCCGACGGGCGGCGGGCATGGTACGACGAGCGGTGCGGGTGGGCGTGGAAGGCGGTCGCGGGCGAGGGCGGCGCAGAGAGCGTGGGCGGCGCGGACAGCGTGGGCGAGGACAGCATCGCGGTCAGAGGCGAGATGGTGAGGCGCCCGCAGCAGAGGCCAAAACCGTCATGCTCAGTAGCTCAGTAGCGCACCGCGGCGACAAAGCGGGCAGGTTCAACGGCGCCGTGGGTTGAGCGTCGCTGCCGACTGCGGCCTGCGCGCAGAGAATTGCATGCCGCCATCCGCGACGCTTGGCTGCCAGGCACGCAGCACCGCGAACGTGTCTGCGCCCGCCGCTGTCATTGGACTGCCGCCCACCACGCCCATGACACACCGTGCGTCCGGCCCTCTTGCGCGATAGCCGGCACTGCACCGCATCTGTCTGCGTACCAAAGCGTGCAGCGCCATAGGCTGCCGGCCAGCCTGAGCCGGAGCAGCCTGAGCCCCCAGCCCGACTGTGCGTGCAGTGAGCAGGTGCCGCGGTGAGGGGCGCTCGGCAGCTGATGGCGATCCAGCGACGGCGATCCAGCGACGGCAATCCAGCTGCTCCTGCCTGCTTCGCACGTCCACGCGAGGCACTGCCTGCCATGCCTGGAGATCCAGCTGCTCATGTGACTGCCTGTTTCGATGCTGTGGACAGACACGGCAGCTGCACGCCCGCCCTCATATCTTGGTACGCCTCAACGGCGGACCCACCGGCACCAACACATCGTGCATCTTGGTCGCCCTGTTCATGCCTGGTCACGTCTGTTCAGGGCATGGCGGCAGCCTTGTTCAGACCTGGATCTCGTCCAGCAATCTCCGCGACGATAAGGCCTGCGGAAATGCCTCGACCTCCCTGGCCACTGACCATGGTACTTGCCCTAATCATGGTGCTTGACTGACTGTGGTGCTTGTCCTGACCATGATGCGTACACTGGCCCTATGCACACTGACCACTCACCCACTGACCACTCGCCCACTGACCATGATTCTCACACTCATAACCCCACTGACTGATCCTCACTGACACGGAAGCTTAAGCGGCCGCTACCGCCATATCGCCCACTGCGAATGCCATCGGTGCGGGGATACACTTCAGACGCACAAATGGGCGCCCGCCTCGTTCCCACGTGCTCTCGAGCACCACATCGACGTCTCAGATAGCGACACAGCGATAATCGCCCTTGACGCTGTCAACATCTAGTCGCGACATCTAGGCCTCGTGCTGCTCCGTATATATGTATGCAACGCAGCACGGCAGCACGGCGACACTGCCCGGTCACGCACGCACGCACGCCAGATCAACGAGGTTACTTAGGTTTACCATTAGTTTCTGTATAGAGCGAAGGTCGTCGCCTCGACCTAATGTCGAGGTGTGGTATCAAAAGCGTCGCCGAAGCGCAGGAAAGCAAACCATGCGCCCAATAATCATGTGTACTCGTGCCAAACGCGCTCTTCTTTTGTGACCAGACAGCGCTGGTGATGCACTCACTCTACGCCACCCAAACTCCTTGCATCACTTCGACTCTGTAGCACAACACCTGGCGATCAAGGGTTCTTCGGGTCCTTCTGCGCATTGTCCGCCAGCTCGGCCCGGAACTCCTGCTGGCCGGGCTGTGGCGAGTGCAGTTCAGCGGGCGACGTCTGCCCTTGCGTGTGCTTGTAGTAGTCCAGTCTATTTTCAGTCAGTCTCGCGTCCGTGATTTGAACCCTCCCACATCATCGCGGCAATACGTACTGTTCCTGGCTCATCCCACTCGCCTGACTCTGCATGCTCAGGTGGCCCTGGTGCATCTGCGGGCTGCCCTGCCACCCACTGGGGTACTGCTCGCCGACATTATGCTGGCCGTACGGCGGCGCGGGGCTACCAAACCTGGGCACCTGGTCGTGCGCCATGTAGCCCATATCCGGTCCCGGCGTCGAGTTCCTGTTGCCTGTCGCGTTGGCATCTTGTCGCTTGATGACTTCCTTGAGACTCTTGGAGCGCCCGACGTAGAAGAACAGCGCAGCGCAGATGACCAGGAATGCGACTGCGCCGACTACAATACCCGCGATTGCGCCGCCGGAGAGGTGTGATCCGCCGCCTGAAGACGAGGAAGCTGTGGACGAACCGGTCGGGCCGTTCAGGATGGTGGAGGTGGCTTCCTGGGGCACAGGGTCACCGACGGCTAGCTGGAAGTCGGCGTCCTTTGCTGCTTGGATCTGGGAGGCAAGAGTTTGGGTTGAGTTGGCGTTGATAGCGCCGACCATGAGCTCACCAATGCAGGAGTTGGGAGCGGCGCAGTAGAAGAAGATTGGTGCGGTGTCGTTGATGGTGATGTTGTAATGTGTGATCTAGAATCAGTCAGATCTAACTCTTTATGGACCCAATGACAGGATTGATGCCACTCTTGATGATATCGAGGAACACATGAAAGGAACAGTGACTGTTCAGTTACTTACTTGGCTGGTATCGTTGACCCATTGCGTTTCTGTCCAGAAGCCTTTGCCAGCGTGGTCCTTGTCGGCATAACTGTATGGAACGCATGCACTGCCAAACTCGGCCTGAACGACCGAGTGGTCTGGGGGGTAGAATTCGAAGGTCACTGTGTCGCCGACAGAGACATTAGTCAACTCTTGCGGTGTGAACTTGAATCCCCCGGATCCTGCTTTGATGAGATGCACCTGCGGCTCGCTAGACGCGCTTGGTGTCGCCGATGAACTCAATGTGGTAGCTGAACTTCTCAGGCTGGCCGCAGCCGAGGAGAGTGAGGCGACGGGTCGTGTTTGCTCGGGCGATCCTGAGGTGATGGGCGATAACGAGGAGACGACCTGATCTGAGGAGATGGACTGTGCCGAGACTGTTGACAAAAGCTGGCAAGCAGCGACCGCAACAGCGAGCCTCACGATCCTTGAACGCATCATAATGCCCTTCTATATCAGAGCTGTGTGGTCCAGTAATACTCGGGGCGGTCCGTCAGGTGTGCGCCGGTGTGTAAGCGCAACGAGTAGTCGGTTAGCAGGTACTCCCAAAGGTGCCGAGAACACAGGTCGAGAGAAAGAATATTTCTCGATCGTGAAGAGGCGTCGAAAAGGCGGGAACAGACCCATCGCGTACGGCTGACCATCAGCTTTTAAAAGAACATGCTGCATACCCACCTTCAGGTTACCAGTACAGCATGCTTCGCCCTGCCGTCAGCAGTCCCCACACAGCCATCCCAGCTCCAGGGGTTGCCGCTCGATAGCTGGCCGACGAGCCTCTTAGAACGCACGTTCGTGAATCCGGCAGCCAAGATCCAATGCTCAATCTATCCGCATTCTGAATTATCCGCTGCACAACGGACGTTGGCTGAACGAGCACGAGCTGAATGGCTTCGCTTGTTGTTGTGCTGCATTGTTGACCAGGGTTGCAGCATGCGACTGGCTCTGTGCACGGATTATTGCCGCTGCGGGGCTGGCCGTCAGCATGCGTGTGTTGATCTTTTTTGAGATAGGCGGCCTTGCGGAATGCTTGCAATAGGAAGGCGGTGTTGTAGACGCGGATGTGTTTCGTTCGTCTTGCTGACACGATCGATCCTGCTCCCTATTCCCGTGTGCTGACAGCTTTCACAACTATTCAATGTTGGAGGTCAAGCGCCGTGTACTACGATACTGCCTGGTATGCATAGCGATCAAGTCTGGAGCTCGCTTCCTGTAACACAGCGCACCGGGCCTGTCGAATTGTCGTGGTCGAAAACCATATCAGCGGCTGCATGGGAATTCAGGTGGGCGAGAGGGTCCACTAACATTGGAACCGCCTAGCCCTGCGGATAGCATTCACATCAAGCGAAACCGTCGTGCTTGGCTGCACGCCTTTAACTTACACATCAGCACGCCTCAGTCCACAAAACAAATTGTGGAAAGCCATCAGCCAAACATGTTGTTCGGTGTGCCTGAGACTAGGAATTGATTAGTCAAGGGGCGATGTTCGGCTGCGAGGGAGAACCCATTCTAAAAGAAGGTCGGTCAGCGACGTGGACAGTGGACTTATGGGATTCGGCCGAGTACATGCCGACAGAGTGAGAGTAAGCTTGCACACGGCTGAGTTATTCCGCCTACTGATAGTGAGGCTTGGGCATCGCCATCTTACATCCTAATGACCTCACCCATAGCGAGGCACTGCCACTCCAAATAACCAACGCATGTACCATGAAGGCTGGCAAGATTGTACACCGGTTTATACACTATGCAAGCCAGCTACATTCAAAAAGGATGCACCGCGTTGAACGATCACGCTGTGCTATGCAGGGGAGACAAAATATATCGACAAAGGCTGGTAGTCGACAAAGGTCAGGCCGGTCTTCCGATGGGGCTTCTGGGACTCCTGGGCACTGGGCTGGAGAAAACACCAACAGGTGGTAGACCTCGCAAACCGTTAGCGTGCCTTGCTTTGATAGCCTGCGCGTCGAGCCCTCGAGGCGGACTTCGAAACCCGCCATTCAGACCCGCGTGTTGATCCTCGTCAGTCGGAGTGGAATCATCCTCCTCCACGAACTCGTTTCTCTTCTCCAACAGCAGATCTTGCACTTCTTTCCTGTGACCGACCAGCATTTCATCCAAGGTGTCCCAGTCTGATTGCTGGAGATTGCCTAGCTTTTTGCGTAGTTTCTTCGTTGTGTTGCGGCTGAAGGCGAAGTGGCTCTGCTTTACAAAGATTCTAGTGTGCTGGTAGAGTGTAAGATTAGTAGGCGCCTTCGTTGTGAGCAGGATTATTGTGCACGTACGTGGAAATACCACATCCCGATATCGTCGTCTGTGGGACGCTTGATGGATTGTATAGCCGAGTCTGCCACAAATCCTATGATGAGCTCTACTCTGCTACCATTCTCGGTAGTAGATTCTGGCATAGTCAGCCAAGAGTGTCGCAGCTTTTCGGGGCTAAATACCATTTCGACTCAACAGGTCAACCAAGCCAAGATAAGCATCACCTACTCCCATGAAGAAGACTTGCGTCGCATCGCTAGGCCTGCACTTTCATCAGTACTGAGTCCGGTGGCTATGCTGTGATAACTGACTCGATGTAGTTGTTCCAGAGATAGGTGGCCATTTCACGGGTTCTATCCGACCGAGTTTTCTGATCGTCTACTTTGGTAAAGCCCAGGTTCGACTAATTCTGTCAGAGTTGTGTACGACCAAATCAAAGGAGAACCACCGACCTCTTCGTTTTCTAGAGCCACGATCTGAGGAACGTTTACGTCAATGACGGAAAAATCGTTCGTTATGGCCCAGTCGACGTAGCTCTTGGTTACATCAGTCTTCGGATTCGGTGTCAGCGGCTGTACAGCGCCAAACTGTAGTTCGTACTCACAAGCCATGTGTTGTGTAGCTCCCTTCTCCCAGTGACCTGATCTGGGTGATCCTGCAAGCTGGGAGGATCGTGAAAGATTACCAGAAGTGGCTTACGCCCCATGAAACCAGATCTGTGGGATTAGCTAGACTGTCATAACGCATCATACTGTACTTACGATGCAACCACGTTGTGCACGAAAGTATGTGCAAGTCCTGGTTGGTATATCTGCAAGGGTGTCATGGAATGCTCTTGGGCAAGACGTTGGCTCTGCCATTCTCTGATGATATGATGCAACGCATCGGTTGCGGCAAAACCTGGATCAGTCCTGTCTAGATGCTTTGGGTAGAGACACTTCCAATACTTGGAGTGTTGACGTTTCACTTGCTCGATCGTACGGACAGCAGTGGCTTTTGGTGCTAGGTCTTCGCTTAGTCGGTCTGGGGGCTCTTGCATTAATACCCTCGTAACTGCAAGTGCGGAACGAGCAATAGAGCGCAAGTTATAGCCCCCTTCCAAGCAAACCACAAGCTTGCCTTTCGCTAATCGAGACAGCATGTGTGTCATGTGACCATAGCAGGCTGGAGTAACGAAGCATCCGCCGAGCACATCTCCTTCCGCGGCATCAAAACCGGCCGAGATGATCACCAGGTCCGGGTCGAACTCGCTAGCTATTGGCATTACGACCTCCTGGAAAGCGTATAGGTACTCGGCATCGCCCATGCCATGTTCGTCCCAAGGTATGTTGACGTTCTTCCCGATACCGTCACCCTCTCCGCAGTAAGTCAGGTCGCCGTCCGGTAGATTCGGGTAGAAGTTACCACCACGATAAACATGTAACGATATGTAGAGCACATTTGGATCGTCATAAAATGCATGCTGGATCCCGTTGCCATGATGGACGTCCCAGTCAAGGATGAGGACCTTTCTACAGGTCTGTGGGTATGCATCTTGGCATACGCGCGCCGCAATAGGCACGTTATTGAAGATGCAAAAACCCGAGGGTTGATCACTTTCGGCGTGGTGACCAGGTGGTCGGATGATAGCGATCGCGTTGCGTACAGAACCTTGCACAACAGCTTTGCAAGCTTCAATGGCACCTCCTGCTGCAAGAGTGGCGCAGTCGTAAGTGGCATGGTTGAAGTAGATCGAATCAAGGTTTTTTCCCTGCTCCGACAGCTCTTCCGTAGTCATTTCTGTCACAAGTCAGCCAATGGCCGATTCTGAAGTTGCATGCATACCTCGTAGCGAAGAGACGAAATCATAATGTTGCTCTGTGTGAATCAACAGAATCTCATGTTTCTCAGCCGGTCGCACTCCAATTCTCCAGCAGTATTCCTCATGTTCGTCCGTGTCTGAGTTCTCCGGGCCACGCACAAGTCCAGCTTCTCGTATTTCCTCGAATATCGAATGAATACGGCGCGGGTCTTCCGGATGTATTTCGTCTATTGACGAGTCGTTTGGGAGCTCTGCATGGAATCGCATACGAGGATCGTAAACCAGCCCAGTCTTCAACGTTGCAAGCGGCAGGGCCTGTGATCTTGGTTTCGGCGGAATCCGTACTTGTGGGCTTATACCTCGGTGCGGAGTGGTGAGTGTGATATCCATCTTGTCTGATCGGCCATCCGCATAATGTGATGCTGATGGCTTGGACACCGCACTCTCATGGGGTGGTAATTGTGCGTTCTTTGGCAGATGAGCCATGTTTGGGTTCGCAAAAACATCAGTTGGAGTGACGAACTCCGGTGCATAATCCACCGGCCCATTATTGAACTCTGTGGATGCAATGATCTCGTCCTCCATAGGGACATCCTCGTCGTTCATGCTTGCGCCCCAGATTTCAGCGCGAGCGCTGAGCGCCTCGCAACCCACAAGTAAGTCTATAGCTACGACAACCCGTCAGCATATCGTAGTATACTCCAGTAATAGCGAAAGGATTCAACAACATGGTGGATTTGAGATGTAGCAAACAGAACATACAGTCAATGGCGTGAGTGCTTCTGGACAGGCTGTGCAGAAAGAACCAGAGCAGATCAAACTTACCTATGGCTTACACCTCATGGAGCCGCTCTCGAAATTGATCTTGGGGTCGATCTTCTGGTGGAAACCTGCAGCACAACTGACAGGAGCTCGCAGTGCGACTAACAACAGTGTTTTGTATAACTGATGAACGGAAAACAAATTACACACAGTGCCTAGCAACCTAGATTGGGTAATTTGATCTGGCGAAGTTGCGTTGTCGTTTGCCTCGTGATGCGGCCTGATACGATGGGTGAAGCCGGAGTTCGGTCGGGCCTTGTGATCGCGCCGATAAAGCAGGTGAAGCAACAAGCCTGAGAGAAGGTGATAGTAAGCAGGAGTAGCTGAGGAAGTAACTGTGGCTTGCTCGAAACAGTAGCGCCGATTGGGTATTGAACTGAGTTGAAGGTAGTCACGGTGCTTGGATCCCAGATCGGACACCAAGTTCTGCTGACTAAGCAAACTAGCTTCATTTCGGCCTGATCTCTCCAGTCTACCTTAGCTGTCACCATTAACAATGGCTCAAGTGTCGTCTTCTCGGATCCTGGTGAGATCCCTCTATTTCTTGCCTTTGGTTTCCATTAATTCATGTGTGTCATGTCAGCTGTCGGGTGAACGGATTGCTCTGGTCAACACGTTACAAGGAGTAGGAAATCGAATAGACTGCCTTGGTTGGAACGATGATCAAGGCGACCCCAAGATCTATTGCACCTAAGCACGTTCGACGAGCCACTCAGCAAAATGCAGCATCAGACAAGTGGGTACTTTCTTGTTGGGATTATAACGCTTACACGGAGCTATTCATCGAAGTCCTGCGGTTTATTGGCTGCGATAAAGATGGTAAGGATCATACAAACGTGTGGAGTGGCTAGTCGGATGTGCTTGGGTGCAGTAGAGGGTTCTTTCTTTACATTAACAAGGCATATTATTAGGCATATAAATTCGGATGCACAGAGCAACGCTAGACGAAATTCTCAGACAGATCAACTGGGATTACAAAGGATGCCATTGAACTGAGGGTGTCCATCATGTAGTGATAGAAAGGTGTCTGCGACCAATTTACTCTCTGACTCTCGATGGCTTGATTTGTGTCGCTGGAGGGGAGCAGTCAGACGACTGTGGACAGATTCTGATCTCAGTGCTTCCTACTTATGCGGACGATGGACACTCAAACCCCACGACCCACTGCACCGCAAGTAGCCTATGACTGTTCGTACCCAGCTGTTTCTTCAGTCATTCCATACCCACCCTCTCTTCTTCCCCATATAACCTAAAAGCCGGTTCTACCCATCCCCCCTTGCGCCGAGCGCTCCCCACCCGATTTGCTCCGGAACGTAGCCCCATATGCTTCCCCCGTACGTAAGAGGAGCAGGTCCACATTCGAGATGGGTCTTACTATCGGGAACTAACGCGTAGCATATAGCATGTGCTACGCGGGAGCGCACCCGCACGTGTTGCCCCGGAATTGACAGCCTCGGGAAAGGTTGCTATACGGACGCTAGACAATCATCGACAGGGGTAGCTGAGCCAACGTGGAGTTGGGTGACTGTCTCGTGCGATAGTATGTACTTGATTTACGGTAGCACATAATATAATAGAGTTGCAAAGAGGATCAGAGTTTCACGTTATGAAGGCTTGTCGTTACTTGTACTATTATTCATTGATTCATATCTAGCATAAACACCTGTGGGGCTGCACCCCCAGCGTATTTTTACTGAAGGAATTACTAACACGCGGTGGCTTTCATGTCCTTTCTAACTCGGCTTTCAAAGCTTAGGCATGGCCTGGCTCTGTCCTGATTCCTAAGCGTTGCCATCAACCTTGGCAATGTAGACCAGGAGGTCGAGGACACGGCGGGAGTAACCCCACTCGTTGTCGTACCAGGAAACGAGCTTGACGAAGTTCTTGTTGAGAGAGATACCAGCCTTAGCATCGAAGATGGAGGAGCGGTCGTCACCGTTGAGGTCAGAGGAGACGATCTCATCCTCAGTGTAGCCGAGGATGCCCTTGAGCTTGCCCTCGGAGGCCTCCTTGACAGCCTCCTTGATCTCGTCGTAGGTAGCACCCTTCTCGATGCGGACAGTCAAGTCAACAACGGAGACGTTGGAGGTAGGGACACGCATAGACATGCCGGTAAGCTTGCCGTTGAGGTCGGGGATGACCTTGCCGACAGCCTTGGCGGCACCGGTGCTGGAAGGAATGATGTTCTGAGCAGCGGTGCGGCCACCACGCCAGTCCTTGGCGGAGGGACCGTCAACGACCTTCTGGGTGGCGGTGTAGGAGTGGACAGTGGTCATGAGACCCTCGATAATGGTGAACTTGTCGTGGATGACCTTGGCGAGAGGAGCCAAGCAGTTGGTTGTGCAAGAGGCGTTGGACAGGACCTCAATGTCCTTTGTGTAGGTCTCGTTGTTGACACCCATGACGAACATAGGAGCGTCGGCAGAAGGAGCGGAGATGACAACCTTCTTGGCGCCACCCTTCAAGTGAGCCTTGGCCTTCTCGGTGGTGGTGAAGACACCGGTGGACTCGACGACGTAGAAAGCGCCGGTCTCGCTCCAGGGGATGTTGGCAGGGTCCTTCTCGGTGTAGAAGCGGATGGTCTTGCCGTTGATGGAGAGGTTGTTGCCCTCGACCTTGATGTCGCCGTTGAAGCGGCCGTGTGTGCTGTCGTACTTGAGCATGTACGCCTGCAATTGTGTCAGCTTCTCGTTCTCTTGTGCTAGATATCGAAGCGCCGGCTCCAAGCAGAGCTGGTGCGACGACTATGGAAGAGCTTACGGCGTAGTGAGGCTCAATGAAGGGATCGTTGACGGCGACGATCTCGACATCGTTGTGCTCGATGCTGCAAGGCTATTAGCTCATTTACTCCATCGTGAAGCTTTTGAGGAGGTAAACTCACGCGTTGCGGAAGACAATGCGACCAATGCGGCCGAAACCGTTGATACCGACCTGTTGAGAACGTCAGTAGCTGGAGGTACATGAAGAGGGGTAGCAGTGGCGTACCTTAACAACCATGATGGATAGCTTGTTGTTCTGTGAAAAGTGTCAATTGAGAGGGAGTGGTGGAATGGAAAGTCGAGAGGTGCTCACGCTTTAAAGGGTTCTAAAATAGTCTGGAAGCTTGGAAGAGTTTTGTGGTGCGGCTGGGAAGGCGCGTTATTGTTGGGAGGGGTCGTTATGGTGGGGTGACGGGCTTCACTAACGTCACAGGTCAAAAAATGGCAATCTGATAGCTGCGACACACGGGCCGGATCCAATGAGCTTCCCTCACATCCGGCCGGCTGCGTTGAGCTTCATGCCAGGTCGCACTGCTGCAACCGTACCTCGGGATCGTGAGAATGCGCGGAAAGCGACGGGACGCAGGAGTAGTCCGGATGCGTCGAGGAATACAAAAGCGTGTCCAAGACGCTCTTTCGAACCTCGAGCTGGTGTCCACCTAGAGCCTCATTGCACTGACTTGTGGCCCACGATGTGCTCGACCGCCATCCTTGCATATGCAGAATGCTTCACTTGGCTTTTGCTGATAGCCATACAGACCAAGCACGCCCAGCAGCACAGATGCACATCTCTGACCAGCTTACGAAAGAGGTACCCGCAACGTCTCGTAATGCTCGCCACGGCGGCGTGGAGCAAGCTAGTTGGCAGAAGCATGTACTTAACGTGACCGGCGATCTGGTGTTATCCAGGATCATTTGATCATTCGATAGAATAAAACTGGCAACAGCATAGACGGGCAGCGCGGGGAGGTGGGCTTTTGGTGTAACCACCGAGATTCTGACCGCCACACAAGGTTGAGCACTGTTCAGATTGACTGAGAGACAAGGCGGCTCCACGCATCCGCGGCCGAGACCTGGAGGTGGGCTAGACGAGGGGTAGCAGAGAATTCAACACCTGACAATTCTGTGCGACAACGGCGTGAGAACCTTCGAGGTACCTGCATCAAGGCGAGAGGGGCAATGTGGACGCGTCGACGCGTGAGGCAATGATCGAAGCTCACAGCTTCGTAGGGCTGACAAGCTCGAGTTCTTGAGGCTATCGCGAAGCTCGAGCTGCGTTCAAATCGAAACGCCCACGAGTAGCAGACCGAAGGAAAGTTTAGAGAACTGTAACCCTTGTGGACCAGATACAATGCCCAATGCCCTGCCTCCGAATCCTTTGATCCTGTTAGAGTTTCACTCGCTCTAAATGGGCTTTGTGAGAAGATTGTAATCATGTGACGTGCAGCACCCAAGCACTTGGAACCGACCAGATACTTCTCAACGCAGCATCAAGCAAGAAGTGTCCATAATCTTAGTAGTGCTCTTTCTTGTTGGACTGTACGAGCCTGAACGGAGTCATTCGGTAGTGTTTATGCGACTCATTGGCTTCGATCAGGGTGGCTTGGAGTCTGCAGAGTAGAAAGTGGCTGGTTGAACGTGCTTGGATATATGTAGTACGGATCCATGGATGTCTTGCATGAGCAGCAGAACACTTTGAGCGAAATGTGTGTATATGTCGGCCGATTCCAGCATATGTCTCTTTGACAGCCCTCGAGTTATGTTCCAATTTGCCGTTCTTTGAAATGGAAACTGCCCTCACACTGCTGCATGCGTGGGACAACGGTCGAGGCACCTAGCTCGGACGGATAACAGGGTTGCGCAAGCCTTGTAACATCGTGGCTACAAGCACGATATTCTGTTCTGAGAAAGGCTTGCCTAGTTAGTTGTGACACGCAGACAAACAGTTGACGATGCCTCCCCCGCCCGACCTTTCTGCATCCAGGTCCGGGCGTCTGGGATTGAGGTAGTTTGCGAACATTGGCAGTGTGATCAGCGAGGTATCACGGACGCATTGCTCCAGTACGACTGCAGCTTGGATATTATTTGGGGCATCTTGACCCCCAATTGTCAAAACTTCACAGCAACGAGTGGCTTTCGATGCACACCTTTCCTTGCACCCGATGGGCTCTACAACCGCTCCTCCACAAACACTTCTGAGCACATGTCAGCAGGATATCGTTATTCAGTATACTGAGCTATAGCACCCGATCTGCCATTTGTCTTCGAGCTCGACGCTTGCCGCGCTTTCCCATTAGTATGACACCACTGCTGTGCTCGCTCGCCTGCGCAAGGTGGCATGGATGTGGTAGACCAACACAAATAATGGTAAAATCAAGTCAGTTCATATTTACAAACCTGAAGTCCATCATGGGCACTCGTTTGCTTGAGAACACCACCCATCATGGCTATCTTTCTTTCAACAGCGCGCTTATTGGGCGCCGGAGCCGGTACTGGCAAGGTCCGTGTGTAACACTCGAATGACTTCTTTTCTGCCAAGCCTCGCCCACGCAACATCGACCGTCTCCTTGCACCATCACCACCGCCATCACCACCACCCATTGGCAGCCCCAGGTCCCACCACGGGAAGCTCTCTCCGGTCCTTTCGCATTTTACGACACTCTCCACTCAACCGCCGCCATGATGCGCACCTCGATCGTCCGGGCGACGCGCGCCGCTGCCATGCCCCGAGCTACACCTGTCACCAGCCAGCTCCAGCAGTTCCGCCAGGCACACGTTATCTCCAACCCGACACTTGCGAACATCGAGACTCGCTGGGAGGATCTTGTAAAATTCCCAAGATGATGCTGGTTTAGGATCGTCGCTGACAGTAAACAGCCTCCCCAGGAACAGGCCGACCTGTGGATGTCGCTGAGGGACCGAATGAAGGAGGATTGGACCACGTTATCGCACAGTGAGAAGAAGGCTGGTGTGTGAAATTCTCCCTACCACTGAGCGATTGAGCATCACGGACCGGCGCATGACGTACCCGAGCTGATAAGGGTTCACCCGAGTTGGCCCGTGGTATGATTGCGTTGAGCGTGATCTTGCAGGATGTATCGCACGCCATTGACAAGAAAGCCATGCTAACGAGCTTCCTCTTGCAGCGTACTTCATCGCTTTCGGTCCTCACGGTCCCCGCCGTCCCCCCCCTCCGGATGAGGGCCGCAAGGTTCTCTTCATCTCTTGCGCCGTGATCGCGGGATCCTTTGCTGTCTTCGCTTTCACCCGCATGTTTGCCAGCCCCATCAGGCCCCGCACCATGACCAAGGAATGGCAGGAGGCTTCTGAGGAGTACTTGAAGGTGCGTAGCTCGATTGCCTCGGCTAAGGCTTGTCCTGTATTGCTACACGTACTGACATGTGTTGTAGGCCCAGGGATCAGAGCCCATCACCGGTTACAAGGGCATGTTGGTTCAGTCTGTCTCGGAGAAGAACCTTCCTCCTGGCGTGAAGCTCAACGACGAGTAATTCAATGGATAGAAGCTCCACGTCGAACACACATAACCAATACCAACATCACATTTCCTTGGGTCCATTTTCCATTTGGTACTGAGTGTGTCAGATGTACAACAAGATCGAAAGGGTTACGCTGGATTGGCCCTTGTCATATTAGTCCCTGCGTGTACAGAAATCTTCGAGACATTCGCGACTTGTGCTCTATTGTCTCCACTACGATCTTGTGTGTCTAGCACAGTGTACGCATATAGAGCTCTCCAATCTATGCGCTCTTCTCCACTACATCCGCATTCTTGTTCGTGCGGCGTGTCGGCAAAGTACGCATCGCTTCGCCTGGATTGGGCAAAATCACGGTGAGTCAGCAGTGTCAGGCCACAATCTGCTAACACATACATAGCGTCAGGCGACATCTAGACTTGAACGATCGATCAACTGCACGCTAGATCGGTGGATAGCAGTCGATAATAGTGGACGACCCCAAAAATCAAACGCATGGTTTACTGCGCAGCCAAGACGCCACAGTCCGGATCTACTATGATAAACCTGCATTCAGCGTTGAGGATTATACATCCATACGAATTCAGTGCAAATGGAGGTGCTGCCCACCAAATTCAGGACCAACGGCCTAGCCCGTAGCCTTCGCATACTCTATGGCCCTAAATCGGAAAGCAGAACAGGAATGCTGCTCCATGCCACGACCAAGGACTATCCTGACTCACCGCGGGAACCTTGTACATTTTGAGACGCTGCAGGACGAAAGATCACAGCTTATTTTACAGACGATAGATGAGCATCGTACAGGGGTGTCTGTTGCGTGCTATGCTGTAGCTTACCATTACACAAAGGATGGCTACCAACGCGTCCGCGGCCGAGCACCATAATATCGCCACCATATGCGGATGAATATCACGGATCCCGATGTGCTACACCGCGGCCGACATAATCGTGCGGGTCAGGGTCTCGCACGCGGCGCGACTTTGCTTGATCGCCACTGGAATTGTCAGACGGGGATCGACAATGATACTACATACTACAGACCCGCGAACAACGATGCGCCCTGATCTATATCCGTAAAGCCACCGCAGACCGCGCTTGTCACGACAATATCTGTGGGTCACATGAAATGATGCGCCAGGCGTTGCATGCAGGACTGGTATCAAGCTGGAGCTGGGCAGGAGCTGGGAAGAGCGAGTGACAATCAGGGAGCATATATTGAGCAGAGTTGGCAACAAACAGATACCTGATAGGGCGCGGACCAAGCTGAGCTCCGTGACAGTCCCCACGGGCCTTTTGCCGGTGCGTTCGCCATCAAGTCTCTGTTTGCAGCCAACTTTGAAGGTGGAGATGAAGCCTGTCACGTGCACGCCCCGTGCGACGCATTCCTTCTTCTCCGACTCATGCTCCTTTTGTGAACGTTCTCGACCTCAGTGCTAACATCAGGATATGCTGGTTGTATCAAACCGCGGGTTGTACGTATCGAAATAGCCCTACGAATCCTCTAACTTCGTCTTGTCTCACATCAAGGAACATAGTCTTGGAAAATCAGTCAAGCATCTACACGTACAAGATCGGACGTGAATAGTCTTCACGGTGGCATACTTCGATGACCGTGGCATGTGTGCTACTTTGCATGTCACGACGACACTGTGCGAACAAAACGCACCTTTTCAAATGCTCTGATGTTGCTACATGTTACAGTATTTATACATTTTATCTATACCCACTCCTTAGGGTTCTTGAGGACTTCTACCAGGCGCTCTTCTCTGCTGCCCTTCTCAGGTGCATGCATGTATTCCCACCTTGATGTGAGCGGCAAGCTCATAAGGATGCTCTCTACTCTTGCTCCAGGCGTGTTCAGACCGAATGATGTACCCCGGTCGTGCACCAAGTTGAACTCAACGTATCGCCCTCTCCTGATCTGCTGCCAGTGCTTCTGTGCCTCTGTGAATGGCATGTCCTTCCTCTTGTTGATTATGGGCAGGTAGGATGGCAGGAAAGCAGACAGACAGTCCTGTACGAAGCTGAAAAGCTGCTCTTGGTCCTTTTCAGTCTCATCGAGGTCATCGAAGAAAATGCCGCCTACACCGCGTGTCTCGCCTCGGTGCTTGTTGTTGAAGTACTCGTCGCACCATTTCTTGAAGCGTGGGTAATATGCCTTGTCGTGCTTGTCGCAAGCTTGCTTGATCTCGCTGTGGAAGTGTATCGCGTCTTCATCGTAGAGGTATGAGGGCGTGAGATCGCAGCCACCACCATACCACCAAGCGTTGGTGTTACCCAGCTCGTCGGCGGTTTCGAAGTAGCGGTAGTTCAGGTGGACTGTCGGCGCGTTGGGATTCGAGGGATGCAAGACCATGGACAGGCCTGCGGCGAAAAATTCGAGCGAGTCAACGTCAGGATCGAGCGCCTTGTGGTTCACGCGCATCTTCTGAATGGCGGCGCGAGGCAGGCGGCCATACACCACTGAGGTGTTCACGCCGCCCTTCTCGAAAACCTTGCCGTCCTGCAGCACGCAAGTAATGCCACCACCACCCTCTGGCCGCTGCCACGAGTCAATCGTGAATTTTGTACCGTCGACCTTCTCCAGTTCAGAAACAATCTGCTTCTGATGCTGCTTTATGAATTGTTCCATTCGTAGGCGCATAGGCGATTCTTGGGAAACACCGTTCTCGCGCTTGAGAAGGGCATCTTTTTGTGCGATTGAGGGCGTTTCCGTCTTCAGCGAGTCCGACTCGGTCCACTTTGATGTGTTAGTAGGAAAGTCTCAATTACGACTGCTCTTGCAAATACCATAGAATATATAATTGCGCCAAGGAAGGGCATCATGAGCAGTCGAATCCTGTTCGGCCACTTGCTGGGTGGGGGATTTCGCCATTCTTCCAGCGGGTCGGGCTTAATCTTATAGTTGCGAGGGAACTCGCCCATGCATCTCCGCTGAGTTTGTGTACGTCTGCTCTTTAGGCAGTTCGCGCGCAACGACTGACGGGGCGCATAGCTGACGGGAAGCTCGAGAGCTCTGGTTGCGCGAAAAGAAGATCGAGGAAGCATTGCGGAGTAGTGCTTGCTCGGGACGAATTACAAGGCTATAATACAACCGTATAGATGGAAGCGAAAGCAGGCGACCTGCGTGGTTTATATCGGGCGTGATGCGACGATGGTGTCTTTTTTGATAAAGTTCAGCATCACACCATGATGCTTCCACCGTTCAGGGAATCCAGTACCGAGGCGTCGCCGATGCAGTCTAGTTACTAAGCTGTTTTTCTCCATGCTTCATCAATGCTCTTACACAGAACCAGTGCTGCAATAGACGAAAACGCTCTGATGCACAGGTCCCAATCGGCAGCACTTTGCTGCTGGCCAGCTTTGCTGACACAGCAGAGCTGAAAGACCGAGGACGCGCCCGGGATCTTCACAACACAACCACTCAAGTTGCCTGCGCAGCCAGAGGTCAGCACAACGCGTTTGCAAGCTTCATGATTGGTGCCGTTATTTGTATCCCAGGGGCCGAATTCCACACAACTTGTCGTTCGTGCTTCAAAGTGCCTGCCAAGCAGGCCGCTCTTCAACACAATACTGCATAGTTCGGGCTTCAGCATTTGCTCTGAATGAACAGGTACCTGGGCAGCGTCTCAGACCGTTGTGCGTACCTCATGAGATGACTCAGGGCTAGGCTGGGTCATGGGAGACAGAGCAAGTGACCTGTGAGGCGCGAGGCGGCGGCAGTCAGCACGCCATAGAAAGAGTCACCCTCATGAACGAAGTCACCAAAGTGGTACTTCGCATGACGAGCGAGTACTGTGGAAAGGTTCTTGCTACAAACTGTGCCTGCTAACAAGGTGAAGTGGTTGGTACTAACGTGATCACTGGGTGGAATTTGGGCGCGGATAGACTATGTAAGCGTACCCTTGTGACGCCCCGCTCCGATCCAGGGCTCTGTTGCCTGCTTCACCGCTGCACTCCTCTTATACCCTCAGCCACGCCACACTACTTGCACAACTTCCTGTGACCATCTGCTACCAAACCTACTACCAACACCAACCGCAGTCAACTTATCTTTGCCAACATGCGCTCCAAGTTCAAGGACGAGCACCCGTTCGAGAAGCGCAAGGCCGAGGCCGAGCGCATTCGCCAGAAGTACAACGACCGCATTCCCGTATGTCTGCTCTCAGCCTCGTGTGAACGGGATCGCGCGACTAACAGCAATAGGTAATCTGCGAGAAGGTCGAGAAATCAGACATCGCAACCATCGACAAGAAGAAGTACCTGGTTCCTGCGGATCTTACCGTCGGCCAGTTCGTCTACGTGATCCGCAAGCGCATCAAGCTGTCGCCCGAGAAGGCCATCTTCATCTTCGTCGATGAGGTTCTGCCGCCTACAGCTGCTCTTATGAGCTCGATATACGAAGAGCACAAGGATGAGGATGGTTTCCTCTACATTACGTACGTCGTTCGCTCTTTTGGGACTGCTGCAGGCATGTGCTAATGAGATTACAGCTACTCAGGCGAGAACACCTTCGGTGAGGCGATCTAAGAAACCCGCCCCCTTCTTATCTCTGCGACATCATATGGCACGGTGTACTCAAGGGCGTTACGGAATCACGGACTTCTTACATTCTTCGCTGCAACACAATATTTGATTTGGACGGCTGGTGGACCATATGGCCATCGAAAGGCGTGGCGGTTGCTCCCTCAACCGTCGCAGAGGCAACCACAACTGAACGCTTCGATCGAGGATGGGTTTGGTGAAAGCTGCGTGCTTTTCGGCTGTCTCGATCCAGTACAGTATCACGTCTGCGTGATGATGGCTGCGAGACTGAGGCCATGCTGGTTGGTTGACCGAGTCCACTCCCTGCGCTACTTGTCTGTAGTTTGATCATATGCAGTCCAAATACACCAGTTGATCTTGAACAATGTCATTTTCCGCTTTGCGATATTTCAAGTCGTCCCGTGAAACTCTGTGCACTGCTGATAGTCCTCCGTGACTTGCGGCTCAGCCGGCCTCTGAGACGATGACGACATCTGAACGCTGTCCACATGATCAGGTACCTCTTAGCCTGATACAGTTGAACCGGAGTATGTCTGCGGCCCACACAAAGCACTGCAGGCGATGTAGCAGCTTATCGCACCTCAATAGATAGCCAAAAGTTCAGATGAGCATACACGTGCAACCGTGGGGTAAGCTCGCCGTTGCGCCTTCGAGACGCGTCGCACAGGCCTCGGCCCTAAGCGGACCGCCGATCATCAGAGCTTGGGGAAGTTTATCGATACTCACACCAACATCAAATGCTCACAATCCACCCACAACTATAAAGCTCTAACAGTAACGCGATACTTGGCTACATATTGCCGCATCTGGGACTCGCTGTTGTTTCTCCATCTAGTCTACGCACAAATTGAGCTTCAGGCTCAACGCTGCCACCATGCACATCATATCAAAGTATGTTCCTATCCGCCTCCAGGACCACATCAGCATGCTAAAGCTCGAGCAACAGGACTCTCGATCCCTTGTTCGCCATCTCGATAGGGCTGGCCGCTGCCGTAACCCGTATCAACCGCGAGGAGAAGGAGAAGGGACGATCAACACAAGAGACAATGGACGTATTCAAGAAGAGGTGGGCACTTGCATGGCAAAGCGAGCCGGCGGCAGATAAAAAATAGTGATCTTCTGTAGAAGCGCAGTCAAGCAGCCCTCGACGTAAACCTTCGGTCAAAGGTGATAAGCGCGATCGTATGGTCAAGCGACCGAGGAGAAAGCCCTGGGCTACAAGATTGAACAGCTACACAACTGCCTGCAGAATATCCACTGGGTCTGTCATAACAATGGTATGGTACGCCCTTGAAAAAAAAACGGTGCAGTCTAGCGTTAGAAGAGCGATGGTCCAGTACGGCGAATGATACCCTTTCTTTGGCCCAAGATGTAAACACAAATATCGACATTGGCTTGATCCTTTGTGTCAGTCGTGAAATATCTGCGACTTTTTATTTCTGACTACAAAGGTCTGGGAAGATGTGCCAGATGTGCCAGATGTGCCAGATGTGCCAGATGTGCCAGATGTGCCAGATGTGCCAGATGTGCCAGATGTGCCAGATGTGCGCAATCAACTTTTGTGACGTATCAACCCTGCGTCTGGGAAGAGGTGATAACCAAAAGAGAGGCAAAATACATGTACTAGTATCCCTAAACAAGTGCTATGAATAAGCCACATCCTACGGAGACAAAAGGCTCACTATCATCGACAAGTAAGTATGAATAGATGGCAAGCCTCGAACTTACGGATTACAATCATGCGTACAATGATCGCATTGTTGTCCTGTCGCAATCAACCTCCGAACAAAGCTCAAAGAATTCATCGAGTCTTTGTTCAGCAAGCAGTTGATTAGCGATGATACCAGCGGCATTCAGCACACAACGAGACACATATGTCACCTTTGTTGTGATTTGTCTTTGTGCAATGCAGGCAACTGCTTCCTCAAGAACATCTCGAGATTCGACGAAATGGAATTGTGGACTTCAATACATTTCGAACTTATAGTTTTACATTATGGTATTTACACGCAGCAGCAGTGCCCCTGCGCAGCTGAAAACAATCCTCCAGCTTCAGCGCGATTATGACGTACGTCTATAATCTTCTCGTTATACTGTATGGCTAACGGTGCAATAGGCGATACATCTCAATGCAGACTGGCACCCTAGAGAAAGCAGACCGCATGTTCGAAGTCGGGGTATTAGAAATGGCGCCAATCTTTGCTACCAGAGTGCTACCCTACAGGCTTTGATGCATCAGCCGCCGTTTCTCAATTGGATCCGTCAACATAACACGGTCTCTTGCTCCACTGTTCCATGTCTAGCGTGCCATCTTGTACGGCTAGCTGGGGACTATTGGGGTGATTCGGCAGCTGTACTGACTACGAGTAATCAATCGTTGAGAGGCATTGCATCAATGTCGTTTGATTCAAACATGTTTGAGCGGGGCCAGCAAGAATGTGCACATGAATTCTATGACTGGGTCACTGCTACATTGAAAGAAAACGCAAGGTAAGTTTTGCGCTCCGTAGAATATTTGGAAATCGTTTGATTGACCACATCACAGTGATCCATACTGGCAGGCCCAACACGACAGTCTCTATTACTTGAGCCTCCAATCGCACGACCGATGCAATACATGCGGAGAACCTCACGATCTACCAATGGATAGCAATCACACCCTCAACATCCCTGTCAACCCACCCCACACGACTATCTCTGAGGCCATATACAGCGTGTTCCACGAGGAGCCTGTCATCACCATGTGCGAGAACTGTCAGACAAATCGGTCAAAGACGCGGTGGACAGAGATTGTTGCTGCGCCGAAGGTACTGCGCATACATTTGCAAATCTTGTTTCCCGACCACAAAGTCTTCGACACTTTGACATATCCAGACACTTTAGACTTGACATCTTATCAGCAAGTTCCTGGTCTACCTCTCAATTATCGCTTGAGTAGTGTGATAGCGCACGCAGGAGACTATGTTGAAGAATACCAGAAAAGAAAGAGTAGTGAGGAACAAACGGATAGCGAAGAAGATCTGGATATAGATATGCAGGTAGCGCTACAACTCCAGAAGGAGATGGATGAGGCTAGATATAGCGAGAGTGATGAGGACGATGATGAGGATGAGGATGAGGACGACGACGATGAGGACGACGACGAGGACGATGATGATGAGGAGGACAATGTTGATAGTGACGAGAATGAGATCGAAGATGACGAGAAGAACGACGAGAACGAGGACGAAGATGACGGGGAGAACGACGAGAACTCCGCCCAAACAGCCCCGAACGCAGAAACCATTAGTGAGCTCCAGCGCGGCTCAGAGGAAACAAGCCCACCTAGATTGGTCATGCGAGGTCACTACATAGCCAGCGTCCGCGAAATCGACGGCACCTTGAACAACGTCAACGACGGCGTCGTGCGCCCCATCACCCAGGCCGAGTTCTTGAGTAACCCCCATCAGTCGAGATTCCAGGTCTACGTCTTGACGTACATCAGGGATGATAGTGTAGGGAACATGCCGCGGTCGAAACGATGGCTGAAGGAGTTGAATGGGCTGCTGCCTCATGGATCTGGGAAGGTGGATGTGAGTGGCGGCGTCGACGAAGGTCCGAGGAAGCGTGCTAGGAGGGGATGAATGTAATGTTGTGTCGCTTGAGCTCTTAATGCCTATTTACTTTGCGGTGTCTGTGCATACTTCTTCGCATTGATTGAGCCTAAACTTTGTACAGTGTTCATAGTCCTTAAACGATTCTAATGTTAGCTGTAATTGTAACTTCAAAAATTTCTGTACTTCAGAATGATTATCAGCTTGCTCTGCATCGCCAAATCGACCCTGACTACCTCCCGCAACCTCGCAGGGATCGAATTGAGGAGTTTGGCACAAGAACCAGAGGCATAGACAGGTCATCACACAGCAGTTGTAAGGAACGGTTCTGAAGAACTAGGAAAGCTTTCTTTGCACGCAAGATAGATTACAGAAGCCACGATGCTCCAAGCACCCGCTCATAATCCCACATTTGAGGTATATGTTTTGTACAAGTGAGACTACCAGCGACTGCCGTCGACAGAGTGGCTGACTCTCATGTCTCGCCCACCACACCGCTCGCTTATTGCTTCTCGAGCTCAGCAAGAATCTTCTCACCCTTGGCGCGCGCAGACTCAAGGTTACCAACCATGTAGAAGGCACCCTCGGGCAGGTCATCACCCTCACCGTTCAAGATGCCCTTGAACGAGCGGATGGTGTCCTTGAGGTCGACAAGAGCACCCTCGATACCAGTGAAGACCTGGGCGACAGCGAAGGGCTGCGACAGGAAACGCTGGATCTTACGGGCACGCTCGACGGTAAGCTTGTCAGCTTCCGACAACTCGTCCATACCGAGAATGGCAATGATATCCTGGAGCGACTTGTACTCCTGAAGAATCTGCTGGACCTTGGTGGCGGTGTCGTAGTGCTCGTCACCGATGATACGGGGGTCGAGAATACGGGACTTGGAGTCGAGAGGGTCGACAGCGGGGTAGATACCCAACTCGGAGATACCACGGGACAGCACAGTGGTGGCGTCCAAATGGGCAAAGGTGGTGGCGGGAGCAGGATCAGTCAAATCGTCAGCAGGGACGTAGACGGCCTGGACGGAGGTGATGGATCCCTTGGAGGTGGTGGTGATACGCTCCTGCATCATACCCATGTCGACGGCGAGGGTGGGCTGGTAACCGACAGCGGAGGGAATACGTCCGAGAAGAGCAGACACCTCGGAACCGGCCTGGGTGAAACGGAAAATGTTGTCAATGAAGAGGAGCACATCCTGGCCCTCCTCATCACGGAAGTATTCAGCGACCGTACTTGAACATAGTTAGTAGATGTAATGGTAGATGCAATGTGAAGGAAAGAAAGTTAAAATGGAAATGAACAAAATCGAAAGGCGGGCCAAAATCGGCAGAGGCGATAGTCGGAGGCTGGCGTCGCTCTGAGAGATGATGAGGAAACCGCACTCGATGAGGCTGGAGACAAGCGTCGCTCAAAGATATGGTGATAGTGCCGCATTTGATGAGGCTGGAGGCTGGCGTCGCATAGAGAGGAAGTGAGGGAGCCGTGCTTGATGAGGCTGGAGGCAGCCCACACATGATGGTTCATGGTGGAGCAGCTCTGCTCAATGAGGTTGAAGGCAGGTCGCTCGATGATGTTGGAGGCACTCTTCGCTCAGCGAGGTGGTGAGGGAGCCACACATGATGCGGCTGGAGGCAACCATCGACAAGACGTAGCAACCTCATCAGGTGAGATTCAGGCGACGCTTCCATCTGATATAGCGGGGTTCCAGGGAAGAGAACGAAAAGTATACAGCAGGGAGAGAGGGAGAGTCCTCCTCGGTGACAAAGGTACAAAGAAAATGAGAAAACGTTACCAATGGAAAGTATACTTACAGACCAGTAAGGGCGACACGGGCACGGGCACCCGGGGGCTCGTTCATCTGACCGAAGACAAGGGCGACCTTGGACTCGCCATCAAGCTGAATGACGGAAGTCTCCTGCATCTCGTGGTACAGATCGTTACCCTCACGGGTTCGCTCACCGACACCGGTGAAGACGGAGAAACCACCGTGGGCCTTAGCAATGTTGTTCTGGCTCGCTGTCAGCTGTTGTCTTCGTCGCAAATCTCGATATCCTTACAATCAGCTCCTGAATGAACACAGTCTTTCCGACACCGGCACCTCCGAAGAGACCGATCTTACCACCACGAGCGTAGGGGGCGAGAAGGTCGACGACCTTGATACCGGTAATCAGGACCTCAGCGGAGGTGGACTGCTCGGTGAACTCCGGGGGATCGGCGTGGATAGCGGCGTACTTGGTAGCCTTGATGGGACCGCGCTCGTCAATGGGGTCACCAGTGACGTTCATGATGCGACCAAGAGTGCCGTGACCGACGGGAATCTTGATGGGAGCGCCAGTGTCGGTGGCCTTGTGGCCACGGACGAGACCCTCAGTACCTGCGATATTCCATCAGAACTGTTCATTACAAGTTGTTCTCGTGGTGAAGACTTACCGTCCATGGCAATGCAACGGACGATGTTCTCACCCAAATGTTGCTGCGATTCCGTCAGTATGTTTTTCCACGAGCCCGGAACCTTGGCATTCTTACAGCAACCTCGAGGACGAGCTTGTTGCCGCCATTGTCGGTGGTCAGAGCGTTGAGAATGGAAGGGAGCTGCTCGGTGTCGAACTTGACTGCGATTGATGTCAGATTTTGTCGTTACGATGCGATCGAGATCCCATACCGTCAACAACGGCACCCTGTTCAAACGTTAGCATCTGAAAATCAATGGCGATCGGATGTATCGTACAATGACCTGGTGGATCTTTCCATCACGGGCGGCATCGGTGGAGGCGTAGCGAACCGCGTGGGGAGCGAGGGCGCGCGCAGCCTGGGAGGGCTGGAAGGAGCGGATAGACCGCTGGAACTGGCTTTATTTCATCGAATCAGCGGGCGTGCCATCATCAATTGGCTTCAGTGGGGTGGAAACTCACCTCCTCAACATTGTGAAAGATGTATGAGACGGTTGTGGTGGGTGGGAGGAATCGGGTGTCTTCTTGTGAGGAGGAGAAGAACTTGAAGCTCGCCCGGAGGCGGCGCGCGGACCACCACGCTTGACCGCTTTCGGGATTCACAACAGCACAGCAGACTCTGAGCTCTCCACAGCTCTGCACTTGCTGCGCATGACGTTGATGATACCCCAGACTTTATTGTCATTTTCATCGTGCCTATCTCGAGCTTCTGGGGAAACGCTCTGCTTGCAGAAGGCATGACCGGTCTACACCACCCACGTGGAACAGTCTTTCCGATTCGCTCCGAAATTCTCTGGAGCTTGAGGCCTGCGTCGTCGCATATGATGCATGGTGATGGCAACAGCATTACCGGAACGTATGCAGTCGATTTCAAGTACAGATAGGTCTGCTGTGCCGTTGCTGGTCAGAAGCATATGACAAGGGCACATGGCAGGGTCCGATATACAGCAAGTCGGAACTTCTAGAAGAGCTCGTCGCTGTATGCGACTGGCCAAACTCCTCCCAATATCTATGAGCTCATATTTGAGTGTGACAGGATAGCATGCAGATTTGATCAAACATTTAGGTCATTATTATACTACTAGAATTCAGTAATCCGCCTTCAAGGGAGACCTTCAGAGTAGCTTGTAGACGGATATGTAAACTGACAGGTGGATATAAGACTAAAGATTCTCTCACTAGGCCAAAGGACCTGCAGGTAACGGAATGCCTCCCAAGTACACCTTTCAACCCCGGGAACTGATCTTGTTTTGGGACATTCTCAACAGATTAGCAGGCCTCAGTGTCGAAAACTTGAGGCATACAGGCTCCTGCCACGTATCTTCTATTTCTATGTGGCCCATCGTATCATACAACATCAGCGTCGATGAGCTGCTTTGACCGTCTGTAACAAGACCGGATGTTATGAGAAATTGTGAGCGGCATGCCACGCTGTAACAGTGTAGTCTGGAAGCATCCAGTACACTGGGAACGCAGATCACACATTCCCCTAATAAGCAGAGTCTATCACCATCCTAACCACACTGGGTCCTCTCATTGTGTATCTCAAGATCGTAGACGGAGTGGAAGGCTCTAGCGCAGTACTCACCTACCTCAAGCTGATGCATAGTGTAAGCGCAGCGCACACGATCGCAGATTAGAGCATAAGGTCAAATGCTCTGAATCTACTGATTGGACTCCCAGCGCCGTGAATTGTTACTTAGACATGACTCCCCTGAGCTCTCTGGGAGGACGCCACGCTGCAGTAGATCGACCAAGCCTTGACCCAACACCCATAAGCTATTCGCTCCTGCTGGCTGAGTAGCAAGACAACAGCCAGATCGTCACAGTTGTATAGCACATAGCGTATCACGGCGACCAGCTCACTTTGCAATAGGCAAGGCACAGAACATTGGATGTTGCAGATGGCTTTGTCGTCTAAATTATAGTTTGCTTTCCTCGGTGGTATGATTACATGACGCTTGAGTGCTAAATGACTGCTGTTGAAGATCACAGATCCTCTTAATTTGCTCATCCCTCTTTCATGACTGCTATAGACTTGACTCTAGAGCAAGAACCTGCAAGAATGTTAGTCCCTGTAAACAAAGTGAAGCAAATGATGGGCTTGACTTACGATGGCGGTCCTCGTTGGGATGTAGACCTGCAGGAAGTTCTTCCTGTCGTTCCACGCAAAGGGTGTTGTGAAAAATCGCGTGTCCTCGGCAACGTTGCCGTGACCACCAAAGGACTTGCTGTCAGAGCTGAGCACGATCCTGTAGGTACCTTCCTGCTCAACACCAACACGGTAATCAGTGAAGCTGTTAGAGGGGTGGAAGTTGAAAATCCACAGCAGACCAGCCCGCTCGAATACGATGACCTTGTCGCCCTCGTGCTTCAAGCTAACGTACGCTTGAGGCGCGTGTAGCCAGCCGTACTTCTCCTCTGTCCACTGCATCTTGCTGTCGAACTCGTTCAGGAACCTATAGCGAAGCAACTCATCGTCGACAAGGTTGAACTGCCTGCGAGCGTAGTCGAAGCTGTTGCCGTTGCCTTCGCGAGGGAAGTCCAGCCATTCTGGGTGACCGAACTCGTTACCCTCAAAGTTCAGGTAACCCTCACCGCCCAAGCCATGTGTGATCAGCCTGATCATCTTGTGCAGGGAAAGACCTCTGTCAATAACAGATGTCAAGTCTGACAAGACAGACATGTTGGTGTACATCTCTGCGTCACACAACCAGAAGAGTAGTGTCTTGTCTCCAACGAGCCTGTAGCTTTTTAGTACAAATTGTGATCATGGGGAAGGGCAACGTACGCTTGGTCGTGGGACTCGGCATAAGCGATCGTCTTCTCGCCGTGCCGTCTGTTTGTCAATGTGAAGACGAGGGCGCCCATGTCCCAGTCGATGTCTTGCTTCTCCTTCAGCCACTTGATGTACAGATCCGGAACAGCCATCGCAAGCCTGTAGTCGAATCCTATTCCGCCCAGAGACAGCGATACGCAAAGACCGGGCATACCGGACACATCTTCTGCGATGGTGATACAGCTGGGGTACAGCTGGTGCAGCAACTCGTTGGCAACCATCAGATAGACGACGCCTTCCTCGTCAACACCAGGGCCAAAGTACTCGTGATAGCCGCCAGAGAAACCTGTGCCAATACCGTGGTGGGTGTAGATCATGCTTGTGACACCATCGAATCGGAAACCGTCGAACTGGTACTCCTCCATCCAGAATCGCAGGTTACTGAGCAGGAAACGGAGGACTTCATGGTGACCATAGTTGAACAGCCTGCTGTCCCACAGTTCGTGTCGTCCCTTGGCGCCCTCGTGGAAATACTGGTGATCACTGCCATCGAACATGTTCAGTCCGTCCAGAACATTCTTCGAGGCGTGGCTGTGCACAACATCAAGGAGAACTGTGATACCCATGCCGTGGGCAGTATCGATGAGCTCCTTCAGGTCATCTGGGAAACCATAGCGACTGCTTGCAGCGAAGAAGCTGTTGATCTGGTAGCCGAAACTAGCATAGTATGCGTGCTCCATGACAGCCATCAATTGAATGGTGTTGTATCCCAGGTGCTTGATCCTGGGAAGGATGTTCTGAGTGAACTCCTTGTATGTAGCTACCTTGCGCTCAGGCGAAGAAATACCGACGTGTGCTTCATAGATACGTGCGCTCTCGGGCTTCTTAGGTTTCTTGTTCTTGAACTGGTACTTTTGGGGAGGGTTCCAGAAGCGCGCATCGTAGACGGGGGATACGTTGAGGTCTTGGGTCACTCGGGTGATCCAGGCAGGGAGACGCTCCTGGCGGGCATGGTCGTTGGGGACAACTAGAGAAATCTTCCCTGGGCGTCAGCTCGTGTCTATTGTGGGGGTTTCTGGCAAACGCACCTTGATCTTGGAGTCGTGGGGGATAGTGGGCTTGCCGTCCTTGCCAGGCACGGTTACTTCGAAGACGCCGTACTCGTTCTTACTCATGGGCGTTGCATCACGGTTCCAGTCGTTGAAATCGCCAATGAGGTATGCTCGTAGGGCGCTCGGCGCCCACTCGCGGTACACAACGTCGCCATTGGGCTGGACCTGGAAGCCAAAGCGCTCGTAGCCCTGATATGGTCAGCTGATGCTGCTGCAGACAATTCAGCCGTGCTTGCCCTTGAAAACTTCTCCAGACCGCCTTCGGTGTCGTTGATGGTCTTGATCCACTGCTGGGCTTTGGCGTAGCGGCTCTTCAGCGCGCCGGTGAAAGGCTCCAGATAAGGGTCAAGCTGGACGATGCCTGCGGGGCGTGGTCAGTCAATTGCTGCAGAGCAGACACATTTTGCGTACCAGTGCCGTCGTTGGCCCCCTGTGCGGGGGCGTCGGTGACTGAGTTTGCTGAGGCGTTGACGAGCTCCATGGTGGTGGAGTGAACGTGCAGCGGGGGAAGGATTGCTGTGAGCAGCGGTGGTTGCAGAGGAATGGGGCAAGTGCACGGTTTTCTACTGCAAACACTGCACGAGCTCGCAATCAGATAGACGGCAAGCAAGTGGACATTTGCGGGGTCTTCGCACAGGTGTTTGGCTCAACGAGGCCTTCGCAGCCAGCGATCCAACGTCATAGCTCCGAGACCCTTCAGGACTGGGCTGGCCGTAGCGCACCTCAACAGCGCGTATGGCAGGGGTCGGAAGGATTCACGCCGCAATTCGTTGGGAGGGTCTTTTCGCTGAGGCTGCGACACACACGCCCGGCCTGGCTGACTGGCTCTGCTCGCGAGGCTGCGACTGTGTGTCTGGGTGCAGCTGTGCTAGCCGGTGGACACGGACCGACTTCGCGCGGTCTGGGGGCGGGCGCGCCCCAGCACTCAGCCCCGCAGCCCTCGGCCCAATGCGGAGAGCTGTAGTGCTCCCACGCCCACACCCGCAACGCCCCGTCCTCGCTCGTGCTTGTTGAGCCTCTGCTCGTGATGTGACACCGTCGCGACTGCCTCAACATGATTGTCCGAAAGCTCTGCGTCGCCGTCCCAGCCCGTGCCTCCTTCCTCGCCCTGCGCACCGCGCGCGCATTCCATGCCCGAGGTCCCCTGCGCTCCACATACCACCGCTCTGACTTCGGTGGCCAGGGCTTCTCGAGCTTCTACGAGGCCGATCAGCCCACGCGAGGCCCTCTGGGGGGCACTTCCAGCATCGGGAGCAGCCATGTTACGCCCAAGGCCCTGCGCCAGCACCTGGACCAGTTCGTCGTCGACCAGGAGCGTGCCAAGGTCGTGCTGAGTGTTGCCATACACGAGCACCACCTGCGCATCCAGGAGCTGCGGCGACAGCGAGACGAGCAGGCGCGGCTGGACGCGCAGGCCCAGCGCAGAGCGTCGGCGTTCAGGCATCCTGTAGAAGGTAGACCCAATCTCGTTATCTTGCCGCCACCGTGTGCTCCTGCCCCATGAGCCGTGACTGAGTACAGCAGACGAGTTCCCCGGCCAGCAGGCGACTGTGCATGTCTCCAGTTCTGCAGATCCAGTGTCGTACAGCGACCCTTTCCTCACGTCGCACTCGTCAGCGCCGCTAGATCCCGAACCCTTACCCGAGCCCCCGCTAGAGCCGCTGCAGATAGACAAGTCGAATGTGCTGATATTAGGTCCCACTGGCGTGGGCAAGACACTGATGTGCAAAACGCTGGCGAAGACACTAGGTATCCCTATCTCCATGTCTGACTGCACCACCTTCACGCAGGCGGGATACATTGGAGACGATGTGGAACAGTGCGTGTCTCGCCTCTTTTCTGCTGCCGGCCATGATATTGAGGCTACTGAGCACGGTATCATTGTGCTGGACGAGATTGATAAGATTGCTTCAGCCAAGATGTCGTACGGCAAGGATGTTGGTGGCGAAGGCGTGCAGCAAGCGTTGCTGAAGATCATCGAGGGCACAACGGTTCAAGTGCGCGCGAAGCCCGAGAAAAGTGCTGCGAAGAGCCCAAGCAACCACGGCAGCTACCCTTCTGGCAATCCACTCGACAACTCACGAAGTCCGCTTTCAGGTGGTGCCCCAGGTGGAGGCAAAGACGAAGTGTTCAACATCCGTACTGATAACATTCTCTTCATATGCACTGGTGCATTCGCCAACCTGCACAAGACCATCCTTGATCGGAAGTCGATGGGCGGCATTGGGTTCGGTGCTTCAATCCGTTCATCGAAGTCCGAGGCGTCTGCTGAAGGAGTGATGCTACGAGGTGAGGAGGCGGCTCGATTCAAAAAAGACGCACCGTTCTTTGTCCCACCGGAGAAGCCAAATCCATTCGGTGGCGTTCGGCAGAAGATACCTGAAGAGAAAGTCAATGTCCTTGACCACGTACAGCCAGCTGATCTTCAAAAGTACGGCATGATACCTGAGCTCATCGGTCGCATTCCAACCGTGTGCGCTGTCTCTGCTCTTGACGAGGAAGCCTTGGTTCGCGTCCTTACCGAACCAAAGAACAGTCTGCTTTCGCAAGAGCAGCACAAATTCTACCTCCGAAACATCGAACTACGCTTTACCAGCGGTGCACTGCGGGAGGTCGCGCGAAAGGCTAGCAAAATGGGCACGGGTGCCCGTGGCCTGCGACATGTAGTTGACCAGCTGCTGCTGCAAGCCAAGTACGAGACACCAGGTACAGTCGTCCCATTCAAGCATCTACACCACATTCTAACAAACCCTAGGTTCGAGCGTCAAGCATATTCTAGTCACGCGAGACGTCGCGCTCCTCAAAGTCGCTCCGCTGTACTTCCTCAGAGGCCAGTCCAGCGCCTTCCAAACGACTCTCACACGAGAGGAAGAGCAGTGGGACGAAGAGCTTCGCAGCAAAGAAGACTTGGCTAATGGCCACGTACACTCGTTCGAAGAGTATCGGAAGGTTGGCGCAGCCGGCTCCTGAGCACGGCACGAGTCTTGGTTCGAGGTCGACTCTCGTCGTCTACGGTCTGCCACGATCGGGCCGTATGGAGGCGCCATCATTGGCGCGGAGCGTTGAAGCGATATACATATGCGAAGCGTGTGCCGAAAGTTTATGGCGATGGTGCATTTCGCGACAGCACTGGACCGCGGCAGATGCGACAACGGGATGCTGTCCGAGACGCTGTCTTGACGACACTTGACAGCGTGGAGGGATGTTAGTTCGATTCGCTGTAGATGATAAGAAACACTCATAGAGCGTTCATGAGATAATGTAAATGATTCACGAAGATGTCACCAGTACCCATTGTGCATGTCGTTTAGGTTGCAATGCCACGCGTCGACGACTCAGCTATCGACCGTCGCTCTTTGTTCATTGTGCGCTACAAGGACGCACGGCCGCATCGTGAGCCGTCGGCGTCGCGTTTACCTGACGGACGGGTGGCTCTTCACATCTGGGCCGGCGTGCCCTTGTGTCGTGGCCGCTGGCGGATGCCGTCTCCCATGTTGAAGTTGAAACCTGCCGGGAGCCGCGAGAACGGTGCCGGGGCGATAGGCTTACCGCTTATGCAGGCCAAGGCAAAGACGAACGATCTCTGTGTCTCAGCCCCCTAGAAATTTGGCCAATGTCGTGGTCCTTGGCTCTGCTCCAGCAATACAAAGTCTCAGGTGTGATGGGGCGGTGGGGACCAATCAAAATGAGGAGAGTCTAGACTGCACAGCATGCTGGGATTGCTGTTAGCTTCGTATTTTCAAGGCTGCGGAAGACGGCTTCTTACCGATCGATGCAAGTCCGATTGAGCGGACTGCAGTTTCTTCGAGGGTCCCGGACGTCGGCTTGTCGTGTCTGCGGGCGGTCAGTGAAGTCAATGACAAGGGTTAGGACAGGTTAGTGGGCAGGAAGAGGCATATGAAGCATCGAGCTGACCGCATGCATGCGCTAATCCCGACGTGTATAGAAACTGGGAGCAAGATCAGAACAGACAAACTTTGTGAGCAGGCTGGACGGCAGATGCGGGGTTCTGGAGATGCAATAACGCGTCCGCCTCACGTTGATCACGCCAGCAGCTCACTACCAATCTGCATCCATTATCACGCAATGAGTAAACAGTTGAAGTGTGGTATCTCTTTGATTGTTTCGTAGTCTATACGGCCCCTCCAGAGGACTGGGGTAACAGTAATTGAAGCAACAATAGGTAACGTGAGTCTAGTGATTAAAAGCATATTCGTCAGGATAGAAGGTCATATCCATGCCTGACTCGTGTAGAGCAACATCGTGAAAATGTAGCGAAATAAAAACAAACGCGACACGTAGTGTGCGTTCAGTAAAACATAGGCCATAGTGCCCTTTATGCAGACCTGCCATTCGTTATGCAACCGTCCAGTACCAGAACCAAACAACCACCGTGGAACGCCTTATTAGATTAAACTCCGTGACTCATTTTCGTCATGCGGTGCCGGTATACTATGTTTGCCAGCTGCCGAATTCGTAGAACCCCTGATCCTGTGGCGAGAATTGGGTATTGATCTGAGGGGGCTGCTGTGGGGGAATGTTGAAGTTCATCGATTGCGGTGTTTGCTGAGGGGCAACAGCGTAACTGGGTAGAGGATGTGACTGCTGAGCTGTGACAGGGTGACGAAGCGTCTGAAGTGTCTGTTGAGGATTGACTACCCTATTCAGCGTCTGAGTGAGTTGCTGGGGAGCAACTGCATGGCTGAAGTGAGGGTAGTTGCCAAAGTTGAACGCCTTCAGAGTTGGGGTGGTGGGTTGCGAATGAATCCCGGGCGAGGGTGGGCGAGAGTACATGGGTGTCGGAGGCTGCGATTCGATGCCAAAGACTGTGGGAGGATGATTGTAGCCATACGGCGTGGGGGGTGGCGCCGTGAAGTTGAACTGCGTCGACATTGGGTACTGCGAGTATACTGGGTATTGTTGGAACTGCTGGCTTTGAGCAGACATGGAGGTTGGTAGAGTGAGGGACGGCGACAATAACTCGGCCTGAGGAGTCTCCTTGTTCTTGTGATCATCGGTGACTTGGAGAATGTCAGACAAACTTTGGGTGAGCAGCTCCCCGTTCGTGCCCCTGACTGTGAAAATAACTCGGTAGCCAACCGGTGTCTTTGACTCCTGGTGCCTGCAGTAACATGCAATGCGCATGGAGAAATCGACCTTCTTGGCGCCGGGTGCCCATTTGCTCTCAGCTGCATCGGCATCTGCTAAGCGCTTGAACTCCTTCTCGTTGACGATGATGATGCGCTTGTCGTCGTATGTGCTCCACTCTTCTTCCTCTTCTTCGTTGCGCTTCTTCTTGCGGCCGAATCGCTTCCTCTCGCGTTCTTGGCATCCGTTGCAGATGATCACCGCTCCGCCGTTCTGCGGATGCGCAGGGTCGTCCTTCTCCATCTCGGAGACATCGACACGTGGAAGTCTCATCGGGAATGCACCCTCGCCTCTAGCGCGTGCGAGAGCAACATCCAGGTCCTTTGGATCCTCCACCGCAACGGCACAGACAAGGGTGAAGTCTATGGAGACGGCACCGCCCTTCTTGTAGTTTTCTCGGATCTCATCTGCAGTTGCCAGTTGCTTAGGCTTTGAGATGGTCTGACGGGCGAAGCGGGCCCATTCATAGGATTCTGGAAGAGAGTCTAGGATCATGGTGACTTTTGTCTGGGTCTCGGCACGTGTCTTTGTCCGGTCCATGGAGACCTTCATTACGAGGCTGTCTTCTTGTTGAGGAATGTGGATTGCTTCCGGGGACTGGTACCCGTAGGCGGAGGGTGCGGTGCCAGGAGTGTAGGCCGACATGTCGTTGGAGACTTCAGGCGAGGAGGTGCGGCTCTCTTCGCGCACGAACTCTCCAGGTGAGTTGGCAGTGCTGTAGACAAAGTCGAAGTCAGCAGCAGGGGAGGGCGTGTTGGATTCCGAGGAGTAGTTGTCGAGGAATGCGTCGAATACGGCAGGCTCAATCTTGACCCGCTTCGCTCTTGTGGAGGGATAATCCGGCTCTTGTTGGAACTGGTGGAGTTTAGTCAGGTCGACGGCAGAGTCCTTGTGCTTATGTACCAGCTCCTCCTCGGCGGGGGCAGAAAAGTCAAAGGGCTCGAACTGGGGGGCGTTGGCAGCGAAGGGCTGCTGGGCAGAGCCGTCGAAGGTCAGGTCAGCCGGGTTGACGAACGTCGAGAAATCCATGGCGAGGACGTGGGCCACGCCTTCAGACTAGAGGGACCAGCGAGAGAGTCGCTGCAGAAGTGCTGCGGCCAGATGCCAGAGCGGAGGTGGAGGTGCGACGGCTCTTAGTAGCTGGCGAGAGTGGGTCGTGCTGTCGGTCGAGTGCAGGCGCAGGCGTCTTGCAGTAGTTCAGACGGAAATGAACGAGTGTGTGCGAGGCGTGCGAGGCGTGCGCGAGCAAGGGTGGCGGGTGCGGGCGCGCGATACGAATAATTGGGGCCAGCAATGGATTGGGAACCGTGGGTGAGGAAGGACGTCGCGACTACAGTGTAGAGGGCGCTGCGGGAATGGAGGAGCGGTGCGGAGCGGGCGGCGGCCAATCACAGCACGTATGATCGCCAACCAGGGCGTGCTCGGCCTAGTGGGGAAAATGTTTCAGGGGAGGCGGCCGCAAGGTGGGAGGGCGAGGGCAGCGAGGGCCGGCGATTGCTGGCGATTGCTGCGTGGGCGGACGGCGAGGGCAGCAGCGGGGCGGAGGAGGGAAAAGGTGGGCTGTGGAGAGAGCTCTTGAACTGCGTCGCATGGGCGAGCGCGGGCTTGTATTTCTCTTGCTAACAGCACCCCACTCAGCACTCAAGGCTCCGTCGCGCGTCGCCGCGCTCTAAGCAACGTCAATCCGCCTAGGGCACCCCTGCTCGGGCGCACGAACACCACAGGCATGGAGCGAGCGCCTTTGTACAGGTACTTTCGACGACGTCCCCCTCCGTGGCCGCACCGGCTCGCAGTGCCGTCGAGGCCCAAACGGGCGCCGGCGCTGCAGCGGCCACGGCGGCCGCCTGGGCCTGCGCTGTCTGCAGCGTCTGCGCCGTCAAACTCTGCGCGGCCAGCGTGGACGTGCTCGCTGTGCTGCGCGCATCCTCATCTCCAAAAGGGCAACGCAAGCGTGCGGGAGATGTACCTGAACATCGCCGCCTGCCATGCACGAGCCGGCCAGCCTAGCCGCACGCTGCTGCTGGGCGCGCTGCTGTGCTGAGGCTTGCGTGCGTGGTAGGCGAGTGCAGGCCTGACGGAAAGAGTCGGCTGCTGTCGTGCACCCGCGCCGTTCGTGCCCCAGGCCTCTCACACGATGCACTGCTGCAGTGGCTGCACTGCAGCCATGGGCCCATGTCATGATGCGAATCATCCTGCGCCCATCTGCACCATGGCCCCCGCGCCAGCCATGATCCTGCGCCGCCGCGCCTGTGCACCGCTAGCTAGCCTGCCAGAGCCTGCGGATTCGCATCCGGCAAACCGACGGCGCGCCACGCTTCCTTCGCCCTGGGCGCGTCTCCAGCGGCCTCGACTGGCCCTGCTCGCCTGCGAGCTGCCCGCGGCCAAGTCGAGTGCTCGCGCGCTCGCGCAGGGCTGAACGGTGCGAAGGCAGCGCAGGCCGCCTGTGCTGTGCTGTGCTGTGCTGTGCTGTGCTGCCCTCGAGGCGCGCCCTCGCCCGTGATGCCCGTCTCCGTCCACGCCTGTCCACGCCGCAGGCACGACAGGCTCGCACGACCAGGCCAGCCACCAGCACGCGCTGCGTCCAGAGCCCGCCCAGCTGCGCAGCCTGCGCTGCGCAGCCTGCGCCCGCACGCTCTCCCGTCTGATGCCTGTCGAGAAAACTCTGCGCCAGCCAGCGTGCACTCGTTCCAATGGGCCCAAGTCGCGCAATCTGCCGCGTAAGAGAAACCACCGCGCCATCAGCTCCTGCCCTGCTGTATTGCACAAAACTCGACCCCACGAATGCTGTCCGCTAGCTGTAGTCCCCGCTCCCAGTGGCGATGGCCGCGATGCACTACCGCTGAGTTTTTCGGAAGCAACGACTCACAGACCGACTTCGGCTTTCCGACGACTGACCAGCCGATCGTCACTTCCTTGGCCTGCTCGCTCACGACCATTTGCTGCGTGTCGGATTCCGGAAGGACACTGGCGCCGCCAGGACCTTCAGCCTCCAGACTTGGCTTGCGCTTGAGCTCGTCGAACACCTCACCCATTACGCGAGCTCGAAAGCTAATTATCAATTTGCACCACAAACATCTGCAGTAGTCAGGAACAGCCCTTGTGGAAATAATGACAGGACACCAACTAGTGTGTCACTGCACCGTGCTCGCACCGTCTCTGTACCCAGCTGTCATCGAACATGATTTGCCACTTGTGTCCACACTGGCAGAACTGGTGGAAACTCTCTACTACTGATCTCCAGCGACCCCGGGATCCAGGACCGGAAGCGGTGGGGCTTACGATATCCCCGCCCTCTCTGTTACTAGAAGTTGATTTAGGCGATGCAACTTTCCCACTTTTGTGTCCTGGCAAGTAAATCATCGGTCTTGGCCTCGCAACAACATACCGTTATCGCGGAGAATAAACCTTACGTTGCGAACTGTCAAGATTCCAGTTGCACAAGCCCTTCCCTAAAACAGTATCTATGCCTTCCATACATGCAGCTCGCCGCTATGATAACATCATGCGGGAATACGACTAGTCTGCGGGTTCTCACCAGTTTTCGGTCGTTAGACGACGCTGTCTGTCGGTTGCCTATCCGTAAGGATAGCCACTTTAGGTAAGTTGCGGGTCCAAGTCCCGTTTCGGAAATTCAAGCATACCCACTGGCGCTTCTGAGATACAGTATCTGAAAAACAAGCCAAACTTAGAATATTGAGTACTGGAGCGAGAGTCTCGAGATGTCAAATTGATGAAATTACAATAGCTCTAATTGCGACAGTCCCCTGTCCTGCTAAATGGCCAGGCTCAACTGATGTAATATCAAGACTGCGTCTCATGTCCCACAATTAGAATTAACAGAGGTCAATGAGCAGCCCTGAATCGACCTGAATCATTCGCTTCTCCTTTTATCTAGCATCTGTCGAGCGTGTTGCACGCTGTCGACTACGAGACATCGCACAGGTGTTTTCGTCAATCACATGTCACGCAGGCAAGTACCATCGTCGGCGCACCCCAGGTTTCAGTCTGCTTTACATGCGGCTACTCCCCAGATCTAATTTTCCCTGCAGATTTTACTTCCGAATTCAAACTCAACCTCAGTGTGTGGGTGAGATCGAGGCACTGTGTTGACGGTCAGGTATCAAACTGTCACGCCATCACGCAACTGATCCAATGCTGATCAACAATTATCGTTCATCAGAACACACAAACATGACTTTTCTAGCGTCTTATCGGGCATAGCTTGTGGTCCACGCGGTGAACGTCATTGTCCCTCATGATCAGTCTCACAGCTATGTGCACAGCAGAGGCAGCACATACCATGTACCTGGCCGACAACATTGAAGACAGCAGTCGTGGATCTACACGAAGCTAACGTTCTCAGAGCATATCCACTGTTCTTGTTGACGAAATCTACCTTGGGAATTCATCATTCATGGAAGACTCAAGACCGTAGGCATCCAGGTTGCCACGAGGTTCAATTCTCATGTGAACTGTCAGGCTGCCCCCGCATGCAGCCTTTGCTTCGTAACATACATATCCATTCCGGCAAGCCGGCTTCCCCTTGTGCTCGCGCTTCTCGGCATGCCGAAGCATTGCACAATAACTGCAAGAAGGGGCCTTGATTGTGGAGCAAGCTTACGTTCCCCCTCAGTTCCCCACCTGTCAACATGCTTCGTGCGTCTAGTTTGAGCTGGTGGAGCAAACAGCGCATAAGTGAATCACTACGCACTTACCGTTAAGGAACGACATGGACTACAGCACTGTGCCACTCGCAGTCCAACGGTGGACTCGCTTGAATGCACGTGCATCCTTGTGTCGCGATTGGAGATCTGACTATCAGTTCCTAGTAATCAGTGGCTGGCGAGCCGTCGGAGCTCCTTCCTTACTACCAGCCATCAACCACTAATCCAGGGCTTCACTATTCCACGCCATTAGATTAGGCAACCAAGATACGTGCGAAGATGCAATCCATATCTCGCCTGTGGAGATCAGCGCTACCGTTATGCACACCATTTAAGCCCATTTCTGAGCCCGCAAATAAGTCGTTGTCCCGCAGCACCATCTCCAGTCAGCACAACGCCTCTACACTGCACCCAAGGCTCGCCTATGCCTTCCCCTGCCCCATCGCTTTGCCTTGTTAGTCTGCAATAACGGCGATAACCGCATCGATTGGACAACACGCCTTGCTCCCATCTCCACGTCCGGCCCGTAACGGCCTGTACAGGAAGCAGTTGCTTGCACGCCGGCACGACACGGGCTCAACAGCCGCCGAAGACTGCATAACAATTGACAGATATAGGTATGGGGCCACTATGGGCATTGACGTTCTCGGTACATACCCCTCTTGATGTCCAAATGCGGGTGTGCCCCTCATGATTCTCATTCTTGTTCTTATCAAGATCAAGTTGAGCGCAGCAACCTATCAGATGCAGTTTACAACGCGCCAACGTTCCGTCCAATCCTACACACTTTGGCGGCGGGGCACTGCTAAGTGTGATTGCAACAGTAATGCAATACACGTACTTACTGCGAACATAGACGATCCAACGCTCAAATGCGATGGTCCCGTCGATAGTTCGTACAGTGTTGTAAAAGAGGTACTCACTAAACTCTCTCCTGCGTCACGCTTCTGCCCCACCGTCCAGCAAGCTACGGCCCAGTAACGCCCTTGTTAGGAGCCGTCATGTTGGAATTTATGGATGCAACCGCGCTGCTCCCCTAACCCTAGCACTGGTGGCTCGATGCTCGAGTGAAGACGCGAATCTCGCAACCTGGTCTACATTTGCTCCCGAGAAGCCACCGGAAGGTGCCCAGCACCACGCCCTGGCTCATCCCGCACTTGCAAAAATGCATTGCGCCTCCATCTAACACATCATCGGTCGAGAACTTGATCCACGTCCATAGCGCGGTTAAGCGGCATCTCCAGTCGCTTACGTCGTGACAAGCTTCCAAACGCCAAGTGCGCGTTGCCTATAGACGGACGCGGATCCGGGGTCTGTTAATGGTATCGTGAACATTTCGTTTTATGGAGTTTATTCGTTTCGGCTGGTCGGATAATGGATCTGGGCCTGTGTTACTGTTGTGCGGCTTCAACCTTGCATGGGTCGACGGCCATGCTAGCGGAGGGCTCCGATAGTAAATAGCAACAAAACGACATCGATGTTGATGTCAAAGATGTGTTCTCAGACTGGTAGTTGCCGTACCGGCGTACCGCTTCATGATGGTGCCATGGCAATAGGGCCGTCGGCAACCTTGTTCCTCCTGGCTGAGTAAGAGCGCGGGATGCAAACTCCGCGGAGCGTCAACGGCAATTGCAAAAGGCCGTTCAAATACGGAATCCACTTTTTCGTTTGGAAAGCGAGGGCCTGGGGCAAACGAAGGTAGAGGTACATTATGTACCCCGAAGTAGAGTACGCGAATGCAGATGGATGCGGGATATAAGCTGCAGTTCATGCAGGGTTTGCTTTTGCAAGTGGGTTGAAGACGTTGTTGAGTCAGTGCAGCTAAACGCTTACAGCACCCGTTGAGTGAGCCTCATCAGCAGCTTTGGCTTAGACGGCAATCTTATCGTCGATCATTATGTAGCTAACACGCCACTCCAAGAGAGCCTCGACTTGACCTGAACAGTCAGTCGGCGGGACAAAGAGGTAAATCGCGCGATGAGCTGACCGCACCTGCAGCTGCCTCGATACGAACGCTGTACAACTTGAGGCCGACGCGAGTCGCACAAAGCTCGGAATCCTCCGCGGATATGTCATGTATACTGGGAGCATTCGGAAGTTTATTTGGTGTCCGTCGATCCACGACCCGACCCGTCAAATTACTCGTATCGGAGACTTCATGCACATTGACACAATTGGGACCCAGGCGCAGCTTCAACCAGCGCCTTCCTAATACGTATCGTGCAGCGTTGTTTCAAAGATCTCCAGATACTGTTGAGGGCCGCTGTCATCCATCAGAATGTACAGGAGAGCACATACGGCACGAAGGCACATCTGACCAGTCACTTGTCAGAACGCAGCATCAAGCACGTCTACACGAATCTCTCCTGTATGCGTTTGAATGGTTTGTTCGGTTACAGTCATGCAGCACATTAGCTGTAAAGAGAATGAGCCGGATCCTACAAAGATGCCAGGTGGCTGGTTAGACATGCCTAGGTGCAGTATGTAGGTTTCGACATGTCCAACCCGTTGTACTAGCAGTGCCGGAGTAGGAACATCGAATTTCACAGCTCAGCGCAGTAGCAAATGGCAGATGCAGACAATTCAACTGGTTCTTCGTTGATCCTCTAATAAATCTTCCTATCTATCTCTTATCGTTCAGTTAATGATCAGTCATCTCCTTGGTACTTGCTCGACATAGTGCGTATCGATGGCAGACGTACCGATTGTATTGATGGCGACTAACTATGGTCGCCAGACACTTTCCTTGGAGACAGGTAATGCATCTCTGGTCGCAGGCCCACTCTTTAACACTTACTATTGCTTTTTGGTGCCCATGATCTATTTCCTCGAAGCGTCCATCGGTTTCTTGAGCAGAATTGGTTACAAACAGATATGGGATGGCAGATGAACCAGGAACAATTTCGTGGAGGATATGATGAAGTTGCACCGGAACACTCGCTGACGGGAGCCTTGCGCTTAGGGATAGTAGACTTGACGGCGAGAGACATGGAGATTGCGAAAGAAGTTCAAAGAACATGATGTGTGATACGTATTGAGCCTTGACTCGAGTCCATATCATATTATACCCTTTCTCTTCCTCATGATCCACCTATGCTCAAACAGCCTAGCTATCTTTCTGTGCCTTCTTCTCCTCACTCTTCTCATACAACGTATGGCTCAAACAAATCAGCCAAGGTAATGAGGCCAACATTGCAACCATCGTTCAGTTGCAGTGTGCATATGAATCGCACATGCGAGCTCACTTCTGGATATACGGACTCCATAGACCGCTTTCCAATCTATGCGCCACCAACTTGTTGACAGCTAGCTTTGCTTCTGATTGATAGGGTCGTGTTTGAAGGGTAAGATTCAGTTGAAGATTTGCACACTGCTCGAGAAGATCGAAGAGCCATGAGAAATTGGCTGAGATACTCGAGTCGCTTGAGCAAACACCACTCGCGCATCCTCTCCTTCGCTTCTCATGTGTGGAACTCCAAGCTTCCTTGCCTACATCAAACAGGACGAGGCTTTATGGTAGGTGATAAGTTCAGCAACACAATACCTGGCCGTAGATACATAAAGACAGTGGCAATGGACATGAGGCTATCTAGCTCTATCTCATGCGATACAGCTCCTATAGTAGAAGGTGCGTGCAATGACAACTTGTATGGTCGTCGCCGCTTTAGGTTTAGGTGAGGACTCAAGCAATTCATATATGACCATTCTCATCCAGTAGTCTCGACACTTGAGGAATGACCGTCTGAGTACATGTAACAAGCATATCGAGTGCCAACCATGATCTATACTCCCAACAGACGCTATAGCTAGCCGATCACGAGTCCTGAAACCTTCCTCAGGGTATATCCCTAGATCTATGGGAATCCTGAGCATCTCGAAGGAGCCGATTACCACACTTTCATAGGCTCGGGTACACGCCCCGCTCCACTTCGAGAGCAGTTAGGAGAACAACCATGAGAAAAGTCTGCACCAGACTATGTCAGGGTCCAAAGACCGCCAAGAGCCATTCTTCATAATTCGTTCATCTCCCCATTTGGGTTTCGTCCCTTTGGAAGCGGTGTAGGTATCTGAGTGTGCGTGGTAGAAGGTTCGGCTGTCGTGCGTCCCATGAGATCTGTGGTGTGCATTGGCTTTTTCGCCCAGAAATCGGCCTTGTCGTCAGCAGTATTTTGATAGGCATGCGGTACTGCGCTGACGAAAGCTAGTATGGCCAACATAGAGAAAGCAAAGCATACTTTCATACTGGGCATGTTGTAAGGTTGTCAAGGTTGGGTGCGGTCGTCTGTGCTTGGATGGGCTTGGCTGGGCTTCTGTGAGAAGTAATATATACGATCGAGATTTGTGCTCAAATATTTCTCTGTGTCGTGAGATGTTCAGAAATCGAATCGCCTGCTACAGCGTAGTGGGCTTTTTGATGTCCAGGGAGTGGTTTGGCTCGCCCAGATGCTACCAACAAGGGGCAATAACAGTGGGTGAGAGAAATATCGGAAAACATTGCACCAGATTTCTTGCTATCTACCTTGCTCAGGGGTGATCAAGTAAGGTTCGATCGGACGTCACCGTACAAGGTGAGGGTAGTGAAGCACGTTGGGCGGCGTCTCCCCCCATTGGCCTACCACCTAGCGTGCTGATCGACGCTCCTAGTGCCGAGGTGCTTGCTCACGAACGCGTCTTTACGCACTGCACGCGACACTTGCAACAACGGACCGGTCGAAAAGTGCACACAATGCTGTCGCTACCACTGATTACCCCGCGGGCGGTGAGTGTACACCAAGTTGTCCTTTGACCGTCAAACCCATCGTTACAGTTAATTTTTACTTCGACTTTGAAAGATACGCTGTTGTGGAAGAGCTACTGATGATTCTTCCAGGACGCCAGCCTTTGGCCCTCCCACCGCGCAACCAATCCGTTCCCTTCAGACGATCTCTCAACATCCCCTCCCAACGTTTCAGCCCAACAACAAGCCCAACAACGGCGCCCCGCCCACCGAACTTCGACCTTGCTTGCAGCCCTTACCCACGACGAGAATCTCTTCGATCAGCGCAAAGTAAATGTGCAGCGCTTCGGCGCTGGCTGGATTCGACCCCCAGGCGTTGCAAAAACGTTACAAGCGATTACAGATGAGGAGCTCGAGAAGCAGGAGCAGGAGCTCATGGCCCGCCGTGAGCGAGTAATGCTGGATCTTGCTGCGGCCCAGCAAGAGGCCGCGAACGCAGAAGAGAGACAGGAGAGGGACGAAATGGAAGAGAATGGCGAGATAGAGGAGGAAAGGGACTTGGACGATGACGTACCTGAGGCTGAAGCGAGCGCGAGCGACATTTCCGCGAGTGATGTTTCGAGTGATGAAGAGGGGAGCGCATCCGATACCGAAGATGGCGGGCGAGAGCAGGAGAGCATGCTATTCAACGAGGACTCGTTCATTGAAGGCAGTATGGTCGAGGCAGAGGTTAGTGCTATGCTAGAGCAGGAAGACGCGGAGATGGCTGGCGTGCTACAGGATGAACGTGATCTAGACGACGACATCCCGGAAGCGGGGAGCTATGAACATACCGACTCTGAATTGGAGGAGTCGAGCGACGACGACGCTGCTAGTCGACCACCTGGATTTAGCTCGGTAAGGACAACACGTTCAATGAGAATGAGTTCTGGGCTTCAGAGCGCGAGACGCAGCTCTGTCAGACGTAGTTCTGGGCGACGCAGCTCTGGGCTTCCAAGCACAGCCGGCGCTCGGCAAAGCGTGAACCTCGGCCAAAGCGTAATGCGTGGCATCGATCTTGGTCCAAGTCTCGGTCATGGGCGCAGTAGCTTCGGTATAGATGGTAGTAGCTCCATCCTTGAGAACAGCTCGTTTCTCAGGAGCTCGCCTGCCGCCTCAAGAACAAACTTGAGAGATCAGTTCCTCAGAGCCGCAAGAGGTGGCCGCAGAGGCTGAGACGGCAGATGACATGGCACGACTGAACGAAGATATGATGCATTGCATAATACCCGGTTGGGTTTGGTATACCCAGCCACTTCCACCTATAAGCGCGGAGTTTGTTAGCACATCTAAGCAATTAAACATTTCTACTTCTAGAATAAAGCTCTAGTGATCTAATGTATGGTTTGTTGTATTCGTTGGCAGTGTCAGAACAAGCTACAGAGACTATAATTGGCAACACACAAACGTAGATGGTGAGCCGATCGACCCAACTGAGCTGTATGAAAGTCTGACATCACACGTTTGGTTGTAGCCAACTCTGTCCGAGACTACATTGGCTACATTGGCTTTGGAGACGCGCGGATGATGTGTATTTCAAATTTCTTGATTGTCGTGACCCGGGTAATATGTACAGAACTAGTGGGTAGCAAAAATGTTCCTGGTCCTTAGGTGGACAGGTGTGTCGCCCTTTGGCGCATCTGGAATCTTCTTCTCGAGTGACTACTTCGGTCAGGAACCTACAGCGGGGCCAAAATGGACTTGTACTCACCAGCTTGTCAAACACACACTTGTTCAACCTCCGCTCCTCCGACCTGCAGTTCCACAGCTGCTGGTTGTGGTTCTCAAGGCACTGCCAGTGGGAGCGGAATTGGTCAAGACACTCCTTGTTGATATCGCTGATACTGCAGACTGTCAGCACTTCTCCGAGGCCACAAACCTCCGGGCACTCTTACACGCTCGCTGCACACCTGGTGACTTTGCGACCCTCCTTCATGCAATCAAACTCTCCTCGGCCATTGGCCTCCGTCTTGCACATCATGTAGTCATCGTTGTAGGCCTTGCATCGCGCGCCGATAAAGAACGAGGCGCTGAGAAGGGGCGCAGAACTGGCTCCGAGCTCTTTGACCTTGGGGATGTCGTCGGGCAGAGGGGTGGTGTCGATGAGGGCTTGCTGATTGAAGCTGCGTAGCGTTAGTACCCGAATTCCGCCACAGGTCCGTAGAGAGAACTATACCGGGGCTGACGCGACGACATTGTGGGTGGGAGGTGCCAATGGCAGGCGGACTACTCACAAAGTGATCTGAAGCCGGTCGTCACTTTGGGAGCAGGTCCGCCTCAGCAGGTCTTGGCGCGCTCTGATTGGGCGCGGACGTGAACTTTCGACAACCGACAATCGACAAAGCAACCTGCGCCCAAACACAGAACCCTTGCGGTTTCGCATCACTGCGACGCGCGCACAAACCCTGAAGCTGCTCTCATTGTCGACATGCAAGCCAACTGAGCTTCTCCGTCAACCACTACCGCACTTTCCGCCTACTCGCTGTTCAACGCGTATTTGAGCGCGTTTACACATAAACACTACACTACCGCGCATTTTCGAAACAGCTCGGTAATATGTCATTCAGCTTTGGGAACACCGGGGGGGAGAAGAAGACAGGAACCCTCTTTGGAAGCACGACTGCGCCTGCTGGAGGCCTTTTTGGAGGTGCCTTGCAACAACCACAGCAATCGAATGCTGCAGCATCCAACCCGCTCGGCGCCAGCACGGCGCAATCTAACCCTGGCGCACTCTTTTCATCATTCACTGGGCAGCAGCAGCAGCAGCAGCAGCAGCAGAATTCCATGTTTGGTGGAGGGCTTGGGCAGAACCAGCAACAGCAACAACAACAACAACAACAACCACAACAGACATCAAGCTTGTGGGGCCAATCGCAACCACAACAGCAACAGCAGCAACAGCCCCAACAACAGCAGCAGCAGTCTAACAACACCCTGTTTGGATCTTCATTGAAACCTGCGCCAGGCTTGAATCCTGTCCAGGCCCAGAGTCTCCAGCAGACTCGTGAGGGACTTCCTCAGCTACGCCAGTCGACTGCACAGCCCTATGCCGGTGCATCGATGAATGGTCATCGTATGGACGTCGTCCAATTTCTCATCACATGGCTAACAAAAAGCAGGCGAGAAGTCTGTCCAGCAACAAATCCAGGTGCTTAATGGCAAATGGGATCCCGAGAATCCTGACTGTGTCTTTCAGCATTATTTCTACAACGCCGTCAAGCCTGAGGAAGCGCCATTCTACGGACCTCAGCCAGGGGAAGACGAGAGGAAATGGGAAGAGGCTCTGTCGAAAAAGCCTGGCCCTGGCGCTATTCCTGTACTTGCGCGTGGTTTCGAGCAGGTAGCTGAGCGCATACGTCACCAGCAGATGGCTGTGACTGCACTTCGTACACGCCTGCACGAGATCAACAACAGCCTGTCGGTATTAAAGGACACTCACGAGCTGAACGTTGCATCGCGCATTACGGAGGCGAAGCGAAAGCACATCGTTTTCACACAGCGGACACTGGCACTGGCGACAAAGGTGCAGATTCTGAGAAACCGAGGATACGTGATGGACACACAAGAAGAGGACCTCAGGAAGAAACTCATTGAGCTCGAGAAGAAGACTTTCGATCCCGTGCTAGGTGGACGACAGGAGGAGATATGGGCGCGCATGTCAGGCGTCCGCGAAAGAGCGCGCATACTGCAAGAGGAGACAGAAATGCTGGGCAAGACTATCGAGAGCCAGCAAAATGGCGAGCTGCTTTCGGAAGATGACCAGAAGGCTCTGGAGAAGGTATGTCCAGGGCGTATTTCCACAACATAACCAGGCTGACATCATACACAGTTATTAAAAGACTACGACAGACAGCTCGAACACCTGAAGAAATGGGTCGACGACACAAAGCACGAGTATGACGAGTACGAGAAACTCCAAGAGCAGAAGCCAGCCAGACGATGAGTACATGACGCGGGAACGTACATTTGGCAGAGCATTTATCAATCATCTCATTGACGAAAAGGTCGGCATTGCAGGATGCCACATTGTGGTTCATTAAGCCCATAGCATAAAGTCTAATGCCACTGCCTGTAACCATGATTCCTTCGAACCTATTGTGATCCAGGTATCTCTTTGTTGATCATTCCGTCCCTCCACATATGCCCACTGGAAACTTTCGTAGTGTTGTACAGGTGCTCACTCCTGAGCGCGTATATGATACATATCGTATGAATGCTGGCTGTGTGCCCATACGAATGTCGTGAATGCTACAAGAAGTCTTCGTTCTCGTCGGTCGCGTCGTTTAAATGAGCTTGTAAACGTAGTCAACGAGGAAGGGCGCTACTTTACGTCAACCGACTTGTCATATTTAAGTTGATACCTGAGCTTACACAAGTATAGGACAACAGCAGACGCAGCTGTCCATTTAATGTCCGACATGGTCTGCGCCTCGGCGCGCTCGAGCTCCTGCTTGGATGGCTGGGGTGGTGCTGCGCATCAATCAGTCAAAGCCCCTTCGCCTCAATGATTGCACTAACCTCCGAACATGTTGGATATGTGTGTGGACGTGAGGAAGTAAAGCGGATTGGAGACTGTGGTGCTGTGGTTGTCGAAGATGACGTTTACTGGCAAAGTTTCAAAGAAGCATGTCGGCGTTTGTTTTACCGACGATGAACGGTGAACACGTGCAGGCGCGTTACACCCCCTCTCCACACCCCCCTGCCTCTAGTGAGATCTTACAATTCGCTCATGTAGGTCGTCGCTCTTCTGACGTCCCCACGCGACTCTCGCATGCGCCTCTACTGTGCCTACAATAGGCACGTCCAACCAACCGCTTGGCAAAAAGCAGCATCACGCAGTACCAGTAGACTTCTCTGGATTCTGTTCCCTTGAGCCTGTATCCAGCCGTGTTCATGCGGCTTGCTGGCTGCACCAAGATTAGCACCAAGATTAATTTACCTGGGTGCAGGACGTGGTTAGAAGCAGTCCAATCCGAGGAAAGCGAGGTCATTTCACGGGGTAACCTTAATGCCCATGCCATGGCACCTTCTTCGGTCTTTCTCCTACCCGTCTCTGAAATTGTGGACGAACAACCGTTGTGATTACTCATACCAAACACACGACCGTGGAGACTGTCGTAGGAATCTGGCATAAGGTTGGGCTATCCACAAAGGAGCTACCTTGCCTCACCAGCGTTGCTCATAGTAACAACCCCAGTGTCCAAGATGATATCAAGCTAGCTGCTAATAAGACTGTCCAGTCCCTGCAAAGATGTGTTTCGGGTGTACTGCAGTAGCGAGATAGACGCAAGCCACTACCTCTACCCGCAGCTGATGATTGTGTTCTGACCAATGTGTGATTGGGCAGACGCGCGTTGAGGGCGGTCCATCCATCGCTTCCGCACCGGACCGTTCACGGTAAGTAGATGATCCCTATTTACCACATCAGCTAATTATTTATTGAACATGTGCTCTTGCGAAGTGCTTCCACTCCCCAACATTTGAAACTCACCCACAGTCACTCATTCTCTGTCGTCTAGTCTGACATGATGTTGCTCAAGGCTGTGATCTTGGGTTTTTCGACTTGCGCATCTGCGCTTCACGCTCGTTCTCAAAGTGCGGCTTCACAACTTGAAGATACCACTTCGGCTACTTCTCCTTCAGATTCTTCGGCGACAGGATCACTGATTGCATCCTCGCTGGCATCAGATTACGACTCCGCGTTCGGGTCGTACACACGTCAACCCACGGTCAACGATCCAACTGCCGCACCATATCCTACCTCGGTCAATGGCACTAGCACAGTTGCGGCACCGCTGTCAACTGGCACTCCTGGATCTTGTGCTCCGTATTGGATGGAAAACGTCAAACATCAAGGTGTTGCGTCTTTCAATCCCAACCCTGACAACTACACCGTGTTCAGGAACGTCAAGGACTTTGGTGCGAAAGGCGATGGAGTCACTGACGATACAGCGGCAATTCAGAGAGCTGTTACCCAAGGGAATAGATGTGGACCAAGTGCATGCGAATCTTCGACAAACACACCTGCCGTGGTATACTTTCCTGAGGGTTCGTACTTGATCTCATCGAGTATCATTGATTACTATTACACCCAGGTATGATGCGCTACCTGATCAGAAACTCTGGCTAATCTCAACAGCTGATTGGAAACCCCAACTGTCTTCCAACCCTGCTTGCAACTTCAAATTTCACTGGTCTCGGTTTGATTGATGGCAGCCCCTACCTAGGCACTGGTACCCGCCCCGGTCGGACAGGCTTTGGACCAACCAACACCTTCTTCCGCCAGATTCGTAATCTTATTCTAGACATGACGAATATTCCGGCCAATGTGTCCGCAACTGGAGTGCACTGGCCTACTGCACAGACCACAAGCCTCCAGAATGTGGTGTTCAAGATGTCCGCAGCCAACGGTACACAGCACCAAGGTTTGTTCATTGAAGAAGGATCTGGAGGCTTCATGACAGATCTTGTTTTCGAGGGCGGTAACTACGGATTCAATGTAGGCAATCAGCAGTTCACTACGCGGAACCTGACCTTCAACAACGTTGTCACGGCCATCAATCAATTGTGGGATTGGGGATGGACATACTCTGGTGTCACGATAAACAACTGCAAAGTTGGTTTCAACGTCTCGGCAGGAGGACCTTCAGCAGTTAACGTTGGGTCAATCACCTTGTTCGACAGCGAAATCAACAACACCCCTATTGGTATCAGCACCGCAAGAACCGACAACTCTGAGCCGGCTGCTGGAGGAAGCTTGTACCTGGAAAATGTCAAGCTGAACAATGTTGGCGTAGCTGTTGCTGGGCCCAACTCAACCTACCTTGAGGGTACTACTGGATCCACGGTGATAGCTGCTTGGGCTGATGGTCACCGTTATCTACCCCAGGGTCCTGTGGAAGCTCGAGGTCCCGTCGAACCTAGTAAGAGGCCGGCCGAGTTACTCGACGCTGCAGGAAGATACTATACACGTTCAAAGCCTCAGTACGATTCCGTTCCGCTGTCTACATTTCTCAGCGCTCGGGACCTCGGTGCCTCTGGTGATGGCGTGACGGACGATACCGCCGCTTTGAATGCTGCTCTGTTGAAGGCTAAGGGCGAAGGCAAGATCCTCTTCGTAGATGCTGGTTTCTATAAGGTAACGGGAACGATATACGTTCCACCAGGCTCTAAAATCGTAGGTGAAGCCCTTGCCTCAGTCATTCTCTCGGCCGGTGAGTACTTCAATGACATCGCCAATCCGAAGCCCGTAGTCCAAGTCGCACTGCCCGGCGAGCAAGGCTCAATCGAGTGGTCTGATATGTTCATAAGCACACAAGGCCAGCAAAAAGGCGCTGTTCTGATCGAGTACAACCTGGGAACATACGACTCTACGCCGGCTGGAATGTGGGATGTCCACACTCGTGTCGGTGGCTTCGCTGGCTCCGACCTTCAAACTGAGCAATGCGAGAAGACCCCGGACACTAAGATTACGTCTGAAAACCTCGTGCAGGAATGCATTGCTGCATATATGTCCATTCATATCACCAAGTTTGCCACTGGCCTCTATCTCGAGAACAACTGGCTATGGATTGCCGACCACGACCTGGACGATGCACGCAACAACAACACCCAGATCACCATTTACGCAGGCCGTGGTCTACATATTGAGAGCCAGCGTGGTCAGATTTGGCTGTAGGTTAGACCTTTCCTTTTTACGTATTCAATGCTAACATATAACAGATGGGGCACAGCAGTCGAACACCACGTTCTCTATGAGTACCAGTTCGTCGACACACGCAACGTATTCATGGGCCAGATCCAAACCGAGACCGCGTACTACCAGCCCAATCCCGACGCCACGATCCCCTTCCCACCTAACCCTGCTCTGAATGATCCCGTGTTCGCTCCATTCGTCAATGGTACAGGCAACAGCACTGCTAGCACGGCGGGAGGATGGGGCCTGCGTATCGTGCGCAGCAATAATATCCTTGGCTACGGCGTGGGGTTGTACTCGTTCTTTGACAACTACAGCACTGCCTGCTCAGCTGTAGGCGCGGGTGCAGTGTGCCAGACAAGGATCTTCAGTGTTGAAGGTGACAGACTGAGCTATGACATCGATATCTACAACCTCAATACTGTGGGAGCAACGAATATGATCACGAGGGATGGAGTGGATCTGGCGAGTAATGTCGACAACAACAGTACATTCGTGGATACGATCAACATGTTCAGGATCGATGGTTTTGGATCGCCGCCGGTACTGAGCAAGTAGTGTAGATAAAGACACAATCAGTATTCGTTGTATGTTAGCAATATTGCATTGCTGGCTTTACGGCAGGTGCAAACTACTTGCGTTGAAGTGCAAGTTTGAAAACTAAATTAAATCAATACTACAATCCGCTTCACGGTCACAAGAGTCATGAACAAGACTTGCTCCATTCTGAGATTTTGTGAGCTGTGCAAAATTTGAGGTTGTCCTCCATAGCTAGAAAAGAACACTGAACAATTCAGACCTTTAGCTTTACAAGATGTGTCACAGCTCTCAAATGTGACTCTCGACATGTACTGCACACAACTGGGTCTGATTAGCCACTTGGCACTTTTATGGGATACGGTCCTTCCGTATCCCAACCAACAAGCCACAGAATTACTACTAGAGAACTCCGTTCAGGCACATACATATTGACAGGAGAACGTCCTAATGAGGCCATTCATTCTTCTTGCCTGATGACAGTAGCTAGTTGGACGTGCTTGGGCGCAGCATAATTGAAAAGACGCTCCCCAGGCATGCATTGAGACTGAGCGAGTCTCGGATCGAGAGCGGACAACAGTATGTAAAATCAATTGTGAAGGCTCGAGGAAGCTGGATTGGCGTGTTCGCCTGGCGACGTCGGGTTGAGGTACCCAAAACAGGAAAAACCACAAAGCTGTTTACGGGTCAGTGTTGGCCACTCAAACGAGCGCTGGCTCGAGTTTCGTGACAGCTTCCAAGGACCTTTTGCCGGTCCATTCGCCACCGTACAACTGTGTGTAGACATCTCTGCTGCTTTTGAGCCATCGAGTGGAGCCTGGGCTTGCGTATCTTCAGCAGACAGCAAGCTTCTACATGATCACATAATGCTTTCATATCACATTCTCAACCGTCGAAAACTGCTATGATGATACAAGGACGTTAGCGGCATGTTGAAACATCAAGCATAGCGTGACAACATGAGCACAAATATTCTCTTTCAATCATAATGTGTTCTCCGATCTTCCTAGACCACTAGGCCGAGCAGACTACTTGCGCCATCTCGCAGACGAATCCTATTCCTGTTCGTAGAGGCCGTGTCGCACGCGAACACGGACGCCAGCGTAAAGGTACGCTCTCCATGCTCGAGTATGCAAAGCGCCAGACCAGGAGGTTAGTATAGGATCGTGAAGTTGCCGCCCAATATTGCAAATGGTGCTTGTGACATTGTAACGATAACATCGGGTGCGAATGTGACGAAATCGGGTATAGTGTGGTCGGACATTAAGCGCACAGGTGGCTTCAGAGCCTCTACTGATCGTCCAGATCCTCGGGCTGATCGAAAAGGAAGTTGGCGGCTAGTTCCTCGTTCTTGTCACACGCAAAGTAAGCCTGAATCACGAGGTCGCGCTCGAAGCCAAGGCGACACAAGCGCTCGATAGCCTCGCGCTCCTCCTCTGTAACAGAGATAGACTGTGCACCCGGAGGCAAAGGCGCATCGTCATCAGCGTCTTCTGCAAGTAGCTGCAGGAATTGCTCCGGATTCGACGCAATCATCTGCGCCAGCTGGGGGTTACCCTGTCCAACTTGCTGCAAGATCGGCTCAAGCATTTGAGGCTGCTGTTGCACGACTTGTCGCAGCTGTTGGAATTGTGGGTTATTGCGTAGGAAGTCGAGGCTGTTGGCGTTCAGCGCACCAGCACCAGCGCCTGCGGCACCGCCTGAGCGCGCAGCACCTCCGCCACCGCGACCCTGACCGGCTTGCGCAGCAGCCTCGAACAGATTTATCGGCTCGTCTCCCCCAGAAGCAGCGGGTGTAGCACCTGTGTTTCCTCCAGCAGCGGGTGGCGAGGTCGGTGCTTGAGCTTGTGACTGCTGCTGTGCCTGTTCCTGGAGAGCACTCTCTGGAATACCCTAGAAGCTCGTTAGAACACGTCTGACGTGGTAAAAACGTCGGTTGTCTCACTGTCAAAAGGTATTCAACCGCTCGGTCGGGGTTGAAGAAAGCGGCGCGCATGGCGCGATCGATATCAGCTCGCGCGAACCCCATGCTCTCCATGTTGTTAATAGCAGCATCGCGCTCTCCACCCATAGTCAGAGCTGACGGATCGTTGAAGCGCTCGGACTGCTGCGCAGGCGCAGGCGAAGGTGTGGCGGGTACATTTTGTGCGGTGGACGAAGCCGAGGATGCGACGGGAGCTGCGGGCGCTGCGGGTGTCTGCGCCGGAGCTACTGGCTTCGAGGGGGTGGAAGGAGCTTTGCTAGCGGAGGCAGCGGGCGCTTTTGGCTGCGATGGACGTTAGCAGACACTCGCCAGCTGGCGGACGTACTGACCTTGGAGACCATGCAGACAATGAAGCCCTTCTCTTCGATGTTGTACGACTCGATGGTGTTGGCATCCTGAAGGATCTTGCCTATGGTCGCGGTCAGCGCCTGTAGCGACAGTGTTACCATGCCGAGCAGACTCACCAGAGTAGATCAGCTTTTGCTGAGGAACCTCCCAGCCCTTATCGCCGTGGATCTTGGCCTTGAGTGCGCCAATCTGGGTCGTGTGTTAGAGTACAGCGATGCCGAAAGGGTGGCGCCTCTGCGTACCGACTCCGAAGGATCGGCTTCGATGACGAACTTATTTTGCTTGAGATCCTGCGCCACTGTAAGCTTCACTCACGCGCGAGAAACACGGGTGCCGAACCTTGAATGTGATCTTCATGGTGGCGGTTGGTATGTGGATGGTTCAGTGGTGTGTAGCTGGGCAGGTGCAGTGACGCGGTGGAGGCGGGGTTTATGAAGATGGGCGGCTTTGCTTCAGCGAAGCTAGGTGAAAATGATAATTGGGTAAGTGAAGTGGGAGCAGGGCCTGTCGAGGTGTGCCGTGGTTTGCCTGTCGGTGGGACCCGAGAGAAGGCTATGGAATTACTCCAGGCAGAACCGCTGTCGTCAACTCGCCTCGCAGTCAACTCTCGTCGAATGCGGGACAGCTCACGTGATCCAGGGCTGCACCTGAGGTCACCGAAGCTCCGTCCGGCGAACGCCTTCCGAACGACGAACATCATTAAAAAGACAACACTGACATGCCGCCCGCCCGCATCTGCATGCGCCTCGCCCACAGCCGCAGTCCTCATGCGGCTGCAGACCCTTTCTTTGTTGGTAGTTCTCCCTGCTGGTTTCAAGCAGCCACGAATCGTGGCCGCCCAGCAACGTGAAAGGCCAGTGCTGTTTCACGTTGCCTCAGACATGCTGGCCTCGCAGCCCTGTGCAACCACCGCCTGCGGGATGGCAAGCGCCCAGAAAGGGAAGTCGCTACTGCCACTATTTGACGCGGTGGCCGAGATGACAACATGCTACGATATCGCTGGACAGCTTCTCCGCAGCCGTCAGCTCGTGGGAGATAGCGTCGTCCGAGATTGTTTGTTATGCCCGTCCAAGAAGCAAGCTCAAAACAACGCGTCGCAAATGAAGGCCTAGCAAGGCCGCCGCTCCACCCTACAAACTTTGACAGGCGACCCCTACCAGCCCCTACACAGACATTACGACGCTGCGGGCACCGGGGCCCAGGCCTGACGATCCGCAATTGGTCGCAGCCGCTGCATTTCCGGCAGTTTGTTGGTGAATTCTCTTCTCCCTGCTCCATTCTCGTGCACTGTCAGGCTGTGCGTTCAGCTGGCGGGCCACCTACCGTATCCTGCAGCGCCAATGTTTCTCCAATGGTGCCTGAAAGGCTCACAGACCCCGTGCAACGCTGTCAGCGCACATCTGAGAGGTCGTGCGAGCGTCGGTTTTCGACATCGCACCCCACAATGCCTGCAACACATCCAGGATGCTAGCTTGGATCCCTAGTCTGTCTCCATGTTGCTCAAGGGCATAGGCAGCCCCCGGCCACCGCCAAACAATGACATAAATCAGCGATCTTCTTCTTCTAAATATATTAACTCTTGCGGGTCCCCACATGCTGTCTTCTTATGCGGTGCTGTCCTGTCCTTCGTTCAACACTTCTTTCGCTCCCGTCTCTACCCAACGCTCGCTTGTGCGTTCCGCCAACCACAGTGTTTATATCCAGGCCGTTACTTATTTGCAAAGACCGCCGGACCTGACGCCCGCATCAGCCACACATCTATCCAACGGCTCGCTTCCTATTTGGGCATCCGTGTCGCCCTCGACCGACCTCGACTACAGTTAGCTGCGCTATTCGTCATTTCATTTCGCGACCTTCACGCGTCGACTGTTTGGTACTCTACCTCGCGTCTTACCACAGCAACAACGACAACCTATTCCTTCTTCCCGCCCGCTCTGCCCAGACGAACCTCTCTGTTCTCTCACTTGAAGGACTTACCTCGACCAACGTTGCATCGGCATCCTCATACTATAAATTTGTTGATTCTCAAATCGGTACTTTTGCCCGAACATTTCAGCGCACACATACTGGCGCCACAAGACCGAAGTCGGCAATACGACCAACCGTACTGAGCCGGGTCGGCATCTAGTATCCCCATCGATCATACTCTTTCTGGACTTCTCGCAGACACTGGAGCGGTTTCCTTGTTTTTTCTTTTGGAGGATCTGCTTCGGCGGGTAGCAGCATGGTTGGATCACGCAAGCTGTATGTTTCGCTCCTCGGAGCGTTGGCATGGTCCAGCACCGCTGCTGATACAGTAATCTCAATTATCGAGACATCGTCGCTTTCCACCACACAGGCTACCCTCCTTCATATTGCTGCCACAGCAAGTGCCTTAGATACTGTATCACTGTGCTGTGTTGGTTTCTACATCGTTCAGGATGTTCGACGAAGAGACGGTTTCATGGAGCGATCAGTCAGCGCGAGAAGAGCCCTGGTTGGAGTCAGTGTTGTCCTCTCTCTTGCAGCACTGATTATCTCACTTGTCCTTATAATCACCATCAAATCCAGAAGGAATGAGGTGATCAGCAGCTCGTCAGCAGGGCCAATCTCGAACTGGGATGCGGTCCTCGTCGGCCACATCATCGTATGGGTGATCTCGTGCCTCAGCCAAATTACGCTGTATTCCTCCAATTTCTGGAAGCGACATACGCCCAAGCTTCAACCGATCACCGTCTCAGGACCTAGAGACTCGGTCATGTCAGAGATGCGAACCTCAACGCCAAGCAGGAACAGATTTGCCATGGGTCCTGCTCAACCAGCTTCTCCACTTGCAGCGCTTCCATCGCCAACCTTCTCCACTCGTTCATCGCAGTCACTCAGGTCTTTCCGGGAATCACTTCGACATGCTGTTCGACCTGTCACATCACGAACTGCGTTGGTCAGCCGGCCTTCATTTAATCGTGACACAAGAAGTCTCTACTCCGACGCTCATTCGATCGACAATGTATCCCATTCGGACGGCTTTGATAGCTGGGACACTAGCAGTGTGAGCAATCAAGCTCGGGATGCTATGATGCAGACAGCCCCTTCGAAGGGCACACATTTGGAACCAATTCCAGGCAGTCGATCTGTAACACCAGCACGCGCTCTGGATGGCCCTTTTTTGCCTGAGATCGATGAAGAGCTGGCTGAAGAAGACCTTATTGCACCGCGCATGATCCCAGATATCTCAAGACCACCCAGCCCTGCGGTGAGCGAGGCACATATTCACCCGCTATTCAGAACCGAGAGCCCCGTTCCACCACCTGAGGCCACCCCGGGCACAAGCATCCTTGCCAGTCCTCTGGCAGATCAAGTCATTGCATGCCCGGCACGGCCTTACATGCGGATGCGATCGAACAGCAACTTGCGCAATAATACTACAAGTCCTAGCACGCCGGTCCCGGCCCACAGCCTGCGAGGCCGTGCCATGAGCGCAAATGCTGGATCTAGGACACCTTCGCCTCCCAGCAGGGAGATGACCCCTCCCATTCCTGACTTCGTGCTCAACTCTTCTCCACGCAGCAGTTTGAGTGGATCACGAAAAGTCAGCCTTCGCAACTCACCCGACTGGTGAGCAGCAAACACACATATAGATCTCTGTTTCTGGCGTCTTGCTCTTTGGGGTGGCACCTTGGTAATGATGGACCTAATGTGCTACACGCTTCATGATCTCATTGTCTATACACCGTAGGATCACTCCTGCCATATTTTCTTTTTGGTTACTGCCTGTCGCGTTTGATTATTGCGCTATACCTTCTCTTCACTTTATCCAGCCCAGCTCTCACGTTTGGTGATTGAGCTTCGAGCTTCAAGCGTTCTGGTCAGCGTTTCATTCACGATACCACAAGACGACCTCGTCTTCAAGCAGTATTGCTAATCGTAGTACTGCTTTTCGCGACAACATAGTAATGGCTGGGCCATAGAGATTACCGAGCATTGGGATATTGATTCCCACCATACCATCACATCAAATCAAATTAAATTAAAGACAAAAAGCTCAGCGGTATTCACAACACACTGCACACCAACTACGACTCGTACACCTCGTGTCCAGAAGAGTGTCTGGTTCCCTGACATCATGACCTCCACAACTCCTGACTCGTGACTCAACGGCCATAACGAACATCACGATCACAGAAACTTGAGCCATACTCGTTACAACCGTAATCTCCGTACCCCATGTTTCCGTTCGGCGCTGCTTCCAAGGTCCTTCCGCAACCCTTCTACGATGAAGATAATTTACTGTCAATGCGGGAACACGTGTGAATGGGTGCAGCCCCACTATGGACGTGGTTCATGCCTGCTATAGTTCTGTTGTCGAAGAGCTTACCGAGCAGCTTGCGAGTCGGGGAGTTGTAAGGCGGAACAACTCAGGTGAAGGCGACTATGTGCCAACGCACATCCTGGGTGCTTGTTTGCAGCCACATGCCTGCAGCACAGGGCCTAGGAGTGTCTCTCATATGGGAAGCGCGGAAGGTAGATTGTGCATCGCTGCAGCAACCTTCACCGCATAACAGCGTCGTGGGAGAAATTGACCGAAGATGATAGACACGCCAGCAGAAGGGTGTCAGGTGGCAGGTATTAGCGCGGAATGCTGGAAGAATGATGGGATTCCGAGAGTCTTGGAACCTGTCGGAAAATGCATGTTGCAAATTGCTTGCGTACCTGCAGAGAGTCATCAACGTGCTTCGGACATGTATTCGGCCGTCTCACCACATTCACACTTCAAAAGATGTACATAACAAACACACGTGAGATGTGACAATCGATGTTTTTGGGCGTGACACGCAAAAGTGTGACTTCCACTGCATGTTACTCGCAAATGTGAATTTTGAGATCACGACTAAGCTAGTGGGAAGCCTTCAGAAGCCTCAACATCGTTCGATCGCATTGAGAGCGAGTACTAGATCGACTGTTGATAAGCTCAAAGCGTCTCTTTACTTCTGTGTTCTCTACCTCGTTCTGTCCATTGTGTGAAAGGGGCGCAGCTGCAAGGCCCGAGACGGAAGATCATCCCGTTTCTTAGCGCAGCACCTAATGACGTGCGACATGAAACTTCGAATGAAGCATACGAGACACCGAAAAGTGAGGGCGCAAAGATGCTCTTGGAGAAGAGTAATAGACGATCAAAAGCTAGTTCAAAGTCTGATCGAACACGTACAGAGTGGTGAGATGTATTTGTAGTGTGTGGAATCTTCGCACTTTCCATGTTTGGTTGGTGGCGTCTGCAGGCATGAGGCAGTCGTCCTTGTCTGGTACGCATACACAATATCTAGGCCGGGAGATATTGCTATAACCGCTGAAATATGTGAACATCCTGGCCGACGTGTGTTGCGAGCCACTCTGTGCTGCTGTGGTGCGAAGTGAGCCCGTGGTTGTCGTACTGTCTAAATCTTATTGGCCACCTGGCTCTAAACTAGGCTGGATCAGGGTGTCAAGGTGGATCCCGTGGAGGATCTCAGCACGAGATTCACCATTTCAGACCATCAACTTCAACCTCCTGCAACGCCGACTATTCTCAAGACTCAAAGACGGAGAGCTGGAAATACTCTAGTCTGCCTGGCCGATATCTGGCCGCCATCGACTGCCTACCACTCCTTTCCATCTTTGCCCTACCTGGGAGCATTTTCGTCTGTCAGGTTGGCCAATTCACAGAGCTGCAGCTACCATTGCAGCCCGCGCACCCTCTCTCAGGGCTATAGCCGAACTATCCTTTGGCTCTACTCTAGTGTCAGTCTGCCAAGTGCGCAAACATCACTTTGGTGTTAAGCAGGTCCTTCTGCTTACGCAGCTACCGGCTTTGAGGTCACTGTAAGTATCTTTCATATACAATTCATCCGCTCTACGAGCAAGGCGTTTCTCCTTATTACGCTCGCCATTACCATGTTTTGCCTTGGTTCTTCTTACGTTTGCTCGCTCCAGCATTGGTTGTGCGGAGCAGCTGACAGCACTTGCTCACAGTTCAACAGCGACATACCCGCATCGGACTCCAATCTCCCCAGACGTAACTTTATGCACCTCTGAGTGCTTGCTGTCACTCTTGCCACCATTGCCGGCTCAAGAAGTCATAACGTGTTCCAGCTTTCAGACCACATCCTTGGAAGGTCCTTCACGAGGCCTGGGGCCTTCGGAATGCCACCAAAGAAGAAAACGAAACCCTTACCGCCAGGAAAGAAAACGAACAACAGAGCTTCTGGTATGTCACCCTCACTTTCCATATCTACTGTTCGCGCGTGCCTTCCATACAACTTGTTCCTGACTTGGCAACTAGCGCGTGCAGGGACTAGTGCAGTATCCACTAAGCGAAAGCAACAAGGAGAAGACTGGAAGCAGTCCCGGCTGGCACCAGACATCCCATTACATATGACAACACGACGTGCTGCAAAGACGTCGTCTAATCATACGAGCCCAGCTGCACCGTCAAGTGCAGCTTCCGGCAGTCGACGTAGTTCTCTGAACGACGTTGCGCAACAATCAGACTTTGACGATGAACCAGCCAAGCGCAGCCGAATGTCGACCGATTCTGGTTCGCCAAATGGTTCATTTGGTAACAGCACTCCTATGAATGGAACTCAAACACCGGAGCTGGACGAGCCTGTATCGGAAGCGATTCTGCAGTTATCAAAGACTGCCGGGAAGCGGAGGCGGGCTTCAGACGACTCAACGCAGTCCAGCAAAACACGACCAAATGGTGTTCTGACCCGTACTCAAAGCGATGTCCCCGAACAACAACCGCGCCAAAAAAAGCGCAAAACAACCAGCGCACCTACGGATTCAGCCGATCAGCCTCCAGAACTGACAGATGCAAGCACGGCGCCAAATTCTCCAGAACAGGTTCCTGAGGTTGCGATTAGCTTGAATTTGCAAAATGTCTTGCCTGCCAATGGCGACGCGCCTGCAAAGGTCCCGAAGCGCCTTCCTGGTCGCCGACGCCAACCGCATCCGGACATGAATGTCGAAGTGGATCTGCGTAGGCAACTCAACCTGAAGACAAGTTATCGAAGCGTCGCAAAAGTGCTGAAGAGCTATTTAGATGAGCTAGCGCACAGAGCGATCAGAAACCTTGATAACGACCAGGACTTTCACAAAAATTGCCCCGAGTACAAGCCACTCATAGACGGTTTGGATAGTAAGCGAGATGCTCAACTTGGTTATTGTGCAGCATGGCGCTCGGAGAGGATGCATCAGCTGGAGAGGGTGCAGGCCGCTGAGGAGCAGATCCAGAAAAAGCAGTACATTGTAAGTCGGAAACGGTGCCCGGTTGCCGCAATGACTGACACAACCCAGAATCGCTTCGAAGACTTGCGAGACGACTATCTGCAGCGATGCTATTTCCGCTTGAAGCAAATCGAACGAGAATGGAAGAATGCCCAAGATGACGCTACAGACGACGAGGTAGATATGATAGCCACCCTACCGCTTCTTGATCTAATGACAACCAGGATAACGTGCTGCCACCAACATACACAGACGGATCGACTACCGGTGTGGACGACAGACTCAGCTCCAAGTTTGCATCGCGGAGTCGGGCATACGTTGAGGCTGACCGGGAGCTTGAGAACGATGTCAGGCGGAGCCTGTTCGACCAAGCTCGCGCCACATTTGTCGCAAAAGACGAGGATGCCAATGACTCTATTAACGAACTTACTGGCGGCTTTGCGCAGTATGCTGGACCTGATCGCTCCGAAGCGATTGCACATTACAACATAGCCAGTCTTGTGGATGCTGTCGTTGAAGTCGAAAGAACGCCTTCACCAGAACCTCACTTGCCCGAGGAGCAGATCATTCCCAATGATCAAGCGACTATGCTTATGTTCCTTGCTGACCTTTCAACGTCGGTACCTGAGAACGATCATCGTTCTGCTGCTCCTGGCGAGACATTCGTAGAGGAGCCGCTTCCAAATCCTGAACAGCATCTTGACAGACAGGGATCACTGCCGCTCGTTCCAGGCTCACCACTGCGTCTAGATTCAAACGTATCTCATGATAGTCCAGTACCGACACCACAGCCGGCCTTGAGTATCTCTCAGGATGCACTACATCTCGGTCTGAATGGTAATAATACTACGAAGCCTTCGGAGATAACCGAGAAGCCTGCCCCTGCACGCACAACTCACCGGATCATGGATATGCTAAATAATGACTCAGATGTGCCTGTCTCAAAACCTCGAGCATCACTACCTCCAACTCAGGATCCTCAGCCACCAGGCACGCCGTCCAGGCGAGATCATAACATCCAACATGAGACACCATCCCGAAACGATGCCACGCGCCTTGAGAATATTGTCAACCAACCGGAGCAAACAGAGTCAGAACATCATGTAGACCAACAATTGATGGACGCATTGAGCGGGCCTGTCCCCCCTCCCACCGAACCGCCATCGCCGGCCCGACCACATCCGATGCCATGGCAGCAACCAGGCGTTCTTCCACAACACAATATCCCACCACCGAGAGAAGCTGACGAGTCACTGCGGCGAAAGGATCCGCGAGATACATTGCGCAAGATAAGAGAGTTGCTTGACAGGAAGGCAGCAGAACACGGTATAGTCTATCCAGACAGGTCTCACTGGTCTGATTACCTAAAACGGCCTGATGATAGAAGGGAAGCCGCGCCCGCATATGATCCACAACATCCTTCTGCTGGATTGCAAAGTGTATCCGACACAAATGCACCTCCTTCGCAGCGTCGGGGATCCTACGACCGAGGACAATCGTACTGGGACCGTGACAGGCAATCAAGCGTTTCGCAGGCATCTCGACCGTCGCCGTTTCAGGGCAGCCCTCCTCAGCTTTACAACGGCGACTCAAGTAGATCTGGACACGCACCCGCGCACCAAAGCCCATATGCTTCGTTACCACCAAAGCCGCCTGGTCCTCCTCCATCCAACCCGGTCAATTTTCGATTCGCGCACTACGATCCGATCCCTCCGCCTCAAACATCAAGACCGCCGTATCATTTGCCTACATCAAACTTCCCGTCAGCCTCGCATCCCCCACACCCCCCTCCACCGCCAGGTCCATACGGTCACACTTACCCTTCACCTTATCAACATGCCTATGCCCCGCCTTCTGTACCTTACCAAGCTCAACCTCCCCCGCCACCAAATGCCTCTCAATACCCACCCCTCAAAATTCATCAATACGGTGGCCAGCCAATCCTTCCAGCTAGCATGGCGCCCCCACCATATCCAGGCTTGGTACAACACAGCCAGTCTGCTGCCACATCTGCATTTTCGCCCCTGCTAGGCCAAGCTGCAACGTCACAGCAACAGCCTCCTTCACTACAGCCAAACCCACATAGCGAGCAGAGCGATCGCCGCGACAGTAACTTTATGGGCCCGCAAAGCAGGCCGAGACGTGCATACAGGAGCTATCACGCTCCTGGGACTCAGTTTAGAACATACAACGGTCCTGGTGGTGGCAGAGGAAGGGGCGGAGGTGGAGGCGGTTCTTAGGGAGCCCGCTCTCAGGCCCAGGTTGTCGAACATTGTGATACTTCACAGAGCCCTGTTGACCAGCTCCCGTTGCATGAGATGCCGGACGTATCACCCATTTCGCTGGCAGAGACACAGTCTTCACATGCACGCACTATGGTCAGAAGAAGATCTGAGGACGGTGGTTGGTCCCTGCAGCAACGTATCGAGCCATCTATCGAATCGCAGAAGCCCGAGATATCGCCTATTACGCCGACAGAGGCGCCGTTTGCGAGCTTTCGAAAGGATCAGCAGAAGCTTCATCGCTGAAGTGATCATCAAAGCTCTTTGGTTCCGTTGCTTGGGTTTTGCATACTGTAATTCTTGTTTTTTTGTGCTTCATAGCACTCCATTTGCTTTAGCATTGGCGTTTTGCATAGCGCGGACACACAGTCCTATATTTGTATCACTCCTATGTGTCCACTTTCGATACCAGGGGGAATGGGTCAGACTTGGTGTTGTCTTCGGACATCGTTAAGGTTACTTGCTTATTCATCACTTAATCAAAGTTTGTTCTCACGTTGAATATTTGAATTGGGTATCACTAGTTCTTACTGACCTGCTCGAGCACTTCGTACAGGCCAGAAACATCATCGCTCTCCTTCCCGAAGAGACCATCAAGGCTTCTTCCTCGCTCGTGAGACAGGCGTCCAATCCTGGGCCCTCCCGTTGCTTCCTCCGAAGCCACTGCCACCGGCTCTAGGCGTCTTGCCCATTCTATCAAACAGTCTCTGCGCGGCAGGGGTAAGGTCGCCCTTGTTCTTCCGCCCGGGTGTCTGCGCCACAAGCCTTGTGGCAGGTGTCGGCGCGCTCAGAAACCGAGGCGTCTCACTCGTGAATATGCCCAAGCCTTTACCCGTGGGACCCGGTCTGGTGCTCGCGCCCGCAGAGCGCTTCGCGCCGATCCGATCCACCATCTTGTGATGCATTTTCTCCCTCTCGCTCGCTTCACTCATGCTGAAAGGCGTCGCTTTGCCAGCCCCGTCTCCCGTCACGCCGAATCGCTCCAGCAAGTCCTCTGGCGCATCCTCGTCTGAGTCTGAATCAGGAGCTTGTGCATCTACAAACGCATATCCATTCACGCGCGGTGTCTCACTGCCTGTGTATCCGCCTTCGCTTGCACCCAGTCGTGGCTTTCCCGAGACGGCGTCGCGGATTGCGGAGAGTGTTGGGCTTGTTGGTCGCGGTGGAAGTTCGGCTTCGGCGGGAAGGCGGGTGTTCGCATACCGCGTCTGCTTTGGCGGCGCAAGAGACGCGGTTTCGGCGCGGGCGATATTGGTAGGTGCCCAGGACTCGATGGAATCGGGAGCGAACATGAGCGTGTTGAAGGCGGTGTGCTTGTGCATGGTGGGCGCTGCGGGTCGGTCGTCGAGGTTCTGGCTGGGGCGGACGGTGAGGGCTGTGGAGTCTGAAGCGGCATTGGCAGTGAGAACTTTCTGCTGGGCGATGCGCTGTTTGGAAGCGTAGCGATTGCCATCGTGGAGCCATGGATTCTTTTCGAACTTCTTCTGATTCTGCTTGTCGACGATAGCGCTGAAGCTCTCTTGGTCCTCAGAGGTGTACTTTGCCTGGAAGGCGTTGAGAGACATGTCGAGATCAACCTTGTTCAGTTTGCCCAATCCTTCCTCATCATCCTCATCGACATCAGTACCGGCAACCGTAATTGGTGTGTCTGCGCCCCACACGCTGGGAGTCTTGTCTGTGGAGCTTGGGCCTGGTCTACTGAATCTTGTTCTGTCTGCTGCTCGCCTTTGGCCATACGGAACAGGCGTCATGGCATGAGTAAGCTTCTTCCCAGACTCGCGGATCCACGCTTTGTCTTTGCTCTCCAGCGCATTTAAGTATTCGCGCTGCGCGTCGGACTCGGCCAACCCGGGGAAGAAGTCGCGCCGAATTATGTGCGAAACCGCTGAAACGTATGTATCTTCGTCGAGAACCACGGAGGGTCGCTTTATGCGCTTTGGCGCTGGAGGAGGTGGCATAAGCGCACCCGCAGCGCTGCGCTTGGTGAGCGCCGTCGAATTGGAGGAAGCCATCTTTGGTCAAAGACAGACAGAGTAAAGGGGTGGAATACGGTTGGCGGTCTGCTCGGAAGTCAAACGCGCCTGAGGTTTGTGTCATGTAATCATAGAGGCGACTGCGTTCCTGGCGTTTGCTGATGTGTGTTGGTGAACGATGAGAAACGCGAGTGATGGCGTAGCCTAGCGGCAGAATGCCTACCGCCTTCAGCCCTAGACACTCACTTTGAATTCAACTAAGTAGCAGAATACAGTGGAAAATATAGTACAATACGTATCGCATAACTCTAACCATGTTGAAAGACATAATGTGCAAAATGTATGACTTTTCGTCGTGGTATCATTCAATCACTAAGCTAGAAGAGCATATGGACGGCAACACCGTACCCGTTTTCCTGCTCGATTCTGCTTGAGCACACACCTATCTGCTGTACTCAATCCACTGCACTCTAGTGCGGCGGTCAGAGAGACCATAGGCCATACTACACGAAAACCACTGTCTAGTAGAAGGACTCGACCATAGCGTCCTTGTGGGTCGTGTTGATGTTGCTCGCTTGACCTTCGCCCAAACGGAAGACCGACTCGATGACAGACAGCTCGGTCGCTGTTGTGTCAAGGCCGGTGACAGCCATCCAGTCGTTGACGACCATACCCGCACCAACAACTGCGCTACCTCGGTTCACGCTACCAGCGACAAGCGGGACCTGCAGCAGACTTGACAGCTCGTCCTGGTCCTGGATCGATGTCTTGGGGTGCACAATACCACCCTGATTGCTCAGGGCCATGTATGAGCCTGTGAGGACGTTGTCCGCGATCGTTTGCCTGAAGACCTCCACACCAAGCACATCTGCTATTATCTCTTCGGTCTCTCGCTCGATATCTGGGTGGACGAGTGCGACGTGATCGTTGCAGCAAATGACGTTTCCAAGGGCTGATAACCGCTCTTCTATCCTCTGGATCTTGACGCTGTCCGGTATCGAGTTGCGCAAGTGCTGGAGCTCTTGGTCGGTTGTAGTTGTGGGGACAAGGAGACCCTTCTTGTTACCGGCAGTCAGACGGCCGACGATGCGGGTTCCGGCAATTGTGGCGTGGCAGATAGGAATGACATCCTGAAGTTCAGCCTCGAAGACACTGCGCGCCATGTCAGCTATTGTCTGGGGTTGCCGGCCAACGCCGCTATGCGCGTGCGCGCATGGAGCAGATATACCTGTAGAAGTTCTCAGAAGCGCCTACTGCGACAATCGCATAGGCATTGGTAAGTGTAGCAAAAACACCAACTCTGCGCCACTTGTTAGAGGTGTTCGCCATGTGCATTTGCCCCGCTTTGTACATACTCGTTGGAGTTCTCGAACTGTGCGCGGACAGCCATGATGAATCGTCTAGTACTGGTTCTGTTGGATAAGAAGAGAAGGTGGGAAAAAAGGTGAGTGCGGTCGCGGGCGGTTAGAGCTCTTCGGCGTTCTGTGAAGAATTCAGTAGGCGGTAGATCATTTTGTACCAGCGACATCATGGGCTTCTGCCCCACTAGGCGCTCGGGCCTTTTCGACTCATCTTGACGAGTCTACTCCTTCCAGCCTCATCTGCACCTCGCCACATCATCCTTACCCAAAGCGATCAGGCGAACCATGACTGGGTTGTGAAGAGTCACCGCAAGGATGGAAGCCGTGATTTTCCCTTGGATCATTTCGCTCTCGAAACATGAAACATCTTCTCATCTGGCGTCGATCAGGCAGTACCCGAGCGAGCATCGTGCGCCGACACTAGGACGGCGCGTTCATGCTTGGACGCATTGACGATCAAACCGCACTCCCTCAATCTGCCCAGGTCACTGCGCTGTCATCGGTGTCACAGAATAAGACGGGACTGAGGCTGTGCAAGAGGGAGCCATCCGGGCGAAATTGCGCGGCCTGAGGAAAGTGCGCAGATTATGATCGTTCACTAGAAGTTACTCGATGAGATCCTGAACTTGTTCTGGCGTCATTAATGGATTGAACGTTATCTAAACTACCATTATTGGTGAGCGAGCACCGTAGTGCTGCGTTTGTGGGTGCGAATCTGCAATCCCAGCGATTCAAGTCTCAATCTCAAATCTTGATATACAAAAAGAACAGGCGCGCAAATGGCAGCGGGTGTATACAACAAATGGGTAGTCGAAAGCAAAGAAAACGCCCGCTAAGGTATGCAAGATATGTGCAAGGTGTCTCCCAAAGATCAAAGATTTTTTGTACAACGGCGCTGCCAAAACCGGCTCGAATCGAGATCAAGAAGATATTCGAAAGAGCATCAGTCGTGTAGCAAGGAGATACATTAACAGACGTGGAGAATCAGTAAAGTCGTAAGTCGGTCGTTATCGAGAGAGTATGTAGATGTGGTTGATAGAATCGAAGTAGATGGCGGTGATGTGGCACAAAATCTTGTGTGAAATGTGCTGTAAATCGGTCGATGAAGCGGTGAGTTGGGTGGAAAATGTTTACATCCTGGAAGCCAGGATGCCTAGTGCAACGATCACACCAACTAAGAGCCTGTCACAAATCAGTAAGGAGGTACTTGTTTTAGGAAGGATATTGACTTACGTTCCCACCCCTGACATCACCCTGTTCAGGTTGCGCCACCAGGTGGCTTTCTGGAATGCCTTATCGTTGATTGTCGCAATCTGTTGTGCATACTGCTGCTCGAACTCGACTTGACTCTCGATCGCTACTGAAGTCGGGTCGTATGGCAGCGGCAAGCAGGAGGCAATCCACCAGGCTGGGAAGAAAATGAATCCCAAGGTGAACAGGAGGATCTGCCTGTTTTGTCGGCTGAAAGGATGTTGGCCAAAATCTTTGTCCATCGATGGTGCTTTCCAGAAACTGTAGCGAGGGTGTTCGCGCCTATCGGTACGAAGATGTGGTGTCGACCAGCCGCTGATCTGCCCAGCCGCATAGCCATTGTCGTCAATCAGCTGTTCTGAGGAGAGTGACATGCTATCGGTGTGTGATCCACGATGGTGCGGTCGGTTTCTAGGACGATAGATATGTGCTGGAAAGTTGCTTTCGGAAGGTGTGTGGGTGCGACCACTGTGTGAAGTACCCAAACGTATGCTGCCAGACGATTCTGAGGCAGCTGGTATCATTGAAATGCGTTCGCCGCGTTGGTAGTATGCCCTGAAGTCTTGTCAGTGTCTGCCGTGCGCTCGCTGTTGGAAGGCATTACCTCGCCCATGCTGGGATGATGCTGCGGTTGAAAGTAGATACATCTGAATGCGACGAGCCGGGTCGTGACGAATTCAGTGATGTGTCGCTGTTCTGTCTTCGCAAGTATCCCGAATTCTTCATGCGAATCGTGTTGGATGGAGGTAGTGGTGAGACTGTGTCGAGGTCCTCATCCCCAAAGCTCTTCTCGTTGTAATCGCCAGAAGGTTGCAGTTGGGGCGAAAATAACGGCAGGGGGACTGCCGACTCAGAAGGCGCGGACGAGTAGTTATCTGACGATGAGTTATAGCTCCCAACAGTTTGCCCTCTCCTCCGTGGCAGGCTTGTCAGACTTCTTTCCGCATAACTGTCTGACGAATGGGACCTTGGGCTGAAGGATCGTGATCCTCGTGCGAATGATCGAGAGTCGCGTTCGGATACGGAGGCGATGGTCGAGAGCTGGGAGCTCCAGTTGTGCTCCAGACCGCGGTCGAGCATTCGAGCAGCGATATTCGGTGCGTTCTGGGACGCGGCCCACAGGTTGCTGTTTGTGGGGGCGCGTACGAGAGGATTGGAAACTTTGACTCCGCTTGCCCAGGTGGCCGTACTCGCTTCATGAATAGTTGGTGATGGTGAATATGTGGGTTGTTTCGGTTCGATGCTGGTAGACGAAATGTCAGAGTATGCAAACGACTCCTCGGATGGCTTCAATACAAGTTGTCGATGCGAAAAGTCACTATCGAAAGCCTGTTGCTGCCCGTCTTCAAATCCGGCAGACGAGGTGTGCTCTTGCGGTAGCGATCGACTGACACCCGTCGAGTTTCGGTCGGCATTACTAGGGGAGGCGAGCGAGGCAGGAGGTGTGGATGAGGCAAGCGATGCAACAGACTCCTGGGGCGACAGGGCGCGTAGACGGCTTTCAACTGATTCACCACCAGACGATGAAGGCGGAACAGCGCGGATAGTGGACCTTCGAGCCAGAGGCGTTGTTTCTTCTTCTAGTACTTCCAGCTCCGTGTCAAAGTCCTTTAATTCAGCCTGGCCAGGCGAAACCGGGGGCGTGCTTCCTTGGGAATATCGAAAGGAGTATCGGGAATTGGAAGTGTCCACAAGAGTGTCATCTTCAGACAGGTTAGTGGACGCCGAGTGTCTGAAAGTGTTCTTTGGGCGATAGGAGGGTGGCTGTGGCGCAAGGGTAGTGCTGGCACCAATGGCTTCGAACTTTGCGAGGGCATTGGCTACACGGCTGCCACTTGAAACGCGTGATCCTGGAGTTTCGAACGCGTAACCCGGCGCATTGCGAGGAGGTGGGAGGATTTGCGAGGGTTCACTGGGCAATGGAAATTTGTCGTATACGTCGTTCCCAGGATCGTCGACAATGCGGATGGTGGGGCCTGAATGACGGCTGGATAGATCTGAGGCCTCTGAGGGCGGTCTGCGGGATGCAGGAGCAGGTCGCGGATGCGATGGTAGGGCGAACGTGGGGGTTTGCGGAAGCGGTGATGTAAAGGAGCCTTGCGATGTGGTTGCGCGATGGCGTGGGTGCGAGTTCGAAGACATGCTGTGGAACGGTACTCTACCAGGTGCCACAAAAGGTGAGGTCTCGGACGCGTGCTGTGGATAGGCTGAAACGGACCATTAAGGCAAGGGCGAGAACATGGAAAAGCACAGAAAGGAAGACGTTTGAAACGTCAGGTCAAAGAAGGTATAACAGGAAACAATGTACAAACATGTCAAAAGAGTGACAGAATGGGGCTCACGGCCATTAAGAAGCGCGGAGTTTCGAAAACGAGAGAATGGAGGTGTAGGAGTGGACACCAGATGATGAACTCCAGAGGGCGATGGCCGGCGCCTCGGCCTAGTCGTCAAGGTGGCTGCTGCAGGACGCAGGTTCGCGCTGCAAGCTGCAGGGAGCTCAGTGCTGGGCCAATTGTGCAGCAATCCCCCTGGTCAGGTACCGAAGCACGTGCCGCAAATGTCGATTTGTGCAAAGATGTCTTTTTCTGGAAATTGAGGAAATTGGTGATTCGCTCCCCAGCAACTGGTTCTATGAGCCGCAGGATCGCCTTGCGATGCGATTCTCTCCAGGAACCCCTCGCTTTTGCTGACGCCGTGCCTTGTCAAATTATCGATAGACAGCTCAACGCGTAGTGGGCTGGACGCGAAATGAGACCCGGTTTAGGAGCTTCTAACGGGCCAGTGACGCGCTGCCACGGACCGGATAACGGTCTGCCCCTGATCCTGTTTGGATGTCGGCTGGCCACTGCGGTTGTGTGCTCAGCACGAAGCAGGGATGCGCGACGTCGGGACGGCGCCGGGATGGCCAGGCGCAAGTCGAATCGGATGGCGTGGGAGTCTGGTGCGCACGTGATGTGTTTGCAGTGTTTGGTCGTTGATATCGATAGTGGAGTCCGGCTCACGATGGATGCAGCAACACGCGGGGACAGCGCGTGCATGTATGTATACGCGCGCCGGCAAGCTTTCTTTAGATCCGCCAAAATCTGCTGCACTGGCTTGCGACAGCTAGCACATCCACGATGCCACCGCCTGCGGCCGGCTGGCGAGAGCGTCTCAGCGACATGTACGATAGGGTCAAAGGCGGTAAGTTTGAGAACAATGGTTGGCCTGTGTGCGCCGAAATGGCCTGCGCCATTCTAACGCCCACGCGACCCACGCCAGCGTGAATCGACATCTGCACTGCTGTTTCGCTGCTCAGCGCTCGCTCCAAGGCTATGATGAAGTCTAATGTATTACCAGTTCCCAAGGCGCCAACTGTGTCTCCCACTGCTGCGGCTCTACTGTCGGTGCGTTTCAAGTTCCCCACCCTCCACTCCGACTATTGTTCACAGCCTATCGCGACTGTCACACCAGACACGCTTGAAGACCTCGCTGACCGGAGATTTTATAGACTGCGTTCGTGGTGATCTACGTGCTTCCGTTCTATCTATCTTCGGCAACTCGACCATCTCCGACTCTTACCCGCGATGCGCCCTCATCGATACGCGCGCGGACCCGGGCAGTGACGTTCTCCACGATTACTTGCACGCTCATTACTGTGCTGTACCTATATCAGCATGACGTCTCGGCATACGGACTGCTGCACCTTTTGGGTGTTTGGCCCATCTCTGTCTTGGACATCGCGCGAGGCATGCTCTTAGTATGCATCCTGTTTGCTGGACCATTGTTTGAGAACGGTATTGTAGATGGTGACTACAAAGACTGGATCAAGTTCAAGGGACTTCACGAAACACTAAGTAGCTGGATCGGATATAGGAACTTCGTAGTCGTAAGTACTTCAGCTCTCACATACAAAACTGCGCTGACATTCCAACGTAGGGCCCTGTCAGCGAGGAAATCGTGTGGCGCTCACTCATGGTTCCGCTACATCTGCTCGCGCACTTCACCGAAAAGCAGATCGTCTTCCTTACCCCACTCTACTTTGGCATCGCCCATGTGCACCACCTTTACGAATTCCACATCACGCACCCGGAAGTGCCAATGCTAATGGCTTCTCTGCGCTCGCTGTTCCAATTCACATACACCTCGCTCTTCGGCTTCTTTGCTACGTTCCTGTACCTGCGGACAGGCAATGTTTATACGTGCATATTGGCGCACACATTCTGTAACTGGATGGGTCTACCTCGATTCTACGGACGCGTTGGAGTAGAAGCTGGTGTGCCAATTGGACCACCAGATGTGGATAAGAAGGACGACCGGTCGAAGAGTACCGCATCATTCCAGGGAACGAGTGTTACATGGACCGTAGCATACTACATAATTCTGGTAGCGGGGTCTGTGGGGTTCTATTATCAATTGTTCCCCTTGACGGAAAGCGCGCATGCCCTACTGATTCGGTCAGCGAAGGGCAGTATCGTGGCTTGAGAAAAGACAGCTTCCTCGCAATTGCCGCACGACTTTTAATGTGCTGTTCTTGTTGGATAATAATAGACTAGGATGTTACACTATAGTTCTGGTATCTGACCAAGACTTGCACTTATTTGAGACTTGCTATCGCCCACCAGTTGTCCTTCTCATACCCACTTTCAATGACCCGCCCCCCTGCCTGATCTATATCGCCTTCAAGCTCCCCCTTTCTGTACAAATGATAGTATCGTAGAAAAGTCTTATCACCCTCTGGCTTCGAATCCTGAGTCTTAGGCTTCTGCTCATTCTGCTCTTCGCCCTGTTTCTCTTCACCGCCATCAGGTGCCGTGCGTTCTTCGCCCCTCTTTTTCTGCTTTTTCTGTTTCGGCACTTTCTCCTTCTTGGCCGTCATGACCCACGGTACCATAATGTCCTGTTCGCCACCCTCATCCCACCCTCGTCGACTGCTCTTCTGCTCCAGCGCCCAGACGTAGATGAGCGCTTGACCTCCACACTGATCCGAGCTTTGCTGCGACGGGCGCAGAAGATCTAAAATGCACTTGACAGCTTCCACACGCCGTGCTGGCGTGGAGAGGTGGTGAACGACAGCTATGGAAATGGCAAAGTCGAAGCTGTGTGGTGGATGGGGAAGGGAGAGATTGTCTGCTACAACAACATCATGTGGCTTATGCTGTTGACCAAACTTGACGAGGTTTGTGGATCTGAAGATAGGTCAAAAGCAAATTCTTATGCCTTTCTAATCTTGAAAGAAGCACTACACACTGATGTGACACAAACGTACCGATCAGAGCCCACAATGAAGACTTGCTTATTGACAGCCAAGTACTTCCCATTTCCGCACCCTACATCAGCGCCGATAGCGCCATCAGGTTGGTCCTTCAAGAAGCGTTCGACTATCGGCCATGGCTGAATCCGGTTAGTCGGTCATGTAGCGAGAGAAGGAGGGGCGACGCACACCTTGTAGCGCGTGGACGAGAAGTGCGATGCAATCTGTTCGTACACTTCATGGACGTGCTCCTCTTCGTAGGAAGTGCCTGCGGCGTCAGTCTCGGCCATTGTGGCGTATCAAGGTGCTGTCAGGTGCAAATGATGCAGGTGTATGAGATTTGCGCAGCCAATGATGGAAGGGCAACGGCCAAGGCGCTAGCAACACTGAGCGACTGCACTGTGCTCTTGTATTGCTTTCTCTCTTCTTTCATATGAATGTTGTTGTCATATATTCGGAAATAACTGAACTGCCTGCATTTGTGGATTGCACGGCCAGTTACCCAGATCTTAGAGCAAACGACTCAGGACGTCTCAACCTACCTTAACTCTCACAGTATTTGTATACTAGCGCTAACGCTTGCGGTTACCTGTCTGTATGATTATTGAGATGAACTTAGGAAGTTGTAGAGGTGTCAGTGCACTTTGCAACCAAGGGCTTTCGGCTTTTATTCTCGATAAGTCAGAGCGACTGCCTGCATGTCCTGTCTCACATTCAACTCGACGTGTGCAACAGCGCGAACTCTGGAATACGACAGAGTGTCTGATTTGATATGTTGCTTGTAGAGAGTAATCAGTCTGTCAGCGGTAATTGCGCGAGAGTCTGAAATATTAGAGGATCAATGACGAAAGAGATGGTCACTACCAAAGTTCTTCGAAGCTTATGACATCTCTAACCAGTGGTGTGAGCAGTGTCGAATTCTCATACTCTTTTTTCCCTTCCTCTTCTAAACTACGTATCAGTACTTCTCTACCCAATACAAGCTCTCCGCATCAAATCAACGTCTTTCGGTATATTGTGTTACAAGTTCGTTTCTCTGATTCATGGCTTCGCGCCCACTGGCACTTCATCGGGAAACCGGATAGTCCGCTGTAGGCCCAAATCCGCGGCACTGCCCATAGTAGCATGCCCCTCACCCTCGCCTCTCGCTATCGTGGGCGCCGCTGAAAGTGGCGTAGGTGTGTGCAGATTGCTTCTCGACTGGCTCCTCGAACCAGTACTAGACTGGATAATTGACCTGCCGATGCGCACAACACGGTTCGGAAGCGAATCGCCCCCCGTGCGTGACCACCCCGGCCGGCGCCGCAGTCGCTGCTCGATGTCCGTGGTTGCATCTTCAGCACCCTCTGCAATGTGGAATGGCGCAGGATCTTCGCTGCGGGAGGAAATGGCACGCGAAAGGGTTCGCGGGATGAAGAAGCCGAGTTTACCCAATGGAATGCTGAGGCCATGAACGACCACCGAGCAGATGATCAAGAACCAGATAACCACGTTCATGACTTCTATGAGGTATGCCGCATCTTCTCTAGTCTCACCGTCGACTTTGATCTTGTTGAGGAACTCGATGCTAACGTAGAGGTAAAAGGCAGCGCTGACACCAATAGGGCCAAAGAAGCCGACGAAGAGTGCTTGTCGCTTTTGCTCGATTTGGTGGATGTGCTTGTGCATTCCAAAGACGATGGGTGGGCGGCGGAGTAGCAAGACGAGTATACCGAGAATGACAAGCCGCCAGATAGAGATGACGTTGTTGTGGTAGAACTCTGCCCACGGGCAGATGGCTCCAAACCATATGAAAATGGATACGTTGAGGAGCATGTCGATAGTCGGTTGGAAGGAATCGTCCATCGTCTCAAGACGAAACCAGTCATCCCAGGTGAATGTATTGCCGGCAATGAAGCAGGCTAAAACATCGTCGCTTCCAACCATGCCCATAGTGCCGACGATAAAGAGGGCAAGGGTGATGGCGAAAACAAGGAAGCTCTCGCGATCAACGTACTTCCTCTCTTCCGCCCAATGTAGTAGCTCTTTTGCTATCCACCCCACAACGGCGCCGTATATTACACTTAGGATGATCGTGTACCCCAAGGTTTCTCCAAACCAAAGACCAATAGCAGTGCTGGCCTTCCCATCTTGACCAAAGCCATCAGATCCATGGCTCCCAATATGCTGTATAAGATAAAGCGGCAGGAACAGGAACGGGTAGCCCAATCCGTCGTTCGCTCCCGACTCTGCTACAATGATCTTCTGGAGTTCTTTTGGGATGTTCTTGTCTGCGAACTTACCCTTAACAATGGAGTTGGACAAGACAGGGTCCGTAGGAGTGACACAAGCGCCCACCGCCAAGGCCTGCAGAAAGCTTATATGAGGGACCAATGCATAGACCAGCAGACTGGTGACAATCCACATAGTTGTCATGACCGGACCAAGGAGATAAGCGAGACTCTTCCATTCCGTCTTCAAGTACTTCGACGGCAATTGCACGCCGGCAAGGACTAGCTGCACTCCGAGTACCACGCGAGTAAAGTACAAGGTAATGGCATCCAAGTTCTCAACAGACTGGAGAGCGTACTCGTATGGCCGGATCCAGTTGGTCGCATGGGGAGAGAAAACCAGTCCGGCAATCAGGGATATTACTGCCAACATAAGACTTCGAACAAATACCCCGACTTTGTAGACTTACACGCTTCTGAGAGGTAGAATTTCTCTTTCATCAGATAAGAAACTAGGCCGAAGAGTGTGATGAATCCGCCTAGTGAGGCGCACACAATATTAAAGTTCGTCAACGCTAATGTCGGCATGTTGGCGGCTGTTCTTGCAGATGGAGTGTTGTATCAAGAGCACCAAGACTGTGGTACCTGGAAGTGTGGTTGAATTTGGACCTGAGAACTTGCCAAAGTGCTCACTTGACTGGCGCAGGATGAATAACGAACGAAGATTGGCTGTATATCTTCAAGAACATTTGTTAAAATGCGTATTTGCAAAACTTTTGCTGTTGCGGAGTTTGACAAAGATGTTCTTGGATCATAGAAGGTGTAATTGAGGTAGTGGCTTGGCATGACGATCAAATGCGCGATTTAAGCATTGCCGGGCTGTGTTCAAGCTTAGTCACACAGTGACTTGATCATGTTTTGGCGTACAACACAGAATGAACAAATACGCTGGTATTCTCATACACTCTACATCATGCAAGTCGCATGCCGGAACTGATAAAGGAAAATGCCTATGTACAATTCAAAACTCCCCCCGTTTTCAAAACCATGCTTTAAATTAACTTAGATATTGGCTGCTGATGCGATCTGGGGTGTGCCCTGAGGCCCATAGCCGACTTGGGGGTCGGGATATCCAGGTGCCATGAAGTTGGTCTTGGGGTTCTTCTGTTCCTTCGCCGCTGAGCATCGTGCCATTGTCGGTGAACTAGATAGCAATTAGTACTCCATAACAAACTCGATGATACCGGTATGACTCACTTTCTCGAGATGGCGTCTGTAAAGAAGAAGTTCTTGATAGGCTTCTCAAGGGCCTGGCCTGAGATTTGCGAACCCTTGTTCTGGTCTACAAGCTGAACCTTGCTGAGACTAGGCAGGGAGGTCGATTCCACCAAGTCGTATTTCCTGAAGGCAGGAGAGATCTCCTCCATGCGGTCGCGAAGCTGCTCAACATCATCGTAAGGCAGAGGAGCGCCGAGATACTCGGAAGCTGCACGAATGATTTTCCAGTCCTCTCGCGAAGCGCCAGGAAGGCCAACGGCAGCACGAGATATCTGTACACGACCCTCAGTATTGACGTATGTAGCAGACTTCTCTGTGTAGGCGGCACCAGGAAGAACGACATCAGCAAGCTGAGCGCCACGGTCACCGTGGTGGCCCTGGTAGACGATGAAGGCGTCCTTGGGCAGCTCAGCCTCGTTGATCTCGTCAGCACCGAGCAGCCAGATGAACTTCGGCTTAGTGTTGGCAACCTCAGGTGAGGGGACGGTGAAACCGATGTCGTAAGCACCGGTGCGGGAAGCTGTGCGCTGAAGGACGTTGTAACCGTTCCACTCGGGTGTGGCGAAGCTGGCCTTGTTCTTCTCGACGAAAGAACCAACCTGCTCGAAGATGGATTTAGCATCGGGGTGCTCAGCAACAGCGCTACCAACAACGATCATTGGCTTCTTGGCGCCCTGAAGCACCTTGCCAAAGTCGCCAGACAGAGCGCTCTTCAGTTCGTTGGCGGTAGCTCCAAGGTTGGTGTACTCGAAAGTACTCTCAAAGTCCTCACCGACAAGACCGATCTGCAGGTCGGACCTCAGCCACTGCTTGCGGATTCGGGCATTGAGGACAGCAGCCTCGTGTCGGGGGTTGGTGCCGATGAGCAGGATAGCATCGGCCTCCTCAACACCATAGATCTTGGAGTTGAATGAGTAGTTGGCACGCGAATCGATACCGTGAGCAATGGGCTGGCTGCCTCCGGGCTGGTCGAGAGCCAGGTTGTCGGAACCAAGCTTGTTGGCAAGGTCCTTTGCGGCGGTGAGAGTCTCAGCCTCAACAAGGTGACCAGCAACGAACTTGATCTCGTTCTCCTTTGGTGCGATCTTCTTGAAAGCGTTGCCAATCTCAACGAGAGCCTGTTCCCAGGATGCGGGCTGGAACTGTTCATCGACGCGAATGAGCGGGTTGACCAGGCGCTGCGTGCTGAGAGCGTCGCATGCGAATCGGGTTTTGTCGTTGATCCATTCCTCGTTGACATCGTCGTTCAGGCGAGGCAAGATCCTCATGACCTGGATACCACGGGAGTCGACGCGGATGTTGGAGCCAAGACCGTCGAGGACATCAATGGTCTCAGTCTTGTACAGCTCCCAAGGACGAGCCTTGAAGGCGTATGGCTTCGAAACAAGAGCACCGACAGGGCAGAGATCGATGACGTTTCCGGAGAGCTCGGAGTCGAGAGAAGTCTCAAGGTATGTGCCAATCTGGAGGTCGTTGCCACGGCCGGTGGAACCCATCTCGGGGGCGCCGGCGATGTCGTTGGAGAAACGGATGCATCGTGTGCAGTGAATGCACCTATTCATGGAGGTCTAACAGCTGTCAGTACAGCGCTGGAACACCTCGCGCCAAGGACCCTACCTTGATCAGAGGGCCAATGTTCTTGTCCTCAACCGCACGCTTGCCACCAATCTCGTGGAATCGACCGCGGTCGGCGCCATACCTCATCGACTGATCCTGGAGATCACACTCGCCTCCTTGGTCGCAAATGGGGCAGTCAAGCGGGTGGTTGGCAAGCAGAAACTCCATAACACCCTCGCGTGCCTTGTGGACGAGCGGTGAATCTGTCTTGACTACCATGCCTGGCTGTACCGGCCACGCGCACGATGCGACTGGCTTGGGAGCCCGCTCCACCTCAACCAGACACATACGGCAGTTACCGGCAATCATCAACTTCTCGTGGTAGCAGTATCGCGGAACGGTGCTTCCGGCCTTTTCGCAGGCCTGGATGAGGGCGGACCCAGCTGTTGGGGGCATTAGGGCTGTCTCTGCAGCTGCTCGCGGGAGGGGCAAGGCGGCGTACCTTCAATTGAGACCTTCTTTCCATCTGGAGGCTGTCAGTGTTCGTCGTCGCTGGCAATGGGGGGAGGTGGCACAAACCGATTGTGAGCTCGACCTCTGCTGGCCGGGGGGCCGAGGCAGTAAAAGCCCGGCTGCCATTGAGGGCTGCGCCGCGGGCAGGCCTCACGAGCGACCGGATTGTGTGCCGCAGCATTGTGACGTTTGAAGGGGGCGATGGGGCGGGTTGCGGGAGGTTGTTCAGAGCTTCAGTTTATCTGATCCACGCATCGATGAGGGCTGCCAAGCCCATCATCACTTAAATGGCAGGCGTGATTGGTCAACGTCCGAGCGCCAACGTCGGTACAAAATTCTGCGTTGTGTCCCACGGTCTTCTCTTCTTCACTCATTACGGGCACAATTTATTGTAGGAAGGTCGAGCCATTTACTCAACTATCCTCTATTACGTGCCCCAGAGCACGACTCACCGTGCGAGGTAGCTGGAGCAGAGGAGGCATCTGATGATATCTCGTTCCTTACCAACGTCGCTACATACTGCTGTGAAGAAGAATGCTTTGATGCGATGACAAGTGGCCGGCGTGCCAGCGTTGCGAAACCTACTGCACCCAGACTCGTCCGGCCTACCAGTCGGCGAGATGCTGCATCACATCAGGCAAGAGGGTGCTTTCTTATTGGGATGTATACATCTGTACGAAGTGATTCAGTCATGGTTCGCGACTTATTGGCTGCGATGACGATGGGTTGGATCCTACAAAAGGGCCAAGTGGCTGTACAGCCTTGTTGTGGCTTCCCAGTAGCGTTGTGCTGGTGCTGCATGCCACGGAACGTGACGTGCTGTTCGGATGCTGCGGGGAACATCTGCTTGAGCTCAGTGCCATTGCTGCTCCAGTTGAACTACACCGCTCCACTGCATACATCACCGTAGAATATTGTGCAATCGTAGTAAGCATGTTCAAGGGTTCCATTAACTTGTTACATCATAGAGATCTCATCTCAGACGCCTCAAACGACAGGATATCGAGCTGCATCCTGCTCTCTATTGCTCTAAAAAATACCCGACCCAAACGAAAGAAGGGATGAACTTGACCCCAGAACGCCTTTTCGGTGGACAAAGCGTGATCTGCACTAGATCACACTCCCATGACAGAGTTTACTCCTCAGGACCAATCTCCATCTTGGCACCTTTGCCAGCGGTAGTCTTGGGGACCGGGGCCGCGATCTTTGCGGGTGGGGTGCCGAGACCGTTGTGGTTACGGAAGAAGAGAACACCAGCGGCCTCACCGGTGGCACCCTCGGTAGGCTCGACCCACTGGCACATGCGAGCGCTCTTGTACATGGCCTTGAGGAAGCCGACTGAGCCACCCTCGACATCGGCGCGGTAGTGCTGGCCCATGACTGGCTTGATAGCCTCGGAAGCCTCATCGGCGTTGTAGAAGGGAATGGTGGAGATGTAGTGGTGAAGGACGTGGGTCTCGATGATGCCGTGGAGGAGAGTGCGTCCGATGAAGCCAAACTCACGGTCGATGGTAGCGGCGGCTCCGCGGACGTAGGTCCAGGTCTGAGCGTCGTAGTGAGGGAGAGTGGGGTCAGTGTGCTGAAGGAACGTGATAGCAACGAGCCAGTGGTTAACCCAAAGGTAAGGGATGATGTACCAGACGAGGAGGTTGGCGAAGCCAAAGTTCTTGCCAACCCAGGTGAGACCAGCAAGAGTGATGGCGATACCGAGATCGGAGAGAAGGATGAGCTTCTCGTCCTTCTTCTCATATAGAGGAGAGGAGGGGTTGAAGTGGTTGACGCCCTTGAACACCCCGTTCTTCTTGCCGAGGCCCTTACCCTCGGATTGACGCTCGTGGAAGTTGTGGCCGGTAACGTTGCTGAGCAGATACATGGGCCAGCCACCAAGCTGCTGGACGACCATATGGATGAGGGTGGCGATGGGAGTCTCCTCGGTGAGCTCGTGGAGCTCGTGGACGAACTTGCCGACGCGGGTCGCGTAAACCTCGCGGGTCTTGGGAACGAAAACCATGTCGCGCTCCATATGACCAGTGGCCTTGTGGTGCTTGCCGTGGGAGATCTTCCAGGAGAAGTAAGGAACGAGGAGGGCAGAGTGGCAGATCCAGCCAACAGTGTCGTTGAGAATCTTGGAGGGAGAGAAGGCCTGGTGACCGCACTCGTGGGCCATGACCCAGAGACCAGTTCCAGACAGACCCTGGATGACGGTGTAGAGAGTCCACAGAACAGCGCGGACAGGCATCGAGGGGATGGTCTCGGGCGTCACATAGTTGTAGAAGAGGTAGAAGACGGTCGCGAGCTGTGTGATGTCACGCGCAACGTAGCCCAGACTGCGGACAGCAGAGCGCTCGAAGCAGTGCTTAGGGATGGCAGAGCGGAGCTGGCCAATGGTGTAGTCAGGAATCTGGAACTCGTTGCCGTAGGTGTCGATGAGCTTGCCGGTAGGCTTAGCAGCGGCCTCAGCGTCGGAGCCGAGCGACGAGAGGGAGGTGTTGGAGGCTGAGCCGGCTGGAGAGTCGGAGGGCGAGTTCGCAATGGTCGAAGGAGCCGAATCGGCGGTGACATTGCGTCTCAGAGCACCCGCGGGGCGGGCGGTGGTGGTAGCAGCCATCTTGGATTCGAAGATGAACAGGCGTCGGTGATGAGTGTCAAAGTCCCTCAAGAGCGAGAGGAGGGGCAATGGCAGGACAAGTTGCAAGAACTTGTTGGGGGCGCAGATCGTTTGTTGAGGTCGAATGCCTGCAACGACAGCAAGAACAACGGGCTGAAGCCTGCAGCAACAGCAAGAACGATGGGCTGAAAACCTTCAAGGAAGTCGGAGAGTCCTGAGGAGTTGAAGGCTGGCCGAGAGCGGGCGCACGGGTTTTAAAGTACCACAGTTGCCCCAGGCGGTGTCGATGGAATTTTGGGTAGACCCTGACACGAACGGTAAGCGTCGCGAGCAGAGGGTTCGAGAACAGGGGTACCAATAAGAACAGCTCCAGGTCGAGTGCTAATGCACTTCCGATCTCTATCTCTCCACTTGAAAAATGCCACCCTATCTTATGGATACCTTTGCCACCGCATTGGGCTCTTTGAGTACTGCACCAACTGCGAAACACTGCTGTGTGGTCCAGTGTCCACAGTGGCGGCAAAGCTCGCGCATTCTCTAGCCTCAACACCTCTCTCTGCCACGTCTGGGGTGAGGGCTGTCAAGCCGATTCCTTCTACCCGCCACCTTGGCATGTGTGCACGGCTCTCAGACCGCCAACTCGCACCACCTGGCACGCGTTCTTTTCCGCTGATTTGCTCTGCGGCCTCGCCTAGAGGTTGAATTGAGCAGGTACCACCACGTCTGTGCCGTCCCGCTTTGCGCCAATGGCTCCTGCCATGTTGGCTCGCAGACATGTTACTACAACTGCTGGTGCATCTGATGTATGTAACCAGTGCTAGATGACTTGCGTTCAGACTGGACTGCTGACAGGTGCAATTGTGCGATGTAGCTAAAAGTCTCACCGCGAAAAGCAGCCGGGATCTGTGCAAAGATCTCTAAAGCTGATGCAGGGCAGCGTTAGTGCGTCTTTCGATTGGGTGTTTCATCACACCACCGAGGCATTTGCTATCCGTTCCTGAGTGGCGAGTTGAGGCGGTCATACATCGGCTGAGTCTTCACAGTGGCTTTGCATGCATGCTGACCATGACACCTCAATTCTATGGTCTGCGGCAATGATGGCATTAAGCCTTGAAGCAATACAACTGGCAATGACAACAACGACTTGAATATCTCTTTCAGCTGATTTGCGCGAAGCATGCCACTCAGTATCGGCTGCTATCAGTTTAAGCTGCAAGCACCTCGATAACTCATGTGAAAGAGGGGATGACATAGCTGTGGATGCAGATGAGAGCAGCTGACGACAATCTCCAGCTGTTTGCAGGGCCTATCGCGTGTGATGGCCAATGGCAGCCATTCACCACCACACGTCCTGCTCGACAGCATGGATCGCTTCGCTCCGTCCATCACATCTTCAGCTCTGATGGTTACACTGAGAAGAGATACGCTGCCTCGCCCGAACTTATCGTGGTGTAGTACTTCAATTGGTCTGAAGTAACAGGCTCTAGTTAGGACCAGTGGACTGTAAGCAATCGTCAGGGTCAAACAACAATCGAGAATCTGCACCACAAAATGCATGTTATTTATTTGATTTCCTTCGCACGGTGATTGTAGACATTCGGAAATCACCATCACTTAACGCCACCACCATCAGACGTCGTCTCGAAGTGGGTCCTTCTCCAGACTTTCACATGTCAAATCACCACGCTTGCGAGTGCACGATCGCCCGCCCAACGGCCCTTGACGGATCCTTCCCATGTCTGAGCCTGCACCTAGCGTCGGAGCACTCTCGCCAGCCATCAGACGTGGAGATCAGGTGTGGAGTCAGTGAACCTCACGCTTGGCAGGATGTTGTGTGACCGAGGGCCTTCGGACGTCTTTAAGAAAGTTTTGAGAAGACTCCGACAGGGGTGTCGTGGAATCCAAACATAATCATGGATAGGACTGGTAAGACCTATACAACTAGCTTGACTAACCTTTCCCAATCGATCTTCTTCCAAGTCACGAATGCAAGCAGTGCGACGACACCTATTCGTCCTACGAGAGCGGTGGCCACAGCTCGCCTCACAAGAGGGTAGTATCCCTCCAGCATCGAATTGACGGCCGCACCTCTCGCGACCATCTTTGCCCGCCCGGTCTGTCCCCACCCCCTACCCACGCCCAATCCAGCTATCCCAACCTCGCCGGGCTTCTCCCCGCCTTGCTCTGTCTCAGCAAAGAGCGGTCCTACAGCCTCACTCCCGAATCCTGGTAGGTCCTGCTCACCAGCTGCCGTCGACGAGTGCGTAGTCGCCGTCGACATCTCAAGTGATTTTTGCGTGCGAAATCTATACGACATAGCCCACATCACGGACCTGACGTCCCAGCTCGTAAATGTCGGATATGTCCACAACTCCAGCGCATTGTGCGGCGGGATATGTTCCAGGAAGTCGCTCACAACGCCCAATGTCAGCCCCCAGAGCAACAGCGGCGGTTTCCCATCGCTGCGGTCCTCGCCAAAGACGAGGTCTTTGACCTTGGTCGCTGTGCCTTTTGGTGGCGCGCTGAAAGCAGGCACAAAGTCAGGTATCGTGGCGCAGTGTGTGGAGTTCGAAGGGACGAGGCGGATGGCTGCAAACATCATCTTCGAGAGCATGGCCTGGAGAAACCAGCGCTTAATGCCGAGTTCAGATTTTGCGAGGCGGGCGGAGACATCGGCGTACTCGTGGGTACGGAGGACGGGAGACAGGAGCGCGCGAATGGGGACCCAGTGCGAGGAAGCTACTTCGGTGGGCTGCAAGCGTTGGGTTGGGTAGTTGGGCGAGGTGAGGAGGTAGATGTACGGGCAGAGTACCATGAGTCTGGACTGTTTAGCAGGTAGAAGTCAAAGCTAGTAAAACTGGACTCACGGTACCTTGCCCCAGCTTGTGGTAACTATCCGCTGGGGCAGGTTGCCAACCGCGATCGCACTGTGGTAGCCGAGATCAATGCCTACTTCCTCAGACGCTTCCCTCATAGCTGTGACAGCGTCGTCATCGTCCTCGGGATCCCGCTTCCCTCCAGGCAGAGCGACGTGACCGTTCCACTTGTCTCCTATCCTCGTCGCTCGCTTGATGAACAGTATTTCAGGGTCGCCATGCTTCACCCAGTCCTGCTCGAAGAACGCGTGCAGGATGTCGTCAAACCCGAGCTTCTGGCCAGACCCTGACGCGGCAGAAGATCTTCGACGGGGCCTTGGTGGGTGTTGCTGCGCAGAATGTAGAGGTTTGTCTGAGTAGGCTGGCCAATGATTGTAGTTTGGCTGGACACGCAAGATCAGGGCGACGCTTGCGCGTTTTGGCACTGTTGGAGGGCACGCGACCTCTGGGTACGGATTTGCATTGAGCTGGAGGAGGACAGATTTGAGGTGCGCAATCAAGGCTTCGGCTTCTGTTTGCTCTGACATGCTGGCGCGTTGCGCTGGCCGCGTGCTGTGATTTCGTTCTACGCCGTAACGGCTGGGACGGATAACACGAGAACACACCCTCTGACGCGACACGGCAGTCTAGGTACAAGCAAATATAGTGGACTAGTATCAAGCGTTGGAGATGACAGACCCAAGACGGCGTTGGATCGTGCGACGTGAGGTCAGTGCAGGTAAGCTCACCATCGAAGCGACACACCTCTGAGAGCCGAGGCTACCTAGCGCCTCACAGACAAGCTGGGGTAGCAATTAGCAATGCACACGAGCCGACGAGACACAGCAACCATAGTGCGCAATCGAGCATCAGGCTCAGTCACTTTCTGGCAGGCGCGGAAATGCTCAGATATTTAGTCGGTAGCGCTGCCGTCGGAGGCAGCTGTAGCGAATGGGAGCCGAGATCGGACAGGAGGGGAAAGACAATCGTCGTCACAGCGGGGCAGTTTGCTGCGCAAAAATATCGAGACACCCCACGCTGGGCGCTGGCGCTGCACATATACCCCAGAGACCCTCTGCTTACCTTTCCTCTGCCCTTCAATTGATCACACACAATCATTGAAGTACTCAGTCAACATGGCTGGCCAAAAGACTGGTGCGTGTTGCTCGGCCTCCCACTGCAGCAGAACTGACGCCTTGTAGCTATCATCTCCGTCTACGACAAGACAGGCCTCCTTGACCTGGCCAAGGGCCTCAAGGAGGCCAATGTCAGGCTGCTCGCCTCTGGCGGCACCGCCAAGATGATCCGCCAGGCGGGCTTTGAGGTCGAGGACGTCTCTGCCATCACCAAGGCGCCTGAGATGCTCGGCGGACGCGTCAAGACTCTGCACCCGGCTGTCCACGGCGGCATTCTCGCGCGCAACCTCGACTCGGACGACTCGGACCTCTCTGCGAACAGCATCGACAAGATCGACTTCGTTGTCTGCAACCTGTACCCGTTCTCCGAGACTGTTGCCAAGATCAATGTCACCATCCCGGAGGCTGTCGAGGAGATTGACATCGGCGGTGTCACTCTTCTACGCGCTGCGGCCAAGAACCACGCACGCGTTACCATCGTCAGCGACCCCAATGACTACCACGACCTCCTTACCGAGCTAAAGAACAACGGCGGCGAGGTTTCTGAGAAGAGCAGACAGCGATACGCTCTCAAGGCCTTCGAGCAGACATCTACATACGACAGTGCCATCTCCGAGTTCTTCAGGAAGAAGTATGCCGGCGATGGCGAGCAGTTCCTGCCCCTGCGCTACGGCGCCAACCCTCACCAGAAGCCCGCGACCGTCTCCATGACCGACAAGCCCCTGCCGTTCAAGGTCCTTGGTGGATCACCCGGATACATCAACTTGTTGGATGCCTTGAACGCATGGCCTCTGGTCAAGGAGTTGAGCAAGGCGCTCGACTACCCGGCAGCTGCCAGCTTCAAGCACGTTTCGCCCGCCGGTGCTGCCATCGGTGTTCCCCTTAGCGCCGAGGAGAGGCAGGTCTACATGGTCGACGATATCGCGGGCATTGAGAGCTCTGGTCTTGCGCAGGCCTACGCCAGAGCACGCGGTGCTGACAGGATGTCCAGCTTCGGTGACATGATTGCTCTGTCTCACGAGGTTGATCTGCCCACCGCCAAGATCATCAGCCGAGAGGTCTCCGATGGTGTCATTGCACCTGGCTATACTGCTGAGGCTCTCGAGATCCTCAAGAAGAAGAAGGGTGGCAAGTACCTTGTCCTTCAGATGGACAACGACTACGTGCCCTCTACCGATGAGTCGAGGACGGTCTACGGCATTACTCTCAAGCAGCACCGCAATGATGCTAAGATCGTGCCTTCTGATACTTTCAACACCGTCATTGTCCCCAAGGGCACTGGCGCACTGCCCAGTTCAGCTCAGCGCGATCTGGCCGTGGCTACCATTGCGCTCAAGTACACTCAGTCCAACAGTGTGTGCTACGCGCTCAACGGCCAAGTCATTGGTCTCGGTGCTGGTCAGCAGTGTAAGTCATCCGTACGCGAACCATACACAGTTGCTAACTAGATCCCAGCTCGTATTCACTGCACACGTCTCGCCGGTGACAAGGCTGACAACTGGTGGATGCGCTTCCACGAGCGTACCCTCAACCTCAAGTTCAAGAAGGGTACCAAGCGCCCCTCCAAGTCCAACGCCATCGACCTTCTCTGCTCTGGTCTCATCCCCGATAGTGGCATTGAGTACGATGACTTCGCCGCAAACTTCGAGGAAGGTCAAGTTCCCAAGAACTTCACCTCGGAAGAGCGCAAGGAGTGGTTGTCGAAGCTGCAGGGCGTCGCTCTATCTTCGGACGCATTCTTCCCCTTCATCGATAATGTGTTCAGGGCGCACAGGAGCGGTGCTAAGTACATCGCAGCACCGACAGGTAGCCAGAATGATGGCGCAGTTTTCGAGACCGCTGAGAAGCTTGGTATTACATTCGTCGAGCAGCACATTAGGCTGTTCCACCACTGAGCAGTGGATTTTTGTGTGTTTTCAACAGGCGCATGGGATTAACGAAGTTTACGTAGGATGTTTTGGACGGGTATAGATAACCCAAAATGTGGAATCAAAATGGTTAGGTCACAAGGATATAGGATCCAACAACTACACATTCAACATGACTCTCCATGTCCCTCACCCTGATTCCCACTCATCAGCAGAGCAGCATGGTACTCTGTGTGACCACAGAGCGAAGCTCATGCACAACACCAAAATCGACAGAGAGTCGGGGCGGAATCTCACTTCGGATGTCGGTACAAATTGCTTCCGTACTGTAGATAAGTACCTCCGGCGGTTGTTCCGCATGCATGTCGTATTGCGAAAAGTCGTTCAAGATGCTTGGTGTTGAGCAGATTGAAGTCGTCTTCAAATCTACTACGGTCTTATCATATGCTTCTGATCGCTAATACCTAACAAATGCCACAACTCTCTCCCTGCACGTTCTCTAAAGTTACTGCGTCTGAACAGCGCTGACGAGCTTTTCTGCAGACTCGAAGGTCAGCGCAGGGGAGAATGGTCTACCGTGATTTGCTTGCTTCATCTATCTGCAAGGGATATCAATAAGCAACACCAATAAAATGGTTGTTGCTGGACTATCCCCAGTGATCCATGGTAGGGCGCAGTATGGACGTGAGTCAGATCGACTCACCGACCGCAGCACGCTACCGGACATAGAAATTAGCAAATGCCGCTAGCGCTCCTCTTGCTGCAGGGCGTGGACCCCCACTTGTGGAGAAGAAGTATAGCTTGGTAAGAAAAAAGTATTGCCGGTACTCTTCGACTCTTGACTTCCCTCGACTGTGATTCTCTGCATAGCAAACTTTTGCACTAAGAGCTTGGAACCTGATGGCCACATCTGAGGAGCAGCAGCCGCTGCTTAGACCAATTGTTGACGATGCTGAGTCGGACACGAAGCATGACGAGGTGATCTTGGACTTTGAGGTGGGAGACCCAGAAAACCCCAGGAACTGGGACTCCAAGTTCAAAGGATTGATTGTGTTTCTTCTCGCATTCATGGCGTTTACTGTGTAGGTCACCAATGTTTCAATTTTCCACTCAGTGTAGTTACAGAGCACACCTGTAAGTATAATGCTGACTTTACTAGAACCTTCACATGCATCGGAGTCGTTCCAATTGCTGCCAATATCGTCGATGAGCTCGAAGGCAAGCACGCAAGCGCATCGACGAGTGCGCTCCTCGTCACCATCTGGGAGCTCGGCGAAGCCGGTGGACCTCTTCTGATCGCCCCTCTTTCTGAAGTTTTTGGCCGTTATCCGGTCATGAATGCGTGTAATATTGTCTTTATCATAGCGACCTTCCTTGCTGCTGGCAGCACAAGCACTAATCTCCTCATTGCTGCGCGTTGGCTTACTGGATTTGCCGTTGCTTCAAACGTACTCAATCCCAGCATCATCGGCGATATCTTCGAATCCGACCAGCGCGGCTCAGCCATGAGTTTGATTTCGCTCGCGCCTCTTATCGGCGGTGCAATTGGTCCCGCAATTGCAGGTGCGATTGCGCAAACCCTCGGATGGCGTCAAGTCCTTTTGATGGCTGGAGGTCTGGCCGTCATTGCTGAACTCCTGATCCTGACCTGCTTCAGCGAGACATATAAGATGGCTATCCTCCACAACCGCATTGCACGCATCAAGCGCGAAAGTGGAGAATTCAAGAACGAACCCTTTGCGCCCAAAAACAAGCATGAAGATCTCCGGAAGATCTGGCATGCGCTCACCCGCCCGTTTGCCGTCATGTTCGGATCGGGCGTGCTTATGTCCCTCTCCCTCCAGGCCTCCATCTCCTTCTCCTTCTTCTACGTCATGAGCATCAGCCTCCCGTCCATCCTGCAGGACAGTTACGGCTTCAACCCCGCCGAAACCGGCGCCGCATTCGTAGTCCTCAGCCTCGGTTCGCTACTCAGCGTGCTGATGTGCAACGCCTTCCTGGACCGCATCTACATCGCGCTGCGAAACCGCTCCTCGAACCCAGATCAGGGCAAGCCCGAGTACCGGCTTCCACTCGCGGTGCTCGGCGCTGTTCTGCTGCCCTTCAGCGTCACGGCGTACGGCTGGATTGCGCATCTGCAGCTGCCCGTGCCGCTGCTGCTCGCATCGGTCGTGTTGCTTGATTTCACGCTGCTGACCAACATCATCCCAGTGCAGGCGTATGTCGTGGACGCGTGCGGGCTATACTCTGCGTCTGCGATGACGGGCGTGATCGTGTCGCGTTGTCTGATGGGTACGTTTTCTGCCGCTAGCGACAGGGCCGCTGCACGAGTATCTAGGATACGGGTGGGGCTTTACGGTGCTGGGGGTCGTTGCGGCGGTGGTCGCTTTGATTCCACCCGCGATACTGAGGTATGGGAGTGAGTGGAGGCAGAGGAGCGAGTACACAAGGGACATTTAGTTGCGTACTGGGCAGCGATGAGGTACAGGGTGATCTGCATTTACAATGGCGTTGTTGGATTTCTGTAAAGATTCGACGCATGTGGGATAGACGGTCAGGACGTCTGCATGTTGATGAGACATGGTTAGCGGAAAGATGATAAACATGACCAAGCGAGGGTCTGATGTGACTAGTATCGCATACTTCGCGTATTGACTAGACTACTAAGATGCTAGAGTTTGGTCCGAATAGATATTGAGTTTGGTACCAAAGTGATGACTTCTGCAAATCAGACATGAAACACTCCTATGGCTAATGAGAGACCAGTTCTTGACGGTGAAGTTTTGAACATTGGTAAAAAGTTCAACAGAATGTCGTTTGTGGGTATCTCTGGTGGTCGATATGCACACACCTTACTCTGTAAGATGCTTCTCAAAATTATTGGCTGTTCAGCACATTGTGCAAAAACCCACCGTCTGATCCGACCCAGAGCCTCGAAATGACGGCCCCAGAATCAAAAAAGTTTCACACCACCGTCACTCTGCCCGACTTCCTCCTCACTTCCACTGTCCACATACTGGGCAGCTTGGCCATTTCCATCTGCATGCCCAGCCTGCTCAGCTGCCTCACGCTTCTTTGCCTTTTTGTTCTTCTTCTTTTTCTTAGACGGACTTTGCATAGACACCTTGTCTTGCAGTTCGCCACCCTTGTATGTGGTCCCCTGCGTAAGAGCGTCTGCTTCTGGCCACTCGTACGCCCACTTGCCGGAGTCGTGCTGGAAAGGCTCCTTTCTCATGAACTTGGAAACATCCTGTTGTGATCGCAGCCCCTCCAGGTAGCCTGCGACCTCTAGCAGCTTATCCTCCCGCATCTGTTCTGACGTGGCGGTGAACTCGCTGATCTGGAGCAAGTTGTGTGGTTGTGCAGCTGCCTTGAGCATGGAATCGTCAATCAGGACCGTGTTATGTTGCCCAAATCGTCCTCCAGTCTGATAGTCCGGGTGTTGCCTCTGAATCTCATCCTTACCCCAGACCAAATTGAGGTTCTTGTACACTTGTACATTCCTGTTATAGAACTCGGGCTTGAGGTTGAAGTTGTCACGGGCCCACTGGGCCACTAAAGTCTTCCTCAAATTCTCTTCCAGTGACTGCTCCACAAGGGAAGCAACGTTCTCAGGACGAGCGCTTGACCACACCATAACGGCGAAGTTCGAGAACAAGTATCGCAAGAAAGGTATCAGGAAGGGTCGTGCGATCATCGTCCTTTTGTTCTTGGTCGGCCGGTACAGAAGGGTGCCGTTTAGATCCAGAATGACGAGTATACGGCCGGACACTTCAACAGTGGAGGGTTCTTCTGCCGCCTGTGCCATGTAGGCTGCGCCGGGCGTCGGTGCAGGCAACATGATTTTGGCTTCTCGGCTTCTTCCGGTTGGCTTGGTAGTAGGGATTGCTTTTGACACTCTACATGACTTGTCAATACGGGAACTGGAACTAACTCGGTGCAGGGAGTCATACTCTTTCGCCTTCGTTAGGCCATCTTTGACGATCTGACTAGAGTCGTCGTCAGAGAGAGGAGTCGATGCCCTACGACTGAAGTTAGTCCTGCGATTCGTTGGTCTAATACCCTTGTAGAGCTTATCGAAAGCATACTGTATGTCATCGTTTGAGAGGCCCTGCAAGTCAGGCTGCGACTGCAGGGCAGCGAATGATGGCGCGAAAAACGGATAATTCCGCTGGGGCGTCTGTCCAAGTGCCTGCTGTGGGGGATTGATCGGTGTGAAACCCTGCGAGTAGCCATAGTATTGCGCCCACTGATAGTAGTATGCCTGTGCTTGCACCTGTTGCTGCGCGGCGGCGGCGTTGTACGGCTGCGGGCTGTTCGGATAGTAGTGTTGTGGCTGCCCGTAACGTGCGCTCCACTGAGCGTTTGCCACGGATGCAGGTGGCATGTAGCCTTGGGCAGGCGTCTGCTGGCTGCGGTTGCGATTTTGGTCGTAGGGCTGCCCTGGGTAGCCATAGTTCGGCGTGAACGGTTGCGCCCATGGATTGAAGTTGTTGTTCATCGCGGCGGCTGGCGGCTGGCTGCGGGTGTGTAGGGAAAATGCGCTGTGGTGGTGACCGGCAGCAGCCTTGAGTGGGTTAGTGTTGGGTTCTGCGACAGCAGTATCGTGGGAAATATACCGTTTGATGTCGACAGACATGACGAACAAACGGGACTCGCTTAGCGGACTCTGCTGCGCGTGTGAGGTGTGATGGTGATAGTGAGAGTGAAGAGCGCAGCATGAGAGCTGGAAAGTCTTTCAAGCATGCACGTGAACGTTCGCTGTTGCCTCCCGCCGTGAAAGTATTTGGGTTGCGCCGGCTAAAACCCGGCTTAACTGCGGGGCCTGTCCTAACTTTTTGGATGCACGCATCGCTGCTCTCGGTCTCAGTCGAAGCAGGGCGAACACAGGATGCCTCCACTCTCTAACAAACTCGACCGCAAGCTGCGCGCTGCTGAAGAGAGCTCAGACGACAGCGAAAACTATGAGGTGACCGATCGGTCTTCCTCTGAATCGGTACTGGAGTTTGACGCCGGAGATGTTGTGGGCTCGGATGAGGAAGACGAAAGCGAGGCCCCAGATGGCTCTGAGGAAGAGGAGTTGGTTAGTGTTTTTTCGAGCGCTCTGATACCTCCATGCTGACAAGTTACAGTCAGACGCCTCCGACGACGACCAGGTACAGGCACAGATGAGCAAGGTCTCTTTTGGAGCCCTGGCTAAAGCACAAGACGCAATCTCAAAGTCGACAGATCGGAAGCGCAAGCGCGGCGACGACTCCTCAAAATCACAGGAAGACAAGTTGGAAACACTGAGGGCACGGTTACGGCAGATCAAGGCAGAGAAGATGGCAAATAGCGAGGCGAACCCCAGCAAAAAGCCCAAAGTTGCTGAAAAGAGCAAGGCAAAGCGTCAGGAGCGGGAGGAAAGCGCAGGCAGAGAAGACGATGAGGACTCAGATGCCGCACCGCACGCACGATCCAGCAAGCACGCACCAGCTGTACAGTCGAGCAAACGCATGGTTTCCCGCAAACGACAAGTTGTCGACGTCAAGAAGCCCGTCTTTCGCGACCCACGATTCGAAAATGTTGGCGGTCCTCGCCCAGATGAAAACACACTCAGCAAGCGCTATGCGTTCCTGAACGAGTACAAGGCATCAGAGATCGCGGAGCTCAAGAAAGCCATCAAGAAGTCAAGGAATGGTGACGAGAAGGAGCAGATGAGGAAACAGCTAGAGTCCATGGAGTCACAATTGAAGGCTCAGCAGAGGAAAGATGAGCAGCAAGCTGTTAAACGAGAGCACAAAAAGACAGAGAAGGAGTTGATCAAGGAGGGCAAGCAGCCTTTCTATCTCAAGAAGTGTATGTTGCAACCAATGGCTGGATCGTCACGTTCAATTGCTAACAAAATGCGCAGCCGAGCAGAAGAAGCTTGCCCTGATCGACCGCTTCCAAAACATGAAGTCCAAGCAGCGCGACAGGACCATCGAACGCCGTCGCAAGAAGGTCACGTCAAAGGAGCGGAGGAACATGCCCGCGGAGCGACGTACTGCATGAGCTCACGAATCAGGTACCCGCTGCAAAGGCGGGATCTCGGTGGCGGTTCACTAGATTTGGACGGGAAGCAGGGTTGTCGACGAACTTTAACATTGCCATATCTTATATATACCCTACTCAGCACACTCAGTGCTGGCGAATTGAGGAGGTACTACCGTCCCTCACTCGAGGTTCAACATGTTTCTTCCGAGGCATGCAACTCCAAATGTGGGCATCAGCCTCTAAGCCCCACAGGTTTCCGTCAAGCTCACACCACCGAATGTGTCAAGGACGACCCGTCTGGGTTCCAGAACCGCGCCAAAATGACATGGCGTTCGCAAAGTTCGATGCGCATTGGGTGAACTGATCGTCAAGATCCCTGGCAGGTCGCTCAATGTGACAGGGGTCTCTCCAAGAAACGTGCCGTTCCACACTACGGCGCGTCAACGTCGACGTCATAGCGATGCATATCTGCTCCCAACCTCCTTGCTTGCTTATAGAGTCAGCACGGCCACATCTCATGTTTTTCATTCTGTCCTCGTCAGATTTTTGACACGTTTTCGACCTTTTGTCTTGTACACTACGAGTTCACCGTTGACATTTCAACGTTCACCCGCCACCTAGTGCAATACTAGTTTAGTCGTAACGGTCGAAGATCACCAATCCCATCATGTCTGGCACACGTGAAAAGCCGCTCCATGAGTAAGTTGAACAGATTTCCCTGACTGGGTGACTCGTATTCCAGTCGCAATGCTAGTGCTCAGTCTGACCAACTCTTTCAAGGCTCCTCTCCCGCTCTATGGTCGACATCTACGTCGGTGAGGAGAACACCCACTGGATCCTTCACGAGAAGCTTCTCTGCCATCACTCGCCTTTCTTCCGCAAGATCTTCTATGCGAAGGACAGCACAACAGATTCCTTCGGCCTCCCCGAGGACGATGACAATGCCTTCAAGACCTTGGTCGGCTGGCTTTACTCCAGCTCCCTCCCCGTTCCCCGCGAGGAGTCCGACTTGGGCGTGCTCTTCGACCTGTACTTGATGGCCGAGAAGTTCCAGATTCCCAACCTGATCGCCGACGTCCTCCAGGTCGTTCGTGAATGGTACAAGTTCAGCGATTCGTACCCAGGCCTGCGTCGTGTGCAGTACATCTACGCCAACACTGAGAACGGCAGCCCTATGCGCCACATGCTCGTGCACTCGATCGCGCGCATGATGGTGCTCGAGAAGGGTCTCCCTGCGCACTGGGACAAGGCGTTGCGCAAGAACGGCCAACTTGCTGTTGACGTTATCTGTGCAATCCAGGACTGGCGACTTGACGAGGAAGTCGTCCCTGATGCGCGTGACGACCCTGCCGAGGGTGAGGAGCTCATCGACGTCGAGGAGGAAATCAAGCAGAATGACGCCGAGCTTGAGCAGAATGCTGATATCGAGGACAACGCATCCGAGTCTGTCGAAGAAGCCGAGGCCGAGGAGCAGGAGGAAGAAGAGGAGGAAGAGGACGATGCTGAGGAGACAGACGATACTGTTGTCGGCAGCCCAACGCAGAGCAAGCACGACATCTCCAAGTCCGACAAGAAGGCCACCAAGGGCGCTTCTGACAAGGTCGATGACCTAAAGAAGGATTTCAGCAAGTTCAGCCTCAATGCTGTGCCCAACGGTCTTACCAACGGTGACTTCGGCTCGCTGAAGGCCTAGATCTGTTGACGTACAACTTAACTATGCTGAGGCTCAACCACTTCCAGGCTCAACCACTTTCAAGCTCGACCACTTCCAGGCTCGACAATCCCTCCCTTTGAGCGCAGGCTCGCTTTGGTAAAAATTTGCATGATGGAAACGAGACATGTTGCATAAAGGCGTCCAGGTTGCTATTTGGATTTCGAAACGCTCAATATTCTCAGGTTTACTTCTCTTCTCCCTAATGCCTCTACGGACGGCTTATTGCAATGTAGTGTACCATATCTTGACATCTTGGCTTGCAATTAAAACCCTAGTTCCAATCGAACCATCTCTCCTCGTGACATGCACCCCCGGTCTGTAACACTCCTTCCGTCAATGCATGTCAGATGCACCAGACTCGCTACTCCCGACGGACTGGTCGTTGGCACCCAGGCGGTCTGGGGATCTACACTCGACCATGCTGTCTGGCGATGTCTGGTCCATCTCGGCCACTGCGCCGAGGGCGCGGGCCTCGACCACATAGAGCGCTCGGGACCTTTCGAACCTGCATCGTACCTGCTGAGGGGTAGCGAGTAATGGTCCGTATCGCGGCTACGGAGTGCGCGAGGTGCGAGCGCCGACCCATGCAGGTAATTCTCGTAGACTCTGGCTGTTGTACGGTTTGTATTCACAGCTGACGGGACACGCCCCTTAGGGACAAGGCTTGTCTGCTTCAAGCACAGCATCCGCCTCCATTAGACTACGTGTGGAGTCGCACGAGGTCTGGCCTTTGAGAGTGCATGAGTACAGTTTGAGGCTACGTCTGGCCTCGAGAAAGACGGCCTCCGATGCGTCTGTGCATATACTGCACCCAGACGCGCCTGGCCAGGTACTTGACAAGATGCAGCATTAGGCAAGAAGGCATTCTCTTCTTAGGATGAACAGAGGGAATCATTCGGTCGCAGCTATGTAGCTCATTGGCTACGGTGAAGCTGGGTTGAATCCTACAAAAAGGCTAACTGGTTGGTTGGACGTGCCTGGTGCGTGGTTTTTGGAACACTTTACGCAAATTTACGAGGGATGTCTTCCAGCAGGGTAGGTAAAGTTGAGGAACTAGGCTGAAGGTGCCGCTCGTTGTGAGAGGAGCGGATGTTTTCGCAAAAAAGAACTCGATTAGTATGTAGTCATAGTCTGAGTCCACATCACCCCGTCCAATCTGAAGCTCGAGGTAGATTGTCCTCTCCATCGCGATTCGGATATGAATATCATGGCACGACGGACTAGAGTTGCGACCGAGTGACTGGGGCGTCTTGCATATGAGAAGGATGTAGCGAACAGCCAGAGCAGATCAAGTAGATAGCAATACGATATGCGCATTCTGGTGTCGCTGCTACATCTCCACAATGAGTGTATTCATATTAATTCACAGATGGGTGAGGAAGTCTTGGATTGTACACCAGTGGACCATGCCTTGTTCTTGTTCAGTGTTCTTGTTGCGTGGAGAGTTTCGCTCTCGAATATGTACCTACCATAGGTAGCCTTTCATCGCAACCGTGAAACCGTACGGTTTCATTGAAATAAACCACGTGCGCGGCTATGACCGCGTCACGACCGTGATGTACGTGAGCAGCCACGAGGTAACATCGCGTACATCTGCACGTCGTCAGACTCGACTAGTCTGCTACTCCGCACCTAACTACTCTCCACACCCACGATGCTCCAGTCGCACCCCGCAATCCGAGAGATTGTCTACTGGATCTGCGGGCATGGAGATCGTGGTTCGCAGATGTCAAATGCTATCAGGACCCTCAACACTGGCCTCGGTGAATCACGTGCGCGCGGGTGGAAGGAAGCTGAAAGAGCAGAGCCTCCCGCAGCCGCACCTCGGTGAAGCTCCGATCTCGCGGAACGGTTCGAATTTCGTGGCTGGCGGAAGGTATGCCTTTCGCGACACGTTCATGTGCACAAGATCACTCAAGGCGCGGGTGGCTGATGATGGCTGACATTGTTCTCTCCGGTCCTGCTTGGCTTGTGAACTCTAATTAGTCCACAGCATGCATGCCGCAACGTAGAAGCTCGAGGACGAAGCTTGAGCGCACGCTACCCTATCAGTAGACTCCAACACCTGCATCTGCGGGCGTCTTGCCCGTAACTGATCCTGGGCCGTGAAGTGAGCGTGTAGGTGCGAACGCGCGAAACTGGGAGGATCCCCACCCAGTCAACGCGGCCCCGACTCCTCACGCCCTAGTTCGAAGGTGTAACAGAATACGAGCACGGACACGAATGCACTAAAGCAATAGGTAACACTGTGTCGACCACACCTCAGCAGTGTGATGTATCCCTTCTGCCTGACAGGACGTCCACATGGTGTTTTGGAAGTGATAATCTTTAGCATGCGACTGCGTTGAAATGACACTCTGCTTCTCTTTGACGCCCAGCTATCGTGTGGGCCCGGTTACCGCGTGGAAGGGTTGGCAATCTCTTTGTTGGTCCCGCGTTTGCAACGCTCCATGACCAACAACTGGTAATGAAGTCCTAACCTATAGAGGATGCAGCTAAACTGCTATCTGCACTCCGTCCGCTGACCATCCCGCACGTCGGGGTATCACGCCGCGAAAGCTGACCCTGTTGGTGAGAATCGGCAGTGGAGAAGCTGGGAAACCTGGGGTTAAGCTTTGGGGCGCCGGATGAATCCAGTTCTGGCGTGCGGGGGCGGGCTAAGCGTTGATATGATAGGCTGCTACTTAGCGGCAGGCTGCCTCGATCGCAGAAAAGGCCGAGGGCCTTGGCAAGACAAAGCCACCGACAATGCGCTACCAACTGTTCCGGTGGGCTGACCGCTGCTAATGAGAGCCTCGCCGCACAGAAGCAGATGAAAGCGAGGTTGTGACATCGAATCACGCGCTTTGCGGTCGGCGTAAGACCGATCTAGGACTTAGGTACTGTGATTGATGGAATGTTGCGAGGTTATCAAATCCTAGAGGCGGCCCCTGTATTGTTTAAAGGTGGATGCTTTTCCCCATCGCTCGGTTCTCCAGCTCTTTCCCCAACTTCCCCACACACTTGCTGTTGCGGCCCACATCAGCAAACATGAGTGAGCCCATCGACCAGAAGGCGCTCGAGGCGCGAAGCGAGAAGGGTATCTCTCAAGTTGAGAACCACCACAACCTCGATGACTCGAACAACCTTGACGCCGAGGCGAAGATGGAGTCGTACAAGGCCGCTGCCATGGCGGCCGAGGTCGAGGAGCAGCAATCCGGTGTTCTCCAGGCCGTGAAGGAGTACCCCATGGCTGCCACCTGGGCCTTCATCATGTCGTGCACGATCGTAAGTCACCTTTGTGATCTTTCTCGCAAAAGTATATGCGGCTAACATCAATTGCAGATCATGGAGTCATACTGTGTCTTCCTCATGGGCAACTTCATTCCCTTGCCTGCGTTTGCAAAAAGATATGGTGTTCTCAGCCCAACGCTTGACGATCCCAATAGGCACCTCATTGTGGCTAGCTGGCAGTCCGCTCTCCAAATGGGTGGACCAGTTGGTGCGATTATCGGTGTCATGTTGGCTGGCCCCCTTACCAGCAGGATCGGATACCGATGGGCGACTATTACGGGCCTGATGCTTTTGAACTGCTTCATCTTCGTCATGTACTTCGGCGATTCGCTCCCAATCTTTTTCGTCTCCCAGCTTCTTGAGGGAATTCCCTGGGGTATCTTCATCGCGAACGCTCCGGCGTACTGCAGTGAGATTACTCCCATCCAACTGCGAGCTCCCGCTACTCAGATGTTGCAAATGTTCTGGGCCATCGGCGCCATTATTGTTGGTGGAGTCACGTACTACTACAACCCGATCGAAGCCCCGATCGCTTTCAGGTATGCACTGTTCTGTTTCACATGCTAGGTGGAATCCAGCTGACACGATCTCCAGGGTTCCAATTGCCCTTCAATGGATGTTCCCGACTCCTCTCGCTATTCTTCTTTACCTTGCACCTGAGAGCCCCTGGTGGTTGGTCCGAAAGGGCCGTCTCGAGGAGGCTGAGAAATCGGTTATTCGTCTGGGACGCAAGACAAGGGTGAATGCCAGCGAGGCAGTCGCCATGATGCGTCGTACCGTTGATCTCGAGAAGACCATCAAGGAGCCTAACCTTGTGGAATTGTGGAAGGGCACTGATCTTTACCGTACCCTCATTGTCTGTGGTGTATACGCCGCACAGAACTTGACTGGTAACCTTATCGCCAACCAGGCTGTCTACTTCTTCAAGCGTAAGTCGGACTGTTCGCGATTCCATTTGGAGCAGATTCACTGACTTGATTGCAGAGGCCGGCATAGGAACTGACACCGCGTTCGCACTGGGTCTTATCACATCAGCCCTCCAGTGGGTCTTCGTCATGCTTTCGTGGATCTTGACCTCGTACCTCGGCCGCCGTACTATCTACGTCTGGGGTTCGCTGATCAACGTTGCCTTCCTGGTGGCCCTTGGTATCGCTGGATCTGTTGGTGCATCGACCGCAGCCTCGTTGGCACAGGCATCGTTGGGTCTCATCGTTTCCGTTCTGTTCACCCTGGGTCCTGCTCCTGCTTCCTGGGTCATCATCGGAGAGACATCCTCCATTCGCCTCAGGCCTCTGACAACCGGTGTCGGACGTGCCGCGTACTACATCGTGAACATCCCGTGTATCTTCCTCGCAAGTTACATGCTCAACGCTGATGTAAGCAAAATTCTCCTCCGACTCTTACAGTACTGACTCAATACAGCAAGCCAACCTCGGTGGAAAGTGCGGTTATGTCTGGGGCGGAACTGGTTTCGTCTGTTTCGTGCTGGCCTACTTCTTCCTTCCTGAGATGAAGGGCCGCTCTTACCGCGAAATCGACATTCTTTTCAAGCGCAAGGTCCCGGCCCGCCAGTGGACCAAGACCGTCGTCGACATCGAGGCCGACGAGTAAACCGAGCCATGAAAAGGAACGAGGCATGAGAATGTCTAGTCTAGGCTTCAGATCGGAGAAGAAGCGTGGTAGCGGAGTCTGTTCTCTGTACAGCTATATTTAACGACGAGAGGCGGTCGATCAATCCTGACAACTTGGATGATCATAGTAGCCTAGTAATTGCAATATTGCGTCGCATCGACCGATGATTTAAACAACTCGGATTCTTGCAATGTGCTTTGACCCGTGCGCCCATGCTTTCCAAGCTCCGTATAAAGTCGTCAATATCAAGCAGTTTGACGACGTATCGGCTGGTGCTGTTGAAATATGCCACTACAGACTACAGATGATCTGAGTTCATTACGCTCTGGTAAGGTAGATCACAGAGACAGAGGTGAATGGATTCCGGGACATCCGGATGATCCGAAGAGGACAAAGTGAATACGCGAGAAGATTCCCGTCACCGCATGTTTCCCCGGAGACGAAGCCGGATGCCGGCAGTGACATACTTTCGATCCATTCTGCCATGAATTATCGCGATTGGCGCCCGTTACTTGTCGCGGTTGGCGCGTTACCGCGAAGCACCCTTGCTATAGTAGGGCTGAAGTATTTCAATATATAGCTCGAATCAAGGTTCGCAAGGGTGCGAAGACATGCAGGGCAAAAGTACAGGCAATGAATGTTAATAGCATGCCTGTCTCAATAACGATATTTCGGTACCAGCGTGCACTTTATTGCACTAAACTTAGCTGGTCAGTGTATAATACTACAACTATTAGGAGCAAACGACCAGGTTCGGAATGATGCTCATCCAATTGGTTCTCACCAAACGGTCCGTCGTATCGTTCCCGACATACACTAAGATGATTTTCGTAGAGGCGATGAACAGTATCGGGCCTTACTGTTACTGACTCTACATAGTCTCGTCGTCAAAATTGAGTCATTGTCACAGAGGCTATAATACCCTCAAATATGTAGCATGTCACTCCAACAGCTTCTCATGGTATCGCGCTGCCGATCATGTAACTGCACACTGTCGGCCGTAATTAATATCAACCGATGGTGCCTGAGATGAGACAGGAGCTTACGTAGCTTTGTGTACATATCATGACAATAATTCGGGACGACATTGTAGAACTCATATCAAGTCCATGCTTCAGGAGAGATATGACGAGGATTAGGTGATTATATCTTGTAACAGACAACTAAAATTTCATCGGCAACTTCTCGTATGCTTCATAATACGTCAATGATCCCTCAAGTGATTTCCCATAGAGAATTTGACGCATATTTTCTCTGAAAATGAGTGAACCCCTGGTTTCGAAGTTAGAATCGAAGTTACCTTTAATGCTTGCAAGTCTTCGAGGACCCGAGACCTGCATCATCGAGAGTTAACCTCTTGCCTGCTCTTACAGATTATGTACGTTCGTATCTTTTTTGATGGAAATACTCTCAGAGCTTGTCATGATCCGTGTCACAATCAAGTGTCTATTCGGTGAGACAGTTTATAGCCCACACGAAATATTCAGATGGCGCCATGGTAATATTGGCCTTGTTGTGTAAGGCAGATGGTGTGAAAGCGAGCGACAGAAAAAGCTGATACACGTGAGTGTGGGTGAGAAGGACGAGCTCCAGTAAAACGAACGGAATTGGGGAGAGCAGTGACAGTATAAGAGTCAGCGGCGAGCGAGCTTGCACTGCTGGAAGTGACGTTGGACTAGAGCGTGAGCAGAAGGTGCGTATAAGAGCATCTTCATTCAAGATTGTCTTCGTGTATTCCATACCTCATCACCTCTGGTACATAGATCATGTTACCTGATGGAGGCGAGACTGCACGTGCTATAATCCATGAAAAGCCCGAGAGCAATTCACTACAGTACAACGAGAGCTTGCGGGGATATCTTCCACTGCGTAACTATTTCCGCAATAGTACGCAGTAGCTGCTCGTTCATATGGCTGTTTATACAATTTAGCGTAAAGTTGCCCATCGAACCGCTCTGTAGTAGCACTCCAACTGTAATCGCCTCGCAGTCCTGATAGCGCACCTCTAACGATTCGGCTTGGTAGACGTTGAGTCTCCTCGCAGATAAACTTTCGTTTCTATGTGTCAGTGCTGGTGCTGATCAGATCAAAATGGCAACAAGAACACTCTCCGCCATGTCTTGCAGACCGTACTGCGTATGTAGAGCATCTTGATGAGGACCTGTAAGCACTGGCTTCTGGGCGTTCATCAAGACACTGTTTGACTCTGCAAGTCTGATCTCACAACTTGTTTGCTTGTTGTCGCTGAGAGGCTATACTGAATCGCGATTGAGTCAGATTCTCGAATCTCGATGTCGACGGATCGCAGCACCTTGCTGAAGGTCGTCAGTAATTGCCCGTCTCGCATGGTTTCCGAGGTTATGTTCCACTCATACAAGTCTTGTTTCCGCGTCTTTATGGTCACTGCCGTGGGTGGGTGGTACTGCCCGAGGCGTTGGTAATTGGCCCGGCTTCCCTGATCTGGAGACTAACATTGAAACCGGCCCGTGTACCCCTTTTTCGGCAGAGTCAAGTGCAAGGTCGTGTCTACAGGCCTGGATTACTGGGAGTTGGTCCATCATATAGGCATTATAGGTGATACACATACTTGGAGGCGAGAAGAATAGCTCGGGTTGTCTACTAAAAGTCAGTCCGCCAGCATCCTGTGTAGATAATGATTTGCCAGCCTAATTTTCCTAACACCGGCCACAACTTCCGTATTGTGCAATGGATGTTCTTCCCGCGCAACACAATGGAAAAGCTTTCGACGCTTGGTCATCTCGAACCTACCAACTCGAGTCTCGAGTCTAATGAAAGACAGCTGTTTCTACATCTCGCAATCAATCCGTACCATGTCTCTACTGGATATGATACTCGAACCATGGCCACGTGGACGACTCGGCTTAGATACTTACCATGAGTCTCATGCTAATTGTGAGCGGTGCTCGCTTCGAGGATAAGCTCCGACTGGACGGGTTCTATTGGATTTGTGCGTACCAGGATCTGTATGGGCGGAACTCGACGGTCCCACGGTGTCAGTCAGCGGGTGTGAAACTACCTGCTGATCATATTCTAGAGCAAGTCTCTGTGGTCTCAGATATGCGTGGACATGTCTCACACTGGTGCTGGAGGAGTGCGCAATTTCGTCAGTCAACGGATTAAGATAAGGTTTCCTGCAGGACGTCCCACCTTGCCCGGAAGCCTGAGTCTCGATAGCTGCATGTATGCATTCAGGTGATGTTGAGGCGAAAATGCTCATCCTGCAGTGCAAACTCCGGTTTCCAAACGCGAGACATTCAAAATCCTCTCACACAATCGCTAACGCAGATTCTGCAAGCGAGCTGTCGTACATCTGTAATCTGTTCGCCCTCTCGGAGGCATCGTGAGTCGGACTATTGAAACTGCCGCTGGGCACACCGCTCTAGTCAGTTCTCCGCTGCTGTGTCCAGGACTCACGGAGAGCGTGTCGAATGGTTTTACTCTGGCATGCGGCTCGTGGCTCGATCTGTCTAGTAACGTCAAAGATACACGGGTACTTGCACGAAACAGCACTCACGAGCCACAAAGACGCGGGATCGCCCGCCCGCTATACGGATGCGCGCATGGCGGTGTGGCCCGAGACGAGCTGTCGTTTACCTTACCTACTGGCCCGAGGACTTTACATCGTGTGCAGTCTCAGGGATGTCTGCTTTGATCGACGTGCAGCTCGTTTGCTGAGTGGTGCGACGTGCGGGGAAGTACAAGTATTGGTACGACGTGCAGCGCATACCAAAGTTGTGGTAGTAACGGGCATGTGCGGCTCAAAGTAGATGGAATAGAGGGGATTAGGACAGTGGAACGACGATTAAAAGATCCATTGGGCAGGTTACACAGCGTGGTAGTACATACGGTTGTAAGGCAGGGGCACGCAAAGATATTCTGGATTGATTAGACATGTAGTGGTGGCAGTGTGAAGTTGGGGAAATGCTGACATGGACCTGTGGCTACTATGTAGGCTGTGGGTTCGGATCGTTGATGGAGATACCAACGATCGTTTGATGGCAGCCAGGATGGGTGAGGCCACTGGTGGTACCATGCAGCCATGCATATGATCGGCCTGCACGTTGGCGATACAGCAGTACATGTGATCTGAGGCTCCGTGCGGTGCATATCTCAGTGCATCTCAACACCGCGATCTGCTTAGATTTGCAACGTAACGGGCTCATGGACTCCCTGCGCTCTAGTCCAACTGACATTTTCCGGTACGTATACCTAGTACTCATATACTCGAAATAGCGTTTCCGTAGATCAGGTGCCTCTTTGGTTCAAGCTCTCGCAGGGCCTGTCCCGGTCGTTCGGTTGCATGCAAGTCACCGTTGCGACCCACACGGTTCGCTCGATGTCGAAGCGACTACCGCTTCTGGAAGAGATAGGTAGAGTAAATTTTACACCGTACCTGATCACCGCTGCAGCAACGGTTGTGTGCCCGGATGAAGTGAAGGCCCCTTGAGCTGCCCCGAGCCTCTCCAGAATCTATCAATGCAATGCAGGACCCTACCAGTCCTTGCACATCACGGGAAATTTGATCGGCTGCAGACAGCCTGGGCGCACACGAGCGGAAATGAGGTCTTCGTCTTTGGGCAGCGGGAACTGGGCGGAGCGGAGAACATCATCAGCAGCACTCGTAGTGTTTGATTGATGCCATGATTCGAGGAGCTGGGTTATCTTATAAAGGAGGGTCAATCTCAATTAGGCGCTGATCTTGCGACTGCAGCATATGAGTGTCATGCGGTTGTGCTCGTGCTTCTGACAGAAGTGACAGACGGCCGTTTGGAGCTGAGGCAACGGGCAAGGGCCGCGTGTTGAGACGAAATTAGACGTCTGGCATGCGACGTCTTGGACGAGGTGCTCTGGTGTTAGGATGTCTGGGCTGCAAACAAAGCAGGCGTGGGCTGGGCAACGGCACGTATTAATCTTGGAGCGGTTATGCATTCTTGCAGCGAGGGAGTTGCGGTCCGAGGGATGCTCGAAGGAGGCAAATTGCGAGCATGTAAGGGCATAGTGCTGGAGATCATATACGCTATTGACGGCCTGCTATTACCCACAGCCAGGTTGATGCTGAGCACCACGTGGAAGCAGTGGCATGAGGGCGAACGAGGAGTGGGGGTCACATGATTGGCGAGCAACGGTGCTGGGCGGCGTGGTGCTGCGGCCGTGCTGGTGCGGTGGGCAGGGAGTTGCTGCTGGGTGGTGCTGGTGTGTCGGCGGTGCTGCGCCGGGGGCGGAGGTTTTAGAGTGGAACTGGACAAAAGCTGCACATCAGGTGCAGAAGGTGCGTCCGTGTGCGCGGCGCGCTGAAACGATGGGCGTGGAAGGCAGGCGGACAGGCAGCAATTGGCTGCCTGTCGATAAGACCGCTTCGAGCGTGATCAAACCGCGTGAAACATTGAAACCCGTCTAGTGGCGGAGGAGCGTAAGCGGGCGGGGCGGGCGCTGATTGGCGGGCGCGCGGTATTGGCAATGGATGTGCAACACGCTGCAGCGCTGGGCGGCCAGTCAGGGCGGCGTTACACGCGCAGCTGGGGCGAGCAGCACGGCGCCGCCTGGCGGGCGCTGAGTGGTGCTGACGGCTGCAGGCCTCGCGGTTCAGCGTGGCCGTGTGCGCTGGTGCGCTGGGGCTGCCGGTGCGCTGCTGGTGCGCCGCTGGTGCGCTGCTGCAGCGTGTCGGCGGGCCGGGGTCGAGGACAGGCGAGGACAGGGAGCGCGGCGCGAGCAGGTGGGCCGTCCGTTGCTTCGAGCAGCCTGAAACACCCGTCCTTCGTGTGGCGCCCGTCTGCTGTAACGGGAGCGACACTCTGCTCGCCCAGGCAGGCAGGCCAGCGGAACCAGCAGTGGTCCACTGGTCCAGCACCAAGCATGCAGGCCGGGGCGCGAGTGGCCCAACCAGCGCGCCCGCAGCGACACCCTGGCCCGTCGCTGCTGCCCCGGTGGCCGTCTCGCTCTTTAGCAGCGCCGTCCGTGCCTGCCATTTTACCTTTGTATCCCCTCACGGCCTCGCAGCTGCCTTTGAGTCCTGCCTGCCCTCCTGAACTGCGCACTTGCCGCGCTCACCGTCTTCTCGCCCCGTGCTGCGCTCCAGTTGCTCCAGTTGCCTGCCTGCCACCGCCCCGGCCTGCCCCGCCGTCCCTGCCGCGGCCTTTCTCGACGCGCAGTGTAGCGGACTTGGTCTAAAGCATCCTGCGACACTCCTACAATCTCTGCCCCTCCCTCACTCTCGTGCGGGCCACCCTACGACGCAGCCATGACCTCCGTCGTCGCCAATTCCCCGATCCCTGCCCAGTATGCGGCACCAGCAGCCGCAGACGGGGTCGGCTCCAGCAGAACATATGCTGCCATTGCGCCCTCCACCGTCTCTCCCCTCAACGTGACGCCCACCTCCAAGCACTCACGCCTGCCTGACTACAATGCTTCACCTACCTCCTCCAGTAGTGACGCAGCCATGCAGCAGAGAGCGGAGGGAAAGCGCTCGCCTCTTTCGTACGTCGTTCAGTCTTTCGTCTCGCTCTCCTTCGACGCACCGCCGTCATCCTTCTTCCTCCTCTCCCACCTCCACCTCGCTGTCGCCGCCGCGCTTCGACGCCTATCCATGCACTCCCAAGTCTAACCGCCCTTCTTCGAGCAGGTCACGCGGCCCCCCGGCGCCCAGAATAGTCGTCAAGAAGGAGCCTGCCTCGCCCGACATGCCCTCCACCACCACCCGCCACCGCCCCCGCCGCCTGGACCTGTCCAACCACAACATCGTCCACTCGTCCGGCGCCCTCACTGCGAGGCCCTCTGGCCCCGGCAGCGCCAACGTCATGGACATGGGCCTCGCCTGCCTGTCGCCCGGCTTCCACACCCAGGACCCGACCATGCGTTCGCAGCTGCAGCGCAGTCTGGACGTCCGCGAGAGGCAGAGGCAGATCATCGAGGCCCGCCAGAAGAACGGCGGCAAGGGTGCCCCGGTAGAAGAGGAACCCCCGCGAAGCACCGAGATCGGTGCCTTTGGACGGACCATCAAGACGCCCCAGACATCGAAGAGGAAGGGCCCTCCCCCTGGTCTCACCATTGCACCTCCCGCACACCAGACCTTCGCCAACGACAGGATCATCCAGTCGGCACCCATCAACCAGACCTTTACCGGCCTTCGCAGCAACACACTGCTTTCGAGGCAGATCGCCAATGGTCCCTCAGGTCTCTCGCAATCGTCACACATCCACCATGTGCCGGCGCACCAGACCAACAACCGTCTGCCACCCATCTCAGACGTCTTCCCAGAGCCTCTTCACACTGCAAGGAATCATCACAGCCCTGGTCATTCATCGCACTCCAACAACCAGCCACCACTGCCATCTCCAGGATTCGCTGCTCCCCACTCTGTACCACCACCACTGACATCAAGGCCCCGCGAATACAAGTCCGCTGAGGAGGCAGTGCAGTCGCTCTCTGGTGGCCGTGAGGATCTTCTGCCCCGTCTGGTCCACTACGGCGGTCACCAGCCCCCAACACCACCCTCACCCATGCCCAAGAACGGACAGTCAGCCTACGCTCCACACCCTGACGTTCTCCGCAGTGGCAGCTCCAGGAGGCGGGGTCGCGACGAATACGAGCGAGACAACGGCACTCCTCCCCTTGGTCGCCAAGCACCCCGTATCGGACCGTTTGGAGAGGGTCGTGACTCGCCAGAGACACAGCAGAAGAAGAAAGAAGAATTCATTGGTCTGTGTGCAAGAGCCTGGGACCTGTTCCATTCGTAATATCTACCTGCCCTCGGGCTACTTCGATACGCTTTCTGGACTAAAGGCTTGACCAACAACACTCTATTTTTGGTTCCATCGGCGAGCCTTTAGCATTGCTCGCACACTACCCTTTCTTCTCGTACTTCGCCATATTTCAGCATGCGCGCACTTAGTTTCTCCATCCCTTCGAAAAGCGCCAGCAATCTAATGGACCCGGCACGGATATAGCTTCATCGACTACCTCATACATACGAGACTTCCATTTGTCCATCAAACTTCTAAACGCTTAATCTTCGACGAGAAGATGCTAGGGATTCTGGCACGCCATTTACGCTCCGCTCTATTGTTTGGATTTTGCCTTTCAGGTATCTTGAAACATACGATGTCTCATGATCATTCCTCATTAACTTTCTTCTCACTGGGCTGGCATACCACTGCCCATATACCCTAGGGGGCGTTTCGGGATTCTTCACTTTGTTTGTTATTCGCTCGACGGGAGCTCAAGGCATGGGTGGGTAGCAAGTGTGGTGATTGGATAGGAGAACAAGGTGCATCTTGAGGCACCGGCTGTTTGGGAGCACGGTGGCTGGGCAGTGCAGGGACTGCAGCCATACGAACGCAGGGTAGGCAGATCCGTCGCACAAATTTGAGGTGCCGTGACGCCACCTCATACAAGACAAGAATCAAGACGTTCAGTCCCCAGACAACAAACATTCTGATCGCCAGATCATCACTGCCGTGCAATACTCACCAAAACTCGTCTGGTCTGATGACTCCCAGCACAGGCAAAACTGACGACCCGCTGGTGATCGCTGCAAGCATTCCGAAACGTTGAACGCATGGACCACGCGTTAGTCGAAACAGCCGCCCTTTTGCTCGTGTGCCGTCAATCTCCAGGGTCAGTGATAGAGACCTGAAATCTCGCTGCTTGCCTAATCTGGAGCTGAACGCGTTGTCACATGCGTGGTTGTTCAAAAGAAACTCGCAAGTTGGGCCCTTCAATGACAGATGCCGAAGCAGGCAAGATTCTCGGTGCAAGATTTCTTCAACTTTCGGCAACATTTGTGTTCAAAAGTCGCGGAGCTGTGTTCCATATTTGGTCAGAGTATGCGAATTGAGAGCTTGTGCCGGCAACTATGAAAGTCCGCGTGCAAAGGTACCACTCTTCAGGAGGCTGATAGTTCTGATGACCTCGGGTTGCCTGCGGGCGGCTCATTCCGCAGACCCCAACACGTGCGAAAGCAGCCCTTCGTCCAGCGCCGAACCTTCCAACGCGGGCTTTCGTAGTTGCCGGCACAACACAATTGGATCCCCGGTCCACACAGGCATGAACGAGTGTTCCGATGAGACGGCACACAAGACTGCTAAAATTCTCCGTCGATGCATCGTCTTCACGCCGTGCACATTTGGCTCAGTGCTGCTGTCTTTGAGTGGCTACATCCCTCCCATGATTCAAGGACTGAGTTTGCAGCAGGCGGCGGTGTGCACCACCTAAGCGCCAGCTCTGAACGACGAGCCTCGCGCATACACAGTATGTGACTCGTGTGCGGGTGTTGAGCGATCGGATCGCTGCCGACCCCACCGCGACGAGCGGTCGGGACGTTGAAGGCGAGAAGGCCTCTGAGTCGTCGAGGCGAGTCGGATAATACGAGTCGTGCGTGAACACAGGTTGGTGGATGCTGCGGTAGTGAGGCTGGGGAGCTATTGAATGGCTATTTTGGGGTGGTACGATGTTGCGTACGATGCTGACGTGTTTACTCGACGTCGATGTGTGCTTGCTGTGCTCAGTGAATGGTTGTTAGTGCTTATGTCTTAGTTGAAAGCTATGATAGTCGGACAATACTGATGGTGTGTGTATATGGTCGCCGATTCATCGCATCAGGGTTATACCACGACGCACTCACATAGTGCCAAGAAGTATTTTGTCACAGTAACGTCTAAAGCGTCATTTGATGTGCATTATAGCTTTGAAAATTACAGTAGACTCCTAATGAATTATGCACAGGAAGCCAGCCAGAGCGTCGAACGGCTGCCGGCTTATTTACCCGATCATCTCGTGGTAGCGTGTAATGGTCTTGGCTTGATGTCCGCCATGTACAGTTGAATTGCTCCGACTGTGCGTGTGTACCAAAGCACTGCGAAGAGCCGAGGCATCATAAGTGGGATTACTGGGTTCCACTGGATCCACCGGACGCCCATGCGGCGGAGTGGCTGGACCTGCATATGTACACATCTTGCATGGCTAGCTGCCGCTTGGATTTTGTGCGCGACAGAATTTGGTCTGGCCGGCGGTAGGGCTGAGGTGAGATGTTGCCAACGGACTTCCACCACGCTGACGAACCCTCGTCGTCTGTGTCGCTGCCAGATGTGTCCGATGCAAGGTTCCGAGATTCCCTGCCTCCAGATGGCTCACTTTCCTGATGCAGGTCATGAACAGAGCGTCTGCGTGATGCATGGTGGTCAATGGGAGGGACACCTAGTCTGGCTACGGTTAATGTGTGCTCAGAGCGGGACCTGCGGTGGTTGGAGATGCGAATCTTGGGCAGCGTCTCGTCAGCAGAGGGAAGCGCTGGTAGAGACGCAGACCCTGGTTGAGAACTCGGCTCCTGTCCAAGGGCTGTAAGTCTAGCAAGTGCTTCTTGTCGAGGAGTCGATGCGGTAGATGACCCGATACTGGTCAATGCTGGCGATAAAGGCCGAGGGCGAGATCTGTTCAGCAAACGTCCTGTGTCTTCAGTAGGTGACGTGGGACTAGCTGGAGAAGGCCTCCTTCCTGGTGGCCTCTGACTTCGGTCCAACAAGAAACTGGCTCTAGTATCAATTGGCTTCGCATATTGTAAAGCTGGCAAAGCGGATACTTTGCGGTTACGTCGAGAACCTGAGCGAGATCTAAGCGTTTGTTGGTCGGTATTTGTTGTGGACATCGAATCGGTCGATCTGAAAGACGACAGTAGACCCGATATGCTCCGGACTGGTGAAGATACGGGTGTGACTTCAGGTGTGATAGTAGAGATCACTAGTCCATTGTTAGCATGTGTAGGAGAATCCATGGGATGCAGTCTTTGCGATATAGAACAAGAGTTGCGTAAGACCAAAATGACTGACCTGAAAGATTTGCATTTCGTTTGCGCAACTGCCGTACATCGTGTTTCAATGTGCCAAGTACTTCCTGCCGCTCTGGCGCTTCCAGTTCAGTAACCCATGACAAGAACAACTTGTATTGTGCGGTCATGCGTGGATCAAACACCAATAATTCCTCGTGGTCACCTTGCGGCCCAGTTGAAAAAGATGTTTCCTTTCGCACCGAGTTCGGTGCATTCTGATTAGAAATTTCCCCGCTAGGGGCTTTATCCAGCAGCTTCAACGAGATGTCGTCTGGAACCGTCCCAGAATCTTCCTGTAGACTCAACGACCAGCGCTGTGATAGTCTCTTTTTGTCGTCCTCTAGCATGCTAGAAACCCGTTTGCTGTGACGGACAATCTTTGCTTCAAGGTCTTCGTGATCGATTACTGCAACTCTCGAAAGGCTGGATCTTATGGACCGGATTTCTTCTCGAGCTGAGCTGACCAAGCCAGAGTCCTCTGGGTCAACATACATCACGATTGTATCGTAAGCCGGTGGGCTGGAGACTGGAGCCACATCAAGTATACTGGTGGATGACTCTGCCTCCTCATATTGACGTTCGGCCTGTGCAAGCTCGATTAAAGTTGCTTCGCGATCCAGTTCGAGACTTTCGAGTAGTGTTTGATCCTGCCTATCCTGAGCTATAGTGGCTGCGTTGTGCGGTTCAGATCTACCACTCGTCAGTCACTTGTCGTCTCCACCGATGCAGTGGCAACGCACGTTCGTCTGACCCTCTCAGCTGTGCTCAAGGTGCTCAGCATCAATGTCAGGTTCGTCTTGTAAGCTTCAATTGCGGCTCGCAAGACTAGAAGCTTCGGTTTCTTGAAGACTGCCCATTGGACCCGCTCAACGAGTCCAAAATTACCATCCTTGCCTCCTCTTCCCGTCGTCATCTTTTTAAGTTTGTCCACTGCATTAAGGATCTCTGTGAACATCTGAAGACTGTCATCTGTCATGTCCTTAATCAATTCGGAACAGTGAGCATAACGGGGCGACTTCTCAAGGTTCTCAATCGTTTCGCCAAGGGTCTTCAGGACTGAACAGAATGACCGGATCTCACCACCAATCATCCTTGCCTCGTGGCCAGCTGATCCTACGTCTGCGGAGAGTTGTGACAGCACCAGTGCTACCTTTGTGCCAGCAGAGACGATGCCAATGATACTTGCTGCGAATTCTGCCATAGTTGGGACAAATTACCCTCATGAAAGGGTACGCGCAAACAGAAACTTTATTGACCGATATGAGGGAACTTGATTTTGGATCCTACACATTCTTGTAAAGTGTGAGCACGATCTTGAGGGTGAGGAGAGGCTGTGCATGCTGCACCATGTCATCCTCAGGCAGCAGCCGCAGCCCCCTGTATCATGCAGCACTGCCTCTTCAAACATGTCTTCTCAATCAAAAAACTTGCATCATCGCATAGCTAACACGGCGACAAGCCTCCATCTGAGCGTTCCGAGTGTTTCAGGGCAGATAATTTGCGGAGAATGTGAGGTCGATCAAAAGCGTACCATTCAAACGAGGTGAGACTCGGACGGGCACACGTTCGCCCGGCGGCCGAAGATGCCGCGACCAAGCTCTACCGTCTGCAACCAGCTGTGAGCTCCACGAGCAGGCATCATCACTGTTATTGTCACGAAATGCTCACCTCACTCCCTGTTCTTGCCTCGCTGGCAACTATTACCTCTGCAGCTCGCCTGCTGCTGCAAATTCCTACCACACATGTAGTGAACCCCTCCGCACTCTCCTCCACGACCCACGCCACTCTGCAGTCAAATGGTTCACCACTAGATGCATATCTGACCCGCTCCAACACCTTCAACTTCAACAATGTCAGCGTCGGAAGCTATCTTGCGACCGTACATTGTCGGGACTATGCATTTGAGCCTCTGCGCATCGACGTCAGCATCGAGGAGTCTGTTGAGGGCAGTGGGGAGAAGAAGGAAGTGATCAAATCCTGGCAGACGTTTTTGGGCAATGAGTGGGACAACAAGGGCGAGAGCAGAGGAGAGGGCGGTAACGGCCTTGTTATCGAGGCCAGACCAGTTGGCCAGAAGCAGTTTTATCAGGAGCGTGCTGGATGTAAGTCTTACACTACTACCCATGCGCCTTTAACAATAAACTAACAGCCACAGTCTCACCTCTTTCCTTCCTGAAGAACCCTATGATTCTCATGGCTGTCTTCTCCGGTCTGCTCATGTTTGGCATGCCCAAGCTGATGGAGAACATGGACCCCGAGATGAAGGCCGAAATGGAAGAGATGCAGAAGAATGGTGTTCTGGGCTCGGGCACAACGCAGACGGCGCAGCAGATTCAGAATTTCGACTTGGCGTCGTGGATGGCAGGCAAAACAACGGACTCCAACTCGAACAGCCGCGGTCAAAGTCCGGCTCCAGAGAAGCAGGCTTCAAAGAAGCGCTGAGGTCACAGGTGTATGTTTGTGACTAGAATGGGCAGTAGTGCGAAGAAAGAACGGCGACTGGATATCAATCGAGCTGAGCGAGTATTCTTGATGTAGATATCGCCGACCCCACAAAGATACGACATGTCTGACAATATGACACGGGGCATGTCGCTGTAGATTCAACGGCGAGTATATATGTTTTGCATATTCACGAAATGCCACAAGCCAATCCAACAAAGTTGAAATCTTGTGGCTCAGCAATGCGCCCTCTTGGCTTAGTGGTAAAGCGTATCACTAGTATGACTTCGGTCAGCAAATGATAAGATCGCTCGTTCGATTCGGGCAGAGGGCATCTTTTTGCGCTTGGAACACCTACAATGTAGGTGAAACGCTTGCTATGTTGCGGTGTAAGGTTCATTTTTGGTACCTAATTCGATCTCCCGTTGCCCCACTCACTATGCAATAAGCGAGCCTCACCTGAAGTCTGGCCTCTCCCCGAGTACAATTCAGGCTCCGGTCAGATCATAGTTGGCAAAGAGCGATGTTTTCACGAGGAGAAAGACTACAATTGCTAGACAAATGCTACAGACACAAAGCTTTCAAACAAGGCAGTGGGCTACACGGCGCCGCTCCTCAACGCCCTCATGCCACTCGCCATAGCAGGCTCCACATGCCCTCGAATCGGCATTGTCGCGTCTCTTGTAAACATCAAGATGTACCTCACAATCACACTCTCCACATCCGTCACAAGATGGATTGCTCCACTGACCTTGCTCGCACTACCTACAAGCTCACATCCCAGCAACATCCGCATGTTGCTCAGTCCACTGTTCTTCCAGCTCAGACTTGCAGCGCTGTAGTAAAAGCTCGTTGAAGGATCATCCGAGAGGTATATCCCCTTGCCGTGCGCGGCGCCCGTACGCTGCAGCGGTGTGCCTGAGCAGACGCGCAGACCTTGAGCAAGGATAGCTGGGAGCCGATCGAGAGATGTGCCGTGGAAGAGTGCCATGGTGTCCTTTTTCGTCGTCTGGATTTTGCGTACGAACGCACTCTCAAGCTTGGAGCTTGCGTTGGCTAGCACGAATTGGTGTGTTCCTTGTGGGAGGTTGGGGATCTTGAGGAGCCCAGTTGCCGTGGCCAGGAAGCCGCGATGGTGAACGACGGCCCAGGATATGAGCTTCTCGGCTTGTGGGTGGTAAGACTTGAGTACGGAGGAGAGGTCAACGGCGTCTCGCATGATCCGCATGGTGGGTAAGGAGTTGAGTATAGACTTGACAAGCTCGATACCGCGGATAGGGCAGTTGGGAAGAAGTTCAGGCTTGGAGCTCATTGCTGCTGCGTAGATGGAAGACAGGGCCATGTCCACGGCGAATGTGTCAGTTCGGATCTCGGGTATGCGGACGTGAAGAGGAATGGAATACCAGAGCCGGGCGCAGGTATGAAGAGTGAGATCGCAGGGTGTAGAGCGACGAAAATGGGCTGGTGTCGGTTCTTGTGTGGTAGTGCATGACGCGCAATGTCGTGGTATGCCAGGCAGCGATGCCGTCACATGCCCATGGATGTCGTTGATCCCCGTTTCTCCTTTACGCAGCTTGGAGTAGATGATTCGACCCAACTGCCACGTGAGTCCTGTCTGTTTAGATGTGCATATTTGTTTTGTAGGACTCTCGGATCCTTCTGAGCAGCTGTATCTTGTGTGCGGTGTTGTCTCCATGTGTTGGTCGATATCGTAATGCAAACAAAATGCTGGGGGTGACTCCTTATTTGAGTCAAGCAATATCTGAAGCATAATCGTATTAGCGGCTTCCGGAATGCCCATGGCACCACGTTGCAATTGCGTGAAGGCCGCTAATGAGAATGTAAACTCGATTTCGTTGTCACCAATTCTTTCCACCGAATTCATAACTCCGACGGGGAGCTTTGAGATTTCTTCATCGAGTTCAACCGTATCGGGCATACCAATTTGTTGCAGAAGTAGGGACGTGCCTGGAGGATCCTTCCTCTTCAGTGCCTTCTGCAGGTGTCCCAGTCTGTCTGCTTCTTGAATCAACTCATCTTCAATTTTTTGCCAAAACTTTGTTGCTTCCGCAAGTTTATCTCTCGAGACATGGAGGTCGGTATGCTCGATGCTCAGTAAGTTGGCTATCAAATGGACTGCAGTTTTGGTGCTCTCGGGTGCTTTCGTGTCTAGTAGCCACCCAGCCACCATGACTTCGACAACCGAGGAGGGGACATCATATCTCAAGGTAACAGGTTCGTTTGGAACGAAAGTATTGACTGAATCATTAGCAGATGTCTTTGCGGATGTGAGGTTAGAGATGATGACTGATTTGGGCCGTTCATCGGTACCAGAGGCAGGCGGTTGGCTGCAGCTTGGGAGTCCTGGAATCATCAAGAAGCCGTGTTTCGCATCCCATATATTGCTGCACACCTCTGCAGTTTCTGTAGACGCATCGAGAATGACACAAACACACTGTGAGACCTCCCTATCGTTCTTAGCTTTTGCTGATAACATCCCGACAAATTTATGCAGAAGTGATTCCACGGCTTCTTGTTCCGCGTGTTTCAGAGCCTTCAATATAGCAAGAATGTTGCTTTGTGTGCCACTGCATCCCAGTATGTATCTTATTGCTTCACTTCCATAGCCTAACGCTTTCTCGAGCCGTGTAAGAGTTTTATTGCAAGGCGTCAACTCAGCACAGTGCTTTTGCAATCCGAGTCGTAGTATCAGTGGCACAGCATCATCGTCTTGGGGCAATGCCGGACCAGAAACGAATACGGACTGTACGTCGGTCATAAATGACAGCCACTCTGATGATGTCATAGTGTCGAGAGTATGGTCGAGAAGGCTCACGCCCTCGAAGATGCTAGCGCGAGTCTCTTGCGCAATCAAATGGTATGCCAGGTCTCGCCAACAGAGAAGTTGCGCTTTGAAGTCCTGGGAGGTAGGACAGCTTGCCAGCAGCCGTACGAGTTCCACAATGCTCTGTTGAGGACTTCTTCCCATGGCCCTCAATATCGTCAGGAGATCTCGAACAAGTAGACCAGGACCTAGGTGCTCCTCGGTTGAAGCAAGCCCGTTGAGACATCTGATACGAAGATTCGCGTTCTCGTGTGTGACACCCGCTACCAATACCCCCAATGATCGTCGCTCCTGGGTAAGCTTGGGTGCGAATGATCCTTCCCACACCCGTAAGATCGACTCGAAGGTACGTTGCGAGATGTAGCTAGGGGCTGGTCCTAAGAGGATCCGGTGCGAGATGTAATGCTCCACAACTTCCTCCAGAGAGTGTTTTGGTTCTTCTGTCTGGCCGGTAAGATATGAAGGGGCTGCGACCCGCTGGCAGTGCTCATTTTTGGACCTCAAGTTCCATGTTAACTCGGCTGTAACGGTAGACTGATGACGATCGATCTTTCTTTGAGCATGTGCAGCGGTATGGATATCAATGGCGATCATCATATGCGCCGAAGACGGCAGCAACAAGCACAGTGATTCGATAATCTTCTCTCCCACCACCGGTACACTCTTGGACTGCTTGATTACAGTGCAAAAGGTATGCAACTCAATAGCGAGCTCTGCCCATGGCTGTTCTTGTTTGATGAGCGTGTTGATAGCCGTCTGACCGTCGTGGATGCATCGAGTGATGCCTTGTAGTAGAGTGGGCGTGAAAAGGATTCTGCGGAGGTTAGATGAGCGATCATGGTCAAACAATTGTATGAGCCCTTGTAATTCCTGGATATGGCTTCCATCGAGTTCATCGCGGTGAATATAGATGTGAAGCACAGGATCTGTGTAATCGGGTCCGAGGCTCGACTTGGTGCCTCCTGACATGAATAAAACGGCTTGCACAAGATTCAAAGCTTCTTGCGTCATGGTCCGAGAAATTGCAATTTCCGAGAAAAATCTTATCACCTGGGAGCGATTTGGCCCTGCTGTGGTCAAAATCGATACCAGAATTGAGATGGCGCTTTCCAGCACCTCCCTCAAACCCTCTTTTGTGCGACTGGGCACTTCTATGAGTAATGCCCTGAATTTGGCGAAGCCTCGTCCCGGTTCGTACTGCTCAACCAAACCTTCCCGCAATGTAGCTCTTGTCCCACAGATAAAGTCGGGGCCTTCTAAAGCAAACAGATCCGAGAGCATCGCCGCGCTGTCACTCTCTATGGAGCTTAGAAGTTGCAACAGTCGTAAGTCTGGCCTCCAATTGGCCCAAACTCGCCACACTGGGAACTGAGTGTCGAGTATATGCTCTGGCAGCAGGAAGCCGGGTGGTGTTGAAGCTGGCGATGCACGACCAAGCTCAGCCATCCAATATGAAGCTCCGTAGGCAGCTGTCCAGTTGTTTTTCAATTGTAAACCTTCCAGATGCGCTCCGTAGTCGGTGATGGCTCGACTTGTCAGGCTCAAGAAGTATGGGACTAAGTTCATGTTTGGCGTCGCACACTCCCTCAACGCTCGGCTCACGCCTACCAAGATCTTCCCTGCTGCTCCAGGACCGTGTGTTGCAAAGGGAAGTAGGTGTTGCGCCCATATCGCCTCCAGATCTGTGACCGAGGCAGAGTTATCATGGTTTGCTGCTATAAGACACTGCAACCATGTCTCCACACCCCAGTAACTTCCATGGGCAACATTTAGATCCACGTGGAGGGCTGCTCTCAGACTCCCTGCTGTCATCGCGTGGGCTGCAGCTGCAACAGCAACGTCCTTCGCTTCATGCGAATCAACGAGTATAGCCAGACGCATATCGGCATCTGCTTGTGAAATCTTGCCCTTCTTCTTGAGATAAACATCGGTAGCCTGCCTCAGCTGAGCATATGGGAACTTCGGATCCGAAGGGTGTAGTACGCCAGCAACAGCATCGATCGCTTGATGCCAGTCCTCGCTGTGTTTGGCCTTGTTGAAGAGTAAAGAATGCTTCAAAGGTACTTTTATTCTCGTTCGGGAGTTGGTGACATACATGGTCGTTGTGGTGTGACCTTGAAGATGAAAAGTCGGGAATTTCCATCAAAGATGAATGGTTGGGCCTGGTCATTCAAAAGTCACCCAGGATAGTAGGGGTATACTGACAGTCCTCACCGAAAATTGCGAGTTTGGCTATGAGCTGTGGTGTACCAACTTAGAGGACTAACGTGGGGAAAAGACCAAGGCAGAGCTGTTCACGTGGTCCGCAATAATAGATTTGTTGCACCTCAAGGGTGCCTACCAGGCACGTAAGGCTCAACGAGGCAGCCTCGGAGCGTACCGCACTGCGCAAAGGCTGAGCTGGGAGGCTCATCTAATGGTGGCTTGACCGAGAGCCAAATACGGTTAGAGAAACAGCGATCGTGAACACAAAAGCGACAGCGGTAAGCGAAGAGGCTATGCCGGTGTAAGTAGAGCATGATTCCACGGACGAACTATGTGAGAGAATAAACACGGAAGAAAACAGGTGTCAGGGACGTACACTGCCTCAGAATCCATTGTGCTAAGACATACTGTTGTCTCACTTAAAGACCTCACCTGCCCATGCTGCGGTCGCCGAGCTATTACCGAGTTACCGTAGATCGAAGGAAATGCGTCCAGATGTGCTCGCTGGCATTATCAAGATTGCTTGGCTGACCTGATACGTGGTTGCCAACGGCTAAGTCGGCCACGACAACGGTGATCGTCATTGATCCTCACATGATACTACATTTCTCTCCATCGGGAGCAAGACCTTTCTGCTGTTGCAAATACGCAGCAGCCTGCCCAATGAAATCTCCAGTTTTGTGAAAGCATACTCTGTTGCCTTTAGCATCACGTACCGCTTCGCCAATGCTCGAGTCGTAGGCTTGACCAGTGTGACTATCCTTTGCAGGACATTTGAGCCCATTTACGGCTTTCTGTTCTAGTTCGGGTACTGCTAGAGTGTTAGCATATGTGTAAGTAGCAGTAATGAGAACACATACAGGTCGCAATGTATGCAAGGAACTCATCTACCGCATGGCGGCTCGGCAAGGTGTCGGTTGACTGATCCTCAAGTAGAATGCTTGACAGTTTCTCCATGCGAGCTACGGTTTCGGGGCGAACTCCTCTGGACATTTCCTTCTGCTCGACTGCAAGTGCGGCGAGCGGTCTGGCGAGCGGATGCATGTATATGCCCTTTACATCTTTTGGCGTGAACATCTGCTTGCTCAACGGATTGCGCGGCACCCCACTGCCAGCCTTGATAGCAGCAACTAGTTCCTCCATATCCCACGCATAATTATCCTCGGTGACGTAGAAGTTAGAACGCGGTATGTCTTTGATCGCGTCACCGTACATCGTCTCCGTGTTTGCATAGTTACGGCCGAGTTGCTCGTGCTCGAGGTGCATGAGCGCAACCTCGCAATGGATCTTAAGGTCGTCTGGTAACGCGACTTCTAACGCGGCCTTGCGCTTGACGAGAGCGTCGCGAAGCGTGTCGGTAATCGTACCTGGGGTGCCTCCAAGAGTGTCTTTGTGCCATCTCATCGCTTCCTCCATATCTGTCACAGCAATCGCTGCGGCATTGTCGGGGCTATTTCGCATAGCGCGGGCTGTTGTACCGGGAGAACATGACTGTGGCGATGTATTTACGTGCCCATCAACAATACGTTGAATCCTAGCAGTGTTTCTGGATGGGAGAATACTTTGCGTTTGTTGGAAGGCTTGCAGATGTATAAGATCGCTGAATATGAAGCCAGCTCTGGCTCGAAGAGCTTGGTAGCCCGTAGCTAGATCTTGTCGGGCTGCATCGATGTCATCGCCAATGTCAGTAGGGGCTTGTTGTGTCTTCTCAGTAGGCTTCACTGTCATCTTCTTCTTGTATCGACCTGTCTTGACATCCCACACAAGCCCATCGGTGGTCACTTGTCCTGTAGCTTGCTTTGGCGGTGAGGATAGTGTTGACTTATCAGGTACAGGTGGCTCAGATTTCTTTTCAAGCATCCGTAGAAACCCTAGAACCTCAATATCTCCAGGCGCAAGTGATTTGAGCCCCTTCGCATTATCGAGAGCAGCCTCAACCCAACCAACGGCGATATAATGTTCGGTGAGAAGCTTCCTGGCAGAGATGGCGGGTGGGCGTCGGGAAATCTCCTCCATGAGCTCACCAATCAATATCATGTCTGGATCTCCAGACCCAGTTGCTCCAGAGGTTGCAGCCATCGCGCAACGTTGAGCAAGTTGATCGGTGTTGCGCAAGGTAAGAACCAAGAATCATGTATGAGAGTAAAGAGGGAGGGGAACAATAAGGTGCAACGATACTGGTTGCTGCTGAAATCAGTCTTGGCGTGAGGAGTGAAAGGTGAACCACGGTCGTCACGACTGCAAGACCTCGCTGGAGACCCAGCTTCAGGCTGCAGCTCACGGATAGGGCTTGCGTGACAGCCATTTTGGATTAGCCTGGATTGAGGTAAATCCTCGCATCGGGCTGTACTCTGTAATGCACAGCATCAGATGCGCCTGATTTCATTTGTTTGGTGACCGGCGTGTGCTGGCTCAGTGGAGGCTGGGTCGGCAGACTTGGAGGTGGCGGAGCGCGCACCGGAAAACCCCGGAGCGGTTAGTACCAAATAGCATCTGTCGATGCCATGCAATCATTACAGGCTGAATTCGGCACCCCTATCACTTTGGGTCACTATTTTCACAGGCGAGAATGGTGTGATGAAACTGATTAGATTTGACGAGGAGTTCAGTGATTGCCCATAATCACGTACTAGCCACATCACTGAATGTCAACTTCTTGAGTGGGGTTGAGTTATCACTGCACGCATTGTGTAACTGTCTTTTGTGAATTGTGCATTGATTGTAGCTGTGAGATCGGAATCAAGACACCTTGACTTTGATGTCAATTACAGTAAGTCTCAGAAGTGGAACGAAGCGCAATCATAAAGCATTCTTTATGAGGCTGCTAACCTGTCCTAGCAAATGTCGACAGCATTTTTGCAACCCTATCTGGTTCTTTATGTCCAATTACAACTTGCCAACACCGGAGTTGCTCTTCACGCTCGCCGCAATCCCGCTTGCTGCCTCAGCATCAACACCCTCGTCCGCGAAGCCGCTCAGGAAGTCAGTTGCAGTACCACTGAAGTCACCGCTATCGGTAAGTTGGTTGGCCTGACAAGTGCGACCAAGCGGGCTGCTACACGCCGCGCCATTGTCGGTAACTGCGTACAACAGGTCGACACCATCCTCGATTGGCTTTTTGACAGACTCGAAGACATTGCCCTCAGCAAGAACGCGACCATTCTCATCAGCTGCAATAGAGAAAGCGTGACCAGTGTTATCATAGAAGTAGTTGTTGACTGCGTGGAGGAGGGTTCCATCGCCAGTGCCGCCAACCTTGGGGCTGCGACCCGAGGTATGGTGGATGTAATTGCCCTGGAAGGTGATTTTGTCGCCACTGCCAATGAGTAGGAGAGCCCAGTAATGGCGGTTGTCACAGCTAGCAGACCAGCTCGTGTTACCGTCAATCTCAGTGTTGGAGATAGTCACGCGTTTGCTTGGGTCGTAGCCAGCAACTATATGCTGGCGACCGATGAGCGAAGTCTTTACGTGATCGATCCAGATCAAGTCAGTACCGGCGAGGGTGATCGCATCGCCGCCCCAAATGTACTGTGGGTTGAGCTCAGTGATATGTATATTTTGAACAATAATGTTCTCAGATCCGGCGAAACGCAGGCCTTTACCCCGAATCACGCCCTTCGTTCCTTCGCCGACAATGGACTTGTTTGAGCCAACGTTGATAGGCGTGATAGCTGCCTTGTCGTACGTTACAGAAACAGCAGGGTAGTCGGAGTTGGTGCACTGTACAATATTAAACACTGTGTCGATAATTTGGATCTGATGCTTACCCAGTCTGCGCCGTTAATGGCATCCTGACCACCATCATCAGGGCAGGAGTTTGAGTCAGGGCGACAGCCGTCCTCGGTAGTCTCCCCTTCTGTACCGATGAAGTTGAACTCCTGGTTCAAGATGATGACGCGGGCCGTGTCGTCAGTAAGGTAGCTAGTAAGCTCCTCGGTGGTGGTAGGATACACTGGTTCAGCATCACCACCACCAGTGGTCGCTGCGGCAAAGCCGGAAGGAGTGCCAGTGACGCCAGCCGCTGCAACGCCAGAGGCAAACAGGGACAGAACAAGAGCCTTCGCGATCATGATGGCGTTGTCTTTATGACGATAGATCCAGAAAGAATGACTGACCCGCAGGCAAAGGTTGTGGAACGAAGGTGATGAAGCGAAGACGAGGAGCTGGTTGATTAGTGTCAAGCTCTGGTAGTGCAAGTTTATATATCCTGGCGAAGTCTTTCGTCCTAAACCAAGCCGCCTGCCAAGCCGGCAGGCAATTGTCGCATGCTATTATCCTCATTAGTTGTGGCCTGTTGATTCTTGGCAGGATTCCTGCCAGAAAAGTGACATGCGAAGTTCGAAACGCGCTATATGCATATTGGAAGGTTGTGGAGACGCAAACCGAGAATCTTTGATTTTGATCACCGGTCACAATAGCGACATTCAAGAATTTCGTTTCAGGTAAGATGGAAACAACCGGGGCAAGGCACGATCGGCGCATGGGTGCACGCGTCTCAGAAAACCACATTGCGTATTTGAAGTCACAAGCCAAGACAACGGGGGCGTTGTCGTAAGACGCTCCCAGCAGTAGTACCCGTAGGGCAGCCGACTTCATGAAAGACACCAAGAGGCCGCGAATGCCTCTGGCTCATTGAAATTACTTTACGTATATGTTCTAGTACTGGTGAGTATACCAAAAGAGTTGAGCAGCGCCGTAGGGGTATATAAAGCTCGAGCGAACCGAAGTTCGATAATTTGTACAAAACGCCATTCATGCAATCGCTAAATCGTCAACCATGAGAGTGCACTCAGCTTTGTTTTGGCAACACTGGAGCGACTCGTCCAGATGAGCTGCTGCTAGACGGCACAGAAGTCCTGCTGTTGCGTTGGACTTCGCGTAATGCTGCGGCGTAATCTGCTTCTGCGGTCATACCACGCACCCTGCGGTCCATGTCATCCATGAAATGATGTTGCGGTTTTCTGTTGTCGGTGTGTGCGTGTTCTAGTGTCCGCATTGGTGTGTCATCCAATGCACTAGGTGAAATGTCATCTGGTGCTATGCCTGCGTTTGGATCGATGGGATCGTTGGAGAATACGGAATCTTTTGGCTTGCGATGTCTCCTGCCCCTGAACGGGAAGTTGCTGGGATGAATGTAGTCGCCGTCTGGACTTTGAACCTGCTGGAGAGTGTTTGCTTCTCGTTCCATCTCTTCCCAAGTAGCTACCAACTCCCCGTTGTTTCTGTTGCGGCTGTCACTCATGTCGCCCGAAAAACTACCAAGTCGACTGATTTTGAAAGCCCGTAGGCGATCCAGCGCCATCTTGAAGTCGTCCAGTACGACCGAGTCTGTTAGACACTTAAAGACGAATGCGAGCTTCCAGAAAGGGTTTATGCCAGTCGCTAGGCCAATGAATCGAATAGCACCAGTGACGCAGAGTATGTCCAAGAGGATGAAGATCGCAGACATGACCATGGCTAGCAGCATAATAGCAAAGCGCGGTGATATGCGAAGAATTTCCTTCAATCCCATCTCGTACTGCGTCTTGATGATCCAGAACAAATAGATCGTGGTGATGATCCACCAAGGGTCCCGACATAATGCTTCCCACGGCCTTGTCCTGAGAAAGATGGTGTTGACACCATGGAAGTATGCGAAGTTGGCGTAGATCTCGGCTATCCAGTAAGGCTGTACTAGAATGATAGTCCCAATAAAGACATAGCTGGCTGGTTTTGACAAAAAGGGCTTAATCTTCATCCAGGCAATGACGTTGTGGAGTGACCAAGATGCATTCAGGAAAATGGCCGATACAGATAACCACCATGCGTGTACGGGTGTGTCAAAGAAAAGATAGAAGCCTTGCCAAAGGCCCATGACGAGCTGTAGATGAATTAGCTAGGGGCATCGTGCATGTTAATGTGAGGACCCACTTCAAGTAAAATCAGCTAGATCGAGTCAGCACCTGATTTGCGCCGACAGAATACAAAGCACTTACTTTGTGCAGTAGAACACCTCTTCGCATATTTGCAAGAGTGATGAAGCCCATGATGATGAGGCTGCCAACAAGGTAGCCCATTGCCCATGCTTCAAGAACTAATTCGCCGGGGTTCGTGGGTTTAGGGACTATTTCTCCTTGGACCCATCGTTTCGTAAGATCCTGTATAGGACTCATGGTAACGGGATGGTGTTCGAGGTTGTAGATGTGGCGTGAGGTGCCGAGAGGCGGTACGAGTAAATCACTCGTAGACTCGATCGATGTCAACCCTCAACAATGTCACCATGACAGAGGAGAGAAACAAGGGACGAGATGAAGGTTGGCGGGGAGGGGGGAAGAAGAGAGAAAGCGAACGAGCGACGTGAGCGCCCTCCGCCATTTCTCCGCAATGCCATGACCGATGTGGAGGGCATGGGCAGAGGCTTCACGCGCGGACCTGGCGAGTGATGACACTTTGCTGGAAGGAGCGATAGCGTCATCTAAGTAGGTTGGCTTGCCGCCTCGGACTCAACGGCAGACGGGGCTTTGACATGCAGAATGATCAGGATTCGCTCATGTTCGGCAAAGCTGGATCCAGACTGCGCAAAGGCTTACAGTGATTTGCCGCACACGAGCGACGTTTGCCATCCTTGCCAGAGGGCCACGACAACGAGGAGGCAGTCGAGCGCTGCAAAAATGCGATCATGCGCGTCGCACTCGTACAGAGAGTGCATCATCGTGCTTTGCGCTCAGTCGCCGGCCACGAAAGCAACCATGTCTGAGGGCACACAAGCGGCGCATTTCCTTTGAAAGGCTGATCGAGCCACCAACCGAGCTATTGGCTGGCCGCCCCAAAGACGGTTGGTGCGGCACGCTCATCGCGCTGCAGGACGTGAGGCGAAGCCGAAGGACGACTGCAGACCCAGGCTGCGGCAGCCGGAGCGGCCTGGCCGTCAAGCTGGAATCCGGGGGATGTGCTCCATTGGCTCCTTCAGGCAAAGTGTCTGTGAAGTTTGGATGGCTCCGAATGTCGATGAACTCAGACCGACGGACTAGGATATTGGCATTACAATGCATGAGCAACCCCTGCTATTCGTGACGACGCTGAACAGCTTGCGTATAAGGTGTTGTGCCACGCGCACCCTACTCCAGAGCCACGTAGTGTATACTACGGCCTAGCGGGCACGCTGACAGTTCTTAGAACAAAGAAGACTTTCCCCATTTTTTGGTCAAAGGTAAATAAAGCTACAGCACGGCAGTCTACATATGCGCATGAGGCTCTAGAGACCCAGTATTCAGCCGATTTGGGCTCCAAAGCCACAAAGTCAAAGGACTAGAGGCGCCACGTTACCCAAAATCCGAACATTGTTGTGAAAGACGCACACACGGCCTAAAAACGTAAGTTTGGGTCGCAAGCAGTGTTCAGGTCGTCTGGGGTCATGTCATTGCTGATTGACCTAGTTGGAAGAATTATTGTAAGTTGTTATTGGCTGGAAGGCAGACTGGGGCAGACATACGTTATACAATGGCTTGGCCAATTCTCTTAATCGCCCCGTGATATCCAAGTTGTCATCCAGGCACCAAGGTGAGTGGATTCGACTCATTCGTGGGGCAGGCGCGTTCCCATGTCGCGCCTGCCCCACGTCATAGCCCCGCGCGCCAACAAATAATGAGCATCAACATCTGCGCAAACAGCTCTCTGTACGAAAGCCAACATCAGCTTTGTATGCTCGCACACCATGTTTAAGAAGAAGCCAAATGTGTGTGCAGGTTCAAATGCATTGTATCTGGAGACTAACGATCGCTAGATCAAGCCACTCTCGCCGCTCAAATCCAGCGACCGCCGCCGGACAGCAGATCAGATCATCTCAGATTTTGCTATCGAGGTTCCTGTGGACCCGACTGCAGATCCTGAAGACAAGGTAGCATCGACAGCAGGCCTCACAGCAGTGCGGAAATCGATTCTTCCTGAGAATGCGCTCTCGGCACGCTTCACCACAACAGCCGGGCCAGACCTGAAGCAAGTGTCTGGCACTGTGTATGTCGGCAGTCACGAAGGCATGGGGGGCGAGCAAAGGATACTATGGGTCAAGGTGGCAGAGCAGATGTACCCTACAGGTAAGCAAGAATTGGTGCCGCGTCTACTATCTTGTTTGCTGACCTATGGCAGTATACACTCTTTGGCACAACCCCAAGATCGTACCTCTCCTATATACTCCGTTATATGTCGTCGAGAAGCTCCAGGGGGGCGCAGATCTTATGACACCTGGCCTGCAACGGGGTCCACCATTCCCTAAGGCGGCGACCAAGGGTGCCGTTGTTGCTATTGCTAGCCTGGAAGCACCTACCGTTCCCATGGCTGTGGGAACTTGCCTGATAGACGTAAGCTCGCTGGGAAGCACACAAGGGATGAAAGGACATGCTGTAGAAACGTTCCATTGGGCAGGGGACGAGCTGTGGTCATGGAGTACTGGCAACAAACCAGGCCGTGACCCGCCAACATTGATCGAGGCTTGGGATGAGCAAGAAGAAGATACGGATCTTATCGATCAGACAGCAGCTGTCGATTTGGACAGTGGCGGTGGCGTGACGCTCGGTACTGACCCTACCGAGCGATCGAAAGCCGAGCAAGCACAGGGTGTAGAAGGTGAAGATGCACCAAGCAATCAGGACTTCATCGATGTCGTTGAAGACAAGGAATTGACCACTAATGGTGAGGGTATCGACCGCTGGAGAACTGAACAGATGCTGATCCTGTTAGAAATTGACGATGCGTTCAAGAATGCTTTCTTCTACGGTGTACGTCATCATATGGAACAAAACAGGAATCAATCAGCCTTTGGTCTTGACTTTCCGCTATCGCAATCGGCTGTCATGGCCCTGCTAGTCCAGCCTTTCCTCCCCACCTACACACCCGCACGAACTGCATCGCTGCAAATCAAGAAGTCGAGTTGGAAGAATATCAAGAAGTTTATCAAGTACCTGGATAAGCAGAAGATTGTCAGGTGCAAAGATCGAGACGGCAACGAAGTCATCATACTAGACATCGACTTCAAGGACCGACAGATCGAGGCGTTCGTACCATACCGATTACCAAAGAAGGAAGCACCTACAGTGGGAAGTGCAAGTGGCAAGCCAGCCGTCACTCCAGGTACGGAATCATCCGTGGGTCAGAAACTGAAGCTTGTTTCGCTGCTACGCCCTAAGGAAAAATTGGCTCCTATTTTCCATGCATCGAAGGCCGATCCTCGCGGTCTGTATACCCCTCAGGAGCTCAAACAGCACCTTATCGCCTACATCGAGTTGGAGAATCTTGTGAACGCGAAGAACAAACGACTCATCAACATCAACCCACAACTTGCAGATGTATTACTAGGCTCTTCAGCTGCAGACAACGCTGCGCTCTCTACAGGCACGATTGCTCGAGACGCTCTTGCTGAGCGCATGATCAGTGCCGCTGCACCATTTCATGCAATCATTCGCAATGATGCCAGTGTTGCTGATGCAAAGCCTAAAGCTGGCGCGCCGCCCAAGATTCAAATCACCCTTGAGACACGAAGCGGCAACAAGACGGTGACCAAGGTTCATGGATTGGAACCATTCTATATAGCGCCGCAGCCGCTAGCTGACGAACTGAGGAAGACCTGTGCTGGCAGCACTAGCGTTGACAAGCTCCAAGGTTCAAGTCCGAAAGCCCCTGTCATGGAGGTACTCGTCCAGGGGCCGCAAAAGGACGCTATCTTGAAGTCACTCGAGAAGCGAGGCGTGAACAAAAACTGGGTTGAGGTTGTCGACAAGACGAAGGGTAAAAAGAAGTAGTATGTGAGCATCGACTAACAGCCTAGTGCGATGTATAGATACCCTAAAGCATGCCCCAGCAGGCATTCTACATTTGACATTTTCGACCACAAACTCTACGGTGTCGCATCTCCATATCACTTTTAAACGGGATTATTGCCTATGGTAAGGTGACCATCGCTTTGAAGCTATGCTTGCGAAGTGTATCTAACCCTAGTCCCAGAGTAGAAAGTACCTCGGTTCGCAACCAGACCGCAATCGTGACAAAACACAAAGTCCCATGTCGTGCCAACACTGTTAGTCCTTGTAACATACTTGGCGCTCTAAGCCACAGCTTACTGTCTCTTCTTGTACATATTTACTGTCCCCCAGCCGACCCGGCATGCTCACAATGGCACACGCACTGAGCATCGTTGTTGCTGGAGCTTCAGTAGCAGCCGTCGCAACAAATCCTGCGTACTGCAAGAACATCCTCCTTGCACTTGTTCGAGCAACAGGATATGGCGCGCCAGGAGGAGCATGGAGGATTGCAGCAATATTGTTGGCGCTGGTAAACCTCAAGAACCTCCCTTTTGTATGGCACGTATGTCTCCCCTTTCTTCCCTCACACACCTAGCCCTTTGCCTAACGGTCTCCAGATACGCATATTCCGCGCCATGATCTACCATATCTACTTCCAGCCGACCCCCATCCCGCCGCACGCGCTCTTTCAGCCGGCTATCACATCGACACACACCTCCCTGCTCGAAACAGACTACAACCTGCACAAGTCAAACAGCACATACTTCTCTGACATGGACATTTCACGCACACACCTCTTCACGGCAATTCTTCGCAACGGCATTAAGAAGAACAGCCGCCTTTACGGCGCGAAGAAGTCGCAGCTCAACGGTGCAATCGGTGCCACACAGGGCACGCGAGGGAGCCACATCATCGCGCTCGGTGGCATATGCTGTAACTTCAAGAAAGAAATACTTCCGTACAGGAAATTTGAAATGTGGACCAGGCTATTGTGCTGGGACAGGAAGTGGTTCTACCTCATCACGCATCTGGTCAAGCCTGGGATGGGCAAGCCGGAGAGCTGGACACTGCAGCCGTGGAGGAAGACGAAGAAGCCGGGCAACGACGTTAGCGAAGAGGAACTGCTGAAGAGTGTGTACGCCACGGCAATCGCTAAATACGTCATCAAGAGGGGCAGAATCACTGTGCCACCGGAGCAGGCATTGATCGATGCGGATATGATACCTGTCAAGCCTGAGGGTTGGGTCTGGCAAGGCGCAGAAGAGCACGCTGATGTGAATGGTCATGCCAATGGCGCGTTACCAAAGCCTGTCGAGGGGACAGAGTGGAACTGGGACATCATCGAGGCCGAAAGACAAAGAGGTTTGAAGGTTGCAGAGAAATTTGCCGAAATGGATGGCATGCACAACTTCTTCGATGGAGGCAAGAACGGTGCTCTAGGAGAGTATCCGGATCTGATGTTTTAGTGGATAGAGATACCCCTTAGATCTGATTGTAGACACAGGAGACATCATAGAACAAATCATAACTGGCATGATAATGATCGTAAGTCGAAATAATATCACTGAACTGAAACAGACCATCGCAGGATACCCGTAACATTAACAGAGTAATCCCCATCCACCAACGCTGAGGCAGCTGATCCCGTAAAGTCATCAGCCTATGCAAACCACCATTCCACATTTTTCCAGGATGCACGGCGAGTGTCTTTAATTGAACACGCGGATAACGTCCACCTTTTGGCATGAAGGGTTCTGGGGCTGACCGGTGAGACCAACCTTCCAAGCCAACGTGTAGTACAGGTAGGACCACCTGGTGTAGCAGACGTACCAGTTCTTCACCTTGCGGATCGGTTTGAAATAGACAGGTGGGCTGACAGTGTCATCTTGTACTGCCTCTATGTAGGTGCAGCCATCCTCTTCGAAAGCGATAGGGCTGTGCGCGATCATTCCGGGGAAGAAGATTGGGTTGGCAACGTTTGATGTATCCGAAAGTGACAGGCCCATCGCGGACGAATAATTGGCGCCATCGGCTGCTTGGAGAATCCAGTTTAAAATGCCTTTTGTATTGGCGGCTCCAGCGGTCGCGTTGTCATCTGAGCTGACGTTGTGGTAGAAGGTCGTGTAGGAGCTTGGTGGGTTCTGTACAGTCTCCCTAGTCGGACAGAGGCCTTCGGTGGCAGCGCCTTGGTGACAGGCTCCGAGAGCAGTGCTAAGGGAATTAGCATAAGCCTTTGACGATAGCTAGTTATAGGTGACTTTTACCCGTTGAGCGTGGAATTGCTCGATCTCAGGATGAGACGAAAGTCCGGCGAAGAGATATCATAGTAGCCCTGGACCGCGGTAAACGCAGATAGGGTTGCAAATAACAGGGCGGTGAGCTTCATAGTTCGTTCTGGCTTTTCTTCGTCGTTTGAAAATGGTAGGCTATCTGTGGGCAGCCGGTGTAAAATCGATGTAGCTAAAGTTAAGTTCTGGGCAACCGGGATCGAAATGAAGAAGTAACTCTGTTGCTACTTGTCTTTTTAAGCAAGTATTTTGCGTTGTGATGGGGACTGTAGCAGTGTCTGCATGGCGAACGTAGGTGAGGGGTTCCAATCTATGGAAGTGACGTTTGGGCCCTTGCCTTGCATCCACGCAATTGCGAAGTAAAGCGTGTGACTTCAATCATCAGCAACTACTGATACAGGTGCGAGGATAAATTAGACCCTGACCTTGCTCTCAGGAGTTGGCGTATGAAGTTGGATGGCTTTGAGTGCCCAAGTGCGTGATACAATGGCTCTGTATCGAGCTTGACACAAGAAGCTGACGACAGTTACTCACATGTTCCAAGACACACAGTCAACTTCACGATATGATCCTGATCTTGAATATGTGGAAGACTATAAACTAACTGTGATTGAGCTGAACTCAATCCATCTTTGACTACCACAAGAATTGTGAAACAACGTTCAAACACCACCTCTCGGACGGCACCATTGCCCGATCATAAGCTTCCGCTACCTTTTTGAAAGCAGTGCTCGATCAAATCTTATTCACTAATAGCTGCAATCTCATAGCGTCTCGCAGGACTACAAAGCCGGACCGTCGCAGTTGGATGGGTTGAGTATCCAATTGTGTGAAATTTATAAGCATATCATACATGACTTGAAGAGGCAGACATGAAACCGTAACAAAGCGATTGGTGCCTTATTACGATTCTTAGGTACGCAGAGGCACGGTATGTTCTAGTGGGTCGATAACGTCATTGAGTAGGTACACTGTCATCCTATATGCGCCCGTCCCATGTCACATGTCACGAAATGTATCACATCACATCCGGTAAGGCTCTGTAAGCCGGGATGGGGGCTGCAGGCTCATCAGCATGTGCAACCGACTGTATCGTCTAGAAGGTTTGATGCAGGGCGGGAGAGAGCACCCTGTCTCACAGAACTGGTATGGTGCAGACATAGGTATGCAGGTGCGTTAGTGTGACCCAGGTTGTTGGGTTGTGTAGCATGATCTGAACACTTGGACGTGTGACACGAATCCAGCCCAGAACCAAAAGCATATCTTGCTTTCAATAGGCCCATGCCGAGCCCTGAACTTGCTGACCTGGTCGCCTTAGAACTGAACGGTAAGGAGCGCTCAAAAAAAGCTGGTTTGTTGTGATAGTGGCGTTGTAGCCTACTTGCAAGGGTTACACACCATGGTATACTGTACTCGATTAAAACACAGCTCGTCATGCGTGACCGGCGCAGCAAAACTGCAGTAGGACTGATGTCAGGATGTGTGATGTGGTGTGCAGAAGGTCCATGACGGTAGAGTCCTTCAGACCCATTGGATTTGATTCCATTAGAAATTTGGATGCTACTTGTATCGATCTAGACCTTGGACGACGGTACAGTACCCTGCTCGAGGGGCTTCTTACTATTCACAACTCGCGCATGTTCCTCAGTATGTAGTTCATGGACGCCTCCTCGTCTCGCTCGGCTTTAATATTAGGTAAAGGCCACTGTTACAAAACTTCAGCTTGGATATTCCAATTGTTCCAAACTGTATTCGCATACCTCACTATCGAAAGGGTGGTCGACTTGTCCAATAAGAGGGGAAATGTGGCGGTCAAGCAGCACCTTATCGGCTGGTCTCAACCGCTCGACCATACTGCAAGATAGTAACGTTCCAGCATAGACTGAGTGTGATTGGGCGATGAGTCCATTGATGCAGAGTACAACAGTGGAACGCATGGACTCTGTGGTGCATGGCTTGGCCACTGCATCGGGACCATCATTACTGAGTGAATGTAGTGCCAGGTTACCAAGGTAGATGAGAAAGAGTAAACCCCAAGCATCGTAGGCGTGGAAGCCGTGTCGTTGATACTGGACGCGCAATATCGTTTCGAACCGTATATGGGCATCGTTCTGGATCTGATCTGCAGTTCTACCATCGAATAGCTGTGGTGAGACTGGACCGGCACGTGATTGGAAGAGGCTGTGCATGGTCATGTGATATTCGGCGCTGAATAATGTCAACAGCTGTCGATAATTAGGCAACGTCCGTTGTCTCGATGTATTTGACGAGAGATGTAAGTCCTCCTCTGAATGCAATAGCACATGGTGATCGCAGACTAGAATGAATCGCTGGAAGTAATGTTTGCAGGAAAGAGGAGCAGTAACTTACTGAACATTGAAGTGACAAGGGAGCAAAATTCTGCTTGGAGAAAGAGTTGCAGGAAGTTTCTGTATCACGGCCTCTAGTCTTCGTTTAAATCCAAGTAGTTGCGCGGAGGATAGAGGTTTCAGCTCCTGAGAAGCGAATTGCTCCAGGGCAATGTCGTTCATGATGATCCGTAAGTCGATCGTAGCTTTCATCACATGCCCGAGATACATGCGTGTGGCTGTCGGACTCAATGGATATCTGATATAGACCTCACCATACCATTCAAAATCATCGTCGGGATTGGGGGCCTTGAATGCTGGGGGCTCTGGGATGAAAGGTGCGCGCCGATAATAGTACGTCTGCGCATTTTTTAGTAGAATGTAAGTAAGAACAGAGCAGTTTGAAATGATCTTTGTACATCCATGGGTACACTTACCACACCTACTTGCCATAGCCATAACGCCCACGCTGTGAATTCCCGCCCTCTTCGAAGCCTTGGGCTGAGATGACGGGGTGCTGGTTCGAATATACGCAGGTTCTGCGCCATGATGATAGCTTGTGAAGTATAAAAGTCGCCCACGGTACTCAAACCATTTACGTTTAAGACAGAGTGTATCACCTGTGCGGCGTGAATCGAGGTAAGACGGCTGATGTCCATTTCGAGTTCCCATAGCCGCTTAGCCTCGAGGAGAAAGCGATTCTGGAGATTCATGGGCATCCAAAACTTAGCCAAGTTGGGGATTCCCTTGTAAGCTTGCTGGTGATGTTGTTAACGTATCGTGTAAGTTGTCGTCCGTAATAACTTACACATGCAGCGGCGAGTACAGCATTGACTAGCAGAGACGAGCAAAATTGTGTGCGTCGTGCAGCGAGATCTTCAAGGAACAGCTCCTTGTTGAACCAAAAGAATGTAGCGTGATGGTTGGCAAGATATATGGTAATAAGACGACGGAAGAGGCCATCATCAGAAATGATGTTTGTCCATTGTCTTGCGTGGACACGGTCAAGTATAGGCTCTACCACTTCAGCTGCGTGACTTGGTATCATATAAGGACCCATACATTGCATCGTGTTCGCTTTATCAGGGTCCATAGCATCCGGCAAAGAGCTGGGCGATTTGAACGTCGCTTCATACAATGGAGTGGCAAGGTACTGGTTATTTTGAACCAACAAGAACTCGGGCATCGAATCCATGTAAGGAAGGGTGTATCGCAGCCTAGTTTCTGGCTCTACACTTAGCTGCACGAGGAGGTCTCCGTCTCTAACGTGGCGGAGGATATCTTCAACATCAGCGCCCATCTTAATGCGCCGCAGAATTTCGAGCGACTCATTGTCGGGGCGTGTCTGGATGAGAACAATCAATTCAGCGTAAGCGTCATTCTGGCGCTGAAGAAGATTGTGTCTTCGTTTGACAGCCTGGCCTTGTGTCTCACTCAGATGCGCAGCATAGTGACAAGCAGTCGCTCTGCGTTGGCACTAACAACCTATCAGCATGAACACCTTGGTTGATTGGTATGTTTGTTACGAACTTCCCAACAGACCGGTCGCACGCCATCACTTCCAGGCTCTGCGCTGTTACATTTTGTTTTTCTCTGCCTGCACGCCTCACACGCAGATGCGACTCGGTCTCGGGGCCGACGCTGTAGTGGCGTCGCCGCTTTTCTCATAGTCGTGGGCAGCAGGGGCCGCAAAAGGGGGCGTTCCTGCTCCATTGGTGCTCGGAGGAAAGAGAGCGCTGCAGTGATGACTTGAGAACGCTAAAGCAGAGCGACGAATGCCATATAGACCAGATACGGCATCTCACTTTCTGAAAGAGATGGGAGACTAGCAAATGCGGAGGAACGTCGGAAAGGCTGAGTGCATCCCTATGTTAGAATGCGCCTGTCACATTCAACGCTCGGTCATCGCTTAATCCAGGAGCCGTTCCAGGGTTTCCGTGCCGCTGTGGTACCGTTCGAATGGATTGCAGAGACTCTGGAGATATGTAGCCCCACTGTGATCCTTGAAGGAACAAGTAAGCAGACAATGTGGACAATAAAAAGGCACGCCTGTGAGGTGCTCGAGGTGCAGTGTGATGTATGAGAGTGTCTGCGACCATGAGCGCTCCAGCGAAGCGTTGAATTAATGATTCTACCTAGTGGTAGGCGCAGTCCCCGCAGCAATATTGACTGATAACATAAGTGGCTCCGTGGCTTGCAGATCCTCCTCGCGAGACGCAGTATAATGAAGATGCAGCGTCTCGATGCGTCTGCTCAAATGCGAATCCGCCACCGCGCGAAGCTACGGCGAGACCAGCCCGACAGCCAATGAAATCGATCCCGCGCCACCATCTGAAATCCGCTCTTCTTGCGAAGACAAAGCAGCTGTTCCCGAGTTTGCAGAACCATGTCGTGAACCACACCGCCCGCAGTAGCTTCGCACCATCACCCTGCAGGAAATCCATCTGTACTTTCATTGTGGCACAGGTGCTTGCCGGAGCTGACTGGCACAACTATTCATAGTCCCGGCCTGGAACGATATTTGTTCATGGCAGCCCCCTTGGCACAGCGGCTCGACACCACACGATGAACAACAATAACAATCAGAATCTACGACCTCTGCTCCCGGCAACACGGCCTCGTTCTCCCCCACCATCTGGGCCCAGTTCCAAGAGAAAGCGAGTGTCTGTTGCCTGCAATGAGTGCCGCCAGAAGAGAATTGGCTGCGACGGCAGCCGCCCCGTGTGTGCAGCGTGCCACAGGCGCGACAGACGTTGCGTCTATATGAACGAAGAAGATTTGGAGATGCGCCCAACTGTTCTGAAGCGAGAGAATATCGCGCTTCGGGAGAAGCTAGTCGCCCTACAGGAAATCTTCGAACACCTCCAGAGCCGAACACAGCATGTCGCACACGACACCGTGCAACGTTTGGGTGCTGGCACTGACCCCTCTGATGTTCTAAAGGCCCTCCGTGGACAGCTTCCACAAGCGATTTTGTCAGAGCAAAGCACCGCAAGAGCTATATTGCCAGCCGTGTACTCGGACGGTGAACTTGAACTACTTGTCCGACATCCAAAGACGTATAGTGCTATCGATCTCCCAGTCTTTGCGCAAGATACTATGAAAAATCTGTTTTTTGGCGGCAAATCGTCATCTGAACATATTTCTCAACTTGAGCTTAGTAAGAACATCAAGACCTCGTCAGATCACCCTGCGTATTTGGACTTGCGGCTTGAGAAGCTGAACATCGAGTTCTGGACATCAGTAACTGTCACAAATGACCAAGCCGCGTCTGCTATATCGTTGTACCTCGAAACCCATCACCCTATATGGAGCTTCTTCGATGCATCACAGTTCATCGACGATCTTGTCGAGTGTAATACAGACTCCGATTCGACATGTTCACCGTTGCTAATCAGCTCGCTACTCGCATTCGCCATGGTAAGCACCTAAACCTATAGGTTACACACGTGCACTGATATGGCCCAGCAAGGCTACTCGTCAATCGAGCCTGCGGCAGCAGAATTCAGCCACCAATTCGAGGCGCAAGCCGAGAAACTTTTCGCCGCTGAAAGAACAGTCGATACCCTTCCCAGCATCACAGCCTTGCCACTGCTCTACACCTCTATTGCAGTTCATGGAGACGTTCCGAGAGCCATGCAGTACCTGATAGCAGCGAATGATGCAGCTGAGAGGATGAAACTATTTGGCAACCCGGAAACAGCTAAGTCCGGGTCGCCGAAAGCTACAACAGCAACAAGCCAGGCTGCCTGGGGGCTGTTCAACTTTCTCGTGTATGCAAATGCCAAGACACCTCCTCCTTGATGCGGGGTTTGACTTTGCGTCCAGACAGATGGCTCAATTCCAGGTCGTGTCGCCACTTGAACACCCGCCTACTCTGCCGCTACCTGAGCTGTTGAGAAGAGATCAGGCACACGAAAACAACTACCAAAACGAGACTGATAGAAGCAGTCCAGCCCTGATACAACTTCAGCAGGCCCAGTCGATCTTCTGCAGGTTCTGGGTCATCGTCAACGAGATATTCCTCATATATCGAGACAGCAAATTCGGAGCACGATCTCTAGCTTTCGCTTTGGGTAAATATAAGAAGCTCTTGGAATTGGTAGATGCGCTGCCCAAGTCGATGGCAAAGCAGGAGCAAGCGCCGCATTGGGTTCTCGTTTTCCAGTAAGTCCTCTTGATTGGAGCAACCAGAATGCATTATGTGTATTGTCCACGGGAATCCTACAGCCGTATTCAGTCACGGTCATAGGCGAGTTCATATTATAACTCTGTGGCGATACGACTAACACGTTATCTACACCCATGGAAGCAAAAGTGCCAACATTATGCAGTACATCAGTTCACATGGTCGTTTTGGACCTGTTTCGCCCATACATCGCAGAGACCGAGCAGCACGGCTTCCGAACATACGTTTCCGAGTCTTCCTCGCCGAGGACCATCTTCGCTGCGTCAGTTACGCAACTCAAGGGTGGGCTTTCTGAATTGGCACCGCCGATCTTATACTGACATGGATCACAGGAATCCTGTTTCTAGTTGCCATGCAGTACGGGCCGGCATACTGGCACCTTGCGCTTACTGGTGCTATGGTCTTTGCAGTGAACGCTGTACTAAATGACCCCAGAGACAAAGAGAGGAAGAACTACCTGGCCTTCATCATCTCCATGAGCGAGCGACTGCTACCGTCTTATATCTACATGATAGAGCCTATTCGTGCGATATTGGCGATCGCCGCAGACAAAAGTGCCATCACTGGTCATGAAGCTATTCTCATAGAGGCCGAATCGGCGTCGCTGCAGCGCGCGAAACGAACCGAACGCAGTAAAGGTGGCTGGGTAGTAGCGCCTACAGCTAACGACAAGCTTGCTGGGGATATCAACACTCTCACAGAACGATTCGAAACAATCACGCTCTTCAGCGAGTTTACCGAAGATATCACCTAAAAAACTAACAGCAATGCTATTGTTGTTCTCATTTCAGAAATTTCGGTTCTGCGGCTTGCGCCCTGTATACTTGAGCAATCATTTGTAATGCGCCATTCCTTTCGTACACAAGAGCAAAGAGTACATACGACCGAGTTGGACTGGCATTGGTTGATACACGACAGCCATCATAATTACAAAAACACATAATGAAAGTAATGAAACTTTGCGAAGTTCCACGTGAATGTGCAAGAAGGTTTTACGTGACATGAAAACAAGTAGGACGCTCAAGGTGGTGGTCATTCTACTACAATCTAGCTTCGATGAAGGAAAACAAAGCCTCAAATGTTTGATTTTTATCTTGTCGATATCTGTGACGCATGGACAAATATCATTTGCGCATACCGCATCACACACACCGATAACATCACTTACAGTTTGAACCAAGCGTTCATCAGCGCCCGCATGGCACTCGCACAACATCAGCTCCCGACATAATAGAGGCACCAGTCTGCGCATACCAGCTCCAACACCTTATAGTCCCGACACTCAGCAAAGCAACCAGTTCTGCGAAAGAGGTTGTAGCATGCGAACGACAGCAAGCACATAGCATCGACGGAAGCGGCGCGGCACGACAGCGCGTAAGTACCCTACAACGAATCAGTACGAAGCCTTTGAAGGTTCAAGATCGAATAACCGAAGCGAGGAAGTGCAGATCAGGGTTTTACTTTTTTCAACAGTAGTTTTCAGACAGGGATAACTGAATGAATTACATTCTAGCATCATATGAGGGCGTGGGAAGTGGGCAGAGAGATACTTACGCAAAGGCGAGGAGGCGCGCAAAGGATGGCTTGCGCGCCGATGCAGCGTTGCAGCTTGCATCTGGAGAGAAGAAGAACATTGGAGTTCGACGCGTGAATAATGTCGCGAAGAGCTCGAGCCAGCTTAGTCAGTAGCGCGACAGGACGCTTCGCAACACCATCTCGGCGACATGTGTAGAATACTCAAATGTTCATGAATTAGGTGGTGAATGGCTCCAGGCCTTCGGGTTATTTATCGCACAGCTGTGCCGCTCTTGAACGTCGCACTCCCTTCATCCCAGCCATCCTGGCCAAACTTCCTATGCTTGCCGCGTTGCTTGTGCCCCTCCTTGTATGCGCCATATCCATCGTCTCTTCCATACCCATCGAAATCACGCTCATCGTAGCCATATCCCGAATCTTTGGTTCTATCCCTTCGTCTCTCTTCCTTGCCCTCCCGATACGCATCGCGATGCCTGTGTCTTCCGTGCTCTCTATCATCGCGTCCTTCGTCTCTCCCTTCACGGTATGCGTCGCGATGTCGATGTGGACGGCTTTCTTCGCTGTTGCTCCGTTTATCCTTCGCGTACTTCCTGCCGCCTAGTCCTCCAATGATAAGACCAGCTGCTGTACCGAGACCAGGGAAGATCGCGTCGCCGATGATACCTCCTGCTCCAGCACCTAGAAATGTGTCCCTGTTTTCGTGTTTCTTTTCGTGTGTCCTGGTCCGACCGCCTCGAGAACGGTCATAGTCTCGGTCGCTGTAGTCAGAGTCCCTGTCTCTCGAGCGATCGCGACGATCACGGCTTCGACGACGGCGGCGTCTGCGCTGCGGGGAGCAGTCGTTGTCCGACTCTGTTTCTGAACCAAGCGCAGTAGATGCGTTGTCTGCAAACCGGACTCGAGTGGCGGGCTGGGAGTGGCTGCGGATGTGCTGTAAGGGCGGGCCTAGATATGTATTTGATTGTTGCGGTGGAGGTGGAAAATACGGCACTGCGGTCCCTTGATAGCCCTTCTCAGAATGCTGCTGCTGCTGTGGTGGTGGTGGAGGAGGAGGAGGGTAGGCCTGCGGCTGTTGCTGGTGAGCATAGGGCGAGTAGGAAGGCGGAGGCGTATTAGCGTAGGGCGAGGTGTTGTACTGCTGCTTGGGCCATGACTGTGGTGGAAGTTGTTGTTGTTGGTATTGCGGTGGCTGAGGTGGGTACTGAGGGTGGTATTGCTGAGCGTTGCTGCCTCCATAGTACTCTGCAGAAGCCATGGTGTTGTGGCTCGTAGGATGGTATGAGTGGTATTAGTAGGAATAGTGGAGCATAAATTATAACAATATCTATAGAAGGCCAAGGCCGCGCTTCGTATATCTACTCTGGAAGGCGAGATCGATTCGGAAGCTTCGAGTCACCGAGTACGTAGAAAGCCCCAGAAATGATGGCCCAAATATTGTCAAAACAGTTTTAGGCCCGAAGCATGGTTTATCAGCAGTCTCGTGCCATAGTCACACTCATCTGCAAGTCTATTCGTGACATTGTACGTCATCCCTGTCAACAGATCATTCTTCTAGTGTTCGCCGCACATCAGCCTCGGCCGGAGATCTCGGCGACTGCGAACATGCAGGGCTCTACGGCTCGACGACGATCATTTATGGCTCATCGGAAGTCATCCGGAGGCATCTCCGCTTTCCACGACTGTCGGGCAAATAGCTGCTGACAGGATACATTTAACATAGTGCGGGAGAATATCTTTGAGTGTTTCTCGAAGACAGAATTCATGTCAAATTGAATGATGATTCCTGCAACGTGCCGGACATCCTGACTATCGCCACACAACGACGTAAGGTGGAGGGCCAAGACAAAGGAACATCAATCCCGAGCCAATCAAGATAGCTACACACACACTGGACATGCGAGCCACCTGGGCACGCATCATGCCTTTGGCGCAGCGCCAGGATAAGACACGAGCGGTACATGTTGGGCACTGTGCGCTTCCTCATCTGACCGCTGATCCTGGTCTTCCTTGCGCATGGGCACACCCTCCACCTTTTTGATCCGCTTTCCTTCGATGGTGATCATGATGCCTGCAACTCCTGCTACAATGCAGCCCAATGCAACGAAAAGGCCAGTTGCCCAAGACGGTCGGTCAATGCGGTTGTAATGATACATGTAGAAGCAAAGCATGACTTGGAAGAAGGTGTTTGAGGCGTTCATCCACAGCACAAAGTCCATCTTCCAGGAGATAGTCGGTGATGCGCGACAACCAGTCGGTGGCGGGTCCGGGATCTTGCTGGCCGGTATTGGTACGGATGGATCATCAGAGTTGACCTTTGTAGCATCTGCAGTTTCCGGGAGTAGTTCTGAACCAGGAAGCCTAAACCATCCGCGATGTATGCCAGCAAGTCGTCGTATACCAACTAGCTTCTTCTGAGGGTTTCCAAGCCTCCAATGCGCCCACCAGTATAAGTCGCGAAATCTCCACGGGGCAAGACCGAAGCCAGTCACACAGAAGAGTGCGTTCAGAATTTGTGAGTCGATCTCCACCCAGATCCTCCGCGGAGAGTTGATGTCGTCACAGGTAGGTGTGCACATAGCAGGAGCAGCATTACAGAGCAGCAGGAATAGCATGCCACCCCACGCCACAACGTTGAGGCCATAGACCGTAATCAAAAATCCGGGTATGGTCAGGAACCACTTCCAGAAGCCCTTCAGGCCTATCGCGAAAGACTGGGTCCATGGCAGCTTGGGGGGCGGTATGTAGCCGTTCGCATACTGTAGGATAGAGTCAGTATATGTAATGCTCAATGTAAGGGTGATCTTGTACCTGGCTGGAACTGTTCAACGGTTGGCGCACGGTAGCTTCTTCACTCTTGTCGGTCAAGTGTGATGTTCTGGGCTCCATACTAGCGCCGACATCCTTGATATTATGCTGACCGTCGTAGGTGGGGACGCGATCGCGAGCTTCAAATGACCTCTCCTCTGTAAGGGCCGGAAATGGCTCAACGCCCAATCTACCAGAAGAGCCCTTTCGATTGTTGGCAGGTCGCTCATTGCTTCCTTGACTGCCTCGACGATGTTCCCTTTGTATGTTGTCGTCCCAACCGTCAGAGCCAAATGAGCCTCTCCTGATGTCGACTAATGACGGTGCTCTCGAGGCGACACTGCCTGTGGCCGCCCACATGCCTGGCGGAGGGTCCGACTCCATTAGCTTTATGCTTGCACTTCGTATTCTACTTGACGCTGACGCTGCCGATGCGTTGGTCGAAGTTCGCGCGCGCTGTTTGATTTTTGAGCTGTCGGAGCCACCTTCGGGCTGTGGAAAGGGAACGGGGGTCGCGACATTTGCTGGCGACGTCGATTGTGAGTGTGGAGACGCCATGATGATTGTGTCGAAGACAGAGACAACAGAGACAGCAGAGACAGGCAACTGCACTCTGCGTAATAGTTAATTACGGGTGAATCGAAGCGCGTCCTGCTTGCGCGCCGTCGTCAGCCAAGCTACCCAACGGCTGGTGGTGCAATGGCGAGGCCCCTTGGCGGCTGGGAATAACAGAAGGTAAATATGGTCAAGGCTGGTGACTGGACCCAAAACCCTGGTGGGACGACAGATAGCGAAATACCGACATGGTTTGGGGACTGGCTCTTTGTATGCATTCGTCGACAGTGGCGCCTCGCAGTTGGTTGAGCCGTCTGGGGTAACTGCGGTGGGCCCATTAGCAGTGGCGCAGGACGGGACCCACGAGAAGGGCCGCGAGGCCGCTGGCGCAGCACTACTTAGATCGACTTTACGCGTATCTCGTACGTAGAGCGTATTTGTTTGAGACTTCAGTGAATTTTTCATCTACTAAGTATATACGCGACCACGCTTCGTTTGTTTGATTCATGACTTTCGTCAACGTGCACTGAGTCGCATGGCATAACATTTACGTCAAGAAGCTCGACCCAGAAGCCAAATGCATGTACGACGTGGCGTACCAAAGCATATTGGTGCGCGACGCTTCCTAAACAGACCTAAGGCTCCATCGCGCGCACCCGCGCCTACAAAAGAGTCCAAGCTGCGCCAAAGAAGATGGATGCCCCCGACACACCCAACGCAAGCAGGAAAGGTGTGCTGTCACGCTTGACTGATGGTGGTGCTGCTGCTGTTGACTGCTCAGCCGGCGCAGTCCTGGATACACTGGCCGTAGCGTTGCCCGAGCCGGAAGACGTTGTGGGTGCACTAGTTGGCTCAGGTGTCTCCCCCTGCGGAATAGACATAGGAGGATCCGTCATCTGAGAGATTGGGGGCAGGATGGTGCCTGTCACTGAGGCTGTGGGTGCAGGCTCGGAACCTACGGACGGTAGAGATTCAACTGGCAGCGTCATGGTAACATCTTCGAAACTGACGTTGCTTGGAACGGGCAGCGATACAGCAGGCAAGCTCATGCCAGGGTCATTGGTAGGAGCAGCAGAGCCTACACTGGTTAGTGACGCAGCCCTGATGGTCGAAAGGTTGTGATTGCGTACATGCGTTGCACGGCTCCTGGATGCAGACTTCATAGCAAACCGAGCTTGCTCCCGTCGGAACCGAGGTCTGAATTGTGAAGACCTGCTCAGTCGTCTGGATGAGCGTGGACGGGATCTCGGATACTACGCTCTCGCTCTGTGCTGCGGCGGCGCCAGCCAATAGGAGCAGAGTGGAGCATATAGTGGTAGAACGCATGTTAAGATCGTTACAGATGCGCTGTGCTTCAAGGGATAGCAGGAGGCTGTTGGTACAAAGCTTCTATACGAGTAGTGGGTTGGTGCAGACACGCAAGTTATCTGGCTTTATGAGCGTTGTAGCCTGACCTTCTGTCTTTCGCTGCTCGCCCAGTCAGGTCGGCCGTCGTGGCCTAGTGGCTTAGCGATTTACGCAGTTCTTCGCTCCTTCCCGAGCTGGACAGCTAGGCACCTCCTCACCTCGACGCCGACGAGTACGAAATATTGCACCACCAATTGCTAGCCAGCGCCGCAATCCACTCTCTCGCCATGACGACGCGGACCAGCACCAAAACGGCAGTCGCGCCTGCGCAAGTGCAGATGTTTGTCGCAGACTCGGCCAAACTGTCTGTGTCCACACACCTTCCCAGTTTGCATTCGCTCGCCCTCCAGATCCTGCACAACCTCCAGCACCAGCACTACTGGACCGACCTCAAGGTTTACACCCACTCTCCCCTCACCAAAGAGCCTCTGTCTCGCCCGCTTGTCTCAGGTCTGCCGCCGCAGCGCCTCTACGTCCACCCCGATGAGCAGGTTGAGCTGCTGAAGAACGCCGACCGCCAGCGCAAAGCCGCTGAGGCAGCAGGCGAAAAGAGCGGTCTGGAGGTCAAGGCGCAGCCCGAGCACGAGTGGGTACTGCCGACCAGGCTGAACGAGCAATGGACACTGCGCAGGCTGGCTGAGGTCTTTGACGACATCAGCATCCTGCCGCCTCAGACTTCTACTACGGCATACGAGGCTCCAGCAAACCCTTGGAGGACAACGAAAAGAGTAGTTTTGTCCACTGTCGACACAGACAGCACCGTCGTCTACTACATTGTACATGACGGAGTCGTGAAGCCTCGCCAGAACTGAGCGTGACTCTTTTTCATGCTCGATATTGTGAACAGTATATCGTCGGCCGCTACACTCCGCGTCGAACCGTACTCAAACACCTGCCTCATCATGCATCGAGAAGACGGCGGCTGGTAATGGGCAATAAAGCACTGCTGTCATACCACGCGTCGAGCTAATACTCTCTAGCTTCTATGTCTTGCTGCACACCTAAGGTATGACAGGAAGCACGTCTTCGGGTTCTGGCGGCTCGTAGAAGCGGCTCATCTCCACGTCTTCCTCGAGTGGTAGCTGATGTGCTTCAGCCCATCTTCTCACGCCCTCGTAGTCACGGCATCGGTGCTTCGTATTGAAGTCGACGAACGGCGTGGGATGTGCGCCTTCAGCCTGCCACCAAACTTGACCGAGCACCCCAACATCAGGGTTGCACATCAGTACCTGCCTCAGCATATCCAAGCAATGAGTGGCATGTATCCGTACGATGTATTCAGAGTTTACGAAAGGGCCTTCCCCTTTGGCCAGGTAGTAATTGTAATTCCAATGCAAGGTTTTCCGGAGGAGATCCTGTCCAGTGTCAGCAATCACCATCGTCATTGTTCCCTTTGATTCTTACCAGACAGTGTAGATGATGGAGACCCTCAACGTTAGCTGGATAACCGCCACCGTACTCCTGACTGATTTTGACCTGGTCGCGGCTTATACCCGATCTCTCGGCCTCGCTTTCAGGGACGATGACACTTCGCACTACGCACGAACTTAGCACTTAATCGTGAAAGGACGCCTGGGCATCGCTTACGCCCCACCCCTAACGCCTGCCAGGCCGCATCTACTTCTGGCCCGGCTGACTGTCGATAGATGTTCTCATGGAGGAAGCTCCCGTTGAATTGCTTCGTATGCCAACCTGGATCTACTTCTTCAACCACTGGTGCTGCACGCGATTAGACGGTTTCCTCCAAAAGTGCGGGCTGGCCACCTACAGTGTTGAGATATATGGTGCATGCAGAACTCGTCTGCATTTGTGACAAACTCGATTCTGCGCGTGCTAAATGCGATCCAGAAGCCGGCACTTAGATATACGACACTGCAAATGACGAGCGTCCTCAATGCCACCTGGTATTCGTAGTTTGGACGAGGAGAGGGTCTGTTTGTAAATGGAGTCAAGGGTGGAGCCGGCACAAGCGTTTCGTCCTCAAGAATTTCATCATCGCTCTGGGGTAAACGAGTATGTTTGGGTGCCCTGCGAAAGAGATGAGAAAACGTAGCTAACATAGTGCGAATGTTGCAAATCCACTATTGAGGAAGACCGACGCTCCTATTCAACACAGAAGAAGTTTGTGAGAATAGCGATTTACCAAGTCGTATCAGCGCAATTGCTTGTCAGGTAACGATACATCGTACCATGTACTCCCGGGTGCAACATGTGCATCGCACCAGACCTACCAACACGCCGATGATGAGGACACAATGTGAAAACTGGCAGACGTCAAACACGTTGCAAGTGCTTACACTTTACGATTTGTTCGAATGAGGAGCCGTTAGCATTGTACCAAACAAACAGACATAGTCTATTCACGGGACTGCATCACCAGAGTCAGTCTCACAGAATGTCACGAGAGCTCATTAGAGAGGGTCACACGTACCAGCTGCAACCCGACGGGGCCCTCGTTCAATAGCAAAAGAGACTAATTCGACTCATCACATTCGGATGCAGTTACCCTCCCTCGGAAGTATGACGCCTCATATGGCTAATCTGTGAGACGTCTCGAACACTCGAGAAGCTTTACAACGGTATGTGTGTTTGTCGTGATCCAATCCAGCAAGTCTCAAACTCACAACTTCTCAGTGATTGCAGGGGATTGAGAAAGACATTGCAGAAACGTGGCACGGAGGGTCCAAGACCGAACACAGCTCGCACCAGTTGGTGCAGAACGTGATTGTCCTCCTATACGTACACGGGTACCTCCTCACTCTAGGAGTGCGCTACTCTGATGGAACAGCTTGCCATTCTGCTCCTTGGTAGGGTCTCGATCAGCTACAAAAAGCTCATGCATTCAGTCGAAACAAGGTCCACACCAATCCTAACTCCATTCAGGCCGTGATAAACATCCACAGTATCTCAAAAACGATACTTCGAGGTCTTCAGCATGCATTACTCCATCCTTCTCGCCAGCCTTGCTGCGCTCGCCACCGCTGCTCCCATGGGAATGAAAAGCACGAATAACATGGACGGTGTGAAGCAAGCCCTTGATACCTCATATGGCTCGTATGCCAAGTACCTCTCGTATGGCGCCTACCCAAAGCAAGTCGAGGATGCGGCCGGAACTATGGGTACATTGTCTACTCCTCTGCCTTGACTATTTCCGAAACTCACACATCAGTAGCAAAATCGAACATGAAGCGCGACATAACGACGACCAATAAGGCGAACGAGATGAACAAACCTCAAGTCGCAGATATCAGCTATGGAAGATACGGCGCGTATGGCAGGTACTCCGATTACGGCGATTACTCAGGCGAGGTGCAAGATGAGGCAGCGAAGATGGCAAAGGCAAAAATGGATGCAGGTATGACGCAGTGAAGTCTCTCGCAAGGCAACATGAGAAGAACAGGAAACAATTGCAAGTAGATGAACGAGCCAGGTCACCCACTATGGAAATCAGACCCCATGTTCTTAGACAATACTGTTTCAGAGTTATATCGCAGTGCTATCGCTTACTCAACGAGAACACCAAACGGCCGCAGTGACATGCCATGCATGCGGCGCACTGTGCAACGAGACCTTGTTTTCCCCCAGCGTCTTCAACTCAGCTGCAGGGATAGACGATGATGTGAGATGAAGAATGGAAGATGGCGCCACATCAATGCTAATCTCGCAATGGGACCTCAAATTGAACGATACGAAATCTATGCACAGCGGACGTTTCCCAGCGTTGAGACGTCCAGCTTGGCGACACATGGGGTTCTTTGTTCAATATCGGCGTAATGGGACAACATCAAAGCTAGTGACCTCGGTCCCGCGGCGCCACACGTTAAACGAGCGGTTCCTAAATCGCGCGACCCGTGATCTGACTGTGCTTATCCGAGGGATATTGACGGAAGAAGCGCTGCTGAAGCAGCTGCCCGCCGCAAACAAGGGCGATCAATACGTCATCGAGTTTCTAACTTTTCAGGCACCTTGCGCAGTCTGCGCTAGGTATCCAGTTTGCCCGAAGATCAAGTTGAAACGAATACGAAGATGGTCGCAGGGAGCGAGTGAGGATCGCATGATTGGTGATGTCTGAGTAATCCGAATTTGGTCGAGAACCTGAGGAGCAACCAAGCTCGAGCGCCTGTTGTCGTCAGCGTACCGGCCAGTCACAGGCGCCGCTCACACACCGGCCATGCATCCTGCCGTGCGCGCCCCACACGTGCATCGACCTCGCGAATCCTGGCTGCAGGATTAGAGCGAGTGCAGACGCGGGCGCCATCTGATACTCTGGGGTTTGATGTGCTGGGCGCGGGCAGCTCTGATCATTGATGGACGCGAGCAGCATGGGACTGTTGCGGTAATATGATGCATCGCGGCCGACGTGCTCCTCTTGGATGCTCCCCACAGTCGTGCATGCTCCTGCGACTCAGGAGACTAGTGCCCCACATTGCTCAAGTAGAGCCGCCTCTGCTGCACGCGGCGTGGAGAAGGCGAAGCTTGCCCGCTGTGCTTGTCAGCGCTGGTCTCTGCTCGCATCCTTCGCCCGACGAAATTCCTCCAAGAGCCTCTGCACTGCGACCGCCATGACGCTGCTCTGAGTGCACACTGTATTGCGTAGACACACTGTGCCCAGCACCGCTGCTCGCCCGCCAATGCGATCCTGGCCGCCGCAGCTCCGCCCCCGATGACATGGCTGGCTCCGGCGCAACCGCAGCCACCATGAGCAGCTCTTCGCATCCGCATTTCGACCACGATGACGCCCTGGGTCTCGCCGAGTACGGCCTTGCGCCTGCGTCTAGTAGTGTCCGCGGCGCCAGCCCTGGCCAAATGATGGGACAGTTTCCCGACTTCGATGTGGCTTTCGCGCGCACCCAAAACCCCGGATTTCCAGGCAATCAGGTCCACCGCGGTAGCGTGGGCGGTGTGAGCGATGACAACCTGAGCGGCGGAGGCAGTGTCCACCCACGTGGTCTGAGTATCGGCGGCAGTCCCGGCATGCTGGCGCACGAGGGCTACAATGCTAGTCCTGACAGTGCTCCGGGCATGAGTCTGCTGGCTATGGGCGACTCGCATAACTCTTCTGCGCCAGGTCTGAAGCTGGAAACAAACGAGGGCCCCAACTTTGCCTCCACAGCCACGAAGCGCGCAAAGGACGCCGAGATGGACACGCCACAATGGAGCGAGATGAAGACTAAAGCCGGCAAAGAACGAAAGAGACTTCCACTTGCGTGTATTGCATGTAGGAGGAAGAAGATCCGCTGCTCAGGCGAGAAGCCGGCGTGTAAGCACTGCGTTCGGAGCAGAATACCATGCGTGTACAAAGTCACCACACGGAAAGCGGCACCGAGAACAGACTACATGGCAATGCTAGACAAGCGCCTAAAGCGCATGGAAGATCGTGTGATTAAACTTATACCGAAGGAGAGCCTCCCTTCTGTGGCCAACGTGGGCAGATCAGTCGTCAAGCCTGCTATACCAGGCGCCGCGCCAAAAACTCCAGCAACCAAGAAACGACACGCTGAAGAAGCGTTTGGGAACGAACTGGATGAATGGGCCAAGTCAACGGGTAAAGATCCAGACGTATCAGGTGTGACTGGAAGATCGAAGGAGTCAGACGAGAACAGGCTGCTCACAGAAGGCGCGGATAGCCTGCCATCAAAGGAGATTCAGGAACACCTTGCTGAAGTATATTTCGACTACGTATACGGCCAGAGCTATCCTTTACTGCACAAGCCAAGTTTCATGCGGCGGTTGAGCGCAGGCAAAGTACCGCCAGTACTGATTCTGGCCATGTGTGCCATCTCAGCCCGCTTTTCGACACACCCACAGTTGCGAACGGAACCGTGTTTCTTACGAGGCGATGATTGGGCACAAAGAGCAAGGGAGATTGCGTTGAAGCGCTACGATTCACCGAACATTACTATTTTAATAGTTTATCTCTTACTTGGTCTTCACGAGTTTGGCACATGCCAAGGTGGACGGAGTTGGATGTTTGGCGGCATGGCACAGAGAATGGCATACGCTCTGCAGCTTCACAAGGAAAACGAGTACGATCCGCTAGTAAATGATCCAGACAAGAAGCCGCTTAGTGCGACAGACCGGGAGATCCGGAGAAGGACCATGTGGTCTTGTTTTCTGATGGACCGGTTCAATTCGTCCGGCTCGGATAGGCCGCTTTTTGTGCACGAGCAGTACATCGAGGTGCAATTGCCGGTCAAGGAGCACCTGTACATTCACGAGATCCATGCACCGACCGAAAACTTGGAAGGCGCGGTGCCAAACCCCGTGCCGCCTGACAGCGGGCAACTGGCAAATCCTCGAGAGAACATGGGTGTCACAGCCTACACTGTTCGATTAGTGTGCGTTTGGGGTAAACTCGTCAAGTACATGAATCTTGGTGGCAAGGAACGAGAGGCGGAACCAATGTGGTCGTCAGAATCGACATTCTTTCAAATAAAGAAGGAAACCCTGGAGTTCAAGGATTTGTTGCCAGAGATGCTGGTCTACACACCAGAGAATCTGAAGAGCCATGCCATCGGCAAGACGGCGAACTCGTTCTTGTATTTACACATCCTTTGGCAGCAGATCATGCTTTTCATGCATCGCTTTGCACTGCCTTCGACTGCAGGCGCGCGGCCGCCGAAGGACATGCCACACGAATTCCTCACAAACTCAGCACACACTGCGCTCGACTCTGCGAACCAGATCTCAATTCTCATCAACGAGGCTATGGACCACAACGTCGTTGCGCCTTTCGCTGGATACTCTGCGTTCTTCTCATCGACCGTCCATGTCCATGGTGTTTTTTCGAGCAATGCGAAACTCGAGGCCAAATCGAAGAAGTATTTGGCATACAATGTCAAGTATCTGACCAAGTTGAAACGATATTGGGGCATGTTTCAGTATGTCGCCGAGAACCTGAAAGATCTATACCGACAGCACGCCGATGCGCATTCGAAAGGACCGACCGCGAGCGCAGATGGTAAGAGCAAAGCCAACATATTCCAGTACGGCGATTGGTTCGATCGGTATCCGCACGGTGTTTCGAAGACAGACTACGAGGACGCAGCAGAGGCAAAGGCCCACGAGCCTGGCACTGATGCTGTACTTGGCGAGAAGAGCGATCTACAGAGCGTGGAAGAGTTCTTCGCGTCGTTATCACCACCCTCCAAGGCCGATATCCGCAAGCAAGCCCGCAAGACGAAGGCTAAATCTGTCAGTAAAGCAGCTGCGACAGAAACACCAAAGCTAGCACGCCAAACTAGCAATAAACAACAGTCCGCCCCCGCTCATGGCCAACAGCAACAGCAGCCAATATCACATATATCCATAACGAACGACGCGACCATGTCCACCCCACCTACCACATTCGACCCCGCCGCTTACTTTTCACAACAAAACCAATCTACCTCGCAACAATTCATTGCTGAATTTGCCGGCCCACACGCGCTTCTCAACTCCGGTACATCGCCCTCTATCGGCCACCTCCCACACCTCCAAAACCCGACTACTCACCCACAAAATCACATGGACATGTCACCATTCCCCGATCTATCTTCTGACTTCAATGCCGCATTCTGGAACCTCGAGGCCATGGGCATGGGCGGCGGCAGCAACCACTTCTTCGATCCAATGAGTAGCTACTTTGTGCCCTTCAACGTGGATCCACCAAACATGATGGGTGGTGGAGGTGATGGTGTGTTTGATGGCCAGGGCGCGGACTATGGGTTTGGGCTAGGACAGGGTCCGAACGTGGATTTGAATATGTTGGATGCAGGCGTAGAGGGAATTGGACAAGATGGAAGTGTACAGAGGAGACAGACGGGAGAGGGAATGGGAATGGAGGGATTTGACGGGAGTGGCTGAATACGTGAACAGGAGAAGAAGTACATGCTGAGGAGGAATAATGATTGTTACGCGGGATTTAGGATATACCATTGTGCAGGCGATTGTAGCCAAAGTTGGGGGAGAAAAGTAAATCAATAAAGGAAGGAGTCTTTTATCATGTTCATACAACTTGGCAACCAACACGCTGCTTCCACTTCGAAAATGTTCGTATGATAGATTATGTTTTAGTTGACGCCTGTCACTTGTGATGGACCGCAGGATTCGAGTGGTTTCCACGATCGTCCCCCTTGGCCCCAGCTTTGGCGCTAATTGTTTTAGCGGGCATTTACGTAGCCCTGCGTGAGCACAGTCCGAGCACTTGAACAACCCAACTCGTTCAGCTACAACAGCCCCACCAACACTTGACCTTTTCATACTTCGTGACCGACGCGCAGATTCATTCAAGCTATCCCCAAACAAACACAAACCACCCGAAATGGCTTCTGAAGTAGTTTCGAAGCTCCAGAACCTCGTCACAGGCGAGTCTAAGAGCGCCCGCAAGAAGAAGGCTAAGCAGGAGAGCTCTGCCACTGCAGTCCCTGCTGCGACTGAGAAGACAGCTTCTGAGGCTGGGGCCGGCGGCTCTGATCCTCTTGGTAACATCAATGGCGACAGCGAGAACGCCTACATCAAGGAGCTCCAGAAGTGAGTCGCAGCCCTGCTCCCCAGGCAAGGCCACATACGGAAAGAGCTCAAGCGCTAATGTGAAACGTGTACAGGAATATTCGCAACATCAACAAGAAGCTTGTAAGTCTAATCTCCCCGCCTCAGCCTAGTGATGAGACACAACTAACATGCACGTGCAGAATGCTACCCAGAAGGTCGACTCCATCATCGCAGAGCACCCCGGTGTATCCCTCGACGAGCTCGCCTCATCCCGCAAGATCAACGCCGACCAGAAGGCTCAGGCTCTGAGGAAGCCCAAGCTGCAGGCTGAGCTTGCGCAGCTGGAGGAGCAGGTTACACAGTACAAGAAGTTTGACCAGGAATACCAAGAGAAGCATGCTCGCGAGAAGGAGCTGTTGCAGAAGTCGCATTCCGGCGAGCTTGAGGCGCTAAGGGAGACAATCAAGGCCGAGACGGCAATTGAGCAAAAGAAGCTCTTCCGCGAGAAGATCCTGACACTGTCCCGCTTCCTGAGGGCGGCTGCTGCTCGTCGCCAATTGGAGGACGATGACTCTGAGCTCACCAAGGCGTTTGAAGGTGCTCTGCTGCAGGTCTACGGAGGCGACGCTGTTGCCGTTTCTGCGGCTGAGAAGCTCATCGAAGGTGCTGAGGATGGCGTGCCTTCGACTGAGGGAGTGCTGCTGAGCACAACCTGTGCGTTACTCATTTCTTGGTGGAGAGTGATCCATGGCTAACTGATCGACAGACTCACAAGTCAAGCAGGCTGCGCTCGAGGAGGCTCCTTTCGCTGCCGAGGAGGCCTGGGTGGACGATGTGGCGCAGGCCCAACCCACAGCTCCCGAGGGAGAGGCGACAGAGGCAGTCTCTGACCCAACTCTTACGCACGCAGGTCTGACTGAACTTGATGCTGGAGCGGCTACCGTTGGTGGAGCGGAGGCTGAGCAGAGCGCCGCACCAGCGGCAGCAAGCATTGAGCCTGAGGCTGCGAATGCCGCTGCGACAGCACAGTGGGACAAGCAGACCGCTGGTCAGGACGAGCCTCTTAGCGAACCCTTCGAGATCATTCCTCGCGATCCTGCGGAGACTGAGACCCCACACCAGACTGCTCCAGTCACTAGCACCCAGAGCTGGGCCGACGACACACCCGAGCCTATTGCAGCCCAACCTCCTGCCAACGATGGCTTTTCTGAGGTTCAGCACAACCGCGGAGGGCGCGGACGTGGAGGACAACACCAGGGTGAAGGTCGAGGAGGATACCGCGGCCGTGGCCGTGGCGGTCCCCGCGGCGGAGGCGAGTACCGTGGTCGGGGACGTGGACGTGGTGGTGACTTCAGGGGCGGTCGAGGTGGCTTCCGTGGCGCTCCCCGCGGTGAGTCGACCGCGTAAATCGACTTTCAACTCTTCTCTCCCCTGTCACTTTGGGTTTAATGAGCCGTGGAAAGCTTTGATCTTTTGATTTGGCCTTCCTGCCTCCACCCATCTGAGCATTTGAGCGGAACGATAAAAAAAGAACAGCTTCACGGCATTTGTACAACCAAATTTGTTTACTGCATAGCATCGGAGCGCCGGCCTTTAACATAACGGCCATTGTACTCTAACGACTGGGCGGCAATGAACATGGATTTGTCACATTTTCTACTTGAGCAGTTGTGTGAGGTCGCATTTGTGAGCATCTACTTTTCGAACCGAGCGATCATAGTATCCTGAGACGTCCTGCACTGATTTGATTACGGTCTGCTGCACTGCACTGACGTAGTTGAAGAGCAAAATTGCAAGTGCATCTTCAGGTTGAGACGGCCACGAGGTGAGATTATGGCCTTTTGAAAGATTACACATGTCGATCCGGAGGAATTTGTTGGGGGGTGTGCTGCGCGTCATCAGTGAGGCGAAGTGCCGAGTGGACCTGTGCTCCGTGTTGAGGCGGAGGTGGAAAACATCGTAACACGCCGCACGCACAGTGGTCAAGGACAGCGCCCGCGACACTCAAATCGTTCAGATTTCTTGTAATATCGTCGAAAAATGCGACGAAAACCCAGCGCAAAATTCCAGCTTGCCTAAAAAGCCGCCAAATTGCATCGTGAACTCTGTATAGGCTGCAGCTGCATCTTCTCCAACCTGTTGCGAAGATCGTCGCAAATACCCACTCTGGCTTCTTTATCCATCAGAAATCCATGCAGCAGTATCCTCGTCCATGATGCATCACTCGCGCAAGCTCCGCATCCACTCCTGAGCTCACAGTTTGTCAGTGTGTGGCCACTGCTGCATCTGCCTGCTGCGTAACCAGCGACCTGCAATGGACCAGTCTGCACACGCTGAGCGTGACAGTACTAAAGCATGGCCAGCCCGATGTACTGGACGGGACGGTGCATACTGGTGCACGCGGGTATCGATGAGGAGCCGAGACTGGGCCTTGTTCTGCCGGGAGTGTCGCGGAGTGATGCAGGCACGACGAGCTAGCGGGAGCTTGCCGTTGCTGCACGCGCTCCACAGGCCGATCAGAAAAGCTTATCTCCACTTTGACAGGTTTGTTTCATGCGTCCAAATGTTAGCATTGTGTAGACATGATCGCTGTTCTGCTGTACTCTTGTAGCGGTGCTGTGCTGTGTCAGGATGACGGAGTACTACAGATCTGGATTCGTGGTGAGAAGATACTGAGATTGAGCGTGGGCTACTCTGCACAGACAGGTACGTGATTTGGATTGATGAACGATCTGATAACAGATCTGGTGTTGCGCATGACGTGCATGCCAAGCGTGTGGCAAGCGCGTTTGTGTGTGCTTCATGCAAGTAGCTTCGTTGCCTGCTCTGAAGAGCGTCATTTTCACGTTAGATTTGCATCTCAATTACTTGAGAGCCATCAGAAATACAGTGAAAAGCTCAGTTCTCTATGATCTGTTGTTGCTGTTTTCAGAGGTGCATGGTCCGATCATCGAACGATTGCGTAGCGTGGCACTAGCCGAACAGGACTCTGCAACCTCCTCGTTCCTGCCCTCGCACCTCAGGAACGACAACAACGTTCCCCCACACCTCCACACACAGCGAACCATACTAGACCCTGCGCGCCTGATTACTTGGGTCCATGCGCTGCCTACAAAATTATTGCGGTCTCGATATAGCGACCCCCGACCGAGGTGGCAAGCTTGCGATCCTCGCGGCACCCGCGCCTCGCTCGAACCACATCCACTAGCCTCACGTTGCTCCGCATCTGCCTTGCCACGCATCGCACGCCTCGGCGCCTGCACCTCGACTATGGATGCTCCAGCAGACATCGTGCAGTCTGTCGAGACGCCGCCTGCCGTCCAGCATGACGAAGTCGTGCCGAAAGCCGTCCTGACGCCGCCCACGAGCGAAGACAACGACCCAAAGCGACAAGAGAGGATGTCGTCGGAGCTTTCTGAGATTGACAGTGACGATGGCGAGGATATTGAGCCGGATCATTATTGGGAGGGAGGGAAGATACCCGTGTTCAAGCCGGTATGTTGCCGATGCGCACGAGTCCTGCAGTGCTACAAAGCATGCAACATGTGCGCAATATGCGCACGTAGAGCGCATTGAGAAAAACACAAGCTGACAATGCTATTCGCGTAGACAATGGAGCAGTTCCATAACTTCAAGCGCTTTATCGACAAGGTGGACAAGTTCGGAATGAAGTCTGGCATTGTGAAGGTCATTCCACCGACAGAATGGTACTGCCCAGCTCGATCAAAAAGCTTGCGGAACGATAGCTAACTCGGTCACAGGCGTGGCTCTTTACCAGACCTACAGGAAGCCGTCAAGTCGATCCGAGTCAAGAATCCAATTACACAAGAGTTCACAGGTCAACATGGTGTCTACACTGGAGCGAACGTCGAGAAGCAGCGATCCTACAACCTACCGGAATGGCGGGCTGTCACGGACGAGCCACACCACCAGCCCCCGGCCAAGCGAGGCGAGACACGTGCGGGCCGAAAAGCAGAGGCCCCAGCGCGCACACGATCCACACGAGCCGCGAAGATCGACGATAGCACCCCTGTTCCGAAGCGCAAGCCTGGTCGGCCCGCTCGTGGACGACGCAGCGTCAAGAAGGAGCCAGAAGAGGACGAGGAAGATGACGAGGCTGAGACTCTCGATGTGCCCCCCACGCCTACCTCGCCAGGCGCTGAAGATCACAAGCCAACTAGGCGCGGTGGTAGGGTGAAGAAGGAAGATACGCCAACCAGACCTCGCGGCCGTCAACCCCGGGCCCAGAACGAGAAGAAGTCGGTGTCTTCTCGGCGACTCAATAATAGAGGCGTTGTCAATGACTACGTTGATGAAGCTGCTTTTGGGGACTTCGACTACCATCTGGAAGGCCTCGAGGAGTTCACTCCTGAGCGATGCAAGGAGCTCGAAGAAGCCTACTGGAAGACCATATGGAGTGGACAGCCAATGTATGGTGCAGACATGCCTGGATCGCTCTTTGACGATCGAACAACGTCCTGGAATGTAGCGAAGCTTCCCAATCTGCTCGACGTACTTGGGACGAAAGTACCCGGCGTGAACACCGCCTACCTGTACCTTGGCATGTGGAAGGCCTCGTTTGCCTGGCATCTAGAAGATGTTGATCTCTACAGCATCAATTACATACACTTCGGCGCGCCAAAACAGTGGTACAGCATTTCCCAGGAGGATGCACGTCGTTTCGAGGCTGCGATGAAGAGTATTTGGCCAAACGATGCCAAGAATTGCTCCCAGTTCCTGCGACACAAGACCTACCTCATCTCTCCGCAGCGACTGGAGAAGGACTTCAACATCAAGGTCAACAGGCTGGTCCACTACGAAGGCGAGTTCGTCATCACATATCCTTACGGCTACCATTCTGGGTACAACATCGGCTACAACTGTGCGGAGTCAGTCAACTTTGCGACTGAAAGCTGGTTGAGCTACGGTAGGATTGCCAAGAAGTGTGATTGTGAGCCTGACAGCGTGTGGGTCGATGTGAACGAAATCGAACGCAAATTGCGCGGCGAACCTACACCCGAATACTACGAAGAGACCGACGACGACGACGACGATGAAGATGGTGCCGATCGACTCCCAAGCCCCCCAGCGAGCGTTGCAGGGAAGACGAAGAAGAAGCCTGGCAGAAAGCCAGCCGCGAAACGGAAGCGCGGGAAGGACGAACCGCAAGAAGCTGCGAGGCCGAAGAAGCTCAGGAAGATACGCATCCGTCTCAAGATTCCTGGACGCGGCATGCCGTGTATCTTATGTCCCAACGACGTCGACTTCGACGACCTGTTGCCGACCGACAACGGCATGAAGGCTCATCGCATCTGCGCTGATTACACGCCAGAGACATACATCCAGAACGAGACAGTTTGCAATGTTGCCAACATCGGGAAGGATCGTCTGGAGCTGAAGTGCAACTACTGTCGCTCCAAGCGCGGTGCAGTCTTTCAGTGCTCTCAGAAGAAGTGTACCAGGGCCTTCCACGCCACGTGCGCGGTTGCTGCTGGTGTACAAGTCGACCTGGGTACTATGCAGACGTTCGACGCTGAGGGTACGGAGTACTATTACGATGGCTACGACTTCCGCTGCCGCTTCCACCGACCCAAGAAGAGGAACAACAAGACTGTTGATGTCGATGCGTTGGAGAAGAACAAGTTTGTTCTCAACTACGGAAAGACACTGAAACCAAAAGACGTCATCCAGTTCCAGTATGTCGGTGGAGAGATGTATCAAATCTATGGTGCACAGGTCGTTGAGAACAGACCTGGTGAGCAGGCTGCGCTTGTGGATGTTCTTCCGGATGGCGATCGAGTGGAGGTTGAATGGAAGTACATCCTCAAGCTGCACCCAGACGAGTCGCAACGACCCAAGCCGTCTGCCAATGCTCAGCCATTGCCGGAGCATCTCAAAGAGAACGACGCATCGCTCGACATCACCAACCGCACAGATGGCGTTCCTGAGATGGGTGATCCGTTCCATGATCCCAACTCAGAACAGAAATGGGCTGAATGGAACACAGCACCTGAAGTCACACGGAGAATTGCCAAGGTCGATTTCAGCAAAGAGAACAGACTGTGGTATTACCTTGGAAAACCTTCTACGGAGGCTAAACCACAGTATACCGAGGATCTTGCGAGGCCGACGAACAACCCCAAGAGCAATTTCCTGGATACTGTCAAACCTCCGCCTTTGCCAATGCCAACTTTCCAGCGACATTCGTACCCAGTATCATACCCACTCAAGCCAGCACCTCCTGGCATGGCACAGCGCACGATGATGCCACAACAGATCGCACCTGCAGGTGGAAAGCCATACACATACAAGCCGAAGGATACCCTGATGACCTCCTGGAAGACACCAATGTACAATCCAGATACCCGACAGAACCCCAATTCTCCCGTGGCACACCAACCGAATGTCACCTACGATTACAGGAATACTCCTCAATACGGATATCCTCCACCCCGGCCCATGTCGCAGCAGCAGCAGCAGCAGTATCAGCCATATGCGCCACCGCCACACAATTACTCTGCTCAAGGCTATGTGACGCAGGCTGCATCAGCTGGGCCGCTTCTCGACGGTATCGACAAATATGCTCACACGAACCAGTCTCATCAGGCACTGCCTCCATACCCATACTCTCAGAGCAACGCACAGGGTCCGCCGCGCCAACTGCCTTATCCTGGCTCGAACACCGCGCCATATGGCTCTCCTGCGCAGCACGGTCAAGCACCCCCTTCACACGGGCATGCACCGAATTCAAACATGCTGAGCACCCCTACTGGGACTCCCAAACCTCCAATGTACGCCGTCACACCCCACTCCTCCGTTGTTTATGCTGCCCAAACCCCTACTGAATATCTTGCCTACGTTTTGAAATACCCGTACTTGAGAAATGCGTACCTTAGGAGGCAAAAGACTTACATATCTCCTTACAGTCCTGGTGATGGAATTGCACCTGAATGGCTGCCCAAACCCCCGCAGTTAGTCGGTGGTGCAACGCCGGCTCAATCCATGCGCACAGGATCGACAGGCTCCCATGGCTACTACCCAAGCCCTTCACCCAGCTCGATAGCGCCGAGACCAGCAGCACAATTCCAGTCACCTGATGCTTTTCAACGAGGCCTGACTCAAGCCTCGACCTCCGCAACAGGCGCACCCAAGTGGGAGCAGATGCTCAAGCAGCTCGCCACATCCTCTGGCCCCGCAGCCACGCCGTCCGCAACGGCATCGTCCCAGCCGCCACAGTATCCGCCTCTACCGCGCTCGAGCACAAGCTACGGCATGCCCAACGCACCGGGCCCGTTTCAGAAACATACCCCGCCGCTGCCACCGCCGGCAGAGCCCCAACGACCAATACCCAGTCCTATTAGCGATGATGGGAAGGCTAGCGTCGTGGCTGCGAAATCGGTGCTGCCCTCGCCGCCCGCGATGCCGCCCACGCCGGGGCAGGTACACAGTGCTGAGACGTGGCGGTTCTCACAGTGAAGGATTGTACGAGTAACGACTATGCGTGGGATGATATGACTGTATGAATATGGAACTTGGATGGCGTTTTTGGGTGCGAAGAGTCGATGGACCGACCCTCTTCTATTACGTCTTTAATGTTGTGTCACTTCCTGCGGGTCACGAAATAGGGTATGCAAGGCAAGGCATGGTTCCTTTTGCACAGCGGCTATATAATACACGCAATTATTGATCTTAATGTCATCCTGCTCTCTCGGGCTGTTCTCATACCAACAACACTTGATCGCGCTTGTCCAGGAATATTGTAAACGTAGAACAACGATATGAACATGAAGTGAAGATAACGGTTGTATTGCAATGTGACTACATACTGAGCTCGTCTTAGCGGACACCATCAGGCTGTCCGTACCCCCGGATCGCGATAAGATGCGAGCTCGTCCCGGGGGGACCTCCACGAGGTTATTACCCCTCGCTTCTCAGGCCATGCTGACGCAGTGTAACTGCTCAGCGCTCTTTGCATCGCCGTCCAGGTTCCCAGAACGCCCCAGCTGAAGAGGGTCGTCTGCAGAATTGCTGGAGTCGGATGTTATTATTATTATTAGTATAATTGTTATTATTGAGTAGTTGTCTCCTGGGAGGAGGGTCTGTTGGTTAGGCATTCTACACCTCCTCAGGTCAGACTATTCCTGCCCACACAGCCAAAGGGTTTACCCCAAGTGCTTCTGTGGACAGGAAAGATCGCCGGGTGCACAGTCTAGTGACTGTGGCCGACGACACTCAGCGCGGTGCGGCTGGATTCTCGTGAGTACTCTCGGAGCTGGCCAGCCGTCGCTGACTGAGATTTTGTGGTCCCGAGTGAACGCTCGTCGCTATGGATTTGCGAGTCACTCTCCACTAATAGGCTCTGCTGCAAACGATGTCGGACACGGTGCAGGAGCGTTCGATCGGTATTTGAGAGTGCTTGCCAGCAATATTGCCAAGGACCTGACGGCCTGTCAGAGACTTGTGCCGAAGCGCAAGCTCGATATCTGGTGGCATCTTCCACACTGGGTTCTCTAAAAAGAGATCACGGGTGGCGGGGTAGTTCCCTGCTGCGCAAGGTCTCCGGCGTGATAGTGAAAGGTCTTTCGTGCTGGGTTGTGCTTTAGTAGCCGTAGAGTGGTCTCTACCAAGCGGGTTATCTGAGTAGAATAGCTGAGAAGAGCGTACTTACAGGTCGTGAGGTGCTGTGGTGGAGAATCTGTGGTGGAAAAGATGGTGAAGCTGTCGACTAAGACTTGACGCGTCAATATACGCTAGCGCGCATGCCAGCGTGGCGGAGCTGGGTGAAGTGAAAACTCTGTCGTCTATTGTGGCAGAAAGAACTTGTGTGTATCGTATTTGGTGAATCGTGCTTCGTTCGTTTGCCTATCCTTCACTTCATCCTATTGATGTTAGTAACCGAGCGGTTGATGTTGAGAGGTGTTTGCGCTTGGTTCATAAACCCTTCGAGATCTAATTATTTAAAAAGATGTTTTGTAGAATGGTTGGCGATTTGTGCAGACCTCTAAAGTCTTGGGACCAATTTCATAGTGTAGGCACGTACCATGGTAGCAACAGAGGATTGACCCTGCGATTAATTGCCTGCTGGGCTATGTTCCCATGTCTCTGACCTACAGTCGGAATGATCTGCACATTCTTGCAAGTAACAATACTCATTTATCTCAGAAAAGATTGTTTGCATGTATATCTCCGAATTCAGCCAATCTGAATGCTCCTCGCCTGCTACCTTATGTCGATCAGGCATCAATATTGCAAATTTTCCAACCTGAGACAACTTTCCTCTGGAACACGCCCTCGGGGTCATACTCTGCTGCAACCTTGCGCATAAAGTCAACCTTGCTTGTTCCGTAACTCGCGAGCGGGTTCTGCGTCTCATCAGCATAATTGAGGTACCGCCAGCCCACATTGAGATTGTTCGATTTAGCAAAATCTTCCAGAGTAGCCGAAAAGACTGTCAGTTTCTCTCGCATGATTGCGTGTTGCTCTGCCGTCTCTGTCGAGCCAACAGCTAGCCACAACAGCGCATTTCCTTTGGTCTGATCTAGCCCCAAAACGTTACCTACGTGCTGCACAGAATGCTCAGCGTAGAGAGATGGCCAAGGCTGGAAGATACACTGCGTTGAAAACTCGGTGTGAGGCATACGGCTCTTGAGTTCTTCCACCAGACCGTCGTGCATCTTGCTAGCATGCTTGATGGTTCTGACGTCGTTCTTAAGTGTGAGGGTGAACCAGACTTGGCTGTGTGGGTTAGCTCAAGACCAGGGTTAAAACGTGTAGTTGACATACTGTTTGTGATGAGGGGAGTTGTTAGCAGCAGCGATGTCCGCCATACTTTTCTTCTTCACATCCACCAGAACAGCTTCTATGCCCAAGATTCCCTCGAATGCAGAAGAATGACTGATACCCCTGGTATCTACAACGACATTCGTGACGAGAGGTTCCGGCGCCATGGCAGAATTGAAGCCGTAGTTGAGTAGAAAAGCTGTGTGCGGGTGTCTGTAGTTTTCGTCTGTGAAGGCGACGGCAAATTGCGCACATTCATCTCCATGGGTCCTGTCGACAACTCGAACCCCATACAAGAGGTCATGGGCTGGGAACGTGAACATGTCAAACCGAGTTACGATACAGAAATTTCCCGAGCCGCCCTTCAAAGCAATCCAAAGATCCGGATGTGAACTAGCATTTGCGTTGACAACCTCCCCAGTTGCAAGAACGACTTCGAAGTTGGCGACGTTGTCGCAGCCCAGACCCTCCAGAGCGGCATACCAGGATATCCCACCGCCAGTAAGGAATCCTCCAACACCCACATTGCCTTCCCGACCGCCAGTGACACAGACTTGGTGCTTCAGGAGCTCTTCGTACACACCTATCCATCGCACTCCGGGTTGGATTGAGGCCAACTTGGAATTACCATCGTAAGTGACGACCGTCATTCGTCCTAAATCGATGGTGACACCATTTTTAACATCGTTTGAACCCGCCCATTGGGTATGACCACCACTGCGCAGAGCAACAGGATAATTGGCTTTGGCGAGCACTTTGACAATGCGGGATACTTCATCTGTTGTGCACGGCTGAACGATGCAGGCAGGTCGCATGGGTGCGTTAGCTGCCCAATAGGACGCTTGACGGTCTTGATAGGCATCGGAGTCTGGCAAAAGAACGAGATCGTGCAAGCCTGCGGCAGCGAGTAGGTCTTGTGGTGTTGGATTGTTGCTTTGCATGGCTGTGCATGTAGATTGGTGGAAGAGTTGCGGAGAGCAAACGACAAATGGCGATAATCAGTGATTCAATGCTTGCATGCGCAGTCATGCAGCCACGCTGGCAGCCTCAAACTGATTGGTCGCATGTACTAGGTGCATTCGTTCGCTGCTAAACCCACTTGTGGGGTATACGCGTATATTTTGTTGCTGGGCAGTGAAGGTGCACAACGGTATCGCAGCAACAGCGCGTACCAACAAGAACTTTGGTGTATCGTAGCCACTCGAGGGCGCGAACAATCACTATATTCTGAAGGTGTATATAAGTTTTGAATTTCGTAATCCTATCAGTTCCTCCTGATAGCCTGTTGGTACATGTGACAGTAAGCTGCCGCGATCCCAAATTGAGTCTATTCGGGAGGAACGGTTTGCATTTTTGCATGCCCTAGGTTCGAGCCTTCAGGTGGCTGATTGTTTTAGAGGTTCTTTTTTGATCAAGGCACTAAGATTTCAAGGTGAAGGTGAAAGAAGATGAGACGGACTGGTCTCCGTACGTTTCCCCATTGGCTCTTCTACGCTCCTCTGCCTTCCTAAGCTTATCTATCTAGGTCACAAACTGTCTCAAATAGCCTTGCACCCGCCAGCATGCCGAATATCAAGCTCATCAAGATGCGATACAACTCCGCCACCATCACTGCCTCTATCTCCTCCGAGATGACCGATGCAGAGATATATAGAGAGCTCCACACAGCTTTTATCAGTACTGTTGGCTCCTACCACATCGTCATCACAGGCCCTTACCGCAACATCCTCGCAACGCTCGCCTACTCAGAGCTGAAAGAAGGCACGGTTTACATCATTACTACATCTGCCGAACGCATCCAAGGCGCCGGGACAGCCTCACGTGCCTCCAAGACGACTCTTGCAAACCTTGCCATTGTCATGCAAGACTGGCGCCTGGCGCACGCTGGGCAGATCTTCCCTGTCGACATCGCGCCGCGCACAGTGAACGCGGAGGGCAAGCAGCCTTTGCTTGGCGACCTGCAGCACACGGGTTTGCTGGAGCCTGAGCTCTGGTCTGCGAGGTTTACATCGGAGCTGAGAAGGTTGAGTCGGAGGAGCCAGGGCATGCATGTGGAGATCATGCATCTGGTGAGGTGGGAGATCGAGGGGAGGCACGAGAGGGAGGAGAGTCCTGTCAAGTACGTGACTACGATCGACTTGAAGAATGTCGTGGGGCACTCGGAGACGGAGCAGATGGGGATAGCGCAGCAGGCTAATGATCTGGTTGCTGCGGAGGACATGGCGACCGAGGTCTTCGGCGGTGGGCTTCTGGCAGCTCTACCGGAGGTTGATGGCCAGTCGGCTGAGCTAGAAGTTGCAATGTTCACTTTGCCGATACGTTAGAATACGCCAGTTCACTTTCTGTCAAGAGTGTCCAGAATGATGACTACCTTCAGCTGTCCACGGAAGCTGTACACGAGGCGAGAGAAAGACTTACGAGCGTGCTCAGGTACACGTCAACTGACACGCATGGCCTTCATCGAACACAACAGAATGTGCATATAAGACTCCTGGTGGATGAACCCACTCCCCAGTTACCGCTAAAGCTGAGCCAAAAAGAAATCAGCACGAATCATTACACACAAATGCAGCGATGACCTTGAATTCAAAACGATGGTATTGTGCGACCGCGCTCCAGCATCCCCGGCTCCCCCACCAGCCCAAGCACCTAAAATCCGGACTGCAATGCAAGATCCACCAACTCCAATGTGTATGCTCATGACCATGCGATGTGAGACGCCAAAGAGTATGCTAAACAGAAAACTAATAACCCGCCCTCCCCACTCCGCATCCTTCTCTAAGCTACATACTCCACGTATCCTTGCGAGACACTGAATGCTCGGAACACTCACTTTGTGCCAAAAACTCTCTTGATGTCAGCAAACTTGACAGGCTTGACGAGGTACATATCGACCCCCGCATCCTGGGCGTCCTGCTGATCCTGTGCGCTTGCCAACCCAGTCAAGGCCACGATGTGGCTCCGCGGCAGGTTGTGTTCCTTCTCGAACTTGCGGATATTGCGGGTGCTCTCGAGGCCGTCCATTATGGGCATACTGATGTCCATTAGGATGAAGTCAAAGGGCCGTGTTGGCGGCGTAGTGGAGGTAGCCTCGGACTTGAATGACTCGAATGCGTCGAGTCCGTTGACGGCTTCGCAGTAGCGCAACTTCTGCCGCTTGGCGAATACGACGAGGAGCTTGAGGTTGATTGCGTTGTCGTCGACGAGCAGGACGCGGGGGTTGAAGTACTCGTTTGCTTCCCCTGGTCCGGGCGAGGACGGCGTCGCGCTTTGAGGTGGTGTGATCATCGAGGAGAAAGGGAGAGCGGGAGGAGGCGAGGGTGACCCAAATGAAGTGACTGTCGAGTCTTCATGGGGCGACTGGACCGTGATGCTGTCGCTCAGGCTTCGATGGTCATCATTTAGGGCACCAGGAGGAGCAAGAGTATGATGGTCGTGTAACCCAAGAGCGGTCATGGAACGAGTTAATTGGCGATCTAGGTTAGCCTTGTGGGCGCGCTTTTGGCACTGCAAAAGGGTGCGCGCAAGTTTGCGGGGTCCACACCTGCGTTTTGTTAATCATGAGTATCGTGAGACATAGCTAAGACAGAACTTACGGCTGGGTAAGAACCTCCGCTGTCCAACCTAGAGCATCAATCTGCCTGCCCAGCCGCCGTTCCAGAGCTGTCTTCTCGGCTGTGTCTGTGCAGACGCACACCACGGTGAGGGGGGTATCATTGACCCAATTAGGGGTTGACTCCTGTAACAATCGATCAAGAGACGGCGTGTCCGTTAGGAGAAATTCCACCCGCTTACTCGAAAGGCTTGGGTCGTAGATGTCTAGAATGTTCATGTTGAAGCCTTGACAAGCATTCTGCATCGACTCCTTGACCTTCTTACCGCGTTGACCTCCTATCGAGTCACACTCGCACAAAATACTCACAGAAGTTCCTTTGAGCGCCTCTGGGGCGTTTACAAGGCTGGAGTTGTACTTGGTGGTGTCGCTTTGGCCAATCGGTAATTGCAAAGAGACCTGAATCTGAGTGCCAACCTTAGCCGTACTCTTGACACTAATCTCGCCCTTGAGAGATTCGACAATCTGCTTAACAATACTAAGACCTAACCCGGTACCAGATGCAAACGGATCTTCTTGACTGAAGGGCGAGAAGAGTTTTGTATTCTGGAAATCAAAGGACATGCCCCGACCAGAATCCTCTACAGTCAACAACAAGTCGATGTGTTCTGACGTGTTTCCAGATTGCATCAATTTCATGGCAACGAAACCTGAGTCAGTGTACTTCAAGGCGTTGCCAAGTAGATTCATGACAATCCTGCGAAGGGCACCAGGTTGAGAGCGAACGGCCCAGTTGACGTACGGCGCGACAATCAGTGACACGATAACTGCTCCGTTGTCTTTGCCGACCACAAGTTTGCCGTCATTCGCAGTAGGGACCACTTCGCTCGTGATCCCGCTTACGTTACTCCGTTTGGTGTCGACGTCTGCAGCGACCCCATTGATCCGGTGTGTTTGACGGAAGGTGTGGCCGGCACAAACCGTATCACAAACTTCCTCGACCAATTGGGCTAGGTCAAAGTCGGCTGTGACGCCAAGTATAGAATTGTCGGATGGCAACCTCTTCGTCCGACCTTCGGAGCCTCGTTGTCTTCTCCGTGCAGCTGTGTTACGCAGCCGGTTGATCTTTGCATGGTCAAGAACGTGGTCGATGGTATCCAGTAACGTCTTTCCGCAAGTCTCGATGGAAGTTACCAATGACTCTTGATACGCAGATGCCACTGTATCACGAAGGAATTCCACTGAGCCAAGAATACCGTGAAGAGGGGATCGAAGTTCATGGGAAATGGAAGCAATGAACGTTGTCTTGGCACGATCTGCCTTCTGCGCGCTCAGGCGTGCCACTTCACTCGTGATGCTGTTGCCAAAGGCCTGGAGGTAGGGAAGCTCGTTCTCAGGGCTCATCAGTCTTCCGGCTTGCGTTGTCCAGATGAAACCTCCAGCGACCCAGCGCTCAGTTGAGGGATCCCATAAAGGCAAGAAGATGAGTGTTCGCACATTGGGCAGGACTTTTAGAAACTCTGTAGGGATAAACCTTTCTCTTCGTTTTCTCCTTCTGGTGGGACCGTTGGGCGAGGTCGTTGTCCGATCCGATTGATCTGTCTCCGAGCGTTCGGATTTCTCGTCGCTCGAGTTGATCCCCGCACCATCTTCGTTGTAGTTGAAAAATTTGCCATAGGGATAGCGGTGGATGTAGCGTTCCATGGCTGCTTCGTTGAATGCAAAGTCCTTTTGGGATATGGTTGCAAAGCCTTGGCGCAACGAGAGCCCGGCTACAGGACAGACCTTGCTGTCGGCCTCAGAGGGCATGCTTCTGGCTTCTGAGGTCTCTGTATCGAACGCAACTTTCTGTCTCCTGCGGCGTCTGGATGTTGCAGTGGAGTCGGCGGTATCGAAATCGGTCGTGTAGTTGGTGACACTTTCGTCGCTACTTGCCATTGGATCGTCGTAGAGACCGCCTTTGATGCCGGCTGCTGATGTGTCAAAGAAGACCACTCCATCTGCCATGGTTGACTGGCGCATGATGCGTGCTGCCCTATGAAAAATACGAGCAGTGTCCGACTCGCTATGTGCCTTGCGCTGAGCATGTTTGGTCGCAGTGGAGGGTGTTATAGTGCCGGTGCCTGAGGCATCGTCTTCTTCGAGAGTCTGGAGACGTGCGTTCTCTGTCTGGCGTTCCATAGTCGACATCCTGGGTCCAGCTTCGTCTCGCATGTCGGCGACCGAGGATCGTTCGATGAACTGCTGCAGACCACGTACCATGCGCTCGCCCTTGACTCGGTCGTCGCTGTCCTTGGCAAGCTCAAGGTGCTCCATGACAGCAGCAGCCACGTCCTGCATGAAGCGCATGTCGGCGGCGCTGAGGCTATCGCGGGGGCGCTCGTCAGAGACGGCGTAGACTATGTTGTTGTCAGCTTGGCAGAGTATCTGTCTGTCATGTCACGTACCACCAATGCGGTGGCCTGCCTTGGTGATGATAGGCACGCCTGCGTAGAAACGCACGCCAGGTTCGTTCTTCACATAGTCCTTGTCGGCGAATCGAGGGTCCAGTCGGCAGTCCGGGATAACCATGCACTCGGCAGTGAAGCTGTTGCCATCTCGCTCTTTGGCCGTATATGTCGACGAGAAGGTGTGGTAGCACACAGCATCGGTCTTGTTGAGCACGGCATTGCCCAGCCAGACCTCGTCCTCGGGGCGCTCGGCCTGGGTGTCGAACAGCGAGACCGTCTTGGTTGCTTCGGCGAGGATGTACTGGCGGTTCGAGTCGATCAGTGACACCATGCAGCGGCGCACATCGAGGCGAAAGGCGGCGAGCTGGGCAAAGGCAGTCAAGCTCTTGTCGCGCGAGGCTTCTGGGCGGTAGCCGGCCTTATTGAGACCTTTTTCTCCTATGCCGACAGCGCTGTTGACGAGGCTCTGCGCGTCGAGCCATGGGCGGTAGTATCTGTGAAAAGCGCCCCTCGTTAGCATTCACAGCTTCACAGTGACAGCGCGCCGGCCCGCGCTAGTAGCATTCAACGCACTTTTGGAGGTCGCGCTCTCTGGCCGCCTCGGGCCATGACAGGACTGGCATGCTGCTTGGGCTGACGGTCTTCACACTACCATTATCTGCACCTCGCACGCCGGGGAAAATCAGTCGGGCGTGGGGCGGGGAAACAAGGAACAGAACGGAATCTCAGCACGCTGCCCGCAATTGTGCGGTGTGAGTACCTGGCATCCGCGGAGCAATGAACCGGAACGATGGGAAACAACTCGACTGGTAGCACCTGGCACTTGTACTGTGTTGGCGTGACGCGTCTGGCTCTTTTGGAGCCGCGGCGGCGCACGATCCCTTCCTGGATGAGCCATGCTGTCGCTTAGCACTCGATGCGCAGGATCCTGTTGTTGTGGGTGCCCTGTGGAGGCCAGTCAGAATGCGATCCTTCGGCATCGACGATGGCCTCGACGGATTTCGGTCAACAGCCGTTGTATGCGCCGTGATACGCTAGGCCCCGTTCTTGCTAAGACGCAGCCAAGCGGCAGCTGTGTCTGGCTAGACCGCGGCTCAGTTCGATTCTAAATTGACGCCAGAGCCCGGCAGCAGGGCGACCATGTGTCGCCGCCACCGACCTCACTCGATCAATGTCCGCCAGGGTCCGTGGCTTCTTCCTGGCAAGCAGCGAGCACAGGGAGCCGCGGTGATTTGGGCGCCCAGTCTTGCATTCTTCCGAGATGGGTCTCCTATCGGACCTCGCTTGTCGGCGCATGCCTGGCATGCCAGCGACCAGCGATCCTGGCTCACTGGCACACCGCGGCTACAGCCGTGGCGCTAACGATTCTGACAATGGCCCATGCATCGCACGTACAATCGCCCACGCGAGCGCAGCGTTCACAGAACACCACCCAGACTCTGTCCACGACTCAGACGACGCAGACGCCGCCGCCTGCAGCCATGTCTTCCATGTTCGACCTGCCCAGCGCGAAACGGTAGTAGCCACCCTCCCTTGCGATATTGCGCGCCGCTAATGTGCGAACAAGGGTGCATCGCGACGAGCTTCGATCGCCAGAACAGTCGCCGCGATCGACGCCAGACCGAGACATCGAAGAACTTTTGCGCCAGCGCGTATCCGCCCAATATGCATTCACGACCACCGAGCAGCACAGCGACGGCTTGGATGCCGTGCAGAGCGACGAGGACGAGACGGAGCTGCGCCTGTTCGCTGCACCAGCCAACGCTGCGCCTGCGACCGTGAAGGTCAGGCTGACATCGCCCGGCCTGGACAAGGGAGATGGGTCAGGCTTCTTAGTGAAGAAGCCAAAGAGCTACTACTTTGCCGATGAGCCGACAAGCGACGAAGAGCTGGCGCTGCAGGCCTCTGCAATTGATGGGCGCACCGTCATGGAACTATCGAAGCTGCCGTGGCCGGCCTGTGCTGTGCCGTGGAAAGTGCGCACAATCACAAAGGACGGCATAAAGAAGGCGGTCCTCGTAGGGCACCCACCCATGCTGGCTACGGTCGAGGGGAAAGACCACAAGCGGACACGGAAGGGCAAGAAGGCGCGAATCGCGCTGAGGAAAAAGAAGCAGGCCAGCAAGGACAAGCAGGAAGAACGGATCAAGCTTGCTGCAGAGAAGGAGGCCGCCGAGCGTGAGAAGAGGACCAGGCGCAACAGAGAGAAGAAGGTCAAGAAGAAGGCCAAGGCGCAGGCTAAGAAGGGCGAGGGTGACGACACCGGTGAGGGTGAGATTCAACCGGTGGCGGTCGAGGCAGACGCAGACACAATCATGCAAGACTGAACTCGCAAGGTCTCCGTTTTACTGCCAGTACATGCTGAAGCCGACTCCGATGGCGAAGCATCGCCTAATCGGCACGGGGCAGGGTCTGGAGCGGTAATGAGCAGCTCCTGTACTTGGTTTGTCGCGCAGATTTAGAGCCAGGCAACAACAGCGCTTCGCAAATTGTGACAAGCCACCTTCACCTGCGGCTTCTGAGCACGGACGGCTTGTGGTCTCCATCGACTTCAGCAGTTGCTATACAAACACCCCACTCGAAATACTACCCAAACATCACCGCGTTTGATACTGTCAAGCAAGCCGTAGCAAGCCTCTTAAACAGTTCGATCATGTCCTTACCGACGGAACTGCGCAGCCTACCTTTCGAAGTCGGAATAGACGAAGCTTACGCCAGCACAACCCCTACCATGCGCCCGAGCGTTGACAAGTCCTTCGACTCTGCCTCAGCTAATACCTCGGATGTAGTGTCGGCAGGAGAATTCGGTACCAGATTTATGGACAGCGCCGAACGTACGATCGCAACGCCGCATGAACCGCTTGTCGACGGGCAGGTCACTCCAGACTTGGCGCTTCTCTCGCCTCTCGACAATCGTTTGCAGACTTTGTACGACGCCTACCATACAAGCTATGTGCTTCCCATTGACGAGACCTCCGAACATATGCTGCACGCCAAAAACCTCGCCCTCGCCCTGCTCCAGCGTCATTATCCTGAGTCACAAGGCTACGTCGTGGAGCCAGCAACTTTTGGAACATATGCCGCCAAAGGCGTCAATTTCCTACTCAAACAGGATGGCGAGTCCGATTCTGATCCAGACGACCCTCCAATATAGCACCAGAAACGTGCGTTTAGAACGAACAACACGCATTTCTCCTACCGTGCACCCTGGCATTTCATTGCGCCCGAGAACATAATCAGCTTCGTCGTCAAGAAACTTGTTCCAGAGGTGCGCGAGGATGTGGAAGTGATGACATACCGCACGCACACATCTCTTGTCATCATCCTCGATAACCTTTCTACGTTTCAGCGCTGGTCCCGAGACAACGTCAATCACCGTGGCGACGTGCTCAGTGACTCCCTTGGTGTACTGGGCAAGATCAGGCAAGGTCATGGTATGCTGTTCTTTGGACCACGTCTGGAGCTCTACGCCTATGACGCCGAGAACGACAGCCATCCTGTCCAACCAAGCCCGATCCAAGAGTGGAGGATGGACATGCGCACGACCAACCTTGCAGACGTCGACGAAGCACTGCGCGTCTTTGCCGAACGGGAAGTTTTCTATGAGGATGGATATGCAAGCGACTCATAAACTTGATCCTGAGTGCTGACCGCAAGGCCCAGCGCAAGTAGCTACGTACATAGCCCATACAAAGCCAATCAGCACAAATACACCCCATCTCATCCAACTACTCCCGCCATCACCATCCCCACAATCCCCATTATCCCCCCATACCCCCAGTGGTTCCACTCATTCGTCCCCGCCTCTCCCTTGACCACATACCCATCCACCCCGGCACAAAATCCCGCCGCCAACATAATTAGCCCTGCGCTCCTGCGCGTCCCAAACCACGTCGAACTGTAGATCGCCGCCGCGATGAAGACATCCTTGGCGCCGTACAGGACCATGACGCGCTCCATGACCGCCCAGTCGAGCGCGTTGGTGGGCGAGGATGTGAAGCCGTACAGCGAGTAGCCTATACGTGGATATAGCATGTAGGTTATCCCGAAGCCAAGGCAGATGGTGCCGAAGAAGGTAGATATGTAGGGAAGGGTGGGGTGGCGTGAGAGGCCCATGGTGAGTGTTGTGATGAAAGGAGTGATTGAACTTGAGGAACTCTTGGTATTGTGGGTTAGATGTAGGTACTGCTTTAGAACGCGAGATTCTGATAATTGACGCGCGACTTTGTTCTCTAGGAATGTGCAGTCAGCGTACCCCGCTTTATGTATTCACGCCAAGAAGACGCGTTTACGCGCTGGCACGGGAGCGCGCGTTCCGTGGGCGCCGCTCCGGTTAGGCAGCCGTCAGCTTCTCTACAACTTTCGGCCACAACTTCTACCGAATAGGAAATGTCGCCCTTTGTTGCGGTCGCCTGCACGCCAGGATGCGGATGGAAGGGCGGGGTGGTGAAGTTTGGGTGCGGCTGAAGTAGTGCTGGGGGTTTTGCAGTTGCATGTAAGCGTTTTGTGTATTTCTTTCATTTCATGATACCTAGGTGCGAAGCTGTCGCATTGACAAAGAGTACTCCGTTCTGTTCACAAAAATGCGTGATAACCTGTGGTCTCACGGCCAATTAATCAGCCTTCCAATAGGCTCCAAGTTCCACATCGCTGGACATCGTTGCTTTTGGACATTCATATTCATGGCCCATCCCTGTGTTTATTCTGATTGACCGACCTGCGTCTCAGGCTCACCGCCATCGTTGTCTGTGTCCCGCCGGGTCTGGGCCGCCAACTTGGTCTGCTTATCCTTCAGAACCTGAATCCTTCCCTGCAGTCCGGCTATGGTGAGATCAGGTTCCATGCCAGTCGTGGCAATGCTGGAAGACCGGCGACGTCGCAGATCACGCTTCCTGACGGCGGGTACGTTCTCAGCATCCTGTTGCTGCAGGTTTAGTGCTGATAGTGCTTCAGCCAAACCTTTGGTCGAAGGGCTCCTCTTCAGGCGACGAGCCTCGCGCTTTAGCCGAATCGCTTCTAGAGATTTGGTGAGCTCGTCACTGAACGATCCTCCGGAGTAGTTACCGGGATCATCCATATCATCGTTGACCGATGCCTCCTCTTTTCCTTTACTCTCTGTTTGCTGCGAGTCCTCGATGGCTGTATCAACTGACCTTAGACTGTTGTCGCTCTTTGTCCTTCGCAGTCGCTCCTGCATCGCCACATAGTCGCTCGCCTCGCGATCTCGCCTCTCTTGGAGACTGACTATCTTTGTCGTGCCTCGCTCCATGATACCTACCATGACTTCTTCTTGAGCAGCTGCTGCTTTGGCTGCCTTGCTGGCTGCCTTGCTGGCCGCCTTGCTCGCAGCCTTGCCGACTGTCTGGTAGCCTATGTCAGCCATCTCCTTCGACTCTGCCGGCTGACCCTCCTCAAACGCGTACTCCGCGAACTTTGGCACCGCATCCTGGATGTACTTCAGAAACGCAGTCAACTCCGGCGTAGAACGCATCCATGCCAGTATCGCAAGAGATGTTTCCAACTTGTACTCTTGGTTGATGAGCCCCTCGATGAAGTTGATTCCCATCGCCCTCACTATCTGCGAGTTATGCGGAAACGTGTGCCATATCATTTGTACATCCCACAAGCTTACCGGCGACACGCGCATCATGAGTTGCACGTGGAGATGCGTGTGCAGGGCGTCGAGTCCTGCACGCGGCAACCCCAGCGCGAGCCAGGCGTCGTGTATAGCCAGCGAGGTGTCGAGGTCAGGGTGCAGGCTGAGTGTATTAAATGGCGCTGTGCGGCCGCTGCGCTGCAGCATGCACGTGATGACCCAAACTAGGCCAACTGTTTCGATGCGAGCCTGGACATCGATACCGATTTGTGGTGTCTGCAGATCTTGTCGTACAGCATCGGGAGGGAGGTAGGCAGGTTCTGGAGTGGGCAAGACCCATTTCTGCAGTGCGGGCGCGAAATGGAGGACCAGTTTCAGCGGGATACGCGGAGGGAGCGAAGGCGTGACGTCGGTGCCATTTATGGCGAAGACGACATATGGCGGCGAGTCGATACTTTGCGGAAGAGGAGGTCCGGGGGGGAATTCTAGCATGTAAGACATTGTGTGGTTGGTGGTTGGGTTGAGGTGTCTTCAAATTTTTCTTGATGGCGAGATTCTATTATGCTGCGACAGTGAGGGCGAAGGTGAAAGTGAAAGCGAAAGCAGGTTTATTTTGTTATTGATTTGCAATCCCACCTGATGACTACCGGCACTGACTTGTCAGAATAGAACATATTCGGCAAAGGAAACAGCAATGCCTCTATCTCTGCGCAATACTGAATGCCATTCCCATCTGGTACGTCGGCTCGTCCTCGATCTTTGGCAACGCCTCCAGTAGCCCATGACTGAACACAACATTTTCTTGAATCTTTTGCACATTCTTAATCGCTTGTGCCGCCAGCTCCTGAGTAGCACGCATTGACTCCAGCTGTGCGTCCCACTTACGCACGACACCCTCGATATCGCCCTTCATGACCTGCTTCACAGCAAGGTCGTCACGCTCACCGACATCATCCCTGCCGTGCCTCAGTGCCACCTCAGCATACAGCCACTGCAAAGCCCTGTCGTGGTGACCTTGCGAACGCCAACTGAGCTTGCGGAGACTCTCGGTGAATGAACGTGGCCATGTGCAAGGGTCAAGTGGTGCTGTGTCGAAGCTGCTGTAGATGTGCGGCAGCCTGCCACCGGAGTCCGGTGTGCGGGGCGCTAGATCTTGAGGGAAAATATGAGCTGCGTCAGCGAGTGCCCATTGCTGCATGGTGATTTCGAGGTTCTCCGCGATCTTCTTGGACCCGGTTGAGTTGGAGTCCACGCCGTGGCTGAATTCGTCAGACAGCGTGATGGTATATAGGCGATTGCCACGCAGGATGTTGTAGTCCAGATGCACCTTTTCGCCACGTTCTTGGTCGGAGACGATGATGTGGGAGGGCTCCACGACGTTGTAGACAGTGGCTCGGAGGGCGGCATAGATCTCGTCGTGCGTCATATTGGCGCGGATAGTAGCTGCGTAAACCACACCATTGTATACCAAATACATGGTCTTGCTGTTAGTCGTGTTGGTCATAACGGATGATGATGAATGCGACGCAGGCTATGAGACAGCTGTTGTTGTGGGCGACGGAGTGCCACGGCCGCCTTCACCTAAGCCACGTAGCGTCGCGAGTGTCATCATCAAGCAAGCAAAAAAACATGCCTACACTAGAATCGAACCTACAACCTCGCGGTGCCCAAAAATATCGTTCAGATCGCGCCAATCACTCACCCAGCGACTTAAGCCAGCCACCTCAGGCTGTATGCCATGACGCGGTCTGAACGATGGAATTACAACGAATCTTTTGAAATATATACACAGTATAACAATTAACTCACTGAAAGCCTTCCTCATGAGATATATAGCATGGCGAAGTGAAGAAGGTAGCTGCGGAGCGTGATTTGCTTGTTTAATTATGAAATGGGACGCGACAAACAAAGTGAAGTGCAGATCGATTATGCACTAGTCTGAAGTGTGTCGTCTGGTACGATAGAGAGGTGGCACAGGAAATAGTCAATAGAGTCAATCGTTTTCATACATTCTAAAGCTGCCAGTCTTGGACCGCGCTGGGTATCTGTGAATGCCTCCGTCGGCACGAACTAACTAGAAATCAAGCATTATTTGAGAAGCGAGGACTTGCCAGCAGAGCTTCATCTTAGTTGAGCGTCGCTGACGCGCCGTTTGGGAGGAAGTGACTTTCAAGTTGTGGTACCCTTCTTGAAAACAGATTTCAGGCTTTTGACACGCTCTTTGATCGATCGCTGCTGTGTTACTTCGTAGAGCGGCTTATGCTCCTCCTTGATGTCGTGTTCGTTCTCGTAATCGACATGGACGTAGGCTCGTTCCACATCCGCGAGACCCTCGAGCTTACGCTGCAGGGTTTGGCTAACGTCGTGAGTGACCTTGAGGGGCAAGCTCTCGTCCATGACGATGTCGACTTCGACGTAGTACTTCTGCCCAGCGTGGTAGGCGCGGCACTGTGGAGGACTTAGCAGCTACCAACAAGTTTACAACACAAGAGAACCTACAGTATCGATCTTCTCGATGCGATTGTCATGTGTGACTACCAAGTATGCCAGCTTGGCCAAGAATTCCTTTGGTGCCGACTTGCCAACAAGAAGCCAGACGTGGTCGAATGCGTTCGCGGCCCAGGAGACAAGGATCAAGAGACCGATCAAGATAGCACCGATAGGATCGACGTACCAGACGACACGGCTTCCAACAATAGACATGGCAAGACCGAAGGCGTTGACGACGATGTCATTGCGGTGGTCAATGAAGAAGACATGTACTGAAGGGTAGCGACGGTAGATGAAGCAGTAAACACATAGCGAGCCCTTCGCGAAGACTAATATGTTTAGTACAGTTGAAAGGATTGTCAGTATGCTTTACTCACTAGCTGTTGCCACGAATGCGATAGGTATAATGTGAAGCTCCTCGGAATCCCTAGCACCAGCACCTAATGCTCTCCCAGACTCAATAATCAGCTGAATAGCAACGGTAGTCATCAAACAGCAGAACATAATGATTCCGATGGTCTCTATCCTGGTACGACCGACGGGATACTTGTAAATGCTTGGCCGTGCTGCCATCCTACTGGTGACCAGCATGACGCACGACGACACAAGATCCATGAAAGCATCTGCTGCGGTTGCAAACAGAGACAGAGACCCTGTAGAGATCGCGGCGTACATCTGGATGATGAAAAGGAGAAAGTTGACAACGAAGGAAGCGTTCACAGCGAACCTCACTTTCGGTCCGTTCTCGACAGTATCTAATGCGGCCAAACGCTCCTCATCTCCACTCTGGAGGAACTGGTCAATCAGTTGGTTCTGCCTTGTGTAGAATTTCTATTTTGGTTAGCTACACTTAGATAGCATGATAAACACTACATACCTTCATGCGCTTCTTGTTGGCCTGAGGGTAATCTGCCTTCATCTGTGCCTGGGTCAGGTTTGATCGGCGGTGCTTGCCAAGATCCAGTGGGTCGGCACTATTGATAGTGACCATGGTATCATCCTTGGCAATCTGTGTAGAATCTGTCATGCTCCGTGAAAGCTCTTGGATAGCATCTGTTGGCGCCGTAGGTGTGATTGCTGGAGCAGGCGCCTGATCGACCACTTGGCTTCTAGGCTCGTCATTGGCAGAGTCTAAGAGAGATGTCAGAGCTAAAATTTTGGGTAACTGCCTGAGACTGACTGTGAAGTTCGGAAGACATTGTTTCCGGGTTTTTATATAATGCCTGTAGCAATAGAAGGATGCCGATCGAGGTGGAGGTTGTGGATAAGCAGATTGGAAGGCATCAACTGCTGCACAGGGACCGCGAAGTAATAAACACCAGAAAGTTCGCTACGGTCCGCCTCTCCGCTCTGAGAACGCTTGTGTTCGAGCTCCATAGTCATGTCCTGTGGCGTCTTCACAGCCAAGCCGCGATGTTGTGTGATTCTGGGTGGCACAGTACAACGAAGGAAAGAGCGAGCGGAGCTTGAAACTCGCTAAGCATCCAGCATTACTGGGGCAAAGTGCTTAGCTACATGAAATGGAATAACTACGAGGGAAACTTAGCCTAATCTTGATACTTCAAAATACTTTGCAGCAGCTGCAGGTGCGGAGGACGGGGCTAGCGTCCGCGCCCAGGGAACCGAGACTATGACAATCATCAAGAGAGTGACACAAAAGCTTAAAAATGACAGATGAAGGGCTTTGAGTAGACACAGTTGAGAAGAGTGGGCATGTTACAGGTTGGCAGCATGTGTGACACCTTGGTAGCTATGAGGCGGCCAGTTTTGGCTATACCTGCCCCTTCGATAATGAGCCAATCACCTTGCGCGCCCAGAAATCATGGCAGGTTCCATCTGGTATCTGTGGCGTGTTACGGAGACGAGGCCGAATTTACACGTAGATACCGCGAAGGTAAAGATAGTTCCAAAGTTCCTCAGCCATGCTCAATGCGAAACCAGTGGGTCTTGGCCAGTCACGTCAGTACATTTGCGAAACGGTTCATTGGTTCAGCGTACCGAGGTCCTGCAACCAGGAGTGCAGCAAAGGGGATCGTCGACGCGTCAGTGCTTCTTCACCTCGCAAGGTGTCCCACTCGGCGGAAACAAGACTTGAGCCGCAACAATGCAAGCCGCATAACTGCGGGTCTTTCCCCAGATCTTCCCTCACCGCGCCCAGCCGCCTCCCCAACTTGCCTAGCATGTCAGCCGCTTGCCAATAATCTTGGGAGTCACTGGGCGTATGCGGGCAACGATATCCACTTGCAGCCTTACAGCTCCAAATCACTGTTTTCCTTGCGGTCCACGCGTTCCAGGAACAAGCCTCACTGGCACTTCCTGGCAGCGTCTGAACCTCCGCGCTTCTATGTGACGCATCTACCTTCTCACACATGTATGGCTGCGTCATGAACCTCTTCCCCCAATACGTTCTAGAGGCTTGCAGATCAGTCAGGATACGCTAGTGTTTCTTTTGCTGGCAAGACCCTGACCAGCATATAGCCTCATGCCCGGCCCGTACCATATATACAATCTGGGGCTCTACCACTCTTTAACGTTCTCAGGGAGTTCGTCATTTCTTCTGTTCGTTTCCCTTCTTTCCCCGTCGCTGGCGACGTTTCTGCTGGCAGTTCTGAATTAGAGTCTGTGACTCTTTCTCTCGTTTTCTTGTCTTAGTTCTCCTCGTAATTTCAATCACAACATCCGCCATGGAGAAGCCAGTGTGCGGGAGTGAGGCTGATGGTGCGGAGTACGACTTTCCACTCCACTTAGGTGCTGTCTGTAAGTGTATACGCAGAATGTAGCTGTAAGTCGTCTTTCTAATGACTGTACAGTCATCGTCCTTGCTGCATCCATCGGTGGGGCTGGATTCCCGGTTGTTGCAAAGAAAGTAAAGTGGATGAAGATTCCACCAAAGATCTTCTTCTTCTGCAAACATTTCGGTACTGGTGTTCTGATTGCTACAGCTTTTGTCCATGTAAGTGCAGCAACCAGTCGCATACGCCCAAACTAATTCCCGTAGCTTCTTCCAACGGCCTTTGCATCTCTCAACAATCCTTGCCTCCCAGATCTTTTCACTGAGAAGTACCCGGCTCTACCTGGTGTCATCATGATGGGTTCGCTATTCATTCTCTTCGTGATCGAAATGTGGCTTAACGCAAAGACTGGTGGCCACTCCCATGGAAGTGCTACCGGTCAGGAGTTTGCTGGAGGCGCGCCGCCACCTGGTCTCCAGGCCGCAATGAACAACGCCATGCAAAAGCGAAACAGTTACGACTCTCAAAGGACCATGTTGACCATCCGCGACGATAAGAAGGGCTGGGTTGAGAGCACATACCCAGGCGCCAACTTCTCGTTTCCCAAAAATCGTGATGAGATGGAGCCCCGATCCGAGATGCCGCCTTGGTTCATCGTCTTTTACGAACAATACGTCCGCCAACGTGAAGAGATGATGAACATGGTCAACCGCGGAATGCCGGCTCTGCCAAGTTATCCTCAGGAAAAGAGCGCCCACGAGGAGGTGTCCTACTTTGATGAGGATGTTGAGCAGGCCGTTGACCCACTTGTGCTAAAGAAGCAGTCCATGCAGATCACACTCATTGAAGGGGGTATCCTATTCCATTCTGTCTTCGTTGGCATGACTGTCTCCATTACGGCCGATGGTTTCATCGTCTTGCTCACCGCCATTGTCTTTCACCAAATGTTCGAAGGTCTTGGCCTTGGATCGCGTATTGCAGCCGTACCTTATCCCTCGAACAGCTGGAAGCCGTGGGCTCTTGTCGTCGCATTTGGCTTTACAGCACCCATCGGCCAAGCCATTGGACTCATGACCCGCGGCTCATACGATCCCGAGAGCGCCTTCGGTCTTATCATTGTCGGTGTCTTCAATGCCATCTCATCCGGACTGTTGATCTACGCTGCACTCGTCGACTTGCTTGCAGAGGATTTCCTTTCAGAAGAGGCTAATCATACTCTGACTGGTAAAGACAAAACACGTGCTTTCATCTACGTGCTCTTGGGAGCTGCTGGGTAAGTTCTGCATTGCTGAGTGTCTATTGCTATCGGCTAATATCAAACAGTATGGCCGCCGTGGGAGCATTTGCTTAAGCAGTACTTGGCCTTGGTCTTACCCGATGTATGAGGTCTTCGCGAGGTCATTAATCACAAAGCTGCTCGAAACGATCTTAGCATGTCTTGGACAGACATGTATCTTTCTTCATCGTTGCAATGTCGTGGGAATGTTACCCCACCTATGTTTATGATGGCCTGTATGAGTATGGGGGATGTGGTGTTCTACGGCTATTTCATTTCCTTATATCACAAAATGGGGCAACCATTCACTCTTCAATATGATCAATCTAGTATAATAACATCATGTATTCCGTTGCCTATCAAGAAACTGTACGAGTGCGTATTCTCTTAATTTCGGAAGCCACAAAGAGTCTTCGAGGAGCCGGTATCTTATGTTTGTAGAATTGCTAATCTTGATATAATCATGGTGTTGGTAACAACACCACATCCTACGAGTTTGTGATTGGTTCGAAAGCTAAACAATGGTTCCAACCGGGAATTCACCACAACGGCCAGTAATGAGTGTCGAAGCAGAGGTTCCTTAGGGGCAAGATACTGTGGCAGAGGTTCCTTGACCTCAGCCAAATCTGAAACAGCGCTTCGCTATGAATTTGAAAGTGAAGCGAACAGCGCACTCGGTGTCCTGTCATGCTCACGATGATTTCTGCACCCTTTTATACATCGTGGTCTTCGTCTCGTCCACCGTATAGTGGATATCGACGTGGGAACACGTCGTACCGAAACAGAGCTGCAACCAAAAATCTGGTCAACGGCAGTAAATCCTATCGGAAATGTGAATACCGAAGGCCAATGCCATGTCCAAGTTGGCAGTTCTTCTACTTGGCTGGGCCAAGGTGTGTCGAAGCTGCAGTGGTGAGGTCGCAACGGCAACGTGCATGAGCGATATACTACGAAAAGACTTGGCGAACCCTAGATAGCGATTCAGGTTTGTTTCAGTGGTTGTTGATCAAGAGGCTCGGCGGATACAAGGGATGAAACTGCATTGCGGCTCGGTTCGGGCGGTTGAGGTTTCACGACTAGAGGCGATCCACAGCTCTTTCGGGGAACGTTTAGAGCAATTTGAATATTTTAAAAGCAATTGTGATCGCCAAGACAGAGTATGGTACTGCAGGAGGATTGTGATGTCCAATTTCTGCAATCGGGCACCACCATGCGACGCCCCTCGTGGAAGTTTGTGCGGAGAAGAAAAGCTCCAATCCTTATCCTTGTGGGTACTTTGGCATACCTACACAGTATCAAAAAATGGCAATGATCCTTCATGTGCACCGTTCTGACTGGCACAACAGCGTTCATCTTTAGCGATCAAGGCGATGATAGATGCTGTAACACAGGAGCGAAACTACCGGGCAAAAAAGGCAAAAAAGGAGGATTGTTATGACCTAACCAGGGGTCGCTGTGAATTGTTAGGACTCGAAATCGAACCTGCGTAGTGCGGGAATACTTACAACCTGGAATCTCTTGATTGCCGACTGAATCGTAGTCAAGCGCCTTGCCATTGGGCCATTAGGCCAATTAGTTACTTGTTGCTGACTAATTGATGTTGATCCTGAGAAATATTGTATATATATCTCATCTTTTACTGCAGTCAGCAAAGTCCCGAATGCCTTGTTAAATTTTGAAATAAATGCGGGTGGTGTGGATTACCGTGTCCGTGCACTCAATGCGCGGATTCAGTCAATGCGCCGAACCACCAAAACACCCCTTTCATCTCAACTCTATAGCAACACAACGCGATGGGATTAAAAGAAGCCCTTGCAGAGTGTGATACTTTCACATCTGAAAAAGATATCCCGTGGACCAAAATAGCTAAAAATCATGGTGTTGTGCGATCAACGTTGACGCGCACGTGGAGGGGTGAGACGCGCCCGCGACAAGAGGAGGGTATTGCACGCAGAAACCTACAACCACAACAAGAAGCAGACCTTGTAGAGTATATAGATAAGCTTACTGCTCGTCATATACCTCCTACACGAGAGATGATTAAGAATTTCGCGTCTGCGATAACCCGCGAGGAGGTGAGCGAGAGCTGGGTTACCCGCTTCATCAACAACTACTCTATCCATCTCATCTCTCAGTATTCAACTGGGATGGACTCTAATCGCCACAACGCTGATTTATACACTAAGTATGAGTTATACTTCAACCTACTACAACGCAAGATCGCCGAATATAAGATAGATAGTTGCCACACCTACAATATGGATGAGAAGGGCTTCCTAATTGGTATCACCACCAGAACAAAACACGTGTTCAGTAGGCGTATGTGGAGAAGGGGGAGGTCAAGGCATCACTTCAAGATGGCAACCGTGCCTGGGTCACGGTACTGGCTTGTGTGTGTGGTGATGGATCAGCACTGCCCCCAGGCCTCATCTACGAGTCAGCCAACAGCACTATCCAATCGAGCTGGGTGGAAGAAATAGAGTCAGGGGTACACTCCGTGCTTGTTTCCTCGTCACCTTCTGGCTGGACCAACAATGAGATAGGCCTTGCCTGGCTCCAGCAGGTGTTCGATCGCTTCACCAAGACCAAAGCTCGAAGAAAGTGGCGCCTACTTATCCTGGACGGCCACGGGTCGCACGTGACGATGGACTTCATCAACTACTGTGACGAGAATAGGATACTCCTGGCTATCTTTCCTCCTCATTCTACCCACACGCTGCAGCCGCTCGATGTGGTGATGTTCAAGCCTCTCTCAACTGCATACTCAAAAGCACTCACAACACACCTTCACAATGGTCAGGGGCTATCAGTAATCAAGAAGAGCGAATTTTTCCACCTATTCTGGAAGGCCTGGACAGATACATTCACTCAGGGGTTGATACTCAGGTCCTTTGAGGCAACGGGTATAGCACCCCTCCAGCCCAACGTCATCCTTCACCGCTTCGCTGAGCCTTCCCCACAGGCCTCTGATAGTAGCAGAAGCTCTACTTCAGTCTATTCTGGTAAGGATTGGCTCAAAATTGAGACTCTACTTCGTAAAGTAGCTAGGGATGAGGGCAGTAAGGAGTTAAGGAAGATTAGCCGCTCGCTCCACCACATCTCAGTTCAAAACCAGCTACTCCACCACGAGATAGAAGGCCTCAAAGAGGTTCTTAAGACCCAGAAGAAGCACAAGAAGAAGAGCAAACCTCTCCACTTTGAGCATCCTCAGGACTATCACGGTGGAGCAGTGTTCTACTCTCCTCACAGGGTAGAGAAAGCACGTCAGTATGAGCAAGCAAAACAACAAGAAGAAGAGGCAGAAGAGGCAAGAAAAGCAGAGATGGCTGAACTACGCCACGCCAATAAACTATACAAGGAGAAGATAGCACAGGAGAAGCGTGAGCAACGGGCGAGGGAGAAGGAAGAGAGAGACCTGCTCAAAGCTAAGAAGGCAGAAGAAGTAGCAGAACGCAAGGCTGAAAGAGAGTGTCAGAAGCAAGCTCGCGACGCTCCAAAAGCTCTACAATTGTCCCAAAGAGGCAATCGCAAGACTTCAAAAGCTTCTACAGTCAAACAGAAGCCTGCGTGTCGTGGTGTGGGTGCCCGTAGTCGTCCTAAGCCTGCGACGCCTCCTCCGCCTCTGCGCACCCACACCACCCGCAGCGGTCGCACTGCAACTCTATATAATTAACTTGTATAGAGTAATATTGTCGTACAGGTCTATAGATCACTCCACCAAAATATCTTATATTAATTACTATTGTATGTGGCTCTACAACCTCATTTTTGCAGGTGCGCTTTGGGGCGGTTCGGCGCATTGACTGAATCCGCGCATTGAGTGCACGGACACGGTATCGAGAAAGTGGGGCACGTAAAACCCTCAAAGGTGGTCCCACATAAAGCGTCTCGCAGAATCTCAAGCCTAGTATCTAATCGTTCACACCCAGAAAAGTGGAATGGGATAACAGTGCAGCATTGATAGCCTCTTTGATTATCATTTTGCCTGCATACCTAGGTAGATAGCTCCTGTGCAGAAAAAATTAATTGACTCAATTCAAACCCCCGGTCTTAAGAAACTGAATGTAGGGACCTAACCGACAGAAGCAGAATTTGAAGCACACGTCAAGTCTACTCACAATAATCTTGCGGCACCAAGCGTTTACGCTGCACTTAAGCGCACTTCAGCCAAGAGCCAGCTAGCTTATACTGGGAATGAACAGGACTCGCAGCTAGACAAAGTCAGCAGACGTCAGGGAAACGAGCAGTTGACAGATACCAGCGAGGTCTTCGATTCGGAGGAGACTCTCGATATGGACTTGACAAATACCAGTAACCCCTGGGTTGACGTGAGCTATCATATTGACGAGCAGTCCCCATGTTCGCTTCAAGAGTATATGTGCTGTTGGACCCATACTATCATTCAACGTATTAGCCCAAAGAAAAGAGCAAATATCCCTGGGAACAACTCAGCCCCTACTCAACACTGCTCTAGAGCAACTGTATCAGCCACGCTCACCCCCTCAAGAATATGTTCACGATGACATGACAGGACTAGCTCCAATCTTGCCAATCATCGAGGAGCGCAATCACCTGCCTCCCGATATTGGGCCTGTCATTGTGAACGGCTCGTTTCTAACACCGCCCCGTGATCAACATATAAATGAGCTGGCAAACGTTGCCACAATCGACGGCTCTTCGTTCCCTATTAAGGAGCTCCAAGCTCGACAGCAACTTATACTTAAGGAGATGCAGTGACAAAGTACAGTAAACTTAAAAAGTAGCCCAGTCGCAAATAGATTGACAGAGGGTAACTCCCAGGCTGACGCGAACGATTCGATACATGGACTAGATTATGATGCTGATAAAATGCAGCATGCACATATCAAGGACGTATCACCCAAGAAAGCCCTCCCCCCATGGCGAACTACAGCCTTGCTGATCTTTGGACACGGCAAATCCTTCTCGTGTCTTACCCCAGGAGATCAAAAACACCAAAAAGGGATCCCCCTGGGGTTTGCCACGCACGCTCGGCAAATTCAGATCAGCGGTAGAAAACACTCAGTCGTCTACATTATTTAATTTCAATGAGAGCAATGCAATCCAAACAACGCTTTGAGAGGACCTGCCGGACGATAGTCTCGTGGCTCAACAAGAAGCAAAACTAGAGCGACTACATCGAAACACCATCGATCAGCTCGGGGCATCTCTTTTCGGACGAACGTACCAGCGAAAACGCAACACTGTTTGAGCAACACTCCAGTGAAGACGGATCAATGGAACGTGGAAGGACAGCAAGTCCACGAAACCTAAAACACATCTAATATTCGCAGAAACGCAGCCATGTCATACAACATGGCCATCGCGCCGAGGATCAAGATAAGAGAAAGTGAGCACGTGGGACTGCACTTGGTGGAGAAGCGGACAATTGCAAGAAGGAACCAATGCCAGAGATATCTCGGGACAAGCGTAGTATGTGCGTAGATTATGAACACCCGGAGCTTGTTGAGAGGAACCAGGTGAGGGTTATCGATCCCGCTGAGGGGCATGAGGAAGCAAGCAGGAAAGGCCTCGAAAACACCAAAAAGGGCAAATCTGCAGAACCCAATTTCAGTCCACTGCCGGCGAATGTTCTTCGTCAGCCCACATACGCGAAGATAGGCAGAGAGCATCTCAGTGTCGAAGACCCTACTTTACTAAGATATCCCATACGAGTACGATACAGATCCAAACTACACAATCGTGTTGCAAGAAATGAGCGAGGAAGAGATCGACATCCTGTTCGAGCATACTGTGTTACTCGCCAGCATGAAGCTGCTAGGAAGATGGCGGCCACGTAGATACACAGGTAGAAGCCTGAATCTCCAGCTGAGGACATGTAATTACAATGGAGGATTCCAATCGAGGACAAGTCACATTGGCGCTGTGCAAATGGTTTGGGTAACGATAGTCCGTACAAATGCAGGTGTTTTGTGGTGAATATTGCTCTGTGCTCCAGACTGCACTGCAACAGTTGATTCCATTTCGAGAGTGGTGCAAAGCTGAGAGTGACCGTCCACCATCCCTCAATAGTGCAAGACCCCAAGAATCGCCCTCATCTTGTATGATCTCATTAGTAGTATTCCACACAGCCCTACCCGTACCCAGAGGAGCAGACGCATCCACGTGTTCCAAAACCGCACGGGCAGACACAAGCCCGCCCCAAAGGCACCAAAATGACCTAATCCAAGTTGCACCCCTCTGGGCCGCTAAAGCACCCATTCGAGCTGAGACGGAGCAAATATAGCCTCAGTACCACAGCGCGCCCGCCAATCACGCGGTCCAGCTGGGCGCACCCACGCCGCTAGCCCGGTCAAGACAATGGCTGGCGGCGCAGCTCCAAGGCGTCAGCCTTACGCGGGATGCTAGCTAGTGACGCGCTTGTCGCGTGTGTAAGATCGGATCGAAGGGGAAAAGTGGTGCCTATTTTTGGGGGCCGTCTTGCGTGCAGTGCCTGAATGCATTTGGGACGTAGGGACAACGTTTCTGCGTGTGTCTCGAGGACGGTGTTTTTGCGGCGAGGTCGGTGGTACCAGAGCGCAATTGTACAGAGTTTCGTGTTCCAAATACAATGGAGGCTCTGCTGTGCTATACCTGGGCGATATCCTCGTGGTCACAGGCACATGGCTATTCAGCGGTGTCATATTGGATTTTGGGGAACGAGATGGCTCAATGCTGCCCCTCGGTCGCTCTTTCGGCACGGTGGGGCAGTTTACAATACCTAGCAGCTTCAACGGTGATGAATCCGCAGATAAGGCTGATGGTCGACGTGATTGGCGTCTTCTGATCGTGCCCTACGAATAAGGCGTTGCTGAGGACAGAGAGTGACAGGCACTCCGAGCGTTTTGATTGGCTGCATCTAGATATGATGAAAGTCATTTGGATAGTCGCATATGCAGATACTGAATCTTACACAAGATCGTGACTCGAAACTTGCGCCGGTGGGTTTCGACTCATAATGATCAAACTATCAAAACTCGAGTTCAGCCAGACAGGTACAACCCAGTCTACAATTGCGGCACAACCTCCGGTCTAAGCTCGCGTTTGGAGCGGCCGCCAGCCCGATTTGGCTGCGCTGTGACTGCGCCGGCGGGTACCTGAGGCACAGCTGAACATGGTGCGCTGAACTTCATCATCAAGTCGCTATCGTCACTGGTGCCGATAACCTTTGCGGTACAAGTCGCCGTAGCTGCATATGCAATGCTACTCTAACACCTCGTCTCCGAATGTTCAAGGTGCCAGGCAGCGGCATCGTGCGCGTCGCAGAGTTTGGAGAGCCGATGGCCAAAGACAGGGTCTACGTATCGCTGTCCGTCGAATACTCGTGGGAAACACTCGGTGCACTGCCATACGCTGTATTCCCTCGAGGTCGGAAGAGGATGTGCGATGCAGTGATTCGTTGATCGAAAATACTCTAGCCATGGGGCGGCCTCTGCAGCTGGAACTGGTCGACAAGACTGCAACGTTGTTTTGGTGAAGACATGTGCGCATAGCCTTAGGCGAGCACCTTGCTCGTCATTAGAGGGACGACCAGTCAAAGATTGAACCGTACGACCGAGGACAATCAAATTGTATGCACAGTACCGGTGATACAGTAATAGTCCAGTACAGTTCCAAAGCAACGGTTCGGCTCTTGGATCCTGGCTCGCGGCGCCTGTTCGCCGATCAACGGCGCAGCCAGCGCCGCCTCGCCGCCGCACCGGGAGTCGAAGGGCGCAACACCCACACAAGGGCAGGAACGTGTGTAGCAAACATGAAACGAACGTCCTATTCGCGGGTTTGTGGGTGGGTGCTCGGCAGGGCGATGCTGTATGACTGTGTCCTGCAGAACCAATGAGGTCCCTCAGGGCTCGCCAGAGCTCATGTGCCTGAGGAACGCGAAGGAGCAGAGCAGAATAGTGAACAGTGAGTAGCGAACGGTGAGATTGCCGCTCGAGGAATGTTCGCGAGGAATCATCAACCGCGGTCCGACAGAGTGCAGGCAACACTCGGGCGGCCGCCCAGGACTGGCCAACTTCACGCAGCACCAATAACGCTGCGCAGTCTTGTCGCAACTTGTCGTCATTCCACCCGCAGTGCCAGCACCCTGTCAATCCTCTACATGTCTTTCCTAATCAGCACAGCAGGAGGCAGGGTCCAAGTGCCCCGTGGTAGGTAATCAGCCGCATGTGCACGTCCCTCGTTAGATGTGGCAGAGCACACTTCCCGTTTTAGTCCCTACCTACGGCGCAGCGCCGCAGCTTGTAATGCTCCGACGAACGGCGAACCGCGCAGCGGTATTGCACGCTCTGACTAGATGCCTTAACACACTTCCGGACGCTAGCGGGGGGCAAGCCACAAATGCGGCCGCTAGATTGGTGGCAGATGGTGCAACGCGTGGGTTGTATAAAAGATGCCTGGCCTAGGCAAAGGGCAGGGGCATCATCAAGTCACCAGTTCACAGATCCGAGAGGCCTTCAGCAGTCTGCCAGTTCCTTTCCTATAAGTTGTTTCCTTCTCCTGGCGTTTCGTTTCATCTCATCTTCAATCATCTGTTTCTTCAATCAGCTTCCAGTCAACACCACTTCTTCCATACCAATTCCCAATACTACGCCTCAGCATCATTCAAATGGGTCGCGACGGCTACAACTAAAGCATTGATAATCCCACGATCAACACCAACGTCTACAATATATGTTCATCTCCTCTAAACAATGGGTCGAGACGGATACAACTAAAGCCCTCGACAAACACAACGAGCAACCTCGAACGCGCCGTTCGATCATCGAGTCAATCAAGAAACGTCTCCAAACCCTCAAACCAACTCAAAACCCATTCGCCAAAATGGCCGGACGCGGAGGATACAACTAAGCCTCCGACGCGCCCAACCCATTACGCATCTACGGCACCTTCACCTCAATCAACATGGCCGGACGCGGGGGCTATAACTAGCCCGGCTGAACTCACCGGTTCAGCACATCCTCACCTATCATAATGGCACGCACACATCACCCTCATCGAACAAGGCAGACTCGACGCAACGACGCATCGACTCCCCCCCTTCTCAGCACACCCATCACCCTCGGCTTCGGCCCTGTATCTGTACGCACGCAATTGTCTTTCTGTACACTAGCGCATAGCGCTGTCCTGTTTTTGTGCTTCCAATGAGCGTTCCGTTATACATTTGAGCCAGCATTTAGCAAGCGAAGGAGTTGGATCGATTTTAGGCAGGATGAGATACACAATGTAGCGGGTTAATTTAGCAAGGAGTACGGCATTCTAGAGATAGCATAGCTCTTCACTGAGCGCAGCATCGGGCGGCGTTACGGAACGTTTGGGGCGTTTTTTGATATTCGATACCTGTGGTCGTGGCCCAGGAGGGGTTCTGCTACATCTTTAGTGTGCATCGTGGAGGTAGCTCCACCAATACATTCTGTAAATTTGACATTTGTCATTGCCTCTCTTTTCCATTGTTCATATGCATGCGTGCGGGATTGTAGGTAGTCTGGACGCGCGGCGACACGTAGTTACTTGCCCACGCAGAATCTGAGACGTACTTGTCAGCAAAAGATTTGAAATAACAACCGAGGCTACCCCACAAACGTGGCTTCACGGTCGCGGTTACCTGGCCCGCTGCTGTCAGACGCCACGCTATATGTAGTTGTCGAGGCTGTCCAACAGTGATGGGGCCGAAAGTGGTCCGAGCGCAGGGCAAACGGTATCAGGCATCAGGCCGTGAGCCTCTGGGGCCAAAACAAATTTGGGATACGACTTACTTCTCAAACACTACGCCCAGCACTTCTTCTACATCCCCGCCGTCTCCTCGCCCCGTGATCCTTGCCAGTGCGTCGGCAGCACTGCGTAAGGATTCTGCGGCGAGCACAATGTCCACCTCGTCTGTTGCGTCTGGTTCGATGCCATAAGCGGAATGCTCCTCGGTGAGTTCTGGGGTGACGGCTGTCAAGAAGGCCTCAAGGAACGTAAGACACTCGGTGAGGAGGATACGTTGCCGTTCGGTCGCACCAAGAGATTCTTGCCAGATGGAGGGGTCAGGTTCGGAGTCGGGGACGAGGGCAGCCGTCATGTCGCGAAATGTTTGGATGAGGGTGGTCAGAAAGAACTGCATGTTTCCTGCGTCACGACTGCCGGACTTGCCTGTGACAGCGGCCGATGCATCCCTGCAGGAAATGAAAGCAATGCGCGTTTCTGCGATGCCGAGCGTGGACTGGATTTTTATTCTCCATGCGTCTTCTACGCCGACCGTTGACGAAAGCTGGTCGATCTTGTTCACGGCAACAACGACGTTGATGCCTGACTCGACGCACTGCTTCGCTGTTGCTGTGACCTCTGGGTCCATCTCTGCAGTCGCATCCTGTACCACGATCAGGACGTCTGACTCAAGCGCTCGTTGCTTGGCACGCTTTATGCCCTCTTGTTCGACTGCTCCTACGACACCTTCCCCTACTACACCAGCTCTACGCAAGCCAGCCATGTCGCCAATTTTGACCAGCCAGCCGCCCAGGTCGACGCTGACATCTACAATGTCTCGAGTTGTACCGGCTTCCTGTGAAACGATAGCAGCCTCTCGCCCGACTATGCGATTTAGTAGACTGCTTTTGCCAGCATTGGGAGCTCCAAGAAGAGCCATGCTGATGCCGTTGCGCAGCAGCTCGCCACGGACTGCGTTGGCAACATGTGCCTCGATCTGCGCACGCAGAACCCGAATTTGTTCTGCAACAGATGCGCAAAGCTGCGCTGGGGATTCGTCGAAGTGTTGATCTTCAGAGAAGTCGATCAGAGCCTCCAATTCTCCTCTGGCTGCTAGTAGCAGCATGCGCCACTGCTCGTATCGCACAGCCAGCGACGACGTCGTGCCTCGAACAGAGATCTGGCGCTGCTGTTCAGTCGAAGCAGACAACGTTTCTCCTAGCGACTCGATCTGCGGTAGATCCATGCGGTTGTTGGCGAACGCACGACGGGTAAACTCTCCGGGCTCAGCATATCTGATTGACTGCACAGCAGGCGCGTCGGTCGATGCTGCACACTGAGGTATAGCAGCTAGTACTGCGCGTGTAATCGCAGGACCTCCGTGCACGTGCAGCTCAAGGAGGTCTTCGCCAGTGACGGTGTTCGGACTAGGGAAGTAGAGGATGAGTGCACCCGAATCTAGCATTGTTTCGGGGGACGGCGGTTGGTGAGGGCTGTAGAGCTTGCGAAGGGTCGCGTAGCGCGGTTTTGGGAACGTAGTGGAAGGACATAGTCCTTCATACACCTGTGGCGCATGAGTATGTCTGTGAAGAGCTCAGACGATGGGCCATGCATACCTGTCGACATGCTGGGCCTGATATACGAATGACAGCTATCGCGGCCTTTCCAGATGCTGTAGACAAGGCATATATCGTCGGCTCATCAAGGTATGAATGGAATTGACGGCGCTGGACGAGGCTCACGGGCCGGCGCAACGGCTGGTCGATAGCATCTCTGCACGTACTCAGGCAGGAGCGCTGTAGGCGGGCAGGGCGACACGTCTGCCGCAGAAACTGACGGCTGCTTCTCGCTGATAAGGTGGCAGCTCTCATGCCGAGAGCGCGCGGTTTGGCCTTCACATGGCGCTGGTGATGAATTGCAGGCGTCGTGGTTCGCTCCTTCTCCGCAAAAGTGGCCCCTGCGCCGCCGGCTCCACCGAAATCTTGGTTGCCCGCCAAAAATGTTTCGAGCGTCGCTGCGAGCCTTCACCAACAACAACGCCGAACAAATACCGCACAAAATGGCTTCCGGTATGCATGCAAAGGCGACAGGATCGAGAACCAACACTGACTCTACCAGACGAAATCGTGTGGTCCGTCATCGGCACCGACTTTTGCAGCTACAAGCTGAAGACGACCAAAGACCAGACCTTCTGTCGCAATGAGCACAACGTCTCTGGCTTCTGCAGCAAGCAGTCCTGCCCGCTCGCAAACTCGCGCTATGCCACGATCCGCTCCGATCCCAAGACGGGCGACCTCTACCTGTACATCAAGGCCATCGAGCGTGCTCACTTGCCGAACAAGTGGTGGGAGCGCATAAAGCTGCCCAAGAACTACACTAAGGCCCTGGAAATGGTCGACTCGCACCTGCAGTACTTTCCCAAGTTCCTCGTTCACAAGAACAAGCAGCGTCTGACCCGGTTGACCCAAGTCAACATTCGCATCCGCAAGCTGGCCAAGGAAGATGAACGTCTCGGCGAAAGATTGGTGCCCCGCCTCGCGCCCAAGGTCAGGAGGCGCGAAGATGCACGAGAGAGGAAGGCGCTGGCCGCGGCAAAGGTCGAGCGCTCCATTGAACGAGTCCTCATTGATCGTCTTCGCTCTGGTGCGTACGGTGACCGCCCAATCAACGTTGAGCCGAATGTGTGGAAGCGGGTCATGAAGGGTCTTGAGAAGGAAGGCCAGCTTGAGCGTGATGAGGATCTGGACGACGGAGAGCAGTACGAAGACGAAGAGGAGAACGAGTATGAGTATGAGAACGGTGTCGGCCAAGTCGAGTACGTGAGCGACGTCGAAGGCGACTCGGACGACGAGATGGAGGACTTCGAGGATTGGGTTGGCGGCCAGAGTCCAGATGAGGGCTCAGAGGGTGGCAGCGACGGCAGCGAGAGCGCAAGCGAAGACGAGGATGAGTCTGACGGCGAGGATAATGCAGCTCTCAAAAAGGCACTCGCAAACCTCAAGAGGAAACGCCCCGCCGCACCTCCATCTAAGCCAAAGAAGAAGTCTGCAAGGGATCCCAAGGGAGCAAAGCGCGAGATCGAGTACGAAATCGAGAGAGAGCCTGCGGCGAGAGAGACTCTGCGCAACTAATACCCTACATTTCATCTTTACAGCATCGGCGTTCGCTTTCGGCAAGGAGTTCGAGCATCTTAGAGGCCGGTATGGAAAAGTCAGATCGCATATTGTGCGGCATCATGTTGCAGCCTTCACCACGATTTTCCCAATGTAAACATCTCAAGGGCATCAAGCACGCTGTAACCTTCATCCAGTCACTTCTTTATCATGTTCCTTTGTGGTGCCCAAAGCTATCTGACACACAGATCCCCGTATCGGTCCATTACCAAACCAGACGGTTGACCGAGTTTACGGCGCGCTCGGCCACTTAGCCTATGAGCTTCCCTGCAAGGTACCACTATTAATAAATCGCGAGCTTCTGTGCATACGACACTCATTTCAACCGCAATGACGTCCAAGGAGTCTATAAATCCGCTCTCTCGGCAGCATCGGGCGTTGCCAACTATCGTTCGCTTCAGATCGACTCTTGTACCACACAATCTACCATGAAGTCATTCGGTCTCTTAGCTGCGGCTTCGGCTGCTGCGGCTGCTGTAATGGAACTGCCGGTTCGCATCCAGGATAGCTATGTACGTTGTTAGTCGAACGGTTGATGCCATTCAACTAATCTGTGCAGTCCTCAGTAGCACTCTCCGTTGGCTCGCCCCCAAGAACCTACTTCCTCTTATTCGACACTGGCTCCTCTACCACATGGATCACCTCCACCGGCTGCACCGAGACTTCTTGCCCCAATCCACGTCCCTATGCCCGGACTTCGTACTCCACCAACGCCTCTTCGACCTCTCAGGACTTGAACTCCTTCTCTCGTATCCCGTACATCGACGGTGACAGCGTTGCAGGCGCTGCAATAATCGACACCTTTGCTGACCATGCTGGCGGCTTCGAATGGAACCAGACCTTCTTGAGCGTGAATGAGAGTAGTTGGCGCTGGATCACGGCGGATGGATTTGTCGGCTTGGGATTCAGCAGCATCGCTGAAGACAACACAACTTCGCTTGTGGAAACACTGCTATGGGATGGGCAGCTCGACGAACCGCGTGTCGGTCTGTTCTATGGCAACAACCTCGGAGAAGAAGGAGAGCAGAATGGTGTCCTGACAATCGGTGGCAGCGAGGAGGAGAAGTATGTGGAAGGCGATGTCGTGTACGCGCCGCTGTTGAAGGAGGGCCCGTACCAAGTCTGGCGCGCACCGCTGAGATCCGTCAACGTCTTGGTGACGAGAGACCCGAATGCAACCGTAACCATGAAGGTGGGATCTTTGCCCGACACCACGGACGTGGAGGGCGTCTGGCCAAAGGCGAACACCACATGGCCTATGTACGGCAGCGGCCGAGCAGTCTTCGACACAGGCGCAGGCAGAATTTCCCTCCCAGAAGAAATTATCAGCGCCGTGTACTTCAACCTGGGCTGGAACATGACCGCGCTCATGTGGGGCGATGAGAGGATGGATTGCCAACACCTCAACGCTTCATGGGCAATTACTTTCACTCTTGGCGAGGGCGCCGAGGAGGACGACGTCTCATTCAGCATCCGTGGTGACGAGTTCACCAGTCCGGGTGGCCAGTGCATGCCCCCTCTCGACGCCAGTGGAGGGTATGGGTTCGCGCTGATTGGCACTACTTTCCTGAAGAGGCACTACTCTGTCTTCGATTACGGCGCGGACAAGGTCGAGAACTACGCACCGAGAATCGGATTTGGCAGGCTAAAGAAGCAGTGGGACTGGCTGTACCAGTGAGGTACAAAGTTCAGCTTGACGATTTAGTAGATTTCACAGACATTTAATGATGATTTTGACGAGATATTGTCGTTATAGAAAGAGGCCGTGAGACATCGTTGGCTAGTACAACGATTTCCTTGGTGCGGTCCAACACGCCTCTACCGGTACAGCTCTTCTCAACTCACTGTTTACAACACCCAAAACAACAGCCTTCTCGCGACACGAGCTTTCCACAAGATCCCACAACCACAGGATGACCTCTGCCTCGCCTGTGGGCTCACTTTACGAAGTCCGATCTGGTGCAACTCATGCTGCAGGGCGCTAGAAACAGGTCGGGGGACATGCGTTTTACTGATAGTAGTTCCACTAGAAAGGAGGTCAGTGAGGTAGATTGATCTCGTGTTCGCAGCAGAACGTCTTTGCAAGATCCATTAGCAGCCCATCGCTGTTACTCCACAAACTCTATGGGGATCTGAGCTAACGAACCAAGCTCGTCGGTCAGGGGATTAACTCTTGGGCGTCTTTTCGTCTAAAGTGGGTTGCCCAAATAGGTACCCAGAAATGTTCTGGATGCCTTCTCGAACGCGCATGGCTACGCGTGGCTGCACGTAGCTGCCCGCAGCGTCCTCCAAGCAGGGCTGAGTGAGGCGGCATCTCCACTTTTGGTAACTCGCGCAGGGGACTTTACCGGTGGTGTGAACGCACCCACACGTGATGCGGGAAAACTTGCTTGGACGGGCCTGTTGTGCGGACAAGCGTTTACCCCATTTTTATCCAAGAGCGTCCGACGGCGTCTGTGTTCCTACTTTGCATGCTTGTCGTGAACATATACTTTGATGTTGTTTCCGAGAAGACCCCACTTCCTGGGAATGCTCAAACGGCGTCCAAAGTCTCCCAGCACGGCGGCTTGACATTGATGATCAGCTTGGAGATCGATCTTACGTGCTGCATGTTTCGGCAGAGATGCCCGGAGAATAGGACGACATGCAGACAAGCAAGCCTCTGATACGCCAGCGGACTCTCTGCGGCTTGATTAGCTCGGCACAGGCTTGACTCCCGTCCGGCGCCGCCTCGACGCGATGCGACTCAAGAAAAGAGCCACCTCGCACGACCCGGAACGACTCGATCAGGCAATCCGTGTCTTTGCCATAGCAGCACGCTGCACGGCCGTTGTGGAGCAGCGAATCACGCAGCCCACTAACCCGTCCGCCTTGCATGTCTCTCCATCTCTCCGCTTGCACCATCCCCAAATGATGTGCCGAACCCGCTGATCCCCGCACTCCGCATCGCGGCTCTACACCAGACGTCATCGCTCCTCACAACGATGCATCATGGCTTCCCTGGTGCCACACGGTCATTGCACGCTAGTAGAGTTGGATGTAAGAACGGAACCGGCTACACCGCAGGGGGAGGGTGACGGTTGATCATTCAAAAGGCTGGGAGGCGCACTTTTATATCTTGCTGTCGCACGTACTTTGCTATCTACGCTTGGTCGGGGATTTAAATCCTCCTGTAACTCGCCTCTTTTTAATTATACATGCGCTAAGCCGTACACACTGTCATCATGGGCAAGAAGTTCTACGGCCTCACGGGCACGAAGCTCAATATTGCCATTGCTGTCGTTGCAGGCACTGACTTTGCACTCTTCGGATATGGTACACTCTCCTCACGTCAGCTATGTACTAGCCTTCGCTCATTTACCGTATAGACCAAGGTGTGATGGGCGGGCTGCTCACTCTGCCCTCCTTCGTCCACTACTTCCCCGAGATCGACACCCTCAATCCTCCCAACGGCGATGCAAGCCACACAGCCACCATCCAGGCTATCACCGTGGGCGCCTACACGCTCGGTTGCTTCTTCGGCGCTGTTGCAACCATCTGGCTTGGTAACATGCTCGGACGCAAGAAGACTATTTTCATCGGGAGTGTCATCATGATCATCGGCGCTGTGATCCAGACCGCATCGTTCGGCCTCGCGCAGCTCATTGTCGGGCGCTGGATCACGGGTTTCGGTAACGGGATGAATACTAGTACGGTTCCTACGTGGCAATCAGAAACGTCGAAACCCCACAGACGAGGCCAGATGGTTATGATCGAGGGCTCACTGATTGTCTTTGGTGTCATGCTTAGTTACTGGCTCGATCTGGGGTTCTCTTTCCTGGAGCCAAGCTCCATCGCCTGGCGCTTCCCGATCGGCTTTCAGATCATACTTGCTATCTTCATCCTCATCTTGATTCCAGGATTGCCTGAGTCCCCACGCTGGCTCGTATTGAAGGGGCGAGACGATGAGGCTTGGGACGTCTTAGCTGCACTTAGTGCTCTTCCGAAGGAAGACAAGAAAATCGTTGCAGAGCTGCAGGCTGTGAAGGATGTTGTGTTCGAGATGTCAAGAGGCGGGTTCAGGGAGTGCTTCAAGACGAACCGCAACAGAAACTTCCACCGCACAGTCCTGGCTTATGTCAATCAGATGTTCCAACAGGTACGTGTCGGTGTTAACACACGCTAGAGAACGTGCTAACGAGTCTCCAGATCTCTGGAATCAACCTGGTCACTTACTATGCGGCGACAATTTTCGAAGGATCACTCGGTCTTTCGCCATTCTTGAGTCGTCTTCTCGCTGCTTGCAATGGAACTGAGTATTTCATCGCATCCTGGATCGCCATCTTCACCGTTGAGAGATATGGTCGCCGCAAACTGATGCTGTTTGGTGCCGTTGGTATGAGCGCCACCATGTGCATTCTCGCAGGGACCACCAGCAACGTTGAAAACAAAGCTTGTGCTTTAGTTGCCACTGTCATGCTCTTCGTTTTCAACTCCTTCTTTGCCGTTGGGTGGCTCGGGATGACTTGGTTGTATCCGGCAGAAGTGACACCACTCTCCATCCGAGCCCCCGCCAACGCCATCGCCACAACGGCCAATTGGGCATTTAACTTTATGGTGGTTATGGTCACTCCAGGCAGGTAGCTATCGTCTAATTTACTAAACTTTACTGACCTGAATTCAGTGGCCTTCGCCAACATCCAATGGCGGACATACATCATCTTTGCGGTGATCAACGCCGCGATCGTTCCCAGCGTATACTTCTTCTTCCCTGAGACCGCCGGTCGTTCCTTGGAGGAGATGGACGAGATATTCCACAAGACTACCAACCCATTCGACTGCGTCAAGATCGCCAAAGAACTCCCGCACCGCTTCGATAAGCGTGGCAACCCGCTCTTCGACTATAACGATACAGAGGAGGCGAGAGACGTGGAACGGAGGAGGAGCTCAGTTACGGGTGCGGCGCCGGGTATGTTCAGCAAAGACACTCGGGAGCACAACGAGAAGATTGGGAACATGTGAGGTGTAGAAGGCAGTATGGTTAGAAGTCTACAATTATAGCGGAGGGAAATCTACGACACATAGGTGCGAGCAAATGAGTAACCTGGGCTTGAACATCTTCGCCCGCAAAATCGACGTCCTGAATACGAAACTCTTCTTGAGTTGAATGACCGGTCGATCTCTCTATAAACTGGTTAACAGGATCGGTGTGTTGCTTTCTACTGTGTCAAAGCGCTATGCACCCTTCATAGAGCCTGCTTGCTGAGATAATTGGAAACTTGTGGGTATGGCAGGTCACGAAAAGGAGGCATCTCTGGCAGCAGTTTCCTTGGACCAAGGTCATATGAGTGCTGGTCCTTAAGGCACTTGCTTACTCTGCTCACTCTTCATCTTGAGCGGCATCAGCGTGCTATCAGAATCACTTTTATCAAGCTCGATCTCCTCACTGTCACCTATAGAGGAAAGGATGTCCGTAGACTTGAACTCATCTTTCTCTTTAGACTTGTTACGCATGCGACGATGCTTGAGTGTGGACATGATGGCGCTATCAAACAGCTCCAAAAGATAGAGGACTCTGGGTGAAGTGTCAGTGGGAGTTTTTGACCGTCCCGTGCGAAGCCGTTGTAGTAGGGAACAAGCAAACGGCGAAGGCATTAAGCCGCTTCGGGAACTGCTACCTAGTGTAGTCACCTCGCACAGTTGTACAGCGACTACAACCTCTTCACCACCCACCTTTCGGACCGCTCCTGTTCTTGCTGAGACTACCGCAGTCTTTCCCTAGAAGATAACCTTCCACCGCGGTCTGCAAGAATGAACACCACGCGACGGCCCTTAACGAACGTTGAACAAGTCTACAAAGCAGTATACCTCGAGCTGTGCTCGTTGTACACTAAACGCGACTGCGACGAAGCTGAGAAACTAGCTTGGCAATACTATCAAGATCCATACATCCCTCTAATCTTGCGAATTATGTGCTGCAACGTTCTAGGCGAAGCAGAGGGCGGCGAGTATCTGCAGTTCGCAAGGGAGGCCGTGGAACACGCCACTGCTGGTCTAGTAAGTGAATCACACAACTTCTATAGTTCTGTGCCTAACCTATTTACGCAGGCGCTGGAGCCAGAGAATGGGGTGGCGCAGTTGATGCTCAGAGAGTCGAAGCAGATCTTGAAGAGTGCAGAGGCGGATGCTAAAGACCAGTTGCTTGCCTTGTCTGACTTGCAGAAGGAGCGCGACAAGGCAGAAGCTGAAGCAAATGAACTCAGCGCTAATCCTACTGCTCGCAACCCTTCTCCAGCATCTGCGCACGAATCCCAGAGCCAGCCTTCGATCATGTCCCCATCTGCGTCATCTATGTCAACACCACAGGTCCAAGTGAACTCCATGTTCAGCCCGGTCTCGTATCCTCAAGGGCTGTCATCGAAGGAAGGCGCGGACTGCTCAGAGGATATTCACGACAAGGGCTTCTAGATGGTCGACCTTGCATGGACACTGGGCTACGAGGGTGGTCTGGGAGTCATGCCTCCTGGTTCGTTGAGCGCTACTGACAGGAAATCAGGTATCACTCAATTCCGGTACTGCCTTCGGTACCGCGATCCAGAATTCTATAATTCAATATAACATCTCAGCCACGCTCTCTACTCATCTCCCTGTCTGCAACCACGTCTGATACAATATATACCAAAATCAAGATACTCCACCCTGCAGGCAAGCACTTACCTCGCAGCCTTAGTCACGTCAACGTAGCAGACGGCCACCACAGCAGATTCAACGCGTCCGTCTGCTTCTAATCTCTCGCGTTCAATTAACGCGACTTTATAGATCGATTCGGAAAGTCTGCACAGGTGTAGCAAGATCAAACCCCAGCGCAGCGACACCCGCGACCGAGTCCCCCATACTCGTCCGCCGTCCACGCGCAAGAAAAACGCCCTGCCTCCTCTCGCGCTCCAAAAACCTCGCTCTCGGATTATTCACGGCATGACCACCCTTGTGCCGCGAACAACTCGAGAAGTCAAAACCATGGCTTACAAGGATGCGCTCGAAAGTCGTAAGACAACGCTGCGATCGACTTTCTCGTTCGTATACAGACCGACCTTGCAGGGCCCGTCTAGCATGCTAGTCTTGGTGTGCTTGTGGGGATGGGGAGCAAGAGGGGAGGGGCGACGCTGATGCGATTCCCAGCCGGAGCACTGCTTTGTGGTGATGGTGGCGGAGCGTTAGCTCGTACATGTTGTATCTGTCAAGTGAATGCTTGGTCTTATCTATCTAATATACAGTCTCGTGCGGTTCTACTCTATGCATAGCTGACCGTGCTCGGTGAGCAGCTTTAATACTCAAAGCGGCTCCGAAGTAATCAGAGAGAGCTCAAAATATTCAAGAAGACTTCAGGTTGTCTCCACGTCGTTGTGTCACATCTTCTCGCTTTTGGACGCGACAGCGTGGCTGTGATCGAGGCCGAAGGCGCTGTCGGTTGGTGACTCGATAGTGGTATTATATTGCTTCACGCGGCCCGTGTCGCCCTTGTGGCCTTGCGTCGTGATGCGAAGGAAAGGAACGAAAAGCACGGCGAGGAAACAAACGCCCATAGTGAACCAGAAGACAGCGGCAAATGGTGCCACTGCGTTGTCTGCGTAGTATCCGGAGTGAGGCGGGCTCTTCTCGACGGCATCGAAGACAGCAGTAGCGATACCGTAGCCGACAGCGGTACAAAGTCTAGTTAGGGTTTGCAACAGCGAGCCAGCGATGGACTGCTTATTTGTGGGCATCGAGGAGAGAACATACATCTACCAAAGTCAGTGATAGTTGGCGTTAGTCACGTAAGCCGACTTACATTAGCAACGATGAATTCGAAGTCCGCCCCAAGTACACACAAGCACAAGGCAGGAAATGAGAAAGCCCAGTAGGAATCGCCTTTTCGCTGCACAGCAGCGAGGGTGAACGCTACCACGTACGACCACGCGCCGATGCCCACTAGAAGCTTGTTAGAGACTTTGTGCTGGATTAATGCAGCAACCAGGTTCGCAATCAGGCCCACCACTACCATGGGCAGCATGTGCACACCAGTCATGAGAGCGCTGTAGCCAAGCTCGACCTGGAAGTACAGCGCTATCCAGAACGAAAATACTGGGAAACCAAGGAAGCCGAGCGACAAGATAAGAAGTAACTATGCATGTCAGTGGATGTCCAAATATTCGGTATGCTCACTTACTAGAGAGAAGTCTCTGTCCTTGAAGACGTTCATGTCCACTATGGCGTAAGGATACTTGAGCTCCCACACAACAAATGCGACAATCAACAACAGGCCGAGAATCAGCAGTACTAACACATATGGCGTCTTCCAACCATTTGGGGCGTCACCCGCCAGACTGAGGGCCGCACAAAACATGCCGATACCGGCAATAGTCATTCCGGTTCCGGGCAGGTCCAACTTCTTCAGAGTCTCTTGGTCAAGCTTTTGCTTCGGCATCGTGTCCGTAGGCACAGTCAGTACGGCAACAATGGAGGTGAGAAGGTACGTGATCGCAATCAGAAAAAAGCCGGCTCTCCAATTGAACAGCTGAGTGAAAAGGCCAGATAGAATCGTCCCAAAGACGAAGCCAAGTGGATTGCCAGCGCTGAAACAACCAAATGCCTTGTTCTTGCGAGGACTCGGCTTGTCGTAGATCGTCCCGAGTATGCCCTGCGCGGGTGGAACAGCGGCCGCTGAGAAGATACCTAGGATGCCGCAAAGAATGTCAATAGTGATGCCGTCCTTGGCGAAGCCAGTACCCAAGCTCACCACCGAGAAGAGGAACATGGAGCCAATGAACATGGTCTTGCGTCCAAACAGGTCAGCAATGCTTCCGAAGAAGAGTAGTAGTGCGCCGGCAGACAGTGAGCACGCGGCGTTCATCCAGGTGATCTGCGCATTGGTCATGCCCAAGTCTCTTGCTGCGAAGGAACTCATAACGGTGATCGACCCGGTGAGAACACTTGTCATGGCCACAGCCATGGTGACCGACAGTACGAAAAGGCATTCCTGGAGCGTCGATTTGAAGCAGGCTGGGCGCGCATTGGGATCCTTCGTGTCGTGGTCGCTGATTGGCGAAGGCGTGCAACTGCCGAGTTCGGGATCGGTAGTCATGATGTCGCGTGGCGAGAGGTCGCACAACACTCGGCAGGGTTGACTTTGGGGTAGGAATGAAGTCAATGTCGTAGGAAGAGAGTCAATGCGGAAAAGCGATAAAGTATTTGCGGAGCTCGGCGATCAACCAAAAATTTGTAAGTTGAAGTGAAAGCATGAGCGGTGTAATCCAGATTATCAACGAGCGGAAGTTACGCCGCACCCTGGCCCTAAGGAAATCCGTTGCGACATAGGATTTCGCAACGGGCAATTTGTTGCGACGGCTTGCATTGTAGCACAGCGGTGAATTAAGCACGGTCAGTTTTATACTTCCATCTCCTAATACAATTGTGACTGAGCCCTGTTGCGTGTCCGAGCGGGAGTAAGGGTGCTGTCCGTGTAGGGAGGGTCGAACATGGGTATCACATTGGTATTGTACACGTACTTTTACAGCTTGAAGACTTTCCAGTCACCAAGATCCATTTCTTTCAACACGCCGCCAAGCGGGCCCTGCACTTCCCGACCATCAGCCCAAAGCTTCCTGCCAGCCCAATGCTCGATGAAGCCATCAGGGCCAGATACTATGATCAATTTCGACCCCTTCTCTTGCGATGAGCTTATCATCCTTTTCTTGACATCTTCTGGCTGAATGAATGTCTTCTCCTCATCAACATAGTATTGAACCTTCAGCCCATATGACGCGACCGTGTTGTTCGCCTTGAGTGCATCCAGCTCTTTAACAATGAGGCCCTTATGCTGAGGTGCTTCGCTGTCTGTTGAATCGTCCTTCGAAAGTCCGACCAGCGTCGCCGTCTCGCTAGAGCCTATAAGGACACTCTTCCACCAGCCCAGTCGATTCTGTGATGTACTCGCGGTTCCCTGATCGTCACTGACACCGCCTATGCACTCCTCGCGCCGCCTGTTTGCCCACAAAATGTGCATCTTACTGCCTGTTCTCCTGATCAAAGCCTGTGCAACTTGCATAGCTGGGGCAATGCCTGTCCCTCCTGCCAGAAAAACGACTTCCTTGACATTGCGAGGCAACTCGAATTCAGCATTTGGGCCTCGAAGTTCAATTGTTGCTTGCTCCGGCAACCGGTGCAAGTATGTTGAGACTTCTCCTCCGGTCTCCTGTCGTATCAAAAGCCTCATATCTTGAGGTGCATTTTCGTCCTTCTTAACATCGACGGTGTGTGGTAGTGGTGTATAGGCGCGTGCAATCTGCAATTGCGGCTGCTTGATCTGTACACTCCAAACGCTGCGCTTCTCGACCTCCTTGACGCTCTGCGAGTCTGGCGCACCGCTGGCATTACGCAATATGAATATAGCGCTGGTCGAGGATACAGGCTGCTTTTCGACGAGTGTGTACGGCGTAAAGGTGTGGGGATTGAGCGATTCATCGGACGACTTCGAGGAACCGAAAAAGCGGTACGCAGCGCCGCCGGCAGCAGAGGTGCCTAAGACGATCAGGGGACCAGCCCGCCGTTTGACCCAAGACATGGTGGAATTATAAAGCGAAAGTATGAGGGTGTCTTGAAGATGATGCCGGCATCCTTCCGATCTGGGGAAACTTGAATTCTTGTTGGCCCAAGCTCAAGTACCCCATTTTCCGCAACATCACTTTTCACCCACCTCAAACACCTAATCCATCTCCGCGGGCCTAATTAGCCACGGAAATGTTTCGAAGAATGTAAAGGGTCTACTCACGGATGACCAGATCCTGGCAGTCTCTCAATTCTCAACAAGAACTTCATCCTTGACCTTTGCAACATGCACGGCGGGCTATTAACGTCGCTGTATGCGGCAGGAGCAACATCTGATCCATTTGAGCAGGCAATAAATGACCAAAATGGCCAAGACTATCGGAATCTGCGAAGATCCTTACCACGAACGCCCGTGGCGTTCAGCCTGATCATGTGTTCACCTTGAACAACCCGGCCCAGCCTCGTTGATTCACCGATGGCATCTGAGCCGTGCTCTCAATTCTTCAATACTGATGGTGTTGTTAGCAGTGTGCGGGCATGCGAAATACCTCTTGCAGCAAACGCGACTTGCTGACAGGACTCTGGTTTTACCTATCATCACGACCGCTACACACTTCCTACCCATTTTCGCAGTTCATACATAACTTTGGTGTAGCTACCAGCTTATCTGTGGCTGTTCAGTCTTCGTCCACCCGATCGCTGAATCCATGTTTGTGGTGGCTTACATTTTCAGGCCCCCGCTGGGCAGTTGGGGGCCAACACATCAGTCCAGACACACAGATTGCAATGACGTCCCAAGCCCTGGATTCTGGGCTCACAGCCTCCGAACTTACAAACAAGATAAGAGCTTAGTAGTCCTCAATGGCCTTGTCATAGTAAAATAATCTTTATATTCCCAGCCAGACGGGATTTGCTCGTGGCGGGACGAGCCGCTTGATCAACATGAGTCGGTCTCCATCTCCAGTATCTGGACGACAGCCGTCGTCGTATTCGCCCTACAGTCAGCAAGACCCACCTTTGACTTCTGAACGTCAGCAGGCGCCGCATTCGCCTCACAGTCAGCAGACTTCATCTCCAGATTCCGGACGGGAGCCATCGCCACATTCGCCCTACAGTCAGCAAGGTGCTCCTCAAACTCCTGGTGTCGCATTGCATCGCGATGCCTCAGTTGCATCGTCACCGTTTACTCCTCTCGGAATATATGTCGGAGATGCTGCAACAAGCGACCGTAACGGTTCTCGTACCGCACTGAACACACCAGCTATGAGGACAGAAATGGATGAAGGAGATGAGGAGTCCCTGCTCAATCATGATCACGCTCATCGTCGTAGCAGTACGAATACATACGAACAAATGGACTCATGGGTGCGGCTTGTCAAGGCCGGAACGATAAAGTTGCTGATGACCATTTTCTTTGGCGGTATGCTTTGCGTATGCTTGAAGGCATGGGAAGGATTCGGCTCGCCTATCGCACTTACCAAGTACGACATCCGAATCTTCAATGCTCTTACTATCGCTATATCGATATGCCTGGGCCTCAATCTTCTCGCCTCGCTCAAACGATACGCAGTCATTCTCCGTTGGTCGATATTGACTAGGTACTGGGTCCCCGTGGAGGTCTTCGATCTTGTTTTGGGCATCGATGAGCTCACCAATGCCGCCAAGCTTTTTGTCCTTTCTACGCCTGCTCTGGAACATAAGTGGCTCATGGGAAAATCAAGACCCTGGAAGGACGCTCAACCGGGAACGAAATGGCGCTTTGGCACTGTATGTTTCATCTGGCTGCTTATCAACATTGGTAGCCAAGTCTTGGTTGCCTCCCTCAGTCTATTCTGGCCCACAGAGCAGTACCCATGTCGACTCACTACGTACGGCAGTGTAGCAGTAGCCGATCTATCAAAATGGAGTGTCGACGGTCCTGAAAAATCCAACTGGACCTCGCAGGAAGCAGCGTGGAGATACGGGATGGACGCACAGTCATGGAGCAACTTCTCAGCCTCTGAACCAACCCCAGCACTTGCGCAATTACCCGGGACGCCATTGTACAGAGGCGATGGCTACTACGAGTATCGTTTCTTCTACCGGAATCCACAACGCCTCTACGGCGACTTTGTAGAGAGTGACGCCAGCATACAGGCTTCAGCTCACTGTAAAAGCTACGAGATACACGGGAACGTGACCACAAAGCCGAGAAAGAAAGAAACAGACCCTAGTGGTTCCCAAATCCTCGCAGGCATGCCTGGAGAGAAGCCAACCAACGTTTCGATTCCCTCGTATGGCAGAGGCATGGTTTCATGGATAGTATTAGATGAAGAGGTCTGCGGCCCACGTTGTTCGCAAATCACAGTTTTTCAAGCTCGTGCCGAGGAAGGAGAGCTAGCGGAAGCGGTCGACAAACATTCTTTATGGGTGTGCGAAAACTACATTACAGACATCAGGAAGACCACCAATGGTGCGAACCATACTGAAATAAGGGACAAGAATATGGAAATCAATGGTACAGACATTTTTGCAAGAATAGGGGCAGGCGCGATTGGTTGGACAGGCATAAGTCAAGGACGTTGGACAGATCGACAATTCCGTTACTATACACAAGGTACGCCCTGGTCTCCACCGCGCATACTCGACAAAAGCGATGTCGAAGAGATCATTATGCGTTTTAGCATTGGCGCAATAGCTGCATTCGACGACCATGGCATACGACGCAACGTAACTATCAACAACGAGACCTGTGACGACACGAGCCAGAAGATTAACGTCAGCTGGAGGTACGTGTCGAGTATACTAGGCGCAATAGGCCTCATACAGTTCGGCGCCTTGTGTTATCTACTCTTGCGTGCAAACCGCAGTATCGTTCGGGACGCAAGCTTCTTCAGCACAGCAATGCTCCTAAGGCCCATCCTTGAGGTCCTCGACGACGTACCAGGAAGAATGGCGATGAGTGGCGCCGAGATCAAGAATCACAAAAGATTGCGGAACAGAAACGTCAGATACGACTACAAGGAGGTTGGCCATGTCAAGCAAGTAACTGTTTACTTCGAGGATGAGTTTAAGGGTCACATGAGGAAGAAGTGGCCATCTGGGGACTACAGTGGATGATTGACGACAAGCTTGTCAAGGACGAGATCAAGGCAGAAGACAGATATTGGTGCTCAGATGTGGATAATGCAATTTGATGAGGCTGGAGGGCATTGAAGCTTTTATGTCGAATGATTTACGAAACAGCACTTTGGAACAAATCCCTCTCTTCTTCTGTAGCTGAACACTGAGCATCCTATCGATTCTATTGGTGATTGGTGCATCACCAGCATCGGAGGAAAGATGACATCAGCTACTAGCGCGCTCAGGCCGCTGCGCCTCGCTCATGCTTTCCCAAAACATACTCTTGGCCATGGTTTTTGCTCAACCAGGTATCGTACACCGGAGGCTGTAATTACAGCTATCGTGAATGTGATCGCCTTGAAAATGTACAAAAGACACCCCGCGCTACTATATGAGCCTCTCAACATCATCGCATTCACTTGAACCACTCGCAACCTTCGCGGCTTTCGTTCAACAGATCAACAGACCCTCGAAGCAATATGTTTGGCCGCAGTCATGACGACAAGAAATCCTCTTTCGATGGGTACCAGCAGCAGGCGCCTGCATCCGCACCTGCGTACGGTGCATCGACATCCCACCAGGCGCGTTTCGCATCTGTGTCCATGCATTCAACCGACGATCTGCGCTTCCTGCACTTCCCACCGCAGGTAATCGATCTATGTCGGAACGCAATTGTTACCGTCTGGAAGAGCGGCATTTCACGTGAAGGCATGTACGGCAGCTCCTACGAATTCAAACTCAGGGGCTATCCCTGGGCTGCAATTGGGACTGGTGCTATGGATACCCAGCGTCTCGTTTGTGCGGTGCTGGGAACGCTACACAGTGTTGGCTGGGTCATGACGCTCAATACAGACGTGAGCACGGCGGCCGCCGATAAAGACACGCTGCTGTTCCGCTACCAATCACCAACACCAGCACCGTGCGACTGGTTCAGTATCGGGTTCTCTCGATCAGATAGGATTCGCATGGTTGATGCAAGCCCGGAGTTGTGCTATGCGTTGCCGGCAGCGCTGGGACAGGAGTGGGTGAGCAAGGTGAGCGAGCATTCACCCGGAGTCCAGGAGATCAAGTTCCACGGTTATCCTTGGTCTGCGGGTGGAAAGGAGACAATGAGGGTTAGGGAAATGCTACTGACCATCCTGGGTACATTGGAGGAAGACGGCTGGACGGTATACGCGAGTATAGACCAGAGTGCGGCTGCTGGAAGTCAGAACAAAAGTGAGACCGATACTGTAAGTGTTCAATGCTTCTTCGATGCAAAGAAATGTGGCTAACAAGTATCAGTGGCACTGCTGTCGGCCAAGAGGTTGGGTGAAGGGTGCACCTGTTTATTTTAGACGATGAAGAGATCAAGAACTTGACCTTGTGAAGTCAAATACTCCAAGTATTCTGTGGCTGGCCCCTCAAACCATACAGCATATCTCCATGCTTGAAGCTCAAGTAGATAGCAGCCAGGCGGAACAAATTTGAGTACCTAAGCTATTTTATGACAAACTAGGTTGTTGATCTTGTGGCGCTTTGAATCTCACACCATGTTTTTGTGGGATCGATCTATTCTAGGTCATGACCCTCATTTGGAGCCGCTGAACCTGTGGATACCCTACACTTCGCGCTAGTGACATCCTTCCCCAAACACCAACATGAATGAGTGGAAATGCCACGAGTACCCACGGCGCTCCTCCGGAAAGCGCATACTATAGATTCGTTCCTCCCAGCTCTTCTGGCGCCCTGTCGCGACCTCCGTACTGCCCGAAACGAGCTACGATGGCTCCGCGAACACGTCGAGAAAGTCGCGAAAGCGCGATGCGCCAAAGGAGATACACTGGCCAAAGGAGCTTTGTTGGGCCAACTGGTTAGAGAACGAGCAAAGGGGAAACCACTGCAGTATCTACTCGGTACGGAATTCTTTGGGGATCTAGAGATCAAGTGCAGGCCAGGTGTGCTTATACCAAGGTGGGATTTGCTCTACTGCATGTGCCCGCGCAGGAACTCACGGCCACGACAGACAAGACACGGCAGCTTCAGTCACGCATCTTACCAAGCTCGTTCGAAAGGCGCATAATCTACCCTCCGAACTACGTGTACTGGATCTCTGCACCGGTACCGGCTGTATCCCGTTACTCTTCCGCCATGAATTCGCTGCAGAACGAAGGGATGTCGACTTGCGCATCGTCGGCATCGACATTTCTCGGAAGAGCATGGATCTCGCGCGCTATAATCTGCAAAGGAACGAGGAGAGCACGCAGGCACGACACGCCATGACGGCATTCGCCAGAGCAGATGTCCTCGCAGATCCCTTTGGAGAACTAACTCCAGGAGCACCCTTACCTGTCAAAAACTTCTTAAACCATAAACGATGGTCGCCATTCTGGGACATACTCATTTCCAATCCGCCTTACATCTCTCCCTCAGCTTACTGGAAGACCACAACACGGTCGGTTCGAGGCTTTGAGCCGAGATTGGCTCTTGTCCCTCCGCCCACGCTGAAAGTCAACGATGCGCAACAAGGAGATCTGTTCTATCCGCGCCTGCTGAAGATTGCTGAAGAAGTTGAAGCCAAGGTTGTGCTCTTAGAAGTTGCAGACCTTGAGCAGGCACTGCGAGTCGCACGAAATGCGCAGCAAGTAGACGTCTTCGATGGAATTGAGATCTGGAGAGACGATCCAGAATCCTCTTCCAGTCAGTCCACAACTGAGGATGGCTTTAATGTCTATGGTACCGGCAATGCTCGCTCTGTTGTCTGCTGGCGCGGAGCAGGCGGCCCCTGGCTCGGCAAGACCAGCGCGCCGACCCCGTCAGAGTCCGCTCGAGATGCGCCAGTCAAGGCATTCAACCTCCCACCTCCCCCTCAGTTTATTCTATAGATCCTTGGAAGACAACCCAGATGTGATGCTATTGAGAGTCTTGGCTGGCCTCAGGAGACTCTACCAACACATTCCCCCAGTAAGGGCTGTTCTCAAGACCCTGAGTAGCGAATAGCACCATGCGGACGCCTACTCGACGCTAGAGCCGCGGTTGGTCGCATCCGCGCTCGCGCTCTGCTTGTCTCGACAATTAATGACGCACGATGGTCATGCGCACGTTACACAAAGGCCAAGGTCTGTCAGCGCTTGTTCATTATGTACGCTGACGCACGGTGGGTCCTCCGCAGATCCGGGGTACTTGATAGTCGAGATCCCCTGCATTACAAAACGCCCCGGATTTACTTAAAGAACCATTGAAGCTTCGACACATCAGCACAACAACTGACAAACATGCGTTTCCCAATGCGACTCCTTTTGTTCTTGGTGCCGTTCCTTGCGGTGTTCTCTTTGGCGCTGGCGGAGCCCGAGATGCACACCACTGTCGGTTTCGAGGTCCGTATCCGCCGCCTACGCTGCGAGGCATTACTGACAGAAGTGCAGAGTCTACCTCAGGCGCAACACCCAGCTCAAAAACCCGTTGCTGCATCGAACGCAGCATCCTCGTATGCATTTGCGGCAAGCCAGCCCATGCAGGCTGCTTCAGAGGCCGGCTCAGCTGAACGTCCTGTCGGCAAGATGGTTATTGCCGTGCTCGTTTCCGGTGTGCTATTCGGACTCGGCATGGGGATGTGATAGCACGCCCCGTGTTGAATCAGGCGGCAGCTGCAGACTCAGACAGTTGCTTCCTCTGTTTCCATCCAACACTGACTCAACTCTACAACCGAGCATGCACCAAACACGGCACCGCGACTACCCGAAGCAGACGGTTACCGTACTTCCCACATGGCAGCATGTGCGCATCACCAATCAGCCTCTGGGACAAGCCGCGCCCATGACACCGACGGCTCACAACTGGGTACGAACGTACGTTGTGTGTGCCGTTAAACCAAACCGCGGTCTTCGTACTGGTCACACTAGGGGATTATCGTGCTAACAACGCACTTGCGCTCCACGGACCGAAGGACATGCCTCCCGTGCTTCGTGGAACCTTGTTGAATAACGCGACTGGAACAACGTCATTGCAGACCCATCTCAACGCTTCTGCCGTTGTCTTACAAGGGACGGGAACGTAATTGTTGCTGGCTTGTCACCCTCCCAATCAGCATTCCTGTCACTTAAGGGTCTTGTGCGCGTAGCTGTAATGCTGCTACCCCTTCGACTACTCTGATCAATTCGTCCCGGGTTTGGCCAATCTCTGGACAGCTGAAGTCCTTGCGCCCTTAGAAGCATGATCTCACCGCATGTCGCAGTCACCAAGGGCATTGTAATGACAAACGCATTCCGCAGTGATCAAGGGTCGCCGAATCATTTTCAAGGGTGCAAGATTGGAAATAAGATGGAAATGCGGGGCCTACGCTGCACGTCAGGCATTGCGTGGTCCGCACAGTCTCTGGCTTCGGAGTTGGGGCGGAATAGGACCCTGGCTATGCTACTTCCGAAGGCGAGCATCTATGTATCGTCTGTACGCTCCTCGGTCTCAATTCTATCAGAGTACTGGTCATTTTATCCGAAGACTATCGCCCGAGGATGTCCGTTGCATCTGTAGATGTCACGATAGCGTCGCTACTGTTCGGTCTCACAGGGTCACGTTTCAAATACCGTATGTAGAGAGATTTTCTAGGAAAGATCAAAAATCGAGGTTTTAGTCCTACTCATTCCTACAATCTAGAACAGGGTCTGTCCCCTTTCATATGTACACTCAGTCATCGTGATAGAAGGGCCTTCCTCATCTCAACTCTGATCGACGCGTGTTCGTGTCCTCTGCTCGGATGAAGCCGAGAGCCGAGCCGCCTCCTCCGCTATCTCCGAGCTGTCATGCGTCATGGTCTCACATCGCTTTCCGAGCATCAAATAATTCCCCGGACTAGGTAAACACCTTTCCCCACAACTTTCCAGCATCACCATGTCTGTCTCTTTTTTGCGCCTTTCAAGGGCGCGAACACCTTGTATCCGTGCTATTCGCTCCTTCTCTACTACAACTCCACGCCTTCAATCTCCCGTTAGCTCCATACCATACACAGAACCATGCCCGTCGCCAACATGCGCATGCGCCTCCGCGCCCCCTGATCTAGACATTGATCGCAAGACGCCGCTACTCAACACCATGGCACCTTATACTGAGCAAGTGCTTCTGTGCACGGGCAAGGAAGATTGGACAAGCAACCTCGAAGATGACGAGAGCGCCACAGCAGACTTCGTGAAGGGACTGAAAGGCGTAATCGGGAGAGGCGGCGAGGCGTTCGATGTTTGTAAGCCCCCTACAAGCTATCACTAGCTATGTTGCGCACAATACCGTCCGTAGCTAATACCCAGCAGCCCTTCACCAACGTCCTCGTCACCGCGAGCTCACTCCCAGCGACTGAAGCCCCCGCCACTACAACCGCTTACCTCTTCCCGAGCTTCCAGCGCATCACCGCCATCCCCCACACCCCCGCATCCCTCTCCGCCTTTGCAACCGCATACCTCAAAGCGCCCACCCTGCACCCCATGCACGCCGGCCTCACCCCCGCCCAGAAAGCAGCCCTGACCCGCGACACATCGAAAGCGACCCTGCTCCCGGCCCCAGAGCCAATCACAAACCCCGTCATCCTGATTTGCGGGCACGGCGGCCGCGACCAGCGCTGCGGGATCTTAGGGCCCATTTTGCAGAACGCGTTTCAGGCGGACCTCGCGCGCCGGGGCATCCACGCCGAGGTCGCGCAGATAAGCCACATCGGGGGGCACAAGTACGCAGGCAATGTTATTATCTATCTGCCGCCGAGTATGGAGGGGAATGCGCTGAGGGGCGCGGGGATATGGTATGGGCGCGTGGGACCGGGGCAGGTGGAGGGCGTGGTCGAGGAGACTATTGTAAGAGGGAGAGTTGTGGGAGAGTTATTGAGAGGGGGCGTGATGAAGGATGGAGGCAACATTGGGAGGATGGTGGAGGCGCAGCTCCAGGCAGAGAGGGGGGAGGAGGCGGGAGGGTTGAGGTTGAGGCCGAGGGCAAGGGCTTGAGGCGGTGAAGAGGGTTGGTTTGCGTGTTTGCATAGCGTGCATGATGATCGAACGACATACCGTGTGCCTGATAGATTTTTGGCGTCGGCTGGAGGATACACATGCCGAGCCGATGTAGCATATTACAACATCCCCTCAATCACATAGCGAAGAATCTCCCGACAAAGATCGCTCGAGATGAGGATCATACTTTCCAGATACCCGTTTTCATGTTGAAGACATGGAACGCAACCCATGAGAACAACAGTCACCAATTTCGAGAGCTGCTCGAGAGCAGGGTGATACATCAACAGTTGATCCACATACTCATGTATCAAATGCCCAAAAACTTTCGTACTGCTAAGACAGGGCCACACGCTCGAAGCGCAACATGTTTCTTGCCTCAACTCATTTAGAGACAGAATCGGGTGCACAGCCGTAAGTCCAGCCATCCAGGATTCCGGTGTGTATTCAGGGTGCTCAGAAGGGATTCTCCATGGAAGCTGTGCTCTTGCCGTTTCGGCAGGGCAGACATGTAGCATCATGGATTACCTTTGAAATAGGATCGAAGTGGCAGAAGACAGTGAATTCGAAGATAGGAGGATTGAGTTGGTCGCATTTGACCGATTAATCGTCCAGGGAAGAAAGCAGGAAGAACAGACATAGGCCTTTTCTATTGGTGATTTCTCGCGCTTGCGAGGTGACAGCAAGACAGGGTAGAGAGCCATGGACATGTTGGAAACAGGTTTGGAGAAGCCAGCGAGAGCAGACGTGATATCCAGGCACTCGGTATTTTTTGCATTTGTGAGGGACGAGAGAGCAGAGAGAAACGCATGGGCATTTTGTGGTTGTTCTTGGGAGGGCACAACAGGAGCACACATGTGCTCGGTGATTTGTTTCTTTGCGCTTGCGAAAGCGACGGCAGAGCAGAGAGAGTCATGCTTGTTCTTGACTGCATTTTCAAGTACGCAGCGGAGCATCAAAGTCGCAGCAGACAACTTTTGTGTATGCTTTTCATGGCCGCACATCTGACAGCTTTCAGTAAAATATGTGGAAAACGAACATGAGCTCCAGGCATGACATTTAAGCGGACCTGATTAACAGCATAATATGCAGCGCTTCTGTTTGTTTTTGGAGCGAATCAGGTGTGTGAGGACGGCCTTGCTCGAGCAGACATGCCGACAGGACATCGCTGAATTCATGAAAACAGTTTGAAGTAAGCGAGGGGCAAGAAGAGTGCACAAGTCTTGATTTTGAGGAGAAAAAGGAATCAGGCTGGACGACATGTGAATCCTATGTATCTTTTTGCGAACAGTAAAGTGTGGGAGAGGGAGATTCGATTTTGTTTCGGCAGGTGATGCAAGCGCAAAGGAAGTGATAATGAAGAAAGTAATGATGAGGTCAGATATGTTTGTAGGCTATTTATATTGGCGACACGCCGTTTGAGATAATGCTCCGCTGAACGTATGCGGATGAAAGACAAACAGAACCCAACGCCTCGCTATGCAACCACTTCCTTGAAGCCATTCCAAGGTTTCCTAAATGTGCTTAAAACGCCCTGACCTTCCTCCCTTCGACGCCCATCCCGGCATCTGCCTTTCTTTTTCCCAGTACCGAGTCAGGCGTGCTCGGCATTGGTATGCCGGCACCCTTACTGTATTCTTCGAAACAAGTTGCATGGTAGATCTTGCCACCGACCTGCAGCGCGTCCATCCACACAAAGTCATTCGCATCAACGTTCCACTGGGTCTCGAACTTTTCCTGACAGATGGGGCAGGGCGCGTGTTGAAGTGTTGTGTCCTGCGGAACGAGCACGTAACGGTCCTTCGCCTGCTTCTTAGGCTTCGCAATACTGTTTGTGGTTGCAGCATCACTGGCCGGCGTAGTCTCGTCTACTTCACGGTAGTCAATCCAATCTTTCTCAGACATGTACCAGCTACGATGCACGCCGCGTTTGGCGGCATCAGGGTCCTTTACTTTGAAGTGCCAGTCCATGTGGCGGGCCTTCTTTTCCTTGCCTTCATTCGTGCTCTCGAAGCGGCGGCCACAGGTTGCGCAGATGTTTGGCTTTGCCTCGTACAGACGAGAGATGAGGTAGAACCGAGGTTTTTTCATGGATGCTGTGGTAAGCTCGATATCACTGAAGACATTGGTGGGCGCTGAGATCTGTCTTGCCATGGGCTGAGCAGCGAATGGAGTACCATTTGCAGGTATACCCCCGCCAAGAGCGGCAAGGAGCCATTCTGCACTTCCAGCTGCTGGCTGTACAGATTGTTGAGCAACAGGCATAGGCTGCACTGACGGCGGTCCGGCTCCTGGCTGATTGAACTGTGCAAGGAGGGCTGCAAGATTCGCTGTAGGGTTCACTGCCGCCGGAGGGGCAGCTGGTGCCACAGAGGTAGGGACTGGTGTCGGAATAGGCGGAGGAAAACCAGCAAAGGCTGGAGGCTGGAATGGCACAGGCGCAGGCACCGATGAAGATTGTGCTGGAGACGAGACACGTTTCAGAAGATCGGCAAGGTTGAACGTTGGAGGTTGCGGGGTCGATATGGGCTGCGGCGTCGATTGCGCCGGCGGCCGGAAACCAGCAAGCAATTGTGCAATGTTCGGTGGTGCGCTTGCTGGTGGAGCACCGACAGGCGCAAAGCCCGGTAGCATACCATGTGAAGTGTATGCCGGTACGGGTGTTGGGGGAGCAAATACTGGCATGGGTGTCGGTGTTGGAGCCAAGGATCGTACTTGGTGTCGCACCGCTTCGAGTTGTTGTGGGGGCAGCGTCTGGGTGTCGAGGATTTGTTTGAGTGACAAAAGAGCTTGTAGCTTTGTCTGAATGTTCCTATCAGCAGGATTGTGAGCAAACGATGTCTGCGTGGTAGCGACGAGCTGGGCAACCTCAGCCTTCAGATCAGCTAGATCAACCGACGATATGGGTTGAGGGCTGTTGAACTGCTGTTGGAACGGCATTGGCGGTGTCGCCCCAGGTGCGCCGTATTGAGGCGTAGGTGGGAGACCTGCTGGTCGACGAGGATCGTTCGGAGCATGGTATCGAGGTACGTTCTGCGGCGGTGTCGAAGTATCTCTCCATGCGACGTTTGATGGCGGTCTTGCAGGGAGAGCATGCGTTGGTCGTGGCACGTGTGTCTGAGCTGCAACTGAGCGAATTTTGTTGACAGCATTCTCGATGTCTCCGGTAACATTAGCGGGAAAGACAGGACGAGTATCCATTGACTCAGGCACTGGCTGCTTCCATGTTCTCAGTAAGCCTTCCATTGCTTTGCGAGTGGCCTGATCTACAACGAGATAGGCTTCCATGAATGTGCTATAGAGGTTGCGACCAAGGTAGACGGTGTATGGCGTGCCGACATTCTTGACGATGGAATCGAGGACGTAAAGAGACGGAAGCTTCCACTCCGGACGAGTCTATCGCAGTCAGTCATTTGCACGGTTAATTTCAGGTAGGCACGCAAGATGCAAGCGTCATTTACAAACTTACGGTTCGGATGTGGTTTTCAAGCTCAGTTGAGATTGCTTGAGCATATTCTGTGTTCTCCTTCGCGATGAGGGTTAGATTGCTAATCTCTGGTCTGCTGTTCAATCTCAAATCCTGTAGAGCATCGCGAAAGTCGGCAGCCACCTCAGCAGCAGGTAACGACATGATGGGCAATAGGAGATTGTGCTTTGGGGAGGGTTGTGAGGGTCAGAGGTGGATGTAATCGCAGAAAGCCTTGCAGTCGATAGTAGGCGATCCAAACGAGCCGGTCTTGCAGACAAAACAAACAAAGGCTTCCTCTTTTTCGAACACACGGTGTGACAGGATGTTTGTGTTGCTACTAGCTATGACCTCGCTGGGTATTGCAGCAAGAAAACTGCGCCAGGACAGCCAGGACAGTGACAAGCCTCGCTCTCCTCCTGCCAATGAGCTCCAAACACTGTGTGCCTTCCTCCTCTACTCGCCAACAACTGCGAGACAGCGTGCTGTTGCGATACGCCTGACAAGTGTGAACGTGAGCTGTGAATACCCGTCGACGAACGGGTGCTGCGGCTGTGAAGGCTACAGTGCTGTGTCGCGTGGTGCGTCAAAGTTAGTCAAGAGGGTGTGGAAGAGAAGTTGGTTGGAAAGTGCAGAATAGAGAGGGAGAATCTTTTTAAGCACGCCGCGTCGTATGCGGTCGGCGTTGTTTGGTTGAGGGGTGAGGTGCAACCGTGGTTTGCGTCCGCAGCTGCACCCGCCCCCGAATGCCAAGCCTCGGTGAAATAGTAGGTCCGCGCGTCATTGGCAGTCGCGCTGAACAGCAGCTTTCTTTCGCGCAACACAGACATCATCGCCGTTGTCTAAGTTTCTCACTTATAGCGTCGCACTCATAGGCTACACAGTATCGCGACCTCGGAGCTCAGCGCATCTACGCAACTGCAACGCCCTTAGCGCACGCAAAGACCCGCACCATGGAGGACGTCGAGTTCACGAAGTCGCACTCCAACTCGCCGCTGCCCGAGGCTGGCAACGATCCTGCCGACCCTCTGCGTCCTGAAATTGAAGAAGAGAACTCCGTACCAAACCCTACCAATGCCACAACATACCAAGATATGGAGGTGACGGAGGATAAGGAGGAGATGCCTGATCAGGATGATATCGAAGCTGGCTTGTCCGACAATGAGTCGGTGCTCTCCGACGCGCTGAACGACGATCAACTTGATGAACAATTCGGCGATTTCGATGCCAGCAACATTGCTATCGAGGAGCGCGCTATTGACGAGGACACTGTCAAGCAGATCGGTGTGCACAAGAGGAAACGCGCGACAGGCGAAGGAGACGAGCCCAAGCAAAAGAAAAAGCGCGCCGACAAGCCTCGTCGCAAGAAGAACAAGGATGGCGAAGAAGAGGGCGCCGAGGTGGGCGAGGGAAGGAAGAGCAGAAGGTCCAAGAAGGAAGTCAGGATACGCGGTGCTAGTCCCGACGAAGAGGTAGAGGCTAATCTTACTCCTGAAGAGCGTATGTTGAATGAAGCCTATAGAGGTGCTGCTGCTAATTATCCACAGGCCGAAAGCGCGCACTCGAGCGCCAGATGGATGCCATTGTCAAGAGCAGCTCGACCCGTCGTCGCAAGAAGGATGGAATCGACCTCGAGCAGATGGCCGATCAAGAGATTGAAGAGATGCGCCGCCGTATGGCCCAGGCAGCAGAGGCGGATAACGAGGGTCGAAAGCGTGGCGAACCAGCTCGGCATAAGCTGAAGCTCCTGCCTGAAGTGGTTGCATTGCTCAATAAGAGCAACCTGAAGGAGTCGATCGTGGATCCCGAGTCCAACATTTTGGAAGCAGTGCGCTTTTTCCTCGAGCCCCTCAGCGACGGCAGTCTGCCAGCATATGACATTCAGAAGGAGCTGTTTGCTGCACTGGGGAAGCTACCCATCAACAAAGACACTCTCGTTGCGTCGGGTATTGGCAAAGTCATTATGTTCTACATCAAGAGCAAGCGTCCTGAGTTGACAATCAAGCGACAAGCCGAGCGCCTCTTTACAGACTGGACTCGCCCGATTTTGAGGCGTACGGACGATTATCGCAAGAAGGAGTTTGCTCAGGCAGACTTCGATCCTACGTATGTGCACATCTATTCCACTGTTATACTCGTTGCTAACTCGGTCATAGACGAAAGGTCGCAAGTAGCAACCCCACGGCCAACAGCCAAGCAGCTGCCCAAGCAGCCCAAAGGAAGAAAGCCCTCGAGGCTCCTCGTGCCTTCCAGCGTGCTCGTATGGAGTCTGGCCGCATGACATACACTGTCGCGCCAAAGAGCAACGTTACCTTCAACGAAGGCAACAATGTGAGAAGGGACGTAGACATCATGAAGACAGTAAAAGCTAGGCAAGGAAGACGGTAAGAGAGATACGTCTCTTGCTTCTTTACACGGTTCGCGCATTGGAGTTTATGGCGTTCTAGTCTGCACTGGATAGGCATTGTTAACCAGACTGCATTCCGGGAGTTCCGAAGCTGGCTTGCGAGCCAATGAGACTTTGTATTTTATGAAAGGGTTTTGCACCCATGAATGTCATACTGCAATGATTGACCAACACCCCAAACATGGGCTCCTGTATGGACAAGGCCGCTTCGAACCATACCGTTCCGGCACACAGGATTTTTATTTTTCTTGATTCCTTTCTCACCTCCCGTCCTCTCGGTATCATAACCGATGACCCAGCAAATGTCTGCGAAGTCCTGCAAAGCCACACAAATTTATGGTGGAGCGTTCGTGTACGCCACCGCCTGGCTGACGAATTCGTTTTGCTGGCCACATGTACACGTGTGTGTGATTACGCTCTGGGAGAAATCATAGCAGGGGTTCTTCCTAAACGCATCGACCTAACTGTCCATAAGAGAGAAGGAGGTACTGTGTTGTGAGTATGTGTTGACGAGTAGAAGGATACGGGTCTGACAATAAGTATCATGCTTCCCTGTGTGCAAGGTTGTTGAGCTGACCTCTATAGGCCGTGTGGCTACTCAGATACGGTATAGGCTACTCAGATACGGTGTAGGCTACTCAGATACAGTGTAGGCCTAAAGTTGGGATTGCTTTTGATTAATTGCAGCAAGCCCCACTCTGCCGGTGAGCGTCCACAAGTATTCAATCAATGAGTTTTGTTGGCATTACGTCATACCACTCCATATCTACTCGTTAACCCGTTAGGTCTCTTCGGTCTTGGATGCGTTCTACGGTTGTCTATCTGCGTGTGACAAATGCACCAACATTCCCCCGACACAGTAGCCATGTGCTCCCAAGCACGATGATCAGCTAACCAATATAGTGATATCTACTTTCAACTCGGCAGGATCTCTAGTATCTAATTGCGGACGGGCCGTCTCTCGACTTGCATCCTTTGGTCGCCAGCCCCACCAGCCGGGTATGATCTGGGAGATGTGCGTGTCGAGAGCGAATCTCTGCCTCAACAAGCAGATGCCCAATGAGCAGAGTGCAGGCTTAGGTTCAGTACCGTCTTATTACAGCATCATCGCTGGGTTTCAATATGAGATCGAGATCCAACTTCCAATAGCGCACCTGGCGGGAGCATCTTCACCTTCCGCTTCCGCATACCAATATATCAAGTCTAAGGGCATGTCGAGTCGTAAATCCGCCGTGAAGGATCTTTTGATAAGCAAAGGATGAATCGTACACAACTCCCGTGCTTTTCATAGCGCGTTTTGCGTTAACCTGGAGCTTGCTTGGCTTAGCTGCGCATGATCAATGACAGGCGCCGACCATCTCGTTAGCATTCTTACGCGCAACATTGCCGTGTGACTTCTCCAGTATAGCATGGGCTGTTCGATGTTGCCCCAGTGTTGGAGTATGGGTGCCTGGAATGGTCGAGAGATGAGCATGTTTGAACCATGCTTTGTACTTGGCGTCCTCACCTTTCGTCTTCATTACAGTTGACAATGAACCGGAGTTCTACCTTCATGGTGGGTCTCAAGCTGATATTCGACGCGACGGACCCACTGTCACCCAGCTCGGAACATTGCTTTCCATCTTTCCGCTTGGTATTCCGTCCTCTGTGGGCTCCAGGGGGTAATGTTGATTGCGTTGAGTGGATCATGTCATCACCATGGACGTGAAACATCTGCGCTGTCAATCTCGGAGCATGACTATCCTCCGAGGTCTACCATAGTGATACATCTGTTGTCACTCTCGGAGACTAACTGTCTTCGGTGAATTCCCGGCGAGCGACCAACAGTGACAGTTGGTGGTTGCTGACTGAAATCCCCCCCTAGTATCCCTTAGGTATACTGTAAATACATAGCATGGTGAGTAAGCAACGAGAGTAAGTCACGTATAGGACCTTGCACCGCGAGCATTCCTTCAAAGTCGATACGTCACCCGTAGGTGAAGGTCGGCTGCAGTGTGAGCCGGAAGCCGAGAGCTGCGAGATGCCGCAAAAGTGGGGCGACAAGGTCCTAACTAGAAATCGGGTATGCGATCATGAAAGATTCTCAAAATCGGATGTGTTAGTACAGGGGGGTCTATTCCTCCGACTGATACCTACCTAGCTCACGGGTAACCATCGAGAGTTTGGCCAATCAAGAACAGCTACACCACTCTCCTAGAGCTTTTGACTTGCTAGATGCATGCCGCGCCGGCACATTGTATCAGCCCGACGTGTAACCCCCCTGTAGGTGGGAACGTGTGTGTGGACATACCAAGAATGCTGTCTTTGGGCGATCGAAGTCGTACATTACATAGTGCAATGCGCCTTGCCGTGACAGGTTACATCATCTGCGCGGCCCGAACGCTAGCGTGCTTGCGGCTCTCGAGACTCAATGCTCGAGAGAACGACCATTTTCTTTTCAGCTCTTCACGCCCCGACATGATCTTGAGTGGAATCGCTAGGCTCAACTCCACTGCTCTTGTAAACTAATCACACGATGCTGCCCTTCGTCAAATGTATAAGTAGTGCGCATGTCTGTCAATTTATGACCAACAATCAAGCCTGCCCTCGACCTACGTATACACTATACACTGCAACAATATGAGCTCGTCACAGTTTCCCCTCCGCCAATCTGGCATTTACCGCAACCTTCCTTCCTTCGATCCTTCAGTCAAGGACTTGAAAGCGCTGGTGCTCGGAGCAACTGGCATCTCAGGCTTCCACACAATTAGGGTGTTATTAGACACTCCAGACCGATGGTCTAAGGTCTATGCCGTGTCTCGTCGGCCGCTGTCAAAGAATCTGCTGTCCTTGATTCCAGAAGAGCAGCGATCTCGCATTCAGCATGTTTCCATTGACATGACCTCTTCTGCAGAAGACATTGCTCAGGCTCTGCGCAAAGCGAACATTGAAGCTGACTACATCTTCTACTACGCGTACTTGTCACCCAAGAGTGGAAACTCAGCTATGAAGCCCGAAACGGCGCAGGAACTTGTAGAAGCCAACGTGCCTCCCTTCAAGAATTTTCTTGGTTCTTTGCCCCTTGCTGGCATTGCGCCAAAGCGCATTCTACTCCAAACTGGCGGCAAGAACTACGGTGTTCATATTGGCCGTTCACGCGCGTCTCACGTTGAATCAGATCCTCAACCCAGACATCTTGCACCAAACTTCTATTATCACCAAGAAGACGCGCTGAAGGCTTTTTGCAACGAGCACCCCGAGACGGGTTGGAACATTGTCTTTCCCTTTGCTATCATTGGTTCGACCGAATACGCGTCCATGAATGTCTTCATGGGTTTCGCCATCTTTGCAGCCGTCCAGGCTCACAAAAGCGAGCCTCTCAAGTTCGGTGGAGACTTCGAGGCCTGGCAGTTTGAGGGCGGCCAGTCGACTGCTCGACTGACTGGATATCTCAGCGAATGGGCTGTACTAGAGGAGAAATGCGCAAATCAGTCTTTCAATGCCATAGATGGTGGTCTGCTCAGCTATGATCGTTTCTTTCAGGAATTGGGCCGTTGGTACGGAGTAGGGGAAGTACAGGGTCCAGAGCTTGATGAAAGCAAGCTGCAAACAATCACGTTGGCTGGCGGGAAAGATGCCCCCCTCGGATGGGGACCTCCTACCAGGATCCGCTACAGTAAAACACTCGCACAATGGGCGTCTGATCCTTCAGTGAAGACGACCTGGGGAGAGATCATGGCCAAATCGAATGGACAGGTGACGGCAAACCCCTGGGAGGGTAATTTGAGCGAGTTCTTCACGGGAGGCCTTGAATATCTGCCAGTTAACACTGCGTCCATGAACAAAGTCAGGCGCTTTGGCTTCAGTGGATATGTTGACACTCTCGAGAGTGTGTTCGAGATGTATCAAGAGATGGCAGCACTTGGTTTGCTGCCTCAAATGGTGGTAGATTCTGCCAACCCCCAGATCTGATTGTTGGCTCTGGGGATTGGAGACACATGCATGAAATGAACAGGGTGTTCGATCAAGAGATTACAAAGACTAGTGTTGTGCGTGAGAGCATTTGTAAATGTAAATATATTCGAGAGATTATGTCTGATTCTCACATACGACCATAGGACGTTGAAAACAAGGCTTCCCGTTCGCTCAGCCCTATTTAAGCAACGTACCGGTGGATTAGTACTCAGGTGGGTGACCACTGGGGAATCCCCACTGTTGTATGTATTGTTTTTGCTTCCTGTGCAAATGTGAACCATGGTCAGCGTGGTGGTAGGGGGGCCATGATTGATGGATTGGGAGCCGTACACTTATCACTCCTGATCTGCTTCTTCTAACACTTCGTTGAAACTGAGTATATCCGTGTGTTTTTTGCACCAACTCTGTATCTGCAGTTGCGTTGAGTTGTAGTATACAATGTCCTGCGGCTTCTCCTCGCGAAACGCTCCTCCCCTGTAATCGCGAATGTGCCTGCTCCCACGTAGTCGGCTACTTCCACCATCAAAGCCTTATTAGCGCTTTGCAAACGGTATCTTCTCTCTCTTTGACTTAAATGCCAAGTGAGCCGTTACTAGCTCAAACATGCGTACCAACGGTTTCAATTGAGGCTCGCTAATTAAACCTTGCTGTTTCTCCGGTGGAATGAATCGTCCTTGAGGCGCAATGCTCATGCGATCAGACTCAGGGTCTTTCCAGGTTCGCTCTTAGATGTTCAAATTTACCCCGCTAAAGTCACTAGTCAAAACGTGCGCAGTCAGCCTCGCGCCGAATGTACCGAAGTAGTTTCAGCCTAGCTCCGTTGTAATCTCCAAACAACAACCAACCCTTGCGACCATGACGCATATTTGAAGTTTTGCCTCAAAGACATGAGATCAGCGTTCGCTTTATGATAATCAGAGTTATACGATAAGAGGCACCATCGCATGGATAGCTGAGGAAACAAGCTGCTCGGTATATACGCTTGGAGCTGGACAATGTATACAGAAGCTCAGCTAAGGCTGCTGTGGTTCCTCTTAGAAGACTAGCGAGGCTCATACCTAGATAGTCTTCGAGGGCTACCTACTTTATGTCATCGCCCTTTGGGTCCTTGGCTTACTGCTTGAAAGTGCTGGTCCACGTCGACTACAATCGCGGTGTCAAGACCATTATCACTTGACACTCGTCACGGCGAGGATTGTAGAAGTTCAGGCTCAGAGGAAAGTCAACGTTTAGGAAGCAAACACGCGAACCCGCTTTAAAATGTGTCTCGAGCTAGTCAACTGCACAATGCGATACTAAAAAAGTGTTTGTATTTGCCTTGCATGAAGATGTAAGGGTTGTAGCTTGAACATTCTATGAGACATCGAAATTAGCACCTGGCCACCTATCATGCCGTATAATTCGGAACGTGGTACCTCAACGAAGCTCGTGCACGAACTGCCATGACTAGGCTGCCAGAGTGGGGCCCGAGCACGCTAGTGAACGACTAGTCTCTGGGTGCACCCTGCTTGTCAGGCTGATTCTTTGATATCCAATCACAGTATGCACATCCAACAACAGCAACTCTAGCGAACACGATGGTTGATGGGGCAGTTTACATCTTGAGACTGTCTTCTTCGTATATACTGTTACCACGCAGCGCCGGACCAGGTCCGCGCTATCGCATGTCTTCCATTACACAATACAACGAATAACTCTCACCACGTCTCCGCCATGATCCCCTACTAGCCGTCCATCCATCTATCGAAAGCCGCTGCCGACTCGTGCTGACGACCATCTACTGCCTGTAGCAAGGGGTGCGGAACTGAGCGTTGATGCCACTGACGGTCTTGTACTTCCCGCCAGCGTTGCAGGCGGTGCCAGCCTCAAGAGGGTTGTTCGGGTTGGTCGCACCATCGGCACGGTGTGCGTTAGTGCACCAGCGCTGGCAGTCAAGATTGCCAATGCTAGCATCCTAGTATCCCATATTAGTATTCAATGTGCATTTCACCCTGTTTCGTTTCTGGAGGGTTGCTCACATTGTAAACGCAGCAGTGCGAGTTGTCTTGGAAGAGGCACTGGCACCACTGGGCAGCCTGGGTGGTGATGGCGCTGGCCATCAGCAGAGTGGCGAGGGAGAGAATGCGGACCATTTTAGCGGTTGTGGGAAGGCTTGACTAGGTGGTAGAAGATTGTGAATTGGAATGGAATCAGGTTGAGAGTCTTGGTGCTGTACAAAAAGATGAATATCGTGCCAAAGAGCTCGACATTTATGATACTGAGGTGAGAATAAGCCTAACCACAACTTGCTTAAGCTCGTAAGATATTAAGCCGAGAAGTGCTTATATCGCTCTAAGTAGTGGAGTCAAACTAGTTCAGCCTAGTACCGTATTCCTAGATTATCGGTCATTCACATACGTCTATGCATTCTAAGAGTCTCTCCTAGTTCGCAATCGTGACATACTATGGTCACCGGCAAAGGTAATGCGTGTTGATTACAAGGGGTAGTAAACAAGCCAACCCAAGCCAACGTAGAGGTTACAACGAATAGGAGAGACCTCGCTTCTTTTTCGGCCGTTATTTCAAACATCATGCGCTAACTGACCAAGCGCTCCACCACAGTACTTGTTTGCCCGCGGGCATGGTAGATCGACCTTCTGTGGGACGAATGTGAGGGAAGGAACACAGACCGTGATAAGCACCCTCCAGGAGTAAGCACAGTAGATCGCGCTTCCTTCTCGGCTGTCGATCCAAATATCACGAACTCACTAACCAAGTGCTCCACCCACGTGTACAATCCTTCTAGTACCTGTACCTAAGTACAACAGACCCTGTTTGGAAACTCCTTCCTAGTTTAGTCAACTACTCGGTCTAATATAATGAGTCTCGTATCATATGTCTCGTATCATCGTCACATCGATTCAAGCCCGTGAATTCATCCGACCCATCGCTAGTGGAATCAGCGGCCCGAATTACTTTCCACTCAGGTGACGACAAGGCTTTAGTTGTGGTAGATGGACATGAGCTTTTCGCCTATTTAAAGCTGCAGCAATGCTCTTTCAACGTAATATATCAATCTAGCATCTTCATTATCTTTGCAGACACATCAGCTCAGTGCCCTTCAGTTTTGATCCCACTCGACTACTCATCATCCTCGAACCACAACAAGATGGTCCGACTTACCATCTTCGCGGTCATCTTTGCCGCTGTCACTTCTGTTGCCGCTGACGGTTACTGCCAATGCCTTTTCGCTGATGGCTCCCACTGCTGCGTTGTTGTAAGTCAATAACAGCCCGAGCGAAATCAAATAGCGCATACAAGCGACCAAATCTAACAACACATCAGGAATACGGCATCAACAAGGCCTGCCAGGAGCGGTGCAGAGACAACGGAAATTACAAGAAGAAGTGTAACGCTGGTGGCAAATACTCGGACGTTAGCTCGTGGAACGCACAATGGCGCACCAGCTGCACGGAAGGTGACATTTAGGAGATAGAACTAAGGAGCTCGCCAGGGTGCCTTGCACAGTTCCATCTAAGTAGTTGTTTCTTTGCATCATGGCAATCAATGTTCCTTATCTTAGTTTTCCTTAATTCTTGAAATACGAGGGCCTCGCTGTGAAACTCGCATGTACACAGGTCACATTTCCTCGAAGTTCTAAATACATAGCTGAGAGTCACGGCAGTCAATGAAACCACCCTTTATACCTTACTCGCCATCTTGCACTATGAACTAGTACTGTTATCGACAAAGGGGTGCCTGAACGGATTAGAAACGAAGTGCCACTGCTGCTGCCCAAGGCTAATCATCCTGTGAGTAGAAGTGAATCTTTAGTGTAGAACGTAATCGTGGGGCTTCTCGTATTCCGATTCATTCAGGCATCCCCCTTGCATCCACTATCGTAATTCAAGACTAACTTCACCAGTGTCTTAGTTATCACATGCATGCTTTAATATAGTCCCTGATCTGAACCCTGTTCTGTACAAGGTATTGTGCGCACCTTGTTGAACGATCCAGGTTCAACGCTCGCTGCTACCTCCAGACCGTCACAAGCACTCAATGGAAGTGCTTTGTTCGCTCCTGTCTCTATTTGATCTATACAGCCGGAATAATCTTCATTTGTACACTGCTTAGTATAGCGACCACTGCGGTCGCAGGCAATAGTAACAATTCCCAAAAACACGTTGTTGCTCGACTGTTGGTCACCTTGTGTAGTTGGTATGACAAAGAGACTTGCCAAACAGACACAAGCGTATTGTTAGAAACTCCGCGCGCGGGCTTACTTGCGGGGATTTAACGTGACTTGCGCACGTCCCCTGTGGAGTGCTTCGTAATTTCGCAGATATGGTCATGGCTAGTGGTAAATGGTCTGTTAGTCTATAAAGATCGTGATTCCTCTTACGGCTCTGCGGAAACTCTCAGTCACCAGTACTATCGCATCACTCATCACATCACATTACCCTACACCCCGATTCGGCTACATCGTCCTCATCAACGCCTAATATGGTCCGCCTTCTTACTATCGTTACCGTGCTCTTTGCTAGCGCAAGTAGCGTTGCCGCTTCGTACTGCCAGTGCCTTTACCCAGACGCCAGCCACTGCTGCGTTATTGTAAGTCGTCATGTATTACTTCACATTCAAGCTCAACTTGCTCACAACTGTGGTTATCTAGGACAACGTAGTCAATGATTGCACAAGAATGTGCTTGAAGGCGTCCAAGGACTCTACGACTGCCGGACAGTGCAACGCTGGCGGAAAGTTTTCCAATGTCAGCTCATGGAACGCCCAGCATCGCAAGCAGTGTGGAAAGCCCTACATCTACTAAACTTGTAATGCACTCGCACCGTTGGCAAAGCTCCTGCAAAAGCCCACTCTATGTGGTATTTCCAGCGGAGGCAGATGTGTAGTACTAGACCTTTCTCTATAGGTCATCAGGAGGGACGTTGAGGATTGATTAAGTTAGGAGAAAGAATGCGACGTGGTATTATTGGACAGCCTGTAGCTTATTGATCAAGTGAAACGGATCATCATGAGCATATCAATCGCTTACTGCACTTTGTGTTCATCGCGTTGTGTACTAAACTAAGAATATCGGCCACGCTCAGAGTGACCAGAACATGAAGAGTCCATAGCGATTATTCAGCCAGAGAACCAGCCATACATCGCGGATAGTTCCCAAGGTGATTTTCAAGGTGAGCGTGTGCAGAAGCATATCATCAAATCGCTAAAACATTTGATCGAGGCAGTGGATTCCCAGCGCAAAGCGGAAGACAGGAATTATCCACGTCGAACTTTAGAAGGGAAGGGCAGAGAACATATATTTTGTTGTACTGTATCTTTGGGAGAGGAAGCCAGAAAATTTGCATCTGTTGCACCGAACTCGTGAAAAGGAAGTGCAAAAAATAAGTCTTTGTAGCATTCGTCTTTCTGAGAGGAAGGGCAGATCTCATAAAGCGGCTGACTGATGATTTCGGTGACAGAGGATGTGTTGAAGGAGATAGTAAGAACATTGACAGAAGTGATGGTCGACATTTTTGAGGTGTCCTGTGGAACTGCATGTTTTACAAATATAATGTGCCTTTTATGGACTGCAGTACCTTCCCAGCGCAAGATAGGAAGCATGATCTCACTGCACCAAGCTTTCGGCAAGGGAGGTCCAATCTCATAGATTTAGGGGACTACATATATTCGACCACAGAGAATGTATTGGGAAAGACGGCAAGAACATGACGGATTGAAGTATTTACTTTGACAGATATCCTGTGAGATTCTGCTCATTCGAAGCACGCACGACATAACGCAAATTTAAGTCAACTTTCATGGGCTGCAGTGCAATCCAGGGTAACATGTTGTTTTGGCCATTTACTTTCGACGACGCGTGTACATGGAGCTGTTCGTGTTCGACAACGAGTCCGACATACAGCTTTATGAGAATGGGGAGCAGAGCAGAGCAGAATAGAGCAGACATGCGCCAATACCTGCTTCTATTTGGAATGAAGCATATGAATGGAGACATGCACGCCGTGACCAATCCCATGGCGCCCAAAGTATCAGTTTCTGTTCTTGCAATTTGAACAAGAAAAACGACGTACATCTAGGATTTGAGTTATTCAAGAACGATTCCACATAGAAAGAGTGCGATTGCGTTCTAGACGCACACAGAATATATGACATTTGTTTGGATTCTTTGGGAAGCAGAAGATGCCTGAGCTACGGAGAAGGTGGCCCTCAGAGAGCGCGTTCATACCCAGTGTGGAATCTCGTTTTGAATGGAGCTTAGAGCCCGGTTTCGTTTTGTTTTTAGAAAGAGGAGGGAAGAAAAGACACATCAGACGGAAGCTTGCATCTTTCAGGAGAAAGCCACTCGTTAGCGGAATCCAACCGCAGCTTGAGTTGTACGCAGGACATCATCTTTGCCCTGGCTTATCGTGAGATGGAGAAGACACTCGAGCTACAGAGAGGATAGGTTCTGAAGAAAATTGCGCCCTTATCGTGCGAAGAGCTGCTTTAGGCTGCACGCAGAGCAGTTTCGTTGTTCCTACTTCTGTCCCCGAAGCAGAGGAAGACCAAAAAAAGCACGATCATGTGGCTGGACAGCTCTCCGAGGAAGCCACTTACGCATAGAATTAAGAGTAATTTGAGTCGCGCGCAGAACATTGCCATTGTACCAGCTCGTTTTAGGTATTGAAGAGAAAGTCGCTCATAGATGGATTGAACCCAGGTTTTGAGCTGCGTACAGAACATTACCATTATCCCAGCTTGTTTTCAGCGAGAAAATCAAGACGCATGGGGAGGAACATAGATCTTATGACAAGTCCAAATATATTTATACTGCGGAATTGAGTGTCTTAGCGTATCTTCAGAAGAAAGAAGAGGGCACATCGTTCAGGTGGGAAATGATTGTGGAGAGAGCCACTCACATTGGGAAACTCATTGGATGTAAAGCTGCGCGCAAAGACTCAACTTCGAGATTTGAAATTTTCGGCAGTATAGGAGAGAGAGATTGGTTCTGTGCAAGTGTTTTTGATTAAAGGCTGCTCTTCAGGCCTCAATCGATTCAATGTATTCGTGCACAGAACATGACGAAATCGATGGGTTATTTTTAGGAAGACGAAGAAGACACATCAGCTATATGTAACGGAATTTAAGAGAGGCTTGCTCAAAGAGGAGAGTTGACTGAATTTCAAGTTACGCGCAGAGCGTCAAGTCGGATAGCAAGGCTTTTGCCAGAGCAGCAGAAAGACACTAGGTCGGCATAGGCGCATTTGTCAGAAGTCCGCCCATGACACTGTTTCAGAACCATCTAAGTCGCGTGCAGAACATGCTCGGAAATTTTCCTCGTTCTCTTGAGAACGAGGAAGAAGAAGATAACACGCAGACCACGTATAATAAGGTGGGATTCAGACTGCGCTCAGGGCAACATCTTTAAGACCGAAGTTCCTACCAGGGAGAGAGATATCAAAAAAGCTGTGGTGTTCACAAAAAGCCGCTCATGCATCTTCTGCGTAGCGGAGTTATATTTTTAGTTACGCGCATGGTCTCCATCCACCTAGCCTTATTCTCAGAACGAAGAAGAAGGAGGTGACACATACGCAGAGTGCGATCATTCTTTCAGAGGGAGTCGCTCAACACTGCAATGTATGCGAGATTCAAGTCAAGCTCAGAGCATGATCCCAGCCATCAATGTCTTCAAGAAGGCAGGAGATGTATGGAAGAAACTGTGGTGTTTTCAAACAGGTTCACATGTATCTTCCGTGTGGCACTTTCAGTAGTCGCTTTGTTCTTGGGGAGTAGAAGCAGAAGGAGACACATCCAGTAGAAGAATGAGAGTTCTGGAGAAAGCCGCTCATCCATGCTCCAGAGCCACTTTTCGAGTCGGTTTCAGGGAGTAATTCGAAATGTTCCCATTTTCAGTGAAGCAGGAGAGAGATAGCGGACAATCGAAGCATTGTGTAAGAGACTGCGTATGCTAAGGCTGCAGGCGACGAAACTTGGTTGTGCTCAGAGCAGATTACCCATAGCTTCGTAGTTTCGGTAAGAGAGGAGAGACATAGCGAGCAATTAGCTTTGTGTTTTAGGAGACAGCTCATGTTTAGTTTGTTAATCGCGTTCGATCGCGCTCAGGGCATGTGTAGCGATGGTGGTGTTTTCAGATGGAGGAAATATGGCAAAGTAGCTTGCTGAATTATATAGAACGCTGCTCATCCACGGATTGTTGTCGGCTTTTGCTTACACTTAGAGCATAGTTTCACAGACGTGTGTTTTTAGGAAGGCGGAAGAGAGAAAGCAGAGTAGTCAAAGCACTTTGTAGCACGCTCCTCATGCGTGAATCGTCCCAATCGTTCAGTCGCGCTCAGAGCTTTGCCTTAGTGTATCCAGGTTTTTCATTATGGAAGAGAGTTACGATAAATAACAGGCAGTATTCGTGACAAGCTGCGCATCCGAGGTGTGTTGGTGGTTTTTGGATGCACTCAGAGCATAGTTCCGCGAATTTGGGTTTTCAGTAAGCTGGGAAACACAAGAGAAGTAGCAGAATAGTCGAATTGTTTTGCATAGTGGTGCCCATCCGACTTCTTTGATGGCTTTTGGACACACTCAGAGCATGACATATTTTTCGAAAGGTTCTTTTCTCAAGGCAGAGGATACAAGGCAGACATAAGATAGGGCCACTGTATTTTCGCCGATGCGTTTTCGTTGTACTTGGAGCACTATAAGGTTGTCTCTGTATTTTAGATGAGGTAGGAGAGACAGGACAGACAGTGACGTGAGCGTGGCTTTTGTAGACCGCACACATTGCAATTGATTTTATGCGATGCTTTTAGTTCTACTCGAAGCATCATCGTTTCATCTTCGTCTTTAGATGAGGCATGAAAGATGGGACATATATCCAGAACAAGCGTCCCTTTTGCAAGCCACAGTTCCGATTTTGAGGATTCTCGTGGCACCCAGAGCATGAGCGTGACCTTGGTGTCATGAAAAACCAGGAGTGACATCGCTCTCTCTTTCACGAGATTTTACTGAAGACTGCTCATGATCAAGACGTCATACTTTTGATCGCACCAGAGCACAAGCATAATGCTCCGTCTTTTTGATGGGGCAGATGAGATAAAGACTTTCGACAAGGCAAGGGAGACATCGAGCATCCTCTTGGTGGTTTTAGAAGGCCGCTCATGCATATTCACGACATCCACCTTTTCCAGTCGCACCAGAACATAACCCTAAAGCTTTGGTACTTTCGATGTCGCAGAGAAAACAGAGAGAAGATTTTTGTATTATGTAGCGCACTGCACATGGTGTGCACGCAGAAATCTTTCAGTTGCACCAGAGCATACTGTGAGCAGTGAATGTTTTTCAGCAAGGCAGAGGAGAGATGAGCTATTCGAGGTGCTTTGCAGAAGGCTCGATCATGCAGCATTGAACAGCTTGCTTTGGTCACGCCAGAGCATGTCCATCGTTGTCTTAATACTTCAGACAGGCAGAGGAGACAGACGCTTTTGAGTCTTGCTTTTCAGAAGGCCGCTCATCCGGTGCATTCCGTAGGACTTCGGCCCCCAGAGCATGGTCAAAGCAGTTCGGTGATTTCGGCAGGGCAGAGCAGACATATCGATGTTTCGGAGTGCTTAGTAGAAGACCGCTCACGTCCACCGCAGCGACGTCTTCCAGCCGAACCAGAACATAACAAAAACGGCTCGTGATTTTCGACAGGGCAGAGAGGACATGCAATCTCTCCATTGGTCATTTCAGAAAGCCGCTCATTCAATGAATGTGGTGAGATTTTCGTCACGCTGGAGCACATCGATGAGTTTCTCTAGGGTTTCAACGACGCAGAAGAGGCATGCAAAGAGTTGTTTCGGGATTTGAGAGAAAGCCGCCCATCCACTGGTTATCTACAGGATTTTAGTCGCGCCAGAGCATGATGTCTTAGAATCTAGAGCAGAAATCAACAGCTTCTGAGGTTTCTGTAGGAGGCAGCGCATCAATCTTTAACGCATGTGCTTTTGTCGCGGCCAGAACACCAACGCCGACTGCAATGGGTTTCGGTGAGGCGGGAGGGGCAGGAGAGACATGGCAGCGTGGAACGCAGTTTTGAGAGGCCACACACAAGTCCTTCGGGAAAAGTTTTTGGTCGCGCACAGAGCATACGTCCAGTCCTTGGTTGCTTTAGAAAAGAGCATAAGAGAGATGAAGATGAAGAAGCAGCAGAAGACGATGAGGATGCTGATGATCAGGCAGATGAGGAACAGACATGAGACATGTGTCTACTGTTTTGCAAAAACCACAGCCATGCGAAGTCCAACATATCATTTCGATTTTGCGAGAAGAAGTAGAATACAGCAACTGACATCTCCCAAGCGACAGTGCACACTTTATACCTAAGCAAACACAGAACCACGTGATGCAAACGCATAGAACAGGGTATATTCAAACAACACGCTATCTATCCCGCACCCCACTACTACGACCCAAAATTCATCTTCAGTGCAATCGTCGGCTCGCCATCGTCCTCCTTCCGCGCTTCCTTGACCGGCCCTTGTCCGCTCTGCAGCACGCCCTGCAAGAAGTCCCTGTGCTCTGGACTCAAGCCGGCGACCACGGCCCTGAACGCCTGCTGGTCAGTTTGTGCGAGCTCCATGAGCCGGGCTGCTGTTTCCTGGCTTGTGGATTCGTCGTGCTGGACGCGCACGAGGAGCGCGGGGATGATGATTTTCGCGGCGAGCTGGCGCTGCTCGGGCTTGGGGAGGGTTGAGATGAAGGTGATCAGGGTCTGGGCGAGGAGGGTGCGCGACTCGTGGAGGCCTTCTACGTCGGAGGGGTTGGCGAGGAAGGAGAGGATTTGCGGGAGGATGAGGGCGGCGATGCTGGTCTCCACGGCGCTCTTCTTGGGGAGCAGAAGCAGGGAACGGCAGCAGCCGACGGCGACCTTGGAGGTGGTGACGGTGCCGAGACAGTCAAAGAGATTGTCGATGAACAGTTTGATGAGCGGGTCATTCGGTGCAAAGGCTGACGCCGCAGAGCTGACGAGGATTGTGGTTGCGAAGATGATGTTCTTTTCGCAGGCCAACGCAGCGTCAAACTCTCGCTGCTGGGCATGCCTCATGATGGTCAGGAAGCGTGTCAGTGTTGCACGCAGTTGCTTGCTAGTGTCGTCGGTAGCTTCGGCGTCACGAGTGAGGCTGGTAATGAAGCGCTTGAAGATCGGCAGTGACTTCGGTACGACCGTTGCCTGGCAGGCTCCGGTAGCAAAGATCGTTGCAAAGATGTGCAGTATGCATGCATGCAGGTCAGCCTTGATGATAGCAGGGAACACCTGAGCGGCATCAACCAGTGCAGACAACGCGGTTGTCAGAAGAGCCACGGCTTCCTCGTTCAGTTCATGGCGGGCCTTCGAACTGCCATCTTCCAGACCAGGGACTAAGCCAGACAGCACGAGGACCATGATCTTTGTCAGCTCGAACAACTGGTCAATATCCTCCGAGAGATGGTCATCGACCGGGACGCCTCTGTCACTCCGGGCGGATGGATGCCCAAGACACAGGTTCCTGGCGATCTCCACGATCACTGTCTGTACAGTCAGACCTTCAGTGAGCACGAGACGATCCAGCATGTCCATCGTCTCGGAGAAGATGACTTCCTGATAGATGGCTTGCCCAGATACCGATGGCCGCAAGATCTTCTTCAAGGCCTGGAGGATCTCCAGAATCTGCTCCTTCGACGCCTGCAGATCACCGGGGCGTCCGGCCAGTGCCTCAAATGCAAGACCGAACAGCACAAAGAAGAAAGCTACGGGCTCGTCCCGGTAGTTAATGTGGTCTGCTTTTGCAGGCGTTTCTGTCTCCGAAAACTCTGTCTTGCCATCTAGTGCGTCGAAGACAAATCCGCTGTCTTCGTCGATCAAGCTGGCGATGGCATCTACAAGATTGAGCCAAGCCTCCTGATAAAACTTGAGGAGAGTCTCGCGATTGAGTGCAGCGTATATGGTGTCGAGACTGCCTGACAGTGAGACTGATCCCATTGATGAGGAAATGTCAGGTTCGAATCGTAGTCGAGCGTACTCTCGCAGTGACGCCAGCCAAAGAGGCGTGAGTCTAGCAATGTGCGGTCTCAGTACGTCCGTCAGATACGTTTGTTCGGCGCTGGCGATCTGAAGCTCTGCCCACGCCGAGAACACAGACATCTTCACCATGACTGCCGCGTTCGAGCTAAGACCTCTCAGGTCGCCAATGGCTGCAGTCTCAGTTTCACCTAGATACAGTCAGCGATGTAGCACACCGTACGTTCGATTGGACTCACTCGAAAAGTTCTCAAGCGCTGTGATGAGAAGCTTGAGGATACGGCCCATCCGGTCAACATCCGTGACAATCCCTGTCGCGATGAACGTCGCACAAACATTGATAGCCTCCGCTGCGAGCTCGGGGGACGAGTCTGCTGCGAAGGCTGGGGTCAGTGCCGATCCAATCTGCGCTTGGTACTGTTCAAGGAGCGTGACTTCCGCAAAGTCAGGATCTGGCGTCTTGCCGAACAGCTACTAGATGTTAGACCTTGCTGAATCGTCAGAGTGATGGATGACTTACCTTCAAAACCTGGTCGATGATCTTCAAACCACGGATACGAAGTTGCACAACGCCAGCAGTAGACGCTGAGAAGGCAATGCGCACAACGTCAGCAACTCGGTGCTGCAGAGCGAGGACGCACGGTGACTCTTCTCGGAAGGCAGCCTCCTTGCTCACCATAGCCACCAACTCGCTCAAGAGATCCATGCCGATGGTGCGCACCTGCCACTTGAGTAGCTCTTGACTAGTTTGCCCACCCTGACCGACCTCAGCGCCTGGTGCGTTCGCAGCTGCAGCGAAACCAGCAACCTCTTCATCTTGCAGGTCTGCTGCGCCAGCCTTTGGTTTGACCTCAATCACTTCTTGTGTCTCGACCTTCTTTGTCTTCGTAAGTACTGAGTGGCAACGCTGTACCCACGCCGCGGTGTCAGTGAGACCGGTCTGGTGAAGCCAGTTGCGCAGTATGTTGCGAACGACCTCGTGATCTGGCTGCCGGTCGAGGACGTGCCAGAGTGCATCCTCCAATCCAGGATCACCTGTGCGGATGATCTCCTCAGTATTGCGCCTCATGAGGTTGTGCAGACCGTCAATGGCCATGTCCCGGATCTGCGTGGACGGGCTGTCGAGTGATGTTTGCAGGTGCTTCACGTAGTCTACGAAACGCATGTGGCCTGGGGCGTATAGCGATACGTGTTCTTGACAGCGAAGGGCCTCGATTCGCAGCAATTCGTCGGGCTCTTTCTGGAACATCCCGATCAGCGTCATGATCATGTCCCTTGCTTTGGCCATCTCTTGCAGGTCAGGGCCAAGCACGTTAATTGTGCTGTCTATGCATCGTGCGATAGTGGCTGGGGTTGGCAGGTCGATCTCAATATTAGAGGACGCCAGCGATGCAGACTCCTCGTTATGTGAGTCCGCAGCGTACAGCTGTGCGAGCATGCCAAGTGTGCCCGTGACGTGACTTGAGAACGACAGGCCAGCGGAGTCTGCCACGCGTGACAGACTGTCGATGGCCGTGAAGTGCACGACGGGATGGGGATCATTGCCCAGGGACATCAATATGCCGAGGATGTTCTTCAGATGGTAACTGGCAGCCATGCCACCAAGTTGAGACAGAATGCAGCCCAGCGCATATGCATAACCGGAACGAGCAAACGGCTCGCGGTTTGCAACAATCTGATCGACAAGGTAGTTGACCTCGTTGCCAGTCAGAGCATTGCCTGAGCTGCTGCAAAGTCGACCCAGTGCCTCTCCGGCCAGCCTACGCACGAAAGGGTCAGGCAGAATAACAAAGACCTGCACATGTTAGGGAGTGTTTGAACAAGATGCTGATTACTTACATGCAGAAGTTCCTGCATAACCTTCTCCACTGCCGGTCCCTTCAGACTACCAGAACTAGAGCGCGTTTCTTTTACAGCCACCTTGAGTGCAGACAGAAGTCCGTACGCGATGTTGACCATCATGGCAGTCTTCCTGTGGATATCACGTTGAAGACTACCAGCTGACAAGAACGACGTTATCTGCTCCAGGATACTCTCCTGAATCTTTGGCGTCTGCAGAGGCAGACAGATTGCGAACAACTGCAGCGCCGAGTTCACGACCTCGGTGGCTGGTGGATCTGGGAGTCCAGAGCTGACGTGCGATTGGTTGTTGTACAGAGTGATCGAATCGTGCTCGATTGCGCCGCAAATTGGCGAGAGGAGCTGAATGTTGTGAGTTCCACAGTACTGTTGAATTTAATATTCGACTTACCGTTCGATCAACGATGGCCTCCGGACCGTGTCTCACTAGCCAGTGATGGCTGGTACTGCTATCGTGCTCTCCGGACAGAGGTTTGATGTCAAAGCCGCGCACCAGACCGGTGACACCAAAGCCGTGATTGTCAGTCACCTCCCAGATGCTCTCGAACGAGCCTGCAGCACTTGCGATGGCTGTACTGAAAGAACTGGTAGTGTAGTTATCGGGGTCGGCGAAGTTACCAACCGCAAAAGAGAGCAGGTTCGTCTGCAGCAAGACCTCATTGCTGCTTGCCGGTGTGAGATCTACGAGCTTGGTGTAGCACTGCAGCACTCGTCTCCTGACCATCAGATCAAAGTCATGCAGCTGAAGCGCAGGAGACAACCGCTGTGCGACGTCGTCTGTAGTCTTCTTCGCCGGCAATGTGTTCAGGAACATGGTCGTGTTCTGGAGCATAGAAGCTAGGCGTTTCGTGACATCCAGTGTCAAGAGCCTGCTGTTGAACTCCAGGAACGTCGAGATCGAGCCCAGAGCGCACTCTCGAACGTGTGATAGATAGCTGAGCTCGAACACATTCCTCTGCACCATGTTGTCCTTGTTGAGCGGCTTTGGCAGCGCATTCTTCCATAGCAAAAGCAGTTGAGACAAATGGATCTTGACGAAGTTCGGCCCAAGAGTCATCAGCCCTCCGATCAGGATCCACGCAACCTGCACCTGAGTCGCGGAGATTCTTACGTCCGAGTTACCTGCTGACTTGAGCAGTGTCGTAGCCTGCGACAAAACGCGTGAGTTCACGTCCACAGAACCGTGCAGAGGCTGGGATGTCGACGTGCTCAGCACCGCGGAGAGACCATTTGCAAGACCGACGCACTTCCTCGGCGACTGTCGACCAGTGCCAAGCAGGCCGAGCTCGCGATTGACGCTGTTCATGCATATCGTGACCGACGGAAGGAGCTGGAGCGGGCATGCAAGCACAAAAGACCGCAGACAAGACGACGCATGCACCTGGACGCTGTAGCTTGGATGCTGCAGGACCTGAATGAGCGCATCGCGAGAAGAGTCGGCGATGACGTTTGAAGCAGACCCTAGGCTGTCGAAGAGTGCTGACAGGGTGCTGAGTGCTCCGATGAGTGTCTGCTTCGACGGCTCTGGTCGCTCCTTTATGCTCTGTGGATAGTCCTTCAAGATATCGTTGACGAGAAATCTCGCCGCGTTGAGTTGCCCAGACTCGCCGAGCATCTCGCGGGCAACGACCGTCTCGAGAATCACCGCCACATACTTGCGAGCGCTGAGCGTGCGGTATCGATTCTGCGTGATGACGTGGTTGCTGAGAATGTCGGTGAACAGACTGCGTGCAATATCGTTGTACTTCGACTCAACAATCTGCTCGCCAAGGCCACGCATCACCTTCATGTAACACACAGCGATACCGGCCCTCGCGCGATGACTCGTGGAACCCCGGCAGTAGTGTGCCGACAGAAGCTTGAGAATAGCTTGAATTGTGAATGTGATTCTCGCGGCCGACTTCTTCGGCGCGGGTGAATCGGGACGGTCCATGATATCGTCGTCACCGCCGTCAATAGTAGACATGCGTTTGTTCTTTTTCTTCGTAGTGCCGGTGCCCACTCGTGTTATGCCCATGATCGGGTCCTCTGTAGTGGCTGTCTCGGAGTAGTTCTTGACCAGCGCAGCAGCGACGGCCGACGCTGCGGCATGTCGAAGTGTAGCTGAGCTGCTGTCGATGGTCTTCCACACCGCCGTCTGAAGCTTGTCGAAATCCGTCGCGTTGTCGAAAAGAGAGGTGTACCTGACGAGCTGCTCGAGGCAAAGACATGCACTCGACTGTACAAGAAGCGACTTGTCTCCAGTAGCAGCGTTCCGAGCCTGCTTCCACGCATCTCGCGCAACGCTCTCCTCCGCCGAAGGAGTAGTGCCCTTGAAGATCCTGCCGACTGTCTTGAAGATAGTGGCTCGGAGGCCGGTGTAGTTCTGCGCAAACTTGATAAGGCGCAGCAGAGACATGACAGCCACAGGCGCCAGATTCTGGGCGCTGTCTCCCGCAGCCTCGAATATGCAGCCCAAGCAATGCGCCGCTGCGTGCTTTGCTCTGACATCCCTCTCGCTCTTGCCGGCGCCATTGAGTATACTGTTGCACTCGTTGATCGATTCGAAGAGCAGCTTGCGGTCTCCCTTGCCGAAGATGCCAGCGAAGGCGCGTCCCAGGTTGTTTCGGATTACTCGCGTGGGCGCGGGGGAGGCCAGATTGATGACTTGGAACAACTCTTTCTTGATGTAGATCTGATGCGCCGAAGCGCCGTCGGCGTCGAGAGCGTCGACATGGCGCGCGAGATCAGACGTGAAGGTCAGGAGGTAGAGGTCTTGCTGTTCGGTGGGCAGCGCGTGGAGCTTCTTGACGTCGAGCTCAGGGTTCGAGGGGTCCTCCCTGGCAGGCTGTTCGTCGGACGCCGCCATTGTACTCTCGTAGGCTCGCGGCCTGGCTATGCGTCGTTGGGGTGTAGAGGAAGACAGCTCGCGCGCATGGCGGGGTGAGCTTCTGTCAGTTGTGGAGAGGTGGAGCTGCGGCCATGTTGCGGAGCTCGGGAGTGCTCCTTGGCGGTGAGAGCCTCAATCTCGACTCGTTCCAGACCGCCAGCCTTATATCTTGGATTCCGATGGCGGCACCATTCGCTCGCGCAGTACGCGCAACACTCTCGCTCGGAGGCGCCGCGCAATGCGCCTGTCGTCGCGCCTCGCGGCCGCAGATGCGATGTCTGAGCAGCACACCCAGCTTTCTCTCAGGCCACTCGTGAGCACCACAACCACATCTGCACGCCCAGCATTCTAAGTAGCGCCAGGAAATGGTCGAGTATCAAGCACGACAAGGCCAAAAATGACGCCGGCAAGAGCAAGCAGCGCTCGCTCATGACCCGCGACATCACCATCGCCGTGAAGCTCGGCGGCCCCAACCCAGACCTGAACCCCCGCCTCCACCTCTGCATCTCGACGGCCAAGAAAAGCGCTGTCCCGAAGGCCTCAATCGAAGCCGCGATAGCGCGCGGCCAGGGTCTCTCAACCACCGGCGCCGCGCTCGAAAACCTCACACTCGAAGCCATCCTGCCGCCCTCGGTCGCCACAATCATCGAGTGCCAGACCGACAACAAGCTGCGCGTGCTCGCCGAGCTGCGCCTGATTGTGAAGGAAGCCGGCGGGCAGGTGTCGACCGTGGGCTTCATGTTCGAGAAAAAAGGCCGCATCATCCTGGCGAAGAAAGACAACTTCGGCGCCGACGACGTGCTGGAGCCCGCGCTCGAGGCGGGCGCGCTCGACATCTTCGAGGACGCCGAGGGCCGCGTCGTGCTCTTCACGGAGCCCGCGCACACCAACAAGATCGCAGACCTGCTGGCGAAGCAGCACGGGTTGGACGTCGAGGAGAGCGAGATCATCTACGACCCCAACGAGGACACCAAGGTGCCGCTGGACGACGAGGGCGCGGCCAAGGAGCTGAACGAGCGCTTTCTGGATAAGCTGCAGGACGTGCAGGGGATACAGGGCGTGTACGTCAACTGGAGCAAGGGCGCCATCTCGGACGATCTGTGGGAGGAGCTGTCTGGAAAAGTCAATGTTTGATCATGATATCATCAAACTATGCGCATATAGATGTATAACACAGCACTGTACAATATCCTACACAGGCTCATCGCCCTTCCAAACGCCTCCCATGCATTGTGTCTCCCCCCCATAGCACCCAGCAGTCTGCACACCCAGCAGTCCGCACACCCTACTCCTCCTTCCCAACACCCATCGCCGCCATACGTCTCTCCTCCTCCTCCCTCCGCCTCCGGTTCTCCAGATTCCGCGCCTTCAGCCGCTCCAGCTCCTTGGCAATCTCCTCGCGCTCATACGGAATGCGGTGGGTTTGCTCGGGCTTGGGCCAGAAGTCCGGCACGGAGAACTTGCCGTCGAGGTTCGTGCCGAAGTAGTACATGATGCTGATCGGGAAGAGGATGTACATGCCGAACTGCGCGGGTTAGCCATGTGTGCAGAGGCGAATGGAGGGGGGAGGCGTACTTTGGCGACTTCGAGGTTAGGGCCGCCCATGGTTGCGCGTTGGGGTGGGTGGGGTGGGTGCAGCGCGAGGCGTGGGCCGATGGTGGTGAAGATATTTGTGGAGATTGTTCGCGCGAAAGATGGAGATTAGATGGATTTATTGCGGGCGATGACGCGGGAGCTGGGCGAGTCGCGTCTTCACGTGCAACGTCGTCTGCATACTCGCGACGAACTGGAGATTTGTATTCCGCCAGACCGATGCCCAATCTCTCCGTCTACGTGGAGCATAACACAGTACTCATGATGCACACCCCCCCGTCCCCGGTCGCAGCGCCGCACCGGCAATCACCCGCCGCTCTCCGCACTCCCTGAGCCTCGGCTCTGCCACCCGCACCGAGACTCTCCCAGCGACTCTCCCGCACATCAAGTACAAACCCGAGCCGCAATCGCTCAATCCACACACCCACACACCAGCCCCCAGATCAGCTGCACGCCTGCCAACATGTCCGAAGGCATCCTCGTCGAGTACCGCGGCAAGATCGCCATCATCACGCTCAACGTGCCCAAGAAGCTCAATGCATTGACGGCGGATTTGTACTACCACCTCGCGCGCGCCATGCATGAAGTGGCTACGCACGACGAGGTTATCATCACCGTGCTGACGGGCGTGGGCCGTTTCTTCTCCGCGTAAGTACGATGTGCACAACAGCACGGTCTTATTCCCTACTACCCACAACCATCCCGACTATCCTAAACGACCCCCTACGACCCCCTCCCCCTCCCCCTCGTAGCCACCCCACTAACACCCCCCAGCGGCGCCGACGTATCCTTCGGCTCCGCCCCCCCCTCACCGACCGACATCGACACGCGGCACACCTACCTACGCAGCTTCGTCGCGCAGAACCTGCACATCACACGGGCCTTCTACACGCACCCGAAGCTGCTGATCACCGCGCTCAACGGCCCCGCGGTGGGGCTCTCAGCCGCCCTCGTCGCGTTCTCGGACTTCGTGTACGCGGTGCCGGGCGCATACATCTTCACGCCGTTCAGTTCGCTCGGCCTCGTCGCGGAAGGGGGCGCGAGCTACGCGTTCGTGCGGCGGCTGGGCGTGGGGCGCGCCAACGAGGCGCTGTTGATGGGGAAGCGGATCGGGGTTCCGGAGCTGCAGGCGGCGGGGTTCGTGAACGGGGTGTTTGACGCGGGCGAGGGGTTCCTGGGGGCCGTGTTGGGCGAGGTGGAGAACCGGTTGGGCGATCACTTGAATGGGGAGAGTCTGCTGGGGATCAAGAAGCTGATGCGCAGGGGGGATGTGGAGGCGCTGGAGCGGCAGGGGGTCGAGGAGGTGTTTGGCGGGCTGGATCGGTTTATCAAGGGGGTCCCGCAGGAGGAGTTCCGGAGGTTGGCGAGCGGGGAGAAGAGACATAAACTGTGAGGCGCGGGCTGGTAGTCACATGAGAGAAAGCGTTGATTCTCGATTTGCGGCGCGTGTGTTGTGTATTCTGTGTGTGGGCTACCCCAGACTCACGCCCTCGGTCGCCAGCAGCTCGCCGCCCAGCGCGTCCTGCTGCCCCACCGCGACCGTCGAGACAGCACTCAAGCCCAGCCGCTGCGGCTCGTCGGGCGGCGGCGGCCGACCCGCGTCGTCCTTCTTCTTCGCCGCGTCCTTGAGCTCGTGCTTGCGGCTCGAATTGACCTGCAGCAGCAGCACGACCATGGTCGCAATGGCCGCAATGCCCATCGCAATGCGGCGCGTGAGCACCCACCTGAGGCCCTCGACCTCGGAGCGCGCGTCCGAGTTCAGCGCGATCGTGATCTGGTAGTTGAGCTCTTGGATCTGATCTCGTTAGCACTGTACACTACCCCCCCCCCCAAGAGATGCACGTACCTTGGTGTCCATACTCCGCTGCTCGCCCCTAACCCCCATCTTGCGATCATCAAACAGCCCCTTGAGTTCATCCTTGACGCTGCCCGTCTCCTGCCCGAGCCGCTGCGCCAGGATATCGACCTCGTGTTGCAGCTGCCCGCGCTCCGTGCGCAGGCGCTCGACCTCGCTCCTGCGCGCACTCCCGATCTCGGTGCGCAGCTCTGCGCACGCGGCGCGGAACAAGTACGTTTCGTTCTCGACGTTGGATTTCGAGACCAAGCCCTCGCGCGCGAGCAGCATGTTGTCGATCAGGATGCCGCGCACGGCTTTCATCAGCGTTATGGACTGCGCTGCTGTGTAGTGCGATTTCGAGAGCTGCTGCACGAGTCCGTAGGTGTCGAAGTGGTGCACGTACGGCGGCGTTTTGAGGTGCGGGGGGCGGTGGGCGTCGGAGCTGGGGCCGGGCATGTGGAGGACGCTGTCGAGGGGTTTTGCGTCGGCGGTCTTGGGGGGCGCGGGCGGGGTGTACGGCGGGGGCGTGTCGTCTGCGGCGGCTGTCTTGGAGGGGGTGGCCGGGGGCGTGGTGGAGGGGAGTTCTGGCTCTTCCTCCTCGTCCTCATGCTCGACGTCTTTCGAGGGATCATGCGGGATCTTGGGGGGCGTGAGCTCGCTACCGGTGTCGAGCTGTTCGCGCAGATGCGGCGCGGGCTCGTGCGCGGTGCCGTAGCGCTGGATGGGAGCTTCGACGCAGCGGTATGGCGTAGTGGAGAGCGGGCGCTTTGCGCGGGGCGTGCGTGCGGGCGCGCGGATCCGGGGCGCGTGCTGCGGCTTCCATAGCATGGGCCAGAGGAAGGGCAGTCTCGGTGCGGCCATTGTGCGAGCGTTTGGAGTGTGGTGTTTGAGACATCGTCTGAAGTTGTCGTCTTGAATTGCGCTGTGCCAAGGCTGGACAGGGATAACTTGACCGCAATCGGAGAACACATCACGACGGTTAGACGCGGGAGCGGTGGTAGGGCTGGGTCCACTTCCACGTGCCAGCGGACATGGACAACGTTAGCACGTGCATGTTCCAAGAATGATACTGAATAAATGTGCTTGCTTGATCTCGACAGTAACATTCCATGAATGTGTCTGAGCTCACAACTACCATTTAATTAATATGCATACCTCCCACGCTTGCATAATTCCGGCACGCACACCTGATATACTATACAGTGTCTATTATCTCGCTTTTCTTCCTTCCATGCCATGCCGTCCATGTCTCTAACAAGCAAACTTTTGAGCAGTGTTCCAGCCGCCCCAGAACACTTTATGCAAGCCAACACCAACATGGTGTCTGAAAACTTTTGAAGTGGGGAGGGGGGTGGGTATAATATGTGCGATGCTCCTTTTGGATTGCGGGCAACAACGATGACCCCATAATGCGCAGACGGAGACTTAGTCGTGCGACGAACTGCTGATTGAGCTGCGACTCGTGCCCTCGGTGATGAATGTCGCAATGCTCGATCTCTGGAACGGCGACGCGCCGCCCTGCTCCCGCGGCGGACTCGCCAGCCCCGGGCCCTGACTGCCAACACTGGGCGACGCGGGTGTCGACGTGTGCTGCGTCTGCTCAGCAGTCCCGTAGCGCTCGCGCAGCCGCTTGATCTCGCGCAGCCGGTTGCGCCATGAGGAGATCTGTTCGCCGCCCTCGCGCGTCGACCACACGTCCGAGAAGACGCAGGCGTTGATGGCGATGAGGCGGCAGTAGGCGGCGATGTGGCGGCCGGCGAGGATCTTGGGCTCCGCGGCGGCGGAGACGTCGGGGAAGCCAGGTTTGGTGACGACTTGGACTTGGTAGTAGCGGTCTTTGCCGTCGGGGTCGGAGTCGATGCGGCGGTCGACGAAGGAGGCGCGCGATTCAGGGGAGATGACGATGTGGACGTAGTTGAAGGCGCCGGGGAAGGTGTCGAAGTTGTAGCGGAGTCCGGAGTCGTTGAAGATGATGTTGACGAAATCGTTGCCGATGTGGCGCTTTTTGTTGGGGTACGTCATGTCGTCGTTGGGGTCGGTGGGCATCATGGTCGTGATGTGGTAGACGAGCTCCATGCAGCGGTCGCGCCAGACATAGGTGAATTCACCATCGGCGTCGCCGCGCGTGTCGAGACCGCCGGTGTTGAATTTGGCGCCCTTGAGGCGGGCCAGCGTGCCTAGACCAGTGACGAAGGAGGTGTAGGCGGGTGAGCCCATGTCGTTCAAGAAGATGTCGCGCTCATTAGTCTGGCCCTCGCCGATGTAGATGACGCCTACTTTGTGGCTGTCGACTGTCGCGGTTCGGTCGAATGTGGCGATTGCACGGCGTGTCATATCGTCGTCCGGCAGAGCAACAGTGGTGTTGGTCAAGTCCAGAGGCGCGTAGAAGCTCTGGAAGATATCTTCCGGCAGGATGCCGACATACGAAGAGGAGTAGAATGCGTCAGCCGCCAGTCCGACATTGATCGGCACTTGATGGCGTGGAGGGTGGACGAGTGATGGTCTCAAAGTGAAGAAGCGGGTGCCGCACTAGAAAGATTAGCCTGGTGAGAATGAATGAACTTTACGGTAACTTACAGGACGACGAGAGGTGATTTGCGAAGCACCTGTCCTTGCTGCCGTTTCAATCGTCAACAAGCCGTTATTAACAACCCACGTCTTCTTCCAGATCTCGCCGTCACCAGGTTTCGAGAACACCTCGCTGCGCACGGTGTGGTCTCGGTCTGTATAAGCGACCATGTTCATGATGTCCACGATGACCTGACCCTGTTCCTCCATGCTTGTTCTCCCAGCGCTGTCCACGGTCAAGAGATTTTTTGTGATCCATGGGATTTGCTTGGGTCGGTCCTCCATCCTGAGCGCCATGAACCAGAACGTGATGACGTGGTAAGCAAGCGAATACAGGTAGTGGGGCAAGTCTTCCTCGACTGAGTGTTGCCTCCTAGAGCCATTATCGGGCACTGCGGTGGATTCTCTGCCGGGTCCGCTGTGGCGCAAAGAGCTATGACCCCTCTGTGACAGACTCGGCATGGCTGCACGGCTGCGCTGGTCTCTAATATGTTGCAAGTAGCGGAAGCACACTCCAAACACCGTCTTGAACTCTTCCTCGCGGAAGTTCTTGAATAATTCTGGCAGACGAGCCAGACTTGTTAGGAACTCGAGAATGTGGATCGCGGTGGCGGGCTTCGTCACAATCTGTGACAGCTTCTGAATGATAGTGTCGAGGGACTTGCTGACAGACAGCGGGACTTCAAAACAGCAGACAGACAGCGCGTGGATGCACCACTTAGACGTTCTGTCCCACTGTACAATCCCCTGCAGAAAGGCCTTCACCATGTCGTCCTCTTCACTCTTCTCGAAGTACTCGTGGTAACTAATGATGACGGTGAGAACGTGGTATAGACACACCGCAACGTCAGCCTTCTTGAGCAATGTGTGCGGCGGAGGCTCGTGGAAGCTCGAGTTGCGTACTTGCTCGCAGAGAACACTCCTCAGCATTCGCAGTTGCACTACACAGCTTCGTACCAGAGCTTGATTCGAGAGCTGTGGCCCGAGGTGCACCAGAACGTAGCTGTAGATCTCCCAGTCCGGCGGCCTTTGTAGTAGAGAGATGATAAGCTCCAACCACAAGGTGATCTCCATGTCGTGGATATCATCGCTTAGCGGATATTTGCTTGCATCTATATGAGAGAACACAACGCGACTAGGCTCGGGAGGAGTGTCCTCAGGCAGACCTGAGGTTCCTGGATACGACCATAGTGGAGCTATTGGTCTCGAAACACGGCCGGCCGCAGCAATTGTCCGGCTCGTTTGCCGGTTGAGAGACGCGTGCGGGCTAGACCCAGAGATCTTGCGTGAATCGCGCCACAAACCAGCGTCTCCCGGATCGGTCGAGACAGATCCATCGGCCTTCTCGGTCACGATGGCGGTCTCTTCGGTGCGGCACAATTCGGCTGCTATCCGCTCGCCTTCCGAAGAAGAGTTGACAGTAAGGGCGTGTCGTGAATCGGCGCGCAGCCTGAACAGCAGTCTCAGGGCAGTCAATCTCGACTCGTTGTCGTATTGATCATTGCCTGCAATACCTCGTATGGAATTGTACAAGATGCGTGTTTTCTGGGCGGCATGGGTGAAGCTCCGGGTGAACAGGCGAACAAAGGCGACGGCTATAATGTCGCAATGGGAGCCGCTTGACACGTCAGTCTTTGGGAGAAATGTATGCGCAGCCCAGGTCTGCGCTGGGCTCATGGGCGATGTGCGTGGTTGGTCCAGTTTCTTTTGCAGCAATCCCAATATCTCTAAGAACGTGTCTAACTGAGCCGTTTCTGCGACATCGACTGCGAAGTCCACGAGTGCTTCTAGAACCTGAACATTACCCTCAACTTCTATCCTTTCAAGCAAGATCGCTGCACTTTGAGCTGCGACATCGCTCGGACAGAGCAGCTGAACGGCGTCGTAGGTCTCCCGTAGAACCTTGATCGCTAGCAGTCGAATCGCGTTCGGCCTCGTTGTGTCATGCAGGGTCCCAGCTGCGACCTGGCGAGAGACTTTCAGCCAGTCGCTGTGGGACGGGTTCAGAAATCGCTCTTCGGCAAAATACTGGATCATCTTTTCGGCAAGCGGGTCACTCAGCCGATCTGCGCAGGAGAGGAAGACATCCATGACTCCATCCTTCTGCACGTGATCCATGGCAATGCTGATATGGTCTAACTTGAGAAACACTCGAAAGATCCTATCGTCTGCAGAACGACGACCCGCTTCGGCCCTGGATGCTCGCGGGGAGTGGGCGTGTGGGCCAATGTCCTCGTCGTGAACTTTGTGACTCGCACTGCCGTTCTCCAAAACCGGGCTCCCTGGTACGTGCGGATCCTTGTCACCAACTGTAGAGCTCTCCCCAGACCCAGTCAACCGAGCACGGTAACGGTCGTCGTCTCGCTCGGCGCAAACTCGGATGATCTCCAACATGTCGCTCAAATCTGCCTCAGCCAGCAACGCGTCCCGCATGGTGTCTTGCGACAGGATCGAGTCTATTAGATCAATAACGAAGGACTCCTGTGTGGCATGCGGCTCTTTGATGGAAGCTCTGAGGGCAGGGAAGATCAGCGACATTGGGACCTTTGGCAGGTCACCATTGCCATCTTCGATGACCAGCTTCTGCAGGACCTGCATGGTGCCCCGGTAGGTGCCGCTTTGGCGGTTGATGGTGGATGGGCCGTCTCTGAGAGTGTGCAGGAGAGACATGATGGCAGCCTGGCCGATGTGCGATCTGAAGAGATTGCTCAGCGTGTTCCAGGTGCGCTCTTCCAGACTCGCGATTTGGCGGTGGATGGCACAGAGCACGCCTACACTCGTTCTGAGAACGTTGATGGGAACGTGGACAAAGGTGATGATGGTGTCGAAGAGCTTTATGCAGTTGTCCATGTCGGTCTCCTGGGTGGTGTTCTGGCAGATGTGCATGACGCGTTCGAGGATCTGCTCCAGGTTGCCGTCGGTGAGAATCCTGGCATTGAACTTGCAGACGTCGGTGGCGTACTGGAAGATGCGTCCTAGGTTCTCCGTCTCCTGCAGGGGCTTGTCCGCGTTGCGCTTGCCGTTCGTTTTCCGGTTTGCGTTGAAGGCGTCGCGGCTGGCCTGGAAGCAGACATCGAGGGCGTTCAGGATGAAGGGCACGATGTTGGACTCGCAGGCGGCGATGTTCTTGCCGCCGTTGGTCAGGGTCGAGACGATGTCCAGGCGCCACTGGAAGCAGCGGGTGGTGCGGCGGTAGGAGGCGGCGTCGAAGATGATGGTGCGCTCGACGGGGGTCAGCTTGGGGTCCTGGGAGATGCTGCGCAGGAGCTTGTAGCCGGCCTCGGCCACGTCGTCGGGCTGCTCGAGCAGGACCAGGTCGCTGGCGGCAGACCACAGGGTCAGGATGTTCTGCAGGGGGTACTCCTCCAGGATGCGGCAGATGGCCTCGACAGCGTCGGCGCGCTCCAGGAATGGGCGGCTCTTGTCCAGCTGGGCGATCAGCGCAGGCAGCTCCGGGGGCCCGCCCGTCACATCGGGCCCGACGGACTCGCTGGCGACGTGGGTGATGCGCTGCAGGCTATCGTCGGCTGAAGGAGCGCTGGCCATGCTTGCCGGCGGCAGCGAGCTCACGGACAGGGCGCGCACGGGATTCACAGGCGGCGGCGGCGGCAGCGGGTCGGCGCGCGGCTTGCTGCCGGTGAGCCTGCGGAAGGCGTTGAGGATGTCGTAGGACGAGGCGCGGCGGTCGGCGGTGCGGGGGTCGAGCTGGCCGTGCTGGACATGCGCGACATGGTCGGCGGCGGAAGGCATTCGAGCCACGGGGCGCTGCGGGCGCGCGGTCGGCAGGAGAGGCGCGCGGCCTACGGCGAGGCACTGGGAGACAGCGCGGAGGGCAGGTCGCGGGGGCGCAGACGCGCGGTGGCGGTCATGGGCGACGACGGGCGACGGGGTGCGGACGGCCCATGGACTCTGCGGGCGAGGCGACGGCGGCGGCGAGCGCTGGGGGGTCTAGCGCAGGACAGCCATGGGTGCGGGCGGACGGCGGCGTCGAGGGGCGACAGATTCTGGCGCTGAGCCGCCAGAATCTGGGGTTGTGGCGTCGCAGAGCTAGCCCTGCACGCACATGGCAACCCAGCCCAAACAATCAGATTCGCGCCGCTCTGCCTCTCTGTCGCCCGCACCGCACCACACCGCGCACCACCACGGGTCACCATGGCCGCCGACATGTCCACGCTCTCCAAGCTGCTCGAGGCCAGCCTGGACCCGCGCCAGAACAAGCAGGGTGCGTCTCCCCCCTCTGCTGCCCCCCGCCTGCCCCTCGTGCACCACCACTGACACTTTCCAGCCGAGCAGGCCATCACGCAGGAACAGGCCAAGCCCGGCTTCTCGCTGGCGCTGCTGCACATCGTCGCCGCCGACTCGTTCCCCGCCACGGTGCGCCTCGCCAGCGCCCTCTACTTCAAGAACTTCATCCGCCGCAACTGGGTCGACGAGGACGGCAACTACCAGCTGCCGCGCGATGAGGTCGTCGCCATCAAGCAGGAGCTGATCGGCCTGATGGTCGCCGTGCCGCCCAGTCTGCAGGCCCAGCTCGGCGAGGCCATCAGCGCCATCGCCGACAGCGACTTCTGGGAGCGCTGGGACTCGCTGGTCGACGACCTCATCTCGCGCCTGACCCCCGACAACTCGGTCGTCAACAACGGCGTGCTGCGCGTCGCACACTCCATCTTCAAGCGATGGCGCCCGCTGTTCCGCTCCGACGAGCTGTTCACCGAGATCAACCACGTCCTGTCCAAGTTCAGCACGCCCTTCCTCACCCTGCTGCAGAACACCGACGCCCTCATCACCCAGTCGCAGGGCAATCCCGAAGCTCTGAAGAGCGCCTTCACCACCCTCGACCTGATCATGAAGCTGTTCTACGACCTGTCGTGCCAGGACCTGCCGCCCGTCTTCGAGGACAACATGCCCGCCATCTCGTCCATCATGCACAAGTACCTGACCTACGACAACCCCGCCCTGCGCACTGCCGACGACGACGAGTCAGGGCCGCAGGAGTACGTGCGCGCCGGCATCTTCGAGGCCCTGATGCTGTACATCCAGAAGTACGAGGACGCCTTCGGCGCCCAGCTCGGCCCGTTCATCGAGACGTCGTGGTCCTTCCTCATGACCGTCGGCCTGGAGACAAAGTACGACATCCTGGTCAGCAAGGCCCTGCAGTTCCTCACCGCCGTGGCCTCCACACACCACGCCGAGAACTTCAACAACCAGTCGGTCCTCGTGCAGGTCATCGAGAAGGTCATCCTGCCCAACCTGACCCTGCGCGAGTCGGACGAGGAGCTGTTCGAGGACGAGCCCATTGAGTTCATCCGGAGAGACCTGGAGGGCTCCGACAACGACACCCGCCGGAGGGCCGCCACCAACTTCCTGCGCCAGCTCATGTCCAAGTTCGAGGGCCTCGTCACCAGCACGTCGCAGACCTACGTCGACGCCTACCTCCAAAACTACTCCCAGGACCCGGCAAACAACTGGAAGTCCAAGGACACAGCCGTCTACCTCTTCACCGCCATCGCTGCCAAGGGCACTGCGACAGCCGCCCAGGGTATTCTCAGTGTCAACGAGAACGTCAACGTGCTGGACTTCTTCCAGAAGCACATCGCCTCCGACCTGCAAGCCCCTGACGCCCACGCCATCCTGAAGGTCGACGCCATCAAGTACCTCTACGTCTTCCGCAGCCAGCTGTCGCCGGACCTGTGGCGCGCTGCCTTCCCACTCCTCGTCAACAACCTCGGAAACGAGAACTACGTCATCCACACATACGCTTCGATTGCTGTCGAGCGTGTCCTGTTCATGACAGACGACAACCGCCAGCCTATCATCCCCAAGGGCGACGTCGTCGGCTCGTCCAAGGACCTCCTCACACATCTGTTCAAGCTCATCACCAAGGACTCTGCGCCTGAGAAGATCCAGGAGAACGAGTTCCTGATGAAGTGCGTCATGCGCGTGCTCGTCTTCATCAGAGACGGCGTGCTCCCGATCTGCGAGAACATCCTGATGAACTTCATCGCCATCATCAAGGTCATCAGGCACAACCCCAGCAACCCCCGCTTCCAGTACTACCTGTTTGAGGGTCTGGGTGCTCTGATCCGCTTCGCTGCACCAACCCACCCCGAGGCGTTCGAGAACAAGCTGTACGAGCCATTCGCGACATGCTTGTCCGAGGCTATTGAAGAGTTCTCGCCGTACATCTTCCAGCTGTTCTCGGCGCTGCTGGAAGCCAACCCTTCCGGCCAGCTGACCGACTACTACCGCAGTCTGTTCTCCATCATCATCCAGGGAGCTGTCTGGGACCAGCGCGGCAACGTGCCTGCGCTTGCTCGTCTGTTGAGTGCTATGATCACGCGCGATGCGGAGCGTATTGTGGCCGACAAGCAGCTGGAGCCGATTCTCGGTATCTTCCAGAAGCTCGTATCCACCAAGGCGCACGAGTCGCACGCCTTCGAACTCATCGAGGCCGTCGTCACCTACCTCCCGGCCGAGGCCCTGCAGCCCTACTTTGTCACCATCCTGCAGCTCATGCTGACGCGCCTGTCCAACATGAAGACCGAGAACTTCCAGCAGCGCTTCATCGCCTTCTACCACCTCGTCTCCGCGCGCCAGGACAAGGGGCTCGGCGCGGACTTTTACATCAACGTGTCCGACCAGGTGCAGCACGAGTTCGTATTCCCACCACTTTTGAAAGCACCAGCTAACCCAAACAGCATCTTCAAACCCATCTACCTCACCGTCATCCTCCCCGACACCCAGAAACTCGCCCGCCCAACCGACCGCAAGACGGCCGTCGTCTCCTTCACCAAAACGCTCTCGGACAGCACCGCCTTCGTGTCGCGCTACCCCAAGGGCTGGGCCCTGACCACCCAGCGCCTGCTCGAGCTGCTCGTCAACCCGCCCGTGCCCTCCGCCGCCGACGACATCATCCCCGACGCCGACGTCGACGAGGTCGGCTTCGGCGTCGGCTTCACCCAGCTCAACACGTGCAAGAAGGCGCCCCGCGATCCGTTCCCCGAGGTCAGGGACGTGAAAGTGTGGGTCGGCGAGTGGCTGCGCGATGCGGATAAGAGGCAGAGTGGTGCTGTGGGGAGGCTCGTGCAGGAGCGGCTTGGGCCGGAGCTGCAGCAGGCGCTGTCGGCATATCTGAATTAGATACTACTAGACGCAGGAGGGGCGGTTAGGGGCCAGGGGGCAGTGAGTGCGTGAGTGCAAGGCCGCCGAGTGAGTGAGTGAGCGAGCGAGTGAGCGAGTGATCAAGCACAGCACGGGCGAAAAGTTGGACTGCAGATAGACGCGCTAGACACGAGATGCCATGATACCAGGATCCGCGAGGCGCTTTGCACAAGCCCCGGACCACCAAATGCGCGCCTCTCATATGTACTCCGGCCGTGATGTGATGTGATGTGATGTGTACATACCACGCTCCTCACTTTGCAGGCGTGCTGAGCAGCGTGCTGAGCAGCGTTGTCGCGCAGTGGGCTGTGGCTCCGTGCTTCACGCGGGCTTCACGCAGGCGTCTCGGGCGCTGTAGATGGACGTTTGCATACGTCTAGTGCTATATTCAATGAACGACACGCGCCTGAACGCCGGTGATGCGGTTGCCATGCTCGAGAGACGGTGCGAGCAGGCCTGACAAGACTCTCCAACCCTCCAACACCCTCCAACATTCTCCAACACCCTCCACCGCCTACAGCACCTCCAACCTAACAGCAGCCCCCGCCCCACCCCTGCTGTCTCCCCTTCTTCGCCGCCTCGTTCATCCCCAGACTCAACCCCGCGCGGTTACCGCCCCCAGCGCCAGGCCCCTTGACCCCGCTCCGGCGGTCATTAAGATCATACTTACCGGCCTCGATATTCTGATAGATGCGCTCCGCAACCTCGAGAAACGCCGTCTCCACGCCCTCCCCGCTCTTCGCCGACGTCTCGACGTACTGCATGACGCCGTTGGCGGCGCACCAAGCCTCGGCCTCGTCGCGCTGGACCTGGCGCTTGTTGGCGGCGTCAGCGGGGGTATCAGCACCAGACACTGTAGATGCGGGCGCGAGATCGGATTTATTGCCGACCAGCACGACCACAATGCCGTCTTCCGCGATCTGCCGCAGATCGTGCAGCCAGCTCGTCGCGCTGAGAAACGTGTTGCGGCGCGAGATATCGAAGACTAGCAGCGCGCCCGATGCGCCGCGGAAGTAACTCCTCGTAATGCTCTTGTAGGTCTCCTGGCCCGCCGTGTCCCACAGCGAGAGCTTCATGTGTTTCTGCGCCGGGTCGCGGGCGGCGTCTTTGGCGGGCGCGGGGGCGGTCGCGGCATCGGGGCGCGAGGGGTCGTTGATGCGCAGTGCATGTGAGGCGGGCGGGCCCACGGGGACGATGCGCGAGCCGAATTCTACGCCGATGGTTACGTCGTGGTGCGGGGAGAAGCGGCCTTCGCAGAGGCGCACGGTGAGCTGGGGGTGTCAGTCGGGGCGGGCGTATGTGGGTATTGGAGGCGCACGCTGGATTTTCCGCAACCGGAGTCGCCCAGCGAGACGATCTTCGCGATGTAGTCCCAGGGCTGGGCCATTTCGGCGCCGGGCTCTGCGCGGCGGGCGAGGTGTGGGGAGGTGGGCGCGGGCGCGAGGCACGGGGCAGCGCAATGGGCGGGGGTCGAGGGCCGGCGGGTGTTGTGTTGGGCGCAGACGACAAGGTGTTGGTTTTTGGGCGGTCAAACGGCTGGTGCGTGCTGCTGGGCGCTGGTGGCGACGGTGTAGATTGCAGGATCGAGGTCGAGGGCTGGCATGTCATAGCTCTTGCTCCACAGGAAGTCACGTCTTGCGAGGCCGGCCTGGCGCAAGCAACGGGCACGGCCGTGTTGTACAGCACTGCGAACGGACGCTCTGATAGCGCTTGTTGACCGCAGAGTATAGTTCATTGCTTTCTCGTTATCAAGTGTTGGTTGTTCCATCTGTACCAAGTGCACCTACACCCTCACCAAGCGCCCCCAGCTGTCCTAGTCCTCGTAAAAGCGTGGCCCTGTAACCGCCACCCAAGACCATTTATCTTTTTATTCCTATTTTACTCCAGACCCGTGCACAGCACCTCCCGGTGTTGACGTCCTTATCTCGTGACGTCCAGCGTGACGTTGATACCCGGTGATGCACAATCGATAGCTTAGCGTGACTAGGTCCAGTGCGGTCAACGGCACGGGTACTTCGCGGTGCTCAGCTACGCAGCTTACGCTCAGATCCTAGGACCTATGTCGTGCTCTCTGCTTAGTTAACCTAGACTCTGTTTATATTGCTTCTGGCAGCTTCGTGCGCCACACCGACCAGCCGCCGCATGTCTCCCAGCTCCGTCATCCGCTCGCTGCCTCACCGTCGATCCTCCGCCTCACTGACCGCTCGCCGGCGGACTGAGTCAACCTCGCCCTCCAGGCTGCACCCGCGATAAAGGCGCCGCGGTCTGGCAGCTGCAGACCAGACTCCGACATCTAGCCCGCCATGTTTTCCGAGTGTAAGCCTCCCACGCCTTATCAGCACATGTGACGCTGTCTCGAACGTGCCGCGCGCTCGTGTGACTGACCCGCGCAGATGCCTCCAAGTTCCTCTCCCAGTCGCAGTCGCGCCTGTCACTGGGCCAGCCCGAGCCGGGCTCTGCGCGCAACCCTTCAGACCACCAGCGCCCGTCGTCGCGCGCCGCCCAGGCCTACCTCCAGCGCCGCAACATGCCGAACCCGTACAACTCCCAGGCCCTGTCGCGCTTTGCCTTTGCATCGCGCACCTCCAACGCCCCTGCGCCGCTCTTCTACTCCGCCACCGACGACTTCCGCGAGGAGGACGATCATGTCGAGCACGACCGCGAAATGGCCGACCACTACGCCCTGCAGCGGTCGCGGCGCCAGTTCGGCGCAAGCAACCTCTCCGAGTCGTCGGAAGTCGAGGACGACGGCGTGCACAGGTCCGACCACACAATAGACGCCGACCGCGACGAGAACCACGGGCCCGACTACGGCCTGGGCCGGGGCATCAAGAGCTCGTGGATCGGCGACAAGCCAGCCCGCGGGCGCTCCACCACCACAAATAGATTAGAAGACGAGGAGCGAGACTCCAGCGTGCCTCTGTCCGAGTCGACAGAGCCGAGCAGCAGAGGGAATGGGCGGCTGGTGGACGTCGAGCTTGCCACCGACCGGGGGAGCGACGAGGAGCTGGACCGACAGGAAGCCTTCGCACACAAAGACGAGCCGCCGCCGTCGTACCAGCAGTTCCGGAACATGCCCCGAAACAAACGTCTCCGCAGTCCGCTCCGAACGACTCTCTCCGTGCCGCAAGAAACCGACGAAGACGTGCTGCTCGGGCGCTCACGGTCGATAAGTCCAGACCGTCAGACCGTGCCAGACATGGTGCCGGAGAATCCTGTGGCGCCTCCGCGACACAACTTCTTCTGGGCCGAGCTGTTCGTCATCGTGCAGTGCGCCATGATCGGTATCTGGTTCATCTCCTTCCTGCAGGAATCGCCGCCAGGCAAGAAGAATCCGCTCGGCGATACAGTCTACACTGTCCTCCAGTCGTCCTTCCACCTCATCGGGATATACTCGCTCGTGTCGGTCATTGTTGGGTTGCTCTGGTTGTCGCTACTACGCTCCTTCGCCCGTCCTCTGGTGTATCTGATGCTCGTCGCGGTCCCCATCATCTCCTTCTCGTTCTGGCTGTACCCGTTCATCTCCAGCTTGAAGGGCTCGTGGCACGGCACCAGCACACAAGACAAGGCCATGCGCTGGCTGTCGTTTGGCCCGCTCTTGCTAGCCATCTTCTGGGTCTACACTGCGTTCAAAGCACGGCACTCGCTGCACAAGGCGATCAGCATGCTGGAATTCTCGAGCGATATATTAAGGGCACAGGCACCACTCCTCCTCGTCGGCGTCGCAACCCTCGCTGCCGTCCTCCTCTGGTCCTGGCTGTGGATCCTGATGTTCACGCGCCTCTTCCTCGGTGGCCACTTCGCCAGCACCAAATCCCGCTGGATCATCGACACAAGCACCTGGTGGCTCGGCGCCGCCTTCTTCCTCAACTACTTCTGGACCCTCGGCGTCATCGCCGGCGTCCAGCGCGCCACCACCGCCGCCACCGTCTCCCAGTGGTACTTCCACCGCAACACCACCCCGTCGCCCCCGCCGTCCACCGTCGTCCAGGCCTCGCTCCACCACGCCTCCTACACCATGGCCGGCACAATCTGCCTCTCGACCCTAACCGCCCTCGCCGTCCGCCTCCCCCTCATCCTGCTCCCGCGCCGCCTCGCCGCCCTCGCCGCCTCCTGCGCACACACCCTCCTCCCCTCCCCGCTCACCGCCCTCACAAACCCGCTCGCCCTGACATTCGCCTCCATCCACGGCGTCCCGCTCGCGCCCGCCGCCCGCTCCCTCTCGCAACTCACCTTCCTCGCCCCCTCGCCCACCACCACCCTCGGGCCCGCCTCCTTCAGCCCCCACGCCACGCCCACCCTGCAGTCCTACCGCCTCGCCAAACTGCTGCTGCACGGCATCCGCTACCTGCTCACCCTGACCCTCGGCTTCGGCGGCTGGGTCTCCGCCGCCCGCGTGCTGGCGCTCGGCGACTCGTATCGGGGCAGCGCGTATGCGTATGTCGTCGGTCTGATCAGTGCGGCGATTGGGTGGGGCGCGCTGGGCGCCATGGAGGGCGTGCTGGGGGGCATTCTGGATGCGCTGCTGGTGTGCTGGGGGAGCGAGGTCGGGCGCGATGGGAGAGGGGAGGTAAGGTACTGTGTTGATGCCGGGAGGCTGTTTGGGGAGGAAGCGGGGCGCGGGCGGGGGCGGTTCGAGGTGTAGATGTAGATGTAGGTGTGGTTGGGTTGCATTCTGGTGTTTGGATCAATCGCATTGGATTGACATTGACATTGATATTGACATTGTTGTTTGGGTGCTGGAATACACGCGAGGGGCGTTGGGGCGTTGGGTATACCACGCGCGGCGCAGGCGTCCTGTGCCGTGTGCGTTTCTGTATGCGAATCGAATTGCTTAGTATCTATCACATCACTACGTGCCATTGCGCGCAATCCACTGCGATTCCACAATCCAATGTGCATTCAACACGCAGACCTCCTGCACTGCACTGCACTGTACTCTACTGTACTCTATCGTACCCTACTCCTCCTCCCTCCTAGCAACAAGCACACACCCCTCCCCAACCCACCTCCTCAACCCCACCTCCCCGACCACATCCCCCCCCTGCAACAAAACCGCGGTATCACTCCTCCCCCTCCCCCCCTCCCTCCCCCCCTTTCCTCCCTGCTCCTCACCCTTCACACCCTCCAGCACCTCCCCCTCCTCAACCCCCACCCCGACCCCAAAAACGCCCGCACACAGCGCCACCACCCCTATTTTCGCCTCCAGCGTCCCCCCAGGCGGCAAGACAGGGAGACGGCGCTGCAGCACGCCGGTCCAGGACAGGCGCTTGTCGAGGTCGAGGGCGAGGTGGTGCGGGAGCGCTTTCAGGTGGGGTTGGAGGCGGAGGAGCGGGGCGATGGGGCGGGGGGAGCGGTTTTTGAGGGAGGTGGTGAGGGTGAGGAAGGTGTTTGTTGGGGCGGAGAAGGAGGAGGGGCTGAGGCGGTGGACGGCGGGAGCGTCTGGGGAGGCCGCGGGGGCGGAGGCGGAGGTAGAGATAGAGGTAGAGGTAGAGGGGGTATCGACATCGACATCGACATCGGAGGCAAGCGCCAGCGTCATCGCAATCCCCACATCCGGCAGCCTCAGCGCATCGACCATGCGCGCACTCAGACGCAGCGAGCGCAGATCGATAGCGCCGGCGCGCGACCCAGCGGGCTCGGCCCACGCGCCGCGGACGAACTGCAGCAGCGCGTCGCGGTGCCAGAAGGCCTCGCGCGTGGCGCGCTCCGTCTCGGGGGAGATTTTGCTCGTGCTGACGACGAACTGGCGCTGGTTGGCGGCGTTGAGCGAGGGCACGGCGGCGTGCGGGTCCGCGATGTAGATGCGCGGCAGCGCGATGGCGAGGCGGTGGACGTGGCCCGGCTGGATGACTTCTGTGACGGTGGCGGCGTGCGCCCAGGGGTCGGAATCGGGGTCGGAGTCGGAGGAGGGGGTGAGCGAGGGTGGCGGGCGCACTTGTAGGGTGGTGGTTAGTGGGTTGGGCCAGGAGTTGCGCAGGTCGAGCAGCATCAGGCAGTATTCGTTGCCGTGGCCGAGGGTGCGCATGTGCTGGAAGAATTTGCGGTGGTTGCTGCTGGTCTTGTTGAGGAGTTCGCTCGATAGTGATGCGGTTGCGGACTGCTCGTCCTGGCTTGCGGGCTGCTCGTCCTGGCTTGACCACGCAAAGTCGTCGGAGAGCGGTACTATATCAGGACGCTGAAGCTGAACGCTGGCGTTTACTGTGATCGAGATAGGTACCGACACCTGTCGAGTGAAGAATCGGTCCTGTACTTCAGACCGTCGCTTGCCGAGGTGTGCGTAGTTGATCTGGATGACAGCATCTGTCAGGCGCGTCCTTCCCACGACTTCAACGGTAAAGTCTGCTTCTGAGCCAGGCGCAATATTGAACGACTCATCCTCATCATCCCTGCACCAGCGCATCGGCGGGAAGCGAGCTAGCTGGGTTTCCAGCTCGTGCATCTCAGCAGCAGGCAGGCCCTTTTCTGTGAGGGCAGTTTGCATTGCTGTTGTTGCAGAGTCCTGGAATGTTATATGCACAAAGTCGACCGCTGTGGTCACTGACGTGTTCTTGACAGTCACTGTAAACTGTCTGCTCTCTCCCTCCAGAACCATCAGCGCGGACTGAGGTAGAGACACCTTAGATACGGTGATGATGGGCTGCTCGGGGATGACGCTGAAGGTCAGCATCTCTGGCTGCGGTGCAGATGGTGCCTGCCTTGCAATTGTAGGATCCACTGCTGTCGATGGTCGGGTAGCTGGCGCGCCCAGACAGGCCTTGAGCCCGATACGCTTCATCTTCGCTTCCCTTGTTGGTCTCCAGGGCTGCGGAAAGATAGGAAACAAGCGCTCACTGCACCCGATGATTTTGATATAACACCCAATAATCTTCATCGACCCCGACGACAGCGCTCTGCCCGTCACCTGGAACTTTTGTGTTCGATAGGGGCCTAGGAGGAAATTCTCTTCCTTGCCGACAAACTCGAGGCCGTCTGCCGCGATTCTCAGGGACTGCACTTCGAGTTCGAAATCGTAAGGGTTCTGCAGCGCTAAGACAAAGCGATAGTCCTCGTTGGCCACGAGTATGGTCTCAGAGGCGCCAGTCTGGGGCTTCTTCAGCCAGGGGTTGTGCAGAAAACGGACCATTTTTCTCGCATTTCGCCAACTGTAGCTCTGCGGGGCGATGTTGCGTCAGTCTCAGAGGCATTGGCTCCTCTAAGATGAACAGACCGCGGAGCAGAAAGTCATCCCAGTACTCAGTCTCCACTCGCTGCACACCGAGCTTGCCTGCCGCCGCGACTGTGCGAGGTATGTTCGAAAACAGCCTGGCTTGCTCCTCCCGCGAAAGCGAGACAAACACATCAGTACTATTCGGCCTCGGTGCTGTGCCGGGTCCAGCAACGCGTAGCATCAATGAGGTGAAATGGAGCACCCCATTGAAATCAGGCAGGGCTTCGCAGAAGTTGAGGCACATCCGCAGAACCTCCAATTTCAAGCTCATGCTTCCAAATGATTTCAGCGTTGATATCTTCAAGATGTGGTCGATAAGACGCTGGCTAGTGGCATCATGGGATGAGTCCAGCGTTCCTGGAGTTGGTGCGGCAAAGAACGAACCCTTCGAATTGGGTATGCCGTAAATTCGCCCAAGCAGGCCAAGGAACTCTTCAATGCCGTTCTCTACTTCAGCCTCACCAAGATGGAGGGCTCCAGCACCAGAAGGATGACCGCCCACCATGTTGAGCGCAGCGAGACCAGCGGCAGGATGGACGCCCATCTCAGCGGCTCCGATCTTGCGAGCCTGCACGAGGCCGGGGATTAAAGAGGTGATGAACTCTTTCATCACAATGGCTTTCTTGCGCTGCAGGCCCAGGGATGCGAGCACGGATGCAACGCCTGCCAACACCAGGACTCGGTCTGTAGGGTTCATTCCTGATGTCTCAACGGGACCAGGAAGAGCTCTAAACAGCATCGTAGCAATATCATTGCGGGTGGGGTGAACGCTCAGTCTCGGGACCGAAAGCCTCGGCTTTTGTACGTAGGGCGTATTGCGAACCAGATGCTGGAGAGAATCGTAATCAAGATACCCAGCAGAGAGATTCATTGCGGCCAAGAGCTTCGAGAATCTTATGACACATTCAGATAGTGCCAGAGGCGGCATAGCTTCGCCTGCAAAGTTCGCCGCTCGGCTGTACATGTTCAATATCATGTTTACCAAGTCTGGAAGTAGATGGTTGAGGCTTTCAAGAGCCATAGCATGGCTAGAAGGCCGGCCTGATGCCGTCATATCAGACACGCTATTCGTAGGCGTGTGGTCGGGTGATTTAGACGATTTGTCGTATATGGGAAAGCATATTTGAGGTATCTGTCCGTGATTAACACTGTGTCTGCCTCGGCGTGAGACGACTTACCTGGAAATCCATTCCCGACCACGAAAACAACAACAGACAGACCATGATATTTTCCAGGGCTTTGGCTTGCCACAAGTGATCACTATAAGCTCGAGCTCTAGTAGCACCATCCGTGAGCTCTCGCATGGCTTCGTGCCAATGACCAGCGCACATGTATAGAGAACCAATAACGATGCTCACTCTTCCGCGGCCCTTGTTCCGGGCTCGCTCTCCGACCCCGCCAGACCCAAAACCTTGGATAGACACTCTGTCGGCGCTGGCATCTCTGGTCTTTGTTGCGGGGGTATTCTGGGGCGGTGAAGTCGGGTTATTCACACCCGGAATCTCATCAAACGTAGTGGGGGGTGTACGCATTTCTTGACTGGAAGGTGAGCCAGTTCTGGGGTTGTCTGTTGACAGCGAGCTTCCGGATGACGATGGCAACACAGGCATCGACATGCGATGGAAATCCTTGGACTGTGCACCGGACACAGGTGACTCTGGTCTGCTTGCTGCAGGCGTCTGCGAAGCACGTCGTGAGAACTGAGCTGTGCCGGTTTCAGGACTGGCCCAGCTGGGAGCATTGTCTGCCAATCCGCTGTTCGAGGCTGGTGATGCAATAGTAGGCAACGCTTGAATAGAACGAGCAAGAGTCGTCATTTCTGCCAACAAGATCGAGGTTAGATCGCATATGATAGTTTTTAGGGTCGTTGTCTTCAGGTCTGCCATCGGAGGTATGAAGAGGGTCTCCTCTGGAGACAACCACGGATGCCGAGTGGGAGATGCAAACTCAAAAACCATCATGCAGTGGTGGTATGCTTTCGGAAATTGCTCTCTTAGGTCATCAGTCACTGAAGCTAACTCCTGTGCATCTTCATCATCTGGCGTGGGCACGACATGCGCGCTATCGTCATCACGTGACTTGTTAAGCCACGGATACTCTGTCGCGTCTGCGATGCCAATCACCAGCAGAGGCTCTCGGAATTGCTCAAAGGGTGATAGAGACAGCTGCGAAGCTGAAGGCAGCGACGTTGACAAGTCATATAGAAGGGTTCCATTGGGAAATGCAAGAGGAGAGAACATATCTGCACGGCGCCAAGATCAGTAATTGTCGGGCCTCAGGCGGGTTCAAGGGCTCGTACTCCTGTCTGGCCGAGGATCGGGACTAACATCTCCAAGTCGGACCAGCGATTGTTGACGCAGAAGGTCCACAAACGCTAAAAAGCGCATGCGCCTGATGCGGCCGACCGGGAGAAGCTGCACTTTGATGCGCGCAGGGGCGATGAAGTCCATCGGGGAGAGGGGCTCGGCTGCCATCGCCACATATGAGTCTTGTACGCGACTTGGCGGCCGAGAATAATATGTGTTACCGCAAGTCGAGGACTCTGATGGCCTTCTGATGCATCACGATACTGTTCGGTGTACGGTCAAGGACCAGGGAGTTTGGGCTACATGGCGGTCACGGCCGCCTGCAGTACTAGCCCCTTTCCGCGTTTAGCGCGAAACGCCACCGGCAGTGCTCCTGGTACCTACAGATTGCTGCGTGAGACAGGCAAACCTCAGTCTCAACATCACAGCCTGCGCCCGCGCCTCTTTCATTCTCACTTCCATTTTGCATAGCGCTGCATAATTTGGGGCTTTGTCATAGCTCTTCTATTACCTTCCTGCCCATTCGGTGCTTGGCCTTGCCACAGTCACCGTGACCAAACGCAAACCTCCAACGTCACACACTGTATTAGTGCAAGGCGTACCCTACAACTAATCTTCACCAGTATCTATCTGGTGCAGTTGTTTTCTTGTTAAAATACATTCGAGCAGCGTCAGCAGGCCAAGTATATATTCATCCACGACTGCCTAGGAGGCAGAGGCTGTGAGGCCGTGATATCTGCACTTAGCAAGAAACGCATTCGCCGTAATTCGATCGTGATGGCTACGATAGATTTTGCGCGGTTGCGCAATCAGACGATGGCTGATGGCCTCGACAGCGAGGTCACAGTCAACACTAGGGCTCTGATAGACAAGGTCCTAGCCCGATACTCAAGCGAGCATACCACCTTGCGCGAGTTGATTCAGAATGCTGCCGATGCGAAAGCCAGCACCGTCACCATCAGGCTGGAGACAGACCCCTCATTAAACGTCCCAACACCCCAAGGAGCGGAGGATCCCGTACTTCTCAGACATAAGATCCAGAATCACACCCTAAAGCGCCTGGTGGTGACCAACAACGGCCAAGCATTTTCTCCCGCAGATTGGAAAAGACTGAAGAGTATTGCAGATGGTAACCCTGACGAGACCAAGATCGGCGCGTTCGGCGTGGGCTTCTACAGCGTCTTCGCGGACTGCGACGAGCCTTTTGTAGTTTCTGGAGATAAGACCATGGCTTTCTACTGGAAAGGCAATACGCTCTCCACCAAGATAGCATCTGTTCCTGCAGATCACGATACGTCGTTGACCATCTTTTCTCTGGACTATCGACAAGCAAATCCGGCGTCACCGTCCTACAGCCCTTCAAAGCTGCCGAACATACCGACGCTTTGTCAATTTCTGGCAACCAGTCTGACTTTCGTCGGACTCGAAAGCATTGAGCTGCACGTAGATGACTATGTTGTTGCATCCTTCTCGAAGAAGATGTCCCCTCCCGAAGACATCCGAGTACCTCCCGGCCTCAAGACTGAGACGGAGGGTGGCCTCATGCGGGTCATCAACGTCACTCGACAGCACTCTCAGATAGACGCGGAGTGGCTGAATGTGATTGCTACCGCACAATTACCGCCGAAGAGGGCTGCAGATCTAGTGCAACAAGAAGTACGCAACGCGGGGACTACCTTGAGGAGCTTCTTCTCGAAATTCTCAGCTCCAGCTCCGCAGCCTGCTGCGAAAGCCGCAAAGCCAACTCCCACAGAAAAGCTTAGCTCGGACCAGGCCATTGCTGGTGAATCAAAGAGCACAATCTTCTTACAGTCCTACACTGTTGAAGCAGCCACCAAAGTGTCGCAGAAGTTTGCTGCCGAGATTGAACGATCAACGAAGAAATCTCCACCGAAGTCGACGAAGATTGCACTGTTGACTTCTCCGTACCAAGATCCTTCAGCCATGCTCTCCACCGGCTCTGGTAGTACTGCAGAAATGTCCGCAAAGATCTTTGCAGAAGTGCTGCCTACCAAATCTGGACGCATCTTCATTGGATTTCCAACTGCTCAGACGACTGGATATTTGGCCCACATATCAGCCCCATCACTCATCCCAACAGTCGAGCGTGAGAATGTTGACATGAACGCACGTTACATATCCACATGGAATATCGAACTCCTACGCGTGGCTGCCTTGGCTTGTCGGATCTCCTACGTTTCTGAGATGGCTGAGATTCAAGCTCGTGCCAAGGCGGAATCCATAGAAGCTTTGATTCCCCGGGCTGTCTACACACTGCAGCAGTATACTGCAAACACCTCACATCCTTCAACATCGCTTGGCGAGAGGATTGACGAGGCTTTTTGGAGCTGTTCTAAAGAGCGCTCGATTGCGATTCTATCGACTAAGGGAGTCATGGCCAGCAAGAATGTGCGTATGCCGGCCGAAACATTGAGCTTCCTGAACGAAGTGCCCATGGTACCCCAACAATTAGCCACTGAGGCTGTTGCTTTTATGCTCAATCTGCACAGGCGAGGCTTCATCACGGAGCTCACTATGCAAGACATCCGCCAAGGATTAGAGTCTCGCGCGCTCAACGAAGAGGAGCTGAGTGAGTTCATACGATGGTGCGGTGCGAAACTTGAGAGCGGCGAGATCGACATTCCTGGATCGCGCAGCCTATTCGAGAATACCGTCGCTAACGTCGATATTGTACCGGAAAAGAACTCGGGCAGGATCCTTGCTCTTGGAGACATCAGCACCTACGTCAACCCGGCCAGGATTACACCGACATTGCCCTTGCCATCTGACACGATCCCGTTCGCATTCACCAAGAACATGACTGCCAAGCAGCTGCAAATGTTTGGCTGGATCGAGCTATCGATGGTTCGGTGGCTCCGGCACCTTACGACGCCCCCACAGCTGGCCGAGTTTACTTCGTCTGAGACATTAGCTCTAGCGGTACTCAGTCTAGCATCGAAATGCTGGGAGCAGCTCGACGGTTCCTCGAAAGACACTGTTGTGAAGATTCTGACCCCACATGCCATCATACCCACCAAGGTAGGGCTGCGACGTCCACAAGAATCGTACTTTCCTACCGTCAAGCTGTTCGATGATCTCCCCACGGTGAAGCCTTTTGCTGGGTCGAAAGAGAAATTTCTGCTGGCTTTAGGTATTCGAAAGACTATCGACTTACCCATGGTCTTTGACAGGATGCGTAGCAAGGATACTGGCTCCGAAAAGGCATCTTGGAACCACGTGGATCTATTGAAGTATTTCGCTTCTGTCATTGATGAAATCCCAAAGAAGGATCTAGATCGACTGCGTGAAACGCCTTTTCTGCCTGGAGAGGGAAAGCTAGTGAAACCAGGACAGATGTTCAAAGCATCAGAACTCTACGCACCCGATCCGACTACCCTGTCACTTGGTTTGACGCAGATCAAGATTCCGTTTGAGTTTAAATCCAGTCTTCGTGAGGGGGCTCTCCTTCTGCGACTAGGTTTGAAGCAGTGGCCTGATTCTACCATAATGGCGAATATCCTTCACCGCGCTGGGTTGGCCAGTGATCAGAAGTTGTATCTTTTGGCCCTGGATTATTTCCTGCAAAACTACTACAAGAACAACTACGGTGCAGAAGTAGCCAAATTCGCAGCTCTGACTCTTGTAATCCTGCCGACAGAACAGGCTCCATTTCCGAATCTTGTTGCGCCGTTCCAATGTTACATGAACGAGAACGCAGCCTGCTTAGGCTTCTCTGTTCTGAGGTCGGATCTACGCCCACATGCTGAGAAGCTCGGAGTCAAGCGAGATCCTCCGATCGTAACATGTGTACAGCAACTGCTCAAGTCGCCGCCCAAGAGCAAGATTGATGCAGAAATGCAGTTCGCGTACTTTGCCAGCAGAGGTAGTGAGCTGGATCAGTCTCGTGGGCTTGTGGACAGCTTGTCGACTGCTAATATCGTCCCAATTTTCCGAGCATACTATCTGGACCCGACCTGCAGTGGCTTCCAGGACAACTCAAAGCGACAAACAGGCAAAACCGAGATGCGAATCCACCACTTCAATCCGCCGGAGCATGTGTTTGTCGGTCGCGACCAGGAATACCGCGGCATTCTCGACTATGTCCATTACGGTGCTGAGGCTACAGCCTTCTTATTGAAGATTGGAGCGAAGCATGAGCCAAATACGCGGGATCTTGCAGAGCTTCTGACCATCCAGCCAGGCCGCTTCCTCAACACCATTGGCCAAGAGAAGTATCTTGACCTGCTACGGAAGCTGGCTGAACATGCACCTGCGTTGTGGAAGGAAAAGGCGTTGATCGAGAGACTGGTGGCTTCCAGGATGCTGCTTGGTTACAGGGACATCAAGGAAGACTCTAAGAAGGAAGAATCCGTAGAAGATGACCTGGATGACTTCGATGAGCCAGGCGTGCATCGCGAGTGGTCGCTTAACAGCGCCCGGGAGATCGTTATTATTGACGATGTCAACCACCTCTACAGATTTCGCGACTACATCATTGCAGCACCGCAAGAAGAGGCTCTCGAAGAATTCTATGCACGTCTCGGTGCGCCAAAGATCTCAGACCTGGTCAAGACCAACCAGACAATTGGCGTCGTCGCTCGTGATCAGAGTCCTGCCATTCAGCTACGCAAAGACATATTGGAGCGCGCTAGACTATTTCTCCACGAGTACGAGCGAGATGGATCCTCGAAAGCTATAAGGCATGACGCGAAGTGGCTTGCGTCCAATCTGACTGTGCATTGCGTGTCGGATATCTCGATTCGCTATGCACTTGCAGAGCGCAACGTTACAACCTCGTCCAAGAAGTCTGCAATAATCGTCAAGATGCGGGCTGCTGGCTACGTCTTGAGTATCACGCCGAAGTACGACCTGTACGAAGTGTCAAAGGAACTGGTCCGGCTTCTGATTTCTCGACCTAAGCAGAACGACACCATCGCGCTGGAACGTATCCTGACAGAGCCACTGCGAAGGCTGCAACAAAAGGGTATCAACGTAGAACGGATTCTTCGTCGGAAGGAACACGAGGCCCGTATCGCAAAGCAGCAAGAGCTGGAGCACGAGCAGGAGGAACGAGACCGCGCGACGGAACAAGCAAAATCTGCTGTAGTAAGGGGAGCTGATACTGAGAACATGCCCCCACCGTCCACTCCGGAGAAGTCCAAAAATATGCCCGGTGCATTCGGCAACAGCCCAGACCACTCCACGGAAGTTGCCAACAACCGCCAGTCGATGGACAATGGTTTGATTGGAAATTGGGCGAAGAAGTTGGGTTTCAAGAACGCGCCCACACCCCCACCCGCTTCTGAACGCCAGGGCACTGATGGCCCGCAGATCGGTCGGGACATCCAAGCCACAAAGTCGAACATCCAGAACGCCATTAAAGAATGCAGGCCTGCTGGCCAGCAAAATATAAACACAAAGCACCACCAGGATCCCACGGAGCTTGACAGAGGCGGCTACTGCAACGGTGAGCAGTGGGAGAACCTGCACAAGGCTTTTTCTGTTCCGTTCAATGGCAGACACGTCGACATCTACTACGGTCGTGATGAAGCTGCACCGCCTGCAGAATTGCAGCCACTGCTCGGCAGCTTCCTCCCGCTCATCTTCGGGCTGACTGGCATATTCCAGGTCAACCCTGCGGCCGTCAACATCTTCCTTGACAGGAAGTCCAATACTGTCGCTTTCAATCTCAGCGGCAGTCTGTTCTTCAACCTTGCATGGTTCATAACCCTGCATGCGCCGGAATTTGACTCTCGTGAGGGCAGGCTGCGAGCGCTGGACAGCTGGTTCTTCACCTACTGCCACGAGCTGGCGCACAACCTGGTAGCAGACCACAATGCTAGGCACAATTGGTACAATCAACAGATTGCGATCGAGTACAGCCAACAGTACCGGGCGGCTTTGGAGGGATTCACGAGGAATCTCTTGATTTAATGACTGCATGTTTTGTTGTTCATGTTACAGGCGCCAGTTCACTCTTATGTAGAAGGTGCATAGCACGGCGTTGCCAGCAGACACGTCTGCAGCTTCCTTCCTAGACCGACTGTAAAGATTCCTTATCTTTCGATTCTCGTTAGTTGTGCCTTCCACATGTTTGCCTGCACTCCCTCGCTTCGTTTGCGCCTACGTCATCGAAGCCTAGAGCGAAGTGAGAGTGCAGGGCATATATAAAATCTTCACTCCCCGCTACTCCATCTCTCCTCCACAACTTCTACAATCTCACCAAGCTCTACAATATGAAGCTCGCAACCCTCGCCCTCAGCGTCTTTGGCCTCGCCAGCCTCACAGGCGCCCAGAACGGTAACGATGGCATGATCCAGGACAACCCCACCGGCCCGGTCGTGACCGATACCTTCACCACATCGTACACCAAGCCAGTGAACGCTTGCGTTCCTGTTCTAGTGTCTTCTTCATATGTTCGCTCAAACACTTACATGGCGCCTATTTTCTCCACGCCTGTGCACGATTGCACCTCTCTCCCCCTTCCGCCTATACCTAATCGCTCAAACACCTGGCTTCGGCCCACCGCCTCCTCCTTCAAGTGCTGGCACAACGGCTACCCGTGTCACCGCTCTCAGCGTTATGTCACCATGTTCGCTCGCGCGACGCCGGCGGCTGGCCCAGTCGCTCCTCGCGTCCCTCCACCAGAGTGGTTCAGCACGCGCACCGATGTTCCGCTTCCAGGCCATACCAACGCCCCTACCGAGACTGGTGACGATCGTATGGGTATCCTGCCTATTCCGTACTCGCTCCTCGAAGTCCCTGAGGAGGCTGTGCCCAGCGAGCCTGCGTACTCCGCGCTTCCAATCCACCACCCAGCGTCCGCGCAGCACAACGACCTGGCCGATCATTCTGGCGATGTCCATACCTCACTTCCTACTGAACCTCAAGTTGCGGCTCGCGGAGCAGGTGTGCCAGTTGACTGGTGGCGCGGCCCGGGAGAGGATGTCGTGCCTGAAGCTTCAGGTCCGGTGTTGAGTCAGGAACTGGTCGCCTCTACCACTGCCACCGTCACTGCTGCCTCATCAGGTCTTCCTGCTGTGGCCGCGGCTCATCCCACCACGGACCCGTGTTATCGCCACTACTGTCCCTCGGGCCAGCCGGTCGTGACGCCAGACACATCGATGAGCACCTGGACTTATCCTGATGTGCCCGCGGGAACTAGCCATGCGGATATACCTCCACTGGTGTCGATGGCCACCTGAAGTGCGGGTGCGTCATAGAAGTGTCGCGAAGGCGTTCTGAAAGCAATGATCATGGAACGATGAAGGACGGAGGATAAGCAAAAGCATTCATGCACTATCGAGCAGATATAGCTGAGAGTCTGGTACTCCAGCCAATCTTCCAGCAAAGCCCATAATATAGATCAACTTCACAATAAATAAAAGTATCTCACAATCTCCATCTCCATAAATGCATTGCTACGTGCTTCTCACAGCCCGAATCCCTCAAGCGGATACTCCACGCTCTCAATCGCCTCTGGATACTTCAACTCGCCCTGCCGCCGCACCTCGTCCATGACCTCCATAATCTGAATGCTCTCCTCCCATCCTATAACCTCACTCTCCAGCTTCCCATCCCGAATACACCGCGCACACTCATCCGCCTCCCAAAACATGCCATGGCCGCCCGGGATCTCAAACGTCTTGCGCTCGTACTCAAAGTCCGCAGGACGCCCCCTGCGCTCGCTCTTCGCCGGAGTCAGCGTGTACGCCAACGGCCTGTACGACGGCGCCGCGACACTGATATCCCCCAGCGTGCCCTGGATGCGCACGGGATCGGGCCCCGGATGCTCTAGATTCGGCTCATTCGAGACACGTATATTCGTCAGCGCAACTGCATGCGCATCCCCATTCCCGCCCTCCGCCGCCGTCTCGCGCCCCCCAACCCACGCATCGCGGAACTCCAAAAGCACGGCCGTCATCTCGTCGCACCCGGTCGCCGAGTACAAACTCATCGCGGCCTTGACGCGCGGCGCTTCCCGCTCCGCAGCGTCCTGGGCTTGCAGGTGCCACAGCACGCCAAACACCCACGTCAGACTGTACAGCCCGAGATCCAGCAGCGCGCCGCCCGCTAACTGCGTGTTCACCATGCGGTGTTCGGTGCCGAACTCCGACGCCACGCCGTTCCAGAACGACAGGTCCGCGTGCACGCGCTTCACGGTCCCGAGCCGGCCCTCCCTCACAAACCCCTGGATCTCGCGGAACAAAGGGAAGAACCGCGTCCACACGGCCTCCATGACAAACCGCTGCTTCTCTTTCGCCAGCGCATAGAGACGCCGCGCCTGTGCCGCGGTAACGCACACCGGTTTCTCGACCAGCACGTGCTTGCCCGCGTGCAGCGCCAGCAGCGCGTGCGCGTAGTGGTGCGAGTGCGGGGTGGCGATGTATATGATATCGACATTTTCATCGCGGACGAGGGCGGCGTAGGAGGCGTGCGGGGTTGCGGCGGGGACGCCGAGGGAGTGGAGGAAGGTGGTGGCGCGCGCGAGGGAGGAGGAGGATGCGGCGGCGGTTATGGTGTGGTGGATGTCGTGCACGGCGCGGGTTGAGGGGGGGACGAGGAGGTCTTTGGCGAAGGCTGGGGTGGGGTTAGGGAGGGGGTGGGGAGGGGGAAGGGGCAGGGGAGGAGGGGGGTACTTGTTGCGATTCCGCCGGTTGCTGGGGGAGTGTTAGTGGGATCGGTTGATATCTGGGTGGTGAGAGACTACCTAGGATGCCCCAGCGGAGGGTGAAGGGCTCAGACGTCATTGTGGTTAGTGTTTGGGGAAATCGACTTCAATGGGTTGACGGCGAGTGATCCATTTATATACAAGCATCGCGAGATGTGCGGAGGACATGGTCCGTACTGCTTTCTTGCAGTCAGATACGCAGGTACCCCGCTGTGGTGATGTCTGCGTGGGGTCGGCGGGACGGCATCTCGGGAAACCATCCGAAGACTGTCAAAAGAAGGCAAAGTAGACGTCGAAAGTGCAAAACGTAAATAAATTCAGGGTATATACCAAATCCCAGCTTTTCCTATCTTGCCTTACTGTACAACAGCGGTCGAAGCCGACGCTCGTACAATCATACACTACATTCTCGGGGTCGTTGCTTGCTGGCAGGTTCTCACGTGCCTCAAGCTGTCGGGTTGTGCGTCTACTGACGGGCGAGCTTCTTGCGCGCCTGGACGGTGTAGGCATACAGCACGTCCTTGAAGGCGAATAAGAACGCAGCGGTGATGACGCTCTGGGTGACCTTGGGTCCAATGCCTGCTCTCGTTAGCGACAGGCCGTCTCAGGTAATGAACATACACACCTCCATACAGACCGCTGTAGCCCTCCTCGCTGATGATCCTCTTGAAGGTCGTCAACATGCTCTCCCTCTTGTCATCCCGGCCGGCAACGTGCATCCTGCTCTTGACGGTGATGTACGGGTAGGTGATGCTCGTAGCGAGCAGCTTGCCCAGGGCGCCGAGATAGAAGGCGTCCTTGGGCGTGACCCTCCTTTTCTTCTCCAGGAAGTTCTTCATCTGCTCGAACACGGTGTACTGCAGGATCGGGTTGATGACGAGCACCAGCGCGGGCGCAACACCGGCGAACAGGCGCAGGAAGCCCTCGTCGCGGATCAGCGTCAGCAGCGTGGCCAGCGTCGAGGGCGCCTTGGCGGGCGACGCGCCGGGCAGGACCTGCTCATCCGACTCGGACTTGCGGGTGGTCATGCGCGTGTTGATGACCCAGATAGGGTTGGTGAGCAGCACCGTGGCCGAGCCGGCAAGGGCGCCCGCCATCATCGACTCGACCGTGGTGAGCTTCATCGAGGCGCGGCCGGCCTTGAGCGCGGCCTTCTCGAAGAACGAGCGGGTCCACTCGTACCCTGCGCAGTCAGTGTGGTGCTCGAGCGGGCGGGCGGGGGCGCGTACAGTAGTAGTAGACGAAGTTGGTCACGGTGATGCCGAACAGCGCAGAGTCCATGCCCGCGTACAGGCCCGTGACGCCCTCGCGCTTGATGATGCGGCGGGCGGCGCCGAGGGTCGACGACTGGGCGCGCTTCGACTCGACCTGGGCGCGGGTCGAGAGCGTGATGAGCGGGTATGTCAGCGCCATGGACAGCAGCCCGCCGCCCGCGCCGGCGAGGGCGTGGGCCACATTGTCGCTCTGCTGGGCGGCGGCGCTCGTGGGGACCGGCTGTGTCGACTCGGCGAGCTTCAGCTGCGCTTCCTGCTTGGCCTCAGACATGGTGGGTGGTTCGAGTCGCGTCGAGCGAGTGCGGTGTGGCTTGCTGGTGATAAGATGCTATGAACGAGCGAAGAGGGGTTACTTGGACTCAGTCCGGCGTGCGGTGTATACCAGAGTCTGGTGCGGCGTGCGGATCCGATGCATTTGTGGAGCTCGGTCTGGGGTAGCAGGCCTGTGAGATCATTCTTGCCTACCTCGGCAAAATAATCCCCCCCTGCGGTTATCACGCCCACCACATGCAATCTCCTGGCAGCCGAGCATCATGCGTAGCCAACGAGTCGTCACATGTCTCACCATTTCCACACTTTCTCTGACTCTGATTACTCTTTTAATTACATCCCTGACGTGACGTGGACGAGCTGTCTGGTTGCAGGCCTACCTACCGTACGCCCTGCGCTCCACCATCCTAAAGGGCACATACAACGCCGCCGACAGCACCAGCGCGACTTCGAATCCAATGTCTCCGGTTTTCTCCGCAATAGGACCCACAAACCACGTCTGGCTCATGCCCGGAATCACAAGCCCAAAGCACAGAACAGCAGCCCCAATGGCAGCGTATCCGGGAGGCAGCTTCGTGACGTCATCCCAAGCGCCTTCGTCTTTGGTGTAGGCTGCAAAGCTGGCTCTGCGGAAGAACAAGTGCTCCGTGAGCATGATGCCGATGAAAACAGCAGCCCAGTACCCAATCAGCCCTAGGAAGTTCTCGAGGTTCAGGAAGAACGACTTTGCCGCGGGGATGGCAACGCCTATGACGATGCCCGTGATGAGTATAGCGTAGAGGACGCGTGGGATGCGGAAGAAGAACGGCAGCGCCATCTGGAAGTTTAGCGTGATGGCGTACATGGTCGCGCTCAGGTTGCCCAGCATGCTGAATGCCAGGACGACCGTGACGAAGCGTCCAAAGCCGCCCGCTGGTTGCAGCATGGCTGCCAGCACGCCAGACGCTGCGTTGACGTTGTAGCCCTCTTGCCATGCCGGGACGTTAGCTTTGGCACCGCCCATGGCTGCTCCAAGACTCATGAGGAGAATCGTGGGTAGTGCGAGACCCGCGTATGTGTACGCCGCGATCCGGAATGGCGGTGCCTTGGGGTGCATGTAAGTGCTGAAGTCGCTTGCGAGCGCCGCCCACGGGAGCATGAAACTGGCCACCAGGCCGCCGAACGACAGCACCTGCTGAGCAGTCGCACCAGGAGCAGCGACTTGCTGCCTCAGCCCCGCTTGACCGCAGCCTGTAGCAATGACCAGCGCGAGGACAGCGGGAATCCACGCCCAGCGCTCGTAGTGATGCAGAATGCGGAACCCGCAGAAGGCAACGAGCATGGCGAGCAGGGAGATGATGACGATGCCCACGGTGGCATTGATGGTCTCACCGTCCATCACCGCGGACAGTGCCTGGCCGCCGATTGTAGCATCGACGACGCAGAATCCGGTGAGCGTTGCGAGGTTCAGCAGTACGAGCACCGAGACAAGGTACTTGCCAAACGCAAAGCGGGCTTGCACGAGTTGACGCATTCCCGTCTGCGGACCCCACGTGCACATGTACGCCACCGGCACTGTCGACACCAGCGTGAAAAACAGTATCACAAGTGCCGCATCGCGCAAGTTCAGGCCGAACGAGGCCGTGCCGACCATGCCAAAAGTCACCCTAGTCACGTATCAGCCTTGTCTTCGTCACTGTCTGACCGCACTTACGGAAGGGGGTTGCAGCTCATGCAGAACCACAGCGTGAAGATGTTGAAGTAGTTTGTCTCCGTCCGCTCATCGTACGGCACCGGCGTGGCACCTTGGAGTTCGACATCGCCCCGTTTCGCAAGCAAGTTGAGTATCCCACGCACGCCCCCGACCCGTGATGCGTTTCCCCGGTGTGGAGAAGGCGCTGGAGAATTCTCACTGCCGACCTGAATCTTCCCTAGCTCTTCCTCCGACGCAGCAATCATAGGAACCACCATCTTGTCGGCGCGATGTCTCCGGGCAGCTGCAGTAATGCCAGGCTAAGTGGAGCACAAGTTTGATCCCGAAGACCTGGTCGGAAGGTTGTCACGTCGTAGTGCAGCAGAGGACCCTGCAATCCACAACTTGTAGACTGTAGCTCTGGAGATCAGCGCTGCGTTGGTGGTTTTGATTTGCCTCTATCAGCATGCGCGCGTCTAAAAGATCTGTTTATCATGACTCCCCCAGTTTTTCCACCGTGCACCGCGTGGCGCACAAAAACCTTTCCCGCCGGAACTGTCCTCGTTAACCCGTTCGAGGCCCGTCTCGCGGCCTCACCCGCAATTTTCAAGGCGTCGCCGGTGTTAAGCGAGGCCCAGCCCTCGTCTGAGTTTAGCGCGCAAGTCGGACGTCGACATCACACGACTTCGCCGATGCCTCGCCGGTCGGCTGTCGTCTCCCGGCAATCCTATAGGATTGCGGTCGCAGATGCTCCGAGATGCTGGGACTAAAGAGACGATGGCAGCAGTGTCGCGGGGGGATTTGGGGGAAGGCTCTTCGTCTCGCAAATTCTTGAACAGACGCTGGAATGGCTGCGACTGAGAACAAGGCTGTTCAAAAAGAGGTGGCGGAGGAGCCTGAGGTTGCTGTTGGGACTGACGAGATGTACAGCATCTACACCAACAAAGAGAAGTGGCTTATTGTTGCCATGGTGGCTTTGGCGGGCTTTTACAGGTACGTCGAATCTGAATCGTTCTGAATTCAGCTAACAGTTTGTAAAGTCCTTTGCCAGCCAATATCTACTTCCCGGCCATACCAACGATAGCGAAGGCTTTCCACAAGTCAGTGGACGATGTCAACCAGACCGTTACTGTATACCTCGTATTCCAGGGTATATCCCCAATGCTCTGGGGACCCATCAGCGACAGATACGGCCGACGACTCGTCTTCCTCGGGTGTCTCAGTATCCTCGTCGCCGCGAGCATCGGCCTAGCTCTTTGCCCAACAGATCAGTTCTGGCTCCTGCTCTTCCTCCGCTGCTTCCAGTCCGGCGGAAGCGCCAGCACCATCGCCCTCGGCGCAGGCGTCATCGGCGACATCTCCACCAGCCGCGAGCGCGGCGGCTACTTCGGCATGTTCAATCTCGGCCCCATGCTTGCGCCCTGCATCGCACCCGCCATGGGCGGCGCCCTCTCGCAAGGACTCGGCTGGCGCTCCATCTTCTGGAGCATCGTGATCATGGTCGCCGCATGCCTCGTCCTGATCGCGCTCTTCCTGCCCGAAACCCTGCGCTCCATCGCCGGCAACGGCAGCATCCCCGTGCCCAAGCACTCGCGCGCCCTCCTCCCCATCGTCGGCCGCCGCGCCCAGCCCTCAGACCCAGCCCCACACTCCCGCGCCCGCCCCACGCACTCCGTAAACCCGTTCGTGCTCTTCACCTACCCGGACGTCCTGGTCCTGCTCTCCTTCACCGGCGCCGTCTACGCCGTAAACTACACCATCACGGCCACCATCTCCTCCGCGTTCGCGCGCATCTACCCGCACCTCTCCCCCACCGCGCTCGGGCTGTGCTACCTGCCCACCGGCGCCGGCATGATCATCGGCAGCACGGTGACGGGCAAGGTGCTGGACGCCGAGTACGCGCGGCTCAAGGCGCGGTCCGGCGACGCGTTTACCATCGAGTACGCGCGCCTGCGCCTCATGCCGTACTACCTGCTGCTCTTCGTCGCGTGCGTGATCGCCTGGGGCTGGGCGCTGCATGCGCGCGCGCACATGGCCGTGCCGCTGTGTCTGGCCGTGCTGTTGGGCTGGACCAGCATGGGCATTCTGAATACCACGATGACGCTGAATATCGATATCCTGCAGAGTCGCAGCTCGGGCGCGACGGCGTGTACGAATTTAGTGAGGTGCTCGCTGGCGGCGGTGCTGGTCGCGGTTATTGATCGCCTCACGGGGGCGCTGGGTGTGGGCTGGACGTATACGTTGTTAGGGGGTGCTTGTGCGGGGTTGTTGCCGCTGATGGTGTGGGAGATGCGGATGGGGCCGACGTGGAGGGGGAAGAGGGAGGCGCGGGAGGAGAAGTAGGTTTGAGCTTGGATTTGAGCGCGAGCATACACGTTTTATACCCTTGTTGTAGTTGAATTGGATTTTTCATGTCACCACTGGTGTCTGTCTACGTTTGGGGGTGATTTCTTCTCTCGAGCTAGACCTTCATATGAATGTTTAGACCCGGCAGCCTTCTTAAGGCTATGAGCAATCAGACTAGGTAAGCATAGCCTTCTCATGGATCTAATAGCAGTGACGAATAGTAGCACTCTCGGTTGGGACGACTTGGTCTACATCGATCTAATCAGTGCCGGATTTGGTCTGACATGCGCCAGGTTTTGTGAGACTGACTGAGAGATCGTATTTAGCAAAAACGATATGCTCTGCAGCGCTTCTCCAACACGTCTTTCCCGTTGTTTCAGATTCTGCTGACTCCGCCTTTAGACAGAAGTGTAGATGTTGGCTGGGCTGATAGCAGTTCAGCCTTGCATCCCTCCTGCCTCGCGCCTTTGACATGCGCATGAGAAAGAGCGCTCGCCAACGTCTCTCCTGTCACTGTCCAGTCATTTCCGGTCAAGAACTCACCACCCATCCTTGCTCGCATATGCGGGAGTGCTGACAGCAGCTGCAGCCTGCATTTACTCAGCCTTGTGTCTTGGATCTGCAAACGTTCGTAAAAGGACGCTCGCCGGCACTCCTCACTCACGCAACTCTCCATCCTTCCTCCCACTTCCATCTCCGTTTCCGAACACCACTAGACCTTCATCCATACACAAGAGCCGGTACAGATCTTCTCGAGCACAGCTGACGCGAGGCAAAGAGGTTGTTGCTCAGCCTTGCCTGCAGCTTCTTGATCCGGCTAGCGCTGATGGTGTGTTGTTACTTGTCACTGCCTGCGCTCCTTCCTGAACTCCTGGACATTCGACGTTTTAACCCGCTTTGATTTCATGCGTTTTTTTACACTACTCGAGTAACTTCGCCTTCGACACTCGACTTTTGACTTCTGGCGATCGACGCTCGGTTTCGCTACGCTGAGCACCAGGAGCCTCAGTGCTTCTTAGTGACATGCCCAACGCCAATGCGAAGGCGCTTATACCGCTCCAGCGCCAAGAGGGAGCCTTGTGTAAGCAGTGCTCGCAGATACCCTGGGAGCGGCTTGTTGATGACGAAGCCCTTGAGTTTTTGAACCTGGAAGCGGGCCAGAGGAAGCAGAAGAGGCTGTCGTGTCGCATCTGTCGCATGCTGGAACAAGGCTTGGCCCAAGGACTATACACGCCTACATATCTGAGTTTCTGGTACAGTGAAAAGTACTTACATTTTGAAGATTCTTTATCCTTGGAATCGAGATATGTTTGCTCCATCGACCAGGATAGACATCCGAGGTATAACCCACACATTCTTACTACTCGTCTTTCGCCCCGGAAATTTCAACATGCTTTGCAGCACAAGTTTCCGCAGCAAGTCGATGTTGCGAAATTGAGAACCTGGATCGGAGATTGTGAAAATTTTCACGATCAGTATTGCACACCTTCTCAGCTGCCTGACCTCGTAGGAATGAAGATCATTGATTGCGAGCGTCAAGTCGTTGTGGATGTACCTCGCGACTGTAAATTCGTTGCTTTGTCGTATGTCTGGGGAGACCAGTTTTCACAGTCGAAATCATCATTTGGTCCTCAGGCGAAACTTCCAAAAACGATCCAGGACAGCATTCAATTGACGCAACAACTGGGTCTCAGGTACCTTTGGATTGACCGTTATGTAGGCAGTAACCAGCACTTCCCGAATCAAGAGACTGACATTGATAGTGCATCGATCAAGACAACGCGCGAGAAAAATACATACAGATTGCACAGATGGGACACATCTACTCAGCAGCATACTTAACAATCGTTGCTGCTGCAGGAACTGGTAGCGATCACGGCCTACCCGGAGTGACACCCAACAGCCGAGCAGCAATAGACTACGTAGCCGTAGGATCAGTGTATTTGTATACGATTCCTCGGTTCTATGCGCTCTTCGACGTTAATCGTACTCTTTGGTCCAGTAGAGCATGGACTCTCCAGGAAGGGATAATGTCCAAAAGACGCCTCATTTTCACGGAGCACCAAGTTATCTACGTTTGTGGCACCAGTACGCAATATGAAGCTCCTATGCCCCCAAAAAACGATAGGTATTATGTTACTAAAGGCCGTGAACACAATATTGAGGACTGGCTGACCCGAAGGTCATTGCAACATGACAAGCGAACAGACGAGGGCCAACTGCTACAAGCCATGGTGTTTCTCGCTGATTACAGTAGTCGAACACTTTCTTATGACACCGACGCTCTTAATGCAATAGTTGGTGTTCTCAACACGCTTTCTACCGACAACGTCTACCACATCTGCGGCGTTCCAGTACATCTACCAACCTCAACCTCAACCTCAAAATCCCCTAGAAGAATGTGCAACAAGGAGCCTTGCGGTAAAATTGCCTTGTTCTGGTATCACTTAGAGCCTGCTCGTCGACGAGATGGATTCTCAAGCTGGTCTTCTGTTGCATGGGATGGTTCAATCGATTGGCTCGACAGCAGACATAGAGAGCATACTTTGGATGCAAGACATGTTCGTGTGCTGAGCAAATCTGGTAAACACGATCTAAGGACATACATCTTGTCAACCACATCACTGGAGCCTGTGCAACTTTTAGAGTGTGACGCACAAGCAATTGAATTTAAGCTGAGTGACGGCAGCTCCTTGGATTGGGCGCCAGGGAATTACAGCTCAGTCTGCGTTGTGATGGCGCTTGACAGCGCTCACAGCATAGTCTTGTTGCCCCTATGGGACATATGCTACGATATCAAGGACATGTCTCCCGTCATTGGCGTGTTCCCCTCCGCCAAGGCAATTGATGATGCTAGCAGTGAATTAGAAGGCTGCATCCTCTTGAGAGCACAGGGAGAGCATTACGAGCGCGTGGGCTTTGTTTTACTGATGGACATCTTCGCCAAGGCCAATATTAATCCTAGATTTGACTATCGGTTTTTCCGTATAGTCGATAACGACATGCAGATCGTTAGTGAACGAGACCATAAGGATCTTGCGCACAGATTGGCAGATCCCGATGGGCGCAGCTGGTGGGAAAGATACGCCAAGAAGAAAACGATTTTATGGGGTTAGTTATGACTTGACCCATCGAAATACAACATTTCCAAATACCGTGTGGCTACAGGAATCTCCTCCACTGTCCGCCCAAGGCACCACGGAATTCCTCAATCACCTATGGTCAGATTTGGAACCTACTGGGCTTTCGCACATCATGAGTGAACACGTCTTACCTTCTTCACTTCCCACTCCCGTGGCACGGCGTCCACCTAGTATCGATGTCTGTGGACTTCTGGCTTGTTGACCACGCGTGCTGTTCTAAGTCTAGACACTGCTTTGTTGGTGCATGTGGGCTGCATGCCTGTGGATGCGTTGACTGCGGGGATACATGTGGACGGCGTAGGTTCGAGGTGGTTTTCGTGTGGTCTTGTGAAGGGTGGTGTTAGAGTGTGGTTGTCGTATATGGTGGCTAGTGAAAGTCGGATTTTGAGGTCTGACAGGGATTTGGTTCGAGTGAGTTGACGTGCAAACTTCAAGCCTACTGTACATGCGCTCTGTAGCTTGTGAGACAGTTCTAGATATGGGTGCTGGGCAAAGGTGCACACCATGTGGTTTGCCATGGAGATCCGTCACCATGAACCATTCTAAAATCTCAGGTGTCGTTCTTCCATGTTCGTCTTCACAAAATTCTTGCAAGGTCAGTTCTGGAGCAAGTGCTGCACCGGTAGAGCATTTGCATCCCCAACTGCTGACCTCGCGACTGCCATTAGCTAGTCGTCAAAGGCCAATGTACAAATTGGGTATGTCGTGTTTGCTGTTTGCTGATCACGGAAGCGTTACCCCGGTGATGTACAAGCTGTTGCCTTATGCGGCTAGTGTGGAGAATCAGTGGGCGGCTTTGGTGCTCACTTAACAGCTTCCTCCTCACCGTCGCAAACCACAGCCTTCACGAACAAATCAATCGCGCCTTCATCCGAGCACATCAATCGCATAATTTCCCCACGCGCAACCTTATACCAGCAACTACATCACAATGTCCGCCCAGCAAGACCAGCAGATGGAGGGTGTCCAGGACAACAAGGGCAAGGGCAAGGCCCCTCAGCAAGACAACCTGGAGGAGTCCGATGACTCCAGCGATGAATCTGCTGGCGAGGAAGTTGTAAGTTCGCGATCGGACGTCTCGTGTGCTTGCGCAAACAACTAACAAACTTGCGACAGGCCGTTGAACGTACGAGCACTAACACCTATATTGACGACGAGCGCAATGCTAATACGAACAGCTGAGGAGGCCGACGAAGACAACATGGAGGAGATCGAGACATCGAACATCATCCACGGTTCCCGCACACGCGGCAAGACGATCGACTTCGCGAAGGCCAACGAGGAGCTCGGCGATGACGACGAGGAGGATGAGGACGACGACTTCGTTGACCCCGATGATGAGATGAAGGACTAAGGGGCGCAAAGCGCGCAAGTCCAGTCTTGGGTACGTGGGTGCGATTGCCACTCTGGAGGGGCTTGTACTACGAGGGGCAAATACTGATAGTAACAGAGCGACATTGACGCGATTACGACCCTTTGATGTTGGCAATGCCGACTGGATGGTGATGGAGTATGATACACGGAATAACTGGGAGCATTGGGTAGCGGGCACTTCCTGCAAACATTGAAAGGTCTTGGCGCGATTTGCTGGGGAGTGAGGGGCTGTTGAGCGCGCGTCAAGGCGCGTGAGTTTCGCACTTCGCCCACCTACATCACGGCTGTAGCCACAAAAACGCATTATGAATTAATCTTCGAGCATCGAACACGATCTTGTGACGTCTGCGATTACCCTTTGGACTCGCTTGCATTTATATCTACCGCCTCTGCACGTTGCTACAGCGAGCTAACGTCTGCTACGCAGCTCACTAACCATCTGACAGCAGTAGCGCACCCAGCGCAAACCCCCGGACACCCAGCCCTTTACTTATACCCCGACCCAAGCCCAGCTGCCATCCCCTTGCACTCCTTCGCAACCCAGACTCCAGCCCTTGCACCAACTCCTCAAGCAAACCTTCATGCGGCCCCACTAGCCCAGCCCCGCCCCCACTCACACTCGGCTCTCGACGCTCGGAGCCGATGCTTAATTGAACGTGTGCGCAGGGCTGTGTTGTGGGGTGCATTGCTTGTCGGGCATGGCTTGTCGGGTATAGCGGTCTGACAGCTCGCAGTGGGTCCCGTGGGGAGCAGAGATAACGCAGAGGGTTGCTCCGGGCGGCGTGGGCGGAGACGGCCGTTGGGATTGTGAGGGTTGGGGATCGGGGATGGGCAGATGCGTGGAGGTGCTGGAAGGGGGTTTTGTTCGTGTCTTGTTGCAGGACGGTGTGTCTAGTTTTTCGATGTTTGGATGGGAGTCAGTCGCGATCAGGACTCTGGAAGTAAGACTTCAGGGTAAAGGGATTTCTAGGTTAGAATTGTCCCTGTCCATTGACTTGGCCACGAACGACGTTGGAGTCCACGTTTTGCAAGGATGCTGTGATCTCGCAGGCGAGACCCTTCATCAATGCATCAAAATAACATAGGTAGGGCTGATAGTCGACTCTTTTACCTATAGTGCGGAGCAAGGATGCAGTCGGTTCGCTGTCAGCGCTGGTGGATCTACCTTTCCCAGATCTTGAGGCGAGCTGGAACAGTTGTCTTCAGCGACGGTCCGTTTTCCGGCGGAAGTCAAAGACATTATGACCTGGCGAAGCAATCGGCGTGGCAACAGGGCCAAGACAGATTACTCTGGTGAGGTGCGATCAGGCGGTTGAGAATCCAGGGCTGACCTGCAAGGTAACGATGACCTGTAATGATTGGACTGTTGATCAACGTCGTCACAAGGTATCTTCTCGTGGCTTTGAAACGGAAGATGCTCACTAGCGCCTTACTGGCATTTCACTCTCTTTCTACGTGTGTGCAGGGGTAACTGCTTCTATTACCGACTGAACTGCTGCTTTGTTACACTAATTGTTTCTTGTAATCATGTCCCGCTTTCTGGTCAATTTCTCGGGTCAGTCCCTTTGGCCAGCTGTTGAGCCAAAATCTATCTTCGGAAGAACAATTTCTGCGCTATGTTTTTACTTTTTGTAGTTTCGTCGTCTTTTTTCATTTGGTCCCGAGTGACACCCACAATGAACTTCAACGTTCGTAAGTTTTGGAGTCTTTAAGGATATCCACTGCCGCCTTCTCGCTAATCATCATGACAGGGAGCTGGATATAGTAACCTGGGATTTCAGGAAATACAGATGCGTCCACCACCCGCAGGCCCCTCGTACCCTTTACCCTAAACTTGGAGTCCAGCACGGCCAGTCGATCGTCAGGGCCGCCGATTTTTGCGGTGCAGCAGGCATGATGACCCCAGCTCGTATCTTTGACCCACTCGGCCAGATCCTCCGAAGTCTTATACTCTGACCCTGGAATGATCTCTGCTACATTCGTGCCCGTATCGTTAGCGTAGCGCTGAATTATTGATCGCGCGTACTGCATCCCTTCAACTACAGCGGCAAGGTCGTACTGCCAATCCCCAGTTCCCGCATCAAAGTATCGAAAGTTGATGTCTGGTACGTCTCTTGGATCTGTACTTCGCAGTTTTACGACACCTCCACGATTTTTCGTCCGCGCTTTAAGGACCGGCCAGGTCCAACTGTTAGGAAAGCGAGCACCGATGGTTGAGTAGCCACGGAAGTATCCTGCAAAGTAGCCGGGCCGGCCTGAGATGATAAGATCATTTTCAGGGCCAAGAGCTACAGTTGAGCGTCTTGGAATGGAAACGGGCCGTCCGTTTGTTGAGTAGCGGGATGCATTGCTCTTTAGGTCGTTCCATGCTTGTAGACACGGATCATTTGCACTAACACCGAGTGTACAGTTCTACAAAAGAGTTTTAGCGGGGACAATGACACGAGTTCTGGAGTCCCTACCTGCCAGATCGTGAACGGCGTCGTCAGATTTACGATCACAGAATTCTCGTATCGATCCTGAAGGTTCTCACCTACACCTGGCAGGTCGACAATGACAGGGATATCGAGCGACTTCAATTCACTCGCCGGCCCGATGCCGCTGAGCTTCAGCAACTGAGGCGTGTTGAAGGCTCCACCAGCAACGATTATCTCTTTTTTAGCATACGCTATGCCCTTGACACCGAAATGGCTCTCCTGCCACCTCGGATCCGCTCGATACAGGCTTTCGCCATATAGGAATTCTACCCCAATTGCACGTTTTGTACCTTTTTGAAACACAATTTTGGTGGCGAGACAGTTAGTCTTGATGTCGATCCTGCCAACTTTCTCCTGGTTTGCAAGCAACTGCGCAGTATTCACTAGGAAGTCCCGAGGTGAGCTACGTTTGTAGCGATCCATGTTCAATGGTGTGTTGTATAATCCATCCAGATTTGCTGGCGATGGGGCGTTCATGTCACCTTGAAGCTTGTCGATAAGATCCTGTTTCGAGACAATCGATTGTCCGTTGAGTTCAGCAGCAGCCTGGGCGGTGTCAGTCGCAACGCGGTTCAATCGCCTTCATAGATCTCACCTTCACCATATTGTAGCACTGATCATCGCGGAAGAAGAACTGCTCCTCAGCTCGGTTCATCGACATCCATCCGTCGAAGCCGTGGTGAGGCGAGCCTCTGGAGAGATACTGGCAGTTCTCCATCTTCAACCAATATTCTCGCATTCTTCCTGGCGCCCAGCCTGCATCGGATGTGAGGTTCGCGATCTTCGACCAGTCCTCATCAACTGGATACATCATGATGAGGGCGTTGTGATTGACACAGCCACCAACAGCTGCAGTGCGGGGGTAGAGGAAACCCTTGGGCGTAGAACCTGGGCTTACGCCCAACTGTAGAGTTCCATTGGGTGCAGAGGTATAGTACTTTGCGTCTTTGGCGTTCCGTTCTTCATCATCGTAATGTTTCACCTAGAAACATGTATCAACTTTTGTTCAGCTTCTGAACATCGCACCAACATACAAAAAAGTCCCAAGCCATCTTTGGGTCTTCACTAGCTTTCCCGTTAAATAATGGCACAGTTGCATTGTAATCGGTTGCCGCAATGTCGACTCCAGCTTCAATGACGAGCACTTTATACCCTGCCAGACCAAGGCGGGCAGCGAGAGGTGCGCCGCCTGGACCGCTGCCAACAACAACATAGTCGTAATTTCTCAGAACGATGGGCTTCTCTTCAGGAGGCAGCGTCGAAGCTCGACACGCTGCAAGGCAAGCGAAGCTCAGCAGTAGTGATCTCGCGAATGTCGCCATAGAACAGCCGGGTAGTTCCTTGTATCTGGCCTTTCATGGAGGTATTTGTTGACCATCTTATACAACACAAGACGAGCGATTCCAGGCTGGAGGCCTGATTCGATAGTGCAGTGGCTTCTCGCACTCGCCTCACCATGTTCGATACCGGCCGGAGCTGTTGTGCCGTCCTGTAAGGCACTGCAAACATGTCTAAGGTTAGATCTCAGATTGTAGATTCGGAGATCGCAACGATTTGTCCTCCAATCTCCCCCGCTCGAGCGAAGCCACAAAGCTTAAGATATGCCTGGAAAGCCAATCAAAGAACCGGGAACCCTGCCGCGCCCAACGGCCCGGGAACGAGAATTCGATTTGCGCCTCTTTTTTCACGAGTCTGGGTTCTCCATCCCCGTTGAAGTGGATAAATCCGGGGCCGAGCAAGAGAGAAGACAGTTACCAGCCCATCGGCTGAATGGTTTTTGCTGAAAGTTCAAAACAGTAAGGTCATTGCGCGCAATAAGGTACAGAGAGAAACGATGTGTTCTTGGGCTATGCCTAGACTACAGCTTACCTAGATGTTGGGGAGGTTGCGGCCTGAGTTCAGGGCGTCTAGCGGGCTTTCGGCTACGTTGACTTGGGATCGAGAGCTTTTAGGCAGTAGGTAGAGGCACGAGGCAGATGCACAAGGATTGCAATGATGTCGGAGTCATGCCTTGAATTTAGATTCTGCAAGCCATTAAAAACTCACGGCATGGCTGATGAGCAGATGAGTTGGGAGGATAATGCAGAGCTAGCGGGGCGTGGACTTATCGCCTTGTCGACCTCGTAAGGAGAACCAATGAAGGGCGTGGAGGATGAGATGTGAATTCGTGAATATCTGTTATGGTTGCATCGAGTTACTAGGTATCGTGGGAAGGTTTCCTAGAGCACGGTCATGAAGGCACGTGACGAAGGGTTAGGTAAGATTGCAAAGATGTAAAGAGGATCTGGCATCTGTCATTTGTCTCTCCATGGATGCGCACATGGCCAATCATGTTTACCGAGAATGCGATGAGAGAAGACGCTGTAAAAATGAAACGAGGCTGTGCGTTATGCCTGTTGGTAAGCTGTCGCGCTGCGAACCCTGAAACAACAATTCGCCCCCACATCAGACAACACAGCTCATTTTGCCGTTCCCTCTTTGGCCAAAACGCTCGGCTAACCCGCAGAGTGAAAAATCGAGGCATTGCACCGGTTACGAGGGATTCGGGGCTGACCTTCTGTAGCTTGCTGTCGCCTGCAATGTTTCGAAGTCATGCGCCACGGCGGCGCGGATACGAAGGCGCGTAGTGACACTGACACCTCGATAGCATATTTACACACCGAAAGCCGCAAGAAAGTGATTCTCATGTTCAGATTTATTTTTCCTCGCACACTCGTACCATTGCAAAGTGCCATTGTTGATTTCGAAGTAGCTTCAAGGGATAACGTATCTAGGGTTTGCAACAGAATCTCATCCACAATCACTATCCCCATTCTTGTGCCGGTCATAAAATGGAAGGTCAAGCTCCTGGCGAGTTTGGCAGGCTATACGATGTCTACAAAGAGCTCGGAACGCGTGAGCCTTCCACTTTGGAGCAAGCACGAGCCGTCATCGAGTACATACGGGCAGAAAAAGGGTATCTAGATGAGGATGCCTTGCGAGAACTTGACACAATTTCCCCAAGAATCCGAGAGCAAGTCCTCAGGATCGTGCAGCTCAAACAAGAATATGAGGCGGGATACACCACAAGGTAAACAACTTGAGATAAAGATGTAACCCATCATATCTGACAGATTGAAGTATCTCGGAGCAACTGTACACGTCTAAGTACCGCTTCTTATACGAATTAGTCCAGAACGCGGACGATTCCTCATACCGTACGGCAGCGCAGCGTGGAGTAGCGCCATACCTGCGACTCGACATTACTCCAGACATGATCATCGTTGAAACAAACGAAGATGGCTTTACAAGGGCTAATGTAGAGGCCATTTGTGCGACTGGAAAGAGCTCAAAGAAAGCCTCTCAGCACGATGATCACATTGGCGAAAAAGGCTTCGGCTTCAAAGCGGTCTTTTCTATAGCTGAAGAAGTTCACATCCAGTCTGGGCTTTGGTCTTTTGGATTCAAGCATTGCAAAGGACAGCGCGGATTGGGCATGGTCACCCCTTTAGACTTTCCGCCAGAGGTTTTGTCCGGAGACACAACGACGAGAATAACGCTGCGATACTCCAGCCAAGCGAAAAGCCAGTATCCAACATTGATTAAGGCGGTTAAGGATCTACCCGATGCCATGATCATGTTTCTCCAACGACTTCAAACATTGTACATCGCCGTTACAACCAACGGCCAATGCAAGAAATCGTCCACAAGCAGAGAATATGACTCATCAAAGTCACGATGCACCATCACTCAAGGCAACGGAAGGAGCTACGCAAAGGACGTGAAAACATGGACATATTTGCTATTCAGTCAGACTGAAAGAAATCTACCAGCAGATGAGCGTCGCAAGGACCGCACAGAAGCAAAGATCGAGCTCGCCTTTCCTATAGATCCACTCACGAAAAAACCCAAAGTTTCGGATATGGGTCAGCATGTCTTTGCATACCTTCCGTTGCAGAGACTGTCACGAATACAGGTTAGTGAGAGAGGACATTGATCAACTAGCGCTAATATCCGTTTGCTCAGTTCATCATCCAAGCAGACTTTATTACAGCGGCAAACCGAGAGAATGTGGCCGACTGTCCTTGGAACGATGCAATCTACGAGGGCGTCGCGAAACTCTTTGTGAGCGCAGTCACCGGAACTTTTGCGCAGCCGGACCAACCAATGCAGTACTCCTGGCTTGACTACCTACCTATGCAACCGATGGACCATCCATGGAAACAGCTGACTTCTACAATCCAGAAGTCAATCACAAACTCACTCAGCATCCAGCCCGTCATTCAGTCTCGAGAGCGGAGACAATTCAAGGAGCCTCATCATTTCCGACATTTGGTTGATGCCGCAATGCACAATGATGAACCTCTTCTCCCCGACCTGGCAGATGAGATATACATGGCCGATGGATACAATACTCGACACAGAACATGCCTCACTGCATTGGGCGTCACTAACATGAGTTGGTCAGATATCTTTCGGCTGTTGAGAGCTGACATTGTGAGACCTTCATCGAGACTCAAGAGTAAGCCATCAACGGACCCGTGGCATGAGACCTTGTCTGATCTACTGGTAAAACTCTCCGCGAACCGCTCTCTATCTCACTTACAGAAGCATATCAAGCCACTGGCGCTACTTCCGTTGTCAGACTCACGCTCGTGGACTGGTGCTCCTGGAGTGAGCGTGGGTGGCCCCCGGAATATCTATTTTGCGTACGTTGGTGAAACGCCAATACCGAAGTCATTGCCATTGAGTGTTCTTGACACAGTCGCGTCCATCAATCCGAAGCGTAGAGCCTTTGCTGAGGCAATGGGAGTCGAGGATTGCCCAAAAGCCATCGTGTTTGCAGAAATCCGGAAGCGACATTGCGAGACTCTGTTCCCCATAATCGAAAATGATCAGTTTACATTCCTGTACCATCAGCAATGCAACGTCAGCGACATCAAGGATTGGGTGAAAGTGCCTTTGACAGCGGGTGGTTCAGCGAGAGCCAAGGATACCAATCTGTATTTCGCTTCAGATGGAGAGTTCGACATGTTTATGCTTCTTCCAAAGCAGAATGAGACGGCAAAGTTCATGGCATCATCTCTTCTCAATGCGCAGCCACCAAGTATATCGGTTAACAACGAGGACTGGAAAACATGGCTCGCTCGTGCGACAGGCGCAAGGTCTTTTCCGCCGCTATTGGATAGGGAGACTATGAATCTATCGCCAGAAGTTAGAGATGTCGCAAAACACAATCCACGACAGTTTTTGGGGATGCTCAAGGCCCATTGGAACGAGTATCAAGAGGATTCATGTGTCGTCGAAGAAGAGTTGAGGAATTGTAAAGTGCACTGCAGGTCCGGCAATTTAGTCGGACTACACACCACATACCTACCGACAAAAGTGGTCATTGAGACAATTAACAATCTAGGTATTCCTGAAAGTATTATGCCTCTGCTCAGCGTATCTGATAGCACACTGGACGACCTCGCCTACCGGTCTTGGAGGTTCCTGGAGGATTTTGGCGTCGGTTCAAAGCCAGACATGAATTTTTATGTGCTAGCCTTACGAGCGGTTGCTTCAGGTCCTTCTGAGGCTGACTCCGATGATGTTACGCATATCTACACGTGCATAGCTGAAATGGCTACAGTACAGAATCACAAGAGACTTCGGTAAGCTTTTGGGGATGTACAGACTATATTGCTGTTGCTGAATGAATAACAGCGAAGTCTTCGACGACACTGACTGTCCAACAATGTGGGATAAGCATTGCAGCTCATGGACAACCCGCAGAAGATGTATGACAGATGGTCCAGACTTTATCACCTCCAAATCCGTCTTGTATCGCTCGTATGGAGATAGCAGCCTCTTGCGTGGGTTTTTCACGGCAGTGCTTGGCATTATGCCGTGGACGGTGCAAGATGTCATTGGAGAGCTCGAAATGCGACAGGCTCGTCCACATACCTCCAAGATGATCGCAGAGTCCAGAAACATCTACGAATTCATGCTCGAAAAAGTTGGCAGTGATACTGAGTGGGAAATGATTCGGTAAGCCAGCCTACACCCCTTCTTACTCAAGTTCCATGTTTGGCCGGTGAGAAGACGATACGACTTAGCACGTCTTTTCTCGTAGTCTGTATCAGCTCGAGAAGTTCGAGATGATATTTCTGCGTCTGGGGAACTCTCTGCTCATATGTGTTTCTAGCACCGCATTTTCTGAGAAAAAGCTTGTGCTCGGCGAAAATGGCAATTGGCACGCATTGCGCACCTGTCTCTGGAGAAGCCCTTTCGCGCTTGATGGTTTCCAGGATCTCTCAACGATGTATCCCAATCTGGAAGCATTGTTTGTTCGCAGACTGGGCGTCAAGAAAGCTAGCCCAAGCATGCTTATCAATGAGGTCAAGCGTATGGCAGAAGAGTCGGAACCGCGCGTTGAAGATATCCACGCTCGCCTGGTTGAAATTGGCATGATGCTTACTAAGATACCGATGGATGATAGTATGTCTCGTGCCCTGAAAAACCTCCAGACAGTTCCCTTCTTACCGAAGAAGCAGAGTGGAAGTCCTTCGGTGCTGGTAGGGGCGAAAGCGGATTTCGTTATTTCCGATCATGCACGATACGGTGAGGCATTCGCCACTGAGGATATCTTGCTTGATTTCCAAGTACATGAGGCACAGATCATGCATACCATGTTTCGACACTTGGGACTGACGCACCGGTACCTCTCGACAGCAGTCAAAGAGGTATCAGTAGTTGGGGATGGTGCGATCGAAAACGAAGAGCTGTCAAAACAGTTGCAGTCGAAAGCATACGGCTTGTACTGGTACGTATTTTTCACTTCCATTTCGGGATTTAGACCGAGACAAGGCCCTCTCAGATCCTCAGCGGATTTCGTCACTGAGTCAAGCCTGACTTGTCCACAATTCTCTTTATATTCGCTACTAGACACGATCGAATGCATCATTCTCAATAATCCTCATATACGCTGACAAGGAACAGTTGTGCTGCAAAGTATAAGAGCTGTGAGGCCCTGCAAGGACAACACTTACTCTATGCACAACTGTCTGCACTGGTTGTTTCCACCTACAGCTATATATCAACCAACCTGGTTATATCCATACTATCTGAGTCGATCAGCGTCCCAAGCGAAAGGTCATTCATCCACCATAAAGTTCTTGACGAGAAGATCACAATATACGTGCCGAACGATCAACGCGAACGCCGCTCTTGCTATCGATCGCAGTTACCAAAATTGCTGGCAAGTATATTGGGCGTTAGTGGAGCTGCTACTTTCGACATATCTGGTATCGTCTCAGCTAGCCAGCGAGATCTTGACGATGTTCTCGAGGAGCAGGACATTCCGGAGGTTGAGTGGATTCCAAAGCCAGCCTTTGACATACTGGAAGAACTGGAGGAGGTTGAGCGACCGGGCACTCCTAATATTGCATTAGTTGATGTTCGCGAAACGCGAGCTCCGCCGGTCCCAATGGGCGTCATTACACCCGATACATCGCCTTCACGCCAGATATATGCACGATTGGATGCTAGTCTGCCTGCAATTGCTCCTAACGTGAGGGTATCAGACTTCCCCGACTTGGTCGAGCAGGTCGTTAGAGTTGCTCGAAGCGTCGGCCATGGATACAGGAATCCGCTTGGTCCGGCTACTCAAGTTGGAGATGACAGCCAACTGCTTCGTTACTTCGACCATCTGACCACTTTTGGCAGCCGCGAGTCCGACTCTGCCCATAATCGAAAGATCGGCGCTGTTGGAGAGGGCTATGTAAGTCAACCTTCTGATGCAGCAAGATTCAGACTAACACCCCATCTAGGTCTATACCCTGCTCTCAGCCCTCAATCTCCCTAACTTCAACGAAGCCAATTGGCCAAGCACAATACGGAGCGAACTTGCAGGCCATTTCGGTTTCGAGGATCTGGCAGCATGGCATGGACACGAGACTTCTGATCTCGTGTACAAGGATCACAATGGTGCTTTCACTCAATATCTACGCGATAACTGCGTAGGCGGATTTCCGCCTTATATCTTCGAAACAAGAAGTATGCAAGCGTCGCCGATTGAGTACTACCTTGAAGTCAAAAGTACAACAGGGCGATGTGGAACGAGGTTCTATATGAGCGGCAGACAATACGAAAGGGTACGTCAACCCCGGCACGTGGATATGCGCGTCCTTAGGATGGACAATTATGCTAATCAAGGAGAATAGATGGAGAGTATGGCTTTGGGCTTGCTCAGGCCTAGCAATAAAGTGTATGTGATCTTGCGCGTGTACGATATGTTAACGCCGAATGTCGGCTTAGACATTTTCGTGGATCCGATCAGATTCAAGGGCACGAAATTGGAGTTCGAGACGGAACAGTGGTATGTGAGTACGAAATGATGATTCTTGATGGCTCGCTCCCCACATAGTTAGCGCATACACATGATCCTGGCGAAATGCAATCCGTAAACCGACGCCGCCTTATTGACTCTGAATTATCACGAGTATCCACTAGCGTCAGGAGTAAACCGTACCTGAACCTTAGGGACCAGCAGTCAGAGAGAAAGGCCTCGACATCCGAGCTTAAGCACGGGGTTGTTGCTTGTTTGCAATTGATTGGTACCGCAGCGGAATATAGATCCGATTGAAGCCCTCGAAGTATACCATGTCAGTCATCGTAAAGCACCAGCACGCCGCTGTTCTACGCGATTGGCTAAGCCGTTACTGAGAGGTATGAAAACAGCCCTGCTGTCGTGGGAAAAATGCTGGGCTTCCGGTTCCGAAAAAACCGACGCCGAACGATAGGCAGCGAATTGAGTTATTCCTACAACTGTCTGGTCAAGATTACCGTTAGCAGCAGGGGAGTTCGGATCGACTCTGGTAATCCACATCCGACACTCATCGATGATGTGAAATGCGGCATGAGTTCGGTGAAAGTCAGGACACTCACATGTTTTGGCAAGAGATGAATTGCTATCATCACTCCGTCCTGTGGAAGAACGACCCTGCAAAGTGCTATTGGTACAGCTGGATACATCCTCATAGACTCGTTGAGCACAGCATTTGTGTATGGTAATTTGCTGTTCACGGCGACCATATTTATGTCAGATTCCTTCGCAAAAATGGCCCGGATTTCATCCACTGCCTTCTCGTAGCATCATGAATGTTTTAAAAGGTGACAGGTTGTACCACATAGAGTTGTGGCCGTGGTCTCACTCCCAGCGCCCACCAGCAGCGAGCAGTTTTCGTATGTCTCTTCTATTGGTATGCCCGTTTCGTCCTTGTACCTTAGAATTTGTGTCATTAAGTCCTTGCGCGAGGACGTGCTGGCCAATCGTTTGTCCACAGCCTTAACAACATATTGCTCATGCTCGTTCATCGCATTTCCAGTCGAGGTTTGTCCGTAGAGGTTCAAAGGCAAGAATGGAAAGATAATATGAGCAGAGTATGCTTGCCACGACCGCAGCTCGGAGCGACTCGAAGATGATGCTTATCCATGGGTGCATTCCTTGCTATTGTAGGCAGCCAAAAGACTGCCCTAGACTTAGGTCGCCAATGATGTCGAAGGTGAGCCAATTGAGCCAGTTTCGAACGTCGATAGTGCATTGCTTTGACTCCGTGTGGTCTGGGCCTTGACCTTCAACTGGTTGATCATATTGTCGATATACGAAAGGATGAGTTGCTCCTGCCCTTGCAGTGCCGTTGAAGAGAACGCATTGGAAATCAACTTGCGTTGGCGTGCGTGCGCGGCACCATGCCGGACTTGCATGTTCTTAGTCTTCCAAGCATAGCGATAGGTTTCTTCGTCTTTTATGAATTTCGTTTTATTGCGTGGCGCGTAAATGTCTTCCCACGCGCTCGAGCCAATACATAACATCAACGAGATAGAATGAAGCGCTCTGGAGGTCGCCAGTCCGACCGGAATTGCGTCTAGCTCGCGAGGAAAGGCCAGGTACAATTGAATCTCCAGTTTGACGTGGATATCACTGTGACCAGCCTACGATACGAATTATCCCAGATACTCGTGCTTCTACCCCGCGCGGAAAAGCCAATCAGAAGTCTACGCTTGTAAATTCACCGCCGGCGAGTTTATGAGCGCTAACGCAAATGGACCAAGGCTTTACATGTGCCTGCGGATAATTTGAGATTTACGTCTCATATACTCGAAGATCACAGGCGGTCTGGGAGCATGACTCTAGGGTTGTAGTGGACCTGTCGAAGAGTGGTTCTGTCGGGTCTTCGCAAGTTAAGCGAGTATCAAAGGACTGCCTTTCTGCATGTGTAGAACAACCCCGCCACTTTTCACTCATCGAATTCTGCCACGACTTCGCATCTTTCTCTTGTCAATGGATTCGAACACATCTCCTCGTCTAGTGCTTATTGCACATGTTAATAAGATGATTGAGAAGTATACGTTGGATAACCCACTGTCATTGCAGGCTCATAAAAAAGCTTGCAACGCTCTTCCAGGAGGTCAAACACGTTCTGTCCTGAGCTCCAGTCCCTTTCCCTTGACAATTAGGTCAGCTCGCAGAGTCACGGTTACTTCTCTAGATGGGCGCGACTATCTGGATATGGTATCTGACTATTCTGCCGGACTGTACGGTCATTCACATCCTATCATCAAGCAAAGCATAATGAAAGCCTTGGACTTCGGCTTCAGTATAGGCGGCATCACAGAGACTGAGTATGAGCTGAGCGACATATTGAAGCAACGATTTCCCAGCATCGATCTCGTCCGTTTTTGTAATTCTGGTACAGAAGCCAACACTTACGCCATAGCTGCGGCTTTGGCATTTACAGGGCGGAAAAAAGTGAGTAACCAAACAAGCCGACCAGATTACACAAAGTCTTACACTAGCCTCAGGTGCTCATCTTCGATCATGGTTACCATGGTGGAAGCCTTTCGTTCGGAAGCGAAGGCAATGCCATGAACTTGCCCCATGATTTCGTCTTCGGTACCTACAACAACGTGGAGAAGACAAAGGCGGTTGTTGATAAAGACATTGGAGTAATCTTGGTCGAGCCCATGCAGAGTGCTGGAGGATTGCGAATGGCAACAAGAGAATTCATGCAATTTCTCCGCGGTGTCGCAGATACTGTCGGGGCGCTGCTTGTACTGGACGAGGTTGTCACCTCGAGACTGCACTTCAACGGACTGCAATCACATTTTGGAGTCAAGCCAGACTTGACAACACTCGGAAAATATATCGGCGGAGGACTCCCTTTTGGAGCGTTCGGTGGGCGATCAGATGTCATGCGACAATTTGACTTGACATCTACCGACTCAGGGCCAAAGCTCAATCACTCTGGCACCTTCAACAACAACATATTTACCATGACGGCTGCCGTGGCTGCTGCCAATCTTGTGAGCAACGAGGAGATTGAAAGACTGAACCGCTTAGGGGACGCCTTGAGGAATGGCGCAGTCAAATTAGCCAAGGCAGCTCGCCTGGACCATATCAACATCATTGGTTATGGCAGCGCCATCGGGTTTGAGCTACTCGACGGATCTGGCAAAGTCTGGAAAGACTTGCTCTACTTCTATTTCCTAGAGCGTGGGATCATGATTGGACGGCGCGGTTTTCTTTTCTTGAATCTAGTGCATGTGGAAGGAGACGTGGACAGTTTCCTGCGAGTTTTCCAGAGTTTTACGAGGGACTTCGGAAGTAAGACCCAGGCATGACATGGATAGCACGCAGAAAATCCGGGTACTGGACGAGAGTATTCTAAATCCCTACTTACCAAATTCCAGATGGGTTCTGAACATGCCGAATGTTCACAGTTTATTATGAAGGTGGTTCGAAGACCATGTCTGCTCAAGACCTTCTCATGGGTGATTGTGATTATTGTAGATGAACGATTAACTATCTGCAGGTCAGTAACCGTGTCGGAATAGTGGTATCCATTCAGCAATGAAACCCGAAGCTTACATTCGTACAAAGTGCAATAGCAGCTTCGTCTTCTCCAATCGCACAGATGTCGACACTGAGTCAGTCGTTTATCGCCGCCGGTGAGTTAAGACCTGTGATGCAAGAAGTGCCCGCATGGTTCTGCCAGCACCCACAAACTGCTTTGGTCAATTACTGGAAATCGAGTTTCTCCCATCGACTATTCACTACTCTTTTGACTTCGTCATATTGGTTTAAGATTAGGTCCGCCGAGGGGTCAGGTGCCGAAGAAGCTCTCACCCTGTTGCGCAAAGAACAACAACAGCACATCGTACAAAACAACTATTTAATCTATATAAAAAGATAGAAAATCACATGCGCTAGAAGTTTACATAAGTAAATAGAACTCAACAGGCTGTAGTGTTAAGCAATGGCAAGTAGAGAGGGGAGGGGCATTTTGGTGTTCCTACTAGCGACCGGTTATAAAAAAGAGCCGGTATTTCGTGCCTTACGTACTTCGTACTTCGTACATAAGGCCGCGGGCTAACAACGGCTAGTCCCCGATTGTCGAACATGGCAGTTTGATGTTACCTAGATTACGCCGTCATTCTTTATCACACTCTCCCGCTCCCCAGGTTATCTTTTATGCCGAAGGTGCTTGTTCTGCTTCTAAGCAGTGTATGACTAATGGAGTCACGCGCTTGTGACAGGTGTTGGACAATGGTAAGATGTTATTGCCCGCGACGCACACTGATGTGATCCCTGACGCGTTAAAATGCATAGAAGTCACAGTGTGACCGGCGCCAGCCGTGCTCACGCTGTGCGAGACTGAACATCGACTGTGGAACTCGCCGTCCACAGGCTCGACGTGGCCGACCCCGTAAACAGCGAGGCCGCAGCAGCAGGTCGTTGACGACGCACAGCGAAGATACGACCGGCTCTCCTGGGGGGTCAGTGGCTGTGGACAACTCGGCATCATCAGAAAGACAGATAGAGGTAACACAGCACACACCAATAACGCTTATGGACGTGTTAGAGAACGCGGTAGAACTGCACACCCCAACGAGCCGCGCTGCGCTGCATTCAACGCCAAGCCCAGCGTTGCCGGATGGCCGCTTCACGTGTCAGGTCTTGAACGGGGAAGTTGTTTTGGCTCCCGTGATACGATGGCTTGTCCGTATGTCTTCTCAGCCTCAGGATCGCGGTATGCTCTCAATCTTAGACGCCGTACATTTTGAGACCGCTGTTGCCTTGGCTGAAAGCTTAGCTGGCCACGACCTCGTTGACCCGTCTCTAACTGACCATTTCCTGATTGAACCACACATAGCCGACAAATACCCAGCTGTGAGCTTTGCCCTACTCGCGATTTGTATGCAAATGGAGTACGAGGTTACCTCCAGGATGAGTCCACAACGGCTCGATTACATGATTGACTCCCTGCGTGTTCAATGCTTGAAGGACATCCCTGCATTAACATGGAAATCGTGTGAGACTAAAATCGATCACGCTAAAGTCCTTGTTCTAGTGAGCCACTTTTGGTGCATGAAGGAAGATCTAGCTTTGATTGCGGATCGATGGAACTCGCTTGCCAGCCTAATCAACATGGAGGCAATGAGGGTACGATCGAACGCGCAAACAGACCGCGAGACCGATGATACATGGTAAGTGAGCTTTGTTTGCACGGTAATGTTGTATAAATGGGTCGGTGCCAATATTTTCGAAGGTTATCTACAGCCATTGAGCTCCAGGACGTGTAAGCAAGAGCAGACCACACTTTTAAACCATCAAGGATGCCTTTCGAGCTGACATGTGCTCAGAACCCTGATGTTACTCCATTATCGGCACAGACCTGTCTCTGAACGCGCATGGGTACCCAAAACGAAGCCTCGAAGCCCACTCGTCCAGGCTCCTTTGAAGAAAACCTATTTCGGACTTCTTCGTCCATTAATTCGGTAAGACACTGCCGCTGGCCTCCGATTATGCGAAGCTGTCACCTAATTTGTGCCAACCAGACTTCTTAGAGTGGTGCTACAAGACTCTGATCCCGGCGACAGCGATGTCAGAGATGGTCTCGAGCAGTACTACCTATGTTTCCCTTCCGATGGCTTGTGTTACGATTCCATCAGATACATTTATGAAGCCGAGGCCATGATTTGGGTTCACGGCATTTATATCTTGACTTGTACGTCAGGTCGGTGTTAGTTTGCCGCCTGGCGAGTTGACTGTGTCACAGATGTACCCAGGGACCTGAGCATTCTACTGCAAGACGATCACCTGCCTTCGCAATCGGATTTTTACTCGGGCTGCGAGCATTCGCTCCTTTTAGCGGAGGTCTGTCTCATTCGCTGCTCTTACATGGTTCAACTGCTGATGTAAGCGATACGCAGGTGATTCCCACTCTGCTGAGACTGGACCCTGAGCTTCGATACTGCTCACCAGCTACGGTCCAATTCGTCTTGATATCCTCTACCTTGACCTGTACCGCTCTACGCCAATTTTGTCCATCACTTGATCTAGGGTTCTCCAGACTACTGTCTCCCCAGCCTCCAGAGAACCTATTGACCAGTGCGAGGCTTCATTCTCGATTTCTGCGGTGTCTTTGCAAGCCTGCAACCAGATTTAGTAGTAATCTCACCCAAGCGGTCCTTGATATCCTTGACAGACTACTTAGCAGAGATTGTGAGTGCCAAGACGCTGGCTTGGCCGAAGCATTATCTGTTCTCTCGCGTTATAGGTGGCGCGCCAACGGCAGTGGTATCATCCCAAGTTCGGACGACGTGGCTCTTAGCGAGGTAGGTCCGAATCACTTGCAACCCCGACCATCTCTCCGACTACCCGCGCTGGCCAATGCGAAGGATATCGCAGGTAGACGGGCCGCGATTGAAGCTATATGTCGCGCAGATGTGAGGGTCTGCACCTCAGGTTGCTTCGATCTAAATATTCGCTTTCTATCACCTCCTCGACATGGCGCTGAAGATTTATTATCATCGCCAGTTATCTCTGTGGGCTTTCGTCTTAATAGTGTCGACAACCAGCTGCTGCGTAAAGGTGAGCCCTGTTCTCTCTCTTCTGCTCATACACAAATCCTTCAAGAAGTATCGACAGTCTGTCTCATTGTTTCGCAGTAATCAGACGCTGTCGTGTTGCATTCGAAGCCGGCTTCGACTCAGGATCGCACATGGTCAATCTGCTACTTCCCCATGCTCTTAAGTGGCCTGCAATCCTGCACGGCATGCTATCACTATCGACGACTCATTCGTGGAGAGCTCTACCGGAGCTTATACATCACCAAGAAACTCTCCGTGCGTTGAGCGAGGAATCTGAATTGGTACAGAATGGATTTTACGAGGTGGACAAAGTTGTGGGAGTGCTTGGTTGCCAGTTCCTCCTCAGCATGTTCGCACTTTCCGAGTGCAACGAATGGTGGGCCCACCACAACCGGGGCATGATTGACGTTGTTCGTGCCGCCGCTTGGGATGAGCTGCAAGCCTCATCACTAGGCTGCTTTCTCAGTGGTGTCTGCGCCATGTCTGATATCTCGGTATTTTCTATAGGCGGTAGCAGGCCCTCTCAGTGGTGCTGGCTCGAGTGGATGATACCTCAAGATGTCCACACTAGACCGACGGCCTGCCCCCTTGACTCGATTACAGGGTATCCAAGATCGCTGATAGATATCATTGCACGAGTTGCTGCGAGCGCTGACATGCATTGCAATGAAGACGTCCAGTGGAACGGTACGTTATCTTCATTTAACTCCACGCTATTTGTCTCGTCTCCTGACGACTACAGTACGCCCAAACACGTTTCCGACGACTGCAGAACTCGAAGGATTGCTTCAAAGCTGGAAAGCCCCTCCAAGCTCTCCACAAACGGATCCGTATATGAAATTGATCATCAAGACAACCTGGGACTGTATACGTAAGGCTGCTTCGATCCTGCTGTGGCGGGGTAAAGGATTTCATTCAAACATTCTGACGGAATATCCGCGGGAGCGAAAGCCCGATAGAGATTTGTTCGTAAACGAGATCCTGTCTGATCTTCAAGCCGTTTTCGAAATGGTTCGAGGAAGGCAAATCTCTATAGGAAATCTGACGCTGTGGGCACTTACCGTCGTTGGGTGCGAGTGTGGGCGTCGCTCTGGTGTCAAACGCAGTCGCGACGTAGCGGCACTACTGCGAGTACTGGGTCGCGACTTCGCTATGGACCATGCGCTTCGAGTCCATGCCATGCTTGAAGCCTTATGGGATGCAGAGAGCAAGGTACCCGACAGCGGTATTGATCTAGCCGTTGAGGGACGATATCTCAGTCTTGAAACTGTTACCCGAGAGCAGAAGTTAGAGATTTTGTTATTATGAGTTCGGAGTAGGCTCAATCGCTGCGTTGAAATGATATGGGTAAGATGATATTGGCTGGCATACGAGGCTATGATGTATGTGTCAGCAATGTTGCTATTCATTGTGTCATATGACCGTCAACTCTCGTGTTACTTGGGTTGAACAGATGTTCAATAACTGGCTATCACATGAGAATTACACGTGATTTGCTGCTAAAGTCGAAACTGCTCTTCACAAAGGTGGCTTCGTCAATAATCATGTCATCCACCACACTGTGAATCCACCACGACTATAAGTCTGTACGCAACCTGTGTTGTCTATCCTTGTGGGGTCGACTCTACCACTATCTGTTATTGGTCCATCATCATGTTGAGTCTTCCATCTCGATGTGTTCACTTGGATACAACCGTCACATACGGAACACTCGCGCAAACTAAATTTGAGGGAATAATCTGGCAAATCAAAAGCATGGGAAAACAGTGTTGACACGACCACGGTCTGCGCACACTGACTTGATCGATATTCCATGCTGGATTTTTGACCACTCATCAGATCTTACTGAGGGCAAGCACACATTAGCTAGAATTCGATATCTTCTGACTTTGAGACAAAACAGCTTCATCCTGCCCGATCGTTTGCTCACCCATAGCGTTCTAACGAATGCTTTATGTCTGGTATATTGCAATTGTGCTCTTCGCGATATTGTTGAGGTCGACTCCGGTGTAATTAGAACCCCGGACCACGTACAACACGATAAATATGACCAATGTCACCAGAGAAACAACGCAGTCCCAGTAGAAGTGCGCCACATCGATGTGCCTCAATGACGGAAGAAAGCTTTCTATTGTATCATGTACCAGTAGAAAAGAAAGGCGACTGGATGCACACCTAGGCATGCTCCAACGGCTAAGACTAAGAGATCCAGGTACAAACTGGTCCGCGCAAAGCACTCTAGGCGCTACAGGTAGCGAGATTGTGATCAAATTCGAGATGACAGAGAGAAAGCATACCTAGGTACGATGCTGCTGGCAATGGGTGAGAGTGCGAGGAGCAAAACCGGAAAAGTGCCTACACGCAGTGTGACGAGTGCGTGGACCGGCGTTTTGGTCCTGCTGTTCACTCTACTCAGTGCTTCCCTGTATGGCAAACCACCGTCACGTGCAAACGCAGCCAAGAGAGAGGCGTTGGAGAGCAGAAAGCCGCATTCGCCGACCAGTACAGCTGTTAAGCCTAACGAATGTTGTAGGACTGTATGTGGAGTATGGATGGAAGGAGATCGACAGCATCTGTATACATATTCCAGATGATCTAGGCCAGCCAGCAATAAAGCAATGTTCAGAGAAGTGTATGGATACGCGCACGGTCCCATCAAGTTGACTGAGAAATGCAATAAGATAAAACGCTGTTGAAATGAAGATCAGTGAACAAGACCATACGTTTTGCCTGCTGCTGAGCTACCGCACTACGGGATCCCATATCAGAAAACACGGCTCCTTCTGCCGCTCCCTCTTTGGCCTGGTGCACTTCAAGCGTGTTGTGGATCCATGGGTCGGCTTTGATTAGTAATCACCGGCCGAACAAGGACGAGACTTGAAATTCGGCCGGGATTGCTGTCGGAGATCAGTCCAGCTCAGCCTCGGATATAGACGAAGTTCGTCCGGGTTTACCGCCGGCTATGATTGACTGAACGGCCTAAACGATTGGCCACCCAACATCCTGACTGTTTACCGGCATTGATGTTTACAACTGTAACCACTCGGCTTGCTCTGTCGAGGTCTCTTCTCAGCGCCGGTTTCTCCGATTGACACCTTTGGGGCGTGGTGGAATTCGGATATCGCTAAATAAGCGCAGGTATACATAGATAGCACCAATGCCAGTCTCTGAATGAGATCAGTCAACACATCCCCTACTTTTACAGATCTTCTGTCCCTTCCACAGGAAATACGGTAACATCATGGCCAACCAGCCCAGATTGAAGATTGCCTTGTTCGGGTTGGGCCGTCTTGGGTCTATCCGAGCACGTATCTTGCTCTACCAACAGCCTCGGATGGAACTTGTTGCTGCCTGCGATACCAAGCCTGGCGCGGACAAATGGGCTGCTGAAAATCTGCCTTCCTCTGTGACCTTCTTCGCTGATCCGGAGAAATGCATGAGGGAGAGCGGGGCGCAAGCTGTTCTCATCTCTACCGCCACAGCTACACATGCACCACTCATTTGTCTCGCGCTTGATCTTAATATGGTTAGTTGACAAGTGTATTCTCCACAACTTGACTGATTATTCGTCTAGCATGTCATGTGCGAGAAGCCCATTTCCATGGATATTGCCACAACGCAGGAGGTCATCGCCAAGGCGGCTACCAAACCGCATCTCAAATTTTTGATCCCCTTGACCCGAAGATGTATGGACTCTCCGATGAATTCGAGCTCAAATGGCGTTAGCTGACAGTCGTTGTAGATGATGACAACTTCCGGGCCGCCAAAAGACTTGTAGACAGTGGCTCACTTGGAGACATTCATGCCGTAGAGACTTCTTCACAAGACAAGCAGGATGAATCAGGTATGCTGTTCTCTTAAAAGTACTGTGGACATGACTAATTATTTCAAGGATTCTTCATCGCTTTCTCTCTACAGTCTGGCGGAATTTTCGTTGATATGGGCGTCCATGACGTGAGTGATGCTTCGATTCATGTGTTACATTTACTGATGCAACGTAGATTGATGTTGGCCGCTTCTACCTCAACCCCACCGCTGGATTGGACAACCCTAAGAAGCAGGTTAACAGAGTCATTGCGATGGGGCAGCGAACGCTTTACGGTGCATTGGCTGAGTTCGAGGATTTTGACAATGCATGGGGCATCGTCGAATTTGCTAATGGCAAGATCTTGACGAGCCATGTGGGCCGAACGACGAGTCACGGTCATGAAGGTTCAACGCGCATATTCGGAACCAAGGGTCACAGTCTCATCGACGGTGTTGCCACACAGTTTCAGTTTGAGTTGCGGGATGAGCATGGCGTCAGACGGACCGTTCCACCGGATGCATTCCAGCTTTACGACAGATCTTTCCCCAACGACCTTGCTGAGTTTGCAAGTGCTGTTCTGGACGGTACACCGCTATCCTGCTGCCCGGAAGACGCTTTTGAGGCTGCCAAGATCACCATCGCACTTCAACATTCGATGCGTATTGGACAGGCCGTTTATTTCGACGACGAGGGTTTGCCGATTCTATCAGGGAACGACAGCAAAACTTCTGCCGTATCTAATGGAGTGAACGGAACCGCGGCTGTGAGCATGAAGAATGCCAAGGCCGTCGAGGTGGCATGAAAAGCCGGTATTGGGTACGTAATTGTACCGGGACGGGGCTCCCACCACTTCAAGTGTCTCCCCACCAGGTTGGGTTGAGACTACGCAAAAACTTCGCAGCATCAGCAAAAGATCAGCTAAAATAGCATCATATTTACCTCCGAATGACTGTTAGACGCATCAAAAGCATCTTGTAATAACATGGGCTCCCAAAAGCCGGTGAGCTAGAAATGTCAGCTTGAATTTGATCGTTATAAGATCGCCTTACAAGGTCATTTGTCGACAGGTCGTGGGTTTGGGCAGGAGGAACAGAACCTGCCAAAGATGCTGCACTGCCTTGATTCCAGGCAATGTTACCATAAAGATGCGATTGCCTGCCGCTACCTTCGACAAGTAGATCACGAGTGCTTCCTGGTGATTCACTGAGCCGGATTGTGCGGCTCTTGTACTGGCTTTGACCCGCACGCTCGATCAGCCTGGTACGCCAGCCTACAAGTTCTTCATCTTCGCCAACACCACCCTCGCTACCGTTGATGTGCTGAGGATCATCAGGTGATGGCCCTGCGGCAGCTGCTTGCAGTGATGCAATTGCCCTAGCACGTAGCTTCTTGAGCCATTCTAGATTTGCGCGATATCGGGATGTACCACCGCCGTTCTCTATCAATGACGCAAACAGAGTTATGGCAGCGTCTATCTGTGTTAAGGCAAAACTAGACATGGTGTTACTTGGATCGCTAAGAACCATTGTACCTAAGCAGAGTGCTGAACCAAAAACGTGGTACTAGATGAAATACATGGTCAGTCTTCTGCTTGGTGCCCCGACCAGAGCGCTACACTTACCCAGAGGTTCCACTGTCTCGTACTAACATTGGTAAAGTTGGCTTGTACATCACTAACCAAAGCTATTATAATCTACCACGCTTAGTCATTCATGTCGAGGAATAATATTTGAGGCTCTTACTGCACAACGCTCTATCGTGGTCAAGAAAGAAGTTGCACATAACGTACGTATGGCCTCGTCATTGGGGTTGTACAAGACCTTCGCGTAATAAGGTCTGTGCAGATTGATGAATGTCTCAGAAATATTGAACGCGAGGTTCATTCGCTATTGCGATCAGCTGGAGCCGTAAAACAATCTTGCAGAAATACCTGAAAAGTCACGGTCACAGATGTTCTCGAAGGCTCGGGAGAGGCCTTGAGTACGTCTTCCATTGTTGAATACTGTGACGGCATCGATGAGTATGCGGTTCGAGATCGAAGAGCGAACGGTATATTGCGTTCAAAGGCCGAGCTACGACTTTTAGTTTTCATCTCTCGAATCTACCGGTAACTCACAGTTTCGCGTCCAGCTCTAGTATTGAGGAGTATGAAGGCCTCTGTACCTTCATTGCCATGTTTAAGATCCTGTGCTTACACTCAGCCCCTTTGTGCCATATGAATGCGCATACAAATCACATACTCAGCTGAGATTTGGGAAAGCTCGAACCGAAGAGTAAAATAGCCTTTGCTTCCGACAGTTGTCTGCGGATCGGAAGGGAAAACGGTATCGCAATGCTCCGGATTGACGGCGCTTCTTCCTAATGTTAGGCCTGTTCGAACATGTGGGTGGCATCAACTTACGGTCTCGAAAAGCAATGAGCTTGGAACACATCCGCAGCATTGCATTCCCAAAAGACTTTGCGTCTTTCTTCCACCACATCTTCGGGTAGGTTCCAGCGCGCACCATCACGATGCATACCCATCTAGAGTTCTCAGTTTCAAAAGACTGACATCTTGCGATCTCGTGATCTCACCGCTTGCATCAGACGCATGACAAGACCCCATACTGGCCAAGCTTTGTCGCCTCGAGACCCCTGATCCCAATTTCTGCTCACTGTTATCAAAAGTTGGTGAAGGGGACCGATTCACTGACAAATGTAAGTGGGCCATTAGATGCTATACAAGTCAGTGAAGGGTTGTGTTACAGCTCAGGCGAAGACGAACTAAAGTTTGGACTCCAGCAACCGTATTATTTGAAAGAAAATTTCCTTTCATCAAAGCCAACTCTGAAAGACGCAGAAGCTCTTCAGGGACGGTAGGATCCGAGGCTATTTCGATGTTGAAAACATTTCCCTGTGCAAGAATGATGAATACAAGGGCCAGCTCTTGAGCATTGACGCGACGGGATGGTTCGTTGGAAAGAGCGTACACGCGATCAAATGTTTTTTCAAAACGATCTCGGGGTGCGACATCATGACTTGATTGCATTAGACTTTGATTTCCTAGGAGGGTGCATACTTACTGCCATGCGCAATATCGATAATAGCAATTTACCAGCGCCAACGCTTCTTCCTTAGGGGGAAGACGCGAGATGAGATCGCGCGTGCTGACCATATGTATCATCGGGCTGAATGGAAATGCTCCGGCCAATCTTCCAACAGTACTGTGATGACGTTGGGCAGGGGAAGGATCGTATGTAATCGTGGGACTTGACGCACGTGTCGTGAGCGCAGTCGGCGAACCCGATGCATGTTGGTTTTCAGACTGGCACATTTCAGCTTCTGATTGGTATCAATTATTACTTCACATACGTCTCTCAGCCACTCGCTGCCTGCAGTTGGACCAAGATACTTCGATCTGCCCCCTTCGCTCAACATCAACGTTCCATACGAGCCGTCTTGCGCCGCATCGTCTGTAAGGTCTACTGCCGCATCAACATTGCTCGCACCGGCGGAAAGATGATTAATAGGATCTATAGTCTCGCCTGCGACTTGGGTGACTGGACTGGGGATGATCCAAGCATGATCTGCCTGCAAAGGATTGTTCGGAGGCTCCATTGTGATCGCGTGTGCTGTCGAGGAGACAGGTCTTTCAGAAACATGTCCTTCGCCATGATTGCGCGCAGAGGAGTGCGGGTCGGTCATCTGGACTGCCGAGTTTCCGCGAACATTCCGTGATCGTGCACTGTTTGTCGGGTCGCCATTTGCTCCATTCAATTCGCCTTGCCCGCGACTGTATTACTCAGCTTAGTCGGGAGGGAGAAGCATACTGGGACTGACAGCGCATTTTTAGACACATCTGAAGATGATCTCTTACATACAGAACTTCGACCGCGACGCACACAATTGGAGCACGGCACTAGAAACGCGGCATTAGCTGTGAAGGGTGCCTTGCCCAGCAAACTCACCCTGCCGATTACATTTCATCTTCAAACGGCGACATTCTGCATTCAGATACGTCAGTCTCTTGCACGGCATACAATTGGCCAAGGCCTACCATCGCAGCTGTAACACGGCCTCTGCTTCCGTGGCCTCTTCCCAGGTCGCGCATCACCCGCGTCGCTCGCATCGCCACCGTCATGCTGAGCATCGGCCTGGCGTCGGATCGATGCATACACCGGCGCTGGACGGTCCTCAGACATGATTTCCGTATGATGTGGTCAAAGCCGTCGGGTCGACAGGGCGAAGTTTGGAGAGAGACCGGCCGAGTTGCACGTCCGGTCCGGCACGTCACTAGATGTTAGATGATTGGATGGCTTCATCATGCGCTAGTGCTCCCCGCATCACAAGGGCACTAATGGCGGGGTTTCTCGTCGCCGGTAAGGGTCAATATCCCCGGTCCGATGCAGACCAATATCTCCGGTTTGTACTAACATTTTTCATCCGCGCATCTTGCATCGGATAAAAATGGTACGCGAAGGCGTTTGGTCAAGCCTTGCAGAGCGCTGGAAGCCGGGCGTTGACGAAAAGGAAGGCAGAGCAATAAAGACCCAGAGTTCAACTAATTGATCCCCGCATCCTGCAATCTCCATTCACCCTGACCATGGCTACAATCACATTCCAAGAGCATGCCATTGCAGCCCAGACAGACATTGCAAACATCAAGAGCAAGGTCGTCGTTAACAATGTCGAGCTTGAAGCATCTCCTGCACCCCCGGTGGCCGACGACTTTATGTACGATTTCAAGTACAACCATCCGCTACCAACACCCCAGAGTCTTGGAATCAGCATTCCCACTGGTACGGATGCTCAGAAGGCAGCGGATTCCATTATCGAACCGCTTTCCAGAGCCATGATCTCGGGCGATGCAAAGGCTTTTGGAGAATTGTTTCTCGAATTTGGTAAGCCCTCAAAACGTATGGTGCGAATGAAACATTATTGACATGTACGAAGGCGTATGGAGGGACAAGTTGACGTTCACGTGGGACTACCGGACTTTCAATTTCCGGTCAGCAATTGTCGCAGCTGCACAGGATGTGTTCGCTACGACCAAGGCTTCCAATTTTGGATATCTTAATCCGGCCCCCAAGATCTCCCAACCTTTCCCTGACTTCGAGCAACTACAGTTCGTAATCTCATTCGAGACTGATGTTGTGACCGCCTCAGCGGTTGTCACGGCGGTCTACACAAAGGATGGCTGGAAGATATACACATTGCATACAGTCGCCGAGAGTCTCAAGGACTTTCCTGAAGTTCCCCCTTATGACGGACATATGACCAGTGCAGTAAGCTGGGAGTCACAGAGGAAAACGGACAATGACGCTGCAGACCCTGAGGTTCTCATCATCGGAGGCGGCCAGAAGTAAGTCTACCAAGCTATCAATTTGCACATTTCCTAACAAGAAACAGCGGCCTCGCATTATCAGCACGATGCAAGGCTCTGGGTATGAAGACCTTGATCATCGAGCGCGGCGACGAGATTGGAGATGTATGGTCGAAGCGCTACGAATACCTTTCACTACACATGCCGCACTGGGCAGACGACTTGCCGTACTTCGCATATCCAAAGCACTGGCCTACCTACACGCCTGCACAGAAGCAAGGCCTATATATGAAGTGGTATGCGTCTGCTCTTGAACTCAACGTCTGGTGCAAATCGTCGGTGGTCGAAGCCGGACAGGATGCTGAAGGAAATTGGACCGTCCGTATCAACAAAGAAGGGAAAGAAGTTCGAACACTTCATCCGAAACAGCTCGTCATGGCCACTTCGCTCTGCGGAGTCCCTCTCAGCCCTGTGGTCCCCGGTATGAACACCTTCAAAGGCACAGTTCGACACTCTTCCGCGCACGATAGCGCACGCGAGTGGGCCGGCAAGAGAGTCTGCGTTGTTGGCACATCATCCTCGGGGCTCGACACCGCCTATGACTTCGCCCGTCATGGCGTTGATATCACTCTGCTTCAACGTTCGCCCACCTATGTCATGTCCCTCACCCATTCAGTGCCCCGTGGCATTGGCAACTACGCCCCCAATGCTAAAGGTGATCGAGCAGATCTCGAGGAGATGGACCGACTATTCTTTGCAATGCCCACAGGTCCTGGCGAAGAGCTTGCCAGACGTAACGCCAAAGAACTCGAGGAGCTTGACAAGGAACTACTCGATGGTCTCAATGCGAAAGGCTTCCGCACATGGCGCGGCCAGCGCGGTACTGGAAATGCCACGCTTAGCTTGACACGCAACGGTGGTTTCTACTTCGAAGCTGGCGCATGCAAGCAGATCATCGATGGCAAAATCAAGATGGAGCAAGGATTCATCGAGCGTTTCACCGAGGACAAGGTTATTTTGAACGGCGGGCGTGAGCGTGAATTCGACCTAGTCGTGTTTGCGACTGGATTCTCTAACACGATAGATTCAATCCGTATGACGCTCGGAGAGAAGATTGCCGACAAGTGCGGACCTATCTGGGGTGTGGATGAAGAAGGCGAGTACAAGACTGCTTTCAAGGAAACGGGCGTACCGAACATGTGGATCATGTGTGGGTTCCTTGTTGCTACGCGATACCATTCTAAACTCCTTGCTTTACGTTTGAAAGCATTGGCTGAGGGTGTCGCACTTCCACCATACAAGAAAAGTATTTGAGCTGGCTAGACTCTTAGAATAGATTTCGTTGCGCAATCAGAAGAGTGGTACAAAAGCGAATTCTTATTAATCGACTCATTGGTGAAGTGAACTTATAAGGCAAAAACAAAGCAGGGCTCAGCCACGTAGTCTACTCTTCGAAGTTAGAGCCTAGCTGGGATGTAGTTGTATTGTCTCGTACTCGATGAAAACACTTCTTGCAAAGAAACGTGGGACAATTACAAAGAATGTGCTCCAAAAGTGTTCACGGGGACCGCCTATAAAGAATGCTGAATCAAGCCAAAACTCCAGTTCGCACGAGCATGACATGTTCCTTGTATCTTGAAAAGTACAGACTGGCATTACGTGATCTCGCATGTTGCAGATAAATTGGGCTATAAATGTGGATTCATCTGTCTACATATCGTAGGCAGGAAGTCTAAGATAGCTTAAGGCCGTCATGTTTAAACAGTGAGAGATAGTATGGTCTTATAGCTGACACTACCCTACAAAGGTTGCGCTCAGGACTTTTGTTAAATTTGAACATATCGCAGCTTGTAGTCTACATTCTGCGCAACACAAGAGAAAGTCTACGTTTTCTTCGCTGATTCGTACCAATCATCAAATCCCAGGTCGAATCCCCACAGTGGCGTGTTCAAACGTTTCCCGTTTCCATCTTCAGCTAGCCGATCCAAGGTCTCTAGTTCGCTCGTAGATAGCTCCACAGCATGTTTGTTACTACTGATGCGTGACTCTGTAACGGACTTCGGAAGCACCACAACTCCCTTGTTGACATGGTAGCTCAACAATACTGTGGCGGGAGACACCTTCTTCTCGTCTGCGAGACGGCGAATACCAGCATCCGACATGATTGGAGCACCAGTCGATCCGAATGGCGAATATGCTTCAAGTAGAATCCCTTTGTTAGCGCAGTACTTGCGCAGCTTGTGTTGTGGTAGCAGTGGGTGAAGCTCAACTTGATTGACGGCGGGCACAACTGTCCATGTCTCTGAAAGCTTTTCAAGGTAAGGCACGGACCAGTTGGCGACGCCGATTGCCTTGACTTTGCCTGACTTGTAAAGATCTTCCATTTGCTTCCAGGTTCGAGACTGGTCCCAGGAGCGATCAACGGAACGGCTACCGTCTGGGTTTACAGGTAGCAGTTGGCTTGTCTCGTTGGCAACCAAGCGAACGGGCCAATGGATGAGCTAGACTCGACTGTCAGTTTAGCTTAGGGTCTTCTCGCTGGCTACACTCACGTAAAGATCGAGGTAGTCTGTGCCTAAGTCGTCGAGTGTCTTTTGCAGTCCTGCTTGAGCATCATCTTGATGCGTGTTCCAGAGCTTGCTAGTGATGAAGATGTCTTTTCGCGGGACACCAGAATCACGTATGCCATCACCGACTTCCTTTTCGTTTCCTAAATGGGTTAGGTTTCACCAGCTTATTATGGGAACTCATACTAGCAGGGCTTACCATATATCCTATACAACCGTTAGCACCCTTTTAGCTTCTCTTTGTGCGGAGTGGTTTTCACTTACAGCGCCGCGTCGATGTGGCGATACCCATCTTTGAGAGCGAACGAAACTGCTTTGCGCACTTCGCCAGGCTCAGACTTCCATGTTCCTGAGCACCATTCGTTAGCAGCGGAAAGTTGTGGAATTGCGGAATATCACCCACCGAGACCAATTGCGGGGATTGTGGCGCCCGTGTTGAGCTTGAAATGCAAGGGTACACCCATCACGATCACAAGAGCAGAATAATGGGTAAAAAAAAGCTGAACGCGTCCTACGAGTTTAGTTAAGGAGGGTGAACGACAGCAACACGGTCATCGGACATATCTGAGTAGATTCGGATCGGCCGTACCCAATAAGTACCTACCTCATTATGGCCGTTCCCAGTAGCGTCGGCAGTCCATCAACACTAGATTTCTAGTGTCAATGAAAGCAAATCTGGACAAGGCTCGAACGCTTCATCCTATGCCCGATGCGTGCAGAGCAACCATGAAATGTCCGATGTGCCAAGCCCCGATCCCCGGAGGCGGATCAAACTGCGGGGTAGTCGCGACGAACTGCGAGCAACGGATGTTCTGTCATTACGATGGCCCGCATTTGCTTGCGTCGGGTTATGACTTCGGACATTTGTGATCGATCGTCGGCTTGATGTGCGGCTTCGGCACAGTCGCAAGTCCTATCGGACTTTGTCGGTAGTGTTGAAGAGCATGGCTGGCGAAGCTAAGCGAAATCTGGACTGACCGCGATATCTGGGGTAAAACCTGGAGAAGGCTGGAGGATGGGTCCGGGGAATTGACCAGATATATAATCAATCTGATCTTCCCTGCCACTACCTATTCCGACAGATACACTTCATCAACACGCAAAACCTTTCAGTATGGCTATCGTCCAGCAACCTGACGGCTCGTCTCCCTCATTATCCGATCACAATCCTGCGAACGAGAAGGGCATGGCGACCCATCTCGATACCGTGAGCAGCAGCAATGCGATGAACAACATGTTCCTCAATGCCGCATCTGCATCAGGTTTGCGAAGGCCCAGTGACCGCTGCATGCAGGCGCTGACACATGAACAGAGAAGGAGCATAAGATGACCTTGCTGCAAGGCATCAGACTATACCCTAAGGCGATCCTCTGGGCTGTTCTCATTGCGCTCTGCTGTGCCATGGAAGGTTACGACATCGCGCTTATTGGGAACTTCTACGCCTTTGAGCCATTTAATCGAAAATACGGCGAGCTTACACCCGACGGTGACTATCAGGTGCCTGCCCGGTGGCAAGCCGGTATTTCGAATGGCGCTCAGGTTGGCCAAATTATTGGACTGCTGTGTATGCTTACTCTCGGTATTGCCCATGATACCAACAACCAGCTGACTTGTTCCAGTGACCGGCGTGGGTGTGGAGCGCTTCGGCTACAGACCGTTCATTCTAGGTGTCCTCTTCTACCAATGCGCTGTCACCACAATCTTCTTCGTCGCTCCCACCATTAAGATCCTGTTGGTAGCCGAGTGCTTCGCTGGCATCGCCTTCGGAGTTTTCATGTCGGGTATGTACACTCTAACATGTTCTACGGCACCTCTGTTCGCAAAGGCTGACTCTTCCAGTGGCAATTTCGTATGCAAGTGAGGTTTGCCCAGTAGCTCTTCGAGGTTACTTGACGACCTGGGGAAACTCATGCTGGGGAATTGGTCAATTGATCGCCATCGGCGTAATCAAGAGCATGTTCGGTAGGACTGATGAATGGGCGTACAGAATCCCGTATGCTCTACAGGTGTGTATCTAGCCCAATGCTCGACATTTCCGCGGCTGACCAATATAGTGGATGTGGTTCCCTCTGCTCATTACTAGCATTTATCTGGCCCCAGAATCTCCTTGGTGGTACGTCCGCAAGGAGCGATACGACGATGCGAAACGGTCCCTGCTCCGGCTTACGTCTCCCAAGAGAGATCCTACCTTCAATGCAGATGAAACCGTTGACATGATGCGACACACTAACGAGCTCGAGAAAGAGATGTCCGCGGGTACGTCGTATGTAGACTGCTTCAAAGGTGTCAACCGACGTCGAACAGAAATTGTCTGCATGCTTTTCCTCTCACAGAACCTAGCTGGCAACACATTCTCCAACTACTCCACCTATTTCTTCGAACAAGCTGGATTGACAGGAACCATCCCTTACGACTTCGCACTTGGACAATATGGCCTGAATACAATCGGCGCATTCGTTGTATGGACATTCATGGCTTATGGAGTCGGCCGACGCACACTGTTCCTTTGCGGTTTGACCGGACTTTTCCTCACTCTACTTTCGCTCGGTTTTGTTGGTCTGGTCCCAGAAGCACAGAAACACCAAGCGTCACTTGCCACTGGCGCGCTCATGATCGTCTGGGCAGCATTCTACCAATTCTCGGTCGGAACTGTCGCCTTCTCCCTCGTTGCTGAGCTATCATCTCGTCGCCTTCAGGTGAAGACCGTAGCTCTATCTCGTGTCGCATACAATCTCGGTGCCATTGTTGTTAATGTCCTCACACCATACATGATCAACCCGACTGCCTGGGACTGGGGTAACTTTGCTGGATTCTTCTGGGCTGGAACCTGTTTCTGCGTACTTGTATACCACTACTTTCGCCTCCCTGAGCCGTCCGGTCGTACTTTCGCAGAGATTGATCTACTCTTCGAGCGTGGTGTCCCAGCAAGACAGTTCAAGACGGCTAATATCGATGCGTTTGATGTGGCGCTCACTAGCCAGATCGCTGCAGACAAGCCAGAGACAGTCAGGCAGGAACATGTCTAAAGCCCCGGGTTCTTTTTGGTTCACGTTATCTGTGTACGAAGAGTTGAGAGGAGACCATCACCTGCTTTAGCTTGAGCTTGTTGTAAACCATGTATCTACTTAAAATTTGTCATCGCAATCAAGGTTTGAAGACCCCAAAGTTTGTAGCGCTCCTGTGAACACACCCTCCAGCTTCGGTGTGTCACAACCTGCGGGTAGTCGTGATCCTTATGCTCTAGGTACTTCTCTTTGGCTACCGCAGACCGTGTAATTGGAAGCACACTTTTTTCCCCACCTTCGATATGGGCAAATCCCCATCTGCTGCGGGGAACGTTATGCCCTTGCGACAAAACTTGCTGGACCGAAATGGTCCAGATGTGGTTGAAGTAAGGGCTCCGCCGTCGTTCAAAGATATGATTGGCTACACAGGCACTCGTATCCTGCGTATTCGTGTTTCTACCTATACGGCGGCCCCTGTTTCCCCGCCAGATCATTCCTTGGCCCAGATCTTCACGGCGGGGAACATTATCGTTCTATTAGAATACGAGAATCACAATGATAAGTACTCAATCCACCAACTTATTGTGCAGTCAAGTGTATTAAATTCGCTGTCCTTGAGTGGCCCAACATAGGAACCGTCGATTTTTCAGAAGTACACTCTGATTGGAAACACGAAAAATGGCTTTCCAAAACATGGCATTGGTCATGTTGATTTTGCCTGGCATTATTGCAGCCTCACGTATGTCTGCATCCACACTCCAGGTCAGCCCAAAATGTAACACGTTAAAGCGGAGCATCTCAGCAGCGATCATGCGACGGCACTGGACAAGACAAAAGCTTTTGTCTCACAACTCAATCTTACCGAAAAGATCAATATGATCACTGGGGCGATTGGAATGGACGTTGGAGGGTGCATTGGACACATCAAACCCATTTCTCGCCTCGACTTCACCGGTATCTGCATGCTGGACGGTCCACAGGCAATCAACCGTGCAGACCTCGTTAGTATTTTCCCTTCCGGGATTTTGGCCGGTGCAACTTGGGATGAAGATCTTATCTTTGCGCGAGGTAAGGCCATGGCAGACGAGTTTCGTGGCAAAGGAGCACACGTTCAGCTCGGGTAATCCCCTCATCGTCGTGTTAGCTTACGTCATGAGCTCACTTCTCATTTAGGCCTGTTGCTGGTCCGCTCGGTCGTCATGCTCTGGGCGGTCGAAATTGGGAAGGCTTCTCACCCGACCCATATCTTGCTGGAAAAGCGATGCGTGCAACAGTCCATGGCATCCAGTCCGTTGGCGTGCAGGCATGTTCAAAGCACTACATAGGTAACGAGCAGGAAACGCAACGAAGCAACACATTCTCGCCCAATGGAACAGAGGTTTTGGCCATATCAAGTAACATCGATGATCGAACATTTCACGAGCTCTATCTCTGGCCGTTCGCTGATGCTGTCAGGGCTGGGACGGCAGGCGTTATGTGCAGCTACAACAGGCTCAATCAGACATATGCTTGCGAGAACGAGCACATACTCCACACCGTTCTGAGAGATGAACTTGGGTTCCGGGGCTACGTGGTATCAGATTGGTTCGCGACCCATTCGGGCACCCAGTCCATCAATGCCGGCTTGGACGTCAACATGCCTGGCCCTCTCGACGAGCAGGAGACACTAAGCCGTAGCGGTAGAAGTTACTGGGGCGTGGCCAATGTGACGCAGATGGTCAATGATGGCGCCGTCGCAGAGACTCGTATCGATGAGATGGTGCATAGGATCATGTTGCCCTATTACTATCTCAAACAAGACCAGGGCTATCCCTCAGTTGACCCTTCGCTGATCCTCAGCTTTGCTGCACAGCAAGGTATCCAACTGCAAATACCCATGATCCCGAGCCGCGACGTCAGAGCGGATCATGCCCAAATCATTCGAAAGATGGGGGCGCAAGGTATTGTGCTTCTGAAGAACGCGAATCAGACACTGCCACTCAAGTCGCCGAAGAGCATTGGTATCTTTGGCAACGATGCTGGACCTCCGGTTGACGGACTGGTGTTTGGGGACAGGCCGTTTGCCATCGGAACTCTGGACATTGGCGGAGGCTCTGGGACCGGTCGCCACACATACCTTGTCTCGCCGTTCGAGGCCATTGCTGCCAGGGCCAAAGAGATCAACGCCCGTGTGCAATACATCATGGACAACCAATTCATTGCTGCCAATGATTTCCGAAGCATCTTCCCCATGCCAGAAGTTTGTCTCGTCTTCCTGAACACCTTCGCCTCGGAAGGTTGGGACAGAACAAGTTACGAAGCCGACTGGAACTCAACGCTCGTAGTGGACAATGTGGCACGCCGATGTCCCAATACGGTAGTCGTAACCCATTCAGCCGGGATTAATACGCTGCCATGGGCGCGTCACCCGAATGTAACCGCGATCCTTGCTGCGCATCTGCCAGGCCAGGAGGCGGGTAACTCAATCGTCGATGTGCTTTGGGGAACGGAGAACCCTTCGGGGAGGTTACCGTACTCCATTCCTGTATTGCAGAGCGACTACGACATACCGATTGCCAATTTGACAGCAAGTGAGGTCACTAAGCCGGATGCATGGCAGGCTGACTTTGCTGAGGGCCAGTTCATTGATTACCGCCATTTCGACCACTTCAATATCACGCCTCTGTATGAGTTCGGCTTCGGGCTAAGCTACACCTCGTTCATACTCGAAGGATCGATACAAGTCGAATCTGTTACTCCAAATCTCACTGCGAAGCCGGCTGCAGATTCCGAGGTGCTTCCTGGCGGCAAAATTGAACTGTGGGAGTCTGTTTTGCGCATAACAGCGAACGTTAAGAATACTGGACCTGTGGCCGGCGCAACAGTATTGCAACTTTACGTAGCATTTCCCGCGCGAACGACACCGAAGGGAACGCCAGTGCAAGTACTGAGAGGATTCCGAAAGATACATCTACAGCCTAGCAGAGCTGGACTCGCAACCTTTGACGTCTTTCGCAGGGACGTCAGCTTTTGGGACGTAGTAACTCAGACCTGGGTCATTCCAGCTGGCGAGTTTGATTTCCGTGTCGGCTTTAGCTCAAGAGATATTGTGGGTGTTGTCAGTCATGCTGTGCTTCCATGAGTCTTCCATGAGTTGGTATGGCGTGTTTTCATCGCTGTATTCTTCTGCAAGTGGTTTTCACAGCTGTTGACGAAGGATTCCGTCGTTAGGTACCCAGGCCGTCACCAGCCAGAATACGCGATGGTGGCTGTCGTCATCTCACCCTACACTCATAAATATTGACTGTTGAAAAGGATCGTGCGTGATTCCTAAGAGTGTGCTTGTCTTGTTAGCAAATTAGATCTTGGCTGCACTCGCGAAAACAGCAATTGGCATGCGTGGCACACCTTCCTCTGTAGAAATCATTTCGCGCTTGGCAACGTTGTAGCGTTGTAGCCCAATTTGACGCGAAAGGACCGACTGCGATTAATTTAGCAAATGAGGCTGGCTAACAGTCAACTTGGTATCTCTTTACGGTAATAGTCTAGAACATGTACTAGAAATCAAGCACCAAGTAGCGGCCCTATTATATATAACCGTTAACAAAAATTGCGCAACCCCTATCCTATAGATTAGTAGGCCTAGTCAAGGTACATACTCTAGTACTGGACTCATGCTACTATAGTACGTGGCGAATAGCCACAATGCACGTTTTAGCCTCCTCTATTACGATACTTGAACTAGTTATTCCCAGATAATTAGAGCCTATAGGTCCAGGCGTGTGCTAATGTTGTCACGCACCCATAGCTTACACTGCCCTAATGAGGTAGCGAATGCTAAGTGGATTACAAGAATTACCGTTTTTGAGCCTTCACTTCGGCTAAACATTACTCGCCACTCCGTTCACGGTAAAAAAAGCGAGAGGTTGAGGGTATCTGGTTGGGGTTTTGTATCCCAGTTCAGAGTTGTGCTGCTGCCATGATACGTCACGGACAGACAAATGATAGTATCCTCGTGCTATGTGATGCTATAGATGCTAAAACGTGCATTCTAAAGCTCGGCTGTACCTCTAAGTACAGTTTTGGAACTGGCGGTGACCACATGATGACCTTCCTGTTTGATATGGAGCCCACTGAGCTGAGTGCCTCAATTTCGTTCCCTCTACCAGGCTTCCCTCAAAAATCTGCCGTGGGTGAATGGGAAATTTTCCTGCATTGATTAAAAGCTTGAAGTCTAATAGACGTGTTTATGGCCATATCAACAATCTCCAAGTGATCAAATTAGAGTCCGCTACGGTTGAGATGGACCGTTCATCGGCGTTCAGAGTAGAGTATGAATTAAGCTGGCCACTCTGGGGGTGTAGCCGCTGCATGTCGAAGCACAGACTGAACCGAAATGCAGCCTGGTAGTTGCCCTCGTATCGTGGTACGCTGTATGGACCCTCAGCGAGTCACCTGCTAATGGGAGACGGTGAGTTGTTGAGATAATCGCTCAGATCTGATGCCCTCAAGTCATGACGTTGGACCACTGGTGACCAATCGATTCGACCACATACAGCTTGCGAGAAGTATATATACGACAGTCAAAGTCACCCAGTTTCTAATCACTCCAGTCCCATCATCACTATCATCACTTCAACCAACCAGCAATCAATCATCTCTACATTCTCTCAAGGAATTGTATATTCACTGCAACCATGCGCTTCTCGAAGATCACCTATTTGAGCATGCTCGCTCTGACCAGTTCAGCCATCGCCAGCCCTCCCGCAGTCGAGAATCTCGAGACATCGTTGGAGGCGAACCAGGTAACATAAATTATCACAGACAAAGAGAACGCACAAGCTAAGATGCAAACAGGACGCAAATGCCCTCGAGAAACGCTTCGGTCCTATCGTGATTTTGCTCGTCAAGGTCATCGGTGGCCAGCTTCTTGCAGGTGCCGCGAAGATTGCGGTCGACGCCACAAAGGCTAAGCTTGAGCCTGAAGGAGATTCGTTCAAGGATTTCGATGCTGTAGGTCGATACCGTACCAAGTTGATTTCCTACTGACAAGTCAATATAGGCACGCACTGCTTTCACGCAAGAATTGGTGAAGGATCTTTACAACCACAGGTCCCCTTCCACTATCAAGGGTGTTGCTTGCTACAACGGACCCTACGAGTTCAGCAGTGGTGCACACTACGAAGGCCCCGTCAGTGTCAACTTCAAGTGGGACATTTACCATACCGAGTAAGGCTCTGCACTACTACTGACTGAATAAACCCCCTCCTGACAATTATTGATAGTTACGACTGTTTTGAACTTTTCTCTGGCACTGTCCACAACAAGGGTGATGGAGGATACATCAACGTGAGTAATCTCTCAAATTCGTTCAACACGCTAAGGCTAACTACTCTCAAGACTGCTGTTTTCGGAACGTGCCACTTCGACCGTGGCTCATACACTTGCTAAGCGTAACCTTCATGTTCTTAGCAAAGGTGGTTCTGTGTCGGAGCCACAAGGAACCAACTTGGGGGTTACTTGTAGTGCTCCAACACCTTATTCCACACATGTAGATTGGTGCTAAACCGGGGGGTATAAAAAAGGGCGGTATAGAAAGGGCGGGAACAAAAGGGTGGTAGAAAAGGAAGCATTAGACGACTCACCAGACGAATACAACATGATGTCTTCATATGCTGTCACACTGTTGGTGCGAATCTTCTATATTTTGTCCGGAACTAGTCCTTGTTGCATGCCTCTATCCTATGCCTTGATTATGGTTGACGAGCAACCTAATTAGGAGAAATAAGCCGATTCTCAACTGACATCGGCTCAGTACATGATAGTCAGGCTGTGTTGCTGATGAAATATCAGAAGGAATGTTTGGGGCGAGTAAGGTAAATTACGATGGGTCAATACGACTAAGATCGAAAATAGCGGAGGGAAGAACACGCGTCAACAAATCGTGAGCCTCAGTTGGGAACAAACGAGTTAAGTGTTGCAATCAATCATTATAGTAAGGGTCAGGGTATGATGTTGTCAATTTTGTCATACCTACTTATGCGCAATACACCCTTCAGCCAGAGATGTCACCCAGTCAAGCATCAAGAACGCATTTCCAGCTGTCTGGGTTCTTGAAGTCTCCAGGTCCCTTGTAAATGTTTCGGTACGGCCACCTGCAATGCTTGCGCTTGAAATCGACCCCACTATCCGCTGTGCCATTGTTGAACGCAGTACCTGTGATGGTATCTGGCGCAATACCTTCCTCAACCCACCTAACAAGCGCAGTTAACACATTCTCCTGTGGATCCAAGCTGCCCATATTTCGGCGCATGTTGCCAATGGCAGCGGCGCCCAGTCCACCCCCACAGTGCATCATGCCCGAGATACGGAAGTATCGGTAGAAGCTGTCGAGCTGCTCCGGAGTCTGGTTCATGGTTTTGGAAACGTGCTCGTAGTAACGTGGGGAGTTCGAGTCGGGGATGATGCCGTCCTGAAGGCCGTGGTAGTGAATCACTTTACCTGCCCTTCGCTTGAAGGAGGACAGGTCGCCGTTCCAGGTTTCGATGTTGAAGAGGTTGAGTCCAGAAGAGATGCGATAGTCGCTAGGTTTCAATGTGAGAGGATCCCAATTAGAGTCGTTAAAGATGGCATATGAGAACCAATCAGAAGATCCAGAACGCTGGCCATTTAGCAGTGAGAAAGGTGCCTCGGCTGCTTCAGCACCGGGCTGCAAACGAGGGTACACCAGACTGCCTTCATCGTCGTAGATGGGAGAGAAGACCTTGCGGACGGTCTCTACTTGCTGCGAAGTAAGACAAGATGATGAGTTCTGCCCAGCTGTGCACAGCAGGCCAGATGGATCGTAATCACAAAGATCGGGTGACTCAAGAATTCCGTCGGCGGCCCCATCCAGAGAGTCGCACTGCTTCAACACATCCTGGTGAACAACGGGCCACAAGCTGGCTGGGACGAATGTCGGAGCTGTTGGAGGTCCCGTAAGGGAATAGAAACTACTACTCCATGAAGTAAGGTTGTTGAAGGCGAAGGCGGGAGCACCAGCTGCGACACCGTCGAAATCGTCGGGAAAATCTTGGATGGACTTGAAGCCCTGTCTTCCACCGGTAGAGCATCCCAGATAGTAACTCTTCCTGTGCTTCTTCCCGTAGAAGGTGCGGCTAATGTCTTTGCCTGCAAGTACACCTGTGTGTACTGCACGGTAGGCGTAGTCCGCAATGACTTCGGGGTTGTTGAGGAAGCTCTGTCCCGTCGTTCCGTCGTGACCATTGTTTGTTCCAACAGCAGCGAAGCCCAGCGATGCAGCATATTCGATGTCCTCGTACTGGATGCAGCCTCCTAGTCCTCCGTTTCCTACGCTAAGGAAGCGGCCGCTCCAGTTCTGCGGCAGCCATGCTTCCATGCGAATCGAGGAACGCGCCGATGTGGAGATGTTCAATCCGACGCGGCAAAGGTCGATAGATACAGCCTGCGAAGGACGAGTGCATGATGGGTCACTCTCAGGGAACTGCAGAGTTGTATTCGCGGTGATGTAGGCGGTGAACGCGACCGTACCACCAGGTATTTTGATCTTGCTAGCCAGACCACTACATTTTGTCGAGAATGAGCCAGACTTTGTTTTGACTTTGTCGACACTGTAGGCATCCACGAGAGCAAGAAGACTCAAGAAACTGCCCAAGGTGAGAGCGACCATCTTGAGCAATGATCACCAGCAGCAGATGAATGGGTAAAGAGAGTGAATTGGAGGATGAGTTGAGAAGTTTGAGCAATGTGCTGTGATCTATATACCAGTCTCATTGTCCGGAACGTGTCTGGCATTCCGAAGGATGGCTTCCGGAAATTAGTATGAGGATAGTGAGATGTATGTAGTGCCGTACACTAGGCTACGCAACTACCAATGTAAGCCCTTGGTGTATGTAAAGCGGGGAACACTCAGGTTAGTACGGCCATCGTCGTTTACATCACATTCAGTAGTCTGGTGCTCCAATCACAATATCGCCACCGTGCAAATGTGGCTTGGACGCCCGGTCTCTGAGCCAATGAATCAGAGTCGATCCAGACACCGACCGGGATGCACAAGGGTGCTGTCAGCCATGTGCAGCGGGAAATGCCGTACATGGCCGAAGATCACCCACTGAAACATCACCTGCCCCATCCACATTCAGTGCGAAATTGAGGGCAATGCTCACGAGAGAAATTACACCGAGTGAGTATCCAGGGAGCAGCCATACGAAAATTGCGTGTTGATGAAACAGGAGGCAAGTACATCTCAAGTGGAAAGCCTCAACTGCTATTCCGTGCAGGCTTTTCATGCACAAATCTTTTATGAGTTCACATAGCAGCAAGCTCGACCGAGTCCAGTGTGGAAACCCGCCGAACCGCACAAGTCTCTTGCTTGATTCGAACTCTAGCTTCTCTGGAATCTCTCACCGAGGCTGATCCCGTATCAAACCTTAGAAGGCTAGAATGGATTCAGTTGCACAGAGTACACAAGATTGAAAGCGCAGTTCCCAGTGGGATCTGGACATAGAGTTCTGTCAGGATATGCAGGGAGCCGACCTACATCTGACGAATTACTTCGCGTGGATCAAGGAATCATGTTGAGGTCGGGATGGAGTACACAACCGGATATCCACATTTTCCATCGCCGAACAGGAGGTAGGAAGTTCAACTACAGTCGACCTTACGAGAAGACTGCGGGTCCAGGATTTCATAGTTCGAGTGAACAGTCTCATGGCTTTAACATGTGTTATCAAAAATGAGTTGGCATTTGTAGAATATTTTGAAGCATTGAGATGGTATGAGCAAGCCCAGCACGTAAGGGAATTTTCCAGCAGAACGAGTTTCGGTAATCAAGATACTCGTCAACCTCGCCCCAGTGTCGAAATTATAGTATTTCGAATGTGCAGCCGACCAGTACATCCGGAACATTCACTTCAGTTCATGATACCCAACGAGCGACCCATTGGTGAACGAGCTTCAGGGATGTTCCTCGAGGAAACGCAAACTTTCCTTGCCACTTGACGGCATCCACATCTTCTCCCCGGTTGACAAAGCCACCGATGCAAATTAATCGCACCACTTCAGCGTTAATGAAAGGCAAGTGAATAGAAGTAGCTCAGGGGATGTACAAAGAACTGCCTACCGGGAGAATTTGGGGGGTGCTATCGATCCTTCTGTGACCGGACACGGTTTGGGTGGCGTGCCCAGCTTCTACCTGACTAATGAAGGACTGTTTTACAGGAGTATCAATTGTAACGCCGAAACTAACAGAGGTGATCTGTTTGCTCCACAATTAGCCCACGATCTTGATGAAATGGTGGTCTGTACAGTGCTCTGGGGCCCAAAGAGTGGTGATATGGATGGCGTTGCTGTTGGTGGCGGTGTATTTATTCTGGTCCGACTTGTTTGCTCGGTGACCTGTCGTCGTTAACGCACTCACAGCATCGCCTAAATCAGCAGCGTACTTCTATTTGTCCAAACATTGTACTTGCACCCGGGCAGTTCCGGTACTCCCAAAGCTGCGTGTCTTCGGCACTTGACTGCAAGCAAGTGCGACTGCCGTCAATCTCGCATACACTCGCTAAACTCAGCATGCTCCGCGAGCACCGGCAGCTTGTCAGACCTGGACCTGCGTCTTGAGCCTCTGTACAGGATGAATATCCTCTGCTCCAGCGGGCGCAACTCTCGTATATCTGCTCACAGACTCCCTGTCCGAGCGTAGCAGTCGGCGTGGTGACAGGTGGCGTTGTGATAGATTTGGAAAGGTATGGATCGCAAGCACCATGCCATTCCACGAGGAAGGAATCAAAGTCAGAATCGAATGAGGTGGTCAGCCCACACTCGCGGAATTCGGACTTGCACCTTGATATGCAATGTCAGACCGATATTTCGAGGAGTTTGCTGTGCTCATGCGTACCCAATCCAGGAGTCGATGAAGTCCTGTGTACACATACAGTTTACGGTGGCTTCCTTGTCGGTAGTCTGGTTGCAGCGGTCAAGAATCGTGTTTACGGAGTCGCAATTTGGGAAGTTCGAGATATCACCAATACAATCGGACGGTTGAAGCGAGCCCTGTGCTACCACGAGAGGGTATGAAGCAAGAAGTACCAGCTGTAGATACATAGTCGTTGATGTGAGTAAGAAAGACGTTTCTCTGACGGAGTGTTCGTGAAAGCCACGGAGTTTCCTAATACGAGGAGACAGGATGTGGGCGAGGATAGGTATATTCGCTTGCGAGACGAAGGCTGAAAGCTGCTGCATGCAGCTTTGAAGACTCTATTGTGCTAAGGTTGCTTCCGAAGCGACCGAGCATGCTGAGGGTTGATTTAAGCTCAAGCTGGTGGGTTTCGCAAGCGATCCAACTCGGCGATTACTTGCCCGGAAAGTTGTTCCGCCCATACCTAGACCTCATAGTTGGAGGAGAGTGCAACGCTAGTCACCATGCCTGTTTGAGCATGAAGCAAGTGGGCGTGACTATATTGTTACTGGTAGACTATGAAGGTCGTGATTGATTATTAAGCTGCAGCTGACAGATTCCTCGCTTAGAAGCTGAACTATCACACCGGTCACTCAATGTCGAAGGTTTCAGCTCTTCAGCTGCCAAGTGGATCCTAGAAATATAGCATGGCGTAATTCGTTGGCTTATGCCTAAAAAGCAATATTCTCCGTGTTATAGGCCGTGTTACTTTCGCTGCTCTCGGTGAATTTGGTTGCTCATACTTCTATTCAAGCCAGGAACGCGCTTTTCTTCTTATCTCACATACCGCGGAGACGAAGTCGCCAGAAATGTCCATTAAGCCAAAATCAAACAAGAACATTGGGTGGATTCCATGGGGACTACGCCTCCCAAATCTACTCATATTCATCTTCCTTGACGCGGCCCTGATTGTATGTCTCATTACACTTTCCATCATGTCTTCTCGGAGAGATGGATTTACTTCCATCGGCAATCTCAACGTGTCTACTTGGAACATTGACTGGGACCTGGGCCTCCTATGGACGACTCTCCCTGTCTTGATATTTCGCTTGCTGGGTGTCTACTGGGAGTGTATTGCGAGCCCAATTTCTCAGCGCCAACCATACGTCGATCTCTTGAAAAATGGTGGGGCTCCAGCCGAGAGATCTGTGATGCTAGACTACCTCTCCATACCTGTGCTATGGCGTTGGTGGACCGCGTTCAGGAATCGACACTTCCTCGTCAGCGTTTGCTCGTCTCTGACGCTGCTGATGTCCATCGGTGTCACCGCCCTATCAGCGAGACTGTTCGCTGTTCAGGCTGTACCCACCACGACAGAGCTGCCTATGCTATTCAACTCCATCTTCGACGACTCTGCCATCAACTCCACGTTAGCGTGGTTTCCTGTCATCGATACCGTGTCTGCTATCTACGTGCATCACGGGGCCCCGTTACCGTGGACAGATCAGCAATATGCGTTCCGGCCTTACCAGTTGCAAAGCTTTGTGGCTGCGAACGCTGAAGTCAAAGTCACCACTAAAGCATATTCGGCTTACCTCAACTGCAGCGCTTTATCTGATTACGAGCTCAGTCTGAGGGACACCCGACTTTACATGTCTGCTAGCGACCGCGGCTGCGAGATATCCCAAGACTTCGAGGTATCAGACATACAGGAGGTGTACTTTAAGACTACGTCAGAAACCAGCTGCTCGGCTGATTCATGGTATAGTCGTCTGGTCTTCACAGCTGCTATGTATTCCAACGATTCCTCCACTCTCGTATCGAACGTTACTATACTCTCCTGTATTACCAACTATCGCGAAACCTTGGGCGACCTTGTGACTAGTACAACAAACGATTCATTGGCAAATCTGGCTGTCCAAAGTTTTCACGCTTTAGAGTCAACCGACACTCGCCCGTCTCTGTGGAGAGTCTTCGAACAAGGCATCATGTCCCCCACAACCCTTAACCCTCAAGCAACCTGGTCGACAACGGCCGTTGGCAACCTTATTCTCTACTACGCCCAGCAAATGGATGGAACTCAATACCTCTCCAGTGACATTCTCTATCGTGCCGTCTCCGACATGTTCTCGGCTATTTACCTTACCGCAGCCGCCCAGCACGCATTCGTTCCACTCGAAACGCCTGAAATCATCATCGGCGAAGTTGAATTGTTGACCCAGCGCCTTTACACTGTTTATTGGGTTGCCTATACTATTGCTGTGGTTCTCTTGCTAATCATGGGCGCAACGCTGGCGGCCATTGTGCATGTGTCCACCCACGCAACCGTTCTAAATGAAGAGCCGGCTGGTCTGCTAGCACACGCGGCGATTTTGGAGAAAAGCCCTCTGATGGATTCTGCTGCGGAGCTGAGGGCGCAGGACAATGGCTATGCAGCAGGAGATGCAGCTAGAGCTGCCTTTAAAGCCAGTCGTTGGGGTGGAATCGCAACGACAGATCGAAGTGGCTGGGTAATTGCAAGGCTGAGATAACCGCGGTAACGATTGCAAGTCCCTTTTTTGTACCCAAGTCTAGCAGAAGTCGAATAGAAAATTTGGACGAGGGAGGAAAAGAAGACGTGGCTCGTGGTTTCTTGGCTGCATAACGCCAACGTTAGGAGGAACAATTTGGTAGGGACACTTCAAAACTTTAGGGCTGCTCTCTCACATCTGCGGTTATAGTCCCAAAGTGGATAATCTATCTCGCCGCTCAGCCTGGCAACGAGCACAGCGCTCGGTCGCTCGCATGGGAGAAGCTGTGAGCCTGCAGGCTAAGGATGTCGACCTCCAACGCTTACTGCTGCACCGGTGTGGGGGCCGGCTTGTTCAGGCAGGAGACGAGGCTTAGAAGTGGGTATGTGTAGATAGGTATTCCAGTGTGGCACAGGCCTTGTAGCAACACTAATAGGCACTATCTTCTTAGGTACCGAATAGCTGCTTAAGCAGCAATGAATGGACTGTTGTTGAGTCCTCACACCCGCTGACGAGCGAAGTTGTATGTGGCCGCTTTCTAGGCTTCGTGATCGAAGGTGATTGGGAACATGACTAAGCAGATTGCTCCAAAGAGCGCAAGACTGCGCACCAAGCCCGTTGTATTTGGCGGCATTCAGGGAATTGTAGGCGTCGTTTAAATAAGGCACTTACCTTAGTAGCGCAACATTTCCGACTGGCTTGCATGTTACAGGCATGTGAATATCCGTGAGCAATGCGTTGGTGTAAACATATGTAGGCCGTTCGCGGAAAATATCCATTCCAGCGCATTGGACCCGCAGAGACCAGCAACACCTCAGAAGGATCCTTCATCTCGTAGCAGGACGGTACATCGAGATACTGCTAGCTCAGATTGAGCATCCTCCATGCCGTGCAAGCGGTATCGCCTGGAGTATCCGCCACCTGATTGACTGGCAGGCAGCCAAGCCAGTGTGCTGCGACATCGGCGGTCTGCGCGACCTGAAGATGATTCGATGCACTGGCGGAGGAAATGAATCCGCACGTTCTCGTGACTCATCGATATCAGTCCAGGAGACCTCCGCTACGTACTTCCGTTAAAGGATGCTGTCGTCCCGGTCTGCTCCGAGGTCCGCCGCGTCGTCGAGAGAAGTTTGGTCTGCCGCAGCGGACTCGCTGTAAGGGTCGCCCGAGTCGCCAGAGGGTTCATAGCAGACGCATTGGCTTTTGAGCTCCATGAAACTTGGGGTACATGGCCGTGCTTGGACATGACGACGATGCCATGCACATCGCAGTCTGCCCGTCGGCATTCCGCTGCAACATGCTATCTCCCGGCCAGTGACGTGCCAGCGCCCATCCTCCACGGCGGACATCGCGCTCCTTGGTGCGGTTTGGGTAGCGATAAGAACAAGATGACGCTCCGGAATTACGGCGACAAAAGAGGGCCCGCCGGTCACCGCGCCAATCACAGCCTGCCGGATTCAAAGCAGGCTGCGTGGACTTGGTGGGGCTAGGAGCGGAAAGATGCATGCTGCATGACCGGGTCATAGAGCAGTGTCAGTGCGACTTCGGCACCTGCAATTGGACGCACGGCCGAACGACACGCTCACCGCCTGCAGCGTATAGACGCCTTCAGCCAATCTAGTGCCGCATGAAGTAACGCTCGCGGCAGAAACCGTGGGGTAGCCTGCCAATTTTCGAAATGCGCGACACAGCGATGTGCAGTCGTTCAGCGAATATCCACACGGTTATTGCTAACGGAAAACCAGAGAGACGCCAGCTCGCTAGTAGGACCCTCGGTCGACGGGAGGAGGCCAATTGGGGCTTCATTAGTCGGCACGAGAGGCGGGCTGGCTTCAAGTGGGCATTGGAGGGGCGAGACAAAGGGTTGACATGTGCTGTTTCGAGGTGTACAAGATTGCTGTACAAGCAAATAGACTCCAATAAATCAGAACTTGAATCCGGCGCAGCAAGTCGATGCACGCAGGCGACCGGAGACGCACTGTGAGAGAGCAGACAACGCCTCCGTCACTTTGTTTCCAGGCCTGTAATTGGACGGAGGTCGGAGTGAAGTGGTAGCGCATTAGAAAAAAGACCCACACAAACCTTCCGCCCTCTATTCATAAGCTCTGCCACCCAGTCTCCCGCGACCTTCATTCCCACTCACACCCACCACTCTTTCTCGCCCGAACAAGTTGCTTGCCGGAACACCGCGAGTCGACTCCAAGGCCTGTTCCACTCAGCCTTACGTAGCAAGTAGGTCACCCTCGCCCACAACCACTTATTTCCGCTGCACCACCCATTCTCCGGCCATACAATGTCTCCCTACGTCTACGTCCGCCGCCTGCACGACAGGATAAGCGAGCGCCTCACGTCTACATTCCACGACCCCGCGCCACCTCATTCGCCGAATCTCTTATCAGAGTCTCTTGCTGCGCGACAGCTATCAGTTGCCTCTGAATTCGAGTAGTGTCATTCGTACCAATTTACCATTCTGAGCAACCGAGGCTGGTGACGTAGCTGGAGTGCTGTTCTCCAGCATCTGCGAAAGATTGACGTTTGCAACTACCAAATTGCGGCCGCTTCCCCTCTATCTCGTTTTTGCTTTGGCGCTTGCTTGTGAACTGGCCTTCCCAAATTGCGACCCACAAACCACATCAACGCACCTTTACCAAGCCTGAAACTAACATCCTCCTTCGGTAGCTTTCAATTGATTTCAGGACATCAGCTCCTTTCTTGATACCCCAAGCCCCGCCACCAGAAGCGGTTCGCCTTCCATATACCCGCCACCTTCGATCCCTTTACTTCGGCCGTTCGCCGATATAATGGGTCGAGTTTCATTCGCCGAGGATACCAAATTGCCTGACGAGACTCATATCGAGGAAGAGCCCTACAAGGTTTTCGAGTACCAAGATGGCCCGGAGAACAAGTCTTGGGCAGGTGCCCTTCCCATGAAGCAGGGTCTCTATGACCCCTCGCTCGAGAAGGATGCTTGCGGTGTGGGTTTCGCCGCGTAGGTGACAAGAAATCCATTGGAAATAGGTGTCGAAGTTGACATTTGTGCAGGCACATCAAGGGCAAAGCCAGCCACAAGATCGTCACTGATGGTAAGAGCGCACTCACATCGTCAAAATAGCTTTGGCTAACCTTTGTAGCGCGCTCATTGCTCTGCAACATGACTCATCGTGGTGCCGTCGGCTCAGACGCGCGAGATGGTGACGGTGCAGGTGTGATGACCTCCATCCCCCATCGATTCTTCCTCAAGGAATTCGAGCGCGAGCAAGGCTACAAGCTACCAGCCATCGGCCAGTACGCTACCGGTAACCTGTTCTTCAAGCCAGATCCCACAATCTTGGATGAGACCAAGGCCATGTTCGTGGATGTCGCAGACCAGCTCGATCTGAGAGTACTGGGGTGGCGAGTGGTCCCCAGGGACTCCACACTCCTTGGCCCTGCTGCGCTCTCGCGAGAGCCGATCATCCTGCAGCCGTTCGTCGTCCTCAAGACTGCCTACGGAGACGGAAGGCAGCCCAAGGAGGACTTCGCAAAGACCTTCGACGCTGGCTACTTCGAGCGTCAGCTGTACGTTATGCGCAAGCGTGCAACACACGTCATTGGCCTGCACAACTGGTTCTACATTTGTTCCCTTTCGAACAAGAACATCGTATACAAGGGTCAGCTGTCGCCGGTCCAGGTTTACGAGTACTACCACGATCTGCTCAATGTTGACTACGAGGGTCACTTCGCACTTGTGCACTCTCGTTTCTCGACAAACACATTCCCCTCGTGGGATCGCGCACAGCCTCTGCGATGGGCCGCTCACAACGGTGAGATCAACACACTGCGAGGAAACAAAAACTGGATGCGAGCACGTGAGGGCGGCATGAAGTCCAGCCTTTTCGGCGAAGATCTCGACATGCTGTACCCCATTATTGAGGATGGCGGTTCCGATTCTGCAGCTTTCGACAACGTTCTCGAGCTGCTCACCATCAACGGTGTTTTGTCTCTACCCGAAGCAGTCATGCTCATGGTCCCTGAAGCATGGCAGGGTAACCACACCATGGATCCTGCCAAGCAAGCTTTCTACGAATGGGCTGCTTGCATGATGGAGCCCTGGGACGGTCCTGCACTCTTCACATTCTCCGACGGCCGCTACTGTGGTGCCAACCTCGACCGCAACGGTCTGCGTCCTTGCCGTTACTACGTAATGGACGATGACCGCATCATTTGCGCGTCTGAAGTCGGTACTATCTCCATCGACCCTGAGCGCGTTGTTCAGAAGGGCCGTCTGCAGCCCGGCAAGATGTTGCTTGTTGACACTGTCGCTGGTCGCATTGTCGACGATGCCGAGCTCAAGAAGACTGTTGCCGAGCGCAATGACTTCAGCGCGTGGATTGAGAAGAACCTTCTCACCCTGCCCAAGATTCTCAAGACCGTTGGCGATAAGGGTCTCGACCTTTCCTACACACTCACAGAGTCCAAGCTCCACGAAGACCCCCGCCTGCGAGCATTCGGCTACTCGCTTGAGCAGGTCAGTCTGCTCCTCGGACCCATGGCCGCCGACTCAAAGGAGGCACTCGGTTCTATGGGTAACGATTCTCCTCTTGCTTGCTTGGCCACCCAGCCTCGTTTGCTCTACGAGTACTTCCGCCAGCTGTTCGCGCAGGTCACCAACCCTCCTATCGATCCTATTCGCGAGGCCATTGTCATGTCTCTCGAGGCCTACGTTGGTCCACAGGGCAACCTTTTGGAGATGGACGAGTCACAGTGCCACCGAATGCTTCTGCCTTCGCCAGTCCTGTCTCTTGAGGAGTTCACAGCTCTGACTAACACCCACACACTACACTCCGGGTGGTCTGTCAAGAGCATCGACATCACTTTCGCAAAGAGCGAGGGTGTCGAGGGATACATGAGCACTCTGGACCGCATTTGCGAGGAGGCATCTGAGGGTGTCAAGAACGGTGACAGCATTATTGTCCTGACCGACCGTGCAGTCTCCAAGGACCGCGTGCCTGTCTCCGCCTGCTTGGCTACGGGTATGGTTCACCACCATCTCGTCCGCAACAAGTGGCGTTCCAATGTCGCCCTTGTCGTCGAGACTGGCGAAGCTCGTGAAGTTCATCACATGTGCGTTCTTGTTGGATATGGTGCCGATGCCATCAGCCCCTACCTCGCCATTGAGTGCATCCTGAAGATGCACCGCGAGGGCGTCATCCGCAAGAAGCTCAGCCCCGAGCAGCTCGTTGATAACTATAAGCACTCCTGCGATGGTGGTATCTTGAAGGTCATGTCCAAGATGGGTATCTCCACCCTGCAGTCTTACAAGGGAGCTCAGATCTTTGAGGCCCTTGGTCTTGACGATTCTGTTGTCGACCGCTGCTTCACAGGTACTGCCTCCCGTATCAAGGGTATGACCTTCGACCTTATTGCTCAAGATGCGTTGGCCCTTCACGATAAGGGTTACCCATCTCGTCCCATTGTCGAGGTTCCTGGTCTTGCTGAGACTGGTGAGTACCATTGGCGTGACGGCGGTGAGCCGCACATCAACGATCCCACTGCCATGGCCAACATTCAGGACGCCGTTCGCACCAAGAACGACAAGTCTTACGAGGCTTACTCCCTCGCTGAGTACGAGCGCATCAAGGACTGCACTCTCCGTGGTCTTCTTGACTTCAACTTTGACGATCGCACTCCTATTCCCGTTGATCAGGTCGAGCCATGGACAGACATCGTGCGCCGCTTCGTCACAGGTGCCATGTCTTACGGTTCCATCTCCATGGAGTCTCACTCTACCCTTGCTGTCGCCATGAACCGTCTTGGTGGCAAGTCCAACACCGGTGAGGGTGGTGAAGACCCAGAACGCAGCTTGCGCATGGAGAACGGTGACACCATGCGCTCCGCCATCAAGCAGATCGCATCCGGACGTTTCGGTGTTACCTCCAACTACCTTGCCGATGCCGATGAGCTCCAGATTAAGATGGCTCAGGGTGCTAAGCCTGGTGAGGGTGGTGAGCTTCCCGGCCACAAGGTCTCTGGCTCGATTGCTAAGACCCGTCACTCTACCCCCGGTGTCGGTCTTATCTCGCCTCCTCCCCATCACGACATCTACTCCATTGAGGACCTCAAGCAGTTGATTTACGACCTAAAGTGCTCCAACCCCCGCGCTCGTGTCTCCGTCAAGCTCGTTTCCGAGACTGGTGTTGGTATCGTCGCCTCTGGTGTCGCCAAGGCCAAGGCCGATCACATCTTGATCTCTGGTCACGATGGTGGTACCGGTGCCTCTCGCTGGACCGGTATCAAGTACGCAGGTCTTCCTTGGGAATTGGGTCTTGCCGAGACTCACCAAACTCTTGTCCTCAATGACCTCCGTGGCCGTGTCATTGTCCAGACTGATGGTCAGCTCCGCACTGGACGTGATGTAGCCATTGCCTGTCTCCTTGGTGCTGAGGAGTGGGGCTTTGCCACAACTCCGCTCATCGCTATGGGCTGCATCATGATGCGCAAGTGTCATGTTGGTTAACACTTCCTCGCTACTGAACAGAGTTGCTAACATGTGAACAGTTGAACACCTGCCCTGTCGGCATCGCTACCCAAGATCCTGAGCTCAGGAAGAAGTTCGCCGGTACTCCCGAGCACGTCATCAATTTCTTCTACTACATCGCCAACGAGCTCCGCGCTATCATGGCCAAGCTTGGCTACAGGACCATCAACGACATGGTAGGTCACTGCGAGGCTCTTCGCATTCGTGATGACCTGCGCACGGCCAAGACCGAGAACATTGACTTGTCCTTGATCCTGACTCCTGCACACACCCTTCGCCCTGGTGTTGCCACCTTCAACGTTCGCAAGCAGGACCACCGTCTCCACGTCCGTCTCGACAACAAGCTCATCGCTGAGTCCGAACTTGCTCTTGAGAAGGGTCTGCCCGCTCGCATCGAGTGCGACGTTGTCAATACCGACCGTGCCCTCGGTGCCACTCTCTCCTACCAGGTCAGCAGACGTTACGGCGAGGTTGGTCTGCCACAGGACACCATCCACGTCAACATTCGTGGTTCCGCCGGTCAGTCCTTCGGTGCATTCCTTGCCCCTGGTATTACACTCGAGCTCGAGGGAGATGCCAACGACTATGTCGGCAAGGGTCTTTCAGGCGGTCGTCTGATTGTCTACCCACCGCGTACTGCAGTCTACCGTGCCGAGGAGAACGTTCTCATTGGTAACGTCTGTCTCTACGGTGCCACCCAGGGTACCTGCTTCTTCCGTGGTATCGCTGCTGAGCGATTCTGCGTCCGTAACTCCGGTGCTACGGCTGTTGTTGAGGGTGTTGGTGACCACGCTTGCGAGTACATGACAGGTGGTCGTGTCCTTGTCCTTGGTTCTACTGGTCGCAACTTCGCCGCTGGTATGTCTGGTGGTATTGCCTACGTTCTTGACATCCACCAGGACTTCGAGCAGAAGGTTAACCAGGAGATGGTTGAGCTCTCACCCATTGAAGAGCCCGAGGAGATCGCATTCGTTCGTGGACTCATCGAGGATCACCACCACTACACTGGTTCCGAGCTCGCCGCTCGTATCCTGCTTGATTTCACGCGCGCTCTGCCCCGCTTTGTCAAGGTCATGCCCGTTGACTACAAACGCGTACTGCTCGAGGAGAAGGCCAAGGCTGCTGAGAAGAAGCGATCAGAGTATCCATTGCCTCTTCTCGCCGGCAACCCCGTTCGCACCGCCCACGAGGACTCGCGCAAGAATGAGCATGCACACGAGGCCAAGGACAAGAAGAAGGCCGACCTTCTTGACATCGAGGAGAGCGTCACCGACGCGAAGGCTGAGAAGAAGAAGGCTCTTGTTCTCGACAAGACTCGCGGGTTCATGAAATATCAGCGCCGTTCCGAGAAGTATCGTAACCCTAAGACCCGTACGCGTGATTGGGCCGAGCTCTCTCAGCGCCTGAACGAGGACGAGCTTAAGTACCAGACCGCCCGTTGTATGGACTGCGGTGTACCATTCTGCCAGTCCGACACAGGATGCCCGATTGGCAACGTCATCCCGAAGTGGAACGAGCTTGTCTTCCAGGGTCAATGGCGCGATGCGCTGAATCGCCTCATACTTACCAACAACTTTCCGGAGTTCACTGGCCGCGTTTGTCCTGCTCCTTGCGAAGGCGCTTGCGTCCTGGGAATCAACGAAGACCCCGTCGGTATCAAATCTATCGAGTGTGCGATCATTGATCGTGGTTTCGAGATGGGCTGGATGGTGCCTACGCCGCCCCCAGTCCGCACAGGCAAGACTGTAGCCATCATCGGTTCTGGTCCTGCTGGTCTCGCGTGTGCTGATCAGCTCAACAAGGCCGGACACACTGTTACCGTCTTCGAGCGTGCTGACCGTTGTGGTGGTCTACTCATGTATGGTATCCCCAACATGAAGCTCGACAAGAAGGTCGTCCAGCGCCGCGTTGATTTCATGGCTGCCGAGGGCGTAGTCTTCAAGACTGGTGTTACTGTCGGCGAGGATGGCTCAGAGAACCTCGACTCTCTCCGAAGCCAGTACGACGCGGTCATTTTCGCCACCGGTGCTACCGTTGCACGTGACCTGCCCATCGCCAACCGCAACTTGGACGGCATTCACTATGCCATGCAGTTCCTGCACAAGAACACCAAGTCTCTCCTGGACTCTGAGCTCGCCGACGATTCTTACATTTCTGCCAAGGATAAGCACGTCATCGTCATCGGAGGTGGTGACACTGGTAACGACTGCATCGGAACCTCTGTCCGTCACGGTGCCAAGTCTGTTGTCAACTTCGAGCTGCTGCCTCAGCCTCCCGCTGAGCGTGCCCGCGATAACCCATGGCCGCAGTGGCCTCGCATTTTCAGGACTGATTACGGTCACAACGAGGTCAAGACTCACATGGGCAAGGATCCCCGTGAGTACTGTGTCATGTCCAAGGACTTCGTCGATGACGGAGCCGGCAATGTCAAGGGAATCAACACCGTCCGTGTTGAGTGGACCAAATCCGCCTCTGGCGGCTGGGACATGAAGCAGGTTGAGGGCAGCGAGCATTTCTTCCCTGCCGATCTTGTCTTGCTCTCCATGGGTTTCTTGGGCCCTGAGCAGCGCGTCATGAACAATGTCATTGAACTTGACGGCCGCAAGAACATCAAGACACCCCCTGGTCACTACAACACCAACCTTCCCGGTGTCTTCGCTGCTGGTGACTGCCGTCGCGGACAGTCTCTCATCGTCTGGGGCATCAACGAGGGTCGCCAGTGTGCTCGCGACGTCGATACCTTCCTCACCGGTCACGGCAGTCAGCTTCCTGTCGCTGGTGGTATCGTCAAGCGCTCCCCTCTTATGAGCACCCACAGGCACGAGATCTCTGCTGCCGCCTAGATTTCCAGCAATAGAGAAGTGCATTAGAAAGAGATGTTTACGACAAAATGATTACGAAAGAAGATTGATTCTAAGGATGATTTGACACGATCCGGAGTTTGTTTTTTGCGCCATCTATCGTTACCTGCAAGATACCTTTTTCGATGGAGTCATCTGGCGGCATATGCAGTGTACAATCGCTTTGCTTCTTGCTCTATACTATCAGTCTTTGTACATAGGTTTCAATACGTACATTCCAAGTCTTGTCCTTACATGCGTGAATTTCTAATCTATGCCCTGCCTGTATCGACGATGTTCAGTCTGCACAGGAAAGACGTACCTATATTTTACTCATAGGTATGGATCGCTTCGCGACTTCATGAAGATTTCGAAACTCTCTATAGAGAGCATCGAATAAGAATCACTTGGTAGGCAAGCGTGATAGTCGAGATTAACTGGATGCCTGCTAGCATGCCGAGGCACTTCAAATGTCCGAAGTGCCCAATTCCCATCTTTTGTGATGAGAGACGGCACGCTGTGCCAAGCTCAGATCGCATGACGTCAGCGCCTGCCCAGCTTTGATTGTTGCCTCCGACGCGCGCTGCTTTACTGTAATCAGCATCACCGCTTTCAAAATGTACGCGCAGTGATACTCTACAGAACATGTTACCACGTCCGAGTTGGCAGCATGCAGGTCGGAGGCCGCTGCAAGGGCTGACCAGGTAACGAAGATCCTCTGCGACAGCGGCTGCAGATCATCGTGGGGATGCTAATGGGTAATCAGAACACCATGTCTCACATCGCTACCCGGCGTGGGTGCGATCCACAGGTTCAGGCAAACTTCGTGGATTGAGTCTGCCAGGTATGCTTCGCTGCAAGCTGGCGAAGACAAGACAGGCCACATCAGCGCAGGGCCTAATGAAGGCCTCCTGTTCTTCAACAATGTATATCCCATATCTATTCGAAGGCTCCTAGGATTACCCGCACCTCGACTGCTCGATCGGCTCGTTGCACCATTCATCCCAGGAACGGGTCCTCAGCAGGTCATTGAAAAAGTCAAGGCAACGAAGGGCCTGCAGATCACCGCCACTGAGGTTCTTCCACGGATGCGAGAGGGTGGAGCATTTGTCAAATTTACTCACGATGGAACCTCGTCGATATCTGAGATCGAGAAGGTACTTCAGCAGCATCTCAGGGACGAGCCTGTTAAGCCATGGTGGGCACCATTCCGGCGCATGCGTACCAAGGCCGTCAAGGGTCGTCCATGGGTCGAAGATTTGATGCGTGTGCCGGCACCAAGATTGAGAGTCGAATTTATCTCGGGAGAACCAGGAGGTAGCCCCGCTGACGCTGTCGAATTGTCACAAGAAGAGTTGTTTCAATTCTTCAGGCCCTATGGCAAGCTTTCCGACATTGTCATGCAGCCTCCAGATTCCAAGGTGTTGCCCAAGTTCGCGCATGTCGATTTCTCGAGTATGGGCAAAGCCGTCATGGCGAAGAACTGCATGCATGGCTACCATGTTTCGCAGGCTGAAGGCGGAGGCGCAAAGGGTACGATTCTTCGGTTGAAATACGAACAGAAAATCAAGCCGAGATGGATCAGAGACTGGCTATTCAGTCATCCTCGGATCGTCATCCCTATTCTTGCAGCAATCATAGCTGGTATTACTGTTGCCATCTTCGATCCAATCCGGACATTCTTCGTCAAGGCACACATTACGAGAATGTTGCACCTAGAGGACAACAGAATTTACAAATGGCTCAAGGGATACGCTGAGGACCTTATTCGCGGCAAGAAAGATGAAGAGGAAGCCGGCATGGACGCTATCTGGGACGATCGCAAGAACAACATCGAACAGATCCAGACCTGGCTCATGGAAACAGCTGATACTTTCATCATTGTACAAGGTCCGCGTGGCTCTGGCAAGAAGGAATTGGTCGTCGACCAAGCTCTTGCCGACAAAAGGCTAAAGCTTATCATTGACTGCAAGCCCTTGCAAGAGGCCCGTGGCGACAGCGCTACCATCAGCGCTGCTGCTAACTCTGTCGGCTACAAGCCCGTCTTCTCTTGGATGAACAGCATCAGCGGCATGATCGACATGGCTGCTCAGGGTGCAACAGGCGTTAAGACCGGCTTTTCAGAAACCCTTGATTCTCAGCTCAGCAAGATATGGAACACGACCACTACTGCACTCAAGCAAATCGCTCTTGACAAACGCCACAAGACCGATAAAGATGCCCAACTCGGCGACGATGAGTGGCTCGAAGCACACCCGGAACATAGGCCTATCGTTGTCGTCGATAATTTCCTACACAAGAGCAATGAAGGTGGCATTGTTTACGACAAGATCGCTGAATGGTAAGTCATCCTGGACCTGAAATTACTCTCCGAAAAACTGACACACGACAGGGCTGCTCGTCTTACTACAGCTAATGTCGCGCATGTCATCTTCCTGACCAACGACGTCTCTTTCAGCAAGTCGCTCTCGAAAGCCCTTCCAGACCGCGTCTTCCGACAGATCTCTCTTTCTGATTGCTCACCTGAAGTTGCCAAGCGCTATGTTATAACGCATCTCGACGCTGATGTCCAGGACGATCCCGTGCCTCGTGGGCAGGAGCCCAAGCCGATTCCCTCGCAGTCGCGCACGGACTTGGACGAGTTGGACTCGTGCATTGCGCTGCTTGGTGGTCGATTGACAGATCTCGAGTTTCTCGCAAGAAGGATCAAGACTGGCGAAACACCGCAGAAGGCAGTTCACGAGATGATTGACCAGTCTGCCTCTGAAATTCTAAAGATGTACATCTTCGGCGCAGAGGACGAGGGTGGAAACAGGCATTGGAGCGCTGAGCAGGCGTGGATGTTGATCAAGGAGCTGTCGCAAAAGGAAAGCCTGCGCTACAACGAGGTGCTTCTCGACGATATCCTGAAGACAGGTGGCGAAACTGTCCTGCGTGCCCTCGAACAGTCTGAGCTCATCACGATCCAATCCGGGCCTAACGGACGACCGGCGATCATCAAACCCGGCAAGCCCATCTACCACCCGGCCTTCAAGCGTCTTACTGAGGATAAAGTGTTGAAGAGCCGTCTCGATCTTGCTATCTTTACCCACCTGACCAAGATTGAGAGTGCGACTATTGACAAGTGTGAGAACGAGCTGTTGATATTGAGCAAGCTTAGGAACCAACCCGCCCAAATGGCTGGGAGAGCCAACTACCTCCTCAACAAGATGATGACAAGCCAAGACAAGGTGGAGAAGTATGAAACAGAGATCAAGGGCTTGAAGAAGGTCCTCGGGCAGGAATACTGATCATTGACAATTCTGTAAAGATACCTTTGCCTCTTCCTTTTCGCCAGAACACCTCCACATATACCTATTGTACTACGAATTTAATGCAACTGATCTCCTCTTAGCCTGTGCTTGCACGTGCATCACGACTGCCCCACTGGCTCGGGCTCACTGCATTCCATTTTTGACTGATAACTGCATTTGCCCGAGTACACAAACTCGGATTAACTCCTAGAATCGATGGACAGTATTCAAAAACCCCCGACCATGCTTCGCACTGCGTCTCTCGTCCAGGAACCAGTTTCTCCGTCCCACGTCATTCGCGCTAAGCAACCGCCCGACAACCGCGGCCTAGTCCGTGCTCTCCATTCTGCCGAAGCTCGCAACACGCGAACTGCTCTCCAACCTCATCGACTTTTCCCGCGACTGCCATTGCGCACCACCCCGACGTCCACTCTTCCTGCCACGACCACAGACGTAGCGTCTCCTTGCGCTCCGCTTACCCAATCACAAAATGGCCCCTCTCGCAGATTCGGCGGTCTCTGACCTCCAGAGCACCGTCTCCCGGCTGGAGAAGCGCATTGCAGAGCTCGAGACCAGGCTGCAGGGCCAGGTCGGCATCTCAGACCAATCCCAGGAGAGCGTCAGGATGATTTTGATTGGGCCGCCCGGTGCCGGTATGCCTTCAAGACTTGCGTGCGCGAAACATGAATTTTAATAACGTTCGTAGGCAAGGGCACACAAGCGCCGCGCATCAAGGACAAGTTCTGCGCATGCCATTTGGTACGTTCGGCCGAGCCGCAAACCCGCGCGAAGTTCGGGTTCCAAAAGGGATTCGACGCTAATGTATGCAGGCTACTGGAGACATGCTCCGCGCACAGGTTGCCGCGAAGACAGCGCTCGGTCGCGAGGCTAAGAAGATCATGGATGCCGGAGGCCTTGTCAGCGATGAGATCATGATCAACATGATCAAGACTGAGCTCGAGACCAACCAGGAGTGCAAGAACGGGTATGTCGCGTTTAGATTCGCTTGCGCCATGTCGGTCGTCGCGCACATTGCAGCTCTGTACTAACCACACTATCTGTAGTTTCATTCTTGACGGTTTCCCACGAACAGTCGTCCAGGCCGAGAAGCTCGACGGCATGCTTACAAACACCAAGAAGCCTCTGCAGCACGCTGTTGAGCTCCAGATCGACGACTCGCTGCTCGTCGCGCGTATCACTGGCCGTCTCGTCCACCCCGCGTCTGGCCGCTCGTACCACAAGATCTTCAACCCTCCTAAGAGTGATATGACCGACGACGTCACCGGCGAGCCGCTTGTCCAGCGCTCCGACGACAACGCCGAGGCCCTTAAGAAGCGCCTGGTAACATATCACACCCAGACCGCGCCTGTTGTCGGATACTACCAGAAGACCGGCATCTGGAAGCCCATCGACGCGAGCCAAGAGCCCGGCCAGGTCTGGAAGAGCCTGCTCAAGGTCTTTGACAACAAGGCCTACGTCGCTGGCCAGACCGGCAGCTTGTTGAACAAGATTGGCCTCAAGAACTAGATTGTCCGAGGTGCAAAGGAGTGACCACGAGCAGCGCGAATGTGACATGGCGTTTGCGGATTGTGCTGGAGCAGTGGAAAAGTCGACCTCCATACGCTTTAGCATGGTGAATGCACATAGTGGAGTGGGACTGCAAAGGTCTCTGTACTTGTAAGGATCGGTCGTTTGGATCTACTCGCAGGTGCTCTGGGAGGAAGTCGCGTTTTCATATTGTATGTACTACTCTGTGCAACCTGGTCGCGGGATTCGAGACTAGAGCGCGTGGAGTTCTGAAATATATACGCACTGCAATCATTTCCGACTTCGTTCCAACAGTGACACAACCAACTATTCTACCTCCATGCTATTCGTGTCTTCACTCCAACGGCACAGGCAGCCACTGACGCGTGGTGCTCCTCCGTTGTTGCCACGAGGTGCTGTCTTGGCTCGGCTTTAGCTGCCTACCTCCGCCAACAAAAAGATACCAGCGCAGCTCCAAGTGTCCTCCACAACCCACAATTGCGCTCCACATCCACCTACACCGCGCCTTCGGCACCTCAAGCTCCCCACCCGAGCACGCGCAACGCGCCCAGATTCCACGCCCACCCCAGCGCACCCCGCGAAAGCACAGCTCACGCACCGCGCGCCACGCACCGCGCACCACCCAGCAATGTCCAACCGCTTCGGCCGCGACGCGGCCCGCGACGACCTGTTCAGCAGCTACAACCGCTCAGCGTCGCCCTCGAAGTCCAAGAGCAAAGCGCGCGCATCGCCCTACAACAGCGCCGGCTACGGGCTGCCCGCGACCCCCGACAGCGGCTTCTCGGCGTACCCCGGCGCGCCTGCAAACGGGAGTCTGTACGGCGGGTACGGCGCGGGGGGCTCGGGCGCACACGACGGGGGGTACCGCGCGACGCCGCCGGGCGGGCGGGGGCCGTATGCGAGTGCCACGCTGGACGAGCTGGAGAGCCAGAACGAGGAGCATACGGGTGTGTTGATTGGGAAGGTGAAGATGCTGAAAGATGTATGTGTTGCATCTACCCACTTGCCCCTGTAACCCCGATCGCAGCTAATAGAGGCAGTTGACGCACCTCATCGGCGACGAAATCCGCGATTCTACCTCCCTGGCGGAGAAAATGAATGACCAGTTCGAGAACAGCCGGAACAAGATTAGGGGCACGATGAACCGGATGCTGAGCATGGCGAAGAAGACGGGGGTCGGGTGGAAGGCGTGGGTGGCGTTCTTCGTGGCGCTGATTCTGTTGTTTTGGTTGGTGAAGCGGTAGTGAGATGGGCTAATGGGCATGGTGGCATCTGGACATGGAAATATGGGTAGGGGAGATGGGTCTGATGGGAGATGGGATGATGTCTTCACAACGCTCTGTTGTATTGCAAGCATTTGGCGCGGCGTTTGGGCTTTTGAGGGCTGACTGGGTGGTGGGTAATGTAGTAGGTTGTGCATGTATACTACGGGATAAATACGTATCTCAGAGAGGAGAGATGCCTGCGGTATACATCACATGCACTCGTACTCACGTGTTGTCTCCGTCAATCCACCGAGCTAGTCGTAATTGTGTATCGGCAATGCCTCTGGGCCGTGCTGGAGAGCATGGTCGTCGGTGTTGAACAATTGGAGAGCAGAGGTCAGGACGTATTCTATGGCATGGCTGTAAATAGACAGGAATTTGTTCAGATTCATATGGATACTTCACAGGTAGCTGTCTACCTGCCTGGCCTGTTGAGAACGCAACCAGCAACCAGCAACAGGTATAACGGCAACGGCGGGAGCCTACATGATGAAACCGTCAGCATGAGTTGTCGTCGGCAGTAGCCTGTCTTCAAGAGTAGCAGACGCTGCCGAGTACTATGACTGGCTCCAGCTTACCGAGATTTCTGCGTGACAACTTCCCCGCGGTCTCTTACGCATACTTAATTAATACCGGGTAGCTGCGGGGTGCCACATCCACCTTTCGCTCCTTCCTACTATACCACACTCACAATGGCTTCCTACGGTCTACCTTATATCGCAGATGCTGGGATCTTGCCAGCAACTCTCCCAACAGTGGATGACATCGGGTCTGCCGAAGAGATCCTCAGCGACACAACCGGACGCAAGGTTGTAGGCGTTGGCATTCACTTCGTGGTCAAATATGGGATCCAGGTCGACCCTCTTGAGGGGCAGACGATGCTATTTCTAGCGCAGTCAACTCTGGTTCCTATCCCGCAGGTTTACGCGATATTTCAAACCGAACAAAATATCACCTATATTGTTATGGAACGCATTCAGGGATCGAGCCTAGATGCAGAGTGGCCTCACATGGACTCCACTTCTAAGAAAGCTGTTACATCTCAGCTTCAAAGTATCCTTGGAGAGATGCGAAAGCTGCCTTCACCTGGAGGATACTGCAGCGTCGGCCGCCAAGGACTACCAGATAATCTCTTCTGGACAGACAATCCAGCAAACCCATATTCTGGACCCTTCAACGCAGAAGCAGATCTTAACAATGCCCTTATTCTCAAATACAAAGAGCAGGGTCTTTCAAGGTACAAGACAAGCTACTACACTCGCACGTTTGCTGAGGTTTTTGAGGGCCACAAGCCCACCTTCTCGCACGCAGACTTTCAGCGGAAGAACATTCTTGTGCGCAACCCAGCAGCACAGACGGACAGCTTGCACCAGGCAGACATCGCGCACTCTGAGTTAGTGATCATAGACTGGGAGTTTGCCGGCTGGTATCCAAGCTACTGGGAGTATGCCCGGGCTATCTTTGCTTGCGGTCGATGGGACGATGACTGGAGCGACTGGGTGGACGAGATGCTAGAGCCTTACCGGAATGAATATGCTTGGCTGGGGATCCTAATCAGGGAAATGTGGTCGTGATCCATGTGTTCTCGAGACCTTCTACTACGCTCTCAGGTCGGTCATGTGAGCAAGGTGGAATACTGCATCATGGGTGTCGCCTATTGGCCGCTTCTGGAATTGGTATGCTAGACGCCAGTTAGGAAGTTTGGTCTTGGTAAGCGCAATGAAGACGCAGAGGCGATGATGAGATTGAGTGGTTGTTTTCACGACACTGTCGTATTGCAAGCATTTGGCGCGGCGTTTGGGCTCTCTTAGTTTGACTTAGGTGGTTAACAATGTATGCAGGCTGTAGAGACATACGTAAAACATGCTCATATGAACACTCCCCCTCAGCTGCAATGAGAAAGAGCGCAGGGCGGTTCTGAGTCTCCGCAGTGCCGTGTCTGGGTGCGACTCGTCGGTGTGCTCTAAGATCTCGACGCTGCGCGTCTCCGTCCCGATATTCCAAACCATGCTATTCAATCTTCCACGTGCAAAAGCATCACTCTCTTCAATTATCTTGCTTCCACAATGTCAGCATCCCGTTGTCGTTTGCTCCATCCGAGTAGCAAAGAACACCCTTTCACTCCTGTGTCCTGACGCAATTTTTGTTTGTCGGTTTGTCCGCCACATATATTTGGGACACGCAAACACTTCTGCCTGGAATCTTTCACTTGAACGCGCGCTTAAGAGGGGCGGGTGGTATAAAACCCCTTTCCCCCTCACAACTTTTTTCTTTTCTACCATTCGACACTTGCATCAACTCAACCAAAAAATTCAGGTTCATCTAACACATCTCACATACCTCCAGCCGACATGAATTTCGCGTGGTTCCAGTCTATCTATCAGCAGTCAGACTGGTTAGAGAAGGTCATCGATGGGCTTCGCTGTGTGAAGGACAAGGTCGTTCCGATGGCTACGACTTTCGTTCGCGACATGGTGGCCAAGATCGTTCCCGTAGTCACATTCTTTGCTGAAGAAGCGCAGGGCAAGTTCTACAGCTTCGTTGGCGAGAACGAGAAGCTCATGGACTGGCTTCAGTACAACTTGGCCCTTGTTTTCACGGTCATTGGTCTCATGTTGATGCTGGCATCACACTTCTCGTCTTGGAAGACAACTCGCGCCACTGCTGCCCAGAAAGAAAAACCAAAGCTTCTGGGATCTAGGACTGCTTCGATGGATGACGCCATCTCTCAGGCATACAATGCTGTTTCTCCAAGGCACACCACCCCTTCTTGGCCATCTCCACCCAGCTCAACGACTACGTTGACACCACCCTCAACTCCCGCCCACACCACCCCCACCGCAGCTACCTCAGCCTCAACATTCAAATACTACACTCCATACACCATCAACCGGAACCTATCCTGCCTCCCTTCAACACCCGGGCCCCAAACCCCCAGCAACCGCACCTTCTCTCACCTCGCCCACACAGCGCCAGCTAGCTACCACACCTTGCAGCGCAACGGCGTGCTCAACGCGGATGGAACACCATCCAAGAAGTTCGCTCTTGGTAAACACAAGGAGCACGAGAAGACTGAGACGCAGGCGGTGTATGAGAGTCCGACTGAGAGCTGGGGAAATCTCAGGAGGATCAGACAACGGCAAAGGGAGTTCCAGTTCGGGGCTGTGGAAGATGAGGAGGCGCGCTAGTTGGAGGATCGGAAGGATATGCGCGTGCATTACTTTCGAGTCTAGGACGAGGAAGGGAGTTTAGATGTGAGCTGTCGTGTTGAGGGTTTCTTTTCCTTGGCCTTGGAATTGCGCAGACATCGATCGTCACTGTGGGGTTGGTCATAGTCGTCCCTACACTGCTTTACTTTCTACATCAAATGATAGTGGAGGAAATGGTCAATTTGAGCCGAAAATTATATCGAGAAGTGCTTGTGCGGAGTGCCTTGCTCTGAGCCGAATTAGTAACATCATGTAGGGTGGTGAAGGAAGGCACGGATACACACAACGTGATACTTCTGAAACAGATTGCGCAGATAAGCTTACAAGCTATTGTCGTGCTATTGTTCGCTCTATTGTTCGCTCGTTGAAGGGCATGCACGTGCCACGCTACGCTGCGGGCGTGCCTGCCTGGTTCACGGTGAGAGCAAACGGCGTTCACATGCGTCACCAAGCAAGCTCTCTTATACCTCGTCCCCCCCCCCGCCTTCCAAACCTCCCACATCACTTCTTCTTCTTCCAAATTCCCTCATCCGAATCATTCTTACCGCTCCCACAACCCTTCGCCATCTACAAATGTTGAGTCTCACTTACATATACAACTTCTACTACACAAAGATGAACAGTGCCGCGAGCTCTTCCTCCGCAAGCACTGCTGATGAGGCAGCTGTCAAGTTCTCACCACCTCGCCAGCAGACCTTGGTCACTGACGCGAATAACTCTCCTGGTGCTATGTCTGCCAAAGATGTCGCTCCTGCATCACCTGTAAGTATCTCACTTGCCAGACATCCAGGGTATTGTCTGACGCCTCACAGAAGCTATCTCGCCTACTAGACAGCGACCCTAACAGGTTCCGTTCTCTCAAGCGAGTCATCGTCATCGGTCGCCCTGGAAGTGGTACTGATGGTGAGTTCTTCCCCCATCTTAGACAATCCTGCGTCGCTGACTCATGCCGGAGGTGTCGGCGATGCTCTCAGGAAGCTCGGCTTCAAGGTATACGACTTCAAGGCTGCTAGCAACCGCTACGAGCGTGATTTTCCGCTCTGGCTCGAAGCTGCACGTCTTCGTCAGGAAGGTCGACCTTATAACAAGTCCGACTTCGACAAGCTGATTGGTGATCACGATGCGATCGTCGGAGCCCCAGCCTGCTTCTTCGATGAAGACTTTGTCAAGCTTTATTCCAATGTCAAAGTCATACTCGTGACGCGCAACAGCAACCGAGATATTGTTCGGGGCTTCCTTGCGAAGGTCACCTCTCACGCGTGGCAGCGCATCGATCCCGGTTACTTCGGTGCCATGAACAGCTTTGTCAAGCTGAGTACCCAGTCAGATGGTTACGACTGCAAGAACAGCGACAAAGTCATTCGAGAGACTGTGAAGGAGAAGAACCTGCTTGAGATCCACGACTCGATCGCATGGACACCGTTGTGCGGTTTTCTCGGCGTCGAAGTTCCAGACGCACCAGCACCTGAGCTTCACGACGACGCGATCAAGACAGAACTTGCAACACGCCTCAAGCGTTGGATGTTGGAGGTCGCGGTCACGGCTGGCAACTCGGCTCTAATGGGTATGACCTCCTTCCTGACCATTGCCACAGTCACTCTAGTCTCTGCCCTCGCAGTCTTCCTCGGCGGCCTCGGGCTGTACACGTTGCCTTCATCCAGCTTGCAGCTCTTCAAGATCTTGCGAGAACTCTCTCAACTCCGCGATGTGACCCGCTTCGTCGCCGTCGGTGGAGCATCCTGCATGCTTTTCATTGGCTTCATTGCAGGATATTGTCTTGCCCTCATGCGTAAGTCGGAACCGGTCGAGGTCACGACCGAGACACCGCGCCGTGAGCACCAGAGTAGGACTACACACAGCCGCAAGAAGGGCAGACAGGGCCGTGGAAGACATACAGAGAGTGAGGAGAACGCACGTCCCGAGCGCCCAGCACTGGAGGGTTGGGGCGGTGTACAAGACGCCATTCGCAGGAACGACGCAGAGCTAAGAGAGGAGGGAAGGGCTACACTTGAAGAGTGGAAGAATGGAAAGCATGTGACTTTCCATGTCACCCACAAGCGGACGGTGACTGGTCAGGATCTCTTCAGTGGTCCTCGCAAGGTCTTGTCGGTCTCGGAGGAGACAGTCTAGTTGGCGATGAAAGTTGTGGCGGTGGATTCCAGGTTGAAAGATACTTCAGTACATTGGCAGCCCTGTATGTCTGCTTTACATATGTAGGGCACGGTGCGCCGGACCAGCTTTTGAAAAGGGAAAACAAACAGCATGTTTTTTACAATACCCAAACGAACGCCACTCCATGCAATGTATCTAAATGGGTATACAAGGGTCTTACAACGTTCAAACAGTGCCACCAATCTCCTTCCTGACCCAGTTCTCAAGCCCACCAAGAGCAATGATCTCCTGCACATTGGGAGGAAGCTCGCCAACCTTGACGCTCCACTTGGCGCCGTTGGGGCCCTCCTGCACATTGACCGTGCTCCTGCGGACATCCCACTCCAGCGTCCAGCCAGTGCGGCGCGTAAGCTGCTTCGCCTCGACGGGCTGCGCCGTGGCCGCCGGCGGCGGCGAGTCCAGCGACTGGCTATTCAGCGCGGGCTCCTTGACCTGCTGACTAGCCTCGACATTCGTGCCGGAGAAGACCTCGCGCAGCCTGTTCGCCAGCCGCGGCACCTCGACGCCCATCAGCGCGTTGTTGATGCTGTTACGGCTGAAGATGTTGCCAAAGCTGCCCGCAACCACGAGCGGAATGCCCTTGGCCAGGATGGCGGTCGCGGCCTGCTCGCGGCTGCTGCCGCACCCGAAGTTGAAGCCCGACACGAGGATGTCGCCGGCGCGCGCGGATTCGCTGAACTTGGGGTCGTAGTTCTCCATGCACACGGCCGCCATGGTGTCGCGCGACACGTCGTCCTGGTAGGTGTATTTGCCGGGGTAGATGCCGTCGGTGTTGATGTTGTCGGCGTCGCAGAAGACGATTTCGCCAGTGATTTTCTCGGGGAAGCCGGGGAGGATGTCGGTGAGCGTCTCCGCGGTGGAGGAGGCAGTGGGCTCCGGGGTCGAGGGGGAGGCGGGCTCGCCGAAGGACGACGCAGCGGCTTCGGCGTCTTTGATGGCCTTCTCGATCATGTCTTCGATGGTCATCATGCGTTCTTCCTCGGGGACACCGTCGCCTTCGCCGCGGCGCACGCCCGTGTAGCCCTCGGGTGCTTCGTACCATCCGGGCCCGGAGATCTTGCCAGAAAGGGCACTAGCGGCGACGACTTCGGGACTGGCGAGGTAGGCTTTGGCGTCGGGGGAGCCCATGCGGCCCTTGAAGTTGCGGTTGCTGGCGCTGATGCCGACCTCACCAGGCTCGAGGAGGCCGGTGCCGAGACCGATGCAGGGACCGCAGCCAGAGGGGAGGGGCTGGGCACCGGCTTCGAGGAGAGTCTGCCAGTCGCCGGACTCCTCTGCGGCCTTCTGCTCGGGGATGGATGCAGCGGCGATGTAGAAGTTGACGTGCTCGGGGAGCTTGGGGATCTTGTCGCCGTTGGCAGCAGCAGCCTCCTTGAAGACTCGCGCAGCAGCTGCAAGGTCAGATGCACGCGAGTTGGTGCAAGAGACGAGGTAAGCCTTGTTGACCTTGATGTCCTGGTTCTGGAGCTCGATCAGGGGTGTGGCAATCTTGACCGAGTTAGGCCCCGACACGTAGGGAGACAGTGTGGACAAGTCGAGGAAGAGCTCCTTGGCATAAACAGCACCCTTATCAGCAGCCAAAGCAGGCTTCCAGATGTGACCGAGTTGTTGCCCGACGATGCCAGTCGCTGTGAACAGCTTGTCGATACGCTCGTGGACGAACTGCTTCTGGTGGTGATCCTTGGCTTCGCCTTCGCCCATGGCGGCGAGTGTGGCGCGGGCGCGCAGCCAGCCATGAAGCACGGAGTCGATCGGGAAGAGACCAGTCAGAGCGCCCCACTCGGTGGTCATGTTGGCAATGGTCAGACGGTCGTCGACGGGAATGGTGCGCAGGGTCTCATCGGTTCCAGTGAATTCGATGGCGTGGTTGAGGACCTCGTCGTTGTTGAAGAGACCAGCGAGAGCAACGATGACATCCTTTCCGGTGACGCCCTTGGGCATGGCGCCGCTGAGGGTGACCTTTGCAACAGGAGGAACCTGCCACCAGGTCTTGCCGGTTGCCCAGATACTCGCAGCGTCTGTGCGGACCACGGGCGTACCCAGGCATCCAATACCGCCGTACATGTTCGAGTGGCTGTCGGAAGCCACGGCCAGTGTTCCTGGCCATGCGTAGCCTTCTTCAACCATGATCTGGTGACCAATACCGCGTCCAGCACCGTAGAAGACGACGTCATTCTTTCCGGCAAACTCCTCGATCTGCTTGTACTTTTTGAGGTTCTTCTCGGTCTTGTTCTGTACGTCGTGATCGAGGGTCATGACGATTTGCTTGGGATCGTTGATCTTAGTGGCGCCGATGGACATGAACTTGAGCGCAACAGGCCACGAGTTGTCGTGGGTCATGCACTTCGCAGGCTGGAGAGTGACATAATCACCCGATCGGACGACCTTGCCCTCTGCGAGACCGATTGCATGGCCCTGGACGATCTTCTCGGTGAGGGTCTGCGGTGTCTTGGAGGTTTCCTGGAAGGTGCCCAAGAAGTTTGCTGCAGGCCCTTCCTTCAATGAGTGGAAGACATCCGGAGTGTCGTAGCGAGCAACTGTTGTGCTGAAGGCGCGTGGAGCCAAGTTAAGACGGGACGATTGCGTCGCGACGCGCGAAAGACGCACGCTCGATGACAGCTGCAAGGCATTAGATTGTACAGCGTTCGGAATGGCAAAGACTTACAACGGCCGATCGGCGACCCAACAACCGCGCAGCTCGCAGTGACATTGCCATTGCTCCTAGATTGACGATGCTCGGCAGGAACGATGCGTCGATTCACGATGCGTACCTTCCCCAGATATTTTTCGGCCGTGCGCCGACACCGGCAATGGTCATCAAGGTGGCTCTGATCGTGATTGGCCGCCATGCAGAGGGACAACCACGACCCAAGCCAGAGGAACAACATGCGGGGAGCTCACATTAATGGCTAAATGCGCTCATGGATGTATTGTTTTTGATGAAGCTCCTTCCTGGTTGGTGGCTTGCCGCACCGAAACCGGACGATACCCGTGAGAAAGTAACATTGGAGTCATTGGTATGACGCGAAGGTCAAGAATTTACACTCCACAAACAAAGCTTCCAGTCAATTGACAAACTACTTTCTCCTGCTAACCTCACCCCTCCCTTTCCACGCGTGCCTTTGCCTCACATCGCAGCCATGGTCCAGAGATCTGACGTCAACTACTTCGGTGCTGGCCCCGCGCCCCTCCCCACCGCCGTCCTCGAGAAGGCATCACAAGCGCTGCTCAACTACCAGGACAAGGGTCTTGGTCTGTGCGAGATCTCCCACCGTTCACCAGAAGCCAATGCCATCCTTGCCGAAACCAAGCAGGCGCTTAGCGACCTGCTCGAGATCCCCGATGACTACGACATCCTGTTCCTGCAGAGCGGCGGCAGCGGCGAGTTCAGCGCGACCGTGTACAACCTCGTTTCGATTTGGGTAGAGAAGAAGCGCGCCAAGATTGCCGAAGAGGTGGGAGACAACAAGGACGAAGTGCTGAAGAGGCTACGGAAGGTTGTGGATGAAGAGCTCAAGGTCGACTACCTTGTCACCGGCTCGTGGTCGCTCAAGGCCTCACAAGAAGCTGCACGCCTCATAGGCGCCAAGCACGTCAACGTTGCAGTTGACGCCCGTAAGGCCAACGATGGCAAGTTTGGCAAGATCCCGTCCGAAGACCAATGGAGCCTTACCCCTCGTTCGTCTGGCGGACCAGCGTTCGTCTACTTCTGCGACAACGAGACTGTCGACGGCGTCGAGTTCCCTTCGTTCCCCAAGAGCCTCGAGGGCGAGGATGCTCCCATCGTTGTCGCCGACATGTCTTCCAACTTCATCTCCCGCAAGGTCGACGTTAAGAAGTACGGCGTCATCTTCGGTGGTGCACAGAAGAACATTGGTAACACAGGTATCGCCATTGCCATCCTCAAGAAGTCGCTCCTTCCTCCCCAGTCGCCATATGCCTCGCCAGACATCTTGAGAGAGCTCAATTTGGCTGTTGGACCCATTGTCTTCGATTACCCTACAATCGCCAAGAACAACTCGCTATACAACACCCTGCCCATCTTCGACGTGTGGGTTGCCGGACAGGTGATGAAGAGTCTTGTTGAGTCCTACGGCGCAAAGCGTATTGGTGGTCAGGAAGAGATTTCAGATGAGAAGGCCAATTTGATCTACGGCGTGCTTGACAAGTACGCAGATGTGTACCGCGTCGTTCCGGACAAGTCCGCGCGCAGCAGGATGAACATCTGCTTCCGGGTTTCTGGCGGAGATGCGGACAAGGAGAAGGCTTTCCTCGCCGGCGCCGAAAAGAAGGGCCTGCTCGGGCTGAAGGGCCACCGCAGCGTTGGCGGTATCCGCGCCAGCAATTGTGAGTCCTATTTCCACTCGGTGGCTGTGCAATACATCGGGCTGACGCAATTTCCACAGACAATGCCGTCTCTCTCGACGGTGCAAAACTGCTCGCCTCCTACCTTGAGGAATTTGCGAAGTCTGCTTAGAGAGCGACTTTCACCGCCGCAGCTGGCGGGGGAGGACCAGGCACTGTCGGTCATAGCATCCAAATGCAATCATATCAAGACACTTGAAGCTACAGTGCAATGTCATCCAGCTTCGTCCCATGACCTTGCGGTCTATCGATGAGCCCATCCTCTGACGTGGTCTAGACCATCTCTTCTTCCTGCCAGCGAAAGCAAGGACAGGCACCACAGCAGATTGTTTCGCGTCCTGATACGGGATTCTCGGATCTCTCACCCGTCGTACTCGACGGACTGTGGGGTGCCTCTCCGTTGTGGACCGCAGATGTCAAATTTCGATAAGGTGGCAAGACAGATCTCTTGACCCAGCACTGCATGCCTGTCAATGATCAGGCACTAAACTTATGCGGAAATTCAATGCATGTCACCACTGCTATTGATTCGTGTCACTGAGCGCAAACACGGGATACACGGCTGGAGATTCATCACTCGCAACGGGAATTGTCTGCGATTCGATTCAACGTCTAAGTGACAGCAGAACACTGCACTCTTGCCCAGTCATGTCTGTTCGTGCCGTCAGCCAAGCAGCATGACCACGGTGGCAAGAAACATTCACCGCCACTGTTCCTGCTCATTCGCATTACCGTGCATGCGTTATATGAACCCTTCTTTAGCTTTAGGTCCACTAGAGTGAGCAGCTCCGCTTACTACACGTCAGTAGTAACCACTCGCGATCTTGATCGACATCGGCGTCCGACCTCAGCCCCGTCGCCATGTTCATGCTTCTTCGCTATTCGACGACCCTGGAAATGCGAATTGCTCCGAGATCCCAGCGTCGGATGTGGGGCGGACGGGGACCTGGCGTTCTTGGTGTCTCAAACAGGGATCAAGCGAGGATCTGCGGCACAGCGTAAACTTAGCGAGCATCAGAACGTTAGTTCAACCTCCTCAACCTCACAACTGAATGACCAATACGCCACGCGCCTGCTCATGGTGTAGCGATAAGATTCCCTATGGAAATACCTTGCGCAACGTGACAGAAACGAAACCGTGAAGGCCAGGACAAGCGCGCGGCTTTGACAGGAGACAGGACCACGTTGTTGGAAGCCCTCGTTCTGCAGACCATGACCATGCATGCTATACAGCTTGCTGCTATCCCCAACTTCCAGCAGACATCATGTCATGCCATTCGGAGTACATCGCCGTGATCAACGAAGCACGAGCAATCTCCACAGTCTGCTCAAAGACGCTTGTCGAGACGGGTCTGCCAGCATCCGCTGCCCAGGCTTGCCAGCGTGCGTGCAGCTTGTGAAACCCCACCTTCTCCAAGCAGACGAGGGTATGACCTCTAACGTGCACGAATTTGGGTGGCGCCAATGCTCATCCACTGCAAATGGATGACAGGCGCCTCAGGACCGCTGTCCCGAAACTGTGCGCTACTGGCACCTGCTTTAGTTTGCTCTTATACCATTTCGCGTCTCACATTCGCCTCCTCTTCGAACGCCTAATGCTTACCCTCTTTTTCCCTCTCTTCGTTGCTGGCTGGCTCAGACACTTCTTACTGAACTGAGCACATTGTTTCCTTCAGTCAGCTGTCTCCATGCATACCTAAGCGTTTTCACTTTCCACAGCCGCTGCTGGTGTCCAGCGACATTCTTTTCATCTTGTGATTTTTTGCGAAGGTTGGCACAATGGAAGAATGGGTCGCTCATTTGCCTCTGCTCGAGGCCCGGTCGCACTTCAATGTGTCGCTCAACACCTCGGCCGTTAGCGAAACCTCCTGGTCCTCGACAAACTCTACCAGAGCCGTGATTGCGAGCTTGCAATTGGCGCAGGTACAAACGACGCGCACGATGCATCTGGCTCTGGGTGTCTTCAGTCTGGCTCTCGCGCTGTTGACGGTCTACCGAATCTTGTCAGATGCACGCAGAGCGGCAGCGCTACAGGTCACTCTTCGGAAGCAGTAAGCATGGAATCGGCATTATACAACCGGGCTGACACTGTACAGAAGGTTTAACTCTCTTCAAAATGTCCACCCTGCCGAGACTTTCCCACTCGCGCTGGCTTGCGGTGCGGTTCTTTCGCAAATTATATTCGTAGCTGTGCAGAGCACAACTCTCTATAGTGTTTTATCTAAAAACTGTCGAATGCTGGCCATGATCACCTACCCTGGTAAGTCAGAAGACGCACCTCGATTTCACAACTGACGATTGCAGCCATCTTTATCATGGGATACCTCACTCTAGTCTTCGGCATCGAGACAGCCTTCCGGTCCTTCAAATCCGAACGATTTGCGCCCCGAGGGAAATGGAACACGATATTCTGCATCGCTGCAGTCGCGTTCTTCTCGGTTCTGACCTGGATCCCGACCATCGCGTGGCCCATGCTGAACAGATGCTTCGGTAGTCTGATCTGGTTTCCAATGCGCTACGATCTCCTCACACTTGTCCTCCTTGTCGTTCTCATCTCCATGCTCCTCCTCTTGACGGCCGTCATCAGCATCCAGCTCATGCGAAGCGCGGATATCGATCCAAACGAGCGCATCGCAGCATCGAGAATGTGCTACTACCTGATTCTGACCGCGGTCATCTACGTAAGTGTGTATTGACAATCGCATGGCCAAGCTGACAATTCAGATCCTGGTCGTCCCATGTCAGATCCAATCTCTGCAGAAGAACTTCGATGCCGCGCTCGGTGGTTCGCGTTTCGCTGAGGCGTCACTCTTCTCATCCGGCATGGTCATCTCCTTCTTCCACCTTTTCCTACGCACGAACGCAAACCGGCTCGTTATCCGACCTATCGACGAGATGAGGGCCCAGTCCAAGCAGAAGCGTCCAAGGCTCCGTTTCTTCGGCCCGAGCGATTTGGAGATGAATATCAGCGGACCCATGGGGCTCCAGGGTGGACGTCGCCCAGACAGCAGACAAGGCTTGATCGACGTCGGCCCCGAGAAGAACCGATTCGACTTTGACCCGGAGTACTTTGAGCGTCCAGATCGGGTGATTACGCCAGGGTCGAAACTCCAGAGCCCAATTGACCTGACCAAATGGCCACTACCTCCAGATCTAGAGGAGCCAAAGGAGACGACAAAGAAGCGAGGCCACGAGCGCAACAAGTCAAGCTACTCCATCTTCCCGACTCGCGCGGAGGATGTTCCTCGCCTCCCAGCCACCGTCTACAACCCAGCACGAGCAGCCAAGGGTGAATCCAGGATCTCGAAGCTCGCCATGCGCCGCTTCAACCGCCGCAGCTCCGTCACCGACGTCAGCCAGGAATTCGAGTCTATGGACAAGCCCCACCCCTTTTTCGCCGGCCGAGCGCGCCACGCAAGCACCGACAGCAGCGCAACCGTCCAAATCGGGCTGCGCTTCTCTCTCGCCCCCGCGACCCTCGCCACTGTAAAATACGCCTCACCCACCGCTCCCAACGTCCCCAAGCTCGCCCGCACCGACACCGACTCCAGCGGCTCGACTCTCGGCCTCCCCATCCAGTCCCCCTCGCCCACCGCCATCCTGCGCCCCGCCGTCTTCTCGCCCCCTACCCCCGCCAAACCCAGCCCGGCACGCACCCCCGCATTCCCCCTCACGCCCTCAGACAGCAGCGCGTACCTGCAAGCACAGCGCGAGAAAGTCCTCCCCGCGGCGCCCGCACGCGCAGACTCCCCACCCGTCCTGAGCGGCCTGCGCATGAACCCCGTGACGCCCGCGGCCTCGGTCGCCGCCTCGTCCCCGACCTCCGCGACCTTCCTCGCCGACTCTGTCTCCACGCCCTCCGTGTCCTCGGCTTCTGCGCCGAGCGCCCCCCAGCACCTTACCCTCGCCATCACGCGCTCGAATAGCGGCCGTGCGTCGCCGTCGCCCACAGCCCGTATCCCGCTCGGCCAGGGCACGATGCCGCGCTCCACGCCCAAGGGCTGGTTGTAGCGGCACGCGGCTGCGCGGGTGCGCCGCGGCGCGCGGGTGCGTTGCCGCTGTACAGTATTGAGAGGGTCGGGCAGGGGCGTTCCGGTTTCAGATGGGTTTGGGGCGTATCAGGACGGGGGCGTGTTTCGGGCGTGGGTGTGACGTGGCGGGCGTTGCTTGTGGGATTGCTTGGGGCAAGGGTGCGCCCGCGTCTCGATGACTATGCTCCTGGCTCGACGCCGGTGGTGCCGGTGGGGCTCGCCGCTGCTGTTGCTGGCGATGAGAGGCGCTGCTGGGTATACCTCACCCTTCTTCACGTCACCCGCTATTGTACAGCGCTATGGACGCGCCGCGCCGTGCTGTGCTGTGCTGTGCTGCGCACACGCTCTTTTGCTTTCGACTCACGACGCAATGCTTTCTTACATACGTATTCCCCTTTTCTTTACCGTAGCTAGCGCACCGTAGAGTGTATGCATACCTTTCATGACTCCAATGCTTTCCACATCCCTTGCCATATGTGTCTTGTCTGCACTGTTTGTTCCAGTCTTATGCGTGCTGTTGGGTGCTATGCATATCCCGTCGTTGACTGCGTGCTATTCACGTCAGTCGTGTCACGAGAGTCCGCTCCGTGTGTCTGCTCGGGAAACCCTACTCGAGAGCTCAAAGCATGTTGCCATGTATTAAGCGTGACTGCTGTCTACATCAGCCCGTACTCCCCATGCTCCTGTGCTGTATTAACGACGGGTTTAGGTTCTGCAGTTTGCAGTAGATCGCATCGTTTATTAACCCACAACTCTATCGCAGTGTTTGTCTTGGAGTTTCAGGAGGCAGATACCTTGTTCAGACTGAGTTGAGATTTCCGGTGCTGTGGTATGTTCGCACTGGATTGTTTGCGAGAGAGTGGGTTTGTGTTTTCGGTTTTGTTGTCTATATTGTAACGCCTGTGTTGAACTGTTTATATTGCGATTTCAACGTTAAATCAATCAAGAAGTATATCTCCCCATCGCGGTATGCGGTTCATGGTACCAAATTTACTGTAACAAGCAAGCTATGCTAGCCACGCCGTACTGTCCACACCTTACTATGCACATCGTGCTATGTATATTACACTCTCATCGAAAACATGCTGTCTACCTAGGTAGGTCCGCAAGTCACGCCTTGCCACCCACCGCACCTATGATGTATCCGGCCTTCGGTTTCTATACTATTAGTGCTATCTCTATTGTGCAATGCATACTGGACTAGGTTTGCGTTTAGAGTGTTCGCGACGACTGTCTACACGGTACAGAGCTGTCCACGTCGAACTACCTAATCTCCACCATCCAGAGTCTGCATACCACCACATGCTATTGCAGCAAGTCACTACCTATTCAACCCCGTTCCTTAAACACCAAGAAAGTTCAAGTCACATTCTCCTGCTAACCAACCTGCACGATCACACCAGCAGGCAGCAACTCCCGATCGGCTCCGTATCTCGGCCTGATGCTGTTCCAAAACAAAGCATACGTTTGAGTAGTTGCAACGCCTTGGAGAAGGCAGGGAACCTGATTAATGCACTCAATTGCTTCGTGATATTTCAACTGGTCGGTTCTGTTGTTCGTGATCCCTATGTAATTAACGACACATGTTAGTCGTGGTTCCTTGCACAATGACTATCCAGAGTCCACAGTCGCACAATCACGATGTTATCAGCATCGTCTACACTCCTCATGCCATCTCCTATACCACCCCACCGCGCCCAGAGCTCGGTATACTTTCCAAATCTAACCACTCGTGTATCCTGCAGTATGCAAAAACCCACAACCACTTTTCACTAAACAAGTCGCGTAAGTAGATCTAGACGTGTCGATGGACCCGTAACCACACTCCACGGACCCCTTGCTCGACGACAAGGTACAAGATCACAGGACCAGGGCGAAAACCCAAGCGATTGACTTTTGAGGACAAGGAAGCTGTTGGGTAGTGCGGGGTGAGTGGCAACTTCCTTGTTGCTCATCTCGGTCCATTGCAGCGCTGACTCGACCGTGTGGTTGTTGGCATGCGAGGCCCTGCAGTACTCGCCTGCACTCCCATAATCCCCTGATCTCCTGCTCTTTGTTGTTGTAGATTTTTCCTGTTCTGTTTCTCTATCTCCGCCAGTTCAGCCAGCGGAACGTCCGAGTAAAGCGCGCAATCTGATCCTCAAATCTGGTTCACTCGTGCATGTATCTGATCTGTGATCTCCCGTGTCTGGTTTGTAAACCCACTCCCTCGTCCACAACCCACTCCCGTCCCCCGTTTCCCCACCCGTCAGCTCGAAACCTTGAAACCGTATGGCCATGACAAACCGCCCTTGACCCACCTAGAATACGCCTTAATCCCAACACTGCACTGTTCGGGAGCTACTGTTCAGGACTGGATGTTCGGGATTGCGTTTTGATATTGGATGGTCAATGTTGTACGGCGTTCGCTGGTCAAGTTTGCTTGACGTTTGCTCAAGATTCTTCGACGTTCCTTGTTCAAGGTTCCACGGCGTTTCCTGGCCCCTGTGCATCCGCAAACACCCCGCGCAGGCAGCAGGAACCCAGAAGCCAGGAGCCAAGAGAGAGGAGCTTGTCACCACGCTCTCCCCTCCCCCTCCCCTTCCAACCCCTTCCCCTTCCCCTGTGTCTTTTGGGCCTTGGACATGGATTTGGATTTGAACTTGGCCTTGGGTTGGACTTGGACTTGGACTTGGCCCTGGATTGGGCTTGGACTTGCAGGTACACTTGCACATGACAGCACAGCACAGCACACAGCACAGCACACATGACAACACAGCACATGACAACACAGCACACGGCAACACAGCACGTCACACGGCCAGCAGCAGGAGCACACTCCAAGCATCAATCATGATTACCGTATCTACGCAGCCGTCCAGCGCCGCCAGAACCGCCACCCGTTCCCCTTCTCCCCCTGCTCCAAATTCCGAAACCGCTGGCCCTTTGCACGCCTCCTCCCAACCCACGAAAACCACACCAGCAACCCAGCGGCCATAAACGCCACAACCAGCAGCGTCTGCACGGGCTCGGCAAACACGGCGCGACTGAGCAGGAACAAGCTAACGCAGCAGAAGATAATGGGCGTGGAGATCCACGTTTTGTAAGGGCGGTCGAGATCGGGTTCGCGCACGCGCAGCACGATGAGGCCGAGGACGGTCTGGAAGTAGAACGAGTAGCCGGCGACGCCGTAGAAGGTGACGAGCGAGTCGAAGGAGCCGGTGAGGATGTAGACGGCGGTGAGGGCGGCGTTGAGCAGCATGGCGGCGATCGGGGTGTGGAAGAAGCCGGCGTCGTCGGCGAACCAGGAGGAGAGGCGAGGTGAGGAGCGCGGGCGCAGGGCGCGCGGGGCGGCGCCGAGGCCTAGCCGGCCGAAGAGCGCGGGCAAGTAGCCTTCTTTGCCGGCGGCGTAGACGAGGCGCCCGGAGGTGAAGGTTGTGGCGTTGAGGGCGCCGAAGCAGCTGCCGGACACGAAGAGGGCGAGGATGAAGGCGCCGACGGGGCCGAAGACTTGGCTGCCAAAGGCGACGGCGACGGTGTTGGAGGACTCGATGACGTGGGCGGGCAGCACGAGGAAATAGGAGATGTTGGCGAGGATGTAGCAGAGGATGACGAGCGGGAGGGAGGTGTGGATGACGCGGGGCAGGTCGCGGGCGGGGTTCTTGAACTCGGCCGTGACGTAGTTGACCTGGGGGCGTTAGTAAGGGAGTATAGAGGTGGAGGGAGTGTAAGCTTGCATTATCCCATCCATCAAAGGCCCAGAGCCCCGCGTACAGGGCCACGGCCCAGTTGCTGATGTCGTGCGAGGTGTTGTCGAACCAGCCCTGGGTCTTCCAGTCGGTGTTGGCGTCGCCGCGGTAGGAGAGGCCGGTGGCGGCGACGACGATGCCGATGACGAAGACGCTGATCAGGGCGAAGAACTTGAGGAACATGAAGACGTCGGCGCTGCGAGTGCCGAGCTTGGTGGACACGCAGTTGAGGGCGGTGACGAGCACCAGCCCCGCGAGGGCAATGGCCTTGTTGAGCCAGGCGCTGGCATCGACGGCGTCGGCGCCAATCACCGCCCGCACCAGGTACTCGCCGAAGATGATGGCGATGATGGCGGCCGAGCCGGGCTTGAGCACCGTCACGGCGCACCAGGTGAACAGGAAGCCGGCCCACTCGCCGAAGATCTTGGACAGGTAGACCTGGGCGCCGCCGTTGAGCGGGATGGCGCCGCCGAGCTCTGCATAGCTGGCGGCGCCGGTCCAGGCCAGCACGCCGGCGGTGGCCCAGACGAGCAGCGAGGCGGCGGGCGAGCCGGCGTTCTTGTTGACCTGCGACGGCGACGAGAAGATGCCGCTGCCGATGATCAGGCCGATGACCAGCGACAGGCCGTTGACAAAGGTCAGGCTCTTGGTGCGCTCGAGGCCGGCGTTGGCAGCGGGCGCGGCGGGGTCGACGGGCGCGCCCAGGGCGGTGTAGCCCTGGGCGGTGCTGGACAGCGGGAAGAGGTTGGGGGCGAAGTCAAAGGCCGACGACACGCTGTACGAGCGGTTGTGGCGCGGGCGCTGCTGCTCGAACAGCGGGTCCTCATCGTCCAGCGACAGCCGCGACGACGGCGCGCCCGCGGCCGACGAGTCCTGCGAGTCCTGCGAGGTGCGGCGCGACGGGTGCGACGACGAGGCCAGCGACGCGAGCTCGAGCGAGTCGCGCGTGGGCGGCGGGAGGGAGGCGTAGCGGCCGGCCATGGTGTGCGAGTGATGGGCTACGACGAGGCCATGGGATCTGGCGGTGATCTGGCAATGCCCCTGAGCCGCGGCGGTCTGCGGTCGACGTGAAAGTCTGGCGAGGTCGGGACAACGACGCGCTACTCGATGCACAGTGGCCCAAGCTCAAATTCCGCGGGAGTCTTGCGCCGCCGACACGGCCGCAGAGATGTGACGGCCCTTTGCTCGCAACGCCCGCCTGTTCGCACGTCCGGCTGCCACACACGTCCGCTGATGCGCGGCCTCTGTGTATACCGCCCCGGCTGGCGGCCCGTCGCCCGCCTCGCCTCGCCCTGTACCCGGCGCGGGCGCGCCACTTTTGCGCGGCTCAAGTCGCGCGCCCACGCCGCGGCCACGACGCCCATCGAGACGCTCACGGCCAAATGGCAGCCGCACTGGGACAAACTGGCGGCGAGTGGAGAGGAGCCGGCGCCGACCAAGGGCAAGGCCTACGTGCTGCCCATGTTCCCGTACCCGTCGGGCACCCTGCACCTGGGGCACCTGCGCGTCTACACCATCTCCGACGTCCTGGCCCGCTTCAAGCGCATGCAGGGCTACGACGTGCTGCACCCCATCGGCTGGGACGCCTTTGGCCTGCCCGCCGAGAACGCTGCCATGGAGCGTGGCGTGCACCCGGAGAAGTGGACTCTGCAGAACATCGCCGCCATGAAGGCCCAGATGCAGCTCATGGGCGGCCGCTGGGATTGGCACTCGGTATGCAGACCAGCATAGCCGGCGACCACGCTGACGTCGCCAGGAACTCCGCACATGTGACCCCGACTTCTACAAGCACACCCAGCGCATCTTCCTCATGCTCCACGAGCGCGGCCTGGCCTACCAAGCCGAGTCGCTCGTCAATTACGACCCCGTCGACAAGACCGTCCTCGCCAACGAGCAGGTCGACGCCAATGGCTGCTCGTGGCGCTCGGGCGCCAAGGTCGAGAAGCTCATGCTCAAGCAGTGGTTTCTGAAGATCAAGGAGTTCCAGGAGCCGCTGCTGAAGGATTTGGACGCCCTGGCCAAGGACGGACGGTGGCCGGAGAAGGTCCTGGCCATGCAGAGGAACTGGATCGGCAGGTCCGAGGGCACAAACCTGTGGTTCGACATCGACGGCGCGCAGTTCGACCCCGTTGAAGTCTACACCACGCGCGCAGACACCTTGCTCGGCGTGCAGTACCTCGCCCTGTCGCTCACCCACCCCATCGTCACGCGCCTGGCTGCAGAAGACGAGGCCCTGCGAGACTTTATATCACGTGCAAAGGACCTGCCCAACTCGAAGGAGGGCTACCGTCTTCCCGTCGTCGCCCGCAACCCCCTCGCTGAAGCCCTCAATATCGATTCGTCTACACCTGTCTTCGCCGCTCCCTATGTGCTCGACGACTACGGCTCCGGCGCGGTTATGGGTGTGCCAGGCCACGACACGCGCGACCATTCCTTCTGGAAGACCAATGCTGGAGACGAGCCTATCAAGGTCGTCATAACCGCCAAGCAAGGTTCTCCAGCGTCTGTCAACCCCGAGCAAGCTATGACTGCCAGAGGCTTCGTCGCTGCTGACGTCCCCGAGTTTGCGAACATGGACTCGACAACAGCTGTGACGAAGATGGTTGAGAAGTTGCAATCCTCAGGGAAGCGCGCGGAGCAGACCACAAACTGGCGCCTGCGCGACTGGCTTATCAGTCGCCAGCGATACTGGGGCACGCCCATACCCATCGTCCACTGCCACTCATGCGGCCCCGTGCCTGTGCCCGACACCGACCTTCCAGTCAAGCTACCCAACCTGCCCGACAGCTTCTTCCAGGGCAGGTCGGGTAACCCACTTGCGGAGGACGAGAACTGGAAGAAGACGTCATGTCCCAAGTGCGGCTCGCCAGCTGAGCGCGAGACCGACACCATGGACACCTTCATGGACTCGTCATGGTACTTCTTCCGATTCCTGGATCCAAAGGGCGCCTCGGTTGTGGAACCTGAAAAGGCGAACCATGGCATGCAAGTCGACCTCTACGTGGGCGGTGTCGAGCACGCAATCCTGCACCTCTTGTACGCCCGCTTCATCTCAAAGTTTCTTGCTACGACACCCCTGTGGCCGTCAGGCCAGGCGGTCCACGGCGAGCCGTTCAGACAGCTCATCACACAGGGCATGGTGCACGGGCAGACCTTCACTGACCCCGCGACTGGCCGCTTTCTGAAGCCGGACGAGGTCGACACAACAGACCCTCAACATCCCGTAATCAAAGCAAGTGGAGCGGTCCCCAACGTCAGCTTCGAGAAGATGTCCAAGAGTAAGTACAACGGCGTGGACCCGGGCGCCACAATCGCCAAATACGGCGCTGATGTCACCCGCGCACACATGCTGTTCCAGGCCCCGATCACCGACGTGCTGGAGTGGGACGAGACGAAAATCACCGGCGTCCAGCGCTGGCTCCACCGCGTCATCCGGCTGTCCAGCGCCTCCTGGTTCCCCGACCAAGAGCTCGAGCTCTTCAAACCCCCCACCGACCACGACGAACCCCTCCGCAGCATCGTCGCCCGCTTCCACGCCACCAAGTCCAAGTACCCCCGCCCTCGACACCCCAGAGGACCTCGTCGCGCTCCTCAAACCCGACGAAGCCCTCCTCTGGACCGCCGCCCAGCGCACCATCTCCTCCGTCACCACCGCCTACGCCACCACCTACTCCCTCAACACCGTCATCTCCGACCTCATGTCCCTCACAAACCGCATCTGGGACACCCCGCACGTCTCCGCGCTCACCCCCTGGCTCAAATGGGCCGCCACCACCACGCTGCTGCGCCTCCTGGCCCCCGTCGCCCCCGGCGCCGCTGACCACGCCTGGCACGCGCTGCACGCCCACGCGCGCTTCATCCCGCCCGCGCGCACCCCGCCCTCGGTCACCATCTGCGGTTTCCCGGCACCCGTCGACAAGCACCTCGTCCCCGCCCTCGACCCGACACGTATGTGCGCCGTCCAGTTCGACGGGCGCCGCCGCTTCGCGATCCCGGTGTTCAAAACTCGGCTGGGCGATACGGCCCGTGCGCGCAGGGTGCAGGAGCAGGCTATTATCAGAAACATAGCGGAGTCGCCCGAGGGCCAGGTCTGGTTGAAGCGCGAGGGGGGCAGGTGCTGGGAGATGAGTAGGACCAAGGTCCCCGACGAGGTGTATAAGGAGGTGCCGAGTGATTGGCGGGTGGTGGTTGTGGGGCGGAGGTTGGTGAATTTTGTTAGTCCGCGGGATCCGAAGATTAAGAAGAAGGGGGGGGAGGGAAGTGAGGGAAGTGAGGGGATGGAAGAGAGTGGCGAGGAGGGGGGGAAGAAAGAAGAGAGCCGGGAAACGCAGGGCGCTGAGAAGAGCGTCGAGTAAGCCCCCTAACACCAACCTCGCCACCCGGCGCCTGGTTCCCCAAGCCCCCGCCACCCGCGCAGTAGCCGCTTTGGACGCCCTCGACGCGCCGCTACTTGGGCTGTGTATGATACCGCTGTTCGCCGCAACGGCCTGGACCGGACGGCACGAAATGTAAAATGTAAAGTAGTTAAAAGTAGATGTGTACATGTATTATAGACACGGCTGTATGGTGGAAAATGCAAGATGGAGAATGTGGAATGTAAGATGTAAGATGGAAGATGTACGATGAAAGATGAAAGATGCAAGATGAAAGAAGTAAGACGTACAGTGCACACCCAACGACAGGAAACGCGAGACGGAAAACACAAGAGATGGGTTTCTAGAGTGTATAATAGCGCCGGTCCTAACTGCCTGTATGTGTTTTGTGCGGGTAGCGTGGTGGTTGTGTGTACGCGGACGAATGCAGGCAACTCTCACCTTCACAACCGTTTTTGAGGGGAGGCAATTATCCATGTGCTCGCCTAATTACTCAAGATCCTCTTCTCCCCCACTCAAGCTCTCTTCTCACTCCTTACTCAACGCTCCTCTTCTTTGTTCACTTGCCATCTCTCCTCGCTCTTACTCACGCAATATAGGTCACTCTCACTTTCAACTCCTAGTTCGAACGTGAGACTATCCGGCACGTACTCGCCTAATCACTCAGCCACTCTTTTTAACCCTATATCTCCATTTCTTTTTCTCCCCGACACATCATCTCCTTTCCCCCCAATCGGCCCCTTCTCACCCCAGCCTCCTGCAACCCGCCGACGATGGCCACCTCGCAGCCTCCGCGCTCCAGCAAGACACAGTCCAGCAGTCCAGCAAGTCCAGTCGCCTTCCCCAGTACTGCAGAGCTCATCTCCCGTCCCGAGGCTGTCGCCACCACCAAAAACCCCACGCCTCACGCCACTGGTGCCCACCGAATCCTCCATCCGCAACCACCCACAATGTTGGATCCTCAATCCGCTCCTTTCGCGCTGTCAGCGCTTGGTCAGACTCCCTCCCCGCAGACCCCGCGCCCGCAGCTCACAACCGCCTCGCCTGCCCCGCCGCGCCGCCGCCGCTGCCACCGTGGAAAACGTGGAACCCGCCGCCGCCGCACCGACATCAGCCAAGCGCTCTCAGAGACTCCAGCTGCGGCACGGCTCTCCGGTCTCAGTGAATCAGCGCCCGCACCGCTGACCTATCCCAATGGCGCGCGCCGGCTCCCCAGCGGCCTCGCTTGTGGCATCGGCCCTGTCGTTTGGGATGGCTTCGCGAGTGGTCTCACGCCGGCGGCTGCTTGGTTTGCGAATGAGATGGTTAGAATTATGGAGGCGGAGGCGGAGGCGGAGAAAGAGAGGGGGGGGGGAAGGGGAGGGGGAGGGGCAGGAAGTAGGGCTGCGAGAGTCGGAGTTATAGAGGTGGGAAACATGGAATGAGGATGCCTGGGGGGGAGGGGGATGGGTTGGTGGGTGTGTGAGAGGCCACGGCTGGGGATGAGCGGTTGGGCAGGTGATTAGCTGGACAGGGTAGAAGGCGGAGATGGATATAATAGGTGGGTGGTGGTGCGGTGTATTGCGCGTGTGAGGTTCTGTGGAACGGTGTACAGTACACATCGTACTGCAGCTTGGCACTTCCGACTACCTACCTGGCGAAACGCAGCGGTGTACTGGAAAAACGATGGTTGTTAAATGACTGCTTATGAGCTGTGGTGGGAATGCCTTTGATTTTACAAGAGTCTCGGACCGCTGGTCCGGTCTGAGCGTGATGTGACATGCGAGCTTAGATGTCTCCTCGATGGTCACGGGCTCTCAAAAAGCTGGAGCATTGTCGTTATGAATTCAAAGTGGCTGGATTGGGAGAAAGGTCCGAGCTAGAGCAGTCAGGCGTCCGTCAATGCTTCCCCTCAGGCTAAAACCTGCGTCTACGCCGTGCCCCTTACCATCTGTAGAGGATGTACAAACATCATTACGCATGCAGACCCGCGTAGCACCGTCCCTCCGTAGTGTACCCCCTTATACCTCCCACCCCACTCCCCTTGCCCTCCCTACAACCTCGCACTCCCCCCCGCCCTCCCCTCCCACCTCTCCCCCGCATCTCGCACGACATCATACCCATACAACCACTCCTGAAACAAGCTATCCGCCATCAAATTCGGACTCCCGGGGTAATCCCCCGCCCGAAAAACCTCCTCCCGCATCTCCCACTGCGGCCCATCCCGCATATGGATGAAAAACCGATTCGCCCAGGAACCCCTCTGGATCGCGTGCGCGCGCCCGCGCCGCAGGTCGTGGAAGAAACGCAGCGCGGGCGCGATGTCGGCGCGGGACCGCGTGCGGGTCGAAGAGAGGCAGAAACCGAGCGCGGAGGCGTCTTCGATGGCCATTGCGGCGCCTTGGGCCAGGTAGGGCAGCGTGGCGTGCACGGCGTCGCCGATTAGGAGGAGGCGGGACGAGGGGTGCAGCCATTTGGAGACGGGTTTTAGGTCGATGAGGCGCCAGCGCTCGAGGTCGGGGGGGACGAGGGTGAGGAGTTTGGTGCAGCTGGGCGGGTTAGTGTGGGTTTGGATACAGGGGAGAGGGGGGGCCGCGGGCAGAAGGGGTTCGTGGGTGTTTGTCCGCGGGTGTGGATAGCTGGGAGGGCACGTACACTGGGTTCCACCCTGCGAAGGCGGTGCGCACTTCGGAGGCGCTGGCTGGCGCTTTGTAGCCGACCATTGTGTTGTCGTCGGGGATCACCATGAGGAGGTTGTATGTCGCTTCTTTCTGCATGTTGTACCTGAGCTGTCAGTGGTGTTGCCAACTACGCGCGAACGGGAGACATATATGAACAAGAGAGTAGCACGAAGAGGACGAGAGCAAGAGATATATGAGAAGAACAGACTCACCCGATGATGTGGTGGTCAGGACCAAGCCACTGCTCGAACCCCGGCGTGGTCACCAGCGACGCCAGCTCAGGATCCCGCCGCAACACCTCCCCCGGAATCACTGCCCGGAAACACGTGTCGCCCGTCTCGTGCGGCTCGACGTCCTGGCCCATCGCCGCCCGCGCGATGCTCTTCACGCCGTCGCACGCCACGACCAGGTCTCCCACCACGCGCTCGCCCGACTCCAGCACCACCGTGCCCTGCTCTGGCTCGTAGGCGGTCACAGTGCAGCCGGGACGCAGCGTGGCGCCGGCTTTGAGCGCTGCCTTGAGCAGGATGGAGTGGTAGTCTGGACGGTACACTTGCCAGTACGGTGCGCCGAAGCGCGCCCTGTGTGTGGACAGCTCGCTTATGCCGCGCGCCTCGCCAGTCTTCCAGTTGCGGTAGTTGAGCAGCCCGGGTTTCGATGCAATGCGCTCCATCTCGTCTTCCAAGCCCCAGCGAATCAGTTCCCGGGCGGCGTTGGGTGGGACTTGAACTCCCGCTCCGATCTCGAGGCCGTCAGCGGCGGTGGTCAGTCGCGGATCCCACATACCTCGCCGAACTCAGCGGCTTGTTCGAGCACTGTGACCTTATGTCCAGATTTACGTAGGGATATTGCAGTGGCCAGGCCCGCCATACCGGCGCCCACGACGACGATGTCGAGCTCGAGAGGCATTGTGAAGGACGCGAAACACTTTCAATTGAGTATGCTGGGCGCAGCAAGTAACGAGTCCAGCCCGTAGACCAAGACAGTTTATCTATGTTGAGCGCTTACTTCAGACGCGGTTCTAGCTCGCGCGAGCATGCGTCGACTCGTTCCGTGGACGATGGTAGCGCCGCGGAACTTCCGCAACGGGGCCGCACTGCACCAGTGCCGACTCCACGCAGCCGCAGTGCGAGGATTGTGCGTCCGCCTCGCATGAAGGATCACAGCACCGATCGCGCCCCCGCTCGTCCGTAGCTCTGCACGTGCACCACGAAGCCGCCGTCCCGTTCTTCTCCATCCCGCTCTCCAATGCCGTCCTGCGTCTGCGAGAAATCCAGACACAGACCCTGCGAGCCGTCCTCTAGGCACACGCCTGTCTTGCTCAGCTCTTTGCCTAGCTTCTCGACATTCTTCGCCGTTCCCTTTGAAACCCTGACGTAGCCCCTCCCGTCCACGCCCGCCAAGTCTCCCACCTCGTAGTGCAGCACTGCTGGAGGGCCGCTGAGCCAGGTCTCCATGCGCTGGAAGAAAGCAGCCGCCGCAGGGCTACTGAGGAAGGCTGAGTGCGCGGCGAGAGAGGTCCAGAGAGTAATTGAGATGGCGGAGTTGGGGTCGTTCAGCTTGGGTCCTACGGTGGTGAGTCGGGAAGTTTAGACGTGAAATGGTAAGTACCTGTTCGCACTGAAACCAGGCCCGGAGCCGCGAGGAGGGTAGGAAGTTGCTCGCGCTCGAAGAATGGCAGGAAGGCCTCGAAGGGGCGAGTGAGTTGCATCTCGACGAGCTCAGTGACGTGCGGCATTGTGGCGTGTGGCTGCGATTCCAACGTCTGCGAGACGTAATGGCGAGACTGTGTTTTCCAAACACATCAATGTACTTGTGAGTCCCAGATACTAAACCACCTACCTGCCTGTTCGCACCTCGCAGTGCGCAGCGGGTCCTCGATCGCGGAACAGCGGAACCTTCCGCCTGCACCGCGCTACAACACTAAGACGAACACCAACACCATCACCAACGCCGATCCCAGCGCCGAAGCCACCCACAACCACCAAGATGGACCCCTACACGAAAACCCACACCACGCACCCCGCGTCCCCCCGCCCTCCACCCTCACCCCCACTCTCCCTCGCCTTGACAACATACACACTACCCGACGCGCCCCCAACCGCACTAACCCTCCTCTTCACTCACGGCACCTCCTTCAACAGCGCGCTATGGCACATGATCATCGATATCTTGCTCAAATCGCCCGCGCTGCATGGCCGTGTACGCCGGGTTGTAGCCATCGATGCCGTGAACCACGGGGAGAGTGCAGTGGTGAATGGGCGGGGGTTAGAGGGGGTGAGTATGGACTGGGGGGCGTGTGCGCGGGATGTCTTGGGCGTCGTTCGGGGGTTGGAGGCGGGGAGCGGAGGGGTCGTGGGGATTGGGCATTCGTTTGGGGGCGGGGTTATGTATGTGTTGTGCCGCGGAGGGTACCATTACTGATGCGGACAGGGCGCATGCGATGCTGATGGCGCCGGAGTGCTTCAAGGCGGTGCTGCTCGTCGATCCGATTCTGTTCGTCATGCCGGCGCAGGATCGGGGCGCGGCGCAGGTGGCGTTGCGGCGGAGGAGTGAGTGGGGTAGCTTGTGAGTGCGATTCAGTATGGAAGGAAGGCGCTGATGCTGTGCAGGGATGAGGTGAGGGCTGCGTTTGCGAAGAGCAAGGGGCTTGCAGACTGGCATCCGAGACAACGAGAGGCGTATGCGGTATGTACAGTGTGGCGAGGGGTAGTACGTTAACGAGCTGATGAGAGTAGGAGCACGGCACTACAGATGGACCGCAGCCGCCGACTCGGGTGCTCAAGACGTCGAAGGAGCAGGAGGCTGCGACGTATATGTGCGTATGCACCCCTCTCCATGAGCTGACTAACATACCACCAGTGCCGGCCCGCTGCCCGGCCTTGTCGATCTGCTCAAGCGCTCAAACAGCCGCTGGAGCGCTGTTCTGGGCGGTAAAAGCCCCGTCATGTAAGTATATCTCTGTGATCACAAATGCAGCCATCGAGTCCTCTCACAGAGACAGGGATTCTGCTTACTGACCAAATTATCAGTAACGTATCTCAACGCAGTGAGATCCGCGAGGCTGCAGGCGAAAACGCAGTGCATATGATTCCAGACGCCGGGCACCTCGTAAGTCTGGGTCGCGTTGAGGTATCGCGTGCTTACCGCAGTAGATTCCTATGACGCATCCATTTGAACTCGGTGCGTGCTTTCCATGCCCTACTTGTTGGCCAAGCTAATGGCTGCAGCACGTCTTATTGAGGGGGAGTTGCTCAAGATCAGCAGACGGGGGGTGAGTGAACACAAGCTGTAGGACTGTAGGTCATGTATGGGGGGTCATCGTCAGACCACTCTCTCGTCAAGCGCGCGTCTAGTCGTCAGAGCTGCCTCTTACCGGTGAGACTGCGGTGAGACGAGCCCAACGGTGGACTTGTCGCGTCATTTATAGTTTCGTGATGGGGAGAGTGGTAGGGGCGTGTATCGAAAGGGAAGGAGACATCATTGCATTTTTCGTAATCGGAATAGTACGCGAGCCTGAGTACTGCGCATCTTCCACTGTCACGCTCTGTGAAGGTGAGATTTGTTAGCATTGAGTCCGAGACCTACATCCAAAACGTATGAACTAAGTACAAAATACATTACCATAGTCTCACGTCCCTCCAATGGCCTGAGATGAATATGTCCTGCGTGCAGAATCCTTTCCGGGAAGCGCCGGGAGCGGGGCCAAATTGCGGAGATATCTGGGGCCGCAACCGAGCTTAGCCTGAAACCGTTAGCGGGGTGGAAGGACAGTGGCTCTTTAACGACGGAGCTGGCTCGGTCGCTGCGGAGGTTTTGCGCTTCATCTCACCTCAAGCCGAAGCACTGTGATTCCAGCGTTCTAGATATGTCACCACAAGACCCAGAAGCGTCGTCCGTGCCGGAACACGGACCGCAGGAGGTACCTGAGGAAACCCGAGGGACGCTGAAGCGCAAGCGTGCCAAATACGCGTCGCGGGCGTGTCATTATTGCCAGCGACGCAAGATAAAGGTATGCGATTCCCGGCATCAGCCACGGTTATTTCTGTTTGGGACGTTGACTGAGATTCGTGTTAAGTGTGACGGCGCCGATCCGTGCCGTCCATGCCTCCATCGCGACCAGCCATGCCATAGGCCAGATGGGGAAGCGGAGAGTTCGAAGAATGGCCAGATGCCTGATAGCAGTGCATCTGAGTAAGTCAAGATGCAAGACCTCTTAATTGAGCACTAGTTTAACATCCTAGCCAGTCCAATGATCAGCTTTTTGCTGCGCCGGCTCGTGCAACTGGAAGAGCGTATGGAGCGCCCGGATGCTAACAACGTTGATCCTCAGCTCGAAAAGTCCCTTGAGCATCCTCCAAAACAGCTGGAAAGTCCGCAAGCTTCACACTCACCAACAGCTTCGCAGTCGAAACGCATGCGAGAGAGCCAGGGAGTCATGTGGGAAGATGGGTCGCCATTTGCCGGGGAGACGTCTGTGCGATACAGCCTGGAGCTGATGGAGGATCGACTGAATAGATTGGGTGTGAATCGTCTCGAGAATGCTTCCAGTCCGCCACCGACTCAGACCTTGACACCTGCTATACGACCAAGCACGCCGGACAGGACAAGCCTCGCATCGCGGGGGGGCTGGAGAAGTACCGGGAATATGCGACAGCTGTTGGATTCGCACGGTCTTGTTTTCCAACTAGACGAATGGAAGTCCCAACTCGAGACCTATTTCGCAGAGGTGCATCCACTGTATCCATTTCTGTTCGCGCCATCTACCTGGGACACCTTCAACGAGCTGTGGGCGGCCTACGCCTCAAACACGCCCATGCCGATAAGCGCGAACCAAGATCTGGAGCTCCAGCTCGCCATCCTCTTCCTCTGTCTCGCAACAGGCAGATGCACTACGGCCAACCGCAAGCAAAACGAAGCACGGCATAGCGCAGGGTGGAGCTTGTACTGCGTCGCCAATGAGCTGATTGGGGACGTTCTGAATCTATGCGGGAGTTCCAACGCCCCAACATTACAGCTTCAAACTCTTCTTACAATAGTGCGTCCAAGTACCTCCCAAAGTCCAGATTCTAGCGAACTAACGTTTTGCATAGGTCGTCTACTTGTTCCGTTTAGACGCCAATGAAAGAGCGCAAAATGTGCTTGCTCTGGTAGTCTCGCACGCACATACACTTGGAATCAACAGAGGCTCTATATCAGCGAAAGTGACCGCCTTCGAGGATGAAATGTTTCGCAGGATCTGGTGGTGCATCTACGTCATCGACAAACGCTTATGCCTTGAGACTGGTCGTCCTTTCCTGATCATGGACATGAACACCGACGCAGCTTTACCGTCTGACGTCGATGATGTCTGGATGTCGGAACAGAAAAACTCAGCCAGACATATAGCAAACGTGAGTACCACGCCCGGCGAGGTCGATCCCTCGCCAATAGCGTACTTGAAGGCCATGATCGGTTACTCGCGCATCTCCAGCAAGGTATGGGAGGCTGTATATGCAGCGCCAGTCGCGAAACAACCACTGAGCGACGTGCTTCGCGAATATGTGGAAATCTCTCTAGATCAGTGGCGCCAGGCTCTGCCCACCGCACTCATTTGGACCTATTCAGAATCGCATGGCCTTTCGGACAACCCTCCACGGGATCGCCAGCGCTTCTTACTCCACTTAGTAAGTGGATATCAATTACTTTGCTTCGCATGAACTGATCCCTACGTAGAGGTACAACTATATGAAATTGATGATTCGAAAGCCTTCCTTACAACGGGGTGCGGTCGATCTCGAACGAAACATCACCTCTATCGCAATTGCGGACCTTATTATCTCAGAATTTCTGCGCTGGCATGAAGACTTGAAAGTCCTCACGTTCCCCTACGTCAGGTATCTGCTCGGTGCGACCATAGCTTCTTTGAGCATCATCATCAGCGAGCCTTCGCTATATGACGCTCACATATCATTGGTTGTCTCCGCCGCCGAGTTATTGAAGACATCCTGCTATGAGAGTTGGGTTTCTGGGAAAACAACGCGGACAACTGCCCGCGTATACAGCGTTGTACAGTCTATGCGACACCTAGACCGAAGTCCTAGCTCGGCCCGAGTCACGAATCAGAACCAAATGCACTCCATGCAGACCCGAGGGGCTCCGAGGACCGCTCATCCACACGATAACAGCATCAAACACGGCTGGGTACCGGGGGAAATTTCTGCGGCAAACCCACTGGTCTCCCCAGTCTCGTCTGGCCAGCCAGTCCAGGAGCAAGCGCTGTTGGCCGAGTACGGAATGCCCGCGGAGTTCATTTGGCCGGATCTGAACATGGATGAGTTCGACTTCGAGGCTTCTCTGCGTGGCAGGGATTTGGTTGAGGTGCCGGCAGATACGTGGTTGGATGGCTTGTCGTTCACACCAGTGATTCCACTTTCGCACGCGTCGTAACAAACAATACTACGAGTCGTTTTCGGCATCATTCGTCTTTGCAAACTGCAGAAATTTTGAAACGCATCGGTACTGGATTATCGAATATACACTCTACATTCCGTCTCGATCGCCTCATTCATGACTTGATCACCATACATCCGACGAATACAGCCATCTTGGTTGGGCTTCTATATATGTTCGCGCCACAAGATCACAACTTCGAGCGACGTTGACTCGTAATCTTCAAAGCTATTGCTTCTGCGACTGCCTTATCCTCCTTCACTGGTAGGCGCCGACGCAACACCTTTCCCGATGGGCTGCGGCAGTCTGTGAGCAAGTGAAATCATTCAACAGCGGGAGAAGCCAACGTACTTTCTTGGTATGGCATCGAGAACGTGGATGCCGCCAACCAGGCGTTTGTAATGAGCGACACGCTTCTCAACGTACTCCCGGAGTGTCTCGATCAGCGCGGCATGCGAGTCTCGCGCCCAATCCGTCGTGATGTAGCCAACAGGATACTCCGTCCCTTCCTCCTCAACGGTCACTCCGCATACAGCGGCATCTGTAACGTCCGGATGTGTCAAGAGCAGGGCTTCCAGCTCGGCTGGAGCGACCTGGTTGCTAGAAGGCTATTAGCTTATGCGTTGACAAGGGGTCGAGTCACGCACCCTTTCACCTTGATGAGCTCCTTTAGTCGATCAACTAGGTAGACGAAACCTTGATCATCCACATACCCCACGTCTCCAGTTGGAAAGAAGCCGTCGCGAAAGCCGTCTTCTGTCGTTGCGCTGTGTTGCACGTAGCCGCGCATTATATTTGGACCGCGAATCCACAGCTCTCCCGGCGTGCCTCTTTCGACGTCTGAGCTTGAATCAATACTATTCTTATACGAATGTTTGATGACATACCTGCGCCCTGGGCATCGACTACACGCATTTGCATGTTCGGAAGTAGTCGGCCTACCGTGCCACGGATGTGGGTTTCGTCTTCACGCTGGGAGATGATAGATGGACTCGCCTCAGTACATCCGTACCATTGCGTAAGGACGCAGCCCATGCGTTTACTCAGTTCGTCGGCCAGCTCTGGTTTCAGCGGAGCAGCAGCGTTCATGAGGCATCTGACCGACGAGAAATCGGCGTTTGCTGTCAAGGGGCTGCGCAGTATCGCCATCGCTATGGGCGGTACCACGTTCACGTGTGTCACCTTGTCTCTACGGATTGACTCCAGCATCTTCGGGAGGTCGAAGGATCGAAAGACTACGATCGGGGCGCCGTGGCAGAGGTACTGAATGCAGAACCCACCGAGTCCGAGGATGTGGAAGAACGGGACGACAAGCGTGAAGACGGTGTCTGGTTGATACATACTATCGAGGCAGCGGCCTTGTTGCGTGACGTTTGCGACGACGTTTCCGTGCGTCAGTTGCACGCCTTTTACCAGGCCTGATGTTCCCGAGCTGAAGCAAATCAAGGCTACATCTGACGCGACTTGCTTCGGGCTACGATGGTATCTTTGGAAGTATGAGGCGTACTCGTCACGAGCGAGGATGTCCAACACGGAATATGAGGGGTGGACTTGGTGTTTCCCATCAAGAACGTGCAGCTTTGGTGTGAAGAGTCCATCTATCAGACCCAGTGCCTTCTCCAAGCTGTCGAGGAGCTCTGACTGCACCAACACATATTTTGGCTTCGCCAATGTTAACGTATGACATAGCTCCTACATGACAATCAGCGCATTACGGACCTCATCCTGATTGATCTGCATACCTCGGCTGTGTAGGCAGGATTGAAGGCAGAAACGACAGCGCCCGCGGCCAGCAGACCATGTATAATGATCGGATAGTATGTCTGCGAGCTAGGTCAGTACTGCCCACACGCAATTGATGCTAGAAAACATACCGTATTGTAGGAGAGGTACGCAACAACATCGCCAGGAGCAATGTTCAAGTCCTTCTGCAGGAAGCCAGCGAAAAGGCGAATTTTGTCTCTTAAGCTTCCGTATGTGTAAACAACTTGTCCAGAGTATCCATCAATGATCGCAGGCTTGCTTGGAACATCGCCTTTTAAGTTGTGGTCCAGCACGAGTGAAGTTATATCCACATCAGGAATCGTGAATCCTGCGTTGTATGGAGATTCGTATAACATGATGTGATCTTGAGCCTTTTCCCAAGCAAAACGCACAGTCGGTTTGAGTAAAGAACATCACGCCACACCATCAGTGCGTATTTCTAGTACTACAATTTGCGCAATGAACGGCTACCCCGGGCTGACTAGATCGATGAGCCGGGGTTGACTATCGACGGCTGCGGGGTCAGAATCTGGGGTTCCGTCTTGTTCCAGTCAGCGGAAATACGTTCCACTGAACCCGTCCACGATCACGACTCCGAAGCCAAAAAAGTGCACGTCCCGTCCATGCACGTTCCCCCCCACACACACAACTCCACCTGCGCATGATATTAAAATCAAAGAGTTGGCTCTGCAAAGCAAGAAAGTAACACTGTTCTCATACCACATCTCACTATGCCGCAGATTTCAGGTCGAACCGCTCTTATCACCGGTGTCAATGGCATCTCGGGGCATGCGATTGTCGAGCACCTCATTCGTCAGCCTAGATCCGAATGGGCAAAAATCGTGGTCACATCCCGCAAGCCGCTGCCGCTCCATTGGCTCGACGACCGAGTGGAGTTCTTCCCGCTCGATCTTCTTTGGCCCGAGGAGAAGATCGTTGCTGCGATGAAACCATACTGCTCGGAGGTCACCCATGCATTCTTCACATCCTACGTGCACACCGACGATTTCCCGCTGCTGCCAAAGTACAACATCCCACTCTGGGAGAACTTTCTGTCCGCTTTGGAAACGGTTGCAGGCACCTCGCTTCAGAGAGTATGCCTTCAGACGGGAGGAAAACACTACGGAGCGCATCTTGGCGTGCCCACCCGGGTTCCATACGAGGAAGATAGCCCTCGTTATGATGATAAAGGCGAAAACTTCTACTACGTCCAGGAAAACTTTTTGTTCAAACGGCAAAAAGAGGCAGCAGCCAGAGGCCACAACTGGCATTACAGTATCATCAGGTGAGCGAGTCATGCACCATATATAGTACCAATCACTGACAGCAGCAGACCTAATGGCATCGTTGGCTTCACGCCCGCCGCCAACGGTATGTCCGAAGCCATCACAATGGCCTTGTACTTCCTGATCAGCAGAGAGCTTGGCCAGAAGGCTGAGTTCCCCGGTAATGACTACTTCTACAACTGCGTGGACGACTGCTCCAGCGCAAAGGGTATCGCCGACATCTCAGTGTGGGCGATGACCGAAGAGCACACCAAGGACGAAGCATTCAACTACGTCAACGGCGACACCTATGTCTGGAAACACCATTGGCCGCGCATCGCCGCCTACTTTGGCGCAGAGGTACGTGACTCTTACATTCACCACGCAACAGCGATGCTTACTTGACACCAGCCGGGTTCCCCGGTCGAGAGCGCAGAGTCCTTAAAGGGCGGCACAGCCATGAAGCACACCTTCATGATGAGCGACTGGGCCTCAGACAAGCGCGCGGTCTGGGACGCCGTCGTCGACAAGTACGGCGGCAAGAAAGAAGCGTTCGACTGGGGCACGTGGAAGTTCTTCGACTGGACCACGGGAAAGAATTGGCGTAAGTACAATACCCGTTCTCGCACGCATGTTACTGAGCAACCCCACAGCGACGCTGAGTTCCATGTCCAAGGCACGCAAGTTCGGCTACCAGGGCTACATTGACACGTATGACTGCTACGTCGAAACCTTCCGAGCTGTAAGTTCCTTCTAATAACCTTCGTCGACCTCATAAAGCTGATGTATTATTTAGTTTGAGAATGTCGGGGCCCTTCCTCTTCCTGTTCGGTCGTGAGAATGGATACAGCACATCGGCTGTGCAGTGAATAAGAGATTTGACATTAAGAACAAACCAATGGGATGCTCATCTAAAGCTTCGTATCTGAATCTTCGCGATATCAATTCTATGATTCAACATACCTCGTGCATGATTGCAGCTCTCGTGAACTTCATAACGCATTGACATGCCATTCCATGTTGACAAATTTGAACGGTTCGCGTCAGTGCGGCATTTTACGTGTATTCAATTCTCGTTTCAGAGTTATCCGCACTCAAACTATGAGATCTGTTAGCAACAACACTGAGGTACAAGTGCGCCGTTTTTTAACCAGAAAGGGACCTTACGTCGTGTTAGACAGACCACATTAGGTAAATCACACCGCAGATTCGGGTAATATACCCAGATTTCGGGTATCTTACATGGTTTAGCGGTGGTTTTTACCCAAAACGATCTTTCTTCTGTGTAAAAGACACTGAAGTGCGGTGTTAAAACACTGGATTGTGGTGTTTTTTGCACGATTTTGTACCGCAGTGCAAGCCATTGCTTTTTCGTGCTGATAGGGGGAATGTCGGAACTTATGACCTACTGATAGCGAGCAGTTGAAGACAACTTAATGAATGAACTTCATTGTCATGGGTAATTCTACCCTGTTGCATGTTGTCGTGGGGTGTCATGGCAATTGTGCTACTTAGGTCGAGGGTGTCCTATCGTAATTTCGAGCTATCGTATCGTAGCAAACAAGCTGCAAAATTATACCTGGCTTGAGTGCATAAACCTTGATAAGGAAAGAGTACCGATGAGATTTGCAGGCACCTATCGTTCTTGCCTTGTGCTGCGTCTTGCTACCTAGCGGCTGGTCAGACATGCCTGCAACCCATGCAGCCGCCTCCTTTTGAGCATACCCTGTCATGGAACTCAGAACATCAACATCAAATGACTCGTTCTGAATACGTGTACCGAGGTTTTGATGGAAACACTGCACTCCGACACGTCGCTTACCTGAGTTCCACTGGGAAGGTGCTGACCGTCACGTGGTGGAGCGAACGGAATGTGCGGAATGCTCGGCCGCCGCTGATGATGTCGCGAAATCGATTTGTAGTTGATATGCATCTCGGTCTCGTATGACATACTATACAGCTTTCATACAATTGCTGCGTTAATCAGATCAACGTGCGCATTTCAAACTCGATAATTACCATGGACGAACTACAGACGCTGCTTTTCATCGATAACAAAGTCAGTTGAACGAGAGCATATCTTGGAATTGTATTCTGACTTGACTAAAAGTTTGCGGAGTCATCTGAGAAGCAATTACATACTCTAAAGAACCCGTTCGATGACTCGATCGTCACTGATCAGGTCCATCTTGCAGGCCCGGGGGATGTTGACCGCGCAGTGGCCGGAGCAAATGCTGCATTGAAATCCGGACCATGGAGGGATTTCACCGGAGTCCAGAGGGCTCGCTGTCTGAACAAGTTCTCAGACTTCGTTGAGAGGGACGCTGCGCGCCTTGCACGCATAGAATCAATTGCGACAGGGCGGCCAATTGGCGGAATACAGTTCTTCGATATCCCGCATATGATCGAGACAATCAGATGTAAGCATGAAGCGAAATGGGAATCTTCAAAAGCTGATGTTGACGTCGCATCCAGATTATGCAGGGTGGGCTGATAAGATCGCTGGCGAGTCGTTCATCGATGACGATGGCTTGTACAAAATCGTGCAATACGAGCCCATTGGCGTATGCGCCGGTATCGCGTCCTGGAATGCTACTTTTATGTACGTGGCGTGGAAGATCGCGCCAGCTCTCGCAGCTGGTAATACTGTAAGCTGGCACTCATACCAAAACACTGCTTGCGTTCCACTGACCGGGCCCAAAGTTCATTTTCAAAAGCTCAGAGAAGTCACCTTTCGGTGCTTTGGCTCTGGGCCCTTTGTTTGTCGAAGCAGGCTTCCCTCCGGGTGTCGTCCAGATACTGAGTGGCGCTGGGGCTGCAGGAGCCGCGCTGGCGTCGCATCCTAAGATTTCAAAGATCAGTTTCACGGGATCGGCGGCGGTTGGGAGGAAAGTGCAGGAGGCAGCAACGCGGAGCAATCTCAAGCGCGTTACACTTGAGCTGGGAGGGAAGTCCCCGGCTATCGTCTTTCCCGATGCACCGATGGATATCGCGGTTGGGAGGTGAGTTGACATATGACTGTTTTACGACATCTTCTGATCTTTCTTATAGTGTCGGTGGCGGTTTCCTCGCCAATTCTGGTCAAATTTGCGTCGGTAAGTAGAGCAGTCTCAGTTATAGAGATACTACTGACCATTACATTAGCTGCTTCGAGGGTCTTAGTCCATGCATCAATTGCATCAGACTTTGTAGCGCAGCTCAAGTCTATCTTTGAAGCGGCCAGCGCGAAATTGGGTGGTAATCCGCTAGAACTAGAGACTGATCACGGACCTGTTGCAGATCGTGAGCAATACAACCGCATCATGGCCTACATCGAACAGGGAAAGAAAGACGCCGAGCTAATCACTGGCGGCGGTCGCTCAGGACAAAAAGGGTGCTTTATACAACCAACCCTCTTCTTGAACCCCGCGAAGAACAGCTCAATCTGGCGGGAAGAAATCTTTGGTCCAGTGCTCTGCGTCATGACTTTCGAGACAGAAGATGAGGCTGTTCAATTAGCAAACGACACAGATTACGGTCTGGCATCATGCATCTACACCACGGATGTCACTCGAGCTCTGCGTTTAGCTGGCAAGCTTGAGAGTGGCAGTGTTTCGGTGAACACACCACATCTACCGAGCAGAAATACTCCGCTTGGTGGTAAGAAACAGTCCGGCTATGGAAAGGAGCTGGGCAAGCATGGGCTCATGTCGTACTTGGAGGCGAAGACCATTCACATCAAGTATGTCTTCACTTCTCCGCGAAGGGACAATTTGCTAACATATGACCAGCATGAAAGTGCCATCACGTTTGTAATGGCAATAGGTGGGATAGTAATCCATCCGCCGACGACTAGATAGATGCCTACCATGATTCAAGCAGAAGGTGGAGACAAAGCGAATCGTTATCTGTGCTATGTACGCTTTTGTTTCTGCTATTTCCTGTTTGGTTACACTCGGAGGTTACTGATAACATTTAATCGAGATATCGCGGACGAATTATTACACTGCCTGTAGATGTAAAGCTGCTCTTCGGGGGCTCTAAGAAAATCGATTCAACTGCTTGGTTCAGTCACCGAGAATATTCTCAATTATTCGTTGACCTCAAGTCTTACGTGAATATAGACTGAGACCGACTCTCACATGTTCCCGTCCTCGATATCTTGACTAGGCTCTCGTTCGTTCTGGTCAAATCGGGGAAGCGGAGCCAAGGTATCGTACGCGTCGCAAGTTCCAGGCCCACGATGAGAGGCCATGTGACACCGTTCTCGGGAAACCTGGGGTACCCCACAGCCCAAAGCGTTCCGCTCATTGCGGGGAAACGCCCTAGCTTCGCGTCTCAAACCAAGCCATGATGGAAACGTAGCTGAAATATGGAATTTGATAGCAGTTCATTCCGCATTACCGTATCTCTCGGACGAGAATCGGATTATCCAAGTGAGCTCCGAACAGCATAAGTTAATCAAGTGAGCCTTTGGAGATCATCATCATTCACAGTTGAAGTTTTTTACGACAACAGACACTATGAAGCCCGAGGTCGATCATTTTGAAGAAGTTCAACGCAAGGTGACGGTCGTCGCTGTCCCCAAAGATGTCATCACTGAGGCTGGCATCATACTGGATGCATCAGGGGGACTTGTCGATGGGATGAAGGTTTCCAAAGATGGACAAGTAAGTGCAACATGCAATCGCATGGCTCTATCTCAGATATCCTAACGCTTTGGGCAGACTATCTTGATTCCGCAGCCAACAATGTTGGATTCCGACTCACTGAACTGGTCATGGACTCGCAAACACTTGATTCTTTTCACAATTGCTTTTGGTGCCTTGACTGCCGATTTTACTTCGGCGTCTGGAACTACAACGATTGTGCTTCAGGGTATGTGTCCTTAGCATTAGAACAAGTCGGGGCTGACAAGACTCAGGCGTGGAATGGCACATGAGTCCAAACAGCGTGAATCATGCTGGTAATCTTAATGTACTTATGATGTAAGTCACCATGAACACCAGGATTGTTTATATACCAACATTACTCAGGGGTCTCGGAGGTATGATCTGGGTTCCTATGACCCGCGTTTGGGGTCGAGCTCCTGTCCTCTTTTGGACGACCTTTATCGGACTTTTCTTCAGCATTGGATCCGCCGTCACAAGTGATTGGCTTACATTCTACGCAATGAGAGCGACAATGGGTCTCTTCCTTACTGCGCCGCAAACGATCTCGATCGCTTTTCTCAAGGACATGTTTTTCTTCCACGAGAGAGCCAAAAAGATCGGCGTTTGGTCAACCCTTTACATCTCCTCTCCATACATAGGCCCATGCTTCGCAAACTTTCTGGTAGACGCCACTGGGAACTGGAAACATGTGTTCTGGCTGAACTCTGGTGTCATAGCACTGCAACTCATCTTCATCGTTGCTTTCATCGATGAAACATATTTCAGAAGGGATATTCCAAGTGGAGACCAGCCACGAAGAGTGAAAGGATTTCTCGGAAGACTTTCTCGAGTACTTGGAATATGGCAGATCCGTGTTCACAACGACTACTTTGAGCCATTCTTCCGTTCATGGCGTATCTTCGCCACAGTAGTCACTCGACCAGCGTTGGTTTTGGTGCTGATCCATTAGTAAGAGCTCTCTTTTCATGGCTGATAAACTACGCTAATATGTCCTCCTTACAGCCTTCTCGTCTTTGCCTGGGCCGTCGGTATCAACATCACAGTAGTTGTTCTCTTTTCAACACCGGCTGCATTTGGGGGCTACGGTTACTCAAGCAAGTCCCTCGGTCTTCTTTACTTGACCCCCATTGTCGCAGTCTTCATCGGAGAAGCCTTCGGTCACTTCTTTAATGAATGGATTGCACGACGCTACATCGGTCGGCATAAGGGGGTCTATGAAGCCGAAGCTCGCCTTCCGACCATTTACATTGCTTTAGTATTCATGGTCGCTGGCCTGGTACTGATTGGACAAAGTCTGGAAAAGCTTCTGCCTGTCGTTGCAGTCGTTTTTGGCTGGGGACTCATGACATTTGGCATAATGCTGAGCAGCGTTGCAGTCACTGCATATGCGTTGGATGCTTATCCGACAGTACCTGCAGAGGTGGGTGGTTGGATCAACTTTATGCGAGTAGCTGGTGGTTTCAGTGTCGGTTATTTCCAGCAGCCTTGGGGCGATCGCGTGGGGTTCGCTACTAGTTTTGGGACTCAAGCTGCGATCGTTGCTTTCAGTGGGGTGTTTGTCGTGGCGGCGCATGTATACGGTCATCGACTGCGGGCTCGATTTGGTCAGATCGAGTGAGCAATGGTCCTCACAGGCGGATCTTGACGTGGAGATACCTAGGCACTTCCTAAGTTCACTGGTACCAATCTATTCTCAACCGAAGTTGTTTTTCTAGTTTCATTCACGCCCACCATCAGATTACAGCATTTTGAATCCAAACACGCTCGTCGTGGCGCACCAAAACAATCACAAGGGCTGAGAACTCTGAGCCTATATAACCAACTAGGTGCATTGTTCTCGTGAACGAAATTTTCACCAAGGCTGCCCTTACAGAATTCTCCGAACAGAATGATGCCAGGACTCTTTTTTGGTGATTAGGATATGTGTATGACACCATCTATGCAGGCTCCTCGACGACTATAAGATAATATCGTGCGTGACCGGCTGATATAAGTGTAGAAGACCAAAGTTTGCTGTCAATATTAAGACGGAGGATTGCCAAAGACTCTCTACATAATTCTAACACTACAACTTGGCAGCACTCTTTTGGATCTCTTCGTAGATCTTGATTGCTCTTCGAGCACTGAGGTCAAGCATGATTTCCTCGCTTCCTCCAGGCACAGTGATCGCCTTCACGTCTCTCCAGATACGCTCTACCCGCTCACCCCTTCCACCTCGTGTAAGTCCTAAGCCTCCCATCATTTGTACAGCATCTCTCACAACGAGCTCGAGTACAATGCCAGAATGAGCCTTAATTTGGGCAGTGGTGCCTGCGAGGAGAAAATCTGCCTCAGTTGGGGAAAGATTTTGAAGCTGGAAGATGAGGCTTTCAAGCCAAGCACCGAGTGCTTCAACCTGGCGACTCATGTTCGCAACTTTATATCGTATGACTGGATGGTCGATGAGACGCTTCCCGAACGTTTCTCGAGTCAGTGCAAAAGATATTGAATCCTCTAGGCAGACCCGAGAGCATCGCATAGATTGCATCGCAATAAATAGTCTCTCGTGGTTGAAGTTGGACATGATGTACTTGAGACCCTGGCCTCGCTCGCCTACGACCATATCGAGAGGGACGTACACATCGTCGAAGTCAACGAAAGCCGTGCCTGCAGAGTTCGAGCCAGACATTACCATGTGTCGCGTTGACAAGCCTTTGGATCGTTTGGCGACTATGAGAGTGAACGAGCCAGAGACCTCCTTTACGAGAGTCAAGAAGTACGTCGCGTACATGCCGCCGGTGATCCACTTCTTCTGGCCGTTTACGATGAACGCCTTCCCGTCAGGGCAGACTACTGCCTCCGTTTGTAGACCTCGTACGTCACTTCCAGCCTCAGGCTCCGTGATAGCGAGTGCTAGTCGAGCCTTCCCGGAAAGAACGTCGTCCAAAATCGCGTCTTTCAGCGACTTGGAGCCAAACTTCATGATCGCTGGAGTACAAAGTGTCGCGCCGCCGAGAAGTCCATTTTCTAAACCAATGCCACCGACACGACCAAACTCGTCGTGGAGAATGAAATCGTGGAAGCCATCCCATTCTCCCGGATCGATATTTCCGATAATTGGATACCGTTTCGCTAGAGTCGGATCTATACTTTTCCCTGATGCTGTTGGTAGGAGAATCCCAGCTCGAGCAGCTTCCTGGTATACGCTATCAGGGATGTTCGCGGTTACTTCCCACTCGCTCACATGGGGTATGATTTTCTGCTTGAGTCAATTTCCACTCTCATTCAACGCTGCGAGCAAAATTGTCAACAAACAAATGTCAGAAGGCGAGCGGACCAAGCTGACTCCCTTCCTCCCAATTTGTTCGCCATTCAATATTTGTTTGTACCCAGTTCTGGCTGTGGGACATGCTGTGGGACATAGCACTTACGTTTTCCATCCATGTGCGTAAGGCCTTGCGCAACCTTCGATGCGAGTCATTATAATAAGGACTTGGTGCGCCAGCAGCCCAGGAGTTCTCAGCGTATGGGATTCGGGATCCAAATGTCCATTGATCAGGCTCTTTATTCGACTTTGATGACATAGCTTGGAATAATGACTTCTGTTGGAGATCGATTGAAAAGTGAAGTATGAGAAGTCTGCAAGACTACGTTTCTAGGTATGTTAGTAGCTGAGTAGCGTAGGATTAAGACGATCAACTCGGTCATTACCTAAATGTTGACTACGACCCCAGCTTTCCGAGCTTCCCCATAGCTGACGTTCACACTTCCTTGATCGAACACTAGGTCAAACATCGTGCGGGGGCGGAACACACGGAAGGCTCTAGATTTGGCGTATTTGCGGAACGTGCGGAACCAACCACCACAGTGACTGCCAAGAGCTGAGTATAAGTGAACTTGACTTGAGACTAGGAGATTACATTGGAATAAACGGGATATTAAGCACCATGCTACTCGCCAACTTGTTCGTCTATGTCCGGGAATATGCACCGTGGCTGATCCTCAGCTTCATCGCAGTGTACCTCGTCAACAATAAATTCTGTCAGGGGATAAATCATATACCAGGTCCATGGCTCGCGGGATTCAGTGATGTTTGGAGGCTTCTCCTTGTCTGGGGCAGAAGACCCGAAGTCGCGCACCGATTGCTCCATGCTAAATATGGGCCGCTTGTCAGAATCGGACCTCGAACAGTTATCGTGGGCGATCCAAATGCCATAAAGACCATATACGCCCTCAATGCAGGGTTCGTAAAAGTAATATCGACTGCTGTTCTTGACAGACCCCACTGGACTGACCGAACAACAGTCAGGATTCTACCCAGTCCAGATGACGGTAGCGAACGGTCGTGAACTCCACAGCATGTTCAACACTACAGATGAAGTCTTCCATGCCAAGCTTCGACGCGCAGTGTCAAACGCTTACGCAATGAGTACACTTGTCAAGTTTGAGCCTTTGGTGGACTCGACTACCGAAGCATTTGTGAAGCAACTGAAGCAACGTTTTGCTGATCGGCAGGACGACTCGGGGATTTGCGATCTCGGCACATGGCTTCAGTATTACGCTTTCGACGTCATAGGTACGTTTGAAATCTGCGAGGATATTGTGAAAGGAACCTGACGTTTTAGGGGAGCTCACATTTTCTGCAAGAATCGGATTTGTAGATCGTGGACTTGATGTAGACAGCATCATTGGAGACTTGGAATGGCTTTTGAACTATGTTGCGGTTGTAAGTCAACTCCATGCAGATACGAATCATTCAATCCTTAACCAAATGAACAGGTGGGACAGATTCCGTGGCTGGATCGACTCCTTTTGAAGAACCCTGTGCGGATGCTCTTCAGCAAGTATAATCTCTTCAAAGCAACAAGCTCGGTCGCAGTTTTCGCAAGACAGAGAATGTCGGAGAGGCAAATGAAACCCGCCGAGGACAGTACATTGTCATCGAAGGACTTCCTGTCGCGATTTATGGATGCGAACAAAAAGGACCCTACTTTCATCAGCAAGGACCGCGTCCTAGCCCTAACAGTAGCGAATTGTTTTGCTGGAAGCGATACTACAGCTATCACGCTTCGCGCAGTGTTCTATTATCTCCTCAAAAACCCTAAAAGCATGGAAAAGTTGTTGGCAGAAATCAGCGAATTCGAGGGGTTGGTGTCCTGGGAGCAAAGCCGCGATCTTCCGTATCTGAGCTCAGTCATCAAAGAAGCCTTGCGGATTCATCCCGCGGTGGGTCTTCCTCTTGAGCGAATAGTACCTGCTGGTGGGATCTCAGTGTGCGACACTTTCATTCCCGGCGGAACTATCATAGGCTGTTCGGCGTGGGTCGTACACAAGGACCAGAGAGTTTTCGGGGAAGATGCCGATCAGTGGAGGCCAGAACGCTGGCTAGAAGGGGGGGCCGAGAAACAGTCTTTGATGAACAGCATGTTGTTTTCTTTTGGCGCAGGGTCAAGAACTTGCATTGGAAAGAACATTAGCCTGTTAGAGATGCACAAACTTGTGCCAACTCTGCTCAAGACATTCAAGGTAAGCTCTAAGGACCATCAAATTGCAAGCCGCTGCTAAAATTTACAAAAAAGCTTGAACTGGTAGGCTCCGAACAATCCTGGACATTGCACAACGCCTGGTTTGTGAAACAAAATGATTTTCGGGTACGACTCAAAGAACTAAGACAATAAGGAATACGTGTTCGGGTTTCGAACAAAGATTTTCGTTGAAGGGGTGACGGGTTCTGCCGAGGTCTAGGCTGGATTCGGTCTATGTCGACTAGCATACTTTGGATTTTCGCAGGACATAAGATGGAGACGGAACGCATGTTCCTCGCAGTAACGTGTTTGCGGCAATTATTGTGTCAGGATATAATTTATTAACGTGAATGAATCTTCCATCAACAGCCTATCTCCCGTATAGTCCAGAGGCTAGGATATTCCGCTTTCACTTCTCACAATCTGAAGCACCGGAAAGACCCGGGTTCGATTCCCGGTACGGGAAATGCCATTCGTTTTGCTGTTTCGCATTTTTTTTGGTGGTAGTGGAGTGTGGCGGAGTGGGGGAGAGGGGGGTTCGGCCTCGGAGGAGGCCTATCACCCGCAGGATCTCCAGGGTCCAAAAGACCGAACCTGCCTATCGCCATTATGTACACTGTATGGATCTCGACGCTCGTACACGTTCTTGATCGGTTATCTCGTCGGATCACGTATCTGTCACTAAGCACGTCCTTTCATCAAAGTACATGTTTGCGCCATCAGATATGCTTTTTGCCTAGGTATCTCTCTGACAAAGCTTGTCTATCTGCTCGACACGCTTGAAAAAGTTACTTGTGATGTTCGTCCCTCAAACCGGTATTTCCAGCCACCAACCTGTCATCTTACACCCCCATCCCCATGAAAACCTGGAAACCAGCAAATCCAAAATGAGACCGAAGTCGGCCAATTACATACATCGGAACATGTGCCAACGCCAGAACGAAAGTCGGGAAACTCGGAAATTGGGTATTGCGCAAGAGCGAGCTGCATGGCCAAGGCCGCAAAGGATCAATCTGCAGGCGCCTGTGCATCACCCACAACCGCTGTACGCCTGTGATGCGCCGGCGCACCGATAAGCCTGGCCGTAATTGTTGATACAGCGAAATGAGTCTGGGGTGTGTCAGCGCTGAGCGTTGGTAAGTGCAATTTCGGTCGAGCGCGAAGGCGAAATTCACAATCTTGTGCAACGTTGTTCAGGCACCAACAATGTTGTCTGTACATCGGCCACGGGTGGCTGTGCATCTTCAAATCAAGCCACATACCTAGGGACCCCTGCGCGAGTCGATCGTATCCCCATGTCACATGCTACATCTGCAACGTGCATGCTCGCCTGAATCCGGAAGGAGGCGGACTCAGTTGGTGTGAATCGCGCCTGATCCTTCGCAGATGTGACATTTCAGCGTGCCGTCTCGTTTGCAGCCGGTGCAGTTCTTGCCAGTGCCGTTGCATTCGTCGCACTTGATCGTGCCGAGGCCGTGACAGGTTGGGCATTCCTTCATGGTGGGATGTAGTGTATGATTCCAAAAATGTGACCGGATTGACTAAGTGATAGAAAGGAAATTGTAGAGAGCAATTGCTGGTCAACAGCTGCGGGTGAAGTAAGTGAAAAATGAGTGACTCAAGCAAGGGAAGTGGACGATTAAAACAAGAAGGACGTCCAAGTGATGATGCAGCTGTTTCGAAACAACAACGCAACTCTCAATCTGACAGGGTCTTTATATAATCTCCCGTCGATGCGCACAGGTCCGATCCGCTCGCTACCGTTCTCAATCCTGCTTGCGAATACGATAGTGAAGCGTGTCTGTTGGCCACACTCAGCCACAGGATCAGGCTGCTCCAACAAGAGCTCACGGCTCGCATAGCGGGTTCAACACGAGAAAACCACTCACCGCGTGAATCCAAGGAGATGGTAGGTCCAGCTTGGCGGGATGATAGTGTCTACGCAGGTCCCGCTTCATCTTATGCATTTGGACCGAGCGCATACAAGCCGCTCTCTACGAAGCAGCACTCGACGCTTGATGCTGTCAAACGAGTGCGTAAAAACGCCTGATAAGCTTGGCTGCTCGACCTTCTCAAACAGCTCAGCGGCACACGGCACCGCCACAACCGGGATCCACTGTGTACGCTTGCTCTTGTCTGCCGTGCCCTAGCCCATCCGCATCATCATCACGGCAAGGAACGTCAAACCGCTGGAGCTCATTTCCAGTCTTCTAGTGCGTTTCTCATTGTTCCCCACAGGCGAATCACGTTGATGATCCGGGTCCTGCCCGGGTTAATGCCTGAGCCGAGCGAACTTCCCCTCTTGAACAACATTCAAAACCTGGCAAGCTTCCTGCTCGAGAGGCGGGAAGTGGACGCCTAGGCAGGGCGATGTGAGCAAGCCAGTCTCATTGCCCTTTTGCGGCACGTTCTTTGATGGCTGGATGTGAACAGGTCCACGCGACATGTTGCCTAGTATCAAATATTAGAGCAGGCGCACACGTGGAAGCTGCAAGGACGTTGGCATGGCAGGACCCGAGATGGTGGGTAGGGCTGATCTGTGGTTGGGCAAAGGCTGATGTTAGCGCATGCTTCGGGACATAAAGACGGTCGACTCAGCATTAATTCGACGGCGGGCAGGCGCCCTGTTTCAGGCAGCAACAAATGAGTACAGCAGACAGCCTCAGCCCCCGTACGACGTGCGACGACATGGAGCAGAAAACTTGATGCGACTGCTGGTGTAGCATTGGACCTATCGATATTCGTACCCGTCGCACTCTGAAACGGGACTCCTTCTCAGTAGGAGCAAGCCACTTGTGTAATCCGGTGCTGCTCTGCACAGCCTCAAATCCTCCCGCCGCTAGAGCTTACACATCCCGTATGCAATTTGCAAGCAAAACTGACGAACCTCAGTTTGTGTCGACAGTCAGCAACCAGCTATGTTGTGCAAAAGGACGACCCCCGCTGTCATGAGTGCAGGGTCAGGCGCATGGTCTTTCACAAGTTAGACCTTATTTCAAGATCAGATCAGCCCTAACCAAATGAGCGAGATGACGCGGGCACCTGCGTCTTTCGCGGTACACCAGGCATCAGGAGGCAATGTACGCGGCCTAAGGCAGACACATACAATGGTCGACCTCTTTCGGTTTTCGATAATCTTAGGGTCGTCAAAGTGACCGTTTAGGACGCTTGCGTAGCGGTACGCGTCACTTTCGCAAACCTCGCAAGTGAGTTACGGCATTTCGCGTGGTTGCAGAACATATGTGCCGTGCTGGAGTGAGATATGTCAGTTGAGCTGTGCTTCCAGCCGTGCCAATATTCACAGCTTGTAGTGTGCGCTTCGTTCGTGCGCTATGTTCGCAGAGGTAGAAATCGAATCCCTTGCAAGGCAAAATGATAAAAGGGTGACAAGGCTGAAATAGATCTGACATTGGTAGGGTTGGCTTGTAACCCAGGATACCACCTACCTTTCGATTATACTTTCTTGAGAGTTGAGACGCGTTGTAACACGCCTCAGAGGGACGGATACGACCTTGACGGTTCGACTGATTCATGATGTAAATGGCGTCTGCCGGTCGAAGAATGGCAGCGGTAGAATTAACCACCGATTCCAGAAACAGTAACCCGGCCCAAGAGCATCGTCGGCGCCAATAGGTGGGATAGTCGGTCGCGTGCCGTGCGTTGAGAATCGCGCCGAATCAACTGGGCAGAGGTCGCATGTGCTTCGTGGATTGAAGAGTACATACCAACGCGAGCTTGTTGATGATTCCATGTAGTCGAAGTTGGTTTGCATTGGAAAGAAAGTGGACAACTGAATGGATTTGCAGTTGAGCAATGGCTGCAGCTCGGCGGCGTGTCGTGTTCATGGCGCGTTCACGCGTTGCCCCACACCTCACTACACCCACTTCGTACACCTAGGTATACCTACTGTATACATACCTAAACTCATCCTCTCCGTTCCATTTAGAGTTAGTCCCATCGTCCCGACTCACGATGTATGTCTTGCGATCTCAATCAATGGTGGCCTCAAACAATGTCTGCAGCGCGACCGCGATACCTCTTCGCGTGTCGCTGCGATTATGTCAATCATCAGCAAGCATGATCATACTATCCCAATAGTGATTTGTGAACTGAGATGTCAAAATCGAAGTTGACCCATATCTTTACAAGCCGGTGAGACTGGCGCGGGGAACCAAGCCTGCGATGCACTAGGTAAGAACGAAGACGCACCGAGACTTGACCTCCACCCCCGCATGCCTTGCCTTGGCCAACTCCACCTCGTCCTTGCATCTCGCTTTTCAACCCAGCTCCCCTCAACAGCAGGATACACGTACTTGCCTATGCGATGATGGAGTTGTATGTAATAGCTGGGAGACATTCAGATGCGCGAAACATGAGCTGCTGCTTCCTCTCCAAGCGGGTTTTGCCACCGGCAGTGACTGCTTGAAGCAGCCTTGTCAAGTACCTAATGCCTTGGCCGACTCTTGTCAACTCAACACACAGCCTTAGGACAAGACGACGAACCCGCTTGGCCCCTCAGGCAGCCTGGGTACAACAAGGTTATTCCTGCGCCAACGCGTGCGAAAGGCGCTTCGATCACCGATGTCACCTTGAATGATGCGCTTTGCTGACTGGAAATCGGCGTCGCCGTCGGAGTTTATGGAAAAGATGCTCATAAGATTGGCGCTGCAACATGAGGGACATACCAGGCTGTTGGGCGCAGATGCATTTCCAAATGCACTCTATGCAGCAGATCACAGCGAGTATTTAGATGGCGGATCTGCCCACCACTGTGCGCTTGTCGCACGTCCTTTCTTCGCTCCGTTCTGTGAACTTTGAGTGAGCTTGACATCCGAAGCCTTGCACCATGGCAGACCCAAGCGTTGGCAAGCCAGAGGGTGGTGTGCACCATAACGACATCAATGAAGCTCGCCGTTCGTCAGTCGCGAGTGTCAATCTGAACAAAAACATCGATGCGAAGTATGTCTTAAATATATACCTTATCCAATACTTTCTAACGATGGTTAAAGGGTGTCCAATCCTTTGGTTGGCGTTCCCCATGAGACGCTGATGCGCGATGTAGAAGACTTTGCACGTGAACACGACTTAGAAGATATTGTCGATCATCTCAAAAAGGGCGCTCTAGTCGCTCAAGATCCCAATGGGTACGACAATATCGCGATGCTGGTTGAAGAAGATAGGCAGCATCTTCGATTTGAGCAAGAGCACAAGTGGAAGCATCCCTTCCAGCTGTACGTTACGATCATTGTATGCTCCATCGGTGCTGCAGTACAGGGTTGGTAAGTGGTCGTTAAATTCACCAGTCAATAAACCTGCTGACAGTGTCTAGGGATCAGACTGGATCCAACGGAGCTAATCTTTCGTTCCCGGTCGAGTTCGGTATCGGCGAAGGCGACACAGAAGGCAGTCCCAACCGTTGGACTCACAACCTGCTTGTTGGCCTCGTCAATGCTGGCCCATACATAGGAAGCGCGTTCATCGGCTGCTGGGTCAGTGACCCTTGCAACTACTATTTCGGCCGTCGTGGAACTATCTTTATCTCCGCTGTCTTCTGTGTGCTCACTCCCATTGGTGGAGCACTTGCACAAACCTGGGAACAGTTACTCATCACTCGTATACTCATGTAAGCACGCTTTCTCAGCAGTTGTATAAGGACTAACGATGGTAGGGGTATTGGTATGGGACTGAAAGGATCAACAGTGCCTATCTTTGCTGCTGAGAATTCTCCCGCCCGGATTCGAGGAGCCCTTGTTATGAGTTGGTAAGCAGATGCCCAAGGGCTAACAGAGCTCACGTCGATTGATACTTTTAGGCAAATGTGGACTGCATTTGGCATCTTCTTGGGCTACTGTGCCAACCTGGCCGTGTATCGGGTGCCTGTGATCGCATGGCGACTTCAGATAGGCTCAGCTTTCATTCCAGCGGTGGTCAGTAATCTGCTCGAGACCGTTGACCCTCGGTACTGACGATCCCAGCCATTGACCATAGGAATCTTCTTCTGTCCAGAGGTATGTGAAAATGCCCTATTATCACTGCGAAAGTGTACTGATCTATTTGAAGTCGCCTAGATGGTTGATCAAGAAGAACCGCTATCGCAAAGCTTGGGAATCGCTACTGCGGCTCCGGTTCAGCCCTGTGCAAGCAGCCCGTGATCTCTACTACATCCATGCTCAGCTCCAAGTCGAGGCCCAGATCATTGGCAAGTCAAACTACTTCCAGCGCTGCATTGAGCTTTTCACAATTCCTCGAGTCCGTCGTGCGACTCTGGCCTCATTCGTCGTCATGATTGCACAGCAGATGTGCGGAAGTACGTATCTTCCTCTCTTCTAAGATGACATCCTGTAAAGAATAAGCACTGATCAAATCAGTCAACATCATCGCCTTCTACTCCAGCACCATCTTCAGACAAGCAGGTGCCTCAGAGCGTGAAGCACTCATCGCCTCATTTGGGTTCGGACTCGTCAATTTCGTCTTCGCCTGGCCCGCCATCTGGACTATCGACACATTTGGACGTCGGAGCCTGCTTCTCTTCACATTCCCACAGATGGCATGGTCACTGCTAGCAACTGGACTCTGCTTCCTGATCCCGCAGAGCAGCCCAGCCCACCTCGGCCTCATTGCTATGTTCATCTACATCTTTGCCGCATTCTACTCGCCGGGCGAGGGGCCCGTACCGTTCACATACAGCGCAGAATGTTTCCCTCTGACCCATCGCGAAGTCGGCATGGTAAGCTCATTTGTACTCCAACGCAACGATGTTAGATCGCTGACACCTGTAGGGATGGGCGGTCGCAACGTGCCTCTTCTGGGCTGCCGTTCTCTCTATTACCTTCCCACTCATGCTATACGCCCTCACACCACTCGGTGCGATTTGCTTCTACGCCGGCCTGAACATTGTCGCATTCTGCATGATCTTCCTATGGCTACCGGAGACGTAAATCTACCCATTCGACTCACATGAATACAAACTAACAGTGCACAGCAAGCAACGAACGCTCGAGGAGCTGGACTACATTTTCGGTGTGCCCACGCGCAGGTTTATCGCATACAACTTCCGCGTTGCACTACCTTGGTGGTGGAAGCGCTGGGTCTTGTTCGATAAGTCTGCCACGCTGGCGCCGCTGTACACGTTTGATGGGGTTGAGGGCCACTATCAGACGGGATACAGCGTTGAGACAAGGAGGGAGACGAGTATCGAGAAGCCAGAGACCATAGCGCGGGAATTGTGATGTTGATACGCGTAACAGGGATTTGAGATTGTAGAAAGATGTCACCAAGGAGCATTTTGGCTTATATTGGCCATGCGACATTGGTGTTTAGTGATGAGGTGGTCAGGTTAGGTCAGGGATTCTGATAAGTCTGCTCTACACCGATACAACTAAGTTAGAGACCATGAGCTATCATGCTCTTTTGTTTGGAATTCATACTATTGGCAACGCAACAAGTCACTTCACAACATGCGAACAGTAGTATCAGAAATAGGGAGCGTGAGCCATTTCGACTATGGTAAAGGCTATACAAGAACTGAACAACACCAACTTTTTCCTAATCATCCATCAACATTCTCGGCATATCGCAGATTTAACCGCGGAAAGCGCGGGAGTGGCGGCGAGCCTTAGCGCTGGAAGAGCCAGCAGCCTTCTCCAACCAGGAGACGAAAGTCTCGAGGGTGAAGGTCTCGGGGAGGGCACCAGCGCTGCCAGATGAAGGAGCAGCGGAGGCAGTAGGGGTGGCGTTATCCTGGGCAGCGACGGAGGTGGCGGCGGGCGCGGCCGATGTGGCGGGTGTGGCCGAGGTGGCAGGGGCAGCCGAGGTGGCAGGGGCAGCAGCAGAAGAGTTGCTGGAGCCGGAGTCGGAGCCGGAGCTGGCACCGCTGAACAGAGCGGGGCCGGGGATCTTGTAGCTGGACAGATCGCCGCTGTAGATGTTGACCTTGATACCAGGGTCGGTGGGGGTGTAGAGCTTGTCAGCGGTCACACCGGCGGGAGACTCAGTGCCGGAGCCAGTAACCTCCAAGTTAATGCCTGGGAAGCGTTAGTTTGAGTCAAAGCGTAGAGATTGGGGTGAGACTTACACATGGGGTAGTTCTGGGCGCCGTTGGCATCGCCAGCAGAGTGGAGGGCGATGATCTCGTGGCGGAGAACATACTGGCCGGGAGCAATGGAGCTCGGGACGGTGACGGCCCAGGTGAGGTTGTTGTTGATGAGCTTGGTGGCAGCCCACTCGCCGCCCTCGTAGCCGGCCTCGTCGATCTTGAAGAACTTCAAGTCAGCGGCCTTAGCGGAAGTGGCATCCTCGACCTTGGCCATGTAGTCAATGACGGGGCCAACGTGGGACTCGGGCCAGGTGTTCCAGGTAAGGTCGACGGTTCCTCCAGCAGCGACCTTAGCGACCTTAGCACCAGGGGTGGCGTCCTTGTGGCAGGCAATCTTGTTGACCTCAGTGTACATGGTGGGGTCGACGAAACCGTTGTCGAGGCAGTCGGCGCAGCCCCACTGGATGACCTCAGGGGCGGGGTTCTGGAACTGGAACGAGGGGTCGTAGGCCTCGAACTCAGTGCCATCGACCTTGAGGTCCGAAAGGTGACCGTGGGCGTTGACGGAGGCGGCAACAGCGCCGAGGATGGCAGCGACCTGGATCTTGGAAGGCATTGTTGATGATTTGGTAACTGAAGAGTTGGTTGGGTTGGAAAGAATGAGTAAGCTTCGAGATCAACGAAGGTGTAAGAGAATGGTATCCGCTTCAATCGATGAAGGGTAGTGAGTGTGAAAAGAATGAACTGTCGAAATGACTGAATGAGTGTGATGAGGAAATAGTACTGGCGGGCAGGAAGTCACCTTTATATCCAACAGAATAGGTTCGCGAAACAATGTGGATAAACACTAGCCTGGACCTACAGCTGTCAAACGACCAGGTACAGCTACGGAACGGGAACGAATCCGTCACCAAAAGCTTGATTGCAACAAGCGTTCAGGGGGAGTGCTAGTACGTGGGATTGAATCCTTTCCGTCGCTTGTTTCAGGCAATGGAACGAACGGCAAAGCACGGCAGACATGTGTTCCTGATCAACGCAGGCCTCGTCAAGTCGAAACACCTCTTCCAAGCGCCGGAAAGATACACTGCGGTGAGTGGAAATGATGGTACTTCTAGCATGCTTACTGCACGGCACTGCTTTCCGGAGATCGGCATTGGACATTGAATTTGCGTCGCTGTTGGTTGCAGACGCCATCTCATCTTCCCTTTGATGAATCGTGGAGAAAGGAGTTCAGAACAGACCAGAAGTGGATAAGTCGAGTGGACGTTGCTGCCGGTAGCGCCAAATGCCTGTAACCGAGGCTCACCGGCCCATACTGGTGAGGCCCACGCGTCGCACTGTGCTCACAACCAGACTCCATTTTTCCAACAGCGCAGAAACGCATGAACACCTGGCGGTACCTTCATTTACTTGCTGCAGCTTACCCGCATCGTTGACGTCTTTCCGGCGGCAACGCTAGTTTGGCCTCGCTCAGACGCGTCGTACTCGCCTTGTTTCACCAGGCCCCAGTGTGTGGGTCAGGACATTTCGACAACATCGAATGTTCGCGCGCGCTCACGAAGGCACGCCGATTCTGTAGCTACCATGGCATGGAACGCGAGATCGGATGTCCATTAGCTCGGATTGTGCTCTCGCCCCCATCGATAGGACATCTGCATGGTAAGCAGCCATCGCCCTCACAAAGCGACTCCTTCAAGTCCGGATCTCGAACGCCGACAATACACAGTACATAGCAATCCATCACCCCTACAACCTCCTGGTACCCACAGGTCATGTAGCGCGCGGCTCGAAACAAGCAATGGGAACGTCTCCTAGCGCGATTCATGCTGTGCACTGACTCTCGGCGCGTTGGCTCCGGATAAACGAGTCGAATGTTGCTATCTGCGCATACCTACGCACTGTTTGTCGTTACAGACTGGGTAATAAGCCGTATTGATTGGAGGAGTGCAGTGCGGTGCATCGGGTCTCAAAGAAGGTTTTTCATGTTGATCTTGAACCTCCTGCGGAGCCGCAAGACTACGACCGCGACTCAATACACAGTAGACGGAGAAGATCTCTGCCCTTCTAGGTAGGCATCTCCGTGAAACACGATATACATATGTAGTCACACTAGTGGGCTCTGATCGCGAAGCTCGATCGAGGGCGTATCAACCTCACCATCGATGCGACTCCCAGCGCTTGCAAAGAACACGAGTTGAAGGTCAATTCGTAACCATACCATATTCATGGCACAACGGCGAGAGAGCAGTACGTCTAGCTAATATCCAGCCATCTTCTTTGCTTCTCAGCGCCACATCACGGGTGAACCAATCCACTCATACTATTCAGACAAAACCGCAGCCTCCCCGACGGAGCTCCGAAATTCCTCGGAAGGATTTGCGCACCTCCTATCACCGGGAAAGCCGCAGGCTTGATCGTGTACGACTGTTGTAGACAGGACATTACTCAGATGCCAACAACTCACAATAACTAGCCGTACAAAGAGAACGGTCCGGCATTGATTGCATGGATGCGTGTTTGAAAACAGGCGGGAGTCATGTCCTGGTTCTAGGATGCATTCGAAAGCGCCGAAGTGCTTCACATAGACTGACTAGTCATCCGTATGCAAGTATAAAAGTGGCCCGCAGACCGACCAAACAACCAGCATTCAGTATCAACAGAAACCCAGAGAAAGTCAAGCCATGCGCATCTGCGATGAATCCTTTGGATTCGTTCAAAGATTTGGAGACTCGGCAGCAGCCATACTTTTAGGTCATGATGTCCACCGAGAGTACTTTGTACTAGGCGAGTGGACAGTCATTCAGGCACCGTCTTTGCTTTCGAGAGATTGCACAGAATAGTAGACTCATACTACGGCAGCCACACCCCCATCACAGGACCTGCAGAGACGCTTGCGAGCAAACAGGACCACAAACATGTTTTGTTGCTGCGGTACTTCGTACACCGAAGTGCAGACAATAGAGACCTATACTACCGCAGCCATACTTTCAGCACAGGTCTTGCAGCGACGCTGCTTTTGGTTGAAGAGAAGGACAGTCATCAGCCAGGATCGAACTTTCTTGAGAGTAAACAGGTGCACATAGACGCTTTGCTGCTTTAGGTTTCGTTCAGGCGCCTGAGTGCAAAAAATGGAGACTCTGACTGCTGCAACCAGACTTTCAGCACAAAATTTGAACCGACCCGGCTTTTGATCAGGCAGAAGGACAGACATGACGTATTCTTTCGCTTCTTTGAGAGCAAACAGATCCACGTATATGTTTTGTTGCTGCGGATTTCTTTCAGGCGGAAAAGTGCAGAGAGCAGAGACAGGTGGGTTTAAGTGCGCGGCAGGAGTGGCTTATATGCCCGGGTAGAGGGGTGGTCACATACTTCCAAAAGCCACAACCAAGGGTTTGCCCATATAGCAGCAGAAGGCACCTTTGATGTGCATGCCGCAATTGCAGCACAGACAAAACACATTCGTTCAACAGATTATGATTTGAGAACAGACCATACGATTGATGTCAGCGAATTGACAGCCCAGCAAGAACAGCAGCACCACATCGCGGGTCGTTTCCGGTATTTGGTACATCGAATCGGGGCAAAAAAGCCAAAGACCCCTCCATGAATGAGGTCGCCTGTCTTTTGAGAAACATCCCATAATGTCGCCTATCTTTCGAGAGCCAGGCCGCGAGGGCACTGGAGAACAGAAGAGCAACACCACATGCGAGCGCAGCATGCAATTTTTAGAAGCAGTGAATAAGGGCACAAGAAGCACAAAGACTTCCCGTCTCCATCACCGTTTTCCAGGGAGATTTCATGACGGTCGTGCCCTGTGGCAGAGAGCAGAAACACCACATTAATTCGGCCATCATCCATTTTCAGAGCGGCAAATCAGGCAGAAAGACACAGAACGTCCTCTCCATGGAACTGCCAGTATTACTTCTTGGTCCACGTGGCATGTTCAGCGCAGAGAGCTTCCCAGACATCATCATGGTGCACGTTTCTTTTAGAATAGAGAGACAAGAGTAAGAGGCAAGACCTTGAACAAGTTCAAGTTTTGGCGTGCCGTCGAGAGAGAAACAGAGCCGGAGCATGTGTCACCCGACATGCGATTTCTGGAAGCAATGTGACAATGGACCAAGTCGATTCCCACCCGCGCTCTCATGAATAGACTTTTCAGGAACTTTGGAGCATGGGGGAGTGAGGTGATCGTATTGTAGCTGTTGCCAGAGAAGAACAAAACATGCAAAGACTCTTCGAGCATTTTGGGAGCAGAGGAGAAGACAGATGTGGAAGTGTGCACACACGTTTTTGAGTGAGGGAGCGAAGGCAGACATGTACGTCTTGTTGTCATTTTGCGAGGGAAGAAGAGAAGCTATGCTGGCGTTCAGAGCGTCTTTCAGTTGTGCTTTCGAGCAGAGGTGACGAGGAACATGTCCGCTTGGAATCATTCGTTGGTGCAGAAAGGAGAGAAGCAAGCCATGGATACACTTTCGAAGGGTTTACGCTGAGGATCGGAGATTGGTGTTTTGTTCAGGAGCAGATAGTAGCGGAGGGTAAATAGCCAGACACGTCGAGGAGGGCGTGCTACTGTTTGGAAAGCAGAAGAGAAGGGGCATGTGCTTGCATCCAATTCTTTCTCGGAGGAAGCAGAGAAGTAATCAGTTACACGTCGTTGCAATCGTACAAGAGAAGAAGGGATGTCAGATTTCATATTAACAGCATGTCCTCAGGGACAGAACAGAAGACAGATACCATTCGGGCTCCACTTGAGTATTTGACGTAGGTGCTGAGAAGGAGAAGATGGCCAGCAAGGCAGAAGTAGAAGAAAGAAGCTTCGTATGATCCCACTATATAGTAGTTCCGAGAGCGCAGAAAACCAAAGAACGTCTGCCGTTCATTGTAAGGAGAGACAGGGAAAGCAGACGTAGTTTGAACAAGCTGTTCTTCAGAAAACATGGCTTGATACCTGGAATACTTTGGTGGTGGTGGGCAGAGCAGAGATTTTGTGTACAAGTAGACTCAAGGATTCAGGCGATCGGTGAGATGCAGATATACAACATAATTGAGCAAGACAGCGCATCCAGACATGATGGGAGGTTCAAGAGATCTTCAGAGCAGATGAGGTAGGTCGCAGGTTGACTTCACCGCTCCATCTATGCGAACGGAGACCATTTATAGAATGGAGTCATCGTCTCGATGCGACGCTCGTTTACGGCGATCGATGGCGGGAGAAGAAAAAGGCAAGCTGCCGGACGAGAGCACATGAGATCCACGTGACTGTCTTACAGACGAGGACAGAGGAAGAACATGCTATCTGATGCTATGAGGTTTGGAGCACAGTAGAAAAAGTGTCTGATAGAGAGAAGCAAGCCAGAGCCGCGAGAAACACTCATGCGTGGTAAGGATTTAGGTGACTGTCTGAACACAGACTTGCACACCGTTTGTAGTTTTCGGAGGCAGAAATTCAAAATGACGTAGTTTGCGAGCGGCTTGGTTTCAAAAATGAGGTTTTCGGTTGATGAGGTGACGGCACTCACTTCCAGGCATAGTCAGCCCAATTGTCGATTTCGGTAGCTGTGGAACGATTTCATGACAGGGACGAAGAAGAGCAAAGGAGCAGGAAACATGACTCCAAGACTATTCGGATTGCGCTTAGACCGGTAATTTTGGGAAGCAGCATTGAGACCAGTCATGTAAACTGAGACCAGTTTTTGAAGATCAAGAGAGACGACTTTATGGATGATTAAAGTAATGGGTGATTTGTGATTTTGAGGAATGATCGATTTCGCAGATATGAGCGTTGGGTGTTGTGGATTGAGGAAAGGTGGCGCAGAACATCAGGATTTCGATGGCTGCGTTTTGCGCGCACAGAAAGCTCCAGACATGGCAGCAGCTTTCGCCGCAATTTTGCAAGTAGCGAGTACTTGTGACGATATGAAGTGCAGAAATAGTCGAGATGCACACAAACAATCAAATGAAGGTTGCATTAACAGCAGATTAGTCGCAAAACTCATGTAGATACTAGCTTGACCAGCATCTGCTACATCTGGTGAGGTCGAGGCACGCTATTCATACACGTGAGTGTAGCAACAGGCGCCGGAGACATGATGAAGGAGAGAGAAATATCGGTCGTGAGGTCAGATCAGGATGGTCGCGAACATGCGTTGTTGCGCGGCATGTCTTTTCGTGGGATTGTTTGAGCAAGTGAGAAATCGCTGAATGACTGATGACAGAAAAAGAAGTTCCCGGACCATGTCGGAGAGGTTTGATGATTCTGGAGGGCAGACAAGACTGAGCATGATGAAGAAAGAGAATGTCGATAGTAACTTTCGAGGCAGACAAGGTCGAATACATCGACGTGGTAGCGGTTAATTTGGCGTATGGAATGCAAGTCATTTCTTATTTTGGGAGCGAACAGAAGACATAGACATGAATCCGATCATTTTAGTAAATGCACTGGAAGTAGGTTTGCAGATGTAGAGGAGGTGTTGAGGAGTTATCTGTCAATTGAGCCGGAGGTCATGCCGCAGGGCTGAAGGGCGCTAGCCGAGTCATGCAGTTCCAGACAATCGCAGCTCGAAACTTTGCCGCACCGCATCGCCATGCCACCAAATGTGCGACTCCCCGCGGTCAAATTTCGATCGCTACTATTACCGCCCCTCCGCGCACATCTAACAACGCTACACGACTCTGCACGCCCAGGATGCGCTTCAGTCTCGCCGCACCGCATCACGGCGGCGCCATGCGTTGTCCAGCGCCGCTCGCTGTATCTCTATAAGACGGCCACCGCAAAGACAGCGCTGGGCATGCACAAAGTCCTAGATTTTGAACTCTACACACCAGCGCCACCCAGCGCATCGAAACACACAGTCAACCTGGTGGAGAGCCCTGAAAGGCTAACGGTGGTTGAAAAGGACGTCTCGCTGCAAACACTCTACGATGATCACGTCTCGCCTGGAAATTTCCTCTATATGGCGGTACCGCTTGACAAGAAAGTTGCCGGAAGCTTCGACTTGATGCGCGAGAGAGACATCCCGTCCACGGCCCGGTTATACACCGTCACCGGATACAAGCGCGTCTTTGAGGGCAAGAAGCGTGCCGAAAAGTTCAGCAAGTGGCTCACGCCGCATGAGCACCACGGTCCTCTCAAAACCATACACTTAACTCTCTCAAGCCCGGCGGCATACCAAAAGCTGGTCTTGAGCCGCGCGTACCAGTTCATTGGAAACGGCTCGCCAGTCGAGGTTTGTATTCGTTGGAGTCCGCCAGCAAATTCGAAGACGACGAGAGGGACGGATCCAGACCTCCCGGCATACATGGACGAGCATTTCCCGCATCTGCGGCCAGATTTCATCCTGAAGAGCATGCCTGAGGGGACAGTGTATGTCGTCCAGCCTGTCAGCGACGGACGGTGCCTCCAGTGGGTGATGGGCAACCAAGCGGTTCACCAGGACAAAAACCTCACAAATAGGTTGCTCAAGGTCAAGGGGGCAGTGGAGAAGTCGTTGGATGATAACCAGATGGCGAGAAATTACCTCGAACGGCAAAAGAAGCGGCAGGGGCTGCCTTACACGAAGGTGCCCAAGGCTTTGCCTGGGGAGGTCAAGTTGGAGAAGACTGGTGAGAAGGGCCCCTTGACGCTGGAAAAGAGCGGCAGTTGGTCGCGAAAATCGGTTCCTGGCACTCAACCGGTTAAGAAATCTGGAACTACGACGGACTGGACGAATCGCACGCAATTGAGCATCGTCAGAAAAGTGCAGGCGTTCGACCCGCAGGACTCGTTAGGGAAGGGGAAGAAGAGAGCGAAGTTCAATTGGCAAACAAGGGGAAAGACAAGTTAGTGGTGTATTTGATGAAGCAGTGGCGTGCAGTAGCACAGTGTACATTACAACATACTCCTAATCCCGAATGCAGACATGTGAAAGTGGGTCTACCAAACGGAGGGAACCTGCATCCAACAAACTTGAGCCTCAATTGCACCAGAAGCTGCACCAGAACCTGCCTTTTGTAGGCCACGGTGCCATTGGACAGCTGCGCCGCCTGTTCAGCATGTACAGACGGCACGGCGCTGGTCTGTTCGTTGTGGCTTGAAGTTCGTCATCGTTTGGGCACCAACTTTACCAATCCCGGCAGAAGTTGGTCCGCCGCGTCTGACATACATCTCGTTTCCTCGATCCCCGTGTACATAAACACCTCAACCCGTGCGCACGCGGCTGCCTGCATGCTGTCCACGAGCGTCTCCTAACTGCCACCCACGCACTCGCCGCGCATTGCTACCGCCGCCGCCGCCCTGCCCTGCGCCCGTCGTCCGCGCACCTCCGCTCGTTCGCAGCCCCCCTTCTCACCCCGCGCACGCCCACGGCCTCGCCCACGTCCGCCTCCCACCGGCCTCAATGAACGCCGCGCGCCAAGCGTGCCGGCCAAAGCACCAGATCCTCGTCCTGAAATGCTATCCCAAGTACAACAAGACGCAGACCGACGTGCGCGCCAACTCGTCCGAGCTCCAGTACCTCCTCTACTACGCCTCGACGCGCCGCAGTAAGCTCACAAAGGTCACCGACTTCCTCGACAAGCGCGCGACCAGCGATGTGTGGAAGGCGCGCACCGGCAATGTGCAGGTCACTCTGCAGATTGTGACGGCGCTGATCGAGAAGTGCCCGCGCGACTTGCCCCTATACCAGCGCGCCGTGCTGAGCATCCTGAAGACGATTCTGAAGAGCAGCGATGTGGGCATGGTCGAGGAGACGCTGCCGGCGTTCGAGGCGCTGTGCCGGCACCAGGAGCCCGCCAGCCTGGCCGATGCCGAGTACGTGCACCAGTACGAGGAGATTGTGCAGCTGTACGCCGGCTTTGCGGCGAAGGAGCAGGTCGTTGAGAAGGGCGCCCAGAGCTGGCCTGTGATGCTGCGGTTCAGGAAGGTGGGGCTGCAGGCGCTCAAGGCGGTCGCGCAGAGCGAGAGTCTGGCCAGCGGGACGGGCAGGCAGCTGAACATTATTCTTCCGGTTATCTTGGAGAATGTTCATGGCGACAGCGGCGCGTATCTGACGCGCTTGGAATCGAGGGAGAAGGACACCGAGGCGCACGACAAGGAGCTCGCGCTCAGCCGGAGGAAGAGCGTGTCTGCGGCTGCGAGAACGAGCACGAATGAGAAGGAAGAGGGCGGCGATGCAGCCGCGGCCTCAGGGACGACTGAAGACGCGGACAAGCTGGCAGAGGAGAAGGTTGGCGCGCTGGCGCTGCAGGCTCTTAGGAACATCTTTCAGGGCGTCAACCGCGGACAGCTGCGTCTTGCGACGTCGGTCGTGCTCAAGTTCATCGGCACGCATGCCAACGGGCAACCCGGTTCGGCCGAGGGCTGGGCAACGAAGCTCATGGCCATTATCTGCACATGGGCACCTGTGCAGGATCGATACGCAATCCTGGTCGCCATCGTCGAAGCGCTTGTGCGTAGCCCCATCGTCGAAGGGGACATCGAGCGACAGCTGGTGCTGGCAACGACCATTGACTATCTATTGAGCTCCACCATCAACTTCATCGGACTCAGCGTCATGGACGTGCTAGTCGGGCTCATCTCGCACACACTGTTGATTCTCCAGCTTGGTGGAAAAGGATCGAACATACTGCCTCACCAGCAGCAGACCACATCGGTGCTGTCGGAGAAGAGCGTCGAAGGGCAGAGCTCTGCCGACAGTGTGGGCGTCGTTATGGAGGTCACCAAGGAGCCATCGCAATCAAGGGTACAACTGCTCCACACCGTACGCAAATGTATGGCTGATCTGGCCACGCACGTTTACTACACCGACCAGATTTCGGACATGGTCGAAGCCATTCTGAGTCGGCTGAAGCCCTCTCCATCAGCTACAACGACCGCAGAAGCGATAGAGAACCCGGAGGAGGCGATTGATGCAGTTGCTGCCTCAGTTAGCCTGCGAGAGAAGAAGCACGTTGACAAATTCTTCTCCTTCGAGACTGCACGCATAACAGCGCTCGAGTCTGTCACTGATATTATCAAGACAGCAAACGCCCGCCGACCCGACGGCTCCTCGGCCTCAGTAGCGCGCAGTAGAATTGGCGTAAATGTGTGGAAAGGCACGCAATGGCTTCTTCGTGATCCTAGTGGGACCGTCAGGAAGGCGTACGTGGATGCGTTGGTCACGTGGCTGACCAAGGAGAAGACAAAGCAAGATTTGAGAATCCTGGATCACTACCGCAGGAAAGACAGCGACCATAGCAAGGGTGGCCGAAGCAAGCGTGCGGTATCGAACGCGTCACAAAGGGAGAAGTCACCAAAGGTTGCGAGCAATAGCTTCTTATCGCTCCTGCATTTGGCTGTGTACGAGAATGCGCTGCAGTTTGTCGACTCGGAGGCGGACTACCTGCTTCTGCACCTCCTCCTTGCTACACTGGTCGAGCGACTGGGAGTCAATGCTGCGCGAAGCGGATTGCCGATGGTCATGCGTCTGCAGGAAGATATCGCCACTGTTGAAGAGCCTGCCGCGAAAGTCCGAATTGGCAGTCTCGTGCACGGTTATCTGTGGTCTCTCAGCATGACTTTCGATTTCGAAACCTCGGCCATTGGCCGCACAGTCCACAACGAGATCACACGGCGTAACAGCCATGGCCTGTGGCTGAAGAGCATCCGCGTTCCTCCCATGCCAGTCGACCGCATCGATACTCCGCACCCGAGTATCTCGCAGCTGCCAGCGTCGATTGTGCAGTCCGAGTCACTACTGCCATTCGACAACCGCGACGCCCTCGTGGACAAGATCTCGGAAGGCTACTCGACGTCCCTTTACTCACCTCCCTCGTCTCCACCCGGCTCACCTGGCCGCTCGATGTCAGCATCTTCCTACTCTGGCCTCCCGGTCATCCACCAGCCAACCATCGAGACCAACAATATCCTTTCCACGCCTACCATCCCGTTCAAGGTCCGCGAGGATCTTCTTGCAGACTGGACACGTGATCTGTGCCTCGCAAGCAATACCAAGGGCGCATACAGCACCTCTGTCTCCGGCAGCAGAAGCGGGACGCTACACACAGGGAACCGCAACAACTACCTTGGTGTCCGCATACCCAACGGCGAATTGGACAGCAACGGTAACTCACCGACTCACAGTCCACGAAGAGCGCATTCGCGCCCACCGAGTCTAGCATACGGCCTTGTCGGGCGCCTGTCATCGCCGCAAAGGCGGCGAAGCCCAAGCGAGCACAGAACCAACAGCAACGACACGCCGCGGAGCCGATCATCCCTCCGCAGCTCCGTGCGCGTCGACGACCTCAAGCGCGCCCTGAGCGGCTCCGCCAACGCCCCCCGTACAAGCTACAGCATGCGCCCCGCCACACGCCGCGACGAGGACGAGGAAACCGACTCCCTCGTCAGCGCCCACTCCCTCAGCGACGCCTCCTTCACCACCACCCACGAAGCCCTGGCCCGCGAGCGCGCCGCCCGCGCCGCCCCAACCGACGACCCCGGCACCCCCGCCGCGACCCTCACGCCCCGCCCTGCGACCTCCCAGACAGAGTCCTCGACGTCCAGCAACCAGTACTTCTCCCGCGCCGACGTGCCGCCCGTGCCCGCCATCCCCGCTGATTTCCACGGGCACACCTCGACGCCATCGACTGCCGGTGTCGGCGATGCGCCGGAAACTAACGGCGTGGCGAAGAGCCGGAGCGTGAAGAGCGGGGTTAGTAGGGGACGGAGTGGGAACCGGCAGCACCGGGGCAGCGAGGCGGGGAAGCTCGCGCAGCCGATTACGGTGGATGATTTGCTAGGGGATATTGGGTTGGATGACGATGAGGAGGTGGACGGGGAGGGGCTGGGGAAGGCGCCGTATTGAGGGCTGGCAAGGGTGCCGCGTTACTTTCGTGTTTAGATTTGTAAGGGTGGTTTGGTGAGCGGGTTGTGGGGGATCGAGGTTAGCGAGAGAGGAGGTGTATTACTAATTCGTCTACCGTGTCTGCATACCCGCCTGGCCGCTCGACTCGTGATGTGGAGTGTAGATGATGCCGTGCTCATGTGCGTCGTGCGTTTGCACCACGTGATGTGCACGAGGTGCGTGCGGTGCCGCTGGGCAGGTATATAAGCTCCTCCTGCGCTCCGTCGACGCTCTTCTGTACACACACTCTCTCTTTTCTTCGTATCGAAAGCAACCAGACAGCGGTTCATGTCTGTGGCCTTCTCTGCGCTTGCAATCTGCCCATGCTCTCAGGTTCTAAAAACACAAACCCTTAAAGTAGGCAAGGATGTCTGCTTCTCTCTGCCTCTCTTCTCTGTCTCCCTGGCTCTGGTTCTCTATCCCTCTGTTTGACATTCATCCCGATATGTTTGGATGTCTGCACGCTTCTCCGAAAGTTTTGAAATTTTGGAAGGAGACTTTATGTCTGCGGCTGTGTCTTTCTGGAAAAAAAAAAACAGAAAGATCGCAGCAACATGTGTCTGCGGTGCTTCTGTCTAGCGCATTCTCTGCGCTCTAAACCGACAGATGGCCGCTACCATGTCTGCGGCCTTCTCTCCAGAGACCGCACACAAATTGATGATGTCTGCGGTGCTCCTGCCTGCTGCACTCTCTGCATCCCAAAGGAACTGACACATTGTTTATGTCTGCGACTCTCTCTTTGAAGTCGTCATACCCAATAACGATGTCTGCGGCGCTTCTGCCTGCCGCCCTCTCTGCATTCCAAACCAGGCTTCCCATGTTCACATGTGTTCTGCTCTCTTTCTGCACCAGAATGTTGTACGACGACTTCTGCCGCGCTTCTGCCGGCCCAGTGATTGCTCACTCTCCGCATTTTGAAAATAGCAGTCATGGAAGAACAGATCTATGTTGCTCTCTCGAAAACCCTCAATTGCAGTATCAATGGGGGAGCTGTCTGGGTTTCTGGATGCCCTCGAGTATCCAAATACTAAAGGCTATTAGACATGGTCCGATGTCTGTGTTTTGCTCCTTCTGCGGCTGGTGGCGTATTTGTCGCCGCCCCAACTTCTCGAAAGATTCCCGTATGGTTGCAGCTCCCTCTGGGTCTGTTTGCCGCTGCCTTTGTTTTACAAAAACAACAGCAGTAAGATCATTTCTACCGCTCCTTTTCTCTGCTTGGACATCTTTCTTTATGTTTCAACCATCTATACAACAGACACATGTCTGCGGCTTCTTCTGCCTTCTCAAACAGGATCTTGTGCGAACTGATGGCTGGGACTCCCTTTCTGTCTCTCCTTCTGATGTTCTGCTACTGAAGATTTCAACGAACTTACTAAAGTAATGATGTTCGTGGCTCGATATGTTTCTCTACTTGAGGTTTTGCTCGCGCGGCACGTTCCAAAGCGGATTCAGCCACGGTCATGTCTGTGGCTCCCTCTGCCTTGGTTTCTGCCGCGGTAATGCTTAAGATGTTCCCGCAAAAGATCAACTGTTGTGGTTCTTTTCATCTCCTCATACCCTACTCTAAATTTTTGCATCTTCTTTTGACTCTCCAAAACTCAACCCTTGGGTTAACATGTCTGCGTCTCTCTTTCGGTGTCTGCACACCGCTTAATGTTAAAATAGATCATGACAGACATAATGTCTGCGGCTTTCTCTGCTTGGGATTTTGCACGGCTGTCTAAATTCCACGAGCCTTCTTAACAGAAATCGATGTATTTGTGCCTTTTCTGCTGCTTTGAAAAGATTTCAACGGGCAATCCATGTCTGCAGCGCTCTCTGCCTACGCACCTGTTCACTCCAAATCCTCAGCTTTCACACCCTATCACGAGTTTCTGCGCCTCTTCTAAACGATATTCAACAAAATCTATGTTTGCGTTTTCTTCTGCCTGAGTATCTGCTCACTCAAAACCTTAATCTCCCGATCTACTTCGATTTCCCGCGTCTCTCTCCGACTCTCCAGAGTCCACCAGGTTCACCCTATGTCTGCGCCCTTTTCTGCTAGGGTATTCGTTTACTCTGAGTCTCTGACCCGACACTCTACTACGACACTCTGCGCGTCCCTCCGAATCTTGAAAAAGACCTTCGTAACTCCCATGTTTGCGCCTTTCTCCGCTGGGTTTCTTCCCATTCTGAAGTCCTGACCTGACACTCTACTGCAAAATTTCACACCTTCCTCCGACTCTCCAAAATAACAGGTCATGCAGGCGATGTATGTGCCTTTGTCCGCTCGGATCAATAAACCTGCTTCAATCCCCAGTTCTTACTCTGACATGAGTATCTGCGCCTGCCTGTGCGGTCCTAAAAAGGTACATGGCCGAATCCATGTCTTCTGCTCGCTTTGTTGGAGTAAACTTATCTCCCTCAGACTCTCCAAAGGCTTTCTCAGTTACTCCCATGTTTGTGCCTCTCTGTCTCGATAACTGCGTATTCACCTTGCCCAACACCTAAAGATGAACATGAACTATGATGTCCACGACCTTTTCTGTCTCCGTCAACCCTTCTATCGGCCTTCCTCTTCTCTTCACAGCTCCGTGAGTCTTTTCCGAAGGTCTGAACGAGGTTACATGACTATGCTACTCGGCTCCGGAAAACCGACAGGAATGGTTCTATGGGTGTTTTTTCCTGCTCTTTGGGACAAATCAGTCGTCTTTCACGGGTAGAATATTGCCTATTCTCTGGATTTCTTTGTAAAGATGGGAAAAACCACCTATTTGCTCTGCAAGTTCTCAGAATGTCGTCTCGTGGGTGGTCGTTCCTTGACCTTACAAATTGTGATGCTAACGCTGCATGGGTGACTTTTTCTGCTATCAAAGCGAATGTATGCACTGTTACTCTGTTCTCTAAAATGCTCGCAGGGACAGACCATGGCAATGCTCTTCTTGCCCTCGGAGAAATCTGCCAGAAAATCACGAGTAGTTTGTTTCTGCACTCCAGAGAGTGACATGAGGACACAACTTCTAGCCCTTGTCTGCGATCCAAAATATGGGGCACCAGGTATGGATGTCTGCCGCGTTCCTGCACTTGAAATGGTGGTGGAAACTCACGAAACCATGTTTGCTCCTCCTATTCTCGTAGGGAAGACCCTGAAGAAGATGGATACCTATCTGCTTTTGTACCTGAAACACTCCTGTCATGTTAATACCTGCCATCTTCTCTGCCCTTCGAAAGATAGCTTTTTCGCAGTATATCTGGTCCTTTTTTTTTTGCCTTGAATCGACACCAGAAAGCGAGTATGTCTGTCTCACTTCTGCACTGAACCGATCACAACTGTAACACATGCTTCTCTGCTTTCCAACTTTCTGTGAACACGTACATGTCCGCTGCCTTCTTTCTGCTTCGTGAAAAATCTGATCTCGAAACAGATAATGTGCCTGATCTCTGGAGCAGCGCGGCATTCACAAGATCTACTGCACAGTTTATACAGATCACTAACATGAGTGAAAACACCGGGATGGAGGCCGAGAAATTCTGCTACTCTGACCTTAGGAGATAGGGGAGCTACGTGCCGAGTTTATCGCTGCAACTGTCAATAAGCTTCGACTCTTCCTGAACTGCTGTTAAGATCGATTCTGTCAGAGCGCTTAGCAAAGTCATCACAGCCGATACATGTCTTCTGGTCACTAAAGATGAATTTTTACAATCGCATGTCTGTATTTAGTCTGCCAACCGAATCTCACGGCCACTAATCATTTACCAACCTTTGTACACCACTGCTAAAAAAACAAGTCGCTGTTTCATGACTTGGCTTCTTTTTCAATCCCCGATTCTCAACTCTGCCGCGGCTCCTTCATTCTTCCGACCTATCTATCAAGTTTCTCAATATCTTATAGTCGAGGAAAGAAAACAGGCAATTCTCTCTTGCCCCACGATAGGAATCACCCGATCTCATGACAGTATCCATCAGATCTGCTTGAAGAGATGTAACCACACTAAAACTTTCTGCATCTCTGCGCCTCGAACTCATCTCACGGCCTGATTCTCACTCGAACTTTCGAGGTACACCTTTGTTATTTTCACCTTGCGCTGCCAAACAATAACAGCATGCGATCTATGGCTTCTTCTTGGCCTAGATACAGAGCTACTGTCTAGCGAGGACTGACTACTCCGGTCTGCTTTCTCATTCTGCCGGTGTACATGAATGTCTGAAATACCTCTGTTTCAGCTAGTAGAAATCATTCTGGCGACTTCTCCATCTTATTTACTGTAATCTGGCCAATCCAAAAGCAATTCAAGATGAGCAATGGTACAGCTAGGCTATTCGTCAGGTCTGATTACCGAGCAGGACGTAGCATGTCCAGTTTGTTCTCTTGGTTTGTAGAGTGCTGACGGCTTCTTGGTCCTTTATTCTGGACTCACGTGGCTGGGCTCAACGCCTGTCGCCTTTTTCGAGTCATTAAAGTAGACGGTCATCTTCCTCGTGTCTTCTTCTGCTTCTACCGCTCCCTAAAATCGGCCCAATTATAGCTCTGTTCTCCCACTAAACCTATTTGAAGTCTAAATTCATCAACCTTGATGAACATGACAGAAAAAGCCGACCTTTCTCAACCATGTCTCCCGCATAACAACACATCTCTCACATCACAAAAGCACCGCTGATCCCTTTATGCTCCGTTCTGCTAAGTTTCCACAAGCTGCTGGTACCACATCACGTTCCTCTTATGCCGTGGCCCCCAGAGAAAGACTCGCAACTGCTTGCACCTATAAAATCAAAGAAAACACAGATGCTATCTGACAGTTTTTTGGATCCCCAGAAGCCCGGCAACGAAAACAAGTACATGAATGTCAATGTGTTGTCGGTAGTCCTGCGTCTCTTTACTCAATCACCATTGTGGTACCCGGAATTCTGGAGTTGTACATCTTGGTCCGAAATAAACACTTGGCAAAGCGCATGTCTGCTTCAAACAGATCTTCAGCATGCCTACAGCAGTTGTTCGCTGTGATTCCCTCTATAATAATGGAGAAAAGCCTCTTTGCTCAAAAGATACCAGCCTTCTCTGAAACCAGAACCCTGATCACCTCTTGTCTATCTCAAAACAAACGTGGCAGCAGTTGAATGGCTTGTGTCCACCATGCTGCCCTCCCTTATCAAGATGGACTTCTTTCCTGCTCGAGAAACTGGATGTAAACAGTTTCATGACTGTTGAAAGCGAACAGTTGCCTTCGCATGGAGTGTGGTGTTGATGTTGGTGCTCGAAATGCAGACAAGACGTGCCCATCCGTTCTAGAAATGAACAGTCGGATGATCCATGTGGTGCCTGAACGAAAGATTGAAAAGCACTCGATGTCAATTCACGTCTCGTGCTCTCGATTACAGTCAAGTCGAAAATCACGAAAAAAAGGACTGGGTATTCCCCTCATGGGAGCACGTGTCGTGAAAGCTGCATCTATCCACATACGCGATCCAACCCCACTTTACCGTGAATGTATATTCCTACCTGGAATTTTCTTAATTCAAAGCAATGACGAAGCCCAATATGAGTGGGTCCCTCGTTGGATGTTGCGGTGGCTAGAGTACCCGCATGGCGCTGGCCATCAGGGTACTACGCACCACGCGCAGCACTCGCACCTCCCATCTCGAGACCTCAAGAACGCCTCAACACACACCATCAACCTTGTCGTGAGAGAAACATTGATGTATGTTCATATTACTTTTTGCTGCCTGACATTTGGTATTATGAACTTACACTGACGGCTCGATGATTCACAGCACCCCATCATGTCCCACGAAAGCGTCTGGTACTCGCGCCCCCGCACCTACGGCAAAGGTTCGCGAAGCTGGTACGCCTCCTTCCCCATTCATCATTCTATCTTCTCGAACTTATCGCTCGAGCCCTTAACGCTGCGAATAAAACCAGCACTGACGTCCCCAGTGTCGTGACCGGCGAGCGCAAGCATGCTGGTCTGATCCGTAAATATGGACTCAACATGAGCCGACAGGCTTTCCGAGAGAAGGCTGCCGATATCGGTTTCATCAAGGTAAGTGCCGCGGACAGGGGAATGAGAGGCGGGCTGACTGGTTTCAGTACCGTTAGATGGGCGCAAGGGCGATGTGTGCGGAATAGAGATCGAAGGGAAAAGTTGATTGATATCTATCTAAGGGAAAGGCAAGACTAGCTGTAACGACTGATGTATTCCGATGTAGCCGGTACTCAATGAAGCGCTTCCGCCATACGATATCCAATGCTGTGTCAATTTACCTTGTATCCGTGTTTACCAGGATAGCATACAATCCTTCTTAGTTAAAGAACGGAAGAAGTAGGCAATTGTTGATTGATGCAACGCTCAAAACGTAGCTGAGTTCACGGACTGAAGCTCGTTCTTGAGATCAGCGGCAGTGCGGAATGGACGCAGTGGGCCATGAGGGTTGATTATGCCAACGGGAGCTTTGTTGATGTCAACTGTTCTCGGTGTGACATGCGCATCCTCACTCTGGTCAATCTGAGCGATAGATTTGACACTAGCAAAGTTTCCGTGGACGGCGCTGGGTTCTTCGTACAGTTTGAAGAACGGCAGGCCATACCTTGCGTATCGTGCTGCACTCAAGGGTCGAGTAGGTGGGTGCTTCCCGGTGACAGCCTCGTAATAAATCGAGTTGAGAATCTGGACATTGAATACAGTCGTGAGATTTGACTGCCATTCAGTGCCCAAGTAGTCGGGCTCAATGCACTGTTTTGTTGCGCCGCCTGTGGCGATGCTCATCTCTCGATGCTGCTTCTTGTTTACTTTACCTCCACCTCGAAGCCTTAATGTCAGGTATATGGTTTGTTGGTTGCAAACATTGTAATCTGATAGAGTCTTGTAATCATCGAGTCTCTTCCCACTAAATGTGAGGATCTGCTCATGTGGAGGGAATTTTGTCCTCTTGTAGAGGAGATTCTTTACTTGTTTGATAACTTCATCATACTTTACCGTGATGCTAAACTTCCCCGGATATGGCGTGTCCATGATGATTTGAAAATGTTTATCATCTGTGTTCCGATCTGTGTTCGGAGGGGTATAGGGAGTGATCTCGAATTGGATGCCACCGGCTGTATCAATGCCAGTAACTTGAGATTCCAAAGAGTATCCACTGCCGAACGGCATTGCAACGAACTGCTTCACCCTTCCAGGAGACTCAGCGATGCCATCAAGCCACCGTTGTCCAGGAACGATAATGTAATCTTGAAGTGAGGTATCACGGCCTACGCCACTATCTCGATTCACCGTAGCCATCTTTGTACGTCGCCTCAGTGTCGTCGCCATACCCTCCATTGCGGGCTCGCCAGAAATTACGTTAACACCGCCAACGTAGATCTTTATCATGTAGTTCTGAGAATAACTACAGGAGAAATTCATCCACATGGCCTCAGACTCTATTCTCGGTCAGTTCTCTTTTAGACATGAACACAGAGATGTGGGAGCTTACGATACATGGGAAAGAAAATGCCGCCCTTGGCAGCCATGTCTGAGCGCATCTTGGAGGCATATTGAGATACCGGCGTCAGCGGAAATTTGCCAAAGTCAGGCGGAAGATTCGATATGTGTTGGTTGTCTGGCACGCGAACTGTACGATGGAAGGAGATGTATAGATCATCATTGACGAGTACGTCATCGCCGTGTAGCTGAACGCTCAACGACTCAGCCATGGGAGATTGTTGAAAGCGGTCAATGTATGTGGGTAGATGGTGGATGTGAACTGGAAAGATTGAGGGTGGGTTGGGTTCAAATAGGTTGCAGAGCAAATGAACGCACGTGCGCCCAGCGCAAGCAAGTGCAGGGGCGAGTGACTGCGAACAAACCGAGTGTGACTTCCACAAGCAAGAAACAACTAACGTAAAACTCCACAGTAAGCTACGAGCGCATGATTGTATGGCAGCCTCTGATTCGACACATGGTGTGCCTCCATACGCGTACTCGTCTGTCCTGCTACCACATAGGTACGGAGGCTGTATCGACCACTCTAATTATTATTGATTTGCTAGTATGTTCGAAAGGTATAGTAGCCCCTGAGTAAAACATCTACATTACTCCACGCTATGCAAAGAACTGATCGCCGAAGTCTAGTTGTCTGAGAACAAGTACCGTCTGCTTATTCAAATTAACCCCTTCCGTCCCTCTCTAACCAACTGCAAGCTCGTCTGGCAGTCCCCACAATACCCTTTCACCCACTCCTGCACATTCTTGTCTTTCTTCTTTGTTCCATCGAGGATCGAGCCGACCTTGGCGCACCTCTGTGTCTCGTCGAACAGCCAGTGCTCGTATTCTGCCTCTACGACTTCCTGCTCGATACGATTGACAACGCGCAGCGCAACAAGCAGGTCGTGGCGCTGAGAGCCGAGGTTGCGGCGTGTGCGCTCGAGACGTTGTGTGCTGTGGGTAGTCGGGTCGTACAGGGTGTTTGGTAGCGACATGGAGGCGGGGTCGAGGAGGTGTGTGAATGTTTGGTGGCTGTTGTGAATCAGTAAAGCAAGACACAGGAGAAGCAATCGACATACCATCTGTTGTCTACGATGCTATCAGTGGGCAGCGCAAGCTCGATGCTGGTATCATTGGAATTGGCGAAAGCTTGAGCAATGTCGCGGAGATAGACTGAGCGCGACATGCTTGTTGATGGCCCGACACCAAGGCGTGACATGTATCTTGCGGCATTGCGCTCGCTCCACCACGACCAGCTGTCTTTAGAGGTCAAGAAGAAGTTTGCGCCTCCGCTGGCAAGCAGCAGCACGACCAGCAGCTTATGGGCGGACACGACGTTACCGATGCCAGTGAAAGTGGCAAGCACCCAGCTCATGACCGTTGAAAGGATGCTGATGATGACATTACCCACAAACTGTGCGATGAAGGAGCCTGTCGTGATTGGTCGTAACTTGAATTTTCGGGGGCGGTTCGGCGGTGGAATGTCATCTGCGTTGACCTGCACAGCCTGAGTCTGAACACCGATCTGACCAAAGATGCTGGTAACCTTGCCAGTGCTTCGATTATTCCCCAGACGAGCAACCTGATCATTGACAACGTCTACGAGATCCTGCGCTTCAAGTTCTAGGTCCTGCAGACCCTGACGCTCAATGAGCTTCTTCACAATCCGCGGATTGCGCTTCCAGTCAATCTTGGTATGAACGGCAAGCTTACACCGTGCCTTAGAAACGTGTGTGATGACAATCTTGCTAAGAAGCACAAAACGCTCGTGTCCTGGCAGGTACCATGGAGTCTTCCTATCTGACACCACGTAGCAAAGATGATCGTTCATGACTTCAATAACTTGGTAGTCATTGATGATCACACTGGCACCGTTTTTGCCAGCAATCTCATATTCAAAATCGCGGCGTTGGCGGGTCTTGTCAGTTGTTGTCCAAGGTCCCTGGACGACGCGTTTCGCCAGGCGTTCCCTGTACAGCAGCTGAAAAACGGCGCTCTTATCTCCAAACAGGATGTGGAATAGAGCCTTCGCACTGATTTCGTAATCCTTCTCGACTGCGACTTGCATCATACCAGCAGGAGCGAATACAACAGGCTGCGATGGCAACTTGAACTTGGTTGTGTTTTTTCGCTCAACACCCGATGGACCAAATAGGTTTCCATCAATGCGCAGACTAGTCTTGATATTCTTTCCTCCATAGCCAGGATCCATAGGTGTGTCCGGTGAGATCTCCTCCCATCCTTCCTCGCCCATTGAGTGATGGGTTTCGTCTGTTTCCATCTTGATCAGTGACTTGATGACATCCTCTAGCTCATACTCGTTAGAGGTGGCGTTGCGCACAAGGTAATTGAGTCGTCGCTGCAACAGCTTGAGAGGCTCGAGGAACGTCTTGACAGTGATTCTAGTGGCTCCATCTTCTCTGGCGCCAATCTTGAAATGAAGAAAGAGGAAGTCGCAATCCTTGCCGGGTGCCGCCGTGACTTCGTCAATCTGACCCATAACGATGCCTGTGACAAGCACAAGGCCGAGATGGTTGCTGTAGAAGTATATGTCCTTAGTTGTGACATAGACGCGGCCTGGAAATTCCTGTTGCTCAGTCGGATTCCAGACAGCACGGAACACCAACACAAGTTTTTCAGACCGTGGTACTGTAGGAAACAGGATTCTGAACTGCGCATCTTGCAATCTTAATGCTGCAGGGTAATAGTTGGGGAACTCCCCCTCCGAGGTCGACGGTCGGCTCATGGACCCACCGAGACTAATCGTCTTTCGATGGCCAGGGGCTGCAGGTGTTGTACCTGCAGATGTCTCCTGGGCCGTAGTTGTCTCTAAATTGATGTCGAACGGCTCACCAGGAGGCGAATTGACAGGGCTCGGTGGCCCAGACATGCTGCGATCGCGTGAACCAGACTCGTCTGGCTTCCCAATCTTGTGCACATAGCCCCAGTTGACAGAGCCCCACAGATTGGCCATAAGACCACCCGGCATGTTACCAGACTTGCCAATGCCCAGTCCCCGCTCGCCGCTGACAGCAACAGCAGCTTTGCTGAGATTTGTAGGCGCTGGGGGATTCGCAAGAGTGCTTGGCGATAGACTTGTGTATGGAAGTGTCTGTCCCATAACGAGTCGTGTGTCTGGCAGGCCTGGTGCAGGTGCAGCAATCTGCCCTACTTGTACAATATTGTGGCTAGCGGAAGCAAGACTGGCAGATATGAGACTAGCAATACCGCCAGATGCTGAAGAAGGATTGCTTCCGCTGAGTTGTGGCCCTGCCGTGGTTCTGCGTGACAGATCAAGTTTCTCCATGATCCTGGCAGCATGATCTCGTCGGCCCACGTCGGGCTCTCTGTCAAAGCCAGTAGCTCGGCGTGAAATGTCCATACTAGCACCACGCGGGGTCTCGCCTCCTGGTACCCCAAGCGATGTTTCGGCTCGATCAATGCCCGTCATGTCATCACTCGGATGTGAAGCATGGCCTTCGGAAGTTTTCGCAGCAAACTCAGGCGCGACTGGTGGGCTAATTGAAAACGCAGCATCGACGGCGCCCTGAACCGGAGTCTCTTTAGATGTGTCCTCCAGAGCTTTTCGTTTGGCAACCTCGAACGCAGAGATCCATTCTGTGATATCGCCTTGCGTCTCAGCCTGGAGCAGGATGGTTGTGTCCTTCGTTTTGACTTCGAAGCAGAACCTGCGTTCTTCCTGGAATGCTGGACGAATACCGCAGAGCAGCACACCGATTTTCTCGGACTCCTCGACCGCGCCAGAGCGTGTGCCCTGTGTAAGCCAGCCAAAGATTCCATTCTTAACAAAGAACCATCTCCTGACCCAATATGTTCTCGCAGGCTTCCCCGTTATAGTGCGCTGGAATAGCCAGCCCTGCTTCTCTGCCTTTTCATTCCCTATATCGGGCTTTGCGGGCGACTGAAGGTTGGCAGAAGTTGGACCGGGGGTACCCAGATAGGCGACGGTCGACGCTGCGTACGTGTCCAGATCTCGAGATGGTCTGGCGCTCGATTCGGCAGCTTGCTCGACCTGCTGTCTGGCGAGGTGCAGCTCTCGCTTGAAGACACGCTCACCGTTTTCCATCTCCTTACTCCAGCCCCGTACTCGCTCGATATCTGTGTTGCCAAGTACAAAAGGCTTGTTTGGTGCATCCTGTGCCGTCTTCATGTCGCGCCACTGCTCGTGTATGACCTTGACGAGGACCTTATCCAGCGTCAGTCGCACTTGCGGGGCCAAGACGCAGAAGTTCATGCTCGCTTGCAAGTATGCGCGCCGAGCCTCGTGCACCTGGAAGGCGTCCTCTCGCAGCGACGACGCCTCTTTGGATTTGACTTGGCTGGCATAGCGGGCGATAGCGCCGTCGAATGTCCGTTGCGTCAGGTCGAGGTTCTTGCGCGCCTCCTTCAAGACGCGAAGATCGTTGTTCAGGAAGGCTCTTAATGGCTCGCACACACTTGTCTCTGCCCGTTTTAAGCTTCGACACGTGCTGTTCCAGTACTCGCGTGCCCCTTCGCCGAAACGCTTGAGGGCCAGCACGGTGTAATCGTGGTCAAGAATGGCTTCAGACAGCTGCAGCGGCGGGTGCGAGGCCTGCACATATGTGTCGACCACGCTCTGGAGCGTGGTGAGCTCGGAGGCAAGCCTCGATGTTGCGCGGACGAACGAGTCGAGCCATCGTTCTACGAGCTCGATTTGGTCGCCGAAGTGCACGGCGGTTGCACGAAATGTAGGTGAGTCGAGGGCGGCTTCTTTGATCACAACAGGACTGCGCTATAGTGAGTGTTTGGTCATCGTGTGTGTTGGTCCAACGTACATCAGCGCCAGCGGCTTCGAGACGGGCTCGAGAGTGGGCTGCTGTGCCTCCTTCTCCGCCATTACGTTGATTTATCCCGGAATGCCGGATCAGAAGGGGTATAACAACAAAAGTCAAAATGAACAAGGAGGGAGGTTATAATACATGACAACAAGTGCAAGTGAGCTGAGGGACTCCCGGCGCGGTTGCTGTTCACTGCTCGGGCATGTTCGTATTAGCCCGTATCAAACCCGACGCCCCTACGTCAACCGGCGAACGGACCCTGGCCCACTTTTAAACTTCAATCTTGGCGCGCCATTCCTCTGCGAATTTTTGAGGCAGGCGCAACACACACCACACGACACCCAAAATGCCTCGCAAATCCTCGGCAAGTAAGCGCGAGCTGAATGGCGACTCGGTTGTCGCAGAAAATCGCCCGCAGAAGAAGGTGAAGCTGCTCGACCACACCGACGACGAGGGCTCCGATGTAGAGACCGGCACAGGCTTCAAAGTGAACGAGGAATATGCACGCCGCTTCGAGCACAACCACAAGCGCGCAGAGCAGCATAGGCGTGAGTGTAACTTGTTCGAGTAACTCCAATTACGCTAACGTTGCTCAGTCGAAGAGAAGTATGGCAAGGGCAGGGCCTTCCAGAATGAAGACGAGGATTCGGAGGACTCAGAAGAGGGTGTTGAGGAAGACGACAATGCCGAGCTACTCAACGAAGCACTGGACGACGAGGTCATGGCCACACTGAACGCTCTTCGCTCGAAAGATCCCCGCATCTACAACAAAGACGTCAAGTTCTACACCGAAGTTGAAGAGACTGGCGAGGGCGATGACGGAGCTAAGAAAGAGGCATCAATGACACTGAGGCAGTTCCACACCAAGAACCTGCTGGAGGGGAGGATACCAGGCGAAACTGAGGACGATGCGCCGCCCAGGACATATGCACAGGAGCAAGAGGAGATCAGGAAGAGCCTCGTCGATGCTGCGGCCGACGACGGGGACGATGACTTCCTAGTAGCCAAGCCCAAACCTGTTTCATCGAAAAAGGATCGCAAGAAGATCACACAAGAAGACGTCCTCCAAGCCGAGCGAGACCCCGAGCTTTTCCTGTCGAATTACATGGAGTCTCGCGCATGGAAGCCCGCCGACAAGACCAAGTTCCAGCCCCTCGAATCCGACGACGATGAAGAGGACGCCGCCATCGACGAGTACGAACATGCCTACAACACCTACTTCGAAGACACTACTGGCACCAATGAAAAACTCACCACCTACGCCCGTGACGCTGTCGCAGCCACAACTGTTCGTCGCGATGAAGGCAACAACAGGAAGAAGGCGCGAGATGCTGCTAGGGCGAAACGCGAAGAGGAAAGGAAAGAGCGTGAGGGAGACCTAGCTCGTTTGCGCAAACTCAAGGTTGAGGAGATGGAGGCCAAGGTTCAGCAGATTCGCAAGATTGGAGGCCTGAGCGGTCGAGATTTCAAGATGGACGAATGGAAAGACGTCCTCGAGGCAGAGTGGTCCGACGACCAGTGGGATCGAGAGATGGAGAAGCGCTTTGGCGAATCTTACTACAACGAGGCTGATGCTGGATCGGAGAGCGACGATGCCGCATCGAGCAAAAAGAGCAAGAAGCCCAAGAAGCCCAAGTTTGACGACGATATTGACATTAAGGACTTGATCCCCGACTTCAAGGATGATGACGAGGACGAGCGACCCACACTGTCCTCAGACGACGAAGAAGACGAGGATGCCATGGACGTAGACGCACAAGAGTCTGCCACAAAGCCGAAATCGTCCAAGAAGCTCAAGCAAGAAAAGGCCGACGCCAAAGCCGCCGCCCGCCGCGACCGCCGCCTGATCGAGAACCTCGTCAACGAGAACCTCAAATACGAAACTGCGCTCGCAGCCAAACCCTCCAAAACCCCCGCCAGGTTCCGTTACCGCGAAACCTCTCCCACAACCTTCGGTCTCACGGCCCGCGATATCCTCCTCGCAGATGACAAGCAGCTCAACGAGTTCGCCGGCCTCAAGAAACTCGCCTCCTTCCGCGACGCAGACAAGAAGAAAAAGGACAAGAAACACCTTAGCAAGAAAGCGCGCCTGCGGCAGTGGCGACAGGAGACCTTTGGCGATGCCGAGGGACCCAAGGGCGGGTTTGAGACGCTGCTGGGCGATGAGCAGCCGTCCGCACCGGTGCAGCATAGGAAGCGCAGGGTGGAGGAGACGGAGAGCGGGATTGTGGAAGAGGAGAAGAAGAAGAAGCGCAGGAGTCGGAAGAAGAAGAGCGCCGAGGACGAGATTTGAGTGTAGATACCATGTTTGCGAATAAAGACTACTTCGATCAAACGCCTGGTGTATGGACAGTGCGCAGTTTATCGTTATACATTAATCGGTATATGCTTTTCTCCTAATGCAGCACGCGCGCAACTTTGCGCTGGCGTGCGCGATGCCATTCTCATTCCAACCTCATACCAACATCGTCGGGACGCTTTCTTGCCCATATTCGGAACAACCAAATATACACTGTACCCCGAACACACCAGCCTCACACCCACACCCTTCTTTCTACCCCAAGTCCACCTCACATCGGCGTCGCCCGACCCCGGCACCCCCGACACCAAGGCGCCGCATCCAGACCCAGCGCGCCGGTTCGGCCCAAGTCCCGCCGCCGACGCTCGGCAGCACTTCAGCGCCGGCGCTCGGCTACACTTCTGCACCGCGTTTACAGCTCGTATGCGACACCAACTTTCGCCCAGAGAAGAAGATACGGTTGCGCGCGTTTTTGGCATCGTTTTCGAGGGCGCAAGGCATGCGGGGTTCGGCATGCGGGGGTCGGGAGTTCGGCTGGACGGGTTAGCGGTGGGTTAGGGTTCGCGTGGTGTGGCTTACGGGAGGGTATTTTCCGGCGCTGGAGGCCGTGGGGATGTGGGGTTGGCGAGCGGGCTTTGGGTGCTTGTGACCGCGGCGGAGATCGAGAGTGTGTGATGCTTTGCAGGCTGTGCAGTGGTTGTTGCGTACGCAGGGTCTGGAAGGATTGCTCTGCGCGCTGCTGGAGGTGGTTCTGAGATCAATTTTGTGCTGGATATGCTGCTCCGCGGCTCTCAGGAAACCGTGCTGCTCATCTCTCTCAGAAGAAATTTGTCTCTGACCAGCAGGATTCGAAGAGCGGTGACATGGGTCGGAACACGCTGTCCTTCCTCGTCACATGGCACAACGCTGTCGGGCTCGTCGCGGCAGGTTTCGTGTTCTCGAAGCGCCAGCCATATGTCTCCGACTTCTTCCCACGGACGAGGCCAGTATGACTCCCTCTCCCGCTTGTCGACATGCTCAATGCGCCGATCGAGTGCACCAACGAGCGCTTCGCGGAGGTCAGGCGGACTTTGAGAGACTCCAGCTGCGTTGCGTGGAACGCGCGCCCTTGTATGTACTCTGCGATTCGCACGACCTTGTTCTCGGCGTTGGAAGGCGCGACCCATGGACAGTATCGCACGAGATCATCGCGCAGTGTGATGTCGACGATTCCATGAGGTAGGACTTCCTCAAGTTTGGCTGCGAAGTTCGGGTACCACCCCAACAGCATCGTCATGGGCACTTCTACCTTCGTTAAGCGGGGCATGAACTTGAGCATAGTCAAAGTGCCCTGCACGGCCGGAAACCGGACGCTAGCAAGAGGATACTCGGTGGTGGATATCGAGCCTGGGCCAAGCCGTAGAATGAAGTGGCATTCTTCCAGTGTATCTCTGACGGGGAACAACGCCGTATTGAGTTCGTCGAGGCCCAGGTAAGGGGATAGCGAGGGACCGGTAGAAGTGGCAGCGTTGAATACGAATTCGTGTTCGTAGTGGAGATACTTGAGCTTGGGTGTTGCCGAGAGCAGCTCGCCCAGTGTAGCTCTGCTGATGTTTGTTCTGAATAAAGTCAATGAGGTTAGTGTATTGCTCCGTGGTGGTTTCGAATCGTTCCACTGGAAGCGCCATGGTTGTGACATGGAGCATTCAAATTTGGTAATTGTTGACGAATAGAAAATCGGTCGCAGTAGATTGAGGTCCATGTAAGCAACGCCTATGGTTATGAGACTCTTGTCGCCCAGAGTGACCCCATGTAGCTTCGGGAATAGGTAATCCGTCCTTTTTAGTAGTTGTGGTAAAAATAACGAGTAGCGCAAGAAGCCGTCGCCGAGTTCCAAATAACGCACCTCCGTAAGGCGCGTCAATACGAGCGTAGCTAGGGCATCTGCGCACCGTCCTCGGAACTGCGGCTGCGACTGTTGCATATCATCATCCACAAACTGGTAGAACATGTTCGAGGCGAATATGAGTTGTGCTCTGGTAAGAATTGGACAAGCGTCAAGTCCCCAAAGTTTGGCATTCCGGCTGTCCTCCCCTGGCCAGGGATTGCATTTATTCCAGCATAACTGCGCGCCCGACAATCTGATTGAGGCTACGTGCAAGCTCAAACTTGGTCGCTCCAAGAAGGTACGAAGGAGTAAGGCGAGTTTTCGTGCGCACGATGCTGATCCAGTGGGTGCGAATCTGAGGTTTCGATACAGGCGAGGGATCGCTTCTTTGCTGGAGGAGTGACAAGTATGCGCTAGAGCATGGAGTTCCTTTTTAGAGACATAGTCGAATACGTAATTGAGTATGCTCGGAGGTAGGTCCAGTAGGCGTGCCATGGGTTCTTGCGGCGTGGGTGTAGCCAGCTGAAGGTCTGCGGTTTTTTGCCTCAAACCAACGGTTTGGACAACGATGAAGTCACACTCCAAAGTCGGCGATGTCGAAGAGAAACAGTTCCCCAGGCTTCGAGGAACTAGGGCATAAGCTATGCGCCGGGTCAGCAGAGTTCGAGACTGCCACTAGACGCCCAACACATGCATTGGCGCCGCTAAAGCACCTCGAACCAGCACCCGGGCTGCTCAGAAGGTTTATCGCTGGCCTCCTGCGGATTCAAACTTAACTCCCGCGACAAGATTGTCGTTGAAGTATCTTTGGCAGCTTCATCATGCGATTGGCTGTGGCGGACAGTCAAGTAATCCCCGGGCAAGCGATGTGGGGTACCGCGGCACTGCGGGTGGTGTATACCCGTTCCACGTGTTCGGTGGTGGTCGCGTCATGACTAGCTATACTCCACGATCGGCCAACATGAGAAGGGCCTGACTCAGCCTTACGGGCAAACATCTTGTAGTTGAAGAACAGAAATACTCCGTAACGCCAAAAGTTGATATTGCTTTTCGGAACCTAGTCTGCCGCTAGTGACAAAAAGATCAAAGATTTGTATAGGTAGGTAAAAAGGCTCCTAGGAAGAGTCTGCTGCGCAGGAATGCTTCAGGAATCCTGCAGGATCGCGCTGATGGTCGTGGATGAACGAATGGAGTAAGGGCGTTTGTGACACATGATATGCAGTTCAGCAATGCCGAACTAGATGAGAGCGCAGTCCAAGGAGATGATACTGTGACGCCAGTCCCAATGGAATTTCATCCCGCTCACCCCTGCAAAGGCGCTCCGATCGCTCGCCCTGAGAAGGCCCGAACCTAACTTCCTTGACTAGATCTCGATGTTCAGACTTCTTCCAGCGGAGCAGCATTGGAAAGACCAAGGCTCCGATAATTGATTTGTTGCTGCACGTAGTTGCAAAGTCGGAGATTTGTCCATCAAACCAACTCAATGAAGGATCTGCAGGTTGCCAGACGGAAAGACTTTCTAGAGCTGGAGTATGATCGAGCAGTGCCAGGGTTGCGTGGTAGGCATAAGCCAGGTCCATTCGTGCGTTACTTGTGTACCTTGCTTCAGCTTGGGACTGAGGCAACGTGAGACCTCGAGGGAGGTTCGATGTGTCCAGCTTATAAGATAATTGCGCATGTGTGAGATCAATCCGAAGGGAGAGATGGCGCAAATAGGGTGGAGGTAGTGGGTAAATTTCAGCAGTGATTGAACACTCGCTGTCACCCGTCAAGAAAGTTATCGGGACCTCTAAGGTATGCAAGTGTTCAAAGCTGGTGAGGTCGAGGTAGCCAAACTGTCGGGGCCCAATTCTCGGTTGTTCGAAAGCAAATTTCACAGAATCGAAATACTCGACCGCGAACACGAGTACTTGTAACGTGCTTTTGCAGGCACTCAACGAGGTGCTCCAGGCATCGAGATCGATCCACCTCTCTGGCGCAATCTGCCGGTCGTGGCAGTCGTACGCAATGTCCCATGTAAAGGATGTGAGCTGAGGAGCGCAAGTGAAGAGTGGACGAACAGCGAGGGCACAAGATGTAGAATGTCTGATTACAAGCCTGGTGATGGTGGTCGTCCGCACATGAGAGACAAGCAGTCGATTTGGCCAATGCACCGCCCCACCTGGAGGTACGGTTCTGGACATCCCCGCTTGCATATCTGTCACTGAAAATTCCAACTTGTCAAGTCCAGGTAGATTCATGACTTGATCGAGATAAACAGAGCCTCTTTCGTTTGGATACGGTAATCCTGAGCTTCTATCAACATTGCAAGATGCTGCCTTGATGCAAGCCAGCCGTTCTAGTAGAGCTGCCGACGGATGGCGTTGGTTCCACGTTCTTTCCGCGTTAAGATTTCGAAGCACTGTACGGAGACGATCCATGGTCGAATATGTGAAGTCTGCAATTTCAAGCTGTTGCAACGCAGGTAGTACCAGCACGATCAGAGTTGCATATGCCGAATACTCTCGTTGCATGATGGCGTCCCTTAGAAAGTCTCCGCCCGCTATCAAGGGCTCCCTGTCAAGAGCGGTCATAGCAAGCTGATACAGCGCTTCATCATTGAAGTGTCTGTCCAGAGGAAGCCAGCGTTGGCCCTCTTTAACCCCATCTTCAGATGACGGTCCAAGGCTCAGTCTCTCAACTCGCGCCGCGCGCCGGGCGTCGCTCAGAATATTAAGACAAAACCTGTCAATACGCGGCAACTTATCGCCGGGACGTATGGCCAAGTCAATCTCTCGATAGAGGTATGGTGCAGCCAGAATATTTAGGCTTTTGTTGACCAGAGAGAGGGTGTACAGGTCATGTTGTGCCAAGTAAAACGTGATCGACTCAACCAGCTCAGTCGGCAGGTGAGAGAAGGCAACCATGGCGGACTACTGAAAGATATATGCGATAATGGTGCATATTGGGTTGAAAGACGAGTTTGAACAAAGCCCAGTGCGGCCTGCTTGCCTAACACTATGGATGACATGTTAGAAGTAACCAGGTGGGGCGCGTGCCGCGGCACCGGTCCAATCACCACGTCAAGCTCACGTCTAAGGTCGCGCATGCTGTCACGCTCTTACTTCGTACTCAGTCCCGTTCGGGCAACGGCATCGTAGATCGTGGTTGATCATTTACTTGGGGCTATTACTTTTAGGCTCCTGTTGGATCGACGAAACGTCATCGCTCGTTTCGCCCTCGATCAACAATTACTCCAATCGCGCAAAATAACAAAACTCATTAGGAGCATGGCGAGCGGCTTCGCACACGCATAGATATATCATCTGGCATGTCTAACCGTACAGTCGGGCCTACCTTACTTGCCGCCCATGTAACCGATAAAAAATCAGCAGAGGAATGATCACTTGCGGAATGAGAACTACAGCAACACCAATCTGCCTTGAAGTGTTCTCCAAGCCAAGCATAATGTGAGTCTCTCACTCCACAGACCCTCTCCGTTCAAGCATTACATACACATGGTTTGCCGCATCGCATAGCTTGCAAGCGTATTCGAAGACATATGGGTCGTTTCATCAACAAGACTGTCGCAAGTTTCATGTGCTCCAAGTTAGGAGGATCCAGTATTCCAGGTGAGGATGGCACCACAATGGCGGTGACTCGTGCCGCATTGGAGCAAGGGATGACAGGTCATGCTCCAGCACATGAAGCCCAATGCACCACTCAAATGGACTCGTAACAGTTTTGTCCTGACTTCTGATTCGGACCTTTGGAAATTTTGAGGGGTCTCACGTCGTGCAAATGTTACAACCCCACAGCGCCCGGGAACGTGCAATGCTCAAAGTGGCAACCAACTATTCCTGGTAACGATGTGGTATAGCATCATCGATGTCAGGCGTGGGCTAGCTGCTGACCAGGACTTGCAAAATAGAGATGTGGCCAAAGATGAAGATGGGTCTGCAAGTGAGGTTTATTTAGCTTACTTGGATTTGCCTGCCAAGCTCCCCGCATCAAGCAGCAACCCCGGTGAGGATCACGAAAGATCTTGCTTTGATTGGCCACGGCTACGCCTGTCCCCTACCGTCTTGTAGACAACGGCTCCCTTCATCGATAAGCGCAACGGTTACTGATATCCTGATCTGGTTGTGATGATGCTTCCGCGGTGACTCCGTGCAAATGGTGTTATTCTTGCAGAGATCGTCGCTGACAATGCCATGTTGTAGGGACCCAGGGACACCACGCGATGCTGTCAGAGCCGCAAACGGATGTCCATTACAGCACCGCTGTCGTAATGCGTCAAGCATAGCTTAACACTGACGTCCAACTACCGAGCAGCATGCGGATCTGCCGCTCCATGGACACCAGCGTGTGCGAATGCGAGTCTGAGTGTAGGGGGTGGTTGTTCTCCAAGGGTGGACTGTTGTAGCAGTGACAGCTCACCGTTAGATCGAGCGGCTGCCCCGTGCGTCGAGTATCAAGCAAGTGCAATCAGAATACCATATTTCGCTTAAGCTTAGCTCCGTTCTCCATCAAACACCTGGACAACGAGCGGTCTGGCGCGTCTCCGTCTAACAATCTCCATTTCTCTTAACGTTGTCTTGACGACAACGACGACGCTCCTTCAACCTGCTGCTACTGAGTAGCCCCACAGTCCTTTCCATCCACACTCCAGAATCATTCACTCCTTTGTTGTTAGTCGCCGAAGGTGCGCTTGACCCAACTCGACGATCACCGCTTTCGTCGAAGCAGTCAGTAAGTTAGCTTCTCTCCACTCCGCGATGAGGTCTTCTATTTCAATCGGCCGCTGTGCTTCCGGTAGATCTCATAGGAATAGAGTTGACATTCGTAGTATTTATATCGCCTCCAACGCTCAGTGACGAAGAACAGTATCACATCACAATCATCTCTTCTGAGTTCTCAATAATGCACTCTTCTACCCTTCTCACTTCCATACTTGCAGCTAGCGCTCTTGCTTTACCACAGGTTCAGCTCGAGAAGCGTCAACAAGGTACCGTAACCCGCACTGTCACGGTCACCGTCTTTGTGACCCCTGGAGCTACTTCCAGTCGTCCGGCCTTTACTCCCCCCGTTCGTCCATCGACTACTTCTTCCACTCGGCCTCCAACCACTCCTCCGTCCTTCACTCCTCCTACTCGCCCAAGCAATGTAGCTGGAAATCCTCCTTCATTTACTCCTCCCACTCGGCCCCATCTGCGTCTTCATCCTCGGCAGTAGTCGGTAACCCTCTCCCAGGGAATCCAGGTCCTTCCAACGTGCCTCCACCGGCCAATGGTGCTCCAGTCGACCCAGGACATACTCCCGGTCCCCAACAAGCTTTCCTGACTGTTAACAGCGGGCTTGCATACCGCAATTCTATTCTCTTTCATCACAATCAAGCTCGTGCCAATCACGGATCTCAACCCCTGGTCTGGAACGAGACTGTTGCGGCGACTGCGAAGATCACCGCCGACACTTGTATCTTTGAGCACTCTGTACCTGATAATGTTCGACAAGGCCAGAACCTTTACACTGTGTCTGGCGACTATTTCAACGTCACAGCTGCTATCACCGAGAGTTGGTACAAGGGAGAGTTCCCGTTCATGCGAAACTATTACGGTGCGACCGATATCCCCTCCAACGTCTTTGGCCAGGTCGGCCATCTCACGCAGGTCGTCTGGAATGGCACCACCAGTGTCGGTTGCTACTCCCTAGACTGTGGCAACAGGATGGTTGTCTTTGGCGAGAGACAATCCAGCATGAACAAATACACAGTATGCAACTACTGGCCCGCGGGCAACGTTCGCACCCAGTACGCTCTCAACGTTGGACGTCCTCGCAGCAACACTGACCTTGGAAACTATGCCGACTGAGCGCGGCCCACGCTAACGCTATGATGTAATTGTACGATTCATTTGTATGATTGAGTATTTTATGTCCCTCTACGGGAGTTACCGGGCATGGCGATATCAGACGATACCTACCTACTTCCTTCTACGGCCCCCTTTTTCTTTGCCGAGTGCTACGAGATCCTTGTTCCTGTTGTAATTTGGTCAGGAAGCAAACAAGCGAGCGTCACCTTCTTTCAAAGTGCTAACGGCTGTACGATATACAGCCTTTACGAATTTCACGTACAAAGTAATAGTCGTTCAATCAAAACTTTTCTTCTTTCACGCACACCTTGGTTTCTAAACTATAGCTGACTCAGTCGTTAACAATCTTTTGACAACTGCCGCACAGTAATACCCACAGTTGCTTCTTTACGCGTACCACTCGCCCCAACGAAGGCTTGCAACGACGACTTCCACTGTTCAACCATGTCATATGCTCCCCAGCCCAGTCTCACGCAAGACGGCGCAGCAATGTGCAAACTTTTGATTACGCGGCCTTGGCCCCCATCTAGGAATCTAGTAATACCAACCCCGCTCCGTGAATAACATACACGTACCCAAACACCCCCAACCCCACCGCACCCCTCACCCAGCTCCCACGCTCAACTCTCAGATATCATCCAAATCCTCTTCCTCCTGCTTCTTCCCATTCGCATCCAGCGCATCCATCCTCACGTCGCGCGCACGCCCGTTCCCGTTGTCGAGCCCGCTCTGCGCCATCGCGCGGCGGCCCGATTCACTCGTCTCCAGGAACTCGCGCAGCCGCTCCTTGCCGATGTCGAGGGCCTGGGCGGACGCGGCGTTGGCCATGCTGGCCATGGGGCCCCACAGGTTGAGCGTGTAGGTTACGTAGGCGCCGATGGCGGCGAGGATGAGGAAGATGAAGTAGACGGGGTTGCGGAGGACTGCGGGGGGTTAGTGGTCTGTGGTGTAATGATAAGGTGGGTGGGGGGACGTACCGGCGATGATCTCGTTCCAGCCGAGGGCGAGCAGTAGCCCGTAGAAGTAGAGGGGGACTTGGGTCATGCCGCCGATGGCGCTGCGTTTAGCTTCGACGTAGACGCCGTCGGCGGTCTTCTTGAAGCGCACGAGGAGGTCGGATTGCTTTGTGTCGGAGAGGATTACCATCTCGTCGTCTAGGGTCTTGCCTTCGTCATCGTCGAGGCCGCCGATAGGGGCCAGGTCTTCCTCGTCGGCTGGGGACACGGAGGCAGGCGCTTCGCCGATCCAGGCATCGAGGGGCGGTGGTGACGACGTCTTAGAGAGCTTGAAGCGCGCAAGCAGCGGAATGACCGTTATTGTCGACTCGCGGGCCTTGGTGTAGATGCCCTCGATATCGTCGGTGGGCCGCCATATTCTCGGGACGCCCTGCTCGTCGTATCGGAACTTGTCTTCGAAGTTCTCCCTCAACTTCAGCAGGATGTTGCCCTCCATGACCTCCTCGTCGATCTTCGCACGAAGAACACCCCAGGACTTGCGTCGCAGCCTCCACAGACCAACGTCAACCTCCTCGGGGCTAGCGTCGAAGCTTTGTGCGCGGTCTGTGAAGCGCTTCTCGGCGCTCGACACTGTGTCTGTGAAGATAGCCCATACACGGTCCCAGAGGTCCTTTTCGGTGGCTGGCTTTTCGCCGTGTTCGGGGGCGCCGGATCCACCTCGTCCAGAGCCGAGTTTGTTGAATTCGAGACCGATGGACTCGTCCAAGCGAGTCCTTACCCAGCGTTCTATCCGTGTGGCCAGCCGCCTCATCTCCTCTTTGCGCAGACGCCCTGACACCTCGTCCAGCTCTTTGCGGTACAGAACAAGCTGATGTGTGGCATCGCTCCAGGACGCGCCTTCAATGGCGATCGCTTTCGCGTCATCCTCAAATTTGGCCAGGGCCTTCTTCTTCTCCGAGTCCACGATTTGCGCAAAGTCGTATGAGCCACCCTTCTTCTGTCCAAGCTTTACCGATGTGGCAACAGCGTTGCTGAACTCGTCGATACCCGATTTGTGTGCGGCACTGATCTGCTTCTGGCTGAGTGCCTTCAAGCGTGTGTCGACCTTGCCCTCCAATTCCGCCAACTTCCTCTTGTAGACGCCCTTGTGGTAGCGACTTGCGTTTGTGTCGAAGTCTTTGAAGACTAGAGTCCTTGCAGCATTCATAATAGGTCCAAGATCCGGGATGATCGAGGGTTGTCCTATCCTGGCATCGTCCGCCTGCCTATCCTCGAGTGGCGTGATCTTCTCGTCGAAAACCACAAGAACCTCTCTCGCAATCTCATCGCACCTGAACTGAGCAAGAAGCTCTTGTTGTGTGGGCAGATCAAGATCTTTGTTATGCACAATCTGATCCCAGATGCCCTCGGCGTATGCGGGGAAGCCGTCTGCGGGGATTCGGCGATGGTATTGGGGAAGGAAGATAGGCAGCTCTGCCTCATCGAGAAGGCCGCTCTTCTTCGGGTCGTTGTACCCTTCCCGGAAGCGGAGGCTCAGCTTGTTGACTGCTTCATCAAACTTCTCTGGCTGGAGGATTTTGTGGGGTAAAGCGACGAATGCGAAGTCGAAGTAGTCCTCGATGCGCGAGTTCTCGAGGCCGGCGGGCTTCGATATGGCGGACCACAATTTCGAGAGGTCTTGAATTAGGGTATTCTGGAGATTCTTCAGGGGTGTTGTGCCAAGGTGGTCACGAATGACGAAGAACAGGAGGGATTTGGGAATGGTCCTGTAGCGCGTCAGCATGAAATCCAATTTCCAACATGTCTTGCACATACTTGCTGTCCTTGACGAACAACTGCAAGTTGACCTCGAAGACGGTCTTCAAGAGACCCATGTTCGCCCCCTGGTACAGTCCGACCTGGTGCTCCCAGATGTTGACGATCAGAACCTCACTTGTCGCAAGCGCAAAGAGGGCACTCTTGCGCTCAAAGTCCTGGTCCTCTCCTCGCTCACGACCGTCTGTGCCTTCCACATCCATGACCAGAATGTTTTCCGCCATGCCCGAGCCGCCCGCTTCGCGCTTATTCTTGCTCATCCATATCCCCTTCGTTGTCTGGCGGCGCTCCTGCTCTGACATGACGCCGAACTGTGTGCCGAAGAGGGCGTTGAGCAGAGTCGACTTGCCCGTGGACTGCGAACCGAATACGGCGATAAGATGGTAGTTGAAGCCAGCTGGAATAATGTGCTCGATGTTGAGGTATTGTCCGACATTTGTACTGGATTGCGCAGGCTTGTCAGCTGTCCTGCCTCTCGTTCATGAAGGCTGTCCGGTTGTACACACTTGAAGACCTTGTCCTCGTCGACGACCTGGACGCCATGGCTATACGCCTCCTTGCCGGCATCCTCCCCAACATTTGCGAAATGGGCGTTCATCATCATGCCTGGAGCCGTGGGGTGTCGAACATTGCTAGGCCGGGTGCCGTTGACCTTGAGAGTATCGGAGGCCATGATTGAGTGGCACAGCCGCGGGCAGCTGCACGTGTGCGGGAAGAATAACTTGGTGGTAAGGAGAAAGGTGGCCGTTGATGTCACAGGGCAAGGGGATGTTAAGGGTGCAGGCCGATGATTCGCTGCTAGGATGCTCGCTTAGGCGGACAGGGCTACGTGCTCCGTTCAGATGACGGTCTAGAGCATCACTTGCTTGTTTGTTTGCGGGATGCAAGTCAAAATAGGGTACAGTTGCCGCACGCGACTGCTGTATGGAAGTCATCACGCCGGATCTGCATCAGCTGTTGCATGGTGCAAGATCGTGTGAGACACAGTGGAAGCTGCGAACCTAGTGCCGTTGCCAAGAAAACGTGGAGCGACAGCCCTGTCGATACGCTAGATCAGGTCAGTCTGGCAGCCCCAGCCCCAGCATCTGTGACCTTTGGCTCGTTTGCAGGTTGTGATCTGGATCGCGCCATATATACACATTGATTCGTCTATCGTCTACTCGTAGTTGTGGATTGTGTCATTCGTCTACATCAGATATCCTACCGCCGCCACGTGTCTTCTTGCTTCGTGCCTGGCGGGAGATAGCTTGAAACCATTTCAGGCCTCTTGAAGCCTCCGTCGTCGTCTCTCTTGTCGTCTCTTGCTGCTGGGTACGCGCCCGTGCCAGCAGACATAGTCGCTGGGCTTGCAGTGAAGGTCGGTCTGGACTTCACGTCTGTAACCAGGGGGAGCAGTGTGCCTTGGCTCTTCGATTGTAGTGCTCTTGCGCGCTTGTCCGCCTTGGCTGCATCCGACGTCCTATCGTAGAGGTACAGGCCAATAAAAGTGAGCACGAATCCGAACCCTTGCGTGCTGGTCAAGGGTTTCTTGAACCAGACGACAGCAAAGACGATAACGAATACGCGCTTGATCAAACTGGCAACGGAGTATGTGACTGGTGAGACCATAGAAAGCAGAATGAAAGCCACGATGTTCTGGCCGAAATGGAACGTTCCGTTGAACACGAATTCAAGAAACAATCGGCCATGGTCATAAGCGCCCGGTTTCTCAGACAGCTCGATTGAAGCATCGTGCAGGAAGTCGCCTATCAGCGTAAACCCTTCAGACCACAACCAGATAGGGACGGTGAACAGGAACGCCAGGCCAGACGAGTAGCAGAGCAAGTTGAGCTTGTCGGGTTTTGTGAACTTGGTCGGCGCTAATCCTTCCTTCTCAGCGGATGCAGCGTCGTTAAAGATCTGTTTGGACACGATGTTTTGCGTGACAAAGACGATAGCGCTCGCAAAGGCCATGACAAGTCCGAGAAAGTTGGCGTTGAAGTCGGCCGAACACGCCAGGATGACACCGAGAGTGAGTGGGATCAGCGACAGGTACGTAGGTATCGAGTAGGAGATGCCAAAGAAGAATCGATAGGCAAAGACTGTCATGAGGGGCGACAGTCCTTTGATGGTATGTACCAACGACACTGGTATTCTTGATGTCGCATCTGCACTCAAAATGTGACCGCCGATCATGAATGCGGTCAGGGGCAGAGTTGTGACGATGATCTCTCTGTGTGGCCGGCGAATGCCGTACTTCAGGAATGGCATTGTTTGCTTCATGCGCGGGTATTTCTTGGCCAGAGCAGCCAATATTATGCACCACCCCGACACGAAGGCGAATTGGACAGTCGTGAGAGTAATCGGCTTCGGGAGTGCCGTGAGGATGGTCTTTGAAGACATATTCGTGAAGATGGAAGTCAGATACCAGACACCGCAGAGCAACTGCGTCCGTCAGCAAGCTAGCCACCCGGCGCTTTACTCCAGACTTACGACAAGCTTCGGGGAGAGAGGCGCCTTTAGCGCATCGGCAATTTCATGCGCATTCTGGCTGACGCTGCCTTTCCGTGTCCTGATTGTCTTGAAAGCCTCGCTCAGACTCTTCTGTCTGCCGTGTCTGTTCGAGGGTCCTGGGTTGGAGTGGCTCGCAAACCCCACTCTTGCTTCTTTCCGAGGCTGCCAGCGATCAGGAGGTCGAGCGTAGCCATTCGTGTGCGCGCCGGGGTTGGGGCTGGCGGTGCGAGAAGAGGTCAGGCCAAATGGCTCCTCCTCATGGGTGGGAAGCAAGTCCGGCTCGAAGGCGGGGAACTTGAACGTGGAGTGCGGCGCGGCATCATGCGCCTCGGCGGAGGACATTGATGCTGAGGTGCAGGAGTCGTGGTCTCGTATATTCAGTAATTAGGCCATTGGTGCGGCGGGCTGATCCGTATCTGCTGGCGCGTTCCGTGCAAGGTCCTCTTCGTAGACGTTCGGGTCGTACACCAACAGCCGAGCGCTGAGATCTTAGGTGGGCAGATGTCGCGGCGCCTGCGCGAAAAGGTCTCTGGTGTTGAGTACAAGTTTCACTGGCGCCGTTGCTAGACGCATCATCAACGCGTCCAAATGCAGTTCGGATCTACTAGTTTGGCTCAGGGATACAATGCCAGCCACCAGCTTAGTAACAGCGTGCAGACAGCCACAAAGCTCAAGTTCACCGATGAGCGCCACCGATTCGTGATTCTGGATCGCGGTAAACCATGCGCGCTCCTTCACAATGCCTCGCAGCGGTGTCGTTGCTGTTCCTGCAGCTGTGCCCACCATGTCATTGCTCCACTTCGACCCCACTCGAACACAGACCCCTGCTCTCCTTCAGCAGCACATGGGAAGTTCTTGGGCCTTTCCAGATAGGCACACGAGGTATGCAGGAGGCGACTTTAAGTTGCATCGATTGCTGATAACTTGGAAGAGGCCACCTGGGGTGCAGATCCTCTCGAATTGAACGGGGGATTCAGGAACGTGAAATATGACCCTCAAGCATCATACCGGAGTTCTCTGCCTACGAACGGTACTGCACATTGGAACATCACAACTGCAAAGACCCTCAGTAGCACGACTTCTGCCAATGCCACTCTCAGTGTTGGTTATTCCAATGTCGATTGGGAGTTCCTTAAGGTAGTCTATGGATGGGCTTCGGTTCAATACCAGGTTTGGGCGCGTGGAGAGTTGATCGTTGGCGGAAACGAAACTCAGCACGTGATTCTTCACACCGATGCTATATTAGAATATTGGATCGACGACACACATTCGTTCGGTGGCGATCTATACAGCTTTCGGAACGCTCCGCCTGTTTTACATCTAGGTCCAGGACATCACCGCATCGACCTTCGACTTGTGCGTGATGTCAGAGCCTTTGGAGGTATTCTCGAACCGACCATAGACGTCGTTGTGGGCGTCGAACAAGTGTCTGGAACTCTGGAACTGGCAAAGCCTGGCATCCTCTTGTCAGACGTAATCGATGGCCGTCTTGCAACGCCACATGGCTCTGTGAACCTCCGCAATAGCGGTGCCGAAGACATCGAGGTTACTGGAATCTATGCTGCAAATGTTAGCACCAATGTTAGCACACTGTTTCCTCTGTTGAGGTTGGGCATGGATAGCCAGATACTGGTGGCACGGGGTGGTGATCTGACGACCGAACAGGAACATGCTCACAACATCGTAATTGTGGCAGGCCAGACCAGACCTGTGGCTTTCCACATTACACTCCCTTCCCACAACGCTACGTCTGTAACCTACAGCATAGCATTCAAAGAGCTTAGCAGCAGCAAATCATCAAGCCTTGCAGTCACTCAACATCTTAAACACGTATCTGCCTACGACCCTCACAAAGTCACCTTCATGCATCCTGGCGGAATGGTTTCTTATGCCATGCTTCGCCCCCCTGCAAAGAATGCGACTTGCCGCGACAAACAGGCAAAGTTACCAGTGTTCCTAGCGCTACACGGAGCAGGGCTGGAAGCCGACAACCCCATGGTGACCGGAGCTCTAGATGCAGTTTCCGACCTCTGTGCTTGGACTGTCTTTCCCACAGGTGTGACACCCTGGTCTGCAGACGACTGGCACAATTGGGGCTTCGCCGACGTTGAAGCTGCAATCGACGCCATACCTGCATGGATATCATTTGGCAACTGGACGGGCCCAGATGTCGACACGAATCGATGGATCGTATCTGGACACTCGAATGGTGGTCAGGGTACGTGGTATGCAGTTACCCACCGGTCGGATAAGGTGCTTGCCGCAATACCTGTATCTTGTTACACGAGTATTCAGAAGTACGTACCCTATGAGCTGTGGCAGCCTGTCGATCCAAGGCGTGCATCAATCATTAGTGCATCGCTCAACAGCTACCGACATGAGATGCTTATCGCCAACGCTCGCGGGATTCCAATCCAGCAGCAGCACGGGGAGATTGACGACAATGTGCCAGCCTATCACTCTCGTTTCCTAGCCCAGCAATTACAATTTGCGGGAGTGAATACAAGCTACAATGAGGTGCCGGATCATAGCCACTGGTGGGACGGCGTCATGGTAACACCAGAGTTGATCGCATTCTATCACAATCAAACGAGGAACGAGGAAGAGCTGCCTCGTAAATTGGAGGAGTTCAGCATTGTCGTAGGTGACCCTGGCGACACAAGCAGCAAAGGCGGCGTCAAAGTGACGCACCTAGAAGACCCTGGACAGTATGGCAGAGTGCATGTGCAAGGCCGAACAGTCAAAACATCGAACGTCTTGACCATTGAGTTCGGTCCTCCATTCTGGAAAGATCACGTTATGATAGACGGACAATCACTCGACATGACGAGTGTTGCGGCAGACACTGACGCCTCTGTCAGCGTTCGCTTGGCCAACAATGTTTGGTCTATAGAGACTGCAAGTGCAGCAGCGATTTCATCCAGCAGAAACGGTCGTCAGTTGGGCTCCATGACAGCCATCTTACGCTCACACGGTCCGTTAATAATTCAACATCCAGGTTCTGGCAACACTTCGGACCTCGCCCTACAGGTATCGCGCAACCTGCACCAGTATTTCCGCGCCGACACCATCATATGGAAAGACAACATGGAAGTTGCTTCCCCAAGCCCCACTGGCAATTTCATCAGCCTCGTTATCGGTAACACTGTCGTGGGCGCTGATCCGGACTTCCCTTTACAAGCGTCTGCATCCGGAATCTCTCTGCGTGACAGTTGCGGGCGAGAGCAACAATACGATGAAGCGCGTGGCGCGGCGTGGCTTCAACCATTGACAGGCGAAAGACTGGAGCTAGTAATATGGGGAGCTGATGACGAAGGTCTGCGACAGGCTGCAAGACTGGTGCCCATGCTCACAGGTGTGGGTCAGCCGGACTTTGTGGTACTGAGTGAAGAGGCAAAGTGGAAGGGTGTTGAGGGCACTCTAGCTCTAGGCTTCTTCGATTCGCAGTGGAAGATCACTGCGTCTAGTTTCATAACTTAGGTTCCGCAATTGTCGGCTGGCGACAGTAGCTAGCACTTTTCAACTTCACTTTCACTAAATGGCCAAGGCTTGCCGCGTCTGTGTTGTTTGCAAGCCGGTGACGCGCCCACGCAGCTGCCCTTCCCACGCCGTCTCTGCCAATCGCAGCTATCGTCACCTCGCTTCCTTCCCCACACTCCACCTTTGCCTTCTACTTCGACTCTCAATCGCGGTGCAGCTTCTCCCTGCACCCACATTCCCTTCGTCGTTTCCACCGCGTTGCTACTCAACAGAAACCGATAATTTAGTTGCTTCTCCTGCGTTTCTTCTCTACTTCTCCATCTACTTGGCCATATACGTCGCCAACGGAGTATCGAGCAGCCGTGTCTTGCATATTATCTTCGCATCTGCCCAGTCACGTCGAATTACACGCATCTCTCTGATCTCTTTCATCTACCTGCACCTCGCTGCCAGCAAGTATGGCCTTCAATATAACTTCAGACGGCTCTCCCACACCCCGCAAAGGTCCCACTCGGCTCAACATGCCTCCTGGTGATCTGAGAGTCGATACTTCACCCGAGGTACTGCGCCAGTACAATGGCAATGGCCAGAACTTCTTCCCATTCAAACTTCATCCTTCCTCTGGCTCGTCGTTGACATCCAGTCTGCAGGGTCTGAAGCGGCCGCTTGGTACCTCTACCATGAGCAATGTCGGTATGCCCTCAATGCAGCTTCAGCAGCAGCCGCATCTCGGTGGCTTCAAGGTCAGTCACCACTCATCTTCCTGGTTTATCACATTTTACGCTATCAAAGAATCTAACCAGGGCACAGAACAAGGGCGATCACTATCAAGACAAGTCTGTCATGGACTCACTTCTGCAGCGTCTGAACGAGCGGTCTTCACCCGACGACCCTTACAAGTCCTCTTCTAGTAGCTCTGTTCCGATCACCCCGGCTTCCGACAACTACGCAAGCACACCACCCACCATGACGTCCTCTGACTCCTCTGTTCTTGTCAATGCAGCCGAGCTACAGAAGATCAGGAACGAACTACAGGCGGCTAAGGACGAGATCAACCGTATGAATCAGGAGTCACACAGCCATCATGTCGCCAGGTCTACAATGGAGCACCTTAGCCAGTCGTCCGACACCGACTACAGTTTTGTCGGTGACGTTTCGGAGCAAACACTTACACAGTTGCAGCACAACTTCAACGCTTCGACTCGCCCCCAAGATAGCTGGTCCAACGACTCCATTCGCCCGTCATATAACACGAATAACAGCTTCGGGTCTCAATACCAGAGCCAAGCACATACGCAAACCCGGCCACCGGTCCCCATTGGTCAGCCTGTAGTGCGACGAGCCAACAGTTACCTCAACGAGCCGACCCATTTCCCTCTTGACCAGGGCTTCCGTGGCGGCGGAATCAACGCTGGTATTGGCAGTTTCATCGGCAATGGAATGGGCGCGGGTTTCGCTACCGGCTACAACAACAGCATGAGCAACCCACCGAGCCGTCCTGAATCCGCATTTGATTCTACCTACAGCCAGTATGGAGGATCAACTATGCAGTCTGCCAATTATTCTATGCCAATCGGGAGTGGTAGTGGAAGCAGACTGTCTCCGGTTGCCAACGAGTTCGATTTGTCCACCGGCATGGGCCCGTCACCGTGGAACTCTCAGGTAAGCGAGATGTGAGACATCGTGCTGACATCCACTAACGTTCACAGGCACCAAGCGAGAGTGGAGGTTCGCAGTACATGCCTCCTGTTGAACCATTGAACTACCGGCGATTGTTGGATCGCAACATGAGCTGCAACTGGAAGTACATTGTAGACAAGATCATCTGCAACAACGACCAGCAAGCGTCTATCTTCCTTCAACAGAAGCTCAAGGTTGGCACACCAGACCAGAAATATGAGATCGTCGAAGCTATCATCGCTCAAGCCTACTCACTGATGATCAACCGCTTCGGCAACTTCTTGGTCCAGCGCTGCTTTGAACATGGCACACCAGATCAGATCATCGCCATTGCCCAAGCGATACGTGGTAACACACTCGCTCTCAGTATGGATGCTTTCGGATGTCATGTCATCCAGAAGGCCTTCGACTGCGTACCTGAAGAGTACAAGGCCACTATGGTTCACGAACTGCTGCGTCGCATTCCAGAGACCGTGATCCACCGCTATGCTTGCCACGTCTGGCAGAAGCTGTTCGAGCTGCGCTGGAGTGACTCTCCTCCTCAAATCATGCGCTATGTCAACGAAGCACTCCGAGGAATGTGGCACGAAGTCGCTTTAGGTGAAACCGGCAGTCTCGTCGTTCAGAACATCTTCGAGAATTGTCTGGAAGAAGACAAGGTACGCAATATCACTTCCCTCTATGACGATCGTTGCTTACCAGTCACAGCGTCCTTGCATCAACGAGGTTCTTGCTAGTATCGATGTAATCGCTCACGGCCAATTCGGCAACTGGTGCATCCAACACATCTGCGAGCATGGTGCTCCCACCGATCGCAGCCGCGCCATTGACCACATCCTCCGTTTCGCAACAGAGTACAGTATGGACCAATACGCTTCGAAGGTCATTGAGAAGTGTCTGAAGATTGGCAACACCGAGTTCCTGGACAGGTATCTGGAGCGTGTCTGCGAAGGTCGCCCTGATCGTCCGCGCATGCCTTTGATCGACAGTAAGTGTCAACGCAGACGTCTGCTTGTATCTTAATGCTGACTTTCCTGCAGTTGCTGGCGATCAGTTCGGTAATTACCTTATTCAGTACATTTTGACCAATAGCAGCGTGCAACACCGCGATGTTGTTGGTAGTCATATTCGCAAACATATGGTGTCGCTCCGCGGCTCCAAGTATGGCTCGCGCGTGGCCATGCTGTGTTGCAACCCAGCTGTCACCACCCGCCCCGGCCCCCCAGCCGGCATGGTTTCTCGTTTCAACAACCCCGTTGCTCGTACCGCCACCTTTCCAGGCGCCTTTCGTTAAAAGTCATGTCTGACAAGACCATCTGGTTCCAACATACACCGTTGGGTATTATGACCACAAATGCACTCGTTCCCGTTGTCGATCTCGTCAGTGAGATATTCCCAAGCTACAGTCCATGTCGAGGAAAATTGTCGCATTGATTGGGATAACACGCAAACCCATTTCCTAGTGTTGGACGGATCAACATCGCTTCTCAAGACATGTCTAGCCCACATATCTCCTTTCTTGTTTATCTCGGTATCTTTTTCCTGGGTTGGCTGAGCAGTTTATTGGCAGGACGCTCGACGGGGACAATGTCGAGTACTGAAGCTGGATTATCGTGCATCTCAAAGCTACTCAAAATAGTACCGCTGCGACATAGTTACGCGACGGCATGAAATGGTCGTGAGCATTCCTCCAAAATATAAGCTTTTGTGCTTCGCTCTTGTGTCCTAGTACTGGCAACGTTTTAACGCGTCTCGATGGTATTTCCGCGGCATTCTCAACAGTCTCGTCGGTCTTGAATTTTCATTGTCGCACGATGCCTACGACATGCTGACTGATGTTGACGACCGACTTCGCTGCGAGGCTCGGGAATCGGTGGCAATTCGGAAACGTTCGGAATTCGAACGGAGAGCCATTTGCAACTCGACAATTGCACGGAGAGCAGAATTGATAACGACAAGTGATATGAGATCAAAATTTACGAGCAGATTTTGCTGTGACGGACGTGCCCGCGTTATGTGAGATGCTGGTCGAGGAGCGGCCAGCGGCAGCGCTAGAGATGCCGTAACGGCCTCAACGTATGATCCGAATAATTTGCGACGCACGAGACAGATCCGTTGGTGCCGTTCTGGGCTTTGCTGACTGCTCGGCCTTTTCGGCGGCAGGACTAACGAGCAGGTCCCAGACCGCGGATGCTTGCGCATGTGTTTGTGATGTTGGTGACCCAGAATTATGAGGTCACGCATTGCTGCTTCAACAGAGCTGCTGTACGTAGATACACTGCATTGCAAGGAGCAAACAAGAAGAGGCGACTATCACAGGCCGTCCAGTTGGCTATGGGGAGCGGAGAAAGAAGGATCTGGCGCGCCCTCGATCAGGGCACGGTGGTTCGATGCGCTGCCTGACAGATGGCGGCGGCAGTGGCAGGGCCTGCCGGAAGGCGCGCTAAGTTGCCGGACAGTCGGCGACGTCACCATGGAGTAAGTTTGAGCGCAGCATTATCTTTTTATAAGCATTGCGTGCGCCCGTTCTCCACTGCTGGACTCATACCATAACTCACTCAACTTTCTGTGTGCTGCATATCTACCCACGCCTTCCTCGCCAGACACGAACGCTACATTCGATTTCGAGTTCAGAAGAAGCTTAACGCAAGATGAAGGTCCTCACGCCAGAGCAGGAGCAGGCGCATTACAAGTGAGTCTGTGTGTGGCAGATCTTTAGAGAAACTGCTAATCAGTCGAAGTGCCTCAGTTAAGGGCGGATCAATCGGTGGTATAATCGGTGGAGTAGTTGGAACCGCAGCTGTGGTTGGCGCGAGCAGAAGATACGCATCCTTCAGAGCGCTCACCCTGCCCTTCCGCGTCTTCCTCGTCACATCCTCAGCAACATTCATTGGTATGTGGTACCCCATAGGTCAACGAAAGCTGCGTCCTCGTACTGATACGTCACAGCTGTTATCGCCGCAGACCGCGCCTCCGCGCAATACGACATTGATAACAACCCCGAAAAGAAAGCCGAAATCGAGCGCGAGCGCAATCGTGCAGCGCTCCTCGAACAAAATAAGACCATCTTCGAGCGCTCCAAGGCCTGGGCCACCGAGAACCGCTACCCCCTCCTGTTCGGCTTCTGGGTCGCCTCCATGGCCGGCTCGTGGACAATGGTCAACCGTAACCCATACCTCAGCGGCTCGCAGAAGCTTGTCCAGGCGCGTATGTATGCGCAAGGCGGCACGCTGGCCGCGCTGCTTGGCAGCTTTGCGATTGAGGGCGCCGACGCAGCCAAGGGCCAGGGCAGGTGGGAGACAATCAAGGTGCTCGACCCGAACGACCCAACACACAAGCACATCATCGAGAAGCGCATCCACCACGAGCGATATGCCGGCGAGGACCAGTGGAGAGGTACGTTCAGATCACGCGATGCTTTGTCACGCTGCACACCGTCCAACGCGACACCAGTATGACCAAGTGCTGACACACGATTACAGAAATGGTCGAGGCCGAAGAGGAGCGTCTGAAGGAGCGCAATGCCCACATCGAGGCCAAGCGCGAGCACCCCGAGAAGAAGTCGAAGCAGGAGTCGGCTCAGAATGAGAAGAAGGCGGAGAAGGACAACTCTGGCGCCAAGGCGTAAACCTGTGCTTTTTGAATACTCTCATTCAGACTTCCACTCCTGTCACACCTGACAGCCCTCAACTTTAATCAGGCGAGACGTCGTGATCGAAGCAACACCAGCTTCGCGGCGGACGACTTGACCTATTATTTTCCGGCGTTTGGCGACTGCACGCACGTACGACTTGTTGTACCAGTAGTTTTTGGAAAAGCGGCTATGGCTTTGGCTTGGTATATATCGACACCAGCGTGGATCTGCGATCCAAGCTAAATTGAATGTTATGACTTCTACAATGAACCCCTCTGCATGCTAAATCTACCTTCATTTCCGTTGAACGATTGTAGAGGAACACGTCCTCACAAATGCCAGCACGAGTTCTTTGTCATGCCGCGCTGCACTATGGGAGGAAAAGCTTGTGTGAACATCAATTTAGCGTACCCCGGATTGCGGGTCTGCGAAAGGTAGACTAGTTAGGGTATGTCATGACGTCGGCAACACAGCAGAGTCATGAACGTCACATGAAGTAGCGATTCACTGTCCCATAGACTCTGATTATCTGTAGATTCCCTACCAAACAGCCCGCAAGAAAACGAACAGAAGCCGTCTCGAACAGAACACACCCTGAACAGAACAAACCAAACCAACCACCACCTCGCGGCCCTCGCAATCCAACCCAGCCCCAACCCTCCACCATGCCAGACAAAACCCCCCAAACATACACCTCCATCAAAACCCACCTGCTAGCAACCACCTCCCTCGCCCTTCCCCCATCCAAACCCCTCTCTCCCTCTCTAACCCCCCAAATCGCCGCCCTCTCCCTGCACCCCGCCCTAGAATCCGCCCTGCACATCCTCAACCACGACCTGCCCTCAGCCCATTTCCTCGTGCGCCACATGCAGGCCCCGCCCGCAGTGGAGGGCATGCTGCTGCACGGCATCCTGCACCGGTGTGAGGGCGATATGGGCAATGCGCGAGCGTGGTTCGGGGATGTGGGGGATATTTGTGGGGGGTGGGTGCCGAAGAAGAGGGGCGAGGGGGAGAGGCTGGAGGAGGGGGTTAGGGAGAAGTGTGCAGGACCGGGGGAGGGCGGGTTATTGGAGTGGGTTTATGGGGAGGGGGAGGGGGGGATGGAGTTGATTGATGGGGTTGAGGCGTGGAGGAAGGGGGGGAGGAAGGGGGGTGAAGAGGGGGAGTTGGTTGAGAGGATCAGGGCGGAGTTGGGGAGGGTGTTGGAGTGGTGTGAGAGGAAGTTTGGGACGCAGGCGTGGGTGGATGCGAGGGAGGCATGGGTGAAGAATAGTGAGGAGGTGCAGAAGATGAGCAATGATATGGTTAGTGGGGGGAAGGGGTTCCGGGAGTTCTGAGGTGGGAAGTCCCGAGGGGATAGGCGCATGAATGGTGATCTTGTAGGAGACCAAGAAACTCAGAAGTTATCAAGAGCACGGCGCGTGGTCAGAGAGTACGGAGATGCCATTATGACAATTGGATATACGCTGCATTGTATTGGCACAGCAGCATAGTTACATTACCGCCCTCAACTAAAAGAAAAAGACCCATCAACATGCAGGAAACCAAGACACAGACCTCTAGGCCGGCTCGACCAGCACAGCCAAGCGCCTGCAATGGAAGCAGTAACGGACAGCAGATGTTGAAAGAGGGTAATCGACCAAATGAGACATCCTGGACGCCGTGAAACTTGACATGACTCGTAGACATTTGCACATGACAGGCGTATCTGGTCGTCAACGCAGCGCACTGCGGTGGTACGCGCTATCGGGTGCGTGAGACGCAAGCGCAGTACGTCGTGTGGCGCACATGTGTATTCGTCTAGCAGCATCCCTTCTTCTGCTCTGCGTCGGCCGACTTGCTGATCTCGAGAACCTTGCGCTCACCGACGAGGACGTTCGGGCCGCCCTCGCCCTGGTCGAGTGCCTTGCTGGAGACAATGCGGTAGATTTCTGTGTGTGTCAGTTCTGATCTCATATCGCTTTCTGTATTTGTTCTCATGCTAGCACGAAGCGGCGCAGTATGAGGGGTAGCGGGGAACGAAAGTGGCGGTGTGCTCGTATCTGCAAGAAGTGACAACCGCGCCACCTGTTCTCATGCCAGCTGTGTTTGTCCACCATGGCGCTATACAGAAGGGATTCTGGGGAAAACTGGGGAAGTTTGGAGAGCCGGGGCGCGTACCTGTGAGAATGTTCTGGAAGGCAAGCTCGACGTTGCTGGCGTCCAAGGCAGACGTCTCGATGAAAGACAGGTTGTTCTCGCCTGTAAGGGACGGTGTTAGCAGCCATACAAAACCATACAAGGCCGTGGCGCGAATCAGGGGCACCTACTCGCAAACTGCTTGGCCTCCTCGGTGGGCACTGCCCGCAGATGCCTCAAATCGCTCTTGTTTCCGACCAGCATGATGACGATGTTCGAGTCGGCGTGGTCGCGCAGCTCCTTCAGCCACCTTGTGACGTTCTCGTAGGTCTGGTGCTTGCTGATGTCGTAGACCAGCAGCGCGCCAACAGCGCCGCGGTAGTAAGCCGATGTGATGGCGCGGTAGCGCTCCTGGCCGGCTGTGTCCCAAATCTGCGCCTTGATCGTCTTGGCGTCCACCTGGATGGACCGGGTCGCAAACTCGACGCCGATGGTCGACTTGGAGTCGAGGTTGAACTCGTTGCGGGTGAATCTGCTCAACAGGTTGGATTTACCGACACCTGAGTCTCCGATGAGAACCACTGCTGGGCATTAGCGGGGCAACACACACAGCGGTGGGGCGTGTACCCTTGAAGAGGAACTGCGTCTGTCAGTACGGGCGTCCAGCGGCGCACACGTCGCACAGGGGACTCACGTCATATTCGTCGTTCGCCATGGCTGCGGCGGGCGGGGGGAAGGGGGAGTGCGCTGTGGGGAAGGGCGCTCGAAAGTTGGCGCTAGGCGAGTTGCTGTGGAAGCCGGCGATGTGCTGTGGTACGGGCGGGGGAGGCGGTCACAGTGCCTTGACGCAGTTGGTGAGTGGTGATTTGGCTGCCTCCTGCCTCGACAAAGCAATGCGTGGAGACGCTGCGGCAGGTGCCAAGACGCGCTAAGCTTCGTGCCAGCCTAGTCTACCTCAGAGCAGCTGGAGCTCTCCCGTTGCGGCATCGGGGCGATCTTCTAACTCGACTGTTTCAGTCGCTCGAACGGTCACTTGTGCGACGCGCAGACGGGTCGCTGTCGCTTTCGGCTCCTCCAGGCGAGCGTTGGGCGCTGCAGAGGCGCTCAACGTCACCAGTTGAAGGTTCAACTTCTAGCCAATCAACATGTCTGCCCTACACGACTTGCGCGAAGTTGTGTCCAAAGGGCACGACCTCGTCCAAGACTACGACACTGACAATGTGTCTGTGACTTCTACAGACGACGCAGAAGGTGGTGAATACAATACGGACTGTATTATAGCCGAGGATAGTACAAAGAAGCATTGCTACCTGATAAGCTGGACTGACTATCCACTAAACGAGTAAGCCTTCGAGTCTCGTACAGACGTCCCAGAACTGACGGAGAAATCAGATGTAAGATTTCTTGAGTCGTCTGACCTGACTACAGTGGGCTCAATGCGCCCATTTTCTACGCCCTGATGATATATATTGACCAACATTAGGCACATGGGAACCTCCTGCAAATTTGGATGGTACTAATCTCATTGCAACGTGGGAGCAGCTCAAGCAGGAGCTTGGAAAGGAAGCCCTTCAACGCGAAATCGACAAGAACATAAAGGCTTACGAGGAGGCACGAGAAAAAGCAGATGCCGTCAAAGAACTTAGACTTGCAAAGCGTGAGAAGCTACGCCGACAACTGCAGCGACGGAGCCGTACAGTCGTCCCTGATAGTGACAGCAGCGACGACGAGCGCTTGGCCTCAAGACGAGCAGCATCTTCTTTGTTTGTAGGGGATTGCAGGCCATCCATCTCGCCTTCGAGAGTAAACAAGCCCGCACCCACACGACAATCTCCTGTCGAGCGTAGACCACCTCTACAGCAGTCTTCCTCTGAAGAGGATACTCCTTCAGATTCAGAGAAGCTCAATGATGTGCCATTGAGCGGAGAGCGGAGAAAGGAAGCTCCATCTGATGAACGTCGGAGCGCAGTCGAAAAGTCGAAGGACAGCCCCAGGCTGCCAACGAAGAAGCTGGGGGTTGTTGCACCCGCTACGAAGCTGAAGGCATCGTTGGGCCGCGAGAAGCTGAAGCAGCATTCGAAGTCATCCACGATATCTACAGAGGGTCACGTCGTGACTGGAAGATCTCTCACCTCCAAAACTACAAACGGCGCGCCCTCCAAAACGACCGTGAATCGTGCTATCAGAACTGCACCGCCAAAGCAGACTTCGCGCGCGATCAATTTCATCGATCAGCCTTTGGAGAAACAAAGGAGGGAGTTTTCGACCTCACAGCAGTACCGCAAACTAAAGTACAGAGGTCTTGCAAATAAAAAATCTCGTACTGAGGGCATACCTGACTTCAGCGCACTTACCTTTATGAATGGACCGCCTCCTACGTTACCAAGAGCGGTAGCGTCACGACCAACTGACAATCTTTACGGACGCCGTGAGACAGCAGGCCGTCGCATTCAAGACACAGATCAAGACGACCAACGACGTCGCGGGCTTACAGACGAGCCAACCCCTCTCGCGGATTGGGAGATCCATAAGGTGCCAATGATTTGCTTTCATTGGTACAGTTCAACATGTCCTTATGGCCAACAGGACTGTAAATTCATGCATCGAACGGTCGACCCACAAGGAAAACCATATATGATGGGTGATTACGAAGGACGAGTACCCCAAAAGTACCGAAGACCGCCTATCACATGCTCGTTCTGGTACCATGGACGGCGCTGTAAGAAAACTGCAGAACAGTGTTTGTATGCACACGAAGACACAGGGTGGGCAGAGCTCAATGGAGCCCCAGTCCGATTCGAACATATGCCTCCCGAGTCGGCTGTTCCAGCCGCGCGAGATGGCCCATCCTGGCTCATGCCCAAGCATCAAGATCCCCCTATCACATGTTTGTTCTGGCTGAGAGATCCTCGCGGATGCAATAAGTCGGAGGGAGATTGCAAATACGCTCACTGGAATACCGGTTGGGCGCATCCGAAGTCGGACCCCAAGGTCCCAGCAGAACGAATAAGCCCTGAACAGTTGCCACGTGACCAGTCCCACAGAAGTTCACTCGATACCTCAAAGCCTGCATCTCAGAACGTTGCACCAATCGACAACAAGTCGCTAACATGTTACTTCTGGCTAAATGGTCCAGGGGGTTGCGCAAAATCTGCGGCAAACTGCAGCTTCGCACACAATAACACTGGATGGATCAAGCCTTTTGGGCAAGGGAACCATCCGAAGCCCGAGCGCATCGATCCAAGAAGGATGCCTCAATTCCGTAAATATGGTAGGTGTCTTCTGAGTCATGTTCGTCCCGTTACACCCGACCATGTGGCCTTTGCAAAAGAGCACAGCCAGAGAAGATATCAACGAGAAGGCTATAGATCTCCAGCTGACTTCATGTACAGACCCAACAGAGGCATCTCAGATCCAGAAGGGCCTAAGTAAACCCTCTACACAAACGGTGTCCTCACGTTCCGTCGACGACAACCACGACCGCTCGCCCACAGATATATCAAGCGATGTGGTTCAGGTTTTCGATCGGCAACACGTGCGCAGCCCACTTGCGTTGCAGGTTGCCTCACACGAAGAGACAGCGACCGCTATAACACCATCATCTCAGCTCAGAAGCAGAATCGAGAGGTTTTGGAATCTAGACATTGTTGAGATGTTCAACTCCGGTGTACCAGGCGATAACAGTACGCTGGAGAGACATGCAATGATGCTGTACCACCCCGAGGAACATGAAGAAGAAATCGAGCTGATTACGCGTTGGCTATTGATGCATGGTGTCAAAGTCGCTAACCTTTGGTATGACGGGGCATGGGGTCAGTTTCGAGAAGATGTGGCTGAGTACAAGTCTGGCGTCATAATTGTATGTTCAGTGACGAGGTAGCTTTCACGTACTAACACTAGCAGGTGCATCCAGATTTCGACCACTACATCGACCTTCCTGGTTTTGGTGACGTGCTCAAGGAGCGGGTACGTGTGTGGTCTGTTGGACTGCAACCACCAGCTTCGTTCGACAATGGTGTTGATCAAACTCCACCTGAGCTGCAACATGATCGCATCGGCGTATTCCCTCATGGTGGCTTCATTTACATCACCGACGATGTCTTCGAGAAAGAGCCGCAGCTAGCACTACGTATCACCAAGCTCTTCTTCGCCAAAATCGAGCAGTTGCGCAGCCGGGATGGACCTGTCTCGTGGTGGCAAGAGGTAGATGACGCGTGCTTACTATGGCGACTTTGCGTTCGCCCTGAATTGATGGAGTATCTGTACGAAGCATGTGCAGAGAATGCGGAAGAGCTAGCAGCGGGAAATCCTGACCATCTATGGCGAGTTTATTCGAATCCTCTGGTACCTGTTGCCTTTGCTGACTGTTCTTATAGTCGCTTCGAGCTGTATCAGCTGCTCACCTCAACAAACTACATTGAGCAAGATCACCCTGCCGAACCGCTCAGCCCTGTCCAAGACAAATACCCCATACTCTCCGAACGTCGTGAGATAGCCGAAGACCCAACCCTCGACTATTTCAACCGCCGAGCTCATAGCCGGGAAGACGCAAACACCCACATGATTGGATACTATGCAGCTATGCAGGCTACCGACATGCGACGCGCCTACCGCCAGTTTTACGTTGTGCATACGGAACCTGAAGCGGCGTGCGCGCAGCAGTGGAAGGCGAGCATACACAACATCGCTGATGTCATAACGCCAGAGCAGTGTTGCAACGAATTTAGCAAAGCAAGCAAAGACAGCTTGTTTGACTTCCTGGACTGGGCCATGGGACCAAAGGAGGGTACTGAGCAGGATGGGCTTGAAGAGGGGGAATTGGGCGATGCGCCTATGGAGTTTTCGCCTACGAAAGAGATACATGAAGTTGAGCACACGGCCTACTAGCTAGGACATTATCATGAATATGGGATCTGTTCCAGGCGTTCGTGCTGTTGTGCAGTGCAGAGGAGTTGCAAGTCCTATAGAGATACCCCAAAGCCTTTTGGCAGCGTAGTCAATAATCACAGCACCATGACCCCTATTACATGATCCGATGAACCCGCAATCTTTCACAATGACCAGCGTCGTGGCTATCTCTCCTCAGTCATACTCCATGATAGGTAAACAGATACGAAGTCCCCCCATCCGACAAATCGCCGCACTCCGGCCCCAGCCCAGCGGCGCCTCGGATGACGCACTGGCTTTCCCACTTTCTCGGTGACATCGCCAATTTGACAACGGCGCCGTATCGTGCCCAATCACTTCTTAGACCCTCATCTTATCTTGGCTGACATCTCTTACACCCTGACAAGCTGCACCCGTCCGTCCCCGATGCTATCGAAGCTTTGATGCGCACCCTGCATGCGTCTCGCAGCGCCCTACTGTAGGGACCGTAGGATCTGTACATAGGGTCTGGTTACACGCCATTGTCGCGTGCGCACGGCGTTAAGCGTCGTTTGCATGGTCCAGCGTGGCGAGCGACCAATCTCGAACCTGCGCGGCGCACTCCACATCGGGGCTTCAGCGGCGCGCCGCTGATTCAGACGCGGCCGGCACGCGAGCTGCGAGCGCATCGCACGGGTTCCCCGCAGCACGGGCACGGGCACGGGCGCGGTGGCTTTTCGTCGCGCTGTGGGTAAGTGGGTGGTACTTAGGGCGCGCGGGTCCCACGTGCGGAGGGTGCTTTGTCGCTCTTTCGTTCTTGACGCTGCGTGTGTTGGATTTTACGTTTTTGGTATCGGTGTCTTAGCGCGCCACGGGTCCGCTAGTGACGACAACATTGTTCGACAAGAGATATTGGAAATTTGAAAGAGTCATACTCGAGAAGAGATATGGAGGGCAAGAGGAGTGCCAGTATCACCCAGACGGGGGCGGGGCGCAAGGGCTCGGTTGCCAGCGCGAGTAAGGATGCCAGTGCGGATGCGGCGCTCGCGAAGATGGGGTATGCGAGTGAGCTGCCTAGGAATCTGAGTATGTTGAGTGTGCTGGGACTGTGAGTCTATCCTTCCTGATGCAGCGGCTGCGCAGGGCAGAACTGGAGACAAGAAGTGTGACTAACGGTGCTCAGCTCCTTCGCTATTATGGCCGTTCCCTTCGGTCTATCGACGACTATGTACATCACCCTCACCGACGGCCAATCGGTCACCATTCTCTGGGGCTGGTGCCTTGTCTCCCTCATCTCGCTCTGCATCGCGGCCTCGCTGGCCGAAATCTGCGCCGTGTATCCCACCGCGGGCGGCGTGTACTACTGGTCCGCAATGCTGTCGACGCGCGAATGGGCGCCCATCACCTCGTGGGTGACAGGCTGGCTGACCCTGGTCGGTAACTGGACGGTCACGCTGAGCATCAATTTCAGCGGCGGGCAGCTGATTCTCAGCGCTATCACGCTGTGGAACGAAGACTTTGTGCCCAACCAGTGGCAGACGGTGCTTATGTTCTGGGCTGTTATGTTGATCTGTATGGCGGTTAATGTGTTCGCGGCGAAGTATCTCGATCTTATTAACAAGATCTGTATTTACTGGACCGCGAGCAGTGTAATTATCATTATGATTACGCTGTTGACTATGGCGGATGTCAAGCGCGATGCGGACTTTGTGTTCACGCACTACGATGCGAGTGCAAGTGGCTGGTGAGTAAGATTGAATCTATCAGCAGACAAAGCTAACACCTTTCAGGCCAGCTGGGTGGGCGTTCTTCGTCGGGCTGTTGCAGGGCGCGTACGTGCTTACTGGATACGGCATGGTGGCATCGATGTGCGAGGAAGTGCAGAACCCCGAGCGCGAAGTTCCCAAGGCCATCGTCCTCTCCGTTGCCGCCGCTGGCGTGACCGGTGTGATTTATCTCATCCCGATCCTCTTCGTCTTGCCCGACGTACAGCTCCTTCTTGAAGTCGCCAACGGACAGCCGATCGGTCTCCTTTTCAAGACTGTCACCGGCTCAGCTGCTGGAGGTTTCGGACTGCTCTTCCTGATCCTGGGCATCTTGTTCTTTGCCGGAATCGGCGCGCTCACGGCGGCGTCGAGGTGCACATACGCCTTCGCTCGCGACGGCGCAATTCCTGGATCCAGGCTGTGGAAGAGGGTTTCGAAGAGATACGACATACCGCTCGCCGCGCTCGGGCTGTCCACCGGCGTCGACTGCCTGCTTGGGCTCATCTTCTTCGGCTCATCTGCGGCATTCAACTCGTTCACCGGCGTCGCCACAATCTGTCTTTCTGCTAGCTACGGCATGCCGATCCTGATTTCTGTCATCCGTGGTCGCCAGGCGGTCAAGAACTCGTCGTTCTCGCTCGGCCGCTTTGGGTATGCAATCAACGTTGCCATGGTCGTTTGGATCTGCCTTGCTCTGGTGCTGTTCTGCATGCCTGTCAGTCTGCCAGTCGCGGCGGAGACGATGAACTACGCCAGTGTGGTGTTTGCTGGATTTGCGCTTATCAGTTTGGTCTGGTACCTGATTCGAGGAAGGAAAGACTTCACAGGCCCACCGGTGCCGCAGGATGTTGCTCCTGGCGAGGAGATTGCTGTTGCTGGTTTGGCAGTGACGGACAGTCAGCATGAGAGAAACGGAGACGTAGAGGCCAAAGGCGAGAAGCTGTAGGTTTTTGTAATATGCGAGGTGCCAAATAGTTTTAATTAACGTCGTTAACACCATTAATCCAACTTGTCGAGCATTTCGTGCTGAATCTTGACTATATTTAGTCATTGTGATTTATCTCGTCATGCATCGGCTTCTTGATATAATTAACAATAATGACTTACCCTGGTGTGGGGCGATATAAAGTCTTGGTGAATGAGGCTCCGCGCGGTACCTCAACGCGCTAGTGGCCACCAGCGACGCGGTTCGTCAAACGACAGTTCGGTCCGACGCGACAACTCGTCATTGCGTAGACGCGACGCTCGTCTGCCTCTGATGGCTCTGAGGTAAGTTCGTGCATTCCCTCTCACTACTTTTGTCATATCGACGCTGTCCGAGTGACGGCGAAACTCACTGATTCTCGTTGTTTGTGCTGCAGCTACTAACAATCACAGCAACAAGAGCAGGGTCTCAGAAGTCGTGGATCTGACCTACTCCGAATCTGACAGCGATGATGGTAGCGTTGGCCCCTCACATATTGCCGCCATGACCGCAGCGGCTGCAGCGCGAATTCCACCCACTGCAAGCTCGAGTAGACCATCGGCGGTCCCGGCCTCTGGGCGCATCGCTCCTACCTCGAATGGCCACGCCAACACACAACACACGAAGCAAAGAACCTACGATCGGTTAAAAGAAGTGGAGCACGACCTAAAGAGGAGGAAGCTATCAGCAGCTACCCCACAACGTGGTGAGGGTCCAAGAACGCAGCTATTGGCGCACGGCACCAAGAAACAAGATGTCAGGCGTGGTGCGAGCACTGCTACACCAGCAAGGAGTACTCCAAAGACATTTCACAACTCAAATCTGGGTGTGAAACTCAGTACAATGAAAGGGGTACCGTCAGTACATTACATGAACTCAGCGCTGAAGCCCTTGGGTACTTTTGCCTATGACCACATTCCTGCGCCAGCTGCTCGCCCATTCCTTATGAGCAATACACCACAAAACGACACAGTTACAGGCGTTCCTAGTCCCAGTCCGAGTTCTCGCGCAATGCCACGTAAGAGCGTCATACCCATATTCGTCGATTCAGATACAGAGGATGACATGATCGAGCATGTTCAGCAGCCGTTACCTTGTGTGAAAGAGTCTACAGCTGCGGTACCAGTGCGTCAGTTACCACTATCGTTTCGACCGCCAAGAGTTGCAGGTTCTGATGATGAAAGTGGTGGAGACAGTGTGATCTCCGATATTCCACAACGACGGCCAGTATCCCAGCAAGTATCGACACGCGAAACATCGATACAACCAACATCATCACGACCGACTCCGACACCAGCTCCAGACCTGGACCACCGTCCGCCGCAGGTGGCCAGTGCTACTGAGAGATTCGATCATCTGCTCATCTTCCTGAAAGAGGTGAAAAAACTGAAATGGACAGATATCACAAAAGAATTCACGAAGGATATTCCGGGGCGGACGTACAGCCAACTACAGTCACGTTACTCGACAACAATTAACAAGCGTGACCGTACGCAAGACCCACCAACACTGAGCCTCCCACCTAGATTCGCAGCAGAAGCTACGATTAACTGGAAATCTGTGCATGCAAATACCGAAGGGCCTAGAGTACGCAACGAGGTTACTAACTTAAGCGCAAGCAGAGGGCCACGCGATATTACTGCGGATAGGGCACGTCCTGTACAGCAGATCAGGGATGACGACTCTGGAACTGATTCGGGGCGCCAAAGACAGAGGACGCGCCGTGCTCCTCCTGTGAACTACAAATTACCAAAGTTAAAACCCGTAGGAAACGGATTTGAAGAAGACGTCAAAGAGAATGTCAGTCGGAGCCACAGTCCAAGCATGGCAGCATCCACGCGCTCAGCGTCGCCAACCGACAGGACTGTTGTAACACCGGGCGCAGGGCTTGCAACCTTTTTCAGGCCTTTAAGAGTGGACATCCACGAGAACGCAAGACTTGGTTTGAGCGTGCAGAAAGGTTTACGAAATGGCCGGCCAAAGAGTATGCCGTACTTGTCTTCGGCCCAACGTTCTGCAATGCGCAATGATTCCCAAGAGCATATATGGGTCCAGCAAAGCACACAGGACTGGCAAGGCACTGTTTTGCACGTGGACTTCAGTTCAGCTGAGCTAGAAATAGTAGAAAAGATCGTTGCGGATCTGATCAGACCGTCGGGACGTCAGATTCGACATAATACGTACCAGAGGCATCTACGGGCAGCTCTCAGGAATGCTTCGTCACCAAAGCTGCAAATGCTAGCTTATGAGATAGGGCGACACCTTCGAGCTCGTGATTCTCAGAGTATAGCTGCTTTCCTTGAAGATGCTGCTACAGGCATGGTGTCGGATAAACCGCGTGTACAGCGCCTCGCGCTCATCAGGAAGAGCACGAGGCTGAGCAGTATCCAGGATAACCCTTCGGTATCGTCCATTGTTCGTAGCCGTGAGCTTGGTCTACGAGCAAAAAGAGGCTGGCAAACCGCGTCGACACCTTTGACGTATCGATTGAAGAACCAGCTAATAGATACCATGGGACCCGAATCCACCTGGACTGGAGCATCGAGCGACATCCACACTGTTGCCTGGTCTCCTAATGGGCAATATTTCGCGGCAGGCGCCGTTGCGGTTACCGATTCAGACTCTATGCAGTACAATCGACCGAACGTGCTTATGTACGGTGATACTGTGAATGGTCACATCCACGAGCTTGGAGAACATTGTGAAGCGCGCCCCAGGACAGAAGCTGGTGCTAATTCAACACATGCTATGTATGTGTCGCAAGATCCCAAGCTCTATACGACCGTCAGTTCTGTGGCCTTCTCGCCATCCGGAGACTTAATGTACTCTGCTGGCTACGACAAGACTGTCTGCATTTGGAGCGTGACAGGTGGCTCTAGACAGCCACAAATGGCGCGCCAGCTACAGCACTGTGCACCTGTAGACGTTCTTGCAGTAAATCCACGCTTCGACGGGATTTTTGCCACTGCGACGAGAGGAACGGTCGAAAACTCGATCAAGCTTGTCTTCTTTGACGAGGACACTGTCCATGAAGAAAGTTGGGAACATGATGTCACAGATTTTGCCTCTGCGAAGGCTTTGAGCCGTCCCGATCTCAACATGTCTGCGACCGCTCTCAAGTTTGATCCAACTGGTACACTTCTGCTTGCAGGATTTGGTGCCAACATGCGCGAAGACAATCATATGCACACGTCAGGTGACATCTGTCTATGGGATGTGAACACTCAGGCGGCTCTAGTAGTCCATGGCTCCAGCCGCAACGTCTTCGACGTGACCTTCAATCCAACGCCGAGATATCAAGGACTCTTTGCTGTGGGATGTGTTGCAAATGGTCATGTCAACAGAGGGACTCGCTCAGTGGTGCGCTTCTACTCTAGATCTGTGCAGGTTTCGAAGGACGACGTCAAGTTTACATGTCCGTTGGAGCTCGAGTGTAAGGCATTTGACATGAACGACATTGTTTGGTGGTAAGTGCTAACCCAAACTGCAATGTAAACCAACCTAACACTGAACAGTCCCCACGACGAGAAACTATTTGCAGCAGGGTGCACTGATGGCCGTTCCTACGTCTGGGATCTCCGCAGGCCAGACCAAGTACTCTACACCCTGAGTCATGGGAGCTCGCTGATGCCCTTGCAAGACGGCGTGCCTCACGAGCGAACAGATACTGGAGTTCGCTTCCTCTCGTGGGGCCAGAACGCAAGGAGACTATACTCAGGCTCATCAGATGGCGTCGTCAAGGTCTGGGACGTTGCTCAATCCCAAGAAGATGTCTTTGTGAAAGATTTGATCACGGTCAAATCCGGGATTATGTCCGGCGCTTTCACTGAAGACTACAGTAAATTGATAATTGGTGAAGTCAATGGTACTGCGAATCTACTCGAAGTCGGTAGAGATGACATCGCGCTGAAAGATGCCGACAAGTTTACATACCAGCCTTATCTGGGCAGAGACGACGAGGAAGTTGCTACTGATAAAAGCACTTATACCTTACCTTCCAACACTGCTGCCGCAGAAGCACGCACCTGGCTCGACACGAATCAACTACGACTGGCGCCGCTAAGCGGCCTTCCTAGACAACAAGTCATTCAAGGATTCAACTATCAAGGACCATTCGATAGAGCCGAAGATGCCCAGCTTCTCCGCAACCAAGCCGATGTCTTCCAGCGCAGCATGGCAATGCCCCACGATCCACAGTGTACTGTTCAATCCTGCAAAGCCAGCCTTAACACCACTACCTTCGAAGAAACCGGTGACTCCGGGCGCAGCAACGACCGCATTCCCGACGAACTCCGGCAACAATGGCTGAACGAAGCCCCGCGCTCCATACTCGGCAGAACGCACTGCACCCTTTGCTCCCGTCCCGCCATCCCCTCACCAGATGCAGGAGACATCGCCCTCTGCGAGCGCTGCTCATTCACCTGTTTCCGCTGTCATGCCGCGAGCCCCCTCACCGCATCCACAACGCTCAAATGCGACGCCTGCGGCGGCGTCTGGGACAAAGGCGCCCTAGGATATGAGTGCATACAGCAACCCCAGCGTCCCCTCGCGCTCGACGTGCCCCCGCTGAAACGGTTTGGCAAGGACGCGTACCTGGATAGGCTGGAGGATGTGGATGCTGCGTTTGGCGACGAGGTGAATGCACTCTCGGATTACTATTTTGGACTTGCGATTGTCAGGGCTGTGAGCCCGCCACTGTAGCTACGCGGAGGCAGAGTTGTAACTGTAGGATGCAATAGCACGCGTTGGCGAACAGACAGCAGCAGACAGCAGCAGACAGCAGCAGACAGCAGCAGACAGCACAGTAGCACACAGACTAGATACTCTTGCACACACATGATACCCGAATACAAGCACCCTACACACACCGCACCTTACACTCTCAAACCGCCCGTAGTAGCCTTCTATCCGCCCTGGCCCCCCAAACCCCCTTCGCACCCCCTGCATGCCAGCTGTGTCTCACGCCGCTGTCGCAGCAACATGATCTACCGGCCTGACACCTACCTGCCTGGCTGGCTGACACCTGCCAGCGCCACTCCGAGGGGCAGCTGCAGCGGTGCCGTGCAGCTGCGTTGTTGTGTCGCAGCAGGGCGAGGGGGCGCCCTTGCGTGAGGTCGTGCACGCGCAACGCAACGGTCGCTGTTGCACTCCGAGGACGGGCGGCGACGGCGTTGCGCGCAAGCCAGGGACGGACGAGCGAGCGGGTGAGTTGTGAGAGTTGTGCTCGTGGTGCGCGCATACGGGTGCGGTTCCCGTGTCTCATTTGGCGTCTCCTATTTACGACTCACGATGCACGATCAACGGTTCATGGCTCACGGTTCTCTATTTACTAGTGATTATTGATTATTGACTGTTTACTATTTACCCGCACAGCACAGCACAACACACAGCACATCGCGTCCGGCACAACGCACCCGCCCGTGTATGCACCCTGCGGATCCCCCGCCTCATCAAACAACGTCCGTTTCAGCGGCGAGTTGCCGCTATGGAGCCGGGCGCGCGGGCTCGAACGACAGCGGAGCGCTGCGACGTGTTACACATTGGGTGGCAAGATTAATGGCGCATCTGGACGGGGCGGGGCGGGGCGTGGGAGATGGGAGTGGAATGAGGAGGTGATGTAATGGGGTGGAGACGGACACGTGTGGAATGTGGATGGAGAGATGCGATGTTGTGCACGATGGTCATTGCGGTGACTATCTTGATTTGATGAGCATCGGCGCGCTTTGTGACGTGTGCGGCCCTGTGTGGCCGTGTTGCCGTATCGTTGTTTTATGTTCGCCAGAGTGTTCTTCGTGTGCTTGTGCATGTCCTCATGCTTCTCTATGCGAGTGTGGGCAGATCGGTCAGCAGCGTGATCACGGGATATGTCGACCGGTCGTCGTCCGACAGCGGCGCGTTACCAGGGCGATCGACTACGATCGCATAAACACCAGCTGCGGCTGCAGCTTCGGCCTCTGCAGATAAAGTCAGCAATTGAGTTTGATGACGATGCGTGAACTGCGGGGTTCGGTAATCAAATGCTTTTGGTAAACAAGGGCCTGGCTTGGCCGATGTTTCGAATTAGAATTGCACGCGGGCAAGGGATGCTGGTGCAGATGTGTCCTCAATGAAGGAGCACAGCGTGGGGTGTAGGGCTGTGAGGATCGACCGGATGCTGGCGGTCTTGGATAGATTGGATGCTATCGTACCTTTCACGTTGTCCGTCAAGAAGCTGACTGTCTTCACATCGGCCCCCATCTCGCGGCAGATCTTCTCATACGAGGCTTTCTCAAGCTTTGGGCCTGCGTTCACCGTGTCGTAATGCGCCGAGAACAATGGCTTGACATCTTTAGTTGTCACACCATCCTCGACGTATGAGAAGAACTGGAGCTGAGCTTGCACGCTACCAGAGGAGAAGATGGCGAGTGTACGTCCCGAGGCCTTCCATGATGTGAGCGTAGGGACAACGTCGGCGAAGAGCGGAGTCTTCAAGTCTCCCTCCGAGAATCCGGTCTTCCAAAGGTGTCCTGCGTATTGTTAGTTTCGTCGGTGGGTTTGCGTGGTTTTCTGTGCTGATCTCGTAGTGGAGACGGATTAGGCAATCTGACGCAAGATGTGTCAACTCGAACATGGCAAGCAGCCGTACACAGCCAGAGTCCTCGCAGATAGTGAGCACCGCCAGCTGACGACTAGGCGAGCACCAACATGGTCCGCTGCTACGAAGATAGCAGCAGCTATGATGCTATCTGTGGCAATCCCGGACCGAATCAGTAGTCCTCGATCGCCCGATTACGTTGGAGGACCGCGACATCGCAGTTGAAGATCCCCCAATGGTTCCGAGGCTGTGTACGACAGCGACCAGAACGGACATGCCAACATGTTGCACAGGACTCAACGGCTCTAGTCACCCACCTTGAAGCTGCTTCAGGTACACGGCTTTAACATCTCGTCGTGTCAAATCCTCCACGTGAGCAAGGAGAGAATCGGCGTCCTGCTTAGCCTCCGCCGGGAACCCCGCAATGAGGGTTTGGAAGTCCGAGTCGGACCACGAGTCGCGTGCTAGTCTCCTGAGGCGATCAAGGGCATACGGATACTGCGGCTATCGTGAGCTGCGAGTGGCAGAAAGGGGAGCTTCACCCCAGCAACGTGCGTCGCGTGACAAACGACGGAAACGTCCAAGATCACCCAGAGGTGGCTGGTCCAGTATGGGGAAGAGCAGTCAGAGTACGCGAAAGGAAATCCGAGTGGCTTGGGAAACTGCCGAAAAACACCACTGGCATGGAAGCGCGGGCCGCTATGATCTCGACTGGTCTTTGTTGTTGACGATCTTGACCAAGCGTTCCAAACGCGGGGTTGGCGTGCCCTCGAGACGAGAAAGGAAAGCGTGAAGTCTGACAGCGGAACAAAGGAAATCTTACCATTACATCCTTGACAAAGGAGATACTCGCGATAGTGCCCTCTGCGGCGAGAAAGTAGAATGGTTAGCCTGGTTCTGAGTAACGTTGCGGACGCTGGACGCAATTGAGACTCGTGGATGGCTGGGGCGACCGTGGCGTGAGCAAAAGTCTGGGGTAACAGCTGGGCGGGGACAGCGAAACAGCGTGAGTAACAGCTCTGTGCGCTCTGCAACAACCCGAGGGTCGGCCAGACCGCCACAGCGAGGCTGTCTGCATCGCGGGGCTGCAAAGGCTGGTTGCAGCGGTTCTCGCCCCAGCAAAGGACTCGAGCAGCTGCAGTTACTCACCAATGTCAAGTAGCACGACCTCAGACGACATCCAGCGTGCAGGATCGAGAATTGCGGCAGCCATGTTGTTGGTGGTTATTATTGATTGTGGAGCGGTGAATGGCGGTGAAGCGAATATGCTGTAAAACGATGAAGCCCTCGCCGATGTTGTGTGTCTGGCAGGAGCGCTGGTTGGTGCACTTGCCTGAGACACGATATGTCAAAACAGAGCGGTGTACGCTCGACGAGATTGGTGGTGTATAGCAATTCAACAAATAATAGGCGAATCAGGCGTTGTTCCGCATACATGTGTTGCTGTGTAAGAAAATTTTCACGAATTGGGGGTCAGATGCACGCTACAGATGTGACATGAACTGGCTGTGCGAACAGGGTGCCAGTGCGCGATCTCCGTTCCAAGGTTGTCTTCCTTGCTGCGATCACACGGCTATAAGAATTTGATATCATTAAGTAGGTACTCACCGACTGAATGATGCCACCATGGTGAAGCTGGTATCATGTGTTGTCAAAACTGAGTGATGTGTCTGTGAGTACCCTGCTTCAGAGTAAACTGCCCAGTTTCTGCACATCAACGGATGGCATCCGTAGACCCATGAGCGAGATACCCACATGCCGTAGACATGCCGTGGGATCAGGGCCCGCTTTGAAGTAAATGCACAGATTCCCATAGGTGCAGGAGCTGGAAATAGCAGGACGAGGGTGTGTTGTCTGTGGGGGATGCTGCTATCGCTCCACACCGCCGCGAGGGAGCTCAGGAACAGGTACAGAGTGGTGGGTCACGGCAAATATGGCTGCATACAACCTGCAGTAGCGGTGCTGCAGCTGTACAGCACGCCTACGAGATGGCAAATCGTGTGCTCTGGTGTGCTGCTCTACTGCAAGCCAGCGAGTAGAGTGCAGCGCAAGCTTACGTCCCGGGCCTGGGCAACTGTACAGAGCCATGGTACTGGTCAGCAAGTCCGGCTTCGGAAAACAAACAGCAGAAAGCGGCAGGTGAGATGGAAAGGCGTGCGATGTGTTGCGCGAGGCTGCGTACACCGACATTCGTTTCATCTCCGTCGAGACTCACAGGAGCAGCCAGTGTGCAGAAGCCACGATGCTCCGGACGCGCGCCTGGCGAGGTCCAGGACGCATGAGCTTCCCCAGACGAGTCGTTTGGCGCGGCCGCCCGCCGACATGCCTGAACGAACCTGAGGGAACACACAAGCGCACCAAAGCAACCCGAGCGCTAGGACTGCAGCGGTGGTTGAAACAGTTGTCATGCTCAATTGGGGCGAGGGTCTGGAGAGCACCCCTGAGTCGTGCGTGCAGCGAGCAGAGGTCGGCTGCATGCAGCGTGTCGCGATAACAGCAATCAATGAAGTGCTGGCAGCCTCGCTGAAGTGGCAAGCATCGCGATAACGCAATGATAACGGTTTCCAGAGTTGAGGCAGAGGCGCTCGTGAGGGTGTCGGGGGCCGATCAGGGCCCAATTAGAGGACAGGTGGCATTCGTCTGTCGTGCGAGCATCGATCATGAGAGGTCGTCAGCCGGCGCCTGCTTTGGCCATTCGCCAGGCTGTGCCCGGGATGCAGGCGGCTAGACTCGTCGAGCTGCTGGCACACGCACAGCAGCGACCGTGTGAAGCAGGGAGGCTGTTTCAGAGCGTGCTCGTCGTCCGGCGGCGTCATAATGCTCGCAGCCTCGTCATGAGGAGCGGGGCGGGCTCGAAACAAGGGCCTCGCAATTGACTGATTGCACGCCATCTCCGACGCAGCCGGGGCCTTGAGGTTGGCATTGTCCTGTCGACCCGACAGTGACGAAGCTCGCTGGCGAGTGCGCACGGAAGCAGATCGAAGGCCCTCGAAGCCGGCCAGCAGCCACTGAGGACGCAGCCAACGCGCAGCCAGAAAGTTGGCAGTGCCCCGGCCAGCCTGTCCTGAACCCTGACGGACGACCAGCGGCGAATGAGCTATCGTCGATCCGGCCTGGCGCCGTGCTGCCAATGCATCACGCAGCACTCGCCGCTAGCTGCTCTCGACTGGCGCAGGTTAAACTGGGCCTGGCCATGCCGTTGTGGGTGACACCGCCAGCCTGAGTCCGTGGGCCGCCCATATATCGGCGGATAGCCTGCCTCGATCCAGCTCCCCTTTACCCATCACCACCATGTTAATCGTACCTATGTCGTCCTGAGACACCACCACCACCACCATCACCCACTCTGCTCGTTGTTGCCCGCACGCCCAACCCTACATCCTCTCTCCGCACCTACCTCTGTCCGCTGCTGCCTCGTCCGAACGTCGCATTCCACTCGTTCCTTCCGCAACCGCTCAGCTGCACGACAACAACCGCAACATCCCTACCTCGCCCTCAGGCGACAGTCCTCCTCTCCCACGCTCCACGCTGCGCTGCCCGTCCATCTAGCCGGCCATCTACCTGCCGCCGCAGTCCTTGATTTGATGTAACATAGAGAGTCCACTGTCTGGCGATCTTCCGATACGTACCGACAGCGCCTCTGGCACCACCACACATCCTCTCAAGACCGCGCCTCCTCTCCGCTTCGCAGACCAGACGTTCGACATCCGTCAAGCCCGAACATCTTCTCCGCCGAAAACCGCTCAGCACTCACACCCCCGAGACCGCTGCTAGCTTCCGAGTCCGTGCACCTGACTCACCCTTCAATCGCGTCATCAGACAATACCTACTGTCTGCCTGGACCGGCTCCCACGTATAACGAATCTCCTCCTTTACGCAGCGACCTCATCCTCCTTCCGTTCTCGCTTTCCTGGACTCCTAGTCCGCCAGCTCTGTTCCGTCTCCCAGCCTGTTGAACCAGGCCTCCATACCAATTAATATCGCCAGATGCACATTACAATCTCTTAGCACTTTCCTTGTTTGTTGCCGTCGACGGGCTCTTTGTGCATACCCTCGACTACTCGCGTTACTTCCATTTTCTGTCGCAGCGAATACTACAGCCTATAACATTACGACATCTTCGGCGGTCCTTATCCCGTTCTGCCCCGAGCGAACTGCGACACATCTTATTGCTATCTCTTACGAAGCTTCCGGTCATACAAAAGTTCGATAGAGTATCGTCTTTGGATTAGCGGCCGTTGATCCGTTGATCCCCCAAAACTTCCTTTATCTGGTTGTTTCATCTGTTCACGTGACGGCTCCCACCGTCACCCTCACCTGCTGCGCTTAGCTACGAGTACACTCCTCCGTGTTCCTCCTGCTTCGCTTCCTGAATCTTTCCCCATCCTTCCTCATGGATTGCATGCGTGATCAGCTCCAGGCAGGTGTTGTACTCCATGGCCGATACGAAACCGTTTTCTGCCCTCAACCAGGGCTCCTTTGGCATGGTCTTCCAGGCCAAGGACCTCGTCACCGATGAACTTGTTGCCATCAAGGTTGTCACCAAGCCCTCCGCTGCTGTAAACTGCCCGTCTGCATTCGCTGTCGACGAGCGTTCTGAAGAGCTTGGCGTCCACCTTCGCCTTGGTAGCCACCCCAACGTTGTCAACCTTCTTCAGTCTTTCGAGACTGAGAACCACATCTATTTGGTGTTGGAGTACTGCTCCAATGGCGACCTTTACGAGGCCATTCGCTTTGACAAGGGTCCTCTGGAGACCGAGCATGTTCGCGACTTCATGATGCAGCTGGTGGGCGCCGTTGAGTTCATCCACTCCAAGGGCGTCCAGCACCGCGACATCAAGCCCGAGAACATTTTCCTTTGCCAGGATGGCTCGATGAAGCTTGGCGACTTTGGTCTTGCTACTTTTGATGCCTGGTCTTGGGAGATTGCTGTTGGCAGTGACCGTTACATGGCTCCTGAGCAGTATGATCCCACCAATGCTGGCTACTCCACTGCGAAAGCCGACATCTGGGCTATTGGCATCTGCATGCTCAACGTGCTGTTCCAGCGCAACCCCTTCGCTGTCCCAGCGTCTTCGGATCCTCTCTACGCCGACTTCGTTTTCGACCGCCAGAGCCTGTTCGATGTCTTCCCCAACATGTCCCAGGATACCTATGAGGTTCTCAGGCACTGCTTGGCTATCGACCCAGAGAAGCGTGACATCAATGCCGTCAAGGACGCCCTTGCCCGCGCCATCACCTTCACTACCGATGACGAGGCTCTCGACGAGTTCTGCACCGAGGAGCAGCGCGAGCCGTTTGCTGTTGGCGCCAACCGCGAACCCCTCCGCACCCCCTCTATCAGCACTCCATCGCTTGATAAGGGTGGCTCGTTCCCGTGGGCTAAGGCTCTCGCCATGTCTCCACCGCAGCACTTCCGTCAGCTCTCGGTCATTCCCGACACTGAGATCTACTCTGACGACCTGTTCCCGGCTTCTGATTACGCTGTCAAGCCCGAGCATGCCTCAGCCGTATCTTTTGTGGACTCTGGTTTGGGCTTATCTTTCAAGTCGATTGACGTCACCGAACGCAGTGAGCGCGAGCCAATCAACTTCACGCGCTCCAAGCCGATGCCTATCTCTGGCTCCCTCCCAGCCAAGCCCTTCAACAGCATGTCATCCGTCTTCGGTAAGAAGCGTGATGTGTTTTCGAAGAGCTGGAGCGACCTGTGGGAGGAGGAGGACGATGACGCGCAGTTCATCGCTGAGCTTGAGAACAACTTCCACAGCTTCAAGGCCGAGAAGCCAGCGAAGCAGGTTGTCTCAGAGGCCGGCTCCGGCGTCTCCACTCCTCGGGGTGGTTTGTCGGAGGTCAAGAACCCTGCCACTGTTCACAACAGCAGGGGTCGCTCGCCGATAAAGCGCCGAGAGGTTGACCACGTCAGCGAGAACACCGGCTTCATCTTCGAAGAGGATCAAACCTCGGCGCATGCACGCAACTCGCCCTCAAAGAAGATGCACGGCGCGGACAAGTGGGCTGCGCTCGGAGATCGTCGCCGTGGCCAACCATCGCCGACCAAGGAGTTTGCGCCTATGACTCCTTCCAGGTCCACCAAGTCGCCCAAGCAACCTCAGCCATCCCCGCCTTCTGCTCGGAAGCGGAGCCGGACTGGCACGTGGAGACGACCGATCAATTGGGGTCCCAGCCAGCACGAGAATATTCCCAAGGTCCCTGACATTCCCAAGGTTCCTGCTGTGGACAACAAATACAAGAGCATGGAATGGCGCCATTACAACAATCCACCCCTTATCGTGGACGACGACATTGGCGACCTTGAGTGGGTGTGGTAGGCAATTGCCGCCACTTGTAGTCTTGACACTTCATCATCCCTTTTTCTTTTTTGTTTTGAAATACGTTTTTGGAAAACAACATTATCGTCCTAGGACATTCAACACTCCACCTGAGCCAATTAACACCACAACAACAATACCCGGCCAGTTTGTAACTCTGTAGATACCATTTCCTCCGCTCTACTCTTGTACTCTTCTCCCTTCACACCACTCACCATCATGTCCTCTCGACCCTATCTTGTCGCTTGGTATCTTTCCTTTGTTACCTGGGTGTTTTGTATCGCATTGGCATCAGCTGGTGGATGACGCAGACTGTACTGAATTGCGATTCGACAGACTGTACGACGGAGCGATTAGCATAGCATTGGGAAGGCGTTTTGTTTGTATTGCTTCACTTCTTCATAGGGATGATTAGCTAGTCAAGACTCGTATCCGTCGGAGATCTCGCATTCCCCTGGGCATGCGACAGATCCGGGATTTACCCACTCAAACCTCGTCTTCAAACCTCCCGCGTGATGTTCTACCTTTGCTTTCCTGCAGGCTTCATCGAGGGAAGGCGCGACCCGCCTGGCGCCCCGCGTGACGTCTGCCACGACTCGGTTTCAGCCGCCGCGTAGGCTTGTGGCTCTACTGGACGGAAGTACACTGCACGACACATGATGATCGGCGAAGAGGTCATCGCTGTTATCAGATAGCCGCTGCATGCGACGATTTGGGAAGGTGTAGCTGGGAGCGTGGCCGCCTTAGCACGATGACGATGCAGCGCTGGGTGCCGAGGGCCGATCGCGAGGTGAGTGCAACACCACATTTTGTGAACGAGGTAGATATATCCAAAAGAACAAGCTCTACATATCACAGTCTACAGTTTTCGTGTACAGTCTTGGGATTTGATGGTTCTGTGGTATTTGTGGATTTTCCACTCTCAATCGAGAGAGTCCAGCTCACAGCTGCTCACAAAGCGGCCCTCATACCCAGGTCCTCCGTTTCGCAACAAAGAGAGCTGAGCGCTGATCGCGGGCCGTTGATTGCAGGACCACTGCTAGCGGACAAGGCATCGCCTGATAACACCGCGCAGGGAGGTTAGGGACCGCGTCACTTGTCTCTCTGGCCGCTTCACCGCTGCGCCTGCAACTGCAGTCACAACGGTGATCGTGATCGTGATCGCAATTGTGGGGAGTCGTGGTGCGATAGTGTGTAGGTTCCACTCGATATGTCCGGTGTGCGCTGCGAGTGACACTCGCTGGTACCGCGATTGCCCTGGCTCGAGAGGTGGCTTCGGTGACAGGATGGATCGCTGGGGTCTGGTAGAGGATGGGCGGCGATGTGCCGTGCCATAATGAAACGAGACTTTGTGGGTGCAGGTATCTCGTGTTGAGCGAGAGGGGTGCTGTGCTGTCGTGTCTCTTCCACGTTTGTCATGGTTGGGTGGATGTTGTAGGTATGGTAGCTGCTTCAACATCCAGACAATTGTAAATGGTAAGACGGCTTGTACTATGCGAGCGAGTAGTATTTCAATAATCGAGGGTCAAATTTCACTCATTCTGTTTACACATCAATGCCCTACAGGAAATCAAATTATTCATACACCCGAATCAGGCCCAGAGTTATGTTTGTAAACAACACAGAAGACGAGGGGCATACATCCTATTCCCACGAACGTAGTATCCAGCTTGGGTTTACAAATGTAGGAAAGACACAGACAGCGCCCAGTCAGTCTGAGGCGTTCCGCCCAGCTACTACACCAACCATTCATGCGGTGTTAGTCAGAGACGTATGTGGAAGGCGGAGCGCCAGAGCAAGATCATCGGTGTCAACATTTCGTAAGTGTCGTAGTGTAGTCTAGTAAATGTTACTATCCACAATACAACAACGACCAGTCTCGTAGAACTGAGTTGCTGTTACTACTGGTGATTGGTTACACATATCTGACTTGACAGCCGCGACAGTCTAGGAGACATCTTAGAGTGCACACACGTGGAGCCCAGCTACATACAATACTTAAAACACGTTAGTACCACGGGTTAATGTAACTAATTCATATGCGTACCATGGTCGCAGTACGTCCGCGTATTTTGACCATTAAAGTGCAAGAACCTAGGAAATCACGTAGAGCGCATTAGATGTAGGTACATCCAATACACTACCACAGCATAACCACACCCGCCATCTCACGCCTCCCCAATATCCCAGAACCTCTCCCTGCCCTCGATCCGCACTTCTAAGAACGCCTAATTCCTTCTTACCACGCAGAGACGTACTCAATGTCTCTGATTGACTATACGCCTCTAGTTGCCGTGTTGTGAGGTAAAAGCATGTGAACAATTAATTGTAGAGTTTCTTTTCCGTTAATACCGTAGTACATACCTCATTTGCATCACTCAACACGCCCCGCTTTTATAGTGATCTGTACAAATCAGCAACGAATTTATATTCTGTACGCCATCCCGTACCTAGTCCACGACACCGAAGCGTCTATTCCCTAGCGGAGCGGCGCACGTGGAGAACGTCAGTGAATACTCGTAGATTCTAGGATACCGCCCATGACAATAATGATTTGACATACAATGGCCAAGTCTGCATGATGCAGATGCGTACCACGGTACTTCAGTAACTAGACGATAGCTCTGCAACCACACACTAGTCCCCACGTTTTCGCCATGTAGGACGTTAACCCGAAAACCGCAAGCCATGTGTCCCGCGCTGGTTAGCATCTTTTACCGCGTCTCTGTTGTGGAGGCTGGGTGGTGTGTGTATTGTACCAAGCAATGGTGACGTTGAGGCCACTCCGCAGCTTCCACAAACACTTCTGTACCTAGGTGACCACATCTGTGCAGGCCGGTACCGCACTCAAGCACTCGCGCCGTCTGCCTTTTGCTGCTTCCATTCTAGACACCCCGCTGTCCACCGAGACCTACGTGTCCGCTCGAGATCCATGCACATGTGTAACTAACCTACATACTTCGATACCAAGGAAACGACTATAATCGTCGATGACACAGACTAGCCTGCACGATGGAGATGCGTACCACGGTACCTGGGCAACCAGTGCAGTAGCACCGTGAACAGTGAATCCCCACGTTCCTGCCATGCGGGACGTGGAACCAGACACTGCAACCCAGACACTGCAACCCAGACACTGCAACCCAGACACTGCAACCCAGACACTGCAACCCAGATTCTGTGAGCCCGATACTGCACTCCAACCCCCCCAAAACCCCAAAACCCCTCACGCCCCTCTATCCTACTCTGTAGTATCTAGAGACCAACACACCCCACGCCGCCCCGTCCTCACCACGCGGCGCGCACGCCTCGCGTCTGCGCGGTATATACCGGGCGTACTAGACTACTGCGAAAAGCGGGGTGGGGTGGGTGTATCACGGCGGCGTGGGCTCTAGGCAGCGACTCGTGGTGCGCTGGCCGAGCGAGCGCAACACGACGAACTCAGAGTTTTTCTGCGGGGGTGGGGCGGTGGGGGGGTGGAAAAGCTTTCAAAGCAGCGTGTAGACTTGGAAGGATACGCCGGGCCGGGGTGCGGGGTGCGGCGAGCATGGTGTTTTGAGCAGGAAACTGGGGTTCGGGGGTGGGATGGAGAGGGGCGCAGAGAGGGATGTGGGAGCTGGAACTGCGTTTGAGTAGAGGATGTGGACGGCGAGATAACCATGCGGATATATGTGCTGTGTAGTGAGGACGCGGGCGTGCAGTGCGCAGCTCATCTCGCATCTCACGTCTCACGTCTCACATCTCACGTCTCACATCTGGCCACAGGACCAAGTATCGTTATCTTTTTTGATTTGAGAAAACAGTATCTTATCTTGAACAGCAGATGGAAAGCCAGTATATACACAGTGAAAACGATGGTGGAAACCCCAGCACACAGAAACGATACCAGCATCCGTGAAACCCCGGTTGCTGAGCGCAAGACATGACGTGTCGAAAGCTCGTTGCTTTCTTCTTCTCGCGTTACATTCCCGTCCCTTCCCTCCTCGGGTTCCACGGTACTTCAAGCGGCTACGGGCGCAGCTGAAGCGACTGTCGAGGGGACGGTGGTATTTGACGGCGCCAGTGCCTCGGATGTTGGGATCAGGAGGGCGGGGAAAGACGAGCCTGCGTCTGGGGCCGCTGGGGCTGGGGCTGGTGTTGGTGTTGGTGTTGACGCTGGCGCGGAGGTGACGGGTGGAACTGGGGCCGACGACGCCGCTGGAGTAGACGATGCCGCCGGCGTGGACGATGGCACCAGAGTAGCCGATGACGACGGCACCACACTCGCAAACGCGCCATACAAGTTCATCCGGTTGGAGCCGCCGCAGAACTCCGCCGGCGCGCCGGAGCACGTGAAATCACACCCGCTCGCACTGCCGTCGCCGGCGACGAGGCGGGATCCGTGTTCCAGCGCGTTGCCGCAGTAGCACTCTGCGTCTTGTTAGCAGCAGCCTTCAACACCTCGACCATGGATGAAACTTACCCGACCCGTACTCAACGCCCGCGAGCCCGAAGCCCTGCGCCGCACACGCGGCCGTGCACTTCGCCACGTTCAGACCCCCCTCGTAGCCGGCCTTGACGGGGAGCGCGCGCTGCGCGGTGGAGTCTGTGTAGCAGCCGAGCGAGGGGAAGCCGGGGGTGCCGGGGTTAGTGGTGGGCGGGTTGCCGGAGAGGGTTTCGTAGACGGTGATGCGCTGGGAGCCGCCGCAGGCCTCGCCGGGCCAGCCGGAGCAGGGCATGGAGCAGTCGGCATCGCGGGTCAGGACGGGCTTGTTGAGTTCGAAGCCGCAGTAGCACTGGGGCCTAGGTGTTAGTAAGAGGGGGATTGATGGTTTGGAAGACGTACCTCGCGGCCCCATTCTGTGCCGGCGACATTGAAGCCTTGCTCGAGGCACCACCGCGAGCAGAGGCCGCCGGTCATTTCAACATCGCTGGTTGCGGCGCGTTTCAGGGCGCGGTTGCCAACGCGGTCGATGTAGCAGCCTTTGTACTCCCAAGTGTAGGGGAGATCAGGTGCGGTTTCAAGAGAGATGGCAGCCAAAGGAATGGATGCGCAGAAAGGCAGCGGCGCAAGGATCGTGACGAGGAAAGAATGTTTATTGAACATTGCGAACAGTTAAGGATAGTAAACTCTGTTGTTGATACTCGTCGTCGGTCTAAACATGGATGTCGAGATGGCTCTATTATATGACTCCAGCTTTCTTTGTCGTGAGCTGGAACCCCGGTGTTGACTGAAAGTAATCATTTCCACAATTTGAGTTCCCAGATCTTCGTGCAGACTACGCTATCGAAAAGAGTACATTTTGAAGACAGGGCTGGCGGAAGACTACTCGGGGTCGCAAGCGGCGCGATCTGATTCGATCACCAACGTCTCGGCTCGATGAAGCTAGCGCGCAAGCCACAAACGCAGGAGAAAGGGAACAGCCGTCGAACTCAAACACGCCTCGCGTGGATATTTTGAGCGTCACAGGCTTACCTCTCCCAGGTACCAAGTCCTAGCTTCTACTAACAAAGCAGGGAGTGCTCCGATTGGGAAGGGCCCAAGAAAGCGGCCAAGGCAGTGTAAAGTAAGTTGCATTGGTCCAGGGAGACTCGGTGCCTGGTGGCGCAGGTAGTTGTATCGTTTGGTTTCGACTACAGCGTGTTGGGAGGCCGCTTCAGCGACCTCATGCTAGAGTCTGGCAACGGGCTCCGCGGGCCAATGACGATCCGTGCCAATGCGCATCGAGGCGCATGCTGAAAACACATTATGTATATGCGGTCTAGTCCCGCCGGAAATCATCTGTAAGTTGCTGTTTGTGCTTTGTGGTTATCTGGATTGATTGAATTCCAGATAAGCCCCCAATAGCTTTGTGTATCGACGCCTGTGCAGAAGCTGCAAGGTGCTATTGTTTCATGCGGTCAAGAGCTGGCTTTTTGGATTTAGATGAAATCCTTGATAGGCACTCGTCTGGCTCCTTTGTACGTAGTGCTTTTGCGCGGTCTGGATTCGAACGGCGATAATCCAACGGCGATAATCGAGAAGCGATAGCTCGTGTGGTGGCGCACTGTAGACGGACCTGCGCGCCGTCCTACCTTGACAACACACTGTTGTTCTCAGGTATCTTTGATGGCTTCAAGCTCCTCTGGTCTGCCACCGCCAACCATGTGCGTTCCGTCGCCATTTCCGTCAAACCAGCGGCTGCTTCTGTGCCAGCTCGGGAGGTTCTCGGGATCTTCGTCTTCATTCTTACAGCCGCGTCTGCACCCACCGCCCTGTCGCCAGCTGGTGCTTGCCCACTTCATACAACGAGCATACTCTGCGCATCGACCAGCTCTTCGCTTTTTACTGGTGGAAAACTCCATCAGTGTCTGGCGAGGCGAGAGTCGTCGCAGGGTGATGATGGAATGCGCGCAGAAGTCGGGTATTGGAACAGGCAGGTGGGTGAGTGCCAGGGCAGTCGTTTCTAGCGACTCCAGAGTGTAGAGCAGCTCGTCGGTCGAGGCGGTGAGGAACGGCTGCTGTGGCTTTAACAGGGTGATTGAAGACAGAGACGACGCCTTTCGACGTGCTAGCTTCTTCTGTGCAGGGTCTAACCCAGCGGTCTGAGGCCGTTCAGCTTCCACATCTGAGACAACTGGGGTGACAGCTCTCGCGAACGCGTCGTCCATCTCTTCGAGAGCACCGATAGCTGGGCCATCAATCTCCCATTCGAGGACTTCCTTGTTGCAGTCTGACATGCCCATGTAGACGAGATCCTTGAGCTCCATGAGCAATTCAAAGATCATACGCTGTGGTACTGGGCGCTGGTCGAAGAGGATCTGGATAGCTGGAAGAAACTTGCGCGCTATCTCTCCGCCAGTATAGAGGTTCTTTCCAAGCGAGAAGGGCGCGTTGTCTGCCATCTGCAGCTCCACCTTTGACATCTGGCGACTGATGCCAGCAGCCAGGTGCCGGATTTGGACAAGCGGGTTCTGCGTGAGGGAGGCTTGTAGTGTCGGAGACAGATCTGCGTGTGTCAGCAAAGCGTGTTGCCGCGATTGAAAAGGTAGGCGTACCAGTGAATGAGACCTCGCCCGCGAGCATGACTAAGGCTTCGGCGAGCTCCTTCTCCTTCTCGCGCAGCTCGCGTCTCTGCGCCTGCATGCTCCGCCATGGCACGACGAAGCTGATGCTCTTCCCGCCCACATCCACAGTCTTCCCATCGTCGAGCTCTGAGGTTGTTTCGATTACGTTGGTCTTGCCATACTTCTTGCCCTTTGATCGTACGTCATCTTGGTGGTACTGAAGCGTCAGGTAGAAGTCGTTCTTATCGCGCGTGTTCCGGAGGTTTTTCCAAACGCCTGGGCTTCCGTTAGCATCGTCGCATCGAAAAGTGGCTTATCTGCTTACCAACAAGGGCTTTGGCGGAGAATATCTGCTGGGCGGGCATGTTGACGCGTCGCGTTGGATGCGCTCACATTGCAAGTACGGGTACACAAGCTGGACGCGTTGCGCGGACCGGCGCGGTGTTGAAAGCGAGGTCTTGAGGCTTGAGCGCAGAGGTGGAGCTTTGATGAGCCGTGCGTGAACTGGAATCCACCCTTGTTTACTTTAGCTTGTTTACGGGGCCGAGGTGGGGTGCGCGCTGGCAACACCACGACGTCACTCTGCAGCACGCTTGAGTCTGACAGCAACGCAGATGCTTCATGAGCCGAGTGCATTCCGACCTGTTATCCAAATCTATACATACAGTGTCCTCTTGCCGTACACCGTCCGTCCTTCTAGGCCTCAATCGACCCAGGGTATGCTGATGCGCCAAAGAACACCGACCCATGCATCGCTACAATGAAGCGAACAACAAAGAACCTAAATCTGACCCAAGACCGTGCAGTGCTTACATCAGGCCCTGCATGCCGTTCGAGGCGTACGCCATGGGCTTGATGTTGGGATGCGGTACGGCGTCGAACTGCGTGTACTTGAGCTTGTACTCGGGGCCAATCTTGATGAAAGCGCCCTTGTTGCTAGTGCTGTCGCAGTAGTTTGGTGCTGAAAACACAGTAATACAGCGCCCGTCGTGCTCGACCTCGTAGCCCTCCATGCGGACCTCGTGCGATCGGATGATAGCCTCTAGTCCGTTTCTCTCGCAGAAACGCTTGGTGATGTCGGGGCCAAATTGGAGACCAACACCGCGCTTACTGGGTCCACGTCCGGGCGCGGTCTGTGGGTCGGTCCAGAGCATCTCCATCATCAAGCCAGACTGGCCAGGCTGCCTCTGCTTGAAACGGTCAAGCTTCCTGACGTCATCCAGCGTGATGTTGTCGTCTGAGAACAGGCCGCCGTGGAGGACAAAGTACTTCTTGCCAATGAGTGTTGCGAGGGGCAACAGCGAGAAGGACTCGGAGAACAGCTTGAAGATGCGTTCGGTGTACTTGGCTTTGCATTCGCCCTCGAAGCCGTACATGCGGTTCATGTCGTCGGTCTCGTGGTTTCCGCGGTTGAGGAAGAACTTGTTGGGGTACAGCCACTTGTAGGCGTATAGGAGAAGGGCAATCTCAGTAGACCAGGATCCGCGGTCGACAAAGTCGCCGTTGAAGAGGAACGAGTGCTTCTCTGAAGGCTTGCCGGCGAGCTTGAAGATGTTCATGAGATCGAAGAATTGACCTGCGAAGTCAGTGCCTGCGTGCAAGATGGACTGCTGTCCACTTACCATGTGTATCACCGCAGACGGTGATCTCGGTGCCCTCCTCGACATCGTGCTCGATCATTGTCGGCTCGCTCCTCGAAATGGCCATGACTGCGAGGATGATCTTGTAGGCGTACTTCTTAGCAAGCTTCTTACCGGTCTTGAAGCGCTCAGTCATGTCCTCGATGAAGTCGAGTGTCATCTTGTCGCCCAGCTCGGCGCCGTCGTAGCCACTCTCCAGGATCATGTTCTCGACATCGAGCCCTTCGGCGACCGAGGGCGCATCGTCGACCTCGATGGCCTTCAGGAAGGCGTCGCGCTTGATGATCTTCTCGCACTCGACCATGCGCAGCCTCGCGTTGGCGTCATTGGGGGCTTTCTTGATGACAATCTTCCAGTCCCGCAGAGCGTCGCGGTGCTTGAGGATGAGGGTGTTGGCCGAGGCGCGGCGGTAGTAGGCCTTGACGTTGTTCGGGTCGATGGCGATGGCCTTGTCGGCGTCGGCGACGGCGAACCCGTAGGCCTCGACCTTGATATTGGCCTGCAGAGCGAGTGAGCATGTGGTCGTGTGCGGCGGGCAGGCAGCCTACCTGGGCGCGATTGGTGTAGAACGAGGGCTCCTGGTCGTACGCCTCAATGGCCTTTGTGTAGAACTCGAGGGCCGTCGGCCAGTCGTGCGCCTTGAAGGCGTCATTGCCCTTGTTCTTGAGCGCGACAGCGTCTTCCTTGGCGCCCATGGTGGTCGATTTTGTGCGGGCGGGGGTCGGCGGGCACGATGGGGGCAGGCACGGGCGGCGACAGGACGAGCGGGCAGAAGGCGCAGTGCGGACGGGTGCCTTCCAGAGAGCGAGTGACGCGCAGCAAATATTCGTAGCTACCAGCGCCTCATCCCGCACCCTAGCGACTTCGAGCACTGGCAGTCCCCGCCGTCTCGCCTCGCCTTGCCACTGGTGCATCAGCCAGCGGGTGATCCCAGCACGCGTCGCCCTCCCGCAGCATGCCTCCCAAGAAGGGCCGCGCGACCACCAAAAAGGTGGACAAGTACAAGTACGTGGACAGCGTAGGCACAGAGGTCAGCCCGCCGCCGCCATCCAGCAGCAGCCGATATGCAGGTCGGAGTAGCCCTCTGTCAGCAAAGCGTACGCCGGTCAAGCAGCCTCGCGCGCGCAGTGCGTCGTGGGCCGAGGAGCAGGCGGGCCCAGCAGACCCCCGCGGGATCCCAAAGCTCTCTAATCGCCCGCCCTCCAATCCGGATCAGCCCTGCCAAGACTCGGAGAGCTCGTCCCAGTGGCAGCAGAGCACCCTCACCAATAGTCTCTTCCCACCCACCAAAGCCGACGACGACCCTGACGAAAACGAGGGCGCACAACCGCGGTTCGCCTTGAGTATTCCAATACCGCCGCCCACGCACCAAACAGCCCACCGAACAGACTCTCCTGTCTCAGAACCTCTGCCCCGAACACACTCGCCTTTCGCTGTCGCACTCAAAACAGACTCACCTGTCGTCCCGCGCAAAGCAGATTCTCGCCGCCAAACAAACTCGTCTGTCCCGCGCAAAGACTCGCCTGTCCCACTCAGCGCAAAATCCTTTCTCGCAACAGACTCACCTCTCGCCTCGCCCGCCCGGCCCTCAAAGCGCCCACCCCCAAAGCGCCCACCCCGCCCATCATCCACCCACCTCCCCTCCGACCCCCCAATCTACCACCCACCCTCGCCCAACATGCCCTCCATGATCCCCGGCGGCGCCTTCGTCCCCCCCAACCAACAACGCAACCTGCGCGCCTGCATGGTGTGCTCCATCGTGCGCACCTCCTCGCAATTCATGTCCTCCGGCTGCCCCAACTGCGAAGAATTCCTCGAGCTCACCGGCAGCACCGAGAACATCAACGACTGCACGTCGCAGGTCTTCGAGGGCCTGATTACGGTGGCCGACACGAGCAAGAGCTGGGTTGCAAGGTACCAGAGGCTGGAGGGGTACGTGTCGGGCGTGTATGCGACGCAGGTCGAGGGCATCCTGCCCGACGAGATAATATCAGCGGTCGAGGCTGCGGGAGTCAATTATGTGCCCCGCGATGGGAGTGAGGACCAGATCGTTCCCAAGGAGTAGCTTGGCTTGGCGGACGGAGATTCAAAGAAGAAGAAGAAAAGGAATAGGAGGAGGAAGAAGAAGCAGCAAGAAGTCTATGAGGAGTAGGGTGTGTTGATACGGGGACGAAACTGGGCATTGTTTGATTCTTAGCCATGGAGTTTGGGAACAGGGGATCGCATGGAAAAAGATGTATTCTAGATCAGGTGCTGAATTCAGGAGTCGAAACTCCCGTGTCTCCGCGCAGATTGTCCTGTCCGAAACACGATCACTCACCACGGCTGATGGATTGACTAATTGCTGTCTCGCTTTGACTTGGCGCATCGAGAGGAATGTGCATATCAACAGGAATGGCACCAGCCTCGTTCGGCCAAGCAGGCTGCAGCGCCAGCTCGGATATGTATTCTCCATTACAACGTCACTCTCTACCCTCGCTTTAACTTTTCTAATACTCTAGCGGCCGTTACTTGCAACTATGAGTTCGCTGTTGCTTCCAACATCACCACCCAACACGTTACCGCCTCTTCTGCGACTTGCAACTGAGTTGCACTTGGCGATCATCTCGTTTCTCCCAGGATTCAAGGACGCCCAAGACGAACATGATCTGGCACTTCTCCAACTCCGCCGGACAAATCGCTACTTTCGCAGCCTTGTACCTGCGCCTGCCCACGACGATCTTCTCTCCCTCGAGCTAGCCTTGTCCAGTCACTCAGTATACGCGTGTAAATTCTGTCTTTGTCTCCGGCCAAAGACCAAGTTTGCTTCAGCTATGCTCAAAGGCAAGACCAGAGCCTACGGGACAGCCCGGAACAAGAGATTCTGCGCAGAGTGCGGATTCGATACCACGGTGGTCGGGCTGAGCCAGCGGTATTGCCCTGGCGCAAGAGCGTGTGTGGACGGAATTGATTGGCTGTGGTGCAAGAGATGCAAGTTCGTGAAGAAACAGGAAGAGGCAAATTCGCAGTGTGCTGGGCTGTGCAGGGCGTGCTATCGCACACGGGGATGTAGATGCAGCCTGCAATGCGGTCGGCAACTTCAATCTACGACTCCGCTATACCCAGGGGCTGTAGGATCACCGCGACATATGCTACCGGGAGCGAGCTCGGGGCGCGTCCGCTTACACGCTAGCGATACAGAGAGCGATGAGGATGATGGGAATGACGTTGATGATTTTTGGGAAGAACAGTTGTGGCTTGCGCAGCGGGACGACGATGATTGGCGTTCAGTGTAGCGACTGTCTGATACATACGAATAAAGCAGGTTTCATATCATCGTCATCATTGTCGTTGTGAAGCAAAATCTCACTGCTTGAATGGACAAGTGCTCCAAGCAGGGCCGAGTAGTGACATCAGTTCTGTGTGCATATCTCGGCACAGTGTCAGTGGAATGGCCACCATAGTGAATGCTGGCGTATGCTCAATCTTTTCTGTGCGCCGTTCCAGCTTTTTGTTATCACGAGGGCGTTGCATACGAGGACTCAAGTAAAGGTTCAATAAATGGAAGGCCAAGCAAGCAACAAAACCCACAGTAGCAGCCATCTTACATCATCCCCCTCTCATCCATAACATTCGGTCCTGTGTCCTTGATGATGAACTCCCGCCGCGTGCTCGGCGTACTCTTCTTCCTCACCAGCCGCTTCCCGATATACCCCTTCTCACCCCACAGTCGAAACGGGTCGACGAGCGCCGCAAGCACACTGCGCTTGTTCGCCTCCTTCTCCAGCCGCACCAGCTCCAGCTCGTGATCAGTAAGATCCCAGAACCTCGTCTCTGCATCACGGCCCCGCACCAAACCCCACAGATCCAACGGATCGAACACCGTCACCGGCCACGGGCGATCGTCGTCCCACCCCGGCCCCTGCCGCTCCGTCACCCCGTCTCTGGCCAGAAACGTGCCGTGCGCCGCCGGCAGCCGCTTACCGGGGTGCCACGCATTGAGCAGCGCCGTGTTGAGCAGCATCAGCACGGCCTCGAAGACCCAGAAATACGCCTCGGAGCGGTACACACTCGACTCCCACCCGAGCACGTACTCGGCGAGCCGGTACGCGCAGCGCGCCGTCACGAGCCCCGCCGACACACACAGCACAGTGAGCACGACGCGCGTCTGCGCCTTCAGCACGCCTGCGCGCGTCGCCCGCCGTGCGAAGACGCCCGCCACGCCCCCGAAGCTGGCGAATAGGGCGACTTGCAGCGCCAGCGACGCGGTGACCATGTCTGCGCCTGCCTGTCGCTGTTTCGCTGTTAGACTGCTGTTGGCCATGCGCCAGGCGCCGTTGCCGATGAGGACTTCGCATACGGCGTCGAGGCCGACGAAGGTCGTGGCCACGCGGCCGGGGTGCAGTGGGAGGAGGTAGGGCGTGTAGTACAGCAGGCGCGCGAGGATGAGGTAGTTGATGAGGGCGTAGACGGGGGGGCCGGACATGAGGAGCACGGTTGAGGCGATTAGCAGGCCGAGGTCGGTGGGGTGGTGGGCGCCGGCGAGGCGCAGGGCGAAGCCGGCGGTCATGAGGAGCGCGGCCCAGGGGAGGAGGAGGGTTGTGCGCCAGGATTTGTGTTTGCTGGATGCTGGTTAGCCTGGGGCTTTCGTTGGAGGGAGTGGAGGGATAATGGTGTAGAAGTGGAGCTGCGATTTGTTCTAGGAAGGATGATGGTTGGTGGTGGAGAAGAGATGCTTACATCGTTTGGTATGCGTGCAAGGCACCTGAGAGGGTGAAGAGGATTATGAAGATGATGGGTGCGACTTTGTTGGGTGCGTAGTACCACACACTGCCCGGTGAGTAGTCTCCCATGCCCATCTTGATGGACTGAGGATGTCGAATATAGCAGCCAAGATCAACGAAAGGGAACCGCAGTCTTGTAAGACAAGATACTGAAGTAAAGAAGTGAGTTAACCTCGTCTGTTCGTATCCATTCGTGGTGTATCTGCAGTATTTAAATACCCATCCCCGAACAAAGTGGGAGAGTACGTAGGAAGATCCGACGTCAGTCAGGCTGAACTGTGGTTGAGAAGATGCCTTGTGGAGGCAGTGTTCAGGCATATCAGAAATGATACGAAAACGATGCGAATGTGAACGCGACGATCAGGCTGACAGCTTGAGCAGTAAAGGAAATGCGACATGATTGGCCCTATGGTGTTAGGGACGCCTTGCAGAGGTCAAATGCGACGAATACGATGTGTACTGCGCGTGATTCTAGCCTGAGGAAATTGGAGTATGCGGGAGACGGGTATATCTACTATTCGCTCGCTTTAGCTACTGCAAGGGATATTCACAAGCGACACCAATGAGCAGACAGTGCTGCAGTCCCTTTTGTTGCTCGTGCATTCTGCTCGGGTAACCGTGGGCGATGGTTGGCCATGCTGCGCCACAGGGCAACAGCGTGGGACGCGCTGATCGCGATTTTAGAGCCGACGGTTTTCTTAACTGACCGTTCGCGAAGATGGCCAGCACAAGCGAGACAACGTTTGACCGGTGATATAAGAAGGCTAGAGTCAGTTGAGGTCGGGGGCGTGAAGCAGGGGTCGTTATCGATAAGCGAAGCGAGTAGCTAGGGCCGATCAGCGCCCGCCAAACGGCGACGTTCACTCACCGCGGGATTGAACACGTGAAGCGTGACCGCATCGCCCTCTGTCCAACAACCTTGACGAACCTTTATTTGCTTGACGTGTTTCATGAGCGTGGCTGAAGATGTGGCGCCACCCTTAGGTGCTCAAGAAGATGCCCATAGGCCACAACACGGACCCGCGGTGATGGATGGGCTCTCTAGCTCCAAGGTCACGGGTATGGGCCGATCCGATATTGCGCCCGAACGCTGTGCTGACCAACACAGTCGAGTACCACGACCCGTCTGGCGTGTTTCCATTGATTCAAGAAGACCTGACTGCTCGACTACCCCTTCGCAATCTGCATTGGAAAGCGCCCACAAGGCCCCTGAGATCCATTGAGTCTCTCCATGTGGACCTCGTGCCTAGCAGCGAGTCTGCACAAGATGCAAGCGCCGAGAAAGAGAGACGGCATCAGATACCGGGTCTGCGTCGAACTCCGTACCTGAAAGTGTACCTCTTTCGTTGCGATGATTCAGATGCCTACAAAGGTACAGCGCGCAAACAGCTCCGCGATTGGATGAAAGACCACACTCCGCCAGCCCAGAGCAGCGCAGCCGGTACACAAGAGAACCATGATGCTTACGAATGGATGATAATTCATGTCGTGCTGCCCGGTACCCCTGCAGCCAGCCAACCGCGTGGATCTGGAAGCGCGGCGGCTGGAGAGAAAGAGAAGAGTGCTTCAGTTTTTAAGAGAACGACAACGACGATCCTTGAGAAAATCCGTGCAGACTTCAACATCGCTTCGAAGACTGCACCAGACCGAATTGCGCAGATACGGCTGAAGAAGGAACGCGTGCCCCCACAGATGCTGCCGGCTGCAAGCGCCACATCAACAGCTGCTCCTGAGACCCAGCAGGAACACGATGGTGCTTGGACTGATGTTATAACCAAGTTTAAGACACTCATTCTGTCTTCTTTTGATCTTCGAGTGAGTCAGTACGAAGACGACATCCGCAAGAACGATGCACAACGCTCTCTGCCCGGCTGGAACTTCAACACCTTCTTCGTTTTGAAGGAGGGCCTTGCACGGGGCTTTGAGAGCACAGGTCTTGTCGACGACGCTCTTCTTGGATACGATGAGCTATCGATCGGACTTGATACAGTTCTTCGAGACCAAGCCAATGATGGCAGCGTGTTACAAATGCTGAGTCACTCCGAGGACTTGTATCAGCGAGTGGTCGAAGTATTGGAACAGTCGCAGGGCGACGCCAGTAACAGCGAGGATCATGCGCAATTTCACGACGACAAGCCCATCGACGCCCAGAAGAAAGACTACCGAGGACTCATCCTTGCCAACAACATCTCAATTTTCGAGTTCAGGGTGTATATCTTCGCTCGCCAGATGTCGATTCTCCTCAGGATGGGTAATTCGCAGTCATCTCTTGCGGATCTGGCAAACAAGCTTCAGCCACGGCCAAACGCCAGTGTTGCACAGAAATCAGTTGATGACAGTCAAATCGGGACGAAATCGACCGGACATGTTGCCGATACTGAGGACCTACTCTCGCTCGCTGAGCTTTGTACGCGAGCGCTGAACTTCGTAACGTTTGCGGGACGGCTGTTACGTGAAGATCTGATGAATGGGTAAGACTGCCGCTCATTTGTATGGCATTGCTGACAGTATTTGCAGTGCGAAAGCTCATGACGCTGTTCTACCGGAGCAACTAGTCGATAATCTGGTGCGGTCGTGGACGTTTTCAGCCCTTGACCAAGTGCTGCGCGAGACTTCAACATCGTCGCTGCCATTCACCAGATACGCGAAAGATGCGAGTACCAGCTCGCCTGGTAAAAGCCTCTCATTCAGCGGTCGTGGCAAGGAGCAGAAGACGAGCGTCCCTGAACCGAAGACTATGATACACCCAGCCCGGTCTTCTTCTCGATCGGGCTCGACAGATCCCCCGTACCTTCAACCGAGTACGACTGGCCAAGTAGTATATGAGAATGGCTCATACCAGGACCGACCCGCTCCCAGTCAGCAAGGCGTTATCAACCAATCAAAGAATGGTTTAATGGACCTGGCTGGGCAGAGAGCGCAGTTGATAGGCATACAAAGAAGACTGCTCGAACACGTGGGTAAGGCCATGGGCTGGGCTGTGGGCTGGGCTGCGTTCCTGCCATCCTTGAGCCAAAGTGAAGACTTCACCGAAGTTGACCTCAACGAGGATGAAGAAGATGAAGAGGCGGCAGAAGAAAAATCAGCCACCAAGGAAACAGCGAAATCCGTTGATGCTACATCTGGCATCTCCGCAACAGCTCTCGTCAATGCCCTTTCATCTCTTGATCACTTCCGACAGTTCTACGAAACACTTAGCGACCAGATCTTCCAGCACTACCGTGCTGCCGGCCAAGTGAAGTCTGCCGAAAGCATAACAGGCGATCTGGCGGCTCTTCGATACGAGCTCGGCGACTTCCGGGCGGCGGCTATGTACTTTGGCAGCATGGCAGGCATTACGAATAAGGGCTCGCCGGATGCAAGTCTCTCGCTCTTTGCAAAGAGTAGATGGAACACTGTCGTGGCTACCATGCTGAAGATGTACGCTCGCTGTCTGAAGAAGCTTAACCGCAAGGATGAGTACGTTCGAACGCTTCTCGACCTACTCGCCAGGTCTTCAGCAAGCAGGATCTCCTTCAGCAGTGCCTCGAAACGAGCGAGCGATGACGGCATCTCGAACATGCCGCCGGACTGGCTCAACGACGATAAAGTTGACACTGGTGGCGTGCTAAATGAGCTTGTCAACTACTCGCAACAGCTTCCGTACGATGTATCAGTCCAAATGGCTGATTACTTTACCGATATTGCTGTCGAGCCGTACATTCGACACTACGATGACAAGGATGGCTTCCAGCTCCGTCTACAATTCAGACATATCCTCGAAGACGAGGTCGAGATCCGCGCAGCCAAGATCAGGCTGGTGTCAGCCACCTCAACCACTGCCAAAGATGTCTGGTTAGAGACACCAGAAACAATGACTGTAGAGAAGGGCCTGACTCGTGTATGGCTGGGTTGTAACGTGCGTCGTCCCTTTCCGAGTTGTCTCTACATTACTGACGAAGACAGCTGAACATAACTGGTCCCTACACGGTCGATAAGATCATCCTCGAAGCAAAGCGCATCGCCTTTGTGCACGAGCCGGTCACTAAATCAGAATCCCCCACCCCACTTGGCATCATCGCTTCAGCATCTGTCACATCTTTGAAAGCTGCGAAGAAGGCTCGGGTACAGTGCTTTCCCCGTGCAGGCGCGCTCGATGCACGCGTCTATCTGTCCCACTTTATCCACATCGACAAACCCCGACACATCGAAATCTCATGCTCTGCCGGCGCGAATGAGATCGAACATGCAGAAATACGTCTCAAGTCTGCTTCAGCCGGACTACGTTTGCGGACTGGTGATACCAGTGTGGAGTCGGAAGACGGTGTCATAGAAAACAACGAGAAGCCTGGGGTGATATCGATCAAGGAGATGCCCGCTAACTCCAGTATCACCCTCAAGATACCCTACGACATGGAAACGATCCTCCAAGACCTTACCGTCAAAGCTGAGATCGACTATCACACGGCGAATGGCGAGTTTCAATACATCTCGTCGTTTACCGTTCCCGTCGAGCTGCCGCTGGACGTGAATGTTCACGACCACTTCAAGAGCAAGTCACTCTTCTCGAAATTCAACATCAAGACGGCAAACCAGGTACCGCTAGAGCTCCTCGACGTCGAGCTGGAAGGGTCCGAAGAGTTCGACGTTCACGCGCCCAGACGATCAAAGGAACCCTTGCACGTCTTCCCAAAACAACCAGTAGCAGTCACGTATAAGATCGTGAAGAAAGAGGTCGATGCCGAGAGTGCATCAACCCAGGGCCCCAGTACGGGCAGCTTAGCACTTGCGGTGGAGTATCGCTGCTTGAATGAAGACGTTCTTGATCGTCTGAGAGAACACTTCGCGGCTGCCGTCGTGGACAGTCCGGTCGCTCGCCTCAGCCGACTGTTGATAGCAGTCTTCGTCACTCTAACAGAGCAGAAGGTGATACCGTATCAGTACGAGAAGATTGCCTTGCTAGACAAAGTTGACATGGGTACATTTGAAGAGCTGGACTGGGCAGAGTGTTTGGATAGCCTACCGCAGCCTACACGTGACGAAACGCGGTTGTGGTTGCAAACTTGGCTGAAGGTATGCGCTCTCTGTAGTATCTCTGATTATGACAGCTAACAATGCACAGAACAACAAGATCGTCTACCTCTCAGAGAGCATCCTGGCGACTCCGTCAACTGCCATCGCCCCTGCTTCGCCCTACCCACCACGCCGCATGATTATCACAGTCTCCATCCCGCAAACACACATCCTCCACACTGCTTCACTCGACCTCGTATCCTCCTCTCCCGACGCGGTCTCCTCTTACGACTCAAACATTGCCACTATTGGCCAACCCCTCCACGCAACCCTCCGCATCTCACACACCCGCCGCTGGGCCTCCTCATCCTCCCTCGTCACAGCCGCAAACCTCTCCTCCGCCACCGATCCCATGGACTTTGTCTACACCCTCGACGCCTCGCCTGACCAATGGCTCATCGCCGGCCAGCGCCGCGCACACTTCACCGCTACCGACGGCGAACCCAAGACGTTCCCCATCACGCTGATTCCGCTCAAAGCTGGCCATGCACTGCTGCCCAGCGTGGATATCAGAGCGCGTATCAAGCCGCGGGAGAAGGATGACGAGAAGACTGTTGAAGAAGAGGAGGTTTTGAATTGCGAGACAGATTGTTTGAGTTTTGGGGAGAGCGTGGAGGTTGTGCCAGATGTGAGAAGGAGTACGGTTGGTGTTGGGGATATGAGTTTGGGGAGTCCGAGGAGTGTTGTTTGGCTAGAGGGAGTGGGGCAGTCGGTGTAGATGGATGTTGGATGTTGCTGGTAGATTGTGGCTAATGCAAAAGAGCTTTGAAAACATGTGAATGTGGAAATGTGCCTTTTGTTCCATTCCTTCGCACGCCAACACGTTGGCCTTTGTCGGGACATTGGTCATGAATCTTGGGGCGAATCCCCATGGTGAGCGTACGCCGGCGTTCCTTTCGGTCGACGGCCAGCGATGTTTCACCAGGTGCGGAGGTGAAGGCGTCGCGTCAGTCGCTCTTTCACTTCACCCCGACAAATATTCTAGCGCACGCGCGTCGCAATATTCTGCCTCTTGTCTACCGCAGCTCCAAACTTTGTCAACAACACTACTTTGTACAGGCAACACCACTAGCCCCCACATTGTCAATATTACTCCCCGCAACATGGCGAAGAACGCATCTGCCAGGCTCGATAACCTGCCCAACGAGATTCTCGACGGAATCGCAGCGCAACTGGACCGGTCTACTCTGTATGCACTGACTTTGGTTTGCAAGAAGACCGCCGCCTCGGCGACCATTGCTCTATACAGCACTTACGCCAACGTCGATCCACCTTCTGTCGCCCCATTCAGCCTGTTCTTGCGCACGCTGTGCGAAGTACCCCGATTGGCTGCGCTTGTGACGACGGTCAAAGTTCGCGGTTGGCGCTCCGAGTATGAAGTCGCAAATGGAGTAGCATGGAGGGGCGTCGAACCACTGAAGAACACCGATGAGGTGATGCCACAGCGTAGCAAGCCTATGCTTGCATCGGCCAATAAGTCCCTGAATGCGGCCCAGAATAAATTTGACCTGTTTCACCGTGCTGCCGTACGTGCCGGCCTAGTAAAACCGGGCTCGCACTCGACAGCGCCGCTCAAGTCGACACTGGATCAGGATCGGCTCTTGCGGAATGACGAGGACTTTGTGCGTTTGCTAAAGCACGATGTCGAGGACGCTCACTTCATTTTACTCCTGGCTCTACTTCCTAACTTAGATTGCGTCGGTGTCAGTGGGCTCTCCGTCTATTCGACTCTGGACTGGTACACCTTTCTCTCTCGTTCTAAGGGCGCATTGCAAAAGGTGACGAGCCTGTTCATCCACGGCTCTCAGCCGCGCGAACATGAGCCAATCCTCCAGACGAGTATGCAGGTTTTAGATATCCTTCCTCAGCTCCAGATCCTCTGTATAAGCAACATGAGTGTGCAAGGGCACCGGTACACAGTAGCGTCGCTTCCAACCAAAGCTATTCGCACCCTATGGTTCTCGCGCTGTGCGATCTGCCACCGGCTGCTGGCAAAGATATTTGCCAACCAAAAACCAGAGACCCTTGTCTACCTTCCGCGTCACCGCGAGATACAAACCATACACAGCGCTGCCACCTTGAACGAAAACCAAATCACCACCGCGCTCGGCGAAGCCAAAAACTCCATTCAAAAGCTCTGCCTCTACCCCAATGGCCCCAGCCCCCACCAACGCACGGCCGAATACGCGTCCCTCAAGTATCTCCACATGCCACACATCACCATGCTGCCCCAAAACTCCACTTCTACGGCCCCAGCCGACATCAACAGGGCCCTTCGCTACGCCCTCCCCCCAACACTACAGACCCTGACCCTGCATAGATGCTACATCGACCGCCCAATGGAGCCCATCGTTCAGCAGCTCGTGGAACTCAAAACCGCGGGCCGGCTGCCGCACATCGCGTCCCTCTCGCTAATGTTCGACGAGAGTTTAAGTATCATGGGCTCCGCGGCTTGGGTCATCGTGGTCTTCATTGAGGAGAGGCTGCGGAAGGCCGTGGAGGGGTCTGGGATTGAGCTGCACATTGAGCTGGGGAATTATGGGGGTGCGATTGGGGCTTAGCCGTCGCTGCAAAGAGGGAGATAGTGCAGACTGCTGGGTCTGGCTCGCTTTGTTACGAGCGTCAGCCTGAGATGATAGGTTCCGGTCATTCAAGTGCATGGCATGTTGGGGATTCACTCGACTCTGCGGCTGGTGAGGGAATCAGTGTGCAACGGGGTCTGGGTGATAAGCGGTATTTTGGATGGTTCTTCGGCTTGGATAGCCTTGCGTCTTCTCGAAGGTCGCTTCGATGGAACGGCGCCGGTCAAGATGTTCTCTGTTCACTCTTCGGTCGCGGTGGAAAGCGTCGCGCTGCCGAGTCATCGCTCAGGTGTCTCTTGCACTGGGAGCTTCGCCTGGCGAGATCCTTAATCCCGCCCTGATTTTTTTTTCTTTACTTGCATTTAATAGAGGCTATGACAACCAGCAATACTCAAGTGTGGAGGCCCTCTAAATATTCGTATTCCCACGAGTGATATCTTGTAGGCCCCTCCACGTGGAGGTATAGTAGGGAGGCGAAGGTCGTTAAGGAGTAATAAGCAGACAGGTGTCTGATGTGTCTGCTAGTCTAGTGTATCTAAAAACCACACTACTGCATACTACACCTTTAACATGAAGATTGAGACCGCTGGACGTTTTATGAGTGCGTTTCGAGGTCGGCAATCGTCTGTCGGTGAGAAGGGATGTTTTGGTTGCGAAACCGGGACGTCAGTCTGTGGTGCTGATCTAAAGCATGCGGATCTATCTTGATGTGCTAAGAGATCTGGATCTGGCTGCATTGTGCACTGTTTGTACTGTTTTGCTGGTCTGCGTAGAACTTCCGAGAGGTATTGTACTGAAAATCTGTCAATTCCGATGACCTGTGCACATGTATTCTTTTGGACAACGTTTGATATCACAGGCATGGAAGCTATTTAGGCACATTGTCGATGTCTAGAAAATTTAACGTTCTCGACAAGAGAGTGTGTCACGGGCAGAGAACGCTGTGTTGCAATGGTCTATACAAAAGGAATAGACCTATAATTAGCGGGTAGAATACATGTGCAGATACTGATGACTGTTCTTACCAAGAGCCCTTGTGCAGGGAATAGAATCAGTATTGCAGATCAAATACATGAAGTTATAGATATCGATTCCGCATATGTATTGAATAGCGAGGGATAAGAGCTTCTCGCAGGAAATTATAATCAACGTGCTGCGATTGAGAACAGAAGCGGGAAACAAAGGACCCAACACTATAAGAATGTACTGGGGCAGGTCATGTCGAAGCGGATCTGTACGTTGCCATGCGCGATATGTGCTTATCCAATATTATTTATATGAAAAGAGTTCCATAATTTCTTTGACTTCTGCAGCCTCATCGTCGAGTTGCAAATTACGCTTCAGAGCATCCAGCGCACTGGGAATATTAGAACATCTAAGCATTATAACATCGTCCCAAGCGTCCACGAAATGGCCCGCAACAGTGGGAAATACTTGGAGTTCAGACTGCGTGTAGTCGGGAGCGATTTTCGCAGCTGCAAAGCAGTCCAAAGACAACAGTGCGTAGACGTGGTCACGAACGTCTGCGCATTGGGACTTTTCAAAATTACACAGGAGGGAGGCAAAATCATGAATCGAATCAGATGCTGTTGGAGTGATGTCAATCATTTGCATCCCTCTCAAGATTCGGGCCGCCATAGTCCAAGGCCTTGAATTTGCGTGATATACTGAAAGGCGCTGTGTCTGTTTCATACTGTGACACGAATTTTTGTCCGCCAAAAAAGCCTTTCGAACGCTCCAAAAAAGCTTGTCCCAAAATGGCTCCTCGTCAAGTCCCCATCCGCCTGTGTCGAGGAATTTATAGGAATCAGACAGTGCTTCCATACTCACCACGCGAGACCCGCTTTGGAATGTGAGATGATGTGCTAGAGTGCACTCTTGTACTATCCAGATCCTTGACCAGTATTCCAGGTTGCAGAGGTCGATGATGGGTAAGAGATACTCATTGGAGGTGATTAACCGTTGCTTGCGTTGTCTGTATGGCCGCGCAACGAGGGCCATAACCCTGGGCAGCAAGGGCAATTTGACCTCCTCGTCGTATCTTTCCCACTCGGAAGCAGCTCTCCAGTCAGTATCTGCAAGTTTGCCCATAGCCTTTGTGATGTTCGCGGTGGCGACCCCAAGCCATGCTCGGACTTCCGTTGCTTTGGAGTAGATCTGGCCCATGATCGCCACCTGCTCGCTGCGTTCTTGGAGATCGTCTTGGTTGATGCAAATGGCGTCTATCCAGACCAGGCCTAGGTATCGATCTTCTCGCATCTGGGAAATAAAGTTCCACAGGTTAACACGGACGCGGAACGGCCTGTTGTCGACGAATATGACCTTCGTCGCAGACGGATCACCCCATGTGTAAGACGCGGCGCGATACTTTGGAGCTGGATTTAAGGAAATAACGCTCAAGCAGCAGGAAATGGGGTCATTGGAATGCTTTGAAGGGTTGATTTGAAGCACTCGAGTTGTGCTGGGGCTCAAAGGGTGGTCCTTGTAAATGGCAGACAGTTCGCTTGTTAGGATAGTATTGCTCGAAGGGCCATCGCAAGTTCTTTGCATGTTGGCGACTATAGTGACCGGAAGGGCCGAGGTAGGTGCTCCTGGGCAGTGTCTGAGGGTTCGCTGCACAATATTGGTCTTATAATAGCACTTGAGTCAGCGAACGAGGTTAATGAAGATTGGCAATATAGTAGTGGCAGTGTGGTGTATTGGAAAGGTTAGGAGAGGGGACGGGAAGATAGGGTGAGTAGTGCAGATGTGGCTGAGACTGCTGCAGTGCGACATGTGGAAGGTGCCTGCTTAGATGCAGGCCAAAGCTGTCGCCAAATGTTCCAGAGCTCTAAACGTGTCTGTTTTAAAAATCCGTGTTTAAGACAAAAAGGTACCATCAAGTCGTTATTATTGGAGCGGCAAGTGGGGTTAGTCATAAGTAGGCAGAAGGTGGGAGCCATTTTCGAATCGTTTACTCATGACATGCAGACTCCGCTACTATTTGTGCTATCATAGTCATAGTGTTAAGGAATGACACACGTGAAATATCGCACGCTGCAGCAGCTTACCATCTCCTACAGGAACTGAGCGAAGAGCATACAGGGCAGATCCAAGTCTTAGCATCGAATCAGCGTACTTGTGCTTGGAGAACGGAAAAATTGATTTCAAATTCATGACTTATAGAAACATCGGTAACCCATGACGCCTAACTTTCCACTGCCAGTCGCTAGCAAGCGCCAACTGTGCCCGATACATCCTGTCCTCCTCCGACTGCTCGACCCCCCCAAGACTCCTTCGAGTCAGAACATCCTCATGCTCAACATCGATAAAGTACCGCCGGTCGACCTCACAGGTTACATGTTTCTCATTAGGCAATACTCCGTCATAAAGATAGTCTCTTATATATTTTGCCCCACAAGCTGAGATAGTGGAGACACTGCAATGCCCGACTCCCTTGATCTCCACCAATCGCGAGTCTCGAAAGCGACGTTGCGCTCCTTTTGCGGATGCCAGGGGGCAAATGGGATCAAATGTCATCGATACGATGAGCATGGGCTCTGCCGTCGCAATTTGAGGTGTCAACTGAGGAATATATTCCGTTGTCTTGGGCACCTTCCATTGCTGTCTAACGTAGTAGTCGATATTCTCGGCCGGGCCAAACATGCTGCTATTGACAAGTGAGAGGATTGTTCCCTCAAGGAATTCTTTGCGGTCCTGCGTCCAGTAGTTTGGGCCGCTGTGGGCGTCGTTGTTGAAGACAAAGTCGCTCGAGTTGTCGTCCATTTCGAACGATTCGTGCTGGGCATAGGCTAACCAGGCGTCGGTGGCATTGCCGTTGAGCAGCTTTGCCAGGTTTTGTGCGAGTGCATACCACGTGAGCGGCTTATACACTGTGGAGAGCAGTATTAGTGTGAGAAGAAATTGTGGTATATCCTGGTCTTCACTTACGCGCGGGAAGAACGCCGTTGAAGAAGATGTGCTCGTATGTGAGTTGTCCCCATGCGGTTTTGTTCACATACACGCTCATGGGCTGCTCTTTAAGTCGATCTCCGAGATCCATCACCAACTTGTGCAAATCTTCAGCCCTGTCTCCGAACGATGATAGAGCGCAGTTTTCCTTCTCCTTGATGCAATGGCGAAATATGCCCATAAATGCGTTTTCCGTATCGGTGTAGTGGGTGTTGTCAAAATCGCGGCCGTACCAGTGTTGGGCGTTGGACACACCATCGATAATGACTCGCTTCGATCGCTCGGGAAACAATTGCGCGTACGTCTGACCCAGAGTTGTACCATAACTAGAGGTATGTTTTAGCCGGAGTACGTTGAGACGAATCCATGATACGAACCTGAACCCCCAATAGTACATGTCTGGTTGTCCGATTGCATCCAGGATACTATTCATATCGGCGGCGACTTGAGGGGTGGTAATGTAACCACCCACCTCTCCCATAGTGTCTTTGCAAGCTTGAACGTATCCCTTCGCCCATGCATACATTTCTGGACTGTCACGCAGAACATCCTCAGTGCGCATCTGACCCAGTCTTGCCTTTGTCTCGCTATCAGGATAGCACATTGCACGAGGCACAGATTCACCAACCCCTCGTGGATCAAAAGAGATAAGGTGCAAGCCGTCGCCGACAACCGCTCTCAGCTGCGCCCCACGATGGTATAGCAATGTCATACCACTGCCCCCTGGTCCTCCAGGATTGAGCAAGAGATTCTGCGTCGCGTGCTCTCCACCACGTAGACGAATGACCGGAATGCGGAACGTCTGATCTTTACTCCTCGACAGATCAAATTGATCCATTGGAACGGTAAGGTTGACACATTCGAGTGGATGCCCGCCGACACTGCCACAAGGCTGCCACGACACCTTCTCACCTGAATATTGATGTCCAGAGCCTCCACCTATTGAATTCCACCCCCGGCGTTGTGATAAAATGACAAACACAGCGACTACCCAGGTCTGCCCGAGAGAGTGAGCTTGTCAACATACATCAAAGTATTAGTATCAGGGAGTACTCACGATGAGAATGGCCACTATGGCAGCGAAGATAGGTCGCTTCCATCGACCCGACCAAGGAGCTGTCGGAGGCTTTGGACTCTCCTGGTCATCCAGTCGTTGGTAGCTAGGCGCCATTGCGTCGGTGATTTCAAACAGAAGGCAGTCACGCAAAAGCGAACAATATGATGAGCTCGATTGTGACAAGAATATGCAATGTTAATTCCTATCTAGGTACCATGTCGTAAGCTTTAACTGTCTCCAAAAAATTTATCGTGCAACCTGCCAGGGACACTGCAACTACATACTAACTCTGGTCTATCGGTCCGAAGACGTACCACGGCACGAATCTCACCGTCTACGAGCTGACAGTAGCAACAAACTAGCGGTCAAAAGGATGTTTCTTATCCTAGTGTTACTCCGCTGCAATCTATACCGAATGCAGGAAGTATGACTCAACCACTACATCCGCACAGTCATGCCTAATGTCCTGGGTATAGCAGCGGCAATTGTAGGCGGATGGCCTGGGTTTGCCACCTGTGAGATCTCGTCCTGATATCTATTTCAACCTCCCTTGTGCAGGAGGGAATCTCTCTTGTGAAGGGCAAAAGTCGAATTTCAGTGTGTCGTGCAAACAGTTGATATCTGGCATGTCGACGCTCCGAAAGCTGCAGTAAAGTCAGAGGTCCGACAGTCATGTTAGAGGTCCTACAGTCAGATTAGAGGTGCTACAGTCATGTTACATTTCTTACTAACAAGACTTGCAGCCCAGGCTAATATGTAGTGAGACATACATTGGACGATCCTACTGCTGCGTTTGACGTTGAGGCTCGCATCTCTTGTACTTTCTCTCGCGCTCACATTCTCCTTTTCTGTATACTACTGCATGAGAAGACCCCGTATCCACGTTTGATAGAGGCCAGGATTGGATCTTACGCTGGATGCTTGCTGGTTCTAGCGTGGTTGTTAGACAGGCTCAGAACCATAAGTACTACAGCGTTGAGGATAGACTTTTGAATTAACCATTTCTTGGACCGAGAATCAGGCTTCATTGACAATGAGACCTAGGGTTACGCTATCCATACTATGATAAGAGACAGATATACTCCCCAAGAGTTTCCATAGTAAGTGCAAAGACGGCGGGAGCAGCGGGTACGGGGCTCAGCGATGGCATCATATGCCTCATTGAGCGACACTTGGTCTCCGACATCTACCGATCTGACGTTTGCGGCCCAAGCCAGCCGGGATAGCAAGCATTATCTGTCGAAACTGTACTCTCGAATCGATAGGTCGCGTCATTCGTTTGGACTTTGAACATCGAGACTACCCAACAGCACGCTGATTGCACACACCATTGCTCCAGTTCGGTCTGTATTTCCTTGGGGTTGAATGGACATGCCAAGCACACTAAGTAGACTTGACAGGTTTGGTAGCTGTGTATAGAATGTTAGGCGTGCGTGTGGATTATTCGCATGGGCAATGCTCTCTTACCTTGTCTTGAAACCGGCGTCTCTGTTTCCCCAGATTCCCCTCTGTATTCTTGCCGTTTCCGTAAAGCTTGACAAATCGAGAGAACTCCTCATCCAGGATCTCCTCTGCTGATCTCAGAATCTCATCACGATAACCTTGTACCTCCCACTCCGTCCACTTATCTCTCGAGTCTTCTTCAATCGAGCGAAAGAGATCAACCAGACCTCGTCGACGGGATAGTTGACGTCTGTGCTGAAGGGCAGGTCGGCGTTGAAGATCCGCAGTGTAGTACTGTGTAGCGAGCTCATCGACGCTGTCAAAGCCCAGCTCGCGGATAACCTCAATCGCCTTCTCGATCCGTGTGGCAAGACATCTTGGCGAGTCAATGCTATTCTTGGCCTGTTGTAAATCTTCGTTGTTGATCTGAGGCGCGTGCGTGTGAGGCGATCGATCTCCTTCTGTCGATGATCCGCCTCGATTGTTCTGAGTCGAGCTATTTGAGTCCCCACCAAAGTGGAGATCGAACAGAACTGACGAGGGTGTATTGTAGTAATTTGCCGGTTGCTTTTGCGAAACAATATCTCGATTTGATTCGGCCGTGTCGTTACACGAGTTGGAATCATAGCTCTGAGGTGTCCCTTTGGCCGCAGTGGGGGCGTAAAGCAAGCTTTGTTCCGTGAAATTGCGATTTTCCGAACTCAGGTATTTGCTGTTTCGAGGTCCATCTTGGTGACCGCCGGCCGACCAAGACATGGCATCTGGTGTGCGCAAAATACTATCATCGCAACTCTGGACCATATGAGCTACAGGCTGCCCGGAAAGAGACGTAATGTCGGCATCTAGATTCAACCCCACATCGCTCAGCGCTGACATGGACGCATGAGATGATCCATCCGGTGAATGACCAGATGCGTATAGCAAAGAGTCGTTCGGCGAAGGCCCTGCAGGGTAGGGCCAGAAGTCCATTTCGTTCTGGCATTCTTGTTGTCCAGTCAGCTGTTCTAGTATCTTGAGTTTTTCCCCTACGATTCGCCCTGACTATGATTACTAGAGCTCATGATGGGATATGGAGAACAGACGAACATACGGTGTTTCCGTTGTGCCACTCGGTTCTGTATGCGCTTTCGCAATGTCTGATCGGATATATGGTGCCAATCATCATGGTCGCTCGCCTCGGTTCTTGCACTTCTCTTTCGCGGCATAGTAATGGTTCTCGACGGCGCTTGTTTGATTCCTAGACAGTACTACTGTAGTGACCAAGAGTCCAAGACAATCAAGTAGGTAGCCTGGAGCGTGGCCTCTCTGACTTGCTCTGGCCTGCACCTGACCCGTGATGTGCTTATAGGTGCCCACACTGTCGTGAACACACCGCTAATCCGTTGTAGCAAGGAAGTTGACCGAACTCGTTCAGTGCAAGGGGATACACTTAAGCTAACTAATACTAGAGTCTTAGGTAACTAACTCTATAACAAGTTATAGCCTAAGCAAATTGTTATAACCTTTAAAAATTTACTTAGGTATCTAGTTCTAATATTCTAGGTTACTAGACCTTAATACTATAACATCTCTAGAAAGATAAGTTAAAATAGATTATAAAAGACTCTAGACAAAATAATATAGCAGGTAATTGCCTAGATTTTATAGTAGGTTTTAGCATCTACTAGAAGTATAATTTTAAGAACTAAACTTGTTTACTTTAAGTAAAATAGAATAACCTAGCTAAATAGACCTAAGAATAATTCTATAATTACTTGTTTAGCTTCTAAAGAGGCTTTATTTATAGCTATATCTTGGCTGATCTATAGCTGTATAGTATGTTACCTGGTAGAAATAACTAAAGCCTGTCCGCACGTTGCAGGTATCGATTTTGCTATTATGATGCTTCGGTTGAACACTATGGGTACTGAGACGTATCGGCGCCGTTGATTACGCCGAGTTTTTGTTATGTTGCGTTGTTGCAGGCTAGCTGCGGCCGAAGACAGACGTCAGCAGCCCGTGCTGCCAGACCATTGCGCACACTCTCCTCTACTGCAGGAAGTGCAGGGACCTCCGGAACCACATCTTCGCCAATCTTTCCAGACGGCACAATATCCGGACCGTCCCAAGCACGCAACAGCTAGCCAGCAAAGCCATCTAGTGTGGTTATGGTGTGAGGTATAAGTAACGTAACTGTGACTCGGGAAAACTAATGAGCAACGTCTACTAACTTCTAGAATTACAGGTCTGCATGGAGCAGTCAGTGATTATATCACCGTGTTGGGCAATATCTATTGGCTCACTGCACACGTTTGAAACGTTCGTTAGGATCAGCGGCACCCTTGTCTCCGGTACCCACCTATATTGCTTATGCTTCGCACCACCAGCAGACGCAGATCCTTGAGCAGAATGGAGATTGCATGTACGTGGACGACAGCCGAGCACTGGGGGGAAGGTAGTCCATGGCGTCGGCGAATTGCTCCTGTTCTGGATGTAAATTACAGTTAGCGTCGGAGGAGTGTTTTAGATTGAACTAACAGGTTAGTAGGATTAAAGGCGAGTTAAGTATTAACGCCTGCAAAGGCGCACAAGATTCAACCCACAGCAGATTTTATCACACTGTCTAGCAAATCAGCGCGCGAGCTTCTCTGCTCCACCAGTAGCAATTGAACAACACTTCAAACGGCTGTTGGTTGGTCATTCAAAGCGGTTCGGATCGACCACAAACTCTGCAAGCGTTCCTTAGAGAACGCTATTGAGAAGTCCTGAATCGAGCACATCTTGGTTGCCAGACGCACGCTACAGATGAATAAGACGTTCGAGAAATTTCTAGCGGAAGTCAACGTTGAGTATAAAGTTTCAAGGAGGTGCTACACGCTGCTTCGATTCATGGGCACATCACGGAGCTCACTGAATGTGCCATAGTAGGCATGGAAGACCAGCTGATCAGTCTTTTCAATGCCGTGCTACTGCATTAACGGGAAATTTTGACGTATTTCATCAACTGAGATCGTCTCGTTAGGTTTGATGTGCCGGAGGAAACAAACACTGAGAAGTCAAACAAGGACTTGTGTTCAAAGCTGTGAAAACGGGTCGAGATGAGTGGTTCAAAGGTTCCGATATTCAAGAGATATGTTGCAAATGTATTCTTAACCATCTTTCACTTGCAAAATCCCAGATTGACTTGCTGCGCTGGCTGTGGTGAGCATCAAAGCATGGGAGCTTCAAATGTAAAAACAATCGGTGGTACCTATTATCACCGCAGACCCCCGCAAAGTTCCTCCGGCCATGCTGTTACCCACTATTACGCTCATCAAGGTCGCTCAGCCGAACACTCATGGACCCTTTTTTATCTGATCTTTCACTATAGAGCAAATCTGCCATTCCAGCATCGCGATCCGTGTCAAGAGCATATCAAAACTATACGATCTGATACTACCCTTATACGAGACGAAGCAACATCCCTCGACGGTACCTCATCACTTCAGGGCTTTTTGCCACTCACCGCTGTCATTGTAAAGCGAAATATTGTGGTGATGCATGTCCAACGAAGGTGGAACCTATCTCCATGATATACAGGTGGAAGCTTCGAAGTTGCAGACGGATGGCGTTTTCCTGTCAATACCATCTCATCCTCCAACGCCTACATATCGTTCTTCTTGCAGCCTGGGACTGGAACCTGGGATTTCAAGTCAGTTTTGCGGAACGATGCATTAGGTGGACTAATACATCATCTCGTAAAGATAAGGGTCGTCGAAATCGTGCCAGACATGGCTCCATTGAGCTTGGTAGGTCAGAGACTGACGACCATAGCTGACACTTGTCGCACACTTCTTGTTGTACTTGCACAAATCAGCATTCGCACCAAGGGGTGTTTTGCATAGCAAGCTTTACCGGCCTGGCTTTAGTCTCCCTCTATTCCAGATCTGACCACCATACAGTGAATGGCAAGACCAGCATATCATGTACCATCGAAAGGCGAGAAGCAGACCAAGCGCTTACGTGGCTCACAATCATCTCTTTGTTTTCGTATGATGATCTGTGCATGGATTCTGGAAGTAGCCTCGTTGTAGTTCAATGCCGCAGCCAGTTTCTTTGGATACATTCCCGCATAGCTTGTTAGCTAACAGTCGAAAACTGATTCTACCCCTACTACTCACAGAACAGGGCTTTTTATCACAGTGAAAAGACTGATGGACACGACCCTGCAGTCCCACGTCTATAAAAACTTCATTTGGAGTTCAGGTCGTGGAAAGCTCATGGTCAGCTAGAAAACTTTCACATAACGACCGAAATAATAGCGTCGAGGCGAGCTGAAGCAAGTATGTGCTTGATCAGGAAGAGGAGTACGCTCTGAGATAAACACTAGATTTCACGAGGCGTTTGCGACAGGTGCAAGGCACCGCGGCTTATATGACTACTGTGCACGACTGATTCAGCAGCAGTGACACAGTAAGACCACACTAAATGTACTTTGTAGAAACCCATGACAGCGTAGTGTTAGCTTCGGGATACGCGAAAACTTATCAGTAATATGTTCAATGTTAATTAATCAATCGAGCTGGTCATCCCAGGATGCAAAAGAGCGATAACGCGCTTACCTTAGCATTGACATTGTCGCCAGTAGAAGATATACGCTTAAAATTGATCCTGAATTTTAGACAGATTCGTATCTTTTCTTCGAACATAGAGAAGCTTAGTGGCATGAAGCATGGAAAAAGGGGAGAGAAGCCCTAACAGGCTGTTGCCCCACCCAAAGTCAAGAGAACCATACACCTGTAGGCCAAACAGTGGAAAGATCGCTCCTAGTACAGAGCGAATAATGGTGACTCCAGCTACGCTAGAGGCTGAGTAGTAATTGTGTATATCAATAGGGTATGTGTTGATGCATAGGAAGCTACTCGTGATTACAAATCCTACAATCACAAATCTGAGCAGCGGAGCTATCTAATGTACAGAGTGTTGTGCTGCTCAACTATACACAGATAGGCCGCATGGCAGTAGTGGCCTAGAGTACAACGATACCGGCAAGCAGTACCTAACTCAGGTTTGTTATTGCCGCCATTGTGCTTATCTGCTAAGCGTTCTATCACTCGATGTGACTAGTAATTCGAGATGGTGGCGCTCGCGAGTAAGCCTACATCCATACTAATGTAGCCAGTTCCTGCGACGCTGTCGGAGAAGCCGTAGAGTTTTTTGAAGGCAAAATTGAAGGTTGCAACGAGCAAGTTGAGAGGATCGTAAACGAGCGACAAAAGAAATTATAAGGTTATAGATTGAAGAAAGAGTATAAGCTTCGCTGGCCGGACAAGGGCGCGCTTCCAGTGCTCCTGGGGTACTTCCCCTAAATTGAATTCCGACTTTAGGTCGAGTCGTCTAGTTGTCTGTTGCAATTGAGTAGCCTTCCTTTCTAGCAGGGTTTGAGCATACGTCTCACGTAAGGCTGAAAGGAAAACAGTTATCGGTAGTTCAATAGTGATGAACAGGACCTAGAAGTTCTAAGTAACATATACTTGTCAGAAACCGTATACATAGTTCACAGGAGAGGAGGTGGTATTGCACGAATGTATTGAACAATATCAAGTGGTTGGCTACAGGTTGTATTGGTAGACTGTAGACTGTTCGCTGCCGAGCAGGAACAGGGCGGAGTGCCTCAAGTATATATACTAGGCCCTCCCACCTGTAGCTAACCCCAGCGTCGGCCCATGGGGCTGACAATACTAGTCTGCTCTGCTAAATTCTATAACGAGTATATTTATTAACGCCACCCTAGCGATTCGGAGACGAAATTACCTGCTATAGGTTCTATCATGGGGTCAATGAGGGCTAATTTCAAGCTTAGTTGTTGACGTATGGAAGAAATAGTCTATGAAATCGCTTCACCTACAACTAACAGCCCAGGTGGCCATTGCGGATCAACGGGTGCTGGCAATTGTGGACTTGTAAAGTGACCACAATGTTGTTTAAACATTCCAGTCTGGCACCCTGCTACAAAGTTCGCTCAGAAGAGCGACCCGCATCTTCTCTTGTAGTCATCCTTGCGATCGAACCTCACCCTAAGCCTTGGTTGACGGTTGACGACGTTTTGGTCCAGTTCTGCCAACAGGAGTTATTCCGCGCCGGCTTGGCGGCGGTTCGCGGGCGGTGGCTGCGCGGGGAAGACGAGGAGGCAGCGGCGACGCGGGCGGCGCGCTGCGACCACACCACAACGAATCAAGGCTGCTCGCACCAAACACACGTGACACGGGCGGGCAGGCTGATTTCCTTGCGGTGAGTTGCCGCTAGAGGATTCTCGCGGTGAGTAGACGCTGTTGCAGATAGTCGCTGATAGCAGAGATGGGCACTGGGTACTTCGTACCACTGCTGGCAAGCACGAATTTCTTGTGCTGGCCTATGTGACCCCACCCACACCCACCGTCGCTGCCGTTCTCACTGCGCATCCAGTACCACGAGGCCCGCAGGGAGGTGGCGCTGATGCTCAGAGCTTCCCCGCCGCATACATGCACCGCGCGGATGGTGACATGGCGTTCGTCGCGCAGTCCGACGGCCACAACCTGCTCGAAGCCGCTGTCGACGCCGCTACGTCTACGTCCCCAAGGCTTGCGCCCAGCAAGTCCGCAATCACAACAACTTCGAGACCACGATGCTAACCTTGAAGCTCAAACAGTTGTGTCCGCTGTGGTGCCCGCGCGTCGACGTCCTGCTCCCTGCGCTTGCAGCGAGCGCCGTGCTCTTACAAGGTTCGCGAACAAATACAGCAAGAGCTATGTACCAGGCACAGAAGGCCTCAGTACTTCAATAACAATAATGCACAACATCACCCGGAACTTTCTTGATGCAAAAGAGCGTCAGCTTATGGCAAGAAGGATTTATTGCCTTTTTAACTAAAACATTTACATAAACGAGCGGAACGAACATGTTCATAAAACTTGAACAGCTCTTCTAAGGCTGCTGATCCGAGACTCCAAGACGTGACTGATTCCAGGTTTTGCTCCCAAGAAATGGTGTTGAACGATACCGATCCTAGCGACGATCCACAACATTGCGGTCGACAACATTGCGGTCGACAATGTTGCGGTCAACGACGTTGCGGTCGACAATGTTGCGGTCAACGACGTTGCGGTCAACAACACCGCGCTCGACGACGTTGCGGTCGACAACACCACGGTCAACAACACCGCGGTCGACAACACCACGCTCGACAATGTTGCGGTCGACAACGTTGCGGTCGACAACACCACGGTCAACAACACCGCGCTCGACAATGTTGCGGTCGACAACGTTGCGGTCAACAACACCGCGCTCGACGACGTTGCGGTCGACAACACCACGGTCAACAACACCGCGGTCGACAACACCACGGTCAACAACACCGCGCTCGACAACGTTGCGGTCGACAACGTTGCGGTCGACAACGTTGCGGTCGACAACACCACGGTCAACAACACCGCGCTCGACAATGTTGCGGTCGACGACACCGCGCTCGACGACGTTGCGACGATCCACGACACCACGGTCAACGACGTTGCGGTCAACGACGTTGCGGTCAACGACGTTACGGTCGACAACACCACGGTCAACAACGTTGCGACGATCCACGACACCACGGTCGACGACGTTGCGGTCGACAGCGTTGCGGTCGACAACACCACGGTCGACAACGTTGCGGTCGACAACACCGCGGTCGACGACGTTGCGACGATCCACGACACCACGGTCGACGACGTTGCGGTCGACGACGTTGCGGTCGACAACACCGCGCTCGACAACGTTGCGACGATCCACGACACCACGGTCAACGACGTTGCGGTCAACGACGTTGCGGTCAACGACGTTACGGTCGACAACACCACGGTCAACAACGTTGCGACGATCCACGACACCACGGTCGACGACGTTGCGGTCGACAACGTTGCGGTCGACAATCCTGTTTTATCCCTTGTAAGCTGCCTGTCCATAACTAGGAAATAATGCTAAAACACGTGCAACAAACTTACCCCGCTTCGATCGGCTGGGCGCCAGCCACAGCAATGCAGGCGAGGCCGACTCCAGAAATGAGGTGAGAGAGATGCATAGTTGCGATTGGTTGGTTTGAAAGTTCTTGTTTTGAGGTTGTTGATTTCGAGGTGAGGAATCTTGTAGGCTTGGATTGGAAGTGTTCTTTGGTGTGATGCTACAACGAATACCAGGCCTTTCACCTGTTATATATGGATGCGACTGTGGCATGGCGACCAACATTCTTCTTCGTGAGTGTCGGGAGAATTTCGTAAGTGTCGGGAACATTTCGCAAGTGTCGGGAACATTTCGTGAGTGTCGGGGACCTGGGATGCTCAGTGCTGGAAGACTCTGACTGTGCTTGTTACACATATCATGACTGTATGCCTCTATAACATACTTTGCTAAGGTAGTGTAATGTTAGGAGCCCCTTGCGGTGACTGTACCCGTTAGCTGGAACCTGAGTCAGTCATGTCGGTGAGCGTACTCAGTAGGTGGAAACTGAATTAGTCATGTTGTGCCGGTGTGAGGCCACGATTGCTGCATAACGAGATGAAGGCGTGAGGGGGTCCTCCCAAGTGCTGCTGTTATAGGCCCGTTGTCGCGATTCATTGGGCCGCACACGCTCGACAAGTTGCTCGATCACTAACGCTATGTACTCTCACACACCTGCCTGCCCTTACTTGGATTCGCAGTTGCCTTAAGAATGATAGCAATGTGCCAACATGAACCGCAAAACACCGCGTGTTGTAGATGTCTCAATTCACATATATTGCTGACAGGACTCACGAGGCACAATAGTGCTGGCTCACAACGTTATCAAATCGATTACACAGGGACGTTACATGAGATATTAGATGCTATGGGTTCGTAGTGATCATCCTAAGGTAATGACATTGCTTCTTCTTGTTTCCTCGACGTAGTCTCTTTTGGTGCCCGTGACGACCAACTGTAACGTCCGGCCCCGCGCATTGCCAGAGAACGTAAGCATCTCTCGTTGCTTGACATCAAAAACAGTGTCCTTACTAGCCTTACCATTCACGAGCCACTGTGCTTTCAACGCAACACCCGGATCCCAACGCCCTACGCTGGCTTGCGGCTCCGCGTGTAAACGCTTGTCAGACCGATGAGAGGGGTAAATGTCAATATGAGGTGGTGACTGGCGGGCGAGCGCAGCTTGACGTCCCCCAAATGCCAAAACCTCTTCCCACAAGTTTCCTCTCGATGTACTTCTAGTGTACTCATCTGAGAGCGGCGTTGTTCCTCCGGGGGCATGATGCGCAACCCACTGAAGGAGCAAGTCAAGGTACGTCCATTGCGGCAGCAAATTGTACACACCACCATGTGGCTTTCCCGGGAGCGCTGTCACATTAGCCCATTCTGGCCCTCCCTTTTCAGTGACTCGCATGCGGAACTGCTCAACGCCTTTCTCGAGATAATAGCCATCCATACCGCCCACGTAAACATATATTCTCCCTCGAAGCACTTCTCCCAGGTTGAGTTTGCTGTTCCAATTGCTGAGTATATGATGCGTGAGATCCATAGGTTTCCAGAGCTCCACCACATCCGGATATATCTCTCCTGTAATCTTGTCCCAGGCGGCGAGAGGATACCCGTTGAGACCTTGGGCGCCGAACACGGCAAACCAGACGTCAGTCTGCAGGGCACTACGTCCAGACGTTCCGAATGTGAGCTCCCAATGATTCTCTTCTTCCATGGTAGCCTTGACGCGCTCTACGCCGTCATCGTCAACATTCCGATTTGATGGTATCGGGAGGCCGTTCCGAACATGAACTTCTGTCTGCTCATACAGGTTATTGTCCTGGTGCCGGTGAAAATCGAGACTATCAGGATAGGAAGCGAAGCACGCGCCGTACAGATCTGGCCGAAAGATGACACTGGCAGCGGCCGCCCAGCCCCCGGTAGAACCGCCTTCTTGTATCCGCGCATACGGTTGGGCAATTGTGTTGAACATCATGTCCAGATGGGGCACCAGCTCGTCGTTCAAGGCATCGCCATACGGTCCCAGATTCGGCGAATTCACAGCGTAGGAATCGTCATAGAATGGATTTTCATGGCGAAACATGACGATGATGAGCTTGGGAGTCGGCCGTGCTGGTTTCCCGTCCTGGGCTGGAATTGTGCCGTTGTGCCAAGCTTCTGTGAAGGCTACATCGTGACTCCACCAACTCTCGCCCCCGAGCCAGTGAAATTGAGAGTATACAACGGGATATCGCGTACGCGTGTCCGACGCGTTGTATCCGGCAGGTAAGAGGACCTTGGCGCCGATGTACATGTCTCTGTTCCAGAAGCTGCTCAGGGAGTCGCTTCGGATCTTGACAAATTTGAGCAGCTCGGTGTCTTTGTAATTCCCCTGAGAGCAACCACCAATCTCCGTCCCATCGAAGGCGATTGGTTCAATAGTCTTCTGGAATTGCAGGTTGATAATCTGCGTCGTCCCACGTCGAATCTCGACTTCGCGTATATCAGTACTGAGACTCCCACTCCCTCCGAAGGCGGGACTGCCATCCCCGCACGGAAACCTGACCGTTACTGTAGATCCATCGCTCCGGGTAATCGTTTCGTTGTAGATGTTAAGAAAGGCTTGAAAAAAGTACACGCCTTGGGGAATGTCGTCCAAAGTACGGATCGGCCATCCAAACAGCCCGAGTTCTATATCGTCGACACTCCCGCCTGCGAGTACCACGTCCTGTCCGTAGAAGCCGAAGACGTTCTTGCCGAAGAATCGTGTTGTCGTATGTCCGACTCTGGTCTTGCTGAGGTCATCCTTGGTGTCCCCCAGCAAGAGAAGAACCCTGCCTGATTCCACCGTATTCGATAGTAACCCGGGCGCTGTGGTGATATGAACTGTGATCGTCGGATCAGAGGTAGTAATAAGCCGCGCCCAGGCGTAGATTGCGGCAATGCTACCAATGCAGAAAAACACAGTCATTGCGAGTAGTCGATCACCGAATTTTATCGCCGTTTTCGGTTCGTATGATGGCAACCGCCACCAGGGTGGATACTGAGACATCCAGTGTGAATTCATGTTGAATAACTCAGAGAGACAATATGGGAAAGGAGGTTAGTACCGATCTTTAGAACCGACAAGAAAGCGGAGCCGGAGTAGGAAAATACCTACTTGAGCACCTATCCTGAACATATGCCCGGACTTCGGCTATCCAAATTTGCCGAAAAACGACCGGCTTCTGTGCGTGATTTGCTGTTATGACATGGTTCTATGGCTGACATGCGGTGAGTTAACATCGGCCTTACTCATATCTGACTTTCTACTTATCACCCAAGCATTGGTCCTAGACGCCAGCGCTGGACTACTTATGGAGCATACAATGAATCTTGGTCATTTTTTCAATGCCAGTAGAAGACATGCAAATGCTTGTGCAATTTGCAAGCATGAATTGGAACTACTGAAAAGCTGTACAGATGGCCAGTGTATATCGGCCTCTATAGAACTAACGAGTGTAAAGCAAATGTCGACGATGCGGTCTTCCGAGTCAGGATGCTGTGCTCGCACGCCGTGGTATCTACCCCTCGTTCTCTACCCAATTTCCCATCCTACCTCTTAGCTGGTAGCGTAGACCGCTCTCTCGATGGGCGGGAGGTGAGTTCTCCTAGTTCGCGTTCGAAGAACTCGTTCAGAAACATGTTGATCTGTTCATGCTCCAATAAAAAGCCGTCGTGGCCATCATCGCTGTCGATCGTCTTGAGTTGGGCGTTTGGGATTGCAGCCGATAATCCGCGCTGTTCTTGATAGGTGAACAGGCCATCGTCGAGAATCCCTAGAATGAGGGTTGGTTGCTGGATCATTTCCAATGCCGATTTGCTTGTGCTGGCGCGACCACGCGCGACATCGTGGGAGTCAATTTTGCGAGTGATGGCAATGTAACAGTTCGCATCAAAGCGCTTTGTGAACTTCCCGCCCTGGTAGCGCAAATACGATTGCGCTGCATAGATTGTGTCTGGTTTTGTAGTCTTGTTCGATACGTATTCTCGACTGTCATGCTTCTCATCTGGGGTCCGTGATGCAATCCGATCCGATCGCAGAGAGCGAAGATTTGTGTGCTGTACGCGCTGTTGGTGGTCGATGTTACCGTTCACGTGCCTGGCGTTATTCTCTCGTCTGCCAAACCGATCTTCGAAGCTGTTCCAGGAGCGGTATGTCAACAATGCGTTCATCCTTGCCGCCCCGAGCCCGCATACTGGGGGGTCGTCAAAGTCGTAGTAGCCACCGTTGTACTTAGAATCCGAGAAAATGCTTTGTCGTTGTGCCTCGTTCCATCCTAAACACCAAGCCGAAGACTGAGCACATGATGCAATCGAGACCATCGTGCGTACGTATTGTTTTCCAAAGTAAGCAAATTCTAGGGCATGCATGCCGCCCATGCTTCCACCGACAACAGCGGCGACTTGTTTTACTCCAAGGTCGTCTAGCAGCAATTTGAACAACTTCACATCGTCCCTAATCGTCGTAATTGGAAAATCCGGCCCATAGTAGCCTTTGTTGAGGTCGCCGTCGACTGCAGTCACCGGACTGGCTGAGCCGTATGGGCTCCCCAAGCAATTGATACAGACGACGAAAAACCGGCTTGTGTCAAATGCTGCATCCCCATCGCTGCCTACGAGCGGATTCCACCAGGCTTCTAGATCGGCACTTCCCGTGAAAGCATGACAGACAAGGATGGCGTTGTCGCGGCCGGGTCCCAGTGTTCCGTACGTTTGGTAGGCGACGGGAACATTGAATAGTTTCGTACCGCATTCAAGGGCAAATTCGGGAACGATGGCGATATACTGGTTCAAGACGTACTTGATTAACGGATTCTCAACCTGATCGTGAGATCTGATTCGTTCTGACAGTTGTCAGCCGTAAGTACAAAAGGTGCAGACATTGAGAGACGACGTACTATATCGGCGGTTGCCATCTTTGTCGATGGGCTCCAATCTTCGTGCTGCAGTCATGATTATTTGGCAAGGTCAAGGTTTGTTCATGAACAGAGTTCACAACGTCGTCTAGGATGAATGCTGGGATTAGAAATCCTGGGAAATTCTCAAGTTCCACGCGTGAAGGCTGGTGCTAAGCTTTGAAGTTTATCCATCAATCGCTTCTCAACCCCCCATGAGCTTCGCAGATTGTGTGAATCAGAATGTTTCTGCTCGTTTCCATGACTGTAGAGTTTCAATGTGCATTTCGTCGCCACATACCATTGGGCTGACCAGGTTTCTGAGTCAGAGCCTGACTGTGTCATACAAGCTCGGTGGCTTTTTTTGGACTAGTGCGAGTCATGGAAAATGCCTTTTATGTGGCAGGATCTGGGGATACGGGGTTCAGGACGCCAATACTTCACAATTGAGACCATTTAGATCTAGAATAATTTAGGGACCACTTTACGCTTCTCCGAACTTGCAGATATCGGTCAGTTCCGGTGCTAACGGGCTAAAAATGAAGATATGTGTGGTGACCCCTAGCTCAGCTTCAGGTGCTGGAGCAGCTGTCCAGGTATTCAATTACACACTATCTTTGTGTCATTCAGTTGAAAATATATTGACATTGTGCAGCCAGATCTCGCAAGCTACATCAATCAAGAAGTGCATTCAGTGCAGACGAGGCAGATTAGAAAAGAGCATGCCATCGAAGACATAGACGAGCTTGAGATCGGGAATTTCGATGTCTTCATCAACTATCTGGTAAGACCGCAGCGAACTTTGCTCTTGATCTGCGGCCTAACCTTCGTTGTGTCCAGTTCACGCAGCAGCCAATCGATCAGGAGTGGATTGCGGCACTGAAGTATCTGAATTCAAAATACCTGTTTGGCATCGGTAGTCTGCCGGACTCTGCGTTGGATCTCTGTGCAGCAAATCTGAAGAGGACGGGAACCTCCAATTGCCAGGGCGATGAGCAATTTTCGCCGACTGCAGCGTTACTACCAAATCAGAGCCAAGAGTTCCAGGACGGCGATTATTCTATTCTGGTCGTGCTGTTTGGGCGAACTGCCTCCGCGTTAACACCACTGAAATACCAAGCGGCAGTCAACGATGGCCAAAAAGCCGCGTGGGTCCTTGCACCCGAGTCAAGCTTGAGCCACCGACTGCAAGAAACCGCCGTGTCTGCATTCGAGCAGATTCGGGGTACCGACTACCTGGGATACTTGACAGTGAATATCCGCGTGGCCGAGGCGTCAGATACCCTCATTGTCACCAACGTGGATCCTGCATCACGCATCTTCTATCCTCAGGATGTGACTCCATGGGACTCGTTGGCTATTGCAAAGACCCTGCCAGGTGGGCATGCAGCCCTTCTCGAAATTCTTCTGTCTGCCAGACTTGCCAGGGTCCCACATTATGTCATGCGAAATGAGGGCTGTGCAAGGCAGCATGATCGGCTTGCTCGTCTCTACTACACCATTCTCGACTCCACCAACGTCACAGAAAATCGATTGAGTCCATTCGTTGGCAAGTACGACTACAACGGAACCGTTCTAGACTGCTGTTCGGGGAGCGGGGAGTTTGCCCGGTTTGCCATCGAACATGGGGTCAAAGCTAAATACTCAGCGCTTGACTACTCTGTCGAAATGACCAAGCTTCCTTTCTCCAAGAAGCTTTACGAACAGCCGTTTATTCTTGGACCTGTTCAGGAAGTGCTCGCCAGTGCCCCTATGCACGATCATGTAGTGTGCTTTGGCTCGATGCATCTGTTGCAACCTTTTGACTTCATCTCGACAATCAGTCAGATGTTTTTGCGGGCCAGGAAATCCGTCACCTTCGACGTTGACGATTTGTCAGACACATACATCAACAATTTCCCAGATGCCAGTAGCGAGAAATGCTGGGAGAAGCTCGAGTATAACCACAACCACACAGCGCGAATCTTTCGCTTTGGGACGCCAGTTGGCTGGAAGGCAGTCGTGTATGGCGAAAAGCACTATGCGTATCGATCGCTGGTGATGAAGGAAGACGTTCACACTCATTCGTTTCGGTTCGAGCGGCTAGAGTGAGCGATTTGGCTCATCTAGCCATTGCGTCAACTAGGAACACTGTTTCAGAGGTCACAAACTGACACCTGAGCTCCAACGATACGTAAAACGAATTGATAGATAAGCCCGGTGATCTTGACCCACCTCTTGATGCACGCCAATCCGTTTTGCACGCAAAGCCTGCCTCACAATGGGCCACATGCAATTGAGGCTGCTCGTAGAACCACACGCAATATTTATCATCACGAGATATCTTAGCGGAGAGCTTTGCAGACCTACAAATAAGGTTTGATCTATCCATGTCACTCACGTAGAATGGCTGTTCGGCCGCTGCGTGTGGTATGGGTGTCTTAGAACAAGCTTCGAATTCGTCATCTGTTCTAACTTTGTATCATCGGCAGGCTTGTTCGCGGCTACCGACTGCTTCAGCTTCTCCACAACGTCTTCATCGGTACCTTTGCGTTTGCTGTTAAGAGGCTCTTGGCCATGGCACAGTGGATTTGACGAGAGACCGCATGCACACAGCGGTAGGTGCACAGCGACTGAACTCGCACAAGCATACACTCAGGACATACTGATGCCGTGAGATCCAACAATGTGGATGGCAGAACTTGACTCGGTTTCTCAAGAGCGGAGTACCTGGTTATCCACAGTCGACAATAGCCGGATCTTGACCGTGACTGAGTCACCAAAACCTGAGAACTAGCGGAGGTCTGTTAATGCCCTGTTGATGCCATGAAGTTGACGTACATTATCCTTGACTCATGATATAGGCCTGCACATCGACCTTTTCATTATCTGTATGCCGAAAAAGAAAGAATGCTTAGCAGTCTTCTAAAGTTAGAGGCTAGAAGTGTATAGTCCTTGCTACAATTTACAGAACACTAATATCTTAGTACATGATACGGGATACGATAGAGCAGCCTCTTTGGTGTATTTGCCTATTTCATCTAGTCTAATCTAATCTAATCTAATCTAGTCTAGTCTAATCTATTTTTTTATAGGGACTCTGTAATACAAGGGGGTAGCCTGTGCGGACGAGAATACGGGATGCCCAACAGAGATTTCTCGGGGTTTCTGGATGGTCGGTACCTGCATGTGAGGGACTCCACCGGATGATCTACGATCAACATCCAAGTTCGTATTTACGCCCTCACAGGCCATTCCCCTGTACTATCGTATATCACCAATAAAGCAACGTTATAAAAGTTTCCGCTCAAGTCCTAATGTTGTTGGGAGCGACAGTAGCTTGGCTACTGGCAGCCAAAAGTTGGAATTTCGGCGCTGCAAAGCATCAGGCGACGACTTTGGTGCATCATTGAACGATAAGTGGATTACTGTTTCGCCATCCTCCGAAAGAGCAGATGTTGGTGTCAACAATGGAGTTGCTTCTGGACAAGGTGTGGAGAAATCGAGATCCTCGCCCCGAATTGTCGCTCGTGCCGTTTCTAACGCAGTAACAGTCAGCATAGTTCTAACAACGTTATGTCATGTGCCTTACCATTCTCATACGTTACACTGATATGTGTTATAGGATTTAGGCCACGGGAGCGACGTAAGTGTGACAAGTAGGCTGCGCTCATCATGGTAGCAGGTATGCTGTGATCCGGCAAATTTGATGTAAGATCATCAATAGTGGTCTTGCCCTCGAGGAAGCCCAGCGCCTCCCACAGAATACCTTGCTTGATGTTCTCCATGTAAATCCCAGTCGAATTGGTGTTGAGACGCTTGTCTAGATCATTGACTGTGTAAGTCTTGAGAGGTTCGTCTTCGCCTAGTACCCCACAATTACGCCATGTCTGGATTTCGAAGTGATTATCACTCCCTAGTTCTGCAGTACTGGGCTTGCTGCGATCATGTTTGTCGTTTGCCTGGCGCGAATCGATCACGATTGTTTGGAACGGCCCACTTCTGACCTCGTGAGCTTCGTGCTTTACTCTCCCGCAACCCTTGTAGAGATCTGGGTTCGGCCCTTGATCTATCCAATCCCGGCGAGAGAATCCGGTGTGAAGGAGATTCAACTGCGCCATTCCAAGCACATTCCCGCGACTCTTAAAGGTGATTTGGAGCATCGCATCGACCTCTCCCATGTCTTGCATGTGCACTCGAAGTTCATCTTTGCTGTACTTGGCGTGCTTGCTGTATTCATCACGACCAAGCGCCTGACCATGTTCCTCGTGACTCAATGTGTACATGAGATCGTTGGGACGACTGAAGGTGGAAACCATTTCAATCTGGTCCGGTCGTTTGTCCGCACTCCATCCTGCTTCAAAGAATTTGTAGCCGGTATCTAAGAAGTGATAGCCACTGTGGGATATTTTGCCGTAGCCGTAGCGGAAAGGGTGGTAATGCTGGTCGACAATCTCATCTGGCAATCGCCACTGGCCATCACAATGCGTCGAGATTAAACTTGTAACAGGGCACCTGGTCTTGTTCCGTATGTCTGTGATAAAGTTTCTGGTACCGAGAAAGCCAGGATGGTACCGTCGATGGCTGTTGATGAGAAACATTGTTTCTTTGCGCTTTTGTAGCTCTTTATAGGCTTCTAAAAGCTCATTGTAGTCATCGGCGATTCCAGCAGCCTGTGTAGGACTGTTGCAAGCGTCGCTTCGAGTGGATATAGGCTTGTCCATGATAACATGGAGACCCAAACTCAGAGCCCACAGACCGTATGATTGGTGACGCTCTGGATCAGTCGCCACGATGACACAGTCGACGCCAAGCGAACAAGCCACTCCTGTAAGCGCTTCGGTAACATTTGCGGGCATTGTGTCCTTGAACTGGGGAACGAGTATTATCTCCGCATCTGGCAGGTGCTCTGCGGCATACCGCTCCACGGACGACCTATTGCTTGTGAGGTCGACTGCAGCGACGATCTCTCCTCGTCCTTCGGCTTTCAAGCTTCGAAAGTGCTTGACGTAGGTGCGCTTTGCGTGTGGCCCGATTCCTATTCCCAGTCAAAAGGTGATCACATAGTTTCGCTTCTCGTGTGCAACATACCTACGAGCATAAACCTAAATCGAGGGGTCTCCGGGGTCCCCATGAGGACGTATAACGCAAATCTTGCGGAGTCTGCAGAACTCTAATGCTGTATTTGAAGAGTGAAGAGGGTACCCCCAGGCGCAGTTACAATGAATAAAGTCGAAGTGCTGTAGACCGGTTTCTTTATTCCACACATGACAACCTATGCTACACACTCATTTATGCGAATCGAATTCCATCTCAAACGCTCGTGCGCCATTCTCCTGAGTCTCAATCTCAAAGGGCCATGGCTCAACATGTCACGAGACCCGAGAGCTTGCTACATGGCTCCTGACGCGATCCCCTTCGGGCGGTGGACGTGTAGTCAGAAGTGCAGCACCACAGTCAGGCTAATGTCACGTCACAGTCAGACGGGGGATTTCCAGGCTCCTAAAGCGGTCTAGTATTGTAGACAATGGCCAAAATTCGGCGAAGCTTCTTGGTGGCGCCGCAAAGTCTAATACAGATGTAGCAGGAACTTCGCAACAAACCCCTTAACAACATGCAGTCCTGCATTAACTGGTGTTAGCAGTGGTAAAGGACTTTTAACTATTCGGTCGTCTCATTGCTATGATGCAAAAGCATAGTAATTATAAGAGCTCGAGCTAGATTGAAGCGAGATCCAGGTTTCCGTCCGGACAGCCGTTTGCGATCACGCCTTCACCCCTACCCGCAGCTACGCAACATTGTTGAATAGCCCGAATCCTCATGTCTAGCTTCGCGCTTGATATTAGCTACATTGCAGTCAATATGGTTATTGAGCTATTAATATAATTATGACTAAGCTCACAGAATTCTGCACATGAGGGTAAAGTTAAAATCGCGAATTACTGTACTGCTAGTTGTTGCCCGATCTAGAAGTAGCAACACAGTGTAGTAATACTCTCTAACATTGCCCCAATACTAAAGCGGATGTTATGTCAACCTCGTCTGTTTCCTGACTTGTGCTGAGGTGTTTCAGTGCTAGGACATCACTTCGTGAGCAACAACGTGATAGCGATAACAAAAAAGACTGGAAAGCTTTCATTTTTCAACAAGCAAGCCTGAAGCGGTATCCCTTCCTCAACGACAGGTGGAAGATTCAAACAAGAAGACAGAAAGAGGCGTCGCTTGCGATCATGACCGCAGCCGCTGGTTCCCCCCAAGCAAATGGAGTATCGCAGCAGGATAACGGAAGCAAAGGCATTCTAGATGCCGCTCGTTTGATACACGAACCCACCCGCTCCCCAAGGCCTTTACCTACACCCGACTCACCGGAGCTCTGGGCCCAAGGCGAAGCAACAGACCACATGATTCTGGCACGTTACAACCTGGCAAATGGAGGATGGGCTGCACCACAGCTAGTACCTTACGGGCCACTCTCGCTTATGCCAACAGCTGCAGTGCTCCATTACGCCACAGAGTGTTTCGAGGGAATGAAACTGTACCGGGGCGTAGATGGCCGCATTCGCCTTTTCCGGCCTGAGCTCAACGGAATGCGCATGCGTCAATCTGCGGCGCGAGTATCGCTCCCCGATTTTCCAGCCGAGCAACTGGTCAAGTTGATTGCCGCACTCGCCGCCGTTGACGCACCACGGTGGCTGCCAAAGGACCGACCTGGCACGTATCTGTACGTGCGGCCAACATTCATTGCGACACAACCGTCTTTGGCCATCAAGAAAGCCAGCGAAGCGCTTCTGTACATCATGCTGGTGTGCTTTCCTGACTTCGATAAGCCGACTGGCAGCTTAGGACCTCCAGCACAAGGCGAAAAAGTGCGACGACCCGGTCTACGACTCCTTGCTTCTGGTAAAGATATGGTTCGAGCGTGGCCGGGCGGCTTCGGGAATTGCAAATTGGGCGCCAACTACGGTCCCTCAATTATCGCGAGCGCTGCAGCTGCTCAACAAGGCTATGACCAAATTTTATGGCTTCTTGGAGACGAAGAATGGGTGACAGAGGCGGGTGCCTGTAACTTCTTTGCCGTGGTCAAGCCGAAGGACGGCCTGGGTAAAACGCAATTGCTGACTGCGCCATTGGGGAATGGTGTTGTGCTGCCAGGAGTGATACGCAACAGCGTCCTTGAGTCCGTCAGTGAGACATTTGCGAACGAGCTTGACGTCGTGGAGCGCAATTTTTCGGTCCATGAGTTGATAGATGCTGCCAGTGATGGTAGATTGATGGAATGCTTCGTCTGTGGAACGGCGTTCTTTATTACTCCAGTAGGAGAGATCAGTTACGAAGGAAGAGTGATTGAACTACCTGTGGGAGATGAACGGGGCGAATCACAAAGATTAGTCGAGTGGTTGAGGGAAAGACTTTCGGCAATCATGCATGGCGAGATAGAACATCCTTGGGGCTATGTTGTAGAAGAAGGCGAAGTGCCAAAGCAATAGGTAAATAGTCGACAGCTACAAAGGCAGAAGCAATCGAATCCTCGTCTCTGAGTCATAATTTATCAAAGAGTGCACGAAGAGCAACCACGCGTTGAGGCCCATCACCACTGCAATGAACCAGAGGTTCAACATACTCTAGCTGCCATTGGAGTCGCAAAATTCTGTCTCGCCATCCATGGTTTAACTTGTGACATGCCGTCACGTTCTCGCAAGATCCATCAGTGTTCAGGGCTGGCATAAGGTGATTTCTGGTTGAGTCAACGACGTGGCACTGTCGGGTCATCCTCGGACGATACATACCTCAAATGTGTAGAACTGAGTCAGGCACTAAGCGGTACTAACGATGTTGACCCGACATCTCGTTTCAACCTAAACTCACGATTAATTGGCCGTTGAGAGGGCTTTAAACCGACATAAGTAGTTAATGAGCAAGAAATACTCTTGCCCTTCAAGTATCTATCTCTTTGGTTCTTTGGTCCTACAGTCATCAAGCACAAAAAAGAAAAGAAACTTGTCAGCAATGGGGTGGTTACTTGAAGGAGAAGCGCCAAAAGCGACCCCTCGAGGCGGAGGTCCCTACTCTCGGCTTAAAGAGCCTATGAAATTGTCAGGTGCGCTTGACGGAGTTGAGTATGCTGATATTACATCTCTTATGGGTAGAGAATATCCGAAATCCAGTATCACCGAATGGATGAATGCTCCTAACAGCGATGAGCTCATCCGAGACTTGGCCATAACTGGTAAGTAGAAACATTAGTCGAAGACGATATGCACTACAAGCACTGATACCTCCGGGCAGTCTCGCAGCGTGGAGTCGTCGTATTTCGAGCTCAGGACGACGTAGACAACGAGATGCTGAAAAAGATAGCTCTCAGGCTTGGGGAACTGACTGGACGGCCAGAAGAATGCGGGCTTCACATTCACCCAGTCTTCAATAGCGCAAGGGAGGGTCTAGAAGAGGACAACCTGATTAACTGCGTCAGCTCTGAGGATCGCAAGAAGTTGTACAACAGCAAGAAAGCCCAATCACACAACAACTGGCACTCAGATGTCGGCTTTGAGGCTGTTCCAGGCGATTATTCTGCCTTCATCGTTCCAGAAGTCCCGGAGACTGGGGGAGGTATGTATATCGAGTACTTTAACTTTTCATTCAAAGCTTGCAGGTTAACTCGGAGTGTGCAGATACCATGTTTGCATCCGGATGCGAGGTAAGTCATAGAAGGCGATCTGCTGGTCGCAAACTAACACCAATGTCACAGCTTTACGATCGTCTCTCGAAGCCCATGCAGCAGTTCGTTGAGAGCCTCACGATCATCAACGGGAGCCCGGTACGTAACACGGCACATTCTGTCCACGAGACATGTGGTCTTTTAGGTCTGCTAACATGTTGATGCAAGTCACTGGAGGACGCAGTGCAAGCAGAGAACCCCAATCTTTACGCAAAAGAGCGTGGCTGTCCTCAAAACTCCGGGCTTCAATTCCGACACGAACAGCCCTTTGTGCGAACAAATCCGGTGACGGGATGGAAGTCAATTTACGCCCTGGGCCAGAACACGATATCGATCAAGGATCTTGCATCAGAAGAGAGCCAGATGCTGCTCGACTGGATCATCGGCATTCTGTACAAGAACCACGATACAACGGTCAGGATCAGATACCTCAATCCCAACGATCTCGGTAAGTCCCATTTGAAAGATTGATACCTACTCCGGTACTAATTTATCTTACAGTCCTCTGGGACAACCGGAGCACATTCCATTGTGTGACATGGGATTACGATCATCTTGGACCTCGTAAAGGGAAGAGAGCATTGGGTATTGGTGAAAAACCTTATTTGGATCCAAATTCGAAATCGCGTACGGAAGACCTTGGTCAGTGGAGACTTTGATTCAGATGTATCCGATGTTGTTGTGGAGGAAAACCAAGTAGTTCTGCATTGAATGTAACGTGTCCCATCACTCATCCGCCCACCATACCAAGCTTGACCGAGCCTTCTCGCTGATAGCGCAACGACTGCCAAATTAATTGGGCTGGAAACTGTGATATACATTGTTCAGCTGCTGGTACATTGAAATTATTGTAAAGATGACCTCGGGAGTGCAACACTTCGGAGCAATTCGTGGTGGGCGCTGACGCGCAGGATTCGAAGTTGAGCCACCTCCTGATCAACAACATCTAAATCTGTGACTGGCTGCTGGTCTCACATGAGGGGTCTTTATGGGTGAAGCTCTAAAAGCTCTCGACTGACTCTGATTGATGGGGTACTACAGACGGTGAAGGTGCTCCGTTTGGGGATACTATAGGTGCGAAAGTATGGTACACATTTTCTATTGGCGAAGGTCTAGATTGGCGGAATGCTCCCTTAACAAGAGCTGTACACGCTTTAAGGTCTAGGAAATCTCAATGCTTTCGGTGATCTCTTTCCTTACTTGGGTCGCAATATCCAAAACATGCCCTCGGCTCTCGCGAGAGAAGATGTTCAAGTATGCCACAAAGGTGTTTGTGCCTGTAGAGTGATGGGGAATTTTATCACCCTTCTTCATGTAAGTCAAGGCCTTTGAAATGTACTTCGCCAGATCTGGACGTCGCTCTTTCAGTTCCTCTGTTATGTTTCCAGATTGCCAAATGCCTTTTTTGGAGGCATCAAACTCGGCGGAGACAAAGATCATGTCCGCAAAGTACTGTGGGCCGTTACGATATGGCTGCGACAAAGTCCGAACTCGCTGCTCCTCGCGCAGTGGTATGGCAATCAGCAAAGCCCAATAATCTACACCCCAGGTGGTCTCGACCACATCACTCGAGTTCAGACCTGGCGGCCGGATATTACAGTCCATGAGAAAGCAGGAGGGTGGCTTTGTGGCCGGCTCGCAGCGAGGTAGCAGCACGGGTGCGCCAGATTCGTTGTTGTGCCATTCTTGCGTGGAGTCGGCTACTCGAGCTTCGCAATGGTATATACCGTTTTCAAAGCCCAGCCCCAGCAAAGTCTTCACGATCGAGTCGCGCAAGATATGCTGCTCTGTCTGGGGTAGTGCTGAAGGTGAGACACAGTCGAGTTCGTGGAATGAATCGGACCCATCCTCTGCACTTTTTGGATTCTCGTCTCCAATCTCTGTTTAGTGTTAGCCTGCGTGCTTCGCGACTGGTAGACGAGTGAGGTAGCCTTACCCCAAAAGAGAAGTTCACCATTGTAAAGGACGAAGTTGATGTCCACCTCTGGGCCATCACAGTACGGTTCAATTACAAACTGTGTTCCGTGACTCGTGGCAAGATTGATTGTTCTGGCCCACGTCACAAGTTGCGTCGCATTGTCGGCACGAAAGACCAGTTCAGAACCCCAACCGCGACAGGGTTTCACGATCGCAGGCCACGTGACATCCTTGGTCAGTGCAGTCTGAATCAGATCCTCGATTCCAGTAGCAAGGAAGCACTTCCGACCCTCGATGGCACTCAGCTGGTACTTGTCCGTGGCAACTTGGTAGGCAGCGGTAGGCTCGTGGGGAAGGCCCAATTCGGCAGCAGCCTCGCTCACGGCAGCATGGTAACTATCAAAGGTGGTGAGCAGAGCCTCAACTGGCTCACCCGATCTCTTGACAGCCGCGACAATTCTTGATGGGAAGGCTGCGTCATGGCCAAATTCGATGGGAATGAAAGCCTTCCGCCAGTGGCTATACTCCGGACCTTGTAGCCAATGACCCTCGACACCAAGCACAATGACGTCAACGCCCAACGAAATCGCGGCAGTGTAGAATTGTCTTGCGCAACCACCCGTGTCTGGAAGAAACCCGCTACCTTCTAAGAATGCTAAAGTGCGTCTGCGGAGGCCAGGGACAGTCAAAAGGGTTGGCAATCGATTGGTCAGTTCGCTTTCGAGGACGGAAAGGGTGTCCAATAACCAGCCAGAAGAAGAAAGGGCGTTGACGCGCAGGCGTATGGCTCCGGCAGAGTGCTTTATCAGAGTGACCAGATCATCAGTGTCGGGAAACGGTCGCCCATCATACTGCTGGAGGGGCTGGGCCAAAGTGGCCACGGCTTCGACATAATCAATGTCCTGCATCCGCTGACGGACGATGTCCGCTCGGCCAATATTGCCTGCATGAGCCGGAGCGACCAATTTGATCGCTGTCTGGCCAGCGTTCGATTCAGTCGAGCTGGTCGATCGAGTCGTGGCATTCAGAGTATCGACCAGAAAATCGAGGGCGCAGGGATGGCCCAGTGTAGTCGCTTGGAGTTCCCGTCGGCCACGATTGGCATCCTCTATGTAACAGCGCAAAGGGCGCTCTGTTGATGTGAAATTGGCCGGAGCTGATAACCGCAGGAATAGCACGTCGGCGGACTGGAAGGACTGGTCGGCATTCGTCACGGGCGGCACCGTCCACGACGCTTTCCACGACGCCTCGGAACCATCTACGCTTTGGAGGACGATCAGACACGACATTGTGCAGCGCAGCACAGGGATTGGTCGTAGCTAAGGCTCCTTTCGTCCTGGGTGGCCTCCTGTATGCTGCTCCGGGCGGCGAGTCGAACGAAATGGATGGGAGGACCACGCCGCGCAGCGATGCCGTCCCCTTTGTCATGTGGTCATGTTGGTGGAGTAAATCATGCTGTTGTGTTGGAATCGTTTCTGACTAGGCGGGCTGACTGTAGGGCTGACTGTGCTCCATGGACATGTCATGCTTCTACCACCTCACAGTTGGCAGCAAGACTTTTGTAGCCTGCATCTCCCGCCGCGGCAGATTTACCTTCTCAATCTTTCACCGAAACGAGTCATCAGGATGAGTAGCACTGCGCAGATTGTCTATCGGAAGGAAGGGGGCTCCCGTGGGGAGCGGGATCGTAGGTGGAAGATCACTTGGAGTATCGCCGCCCACGAGTCGCGATTCTACCAGTTGGCGAACATCACTATTGAGGCCATCACTAATGCTAGCGCGACTGACGAGCTTGTCGCGGACATTGGTGCGCTGACCCTCGAGGATCCAGATCGGACGGATACACCCGAGGGAGATGGGCTAGCGGAAGGCATAATTGGACGTCGAAGTCTTGGCTTCCTCGTGGACACACTCCAGCGCACCACCACCTTACACGCTACTCAAGCTATCACGTTGGTTGCCCCGCGGGGACATGGCAACATCGTGCGTGCAGACATTGTTCCCAAGCGCATGCACGATGTCGACAATGTCGAGGCGACGGCAGCGCTCGCAGAGCCCTTGCAACTGTACACAGACGAATCATGGACAGCATCTACCTCTCTGTCAACGCTCTTCCGCACTGCTGCGGGCGCCATTCGTCTGAGCTCGCTGTCAGAGGTGTCCATCGCCGACGCCTGGATAGCACTTGAACGCGAGCTGGAGAAGCGTCTGAGTCTACCGCTCCTGCTCACCGGCCTGAAGCGGCGACTGCTTTTCATGGTGGAAGGCGGGCTCGGCTTTCCGTTTGGCGGTGCTTGCTCGTGGCAACTCTATGAGACAGCCAAGTCTTTGGGTATCGATCTCGTGGTCCTCGCAGAGGAAGGCCATGTTCTCAAGCAGAAACCCGAATACGGCGACTGGTACCACCACTTCATTCCCATCAAATGCGACCATGATGCCGAATTCCCCGCCAGAATCGTTTCCGCGGTCAAGCAATATGAGCAAGAATCCGGCAGATCGGCAGACGGACTCTTCACAGCGTATGAGAGCCACCATGTCCCTGTCTCGACTGCCGCACAACAGCTTGACTTGTCCTACGAACCCTCATCTGCGTACGAGGTCGCGACGGACAAATTCAAGACCAGTATCTCCGAAGGCCGCAAGTCCTACACCGCATCAAGTGTGGACCAGGCTTTGCATATCGCGAGGACTGAGGACTTGCCGTGGCCGCTCATCATAAAGCCGTGTCGCGGATGGGCGTCGGAGCTGGTGTTCAAGGTGGACGACATCGAACAGCTGGAGCAGGCTGCTCCCCGCATGCGATCCGATAGCCACGGTGCCGAATTCGTCATGGAGCATTACTGCAGTGGTCCTGAAGTCGATATCAACTTCGTCTTGTATGATGGCAAAGTGTTTTTCTGGGGTATGATGTCTCGCACCCTCCTTCTCGTAACACAAGCTAACCAAGGGCAGATATCGGTGACGAGACTCCCAAAAACGCCGACAGCGGCTCGACCTCCTTTGGCGAGCTAGACTATCTCTTCCCATCTCAACTACCCGAAGCCGAACAACAAACTATATATGACGCCGTTCTGCAGTCTATGACTCGCCTCGGTTTCCGCAACGGGATCTACCACTGCGAGGCTCGCATTGAAAATTCCTTGGTGGAATGGCGATTCAATTCGCGGGGCATCCCTTCCCTCCAGCCGCGTCAAGACCACAATGGCAAGCCCGCAGAGTCATGGCTCATCGAGATCAACACCCGGCCGCCGGGCGGTGACACTTGCGACTTCATCGAGGCTACGTGGGGTGTCGATTATTGGGCCCTCTTGCTCGTCACAAAGTTTCGCAGCGCCTCTGAATGGGTACACGCGCTTTCGCAGCCGTATCGCGATGGAGCTCAATACTACGCCAATAAAGTGTGGATCATTGCCGACTGGGACCCACCGAAGAAGGGCATCTGGGAGTCGGGTAACATCACGGAAGAACTGTTGCGGCAGCGGCCAGACCTGGCCAAGCATGTGTCGCAGCACCGCACTTTTGCGAAAAAGGGCGATCAATTGCGCCATCAGTCTACTGGGGCAAACAGCTTCGTGGCTTACTTACATATCTTCTCGAGACACAGTCGACTACATGTCCTTGAATTAGCGACTGAGATTCGGAACGGGCTTCAGATAGAGATATCTTAGACTCAGACTTGATCTAGACTGATACAACGTCGTTAGCGAAATAGAATACCTATGCCCGTGGAGCCTCACATTACCGCAAGCACATGTGCTTTTCGAGGATGTGAACATCTTGCTACGCTGCCACAATGATGAGGGTGTGGGATCAGCATCTCTAGAACTGCTTTAACCCTACCCTTTCCTTCTGCTTGATCTACCCTGGATATCTGCCTTAGAATATGCCGTCAAGCAATTTGACGGCGGCCCTCGGAGCTTACCACTAGCCAATGAGTCGAGCTTTGCCCGCAGGCTGGCACATCCCGGGCGGATGGTGGCCAACTCTGACTGTCAACGTGTGCCGAACAGTCAGCCGCAAAGCAACCGCAAGCGGGGTAGCTGCTGCGTCTCCTTTCTGACTGTTCCGCTTCCAGTTGCCGCTCCCGTGTAGCATTCGCACATTCAGAGGGTAAAAAGCCGAGCAGCTCAAGTCTGAGACGTTAGTCCCAGGTACGCCTACCCCATCTGCAAGCCCAGGGTACCTGGTATGGTCACGTGGGTTATCTACAAGCCAATCAGTCACTACTCTGTGTATATAAATCTCTTCGTTACAAGTTTCTTAGGATCAGACCCGTACAACGACTCCCCTCAACTGCGTACACCATGCCTCGAAGTTCACAGCCATCCCCAATAGACAGTGATGATGAGAACACGCCGCTACATCTCGAGGACAAGAACGAAGAGTCCATCCCGTTGCGTCCCATGGGCAAGGACGATCACGAGGGTCTCGCTCCATCGGGGTTGGACGCCGTTGAGCAAAATGTCGCGCTCACCAAGCAAGAGAGAGCCATTCTGGACCGTCAACTCAACGGCCTTCCATCTACCCGCAGCCACCAGAAGTTCTCGCTGTGGCCGTATGCCACTAAACGGGACAAAATGGCCATTGTGTTGAGCTCAATAGCTGGTCTCGTTGCGGGAGCTGCCAACCCGTTCATATCTGTCCGTCCACTCCTCTCTCAACCGTCCCGTTCCCAAAAGACGAGTAGCAGAACGACTGACCTTTCACTCGATAGCTACTTTTTGGTGAACTGACGGGAGCGTTCGTCGGGTTCGCGGATGGGTCCATATCACCCGGAGAGCTGCTCAGCCGGACCGACCACTTTGCATGGTATTTCGTGTACCTTGCCGGCGTCGAATTCGTCTCTTCGTACATTTGCACCGTGGGGTTCTACTGGTCCGGCGAGCGCATTGTACGGCGCCTGCGGCGGACCTATCTGGAGGCGATTGTGAGCCAGAACATCAGTTTCTTCGACACGGTCAGCATCGGGCAGCTCACGACGCACATCACCTCGGACATGATCGAGGTGCAGGAGGCGCTGACGAGCAAGTCGGCGCTGGCGCTCACGGCGGCGGCGAATTTCCTGTCTGCATTTGCGATTGCCTTCATCATGAATGCGCGGCTGGCGTTCATCCTGTGTAGCATTCTCGTAGCCATGATCGTGGTGACTATGACGAGCTCGCGCTTTGCGGTCAAGAACTCGAAGATCTCCAGGCGCTTTTACTCGATCGGCTCGAATGTTGCGTACGAAGCTATTTCGAACATCAAGTATGTCGTCTCGTCCAACAGCCAGAATCAAATGGCTGAAAAGTACGAAAAGTTTATTCGCGGCGCTGAAGAATACGGCATCAGGTCTCGCCTCTACATGGCAGTGGCATTTGGCTGGTCGAGCGGCATGCCAAACTGGGCGTATGCGCTGGGGTTCTGGGCAGGCGCCAAGTACTTCCTCAGCAGAGGAGAGTCTGACGTGGCATCCGTGGTAGCCACGACGATTACGGTGGTTAACGGTGCGTTTGCCATGCTTCGCGTCGTTCCTCTCCTAGAGAGTTTCGTCACCAGCATGAGCAGCCTCGGTGCCGCTTCCAAGATCATTCATAGGCGGTCAGCGATAGATCCATTTGCGACCGCTGGACGCATTCCCGATAGGCTGACGGGGGACATCGAGCTCGAGAACGTAGAGGTCGTCTATCCTTCTCGACAGCATACCAAAGCGTTGAAGGGCGTTACCATTTCCATACCAGCTAACAAGACTACTGCCTTCGTTGGTCTCTCTGGGTGTGGCAAAAGTACCATCCTGGGCCTGCTCGAGAGGTTTTACGAGCCCACAGCAGGATCGATACGCGTCGATGGTATTGACCTGGCTGATCTGAACCTGTATTGGTGGCGAAAGCAAATGGCTTATGTTGGACAGGAACCGACGCTGTTCAACGCCACGATTTTCGAGAACATCCGCCACGGCTTGATCAACTCTGACACAGTGGCCACCAACGACGAGGAGGATCGACAGCGTGTGATTGCAGCTGCGAAGGCGGCATACGCACATGGCTTCATCATGGCACTGCCTCGGGGCTACGACACCGAACTCCGCGAGAAAGGTAACTCGTTATCCGGTGGACAGCGTCAGCGCATAGCCATCGCTCGTGCGATTGTCTCAGACCCCAAAATACTTTTACTGGATGAAGCCACAGCCGCACTTGACTCGCACTCAGAGAAGGTGATTCAAGAAGCCTTGGAGTCTGCCTCTCGGAGCAGAACGACAATCGTCATCGCACATCGCCTATCTACAATACGAAATGCAGACAACATCGTCGTCATGCAGGCCGGAGAGGTCGTCGAGCAGGGAAACCACGACCACCTGCTCGCTCAGCGCGGACTATATGCTGAACTTATCCACAAGCACCGACTGAGAACCGCAACGACAGAAACGCACACCAACGATCAACCCTACAACAAAGAGACTCAAGGCCATAGTCTCGACGACATCGACGATATAGAGCTGCAGGAGCTTATCGAAAACGGCGCAGAGTCTGGCAAACCCACGAGCAGCCCAAACGAGGATCTCACATCGCAGAACGGCACGCCATCAGTCTGGCGCGCTCTATGGATGATCCTCCACCTGAACTGGCCAGAGCGATGGTACCTCTGCGGCGGCATCGCGACCTCCCTGCTCGCCAGCGTCAACCTGATCATCCCCGCAATCTGGTACGCGAACACGCTCAACGCCTTCTCGGTCGCCAACGCGCACGAAATGCTGCAAAGAACAGAGTTCTGGACGTCCATCTTCGCGGCCACGGGCATCTACGGCTTCGTGGTGAGCCTGCTCAACGGCGTCTTCTTCGCCGTGTCCACCGAGCGACTGACCCGCCGCGTCCACGACGCCACCCTGCGCGCCATCCTGCGCCAGAACATCGGCTACTTCGACGACAAGGCGCACGATCTCATCCGCATGGCGGCGCGGCTGAGCAGCAGCGCCACGGATCTGATGGGCCTGAGCGGGGTGGTCATCGGCAGCATCGTAACGTTTGCGTCGACGATTGCGCTGGCGGTGGGCGTGGGGCTGGGCGTTGCGTGGAAGCTGTCTTTGTTCTGTCTCCCGCTCGTGCCCACGCTGGCGGGGCTGGGCTGGGTGCGGCTCAAGGTCATCATGGTGTTCGACAGCAAGATCCGGCAGGCGGGCGAGGAAGCGGCGGCGTACGCGGGCGAGGTCGTGGGCGCGATACGGGTCGTTGCGTCGGCCGGGTTGGAGCGGTATGTGCTCGACCGGTACAGCACGATTCTGGCAGCGCAAGCAACGCAGTCTCTGGGGCCTATCCTTCGCACCTCTGCACTGTATGCCGCGTCCCAGGGGATCAATTTTCTGGCCTCGGCGTTGGCGTTTTGGTATGGCAGTTTTCTGCTCGCTCGGGGAGAGTACAACCTAACGCAGTACTACATATGCCTTATTGCTCTGGTCTGGGGCGCTGCAGTCGCTGGCGCGCTGTTCAACTTTGCTCCCAACATGAGCAAGGCGGCACTTGCTGCGCATGAGCTGCAGCAACTGTACGACCGGACGCCAGAGATAGACTCCTTGTCCCCGCGAGGAAAGCGAGTGACCCGGGAGGACAACGAGGGCCACATCGCCCTGGAAAACGTCTCGCTTGCGTACCCGTCCAACCCGCAAACCATGGTCCTGCGCCACATCAACATCGACATTCCGGTGGGCAAGTTCGTTGCCATCGTCGGCGGCAGCGGCAGCGGGAAGAGCTCAGTGATGGCGCTGCTGGAGCGCTTCTACGACCCGACACACGGCCGCATCATCATGGACGGGCAGGACCTGCGCGCGCTGCACCTCGCCAGCTACCGGCAGATGCTATCCCTCGTGAGCCAAGAGCCCGCCGTGTTCTCCGGCACGATCCGCGAGAACCTGCTGATCGGACAAGACGCGTTCGAACTCGTCAGCGAGACACGGCTGCAGGCCAGCTGCCGGGCGGCCAACATCCACGACTTCATTGCGTCGCTGCCGGACGGCTACGAGACGCAGGTCGGGTCCGGCGGCAGCATGCTGTCGGGCGGGCAGAAGCAGCGGCTCACGATTGCGCGCGCGCTGCTGCGCGACACGCCGGTGCTGCTGCTGGACGAGGCGACGTCGGGGCTGGACAACAGCAGCGAGAAGCTCGTGTTGACGGCGTTGGAGGCGTCACGGCTGGGGCGCACGACTGTTGCTATTGCGCACCGGCTGGCGACGGTCCAGCATGCGGATATTATTTATGTCTTGGACAAGGGGAAGCTGGTTGAACAGGGCACCCATGGCGCGTTGCTGCGGATGCAAGGCGTTTATCATGCCCTGGTTCGGTCGCAGGGGCTGTAGCTGTTGGTGGGTAGTTGTTTCGTCGATTGGTGCGTGAGACGGTGCGATGCTGTATATCGGTGCCTGTAAGAATACGCAGACCCCCACAACCATGAAACAGAGATGTACTTGTAGGTAGTAAGGGCCTCTAACTGGCTATAGGAGTCTGGTTGGACGTCCTGCAGGGCAATAATGTGGAAACGAACCAATGATAGGATGATTTGCTACCATGGTACGTACCTACATCATGTAATCTGTTCCATGGTTGGGGGGTCTGCACAAATCGCCAACGATTGTGTATGTACACAGTCCTCAGACTGCGCTTTTTGGTTTGGTCAAGCCACTCTTGCTACAAACAGAGAGGCGAGAGCCAGATGACAATGGAGATACCGAGGGGAATAACGATGGAGATGGCGGTGGCTGTGAGGCGGGCTGGACCCTTCTTGTCGGCCCCAGTCTGCTGGACCCTTGTTGCGGATTGTCTGTTGGATGCTTCTTGGAAACTGTTTGCTGGACCCTTTTTGTCACCTGTCAGGTGGACCCTGCGTACCAGAAAAGTCTCCTTCTGTTTAGACCCTTTTCTTCGGACCCTTTTAGACCTTGCTTTTTGGACCCTTCTGCCAGATCTTCTATCGGTGTCTGCCAAATGTGCGGACCCCTTATAGCTGGCACATGGGTGTAAACACTGGTAGCGTACCAGCCTATATATATTGGTGAGTATGGTCAGTGGCTCCTGTCTTTGGTTTAACCCTGCATCCTGTTAGACCAGTAACAGACAGTCACTTATAGGCACATATTCAGGCATTCCATGTACAGCCTGCAGTAGTGTCCCAGATATAAGGGGGTCCACACATTCGGCAAGCATTATATAAGACCCTGACTGCTGGAGGCCCATCTCTTCGGACCCTTCGCCTTAGACCCTTGTGTCCAACTCTGGCGGCTAGATCCCGCGCCACGCGTTACCAAATCCCTCGTCTATAGAGCTTCTTGCCCACGGTTTCGAATCCAGAACGCGTTGGCCGTTCTCTCGCCTAGAACGTGGCGATGAGATGCGATGCGCGTCCTGACATGACGTTGAACATACATGACGAGACGCCCAGCTCAGGTAAAAACTGTTTGATGCATCTGCTGGCACTTGCCTTGAAGCCTTCGAAATTTCCGAGAACTTGTGCTGGCGGTGGTCGACCAACTCGCCGAGAAGTCCAGATAGGCTAACCATGCTTTCGAAAAGCATGAGCAGCAAGATGTGCACGAGTTCGTCGAGATGCTATGTGCGGAGTTCTGCCCGACCATCAACTTAGTCTGGGCAGCCTTTGACTCCGCGCGAGAGTTCCAGTGCGACCTATGCAAATTCGACAGTCAAGTGAGACCAGGCATCCTACAGCTGATATCGTAGCACTGTTCAAAGACTTTCCTGAGGGAAAAGTGGTTCCGTTGCTCGACCTGATCCCGTCCGGCGATGGGGGTTGGAGGAAGATACCTGGCTCTCGTCTCCCCGAAGAGATGTGCGCCCACGGCAGTAGGACAGATGTGGGGACTCGCTCACGCGAAGCACTAATACAGTTGCCTCCGCTTGTCAAAGCTCTGTTGAAGCGCTGGGTGTTTGGCGCATATGGCCAGAAGACCACAAGCAAAGTCTTCATCCCAACGGCGTATTTTGACTTGGGCGGCAGGAGGTTTCTTGTGGGTGCGGTGATCTGTCACATTGGGTCGGGCCTTGACGGTGGCCATAATTATATACCATTGTTCGCAAGACGAGAGAGAAGAAGTCCAAGTGGATCTTGCTCAACAATGATACGCGCTCTGAGCTGGAGTGGAACGATCCCAAATTGAGCCAAAGCGACGCATACTTGGTCTTCCTTGAGGAAGTGAACCCGGAGGTAGAAGCTGCTGAAGCTCAGAAGGAGAAGGAAGAGAAGCGCAAGGCTGAGGCTGTGGAAGAAGAGGCCGCCAAGCGGAAGGCCGAGAAGCAGGCCAAATCCCAGACGGACGCTGAAATACCAACAAAGCCCCCGGTCCTACAGAGCTCAAACGACGAGCTGGGTGCACTCGTTGAGCGATTGCAGACGGAACGGGAGAAGATCGAGCGCGAGAAGACTGCACGTGAGGCTCAGCAGGAAACCGCGGTCAAGGCTCGTGACAAACCCTCCCTTTGGATGCCGAAATCAGCAAGGCCGGGGAAGAAGCAGCCATGAGAAAGGCGAGACTGGGCGCTGAGGGTGCAGAAGCCGGACAGGAAGATGCTGCTGGAAAGGAGGGGAGAGGGGATGCGGGAGCTGAGTAGACGGGGCTGGGAGCAGAGATGGAGATGGTGAGGAGGGTTGGATGAGGGTTAATCTATGACCTGAAGTGGAAAAGCATGGCTACCGTAGATGACTGTTTACTATCCACTGTTTCCTCTTAACTGTTTACTATCAACTGTCTCCTTTGCTATGCAGACTATTTAGAAAGAAAAAAGAGCCGTGGGCATCGTGGAGTACGTAAATCGTGGCCTCGCGAGGGGGCGCGAGGCTGGTGTGCAGTCTGGTAATGCAGTCTGGTGTAGTCTGTGTGGTGCTATGCCGCAGCGCTATGCTATGAGATGCAATGCTGAGATGCAATGCCATGCAATGAGATGCAATGCAATGCAATGAGATCCAGAATGCAGAATGCAGAATGCAGTACGCAGGTGCCAGAACGCAGTACGCAATGTGCAGCAAGCGACTAGAAACGCGATGGGGCGTGTGTGCAATACGCAGTCTGCCAAGGCAAACACCTCGACGCAAGCACGCCGCAGCGCCATAAAATCCAGGAAAAACAAAAGAAACCAATAGAACAAAAGGGAAGAAAGGAAAGAAAAACACCCCGAGACGGCGTGGTGCCGTGCGGTGCAGCGCGGCTAGAACATCTCGTGCCCCAGGCCGCCGTACCCGTCGTCGGCCTCCGCGTCCACGTTATCGCGCTTTTCGCGCTTCTCACCCCCCTTCCCCTCTCCCTGTTCATGCTCATGTCCACCCTCTCCCTCTCCCTGTCCCTGTCCACCCCCCTTACTACCCCCAAACACACCGACCCTCCGCCCCTCGACCCCCTTAGGCAACAAAGGCACAGGCGGCACCCCGCCCCCGGGCCTAACAACGACGACCTCGTCTTCTTCATCTGTGTGTGCGTGTGGGACTTGCTCTCTGCGACTGCGAGCGCGCTTCTGCTTCTGGGCGCGGGATTTGCGGATGCGTTTTGGGGCGCGGGAGGGTTCGGGGTGCTGTGGTTCTGGGTCTGGTTCTGGTTCTGGTTCTAAATTTGGGTTTGGTTCGGCGGCGGGGGGGTCGTGGTGGTGGAGGTCGTCCTGCGGGGGTCCATGCTGCTGGGGCTCGGGCTGCTGAACGGCGTCGCGCAGGACCGTACTGGCCTCGACAGGCTCCGCATCAGAATCGCTAGACACAGCGGCATCATCGTCCAGCACTCGCCGCCGCTTGCCGCCGCCGCGCTCACCGCGCTCCGGCCCCGCCTCAAACCCATCAAACCCCGCCGGCACATCCGGCACGGGCGGCACCATCGGCACCTCCTCGCCCTCCCCCCCAGCCAGCCGTGCAAGCTCCGCCCTTGCACTCGCCAGCTTGATCTCCAGACTACTAACACGCCGCGACAGCCTGCGCTGCTTACTCAGATCCCGCTTCGACGGCGATCTTGCGACGCTTCCCGGTGTGCGGGCGCTGAGGGAGCGGGGCGTCGAAGCGGCCGCCGAAGCCGCGGCCGCGCGCATACTCGCCGCCGAACCCGGGGGCCGCGGTGTGGGGCCGCGGGTGCGCGTAGGTGTGTGCGCGGGCGAAGGTGCCGGGCCGGGGTGGCGGGGCAGGGGGGGCGCAGAAGGGGAGCGGCGGGAGAGGCGAGTCGGCGTGAGTGAAGGTGTGGGAGCGCACGGGCATGCTGGGTCTCCTGGAGGCGTCAGCCGCGTCTGCGCCCACGAAGCGGATCGACGAGGTGGAGGTGGAGGCTGTGGACGACGCGGACGTCGACGCCATGCGGGACATGGGGGGTGCCGTGGGCGCCGACGCCACTGTGGTCGTCGATGCTGGCGACGCCGACGCCGACGACGCCGCGGACGGGGAGGTGCTCGACGTACCGGCAGACGCAGCCCGCGCCGCCAGCCCGGGCCGCACGTAGACGGTGGGCGCGGGGAGCAGGCCCTGGGCCTTTGCGAGGTGGTACGCGGCCTCGGCAGCGCGCTTGCGTTCGTCGAGGAGCGCCTGCTCGGGCGAGACGTCAGCCGGGGGGCCGTCCTCGTGGTCGTCGGCGGCCTTGCGCTTGCCCAGCACGCTGCTGAGCACGCTTGCGAACGCGCGCGAGAAGCGGTTGAACGTGCCCTCGGCCGTGGCCAGCGTGACGACACTGTTCTTGCGCGGCGCCCGGTGCGGTGCGATGCGGCGCGGCTTCCTGCCCGCGTCGCCCTCGTCCAGGCCCTCCGTCTCGTCCATCTCGTGGGTCGTGTGGCCGGGTTCCTTCACCGCGCCCCACACCAGGCGCTTTGCCCGCCCGCCGCTCGCGGGCCGCGTGCTCTCCTCGGCATAGGCGTCCATCAGCGCTTCCGTGTCGGCGCCGACGGTTTTCCACAGCTCCTCGGGCGGCGCGCGGATGCTGCCCGCGGTGTTGGTGTGCTCGCGGAAGCGCGAGACGCGCGCGTTGTCGTCGGCCATGGCGCTGGAATGCGCGTGAGTGCTGCGGGGACGATGACGCGGCGGTGTTTGGAATGCGGTGTTTGTTTTGGACGAGCTGCTCCGCGGTTGTTGCTGGGTTAGGGTGCGCGCTAGTGTGCTGCATCGGGCGATCAGAGGGAAAATCAGGTATTCAGGTGCAATGAGTAGCTGCGGTAATCTATTCGTATTTTACATGTACACGCTGTCAATGCAATCCGGCATTGTCTATCCGTCTGACAGTTCCATCTTCGTACACGCCAATCTCGCTCAATGCACGATAACATCTACAACTTGGCCTTGGCCTTGCTCTCCGCTGCGAGTCCCTCCTCGTAGCAGTCGTCGAGGTGCTGTCTGAACGCCTTCGCTGTCTGCGGGCGCTTGAGCTTCAATCTGGTACATGTCAGTAGGGTTCATCTATAGTCAGCCCACCGAGACTTACGTGGGAGTCAAGAGCTGGTTGTCGATCGTGAACGGATCCAGGAACAGGCGCACCGCCTTGACCTTCTCGTAGCTGTTGAACTTGTTCTTGGTGCCGATCTTGTTGAGCTCCTTGAGCGCCGCCGCCTCCAGCCGCTTGTCGCCCAGCACCTGCCTGAGCTTGTCGAGGTCGCCCTCGGGGATCTTCTCGCCGAGCACCTTGGACGCCCACCCGGGGAAGATGTCGGGCGCCACGCCGAAGATGGCAACCAGGAACGACTGGTGGCTGTCGCCGTGCACGTACGCCGACGCGATCCACCCGCAGTTGGCGAGGTACACGTTCTCAATCCGCTCGGGCGAGATGTACTCGCCCTGCGCCAGCTTGAGCACGTTCTTCTTGCGGTCGATGATCTTGAAGCGGCCCATCTCGTCCACCGAGCACACATCACCCGTGTGGAACCAGCCGTCGGCGTCGATGGCCTTGGCCGTCTCCTCCGGGTTGCGGAAGTACTCCTTGAAGGTGGTTGTCGAGCGGACGAGCAGCTCGCCGCGGGGGTACGGCTTGTCGGACGAGAGGTACTCCATGTCCGGCACGTCCGCGAGGCACACCTCGGTGTTGGGCGTCACGCCGCCGCAGTTGCCAGAGGTGAAGTCGCCCTCGTGCTGGATCAGCGACACCGCGTACGTCTCTGTCAGGCCGTAGCCTTGTGTGAAGTTGCTGCCGAAGACGATGCGCAGGAACTGGTGCAGACTGGGGTCGATCGGCGCAGAGCCGCTGACGAGCACCTTGCAGCGGTCGAGACCGAGGCCGGCCGCCACCTTCTTGGCCCAGATGCGGTCGTAGAGCATGTGGGTGTTCGTGGGGTTCTGCTTGTCGTTGACGGCGGCCAGCTTCGTAGACACAACATGACGGGACAGCGCGCCCTTGATGCCGCCCTGCTCGATGGTGGCCTCCTTGATCTTCGACCCGAAGCGGTTGTAGAGACGGGGCACACCGGAGAAGATGGTCGGCCGCAGCAGCTGCAGGTCCTCGACCAGCTCGACGATGTTGCCGTGGAAGTAGCCAATGGCCGAGCCGGCCGCGAGAGCACCGTGCTCGCCCAGTCGCTGGTAGATGTGAGCAAGCGGGAGGAAGGAGCAGATGATCTGGTCGTTTCCGCTGCCGAGCAGCACCATGCTCGTGCATGTCGCGGCGTGTGCGTTGCGGTGGCTCAGCACAACACCCTTGGGGTTGCCGGTGGTTCCTGACGTGTAGTTGATGGTCACGGTGTCGTCGGGGGTCGGCGGGTTGACGGGGAGCGGCTGCTTCTCGCCCAGTGCCTCGACATCACGGATGTAGTGGATGGTCACGCCGAGCTCGCTGGCCAACGAGTTGAGCAGGTCGCCCTTGGACTCGCCAGGGAGCTCGCCCGCAGATAGCGGGTCCAGGACGACGATGATCTTGAGCGTCGGCAGGCGCGGCTTCAGCTTCAGCAGCGTCGTGACGTGGTTCATGCCCGTCACCACACATGCCAGCTCGGCGTGGTTGATGATGTATTCGGTGGTGTCTGGGCCGAGGGTATCGTAGATGGAGACGGTGTACAGCGCCTGCGACATGCACGCCAGGTCGGTGATCTGCCACTCAGGCCTGTTCTGGCACCACAGCCCCACGCCGTACTGCTTGGGCTTCGTGACACCGGCCTGCCTGTGCAGATGGACAAGACCCGCGCCAAAGTTCCTGCGGCGCGCCGAGATCTGCTCGTAGCTCTGCCACACGTACCCGCCAAACTTCTTCGCGACCGGGTCGTACGGGCGGTGACCGAGGCAGTTGTTCTTGGGGAAGCGCGCGGCCGTCGCCTCAAAGGCCTCGTGCGGCGTGTTGATCTCCGGGACCAGGCTGTCGAGCAGCGGCTTGTCCGTGAACCGCCAGTGCCGATACACGGCGCTCTTCCCCTCAGTCTCAGTCCCGGCGAGGGGCAGACTGTACGGGTGGCCCTTGGGCGGCGGGGCGTGCAGCTCCTGTGCGCGCACAAGCTGGGGATCTGTAGGTCCGAACATGGCAGCGGTGTTGCAGTGGTTCAAGGATGGACACGGTCTGACAGACGTGAATTAAGAGTATTCTGCGCTGGTCAGCTTCGTCGGGGTCCCCGAGCCGCACAGACATACCTGGGGAGCTGCGCCTCGAGATGCGGGGAGCTCAAGGCAAATGCACTGCTATTACAGAACCGAGATGGAGAGATAAGGACGGATAGACTGGACGCAGAAAGGTCAGATTACAGGAGTTCGAGGATGCCCCGGACGTTAAGGACCACATTCCTCTCCAACGTACCGAGGCACGTTAGGGCCTAACGCACGCGAAAACCGGGGCTCGGACGCCGCCATGCGTTTCGGGCAACTCTGCGCCGTGCAAGCTGGGGACTCCGGATCCTCCGCATTGAAGCGCCCAATGCCCTGGTGCAGTACATGCGTGGATGAGCCTGTCTTGTTGTTGCAACGGGCATTGTGCATACAACACGCTCACATGCTAGACACAGCCACATGCTAAACACAGCGGCGCTTCACATGTCGATCGCAGATCTGGGCCACGCGGACGCGATGCGCGCCATGCAGCGGGAGCCTTCTTTCGGCGCGCACCTGATTGGCCGCCCCGGATCACGGGAGGACGTCGCTTCAGGAAACGCCTCGGCCCAGACGTGCGACATGGATTTCGGCCACTTTCGACAACACTGCGGACTTGCCACATGCGGTAGGTTACGCACGAGATCCGGCGGCCAGGTTGGTCTGCTGTGCAACGACGTGTTTGACAACATTGGTAGCGGGTTATTCAGAGGTGAGATTGTCAGTGTAGAGGCTGATATAATGCCTATCTAGGTGCTCTCGAGCAGCGGCAGTGTGCTCAACTAACTCTGCCCTCCACCGAGACTGCGTTCAGGACGCAGCAGCCATGACTGAGCAGTTCCGTTCGTGCCACAGACTCACCACTGAAAAGCACCCTCGCATCGCGAACCGCCCGCACGGAAACAAAACAACAACTCGTGCCATGATCCCAGTCGCAACACAGGCTGCATGTGGCGCTCCGCCAGCACCAGCGGCCACTCCATCGCCATGTTGACCTCACACCTTTACCAGAAGCGCGAGAAACAGCTTTCGCTGGAGACCACCCCCAGAAAACACCACACAACAACAAATAGAAACAAATAGCCCTCTACCCTCTCCATGCTCAACACCCAGCGCCCGCCCAAAACCCACCCCTCCTGCCGTGCAACACCACACAACCTCTACCCGCCAGCCTCCCCCCAACACCCGAAAAACAACCCCCAACATGCCCGCGCCCACATACAAACCCACCGCTCTCGCAGTCTCGCCCTCGTCTCCATGTGTTTCTTCCTCCCCTCGCCCTCGCCCCTGAACCCCCGCCACCCACGCCATCCGCGCCAGACGCGCGACAAGCAGCCGCGTCAACGACCGACACACCAGGACCGTACGCACCGGGATTGTACGCACCGGGATTGTACGCAGCACGGACTTACACAGCACGACCACAACCGCAACAACGCCTGCAGACGCAACGACGACGGCCGCCATGCTTGCCGCTGCCGCCCCCGTGCCTCCCCCCTGGAGTCTTGCCACTGCCGCCACGCTGGGCTGCGCCGCGCTGTTGAGCTGCTGGGGCGCTGTGTGGGTGCGGGTGCGGGGGCGGCGCCGCGGTGGGTGGGGATGTGAGGGGGGAGTTGTTGGGGTTGCTGGGGTACGTTATGCATCAGCTCTCACCACGTCTACAAGGAGGCCGTGGACTGTCGACATTGATGCTGACGCGACTGATCTAGGTGTGTGTACTCGCCGATATAGCACTCGCAGGCGCCCGCGTGCGGCGCGGCGACGGACAGGCGCGTGAGGTGCTGCTCTGGACTGCAGCGCTGGTGCAGAGTCTCGGCACCGGTGCTGTGAAAGTAGGTGTCGGTGTTGGAGTACTCCGCGCTGCGGGACGGCGGTGGCATCGCCAGGTCGTGGTGGCTGTTGTTTGTGAGTTCCCTTCTTGATCCCAACCCAGTGCCCGTCGCAGTTTTAGTCGCAGTCCTAGTTCAAGTCCAGTCCCCGTTGCAGTGAGAGTAGCGTGTGGAGACTAACAACACCCCAGCCCTCACGGCCGCAACCGCACTCCTCCACACCGGCACCACGCTTCTCTTCGCCGGCCCCATCACGACTTCCTGGCGCACTACCGACTCGGGCGCGTCGTGGGCACTTCTGCATTTCGTCGCCAGCGCGCTCGACGCGCTCACCACGGTGCTAGTCGCGCTGCTCCCGCTGCCACTTCTGCGGCCCATCTGCGACTTCAGACACATCGCCACGCTGGCGGCGGTGAGCACGCCGGCTGCAGCCGCCACCAGCGCGGCAGTCCTGCGTTCATATCTGCTCTACGGCGCGTGGCGGACCGAGCCCTCCACCCCTTCCACCACCTTGACAACAGCCGCCCTTCCCACCCTCTGCTCCTCCATCGCACTCACCACCGCCCTCCTCGCCGCCTCGCTCCTCTCCCTCCTCGCCTCCCTGTCCACGCGCCCCAAACACCCCTCCGCCCCCTCTTCTCCCCCAGCGTCGCCACATTTCTCGCACACCAGCACCTCCGCCCTGGATCTGGACGCGGCCGCGCATCCAGCGGCGCCGTACGTACACCCCTCGGCGTCAGCGTCGTGCGATACCGTGGTCCGGCGGCCGGTGGGGAGTCACGCGCCGTCGCTGTCGCTGAGTTTATCGCTGCTGACGCTGCGGTTTCACGACGGGGAGTCTGGAGTGGATTTTGATATCGCGGGGGTGGGCGGGAAGGACGACGATGGGAAGGACGACGACAGGACGAACGAGGAACACCAGGACAAGGGTCTTGAAACCAGGGACACGCAGACGCCGGACGCGGCGAGCGTGGCGAACAGCCGGGATGCACGGAGATCTGATGGCGGCGCAGAGGCGAAGCGCGGTGCGAGCGACATGGCCGAGATCAAGGCCGATGACATCTACGCGCTGCACACGTATCCGCGCACCCAGCGGCGCTCGGGCGTCGGTTCGTACGACATCTCGCAGCGCTCGTCGCAGCGGCGGTCCGTCGCGGAGCCGCGGCGGGTGTCGGGCGTTGAGTCGCAGCGCCCGTCCACCCTCGACCCCCAGCGCCTCTCCCAAGGCGCCTCCCTCCACACCTCCAGCGCCTCACCGCGCAGCGTCTCCGTAGTCGCCTCGCACACCGCATCGCAGCGCCTGTCGCAGCGCGCCTCTGTCGTCGAGCCGCAGCGCCTCTCGCAGGGAGCGTCACTGCGCGCTCCCGTCGTGTCGCAGCGCCACTCTACCACTGACGCACACGATACAGCACAGCTGTCGCAGACCGTGCCGCCTCACGCGCACACCAGGCCTCCGTCGACGCCCTCCCCGGCCCCGGTGTTTTCGCGGCAGCGGTACTACGCCACGCCGGCCGTGATGGCGTCTTTGCAGGATGCATCGCCTGCGTCGCGCAGCAGTGGCGGCGAGCGGGGCGTGTGAGGCGTTGGATCGTGGATCGTGGATCTTGGGCTGCGGAATGCTTCTCAACTCAGCTTCTCGTGGCGTGTAGATGTCCTGTCGAGATGTCCATGTCCAGATGCGCGGTCTGGGCAAGAGCGAGGCCAAGGCGTTCTGGATCCGGAACTCTGGGGACGAGGAATTCTGTGGACGAGGGGTTGGATGATGCGCGGTGCGGGGTCCGGCAGCCAGACCCTGGTCTGACAGGAGGGGTTGTGGAGAAGGGTCTAAAGGGCTCGAGGAGAAGGGTCCAGAGAGAAGAAGGTCTAACAAAAAGGGTCTGAAAGAAGGGTCTGAAAGAAGGGCCTTGGCTAAAGTTTTTCTAGTAGCTAGCACTTATCTAACATACTTTAGTTAAATTGTAATTATCATCTCTACTTTTTTCTCTAGAAGAGTCTTACAGAAGGGTTCCAGGGGACTCTTATTTCAGGGTCTGAAAAGTAAAGAGAAGGGTCCAAGAGAAAGCATGGTCCAAAACAGGGTCCGAAGAGAAGGAGACTATTCTGGTCCGCAGGGTCTATCACGCAGACTCCGGTACGCAGGGTCCAGCACACAGTTCGCCTGACAATCAGCGTCTGACAAGAAGAAGAAGCGTCCAGCACCCACGCTCTCAAGTGCCAGAAAAAACAGCACATAAGCGCCCTTCAAGCGAACTGACCGCATAAAGAACTTGTCGCCATCACAATACTATAAGCTGGAATCTGTTTACAAATTACCTGTAGTGTAGGCAGAAAAGTATTCTGTATAGTGTTTGTGCATTCTCCCTGCGTCACTGTCGGCTGTCGCGGGGTGGGATATCTGCCTGAGATCTTTACTGTGCAGTCCACCGTTTGTTCTGCGTGGGAGACGGGGGCTGAGAGACGAGCGGCTGAGAGACAAACGGTAAGAGAGGGGTTGCGGGAGGGGGGTGGTGGTAGGGTCTGACGATCGGGTAAGAAAGGGTCCAGCAGACGGGCGAGTCTTGTCTCTGTAGTTCGTTGGCGTGCCGGTTCGCGTGGTTACTGAATCGCATGACTAATCATCGTACTGATTCGCGTCATGGTCTCTCACATCTCCTCCCAACTTCGCCCTGCCGCGCCCATACAACCCGTCTTCACTGCCCGTGCGAATCTCAAACACGTCACCCCTGCACACCGCAAGCTTATAGTAGGCCGTAGATGGAAGTGTGAAGAATGCCGTATTTACGATTCCGAACGGTGTATGTAGAACAAGCAAATAAACCCAACGCTATGCAAACGCCGCCCATGCAATCCTTCCAGATACGAAAAAACCTCACAACCCTAAAACCCATTGAACCCCATCACCACGCCCGCAAGCCCCATCCCCACCACCCACGGCCCCGCCGTAACCATCGGGCCCCCGCCCGTTGACGTCTGCGTCGAATTCGCCATCCTGAGCCCCTGCGTGCCGACCGCCGCCGTCGACACCGCGCCCTGCACCACACTCGCACCCGGCACGCCGTCGTTAGCGATCTCCTTTACATCGGACGCGGAGGCATTGAACACAGTCTGCGCGAGCGAGATCGCGTTGCGCTCGAGATCGTACACGACGTACGCGGAGCGCAGAAACGTGTCGCCGAGCACGCTGGTGCCGGACCCGGCGGGCGCGATCCCGAGGATGCACACGGGCGTGCCGCGGCTCACGGCGGCGGTGATGACGAGTTCGTTCCAGGGGACTTCGATGGTGACGCCGCTGAAGCCGAAGGCGAGGCCGCCGGACTGGTTCGCGAGGTCGCAGGACACGAAGGCGGAGGCTTGGCGCGTGTCGTAGCGCGCGCCGAGCGAGGTGTACAGCGCGCTGGCGACGGGGTCGGGGAGGTAGGTTAGGCTGGAGCCGGAGTCGAGGAGGACGGGGACGTTGGAGCCGGAGAAGAGGGAGGTGGGGTGCGCGATTGTGCCCATGTCGGTCAGGATGATGATGAATTCGGCGAAGGTGGCTTGCTCGGGGGCGATGGGGAGGGTGCGCAGTGGGGCCGTGTATTTGGCGGTGTCGACGCCGCCGAAGAGGATGGAGCCCGTGGAGGCGTCGAGGTCGTTGAGCCAGAGGGAGTAGGCGTTGGTGGAGATTGTGCCGTCGTCCTTGAGTTTCTGCGGCAGATTGGGGTATTCGTCGAGTCCGAAGCGGTTGACCTGCACTTCGTTGATGGTGTAGCCGATGCCCAGAATGCCCTCGGGCGACGACGAGATGTAGCCGATGCCGAACTGCATGTCGCGGATGGTCTGGCCGCCGAAGCGGAAGGTGTCGGTGGCGTAGTCGCCAGCTGCGCCGGAGCCGTCGACGTAGGAGATGTTGAAGGCGTTGTTGACGAACTCGTACGTCGACGAGTCGTTGGCGTTGTATGTGCCAGAGTCACCACACTGATTGCCCTGCTCCGTACATAGCCGCGAGTTGGCCGCGTTCATCCACAGATCACTGCTCCCCGTGTCGATGTGCAGGCGGAAGGACTGCGGCGGCGTGCCCATGGTCGCATTGGCAAAGTACAGCGTCTCGAGGTTGTCGAGCGTCTGCTGCACCGTTGACTGGCGGCGGCGCAGGTCGCGGGCGACGGGGTCGGGCACATTGCGGCGCTGGATGTCGAGCCCGACGACTCTGGGGTTCTGGTGGTGCTGTCAGTGTCTGTCAACGTCAAGCAAGGGCCGCGACTCGCGGACAGGCGTCCACGCGGGAGGATTCGCTCCACGTCCGGGGTAGTACCTCTCGCGCCGCAAGCTCCAGCGCAGCCGCTGACGACACCAGCTGGGCGGCAAAAAATATCGAGATCTTCATTAGGACTCTGTACTGCAGGAGGCGGTCGACGCGCTGCTATATGAGATGTGCCGCACGCCGGTCGGTGCGGTGGCTGCTGAAATCTGCGGCGCAACGAGTCGCAGTCGGCTCTGGCGTACCCGGCTGCGTGCACCAGCTAATGTGTAACGGGAGAAAGGATGTACTGAAGAAGCGAACGAGCAGCAGTGAAAGCAAACGCGCAGTGAAGAATAGGCGCCTACTGCGTCTTATTGCGCAGGGGGCGATCACCAAGTTCCCAGTGATGACGACGCCTAAGGATGCTGCTCGGATCTTGCGGCCCACGCAGCGCAGCCGCCGGCCCTCCACTGGACGGCGTCGCCAACGCGCTTTTCGGTTCCTGGCCGTCATTGCGTGGCTGTGGCGGTGCGCACTTGAGACGTGATTCGAACGCAACGGTTTCAACCGCCTGAGCGCTCCGCTCCACCGCGTCAGCCCCGTTCCACCTGCTGGACACCGTACACTGCACAGTACCTACAGCAAAAGCAAGACGCAGTACAGTGCCGACACTGACAGCACAATCACATCACGAGGCAGACACCACGACGACACTGTACCGCCAGCAAAAATGCCGCGTTCGCCTAGTGGCTGGAGCTTGCGTAAAGCGCTGCGTATGCACAGCGACAGCGCCCGGCAACTCCAGGTCCGATGTCATCAGGCCTTAAGCCCGGCGCCCCACTGTGGCTAGTGCCGTTGGCGGCAATAATTACAGCGTATTTGTGTTCAGTCGAGGTCTGGACGCTGTCGTAGCCTGACAGCAAGTGATGTGCAAGCTGGGAACAAAAAGCTTGACGTGCGTCGTGACAGCTAGGAACAGGCAGTCGCGGTGGAGATCTGCGACCGATCCGACGTCGCGCGTGGCCGTGAACAGCGAGTGGAGCGAGCTATTTCAATCCCAGGCTCGTAGGGCTGAGTAAAGTGCGCACGTGATGGCGCTAAGTCGCGAACGCGTCAACGCGTCAGCGTCACCAAAGTCACTCCACAGCCGACATGTCCAAAGCCGAGTCCTCGAAAGCTGCCGCCAGCAGTGCTGTGCGGGCGAATCCCAATGCCGCGGGCGGGGCCAACTATGAGCTCCCATGGTATGCATCAACATCGTGATAGTGAACGTTGCTAACTTTACAGGGTCGAGAAATACCGCCCGGTGTACCTCGACGATGTCGTCGGCAACACAGAGACCATCGAGCGCCTCAAGATCATCGCAAAGGACGGCAACATGCCGCACATGATCATCTCCGGCATGCCCGGCATCGGCAAGACAACCTCGATCCTCTGCCTCGCCCGCCAACTCCTCGGCGACGCCTACAAAGAAGCCGTGCTCGAGCTCAACGCCTCCGACGAGCGCGGCATCGACGTCGTGCGCAATCGCATCAAGGGCTTCGCGCAAAAAAAAGTCACCCTGCCCCCCGGGCGCCAGAAACTCGTCATCCTCGACGAAGCCGACAGCATGACCAGCGGCGCCCAGCAGGCCCTGCGCCGCACCATGGAAATCTACAGCGCCACCACGCGCTTCGCCTTCGCCTGCAACCAGTCCAACAAGATCATCGAGCCGCTGCAGTCCCGCTGCGCCATCCTGCGCTACGCCCGCCTCACCGACGCCCAGGTCGTGCGCCGCATCATGCAGGTCATCACCGCAGAATCCGTCCCGTACTCCGACGACGGCATCGCGGCGCTGGTCTTCTCCGCCGAGGGCGACATGCGCCAGGCCATCAACAACCTGCAGAGCACGAGCGCGGGCTTCGGGTTTGTCAGCGGCGACAACGTGTTCAAGGTCGTCGACAGCCCGCACCCCATCAAGGTGCAGCAGCTCATCAAAGCGTGCCAGGAGCAGCGCGTCGACGACGCCATGGCGGGGCTCAGAGAGCTGTGGGGGCTCGGGTACTCGTGTCACGATATCATCAGCACCATGTTCCGGGTCACGAAGAGCGTGGATACGCTGAGCGAGCATGCGAAGCTCGAGTTTATCAAGGAGATTGGGTTCACGCACATGCGGATTCTCGAGGGCGTGCAGACGCTGTTGCAGTTAAGTGGGTGCGTGGCCAAGCTGTGTCGGATCAACATGCAGCCGGGGCTGTTTGCGATGTCGAAGTGAGGGCCGAGTGATGGCAGGGGGGGTTGTTGCATTTAGCACGGCGTCTGGCGTGTAGAACCACACATGCATGCGAATACGAATACAGAAACGGGGAGACGGATCAGGCAGGAGAATAAATACTAGCATGTCCACCACCGCAACCGCAGTGTCCTTCTCCATCTCCGTCCTAATCCACAAGCCTAGTAACCGAACAAGCTGAGAACTGTAGACTGTGCCTGCAAATCGTGCACCGAGCACGGCAAGGCTCCGGGCCTGCGTGTCGGCAGACCTAAACCCAGATCCAACGCCATCCCAGCCTGTTCCCTTCTCCGATTCCCCCCTTGTGCGTGATGTCGTGTCTCGCCCCAGCATTAGATATCCGAGTCACATGTACCCTCGATTCAGGTATCAGACAACGCACTTGCAGCTTTTGGTGGCGCACCTCGGTGTAGTACACCATACAGCCTGTTTCGCGCCCACAGCCAACCCTCAAAGTCACGTGGACCGCTGCTGTGGGCTGTGGGGTACCGACAGACCAGTGGTCAATTACCCACCGAGACTGTCTGGAGAGTGAGCATGCTGACAAGCACGAAAGCCAGACGAACAACGATGCCGGGTTGCAAAGGATAATAATAGACGTTGGCATCTCCGGTCTGAGAACAGGGGCGCTCGGCAAGCGGGTGCTTGGTGCATGGTTGACGTATCGCGCCCGAGGTCTACGTTTTCGAGTAGATACGCCGAACAGAGTCTCGCTCGACGTGTTCACGTATGGCCTCGATGTGATGGGATTCGAGCATACGTTCCTGACGGGGGCGGCGTGGCCCGGGTAGGTAGCGAGGTTCGACCGGGCCAGCCCGATGCGGCTAGTGGTGTGCTTCTCCGGACCTCACGTCGACGGCGGGCAGGCGTGGTTTGCGCTGATGACTTCTGCGTGATCACGATATATGGGGGATGTGGATAGTATTGTGGTTCCTGGTTCATGCGTTGGATCGATGGGTTAGGTGCTTGGGGTTGGGTCGATGGTTGTTTGCTCGCGGCGCTTAGGTAGGTAAGCCATGCCTTATCTTTTAAGTGTTGATTTTGGATCGTTGTTTAGTTGAAGGTGTACCTCAAGCTTGAGATGTCATGCTGTGGAGCTGAGAGAAGGACGACTGGCTTCCTGTGAGAAATTCGAGCACGGCTCGCCATCGTGTCTCACCTACGTGCGATATCAGACGGGCTCCGAAGCTTGACCTCTGGTATGTCTTCTCTCCATGTGTTTCTAGTGGCACTGCTAACTGGAGGTCTCAAGGCTGACCTCCATTTCTTCCCCCTTTTTCATCTTCTGAGGACCGGGCCGGCCAGCCGCGCGCTTGCCCCCAGCAAGCACGACGAGTTTGCTGTCGATCCGGCATATTTGCCTCAAATCCCTGAGAACCAGCAGGTGTATGATTCACAAAAAGAGCTACATGAGAAGAACGGCCGACTGCGACGCGAAGGCGCACTACCTGGCACTGTTTTGCAAGAGCATCAGGACGTCTGTCCACTGCGTTCCGCAGTTGTGAGTCCACCAACAGACAGCGGGAGGGTTTTCGTCGATTGTGTCTGAATAAAGATTGTCTTGCTGGCGCAAAGTATCCCCAGTCAGCAAGCACGGCGCAATCGGTGGCGGAGAAGCAGAGTGATTGATTGCGGGTTCGTTGGTGCGGCTACATTTCGCGATTGCACGTCGAGAGGCAATGGTAAGTTCATGTTTCGGTCTGTCTCTGCCGCGCTCCGTCCCTGCTGCGCTTCGTCTCTGCTATGGTTCGTCTTGCCGCTATTCGTGGTTCGGTACATCCGAGTGCAAAGAGGCGCTTGTCCGTCACTGCAGCACTGGCGCTCTGCAAGATCAGCCTAGTCTTTTAGATATCATTCTTGCCCAGCTGAAAAGTTTCTCCAAGAGTTGTTGCGGAGAGGTTTGCTCGGAGCTCGCGAAGGACTGAATGAAGCGGTCACAATGAAGGTCATGCGGCTTTCTCGTGTGAGCAGACTGACCAAATAATGCGGGTATCTGGCAGGTTATTTAGATCTTTCGAGATCCTTAGGAGATGTTGCGCGTGCTATATCTCGAGCAGCCAAGCATATCCAGTGGGTCACTGGCAGGGGAGTAGGCTGGCCGAACTGCTTAGCTCCGTGAATCTTGACCTCCACAACGTCAGACCCCACCACGTAGGCACAGCCGCTCAAGCCGACCGAAACAACAACAGCCCTAGGTAAGTTCAAAAAAGGGTTCTTATTGATCGCACTGCAGCCGACGAGATCATCTACTACTCACAACCCCTCGCGTCCTCGGGCCCAGCTTAGCTGCGAGCTTGCAGCCAACACTGTCCTTCCAGCGTCTCCCCAATGCAGGTATGTACTTCTCCTTGCGCGATTAGGAGCTGCAACTGACCGCAAGGCCTGTCATAAGGAAGTCTGGTTGTTCTCTATCCTCGCGGTCCACGATCGCGCTTTACTGCCAACGCAGTCTGCTTCTGTAAGCTGCCACATCCCTCCGCTACAGCTTCCTCTGACCATTCTCAGTCTCCAGTAGCTTGAAATAAACACCCACCGACTGTGTTATCGCCCCTCGATATGGCCAGCCTCTGTATCCTTGCGGACGAACTGAAGCTCCTGATCTGCCACCATCTCGATGGCGACGCGAAGAGCCTCAAGAATCTTGCTCTAACATCCCGGGCCACCCGTGACTGCGCTCTTGTGGTCCATAAACAAAATTCCCTCATCGATCTTTCCACAGGCAGTGCTAAAGTGGTGCACAAGGTGATGGCACACCTACTGGCACTCGCAAGCGACAGTGCCGCGATTCCACCGATATCCACCATCGCCAGCACAGGTGATCCGTTTGCGGACACGCTTCTCAAACATGCATCGAACTTCACGTCCCTCAAGCTCGACAACATCGATACCCTGCGAGAAGACAAGATTTGGATCAATGATAAGGTGCTTGGGCAGTACATGTCTCTCATTTCCAAGCTTGCGCCGGTGACAATGTACGGAGCTCAGATATGGCGCAAGAGGCTTTTGGAAGGAGACATACGTGATCTCTTGCAACTTCTTCTGAGAGTTGCGCGTCACATCACCACGCTCGAGATGTCAGGCTCCCTAGAATGGATGGCGCAGACAGACGTACGGGGCGCCTGCCCTGCGCTTCGTACTCTCAAGCTTGTGGGAATACATAACTACACCATGGAGCGCACTTGCGGTCACATCCTACGAGTACCGACGCTAGAGGTGCTTGAGTTTGCCAGAATGGACGTGTCCATCTTCACGCTCGATTTCGTTGACACTGCTCATAAGTTGTCGATCTCCTCGCTCCACTTCCTTGAGTGCTATGTATCTCCCAAAGCGCTGGAAAAGGCTATCTGCGCTTGCCGTACACTGGAGACATTTAGGTACACACTCTGTTGGGAGAAGCCGGCACCCGCCTTAACGCACTACAATATTGCCAGGCTGATTAAGAATCTTGCATCCCACAGCACTACGCTGAAGCATGTCACCATTCTCACTTCGGGGGTGCTGTTGCGCAATACATACCGTGACTCAGATGGACTAGCACAGCTCGAGGTACTAAGGACACTGGCCATCAGCCATGATCTCCTGCATCCTCTTCACGTCAACGCGGATGCCGGCCGGCGCAAACCCCGGCAACTCAAGAAACTGTCTAAAGTCCTACTATCGCTGAAACCGTCGCTCCAACGCCTGGAACTGCACGACTGTGACAAGACGTCGGTGACCAAGACGTTACTCGATGTCATGCACCAGATGGCGGACGTCAGTCCTCTGCCAAATCTGTGCACTATCAAGGTCGTGTCTGAGCCTCCGCGCCATCCACTCCCACACGAGCTGCAGGAGTTGGAAGACTTGACTCGTCGGATTGGGGGTCTTGGTCGCTCGCAGGCGTTGCGAGAAGCGGCTGCGCGCACTGAACTTCATCTGGAGCTCGATCCTTGAGCTCCTAGACTTCTGAGGAACAGTTCACGGCATCCAGGACCTACGATTGTATCTGACCTACAACGAGTCGTCGGTGCACAAGTCTACATATGTCGGCATTCAGTTGCTCAGTGCGGCTGCTGGGCCTCTCCAGAGCGCTTGATGCGGGTACGGTTGGGCTTTGATACAAGATCGAATGTATACATGGTTGCTTTGGAAGATGTTCATCTGTCTACACACCGATGTCCAAGCACCCTTGGAGTCAGTGTGACCGTAGACATATGATCGTAGCAAACATCAGATTTCTCCAAACTCCTGCTAGCAAAGAATAAAGATCCATGATCACCATCTCAAGTAGAGCCGTGACTAGCTAGCTACACCGATGTGAAGCATCCGTGATGAAAAGATGGGATACAGCGCCTCGCAACACTGCTCAATGATTCCTGATATCGTGACTCCAAGATCAAAAGATCTAATTGACAGAATTCGGCAATACTGGTTAGTGCATGGGAGCTAAATTGTGGGCTTCAGGGCTTCACTTGCTGACAGGGGCGATATCGCTGCCCGGCTAGCCCACTTCCCTTCTTCACCCCTCCCGCACTTCTCTTTCGCGCACCCATTGGATACCACAAGCCTGGTAACCTTACAAGACACAGTGGGCTGAGATTCCGCAGCCAGAGACTTCGCTTTCAGACAACGTTAATCGACCGCCATTGAGCTGAAGTGGATACATTCTCATCCTCCGCGCCGCGCGCCGCTGGTCTTCCTCGTCCTAGCGGTCCAAACCCCAAGCCAGTAAGTTACTCTCGTGGAAGGTTCTTGTACCACGTTAATGACTCTTTCAGCGTCGCTGGGCTCCAAGGTTTCCTCACTGCATCTGACCGATTGGCCATCTCGAGATGGGCTTGCCAGACCTTCCGCCCGAGCTCCAGGTCATGGTGTACGAGAACCTTGAGGACGACTACGACGCTCTAATGGCCTTGACTACGGTTTCGCGAGCTGTCGCCGATTGCGCTCATTACGTGCTCGAGCCGTTACAAACACTCGACCTTTCTGATGGGTGCACGGACGAGATTGAGGACAATCTAATCAGGCTGTATGAGCTGGCCTATGGCCCTACTTCACCCGTCCCTCAAGTTACATTCAGAACGATTCACTCAGATCTTGGTCAAAACTTGATCAGACAAGCTTCTGCATACAGAACGCTGGTAGTCCACTTTGACAGCCGTTACGGGTTTACACAAAGGCCGGCCATTCGACCAGAAAACATGGTCAAGCTGGAAGCCATGTGGGCGTTACTGAACGGAAGTGAACCCTACAGTCCTTCTACCTGGAGGAGGAATGTTCAAAACCGTCTTGCCGACACCTCACTGCGTCTGGTGTTCCGCACCATGCGCCATCTCACCACGCTTGAATTGGGTGGCTCCACTAACATCCTGCCTTGGAAAACGGCGGGAATCCTGCCCATGTTGCGCACACTCAAGTTCACTGCCATTACGAACCCGAAGCTGTCTCCAATGTGCTGGAACCTCGCAGCCAGACCGCACCTAGTCACCCTCGAGTTCTCAAACATGAGCATTACCACGTCCTTCCTGGCGAATCTCAAAAACGACCTTCCCGTCACGGATCTACGCTTCAGGCACTGCTGGGTGGAGATCAACGCGTTCCGTCGCTTTTCAGATCATTGCAAGCGCATGGAGGCTTTTGAGTACACGCTCGGTGCTTACTACTGGCCGGTCGCAGCAACGAAAAGCAAACATCACCACCTAGCCAGTCTCGTCAGTCAAATGCATCGTCACGCCAACAAGCTGACCCATCTCACACTACTCATGCCCAACGTCGAGATGGACAGCACGCAGTGCAACCACGTCGTCTCCCTCGCCCAGTTCACCGCGCTGCAAAAGCTGGCCATCAGCTACAAGGTCCTCGCCCCTCACACCCGTGCCTGTGGTGTGTATGTGGCGAACCCGAACACCATGCTGACTCAGTGGGATATCCTGTCTGGCCTCGCGCCGTCCGTGGACGAGGTACATCTGTACCGCGGCGACGAGGCGGATGTCATGCTCACGCTGTCCGGGATGGTGAACAGCATGGGCCCGAACATGTTGCCAAACCTGCGCCGTGTGGAGGTCATTCTGTCTAGACTCCGGTCACCATTCAGTGTGTCTAGGTCCCCTGGTACGCGGGAGGTGGCGATTCGGAAGAAGTTCGAGCGCCGTGGGGTGGTGGTCTTGATTTCAAGGCCGAAACATGTGTATCCTCTGGACTAGGAACGTGTCAGACTCACACTCTGGATCGCAGGATTGCGGAGTTTTCTTTCTATTATTGGCCTCCGCTATGGCGGTGCCTGTTTTCATTTGTGCAGCTCGGCCAACAGCTTCCTTTAGTGATTCGGAAGACCTAATCTTTAGAGCGGTGGCATTTGGCAAGTTCTGGTAGTTACTAGTCGCAATTCAGCGTGCTCGCGTATCGTATTCGAAGCCTCATCTTGGTAGACTTAGCATAGCAATAAGACTGTAGTCCACATGAGGGTGTGCAACCTTTTGAAGTGTTTTGCATTTTCGATTGTCTTGCTTTTTGCTATGCTATTCTCACTTCCATAATCTACGACTCCTTAAAAGGACACCCCTTATCCGCACTCTGACTCTTCGTCTTCTCCTTGACAACCTTCCACGTGAGGTCCATCAGCCTCTCGCCCAACTCGACATCGTTGGCCTTGTCGCTTCCCTGTTCTATGGTTGCGGGCGGGCAAACATACTGCCCACTCTTCTCCGTCGTGGTGGCAGCGTACATCGTGCTCACGGCACCCTCAAACTGCGTCTTCTTGAACGGCGCCGCGCCCACGCTCATAGCGTACCCTGCAAGCGGGAACGCCTCGTGGATGTGCTCCGTCGACTGCCGCGTCTCGACGATGCCGGGGTGGATGGCGTTGGCGAGGATGTTTGGGTGTTTGCTTGTCAAGTGGCGTGCAAGATACTTTGCGTACAGAAGGTTGGCAAGCTTGGCGCGGCCGTACTGTGGCTGCGGACCGAGGTCGCGGTTCAACTCGTCGATGGAGGCAAACTCTGTATCGCTCGGCGCCTGCTCGTGCAAGTTGGAGGATGTGCAGACGATGCGGACCTTGTCCTTCTTGGCTGTCTCTTTGAGGACGGGGAGAAGATGCGATGTGAGGACTACGTGCCCGAAGTGGTTGGTTGCCATGTGCAGGTCGATGCCATTCTTCGCGAGCTGGTAGGTCATGATACCGCGAGCGGCGTTGTTGATCAAAATGTCGATTCTGTCTGTTTGCTCGGAAATTTGAAAGGCGGTGCGGCCGGTCTCTTCCCAGTCGGACAGATCGCACTTCATCCATACTACGCGATTGCCCTTCTCTTCACCCATCTCCTGCTTGATCGCATTGATGGCTTCTGAAGCGATGTCATCGGACTGGGATAGGATGAAGAGCTTCTGGATGTTCTTTGAAAGTAGTGTGTGCGTGCAACCATAACCGATGCCCTCTGAGCCTCCTGTGACGACGGCGACCTTGCCGGTCAAGTCTGGTACAGCGTCGAGCGAGAACTGATTCTCTGGTGAGGCGAGCTCGTTGCCAGGAACCATTTTGCCGAGATTCTCGACGATGGTGTTCTTAATGGCCTCCATACCGGGTATCGAAGATTTGTTTGCGACTGGGCCCTTCAATCGATCGGTGTTGTCAGTAGAGTATGGTCGGATAGACAAACGAGTTGCAAATGTTCGTAATTGTGGTGTATATCTAGGCGTAATTCGCAAGCTGAGAGTTGATCTAATGAACTTGGAAGATTGCATATCTAAAAGGAGGAGGAGGTCGGTTTAAATCTCGCAGAGCATCTCCGTATCTGGGTGGACCTTCGCTGATGTAGCAATGTCGTTGGTTCACGACATGATCATCCATGACGCATGCATCCAGTAACAGCCACCCTGATGTCAGTGAGACGGTCAATTGGGTTGCAGAACGCCCATTGAGGAGCGTACAGCAGGCCCATGATTTCGCGATGACGCCGTGATGTCAATCGATCCTAGGGCGTCGCTTATCGATAAGACGCGTTCGCTCTTGCCCCACGTGACGACGCGTTGTCCGTTTACATTCCACGGTACCATAGCGTTTGGTAGCATCGACGCCTCCGAGTCAGCATGAGCAACGGCCCGCTACCTCCCGATGTTCAGGCCGTGCGCAAGGCTCGCTGGAACAGCGACATGATCAAGCTCTGCTCCACGCCCAAAGGCATCCACACTCACCCTACGGCGCAGGGTATCGGACTGTACACCCACGTAGCAGGTCCTAAGACAACAAGGATGAACCCACACTTTGCCTCCGCCGATAGCGTTGATGGGGAAGTTGCATTGTTAACTCTCGGCGGACCACGACAGATTCGAGCTCGCAGATACCGCGAGCCACCGAACGCAGAGTTAATGGCGTTATACAAGGAGCTCCAAGATGCTGTGCAGGCAGAGGAAAAGATCTGGAGCGACCAGAGGATTGAAGCGGAGAAGGCAGGAAATTCAACAAAAGGCGTGTACAGGATGAGTCTCGACACCTTAAACAAGAAGTACGGCGACATCAATGCACGGTCAGCTGCAGATGCGATACCACAGGTCAATGATGGGGATCGTGACACACGCAGACACTCAGGGGCAGCAACTACTACAACCGGTGGATCGTCAAGGGAACGAAGAGTCAGCTTCGCATCACAACCAGACTCTCGACGGCAGACTATTGGAGACATTCTCGCGGCTCGCAGGAACTCGATTTCGGAGAGGCGAGGAAGTATCTCCAGCAACGAATACCATGAAGACCGTGACCCGCGACGACGTGGGAGATAGAACGGTGAGATTGGCAAGTATGGCGAATATGACTTAGGGACATAGCATGACGTTTACGGTACCGGCGAAATACCCATTGTAGTGTCCTTCGGCAACGGACAGGTCGAATAAATCGTGTTCTTACTCAGTCCATGTCTATTGCAATTGATGATGGCGCAAATTATCACTGGTCCGCACACGCTTAGAAGGTGCTCGATACAACTCGCAAGGGCTCCATTTAGATCACGGCAACCATGTTCGAACCCTTTATGTATACAACAGCGCGTACGAGTGGGGCCAAGTTGGTGGACAGGACGTGTGTACTCTGAGCAAGATCTAGGGTAGGCTATCTAATCTACGTTTTTAATTATGTAGAAGAACCCACAGCCGTCAGGTATGGATCTCTACGCAGCTGTCACAGTGACTGTACCAACGGTCAGTCCCTCAGCCTTGGCCTCGATTACGATCTCTCCACTAGATCCGGCCCCGGCCCGAACGATGGCAAGAGCAAGACCACTGAACGCCTTACGTGTCTTTGAAGGAAACGGCGTGCCATCCCGAGGATCACCGTTGTCCGTGCTCACGATCTCACCGGGCCCAGAGGTGACGGAGAAGGTAATTTCGTTGTCAGCTTGCGGAATAGTATCACCATTTGCGTCAACAACGGCGACGGTGATGAAAGACAAATCCTTTCCATCTCCATCAATGGTCGTTCGGTCAGCGGTAACGTTAAGAGCTGTAGCAGCGCCAACAGTGCGGTGGGATGCCTCCGCCCACTCTTCGCCGTTCTTCCACGCTTTCACGGTGATCTCACCGGGCGTGTAGGTCACGTTGTCCCAGCGCAAGCGGTAGTCGTACTGTCCACGTTTCTGGCGACCAGCAGACTTGCCATTGATGAATAGTTCGGCTTCATCGCCTGAGGTGAAGACATGTACTGGAGTCACTAAGCCTTCACGGCCAGGCCAAGTCCAATGCGGAAGGATCCGGACCTGCGGAAAGTCTGGGCGCCAGCGGGCTTGGTAAAGGTAGAACCGATCTTTCTTGAAGCCTGCAAGATCTAGTAAAAGTTAGTGGTCTGTGCTACGCATGGAATTGTAGGTAAAGAACTAACCAATGATGCCAAAGTAGGAGCTGCGGCTCGAGTTGTCGTACGGCGTGGGCTCGCCAATGTAGTCCCAGCCGGTCCAGACAAACTCTCCAGCAACGTATGGATTGCGATCCTGCTGCTCAAAGACTTTGTCTGGCGAGGCAGCCCAGGAAGGCGCGTAGAGCTCATATGCACTGACATGGTTGTTGATGGGGTCACCGCCTTCACCAGGGCCTCCACCAACAATTGCACTTTTCTTGGGCGTAACCGGGAAAATGTACACGCCGCGAGAGCTGACTGTTGATGCAGATTCAGTACTCCAGATCATCTTGTTTGGGAACTTGCTGTGGAAAGCAGCAAAAGAACCTGTTGCCGCATTTCCTTTGCCCTCGCCCTGGTAGTTGAGTCCAATAATGTCAATCTCTGCGGCTAGACCAGTGTTCGGACCCGCATTGTTCATCCCAACAGTAACTTGCCTTGTGGGATCCTCCTCGTGTACGATGCCTTGAAGCCTCTTAGTGGTAGCTGTACCTGTAGAGTTCGACTGCTCAGCAAGCTCATTACCGATACTCCACGAGATGATCGAGGGATGGTTGCGGTCACGGCGAATGAAAGAACGGAGGTCAGCCTCTGACCATTCAGGAAAGATGAGATGGAAGTCGTTCTCCACCTTCGCGTACTGCCATGTATCGAAGATCTCGTCCATAACCATGAGACCCAAGCGATCGGCAATGTCGAGCCACTCCGGTGCTGGAGGGTTGTGAGAAGTTCTGAGTGCGTTATTGCCCATCTCTTGTAGCATCTCAATTTGACGCTCTGCCGCACGGTAGTTGAAGGCCGCGCCCAAGGAACCGAGATCATGGTGGTTGCAAGACCCGTAGACGGGGACGTGCTCGCCGTTGATCAGGATTCCTTTGTTTGGGTCGTAGGCTACGGTGCGGATACCAAACAGGGTCTCGTACGTATCCAAGGTCGTGCCGTTACTAGATACTGTGGTGATGGCTATGTATTCGTTCGGTGTCTGTTTGGGTGCTGGACCCCAGAGCTTAGGATTCGCCACAGTAGTAGAGCCGTTGACGGATTGCTTTGATCCTCCAGACACGGAAACAGTTGTTGTCGAAATCTTCGCGACGGCGTCGCCTGTTGCTTTCCTGGACTTTGAATCAAGCTCATAGATATTTGTAGCCACCTGTACTGTTTGACTTGAGTTGCCCTTGTTCTCAACCTCGATCCGTAGTTCTACGGACGCTTGTTCGGCGGAGATAGTAGGAGTGGTGATATAGCTTCCATGGTAACCCACGTGGACAGCGTTTGTAGTCAAGAACTCTAATTTCCTATACAACCCAGCTCCAGGATACCATCTTGCAGACTCTGGTGCGTTTTCGACTCGGATTGCAATAACGTTGTCGCCAGCCTTCGCAAACGGCGTAAGGTCTAGACGGAAGGAGTTGTAGGGGTAAGGCCATCCACCAACCAACTTTCCGTTGAGCCATGCAGTAGCGTAGGCCATAGCGCCATCAACGTCTAAGAAAAGTGATTTCCCAGACGTGATGATTTCCTCATCGATAGACAAGGACTTGCGGTACCATCCAATACCGTTAATGGGCAAGCGACCTGTACCACCTGGGGTTTCTTCGGAAAAGTCAAACTCTCCAGTAGCAGCCCAGTCATGGGGTAAGTTTACTGCCTCCCAGACAGCATCATCGAAGCTCGGCTGGACGTATGTAATGTTGGCCCCCGGCCCTGGCGCGGAGGGTCGATCATGTTTGGTTCCGGTGAGGTATGGATTCGCTGCTGGAAGAATCCACGGCTTCAAGATGTCGTATGAAAGGCCATCTGGATTTTCAACGAAGCGCTGAAAGCGCCAGCCATCGTTCAGACTGACACGTTCCCGCCCACCAGCTTCTGCACGGGGTCTTTTGGTGCCAGCAGCCTCTGATGAGTGAATATTGGAGACCATCAGAAGTCCCACCAAGATCGTTCCACACCGAGATATGAACGACATCGTAGGGGTTGGTGTATCACAGAAAACGACTTCCGGGAAAGTCTACCTTTTGAACGACTACATTTGTGGAACACCTGTCCGATCACGTCGAAAGACACAAATCTCCTTGCTCGCGGTTGTATTTCCTGAAAGATACCATGATCTGCGCATGTACATGGGGTCGGGTTAAATGTTGTCAAACTCTGCTTTGAGTAGGCAGACGGAGAAATTGGCTGATCGTGTGTACCTGACTACACTTTTGCCCGATGCCCGTGAGCATCACTGCCGAGATAGATGAAGCCAGGATTGGAAGGAAGTGGATACGACAAGCCTCCCCCGCCCAATACAAAGTGCGGGGGTGGCGGCCTTGGCGTGGCCTGATGGTTCGCATCTTGACCGAGCGGTTGTATTGCCCATTTCGGATCTGTCGCCGATATCTATGCCGCGGCTTAGTAGGTAGTTCATGCTACCAAAGTTGAGGTACAAAGAGAAAGACCACGCAGGATGCCCCAGAAATTGAGCAAGTGTAATGAAACACAGTCCGTACATCAAATACTGACAGCCTGGTGGCTAGGCTTACGTAGGCACCTTATCGATAAGGAGTGTAAGCAGAGGGTACATCTGCTTCCCCTCTCAAGCGCGGCTTACCCTGTATTCTTCGCACTCACCACGATACAATTATGACAATGAAGCTTCTTCTTTTGTCCGTGTTAGCTACAGCGGTCAACGCCAGATGCTTTGAGCCCACCATCACCCATCCCTTGCCCGAATATGACGCCGATGACGCGCTTCTCAAACATGCCTTTGCTGAGATCGATACAGCCGTAACGTCGGTCATATCGGCTTCTGAGTTCTCTGCAACATCATTCTCCATAGAAGTCACGTCTTCGAAGGAATCCCTGTGGTCCAAGCACCATACTGCGAATGAACGAAACGCTTCGCGGCCTGACATACCCGAGGTCAACGGTGATGCGTTGTATCGAATTGCGAGTATCACAAAGACATTCACTGTCCTGGGAATATTGTACCAAGAGAAGGCCGGGAACCTGAGCCTTGACGATCCAATCAGCAAGTACATCAAAGAGCTGGATGCACCACAGCATGGTACATTGCCATGGAAAGACATCACGCTGCGTAGTCTAGCTAGTCAGCTGAGTGGCATACCCCGCGAATGTGCGATACCCTGGAAGCCGTGGCCTCTTGGCTGGAATGGCTGTCAGAAACTTGAAGGTACGGAATTAACTCTTCATAGTTGCTCAGGGTGATTTTGTCAACTTCGAGAAGCTGGGCATGCCCGATCCTGTCACATGGGGTTTGCCACCAGTATCACGAGAGGATCTTGTTGATTGTGATGAGTACTCGCCTGGCTATAAGAAAGTCTGCCATACTGGCGGTAAGGAGAACAGGTGCAGATTTGAACTGAGAGCTCTCACTGACGAATTTTGTTATAGATCTCCTCGATGCAGTCAAGTCCCAGATCCCTATCTTTGCGCCGAATCAGCAATCTACCTATTCTAATGTCGCTTTCGAGCTGCTGGGTGTGGTCATTGAGCGAGTCACAGGACAAGATTATAAATCCTACATCGAAGAAGCAATATTCAAGCCGCTGAACATGAGCAAGAGCACACTGTCTCTGCCGCCTGATCATGCCGGTGTCATCCCATCCGGAGATCATTACTGGGATGTTGATGAAGGAATCCAGAACCCAACAGGCGGAATCTATGCTTCTTCCCAAGATCTTTCAAAGTACCTACGATACATCTTGAAAAAGTACAATGGTCTCACGCACGCCTTGAATTGGTTCAATCCTGTATCGCCAGCGCGTGGAGCCAATTCCTTCTATGGCATGCCTTGGGAGATATTTCACACCGACCGTGTACTGAATGACTCTCGCCAGTTGGTCAGATTCGTTACGAAGGGAGGAGGCCTTCCAGGATATTCTTCCATCATTATTAGTGCACCTGAATACGATCTTGGATTCACGATTCTGGTTGCTGGAGACGACACGTTGCTTTTGAAACTGAAAAACATCGTCACTCGTTTTGTCCGAACTGCAGAGAGGCTTGCTGTTCGGCAACTCCAGGATCGCTACTCTGGTAAATACGTCAGCTCCGATCCCAGCTTGAATTCATCAGTCACCTTGGTCGCAGACCATCGAGGCCTTATTGTGACCGAATTCATCTCAAACTCCTCCGACCTTTTGGACTACGCGTATACGAAACATTGGATCCCGCAACATGGTGTCCCACAACTTATTCCGACGCTCCTCTACCGAAACGCGCAAGACCAGAAAGGCGAAGAATGGCGCATACAGCCAGTAGAAGACCGCAATCACGGCGAAAACGAAATCTGGGACGACTTTTGCATTACCGACGTTGAAGGTCCACTGTATGCAGCTGTGCCCGTCAATAATTTGGTGTTCTGGAACCAAGGGGAAAATCAAGTGTTCGAGACACTTGAACTAAGTGCTTTCCGTGTAAACCTCACAAGGGCAAGTCCGGCTGAGCAGGAGCACCTGGAATTGTAGATGCAATCAGGTCGATTTCTAGCGAATTGAGCTGAGTCTCAACTGCTGAGACATTGTTATATAACACCAATTTTCGGTTCAGCCAAGACAGCAAGTCGTTGGACAGCAAAATGCGACAGTTTTTCCATATCGCACTCGTGTCAAAAGCTAACAACTTGAGTTGTGCAATACTTGACCCAACAAGGGGCAATCCATCAACATGTGGAGCATGCGGTGAGTCGCAATGAAATTGCGCACAAGGTGTCAGCCTTGCTTCAAAGGATCTTTTGTTTTCAGCATGTGTGCACTGCAATCAAGTTGAGCTGACCTTTTGTCCGATTCAATGCTTTGGAAACGCGTATTCCAAAAGCGGGCAATTTCTGGGGTGCAGGGCGAATCATGCTGGGACTGGATCATACTGGACACGAGTGTACGACGGCCACGTCTTGCAAGTGGTTATGTGTTCTCAAAGCTTGGAACGTAAGCTAACCATACCTGGCAGCTCTACACAAGGATCCATCGCAATGGCTGCAAGACCGAGATGAACGGAAAAATTAAGGCCCTTCGTCCCCGCAACATGATGTTCATTAACGATGCTTCAAGCCCTAAAGTGGGCATCAGCCCATATAATCTTCTTACTATATAGGCTCGGCACAGTCTGGTGTAAGTGTCACGATTTGCACACGGAAGCAACTTCACAAACATGCTGCACCTCTTGGCAAGTGCTGCACTAGCCCTAACCGTGGTTGCACAGCGACAACCGACTACCATCAAGTCCCAAGGCAATCCCATCCTCGCTGATGGATCGTACTTTTCGGCGGATCCAGGGCCTCTGGTTGTGAACAACACTCTTTACATCCTTGCTGGTCACGATGCAGCCCCTCAAAACGACAACTCATTTATTATTAACGAGTGGGAGATGTTTGTTTCTAAAACCACACCGGATCCAAAAGGTTCGGATTGGGACTTCTACCCCGGACTCATAAAGCCCAATGACGTCTTCAAGTGGGCTGCACAGGGTACAGCGTATGCCTCACAAATTGTTGAGGGACCAGATGGGAAATTCTACCTATATGCTCCGGTAACGCAAGCGCAATCGAATAACGCAGACAAATTTGCCATCGGAGTGGCGGTGGCAGACAATCCCCTGGGGCCGTTCAAGGATGCCCATCCTGCGGGACCAATTCTCTCTCAGTCCGTGCCTGCTCCAGGAAACAACATCCAGAATATTGACCCGACCATCCTGGTTGATGATGATGGCAAGGTGTACGTCTACTATGGAACCTTTGGAGCTCTTCGCGGATACCAATTCAAGAGCGACATGGTCACACCTGTCGGCAGTGTCACCACCGTCTCCTCACTCACTGGGTTTTTTGAGGCTCCTTGGATCATGAAGCGCAACACAACATACTACATGCTGTACGCCGCGAACAATGCGGGCCCAAATTCTCCATGTACGCCAACCTCCTATCATGCTTGTATCGCCTACGGCACAGCAAGCTCACCGCTGGGCCCGTGGACCTTCCGCGGAGTTATTCTCGATATCGTGTCATCGACGACCTCGCACCCTGGTGCGGTTGAGTTTGGAGACAAGTGGTTTCTCGTCTACCATACAGCGGACGCGAAGACAGGAGGTAACTTCCGGCGCAGCGTTGCGTTCGATGTGATGACTTTCGATGATGCTCAGAGTCCTCCTCGCATCAACAAGGTCGTGCAGACGCGCCAGCCGGCAGGAGCACCTGCGCCGACGCGCAACATTGCACCACGTGCAAAAGCAAGTTCCGAAAACGCCACCCCAATTCAGTACTGGATTGCCGCCGTCAATGACGGTAAAGTCCCGTTAAATCCCTTGCCTCCCCAGCTCTGGGCCTCGTATGCCGGCGACAGCTCACCGCAAAAATCTACGTTGACACTCACGTGGAGCTCTACGGTGAAGATAAATGGCGCACGTATTGCATTTTTTGCTGATCAACCTGCTGGTTCAAATATTGGTGTGCCGCCGCCGGCTAGCTGGAGCATGGAGTACAGAATCGGTGAGGGAGCGTGGACCAAGATCAGTGCTACTTACCCCACATCAGTGAGTGACACACCTCCTGAAGTCAAGTTCAATGAGATCAGCGCCACGTCCGTGCGAGCTGTGCTGGTGGCTTCGGGCAGTGGTGGAAAATTCGGTGGTGTTGGTGTGAAGGAATGGGAGGTTTTGGCTCCGACAGCCTCCTAGTCACTACGCAGTGCGAGCAAGAGCGCGATAGATGTTGCATCGTGTTTTTGAGTTAGTAAACCCACAGCTTCCACCTTTATATCTCAAAGCTTGCATTGTGACAGTGCGTCTGAAAGTACTTCTAACGAACTAGCAATGTCACTCTTATTGACAAGAATCGTGAGTCGTCAATCCACAACCTTATAAAATTCAACCCTAATTCTATTTAGTCAACACTGTGTTTAGATTCCAGCAACACAATAGCTTTTGCACATTGTATACACTTTAAATGTCTATCAAGACTGTATAGACCTTGATTTCTTCGGTAAGCCGCGACTATTTCACTACTACTTATCAATTGGCACTTCTAAAATCGCGAAAGTTGGTGCAATCGAAGCGCTTTGTTATATTGAACGAGATTCTGAGATTACAGTAGGTCGTGGCTAACACGCCAACAATCCTCACATTCCACGCAAATCAGGGGGGTGATGGCCATAGCCAACGGTCCCTTCGTGCATTAGTGAAAGAGCCTACTATGTGGATGTTGAGGAAATCTAGCGTCAATTTTAGTCTTGCAGTCAACATCTAAGTTGATCTGTGACGCCCAGGACAAAAGTTGCGAGATTGTCTTGAGTGATTAGCAAAGCGCAAAGGCCCGGAAGCTGAGCGCTCTTATAAGGGGCTCTCATGAAGTGCAGAGTAGATCGAACGTCGATCGCGGTGCTCGGACAGTTCAAAAACGCGAACAAGTCGACAGATCGAGAAAGTTTCGAGTGCCCATCCAAGCCAAGGCTGGGCGCAAGTTGTCGTCCACAACATCATTAGCAAGTTTCGGAGGAAGACAAAAAGGCGGTGAATCGTGGACAAATTCCATTTGGGAAAGACAATTGTTGCGCATGATGGATCTTTTCCTTGCCTAAAAGTTTGTCATCCTGACGAGCCTAGATCTTGAAGATCTTCAGAAGCGTCGATTGAGCTCGGCTGCCGGAAGACGCGAGAACGCGAAGACGCGAAGGCGCGACACGTGAGCCAATGTCCACATCAATTAATTGAGTAAGTGGAGTTGGGAACCAGACTATATGATGACAGATCAGACATACATAATGCATTGCTGTCCGAGTCTGAAGCAACATATAATCCCTTAGATTCGCTCTATCTGGTTAAAACACACCTGTACACTTGCAACCCTTCCCAATATTCTCTTCCTACCCCTCGATCAGCATGACTCCCCAGATCCAGGAAGATATCTTGATCATTGGCGCTGGGCCGGCTGGAGGAGCCTTGGCAGCTTTTCTTGGCCAGAATGGTGAGCGTCTTGATAGCAATAGTCATTAGTGAATGCTCACTGTAAATAGGACTGAGCGGACTTGTGATATCCAAAGACTCTTCCACGGCTTTTACACCAAGAGCCCACGGGTTCAATCCATTTGCCTTTGGTGCGAAACATACCCAACACTTCGACGAGTGACTGACTTACCTGCCTAGAATGCCTCCGCGATATTGATCTTGAGGAAGAAGGGCTTCGATTAGCGATTCGTGGCTCTACCGCTCTTTCTATGCGCTTTTCAGGAAATCTGATAGGGGAGAGAGAGTATGGACGTGTCTCAGCATGGTCAGAGCATCCAGCTAGTGCGGTAAGAATATTCAAACCCCGCCAGACCAGAAATGACTTGGGACCAAGACTCATGCTATTGATAGGCTCGAGTGAAAGAGACGACTCCATGCGAATACGTTGACCTGACTCAACGTCATGTCGAGCCACTCCTCCTCCGATATGCTTCACACCACGGCTTCAGACATCGCTTCTCGACAGAACTCATTGGAATAGAGCCCATCAGTGACGATCTTGGTACAGGATATCTCTGTACTATTCAAGACCACATTACGAACTATCACTTCAAGATCCGTGCCAAGTATCTCTTCGCTGCAGATGGAGGACGAAGCCACGTAGCTCGCTCCTTGAATTTCAACTTCTCAATCACCCCAGGAGGGCCCAAGGCCTGCAACGTTCTGATCAAAGCCGATCTCGGCCATCTTTTAGTAGAAAAGAAGTACGCTGCCCTCAATTGGGTGATTCAGCCTGACCGCAAGATTTTCCCCGGAGTTGTTGCCCACTTGCGCGTGGTCCGACCGTGGAACGAATGGGTCCTCGCTGGGTTTGGACCAGGCGGCACGAATCCGTTTGAAGGATTTACGACCGAGAGCCCTGAGATTGTCGACCTCGTGCGAGAACTGGTTGGAGACAGAACAATCGATGTCAAGGTCCTGAAGATTGATCCTTGGACCGTCCGTGAAGCTGTCGCGGACCACTACTCGAAGGGCGATAATAAAGTCTTCTTGTTGGGTGATGCTGCTCACCGTCACCCTCCCACGTTTGGTTTGGGCAGCAACACCTGCATCCAAGACGCGTACAACCTAGCATGGAAAGTCGCATACGTCACAAAGGGCTGGGCTGGCCCCGGTCTTCTAGACACTTACAGTCAGGAGCGGCAACCAATTGGCGCAGACCTTGTACGCGAGTCTAATAACCAACTTCGTCATAACTCAAATATTTGGGATGTCTTGGGAATGGTCGGATCTCGCGAAGACGGAGTCAAGAAGCTGGAGGAGCTAACGCAGCCGACGAGCGCAGGTTCAGATCGCCGAGAAAGACTGCACGAGGTCCTAGAGCACAAGAGGCAGGAGTTGGAGAGTGTTGGTCTGGCCTACAACCATTGGTACACCTCAAGTGCGGTGTATTTGGATGACGAGGAAAGCCCTAGGCCGACATTGGAGGGAGATCAAATTGTTGAGGTACAGATCAGCACGTATCCTGGCAGCCGACTACCTCATGTCTGGCTGGACATGTCGTCGCGCTCCAATCTGATATCCACACTTGATCTCGCTGGGAAAGGATCCTTTTGCCTACTGTTCGGGGTTGGTGGAGAAGCTTGGAGAGCTGCGGCTCAAAGAATCAGCAGTGCCACTAATATCCCTATTGTCAGCTATGGCATTGGCCATGGACTAGATTATATGGATATCCGCCGCGACTGGCGTTCTAAGCGGGGGGTTGCTGAAACTGGTTGTGTGCTTGTTCGACCTGATAGATTCGTTGCTTGGAGGTCGACGGGACAGCCTGGAAACTGCGAGGAAAAGCTGATGCATGTACTAGATAAAGTGCTGTTTAGGGAAGCTAGTCATAAGTAGGTACTGTCTATAAGCCGATGACTTCGGTTGTGGTAGCATACTCCAAAGCATTATTATCACCTGTTATTGCTAACAGTTATAACGTAGACTTCGATAGAACAGTATAGATTGGTTTACTTATGGCTAGTAAAGTACAGGTATAGTTTTATCTAGTACTGTCAATGTAGATCTGCAATCGGCTCTAGCAACGGGTTATTGGCTTATGCGCTTCCGACCCAAGCATTGTAGTTGTTTGGGCTGGATCCTGGGCTTGACAAAATCTCCTTGCCCAATCCTTGAACGACTGTTGCACCATTCCGGATAATTTTGACGGTGACCGCACCTGTCTGTCCATTAAAGTCTCGAGAGAAGTGGTTCAGACCCGTCTTGGTGGCTTGGAAGGTGGTCGGGCTGTTGCCGCCAATCTGCACGCTGATTTGGGCAGGCAACGATTTGATTAATGCCGTAAAGAAGACCTTGTCCTGGACACAAGTCGCAGGTGAATACGTCGTCTGCCATGGTGCGTTGCAGACAACGCCATTGGGATTCGCAGCAGCAGGGTAGAGGCGATACCAATAAGATAGCTTCTCCGTGGTAACAGCGGGTTCGACGCCACCGTTCTTGTAGGTCGCAATGTAATGAGGCAGCAAAGCGCGCCAGCCATCGTGTGGCATGTTGTTCACATACCACTTCGCGCTTCCTGCAGGCTCGTCCGGAATGCCGGCATCAAATATGGGGCCCACGTAGTGTGACTCACCGAAATCGTTCCAGGTCACAATCTGCACGAACTGCGGCTTAATGTCGTAAACGTGTTCCCAACGCTGGTGCCAGAGGTCGTCACCGCGCCAAAGGCGTCGCTTTCCGTACTGGGGCAAGTCGGTAAAGAACCAGGGTGATACACCCATCATGTACTGGCCGGTCACGCCCTTCCATGCAACATCAGGGTCAGTAGCGGGATCCGTGGGCATGTTGTTGGGGCCGTTGGGCCACAAGTTCCAGGAAAAGACACCATCGATGGTACTGAGGTAGTTGCGGTGCCAGTTGGGATCGCGGCTCGTGTACTCTGGCATGAAGTGGATCCCACGTGAAGAGAATTGAGACTTGATCGAAGCCCAGTCGCCCACATAATCAGAACCCTCGAAAGTAGATACAATCGCTTTGCCGGTGTTCTTTGACGCGGTGTATGGATGCTTCGCATACGAGTAGTTCTCAATGTACTGAATTCAGTCAGTACATGCTCATATTCATTAAGAAAAAAAAGAGCATACGCACAGCCGTCAGCGCCGTTCTCACATCTGCAGCAGGCCAGGGCCCATTTCCACCCTCATAATCGAACGCAAAGAAGAGCTTAAACTCATTTGCGACCTCATTCGAGGCTTGAAAAGCCAGGCTGACCTGGGTCTCGATGGTGCCAGCCCAGGGCGCTCCCATGTTCAGCACAAAGCCATCGATGCCGGCCGCCTGGGCGAGGCGAATATCGCTGACCCATCTGGCCTTGTCGTACGCGCCATTGTTGCCAACCTGTTACCATCAGTACTGAAATGTATATGGTGAGCAGGTACACTTACAATGACATGCGCGAATACGCGCTGAGCGGCTGCGAATTGCAGCAAGTTCGCGGCTGCGATGAAAAGGGTGCAAAACAGCAACATGTTGCTCGAACCCACGATGTTGGTTTATCGCGATGATGCAGTACAGTGGCGGATGTGCGTCTTTTATAGTAGAACGGGGGGCGATTCTGCATAAGCATCGATCCTGTAGAGCCGCATAGTGGAGATGCAGCGTCCTAATTTCTACAAATGCGTCTCCCGGCATCAGACCGTCATGGTTTTCCTCGGACCGTACGATAGAGAACCCAGAATAAGACGGCAGATTCCGCTGCCTGTCGACGCATGGACCGCCGTTCACCCGGACTTCAGATATCTGTACGAAAGATCGCTCCATAAAGCGGGAGGCCTTGCCCCGCCTTGAGACTACATACCTACCTATGAGCTTTTAATAGCACATTCAGGCAAATTGCAATTACACGCATGATGTCAACATGGCTTCAGGTGGTGTCAACAACATCCAATAATACATATCTAGCGGCATTCAAACCAATGTGAAGGTCTTCGCCATTCTGGTGATGCAATCAGGACCATTGCGATCAGCATAGAGTATATGTGAATAGGTGCAATCGTTGACTGCATAACGATGTAATCCTGCAGGCCGCACGCCAACTAAGCAGCCATCCATCAAATGGGTATTCTTACGTTCGAGAACCGTCCTGAGACCCCGATGCGTTGTGTAATTTGGAGGACGTTGCCCGACTCTAAGCTTTCAGGCATTTCAGTCTCAATGATGAAACCGGAATGGGTAGAGGGACGCGAACACCCAGTGTGAGACGACACAGTACAGACCGAGGTTTACTAATACAAGCTTTCCAGTCTCGTATACTCCGTGACATTTGGCTTGCGCACTATCTGGGTGTGCGGTGTGTGAACCGTCGGGAAAGGGTTCAGCATCACATGGCGTGGTACGATGATACATGTCGTAGCGGATAGATGCATTGCGACGTTGAGACATGACATCTCGCTTCGTGAAAGATGTGACAAGGTTGCGCGTGGAGGAGCAATAGTAAGCATTAAGGGTGGCGGGCCCATGCCCGCGATGGAGTTGATCTTTGACCAGGAGGTGGGGTACTGTTAAACGAGCCTGCCAATCAGAATCAGCCACAGCAGGCTGGACGCTGGGCACCAAGCTGAAATTAGCATCGACCTTATTACTAAGAAAACACTACTGCCTTCTTTGTTAATGTCGCTCGTATGCAATAAAGTTGCCCTGCGCAACATAGCACCTGATTGGTGTTGTTGTGCGCAGCGGACCAAGTGCGGCGCGGGCGTTCGGTCACCGAGAACAGTCGCGGGCCCGTGCCGCGGGGGGCCTGAACAAACACGGCTACTACTCTACTCTTTAGTAGTAGTATGCGTACGATTTACAAAGTAACCTGTCGTATTCTGAATAACCAAGGTAAGAAGATAACGGTTCGAGCGTCTATGCTAATTCCCAGGCCTTCCATGATTAGGATGTCATGCTAGCTGTTGGCCAGCCAGTCTCCCTTTCTACTTTCGCAAGATGCTTGAGAATTGCGAACTTCTCTGCGGCGTGCTCTTCTTCATGCTCTCCTTTAGGCATACTCCCAGATGCATCGCTAGCAATGTACAGTGGAAATGTGATTGATCTAACAAGCATGCGACGCGTTCGTCACACTTATTCCACTTCTTTCCTTCGCGTGCCAGATGGGATTCTAGATTCTGTTGTCCTCCACGTGCCTGCTATTGTTAAGCTCAAACCCTCGGGCGTACGTACTGTCCATGATGGGCTCCGATCAAGTACAGCGCAGAACATACATCGTCACTGGCGCTGTCCCAGGCATTGACCTCGCCACAGCTTGGGCTTTATTAGCAGAATGTGCTTCTGTCAGTCTGTGCGACCTCGAAAAGAACGGTGTGCACAAGGACGCGCATGACCTTGATCCCTCCGGTGCCCGCGTCTTGAGCTCGGTCGTTGACGTTACCGACCGCACTGCAGTTCGGAACTTGCTGTCAAGCACGAGGGAGAAGTTTGGCTCAATCGATGGCGTCGCCAATTCGGCAGCTATACGTACCGCTGGTCATGAACTTGGCTTCCACTCGAGGGTTTTTAAAAAGGCGCCCTCTATGCTACTCCGAAACATACTGTCCTGGGCTTCATGAGCAGTGCAGCAAAAGAGGGTAATGATCGGATCAGAATAACTGTGTTCTTCCGTGAGCGACACCCCAGCCAACACTCGGGAATGGAGTTGATTGAGGCAACTCACATAGAAGTACAACTGATACAACAACGTACCAAGCCAACTTAGAGCGCATTCCAAATTTTGTTCCTGCACCATCAACACCATTCTCATGCGACGGGAAGGCAGATGAGGTGGCCCACGTATTTGCGTTTCTCACTATTGAGAAAAGCAGCTTCGTAACCGGTGCAGCGTGGAGTGTGGATCGTGGCGCCAATTTTTAAGGCATTCGAGCTTCGCTGAGAGGTTATGTTCTCGCAACCGGGTCACTGAGAAACCAGGGTACGAGGTTGAGCAATGCAATGGTCAACACAGAGGCCCAGTATGAACACCCTCGTGACTCCTTGTTGCCTAATCTAGATAACATCGCTATTGCGTATACTCCGGACTGGCCTTCAAGGCGTGAAAATACTCAGAATCGTGGCCCAATACCACCTTCCCTTGGTTTCTTTGTACCAACGCCCGGATGTACGTCCGGCTACCATGCCACGCACTAAGATCTGTAGTCAACGTGCCAGGATGGACGCCCAGCTCATCATATTTCCCTCCATTGAGGATTTTTGGAGTGCGGTAGCGCATAATGGCAGCTGTGGGCTGTAGAAGTCTATGAGGTAGAGCTTGATTTGATAACAACGATCCTGCAGACAGATGGTGCCAGGACGCACTGCTTCAAGATGGAATGTGAAAAGACCCCACGGCGTCAGCAGCTCGCATTCTAGCTTCATAAGAAGACCGCGACTGCATGCATCACGATTTTCCGATAGCCGCTTCTAGCTAGCAGGTATCTTGTACCACCACTAATCAACTGTGGAGGAAAAGCGCTAGCCGAAGGCTAACGCTGAATGCGTACAGCTGCTGTGACAATAAAGGCGCAACAATTATTGCTCTTTACTGCAGGCCATTGCTGAGTTAATGAGCGGCTAATCTTTTCTGATCCTTTTGTCACCGACTCGTCTTCCAAAAGGCAGACCTTCAGGCGACGTCCGTGCCGACTGAGACATGTTGGTCGAAGGCAATCATCTGCTGTCGAATTTCTTCATGATGCCAACAATCTCAGAGAACCAGGGTATGGGTAGCAAGCCGTGGGAACAGGTTGTTCGTGACCATAAGCTCGATTTGTCCAGGTACGAGGACTTCTACAAAGATCTACACCGTAATCCAGAGTTGTCGCGACAGGAGTACAAGACTGCGGCGAAGATTACAAAGTTTTTGCAAGTGCTTGAGCCCAATCTTGAGATACGCACTGCAATAGGTGGGACAGGATTGATTGCCACCTTCAGAAACGGCCTTGGCAAGACTCTCTTACTTCGCGCTGACATGGACGCGCTACCCCTGCTTGAGAAGACTGGCCTGGATTACGCTTCTAAAGAGATGGCCACAGATCCTAATGAGATAATGGTTCCTGTTGCACATGGTTTGTAGATTCGTTCCCACTCTTAGTCGCCGATTAGTAATGATAACAGCGTGCGGACACGACTTTCATGTCACATGTCTGCTCGGCGCCGCGGAGACGCTTATCTCTTGTCGTAAAGCGTGGTCTGGTACACTCGTCTTCCTATTTCAACCGGCAGAGGAAGGCTACGATGGTGCAAAAGCCATGGTGGATGACGGGCTGTACACGCGACATGAATGCCCCATCCCTGATCTTGTCTTGGGGCAACATGTTGGACCTCTACGAGCAGGGATGGTTTCTTTGAAGAAGGGGCCGCTTTTAGCTGCTTCCGATGTATGGAAGATTACAATACACGGAAGGGGAGGGCACGGCAGCTCACCCCAGAACTGTATCGATCCGATAGTCGTCGCAGCGCACATTGTGGTCCGGCTACAAACCATTGTTAGCCGAGAGGTACCTCCAAATGAGCTTGCTGTCGTATCGGTGTGTTCGCTTCACGCCGGTAGTGCTCAGAACATCATCAGCGACACAGCAGAGCTACTTCTCAACATTCGATCCATGAGCGCTGAGTGGAGGACTCAGATCTTGGAAAGCGCGGACCGAATCATTCGCGCCGAATGCACTGCAGGTAAGTGCAAACCAAAAGTCCGTTACGGAATAGATTCAGGCATTGACTGTACAGGTAACTGCCCTAAACCGCCAGACATTGAGCACACTCATTCTGTACCAATGGTCTTGAATAAAGGCGCTGCAATTCAGTCAGTTGCAGATGGCTTTGCTTCTTTCTTTGGTCAGAACTATGTTCGCGACTTTCCCGCCGTCACTGGGAGCGAGGACTTCAGCAACTTAGCAACCGCGGTCAACGTTCCGTATTGCTTCTGGTTTTTTGGAGGCCATGAAAGATCATTATTCGACAAACATTTTAAAGCGGACACTATTACAGAGCTTCCCATTAACCATAGTCCCTATTTTGCTCCCGCTATTCACCCAACTCTCCAGACGGGGATTGACGCTCTTGTCGTGGCAGTACTAGTGCACCTCTATAGATACTAGCAAGAGTATAATCCTCATCTCTGTAGTATACTTCTATACTTTGGAGTAATCTTCTTATCACTAAACTATGAAAGATTTAAGAAGCAAAGAGTATATTTAAGTAGTGAATACATGTAACTACTAGACAAAGCTGTACAAGGAGCTTGCAGAGTATAGTACATCTCACTTCTAGAGTAGCTTAGTTGTTGTTCAGGTGCCTATCCACCTAAGCTACTCCAGTAAGTGTCACGCTCTACCCTGAGATACTGTCAAGCAATTTCGACCCTGCCTAAGTAGCTCGATCTATAGCTTCATGTGCTCTTCCGTAACAGATATCTTTGGTACATTAGACACCATTGCGCAAAGCTTGAAGAAATCTCCGGCTCTCCAACCATTGAAGGGAGAAACTTGCGGCCGCTCTTTGTCAGGATCACCTCGCCTTTTGCTGAGAGGCCACTTCCGGATTGATTGCAGCAGCAGTAAATTCCAACCTGAATATCTCTCTTACTCCATGCGCCAAAGGTCTCTGCAGCATCAAGATCTAGGACGTCATGGAGCAGTCTAAGCAAAGAGAGGAGAAGAGACGAACTAGGACACATCGTGATCTCCGCTCCGGAGAAACCCTAGGTACAGAACCCGTCCCTGGAATTTCGATGACCCACCTCTTCCAACAACCTTTTCTGCCATGCAAAGTCATGTACAAGTCAACAAAACCCAGTGTGGGCCGGTTTGCTGCGTGCATCAGATCATGATATTTTCTAAGTAATCCGACAATCAGAAGTGTTAATGGAGTGCTGTCAGATTGCTTCGATTCATTCCAGATCAAACTTCACCTTGATTGGCGAGGATGGCACCAAGCCACCTCCCGGTGTCGATGATGGTGAGGAACGGAATTGTGGCATGGCCGCGTAAGCAGTCAACGAGAGTTAATCATTCATCTTTGGCTAGTGAGGGTTGTGGTGACATGGGGGGAGAGAGAACGTTCTGCATAAAAAAAGATGGGGCTTTAAGGGCAAATCTCTTCGTTAGACTGCGAAGGTACTGTTCAATATCGGCTTTGTCCGTCGAAGTGCTCCAAATTCTTCAGTATCCCGCCAGGGAACTTGCAAGAGTGACTCATGGAGCTGTAGTTGAGTGCTTTCTTACATGAAGCCTTTGCTTGCTTGTCCTCGATCTCGCGTGTATTACCTTCGAATCGTGTTGCTGTAGAAAATACGAGAAGTCCCGTGTCTTTGCTGGGGTGTCGGAGGCTCGTTGAGATCAGTCTGGTCAGTCTGAGCACCTTTCAGCTCCAGGTCCTTCACTTTTGGGTACTAAGGTCTCGTGAAACAAACAGTGTAGCATTTTGAGAGCTGGGGATCGTCAAGCACAAAGTGAGCAGTGGAGTCTCTTGATTGCCTGTGGTTTCAGAAACCGCAAGACTCGATTCAGACATGCCGATGACTGTTTTTCTGTTTGTGAGATTGCTGTAAGGTAGTGAGAGGAAGAGGGAATGAAGACGCCTTACAAGTTATGTCTCGTAAGCTCGGCTTTCATTTTTTAAAGAGACCCGAGATTCTAGCTCTCCAAACCTGTGGTCGGGGTGAAGAGCGGGCCTAGTACGGTGACCATACAAGCCCCAACGGAGAATAAGCGGCGTTAAGGGTAGTCTGGACAACATCCTTGTTTACATCTCAGTAACACCGAGGTTGTGCCCATGGCAGTCAATTCGAACTAGCATGCACCTGGAGTTAACGTTATGACCGACAAGTGGCTAGAATAGGTACGGCGTATGGAGCAACTAACAACCGAGTCGGCAACGCGACTCGGCTTTAGACCGGATATTCGATAGCCATAGTAGCATTCTTTGAAGGCCCATTTGGCTCACCTCACATCGTTGCGCATGCACGTGCTATGATATTGCCGTATTGGATCGGATCTGGCAAGGCATGTCTTCAGCTTGTCGTGTGTGAGGGTACACACACGGTCAGACTGACATCTTGTATCGGCCTTGTAGTTTCCGCTAAAGCCGGTACTCGAGACACGCAACTTTCGCTACATCCCTGATGCTGAGATTGTGACCTATGTTTCAACAGACAATCGAACGGAATCAATACGGGATATTTTACATTCAATCAAGTCTTGAGAGCATTACGTGTGACAAAAGGCGGTCTGTTCCGACTCAGCTTTGTGCCTAGAAAGAGCCAACCTGCCGTTGATATCGTGCACTGCCCACGTAGATTACGTTTCTACGAATTTGCGGCGAGATGGCAATTCGTAAATCTCCGAAAGATCTAGGCGAGGTCTTGGAAAGAGGGGTCACATAACTATACATAACGATGTTATCATGCAGAGAGCGGCCACTGCTATCCAGCATCGTGAATCCCTCTCACACTCCATCTACTCGTCTCCAATATGTATGCCTTTCGCTCATTTGTTACGTTTTCTCTTCTAGTCAATGGTGTCTTGAGCCATGATAAAGTCAACCGCCAAGACGAGTCATCTTTACAAGACCCTGCAGCTTTAGTAAGTCAGGCTTTGACAGCGCTTGGGGGTGCTCAGAGCATTGCTGAAGTGCTGAGCGTTTCCTACATTGGTCGGACGTAAGTTACACTCCAAACATTCAGAGAGCACCATACTAACATCTCCAGCATCTTACGGGGTAGAACATTGATGCTAGCGGCCTCTCTGCACGGCCTCGACACTGCAGGAATAACGGCTGGCAGTCAAAATATTACCTTTTCCTACGAGAATTTTCATATGTCTCAAAGGATCGATAAGTTTGCCATGCTCGGACGTAAGTTAGTAGGGCTAAAATTGACGGCTTGAAGCTAAGTCTTATAGCCACTTTTACATTTGGACGAGCAGACCTTCAGCCCATGAACTATTCTATGGTTGTACAAGGAGGAGAGGAAGGCTTCGCCGCTGTCGTTCGGGGAAGCTACAATATCTACGATCCATCTGGAGGACCTACTGGCTACACTGATGGTATCTCTCCTGTCTCCCTCCAATGTGCTAAATATGTGAAACAGATAAGGTAGAACGGAGAAAGTAGTATTTTGATGTGTAACTACAGAGTGCGACAGGTGCCTTTGATATAGGCAGCAGGCGCGCGCGCTAGCGAAGCGAGCACTAGCGCAGATGTGCGAGCAAGTGAAAGAAACTGATCACATGACAGGAATCCAACCAACAGCCCCCCTGAATCCTGGCATGGAGCGATGAGAGAACGCCCAAAAGAAACCAAAACCGAAAAACCCCCAACCTCATTGGACTCCCCGTACACCAATGTCCTGGCAGATCTTGTTGAACTTAACAGGGTCAAGTGCCTTTGTAAGCATATCCGCTGGATTCTCCTTTCCGCTAATCCACTGTACCGTAATCGACCCATCGCGGACGTGCTCTCGAAGGAAGTGATGGCGAATGTCGATGTGCTTGCTACGTTGATGAAACTCAGGATTCTTTGTGAGTTTAACAGCTGACTCGTTGTCAACATAGAACGGGACAGTGCTGAAGTTGATGCCAACGTCAAGATCGTTGATGAAGCTTTTAATCCAGAGACCTTCTTTCACAGCCTCACTCAGAGCCATGTATTCAGCTTCGCAAGTTGACAGCGCTGTGACCTTTTGCAGCGTAGAAGACCACGAGATAGGACCTCCAGCCAGCATGAACAGGTATCCAGTTGTTGAACGGCGGCTGTCAGGGCAACCAGCCCAATCAGCATCTGTGTAGCCAATTAATTGCGGCGTCTGTGCAGTATATGTAATGCCAGTGTTGTGCGTGCCTTTGGCATAGCTGAAAGCCTTGGTGATGGCGTCAAGGTGTACCTGGGTTGGATTTGCACTGAAACGACCATAGAGTGATGCTGCGTACGCAAGGTCAATTCGAGTCATCACTGGTAGATAGTTTAGTGATCCAAACTTAGAAAGGTAGTTCTTGCGGAGCTGATCAGTAGAGCTGTCCTTGTCTCCCTTAGCGAGCTTGTGACGATGATCGCACGGTGTTGATGACACAGGCAGGTTGTTGTAGTCGTATTCTTCAAGCTTGCGACGGACATACTCTGCCTGGTGGATTTTTACTTTCCCAGGGCTGTGCTCAATGTGCATGCCCAAGTACAAGGCCTCAGGGTCCTCAGAGGTGATGGTGAAAGCTTTTGACAGGTCGTGCTTGAACTGCTCGAGGTGAGCTGCATCAGGACCGTAAATGCGTATGTCATCCACGTGTACTGAGATGATCAGTTGATCGCGAGTGTGAATGTAAACGCAAGGATCGTATAGAGATACACGAAAACCCATCCGGAGTAGCTCTGCCGTAAGCGTGTCGTACCATGCGCGAGGGGATTGGACCAGTCCATACAGAGACTTGAGTAAGAGCCAGACTTGCCCCTCAGGTAAAACAACTGGATAGGGTGGTCGAATGTAGACCTTCTCCTTCAGCAGCGAGTTCAGGAAGGCGACGTAGACGTCGACTTGGGCACTAGTCCATCCAAGTAGGACACAGATGGCGAGAAGGATGCGGATTGAGGCAGTGCGGGCTGTAGGTGAGTACTTTTCCTTGTAGTCAAGACCTGGCCGCTGTTGAAAACCTCGGGCAACCAGACGCGCCTTCAGCTTGGCCAGCTGTCCTTGTGGGGTAAGTTTAGGCTTGTAGACGAACTTGGAGTCGATAATTCGCTGTCCTTTTGGCAGGTCTACAACCTTGTAAACTTCCTTCTCTGCTAAGCCATCCAGCTCCTTGTAAGTGGCAGTATGCCAGCCTTTTGCCTCAGGTAGCGTCATAGCTTCCTTGTACGTCCGAGGCACACGGAGAGGCGTAGTTGACGCTGCTGATAGCGCCATAAGCGTTGTGTGAAGGTCCTCGTCTAACGGCAGTTCGCTGTCCTCATATGACGCAGTGATAAGATCACTATCCAGGTAATCCTCACCCAGCATATGGTCGCTGGAGATAGTAGGAAGCGGAAAAGCTGACAGTGCCACATTCTCCACATTGAGAAGATCGTCGTCCAACAGTCCTTCATCAGACACTCCATCTGGATCCTGTTCTGATGTGGGTTCTGCATTAAGAGGTCGATCTATTGTAGAATACAAGCGAAGTCCTTGATACGACGGGTTGTACGCAATTTCAAAGGTAAATTGCTCGTCGTCTTCTGTAATGGTGTATGCTGCCTTCTCTTTACAGACAAGTACATTGCTGGATACCTTCTTGGTACACATGCGTCCTGTTCTGGCGCGTAATGTCGATGGAGACATACACTGGTAGCAAGGATGGTGTGTTGTGCAGTCTCGGCGTTCATAAGAGCACATAGTGCATAAGTTTTCCTCAAGGTGGTCAAGGTCACCATCTGGATAGTACGCTGTGTGCGTGGTGTCATTGTCGCTGTATCTAGCGCAGACCCGCTTTTCCTTCACACATCGTTGGCAGGGAAAGTCCCGATTGCAGCTGACATGGTCGAGCCTACAGCTGTTGCATTTGTCTTTGCCCTTGTTATCCTGGTGGACACATGCACGGCCGTGATCTTCACACACGTTGCAGGGATATCCACCATCGCAACCTATCGCGTTCAGGGTTCCAGAGGGGTAACGAACGTACTGGCTGTTGTACTTTTGACATGTAGCGCAGCGATCCTTATAAGGTAACGCGGCTTTCTGCTTGTACGCTGTAGGTTTACAATTCAGCTGATTGTTTGCGTTAATACAGTTGTTACATGCGTTGTCATTAGAGAGAACCGTGCACGTAAGGGCGTTCTTGGTTTTCCTGCACTGCTTGCAGCAGTTGGCAGCATTCTGGGCCTCTTGGACTGTGGCGAGGACGCACTTGAATTTCTTCTTGTGACATGGAGCGCACTTTGACTGGCCTTCTTGGAACGCACACTGAGTTTGCCTGAGCAGACACCGGACGCATTTCTCACTCATGGCAAGCATGGGCTCTGAATCATTGTCATTTGGCGTGACTGCGACGTCGGTACGGTTGGAAGCGTGGTCGTCTGCAGCATGTTCATGTAGAGCAGATGTAACTGAAGAGTAAACGTCTGGGATTGGCTCTACTGTGGGAGGCTCCTCTTGGTTGTTGTCTGATCCGGAGTGAGTCTGGTAGGGATCAAGGCTATCCGGGTCATCGGTGGGATCGTTGTCTGATGGAGAGACATCTGGGGCTAGTTCCACTGTGGATGACTCGCCCAAATCGCTGTCAGAATCGGTCTGATATGAGCTATGGCCATCTGACTCATTGGTGAGATCGATATCCACACGGTTCGTTGTGGATGTAGGCGTTGTGACATCAGTCGTGTCAGGGGAGGGACGTCGCTGTCGAGAAGACCAGGCATTGCCATCGAAGTACTGGACAGCGGCTGGTCGGGAACGGAAGAAGCGTGAAGTTGTCTCCGGCACTCGGTTAGTCAGGGCCCAGCGTTCTCGATGGTGACGAGCAATAGCCGATGAGCGTCCGATATTGTGCCCGCGAACTGTCTCCCGTCGCTGTTGCACATGTGCGGCATCTTTGTTGTCACTGTCGTCGCTGAGATCTGCGCTTGTAGCAACGAGTGCAAGACTGTTGAGAGATGCAAGAGCCGTACCATCACTGGACTCGTCGTCGCTATCATCGCTGTGGCTGGGTACATCCATGGGCACCTGCTGTGGGGGTGCTCGGTCATTAATGTGGTGACCATGCGGCTGAGTATCGTTCATGCCCATTGAGTTGTCGATGCGACTAGTCGTGACGCGTTTAACCTTCTTCTCATCAGAGTGCCAGACGAGGCAGATTTGTTCGGTTTCAGCGCATAGGAAGTGACCAATCCATGCGCGAGGAGAGTGAAGCTTTGTAGCGCGTTCTGCGAGTCGAAGTTCGGGGGGGACAGTAACGTAAACCCGTGCCCCCCATGCGTTGTCCTTACTAAGATCTGGCTTTCTGTTGTACAGTGCTTCAAACGGGGTCTTGAGGTACTGAAGGGCCCGAGACGGTGCACGATTCTTCTTGTAAACAGATTCCATTACCGCATATGTCCAAAGACCTTCAGGCAATGTAGCATTGCGAAGCTGTTCTTCAGTGCGGTTAACAATGGTCATTGTCATCTTGGAGGAGGGTGCGTGATCCTCAATCATCGCGGCTGCGCGCTCACGCACGGTGCGGTGGGATCGCTCAACTGCTCCAACCTGATGGTGTGCGTAGGGAACACAGGGCTCCATGGTGGTGCCATTAGCAGCGCAAAACTTCTCAATCGCTCCTTGGATGAACTCGTTGTCGCATCGCAGGCGTACGATAGGAAGCCCGAATTCGGTAGACAGGCGTTTCAACATGTCAGTCAACAGTTTGGCAATCTTGTCTTTGGTGCTGAAAAGTACAACCCATGTGTATCGAGTGGCGTCGTCGATGAGAAATAGGGCGTAGCGTTCTCCATGGAGACCATTGACAGGGTAAGGACCCCATGTGTCAACTGTGACCAGTTCTCCAAACACTTCGTAATGGCGGTGAGCGGGTTCGCGAGGAATCTTGTAAAGAGCTCGTGTGGTGTAGCAAATTGGGCATATATCCTTGATCTTAGCCATGATCTGCTTGTCCGTGACCTTGATGCCCTCGCTGATCTTGAGCAGGCGGCGCATGTTATCCAGACCCAGGTGTCCGAGTCGGCGGTGTTCAGACCAGACAGGGTCTGCAAAGTCAACTGCGGCGGCAACCATAGGTAGGGCTGGTGATCGTCGCACGTGAAGGACGTAGACATCGGCTCGTTTGTTGAGAGGAGCGTGTGCAATTTCATCGCCAGTGTCCTTGCGCATTATGGAAGCCCCATCCTCGTCAAGGAGAAGCTTGAAACGTGGGCCTGATCGAGCAAGACGAGACACAGAAAGCAGGTTCGCTCGTGCCTGTGGCGCATACCGCACATCTGTAAGCTGTAGGATAGTGACCTTGCCAGCAGCGTTGGTAACTACAAACTCAACGGTACCTTTGCCGGCGATATGTAGCTGAGATCCAGCCTTGACGCCACCGATAGTCTCTGTGCAGGCTTCAAGACTAGTAAAGATAGACGCATCATGGGTGATATGTCGAGATGCACCACTGTCACATATCCAGTAGTCAGGTGCAGTAGTACTGTCATTTGCTGCCATAGCGTGACGATGTGTATTAGTGCTATGAACGCTTTGAAAATCTCCTGTATGACGAAAGTCCGTCTCCGCATGCCCCCCATTCCCCATGTCTGTGCCTTGGTCGCAGCTCTGGAACGGCTGGTCAGCGTGAGACACGGGTGAGGGAGTGGCATGCGTACAGTTGAAGCTCATAGCACGAGCAAAAGCGTTATCCAGGTCGTTGACGGATGAAGCAACTTGACAGAAGTCGTCATCAAAGTCATTCGCGGATGCAATGATGCGGTCCAGGCCGACGTCATCATCATGTTCGGTGACAGCGAGATGAGCGGCTGGTGCAGCTTTAGGGTTGTAGGCCTGGTTCTGCTTCTTGCGGCACGTATCGATGATATGGCCTAACTTCTTGCAGAACGTGCACCGAGGGGTGTCAGGTTTGTCAGCATAGCGACAGGTAGCGATCGCATGACCTGCATGACCGCAGTGCTCACAGATGACACCGCTGGCTGCGTTGTTGTTGTTGTTGGTGGTGGCCTTGTTGTTGTTCTTACCACGGTTCTTGTTGGACTTGTTGGAAGAGTCGGTGTGCACCTTGTTGTTGCGTTCTTTGGCGGCATCCCAGATGTCCTTGTTATCGTCGGCGTAGTTGAGGATGAGGACGCGGAATTGTTTGTAAAGGTCATGAGTAATCTCAACATCATAGTGAGTGGCCTTCCAGTGCTTGATGATAAAGCCATAGTGGGGTGGAAGTCCAGAATTGATCTTGTTAACTAGCTCGGTACGAGTGAAAGTGCCCTTGGCCAACTTAATATCTTCGTAGAGCTCTTCGCATTGGACCACAAAGCGTCGTGCATCTGACGGGTCAGAGAGCTGGAGAGTCATCAGCTTTGCCCGAGCACGGTCAACAGTGACTGCATCAGAAGGCTTGTTGTGTTTGATAATGGCAGCCATAGCTTGTGCAGGATGAGCTTGTTCCGCAACACTGAGCTCTGACCACACAAAGGTCTCAACTGCAGCGCGGAGGAGCGAAAGTGCATAGCGCACAAGCTGGTTGTTGTCGCGCCACACATGAGACTGGGTCTGGTAGAAAGCGAGCTCACTGGCGTGATCGGCCTGGCTCTTGGTGGTGACTTCATTGCGTGCGGAGCGTCGCTCGGTGGTGAGACCAGTGACTTGTTGGACGAACTCCGGGAGTTCAGGTTTCTCAAGGACTGGTGTGTTGCCAAGATAGAGGTCAAGGCAGTCTGTAGATGATGCGACTGTGTTGAAGACCTTTGTCCATGAGTCGTAGTTGCGTGATCCTCCAAGTTTCTCAAAATCCTTGCCAAGAGCAGTGTTAACATTGACAAGGTGAGACATAGTGGGGGAGAGTGCGCGTCAGGCGGCGCTGCCGTAAGGGCGTGCTGTGCGCCAGAAAAGACTTCAGTAAGTCAGAAGTGGTGACCAAAGTTGGTCGCGCGATTGTTGCGCTGGTGTGGTTTGCGTGAGCTAAGCAACGCGTGAAAGCGCAAATGGGCTCATAACCTGTGAAACAGATAAGGTAGAACGGAGAAAGTAGTATTTTGATGTGTAACTACAGAGTGCGACAGGTGCCTTTGATATAGGCAGCAGGCGCGCGCGCTAGCGAAGCGAGCACTAGCGCAGATGTGCGAGCAAGTGAAAGAAACTGATCACATGACAGGAATCCAACCAACAAAATACCCGGCTGATGTACTATATAACAGGACTTTTGGCTGAATATCTGATCTCCGATGCACGCAAATGGGATCCGCTCTTGGTTTCGACGGTAGGAATACTAATCTTCTAGACTTGAAGAGCATCGTTTGTTAATCGGTGAACTTAGATCTTATCGAACGGCAACTTTACTTCCCGTCGAGAAGAAGTTGTATCTGGGATGACATTCCAAGGTGGTCAGTTGGCTCCAGCTTCAAACCCCACGAAAGTGCCGAATGCTAACGGGACAATAAGTCCACGATGAACAAGTCGAATTGACTGTTCTGTTTGATCCGCAGACTGACCTCCCATATATCATTCGCTCTTATGAAGACCACCGCCTCTTTGGTCCTTCCACACATGATCTGAAGGTCTCGGATTATATCACGGTAAATGGAGTCCAACTACCTACACGTTTCAAGACGATATACAACAACAAGCACTTGCTTGGGGACTATCGCGCTGACGAGGTCCTGGTGAACACCAAACTCTTGGGTAATTTGTTCAGCGCGCCTGGTAACGGCACTATACCTAGAGCAAGCATTCCGATTCGTGATCCAGAATACTCGTTTGCAGAGATTGGAGAGCTTGCAGCGATCCACCTTTGGGGTGGTGCCTATCCTGGATCACTGGATGTCCTTGAAGCCACTCAACCTCTTGCAGATGTGCCAGGTCTCTGGGAACTCAACATCGCAGGTGGTATGGGTATGCGTCAAGCAGTTGTTGAGCTTGCAGATGGGTCCGTAGTTGTCCTCGATGCACCGCCGCATCAGAGCAAAGTCATCATTGAGTGGGCTAACCAGACGCTTGGGAAGCCAGTAACTCATGTTTGGGTACGTTCTTCTTTGTGCAACCCCTCGAATCTCAAGTAGCGCGATAAAGCCGCTTCGATACGATGCTGACAGAAAATAGCCGACACATCATCACCACGATCACGCTTTCGGTGTCTCGGACTTTGTCGCAAATGGGGCCAAGTTGATCGTCCCCGAACAGGCTCTACACTACTACTCTGGGCTGAACCTCACAAGGAATCAGGTCCTCACTTACAAGTATATGCACTCACTTCCCAATCATCTCGCTAATGTTGACTTATTTTTAGGTTCGGCGAGCCTCTTGTGCTCAGTGATAGCCAGACACAGTTGGCTCTTGTAGATATGCAAGCTACGATACACGCTCACGATCACGGTTATGCCTATATTAGTTCTGCATGCCCGACCTTAAATAGTTCTACCGCGGTCTTTGATGCTGACCATGGAAACTTGAATTTCATCGAGGAGTTCGACCATAATGCAATCGAAGAGCTTCTTGCGGCTCTAGCCACTGATGGTGTTGCAGCGAATGCGAAGTAAGTCCACCTTGCTCATGGGATACAATGACTCTCTATGTATCCAGCCAGTGTCTAACCGCGTAAATAGATTCTTAGCCTCGCATGGCCCAGCTGGAACTCTCCAAGATCTTGTGAATATTACTGCTTATAGTTATCCAGACCATTCGCCGTTAGACTTCAGTGGCAGCCAATCAAGATGTTCTTAAGCAGAGCGTCTATCTTTAATGTATATTAGATGGAAAATTATTGATAGAAACATCGTCTCTCTAGTTTATATAAGGTCTCAATGTTTGTATATTAGTAGCACTAGCAAACTAAATCGATTGATATTTGAGATCTTGTAGACAATGCCTAAGGAAAAGAGTAGATGGATAAGAGAACGACTTAATAAATTGAAAATGCTAATGAATGTTAAGAGTAATTGACCATCTGTAAGTCTAAGCCTTCAGAACATAATTCTTTGTCAGGAGCTTCCTAAGTATACAGATACTCTATCATATTTAGACCTAACCAGTCTTTAATAGCTCGCAGTTCGAATAAGGACGGTACACTCTCATCTTCCCCAAAACGTAGTAAATCCTCATATAGACGATACGCCTCAGCAAACCGGCTTGAACTAGCTACTTGGTAGGCATTACGAGGATTAGTCGATCTTGTAGAGCTTCTCTGTGTGTTTCGATGACCTTCAAATGATGCGAAGAGTCTGGACGACGTCGTCAAAAGTTTCAGGACCTCATCATCCGCTACAGAAATGGCGTGGAGAAAAACAACAAGGAAAGGCGTGAAGGAGGAGGAATTCAGAATCCTAGGCAGGTTTATTAGTCGCAATGCTACGAACAAGTATCGCTATTAATGCTCCCCAATCTGCAATATCCCCCCCCCCCCCCTGACAGGAAGCGGGACCTTTACCATGCAGACAGATAAGTCATGTGGCTATTTAGCCCAAAATGCGCAGAGGAAAAATACTGTGACGATATCTCCAATCCAGCCGCAGAGATTGTAGGCATGCATAGAACTGCTTGTATAATTTTATTACAGCATTCCTTAAATTTCTTCCTCTGATAGTTGTACAGCGGCTCTTTATCCAACGTTTCTAGTACGTGTCTAACAACTAGCTGGCATTGCCATCGAGCTCATGTCGCCAATTTATAATTGCATCAACACTGGGGCCATTCTAATACGACGATTTGAGTATTGCACCGCTGTGGATAATTTTAGTGTTTTAGCGGCTATTAGAGCACTCCCCACAGATGTCATCTGCATGTAACAAGCTACCTGAGAATGACCGGAGGACCTTTAGTTTATAAGATCACACCCATGTTGGATAAGAGTTGCAACCGTAGGACATGCCAGTCGCAGTTGGGCCTATCCTCCACAATGCGACGACTCAGGCCTACCCAACGCCTTGATTAATATGTGTAAGTTCTATAGCTATCAGCCCACAGGAACCTAACGGGACCAAGACATAGGTAGACGTTACTTAACCTAGCCCCTATACTTAGCAATACGCCGGCGCTGGAATATCTCGTCCCTAGCTTGAAAGAACCCCCAATGCAACCCAGGGCTGGGTTGACTTGGGGCCCAAAGATAGAAGAACCCCGTTCTGAAGCTGGCTTGAGTATATCACGCACGAGTCTGATATACCCGCAAGACCTAGCACTAAGATACCGGCATAGTCTTAGGGGTCCGTGAACGTTCTAGTACGGTCAGTATCCTAGAGGTTCTCTCTGCAATGATCTCTGATGTTGTACATCCGCGCGCTAAGTCCGCGGGATGTTTTGAATGCCAGTATGGTATATTTCAGCGTCACAGCTGATCTGCAGATGTCATTTGATTTTCTCAATGGCGCGTATTTTGATTTTTGCCTCCACGCTTGTGCGAAAATTTCTTTGTGGCCAAAACTATGCTATAGAGTTCCGAGCAGGCTGCGATGTTTGATTGGGTGTACGATTATTTAGAACTGCCAGGAACGTGTCCAACTTGTTTGCGGGTTGCAGGTCCTTTTACGGAGGCGGACAGATCGAGAGAAGTATTTCTTGGAAGAAACGAGAAAGGCGCCTGTACCTGTTAGGATCTTATGACCGGTCGATCGACAGACGCGCAACCTGACACAACTTCTGTTTTTGAGGTAACTGCTTTTTCAACATTAGCCATGTACGAGCATGCTTGCACAGCATAGACACCTGCTTTTGGCAAGGATGTCAAATGAAGCAACCCGGCGTTTCCCCGCGCGAGATGCCCGCATGATCTGACTCGGGTTTTTCGAGTTCAAGGCGTCGCTGAGAACCAGCCCCAATGGTTAATCGAAGTGAGGGCACACTGATCGACTCATAGAGATAGCATTTTGACCTTGCACTGCAAATTTAATCAGCGAACAGGCAATTACGTTACTGGGATGACCGGGCTCGTCTCTTTGATCCGTTCTCTCGTGCACTGAGGAATATTACGCCCAACTAACATACAAGATCTTTTGCAGCGTTATTTATTTGTGCGCTGAGAATGCTGATGTGACGAATCATTAGACCGATTCTATCACGGCCTTTCCATTAGCTCGTATCCGCCGTTATCAGACACCATCACACCTCTCGGAGGCTCTCGGGGTGTCTACGCTCGCACTGCTTCAGGATCTGCGGCGTCATGTCGGAACACCGTTGAAAACGGTTGACCGATCAAGTCACACACGAGTCATCTGCGGCATCAGATTGACACTGTCAATGCAACAATGGTACGAGCCACGCTCATGATCGGCTACACTGAGACACAGAGGTGTCCGTTTCCAGGACATGCTGTCTGTTGGGTACTGGGGTTTTCGAGCTAGCGAAAATGGAGAATATGCCTCGTTATAAGCCGCACTACCTAAGGGGTATATTGAAGCGGTCTTAAAGTACTTGGGTTGCCAATTCAGGCTGAACTGCTGCAAATCAGAGCAATCCTTCAACGAAGAGTGAACCCCTAGCCGCGCATCTTGGTATCATACATGGTACATGTAGTGCCATGAGTTTATTACGGCAACTACAGCGTATGGAGCGCCTCATAGCTGCTCTTCTGTCTCTTCAGTGGGCTTCAAGTCGCCACGCGGCTTGAAACGATCTGATTTCTCGTCCAGCCAATGAGGTTGGGCGTCAAATCCAAACTTGAGGATTTCTGGACGTTGGTAGTGACCCGCTGCATCAACCCATACTTTCACAGCGCTAAGGTCTGCAAAGTCAATGTCGCCTGTAACAAGCTTCTCTTCTGCGCCAGTATGGGGGCCTGCAATGAACATGCAAAACGGATGGATGACCGAAGACCACCCACCTCCCGCCTTAATGTGATCCTGTTTTCCAAGGTTCTTCTCCATCCAGTCAAGAGCTTGTTGGTCGACGAAGTCAGACGCAGTAATAACAAACACTTGGGCAGTTAAAGCGTGCATCTTCATCAATGCTTCAATCTGCGTGTTTGCTACTGCTGCAAAGTCCCTCAAAGTAGACAGAGCAGGCCAAGCGCCAGCGTGGATATGCTCGTTTTGCATAATAAGTGCTTGACGAGCACCATTCATAGTGTGCTCCCAGCAAGCAAGACCACCTATGTTGTAGCCGAGGGAAAGGGGCCAAGTGCGCAAGGAGGACCCATTGCCTTGAGCCCACACCATGCGCTCGACAAATGTTGGCTGAAGTTTTCGATGAACACCAAGAATTGTGCCATCGCTATCAATGATCACTTGCGAGTTAAATAGTGTATGGGTGTTGGCCATCCGCTCAGAAATCCCGAGGTTGATGGCAATGCTGTGGCGGCGACAGGCGTCTTGGATGGCACTGACATCTTCCCCATTTGGCTCAACAACCACGCTCTGTTCGATGTATTTGGCGATAGCACCGACCTGATCCATCGGTGGGTAGGCCTCTGTCCAATACTGTTTCAGTCAGTTGTCAATGCTCGCATGCGTTGCTGCGCATAGCGCATGGAGCAGGTGGATACTTACCGGGTACCCAGGAATGAAAGTTTCGGGGAAGACCAGGAGCTTGACGTGATCTGCTGCAGCCTGCTCGATGAGCTTGACAGTCTTCTTGGTTGTGGCCGCCTTGTCCATGAAAACAGGTGCCGCATGTGCTGCAGCTACCTTAAACTTGGTTTCCTTTGGTGGCGTCATTGTGTCCGAGAATCAAAATTGTGCTGTGAAGAGGTGGAAGAAGGGACTATGGGAACCCGACCGGTTGGGTTCTTTATTTAAGATGTAGAAGAAGGTGGGGTAATTGACTTCGCTATCTTCGATTGATGTGCGACAATAGACACAATTTCGATCTAGTCTGGAGGCTTCCTACCGGTCGTTCCTCGGGTCAAATTAATGCAGCTCGGCAGTTTATCCTTGATGCACGAGCGTACTGATCGAAAAGGGGAACCCAGACCCCACCGCTTTTCAGCAAGAGAATACCGTTCTCATTGGTTGTATTCCTCAAGGGTCTGTCTAAAGCAGTCGTGCATGGTTGTGAAAATGCTCCGGCAAGCCATTCCCTGCCTGTCACATCAGACGCTGGCAGGTGTGGAGTATATGTCGGTGTTGTCATTCGCGCTTTCTTCGGACTCACCCGTTTGACGAACCCACTGACTAGTTTTCTTTTACTCCGACATGTCACCGCAACAGCTTTCAAAGAAGGTCATATACGACGTTGCGAAATCGGTTTTCACATAGCAACAACGCCTTGAAAATCGATACTATGGCGGAGTTCTTTCGAAATCCGCCACCAGGTCTTGATTTGACCGAGTCACGTACTGCCACTGGAAGTACTGTTGGAATCGCGCTATTCGTTTTAGCGTCCATCTTTGTTGGCTTAAGACTGCTTACGCGCTTACGTTTGAAACGTGAGCCGCTGGGACTGGATGACTACCTTATGTTCGTCGGTCTGGCGCTGAACGCCGCAAATTTAGCGTGCGTTGTTGCTGGCGGACGGTACGGTCTCGGAAAGCACATCTGGTCTCTGCAGCCATATCATATGCGAAAAATTACTATCGTATGTTCAACAGATAAGGAGGAGATCACTTCTAATGCTAGCCAGATCACGTTCATATACGTCTTCATCTACACTTGGAGTGTCTGCGTTATCAAGTTCTCTATTCTCGCTCTCTACAGACGAATCTTTGGCCTTACATGGCTTGGCTACTTTTGCCTTGTGCTTACAATCCTTTACTTAGTTATCAACCACGTTGTTCTCCCTCTCTACACGCGCCCCTTATCCTATTACTGGGAACAATGGTACGGTGCTTCAGGCGTGCTACTGGTCAATGAAGCAAAGGTAAACGAACAAGACTTATTTCCAGGATACCGGCTCACAAAGAAACAGTTCTATCTCGGCATGGGCATAATAAACCTGTTTGGAGATGTGTGCATACTCGCCGTCCCCATTTCGAGCGTACTGAAGCTTCAAATGGAGCGCACGCAGAAAATTGCCATCTGCTTCATGTTTTTACTTGGTAGCTTGTCAGTATCCCCCATCTGTTACCCGTAGCGCACTCAGAAAAACTGACAACAGCAGCGTGTGCTTTGCGTCTCTTTACCGCATCATCACTATCTTACGTCTTGTTAGCTCGCGAGACATCAGCTGGGCGAAAAGCGATGTGTTTCTATGGTCTAGCGTCGAGCCTTCCATTGGTATCATCAGTGGCTGCCTACCTACGCTCCGCCCGCTCATGATGTATATTATCGAAAACTGGTTCAGCTTTGTGCCGGTCGTCAGCAAAGGCTCAACAGACAGGAGCAAGAGCTCCCGCGACTTCACCCTCAACCCTCTCGAGACTATCTCCAAGAAGCGCACGCGCAAGATTAAGAAGCCCGATCTCGAGAGTACAAACATCACCAATTTCACGCAGATTGACGACGAGCTAGGGGTTGATGCGCACGGCGCGGTAACGCACGTGGACAAGGATGACAAGAAGATAAGGGTCAGCGTGAGGAAAGATCACGACAAGACGGGGAACTGGAGACCTGACGACGATGAGATGTGCTTGACTACGACGACTGTACACAGGAGTGCCAGCGGGGCAGGCATGGAGGACGGGTCGATAGAGAGTCTAGATCGGGACGGAATCAGGATGACGACGAAGTTTGAATGGGATGAGGCACCGCAACACAGGCATTGAACTTTACTGAAAGTTGTGTCTCTAGGATAGTGCGGCAATGCAGTTGCATTAATAACTCATGATAGGTAACTAGACTAAGGATACCTGGGCATGGGACCACGCCTGATACGTAATTGCGATCAAGTAATTCGCTTCCAGGAAGATATTTGACCAGCAACACACATCTTCCGCAAGATCAATGGTGATTGTTCGATTCCGGGTCTTGCTTTTCACCAAAATTGGTGGACGGGTGGACTATGAAACCATTCAGACTAACGGCTCAAGGTACCATCGTATGCAGAAGCTGTGAGCAGACTGATGTGGAAGTGCCACCACCTCCAGACTGCATGGTCCAGTCTGTAGGCACCCGGACAAAAATCTCTCTTTACTCATGGAACAACGCCCAATTTCACATCCTCTACGATGAGACATTAGATGTTTATGAATCAGCGCAATGCCGCTGACACTGCCCACATAACACTCATTTCCAACAAGTGATAAAATAGTCGTTTCGACCGGCCATGATTGTTTCAGCAAACAAAACATGTTTATCCGCAATAGAGCCGATTCTTGAATCTACCAGTATAGCCTCTATTGACTATTTCAGTATAAGCAGAGTTGTTGAATTATCGGTTCAGCTCGCTGTTCAAGTGTATTATGGATCTGGTGTGTATCATGGCATTGAGATGAATCGGCCTTTGCAGGATTAGGGTTAGTTGAAGAGAGACCTCTGATCGATAAGTTTAATCTCTTATTACACCAGAAAATACGCATGTTTGAGTAGTTGGGTACACGGGGTGCACGGACGTACTCCGCATGTACCTAGGTGGCCTAACTAGCGTACGGCTATTAACCAGGTATTATAGCATCGCGTCTTTCCCTTGCCCGCGCGCATTTCCTCTACATCCACACAGCATCTCTCTCAAACTGTCGAGCGCCCAACGCGAAGCTGTTGCTATGGTACCGCAACAATGTACCCGGAATGCGATGTTTGCGATCGCCAGTAGCAACAGCTGGCAAGCCGCGCGCACATCAACATGCCGACGCTGTTGGACATGTTTACGAGTGTGAAACCTGCACGGAGGCATGGTATCTGTGGCAAGATGCTTCTGCACACATGGATGAGGAGGATCATTGGGAGAAAGCACACAAATGCGAAGCGTGCCAACAAAGCTTCCATTCGCGGGCAGAAGCTAAGCAACACATGTATCAACAGGATCATTGGCGAACTTACCGTTGCGAGCCATATAACAAGGGATTCGAGAGCGAGAACAATTTGAATTAGCTACCTAATGTGTGGGTAGCGATTAAAGCTATCGTGACTAAAGGCGTCCAGCACTTGCATAGCAGCATCCATCGCGGCACCGACATTGCTTGTCCGTTCTGTAAGCGCGGCTTTGCAACAGCTACTAGCATAACGCATCATCTCGAGACCAGCTCCTGCAAGAATGCTCGCTCTTTTAACCGCAATACTATCTTAACAGAAGTCCGTCGGCGTGATACAAGCCAATTAATCACTAAGAAAGTCACAAACTACCATACTAAGTCCTCTATCACTGCGAATTCAGCGTCGTAGAATCTACATATTAGCATGCACAAATGCTATCTTTGCCACAAAGGCTTTTGTGAACTTAAAACTCTAAACAACTACGTGCATTTGCCGGCGCACAAAGAGCACGTGTATCACTGCCCAGGGCGAATCTATAGACGCGAATTTCGATCGCTTGCTTTCCTCTTCAATCATCCTAAGAGCGAGACATGCGGTGTGAGGTTTGATGCTGTACAGAGGAATTTTGGTGGGACGTTGAGTGGACAAAGGAGCATTGGATCTGTATAAAAGCATACGGAACATGAATCATCAACTCGCTTCAGACAACAATACAATATAAAGTAGGTGTAGTGACCGGGTACACTCGTATCAAATGAGGACTCGTGATGGAGGACATCTAGTAAAAGGATGCTGGAGTTCCGGTCTGATCCATTGTTATGGATGCAAATGTCTACATACATGTCCGTCCATGTTGGCTACAACACATCTCGCGCATGCATTGATGAAAGGTAAATTCGGTCGTTAATTCCACACCCTAACCCTGCCGCAATTTGATCACGAGAGAACCGCGGTCGTTCTTAGGACAACCACTAGTCACTAGGCTCAGTCAAGGTGAAGATGCTGACGAAAAACCTGCTACTGCTATTTGAAGCGTGGACCATGATAAGAATTGTTCAGGCGATCAAAACATCACAAAGCAATGCAGATGAGGAAGTTATTGGTTGCAACTGGGATTGACTATGTACAACTTGTATGTCCCATCCACGATCTTCCTTCCAACAGTAACTCGCTAACTGCAGTGAACAACAAACTAACCGCGGACAAGGGTAAGACCGTAAGCGGACAGAATCTCGTTCACGGGCTGGAAGTAGGTGGTTCCTCCGCTCTGGCAGTTGCCGGAGCCTCCGGAGGTGACACCCTGGGCCTGAGCACCAGAGTACCAGGAACCGCCAGAGTCACCGGGCTCAGCGCAGACATTGGTCTGGGTAAGACCAGTGACGCGACCCTCGGCGTAAGAGACAGTTGCGCCCAGAGCGCGAACAGTGCCACAGTAGACACCAGTAGTCGAGCCGGAACGGCAGATGGCGGCTCCAACGGCGGAGGCGGTGCTGCCAGAGACAGGCAGGGTACCGCCATTGTAGTTGTTGATGCGGCCTTGGTAGGTGTTTCCGGTGGTGGCGCGGATGAAGGAGTAGTCACCATTTCCGGGGAAGACCGAACCGGCGAAGGTACCGATAGAAGCACCGGCGCTGGTGGTGGCCCTGGCACCAGAAGTACCGCAGTGACCAGCGGAGACGAATCCGGTGGTGACTGAGAAACCAACAGAGCATCGGCCGGCGTTGTTAATGTAGTACGCATCACCGCCGCGAATGGTGGCGAAGGTGGTGGGCAGAGCCTCAACGACGCGGACCTCGAACTCAGACGCGGTCAGTCCGACCTTCTTTGCGAGCTCCTCAGCTTCGGTGGTGCTGCTGGAAAGGGCCTCGAGAACGAGCTTGTTGGCAGCAACATCGACGTAGTAAGCCGCGATTCCACTGGCAGCATCCTCAGATCGCTTGCCAAGGGCAGCGATGTCAAGGTTGTCAATTGCCTTCTTGGCCTCCTCGAGCTTGGAGATAGCGTTGGGAACGACTGCCACGGTGGCACCAGCAGCCTTGACCTCGGCGGTCAGAGCCTCATCAGTGACGGCGACGTTGAGCTCGCCGTCGACGAGCCAAGCACCACCGAAGGAGTTGCCGGTGGAAGTGCGAAGCTGTTCGATGACCTCGGTGGCCTTGAGCTCGCGGGCAACACGGACGTGGGCCTGCTCAGCGTCAAGTCCCAAGTCGCGCTTCATAGCGGCGAGAATCTCGGGGTGGAGGCTGTTGGCGGCCGTGGTAGGGGCACCGTAGACGATAGGCAGGAAGACTGCCAGGGCAGCGAGGAAACTGGTGAGCTCCATGGCGAAGGATTTGAAGACGACTGTGAAGAGGCGGAGAGTTGGTTGTAGGAAGGCGAGATCGTAGAAAGCTGAGTCTGCGATGCTGTTACAACGATGAAGATGTGCACATACTTATACTTCCTCCACGATCAGGAAACCTGAAATGCGCCAGCCAACACGAAAGATCTCCTTCCTCATCCGCCACGATGCTTTGTTGGATGTCTCAACAGCATCAAGAAGGTAATCCTGAAAAGGCACTTGACAAGACATTCGCCCCACGACGGTGCTTGTCCAAGACTTTCTTGTAAATTACATCAACTGCTGCTAGCTGTCTCCTTCCTGATACGCCGCAAGGTGTCGCTGGCAGATTCGCACAGTACTGGGAAGGTAAACCTCAATGGGCACTTGAGACGACGATCATCCCACGACGTTGCTTGTCCAAGGCTGAGGTCTAAATTGCATCACTCGCTGCTGGAAGTCTCCTTCCTCATCCACCGCACGGTGTTGCCGCAGATTCGAAGCATGTCGGAAAGTAATCCCCAAACGGCATTTGACAAGACATTTGTACACTTAGCATCAATAGTGTGATGCTTAGCAGACGACTTCACTGGCCACATGTACCCTACGCCCACGACCTCTTTAGTTCAACAGGCAGGAGGTAGAGATACGAAAGCGACTGACGTAGATTGATAAGAAAGCTGCTCGGACCACTTGCCAGGCACACAGGTTAGTTCACCACCCCGCACGGGTAATTTATGGATCTCTACGCGCCAGTTAGATTACCTTCCTATTCAATCACCAAATCCGCTGCCAAGAGCTCCCTCGCTTACAGCACCCAATGGGCATTGTGTATTTCGTAGATAGAACCTCTGCACCAGCCGTCGCAATTGGCTGTCCTTTCCGTAGCGCCGGGAGTTGTTGATGATCGCAAAGACGCAATCGGGCACGATCCACACATGTTAAGAATCGACGTGAAAGTCGCTCCCGCAACGGTAGCTGTGCATCCTGCCGGCACTGGCCGCAGCCGACAATTCCTGGGGGATGAGCCTAGCATCTCTAGCGGAGATAGATACCTAGACACGTTGATCATCACGTGCAAAGGTAGGATCGCCAATCTCTTGTATGCAAATGGAACATGTCCAATCACGAGCATCCAATCTTCACGTTGTCCAGGTGAACCCTCCATGCTGAAAGCCTGCAGCCTAAATGCCGCCCGGTATATACTGACAAACTCTCAGTGATACAGCCATTCATGAGGTAAAGAAGAGAATGTAGCGACGAGCGCGAACATACCTATTTAATGTTGTAAATATTGGAACGCGTATCACGGACGTGAACAATGTACTGTTCACAGTTTAATGGTCAAAGATTGCTTCGGTTGATCTCAGACAACCATTACACGATCGAGCAATGTTTAGCATGGTACTGACGAGTGGATCTAGGAGTGAAATCCAGACATAGCAACTGTGTCTAGTGTGCGGTGTTCACTGACTCCAACCGAAAGAAAATGCTGCTCTTGCAGGCTGAGACCTTTCCTCGCCGTTTGTGGGGGCAGGAAGGTGGCCACTAATCACTTACAGCGAAAACCTCAACAATCGTCTGGCATGAGCGTCAGCGGATGGGACTGTACCAACTAGTACTTAGATAGGACTAGTTATCTTCAACGTGTGGATATTCTCACTCATGTCACTTACCATCTCATTCCAAAGTCCACGCCAATAGAAGGCTGACAAGAGACGACTGCTCAACTCACCTTCATTCTGCTGTTTAGCTAGCTTCATGTTAATTTCAACTCTCGTGTTCAAACTACTCAGCCTTTTCCGGCTTCTCACTTGAAATTAAAGGTAAAAAACTTAAGAAGATGAAAATTCTCGCACTATATTCAGAGATAACGTTGCCATGCCCATGTGATTAGAGGTGCTGCTGTCTCTTTCTCTTGCCTGTCTTTCAGCACAACGTTATCAGTACATTCTGCAGACTAAGCTTAGGTAGGTGCGTTAATGGCGTTCAGGTCATGCTCAGTGATGTCATCTCCAGCCTCGCAGCACCAGTGATGTCGGTGGTCTGGAATGCGGTTGTTCTCGCACGAACTGACCCCAATACATACAACACCTTTTGCCATTCTCTCTCCTTCATCGTCCGGCGGTATGTGTTCGGTTGAGCGTGGATACCTTGTCATCTTCAGGCGACAGAGACATACCTCTGAATCAAGGTGGTGCGAGAATCGTGAGTTCGTTCTGGAAGGGCGGGCAACTTGCTATCTTAGCGCAACCTAGCTAGCCAATACATTAACGTCTCACCCAAAGGCATCTCCGGATTCCGCAAGACGGCGTAGCGTCCGCCCTGCATTCTAACATGGACACAAGACCAGAGGCGAGACAGCCAACCTAAAGAAGACCCAGGGCAATTTTCACAAGGCTCGCGCATGAATCTGTATTATCGAAACTGTGCTGCACCTTGAGTGAACCCTGCTCAGCTCGTCTTGGGAGAAGCCTGACCTCCCTCACTCGCCAAGAACGAATGAATCACCTGAAGGCCGCAAGTTCAACACCAATATGCGGTGACGGTCATTATCTCGATCGTGTCCTTGACCCACTAGGTACACATAGCTTTGCGGTTTGCGGCTATAGGCTGTCCAACACTGTTCACTCAAGTCCCAAATATTCAAAGACGGGTAGAAAGAGCTTGGTGTGTCTCAATTGTTCTTGGCAAAATGTTTCGGTTGCTGTCAGTTGTTCAGACTGAAACACTGGCAAACGATTGTAGTTTGTGTGTTTCGCTCTACTAATCCACCCTACGGCCAAATGCTCTTGAACGACGACAGTGTTCACAACCACTCTAGCGATGCCTACAGAGTCATTATGTAGTGGTCTGTTTTGGAAGGGGGTAACAATAAAGGAAGAACTTGCAATTTTGGATACGATGCACAACTATAGAGCAAAGTGTAGACTTCACAAGATTATTTTGAAAGAGATCCTAAGAGATTTGTTGTCTAAATATGAATGCGAGGTGTATGAAAGTGGTCAAGCTAATGTGAACATCGTTTATGCTTTCCCTCAAATGTTCGGCCCAACAAGGGGTTCTCGCCTCATGTTCATCGCAGCCAAATGGCGACTCAGCGATGAGCTCCAAATCTTCAGGCACGTGGACTGTCACCCCTAGTCTGCAGAGCACAGCCTTTATTGTGAACAAAAGATACTTTCCTAGTACGGGCCAGCCTTAGGATAAATGTGGATTGAAGAGAACGTAGACGAGGAGTCCTCAAGTTGGACAGCTGTCTTTCCAGGCTGTCTCCCTGCACGGTACTCGCGAAGCTTACGCACTGCCATAGCTGTTGTGTACACCTCTGAGACCCTAGTCATACGGCATTAGCACTTTGCAGTACATGAGCAACGATAGCAATTTCACTCACGAAAGGATAACGGACAGTGTAAACACAGTCCAGCTCAAAGTGCAGTCTAAACCTGCACATCTTGATATGTTGGTGTCCAGAACAAAAAAAGCAACGGCAGCCCAGACCACGACCTCAAGACAGCCAAGCCAGACATTGGCCTTATAACTGTGCCACTTCTTGAATCGTGATGCATGTTCTGTTAACATTTGATATGCAATAATGACTAGCGATTTTGCGCCCTACAATTGTGTTAGTGTGAAGTTCAGATAACGCGCGGACACCACATACAGCAGTCAAAGCAAGGAGGTTCTCTTTTTTCTTGTACTCGTAATCCATAAACAGGCGCGGTACCGTAAGTGCCATAGCAGCTAGTACTAGGATCGCTTGAGCGAAATGGACTAGGTGCTGCATGTGGGAGGAAGCCATTGCCAAATCAGGACAAATGGGGTCAAGGTAGACGAAAAGAGTAAGAAAGAAAAGAAGGACTAGTAGATGGGCTGACGAATACAAAGGGAAGGTGTAAAATGTCGATACTTTGGTACGCTGCTAGTTCCTAGGTTTTATTCAGCTTCGGTGGTACACACTTTTGGAGTGGTACCGAGAGGGACCTTGCTTCAGCGAGTGCGAGTGCGAGAGCGAGGGTTTGTGAAACAAGCTCTTGAAACGCGTCAAGACACCTCATCGTTCTTCGATCTCGGGCTGTTATGATTTCACAGGAGCAATTCACATGCAGCGAACACACTTCTATCAGTCACTGAGTTTACTGTGGTATCAGGCATAAGTAACGTAGGTGGAGACCGGAGACAGGGAGGGGCGTGTGGGTGAGCAAAGTCTACTTGATTCCAAAATTACCTACAGCTCCACACAGAGCAGTTCGCGATGACTTCCTGTTTTCAACAAGATCCAATGGCTTGTTGCACACGTTTCAAAGGTTTGTCAGGATTGCCAGCACTCTTGTCTCCGGTAGCCACGTACATTACTTATCCCTGATACCAGAGTGCAGTGTTGGCAACGCACCAGTCAAAATCTCTAACGGTAGGGAACTTAGAACATAGATTTCTCGGGTACCAGCAGCTCCAGAGCATTGCTTTCATCGCAGTTCCTCGGTGCCTTTCAGGCGATATGCAACATGGTGGTATCTTACAACTTGATACTCACTAGGCCCGCAGTGCCGTTTTTAAAGCAGCTCCAGAATTTCGACACGACTGCTAGGTCTCCACAACAAGTCTCACATGTCTTATCTGAGGCCATCTCGACCCTGCTCGCCTTCACTCTCACCACCAGAGACCTGGAAGCTAGCGAGACCACAACCTTGGCCTAAGCCTCCATGCTTGCTGAACCTCATACATCTGGTTCCATTCATCGATACCTCCCTTAACCACCAACTCATTGCTCCAAATTTACAAGCAGTTGTTGCGATATGCTGAGTGTGCCGTGAGTTGTGTCGGCGATTATCACTGTTCGTACACCCCAAATTGATCCCTCTTGAGCCAAGCTCCGCATGGAAGCGGCCGATCTGCCCATCGAATGGAATCGACTGGCAGCATTGGCGCCTGACTTCTCCCAGACACGACACGGATTCCATAATGAGCTTTGTTCGTCACGGTATCCGCAGGTATCTAGGTCTTATGAGGCTGCAGGAAGAAGGTGTAAGTTCCGGAGATGCAGCCGATCGCGGAGATCAGAGGCGCAATAGTTTTGCAAACAAGATACACTCTGTGGCATCATAGAGGCGACCTAGCAATCTGCACTGAAGCCACCAATGATCAAAATTATGTATTGCAGACATCATCGCCGCTGTGCGCGACTTTGACACGTGAAAGCAACTCGAATAGGCCTAGTCATACCTATGGGGTACCCTTTTAGCCTCACGCGGGACAACTCTCGCTTCGTGGCTTAACCAGCACCGCGACCGTAAACCTTCGATATCAAGTGGTCCGGCTGATGAATGTGCTGCATGTCTCTCATGCTATTCCTTATCCGCGGCACCATGTTTCCGAAGATGAGGCGTCGTTAGGTATGGGTGGAGATGGACAGCACAACAAGCGCCGTGATCTGCATCTTCCGCAACAGCTAGTACCTCGTATTCGCCAGGCTGATCCCGCCAGTCACCACGCCCGCGCGCCTCGCTTGCACGACGGCAGGGTAGTGGATATGGTTTCTGCTCAGCAGGTCCACGATCTCGCCCTCCTCCTTATCGCTCCTCTGAACACTACTCAACTCCATTGATGAATCTACTCAAGACACTATCGTGCTGTTAGACGCTGTGCGCTTACATAGCCGCTTGCAAAATCAATTCCTCTGTAGTTAATTGTCACAATAAGCAACAGGGATCATCCAATCTACATATATCAAGCTGCATGCTATTGTTGGGCGCGTGCGCTGCAGTCCATCCTATCGCGTGGCCAACAGCCAGCCAAAGGAGCGTTGCAATCGAGCTCGACCCATCCACGTGTGTCCCCATTTAGGAAGGTGTCAGCCTTGAGGCCTGTCGGCACTTTCGGCTGCTCCTGCCGAGACAAGCGCATGTTTGTCCTCGTCTGGATGATAGCAACGTCTTGGGTAGGTAGACACACAGCTTTTATCTGCGATGTCGCTTCCGGTGTTTATCGACGTGACAGGTAAATGCGACTTGAGTACTGTGGGGTCATCGTCGTCCGTATTGCGCTAGATAATCGTGATAGTCCTAAATACAATGTACCTAGTTTAGTCGAGCATGACATCACCACTCCTAGGTAAATGCACCAACTCCGCGAGAGTAACCGACCATGTCACGTCTATGTAGCTTGTAACGCGGCGGCCAGCTAATCTGTGCTCGTTGATCGTGCTGAAGTCAAGTTTGAGGTGATACCTGCTAGGTACCGTCACTTGTTGGCGGCGTTACGTGCCCGATCGCTAAAGCGCGACCCCATTGTCTTGTACAATTGGTGATGGTGTATCTCTATCGACATGTCTTGTCTGTAATCCAACTTCTTTCTGGTTTGGGTATCGCGTCCGAAGGACTCTTCTAAATGCACGAATCCACACAGATCCTTTCGCGAAGTGTCTTTTGATACAAATCTATCGTGCGCTGCGCTCTCTGTCGCTCGTGTGATCCTTCATATATCTCCAAATGTACGTGCTGTGTGAGTGCCTTCATCTGCTACCTGGGTATTTGAAGTGTGCGAGAATTATGCTCGTGAGGCCACTCATCGGTATGAGTCCTGTGCGACACGAGGTAGTCGGGCTTCGGAGCCCTCGCGCAGCGACAACTCCGCCACCGAGATTCGCCAAGTAGCATCTTCGCCAGGACTGTCGCGCGGTTGGTCGCAAACGTCGGTCTGTCGGTCGAGACAAAAGCGCTAGACTGTCGTTTCAAATGACGATCCTCCTCTTTCTAGGCGATTTACTTCAACAATGACGAATGGAATGCATTCGTCCTCGTTCTGCCAGTCAGTAACTGTCACAGCGTCAGGCCACATGAGTAGTTTGTAGTCATGATTGTGCCCTGTATGTGAGGACCGGGCGGGGACAGGGCAGACCTTGGAGACTATAAACTCTGCGTTTTCGACGTCGAATCTGACAACAACATCCTCCCCCAACAAGCCTTTTGTGCTCTCGTAGCTTACTCACCTTATCCAAACAATATGCCAGGGACAGTGGAGGTTGCGCACACGGATGAAGGGCGTCGCGGCGTGTACCTACTCACGCACCCACGCTCGGCCTCGAATCTATTCCAGACGATGATGTCAAAACAGCCGGGATATCAGAACGCGGCCTACAAGCTCTTCGATTCTGGGTTCGCCTCGCTCATGCAGCTTAAGAGAGGTCCTCTCAGTAAATGGCCGGCAGAGGACCGTAAAGCCTTGTATGATTCCTTTCGCTCTTCATTTGACAGCCTGCAAGATGAATTGGAAGATGCAGAGAATAATGTAAGTCGGTACTTTCATAGACAAGCGAGAGCAGAGGAGGTAGAAGGAAATAACGAAGCTGTTGGGGTGTAGTCCAAATAGGCGAGCGTGGCTGATTCGCAACCGGGTTTCGGAATGACGTGCTTCGCTTCCTGTTTCTCAACCACGTATCCTGACTCGCTGATCGTTTGTTTAGGGAAAACAAGTGTTACTCAAAGAACATGCTATATTTCTGTCAGGGCCAGACAAGCTCTTCGCTCACATCTACGGCAACGATGAGACGGAATGTCCTGCACTGTACGAGCGCGACGCGCCCGACTCCACCATCACGAATCCGACAAGTGTACCTGACAGCCTGCTTCTATCCTTGAGACCTATATTCCAGATCAGGCATCCCATTCTAATGTTTCCATCAGCACTGCGCGCTGAAAGAAAGACGCTGGGTCCCGTACGTCCTCGCGACCCTTTGCTCGCATCAACAATGACGTTGGCTCGTTCTCGAGCCTTGTATGACTGGTACCTCAACCATGGCGGGGACAATGTACGCCCACAGGTCATTGACGCAGACGATATCATCAATGACAGAGCCGCAGTAAGGCAGCTCTGCATCAAGACTGGGCTGGACCCTGATGCTGTGCTGTACGAATGGGAAACACGTGAAGAGAAGGATCCAATGAAGGCGGTGTTCTTGTCAACGATTACTGGATCAAAGGGTATCATACCTGGCCTAGCAGCACGCGGCCTTGACCTTGAGGAGGAGAAGGCAAAGTGGAAGGCCGAATTTGGTGATGAAGATGGGGAGGATTTGGCAAAATACGTTCTTGATGCGATGCCAGATTACAACTATCTCTTAGGTCAGCGGACCTACGTTCAGAAAGCTGTCGGTCAGGAATAATGCATCTACATAGCTTATGCCCAGTCAAGTTCTGAATTGTCACGCTCACTATTGAAGAGTGGCCTTGCCGAGCGCTGGTCTTCCTCACAATGATAGTTATTGACCACCGTAGTTGCTCGCTGCAAGCATACTACCTGACATACAACTTTCCCAAAGGTCACCTTACGCACAGTTCACGCAGATAAGATCCAATATATACACGGCCTATACATCAATGGTTATGACTCAGGTCTTGATGAGTCGTTGATCTCCACAAAAATTTGAGTCGAGGATTCTGAATGACTCTCCCATTGCTGACGCGGGGAAAGGGCGCTTGCCCCCTAGTAGCCAGCACTAGACCAAGTTCGGTGCCATGTTCAACTATAAAGCAGCAAGCACTTGAGTGTTCAAGGCTCATGACAAGTTTCCACCATGACAGGGCCTGGTATGATCCTAGATTCATGTGGTGAGAACACTTACTGAATCCATTCCCAGTACCAGATGATATGAAGGCTCGGCTCAAGGCCTCCTACGACGCCATTGCAGACAAATACAACGCCCATTTCACAAGTTCTGATGATCCGGTCAGACTCAAATATCTTCAAGTTCTGCTATCGCAACTGCAGACCGACGATCAGCAGAGAGCCACTGTCCTAGAGCTGGGCTGCGGCGCAGGCGTTCCAGCCACGAGACGTCTACTCGAAATTGCGAGCCCTGTGATACACGTCACGGGCAATGATCTGTCAACATCTCAGTTGGACCTTGCACGTAAAAATTTGGCAGACTTTGAGGATCGTTTGACGCTCGTTGAGGGAGATATGCTGGCGTTGAAATTTCCGGATCAGACGTTCAACGCCGTGACGGGCTTTTACAGCATCATTCATCTGCCTCGCGAAGAACAGACTCAGCTTTTACGTCGAATTGCAGCCTGGCTAAAACCTGATGGCCTACTGCTCGCCAATTTCGCAGTGGAAGAGTCAAAAGTTGTTGTTCAAGAGAAGTGGCTGGGCGAAGACAAGGGCTGGATGCATTGGAGCTCTTGGGGAGAGCAGGGTAGTGCTAAGATGATTGAAGATGCGGGGTTGAAGATCATTTTCACGGAGACGAAACAAGTTGGGGGGGATGCGAATTTTGTTTGGCTTCTCGCGAAGAAGACTGGATTTTGAAGATGCGAGACCAGCACAATTAAATACAACTATACTACAGAAAGCTGAGAGTATTCACACAATTTGCACGAAAGTATAATCTCCTCTGGGCGGATAGCACATGCATCACCAGCCGTAATCTGGCAACTTCCAACTCTCTTTTTCATCTCCGCCGAAGAAGCGCATGAGCAATTGAGGTACACGCATGAAGCAAATCACCCCGAGCAAGGTATGGAAGAACCAAAGGCCCCATGCTGTCTGCGGATTCGCCATCTGCATCGTGGCTGGGCCTGGCTTCTGGTGCTTCTCCACAAAAGGCCGATACAAATCCTCATATTTTCGTAACGCATCCGGCACCTGGTCAGAAGACTCAATCTTCGAGAGCTCGCCTGCAATACAGTACGCGCCAGTCATTGCCAAGCTAGTACCAATGCCCATAGTTGCGAAAGCAGCGTCACCCAGGATGACACTGTGACCTTTGGCCCACTGCGGTGTAACGACTCGGCACCAGCTTGAGGATTATTAGTGATGTTTCATTGAATGCAAGAACCAATACTCACTGTGACATGTAAAAGTCATCGGTAACGTCAAGGCCGTCAACGAAACGTTGGCCCTGCCATCCTGCATTTTGGAAACGTTGCCGTAAGTACGCCTTTTGTGTATCCACATCGCTGTTCAAGACGTCTTCAAGCTCGGGATTTCGTGATTCTGTTGAATTACAGATTGTGAGGTATACGCCCATTGTTTTGTTGTTGCAGTGCGGCCTAAGATGCATGCCCAAACCCTTTGAGCTGTTAGTAGTCGATATCACGTACCGGGATGACCACTCACCGGTACCACCTGACACCAGTTCCAAAGCGAATTATCTTCAGGAATGCGAGGAATCGAGAAGTATCCGATATATAGCCCAGACGGCTTGATGTTCTCGTAACGGTCTTCTTTTCCGAACACAAACTTGCGGGTTTTTGATGCAATGCCGTCCGCTCCAACGACAACATCGTACCTTTGGTTGCTGATCTTTCCGTTGGCAAAGCGAACGTCTATCCCAGACCCATCCGCACGCTCCTCCATTGAGTCGATGTGTTCGCCGTAGACAACTTCAACGTCTGCACCCTTCTCTTTCGCTTCCTTGACCCCATCGAGTAGAAGAGCAGTCAAATCACCTCTGAGAATCTCGTACTCGCTGCTCGCACTCTGGTTCTTCGCGTCCCCAGTTGACGGTATTGTTGCTGCTACCTGGCCCTTTGAGTTCAGGAAAGAGATTCCGGTTTCCGTGGTATGTCTGGCTTTGATCTCTGGCTCTAGTCCAAGTTTGGAAATCACGTCCACACCTGGGCCTCGAATGTCAACGGCTTGCCCTGTCACACGTGGTATGGGCGATCTTTCAAGTAACGTAATTTTCCGATGCAGCTTGAAGCCGGGCTGGCGCGCAAGCATCATTGCCAACGAAGCACCAGCGACGCCTGCACCTGAGATGAGGATGTCCAATCGCTGCTGCGACATGATGGTGGCAGAGGACAAAGGTTGTGTTCCAAGGAATGTGGCGAGGCGCTCTGTCTTGCCTCAACAGCAGCCCAGGTGGCTTTTTATTTTGAAGGCTACACATCTACAACAGCCTCCGAAGGACGTACATGTTGTCGGCGTTCTCAAACCCCGACCAGGGTGGTGTTGGTGACATCATTACGCGACGCATTCGTTGAGGTCTAGCCCAATCGCGACGGCTGCCGGCGTCGGAGAATTTCAAGACCCTTGACCACCGTGGACGCCTAAGGGCCTTAAGATTCGCTGCATCCAACGTTCCGGATGAGCAGCTGAAGAATTTCCAAGATTTGGCGTGGCAGAGGAATCACATGACTGGTATTCGATCTGATTAACAAGCGATTCCAATAAATTTATTGCTTTCTTGTCATTGGCGCATCTGTCACGGTCGCTCGTCGACAGACCTTGCACGACCAATCAGTAAACAGGACTAAGGTTGCCTTACACGGAGCGGAAGTTGACTCCCCTCCGTGATGTACCAGATCGCTCCGATCCGACCCCGATACCCCATTGGCCATAGCGCTGGCCGCAAACACGCTGACACATGCACACATCTAACATCACTGTTGCGAATCACTTCAAGGAGATGATCTTGACAAATTTCTAGTCTATCTTATTCCACAACAGAAATTTATCGTCTCTTTGGTTCCGTAAAACCAAGCATCGATTCCCTCAGGTCACCTGGACAATGTGTAAATAGTTCTCAATCTTCCGAAAGATCCGCATGTAAGGAGAAGCCTTTCGAGACTGGGTATGTCTGGGGAAACTGCTCGTTCTTATTCTCATTGAAACGGATGGATATGGACTGCAGATGTGTCATGTCCAACTGAGGTCGGCCTTCTCTTCCACTCGAGCTCGTCCGGTGACTTGCAACAACCGAAATCGATGTGCCGAGAAATCAACAACACAAAGTGATGTGTGTCTACTTTCATCTGCTCCAGGAGTATGGGGCCTTCGAAATGCTTACGTCGGACAACCTCGATGACCTACTCGGTTGGACACCTGTTGCACCGATAGTGCTTGTGTACGAACCCCTTCCACTTCGCAACGGCATTGCATAGTGCTATGCACGCCACTCCCCAAGCATCTTTTCGTGAGATGTCGTGGACATAGAACCGTCTCTCTTGCATGCGGGCAGATGAACTCGGCACGCTCGTTCAGCAACCAAGTTCAGGTCGTGTCGGAGCGCGATCGGGCGGAACTGTCGAACCCGTGACAGCAGTCTATCATCGACAAGAAGTGCCTTTGAGTCTGTCTGCCAGATAAATCTCTTGCCCCCTGGGTTGCACTCTTCTTTGACGTGATTCAGGACAGCGTAGCCATGCTATGGCCCTTGACGCAGCACCCGCGCCGTCTGATGTATCTGGAGCCAAGGCAGCGGGTATCCCAGAATCAGCACAATAGAAGAGGTTGTGCGATGTTGAAAGAGATGTAGCGTCGACCTGGAGACTTTCGATGTATTGCAAAGACTGGATAAGTCAATAAGTTAGCATTTCTGTGGGTGTGCGTTTGTGGAAGACAGCACAGCTGTAGCAAATGAGGCCATCAGGAAGGTCTTTTTTAAAATGCTCATAAAGATATAGTGCTTGTTTGTCGCGGTTTATGTCTTCTCTGAACAGTATCCAAATTTTGGGTACGCTCACTAAAGTCGATGTGAATGGAGCATGGAGGACCCTGGCGAAAAGTAAGCAAACACAGCCTGCAAGGATCCACGGTCTGTCGTCTGAGAAGTGGAGGCTGGCGTCCGTATACAACAGGAAGGTGCCGGTCGTTATTGCAGACAACGAAAGTTGGTAGCACATAACAGGAACACGACCATCTATAGCTAAGGATGGTCCATTTTGAATCTGCACATTATTACTTCTATGTTATCATGTACATATTCAAGTGTCAAAGGCGCAGACAGTTGGACCCTCCAATTTGTATTAACACGTACTACTCTGACCGACATCAATCTAATGTTTGAACTAGTTTAATTGTGCTGGATGCTACCTGCCGGATCTGACCTCGGTCTCGACAGAGGCGATATGCCCGATTTGTAGTACGGCACTCGCGCTTCGTTGCTATCCAATATGGAGCCCAACAAGATGCATGTGGTGATCTGCACGATCGAGCGTGATGCAGTCTTGTCTATCGAAGCAGACGCCGGCCTAGAGACTCAGAATCATCCGGGTACAAGTTGTCCGTGATCAATCGCGGCGCTGCGCTGATATTGGCTTCAGAATACCGACTGGATGCTCAGGTGTTGAACGAGCATACCCAGACATATCTTGGTGTGGCGGTGGGTCGACGCTGACGTGCGGGCGAAGACACGCCTACCGCTGCCCATGGCTTGCACTGCCCTTCACTTGTCTCGCGTGGTACCCATGTCCTCATGTAGCCTGCGGAAAATTGCAGCATCGTGATCGTTTGCGCGATCGGTGTGGACACAATGTTTTTGCGACCGTGCCTCTCTGATCGTAGGAGTTATGGGAATGCCCCCCAATCTTCATCATCTGCTCTCGCGCTGCTCATTCTTCTTCTGGATGCGCCGTGCAACATAGACTTCAAGGGTCTGACCCTTGGCTGCTGCACGTTTCTCGTACGTTGTCTTCTCGTCAACACTGAGACCGGCAACCTTCTTTGCCAGCTTTTTCGCAGCCTTCTCGCCTGATGCCTCCTTCTTTCTATTCGACTTCTTGCTCTTGCTGATCTCCTTATCAGCTTCCCGCTTGCGCTTGTTCTTCTTCGCGTCGGACTTCTTGGCTGGTTCGCTATCCGAGGCTGAGGTGGCGGGCGTGCTGGTGCCAGATGGTGCGGCGGAGGCGTCGGTGGGTACTGCCGAGCTGTCTGAATCTCCAAGAGTACCGGCAATCGACTCGCCCCTCACGAAGAAGCCGTAAAGGCCGCCACGATTGATGCCCTTCTTCTGGATCTGACTGAGGGTGCTCTGTTCGAACGTTAGGGCTTGCAGACAACACCAGTGTTTGGTTTGCATACATCCTGGCCGCTTCCAATGTTCTTCAAACTCTCGTCGAAAGCGCGCATCCACCACTGATCGTCTGTTGTGTAGGCCGCCTTCTTCTTGCCCAAGCCGAGCTGGTCCTGCTTGTGGGCTATGAGGAGGGGCTTCTTGATACCTCTCCCCTCGCCATCGAGAGAGTGGCCGCTGCCCTGCCATCCCTGTTTGCGCAAGTATGCTTCTGCGTTCATCGTATCGAGGTTGTTTGCTGGGTGTTGACGGCTGAGCGAACGTCCTTTCCTCCACGAACTTTTTTGTGGGGTGGCCTTGGCGCCCGAGTTGCGGCGAGCGCGGGACCCTGCAGACAACGGAACAACATCATGTCACCACGAACCGGGCGGGCGACCTACGAATGGAATCTCGGCTTCAGTCGCTTCCTCTATTTTGCGAAAGCCCTGTTGTTAATCGCCCGCGCGCGTTTTTGGGGTGCACTTGGGCTGACCCAGCACGTGCTTGCACTAACCGTATTGGGACCGAGCGACGAGCAGCCTCATCCTTAGATCTCCCGCATGCAAATAGCACTCCAACATTGCTTCGATATGTGTCATCTTGGAGGCTTACAGTATTATCTAACATCTGAGTATTCGCGATGAGAAGACCCTCCTCGTCTTTTGCCGTAATTGCTTCTGTCTACTTCTACTTCGCAACTCCTTCGCCATGATGGCTTTCCCAGGGGAAGAGCGCCGCTCTTTCTTTACTTTCACTTCGAGCTCGCGTGATAATGTGCCCGACCCACCTGAAAGCTCTTCACCTCCTTCCCTTCTCACTCGCCTTCGTTCGCCCTCTCATACCCGCCACCTCGCAATTGCAGCTATCTTTGTTATCGGCTTTACCCTTACAGTCGTCATGAAGCGCGAACATCTACTCTGGCTTGCGGCTTCAACGGCAGGCGCTTCTCCGCTGCTACAGTTTGGCCAAGGCTCCACATTTGACTACAATGGTCTGCGGTTCGGAGCCGACAAGAAGTTCTCGATCACTATGTTCAGTGACATGCACTTCGGGGAACGTGAGTTGCTCAGAAAGAGATATTACGAATGTGCTGACTTCAATTAGCCGCATGGGTTGGCGCAGGCAAAGGACCCGAAGCTGACAAGAAAACCATTGGTGTCATGAACTCGGTCTTGGACAATGAGCACTCGAATCTGGTTGTTCTGAATGGTGACCTCACATCCTGCGAATTTGTGGCACCAGAGAACATGACTGCACTCATCGATCAAGTCACCGCTCCACTTGTCGACCGCAACATGCCATTCGCCGCGACGTTTGGCAACCACGACATGTCTAAGACTTGCAGTACACGCCTCATGTTGGAGCATATGACGAACAACATCAAAGGCAAGAACGAAAAGACACTGTCCTTCACCAAGTCCTCAGTCGCTGGTCCATATGAAGAAGTCGGGTCGAGCAACTACTACATCCCGGTCTACGCTTCCAGTGGTGGTGGCAACCCGCAGCTGTCACTCATGCTCTACTTCTTTGATAGCAAGGGCGGTCGGGACTTCCAAAAGACCGATGCTAACGGACAGGATGTTTCCGTGCCAGGTTGGGTGGATGACAAGGTCAGTCAGAGCTCTGGGGACCTACAGACACGCTTGTTGGCTGTAGATCGACGTGACTAATTTTGAGTAGGTAACCTCATGGTTCCATCTAACGCGCAAAGCGATTCAGCAGCGTGAAGGTCGCGTCATCCCCAGTCTCGCCTTTGTCCATATCCCACCTCATGCTACGAGAGCATATCAGAAGAATGGCCACAACCCCAAGTTGGCTCCGGGTATCAACGAGGAATTGATTGGTCACCAGGGCGATGTTTGCGACAGCAACAACAAATGCAACTATGCCGGCACCGACACACCATTCATGCAAGCGCTTGTCGAGACTGAGGGGCTGATGGGTGTCTTCTCCGGCCACGATCATGGTGTAGAGTACGTATTGATGGGCCTTCATACAGGTTCATGACACTAACCACCTCCCAGCTGGTGCATGAAGTGGTCAAAAGATCTGTCCGGCAACTCACCTGCAAACGGTAATGGTCTTAACTTTTGCTTCAATCGTCACACCGGTTACGGAGGATATTCAGAATGGACTCGTGGAGGTCGACAAATCACCATTGACGAAACGAAGCTTGGCGAGAACGTTCTGGATACCTGGATCAGGCTCGAAGATGGCAGCGTGTCAGGCCGAGTCACTCTCAACGCCACCTATGGCACGGATGTGTATCCCGTTGTCACCAGCTCCAAGAGCACTAGCTTGTAGCACGAGCCTTTGAAGGTCTCTACGTTGGTGCAGATGATCCAGACTGGACGCGCAAAGGTTGCGAAGCTGGCCTCTACAAAGATTAAGCCTGCGATGAGCGGGCTGTCAAACATAAATAAACCCAGACCGGTAGACATGATAAACACCTCCAGGGCGAGAAAGAATAGATGGTACTGATTCCAATCCACACATCTACTACTGCACCAATATCCTGTGTAGGCGCAGATAACACAAATCCTGACCTTGACCGCACGGTGAGCCTCAACCCTTACTCTGCATCACTCGCCCAATAAGTGAAGGTCGCCGTGGCCGGCATATGTCTCATTTGTAAATGCTTTGCGCGCTCCGTGATACTAGCAATCTTCTTTAAAGGTAGACTCCTGTTTTCAGAACGGTGCGTACCCAAGACGCATCTCAGCAGTATCGACATGTTACAATCACAGGAGTGCACACATGGCGAGCGTCGCCGCGAGTCATGAGGGTGAAGTTGAAAATTGTAAGGCACGACTAGTGCTGCACCCAAGCATGTCCGACCAGCCACTTGGTATTCATGTAAAGTCCAACCCTTCTGTACCGCAGCCAATGGGCCGCAGGACTACGACCAGGCACCTCCGTTCAAATTACACATTCTTACGAGAAAGCACCCTCACGGTGGACGTGCATATGTGCAATACACTTGACGCATCATATATGTTTTTCATCCTTACACCGCCTCTACATTCAAGCCGCGAACCCAAAGAACTTCATGTCATCCGCACCGCGAACAGGGACGGTGTGGCCAACGTCCAAGGCATATATACCCTGCACCGACGGCCCGTAGATCGTCCTGGTGTATCCGCTCTGTGGGTCGTCCACCTGCGTGCTCTGCGGCTCGTCGTAGTTGTATCCGAAGACGCCCGCCCACTGCTTCATCGTCTCGTTGTAATTTTGAGGGAGCACGGCGGTGTCGATGCTGCCGTGGTAGATTTGCATTCTGGGCCGTGTGCCGTTGTAGCCGGGGTACACTGCGGATGTGGGGTCAGATGGTGTTTTTGGTTAGAGGGCGGTAAGCTTACTGTCTATGACTACGTTGGCCCATTGTTGGGGCGTGTTGATGGATTGGCCTTGCGAGCAGGTGCTGTTCCAGGCTTGTACGCCGCCGAAGGCGGAGACGAAGCAGCCAGCGGGCACGCCAGAGTAGGCGATGGCTGCGTTGAACATGTCGGGGTAGGCGGCGGCAAGCACGTTCTTTGGCATTGTTAGTCGACTGCAAGACCTATTGTCCTGAGGTAGAGAATATGCCTACGGTCATCATCGCACCGCTGCTACTTCCAGTCACGAATACCTTCGAAGCATCGGCCTGGTACTGCGTCGAGGTCCACCTCACCATGTCTGCGATGGTGTTGCTGTCGCCACCTCCATTGTGGCTCAGTGTTGCCTTGCTGCTGACGTCCCAGCAGGTACCCGCATGCGGCGAGCTTGGGTAGATCACAACAAAGCCGTACTCCTCTGCGAGGGTCGCGTATGGAGTGTTCGTATAATAGTCCTGTGCAGTGCCTCCACAGTAATGGATCCCAACCACGATGCCCGGCGATGCTGCAAGCTTCTCCGGGACGTATATGTAGAAGCTGGCGTTTGTAGCTGTGGTGCCGAATGAGGTGACTTGCGAAAGACTACCAGGGGTGGGTGCGCGCTTCCCCAAAGTGGCCGCTGTAGCCGCCCAAACGCAGGTGTTGAGGATAGCAAGAAGACGCATATTGGTGAAATCTCAAAGTTTAACACTCAAAATGTGACTCTCCGAAACTGTAGTCGTTTTCGAAGCCAACGGGTTTCCTTAAGTGTTTACTCCTGCCACCATTGACCATGCGCGGGTTGGATTGGACCATGCTTAAATAATACATCTTCCTACGGGGATTTGAAGGAATGAGTAGTCGCCGTAAATCTTACGATTGGACTAACTTCAGGCAAGCTCATTTGAAAAGGCAAATAAAGTGCTTGACGATGATAGTCTACCTCGACTTCGGCCGGAGTCCTGCCGATTTAGCCGAAACCACGTTGCCGTTGCGGGCAGATCCCTGCATGTAATTTCCAAAACACGCTCGCGACGGAAAGGGCCGGAGAAGTATTCAATTCAGAACACGGCGTTCTGATTGCGTACTTCACTCGCAGAAGTGATGAGAGGTATGAAGTGTGGTGCTTTGAGCCTTTCATGAACGCTGCTCTCGGGTTCCCAATATCGCAGCTCTAGCCTGCCTTCCCACTCAAGATCCACGGTCTCTTCTCCCAGAAGTCGTCCTTGATAAGATCGACGTGTTCCGTGATGATCCTAGCTTTGCTACGTCTCTTTCGGTCTTTCTCCTTTTGAGTGCGGCTCATCTGCAAGGGTTGACCCGTTATTGCGGCCGGGTCGGCAGCAGCAGGGCGGGTCTTGTTTTTTGAATCAGACTTCGATAAGTCCTTAGACTTACGCTTCTCAGACTTAACTTCGGACTTTGTTGGCGCATGTCGTTTTGAACTTGACTTTTCTCTGGCCGATGTAGCTAGCCGACCATCTGTACTGGCGGATGGTTGAGTACCAGGAACGGAGCTCTGAAGCGTGTCATAGACGTGCGCATACGAGCCCCATTCGTTCGACGCTGGGACGGGCTGCGATTGCTGGCGAGAGTGACGAGCTGAGTTGGCCGGTAGTTCAGCAATCCCAGGGTGTTCATCATACTGCCACCCGGTGCTCCCTTTCCTCTTATTGGGGTCATTGAAAACTCTTCCATCACCGCCAGGGGGGCTTGGGAGCTCCTTGTTGGTGTTCAATGGCGGACTAGACCTGGGGGGTGTTGTAGGGCCTTGCAGGGAGCTGGCAGCATTTTCCTTCCCTTCACCACTGTTGTCCCTGAGATTGGAATTCGACCGAAGATGGAGCAGAGATAATTTACGTGGCTTTGTGTTAGCCGGAATGCTCGATATCCGGAGCGGTATCGAGGGCGGCCCTGTGCTGCTGGACGCGAGATATGTATGGATTTGAGAAAGACTAGGTGAGCGGTGCTTGAGTTTTGGCTCCGACGGTCCCGAGGTAGACATCGAAGCAGATGCTGAATGCGATATAGGCTTTTCCCTCAACTGCGTCTTACTGCGCTCTACAAACGGATTTGAGAAGTCAGCTGGAGGAGCTGTAGGCGAGAAGTTTGCACGCGTGGTCGGGTTAGGTGCATCAAGGGACTGCGGCGGTTTCGTACTTGGCTTCAGTATCGGGGGTGATAAGGGTAACGGCATCAGCGATGGGAGAGCCTGCTTGACCGTTGGCGATGTCAGAGTTGAAGGCGGCGAGAGCGGCATGGTGTTTTGCGAGTAGATAGTGTTATGGGGGCTGACAGGGTTCGATTGGAGCGGATTTGGAAAGCCCATGCCCTTCGGTCTTTGCAGTGCTGGAGGAGGCGATGGCGTCGAAGCTGTAGAGAGAAAGGTCGGTCCTGTGGGCGAGGAAAATATCGGCAGAACTGGAGACGATGCTCGTCGTGATGGGGTCAAGTTTCCCGCTTGAGACAAAGGCCGTGAGTGTGATCGCACTGGCTGAGGCTGGGCTAGAACAGAAGGTTCGTTCTCCGCGGCTGCTGTAGATTTCGCTTGCGGATCTTCTGTTGGGAAGAACTGTGCTGTCAGCGCTTGGAGCTGAGCGCATGATGTCTCATTCACGACATACATCTCGATATAGGATAGTGCCTTTCTTGAAGCAATCCGGCTCATTGTTGTAGTTAATGCCAAACTCTTTGAATAGGATCTCGTTCTTGTCCGCCGAGACCGTGCCAGACAATCTTTGCTCGGCTTCTTGGGGCGACATACCGCCTTGCTGAACGAGCGTCCAAAATGTGGTGTTGTATAGATTGTTGATGTGACCTGTCACGCGTCAGTCGAGTCATTTGGGTCAGAAGACCAAGACTCACAATCGACTTGTCGCCAGCTCATGTAGTCTCTCAAGTTTAGGTCGCTTGGGTAGCAGACTGCTCGGCCGTCGAACGACGGTAAAGGTGGCGTCAACGGCTTTTGGGGGAAATACTTTGACCACAAGAAAACGTAATAAGATGTGAAGGTAGAGACGATGGTAGTGACGAGCTTGCTGTGTGGTATTAACATCGAGATGGTCACGCATCCAGCATATCATACCTTGCTCTTCTCTCGAACAGCATGCAGTCCTTGTGAAAAACAAAACTCCATGTCGTTAGCGTCTTCCCTACATAATCTCAAGAAATACGTACCTGTATTCGTCGCTGTTGCCGTACGCTATTACGAGATCTGGCAGCTCCCGCATCACGGCCTCGGCGGCCTCGTTCATGAGATCCAACGCATCTCGGTCGTTCGGCTTGACGAACTTGTATTTCGTCGTCAGCCTAGATTAACGTTAGCATCGTACCTTGGTGAAGCCACGGGTACCTGCATCCAACCTAGCAGAGAACATCAAATCACAGGAAAGAACAACGTACTTGGAGAAACCGCGTCCATCGATTCGCACCACAATCCAGGTGTTCGACAACAGGATGTCTGGCTGCTCGAAAAAGCGCACGTATTCATATCTGCCGGTGTGAGTTCACGCGTCTCAGCTCGTGCAAAGGTGCATCTCGGCACCACCCACGCGGTTACGAGCGCTTACTTGGAATTGGCCATGGCGCGTACTTTGAGTCTACCTCACAAGACGGAGCATCGCCTGATAGCGCGACAACAGGTATAAGAAAGAGTCGGTCAATCGCCAGCCCCATCGGCCAGTCTGCACAAGCGCAGTTTGGGCTGGGATTCTCTCCGGGGCTAAGGCTGCGAACGTGCTGGGCAAAAGCAGGTAGTGTTTCAGATGCAACGATGTCATGCACCTAGAGATGCTGGGCCCTTGTGGCTGTTGAGGTTATGCGCGGATTCCTCCGAGGCCTGCAAATTGTCATGCCGTGCGGTCAACAGTGCGGTGCGCGAAAGCCTTTCCAAGCATGTCTCCACACGGCTGATCGACGCTAGCACGGCTAGTCCTTCCCTCGAGCCAAACAACAACCTCAACTCGCACTCACGATAATGATCTTTTGTGCGACGGTAAGCTCGTGCGTGGAAGTGCAGCGCGGGGCCGATGCACGCTTCTGCGCATGCGCTGCCGATCGCTCGCCATCTCAAACACTCCCAACCTCAGCCTAGCAGTGTGCTGGCGGTCTACAATACCACCCAACCGTGAATCATAGGTGTATTTGCCAGCTCAACTGCGTTGTCTGACTTCCCGGCTTGATGCTTGGAGCAGCGGCATAGCCCGACGCATGCGGGACAATGGTACACATGGAGTCTGCCCTGGGACCAACCGCGCACCGCGATGCTTCCGCACCACTCTTTCAAACGCTATAATATACGTCTTATAGATTGCATTTCGACCACTAGCGCACATCATGCCTAGACTTGCGGCACTTGACCCACGCTGTAAGCCTCAGACCCGGCCAGCGGTATCCCCAGATCAGCCTCATGATCGACACAGAAACGGCTAAGTGGGGATGTCGTAGATATGCCCCACATTATGCCTACAAGGTGAGGCAGTACTGGGTCGTGGTACCTGAATGCCACCTGTCGTTGGTTGAAGTGCCGGCAGCTGTCAATGCCGATGGTACATCTCTCTTCGTTGCGCCCCACAATGATTCTCGCCTGTCCAGACTCCACCTCGACACTCCTCCACCACTCTCAGGTATTACAATTATACAGATGACGGCCAGGCCGCACCGAGCGCATAAACACCAAGTGCCCTATACTGGACTAGCGCAGACGGGCCGACTGCCGCTCTCGGAGTACAGAATGCATCTGCCCAGACGCGATATGCAATATACACGCACCTCTCCAGAGAAACGTGGTAGCGAGTCCGGCGCATTTGTACGAACTGCCCATGGCACAAACCGCGCCAAGCTGTCAATGAAGCGTGTCGCGCAAAGTGCCCTTTGCAGGCAGGGCCTCACGCTACTCTATCTCAGACGGCCGCCAAACCTTGTCGCGAATCCAGATCCAACCTCACCTCTCGTGGGCTGCGGAGCCGCTGCACCGACGACGGGAAGACGCCGCATGCAACAAGCATCTGGGGACAGACGACAGGCGGCCCTAGCGAATGCGAGCGATCTACGGTAGTGAGGTCACTTTTCATCTATGTAATCGCGTGTGGAATGTCTTGGCATGCGAATGCGAGCTCACTCTTGAGGACGTCAGGTCGCGCCGGAGTGCTGTGATGCCGGATCCCGGCAGCCCATATTTACAGACAGGATCCCCACGTTTGTGGTGCCAGCACGCGCAGACACTGGCCAATCCGAGCTGCGCTGTTCTCCTCCCTCAGGTTCCTACTTGATATGTGTGCCGCGGCAGCACCATGCACCAGCCGTGGTGGATACCGTACGAATATTCACGGCGAGCCAAGAACTATAGCTTGGTTGATATCTCGAGTCGATGAACGGACCGATGTTGTCCATTGGCATCTAGCCGCTGTGGTGGGTAAGCTGTAGCGCTGATACTGCGGATGTCGATATCGTTAGCCACAAGCGACTTCATGCCATGGATCTTCAACAGCGGTAATTGAGTAAGAGCCGTTTTTTACGGGCTCAGAACAGTAACCAAATTCAATACGGTACGGTGTATACCGAGTAACACTGGAAATTCAGTACGAGCTGAGATTGGTATAGCAACAGCACTATGCCATCGCAAAATAGTACGCACCCGCAAGCAGCACAGCACTCCGCTCGTTCACGCACACACAGAGGTTCTTCGTCTACCTGGTGGTTGGCATCTCAGTTCACGCACTGCTTCAAAACACCGGCCCCCGTCCACTACCGCAACGAAAAGTGAACCCCACCACAACGCCGAATGTAAATCCAGCCCAGCATCAGGGCCCAGAGTATTGTCCCAAGCAAGACCATCCCGCCCGCACCCACCGCTTCAGCACGAAAACTCCGAGTCCCGGATCAAGATGCCCCAGACCGCCGCAGAGATCGCCACGATTACAAACAGAGATGATGGCAAACAAACGCCCCACATGCGCGTGGAAGCCATCCCATGCTCCCAGCTTGCTCAATGTTGAAGATCTATGCATTGCAGCCTCTGAAGACCATGTTCCCATAGTAGCTTCTTCCTAGGCGCGCTGCCTCCGCGGATATTTTCTACAAAGTACGTGTCGAGCGAGTCGCCGTCGCAGTATATCTGCCTTTCGTCTCCCTCCCTCGCATCAGAGTGGGCTTGTCTTCACCTAAACAACCAAACGCACAACCGCGCACCACGCCTGTGGGCTGTCACGCAGCTTTCTCCTCTGCTCGCTAGCAGCATGCGTTTGCCGCCAACTTTAAGATTACATATACCCCTTAACTACTTGCCAGAGGATTTTAGCGTATATGTTCTCACACGATGAAAGTCCCGATGAGTATCGTATAAGACACGGCTGGAATCTGCCGTGCCTTCTTGCCTGTGTATATCAAGATCAACGACGAATAAGCTCGCAGGTCTCATGAGCAGACGATAGCACGCCTGGAGATGATCGTCAAACCCACAGCTATTGTGCACACAAAATCAGCGCGCCGGGCTAGACAAGGGCTTTCAAGAGCGCACAGCAGCAGCCCGAAACTCCCACAGAGCCCGGCGTCCTAATCCAGTACCTGCCTGGCAAAGCCTCCGAGGCGCTGTACAAACCCCTGCGAGACGCAGTCGAAAAGCAGCATCCCAGTATCGTCGATGGCTAGGTTCTTGCCGCCAGTCATACCTAGAAGGCGACCCACACAAAGCTACCTAGGAAGCTCGTACTCCCCGCCCTGAACGCCCACGTGGAAACACATGCCCAACAGGCTACCATTTCTGATGAAGACGGCCAGAACGCCGGCAACCGACTCTACGCAAAGATCGTGGGCGGGTCGGTCTTGCACAAGCGTACTGTAAGGCCGAGCGCGAGGTTGATGGCTCACACGAGAATCGCAAACAACCTGCCCAAGTCAAGAAGCACAAGGAGATCAAGCAGGCGCCACAACCCAGCCCACAACCCAACCCACAACCGCGGTCGGTGCACACGACGCCGCTTTGCAGACGACATGCCTCCCTTCATCGCGCCCCCGCGCCCGATCGACGATCGGATATGCACTTCTCCGCAGTGGTGTAGTCGACGGCACGCTCGCGCCCAACGCATTCTCTGGGGCGGCGGTCACGGACGCAGGATGTAACGAACGAGATGAACGCGCGAAGCCTCGCCAACGCGGGCGCTTGCGCTGCTGAAGACTGTCACTGCAGCTTTAGAGACCAAGCCGTCCCCAAGCGCCATGCTTCTTGAGGACCCGTCAACCGGGAGCCCGTGGGGTTTGGATCGAGATAATGCACACCATGCGCGCCCCGTGCCTTGAGCCGGGAACCTCGTTGGAGAGCGCTGGCAAAGCCCGAGTCCCACGTTACATCGCTCATTCCGCGTACTGCCTTATACTCTACACCTATCCACCCCGCGCGTTCCCTCCCCTTCCCCATGGCGCAGGAGACTCCAGGCCCCGGCGCGGCAACCCCGTGTCAAGCACAGCAAAGCCGTTGGGGCTAGTGGACGGGGATAGCGAGGACTTTTGACTTCAGTGCGCGGGTGGCGTGCGGCGGGGGGCATGGGGTGGTGGGTTAGCAGGAGGGGGGGGGGGGGGGGTACATGTACTTGTTACACTGAGCTGGGGGGTGTAGGGGGGGGGGGGGGGGGGGGGATGAGGGTTGAGACTTGAAATAGCTTTTATACGCGTAGCTCGGAGATGAGGTTTGAAATTGAAATATGCTTTTATACGCGTAGCTTCTGCTGCTGTGCTGTGGCGAAATATGCCGCTGTGTTGTGCCGCGTGGCAATGGGATGTGCTGCAATTCCCTGCACTGTGGCATGCTGCACTGCGCGCTGCCCTGCTGATCCGAATAAACCCCCGCCGTGCGCCAAACGCCCGAAATGCATGTGTGTGGCTCGTGCCATATCCGTGACGACGTATCATGTCCGTGGCTCGTATCTTCTCCATACCAACGAGCCCCCTCGCGTACCAACGCGTCTTATCCGGGACCCTGTTTCCCCCTGACACGCCCACCTCACATCATCGCCTCCTCAAACTCCTCCTCATCCACCTCCCCCATCCCCCCCATCTCCGTATCCTCCTCCACAGCCCCGCCAAACACCTCCCCCCCAACCGCATCCCCCCCAACAGGCCCCCCAACCCCCCCATCCCCTTCCTCCCCGTCCTCCTCCCACGCGCTCCCAACCCCCCACCCGACCCCTGTGAAACAATACCGCTCCGGCGGCAACCGAACCCCAAACTCCCTCTCCACGCGCGGCAACGCGACTCGATTCCGCTCACTCGCGACCTCCGCCAGCCCCTCGCGGCCGAGCCCGACGCCCTGCCCCGCCGCGCGCGCCGCAACACTCGTCCGCAGCGCCGCAAGCCCGACGCCCTCGTCCTCCGCGCCACGCCGCTTTTTCTCGTGCGCGGCAGGCGCCGCGGGTTCGTAGCTCAGCGCGTCGGAGAGCACGCCGGAGGTGTAGCGGTATGCGAAATCCAGCAGCTGCAGGGGCACGCGCTCGGTGTACGCGCTTACGCCCATGTTGGCGAGGAGCAGGTGCAGTAGGCGCGCGTCGCGGGGGCGTTTGGAGGCGCCGGTGTCGAGGAGCGAGGTTGGCGGGTAGCCGGTTGGGGCGGTTGTGGTTGTGGGGGGTTGCGCGGCGGAGTGGGGTTGCGATGCTGGCGGGGAGGTGGTGTGGGCGGTTGCGGTGGCGGGGGGCGTGCTGATGCCGTTTGTGTCTGGGGCGGGCGACGCCATGGTTGTGGGGTGTTTGGTGTGGGAGTTTGGTGTGGAGTTTGAGAGGGTGAGGTTGGTGGACGCGTGTAGGCTAGCGCGTTTTGGGGCTTGGCGCGGGCTGGATCTGGGGTGAAGGCGGACGTCACAGGTAATACAATCACAGCAAATTACATGCGTGCCGTTAAGTGGAACCAATATAAGAATAATTATTAACTACACCTTCAGCCCCAGCCCCTCCACTGCATCCTCGCGCTGCTCCTCATCGCCCGTCGCCTCGCTCGCAATGCTCTCGTGCAGACTCGGCGTCTTGTCCTTGCGGCCCATACGCTTGATCGAGCCCCAGCTCAGCGCGCTGCTCTTGTCCTTGGGCGTGCCGATGCTGGGCGAGTTGTGCGTGCTGATGCTCTCCGTGCTGCGGCCGAGGCCGAAGAAGCCGCTGGAGTCCTCCTCGGCCTCGTCAGGCGTGCTGGGCACGTCGCCCTTCTTGGCAAACAGCGACGACTTCTTGCCGAAGGAGAGGAACTGGCTGGTGCTGCCCTTGCGGGTGAGCTTCTGCATGAACGACTCCTTGCCGATGGAGCCGGCGTGGTCGGACGCGGCCTGCGAGACGCTGCGCTCGAGCGACTCGCGCGGCGACGCTTCCGAGGCGTCGGCGGTGGAGATGATGGACGGCGTGTCGCGCGAGGGGCGGGAGAACATCTCGTGGGGAGAGGTGGGGTGGCTGCCGTCGGCCGACTCGAACGCGACCTGCTTGTCTTTGCCCTTTGACTTCTCGGCCTTGTTCTTCTCCTTCTTCTCGGCCTTTTCGGCCTTCTTGGCCTCCTTCTCGGCCGCCCGCTTTGCCTTGTCCTCCTCCGACTTCTTCAGGCCGAACATGGTGAAGGTCTCTGCGGTGGGATCGAGCGCTGTTGGGGGCGTTCCGGGGATCGGCGGGATGTCGCGAGGCGGCATGTGCGAGGCAGACGATTGCGGCCGGGTTCCGATAGGCGCCTGCATCGGCGAGCGGAAGTTGGATGGGAAGTCCAGGATGTCGTCGTGCATGGAGTCGTCGTTCATGGCTAGGTTAGTTGTCGACCCGTGCTGTATAGACGGCCGACGTGACGGCATCCGAGACCACGACGACGTGTTGGTGTTGTTCACGCTCCAGTCCACCCCGAGCGGGCTGCTTCTCGCGCCAAACGAGTCCAGGCCCCAGCCAAACCTCGTCTGGCTCTCGGTGGAGGGACGCGGCAGGGCCATGGCTTCACCGGACTTGGTCGAGCCCTGACGCGGGGAGGGCGGCCTGTCTGAGCCTAGGATGGACGACAGCCAGGGGTCGTTCTTGGTGCCGAACATGTTGAACGTGCGCTTGCGGGTCGCTACATGCTTGGGGCTGCTGGACGGCTCCACGGGCTGGGTCTTGGCTCGCATGAACGAGTCGTACCAGGCACCTTCGGTACTGCCGCGACGTCGCAACGCCGCCGAGTCGAGGCCAAATTCCTGTCGCGGGAGAGACTGGCTCTGGGAGGGCTTTAAAGAACCCAGCGCGGGCCCCTGTCCGGAGATGGTCTTGCCACGCTGCCTGTTCAGCCCGAAGAGCCCGCCGAACCTGCTCTGAGAGTTCATAAACGAGCTCGACGCAGACTGGATAGAGCGCTTGTCGGGGTCGATGTTCTCGGGATTCGGATAGAACTGCAGCTGGCCGCTTTCGCGTGGGCTTGCGAAGACGCTGGGAGAGCGGCTCTGCGGTGGCGAGACGGGCGTGGAGGGGTCGACCTGGCCAAGCTGTCCAAGCCCCGGGAGGACGTTGCGCATGTTGGGCGACGGCTCGAGCGAGGACAAGCGGGGCGGGCCGATGAGGTCGTCGTCCTCGTTATCAGTGAGGCCCAGATCGTCACCGAACAGGCCCGCGGGAAGCAGAGCGCCGGCAGTAGGGCTCATGGGCGCGCCGCCGGTCAGCGACTCGAGATCGGCCTGAGACATCTGCGAGATGGAGATGGTGTGTCCGTGGCCGCGCGGGGGGAGCGCCATGCCGTTGACGGGGTTGAAATAAGGAGTGACGGAAGCGAACGGGGGGGACGACGACACGGTCATGCTGTTGAAGGGCGCGGACGAGGTCTGCACAAAGCCGCCGGGGGCGTTGAGCATGCCCTCGCGCATGCTGAGCGGGCGCTGGCGGTGGCTGTTGCGTCTGACAGGCCCAACGCGGGGGACACTGGGGTCGTCGTACAGCTGCGGCTGGCTCATGCGGCGCTGCTGCAGGAACTGCAGGCGGCTCGACACCTCCTGGTTCGCGCGGTCGGCCTCGGTGAACAGCTGCCAGGCCTGGGCGTACTGCTGCTGCAGCAACCCCAGCGTCATCTTCCAGCGGTTGTCCTCCTCGCGCTCGGCGTTGTCGGTGCCATCCGGAGCCTCGCCGCCCTCTTGGCCGTCTTCCAGCTGCTGGCGCTCCTCCTCCAGGGCCTTGATCTGGATGCCCTTCTCGCGCACGGCGTCTTCCAGCACGCGGTTGGCCTGCATCTCCTCCTCGTACTTGTCCTTGACGGCCTGAATGCGCTTCTCCGAGGCGGCGCGGTACTCGTCCTGCTCGGTCTTGATGTTGGCGGCCATCTCGCGCAGCTCGACCGACTCGCGGGTCCACTTGGCGATGTCGTCCTTCATCTTGTTGCGCTCGGCCTCCTTCTGGCGGAAGACGCGCTCCTGGTTGGTGCGGCGGGTCTGCGCGGCGGCGCTCTGGCGCTCAAGCGTGGCGACCTCCTTGCGCAGGTCGCGGCTCGCGTCCTCCTTCTCCTTCAGGGCGGCCTTTTTCTCATCCCGCTTGTCGATCAGCACCAGCTTCTGGGTGGCAAAGTCCTGGTCCTCGTCGGCGGCCTGGCGCTCCATGTCGTCGAGCTCGCGGCGCAGGGCGTCCAGGCGCTCGGTCAGGGCGCGGATGGAGTCGCTGGGGTCGGCGGGGTCGCGGTCGTCGGGGGTCTGCGAGGCGGGCGAGGCGCGGCGGGCGACGTCGGGGCGGCGGGCGCGCGAGGTGCTGTTGCTGTGCTCGCGGGCCATGGCGGGGGCGACAAAGGGCGTGGCGACGTCGGCCAGCGTCTTGTTCGGGCGCACGATGGGCGCGGGATGCGCATCGTCGTCGGCGGGCGGGGCGGGCGGGGCCGGGGCGTAGTACTGGTCCGAGTCGGCGGGCAGGGTGCGCAGGCGGACGGGCACGCTCGGGGCCTGGAAGTTGGACGAGTTGAAGGTCACGACGCGGATGGTGTAGTGGCGGTCGGGCTGCAGGTTCTCGACCGTGGCCGAGGTGTCGTGCGGGGCGAGCTCGCCGACGTCGATGCCGTTGATGCGCAGCACGTACTTGAGCACCGAGGCGCGCTCGGGCGACTTCCAGTGCAGCAGCACGCCGTCGGCCTTGATGCCGGCCAGCGACACCAGCGGGGCCACGGGCACCTCGAGCCCCAGCACCTGCACCAGCTTCTCGACGGGCTGCGACAGCACCTGGTATGCGCGGAAGGCGACCCTGGCGGCGGTCAGCGGGGGAGCACGGGGTACAGCAATGCGGCGCGGCGTACCAGAAGAGCGCCAGCACGATGCAGGCGGTGCGCAGCCAGCCCGACGACGAGAACAGCAGCGTCTCCATGTCGTAGCGGGCGACGTCCGGCGGCCAGTACAGCGACGTGGCGGGGTCGGCGAACATGGCGGGCGTCAGTCACTGCGGTGCAGTGGGCGGGATTGTGAACTGTGAGGTCGTCGTCGGGCGGGTCGTCTCCGCGAAGTGTGCAGCCAAAACGCTTGGCCCGCAGCAGGCGCCCCGGCCCACTCGTCGGCACCCATGAGTCGCGGGTGGCTTGCTGCGAAGAGGCTGCATGACGCGCAGCGCTGCACGGCGCGTGTGTTTTTTCTGACTGCACCGCGTGTTTTTCTGGCCGTCTCCCAGCACGCCGCCCAGGCAAACCGCCCAAGCAAGGCAGCCTGGGCATGGCAGCGATGCATGCTCGCCCGTGCGCAGGCCGCGGTTGGCCCAACATGCCTCGCAGCCGTCGGCCGACGCTGCCGATGCGCCTGCATGCAGTGCATGTGAAAGCCCAACAGTTTGCGACAGTGCAGACCCGCTGTGTTTTCATAGACAAGCACCGTACACACACACACCCGTACTCATAGACACCCGCTGCCTTGCTCTCCCTCCCATTGAACCACCGCCAGCACCGAGACTCGCTCGGGCCGCGCCCACCTGACCGCGACTAGGCGCTCCGCACTCGTCATACTGCAGCCCTCCGTCACAGCTGCCCGCCGTCACAGCCGTCGCCCTCGTCAGCTCGCCAGCCTCGCCCACACCGCGCCGCGCATGTGAAGCACCCGACCGCACACAAGGCACCGCGCCGCCGCAGCCTCCACCTCCACCTCCACCTCCACCTCCACACACCCACCACCATGAACTACATCCGCTCCGTCGCCGGCGGCGTGTCCAAGGGCTGGAACTCGATCAACCCCGCCACCCTCAGCGGCGCCATCGACACCATCGTCGTCGAGCGCGAAGATGGCTCCATGGCCTGCTCGCCCTTCCACGTGCGCTTCGGCAAGTACCAGATCCTGCGCCCGTCGGACAAGAAGGTCGAGTTCCGCGTCAACGGCGAGCTGCAGCCGTATTCGATGAAGCTGGGCGAGGGCGGCGAGGCCTTCTTCATCTTTGAGACGTCGGCTGCCATCCCCGCCGACATGCAGACGTCGCCGCTGGCCTCGCCCGCCGCCAGCCCCGAGCAGAAGCCGACCGACACCCCGCCCAGCGCGCTGGACGACCCCGAGCCGCTCGATCTGGCGAGCCTGGACTCCACACTGCACCGCCGCGGCCGCCTGTCCATGTCCGTGCCGCCGTCCGACGCCCAGTACGACGCCGACTTCGAGCGCCCCAAGTCGGGCGACTGGTCCGGCTTCCACGTGCAGCGCTCCACCACCGACAGCGTCGTTGCCGCTGTCAATAGCGAGTTCCCGGGCCACGACAACGGCGAGAAGGAGCACGGCCCGCTTGAGATCAGCAGAGAGGATGCCACGCGCTGGAACCGCTCCGCCCGCTCGGCAAGCCCCCCGCCCGTGTCCCAGGCGGAAGCACTGGCCCGCGCGATTAAGCTCTCCAAGAAGCTGTACTCGTCCAACATCCCGAACAAGGTCACCGACAGCGGCGACCTCGAGTTGGACATGACGGGCTACAAGAGCAGCGAGCAGGACGCTCTCCGCGCCGAGGTCCTGGCGCGCAATATCCTATCTGACGAGCTGGCCGGCGACTACGACATCGGCGCGCTGATCGGCGCCGACGAGAACGGCAACCTGTGGATCTACAGCAGCGAGGAGGCCAAGACCGCCGCCATGCAAAAGACCACCCACAGCGTCTTCAACGAGCCCGCCCTCGACGCTGTCTCCGACCCCGGCTACCAGAGCGACAGCGGCATCAGCGACGCCTCGGGCGACTACCTCCTCCGCAGAAAACGACTCCGACAGCGCCCTGGGCTCCTCCGCCCCGCACTCGCCCGAGCAGCAGAAGAAGAAGGGCGAGACCCGCAACTACGCCAAGACGCTGCGTCTCACGTCGGACCAGCTCAAGGCCCTGAACCTCAAGCCCGGCCAGAACACCATGTCCTTCACCGTCAACCGCTCCAAGTGCGAGGCCTTCATGTTCTACTGGCAGCACAACGTCCCCATTGTCATCTCCGACATCGACGGCACAATCACAAAGTCCGACGCCCTCGGCCACGTCCTCAACATGATCGGCCGCGACTGGACCCACAAGGGCGTCGCGAAGCTGTACACCGACATCATCAGCAACGGCTACAACATCTTCTACCTGACCTCTCGCTCCGTCGGCCAGGCCGACATGACCCGGACATATCTCAACGGTGTCGTGCAGGAGGAACACCGCCTGCCCAAGGGCCCCGTCATCATGTCGCCCGACCGCACCCTCTCCGCCCTGCGGCGCGAGGTGTACCTGCGCAAACCCGAGGTCTTCAAAATGGCCTGCCTGCGCGACATCATGCAGCTCTTCGACAAGCCCCCCGGCCAGACCCCCTTCTACGCCGGCTTCGGCAACCGCTTCACCGACGCGCTGTCCTACCGCTCCGTCAGCATCCCCAGCACGCGCATCTTCACCATCAACTCCAACGCCGAAGTCAGCCTCGACGTGCTGTCGCTAAACAGCTACAAAACAGGCTACGCCTCCATGCGCGAGATCGTCGACCACTTCTTCCCGCCCGTCGGCCTGCTCGTCCCCGCCGGCGGCGAGCAGTTCACCGACTTCAACTACTGGCGCGACAGGCCGCTGGACATCGAGGACTTCACCGACTCCGAGGAGGAGGACGAGGGCAGCGTCGACGGCACCGAGGCGGGTAGCTACCGCTCCGAGGACGACGGCGGCGATCTGGGCGAGAGCTACATCACCAACGAGTGCGTCGACGACCCGCTGGGGGATAGCATCATCGAGAGCGTCGAGAGCGCGGGGGGGGTGTATCTCGGCGAGGACCTCGACGCGCCGGAGGACCTCGACGCGCCGTACGACCCCAGCAACAGCGAGGGCGGGGTTGATGTCGCGGGGTATGAAGGCGCGTACGCAGACGACGCAGACGACATGGCAGACGCAGACGACGCCACCGAGCTCGCCGATGATGAGGACGACGAGAACGTCCCCGCCGACCGTCCCACAACGCCAACCCCCGCCCCCGCGCTCAGACCCAAACACAGCGTCCCCGAGATCAGCAAGCGCATGGCCGAGCGCGCCGCCGAGCGCATGACTAGTCTGCACGCCTTGTCTGACGACGCGGGCGAGGCGCGGATCGGGCGGCGCGGCTCGTAGTTTCTCCTTCTACGAGTTCCGCTGGCTCTGGTGCGAGTCTGAGGGGGTGCGTCAGTTTCCCAGCCCGGCACGGACAGGATCGGGATCGGGATCGGGATTGGGATTGGGATCGGGATTGAGATCGGGGCTCGTCGTGCTGTAGTGCCGGTGGCGCAGTGTGCAGTGCAGTGTGCAGTGCAGTGCAGTGCAGTGTCTCCGCGCCACGAGGGGGAGCCGTTCAACACCGGACAAGCGGGAGGCACACACAGATGCAGACGCGAGCGCGACGCGGAAGGGGATGGGAGGTAGACGGGGCGGTGCGGAGAAGCAGCGACCAGCACACAATGAGCGTAAGGAGAACGGAGAACGGAGCAGAGGAGAATAGGAGAAGAGAGAGGTGTTTGGCGCATCGCATCGCATCGCATTCCAGCATAGCATAGCACGGCGTTTTCAACGACCCGGCGTCCCCAGACATAGCAGGGGGCGCTGGGGTCGGGTATTGTTGTATTGTATCTAGACGGACATCCCATATTCACATTAATATCCCACATTGATATGTATGAATCTTGCAGCTGTTGTGTGCTGTGCTGTGTTGTGCTATATCTGGCTGCGTTATGTGTATCATACTGTGTCGTGTGTGGCATACTATATCATATCATATCGTCTTGCGTTGAGCTGCTGGGAGTTGTGATACTTGTAATACTTGTAAAACTTTGTAAGTAGCACTTATAATACCTACGGCGCCTGCTGCGCTCATGTAGGTAGACAAGCACTCACCCCCCACGCTCACTCGTCCCTCACGCTAGCTAGCAGCCGGGGTGCTGGGTGTGGCCCACACACACCAGGACTGTCTGGAGCTGCGGCGTGCGGGCGGGAGAACAGAGGGTGCGGTGCTGAGAAGTTGGGCGCTGAGTGCTGGCAGAGACGCCTAGTCCTGTGGGCGGGGTGTGGAACGGCGATACAGGTCGTGGATACCGGGATTTGCTAGAATATTTAGTGCAGAGGCTGGAAGGTCGCCAGAGCGTGCAGACAGGTAGCAGGGGTCGCTGAATCTGGGCGTGGCGAGGCGTCGTAGGGTATGGTGTGGTATAGTACACTCGTCTGTATCCGTACACGTATGCGATATAAGCCGCCCTTGCGTTCCCAACGCCTCCAATGCAAACCCCCCCGTCTCCACCGCTCCCCGCGCACCCCCTCCCACGCCCCTCACGTCCCCCCCCAAACCCCCCCCCTCCTCACCCCCCCTCCATCCACCTTATTCTCCTCCCGCCTAACCACCTCAGCGCCCTGCCCCTGCAGCCGCCCCCCATCATCCAGATTCCACCACTCCTTGTGCTTCTCGCGCGCATCCAGCAAGCGGCGCTTGTGCTCCAGCCGCGCGGCCTTGCGCTCCTCGGCGAGCGCGAACCACTCGCTCCGCGCCGCGTCGAGCGAGTCCTGGTTCTGGTACTGCAGCATGCAGGTGTTCATGGCGAGGCGCGGGGCGCGGCAGGCGTAGATCATGGTTAGGGTGCGGCCGAGGGCGCATTGGGCGAAGGCTGGGTGGTATTAGTACGCGGGTGGGGTGTAGGAGTGGAGGCAGGCGTGGACGCAGCCGTGGTGCTGGCCGTGGTGTAGGGGCTTGTGTGTGCAGCCGTGTTGCGAGCCGTGTTGGAGGTGTATATAGGTGTGTATAGGTGTATATAGGTGTAGGTGTCGGTACTACTCACCCTCAATCTCCGCCGCGCACTTCGCCCGCACGTTCTTGTAGTACAGATCCCGCACCTGCTGCTCCTGCGGCGCCGACAGCGGCGTCGGGTTCGCTGGCCGCGTGTTGTGTCCGATGATGTAGCTGTCCGCCGTGCCTGGCGCGGCCGCGGGCGGCATCGAGGCGCCCGGTGTGTTCATCGCGGCTGTGCGGCGTCGCTTGGCGGTATCGCTTGCGGTATCGCTTGCGGTATCGCTTGCGGTATCGCTTGCGGTGTTGGAGTGTTTCTCGCAGCGGGCGCGTTACTCGGAGTATCTACTCGGAGTGTGGAGGGGGAGTTGGCGGGGTTGCGGCCGGCGCAGGCGCAGCTCGGTGGTGGTGAGAGATTTGGGATGCGTGCAGGGATTAGCGGGCGGCGTGCGAAGTAGCGCGAGACGTCGGGGTTTGGGGCGCGGCGGCCGATGGGCTGGGCCGAGGTGTGGAGCGGTTAGGTTTACACATGCTGGCGTTTTGGGACTTTACGTTTTCACTGCCGAAGACTGAGATTAAAAGGATTTATTCTATTTCTTCGCATTCAAGCTCGCGATAAACTTTAGACACCACAACCCTCTATACCAGCCACACCACCATGAAGATCGCGGGTCGCACATTCATCATCAGCGGCGGCGTGTCCGGCCTGGGTCTTGCAACTGCCCGCGCCCTGCACGCCCTCGGCGCATACGTATCCCTCCTCGATCTGAACAGCGACAACGGGTCGGCAATCGTATCAGAGCTCGGCGCCCGCTCCAAGTTCTTCGAGACCGACGTGACCTCGACCTCGGCCATCGCGTCCGCCATCGCCGGCACCGTCTCGTGGATCAGCGAGACCAACGCGCCCATCGGCGGCGTCGTGGCGGGCGCCGGCGTCGGGCTCCCCGGCCTCATCATCGACAAGAAGAACGAGCCGCTCAGCATCGAGAGCATCGACTTCGTGCTCAACATCAACCTGCGCGGCACCCTCGATCTGATCCGCCAGGCGCTGCCGCACATGACGCAGAACGCGCCAGACGGCGCCGACGGCGAGCGCGGCGTCATCATCATGATTGCGTCGTCGGCGGCGTTCGACGGCCAGATGGGCCAGGTTGCGTATGCAGCGTCCAAGGGCGCCGTGGCCAGCCTGACGCTCCCGCTTGCGCGCGACCTGAGCAAGTACGGCATCCGGGCGGTGACGGTGGCGCCGAGCATGTTTGACAGCGCGATGACGAAGATGATGAGCGCGAAGGTGAAGAAGAGTCTGGAGACGAGCATGGAGTTCCCGCCGCGTGCGGGGCTGCCGGAGGAGTTTGCGCGGCTGGTGGTGGAGGCGGTGGGGAATCAGATGCTGAACGGGACGGTGCTGAGGCTGGATGGAGCGATGAGGATGCCGGCGCGGCTGTAGGGTATCATTGTTCTATGCGAATGCGGTAACGGCTCAGCGCTTGCGCTCCCTGACCTTGAACTTGACGCCGTTCTTGTTGACGCCGCCAATGCTGCTGGTCATCTTTGCGCGCTGCTTCTCCAGCTCCTCCTCTGCGGCCACGAGCTCGCGCTCCTTCTTTTTGACCATCTGCAATCTGAATGCTGTCCTGGACTGCGCGCGTGACCGTGTCTTCTCAAACTTCTTCATCCGCTTCGCCTTCTCCTCCTGCTGCTTCAGCTTCTTCGCAGACAGAGTCTTCGGCTGCGGCTCGTCCTCGTCTTCGGAGTCCTCACTCTCGTCATCTTCCCACTCGGCGGGGAACTCCGGTTGCGAGGCTGGCAGAGACTTGCCCTCCCCAAACCACGTATCCGCGTCGAAGTTCGCCTGCTCCTCCTCGTTCTCCACATACACCCTGTGCTTTCCCTGTTTCCCGTCGTGTCCATCCTTCAGCGCCCGGGCTTCCCCCTCCTCTTCCAGAATCAGCCGCTCCTCCAGCTTCTGCCTCTCCCTGCGCACCTGCTGCAGCATCGTTCTGATATATGCAGCGTCCTGGGTCTTGAGCAGTTTGACAACGTCCGTGCTGAGCGCCTCGTTGCCGCGGTCCGCCACTTTGCGCCCCTTCGAGTCGACGGTCGACGACATCATCTTGAAGGAGAACTCATCGGGGTTGCGGTCGCGTGCCTTCTCGGACAGGAGCTTGAGCTTGGCTTTCTTCTTGCGGTGGTCTGCTGCGCGCAGCTTGTAGTCCTGGGCGTTGTCAGTATCTTGTGGGGAGTGAGAGTTGCTGGGCGTACCTTGCGCTTCTCGAGCAGTCCCCATTTTTGGCGCTCTTCGGGCTGTGCGCGCTCCTTGTGGTTGCGCCGCTGGACGGCATTGCGCATGGACGACATCTTGGACGGGCGTAAGTCGTTTAGGTGTCGCTTGTGCGAGGCGTTAGGGTTGGGTGAAGCTCGAATTTTTGGGATCGACAATCGATAAAGACCTACGCTAGCTAAATTGAGACTGGCTGATGGAGACCCTGTCTATCCAAGGTCTTCTCGAGGACATATCTGCTCGATTGTTCTTACTACACATGGTCGACCCTTCAGGCATGTCAGCTATATGGTTAGGTTATCGACATTTGAAAGAGGCAGGGTTCAGCACCTCGTCACATCATTCCGATCAATCAGATAAAGGTGAGCATACTAGTGTACCTTGATGTGTATGGTTGATCGTAGATGTTCACATGTGCCGCAACAGAAAGGAGTCTGTAAAAGAAACCCAAATCGGTGGTGTAACGGCCCACAGAACAGTATGTACTCATACGCCTAGGTTGATCTTACCGCTGTCAATACCTAATCGGAACGGATACTTGGCCTACATGTCATGACCTTCACCTCAAATACCTAGGTAGCAATAGCTTCTTACGAGAGGGATGTTTAACGCGCTTTGATCGGCATCCTGGCTGAATACCGGCCCTGCAATGAATCGGCGCCTTATGTAACAGAACTGGGCCCTAAGAGAGCCATGTGACGCGTTTCTTTGGCACCTCTGCTTTGCAAAGTTCAGATTGCGGCCCTCCAGGGCTGTGTAGAGGGTGTCACGCCGAGCTGTATGCCTAGAGAGGCTTTGAGCACCTAGATCCTTTTCAACCGCACCACTTTGGGGGCTCATTCAAATGGCTGAGATTGATTGGGTGTCTGCAAGCTTGCAATAAGCCACATCTTCAGCCGCGTATCTTGACAGCTCAACAACGATGTTGGCAGATGCACAGCCACCTGCCGCTCAGCAAATCGTACGTCATTGAGTTTGCTGGCCTTGTAAGTTGGTACTCAGACCTATGATGGCTATGTCAGCCCTCGCCTTTCTTGAGGTTCAATGCTGCACCTTGCCTACAACTCGAGGAAGCTCACCTCCCGTCATGCCCGCTGACGATCCAGTGCGCAAGTGAACAAACATGAATCGACTGGCTCTACTTATACTGTTGCTATGGTTATTTATCCTCGACTGCGTTCTCGCGATCCGTTGGTCCAATATCAATGCACTCAAAACCAATCTCACTATTGAGGCGGTGGAAGGCACATCGTCACATGGATCGAACAGAATACTCTGCTACCCTCTTACATGGCCGTCGCTCGCAACGTTCTACATCGGGAACTTTGGCGCGCACATCGCAACAGTACAGTCTATGCCCGGCGACAAATGGCCCCTGACACTATTCGAAATGGTACTGGCGCTTTTCTTTCCCACGTCTGGTCTTATGCGTGGTCTAAACACCATTGTCAGGAACTTTTCGTCCTCTTTCTTCGCCCGGAAAGTTGTTGCAAAGATCTTTCGTATCAAAAGGTGGCGTCGAGACGAAACAAGCCTAGAAAAGGCATGCAAAGCCGGTGCTCTGTGCGTAGTTGTGCGAAACGCCAACTGGAGACCGAAACATGGACAAGCTGATATTCCTGCAATTCTTTCAACTGTCGTCAGGAATACAGCATTGGAGCAGCCTCTCGACACCGAGCTTGCTGACATTGAATCTGTCCAGCTCGTCAGAAGTTCTGCTGGGGGCGATGACGCTGGAAGCACCTCCGATGTCTCGGGGGAAGAAGCTCCAGAGGATAGTCCCGCCAGATTACGTCCTAAAGGTAATACCAAGCATCACGACAGCATAATGGTCTGCGATCTAATCTTCACCAGAGACAATTCTGACTATATATCGACCGACTTGGCTCAAAGAGGCTCAAAGCCACTGGTGGACTCATTTTGACACGTTATGGGGCCGAAACATTGTCGATCCTACCCTAAAAGCCATCCATGGAACTTACAGGCTTCCCGTCGGATACTCCTTCTCGGTTCTGCCCCGCGATACTATTGTACTGGCTGGAGCAAGCTCCCTCGGAGTTGGAAAGCTGGAATGCGAAATTGCTGCTTCATACAGCATCCTGAAGGTCTTGGCATCACTGTTTCAATTGCTTGCGGCGACATATACACTTTGGCTTTATCGAGGTGACCAGGTGAATCGTTGGGGTTTCGCTTCCTTCTCCTTCGTGCCTGTACCCTATGCCATAATGTCTCTGGTCAATGGTATCAGTCACCTTTGCACTCCTGACTATCCGGCGGTGTACATGGTGTCATCTACTGTTATGAAAGAGGCAGAAGATGCAGGAGGCGGTTTCTATGGCATTGTTGGTTACGTAGAACCTGCGCCATTATCGAACAACGACACCGGCTACGGATCTGGATTCGATACTACTTGGAAAGGTCTGACGCCTGGAGTTCTTCGCCGTACATTACTATCACTCTACAATTCCGCAAGAGGCAGGAAGAAAGAGATCAGAGAGTTGACCGTCTTTGAACAACGTCTTCCTGAGCACGCCCGGTCCGGGGAAGAAACTACACAGACCGACATACGCGATGAAAATACTGGCTTGTCATTGACTTCCCACTTGGTTGGATCGCCAGTTCTACTTGTCGAACAGTCTCCAAACTTCCGTGGAGAATCATACATGATCAGCCCTGTATATCGTTCAGAAAATTTCATCGAGAGCATAGCATATAAACTGCCAAGAGTCAATCTGGAATGGATTCGATATGGTACGCCCGGAATCATCGTCCTGTCAGCAGTCCTCGTCTTCAATCTAGGGGTGCACCCAAAAAAGACATATTGCAGTATCAAGATGGAGGTTATCTCAGTGATAGCCCAAGTCCAAAGCTACTGGGGGGGCAGCCGAAAAGTACGAAGCGACACAGCGTCAAACATAGCGGTCAAAGGATCACGCAAGCAAAGACTGCTCAATTGGTTCTTCCACTTGTCGCCGTCGGTCGCAGACATCAACCTCGAAGAACAACTCCGCGGAGATCAACTCCCGCGCATTTCATTCCGAGCATGTGAATGTTTCCAGCGCCAGAGTAACCTGAATCAGGCACACTCGACCCAAACAACCACACCTCTTCTTCAAGGCCTTTTCGCACAGGGCTTACTTGCCATCGTTGTCAGTAGTCTTTCACTTCTGGTAATAGGCCTGATGTCCAGTTTTGATGCTGGTTCGAGCTCTAGAACCGACCAGATCATCCTTATGATGTGGCTGGCAGTGGGTATAGTGGTTGGCTTCCTCGTACCCTTCCTGAACGTCAACGACGCCTACACTTTGTTGATCAGGATTCCCCTGGAAATCGAAGCCTTCCGTGATACCCGAGCTGCTGCTTTGGGTGGATCCTATTTGGCGGCCCTACTGCTCTTGTTGATGTGTCTTCCTTGGGGTGTATTTGTCGTGCCAGTGTGGGGCTTCGTTATCGTTAGCCAACAACTTGAAGAATGGGGTACTTGTGTAAGTATATATTGAATCAGATTCGCGTTTCCTTTTCGATATGGTCTCTTGGTTTATAGCAGTGCATCATATACTCTACACTTAGATTACACCAATAGACTAGAATTCAGTTACCTCGAGATTTAGTAATAGCAATTACTCTTAGGCACAAAGGTAAAAGTGAACTAGACTATGAAGTGGGACCGCACTATGTATCAGCCTTTGGGAATGAAGGACTCATGTGTTCCTTTAAGGCCTTATTAATGCTTGGTGGATATCATTGAGGCTTGAACTGGAGCAGTGTTCCTTTGGTAGTGTAGCTACTCTTGGTGTACGTTTGGGGGTATGCATTCACATGCCTAGACTACCATCACTGTCGGATTCGAGATCATCTCATACGTCGCTTGAACAGGAGCTACTACTCCACGAAAGAAGTGTGTCCGAAACGGTGGATGCTGGAAAGTCTTCTGACGATCTGGGCCTGGGAACTCGCAACGCAGACATCTTTGGACGGCATAGCCGTACTCGTCGCCGGCTTCGTCGTACACTTCTTCCAGACATTCATCTATATCCTCAACCGTTGTCGATCCAGGATTTATGGGTGCAGTGTTCCCCTGTAACTCATTCCTGAGCGCTGGGAACGCCCGGTTTAGACACAGCTCCATCAGCAGTACGCCTAAGGCGAATAGTGTCCGGTTTCGTATGAAGCTTCGCGGGGGCGATGTAGTAGGTGGCGGTTGGTTCATGTTCGAAGCCGAGCCCTCGAAAGTACACGAAACATACGTGTCTTCCAGGCCGTCTCGCACATGAGTCTTACAGGTGCTCGTCATGAGCTGGACCTCGTCTTTGGTCAAGTCCTCACTGAGCCAGTCGGTATCTGCAAGGAGGAGCACACCCCAGCATACAGATGCTGCTACCTCGAATCGCCGCTTGCGTCCGAGGCGTGCTTTCTTCGCTTGCCCTATCAACGCATGGGAGCCGACAATGGCAGATGGCTTTGCTAGTGTACTGTGAAGTCGAACTTGTTGTGTGAAAGCGGGATCCGGGTGTACCAAATATCCCAGTTCTATTGCGGTATCGGCACAGTGTCGGATATCCGAGCAAAGGTTTGTTATCTGACTGGGTGTACGAGCTAGACTGGCTGCTGGTATTGATACCGGTGTGTTTACTAACGACTGTTAGACACGAAGTTACACTACGCAAGACACTCAACTGACCTGCAGAATGACCCTTGACTGGAGCTGGATGTTCCTGGATCCTCACTCTTTTAAGTGTTTTGCTGACTCCCTCCAACAACCCTGACTTGGCTGGCGCCACTTGCTTGGGAGCTGTGGCAGGTGGCATCGACACCGGTAGCCTTACATCCTCTACATTTACCTTGAACTGTCTCCAAAGTTCATGTGCCGCCCCAGACGGTGTACTTGCGTATGATAAAGCCATCTCGAACTTCGCCGGAGACAGCCACTTTTCTGCATGCCAGGTCAACCGCAGGCAGCCTTTGTGGGCCACAGAGCATGTACAGCCCCACCCAGCCTGAAACGCGCCGTGTAAAAGTCGAGCATTTTGGTTAGCAGTAACACATTGATCGGCGTCGAAGCATGCATGTAAGCGCTTGACGACACGATTGTCGGCCGTCTCTGCTGACGGGACCTCCATCTTCCCGAAGCAGTTCTTTAATGCTTTGTTCAGGGCGCTCAACTCGTTGAACAGTTGTCTTAACTCGCCATCCTCCAGGTCCAGACTCAGAAGTATTCTCTGCATCTCCGCCTTGAAGCGCTTCTCACTTTCTTGTCTCCACTTCGGCTGTCATGTGTCAGAACTTAGCACACGTATGTGTAACTTGAGACTGCTATATGAACTTACTTTTGTGGGAGTTCCGACCTCAAGCATACCTGCGATTCTCTCCGCTGTGGCGTTGATGCGTCTGATTATGCTCATGAACTTGTCACATTTGTGTGGATGTCTTTGGCGCAAATGTGTTTCGACATCATCAAGAGAAACATCATTCAGACCAATCGACTCCATAGTATCGTCGTACTGCTCTTCTTGTATCCAGAGAGTTATCTGGAGCCTGCTGAGCGTAGCTTCGTAGTCGGCATAGTCTTTCAAAATCCTCGCTACTGTTGCGTACTTCTCGAGGGCGACTAGAATCAAAGGAATGGCACCCAAAGTAACTCCAGCTATTTCCATATTGAGCGAACAAATGTTTCCTGGGTATTTGCAGCAGCAAAATGGAGAAACGGCTCGAGAGTGTAACAAGGCTGAACCTAGCGGGGCAAGAGCGATCCTACAGGTGGCATGCTGACTTAACCGCCCACCCCTCTTCATCTTCAGCCTGGTAACCGCACTACATCATGCGTTCTTTTGTTGCAGATAAAACCCCGCGAAATGGCTCGTTACTTCACTACGTATACGTGACACTTCACGCACGCTACTCATAGTGATCATATACACACAGCAATCAGCAGCAGTCAAAACATCTACCGCATCAGAGTCATGTCACACGATGACGCAGTACAGTCTCTCGCTGAGCTTTACGAACAATGTGCATCAGCATTCCAGTCCCTGTTATCCCGACTGAACGATCCTGCTTTCCGCACTCGTCAACGTGATTCCCTGTCACTCGACGCAGCGGCAGAGGAATACGGTAAACTGAGGATTTGGGCTGAGCAAACCCGAGTTATTCTACCTCCTGGTTCACGAGGCTCCCTCGATGAGCTTGTGAGAGACCGTGCGAAAACAAAGCGTATTCTGGTCAGCACTCTCGGGCAATTGTCCAATCTACTGAAGTCAGGTCAGCTTCTCTATCTTACGGATCTTCAAAGCTAACAAACGAAGCTGCGAACGCTGCTTTGGATGCCTCGAATGAGCACCATGGTCTTCCCAACACAGCTGCCAGCCGAGGACTTGTCACATCTGATTTGAATGACCAGGAGACTGTTCTTGATCTTACAATATCTTCACAACATCAAAGCCAAACCAAATTGATCAAAGCAATGCGTCATGTATCAGAACAGGTACGTTTGCTCTATGACGCTTCAATGTTGCTGAAGCGCGCAGGACTAGCTGGAAAGTACCTGCGCTCCAACAAATCAGAAAGAGACAACGAGAACAGCATGCAAGAGTTTCTACCCTTTGATCAAGGACATGTTCAAGAAAAGCTCCTGCAATGGTATGACGACTGGGCCGCTCAGAACAAGGGAGATTATCGAGGACGAATTTCCAACGCCGCAGCGAGCGTCCAAGTACCCAAAGATTTGACTCTACGATTAGCATTGGCAAACATGATGCGCCGTAAACAATTACGGTACTGGCTCCATCATGCTGACTCCCCTGAAAAGCCACCAACTCATGCCGATCTCGAACCAAGAGTGCGAAGCCAAGCCAAATTGCCTCCATCCAGCACAGACCAGGCTACTGCTTTTGAAAATCTACAGCTACCTCCTCCTCTAAGTGAAGCAGCACCTACAACAAAGTCAAAGGTTTCTTTCTCGACAGCTATCATGTCAGCGGTAAACGAGAATCCTGTGGCTCAAACTGAGTACGAGGAATCCGTCATTGGCAAGTTTGGTTCAACAAGAGTTCCTCCACTACCACAAGTCGCCCATGAAAATACGGAGTTCAAGTGTCCATACTGTGGGCTCAGCCTGAAATCGAGCGTGATGCGAAGCAGGCGGGCATGGAAGTACGTGTTACATCGTTTCTGTTGAAACCCTCGCTAACAACCTACCGCCGCAGAACACATGTTTTTAGGGATCTGCGTCCATATGTGTGCACGTTCAGTGACTGCGTCAGTGCCACAAGGTTGTATCACGCGCGCCATGACTGGATATATCACGAAAATCAGATGCATCGACGGCAATGGGCATGCTCAGATGACTGTCATCAGGCCTTTCAAGATCCACAGTCTTTCATCACGCATCTACGCAACAGCCATTCTGAAATGGTCTTAGGAGATCAGCTGCCATTGATACTCACGCTCAGTGAGCGACCAATGAGTGATGAGAAGATAGAGAGCTGTCCACTCTGCCCTACAAATATGCCCCTGTCGAGACTGTTCTCTCATGTCGCACAACACTTGGAGCAGCTGTCACTGTTCGTCCTCTCCTTCAGTAACAGTGATGCTGAAGGTGGTTCCGAGGCATCTCATCAGGCAGAGGATGATCACGGTGGTAACTTCCATGGCGTATCAGAGGATTCAAGCATGGATGACCGCTGGTCTACACAGGAAGTCGATGATGACAACGAGTCGATTGTATGGGATACAGAGCCGGTAATTGAAAACACCTTTGGCATACCACCGCCAGAAGATCCACAACTTTGGACAAAGCTCTTCAGCACTTCACCTGTATCTGCGCAATCAGCTGATTCCGATCCGCTACTCATCGACTTGCAAAGAAAACAGGCCCAGCGCAACAAGGTTGATGGCACGTCAGGAGTTCAGTCTGGAGTCAGCATGACTGAGGAGGAAGTATCCGAGTTTAAGGACGCTGGAGAGGTTCGAAATTTCATGGTCGACCACATGGCCAATACAGAATTTAATGGGATACGACAACGCTTCTTGCCAAGACCAGCCTTCGAGCGGGTTACATCACAATCTGTGATTCTGCAGATGGCAAGTGTGGCAAGTGACCTGATCTCCAGCAAGCCAATGAAAGATGCCCTCGTCCTCGAAATCAGGGATTACCGCAAGATATTTGCTTGCTGTATCTATAGCATGGTATCTATGGATCTTTTCAAAGGTTTCATGGATATGGGTATCTCAGACGCAGTATTTCCATTCAGATCCGAAGACTTTCCATTAACACTCGAAGAGCTTCTGGAGCAAACGGACTCTGAGCAGCTATTTATGTATTCCCAGCGCTATTTTAACACAGCCTACTTTGAGCTGGGGTCATTTCAGGCTCTGGATGATCGATGGTCCATACCAGTCGATTACGACGTTTCGCAGCCTCTTTGGCAAGGATATTGGAGTGAGATTTTCAAAGTTCGCATTCCTTTTGGAGAGCACTCCCTCCATCCCGTAAGTTCTTCGTTCTAGGTACAAGCATTGCCCATGCGCTGACTGGACTTAGATGGAAAACAAGTTCGCGATGCGTGTTTACAGATTCGAGAAGGAGTACAATATGGATGTCGTTCGCGATGTGCTGCAAGTCAAACTGAAACATACTGTACAATGCTTTGCAGCTTTCTCAATGCCGTCTTCCTTGTACATACTCTACAGGTTAAATGACGGAAACCTAGAGCAGTACATGTCGAAAGTTTCAAGACCAAAGCTGGACAGCTCGAAACTCGCGATTGAATTACGCGGCATTGCTGCAGCAGTGGAAAAGTTGCACGACGGCGAATTCTTTAATCGAATTCTCAACATCCACCCCGAGAATATCATGGTGTCATGTCCTGACCAATCCAAGATGCTGTGTCTCTGGGTTGAGTCATTTCAAATAATTCAACCTGGACCATCCGGAGAACGAAAGTCGGCAGTACTATCCCCAGTATACAGACCTCCAGAGCCTTTGGAGACAGCCAGTGCTGACAGTGTCGCCAGTTGGTCTCTCGGTTGTCTTTTTCTAGAGATCTTGGTATGGCACGTAATGGGGTACGATAACCTGTGCAAATTTCGAGAGAGCCGAGAGCGGCCTGTTAGACCAGGTGGTCGACCAAACAGGGCGTTTTACTACTTCACAGAAACTGGACCTGATGCTAGAGCCCAACTGCGTGAGGAAGTCACCGACATCTTCTTAGTTGTGTGGGTCCGGGTCACAGGACGATTAAGTGGGTCCTTAAAGGCTTTGGAACAAATGCTGCAGATTGACCCCAAAGCACGATTGAGTGCAGGCAAGTTCAGGTCAGTCACACGAAACCTTTGCACCCTCTCAACTGACTTGCAGAAGGCAGCGCTCTTTGTCTAGTTCTATTGATAAGAGTGAATTGTCTGACACTGGAGCCGACTATGGAGACTTAGGGGTTTTTAGAACTCAGAGGCTGGAATACTCACCTGGGACTTCAGAGGGCCCAGAGGGCTAGGATAACATTTCGATCCCGAAGGATGAGGACAAGGACAAAAAGTCGACGTTGAACATCACGTTCCTTAGCTGGAGCCAACTGGAAGAGCATGTAAAATCGAATTTGCTGTGCATGAAATCTAGACGTGTCCAGGCTAAGAGTACTACCTCTTGTGCGTCTCGCCCACGAGATCGTCTAATAAACGTAGAACACCAACGTCTCCGGGTTCGACTGCCTCATCTTCTTGTTCTTGTGCTGCAAACTGATTCGCATAATCCACACTGACAGCACCGCAACCGCCGAGAACGAAATGCTGGCCATCCACGCCTTCAAGAAGCGCGGGTTGTCCGTGCTGGGCCACAAGTACGGAGTGTAGATACTGCTCATGTTACCGAGCGAGTTGCACAGCGCGAGCGCAACCGCCTTCTTCTCGGGCGTCTGGCCGAGCGTCACACTGGTCCAGCCGAGCATGATGTTGTTGATGCCGAAGGAGAACGTGACGAAGATGAAGATGGCGACGAAGCGTGCGGCGATGTTGGTCGTCACGGCAGGAATGATGAAGCCGACGATGATGATGCACTTGCACACGGTGATGTGCCAGGTGCGCTCGTTGTAGCGACCAGATGTGTAACTCATAGCGATGGCCATGGCGGCAGCGAGGAGGTAAGGCGGGCACGTGAGCGCGAGCGTGGTGGTGGTGTTGTAGCCGAGGGTGCGCACGACGGTGGGCAGGAAGCTCTGGAAGCTGACGGACGAAATATGAGTGTTGTACATGAGGCAGAAGACCCAGGTGCGCCAGTCGGCGAGCGCTTGGCGCAGACCAACCCAGACGCTGGTGGCTTCCTCGCGCTGCGTGGTGTCGGCGGCAATGCGGTTGTGGGCGAGCTGGCGTTCGGCTTCGCTCAGCCAGCGAGTCTGGAGGGGGTGATCGGGAAGGAGGAAGAATGAGACACATGCCACGCCGATTGAAAGAGCGCCCTGAATGAGGAAGAGCCTAATATCAAGGTGTCAGTGATGTGGCCTGGATGAGCTGAGTAGGGTGTTGACTTACCAGCGCCATCCAGCGAGGCCGTGAGTTCCGTCAAGTCCAGCGAAGACACCGGCAGCGATCAGGCCAGCGAAGCTAGAAGCGATCATGTTACCGGTGTAGAAGATGGCCATGCGGGTAGCGATCTCCTTCTTGGTGTAAAAGAGCGACAGCAAAAAGAGAGCACCAGGGTAGAACTATTCCTGTTAGCTAGTGCACCATTCTCGCAGATCATGTTGTAGAAACTTACAGGAGCCTCAGTTACTCCAAGGAAGAAGCGGCAGGCAAGCATGGTTCCGAAATTCGTTGCCTTGAAAGTCGCCAGACACACGATTGACCAGGCCATGCAGAAACCTTGAGCAAATCAGCTTTGATCAGAATATCGCAGATGTTGGACAAACTCACCACCTAGGTACCATGATGGGCGAACTCGGTTGAGAATCATGTTCGATGGAATCTGTCCCGCGATGTATCCAACAAACAGGATTGAAATCAGCGTGTTGTACTGGGTGCCCTTGAGGCCCAAGTCCGCATCCAGTGAGTTGAGCTTGGCGTTGACAAGCGCATTGCGATCGAGGAAGTTGAAGAAGTACATGATCCAGAGCATGGGCTATTATCACACAAGTCAGTCGTCAAGCTCCGTCTGCTGGACTGCAGAAAACTTACGAGGATGGTTCGATCGAGCTTCTTCACCAAGGCGATTTCCGCGGGGTTTGTCTTGCTGCGAGCACCGAACGCATCAAGCTTCGCATCAGCCTCTACCTTTGCCAGGGCAAGGTCATTGTCGTGAGTTTCAACGCGTTCGACATAGTTTGCGCCGGCGATATCCTTCTTCTCGGGAGCATGATCTACTGTGGAGGCCATGATACGTGTCAAGTGAAGCCCCAGATCTGTATTGAAACTTGAGGAGGAATAGACAAATTGTCGATCATACAGGCCTCTTCATCTTATAGAAGTTCGGCCAACCGCCGTCATCGAACCTCAAGCGGTGTTGGCAACATCTTCCAAGCCAGGCCGAGACTCGACTATCCTGCCTGAGCATCTTGTCCCGGTGCGGTGGCTTGAAATGTCTTGGTGTTGAGTCGGATGCTGCATTGCTATGCTCCTTCTTGCTTAGTCGCACGTGCTACCCCAGAGACTCCCCCGCATACCAAGGCTAACCCCCACGCTTCCCCGGACTCTGTCCCAAGATCGATAGGTCGGCCAGAACGAGCGAATGATCCAATGGCGAGTCCAAGACTGATATTATCTGCAATGCATCGGCGGAGTCGCCGAACGCGGGCCCACACCGATGCTGGGGTTGCCCAGCCGAATGCGTCTTTGCCCTCAAGCCGAGCCACTTGCTTCTCTAGTTGGGCTCTTGGCCAGCGGCAGTTCGATGCGGCTGCGGCTAGACTTCGGTTCTCGTCTTTTAGTCCTTAATAAATCAGCGAAGTGTCCAATTGCAGTGATGCATGTCTCGGATGAGCTGAGCGCCATTTTCGTCGCGTTGACCTCGTAACGTGGCACGTGAGCTGAACGTGGGGGAACGATCTTGTCAAGCCCCACGCTATTCATCGATGGTGGTCCAGCTTGAGCATCAACAAGGGATCACTTGGGAAATGTTGCGTAAAGAATAGACGTGCCGAAATTTGGAAGGGTTGCAAACAATGCGATGCCAACTGATCAAGTGAGAAGCAGACGAGCGCCTGGTCAGTGGAAAGATGGACGAGGGGACGACAAAGAAGGTAGCGCGACTTGAGAAACCCAACATCCAGGCTATTGGAAACGCAGGTGTACATCTCTCCTTGCCGCCGAGATGCTAGGCGCATTAGCGTGATGTATGGAAGTAGTCTATACCACTGCTTCGTGACCACCAGCACGTGGATCTGATATCTTTGCGCAGTACGTTTGTACTGGCACAATCCCACCGCTTCTATCTGGAGCTGCCCTCCAGCTCACCTCTCGTGTTCTAGCCAGACTCTCAAGCTCATCCAGCCTGTTAAGCGTAGCTTTCAAATGTTCCTCAAAGCCCGGTTCATTGCAGATCTCGCGGAAGGCGTTCTGCATTGGCACCGAGTCAGCGCGGACCATACCCCACGCGTCGATGTGGATGACATTGATGTGGTCGAAAGGCCTGATGAAATCGGCGCGTGTAATGATTTGGCGAGATTCATGCAGGGGGATCTCAGGTAGAACGCCATCTGGATCGGCATTCTCCTTTTCGCGATTAACAAGTGCGCGAGCAAGGACGATAGCTGCGGCGCAGAACTTCTGCTCTTCTTCGACATCATCGTCCATCGAGTCGCCGAGGATCCAGCACTGGTTGAGGAACCATGACTTCTCGCGTCTGTTGATGTTGGCGCATACTTGGAGCATATCGTTTGACTTGGCTACTAAGTTCAGGAAGATCAATCGACCACCGACCTTTGCAAACACTTCGTCAAGGATGCTTTGTGGTACGTGTTCGTTGTGGTATTTGGCGCGGTATTTCCTCAACGAGTCAATGACTAGGTCCTTCCGAACATCGCGAATGTTCATGACATGCATGTTGGTGGCATGAGGTATCAAGCGCTCTAACGTCCAATGCTCATCAGAGGTGAAGACGACGGTGACTAGCTGATTGGTGGACCAGATCTCTGCTCGCTGCTGCAGGATCTCCAGCAGATCACGACCTTGGTCATCATCTTTACAGAGGTGTATGTTGTTGATGACCATCAAGAGAGGCTTGCCACGACGCTTCCTCATCGACAGAGCAACTTTCTCCAGCTGGTTCAGGGCGCGCTCGATGTCGAGTAGGGGAGTGCTGTCTCGCGGACCTCTGATACTAAACAAGCCTCCGATATAGTCCTCGTGGAACTCATAATCGATTGCTTTACCGAGCCGCGTCCGAAAGACCTCCAACTCGCTGTGGGCCTCCAGCATTGCCACGCCGTCTCCGTTGACCTTGCGCATGGCTTCCAACAGCAAAGCACGCTTTCCTGTACCCCTCTCACCAATGATGAGGTAATATTTGCCGCGGGTCTTACCGCTCACAATGTCGTTCACCTGCTCCTGCTCATCTCGTGGCACCCAGTACTCCTTCTCCACGATTTCCTGTATCTGCTCTGGCTCGGTGCCATAGGCGACGCGGCCGAGTGCGACACGCTCTTGCGAGCTATAGCCAGTGGCGAAAGCATTCTCGATCTTACTCCGGACAGTCCTCTTGTAGAAGAGGCTGTAGCCGTAGCCTCCGAGCGCCAAGCCCAGAAGGGAGATGAGAGCTACAGTGCTGCCTTCGAGCACGCTACGTGCGAACTTGCTTCGCTCTTGTTTATCGTTGACGTCGTCGTCGGTGTTGTGCGGGCGCTCGGACGGCCGTTCAGCGGTGGGTGGCAGCTGTCGGAGGAAGGAGCGCTGGAACTGGGCAGGGCGCCGGCCGAGGGGCAACAGAAGCCATCCTGGTAGTGTCAACGGGCCCCGCGCCGGATGAAGCTTGTGCAGAACATACCTCGCCGAAAACCTCTTAGCGGACGTGGCATTCGTTATTGAAGTGCTGTGGCTCACACAGATGTTGTGAAGGCGCGTCGTGGCATAGCGGACAGACAGGCGCACGGGGATTTTGCCCTAGCTAAGCTTCATGGTTGCCGTGTTTACCGTACAGACGCAGAAGATACAGACACAAACGTAGAGAGGGTTCCATCGCTGCATCACTTACAGACCACCAGCTAATTGGGGTGCTTGTAGGGAGCCTGTAATTAGAGCGGTCAAACTAGCGTCCGTCAAGGCGCCGTGGGAGTCGCCACACCACGAGACATTGGTGGCCACGAACACCTGAACCCACGCACACAATATAAACTGGTGCTAAAGACGCGCAATGCTGTGGGGTGACCAGGATGCGCGGTGGAGAGACCCTCAGCGCCGTGTCGAAAATGAAAAGGCTACGCTCAACTTTAACCTAAACCCACCTAGGCAGCTGCAGATCAGAAGGGTCCAGCACAGCTGGCGATTCGGCTTGCCCAGATGTCCGTAGGCCAGAGCGCCTGATCACCAGGTCACAGCTTTCGATATGAATTCTTCTGTGCCATGTCTGCCTCTCATGGCTTTCAACAGTCCACAACTACAATTGCGCACAACATGAGTTCCGCGTCGAGTGCATCGACGAGCACCCCGCTGGACAGCACCAGCCCATACCCCGCCGAACAACGACTCCACACCCAGTCTCCGAAACCGCTCCTTTATCGCCTCTATGTATCTCACACTCTTTCCACCTGGAATGCACGAACTTTCGAATTCGGTGCTGTTATTTTTCTGGCAACGATTTTTCCTGGAACGCTTTTCTTCGCCTCCTGTTATGCCTTGTTCAGATCTGCCATCGCCGCGGCCCTCGGTTCCTGGATTGGCAGCTTAGTCGACAGCAAGAACCGCCTCTACGTAGTGCGGCAGAGCATCCTGTGGCAGAGAATATCTGTCGCCCTTTCATGCCTCGTCCTAGCTGCGCTGCTGGTCGGCAACCCTAGCAATGGGCTGGTCCTATACGGGCTCTTCGGCCTGGTCACCGCGCTAGCGGGTGTGGAGAAACTGGCCTTTGTCGCCAACACAGTAGCCGTCGAAAGAGACTGGGCCATAGTAGTCTCTGACAGTCTAGGTGTCGAGAGACAGGAGTTGAACAGCACGATGCGCAGAATCGACCTCGTCTGCAAATTAATCGCACCGCTTGGCATCGGTCTGCTCGATGGGTATTCAACAAAGGTCGCCATATGGGTGGTCTTCGGCCAGAACGCTATCAGCGTGCTGGTCGAGTACTTCGCCATTGCGCAAGTCTACTCGGCAGTCCCTGAGCTCGGGCACGGAAAAGACCAAAGAAACACCAATGAAACGCCGCAATCACCGGGCGGTACACGCACCGACCCGTCACGATCCACTCTGAACTTCATCAGAGATAACGTTGGTCCGTGGAAAGACTATTTTCAGAATCCGGCCTTCCTGGCTTCATTTTCCTTATCACTGCTATATCTCACAGTCCTCAGTTTCGCCTCCCAGATGACCACATACCTCCTTACCCTTGGCTTCACAAGTACCCACGTTTCCATCATGCGCCTAATCGCCGTCATTCTCGAGCTCTCAGCAACATGCGCTGCACCACTTCTCATGTCCAAAATTGGCGCCGTCCGCTCTGGACTCTGGTTCATCAACGAACAGCTCATCACCATCATGGTGGCAATCAGCTTCTTCGCCGCCATGACTTCAGAAACACACCTTAAAGTTGCCGGTCTCGCACTCGTTGGTGGAGTTGCCCTCAGTCGCCTTGGACTCTGGGGGTTCGATTTGTGCGTACAGTACCTGGTGCAGGAAGATGCGCCCGAGGCAACACGTGGCTCATTCTCGGCGATTGAGATGTCGCTCCAGAACTTCTTCGAGCTACTGAGCTTCGCAACAACGATGATCTTTTACCGACCCGAGGACTTCAAATATCCAGTATATATCAGCGCGGGCGCTGTGGCGCTTAGCGCAGCATGTTTTGCAGCCTTCGTGAGGCAAAAGAGAGGGCACCTATTGCACACAAGCAAGTGTCTCAAGAGGGCGGGCAAGAGCGGGAGATATCAAATATTACCGACGATTGAGGAGGAGGTGGAACTAGAAGATAGCAACACTGCTGCAGAGAGACTTTCATAGATACCCAAATTTTCCGTTTGTTCAATTCAATTTAACAGTTCCTATAACTAAACGTCATACCAAACGTCACAACAGTGAGCGAAACATGCTTGCCACCACATAGCCATCACCATTTCCAGCATTCCACAAACTTCGCTCGTTCTCACCCCCCTCCCCTATCTCCACATCTCTCTGCAAAGCGCCATAAACGACGCACGCACCACGCGTTCGCTTCAACCAACAGTCTGCACGTCCGTCCGCTCACTCCTTACTCCTAAACCAGTCTCCGTCACCTTCTCCACCTCCTTTCCACCCCTCAATCCCCCTTTAGCAATCCATCCCCTGCGCTCATCAGCATCTTCTCGACCACTGTACAGCGCAAGGAAGACCAACAATATCATCAGACTCGGCACCGTGCCCAGCGTCTTCCAGCCAACATAGCTTCCAAGTAGCGTCATCAGCCACTCTTTACCCGTGGTCGGCAGACCCTTGTCGAGAAAAGGTGCGGAGGAGAGCGCGGAGGGAGTGAGCGCGATGTAGGCGGTGCTCAGGCGATCACTGATGGTGTGGCGTAGGGAGAGTAGAGGAGGTGCGACGGTGAATGTGATGAGACCGATGATAAGCAGGGGGTGTATCACGAAGGCGATGAAGAGACTAAATGCGTTAGCGGAGCATGGATGTAAGTTGATGTTGGGGCCTACAGAGCTGCGATAAAGAGGTAGCGTTCGTAGAAATTCAAGTACACTTGAAAACGCACGTATACTATGGGCAGTGCGAGAACACCAGCTTGAAGGAAGCCGAGTATGAGGAGCACAGGGACGAGGGTTTTGAGAATAGACATTGCTTATTTGCGTGCAGTGTGGATGGTTTGCGAATGTTTCTTTAACTTGCACTCTGGGTTGTATATCTTATGGCATATTGTTGTTGCCTGATACATACTTTAAACACGGTGTCGCCAAGTTCACAATTCCTACACAGATACGAGTTTTGCTGCATTTGACAGTCATCTTTGTGTTGTTGGTGGGCCTGAACGGTTGCCTGGCGCGATTACAGGGGTTTATACAACGCACAGCTTGGCTGCAAGCCTGAAGACACATTGCAAGATGGTGAGGTGGTTGCGACCAACTTGTCTGTTTGAGTGAATTCATGCTGTCGATGAGACGAAGGCGATGGACTGGGGCACCTGCTGAGCTTGGGTGGTGGTACAAGTGGGACCGCTAGGAAGCGAGCTAACGACACGGTGCCTTCGCGCCTGGTGCCACCCTCCGTCTCCTACAACACGAGATCTGAGAATACGCGCCACTCCCCCATAGGTCAGGCATTCAAGTGTGTTTCGCACTCTTACCTGTCCAACAGATCTTCGCACGTGCACAACGACTCATGGAAATTCCAAGAACCATTTCCGGTCCTATCGACCCCGGAATCACATCGTTTCTGGATCTCCCTGCAGAACTTCGCGGGCTGATATACGATCTTTTGTTCAAACGCGATGCATCCGTATTTCTCCATAATCGCGACGCGTATTACGCTGAACTTCCCCTTAACCATCATGAATCTACGACGAGGTGGTCAGACTATGCCCGAGAATTTTCCCTTGACCAGGGCGACCCGATGGTATTATCAAGGAAGAATTATCAGCTGCTTATCGAACAGGAAAGGTGGGAGTTCGAGCGTTCGGCAGATTTTCAGCATCGGTTTGGAGACGGCATCAAGCTTCTGGCATCATGCCGCCAGATCTATCATGAGGCTTCTGGGATTCTGTACGGAGAGAACTCTTTCACGTTCTCACGTATGATTACGAGGCATGATCTGTTCAGACGAGACAAGTGGCATTCTCTCGAGCGACAAAAAGCCTATCATCAAGCTCACTACGCGCCGATGTGGGTTGCCAATATTGGCCACAATTACAGGTTTCTCCATGATGTCAGGATTGATTTCGACGCCGTCTGCACCTATGAAGGATGTCCGAAGAACTCAGATAGGACAACTATCGATCTGCTTCCGATATTGAAGATCAAGTGGGACATGCCTGTCTGTAATATCGCATTCGTTCACACGGAGCGTTACGTCCGAGGCGAGTATTTTGAAGATACACCATGGGCTCCGACCGATCATCATGAAGAGCCTCCACGGAATTGGGTTGTATCCCTGAACAACCTACTGAAGACGCTTGGTGAAGAGGACGCGCTTATGATTCGTCGACACCGCAAATACTTCCGTAATTTGGAGTCTCTCCAGCTCGATGTCTTGCTTCCTCACCTTAGCTTTGCAGAGTTCGCAGGCGTTAGTCCCGTAAGCAATTTCATCAGCCCGAACTATCCACACGGGAGTACCCCCAGCGGAGCTATAAATTTCTCCGTCTCCGAATTTGGCACGATGGCAAAATGGATCCCCGAGCCTCCTATAGACGACGAATTTGGCCTGTTCAGATTACCCCACAACGTACGGCTTCATATTCGGCATCATTTGGAACGAGATGTAGAAGAATCTGCGATCAATACCGGCCTTCGACCTGTGGTTCATATCAACTTGGAGCTCAACAACGTGTGCAAGGCTCTTCCAGTTGCCCGGTATGATCAGTACAGAGAATACGAAGCGAGTCATCAAAGCGTACACCTCAAGATTTCTGGATTTTACCTCCCTGGTCGCATCATGAGCTACAGGTATCAGGTGAGAATTCTGTGCGAAGTTACAGACTTCATCTTTAATAAGGGTGATGACAACATCGCCGCTCGAAAGTTCGCAAGGCGTTGGCTGAGAAATGGCGGGGAAACCACTTTAGTGCTCCGTGTCAAGGACAACCCACACATCGGTGCGCATGTGGATCTGCGATCTCTTGAACAGTTGCTCGATCACGAAACCCTAAATCCTTTAAGCACCGCCATAACCTTCTCTAATGAACGCATAGTTTCAGGACGAAGCGTTCCTATTTCGACAGCAACAATATCGATTCTCCGCCTGCGGCAGCACTTGTTTATCTACCTGAGCCACCTCCTAGCCACTTATCCACTCGACGTAAAACCACTTATGCCTCCCGTACTGGTGGACCACGAGTGGAATATAATCGATAAAGACGACCAACCACTATCGCCGCCGCGTACCCAAGACGATTGGAACACCTTTGTGACGGACCCAACTTCTGCTTACAACATCATAAAGAACAACAAGAATATCAGACGTCAATACGATGGTCTGACAGCGCACATGGAGTACTACTGGTTTTTCTTGGAGCATCTACTCATCAAAAAGGTCGAGGAAAACGATCACGGACCACAGTCGCAGTAGAGAGCATCATGCGGTGCATACAACCCGTCTCGCCGTTCTCGGGGCAAGCTGCAGCGCGGAATCGGTACGTTATGTTGACAACAAAAAATGTCAATACTATCTAGTATCCAATCTTCCAGCATCCAAGTCACTGGGTGGAGTATTCTGCAAGCTTGCAGCCGCCACGAATACATCCACCTTAATTAACATGGATCCATACATCTCTTTGAAACTGTCTAACGCCCTCCGTTACCTCGGTGAATCGCACCATCGTTAGACTTCACAAATTGCCATTGCCGCTCAATCAACGCGATTCCGTTAGTCCTCAAGACCGTCGTTCATCAAGCGAATCCTGTGTCCTTGCACCAAAGAATGGCAACGCCTCAATTTTATCCAGCGACACTGGGTATGAAGTCCGGTCTTCCAAAGACCCCTGGTAGTAGACTGGAGCACTCTCCTTAACCCCCAACGTCATTTCTGGATCTCATCAGCGAGAATGCGCGGCTCGTTCTTGGATACGAACTCTAAAGTCGTGGGTTGGGTTGGGGACGGTGCGGGTTTTGCAACCCAAGATGGCGTGCGGCTGGGCGTGACAGGACGCCAGTATAGAGAAGTTTTTCGGGATGGTTTGGTATTTGGCTTGATTTGTCGATTTGTTGAATTTGTTCTTTTTTTCTTGTAGTCCCAGAAGAGGCCCCTCTCCTTCGTCTGCCGCTCGCTCTTTGTCTGTTCTCTGTTTTCCCACTGTACGCTTCTGCTCCCATGACATCACCGCACTCTGTTCATCGAACTCTCCCACTCCTTGAGGTTCATTAGATCGCACCCCCCTTTGTCCGTTTGTGTAGCGCCATACTGGTAAGGAGGAATGCATTTATGTAGCTCGAATTTGATTGCACGTTTGTCTGCTGACATTCCTGCTTGCGTCTGCCCGTGCTCGATGTTGCCCTGATGTCTGAGGCTCTACCCTATCGAACAGCAACGTGAGGGAAACAAAGATGTCGAATACGCACATAATAGCCTCAAAGCTCTTTCACTGGTAGCGTTCATGTTTGATTGAAACATAGTCGAAAATATGATTTGGGAGCTCCGCTTCATGTGTCAATGCTGCTCAGAAGATCCATTATCCGCTTCTGACTTTGCATCCTGGTGTACGTCGTTGGGTCCTGTGTGCTAGGTGCACTGAATGCTCTAGGCACCTCTGGCTTTGTATGAAGTCCCCGTGAGGTAGTCGAATCCGCGGAAGATGCAGTAGCGTATTCATTACGTGCCGATGCCATCGGTGGGGGTGCAGAGTATCTACTCAAATCCGAGACTGAAGCTGCCTTCTTCTCATGCGACTGCATTGCAATGGAGGATACAGGTCTCTGTTTTATGTGCGGCTGATGCGGGTTCCAGAGAAATAGCTCACTGTCATAAGAATCCTTGATGGCCGCACGGGAATCTTGATACGATGACGGCGGCATTTTGTGGTGTGTTGTAAGTACCGATGGAAGCTCATGCACCGTGAGTAGGGAATCGCTTAGTGCACTTGCTGGGAGAGGGCGGCGGTGCACCCTGGGTGGTGTTTCCGAAGTCGTCCTCCTCTTCGACTGGACCGCTTCGACTGGCTCAAATTCTGCTCGTGACCGTGGGGAGTGTCTCGGTGGTGGATTAATAACATTGTTGGGTAGTTCAGCACGGAAGTGAAGGTCACCTAGCATCTCTGCAAGGTTCTCATGCGGTCGTTGGGCAGCTCGACTGCCACCTGAGGTTGGCTTCACTGTACTCGCACACAGCTCGTATGGGTTGACAGGTCCTGCTGAATTAGTCGCACTGAACACGATAGTATCTCCAGCCAGCTCTGGAACAGTCATGCTAACAGGGTCACTTTTACAGGCCCAAATATTGTCATAGGAAGTATCCAACGTATCTCTCTTCCCAACAGACCGAGTGGCAGCGACGTCCTTCTCGATTGTATTCCATGGGTAAGAGCCTGAATGCACGTCATGGCGTACTGGATCGAGCGAGACTGCAGTTGTATATGCTGGCGGTGGGCTGCAGGGAGGGGACAGTGATGACGATATCGAAGGAGACTGTTCGAAACCATGTTGCTCATATGCAGTGGTAGGTACTTGTTTAGGTGAATTCCACACATTGGGCGGTCGATCAAGTGAATTAGACTCCGGCCTTGCCTTATTTACATGTGCTAAGGCTTCATGTTGCACTGCGTAAGATGTTAGCGCAGATAGATATTCGTGATAAGCACACTGACCTTTTGGGATTGTCTTCAGACTAGTCCTCGACGCTGTTGGTCTACTCAGCCTATTGTGTCTGGCTAAGATGTCGTCAAAGTGCGTGGAATCTTCCAAACCTAACAACGGAGGGTTCATCGGTATATCTTCTAGGCCCGCCAGATACCCGAGGACGTTTGAAAGCTGCTGATGGCAGGTAGTAAGCTCTGTTTTGCGGTTGAGAAGCTTTTCGTGGTCGTTGAACACCCATCGAATTCTCGTTTCGAACTTGATTGAACCTGTGGTTTCCTGTTCGACTCGCGCTCGTTCAACCCATTTACCGATCTCGTTGAGCGCACACCTCGTGTTCTGGATTGCGTTCTTGACCCAGGGGACTTTCCCGGGTGTGCCTTTCAGCTTCGTTTGGATCGACCCCAAACTCAAAAGTCGTTCGACTTCTTCGAGGTCTGAGCGCACAACGCATATTGCGCGTACGAACACCGCATTCTCGCTTCCGACTTCTGCGACCCGTACAGCTACGTCAGCAAACTTGAAAGCACTGCCAATACTGGCGAACACCCCCGCACTTAAGGGGTCCATTTCGGGGTGAGTTCAGGGTCGTCACAGGCTGACGTTGACTGCAGATACTATCAGCGGCATGGCGACATGACCAAAGAAGTGAGTTGCGAAGAAGCCGTGACAGCGGAAAGATGCGCGGGGATCGTGTAGACCCCATCAAAGCTTTACTACAGAGACAGAGCCGCACGGCTGAGCTTTTCGCCTCGAAGGCGCGATAGGACATGTGGTAGCGGCACCAACGGCCCCATCGGAACACATGGCTTTGATCACGGTAACAGCTGTCCAATCAAAAGTTGACGACGGGACCGATCACAACTTATTGCAGCGCGCATGTTGGAGGCCTGGGACCAGAACGTCGCCCTTCAGGCACCCAATTTATAATCGCGCTAGCGGCACCCCAAAAAGCTTAGTTCACACCTTCCTTCAGCTTTCATAATTTCAGAAGCCTTAGATTTCAGCCTGATCCATCAAATGTGCATTTCGCAGATGCATATACTAATGCACAACTAGCAAAGAATGGCAAACCTCGCAATCCCGCCCCCACATATGTACTCAGGCCGGAACGCTTTCCTTTTCGGTCAAGGTCTTTGTGGGGCTGAGAGGCTGACCTTGGTCACCAACAGTCTGTATCAAAGCTGGGAACACTACCAGTTCGCCAAGATGATTGGCGAAATCGAAGCGAAAGGAGCCAGGCTGAGCAAACAACACAAAGGCAAAGTTGGCAGAGCGCGCCAGGATCATGTCCAGATTCTTGCGGCGTTGACCATTGTCGACACCGCCTTTGACAAATGGCGCCAGGATCGATTCGAGCACAGCGACTGTGTCTTGCGAGCTCTGTGCTTGACCGGAATCCTGGCCTTGTCTGCCATATCGTTGCTGCAACAAGGCTCCCGTGATGGTCTTCCATTTACTGAAAAGGATTGCGTGGGCTATTCCAGAAAGATCAGCTGGTAAACGATCTCCAAATAGAGGAAAACTTACAGTTGCTGTTGTTGTTTGCTGCCATAGATGATGAAAGAGCAGCTGCTTCATCCGGTAGTAAGCTGGGATACCGGTCGCCGGTGCATCTTGTAAGAATCACTGCTGCTACGATCGAGCGCAGAGCACCGTCTCTCTTAGTTGGATCAGAGAGCAGGTTCGTAAGCACACCAACGCTCGACCCTGTTATGGCCGCGACGTCTCGAACAACCGCCTCATTGACGTCGGCAGAAGATGTTGGTCCAGAGTGATAGTAGGTCCGCACATGATTCTTAATGTTGTCCCGAATCTTGGAAAGATCACCAGTGATGGCATCGTCTTCCACCGGCTGTGGAAGCAGGTCATCGATGCTGCCCACGGCTGTAGCAACCACTGTTGCTCCTTTCTCAGGTCCTACATTACGTTCGGCGTATGCAGCGTGTGGTCGAGAGCTGCTCGTGACTTGGCGCCTCTTCTGGCGACGCAGCAAGAAGAAGAAGACGATTCCGGCGAGGATGACTCCAGCTAGAAGCATCCCAACGGCGACACCAGCCACTGCTCCTCCCGCTAGTCCCTTGCTCCCATTCGATGGCTGTGGGTTTGGGGCCCCTGAACCTGGGACGGGTACCGCCGAAGTGACTGATGCTGTTTGCTGCGTTGTCGCCGGAGTCTGAATGTTGTTTGTGTCTGCTATGCTCGCAGCATTTGTTGTGGCACCACTAACAGCCGGGGTGGAAGGTGCCTCGGTAGAAGTAGTAGCAAGTGCAGTCGCTGATGTGGGCACACTCGACGAAGAAGACGCTGGACAGGATACGGTGTTGGTTGTTGGCGCTGCACCTACGTTCGGCACGATAACTTGTTGACAAGATGGAGAAGTAGCTGGATCCACCACGGCAAGTGTGATGTAGGCTGTTGTGGCCGCCATAATAGATTCGCTGCGTGTATCCTTACGATGTAGGGAAAACGCAGAAAGGCCGGAGGGGTGTGAAATGTCACCCTTAGATCTTATAATTATCGAGTAGAGGGCTTAGTTACAAAGTAAGCATCAAACTATGCCGGGATTGCGCTCCTTCGTACACGTTGGTCTGAGCGCCTCTTGTCTAGAACTGGGTCAAATCGACAACTGGACGCCACGTTTGAGCACAACAGCCCTCAATAGCAATGACCAGGATCACTAGAGCATTGTGCAAGGAATGGTCGGGGTTCAGCTGTGGAGACAGCCTTGTGTGGCTGCTTATCTGAATCCTTCAGCCCACCCTCCGTTCCAAACTTGCGTGCTACACTAGCGAGAAACGCGCATTAGCAGCCTCTACTCGAGCTTCAGCCCCCAAATTTCGAACAACGAACCGCGAAGGCGGCTGGAGCCGTCTCGGCTATACTTATTCAATACGGCGCGCATTGATCTTAGACATCGCCACCATGTGGGGGAAAGAGTGTCAGTCGTCGTCCCCATAACAAACCCCCTTTGCCAAGTGTTCAGCCTTGCTGCACCCAGATTGCCATCGATAATATCCAGAGCCTTGTCACCTTTGCACTTTAGTCTCAGCCGTACTCTTCCTCGATCCCAGGCTTCACACGAAAGTTAGACTCCACCCCTCAACAGCCCCATCGAACGGAAGTCAAATCTTTGCAACGATGGATCAACCAGATCTTGTGATATCTGTGGATTTCGGCATGACCTGTATGCTCTCTTTCAAAAAGTGAGACCTTCTGTTGACAACAAATAAGGTACCGGTGTTGCTTATTGCAACATGTCAACAGGCTCCGACACAGTGAGACACATTCAAAGATGGCCAGGAAGAACACAGGCAAACGAGAACAAAGTAGGGCAGAAACTATGGGCTCTATTTCCCTTTACTCAAGCATTCAACAGGTCCCTACCCTTCTTGTATACCCGCACAACTCAGACACCCCTTCATCGTGGGGCTTTCTCGCAGAAACAGCGCAAGAAGTGAGCGGTTCTGGACATGAAAGCCGCGAATGGTTCAAGATCATGCTAGACGAAGATCTGCTAGAACAGATGCGGAAGAAATCCAGCGATCCGTCCAAGGTTCCGCGCATCCACGAGGTGGAGAAATGGTACGCTTTTGACGAAATACAATGCGATCACATCTGACGAGTCATTGATATAGGTACACTGATTACTTCCAATACCTTTACCGAACGATCGAGGCTCGATTAAAGGGCGAACTAGCCAGCACATGGGAGAACGCCAAGATTGAATACATCTTCTCTGTCCCTACCACATGGCGTCCGCTACCAACCGTGGAGAGATTCCGAAAAATCATCGCCGCCGCCGGCTTTGGCTCATGTCCGAACCACACAGCCACCGTTGGCTTAACAGAGGCTGAGGCCGCGGCAGTGCACACAGCGCGAAACATGCCTGGAATTTTCAAAGAGAACGAGGTGCTCTTCGTCTGCGACGTTGGAGGCGGCACCACTGATCTCTCCGTCTTTCGTGTGAAAAACACAATCGGTGGATCATTGAACCTGGAGCAGTTGGATGTAGTGTTTGGTGCTGCTATTGGCGCTGCACAGCTTGACACCCTCTTCGAAAACGCGGCTCTTGAACGACTTGAACTCGCCGATCGCACCATTCCGACAGGTCTCTCCGATCTCCATAGTGCGGCATGGGAGATGCGAATCAGTAAAGAATACCAAAATGCAAAGTGCGACTATGGCTCTGAAGAGTCACTGGCAGATACCGACACATTCGCCGTACGAGTGCCCAAGCTGGACCCGAGCTACACGAATGAACAGTTTGAGATCAGCAACGGGGACATGTATTTCCAGAGAGACGATCTTAAGGGCATCTTCGATATTCAAATTTCTAAGCTATTTGAGATGATGGACAAACAGCTCGTCCGTCTGCAGCAGAAACAACCAAACGAACAAGTCGCACATCTCGTCCTCTCCGGTGGCCTCGGCAACTCGCCATACGTCCAATCCTGTTTGAGATCGAAGTATGCCTTTGGGAACTCGGTACACGCCAATGCTCAAAACATACAGATACGGGTCGCGCCTGACCCGCAGCTTGTTGTCTGCAAGGGCAACGTCGCAGACCGTGTCGCAAAGCTGAAGAGTGGCAAAGCAGTTCTGGGTTGGCGCTGCTGCCGTGCTTCTTACGGGACAAAGTGCAAGATGCTGTACAGCGCAAGCAATAAAGATCACATTGGCCAGAAGACTGAGATTGATGTGCTTGATGGCAAAGCGTATGTCGTGGACTGTGTTGACTGGTTTATCAAGAAGGTAAATGATTTCTTCATATACAATATCCAGCGCTAACAGCCGTAGGGTGAGGCAGTCTCAAGTGACTCCCCTATCGTTCGTGACTTCAGTCGCAAATGTTCGCCGGCAACATCATCAGTTCCCAATCCTCCACGCATCTTTCCTACGGATGTGATCTGTTCCGAGGCAGAAGCAGAGCTACTCCCCTACACAATGAACTCCAGTAAGTCAGTCCCACCCTTTCAAAACTTCCCTGTGCTGACCCATCCAGCTTGCCGTTCAATATGCAAAGTCGAATCCGACTTCGCCACCATCCCACTCTCCCAATTCAAACTGAAAAACCGACACTGGTGGAACAGCGGCAAGAAATACCACCGCATCAACTTCGTCATCAAGGTGAACCTCGGACCCGCGGATCTGTCCTTCGAGCTCTGGCACAACGGCGTCAAGCTCAGCAAAGACAACACCATCAAGGTCGAGTGGCAGGCTGCGGCTCCCCCGGACCCTGCTCAGCAGCCTGTGGACAGCGACTTCCCCATGAACAGCCTGCCGGCGGCAACTAACAGGGGGCCGGTTGTCACAAGAAAGTCGATACAGCATCTGGGGAATTTGAACGGGTATGGGGCGGCGCCTCAGGGAGGATATCAGGGCTATAATAATGATTTGGGTAATAAGATGGTGGTTAGTGCGAGTGTGACACCTGCACAGCAGAATGGACAGAAGGTTTGGTAGGCAGAATAGTCTGTTTATACGGAATAATGCTACCTATTCAAGTCGCTGTACCTCCAACACTGTGGATTTCGTCTTTGACGTCCCCTGTACTTGTGCCACGTATCGTTTGGTCTTCCTTCTCCCCTCCCACCGCCTTTCCATCAGCGATCTTCCTCACAATCTCAACAACCTCGTTCGGCCTCGTCAGGTTGGGACAGTGGCCTGTATCGATAGAAACCGTCTGCACTTGCACACCCTCCTTTTCCATTCCTCCAACAAATGACTTCTGATAATCCAGCGGCACCGTCATATCAGCGGTCAGATAGATATACGACACTGGCGCATCGCGCCACGCCGCACGCGCGGCTGTGATCGGCTGGTACATGCAATGGGCGTTCCACCTCTCAAACGTCTTCACATACTCATCCTTCTCTTCCTCAGAAACGTCCCCGTCGGCGCCAATCACAAGCAATTTCGGGTCGCGGTGGACACAAGACTTGTCGTCAGCAACGTCGAAAGCCAGCGGCATAAGCTCTTCGTGGCCAAATGCGCGCACAGTGTCGACCATGCTCTTGCCCTCTGCGACTGCAGTCGCACTCATGTAGACCAGGTGCGAGACACCGCCGGCGAGACCCTGTTTGGATCTTGAAGAGACGCTGAGCCCGGAGAGCGCGTTGGTGCCCACTTGGCCGCCGTACGAGTGCATTAAGACCACGAACTCGTGGCCGTCTGTGGCGAGGTTTTCTGCATATGAACGAATAATAGCGGTGTCGCTCTCCAAGTCGCCGCTTGGTGGCCTTGCATCACTGGTTGATCCTAGAGCAGGAATATGGACTTTGAAGCCAGATGATGACAGAGCTTTGGTCAGCTTCGTGTAGCTTTGCGGCGTGTGCCAGCCGCCAGAGATGAAGAGAATGGCTTTCTGCACGTCAGCCATTGATTTGGTGGTTGTGTAAGAATGTATGGATCAGTAAGCGTTGAAATAAGGGTACTTCGACTTCTTATACCAAATGGCGGGGTTGTCAGCACTATGCAGAATAGAGAAGACAGAAGTCAGCGCAGTTGCTCTTATCTGCCAATTGCTCTCATGAGTGCTCATATTATTTCGCTTTGATTTGTTCGACGTATAGTAAAAGCAACAAGATCGAAATAGTCGCGAGCGGGTGCAGTGACGTCACATGTGCTGTTTCTTCCACGTCCACCATTAGCCGCGCTTGCCGCGAGGAATAGCCGAATCACTCAAATGCGCCTCCCAAGCGACCTTACAGTAACGAATGCGATTTACAGTACCGCTCAGTCAAGCGTTTCTAACGCATGTTTGACGAAGATTGGACCATAGGACTCGTGCAATTAACAGTCCAGCACGCCGCATGCCCCTGATCGGCATGACGAAAAGATGCTTTCGTCTTTCAGAAGTAGTGCAGATATGAAAGTCTTAGCGAGGTAGCAAAGAATTCGGTGGAAGCAAGTAGCACAACGAGTGCACGGTTTCGGAAGGTGTACCCGGCATCTTCGTTGTGGAATAGTGCGCTGGCAGTGACATCCCATTCAGATGGACTTGAAGCCAATTCCCTTCCTTAAAGTACTGCTCTTCGCTGACGTAGGTGAGCAGCGGGATTCCGGAGAAAGCTGGATGCCGCGCCTTCGGAACTCGTGAAAAACATCCCCAGCCGAGTGCCTCGGGACTATCTCTTTCGGGTGGCTTGTAGTTTGACATACTAACCCAGATTCCGGAAGACTTGGCAGGTCATCGCTTAGTCGTAGAAGCGGTTAGAAAAGATCCACTAATTGTAATTACTCGAGAGACGCGCACTGTGAAATGAACCTCGGTCCCGTAACTTCTACGACATACATCGGTCAATGCGAAGATGTCGATCTTTAATGAGCTCGCCGCTCAATACTACCAATGGTGTTAGTGAACAACCAATTACCTAGCTTCTGACAGCACGACCACGGGGAGACAGCAATGGCAATTAGTGACTAATCCCCATAAGACTTGAATTGCCGCACGGTAAGAGCAACATGTAATTTTACCTTTGAAGGTCTCGTTACCAACGAAGGTGACATGTGCACTGGCCAGGGAGTGGGATGGTCAGAATGAAGCCCGACATCTACCCGGAGTAGGAGGACTTCTCGAGACTAAATCCTTGGGCGTTGGTATTCACAGATCCAGCTCTATCCGCCGTAGCCGCCCCGCTGTCTGGGAGCCCACAGCATCGGTCGCTCCCGGAGAATGCAAGGGGTTGAAATTGCTAGAACGCGACGGCCTTCCTTATTAGGAATCGGTACTAGATGAAGCGTCGTGTCCATGCTCATTACAGTGTATTTGCATAGGAGTCGGCTACGCCTAGTCAGATACAGCACTGTGCGATTGATCTAACCCGGATCTGTGGCACAAGATGATGTGGATGCCATAATGCGTGACTGTGCATATGCTTGATGCCAGTGGAGATTCCTGGGGTTGGAAACAGTAATGGCTGCATGAAATTCCTCGAAGACTGTTCACACGGTGAGAATGATGTGCATCTGCAGCGATTCTGTACCCAGATCGGTGAAGATTGGAGTCAAAATTCGCCTCACATCTGCGCATGGCTTTCACCGATGGCATGCGAGATGTAGACGCTCCACCGATATTGTCTACCGCAGGGAAACAGTCAAGGCATTCCACTAACGTGAGGCAGAAACACGGCCAGGGCCTAGACAGTACTGCAGGAGGTATATGGGAACCTCGGATAGGTTGTGGCAATGTTGCAGCAAATAAGGCGCCTAGAAGCCAGCGAACCACTCGCCAGAAACACTGGCTGCCTTGAGCCGCAGTCGGTGCACATGACTGCATTCCAATCTGGACCTGTACAGATGCATGACATGCGAATGGCGAATCAGGAGCCAACTTGGGACTGGATGACAAAGCCACCAAGCTGCCTAATCTTCAAAACAAGCATGGTCGGCAAGGCGAAGCAAACGAAGCCGGGCCGAGTAGTGGAAGAAGCAGCGTATTTGTTGCCATCGAGGCGAACAACGGCGGGCAATGTGGAAATAATCGTGAAGCCGTTTACACCACGGTGCTGCGCCGAATCGCCGAGCGTTCGCGTCCAAAGTGGTTCACCGGCAGTTGCGGAGTTCCGTGTAGTGCGTATTCGGCGCAAGATCGGGGTTGACGGTGCTGCAGGTGCTGCGTCTTGCGTAGGTGTGAACGGTAAAGATGAGCTACGCTCACCGACGTGGTTGTGTAGTTGCGAGAGAGGCGTGTAAGAAGAATGTGTGTAAAGAGCGGTGTTGCTCATGGGCACTAGTATGCACCAGTGCGGATCCAGCCTAGTAGATGACGTATCAAACGGCCGACGCATGTACAGGCATGCACCATATTGGGCATACTAGTACCAGTAGCTGGTGACTCAATCTTGCGGCAGATGCACAAGATCCATAGAGGATCACGAGATAAGAGCTACGACCTCACGGTGGAGCACAGAAAATGAGGTTAAGGTGACTGAGCACCAGGCTTGACTAATTGTGGAAGGAGTAAGCTGCGTTGCTGCAGGATTGTTACAAAATGATCGAAGCGAATTGTTGATAGTAGGAAATCCGTCCCAATGCAGCGCCGATTTAGCGAACGCCCGTGACCAAGTTTGTCATGCGCCGCCATGCTGATCGTACATGCTGCCAAGTGTAGCTGTCGAGTGCGTCAATGTGACCCTTTGTCCACCTCGATGCGAAATCCATCCGTTGTGCCCAAATGACTCCCAAACTCCCAGATAATGCGTGTATGTAATGAAGTCCCGATGATGAGTTGTATCCAAGACGCTGCCCACCGTCGCAGCAAGAGGCCGGCTCGAAGAAGTGGATGGTGTTCCAGCTGGCACAGTCAACGGTGACTGGCAGGTTGGGGTTCGTAGGAGTGTAACTCGCACGTATAGTGAGCGCGATCCGTGTCGTACGTTCACCGCAGCTGGAACACTGGATACAGTTCGCCATCACATCCAGGCGATGAGTGACTGTGTTGCAGTCCGTACATGGTACCAGACCGATGGCCGCTGTGTCTATCGCAGGCGTATCCTACGAGAACAGTCTTCTCTTGTATGGTGTGGCCGCGCTGTCCGTGTGCAGCACACGGATCAATGGAGTGCTTGTGGTAGAGGCATCGACACACAGAGTAGCGCTCGACAACTTGGTAGCACATTGTGGTGTGATGGTTTGACAGCTGGAAGGCGGGGAGTGCTGAAAAGAAGCAACAACGAATCGCTGGTGCTATAAAGAATACAACAAGAAATGGTGAGCACGATGGAGAGACAACCCCATGAGTCGCGAGCAATGAGCATATATACTACAGACGTCAAGAACAGAGGAGAGAGGACAGACGTAGGTGGGTGGGTCATACACAGAAGGCATACTCAAGCTTCTGCAGGTCCGTAAGGCAACGGTAGTCCACTAGTGGAACGGGTGCATAGTCAGCACCGGGTGCTGCTAAGATGGGATTGTCGAGCGGAACTAGCACAGCCTTAAAGTCAGTTACTAGATGTACGGGCGATTTGGTAGGGCTCAGGTCTGGAGCAGGGGTATGGTGGCTTCCGTGCTTAGAGGCTCTTCAGCCAGCCCAAGCTCCCTATTGGACCGCGCGCTAGGTCATATAATCCGCTACGATTCTTCCAAGGGTAGAGTCCAGTAATCAGCGACACCTGAAGCGCATATGGCCATGTGCCTGGACGTGGGCGAATGGCGGTACTCGCCCCCGTGTACCGGGCTGTGGCATGGGGCTGAATGATTTGGTGATCAGAAGCCCCTTATTCACAGCGGAGATACGCGGACCTCTGTCTTCGGCACCGCGCGTTGTCATGAGGGCGTGAGCAGAGGTCTGACAGTGAAGCCGCCAAATCGGACCTCAGCCACATTCATAGGGATGGCGACTCATGGTGGGAGCGACCGTTGGGGCCGACGTGGAGCTTCTCGTGATTGATGGGCCGTGCCGGCGCAGATACTGTGGCGGATATCGCGCGCCATTGCCAAACAACGGAGCTGAGGGCGGAAAACATTCACGGAAGGAGCCGAGATCGGTTGTATGACGAACGTTTGTACATGTCGTCTGCTGAAGTTCGTGCGTGACGGGTCGCTTACTTGGCCCCTTCAGGACAACTGCCGCGTTATAATTGGCAACAACGACTCACGGCACGTCACCAATGTCTTTCTACTGATTGCAGATTCCAGCACCTACGCTGGAAACAACACTAAAACCGCCGACCACACTAGACAGTTCAAGACCGTTCTGTGATCGCAGGTCACTTGACCCGTCGCCGCGCATGCGCAGGGTTGCTGTGCTCCCAAGCTGCGTCCACGCGGTTCACGGGAACAGGGGTTGTCTGCGCCTGCATTTCAACGCATGGATCTGGGCAGACCGACAGATGTCTGTCACTGAGCGCCGCCGACCGGAGTACTCCACTATTGGCGCACAGTTAACTGGTCTTAGAATACCCAGTAAACACACCGCTAGCCATCGTTCACCCGGCCCACTGGCGTCCATTGACACCGCGGATTGCGCCTGGCCCACTGACCCCAGATCGGTAACGTTCACCTGTCAGGGTGGTGTGGGTGGGCACTGCAGGCCACAAAGCCGGCCGCTTGCCCACGCAGCTGCGAGCTTATGGTGGCTGGCAGACTCCTGCAGCCCTATGCAATGCATTTTCCCGACTTGCCATCCACGTGGCAGTGGCATACATCGATCAAGGCGTTGTGAACGCTCTCGTCGGTAAACAGCGCCTTCATGATGTCGCTTCTCTCCGCAAGACTAGATGGCTCGGTGCTAGAGCTCACCATCAGCATAGCACTAAAACGCCATAGTAGCTGCAACTCGGCCCCCAACAGCAATTTGTCGTGACGAGGCGTAGATCTGCACCGTACCCGCCCAGTCAGATCTATTTGTGCACAACCGATCGCCTGCATCTTACAACACCCCGTTTCAACCGCGAGAACGCATATTGCGGTGTGCCATACCGCTCTTCCTTTCGCACCCCTCTGGACTGCATACTCGAGTACGGTCTGTGGGCGCTGCAGATTGACACTTCAACGTGCAGCAGGCCAATTGATGCACCGCGCTCAAATCGAGTTCACCGGTGCCGAAACGGGAATCATGCATGCGCAGCAAAAGAGCATCGCGCGTGAAACGTCCCATCATCCGATGCAGAGCAGACGGCTTCCGGGTTCGTTGAACCACGTGAGCCGTTGTACAGTCACGGCAGTTGTATCTGTGCAGTAGGTTGATTTGGTCCACGAGTTCAGACGCATTCAGGATGTGCCAGATAGAGATTCCCAGAAGCAGAGACATACGCGTCAGCATGTCTGCGGAGAGATAACCGTTAGACGTGTCATCAAGGCTCGCACGCGATCACCTGATCTCGAACAGCAGACCACGACACACTTGACAGTGGTAACTAGCCAGCCACAGCCACAGCAGAAACGTGCAGACGCAGAGCCACCGACCGACCATCGCCAACCCACAGACCCGAGGGTGGTGCCCTAAATCTACAATGAATCCACACAGCAGGACCGCCCCACACGTATGCCCCAAACCACCAACACCAGAATAACAGTACATTAGCCCACAGATTCAAGTCCCAACCCCAGACCCAAGTTCCAATCCCAATCCCACAAGCCAAGTATCACACCCCAAACCCACAAACCACGACGCCCCGACATCTGCGCCGCCCCAAACCACCACGCAAACCTTGATCCGCAAAGTCACAGTATATACCACCCACCCAGCACCGCACCGCACCGCACACTTCCCACACCCAACCCACCCCTCCCCAGCACAACCCCCGCCCTCCGTCTCTACCGTACCTAAACTCCCCCCGCCACCAGCACATCCGCCTTCCCCAGACACGCAGACAAGCTGAGCACTCCAGACGCACACTCAGCGGATGGTAGTCCATTCGACTACACTGCGGTACGGGGTCCTCGCTACAGGGTCCTCGCTGCACTCCGCGCGTCTCATCCTGTAATCCCGCGATCTCAGCGCTACGCCCAACACCCGGAATATTAGGAGCAGGATGCGTGTGTGCAGCGTGGCGTGGCATATCTCGTCTCGTCTCGTCTCGTCGTGTGCTGGGATATGGTTTCGTGTGGATGCGGGAGGGTGGGTTTGAGGATGTGCAGGGGAGGGGGGTGTCAGGAATTCAAGAAGTCAGGATGCAAGGAGATTTCAGGACGCGAGGATGTGCAGGCGGGGGGCGGAGGAGGGTAGGGGTCGGGAGGAAGCAAATACGTGGGCGGTGTGGGGAACGGAGATAGACTTAGCGAGTTGCTCAACAGGTGGATGGACTCGGTGGAACAGGTGGATGTGGCAGTAGAATGCAATTCATTTCTTCGTTATCCGATTATCCGATTAATCTGCTATCTGCTATCTGCACAAACGTAGATCCGCGAGTAGTGACTAGTGAAAAGGGGGTATGGGTATGTACAAACGCTGCGCTCGTGCTATGGTAGGCAGGCGCTGAGAAGGGAAGGGGAGGGCGGTATGTGAGGGGGGGTGAGGGAGGGAGGGAGGGGGAGATGGAGATGTAGAGGGGCCTTGGAGGCGAGGGGGGGTGTGGGGGGTAGAGAATGGGCTGAGTAGGGAGAAGACAAGGACAACAGTGGCGATATAGACAGTGCCAGCGAACCACCCAGACGGTGCTTCCGCCCGCGGCATGGCGCGGGATCAAAGAGCCATGCCCCGCCTAGAAAGCACCAGGGATGTTCTTGGCCGGCGAGTCGGGGCGCGTGGGAACGACCTCCTTCTCAGCGTCGACCACAACCTGCTTCTCGGCGTCCATCACAACCTCCTTCTCGCTGTCCACCGCCTTCTTCTCCTCCTTCTCGCCCTTCGGCGACAACCGCGCCGCCACATGCGCCAACCCCGCGCCCTCCACGCTGTCCAGACTACTCGCGCTGCTCCCCCGGCGCTCCAGACTGGGCGTGCTCCTCAGACTCTTCTCGGTCCGCTCAGACGACATCCTCTCAGACGACATCCTCTCGGGCGACGTTCGCTCAGGCGACGTCTCGCCCCCGCTCGCCGCGCTCGCCGCGGAGTTCCTGTTCCTGCTATTCCGGAACGGGTTGCGCGGGGGCAGCATGGGCGCGACGGGCTTCGCGACCTGGACGATGCGGGCGCGGTTGATGTGCTGCGGGGCGGGGGTGGTGTGGACTTCGTGGATGACGATGGGTTCTTCGTCGGAGTCGGAGTCGGAGTCGCAGTCCGAGGTCGGGGAGAGGGGCGCGGCGGTGGTGGTTATGACGGGCGGAGGGGTGGATGGTTTCTCGGGCGTTTGAAGTGGGCTGCCGAGGGCGGGCGCGGTGCGCTCGGGTGAGATAGGCTCGGCCGCGATGGTGCGCAGGGGTGTGGCTTCCTGGACGCTTGTCTCGGGGATGTCGGCGAGGGGGGGAGAGGGCGTGCGCATGTCGGTTGGGCGCGGGGAGGTGCGTGGCGGCAGCGGCGGGCCAGGTGTCTTGAAAGGAGGCGTAATGGGCGTGGTTTTCTTCTTTTCCTTTTCCTTGTCCGTTTCTTTTTCCTCGTCCAAATCCGTCTGCGTGCTCGAGTCGGCGTAGCTGGTCTGTGTGCTCGAGTCGGCGTAGTTGCTGCGCGGCCGCGAGCCGCCCAGGACGCTGCTCAGTGTGCTGCTGCGCCAGCTGGAGCGCCTGCTGGGCGCCAGACTCGCAGCGATGCTGGATCGGTCCGTGCTCTTTCTGAAGGTCGAGTAGATGGGGCTCGTGGGGCTGGGTTTGAACTCGAACTGCTCGCTCGTGGCGGGCTCGTGTGTGCCAGCCTCGCGGATCTCGAGCCCGGCTGACTGCAGCGCGAGCAGGCCGAAGGGGTCTGGGTCATGCTCGGCGGGTATGCCGAATGTCGGGTCCTCTGCTGATGTGGGCGCTGTTACCTCGAAGTCGGCCGGCGACGCTTCGTCTGGGATGAGCGACTCATCGACGTCCGTGTCGCCCTGTGCGGACTTGAGTGTCTCCATGAGGCGCTTGATCTCGTACGGCGGATGGCGGGCCTTGCCGGCTAGGATGTCCTTGACGCCGATGCGCTCGCCGTAGAAGCGCTCGTTCTCGTCGGTGCGCTCGATGACGATGGTGCCGTCCAGCTGCAGGCCGGCGTAGAAGCCGCGCGACTTGATGTATGTGAACAGCGGCGACTGGCGCTTGTGGACCTCGGTGTCGATGATGCCGCCGACACCGGCAGGCCCCGCGACTGCGCTGATTTCTCCGCCCAGGGTGCAGCGCACGGATTGGAACGCCTGCAGGGCCTTGTCCGAGTTTATGACGATGACGCAGTCGTAGATGTCAACGCCAACGAGGAAGCCCACGCCGACGGTGTGCATCATGATGCCCGACGGCGGCGACCAGGTGCCGTCATCCTTGCGAGCGACCAGCACACCCGCGCCGCCGCTGCCCGAGACCCACAGGCCGGTGCGCATGGTGGTGAAGATGCACAAGCCCTTTGCGTTCTTGATCACGGTCGAAGGGATCTTCTTGAGCACTTTCTGCTTCGCTTTGGGGCCCTGGGGCCCGGTGGGGCGGTCCTCTTCCTGGTAGAAGCCATCCTCTGTATGCGGTCAGCGCTGGTTGCAGACAGTCGTGCAAAACCTACTGCAGAAGCTCTTCAGGATGCGCGCGGCCTTGTCGGACTCGATGTCGAGCGTGGTCGGCCAGAAGGCCTCGGAGCCGACCTTGTTGGAGAGGCGATTGACAGGCGCGCCGAGCTTGTCGACCCAGGTGTAGACCTTGTCGAAGCCCGCCTTGCCGCCGGTCTTCGTTTTGGACCACATGGAAACGGCGGGCGGCTGGCGGGGGAGCGTCGCGTAGCGCAGTGTCTCAGCAGATAGCCGGTCGGGGATTAAACATTACAGCATCAGGCATTGGGTGCAGCGTCGCACAGAGGAACAATAGCAAGCCAGTGCAGAGCTGAAGACAGAGTGACGGCGGGAGCTGGCGGCGGGCGCCGTAGGACAGAGGCTGCGTCAGGCTGTTGACGTAGGCCGGAGGGCGCGGGACGATTAGTTAGCAAGTCAGCGTGCAGGTGGCAGACGAGCAGGCTGCGAGGGCTAGCACCCGGCCGAGGGCTGCCGGGTACCTTAATATGCTCCGCGAACAGGAACCACCAGGGCAGTCCTTGCGGTGCTGGGCATGCGCGCGAGGCGTCGAGAATGCTTCATTTCCGCTTTCGTTCAGACCGGGGCTGCGCGCACTCGGGGGAGTGGGGCCCTGCTGCTCGAGGCTCGACGAGGTGCGCGGCCAGCCTGAGACGCGCAGGGCTAAGGACACGGCCGCACGCAAGGAGCTGGAGGGACAAGCCACCGACCGCAAGGAGCCGGACGACAAGCCACCGCACGTGTGCCCGGCGCGGGTGCATGTGGGCCGACGACGCCGGATGCGGGCGAACGTATCTCCGGCCGGCCCCGAAGGCGTGCCAAGCTGCGGCGCGTCGTTGCAGCCGCGAAGTCTACGTGCACCGCGAAGTGTCGAGAAGAGAGATCGCCCACTGCAGCCAATTGAAGGCCCCCATGCATTGTGTGCGCTGCGCCTGAGCTGGAACGGACGTGGAGATTGCGACCGCCGCGTGTTTTTGCTTCCGGCGCCCGATCGACGCTTGACCAGGAGCTGTGCTGTCGCTTGTTGTCGCTTTGTTGCTTTTGTCGCGCCCAACGCCATGTTCCGCCATTCACCGCCGTCCACGCCTGGCCGCTCGACGCGATTCCACGGGCCCACGACGACGCCTGCTGGCCCGCCGCCCGACGACTCCTTCGCTGACTACGAGCCCACGTCGACGCCCGCCGCCCCGCCGCCCGCCATGAGCCTGTTCGGCGACACCCAGCCGAACCTGGCCCGCCCGACCAGCTTCGGCTTTGACAAGTCCCTCTACGGTAGCTTCCCAGAGAGCTCTCCGCCGCGACACGGCCTCTTTGAAGGCACTGGCTCAGGAACTATAGGTACCACCACCTTCGGCCGCCCGGGCTCCGCCCAGCGCAGCCGCCCCAACAGCCGGCCCTCCAGCGGCGCATTCGGCCACAGCTTTCGCGTCCCTAGCAGCCCGCCGCAGCACGCCCGCGGGGAGGAGCACGACGACGACATGGACGGTGAGGAGGACGAAGATGAGATGGACGAGGAGGACGACGACTACTACGAGGAGGACCAGTTCGCCGCGTCGCGTCGCGCGAAGCCCGCCAGCCGCATGTCGCAGTCGGTCATCTCACGCGCCAGCACCAGCGATCTCGACCATGGCGCCGTGTTGGTGCGCGCCGGCGCAAAGCAGGCGCAGTTTGACCTCATCGGGCTGGCCAAGGGCCTGGCGCCGACCGTCGAGCGCGCGACCCTGCACGAGCCGGACAACGTGATACTGCAGACGGAGCGTATTATGGAGCGGGTGAACGAGTCGCTGGACTCGGACACGCCGGAAGCAAGAGCAGGCGTGCTTGGCGACGCAGCGCGCGAACTGGTGGCCCTGTGGCAGGCTGCCTCCAAGACCAATGCGCGCGCGAGCCTGTCGTCGAGTCGCTCGGGCGGCTCTGCTGGGCTTGCAAACGCCAGCCGCCTGGCCAGCCTCCTGCTCAGCATCCACCACCCGCCGCCCGTCGGCCACAACCAGCGCTCCGCGTTATCACTTGTCCCCCAAGGCCAATCGCGGCAGTACACCCCCGTGCCCAAGCTTTTGCTGGACTGGTTGAACAACACATACTCGGGCGTTTCTGAGGTCGAGCTGGTCCTGAAGGAGACGCGCGGATACTCGAGACACCACTCGTTCTGGGAGGCTGTGCAGGCGTCTGCCGTGCGCGGCAACTTCGCCCAGACGCTGCAGCTGCTGCAGGGCGCGAAGCTGGAGGTCGCCGAGTCTGCGCAGAACGACGGCCTGGGTGACACCGGGTACACAGGCGCGCAGCTCCGCTATGCCAACGAGGCGGTTCGCTCGGCAGTCGACCTGCTCCGCGAGTGCCCCGCTTTCGTGTCGGACGACTGGGACATCAAAGGGCAGGACTGGAGCATCTTCCGCTCGCGCGTCTATCAGGTGTACAACAACCTGCAGGAGTTTGCCGAGGGCGAGAGCCTGAGTCGCCAGGGCATCGCCGACCACTTCCAGGCACCCCACTTCAACATCACACAGTCCCAGGCCACCTTCCGCTTGAGCGTAGCGAGCCGGAAAGCAGAAAGCAGGGTGCCCTGGACCGTCTACGAGGAGCTCCGCAGGCTGTACCAGCTTCTGCTCGGCAACGAGGAGGAGATCCTCGCCATCTCTGCCGACTGGATCGAAGCCGTCCTCGGCCTGACAATCTGGTGGAGCGGCGAAGACGATGACATCCCACACGGCAGCCTCGCCGCGAGCCGCCGCTCGCTGATGCGCTCCCAGCGCGTCCGCCCCGTCGACGTGACGCCCGTCGCCGCCTACTGCCAGCGCCTCTCGTCCGCCTTCGCCGCCGTCGCCCAGAACAGCGACGAGGAGTTCAGCGTCAACGTCACCGACCGCTTCGAAGTCGGCATCGCCTGCGTCCTCGACGACGACGTCGAGGGCGTCCTGTACATCCTGCGCAGCTGGTCGCTCATGGCCGCCACCGCCGTCGCCGAGGTCGCCAGCGCAGGCGGCTGGTACAAGCCCGCGGGCGGCCTGCTGGGCTTCGACAAGAGCGACCTGATGGTGCTCAGCTACAACGAGCAGCCGCGCGCCGGCGCCACCAAGGACGATCTGCAGCTCGCGTACTCCCAGGCCCTGTCCACCAAGGGCATGATCCACAACAATGACAGCGCGGCGTCGAAAGAGGGCTGGGAGCTCGCCGTGCAGGTCCTGTCGAGACTGGACGACAGCATCACCGCCTCGCAGCGCATCGAAGCCATCATCAACGACCTCCCGCTCGACTCTCCCGAGCAGGTCGACCGCATCACCGCACTGTGCTACGCCATGAACCTCAACGAGCAGGCCATCAGCATTGCGCTGGTACGTCCCCCCCCCCCCCCCCCCCCTATACCTCTACACCCCAAACTAACTCCCCCAGAAATACGCAACCCACCTCTCCACCACCCCCCACCACGGCCTCACCCTCCTCTACTACGCCCGCGCCCACGCACCCACCCCGCTCCTCGAAACCCTCCACTCCCTCACCACCCACTCCCTGCTCACCGCAACACCCTACCCGCCACCCCACACCGACGCGCCCCTCGACGCCCTCCTCGCGTCCCCGAAATCCGCCCTCGCCGCCCTCGCCGCCCAGGACCCCCAGGCTGCAGATCTGCTCGCGAGCAGTCTCAGCGGCTACGCGACACTGCGCTCGTTCTACGATCTGCGCGCCCAGGGTCCCCGGGCGGCCCGGCGCGCGGCCTCGGCGCTGAGCGCGCTGGTCACCGCGTCCGCGGCTGCGCTGCACGACGACGCTGCTGCGGTGCCGGGGGACGTGCTGCTGCTGCTTCTCGGCGAGGCGGCGGGGTTCGTCCGTGCCGGCGCGTTTTCTGTGGCGCAGCTAGCGGCGTTGCTGGCTGCGGTCGAGGAGTACGAGGGCTCTGGGCGGAGGGTCAGGGGCGCGTGTGAGGAGGTGCTGAGGTCTGCGGGGGAGGGCGAGGCGGGGGAGCGGTCGATGGGGAGTTTGGGCGGGGAGGCGTTTAGTCTGGTTGGTAGTGGGGAGTTGGGGCGCAGTGCGGTGGGGAGTGCGGTTCCGAGGGGTGGGAGTGGGAAGGAATTGCTAAGGGGGTTGAGGTTGGGGGTTGCGAGGGAGGTGGCGAGGTGTTATGCGCTGGGGGAGGTTGCGTGAGGAGGCGTGAGGAGGCGTGAGGAGGCGTGAGGAGGCGTGAGGAGGCGTGAGGAGGCGTGAGGAGGCTTGAGGATGGCACGATGGCATGGAGTTAAAAGTGGTATTGTGATGACGCTGGAATGTAGGTGCGACGTAAAGTTCGCGATTCCGCGCCTCTGAGGAAGTAGGACGCTTCTCGAGAATAGATAAGTAGATGGCCGCAACATGGCGAAAGTTTCTCTCCTCCACCTCTCCCTAAGTCTTGGATTATCGATACCCTCACGTGCCATAGATCACCGCTAGATCACACCCCGCCTCCCTCACACCTTCTCAGGGTCGTTGATCCCGCCATTCGTAATGATATACGTCGCCTCCTTCTCCGGCATATCTACACAACATTAGCTGCCGCCATCAACCGACACGGCCAACTGACCAGGCGAGTCCTGGATCTTCGCAACCCGCTCCTCGCCCCGGCCCTTGCGCAGCAGTATACGCGTCGTCGAGGCATGCGCGAGGATATGGCCACCGACCGGCTTGCGCCCATCGGCGCCCTGGAAAATGGCACTGGCGCCCGGGTCGCTCTGGACCTGGTTGGTCATGAGGACGGCGACGTTGAACTCTGGACAATTAGCACTCTGCACTCCAGCCAAGCGGCTACGACATCCTCAACGCACCTTCAGCAACATGCGTCAGCTTCGATAGGAACTGGTTCAGTTTCTGCTGGCGCTCGTTCAGCTCGCCGCGGCCCGTGTAGTCGACGCGGAACAGCGCCATGATGCTGTCGATGACGAGCAGGCGGTACTCGTTGCTGACGAAGAACTCGGCGACTTTGTTGAGCAGCTCCATCTGGTGCTCGGAGTTGACGGCGCGGGCGTAGGTGATGTTGTCCTGGGCTGGGGAGGGTCAGTGACGCAGCTAGGGGCTGGCGGTGGCGTACCAGTCTCCGGGTCGACACCGAAGCGCTCTGCTATCTGCGCGATGCGCTCGGGACGGAAGGTACCCTCGGTATCTTGTGGGTGTCAGTGGTGAGACTCTGGGCTAGTTGGCTTTACATACCGATGTAGGCCACTTTGCCTTCGGCGCCGCCCATGTCCTTCGGCAGCTGTGCGATGACCGACATGGTGTGAGACAGCTGAGTCTTGCCGCAGCGAAACTCGCCGAAGACCTCGCTGATGCTCATAGTCTGGAAGCCACTGCGCATATCAGTGTTTGAACGCAGTGTTACTGAAGCTATCTCACCCGCCGAGGACGGTGTCGAGCTGCTTGCTGCCGGTCGAGATCTTCAAGACACGCTTTCTCTGCTGGCCGAGCTCGTGTGCAGTCTGAAAGCCACCTCCTGAGGGCTGCGAGTACGGTGAGCGACATCACGGAGAGCATAGTAATGGAGTGACGCACCTGGCACTTCGCCAACGCGTCCTTGACCTTGTCGACTTTGATCTCACTGAAGCCTTTGATCTTCAACAGGTTCCGGCGCGTCGCGGCATGCACTGAGGCGATGGTGTAGTAGCCATTGGCTTTGAGCTTTGCAATATCGCCTACATTGATGCCGTGTGCCTGGATGGCATCAATTTCAACGATGAAGCCTTCCTGTAGGAACAGTCAGTGGCGTGGTATTTGGAGGGGTGACTATCACTCACATCGTTACCCGAGTCGTCGCTAGCAACTGACGAAGGCATGCTGAGTGATATGAGACGGAAGCCCGTAACAAGCGAGAGAGCCACGGTGAGAGAACGAGTGGAAAGATGAGAAGAGCTCAGCAAGAGAAAGACAGGTGCTGGGAGGAGATATCTCGTAGCTCTGGCGAAGCTTGAGGACCGGTGGAGTGGTGCGCTAGAACGCGAAAACACGTGGATGGCATAGACGAAGGAAGGAGCACTGAACCACCCACCAGAAACCATGGCTGCCAATCCCGTACACTCGTTCACACAACGTCCGTCCGATTCTGTTGAATACAACACCAAACTTCACCGCCTACACAACATGTCCTGGCAAGGTCCCCGCGACACCGCTCGAGACTGGCCTGGCGCTCACCTCCCACCCGGTGCCCATCCCAAGGGCACGAGATACAACCACTTCGGCGTCCCGCAGTACCCGCCCGGCACGACGTGCAAGATCCTGGGCGAGGATGAGCCATACTTCCCCATCACGTGGCAGTTCTACATCCTGTGTGTGATGGGGATCCTGCTGTACGTCCTCTGGCCGATGTACGTGCTCAGGCACCTGATGCGCAATGTATGTCCAATCCCACTTGGCGGGAATGAGACTCATGCTGACTGCAGAAGTCGATCTACGGAAATTCGAAGGCGTTCGAGGCCAATCACGAGAAGTTCAGGAAGTTTGGACAGAGGCCTGTCCTGCATGACAGTGATGACAAGGATGAGTGACGCAAACTCAAGACACCAGGATCAAAGCGTGGCCCGAGGGAGGTGATAATCGCGGTGAAGTGCAAAGCTTAGTCCACACATCGAGAGGTATAATGAGCATGCAGATCAATGATAGATTGTATGGATAGGTCCATCATATGCAAACTGGAAATGGTGAACACAGAAAACATGGCAGGTATGTCGACTCAGCTCCACAAGAATGTACATCTCCACTCCTCCCCTCCGTACCTCCTTGCCTGTCCACTTCTAAACCACCACACACAGCCGCCTCCAGGCCAAGAGACCCCGTCTATCCAAGCGACCCCTTGCCAAACGACTTCCGCCGAAGCACGACTGATGCAAGGGGTACATGCAAAGAAGAAGATCTCGTTCTCGATTTCACCAAGCCGCCGTCTGTTCGTACTAATGGGATGCGATGGTTCTGAAGTAAAGGATGAACGTTCGTGGGTATCAGCGTAGGACTCGTGAAAACTTTTGTCTTGCTCGATGGTAGTAACTCGTAATGCGTGAAGTTTGTCGAATGGGTACCGAGGCCGAAGAAACGATCGTGTTGATGCAAAAGCCAGAAAACAAGAAGCAACCCAGTCAGATCAAACGCGCCGTGATGTCACTCGCGGCGGTGGCATGATCGTGAGCTGGTTTGCTTATGCGACAGCACTGGTGGGTGCAATAGACTGGGCAGGAATGGCGGCAGCACCGTTGATAGGGGCGCCGCCTTCGCTACCGACCTCAGCCTGAGTGCACTCGCGAGAGATGTGGCCAGTCTCGCCGCAGCGGTAGCAGGTCTTTCCGGCGGTGTTGAGAGGGCCGCCGTTGGGTGCAGTGCAGTCGCGGGAGATGTGACCGAGCTTGCCGCAGGCGTAGCACTTCATGGCCTGGGCCTGGCAATCACGAGCGAAGTGGTTGGGGCCGCCGCACTTGTAGCAAGTGGCAGGGCGACCTTGGCCAGCGAAACCACCACGGAAGCCTCCTCCAAAGCCGCCACGGGGGGGAGCACCAGCTCCGCGGCCCATTCCTGGGCTGGGGCAGTTGCGGGCGAGGTGGCCGGTCATGCCGCAGCTGTAGCAGCGTCCGCTGGTACCAGCGCCGCTGAGGCGCAGAGTAGGGCAGTCAGCCTGGACGTGTCCGAGACCCTGGCAGTGGTAGCACTGCTTGGCTGTCGAAGGGGTCAGCAAGATGTTGAGGCGCTCGCGAGGTATGACGTACTCTCGGTAGTGCGGGGATGAGGGCATCCGTTGGACTCGTGGCCGGGTTGTTTGCCTGTGGATATAAGTATGCGCTCGTATTACAAGTCACGGGGCTCTTACAGTTGTAGCAAAGCCTCTCCGAAGAGGAGCACACCTCTGTTCAACGTCAGTCGCATATCCATACTATCATCGATTCGCCTAGCCAGAGGTTACGCGACACCGGAACCGTTGCAGATAACACCATGCAGTGATGCGGCTTCCAGCAACGTCCCACGGCAGCGCTCTCAGGCTATGCGCCAGGCTGTCTTACCAGCGTAGTGTCCAACATTTCCGCACTTGAAGCACGCACGACGAGAGAGGGAAGACATGATGTCGGTTCTTTCGATAGTTCTGGGGAGCTGGTGAGTATATACGGTCGTGGGCGCGAATTCGCAAAAAGGGGTGGCGCGAGGAGGGGTGGTCTTGAAGGCTGCGTGCGACCGATGATTGCGCCGTCCAGTGTGGGGTGTGCGATGCAGATGGTGGCAGGGCGCTCGTACCTGCTTCGTTTACTACTTCGATTCCTTCACCTGCACGTGTTTGTTAGTCGAAGAGTTTTTGAGGTCATCGAGGGGTACGGGAACGCGCCGAGTGGAACCACCCGTCGCGCGTCGTAATGGTGGGTGCAGAGTGGGTGCGCCGTACTGTCAAACTTCCAGTCCTTCCCTCAGCGACACAACTTCAACAACCTCCGAAGATATTGGAATGCGTGGTGAGAGTTTGGAGTAGAGAAGACTCGGCCATCGCGCGGGAGCGACGTCTGGTGCCTGCCTGCCGCCGTTCCTGCGCTACTCAAGTCTTTCCGAGGTGCAATGCACGTAACACCGGAAGGGGCCCAGATCTGGGTGTTTCGCCTGCGGCATGTCCTCTAGAATCCTCTGCCCTCCTATCACACTGCATGACCGCCGGAAGACTGCGCAACGTCGCGTGCTGTATGGCTGCACGATCCTTCAGGCCTCACGTCAAATTTCGCCCTGCGCGTCTGCCGCCCAAGCGTCGTTTCTCAGCCTAGCTCCCCGCGTTATGACACCATAGCTGCAGCTGTGCTCGGCCATGTCCGTGAACTGGTTCCTGCATGTTCAGCAAATCCCGGAGGATGCGCACACCCTTTGAGGTTTGGGTGTTTGCTGCGTTTTCTCGCGACCTCACACGACGTGTCATGCATAAATCTGATCGTCGCCTTTCGCTCGGGCAAGCTGCTGTTACAGATGCTCATGTACGAAGATCTCAATTAGTTGCTGAACGATCTACTGCATGTCTGAACGTCCCCGGGCCGCCATTTTTGGCCGAGATCCAACCACCGCCCTCTGCCCGGGAGAACTTACCGTCGTACCTTTTACGATTTCGCCTCGTGTATCCTTATGACCTCGCTACAATCACACATGATGGTGTACCGTGAATGTTCACCGAGTCGCCGAGAGCTGGGCTAGAACACTGTCAACAAGAATGATATCAACAAGAATTGTGTTTCATAAGTGGCGACCGAGTGAGCCGTTTAGTGGCACTGCAAGATATGCCAGTAGACACTGATCGTAGATTTATGACTGTGTGTCTACTTGGTACCCTGGGCGCCGTGAGGTGCACCCGTTCTCCTCTTCGCCATACTCTGCCCAATAGCATTACGGACGTCCCTCTCCTGATGCACCACGTTCTGCACCATATACTTCTTCAGTGCCTCTCTCAGCTCGCCCTTCGCCCTTTCGTTGTCCCGGTATGGCGTCGATTCCAGCTCCAGCAGGCGGGACGCATCTTTGTTGCACTCTGCGATGAACGCGTTCAGGCGATCGAGCTGCTCGTGCTGGGTGCGCTCAGAGTCGTCTGTGGGCTGCTGGGGCCGTTGCGGGTCAATGCGGTAAAGCGGCATAAGCAGGGCTAAGAACTGGGCGGCTGAGATCGAAGCCTTCTTGGCGATAGCAATGACCTGGAAAGGCAAGTACGCAGGGCGCAAGTTGAATGCAGCGACGAAGGGGTTCAGGTATTTGGTAAGAAAGGCGGGGTGGTCCGGTCGCATCGCGCTGCGTACTTCGAAGGTTGCAACCGCGAGGAGTCCAAGATAACGCCAGTAAAGACCATCCTTCGCGAAACCCAGTGCATTTGCACCAATGAGCAGGACCAGCAGGGCGCCATAGTTTGTCAGAGCACTCAGCGAGGCGCTATCAACATAGTCTTTGACAGTGATACATGACTGGCACTGCCTGAAGATGTCCGGTCCAAAACGATCGTAGGCAAAGCGCTTTGCGGGATCTAGGATGATGTCGCGGGCTTGCTTCAAGTGGATGTAGTACGCGTTGGCAGCCTCCCTGTTGACATTCGCCGCAATCTTATCAGGGTGGAATCTTATTGTGAGCTTTCTGAAGCGCGAGTTCAGACCGCTCTCATCTACGTTGATCGGCACACCAAGATCGTTGTACGCGTTGCTCGAGCGTTGTAGGTTGAAGTCGACTTCATAAATCGTGAAAGCAAAGTATGCCACGTAGATAGCGATGAGAATCTGTCGGCGGTGCTTGACGAAGCGTACTGAGCCGGGCTGTGGTTTTGGGTCGCCTGCTCGAATAAAGATGCTGTAAAGAATGCTTTGTGCCCAGCCGGCAGCCTGCAGGTACGTGTTAGCAAGGAGTACACGGCTGGAAGGTTAGATTTATTACCATGGGTATTAGAAACTGCCAGACCAAGAAAGGTCCCAAAGTGTCCCACGACATGCTTGCACGCGCCATAGTATATGTTCAACCACGGGCTGTCATGGGTTTGAAGTTCGGAGGTTGAACAATGAATGGGCGCGACATGTGGCATGACCGACACTGGTGCCGATTCCGAGGCTGCTTAGTCATTGATGGGCCGCACCTTCAAAGAGTGGCATTTCTCGCCATCAAACACCCACGTGGCCACGACACTGACAATTTGACTCATGTTGTCGTCGATTGAGGATACCAAAAATTGTCACACATTGACTTATCCTCTAGACACTTTAGATATCATGAATTCGCTTGCATGCAGGAGCATGTCGAAAGGAAATCAGTGCAAAAGTTTGTTCAAATCTGTGGCATCACACAAACGGCAATATTGGTTTTCGATGTAAATAGTAGTTATTGACTGTGGGTATAGGGCGGTCTATCGACTGGCTATGATATCGAAAACGAACAAAAAGAGTACAATCTCGACCTACACCAAGCTCATTATTGGAGAGGCCGCCACCATTTTGACTGAAACGTCGGGTATATTTCCTTCACATGTACCATGTCGTGCGTCGGCAAGCCGACGCTCAAATGCACACACAGTGCACTCATTCGTAATCATTACGAACGCTCAAGCTCTAGGCAGTAGGAGCGTCGCGAGGAAGCATGTCCTCCTGTCCAGCGGAGTTCTTCTCGCTGCTCTTCTTCTCGTTGTAGTCGGCGCCGGAGCCAGACTCCTCATCAGACTCGTCCATGCCGTACTCGCGGTTGTAGCGAGAGATCTCAGACTCTTCCATGACGGGAAGCTCCTTTGCGGCGAGGACGTAGCTCTTGTTCTCGAGGTAACCCTTGGCGAAGATGAGATCAATCTCCTCGAGGGAGCGACCGGAAGTCTCAGGGTACAAGAAGTAGATGATGGGGAAGAAAGAGGCGTTGAGGACACCGAAGAACAGGTATGTGTAGGCACCGATACCGTCGATCAGAACGGGTGTGATCATGACGATGAACTGCGAATGTTAGCAAAAGTACATTGACCTATCGAATGAGGTAAACTTACGAAGTTCCACAGCCAGTTGGAGATAGTAGAGGTCGCGTTGGCCTTCGCACGGGTCTTGATGGGGTTGATCTCGGCGGGGTACAACCAGGGCAGGGGCAGCCATGTGGCACCGAAGAATGCGATGTAGGTGAAGAGACCGACAGCGGCACCCTTGGCGGCAGATTCCGTGCCGGGGAGCAGGCAGCCGAAGACGAGGATCATAGACAACAACTGTCCAACGGTACCAATGAGGAAGAGCTTGCGGCGACCGACACGCTCAACGAGGAACCAAGACGTAGTGGCGAAGATGGAGTAAACGACCATGTTGATACCACCGAGGAGCAGAGCAAGGTTGTGGGTGGTGTTAAGAGCGTCCTGGAACAGAATGGGGAAGTAGTAGATGACAGCATTGCAACCAGAAAGCTGCTGCATCATCTGGGAGGAAGCACCCAAAAGCATGCGGCGGAGATGCTGGGACTTGCCGTTGGTAAGGACAGCGGAGAACTTGGTCTTGCCGCCACCTCCAGACAGGCGAATGGCATCCTTGATGATGTTCATCTGGACAGAGACCTCGGGGTCGTCGCGGGGGAGACCGTTCAGAGCAGCCATGACAGTAGACGCTTCTTCCTCACGGTGGTGGGTAAGAAGCCATCTCGGGGACTCAGGGAGCTGGGTCATCATGATCAGGACAATGACAGCAAAGACACACTGGAAAGCGATGGGGAACCTCCAGGTGAACTCGTCAGGGCCGTAAAGACATCCGTAGTCGATCCAGTAAGCAATCAACGTGCCAATAGCGACATTACCGCCCTCAATGCAGATAACCTTTCCGCGGTTCTTCGCACGGCAGCACTCGGCCTGGTAGGTAGGAATGGTCGAGGTGTTGATACCGTTGCCGATACCAGTGATGCAACGTCCAATGATGAACTGAGCAGTAGCACCGGCGTTGGGAGGTACTGCGGTAATCTGAATGAGGACACCAATGATCATAACGCTGGCGCCAAGGAAGATAGAGTTACGGCGACCAAGCCTGTCTCCAAAAGCGAAGATGAAGCAGGCACCGAGGAAACAACCAACAGCGTAGATGGCGACGACGAAACCCTCGTAGGTAGGATCGCCTTCAACCTGGGGGAAAGCTTCGACGAACGCGGGGGCGGAGATAATACCAGACATGACACCTTGGTCATATCCGAACAGCAGGAAGTCGGTGGTAGCAACGATTGTGATCAGGACTTGCAACATCCTTCCGGACTTGCCCCAGTAGGTGGGCACGCCCGACTCTGATTCTCTGTGAGGTGCCATGGTGAGGACTGATCAACGAAAGCTGGAGAGAGATGCTGGGGATTGTACGGCGGGGAGAGGGTCCTCCTTTAAGTGATCGTCTCAGATGCCACGAGCCAACCTTCGGTAACGTCTGGTGTGAAGGTAACGAGCAACGGTCCACATGGCCCCACAATTACCAGCATCGGTCTGACATGAGAAGTACACTAGATAACGAGTTTTACATTATCTCGGACTTGGCTGTGGTTGCATCGATCAGTGATGTCGCTGACGGCTGAGGCGTCAAATAAACAGTGGGTATAAGGCGAACCAAGCAGGGTCTGAGTGGATTCAGGTGCCTTGGGACCAATCTTGGACAGCAGCGGAGGACGCTTGGGGTAGAACAAGAGCTCGGCAACCAGCAGCTTTCGTCTTAGGCCGAGGCTCCTCCACCTTGCGTCATAGCCTCATCGATGGTCTCTGTCCCGTGAACTGGGGATTGCGGAGGGCCACTCGGTACGGAAGCCCGCCGACTTGCTCGCAATATCGGCGAATGGGGGATTTTCACTCGAAAACTTTCAAAGTGGCCACTCGCACTCGGCGCCTCCGTCTGTTGGCCGCTTTCCAGAACACAAACGGACGTCAGTCGATGCAGGTACAAAGACTTCGTTTGCGCTTGATCGCGGCATTGTACTGCAATTACTCGATAGCGTCCGATTTCTCACATGAAGCAGCGTTTGTTCGTCTCAACATCCCTCTGCTGACGTCACAAGCCGCCGACTAATGCCCATCCCATGCAGGGTCGAAACGACCGTGCGGTGTGCGGCTCTGCAGCCTCTTCATCTTGGCGCCGATCTTGTCCTACTTAACCCTTGGTGGTGGGGACTCAAGCCTTTTACTGGCGGCCGGTAAAGACTTTCTCAGAATTTGGCAACGCTACCGCGCCAATAGGACCAGTGATGAGACAGCTATCACGGGCAACAACGACGTCATTGCGGTGAAGAACCCTTGAAACGTTCAAGCGCTTGACAGCCACGATGGAAAAACTTGGTGTTGTTGTGAAGTTTTGGCTTGGGACCGTAACATCGCCTGCGCAAGCTGGGCGGTCTTCGTGCGCGGGTTGAAGAAGCCTGTCCATCGATCACAACTGGCGTGAGTATCGCTGATCATGATGTCTTAATGCACGCGTAGGGTTGTGCGAGACGGTTACTAACTAGCGTATGCGCCGGTCCACGGTATTTCCTAATTAGATCATCCGGGCAGGTGAGCCGCACCACCACGCATTCCTGTCACACGGGCAAGTGATGTCTATCTTCACCACTCTCAGCGACAACCTCGAAGTCTAATCACCAAGAACCGTTTGCGCGGCGTCAGCAGGCCTTCAGATGGATCCAGATGGATCTGGGGAAATGCTCGAAGTCCCAAAATCTCAGGACCCTGCAGACGACGAGTCCCACTCTAAAGGCTACAGCAACATCCTTCCTCCATCGGTTATGACGGCGTGTGCTGCAAGTATATCACGAAACTATGTCTCGACACCCCTGCCGGGCAGCTGGAGAATGTTTCTGAGCCTCTCGTTGGCTAGCGTTTGCTGTATCTAGTAATTTTCTCCACTATCGTAAGAGCAGCATCTCTCACCGTCTTTGCCAAGTGGCATCCCTTGGGAACGACATCCATACCTAGACAAGACTGTGCAGAGCCTCACTGACCGGAGCCAACCGCTCGGCATGAGCAACCGGTCGTTATCGTCCAAGGTGCCGTCCGCGGAATCCTTCATCGGCCAAGATTGAGGCTCAGAGAGCCGCTTCGGTGCAGCTTTCTCCGTCTGTTAGCGTTGCAGCTCAAGTGTCGCCGCCAAGATTACAGACGCAGGCGGCTTGCCTGATGGGTTCACATATTCTGAATGCTGAACAGCTGTCACTTGGCGATTACGATCATTACTGCGGTAGAAGTTCAACAATAGGCAGCCAAGAACGGACGAGACCTATCAAAAACCGCGCATACGATGCATCTTGGCCGCCTGGAATCGACACACCTGCCACATCGTGATGGTCACGTTCAATATCTGATTGGAGGGTGTCCTAAGTAATTTGGTGGTTTCCCAGTTGCATCGACAAGAGGCCTCAAGAATGAGCGTTGAAACAAGCACAAAGACAAGCACGCATGGACGGATAAACCACACAGGTTAGCTTTTCGTTCACGGAAACCTCTTTTTCCGACCCTCGGTAGGTCCTCCAGTTTCTCCGCGCCTTCGTGATATGAAATGTGGAGAGGTTCCAGTTTTCCACACCCCCAGCAACAACACTACCGATCGATAGTGACTGTCACAATTCCGTGTCTCAAGCAGGAACCCATGCCCATGTGATCACAATAGGCGCCCATACGCGGCAATTTCAGCTCTAGACAAACCTCTAACACGTGGGCGTGGAGCATTGAGACTAGGAACCTCCGCAACTCCAGGTTGACGTTCACGCGCCCACATACGACCATGGTGATCAGCAATGCATTGACTGGAAAGAGTGGACTCCTCCAGCATAGCGGAACGTAGCTCAAAGATCAACAGTGTTGGGCCCATGACTGATGTTGTCAACACAACTTACGTTCAGTCTCACATGTTATTACATCGGGCGCTTACTTACGTCTCCAGTCGCCCGTCTCAAACCTAATGTGATGGGACCGAAGGACATCCATACGAGTGCCATAGTCAAGTACTAATCAATCAATCTCATAAGTTACTATGAAGCAACTTCGTCTGCTCAGTCAAGCGACGCTCACAATTTAGCATTCGGACTCAACGCCTTCTGCGCCAATTCCAACACTCTCTCCGCCGTTCCCCAACTCGCCTGATACCCGGCTCCAGAATGGCCATATGCGTGTACAACCGGCACACTCCACTTCTGCCTCTCCTCCTCAATCTCGATTCTTGGTCCGCCCTTCCTCGATGCTGGCACACGTATTAGCAAAAGTCCGCGCGTCCAATTTGCACTTGTACTCACGGCGCAGCCCAATGTTTCGAGCGATGATCTGCAAGTTTTCTGGCTTCCCGAGTTCAGGGGCCAACTTGCACGCGCTCTCGAGAATCTGCGCTTCGAGCTCAGAATCCCATTCGTTGCTCCAGTTGTTGTCCTCACGACTGCCGCCCAGGATCACACCGCCGCCAAGGGTGCGGGGGAAGACGTAGGTCGTAGTTGGATCGATGCGCTTCGGCGAGCGATAGTACCTGTCCTTGTCAGTCTGTACGTGAACGCCCCGGAATCTCCGCATCCAGTGAGAGCTACAGATGCAGCATCTTCTGAGGAAAAGGGACAAACAATTGAAAACGGCTTACGTCCGCTCGTATTCGTACATTCTTTTCATGGGCGTTTTTGGCTCCGCAACCAGAACTGTCTGGCCGCGCGTGGGATACATGTTTGTATCTTTCACGTCTTCAAGCTTGAGTGCGCCGAGTCCTGTGGCGTTGAGCACAAGGCTTGCGTCTGGGTGTAATGCGAGTGCTTCTTTTATCGACTCGACCTGCCTCCGTTCAAGCTTGATACCCTTACTAAGAGCCTGGGACTGCAACCTAGACCTGCATCAGCAACGGCAAAACCACATCGTGACAATTACACAACATACCACTGCAAGTACACCTGCGTGTTAATCCTAAACGTACTCGGGAACTCCAGCCCAAACACGGCGCCCTCAGGCAACTGTTCAGCAGTCAAATCCTTCAAACCCCCCACCAACTCATCATACCAAATCCGCCCCGTCTGCGGCGTCAACAGATTCGTCTCCTCAATCGGCGCATCGAGCACAGCCCACATCTCCTGGCGCCCCAGGCCCGCCTCGTTCCCCTCGCCGCTCTTAACAACCTGACACCCATGCACCGGCTTGCCGTCCATAAGCTGGCCAAACCGGTGAAACGTGATCTCGTCGTATTTTTCCAACGGCCCGTTGTCGTTGGCCATGGACGACCAGTTTGCGCCCGCCCATGGTGAGGTGTACTCTATGCTGCGGTCGCCGGGGAAGTGCTTTGCGACAAGGGTAATCTTTGCTGATGGGTAGGCATGCGCCAGCACGAGGGAGGATGTAAGGCCTATGATTCCGGCGCCTAGGATGGCGATGTGTTGGGGGTCTGATGGTGCCATCTTGGCGTCGAGATGAGTGCTGGTTGATATGCTGTGCCAGGTGGTGTGGTGAGACCGTGATGGCGAGGATTCGGTCTGTCTGTGTCGGGAGATGGATAGTAGAGCACAGGCTATGGAAACTATTTATATGGCTTCTACGAGCAAGTCATGAAGTCGTGACTCGTCACTTGTGCTTGATGTCGCTCCGAATACCGCCAAGTCCGACGGGTGGCGGAAAACCACCGCTCACAACGCACCGGTGCTTCTCCTTTCTCCGAATGTCTGAGTGGACCTCCTGGAAGACGTTGTATGGAATTGAGTAGAGATCTTGATGCTCGGCGTCGAAGATGGTGTACTCACTATCCCATCGGAGTTGGAGATCCTTGATCGGTGTTCGAGGTGCTGGTTTTCGGAATGAGTGTAGAGATAAAGGGCGGTATCGGACCGTTCCCCGCATTGAGCGTTGAGGTTGCTGGAAAAGCGTGCTGCAAGTCGTTGATACTCTACAGCATCTACAACAGAGGCATTGGAATTAGATACTACAATGATTTGGAACTCAATACATATGTAGAAGACAACAAGTGTTTTGCTAGGGTAGCAAAGTAGTCTTGGGGTAGCTGGGTACCTCCCAGCTATGCCGTATTGCTTGAGCAAAATATTAACGTCCGAACATTGATAGATCGTGAGAGTAATGAGGGGTATCTGCGTAAGAATATGAAGGGTATGCACAAGAGACCGGAAACTGCCTAAACTCGCACAAAAAAGTAGAATATTCCCAAAAGACAGAAGACCAACCACGCTTTTTCAACTTTCAAGCACGAATCATGGAAGAGCCAGCAAATTCCCTAAGCAGAGCCCTTGATAAACCAATCTGAGCTGGCGTCCACCATATAGTTCGTGATATTCGATTCATTCCCGTAGCCTCCCTCGGCCATCTGGAGATTACTGTTATCTGCACTTGTAGGATATGCTGTTATTGTGTCCATCGAAACTGGAAGACGAGGCATGTTGAAGAAGTCAAAGACGTCCAGGTACTCCAATTCGTTCGGTGCCGGCGTGCGAGCCGGTGTAATAGAAGGCATTCCAGAGCCAGCGGCGCCGTCAAACTTTGGCTGGCGTGCGATCAGGAAATCGAGATCGAATGCGCATCGTCGCATATCAGCCAGGATCTTGACCGTCGAAGGCGTCACTCGCTCACCACCCATACCGGCGTTTTGCTGCGACTCTTGGTATTCTGACAGGACGCGAGACAGAAGGTTTCCATAGCGCGCGGCCACCTCCCAGTATTGGCCAAGGTCTTGAAGGGTGCTAACCAAGATGTTGATTGAAGTATCGACGCGGTGATCGATTGTTGAGCCATGCACCAGAAGTACACGCGCTGCGACCCAACAGGAAAACGCAAATGGTGGACCAAGCTTGTTCAATAACGCATTGTCGCGGACTGAAGCGCACAACGCTGTGATATTTTCCACGGCGCTCAGACACCGCTGGCTGGCACTGAAAGAAGGCGTGAAAATGGGTGAACGATGCGTTGGATATGCCGCCGAAGAGTGGAGACGAATGACGGTTCTAGAAGAATTAGCCTGAGCTCAATGTTCGGCTGCTTGAACTTACGTATGGAAGGCAGCGTGTAACATGACCAACCCACTGTTGAGCGGTGGGTTGGCGCCTGGTTTGGAGAACAGCCTTGCTGAGTTCCCATACTCAGCAGGCAGATTATATTTCCATTGCTCAATCGCATTGTCGAGCTCTCGATACTCACTCTGCCACTTCTCGACATCGGAAAGAGACGTGATATCTACCGGCTTTTTCAGGAACTTGTGAATGCGAGTCAGGATCCCAAGAATCTCCACGTAGTACGAGAAGGAGCCCAGATTTTCGGGTCGATTCATGCTGTAGTCCGTCCTGGTCTTTGTGTGGAACCATCTGGTTTCGATCGGAACGTTGCGGGCATAAAGATCATCTCGACAGGGAAGTCGGCGATCGATCTCGCTCTCGTCCAACGCAAATTCAAACGCAGTTGCTACCGTAGCATTGCGATCGAGGACATAGATCATCCAGAACAGCCTGCGGCGGCTCTCTTCTTCGATCCAATCCTTTGGGACGGGGAGTACGTTCGCGCGCAATGTGTAGATCGACGCATACTGTGGCGCAACCATTGGCGAATATGTTTCCATAGACAGCCCTAGCTGCACCACAGATCGTGTGATGAGTGCAAGCAGATTCCACCCTGGGGGCCCATTCGAGCCGCCAACCACGTCAAGCGCGAGAATGACGAGCGCTTGTAGAGACTTGACAGAGCTGTTCTCAATGCCATAGAGCAAAACCTTCTCCTTTGAGTTCTTGTGATATCGCGCTCGCTTATCAGGAGTCAATCGCTGATCGGTTGAGAATTTGACGGTAGTGGCCACGACGGAGTGCAGGATTATACGGTCCGCCTCATCCAAACTCGAGTCGCCAAACAACGAATTGAGCGTTGACTGACGGTGCAATATGGGACACCAAGGATATATGTGCTTGAAGAACAAATCAACCAGACCATACAGGAGATCGTACGGTGGGAAATCAGCATCAGCCTGACCTAGCGCTCTCGACATGGACGGCGCAAATTGGTCTGTGCTGAACGGTGTGTATCCATCCCGTTGCAGGCCTCCCAGACCAGATTGCATGTCCTCAGAGTAGCCATTGCCTGAGATTGACGCGGATCTGGCGTCTAACGTGTTACCGTAGCCATTCTGTATCGCGTTTTGGGATGGAAATGTCGACTGCGGTTTCTGTATGAAGAGCGCAGTCTCCGGGCGCGGGATGTGGGGCGTCTGAATGACTGGGGGGCTCCGAAAAGTGGCCACTTCTTGCGGGGATGGCCCTGATGCTGCGATTTGGGTGTGCGACAGATGGTTGATCTGCGACTGCTGCTGCACAAGGAGGGATTCGAGCTTGTCCAGGCGTGCCTCTACTCCAAGTCAGCCAACCGACAACTAAATCAACACGGATGTCGGTGCATGGGCTGCGCCGCGACGGATGATGGCGGGAGCTCAACTCACCGAGTTCACGCCCATAGCCAGCTCTGAGTCCAGGCTTCTTGCGCGGCAAGTAAATCTACAGGTAAATGTCAGTCGAACGTCTCTGCTGTCGTGTGACCTCAACTTACACATGTCGAGTGATTCTTCAGACACCAGCCACCTGCAAGACCCCAGTCAGCACAAAATTGTGGTCAACATAATGAATCGCGATGCACTTACATGCCGGGTGGCCGCGATCGCACTTAACTTTGCGTTGCTTGCACGTCTCGCAGCTGACGCTCAACTTCTCGCGTTTGCGCTTCGAGCCGGTTTGACTCCTCCCACCGTCTTCGCCGCTCTCATCCTCGCCAGCGCTCCAGGGTTCGGGATCGTCGTCGCCTGGGGAATGGTGAGACAATTTTGACGTTCCGTTGGGACTGACATCCTGGTTGTGCGCAGTGTATGCGCCGTTGGCAGCTGTCGCATCCATTGTTGGACAAGGCAATGGGAGCGCGCTCGCTGAGCGTGAACTCGGTCTACCTTTCAACCGATTTTGCCGAGGTTTTGGGCGGGGTTATTAGTTTTTGCGGCTTCCCCAGATTTTGTATTCATTAATTAGCCTCATTACTGCGACGTGTGATTGGCAGAGCGGCCGACCTCGTGCTCAGCTGATCCGCGAAACCCACTTAGTTGCTGTTTCGAATTTCCAGTGATCAGATGCCGAGAGCACTACCACGTCCACCGCCCAAGGCCGCGCTGCGCCCGGTCGCGGAATGGACGCACCGCGTAAGAGTTCTTCGCAGCGAGCTCGTCGTTTGGGCCGAGATTTTTCCCACTACCGCCGTCTCGCAACAAAGCTCTACCGATTTCCCAGCAGTCCACCTGATTAAGCCATGTATTTAACAGCGCTCTGTCCTCGGCCTCTCAGGCTTCACCGACCCCTCACTTCTGCTGTGCCGTGATTCTGCAGTCGCATCTTCCTTCACAATGCCTTCCTCTACCCCAAGCAGCTCCGTGAAATCGTTCCCTACGATCAAGCATGTGCGCACCTTCCTCACTCAGGGTCCCGGATCTGGTGGCGACTACCACAATGTGCACGGCGGCCATTGGTTGATCGACAGCAAGATCTCGACTCCCATGTCACAGTACGAGAAGTACAGGAAGTCCAGGACAAGCTGGGGTATCAATGTCCTCGGTTCTTTCTGCGTTGAGCTCGAGGCCACAGATGGCACCAAGGGTTTCGCAACTGGCTTCGGTGGCCCCCCAGCTTGCTGGTAAGCTTACAATTGCATTAATCCACGAAGTCAGCTGACATGTGATAAAGGCTGGTCGCAGAGCATTTCGAGCGTTTCCTGGTGGGCGCCGACCCCAGAGATACCAACTACTTGTTCGAGCAGATGTACCGCGGAAGCATGTTCTACGGTCGCAAGGGTCTCCCCATCGCCGTCATCTCCGTCATCGATCTTGCTGTCTGGGATCTTCTGGGCAAAATCCGCGGCGAGCCGGTCTACAAGATGATTGGTGGATCTACACAGGAGAATGGCAGGCTCAACTTCTACTGCACTGGTCCTGAGCCACTGGCAGCGAAGGAGATGGGTTTCTTTGGTGCCAAGGTCCCCCTCCCTTATGGACCTGGTGAAGGCGTTGAAGGCATGAAGAAGAACGTCGAGTTCCTCACTAAGCACCGTGAGGCCGTCGGACCAGACTTCCCTCTCATGGTCGACTGCTACATGTCCTTGACTGTTGCTTACACAATTGAGGTTGTCAAGGCCACCGCACACCTGAACCTGAACTGGTGGGAGGAGTGCCTCAGCCCCGATGACACTGAGGGTTTCGAGCAGATCAAGCGTGCGCATCCCGGCCAGAAGTTCACTACTGGAGAGCACGAGTACTCGCGATATGGCTTCCGCAAGCTGATCGAGGGTCGCAACCTCGACATCCTTCAGCCTGACGTTATGTGGGTGGGCGGTATGACCGAGCTCCTCAAGATCGCCGCCATGGCATCTGCCTACGACATTCCCGTCGTTCCTCACGCTTCGGGGCCATACTCATACCACTTTGTCGTCTCGCAAGCCAACTCTCCCTTCCAGGAGTACCTGGCCAACAGCCCCGATGGCAAGTCTGTCCTGCCCGTCTTTGGCAACTTGTTCACCAACGAGCCCATCCCCAACAAGGGATATCTCGATGTCAAGGACCTCGACCTCCCCGGTTTCGGTCTGGAGCTGAACCCCAATGCCGGCCTTATTGATGCGGCGCGCATTCTCAACCCCGCACCTGTCAAGGCTTTGAAGTCTGCTGAGGAGCAGGACGCTCAGGCCAACGGCACCGTTAACGGTCACTAGAGAATGGGTTTCTTTCGCAACGGCGTTTGGGTCGCATATGAGACATGGTTGGCGTTGAAGAAGCACGTTACGTTGCTGTGCGGCTAGGCGTTTTGGATTGGGCAGCTTCGCATTTGTAATGCCTAGGTCAGCAATTACGAGAGTATGAGTTCCTGTCGAAAGACTATTATGCAGATCATGTTCAATCAAAAACATTCATAAAGAGTCGCCTCGGATTGTTATTTTTAGTTTCGTGATGATCTTCAGGGCCCCATGACGCTATCCCTGTCTCACACCGCCCGAGTGAGGTACAGTACTCAGAGCAGACCACGGACTCAAGGGCTTCAGAGATGGTGTATACACAATGCGCCCTCAACATCAAGATTAAGACGTTCGTAGCATAGTACCGCATACTGAAGTTGCAGTGGAATTAGCGTGACTGCTGAGCTGTTCGTGTCGTGGCTGCCCGCCCCTCATGCATGGGGACGCGGTGTGCGAAGTGGGGCAACATTAAGTAGGCGCAGCCAGCTCATTCTCTGTCAGTTTCCATATAAACAACCATTCCCCTGAAGACATCAGCGTTACTTAGGTTGCTGTAACTGCCATTCCATCCCTTGATACCCCGCTACACAAGTACCCCGCCTTTATTATGGAAGCCATCAAGAACACCGTCAACGAGGCTCTTGAGAAGCTCAACCTCACCGGTGGCGCGCAGGGTGCCCCGGCGAAGGAGCCTTCTGAGGAACAGCTGAACGAGCTCAAGTCCAAGTACGAGAAGGCTGGACAAGAGCAGGTGTTCGCTTTCTACGACAAGCTCAACACCGCAGACAAGGCCGCCCTTTTCGAGCAGCTCTCCAACTTCAAACCCGACTACATCAACGAGATCACAGAGAGAGCCCTGAAGCCTGTACAAAGCGAGTCTACCGAGACAAAACTCGAACCTCTCCCCGAGAGCGCCACATCCTCGACCCTCGACACACAACAAGATGACTTGGACAAGTGGTACAACAGCGGTCTGGAGCTGATTGCTGAGAACACAGTCGCCGTTGTCCTGATGGCTGGTGGCCAAGGCACACGATTGGGCTCCTCAGACCCCAAGGGCTGCTTCGACATTGGTCTTCCTAGCAAGAAGTCGCTGTTCCAGCTCCAGGGTGAGAGGATCGCGAAGGCTGAGCTGTTGGCCAAGAAGAAGCACGGCAAGGACAGCGTCACCATTCCGTGGTATGTTATGACCTCTGGTCCCACAAGGAAGCCCACAGAAGCCTTCTTCGAGAAAAACAACTACTTCGGCCTCAAGAAGGAGAATGTTGTCGTTTTCGAGCAGGGTGTTTTGCCCTGCATCTCAAACGAGGGCAAGATCCTGCTCGAGAGCAAGTCCAAGGTACGTCAAACGCAATAGTCAAAATCCTTTCCGTGCTGATGATCCCAGGTCGCTGTGGCCCCTGACGGCAACGGTGGTCTTTACCAAGCTCTTATTCAGTCCGGCGTTGTTCAGGATATGGGCAAGCGCGGCATTAAGCACATCCACGCTTACTGCGTCGACAACTGCCTCGTCAAGGTTGCCGACCCCATCTTCATTGGCTTCTCTGCCTCCAAGAACGTCGACATCGCTACCAAGGTTGTTCGTAAGCGCGACGCGAAGGAGTCTGTAGGTCTTATTCTTCAGAAGAACGGCAAGCCAGATGTTGTCGAGTACTCGGAGATCGATAACGAGACAGCAGAGGCGAAAGACTCGAAGAACGCCGAGCTTCTTAAGTTCCGTGCTGCTAACATCGTCAACCACTACTACTCATACAAGTTCCTTGAGAGCATCCCTGAGTGGGCGAAGAAGCTGCCCCACCACGTTGCCCGCAAGAAGATTCCGTACGTCAACACCGAGACAGGCGAGACAGTCAAGCCTGAGAAGCCCAACGGCATCAAGCTCGAGCAGTTTGTGTTCGACTGCTTCCCCTTCCTCAGTCTCGACCAGTTTGCCTGCATGGAGGTCAAGCGTGAGGATGAGTTCTCGCCTCTCAAGAATGCACGTGGCACTGGTGAAGATGACCCGGATACATCCAGGCTTGATATCATGACTCAGGGTAAGAAGTGGGTACAGGCTGCAGGCGCGACCGTCGTCAGCGAGGACCCCAAGGCAGGAATCGAAGTTTCACCGTTGATCTCATACGTAAGTGACCGTGAACGCAAGAAACTCTACTACTGAGTGCATATTTGGATGCATGCTGATAACATCAACAGGGTGGCGAGGGCCTCGATTTCCTCAAGGAGCGCACCATCAAGGCACCAGCCGTCATTGAGTCCGAGGATTAGGAGAACCAAAAGACATGGCATGAAGGCGCTGTTGTCCATCTAGAAGAGCACAACTGGCGTCACACAGGCCCTGGCGATTTGCTGATGCCAAGGTCGATGCCTCTCATCAATCCTGTTAGAGATGATGACCGGCCTCAATCGACTGGTCCACCCAAAAAGATGTGGGATTGAGACGAACTAGAAATGTATGCATACAGCCAGTTGAAGGCTTAAGTCCCTCAGTGACTCCAAAAATATTTCCAAGGACCGTGCGTCATTTCATAGTATACATGATGTTACTTTGAAGACAATTTTCCTCTCTTGACCCTCAAATTCTACATCCTGATTCACTTAGTACATTGCAAAGGGGAAACGAGTTCTCAGCAAACTTAAACGAGAGCCGCTGATAGTTTCCTGGGGCCAGCACAGCGCTCGAAACGCCTGACAGAAGCGTGTTTGTAACGCTCGTGAACATCGAAGCTTTGAGGGGTTTACTTTCTTCTAGGGCGTCTATATGTCAATCTCAAAATTTAGCAAACACCGAAGCCCACCTAAACAACAAAGGTATGGATTAGTATAGGGAAGGAGCTGTTGACACATTGCCAGTCTATGAAAGCACATTGACAACTCCTTGGAAGAATCTCAGCCCCGTCGATGATACTACGGTGTTGGACTCCACGGATCTGGACCCCAGGCTGTATCCTTGTCCAATTCTGCGTCAATTTCCCTTATGAAATCAGGCGTCAGAGGTCCCGCGGGCGCTGGCTGGGCCGGAGGAATGCTTGCCACCCAGTCAGGCAATGTTGGTGTCGGAAACCTTATCAGTGGTTGCGGATCCCTCGCGGGTTCGAGATCTAAGTCAGCAAGAATGCAGGCTGGTAGTCTCGCGCGAGGCCTTACGGACCGTTCGTCTCCAATGGCCCCGAGCGGATTGCGTCCCGGAGCGGTGTTGGTGAGAGGACTAGAGGGCCCAGGGACGGCCCCTACAGCGGATTCCTGAGTGGGACTGGAGGCAATATACGTATATGGACGCGATATGTGCGTGTTCTGGGCCTGCTCCAGGTGCTGCGAGTTGTCTTCGGCAGCCCCCGTGGCGCTCATGGGAGGCTTGGAGGGCCCAGAGACGCTCTCAACAGCGGACGCCTGATTAGGTCTCGGAGCAACATACGTATTTGAAGACGATGCGTGCGTACCCTGCACATGCTGGTCCCGCTCCTGGGGAGGACTTTTGAAGTCAACGATGCGGCTGATATCGTACTTTCGACTAGGCTTGGGAAAAGCAATCGTAGACTGATCCGATGCGGACGCGTCCTGCACGTGCTGAGCTTCCTCCGGGGGCTGCGAGTCGCCCTTTTCGTCCTCCACCTGCTTATGCTGAGACCCGCCGGTGGTATACATCTCCGTATGCTGAGGAATGGCGGCGGCATGTGTCCCCCCATACCGAGGCACGCTAGCGGTGTACGTTTCCGTATGCTGAGGCATGGCAGTGGCATACGTTCCCACATGCTGAGACACACTGGCAGTATACGTCTCCATATGCTGAGGCACGGCGGCGACATACGTCCCATCAAGCTGACGCATGGCGGCGGCCTGCGTCTGCGCATACTGAGCAATGCTGGCGGTATGCGGCTGCAGTTGCGACTCATGAGTATGGGCGTGTGCTGCCTCATTAGTGTTGAACCTGGCGAAGCGGCCCCTCGCAACTCTTTGCGGCCGAATGAATGGTTGCCTCCCACGGGCTATCTCCTGGGCCAGGACGCCGGGCGAATTCTGACAAAACTCCTGCATGCGCTCGAGTTCACGGGCGGAGAGAACGCCGTTGACGGTGGTGGTGTGTTGTTGACCATTGGAGAGGTAGGTGATATCAGTAGACATGGTTGTGGAGTTGGTGGGTATTATGGTGCTGGATATTCGTTTCAATAACTATGGGTGCTGCGATGCTGGGTACTGGAAACTGTGTGCTGAATATTTGCTTAGACAATTCAGAATGCTATGGTGTTGGCTGGATGCTGGCTGCTGGACAGGACGACACTGGGCTGCTTGCTAAAGTACTGGATGCTAAATATTCAGGTGGGAATGCTAATATTGTCAGTCGCCAGAGAGCAATATATCTTATACAGACTAAGGAACTATTGGGACTGTAACTGTGGTTCTCTATTTCAGGGTCCACTGCTCGAGTGCTAAGGTCGATATCCCACAACATGTTACGAGACTACTGATACTGATTTATTCAGAAAATTGAGCGCAGATTAACATGTTGTAGGCTACGCATCATCCTTTTTATGAATCTAAAACGCATTTTAGGCACTTAATTATATTGACCATGTGCCGAATAGGCACATAAAGTGATCCGAACACAGATCTATGTGACAAATTATTCGCTCGATCGGTTCGCATGAACAGCCATCGCAGTCCCTTTCGCCACGCAAATTTCTGGTACCATAGTATCCTGTCTCTCCCCACCCTCTTCTTCTTCGGCAATCACTTGCTTCGGACGCTTTCGAAGGCTTTCAAGCGGATGGAGGCCGCACTCTAGCCGATCTGTCGAGTAATAACAGCCCAGCTCAGACATACAATAGCCCTGATCTCTAAGCCACTTACACTGATCTCTGCAGGCTTCGACTAAGTAGGCGTGGACTTGTCGAGCTTCGGACAGGGTCACAGGGTTGGGCTTCTTGGGATAAAGCGTACGATACGTACGGAAATCAAAGTAGTAGCCCACGTGTCGAAGCGTAATCCCTCGGAAAGCATGTTGCTGCAGACGGTTGATGACTAAGTACTGGAGGCTTCTGACGCCCATCAGTACGTTCAGAACGTTTCTCCATGACCCCCTGTAAAGTGTCGCTCCACTCGCCGTGAATCCAGTGAGACTGGATGAGTGGTTCTGAAGGAAGACAATTAAGGATGTCTCGCCCACAGTGGCGTTCTTCAGCGTAAAGACCTTCAGATTCGGGAACACATGGCTGCAGAAGTATGTTACAAACACTGTATCCAGCGGACAAGTGTGACACACGTTGGGCGAATAATACCCAATATCGTTAGCTCCAGCGGCCGCCCAACTCCTCGCAAAGCCGTCAGAGCTACGTCCGGGAACGGAGTATCGAACGGTGAGGGCCCTAAGCGTCGGAGAAATTGCATTCACGATGTTCCGAAGGCCAGGAAGCCAGGTGCCACAAGAAGGGTCGTGGACATAAGGGTTGCCGGCTCCCCATATCGTTTGGTGGTCAAGGCAAAACGACTGGACTCCGAGGTGGCCGAGATCCAGCCATTGTCTCTCCATCAAATCGCGTTTGTCCGCCCCCGGTGCGGTAACCACCATCGTGAGGTTCTCTTTGTAGCCGGTGTCCAGCACTGCCGTCATAAATGCTTCGCCTCCGGCCCATCTTTCCGCGTGTATAGGAGATTTTGCATGACGGAGAACGTGAAATATCCTGGTCAGGATGTACACAAGTTCTGGTGATTTCTCATACTCTATTCTGTTCTGGTAGGAGAAAATCCGTGCTTTGTGAAAACTGATCTGCCTGATCTTCGAGAGTAGCCAGGGGTCCTTGGCGATATGCAGCAGAACAGCTAGACTGCGAGGTTCCAGCGAGAATCGTGCAAGCGGAAACTGATTCTTGTAGGTGCTCACAAAGATTCTTCTTGTGACTGTGTGTAAGTGATGGCAAGTCAAGCGTAGGTCTCGAAGGAGAAGCAACCGTGTGTCTCTGCGCGTGTACCAGGTGCAAATGGAGATATAATCGTAGTCCTCGGCACAACATATCATTTCCACGAGCTCCGTGGGGAGTCGGAGGAAGCCTGGCATGGGCATCGTGTTGGAGATGTGGGTAGACTGGTACAACAAAAGAGTAAGTTGAGGGTTGTTGTGGTAAGAACATCGGCTGTCCAACTTGCAGGAAGGAGGTATTCAAATCTTCATGCTATCCAGGTGGAAAGTGGTTCGATGGTTCCTGGCAATTGGTACCGGGACCCTGATCCTTCCCGTTACTTGCGAGTAGGAACAATGCCTCGCCCCCGACTGAACATTATCGATGCACCGAACAATGCCGTATTGTACAGCTGGTGGTGATCTGAGAACTCCTAAGATTGACCACCTTCGAGTGTTTCAGGCAGAACCCTGCGCTGCTGAACTCTTGCTGTAGATTGTGCTAGGTATTTGACTTCGACAGTATAATTGGGTCCGATGCACGCCTCTGCGATGCCTTTCGATACCTTGTATCGTAGTCGCAGCGCTTCGTACGCAGCCGCGTCAGTCGGTGTAAGATTCAAGCCAAGCTCTGCTGTGGTTGCGTTGCATGCGCTCCACCACGACTCAAAGCATGAAAGCAAATAATGGCATACCTCGTGATGCATCGCGACGGACGCTGTCGCAGACTTGGGCATCTGCCTTGTCTGCTGCGCGAGATATGCTATTTGCTCGACGAGGTCGTCCAGGTATTGCCCGGCTTCTGTAGGCGAAGCAAAGCGGAGCTCTGCAGTAGAGAAGGTGAAATGATCGACTGCTTTGAAGCGTGAATTGGACCAAAAGTGCGCGGTCTGGTACTGGAGTCGAGTAAAGAACTGGGTCAGTATTGAATCTTGTCCTGGTGCGCCAGGATCCTGAATAAGTCGCTTCGCAATGTGCGCGCCAGTCTTGAGATGGACTGAAGCTTCCTGGAACCGGCCACGTAGGAGGTTTAGTAGAACGAAAATGGAGCACATGGTGGCTGCAATGAACCACTTGGATTTCGAGGTCTCCTCCTTGCCATCAAGATGACTCTGTAGACCTCTGAGAGCACTTCCATAATGTTTCAGGAGGAAAGTTTCAAGAGGGTCGGGCGGCAGTCCATCCCGTGCACGATTTTCTGGATCGAGCACATGTCTCTTATGAGCAGCGCTCAAAGCAAGAAGTGCTTGTAGTATCATCGGCTCATTGGCTGTAGCTTGCAGGATCATGGGGTCCCAGAACGGAGAATTGAAAATGCGCGGCGGTGTTGTTGCGGTGCCATGTATGAACCATTGAAGATAGATTTGCTCTTCGGATGTGACACGCAGTCCTGAGGTCGATATTGTGCTACGATGAATAGTGTTCGCTATCGTCGTATGGGCGAGTCGAGTAGCTAACGGTGTCGAATGCTTCGTATCTCCGTTGGCTGCGCCTTCAATAGCACCTCCACCGCCCCAAACCCCATACCCGTCGCATATTTGACCCAATTTCGAGCATTTCCGGCATACTGGGAAAGTTTCGTCGCATTTGACGCGCCGAAGCTTGCATGTCCGACAACCAGTTCGGACCTTTCGATGTTGTTTTCGCGGTGCTGACAGCATTGCAGAATAGTATCCGAATTCCACATGAGTTCTTCACCGAATGGATCCGAGAGAGCTCAAGTAGTTACCTTCTTACGACTAGAATCTGCTGGAACAGGTCTTGAACCAAGCCGAATCCTGTAAGCGCTAGGCTTATCCGAGACATAAGCTCGCTGCAGTCATCAAGGCTAGAGATTTCGATCCAGAACGAGCAGCCATTTAGAGATACTTTAACAATGCGTAGAGATGTTTTAAGTTATATGGACTAGACCTTCCCGCGTGTTTGGTATAGTGCAGAGCGTGATAGCCATCGGTGGTTATGCAAAAGCATCGGCCAGTGTTCGTTTCGGTGTATCGTCTCGGGTGCAGGATGAACTGATTGTGTAACTTTGTCATCACCGATCAATGTCAATGTAGTCATGAGAGAAGCCTACCGGGCACAGAAAGAAGGTATAACAGCGTTGGTATTGGCCCGTGCACGGTTGTGCTTACGAATCTGACTGCACTTTGGTACCACACATCGTTTCGACAAGAAACGTCACAGATAGTGTACCAGAAAGTGCAACTTGACCCATTTGATTTAGAAGTGTTGCTACCAGAAGCAACGCCGGTAGCAGAACTATGCGCCTCGTGCATTGACTGACACTTCCCCTCAGTCAGCGCAACAGCACTTCGATTGCTCGTCTTCTTCTTTTCATACATTATCATATACCTCCGGGAGTACCTAAAATACCCCCCAGGCTGATATAATCCCGAGATGATTGTCCGGGTGCCAGCACGATGCTTGGCATCCGATAGTACTACTCGACTGTACCATCCAATGGGATGAGGCGGTTCCGCTACCGGATCAAGTCAGAAGCTTCAGTTGGTCTGACTGGAGTGCTGCACGGTGAGCTGCTCAGATCAGGCTTCGAAGCAAATCACTGTCTCCTGAGTGTGCAGACAGACGAGCAGTCCCAACAGACACCTGTCGTACCCACCGACCATCGGTCAACTCCGACTGTCGTGGAAAATTCTCAAGTAAGATTTTCCCAACTGTGCATTGGCTAACCACATTTGGAAATTTGAGGGCGGACTTGGCCCTTCGCAAGGGCGGTAATGGCGTGCAAATGGCGGCTGATGGCGATGGGATCCACACATGGAATTCAATAAGAGGCACGCGCAGCCTGTCAACAAACAATCACACATAAGGGTACAAATTTGAATGTAGAACGATTGCTTCATGTTTCACTACTCTACTTGGTTGGGTATACGCTCATCGACAGACAACTAACATTACATTTTGGATCCTCAACGGAGGACTTCCATACCGCGAAACCCCTGCTACTCTCGAGCATCTACGAACCAGACGAGAACCTCTCCTGGTCAGTGACGACCAGACCGGCAATACTGGCACTGGACAGTGTCGAGAAGACACCGGAGATGAGGGCAGACATGGCCAGACGAGAGACATCACCACTACGGCCAGGGCTGATCTGGCTGAGCACACCGATCTGAGTACCGAGCGAACCAATGTTACCGAAACCGCACAGGGCGTAGGTGGCAATGAGACGGGATCGGGGAGAAAGGGAGTGGTACTCGGAGTCGGGGTCGTCGTTGGACTGGAGGTAGGTGAAGGCAACGAACTCGTTGGTAATGACCTTGACACCGATGAGGCGACCGACCAAGAGCAAATCCTTGCCTTGGCGAGATACACCGAGCAGGAAAGCAATGGGGTAGAAGAGGTATCCGAGAATGAGCTCAAGGGTGAGGTCGTACTCGCCATCGAGGTTGATGTAGCGTCCCCACCAGGTAAGAAGACCGTCGATCAAGCTCAAGAGCGCAATGATACACAGAAGTGTGCAAATGATCATACCGGCGATCTTGATACCGAGCCAAGCACCGTTAGCGAAGGCGTGGAGAGCGTTGGCAGCCTTGTGCTCGTCATCGTCGGGAATGACGACACGTCCAGCGGTGAGGGACTCCTCCTCTTCGGGGTAACGAAGCTTGGACAGAGCGAGCGAGGCGGGGATACTCATGACACACGAGGAAATCAGCGCCTGAGCGTTCAGTCCCATGCCGATGTAAGCAACCAAGACGGAACCAGCGATGGTAGCGAAACCAGAGCACATGACCTGGTGAAGCTCGGCCATTGTCAAATGGGCAACGAACGGCTTGATCAACATGGCAGATTCACCCTGACCGATGAAAGGCGAAGCGGACGCGACGACAGCCTCGGCACCGGAAACGCGCATCGACCAGAAGAAGAAGACGGCGAATTTTCCAATGAACCACTGGATGGTACCATAGTAGTACAACAGCTGGACGAACGACACGAAGAAGATGATGGCCGGGATGACACTGGTGAAGAACCAGTGGAGCTCGGGCACAGAGTCGGCAGTGAGGAAGACAACACCGTCGTTGGCGAACCCAAGGAGCAGACGAGCGAGCTCGGAGATGAAGTTGAAAATGTCGAAACCAACGCCAGTCCTCAGGACGAAAAGAGCGATGATGAACTGGACGAGCATACCGACAATGACGGTGTGCCAGTTGATCGCCTTCCTGTTGCGGGAAGTAGCCCAGAAACCGAAGATGAACACACCCAGACCGAAGAGGGAGACAACACGGTTGACACGTGTGTTGTCCTGGCTCTCCTCACTAGCCATGGAACCGACAATGATAACGGCAATGGTAAGCAGGCCACCGGCAGGAACGCGAAGCTTCTCGGGAATAAGCTCTCCAGCTCGCACTCCAGTGTTCTTCCAGACCCAGTGCATGGGTCGGGTAACGTATGTGATGGGGATGTGGCACGTGATCAGACGGATCATGATGGCCAACCAGAACAAAAACGGAATAACCCAGTTCTTGTCATTGCGGTGGACGACAACAGACGCAACCCACCATCTAGAAATGTCAGTTTCAATCGCTCGTAATGCATGATAGCACACGGTAAGGCTCACCCAGTGAAGAAGCAGCCAATGAAGATGTGCACAGGCAGCCTGAATCGCCTGTAGAGGACAGACGGCGACCACTTGCTCTTCTTCTCCTCCTCGGGCTCTGGGTCGGTGGAGCTACCCCGCGTGCCCTTCTCTTCGTAGTCGACATCGGCGTTCTTCTCGTACACGCCCTGCTCATGGAGACCATGCTTCTCAGGCAGGCGGTGGTGCAGACCGTGATCTTGCGCACTCGGGTCAGGAATGGTGCTCTTCTCGTCAGTGGTTCCAGCCGTGTACGCAATGTGGTCGTCGTGAACCGCACGCGGGCTGTGGTGCGTGTGCTCATGCTGGTGTTCCCGGGACGTGTGAAGAGCCAGGTCGTTGCTGGGCACCACACCCTGCTGGGCGGACGCGTTGTGCTCGTGCATGTGGGCCATGTTGAAAGCGGGCACAAGAGCAGTTCCTGTCAACGACGTGAATTGAGCGAGGAATTGTTGGCTGAAGGCTCGGACAGGTCGGCCACGACGGGAATTATATTTTCGCAGTGCCCTGCGCTACCACCAAAGTGGAGGGCATCTATCCACAGCCGGCCCAGACTACAACCTCGATTCCCCGTCCGCATTGCCCTTGGCAACTTCCTCTTTGGATCTGGCCGGAGCGTCGAGGATTGATCGTTCATTGGCCCCCGGTCATCTCCGCTCTGCCCAGGGTCTTAAGGTTTGTCTCACGCGACGCTCACTCGCTGCTGCACCAGCGGGCGGCCTTGAGTCGAATTCACCAAGCACCGGCGCTTTTACCATTATTTTGCAACGTTGACCAGGATTGTTATCTTTCCCCAGTCCGGATAGACGCGGTTCAGCCAATAAGAGGCCCGAACGTGCTGTCAAAAGGCTTGGCCCGTGATAAGCGGAGGCGAAAGTACGCGGGGCTTCGGCTGAGGCGCCATTCTTGGAAAGGTCTATTTTCTGGAAGGGATTGCCTGCACTTCACTTGGATGGATACTCTCGTGGTCCCCGAGAGCGAACGCTCGTGAACCCGACGAGGCGGGCGCCCTGCAGCAGAGCAATATCCAGAACAGTGGCCTGCAGCAACCTGAGACCTGACACGGGAGTGCAATAACAGTGCACAGTACAACGTCCTTGCAACTCAAAGCATTTTTGATGTGCGGTGTGGCAAACCGTCTGCGTCGATCCGCAAAAAGTCGACATTAGTTCGGCGCCGGTGGGCCATCATCATCGCCCCTATCGACAAGCAGTTTCCACATGCAACGCCATGTAAGAAACGGTGGGCGCCATCATCTTGGATGCTTCGAGTCGCTGTTCTCGAAGCTATCAGCGAACCTGGCTTTGGCCAAGCGTCTCCAGCATTCCGATAACCAGGTTTACGCTAGCCCAATGCTGCCATCATGCGCGCGGGTGTGCAGTGCTGCAGATGATGGAAGCCGGGGAAGCCTTATCACTGCGACGCTTGCAGGCAGTTGCGCCGTCCTCGAATGGCGGAGATCGCCTGCTGTTACATTTTTACCAGAAACTTAGGAACGCCAACGCGCCATGTGGCGGTTCGATAGAGCTTGTCTGTACGACTTCCAGCAATTCGATCTCCTGCAGCAACAGGACGCTGGCCCGGCTTGGCTGATTTGCAATTCCCCCGCAGTGGGACTAGGGCCGCATGTCCACGAGTTCCAAAGTAGAACAACTCGCACCGTCCTGACACATAGCGCTGTAAACCCCGGCTGTAGAGGTAACTCCCTCACACAATATGCCGTGGAGCGCGTCTAGACATCCAATTAAGCCGAGCAACTCACATTGTAACCGACAGCAAGGTGAACACGATTCACACGTGCTTTGTTTGATCAAATTTCAGTGTACGTTAGTATGCTAACCTCGGGTCATCAATGATGACCGACAATCGGACCACAAGATCGAAGTCGAGTACGCTTCCTATCATCGGACTTGACGACTACGGAATACCTTTACCAAAGGACACATCTAGTGCGGATTCCCTTGCGGCGCGGTCCATGCCCAATTTCCTCCAATCGACCCAAGCCAACAGCGGCCCTTGCGGACGCTCCAGGACAATCCCTCCAGGGAAGGATTTGGTTTCAGCGTCTCGATTCGATAGGAGCTCGGCAGCCTGCGAAGCTGCTCGGCGTGATACGCGCCATAAGCATCGTTCAAAGACGATCCTCAGCCTTACAGTGCTGATGGGCGAGGGGTGCTGGCTGCGAGGTGCATCCCGCTGACTGCCACAGATAAGCATCAATGAACTATGGAGCACCAAGTGGGCCCTTCGTACGCCCTGCGGCTCATGCGCGCGACGTCGTGGGCCGCATGGTACGCCTGGCAAAGCGCCGAGCATGCAGCCAGTGACATTGGTGATTACGATACGTTGACATTTGATGCTCGTGACAAGAGACTCGATGGTCTGTTGCGGAAGTCTATGAACTCGATTTGCCCATTGGACGTGTTTGGGTCGTGAGAAGCCGATGATGACTGCCGCCTCACGTTGTTGGCTACCCTTACGACAGTAAGAGGAGACATTGCTGCACGAGCGCACCATGTTCCTACCAGCAGCCTGACAACACTAATAAATGATCTCACAGCCATGAATGTTCGTTGACTGAACCTCGCCTCATGGCTGCAGATGCATCGTCTCCAATCCTCATACTGGACTCAACGTCCCTACAGTCTCCTTAGAGTGATACCCCAACGTGTCTTCACCGCCACTACAGCACACGGTACTCACCACAGCACACGGTACTCACTACAGCACACAGTGCTCACTACAGACACCCACACCCACCATCACTCGTACCCAGCGCATCGCACCGTCCATCTACATCTACACCGCCACGAACACCCAACCCGCTAACATCACGCCCACATCACGGCCCACCCACCACTGTACACACACCAATAGACACTAAACAACACTCCAGATCAGAAACTCACCACAACGGCAGCAATCAAGCCCATCTCCGACACCTCTCCAGCTCCACGTCGCCGTAATCCAAACCACCCGTACCCCCCTCTCGTAGTCTAGCAGCGCCGCGCCACACAGCCCCTCACGCCCCTCTCCACCGGCCCGGCTCCATAAGGCCGCGCCTACAAGCCCGCTCGCATATCTCTCAGACCCGTAGACATCCGTAGACACACTATCCGCCGCGTTCACACTCCGCGTTTCGCTCGTAGGCACATAATCCGCCGCGTTTACAACCCGTGGTTCGCTCAAGACTCGGTGTTTGATAGTTGACCTCGATGGTCGCTGTAAGTACGGCAGCTGGCCTCAGTGAGCAGCGTAGGGTGTGTTTCGGTGCGTTGCGTTGCGTGCTGGTTGGCTGTTTGTACGGCTGCGGGGGGGAAGTGGCAGTGCGGAGGGGGCGGCGGTGGAGTGTTGTCTGCGTCTGCACGTTTGGCTTCGGAGTGTTCGTCGTCGCTTGCTTTGTCTGCGTCTCCCTGTCTGTCTCGGTCGCCGCGTGCAGAGCTCACGGCAGACTCGGTTATGTCTCCGAGGGCCGGATTCGAGATTTCACAATCGCATCGGCATGGAAATGACAACGAGGATGAGAAGAGGAATTCTAGGAAGAACAAGCTTGCTGGTGCTACGCATCTCTTTCAGGAAATACATACTCTGCACGCTGTCTTTATTCTCCATACCGCGCCGACTCGATATAACCTAGCCCGCTTTATATATTGCACTGCACTGCACTGCACTGCTCTACACTACACTACACTACACTACACTACACTACAAAGCACAGCACAGCACAGCCCACCAACCCACCAAGCCAAGCCACTCCACTCCATCCAGCGTATCTCCTCCACCCGCACCACAGCTTCAAAACAACACCGCCACAGGCACATATACATGTATCGAGTAGTCGCAAGCGCAGCTGTTGTGCTGTTTACTCTGCGTATCCGTGTCCATATCCGTGTCCGTATCCGTTTTCGTAGACTCTTCCTTCTCGTTCCTACTGCCTCTCTAGATTCACCTCTCTCTCGTGTCCGGGTTTGCACGGGACCTCACTCGCACACTCACTCACTCACACTTACTCTCTCTCTCTCTCTCTCTCTCTCTCTCTCTCTTTCTCTCTCGTCGAGTCGTAGACATCTCCCGCGTTAGCATATCTGACCCAGTGCCTACACGTGGACGCTCTGCTGCACGCGTTTGTGCGTAGTCTGTGCTTCTGTACTTTAAGGTAGCTTTAGGGTAGCTTCAGAGTAGCTTTAGGGTAGCTTCAGGGTGGTTTCAGGGTAGTTGTGTAACGCATACAAAACGGCTGCGTTATGGATACACTGCGTATACAGCACAGATATATCACGGGTATATTGTAGATACACCACGTAAACACCACGGTGTCGCTGCAGATATAAAGTAGGGCTGGGATTGAGTTTGAGCTCGAGGGTAGGTTGGATTTGAGGTGGGTTTGGGTGTGACTTTGGATTTGAGTGTGAGTTTGGATTCAAGTGCAAGCCTAAGGTAAAGTGCAAGGTTAGTTTGAAAGCAGGATTAGGTTTAAACGAGAGTTTACATGTGTGGTCAAGTATGACTTAAGTGTAAGTTTAGAAACAAACATAAGCATAAGGCAAAACATAAGTTAACTATGAATTAAGTACAAGTTAGTCATAATTTAAAAATAAGTCATGTCTAAGATAAGTATCTTATATTGTAAACACAAGTTAACTACAACTTAGGCATAACCTAGCGTAAGTCTCCACACGAGTCTGAACCAAGTTCAAGGCTGGGTGTAAGTGTGAGTCTCCAAATGCGAGGTTGACCCCAGGTCTGCGAAACCAATTGCAATTCCAGGTCCTATATTTCCACACCCAGTCACCAGCGCAGTACGCAACACACAAACTACACTGCACTGAACTGCACTGCACTGCACTGCATATTACTGTGTACACGCCCACTTCCACAGGCCATTACGGCCACGACGGCGTTACCAATATCTAGAACCCAGATGCAGAAGAGCGATAGAGAAATGGACGCAAAGAGCAACGGGGAGGCCGACTCGAAAGAGCGAGGTTAGACGCAAAGCAGTACAACGCAAACTGAAAGCGGTATTGAAAGTGGAATCGAAAGTGGTATTGAAAGTGGTATAAGCGCCTTAACCCAGCGCCGCCTCATCCAGCCCGCGCAACGCCAACCCGCGTGTGCCAACGCGCCAAACACCGTCCGCTGTGGCGGACCCAGAACCCGAAAAGAGTGATGTAACGCCGTGCCATGCCATGCTGCTTTTCTACGGCCTCGAAACGCGCTCGTTCGCGGTCGCGAGGGTGCGTTCGAGACAACCGCCTGGTGGAGGCGGCTATTTCCCGCCGAGCTCGCTCTCGAGATGCTGTGCTTGTTAGCCGTGCGCCACTCCACACGTTACATGGCAGTGTTGACGTACCGACCACTCGGGGATATTCCTAATCTGCTGCCACATGAAGCGCTCCAGCCGGCCCGCTGCCTTGGCGTACGGCGTCGACTCGTTGTTGTACTTCCTGCAGTTGTCAAAGATGAGCTTCGCGTCGCGGATGAAGTCCTCGGGGGTCGGGTAGAGATCCTTTTCGTGCTTCTCCTCCATGGTGGCGAGGTCCATGGGCTCCTTGATGACGTCGTAGTAGTCGAGCACGTCGTCTTTGCTGACGGGCTGCTGGAACGGCCAGGCGTTGGAGTTGTTCTGCATGTCGTTGAGCAGGTGCAGGAGCTGGTTGTAGTTGGGGCCGTGGCGGGGCGCGCGGGCCAGCTCGTCCATGACGGGGGACCAGCCGGAGGACTTTATGGCGGGAATGGTGAGGGGGTCGATTGCTGTGACGCCGTTCTTGGACCATTGCGATGGGGGCGCGTGGATCTGGAAGGACTTGGAGACGGCGCGGATTTTGGCGTTGACACATTCCTTTTGCTTGAGCAGCATGCGGCCGCTCTCCAGGTAGCGGATCTTGGGGACCATGCTGCACTGCATGATAGTGCCGCCTTCGTAGTCTTTGATGTAGCCCATCCACCGGCGCTTCTCGAGGGTGATCTCTTTGGTGAAGCCTTGTTTCTTGAAGTAGCCAATGGCGTAGTTGTCGGCGTAGGTCAGAAAGTGCATGACGTTGGAGGTGGCCTTGACGTAGTCCTTCAGATGCGACATCAAGTGGGCGCCGTAACCCTTGACCTGCTGGTCCGAGGAGATGGCGCAGAAGACAATCTCGGCGAACTGGCCCTTGTCGAAGGGGCGGTAGGTGATGCCGCCAACGACTTCCAGCGGCTTCTTCACAATGGCTATGCTCAGATGCGTCCGGTCGTAGACGAGGCGCGCGATGTAGTCCTTGGGCATCTTAGGCAGCTGCTTCTGGAAGATGCACTTGAGCCCGGTCAGGATGATGGTGCTCTCGCGCTGGCCGTCATTGTTCACGACGCGGAACTCGATCTCGCCCTGGCGCTCCTCGATCACGGCGGGCTTCTCGGGGAAGGGCACGATGCGCTTGACGGGCGGGGCGGGGGCGTCGTCGGCTTCGTCGGCGGGCGTCTGCCGTGGGCGCTTGGGAGAGCCGCCGCTGGCCTCGGTGGCCGCTTTGCGCTTCGCTGGGGATGTGTCAGTCGGGTCGGCGGGCGGGGCGGCGCGCGCTCGCAGTTTGCACAGAGGGATGTCGGCTAGAGGCACCTCGGGCGACGAGGACGGCGCGGGCAGTGTCATGCGCGGGGGCGTTGCTGGGCCGGGGGACGGCGACGAGCTGTAGCCCACGGCGTTGCGCAGGCGCTGGCCGTCGCTGTCGGCCATGGCGCTGTGCGGTTGGAGATGGGGCGGCGGGCAACTTACCGTCTTCGCTGGCCGCCATATTGCGCGACTGGCGTGTGTGGGCTTCCCGTTTGTCGCGACTGCCGTGTTGGTGGTGAACGTGAATGTCGGGGTGCGGGACGCGGAGGAGCATGGGCCAATCAGCGCCCGGTTGCGCGACACTCAAGAGGACAGCTGCACGACTGCGCGACAGCTAAGCGCACCCTCAACCCACTGCACCATGTCGAACTCGCTTGCAAGCGTCTGGGAGGCTGCCGCGGCGTCGCCCTTTGAGCCCGCCATCGGGAAGAACAGCCAATTCACCCTCGGCTTTGCGCTGCTGTTTGCTTGTACGTCCGGTCGCTGCGCTATACGTAGCCGTGCTAACATGTCCAGCGCTGCTCTTGACGGGCTTCTTCGGCCTCAGTATGTCCACGCACTCTCCACGCACACTCCTCGCCGCCCGCCCACTCACACACACACGCAGACCGCTCGCTCCCCAACGTCCCCATTGTCGGCGCCCCGGCCTCGATAGCGTTTGGGTACGTACTTCAATCTACCGCCCAGCGCCATGCTAACCCGCCCAGCTTCGGTGCTGTGTACATGATCTGCGCAGTCGGCGTCTACGTTTAGTCCTTGATATCCTGCCTGGCGTTGTAGTCTATGGGAATGCAATAACTCTTCGATCCTCCACTCCTCTTCCCCGCCCCGTCCCCACTGCACACCATGCAGGACGAGCCGCCTGTCCTCGCAGCTGTGTCCAGCTCCGCCCGCCAGCTGTTCACACTTCTTCGCTGCATCGCATTCGCACCCAAAGCACACGTGATAATTGGCGATGAGGGGCTGAAGTTCTCCGTCGACGAGGCAAGCGTCATGGAGGGTGCGTCTGCCTGACCCGTGACGCGTCCACACTGACACCCACGCGCAGCTTCGGCCTTCCTCGACAAGTCTCTCTTCACCACATACAGTTTCCATGCGCCTCCAATCCCGCCCTCCTCTGCAGACTCGGACGACGAAGACGCGACCCCCGCCCCTGACCTTTCACATCTCCCTGACTGCCCTCCTCGAAACCCTCCAGATATTCGGCCTCACCGACCCCAACACCTCAAAACCGCCATGGGCGCGCGACAACCCCTACCCTACGAGCACCGCCTTCTCGAACAACGTCCTCGGCATGAACAACCTCTGCCGCATCACATACGACACCCCCGGTGCGCCACTGTCCATCATCCTCACCGAAGCCAGCATACGCACGTCGTGTGACCTGACGACCTACGAGCCCGAATACACCGACGAGATCCCCTTCAACCGCCAGAGCCTAGCCTTCAAGACCATCATGCGCGGCAGCTGGCTCTACGACGCCATCCTAGAGCTCTCCTCCACCTCCCCCGAAAAGCTGACCCTGTACGCCAAAATGCACCGCGGCAAGCCCTTCTTCGCCCTCTCCTCCACCGGCACCCTCGGCTCCGCCCGCGTCGAATTCAACAACCAGCCGCCCACCCCCACCTTCCGCACCCCGGCCGACAACGCCCCCGCCCCGCCCGCCTCCCTCCTCGAAACCTTCCAGCTCGCCGACCCGGACACCGTACTCCGCCACACATACAAGTACAGCCTCGTCGCCAAAGCCGCGCGCGCCATGAGCGTCGCCACAAAGGTCAGCGTCAGAATCGATTCCCAGGGCGTGCTCAGCTTGCAGTTCATGATCGAGGTCGAGCCTGCGCCCGGCGCCGGCGCGGGGAAGATGTCCTTTGTCGATTTCCGGTTTGTGCCGCTGGTGGAGGGGGACGAGGGGGAGGGGGAGGGCGATGGGGAGGGCGACACGGTCATGCTGGGTGCGGAGCATGAGGCGTTTTAGATATTGTAGTGGATGCAGAGTATGGGAAATATGGGAGATGGCAAGTTGGAATGCTTCATTTAACGTGCATGCGTGTCTTCATCTAGTTATACATATATATATGTATATATATATATATATATGTATGTGTGTGTGTGTATGTGTGTGTAGATACTTGTGTGCTCCGTGGACTTGTCAATTGCGTGCGCGTGAGTGTGGGTGTGTGCATCCAGACTCGCGTGCTCATAGAAGCCGTGCGGCATATATGCTGTGAGCTGGTTATGTGCTCTGTGTGGTGTGCTGGTTTGGGGGGAGGGTGTGGTGGGCGTGTTTGAAGGGGGGGGGGGGGGGGGGGGGGGGGGTGATATTTTAAGCAGAGAAGGGCGTAAGGGGGGCGAGTGCGGTGTGTGATGGTAGTGAGGTAGACGGAAGGTGTTGTGTGACTGAGGTTCAAATTGCATGTTCAATGCTTGATATTTGATATTTGATACTTGATATTCAATATTTGCCATGTGTGGTTCGGTGGTAGGGAAATGAGGAGATGGGAGTTGGTAAGTTAAGAGTCTGGGAGGTGAGGAGGTGAGGAGTCAAGAAGGCGAGGAGTCAAGATGGCGAGGAGTCAAGAAGTGGAGTGAAGAAGTTCGCAAGATGCCATCAGCCTAGGAGACTAGAAGCCAACGATTTGACCAGAAGCCAGCAACTTAGCCAGAAGCCAGCACCTCAGAACACTCGAAGACTTTTCGAGTACTGCACACCATACACTGCATACCTCTGTGACCACGTCTACCATGCTACCACACAGCCACGCCAACCACCACAAACCTTCGTTTTAATCTCGAGGAAGCACGGCATTACGCACGACAGTTTCCAACGAGCAGGTGAGGCGGGCGTTCGTAAGCACTCGGACGTAGCACCACGAGCAGCCCAGCACCACGGCCTCTGTCGGGGCAATACGTGAAATCTCTGAGCGAGACACTGCCCAACACAGGGATGCGGGAGGTACGGATTCTCGCTTTTCGCAGGTGGAGTAGGTGCGAGGCATGGTCCCACTGTGCCCACACCTGGCAGTGGTGCTTTGAGGAACCAGGCCAGGTACCGGACTGGGTTCGTTCGGGGTGGTCCGTGAAGGTACAACAGTGCAGTGAGCAAGTCAACCGCGATGCGCAGACGCACTGCAGCAGAACCTACGTGCCTGCCACCACACGGTAACTCGCTCTGCCTCGTGACGCTGTCTTATCGCACTTTCCAAGTGGGAGCCTCACCTGCTGTCTGTCCTCCGACAACCCAATATCCCACCACTGGAAGCTAGGTTTCGGGGCTAATTAGTAAAGGTACGCATTTCTCGCCAATCAATCGATAGTCTCTGGTTAATCAATCAGTCTTTTTCACCAAAGCTTCGCATAGTGTCGTCCTCCTACCGTCGGCGGCCAAATTGCAGTCAGTGCCCCAGCCCGCAACCCGGTCAGCGCCAACGGGCTGCGCTGATTCGCCGCCCAGACAGACTCTGTGTGCTACAGCGCACGTGCGAGAAGAATACTACAGCACTGTTATTGATTTCAAGGGCTGTCGGCGGAATATACGCCAAACGGCAGAGCGGCGACGGTCTCGCAGGGACATCGCGGTAAGTGAGGCGGGCAGTGCTTGGGAGCAGTTAACGCATGACGAAATTTCGCCCGGACTGTGGGAGCGCAGGGCGAGACACGTGGAGGGTGCTGTGGACCCTCGGGTCGTCCTTTGCAGGTCCTGGGCTCCCATGACTGCTTCTCGAAGGCACCTTGACTCCGTGGAGCAACCTTGACGCTTCAGGGATCCTTGACGCTTCGAAGGAACGAACCTTGGCCCCTCGGGCCCTGACGCCACCGGGTCTTCGACGGGCCCTCGACGGAGCCGGGGAGTCGAGCGCAACAACTCTGCTGCCTAAAGCGTGCCCGACGAGAGTCAGCGCTCCCCCTACGACGCGGTGGCGAGGTGGCAACCGCGACTCAACGCGACCCGACCGTGTCTCACAGCACCAGCGGCGGCGGTCCCGCCGACCAGATCTGTTTCCGCAGCAGTTGCGAGATGACTGCGGTGGGAGGATAAGTGGAACCGCGCGTGGGAGACGACGGGTACCTGCATATTGACACTGCCGCGGTGGCAAAAGGCGCGAGTGTGAAACGCGATACAGGGGTGCCCGGGTGGCGGCCGGTGGCGATGAAAGGTACATAGGGAGGTTAGGCGATGGTGTGCACCCATGACTGCTCGCGTCGCGGCAGGAGAGACATCTGTAGGTTCGGCGGCGTCGCGAAGCTCTTGTTGGGCGTCGCGGCGTTGCTTTTGAGGCGGGCGGGCTATCGAACGGTTGTTTTGTGGGCGGTATGGACGGTCTTGCGAAAGGAAATGATGATGTCTGCCGAACGAGTTTGTCGGGACGCGGAAGGTGGAAAGTGGGGCGCGGGTTGGTGATCGTCATGAACCCTCGACACTGCACCCGATCGTTAATTGGCAAATGTTATTCTCGGGAGGGAGGCCCTGCTGCGAGTCACGATGAATTTGTTGCAGACAGCCCTGTTCGAACGAACTTCCACGACAGGTAGCCCGATGGAACTCGAAGCGAGATACGACGAAAAGGTTCGAATTGAAACCTCACTACGATGCAGCACACGCAACAGCAATTTCGACAGCAGTGTCGCAGCCCTGAGGGTGTGAAGAGGACCCTGAGCCAAGCGAGCGATGTCTGAGCCGTCTGAGAATTCTGATCAATAGTACAGTACACGGTGGGTGCTCCCGGGCCGTCAGGGTCATTCATGCCGCATTGCGGTAGGTCTACAGTCACACAATCTTACAGCATCACAAATTTTGGTGCTGAGAAGTTGGCGTGCGCGCCGCTCTTATAGAAAATTCGGTGAGGTTTGGCAGACGTGGTGCTGCTCACCGCCTCGCGGATCAAGTTGTTTGTTTTGACAGATGAGCGGTGGACGTAGCGCCTCGAGTGGATGCAAACGTCTCGGTAACGGTTCATTCGCCGTTCACCGCTGGATCCCACTGGATCCCACTGTTTGTTTTGATAAACGAGCGGTGTTGACATGTTCGCGATTCGTACAGCGCGGCACCAAGTGGGCGCTACACATGGGCGGAGAACCGTTGGCTTGGTCGGGGCCCACATTCACGATGTATTTTCTGCCGCTGTGCGCTGGCAAAGGATTTGGCGTTCAGAATCAAGGCCGCTGGCCAGCATGACTGGTCCGGAGCAACAGCGGGCTGCACCCGTGATTCCTAAGAGACTTCGTACTGTGTGTTGTGCATATACACCGTCTACTTTACCGCTGCGAGGCTCAAACTCGCATCGAGGCCAACTGTATCGAGGTATTCCGCCGCAAATATCTGGATGGCTGGGAGCTGTCCGTGACAGCAAGGCCACCCCGCTGGAGGAGGTCCGATACAGACAGTGCTCGAAATCGCCGATTATGAATCGCTCTGTGCGTCTCGTGGAAGGTATGGAACACGGCCTCACAATTTCGCACCTGATTACTACCGGGAAGGGTGAAATTGTCGACTCGGATAGATCGCGTTGAATGTTCCAAAACTTCGGGCCAGCTGCCCTATGCGAGGCTTTTCGAGCCAGGGTTGTGCGAACGGATCCCGCCGTGTTGTAAACGTTGCTGCATGACGAGGCAGGGGGTGCTGCATTTGGCGAGTCGTCATTTTTCACAAAACATTGCTCGGAGATGTGGATATGCGGCGGCAACGAGTGGACGAGGCTTGGCCATTCCTGCAGACCACAGTGGAGCAGATCGCCAGCGTGCAACGCTGCAGATTGCTGATCAAGAGAGCAAGCGACTGGTTTACGACAGGGTGGTGATTTGCTCCTTCTTACATCCGGCAACCGACAAGCGTCGTGAAACCTTGACAAGCGTTAGTTCACGCAGCGTATGGCGGCGGCAAGGATTGGATGAGTAACGTGATTCCGCGTTCGCTGCAAACCTTGACACACCGAGGCTGTTGCTGCCGGCGCTGCCTCACAACGTCGAAACTGTCTGAGCGTCGCATTACCACCACATTCAACGACCCTGGTCCTGGGCGCATACTGATCAGCAATATCCAGTGGCAACCGAAGCGATATGAGGACCCCGGCGATATGTTCGTGGCCAGCGGTGATACCGGGGGGTCGGACAGCGACCACATGAGGTTCAACGCCAGCCGGTCCTGCACTTTTTTGAGGATGCGCCGGTCTCAGATGGACAGAAACGGTTCCCAGACGGGTCGCGGAAGCAAGCCTTGATTCGTGGATATGGGTACTCGACGAGGTGGCTGTTGCGGCGGTGGACCAAAGCTTGCAGAACATGGCCTGAGCTCCATGCTGGGCCCGTCTCCCCGAACACGCATGGGGCGCACCGCGCAAAGGGATGTGCAGTCATTTCTCCAGGACACGAATGCCATTGCCTGCACAGACTATCCATACGGCACCCAGCACAGGCCGAGTGAGTGGCAGAATTTTCAGCTTTCACTGCTGTCGTTCCCGAGGATTCCGCCAGCAAGACGTGCTGCGTGCGACTGTCTGACCGATATCAGTCTATTCCCGTTTCACAAGAGATGCATAATTTAGCTCAGACCGACGCGAGGGCTGAGCGTCGACTTTTCTTCTGACTGTGGGTGACTCAACACAGTTAGAGAGGACTCATGTGATATCGCGTTGGCGCGTTTGGGCATTTGGGCATACTTTGTGCACTCGAGACGCGTCCCTCGCGCCGATTAGCGTGGGGAAATGATTGGCCGGAATTGTGCGATCCTCCTACCCTGGCCCCTGTCACCATGCTGGCATGGCTGGGCATGGTAGCTCCGCCGCAGGCCTCTGCAGATGGCCTCTGCAGATGGCCTCTGCGCTTGGCTCCTGCGAGGACTCCGCCCGAGGAGGCGTGTATATATGAGAACCAGCAGTCGCCCATAACCTGCCCGATATCACCTGTTTCCATACTAACTAGCAGTCGTTGCCTTAGGCTTTCATTACTTGGGTTGCTCGCGTGGACAGCTTAACCCTGTTGCCTATACTAGACTTTCTTAAATACTCGACGACACATTCCGAGTACTTGGCATCGACCATAACGACTTTTTCATCCACGACCATCAACGCACATACCCATCCATCATGTTTGGATCAAGATCGAGAAAAGAGAGCGTGTCTACGGGCCGCTCCCGCAAGGAGAGTGTCTCCAAGCACAGGACAAGCACATCGAAACACACAAAACAGCCGTCCTTCAGCCAGTCATCGCGGAAGGTAGAGAAGCTGGTATCGCAGGCTCGACCAGTTTCGCAGGCGCCGTCGTCGAACGCCACATCGCCATCGTTGGGAAGGTAAGCACACACCGCCACTTAAAGTGGAGAACCATCACTGACACATCACCAGCACCATCATCACAGTGTGCGTCGGAGCTGAGCAGCGTCTTTTCGCAGCTCACGAGGACGTTCTGTCGCACTCGCCCTACTTCCAGGCGGCGTGCAGTGGCCAGTTTTACCAGGCCTCGAACAAGCGCATCGATCTGCCTGATGAGGAGCCGGAGGTTTTCTCGTCGATCCTCGAGTATCTCTACAAGGGTGATTACTACCCCCGTCTCGAGTTCAACAAGAAGCGCAACACCTGGGCTCTTGAGGACGGCGGCAACGACAACGGTGCGAACGAGGCAGTCATCTACTCGCCTGCAGGCCCCATCCTGAAGGACACCGTGATCTACTGCCAAGCTGAGAAGTACGGGCTCCAGGAGCTCAAGAAGCTGGCTCTCCGCAAACAGGGCCTGCAGTCTGGCATCCAGTGCTCGACCATCTTGACCTCTGCTCGCTACGCCTACGCGAACACCCCGGATAACGACTCCAAGCTCCGTGCTCACTACCTTGCACTCATCATCCGTGCGCGCAACACCTTCAAGCGCAGCGGCACCATGCAAAACGAGATGGAAAATGGCGGTAAGCTGTTTTTCGACTTGTTCGTTGCCATGGTGAACCACATGGATGACCTTGGCCTGTCCACCAAGTCGCCACGCTAGGCAGCGACTCCACCCCTATTCCTCGGAACATCTCGGACCCCCAGCCTCATCACCACTCGGGCCCCCAGCCTCATCACATCTCATCTCCGGTCTGCTTTCATCTTCGGCGTTGGACTTCGTAACTCCTTTCCTGCCGGCCTCCTGCCGTCGCCCGCTATGACTCGTGTCATGGCTCGTGCGCCTCCCTTCTCACCACTGTTACGGCTCTGACTCACGGTCTCTTCCCGGCTTGGCTCGTTCATCCTTCTTGGCTTTTTCATCTCGCGTTGTCTTTACCTACCTACTAATGATCCGTGTCACGACACGCGTATACCCACGGCTGACGCTTCAGTCATTGTCGCATTACCATTACCCTTCTTGTACACTACACTTACCCAAGTCGGCCTCGCGGTCGCACTCGGTCCGGTCTTGGTTCCTGGTTTTGGTTTCTGCTTTTGTGTTTCTCTGCTTTACATGCACGGCGTTCAGGCTCGAAGATACCATTCTGGCACTCATTCGGCCTCCTCTTGTACCACTAGACTTTACTCTTGTACTTGTTGCTGTTGTCTTTTTCGCGCTATCATCATACCCTTGGTCTCAGATTGCTATGGTCGACAGGCCAACACAGGTCGTTGGACCTACTTGTTGCAGCTCATTGCTGCTATTAGCGGAAGCGAAACACGCGCCTATGGCGCGGCGGCTCTCGAGCTGTCGTCTTCTCTTCATCGCGTTGTTTCCGGCTTTGTTTCTTCTTGTACCAGACTGGTCTTGTATTTCCTGCTGCCGGCTGGTCCAAATTGTAGCGCCTGGGTTACCATGTTTGTCGGTTGGGTCTATTGGCCTTTCTTTGATGATAGTATTTATTGCAGCGACGAATCAAAATTGGGCAGAGTCGTTATTACCTCAAACCACCTCTTCATGCAATCATCCACTGTGACTTTTGGCATCATCTCCAGATCGACAGCCTCTCCGCAATAACCCCACCCCACCCAGATCCTGCTGCACTGCCTCATAAAGGTCACTATGTATGTTGCCACTTGACCACAGGAAGTCTTCTGTGTTGTCGTGATCCACCAGTATGTAAGCCTCGTGTAACACAGCCACACAGGTCCAGCGAAGACACCCATCTTGGCTGATCTCACGCGACCGGAATCCGGCACGCCTAACACCCACCACAACACTCCATACAAAGCATGAAGTGAACACCAACAATCACATCCTCTAGAATCCAAACCACTGAAGCCTCTCTTCAAGGCGCACAAAAGCACTTTGCAGAATATCGTAATCTATTCTACAGAACGCATAGATACCCTCTGCAAACAATACCACAACCCCCGCTTACTCCCCCCAACCCGCCCCCTCGCCCACGCCATGGGTTTCAACTCGCCCCAAACGCAATTCTCCTCGCGCTCGCGCGGCATGGATCGCGCACCCCCGCACTCCATCTCAGCGATCAGCGCGCACCGCTCCGGCGGCAAGAAGGTGCCCAAGAAATACCGCAAGTACCACAAGAACCACAAGAAGGGTAAGAAGGAGGGGGGCAATGTTGTCTCGCGCGTTGTTCACTATGTCATCAAGGCCATAGGGCAGGTAATGCCTTAGTGGGTGTGATTGTGCTAGTGCGTGGGGATGTGGGGAAGGGTTGGGTGGGTTGGGTTGAGATGGTTGCAGTGCGGTGCTGGGATGGGTTCGATTGCGGGACTGCTGTGCTGCGGGCGAGTGTGCTCTTGCTGGACGAGCCGTTGCATAAACTCTCTGCATCAGGCCGTGTCTGGGACCGACCAAGCCCCGGAGCAGCGCCCCCTCGCACCGCGGCAGCATGTCTCGTAGCACTGGCGCGCTGGTGTCGCGCTATCAGCTGACACGGTGGGCCAGTGAAGGACTCCTATCCCCGGCGCGTCACAGAGCAGCTCAACGTCCCACAAGGCTCTAGGCTGCAGGCCGAAGGACCGTCACTGACCAAAAGCGGCACTCTAACGGTACCATGGAATCCTCTCCGAGCCCAGCCCAACGCCAAAGTAAGACACTAGAGTGAGGAGGCAGAAGGCTCGAAGTCGTGGGACGAGGTTGCACATGCGAGGCGATGGGAGGTACCGCCGCTGTATCATGCACCACTCAAGCGGAACGGTGTATCAGCAGCCCAGCATGAGATGCAGTCCTCCACACCGGTACGCTACTGCAAATGTGCTATACGAGATCGGCATTGGGTCGTTGAGTCGGGCGAGTGGAGGCGTGGCTGCAGCATCTGTATAACCAGTGGAGACCAGGAACAAGGACAAGGCCACATGTCCAGGACCGGAGGACCAAAAGGCGTCGCCGAGACCGATCGCTACCGCACAAGGCGGAGCAAGGCGCCAGAGCAAGGCGCCACAAGGAGTCAGACAAGGAGTCAGAGCCAGCAGCGACAAGGCGCAGAGACGTGCATGAACCGCTCGCCTCGGACGCGAGGCAGGGACGCGATATCGACGCGCAGTCAGCTGAGCGCCCAGAGCAGGCTTCCATATCGGCTATTGCTGAAACGGGGCCATGTACGATATCTGCAGCCCAGCATTAGCCCGCAACCCAACATAATGGGAATACGGTACGCTTGCCAACCGCCTTGAGTCGAGATCATCCTTTGTGCACGCCGGTCTGTGGCTGCAGTGTCCACTGTCAGCACCAGCATCAGGGAACACAAAGGCGCGCAAGCCCAAGCACGGGTACACGAGCAGGCGACCAAGCCGCAAAAGCCGAGCCCAGCCCGACAGCGTTCCACAAAGCGCAGCAAGACGCAACGCGATATCACATGACAGGGCGAACCCGCGACTTAGCAGCGACGCGGCCTGGCGCTCCCTAACCCGTTGCGCACACCCCGCGCGTCCCGGCAGTGCGAGCGCGGCCTCCCATTGGCCGCCGGCCACCGCGCCGGGGCTTGCAGCTACGCCCGGGGGTTACAGATAACGAGCGGCAGGCTGCAGAGCACGAAAAGCGTTACGAAAAGCACGACGCAGGGGGTTATTGGAAATGAAATGGAAAATGCAGGTTGAAAGTTTGGGTCGCATATCTTTGCTATTTTGATTGCTTTGTGAGCTGGTTTCTTTGTGAGCCGTGCGGTATGTCGTGCAAGGTTTCCGGCGGTTGCCTGCGCGGAGGCAGCGATATTGGTTTGATTTGCGTTCGAATTCGGCAGTTTTCGGTATGGTTCTGTGTCGTGACATGACGTCTAGTCGGTGTGGTATTGATGGTACCCTACGATTCACACACCCGTGCCCGGGAAGGCGCCCTTCTTGTTGAGCACTACCATCTGGTGCTCGCGAGAAATGTAGCCTTTCATCAGACCCTGTGATGGCGTTAGCTACCAAATGTACATAATCCTGCCTACATGATTCTGCCAACTTACCTTGAAGATCTGATTTGCCAGTAAGCACTCAACCTCGTCGTCTTCCACTGCCTGGCCGCCCATGCTCAGTGCCGCTGCAAAGTTGATGAGGGGTATCCGTGACTTCCTGATCTTGTCTTTGTCTGTTTGTCCCGGCTTGAGATCGTCGTAGCCTCCGGATAGGTAGACCTTTCGCAAAAGGTTCCGCAGCGCGATGTCGCGACTGCGTTCGAGTGTGAGGAAGATGCGTCGCTTGACAAACTCAGGCTCGCCGTCTGCCAGGGCTCTGTCAAAGCCTGTGAGGTCACCTTTGCGAATACAGGCAACAAGCGGTCCGAAGATGCGTTCGAGGCGAGGTGATTCGGCGAGGAGAGGAGCTTTAGGCACAACGTGTTGTGTGATCAGACGACAGGGAATCAGGTATGTGAGGATGAGCCTGCGAAGGTAAGCAATTAACTGCTGAAGACGGGGTGAGTACACACGATTTGTTCTTGTCTGCACCAACGTAGCATGCATCCCAGGCTTCCTGTAGGTGCTTCTCCGCCTGTATCATGTCAGTGACCTTATCTGAATCTCTTGTATCTGCTGACCTTGGTGTAATCCTCCTGCAAGAATGCAAGGACTCCAGTGTAGTAGCGATACGTGACTCGATGTGCTTTCGGGTATAGTTCGAAGGGAGGCAGGTCAGACTGGGCTTCGATAGAGCGGACGACGTTCTTGGAAAGACTGATGGCTTTCAGCTGATCTCACAGTCAGTAGATGAAAGTCACATTCGCAACAGGGAAGGTACCTTGAAGTAGGTCTTGAATTGAAGGTTGGCTACACAGTAGACGCCCCACTTGCGGGATTCCGAGATCTCTGGGTTTCTGATGTACTGTCAGAGGCAGCGTACAGGCAAGATATGAGAGCATGGCACACCTGTCACCCAAACACAGAGCAAAGATCCTGTTGAACACGCGTGCAGCTTCCTCTAGCTTCTGGTTCTGCCCCACCGTGCTCACAATGTCGTCTGAGAAGCTGCTGACAGCAGCCGGCTTGGACTTGGCTAGCTGCTCGTCTGCCTTGATTGCTATTCTGCGCAGATGGTTCGCAGTGAAGTACAGCGTGAAGATGGCCCACGCCGGCAGTGCTCCGCCAGAGATGTGCTTGATGAAGCTGCTCGTCAGGTCTTTCCACGCTTCATACACAGCAACGTATTGTGTCGCGCCCAGACGGCCCTGGTTTGACGCTTCGTCCGCCTTGATGATCTCCTTCACGGCGCGCCAGTAGCTCACAATGATGTCGCCCCACGCCCCGCTCTCCTTCTGCGTCATGCGCGTCGTCTTATTGTGCTTGAGCACGTAGCGAATGTCGCCCTCGACCTGGACATCGTTCGTTGCGCGAAAGAAGTCATACAGGCGGCCGGGGTCTTGCGCAGGCGGAACGGGGCTGAAGAAGTTCGCGACAGGCTGCGCCAGCGCAGTTGCATGGGCCGCCTGGAACGGTGCGAGTGCGGCCTGCATGGCTGCTGTGGGGTGCAGGGACGGGTGCTAGATCTTCTCGCCGGGTCGCGGTGCGTGTGGGTAGTGCGCTGCTTGCTGAACGGCTACGACGACGTGTGCATTGCTTTGTCCGAGCAGCGCAGCGAGTTGAACGCAACCTTGAAGGTCGATCGGCGGTTCGAGCTCGCAGGCCGACCATGCGTCAGGGCGCACCAATCGTCTGGACGCTAGTGCCCAATCCGGGAAGGCGCTCCTCGCTTGATTGCCCGGGCGCACCGCACAATCGAAGTGACTTGGGCAAGAACAATCTTCGTCAACTCCACGGGTACTAACCGCAGCACATTCGAAGTAAGTCGCTGCCGTTGCTTCGCGAGCTGCAAATACTGACTTTATCCAGATGGGTAAGCAAATTCCGCTCCTCCACACTCGCGACCGCCCAGCAATTGCAGCCGAAGGAAAATTTAGATGAGCCTGCGCAACGAGCCGTACACCAGACAGCAGACACTGCCGCCGCCGTGTTGGGAATATCAGGAATTACTGCGTGTGTGCCAAGTGGACGAGAGGTGGATGCACTGGAGTGGGAAGGAATGTGGAGGGCGACGGCAGACAACCTCGATGGCGATACGCAGTCAGCCTCCGCATGACTTGCGTCTACCGACTCCCACGACCGCCCACCGCTCGCTCATCTCGTCTGCAATTGCTGGATCTGCTTAATTGCTGCAACTTTAATCGCCCGAATGCGTACTGACTTGCATAGCTCGCTTCCAGGAATACCAGGTCATCGGCCGTCACCTCCCCAGCGAGGCCAACCCCACCCCCAAGATCTACCGCATGCGCATATTTGCGCCCAACGATGTCGTTGCCAAGTCGCGGTTCTGGTACTTCCTCGGAAAGCTCCGCAAGATCAAGAAGGCGAACGGCGAGATCATCTCCCTGAACCAGGTGCGTAGCAGAGCAACAAGCGTTGAGGGCACAGCTGACAGCGCCAGATCACCGAGAAGCGCCCCCAGAAGGTCAAGAACTTCGGCATCTGGATCCGCTACGACTCGCGCTCCGGTACCCACAACATGTACAAGGAGTACCGTGAGATGTCGCGTGTCGCCGCCGTCGATGCCCTGTACCAGGATATGGCCGCCCGTCACCGATCCCGCTTCAGGTCGGTTCAGGTACGCAGATTCTCGACTCTATCATGATCGCCTGGCTAACTCGCGCAGATCCTCAAGGTTGTCGAGATCGAGAAGACCGACGACATCCGCCGCCCGTACATCAAGCAGCTCCTTGTCAAGGGCCTCAAGTTCCCTCTGCCCCACCGCATCAACAAGAAGGCTGGCAAGAAGGTCTTCGCTGCCAAGCGTCCCTCCACTTTCTTCTAAGCGTGTTTCTCTTTCCGGAGTGCGGTCTGGCTGGGCAGGGACACTGGGTTCCCGCGGTTATGCATGCTTCGCAAAAGAAGCACACTAGGAACGAATGAAAATCCCTGATACCTCCATCGATCTATCGAGTCGTGTGATGCCAGCCAGGGTGTTGGATTGCAGCTTTGGCGCCGGGACATGGACTCAAGAATCACATGTAATCAGGGACAATGAAGTTATGCAATCGTCATGAAGCTTGGATTGCGAAGTCTTGTTCTGCTGATGCTCACTCTCCTAGGTTGCCTTGCACCCCTCACATCTTCGGCTTCCCTGCCGGATCCACCTTCGCCCTGCCCAGCGTGTCGATGGGCATCCACCACGGATAGCTCGTGACATTCGTGTTATCCATCGTCCCCACGAAGCTCGCTTGCCGCTTCTCCATGAACGACTTGACCCCCTCCGTGTTATCCCTACACACATGAATCAGTATCGACCAACCACACTCACACACACAGTCACTTACGGGCTCCCAAACAGCTCGAAGATAACCCGCGAGTCCAGCAAGTGCTGGCCCTCTGCAGTCCCCGCATCGCGGTACATCATCTGGCGCATCAGATACGTACTAACCGCACTCGTGTTCTTAACCACATCGGCCGCGATCTCCAGCGCGCGCGGTAGCACCGCGGCCGGCTCGTCCAGCAGCTCGCTGAACAGGCCGTCGAACAGCTTGTGCTCGGCGGGGTACACGGCGCCCGTAGTCACGGCATGCAGCGCGCGCGAGTGCCCGATCAGCCGCGGCAGGAAAAACGACGACGCGGCTTCCATGACGAGGCCGCGGCGCGCAAACACAAACCCGATCTTCGCGCTGCGGTGCGCGATCCGGATCGTCATGGGCAGCGTCATGGTGATGCCGATGCCGACGGCGGGGCCCTGGACGGCGCCGATGGTGGGCTTGCGGCAGTGGAAGATGGCGAGCGCCACGCGGCCGCCGCTGGAGTCGTCAGCATCATTCACGCTTCTCGTCTTCTCCTCTCTGCTCCACATCACACGTAGAACAACGAACAATGAGATCACGAGAGTTAAGCAACCTACCCGTCCCGATGCTCCCGCACCCTCTCGCCCCCCTGCGCGCCCGCCCCCTCCCCAAACCCAACCTCCAGATCCGCGCCTGCGCAGAAAATCCGCCCGTCGCCTGTCACAACCACGCACTTGACGCGCTCGTCGACGTCGAACATGGCATACGCGGCCTCGATCTCGGCGCGCATCGTGTCGGTGAAGGCATTGTGCTTGCCCGGGCGCCGCAGCGTGAGCACGATGATGCTGGGCTCGGGCGGGTGCGGGTCGGTGCGGATCGTGGTCCAGGTGCTGTTGAGGTCGGAGTAGGAGGAGGGCAGGCGAATGTTGGGCATGTGGCGGGGGGAGACTTGGTTTGGTGACATGGTGGGTGGGATGTGCGTTTGGTTAGAAGTACGGGGGAAGCAAGGGTAAGGAGGTGTGGGTAATGGATATTGTTGTGTTTTTTGGGCTACATAGGCTATTTGGTTGTGGTGTTGGTGAGGATGCGGAGAAGCAGGGCCGAGGTACGAAGACGCGGTTGGCGACGTCGAGCGTGGCAGCCAATGCAGCCAATGAGGGGGGTGGGTGCCGAAAGGCAGGTTGACGGGTCGATTCGTTCTATGTGCGCGCCTGGAACTAGTTTCCACTTGTAACTTTGAGCAGGAGCGAGTGCTGAGAGCCCGGTGAAGGTCACAGTCAGGTGGTGATAGCGATAGTGAGGACGTGGCCCGTGCCATCCCAGTCAAAAAGTTCGAGAGGCACAACCCACCGCTGGTGTTCACGCCATTTGCTGCCACAAGCTGTGCGCGCCCTCCAAAGTCCTGTGTCTTGTGTAGAGATTCTGATAAGCCGCTCTTGACTTCTGCTGTATACCCGGTGTTGCTCAGATTCCCATTCCACCACATCCAGTCGCCGCTGGATCAGCACAACATGGCGCCCGAGAAGACAGCAAAGCGCAAAGCGCCCTCCACAGTCGCAGACTTCATAGTACTGCCGCTGACGCTCCCCACACTATCTGGCCTGCCCGCCGCCCACGAAAACACAACACACTACCTATACGTCAAACCGCACGAGCCCAGCACATACTCAGCTACCGCAGAGCGCAGCCTTTTCATTGCCAATGTCCCCATCGATGCCTCCGAATCCAACATCCGCGCCCTCTTCGCCGAACAGTTGGGCGGCGCGCGAGTAGAAAGCGTCGATTTTGACGCCTCAGTCCCTGCGCGCCCACTGCACAAGCGCTGGAAGCAAGACAAGCGCGGCGACAGCGAAGACGAAAGCGAACAGCGCAGCAAGAAACGCAAGCGCACCGACGACGTCGTCGCCGAGGGCGTCATCGAGGACGACGAGAGCGCCCTGCCCGCGCTGTGGGCGCGCGATGTACAGCGCAGCGGCAGCGCCGCAGTCGTGACCTTCGTCGACAAGCGCAGCGCCCGGGGCGCCCTGAAAGAGGTACACGCCGTCGCGAAGAGCGCGCGCTCGCTGCCGTGGAAAACCGGCGGCCCGCTGGGGCTCGAACGTGAGCAGCCCCCTCCCCCGCGCATCGCGAGACACTGCAGTGCTGACATACCCAGGCTACAAATCGCACCTCGCGCTCGTCCACCCCTCCCCCGCCTCCCTCCAGTCCAGCATCAACGCCTACCTGTCCCAATTCACGGCCCTCGAAACCCAGCGCGCCCGCCTGCTCAAGCACGCGCGCACCGTGCCCGACGCCGACGGCTTCGTGACCGTTGCGCGAGGCGGGCGCGCAGGGCCTGCGCGCATCGAGGACGCGGAGCGCAAGAAGGCGGAGCTGGAGGAGCGGCGCAAGAATAACGGCGTCAAGGACGACTTCTACCGCTTCCAGAACCGCGAGAAGAGGAAGGAGGCCGAGGTCAATCTGAGGATACGGTTTGAGGAGGACAGGCGCAGGGTGCAGAGGATGAGGGAGAGGAGGGGGCGGGTGAGGCCGGAGGCGTAGGTGGGAAAGGAAAAGGAGGTGTAGGTGGAGATGTACGCGTGGTCGTAGACGCGGAGGTGGGCGCTGGTGGAGACCGTGCAGTGCAGCAGCGATCCCTAGTAGCCATTGCATTCATGTCCGCGGGCAGTGTCCGATCAGACGTGCCTCGCATTTTCAATCTTAGATTCACATACTCCACGCATCAGTCACTGCAACCTTCTACGACTATGTTAGAGTTGAAGCCCACGTCCACGTCCAAGTCCAAGTCCAAGTCCAAGTCCAAGTCCAAGTCCAAGTGCGAGTCTATCTTCCGCCCGCGTATCTACACTCCTCGCCGAGCTGTCTCACTCATGTATGTCTTCCACTTCCAGCTGTAGACTCGTGAACAGCAGTGTCGTACACACTCGATGTGAGGTGTAACATATCAGGCTGAGATATCAGACATTGGATTGACGTCCATGTACCCGGACAGAGAGAGAGATCGGAGAGGTAGAGAAGGAGGCAATGAGAAGAGAAAGATGGATGGAGGCACTAGGGAAGTAGACGGTATAAGCGCACTTCACACACACATCCAGCTGTCTCAAAGGAGAATAAGTCTCACGTAAAAGACCCGTAGATAACAATAAGCAATGATTTCGTTGTGTCTCTACACTAACCTGCATTGCACTCGAACCAACCTATCGAAACCGTAAAGCAAAAGAAAAGAAAGTGAAACCCTGTCTCGTAACAGAAGCTAGCCTAAACCTTCGTCCCATCTTCCTGTGCCCTTTCATCGTCCTCCGCAGTAGCAGTAGCACGCGCACAAGGATGCGATCGGACCCCCGACTCCAGCTGATGCGCCAGCGTATGCGCGAGCGCATCACACAGCGGATTCTTCGTCGTCGCCGCCGCCGCCGCCGCCGCCGTCGCAGGTGCAACGAGGCGGTTATCCGAGTCATAGAACGGCGGGTTGCTCACACCGGGTCTACTGGCACGCAGCATCGCAGTCTTCTCGTTCTTTGAAGCCGAAGACGTGGTTGGCGTGTGCGAGGGGGCTTGTGGGCTGAGGCGTGCGGCGTTGGGCGCGGACCGTGTGTCGGCGGGTTTCTTGAATGCGCCGCTGAAGTGCGGCCGAGCGTTGTCGGACAGCGAGGTGAGGGCGAAGACGTGCTTCATGTAGGGGCTGGGCGCGCGGGCGAGCGCGGTGCGAGTGCTCGCAGGGGCGGGTGTGCCGGTCCAGGGGCCCGATGCGTTGAAGGAGCCGATCTGGTCGTTCGTGGTACACGCAGCGTCAATCGCGCTCTTAGTACTAGGAGCGACAACGTTGCTGGAGGTCTTGCGGTGCTTGAGTGCGGAGACGCGGTCGGAGCTCAGAGGAGCCCCTCGCTGCGTCGTGTGCGCGACATCCAAGCTGTCGCCGTTGACGGTGCCTTCTTTGTGGATCCACTGGCAGTTGCGAAGACGGGTAGCCTCGAGGGGTACCGGCGTGTCGAACGTGTTCTTGACGGTGATCGACTGCGAGCCGGACTTGCCGCGCTGAGGGCTATCGTGGCGCGCCTTGCTGTGCGTCTTCTCCCACAAGAGAGACGACAACCCTCGCGGGAAGGTGTCAGACGCTTTCAGTGATGCACACTCCCAGTACAATTGCTTCTCGCAAAGATGCAGGAGGCGGCTGCTGAGTAGGCGCTCTTGGAGTGCCCAGGCGCGTGTGTCCCAGCCGAAGCCGGGCGTGGTAAAGTCGCTGACTGGCAGCGATGATGAAGCTGACAGTCGTGCATTCGCATTCGCATTCTTGGACAGTACGTTTACCTTGTTGTCCTGTGCATTCGCATTCATGGCCAGTGCATTCGCATTTGCGTTTGGCGGGACTAGGCCAGATGCCATCTTGGTGATCGCAGGATCGCCCTCATCGATCTGATCGAGTACGATTGTCAGGGCAGCATTGCGGTATACGGATGCCATCTTCGCACACTCGGCGTACTTGTCGGCTTCAGAATCCTGGACGATACAGAGCGAGTCGACCCAGATGTACCGGAAGCCAAGCTTCTGTACAGCCTGGATGCCAGACTCGAGTGCCTTTGGCAGTGCCTGTCGCTGAAGACCTAGCTGCGCGTTCTTGAGTCGGTCGGTTGTCAGCGTGGGACTACTACAAGTCCATATATGGCTGAGCGTGACATATCTCAAGGTTTCAATGCCTTGCACGAGCGAAGCGCTGTCAACGATGCGAACACTACTATCGTCGATGCCCTCAGGCTGGGTATCGACTAAGCGCGTCGGTAGAACCTTGTCGGTCGTTGCAACGGTGCGACATACGTCGTGCGTGTGATAGCACTCTTCAATCCAGGACTTCGCATTCTTGAAAATGTCCTGACTGTGATTGACAGTTATGCTGGCAGCTTCAAGGTGATCACAGCAGTCGACGCCGTTCTTACGAACAAGTGTCTCTACCGCTTCAAGCTCTTGATCCGGTGCAGGGAAGACAGCTTGGTCGTTCGGCCACTCAAGACAACAAGGCGCTGGGGTGAACTTCAAGGAGAGAAGTGCCGCGCTCGGTCGCTCGGTGGGATCTGCGTTTAGCATTTCCTTGAGCGTACCAACCACCTCTACTTCGGTGGGAGTCGCGGCTTCCTTCAGGAAGCGTGAAAGCCGGTCTTGCAGGCTCGGAACGTCTTGCCAGTAGTGCTTGCCTGTACGACCGCTGTACTCGCGGCGGAAGTCTAGCCAGTCTGAGTTCGACGGGCTGAACGGCGCTGATGCCATTTCTGCAAAGACGCATCCAAGAGACCAGACATCAGCAGCTTGCTCGCGTGCGAATCCGTTGAAAACCTCAGGTGCGACATAACGACGCGTCAGTGGCTTGTGCTGGCCATCATTCAGGTCGTCTGAAGAGCTGATGCCGAAATCGCAGAGTACTACGCGTGGGAACTCTTGGTCGCCTTGGAGAACAAGGATGTTCTGCGGCTTGATGTCCATATGCTTGACAACTGGTCGCTGTTCGTGGAGATAGCGAACAGATGACACAAGACAACCAAACATCTTGCTGACGACATTGACGAGGTTGGCTGGTTGTAGCGTAACTTGCTCAAGCCAGAGCGCGAGTGTTGTCTCTGCAACGGGAGATACTAGGATCGACATCTTGTCGCCCTTGGAGTATGCACCGAGCAGGCGGATAACGTGAGGGTGGCGTAGCTTCTGGAGAACGCTTACTTCCTTCTTGAGTTCCTCAATAGCGGTGGGGTTGCGATTCTTGAGTGTCTTACGACCCATTCGTAAGTTCGTCGCTCGATGTACTACCTCGTCGACAGTACTAAATCCACCAGCACCAAGGAGTCTGACACTCAGGAATGACTGCGGAGTAAAGTGCTGTAACGCGTCAAGTACAGTCGATGACGTTGTTTTGGTGTGCATGGTCGGTACCACGACGACGGCAGAGCTTGACAGGTCTGTGCGATTATCTAGTACAGCTGACACTGGGACGCGTAGCTCCTCTGTGCGGCTCTGTACTGATGACTCGAGTGGACTGATCTTGGTGTTCCGACCCGCCGGATCAGTCTGTGTTTCTAGCACTGCTAGTTGTCGATTCACAGCGTCTGGTATGAGGCCGACACCATCCGTGCTTACACAAACTCCGCGAGCCACGAGAGGTTGCGATGGGACCTTGGCCCCCCCAACTAACCGGCCGGAGATAGCATCTCCGGCCAAAGTGATTGGGTCGTTTCGCGCTGTCGAAGCGTGCTTTGCTCCAGTTGAGCATAACTCAGTTGAGATAGGCTCTGGTGTAGAGGAGGATCGTTGTCGAATGCGCTGCTGATCGCCTTGTGGTTGCTTCGCGACATCGACGTTTTCAGATTTCGACGAAAGCTGGAACTGGAAGAAGCTGTCAGGCAGTAGACTAGATCCACTGCCACCGCTGCTGCTGCTGCCGCCGCCTCCGTAGTCGCCGCCGCCATAGTAGTGAGAGCCAAAGTGGTTACGAGGATCGCTTTCCCGTGGCGGATGCGACGGCGCACCGTCATACCCGTCGCCGCTGGGCTTGTCATTGTCGTCATCATCATCGGTGTTGTCGCTGTTGTCGGCGTCGTCGTTGCTCTCATCGTTCCAGTCCAGCATACACTTGCCCTGCTTGAAGTGTTCTGCTATGTGGTCGATGCGGTCCTGCCTCGAGTCGAACTTGTGCTTGCAGAACCCGCAATTCCGAGGGAACTCAGTCTCAGAGCTCACAACACTAGCCTGCTCGTACTCATCGCTGTTCACATCAGGGTGGATGTTCCTGAAATGCTACGCGAATGTTAGCCATGCCAAACATACGAGGGTACTTGAGCCAAGCTTGCGAAACCCCTGCAGGGCGATGAACTTGTATGTATAATAAAACTCGCTTACCTGAACGAAATGGTACTTCCGGAAGCATGGGCGCACATTCTCGACACCATCACTTGTGCACAAGCTGCACACCCACGACTTGCATGGATATCCCTCTTCCTCATTTCTCTTCCAATCACACTTGCGGCCGTAACGCTTGCCACATTTCCGCGTGCATTGGTAGATCTTGTTTGGGTCTCTGTCTAGTAGGTCCCGGTCCTCAGTAGGTGAACAGCGCTTCTTCTTCCCACGGAGCGTTGGTGCCGGTGGGTTGGCCACTGTTGTGTCATCGCTTGTCCGTCTCTCTGGTGTTGCCGTGTTCTGTGTAAGCTGAGCGTTTTGAATATTTACAGGGAACTCTATCCCTTGCTGCTGTTGGGGCACCAGATCTGTTGTATATGAATCAGACCAGCACAAAGCTGGCATCATATCGGTTTGCGACTTGTAGGCTGAATCATGGCCCCCCATACCCTGTTTCAGCAATAGCCCAAACCATTGCCGGATGGCATCTGCAGACTCTCCTGTGAGCTGGCTGAGCGAGTCGATGTGACGGTCGCTCGGCAACACGGCGTACTTGTTGAACCATGTTGTGCACACGTCGGCAGCCTCATCCGAGAGACCCTGGACTACGTCTATTTGTGGTGAAGCTGATGAGAAGGAAGTTAATGTGTAGTCCCCTGTCGACTCATGTCGCTTAGACTGGGTGAAGTCTTCGACATCGAGTTGACGCGGCCTCTTGCCCAACGAAGTACCCAGGCTTGGCTGGTACATCTCAAGTGATTGTGTAGGAGTTGCTGGGAAGGAGTTCATCGCAAGTGTTTCCGGTGTAAGATGGCTATTCCACAGGTTGTTGCTCATAGTGTTATCCATGGCCTGAAGAAGTCAGCTTACCCGATCGTGCTCGATATCGTATCGCAACACCTACAAGAGTCTGGGACATAAAGCTCATATCCTGAGACGGGGTCGAGAAGATGGTCGGATCGATGAATGATGCGGCCGTGTCGATACCCTCGTCACCAAAGAAGCCAAAGGTGTTATCCTCGGTAGGCTTCGCGAACTGCTGCTGCTGCGGCAACGTCGCAAACACATTATTGAAGTCCATATCCGCTGTATCAAAAGCGAAGTCAGCGCCCTCCATTGGGTGAGTGTATTCGTGTGTGGGGAAGGGCGTTGTGGTGGGTTGGTCAGCAATCACGACGGAGGTTCGTGTGGGTTCTCCGAAAATGAGTGTGTATGATCAAAAGTGAGTCAAGCCTGAGGCCGCTTGGCTGCTATTAAGTCAAGGGCGCTGTAAACCGGTCAAGCCGCACAGGAACGCGGAGTCACAGTAGCCCTTCTGTGCTGATTTGAAGGGCGGATGCCGGTTGATCGTGCACAGGGTCCGGCTTCAGGCGTCCAGCGGTCAGATTATTAGGCAGGGTTCGCCGACGGCTGCGCAAAATTACAGTATCGCCAAGACATTGCTGAGATCGCGACATCTTTCAGAGCTGCATGAGCACAACGAGCACATGTTATACCATCATGCTACCTAGCAGCTGGATCTGTTGACCTTTATCACAAACATATCGATTACAAAAAGCTTGCAGAGGTAGTTTCTCATTTTGTACATCACGGATCCAGGTTGAAATAAAACCTGACTGTGCGCGGAAGCACCGAAACCGCGTAATACCGCCCTTTTTTTCTCCACAAAGGCGGCGGGCTGAGCGCAAGGACAGCCACTCTTAGTGGGGTTGAGGTGGCTGTGCGCTGCTGCGACTCGAGCTGGATCGTAGATCAAACCTCCGAAGCCTGGACATAGGGCTGTGACTGCGCCGTTCTGTTTGCTGCATGCGCACGCTGCTATACAGTACTCTCCCATGGAGCGCTCACGATAAATGAAGCTTCTGGCGATTTGCTACATACATCTTAATACGACAGGATCAGCTCCTAAATTCGATGGATCCTTCACATGTCGTTCATGCACGTTTCCCCCTAGACCCACGCGGCTTACGCCAACCGACGGCCTCGAGATATCGCTTCTAGAGTTTACTAGGATCACTGCGCCTCGCCCAAGAAACACTTTGCGAAACGTCACAGATGCAACAGCTGAAATATTCGCGTTACACCTCAACACCCATGGATCTTGATCGTGTCTAAAAGTCTGCCCCGTATGATTCCTCAATGAATGAAAGTTGAGACGAATACGATCAACTCCGGAAGAGCCAATTGTGTTACCCAGACACGAAACTTACTTCGCGGTCTGTCGCTGCACATACAACCACGCTGACTCGACACAGTTCGGTGACTATCTCGGGTGTCAAACAGGATTGAAACTCGTAATTTGGAGCGTCGACGAGTACCCGCGAATTCACTGGACCCTGCAACAAGACGTCACGTAAGAGCGCACCTGCGAGAGAGAAGCGCCAAACAAGTCTGGAAGGACGTCTTCAAACGCACGCTTCATTCGTTGTTGCAACGCATACATGTGATCCCGAGCAAGGGTTGGAGAAGAGCAAGACATTGCGAATGCCACGCCACGCGATTGCACGTGCTTCATGGCCAGTAATGTTAACGTAAGCCGGGTAGTAACCATGTTTTCGCGATCGGTCAATGAACGAGATACGCGCTAGATACTGTCGGTCACGTTCGTTCTGACGCGAGCTGAAGACCTCAAGAGCGACGAGGAGGAGGAGGTTGAGGGGTTCGATCTGACGACAACACTCGGACGGGCAGACGTATACCGATAATAGTGACGATGAGCCGGGGCCTCATACTCCAAGGAACAAAGTCGCTATTGGAGAGACCCCGCTGGCACAATCTGGTGAACGGGTGTTGAGACATTCATGAGAGATGAAAGGAGATTTGTGGGCAGCGATGAGCGAGCGATAGGATTATACGAGTCACGGATATTGTATGTATGAAGAAAAATCTGAAAACATGGCAATTTGTGCAGGAACTTGCCCGGTAGGCGATTACAGGCACTAGGAAACAATACAGATCCATCCCCGTCCCATTCCTTCTTGGTCCTTGATAGACTCTTGGATCACTTGAGAGAGCCTGAGGTGTGGGACCCACACCGAAATCGAAGCGGTTCAGATGATCTCGACTTCTGTTATGGTTGCGTCCTCGCCAAACATGCTGTATCGATTCCTCAGTAGATCCTGCATCCTCAGCGTATCATCTGCTTCATAGATCTCGAAGCCTGCGTTGAGGTCTTTTAGGGCCTGACATATGCGATGCTGGTCTTGGGAACGTTGTGCTTTGGCCAATGCTGCGAAAAGCTGCGCATACGCTTCAGGCCAACCAATGGAGACAGCAAATACCCCTCGTCTCCTGAAAAGACTCTTCCTAGCATCTATGCACTCAAGTACAAGGCCTTGCTCGTCAAATCTTCTTTCTTCATTGGCATGCTTTATTAGGAGACATGTCAAAGGCTCATCTTGCTGGGGTAATACGTCCGGAAAGAAATAATGCCACACGAAAACCGGGCCGTTGGAGAGATTTCCGTGTTGTTCTGTGTATGCCGTGGTGTCATGGAATATGCTCCATGAGAGTTGTTCGTATGCAGCTGAGTCGTCACTGCAAGGCTTCAATACGGGGGCCAGGATCCAGTTGCTCTGGAGTACGAGCGGCTCCCGAAGACTGAATCTGGGTACCGGCCGGCGGACCGTAGTCCAGCCCCGTATCTTTGTGGATGCAGGTAGTGGTAGCTCTTTGCACAATGATGACAATCGATCAAATGGCGTAGCAGGTGGGGGTTGTAGCAACTCAGCGCTGTTCACGTATGGTAAATCCGTACGCCAATGATCCGGGATTCCAATCTCGCCTTGGACACCGATCCATGACCACGAAGGAACGTCGCTGAGCATTCTTCTCCGATCACGCCAAACGCCTTTTAAAGCTTCCGTATAGCACCAGAGAAGCTGGTCCCAGAAGAACGGGAGCCATAGACCGAAGCTATTCTCGTAGTTGGTATCACGGTTCAGGAGCTGAACTACACCCGCCAATGCGCTGAGTCTGTCGTCCTCGTTGCTCAACGAAGCTCGGTTGTAATTGTACAATAGCCGATACCACAAATCTTGAAACCGAACTTCGCCATGATCCTCTGGTGTCATCCGAAGTATCCTTAGGAAAAGCTCTTTGTAGTCTCCTATGTTGGGAAGTGTAGGTGTGCCGCATCGATGGCATGAACGCAGTTTCCGGCACTCCCATATTATATCAGTGCCACAGAAATGGAGTGTTCGTGGGCCCATCAAACGTTCCTGGTAGACCCAGGCTCGAGTGTCGATGTGCCGGCGCTGAAGGTAATGGAACTGACCATCATGTTCCAGTCCCTCGAACCACAAGGTCTTGTCGTCGTCGTCGAGGATTTGGCAGTCTTCCGTTTGAAGTGGCAACCGGCTCTTCAAAAAGCCTGAACTGCAATCAACAGAGTCAGACGCTGCAATTGTAAATAAAGACCGGGCATAAATTGATCCCATGTGAGAAACCTCTTTTGAAAAATCGCCAGTACTACCTTGGATGATGCAAAGAGCATCCACCCATAGGAATCGAATATGCAGCATTCTGCACACATGAACAGCATGTTGTACTGTTCTTGGAAGCGTATCCATCCTGATTTGAGCTCGAAACGATTCGAGTGTGTCCTTGGTAAGCAAGACGGAGGGGGGGCTATTACCCCAGCTGTAACTGAGCGTAGCGTAAGGCTGCGCGCCATGATCGCTCGTCGAAACTAAACGAATGTATCTCGAGTCTGTGTCAAAGTGGAGATCTAACAGCCTAGAAGGCCTGTGGCCGCCAAAATCCTGACTACAAGACTCATGTTTTTCAGTACATTCTTGTAACCAAGCGCCCATCAGCTTGGAGGCTGCGTCAGACCCAGTGTTTGAAGACCATTTGAAGCAAGTCGACGCGAGCGAAACTTGGCTTGATCTGACCGGACGCAACCCTTCCCAGATTCCCTGACGAGGCTTGAAGATAATGTGAATACGTATTGTAGCCAAAGGGGCTGGTAAAGCTGAGAGTCCCGAAGAAGTGCTGTAGTGTAGATGCAGCAATTGACTATCGTCACTGATCACGAAATTACGTAGTAAGCGTGGGCTGCTACCCGGAGAGATCCACAGCCGATGTTCTTTTCCATATTGTGAAGTACATTCCTCATTTCGATCGAATGAGCCGACAAAGAGAGAACAAAGGTGACAATCACGCTGAGCTGATCTTCGAAGATCAGTCAAGCTAGCGTGATGTGGTGTGGGTACTCTGCTCGCCCAGAACAGCTTACGTTCCGATTGAACCAAAGGGAAGACATTTTGAAATGTTGCACTTTGAATGAAGTTGTATAGTGAAGTGCTTTGATCCCATTGGAGGTTGTGATGACTGAGGAAGTTGTGTACATCTTCGCCTGCCCAAGACTTGGGTGGCGTGTACGTGGTAGCGATAGTTTGGCAGAGGTTGCATAGTTGATATGGTGTGACCGCCTCGTTGACGTCCATACTTATCAATATGCGTCGATGATGGTCTTTCTGTTGTGATAAGAGGAGGTAAGTGAGCTGAGAAGGCTGCAGCTTGACTGCCCGCCAGCCTGCCACGCTTCCTGTTTACTGCGAAGCCATTGGCAGGCGGATACGGGACTACATCTCGCACAAGGGCAAGCAGGACACAGCATGGCGAGCGCAATACACCCACATACGTAATGTCCAGATTGATGCAAGCAGATGCTATCCGATGTTGACGGTGATATTTGTGCGAGGTAGGCAGGAAAGGGAAGCACGGACGGGAACCACTCGAAGCTCCAGCTCCCCGCAACGCGAACCTCTGACCCTTACGTTCAACATGTAGCTTGCAGTGAACCACACCTTTAGGGTGTTTGATAGATCCAATGCCTACGCGCGCAATCAAGGCCATATTCTACACGCGTTTCCATCATGAGAAAGGTCAGCGAAGCGATGTACCGTCTGCAGTTCCATCTCACAGTCACCAGGCTCACACGTCCTCCACCAAGTCCCAGCAGGCGCGATAACGCCTTCGACCTCACCGTCCGCCCTTCCAACACCGCTCTTTCCCTTCTCGTCGGTCACACAATACCTCATCCCTACCCAGCAGTTCTGTGATCGCCTTATCACCTGCTGCGTCAACCACCACCGCATCATCGGCTTTCCAGTGTGCATAAAGGAGGAAAAGAAGTACGAGAGAAACGAGTTCATCTTTAACTTTGCTATAGTCATTAGCGAAACTGAGGTAGACTGGGCGTGCTATGGACAGGTAGTGAGGAAGCTGGGCAAACTGCTGAGAGGCCTGGAGGAGCAGGGCGGCTTTCTTAGCAAAGAAGAGGATGGCGTTTGGGACGACGAGTATGTTGGCCTCGGGATAGGCGTTGGTGGTCTAGACGACAGCGTGGGTGGGAGTGGCTTCGGCCTCGGCAGTGGCAGCAAGGTGTATGCGCTGTGTGAGATGGTGCTCGAGGACCTCAACAATTATTCTGAATGCATGATACCGATTGGTAGGTGCTCTCTGATGCTGCAAACTTGCCCACATTGACTGATCTGGAATAGACGACTCCAATACCATCAATCTGAAGCTGTTCCCGACAAGACCGCCTCCACCGCCCGTTCACGCGCATCAAGTCCCTCTCCTCACCATGTCGCTTGCTGGCCTCCAGTCGCCCATCTCCTCCGATCTCACGTTGAATCGCATTCTGCCATACATCAACGGTGTGAACTCGATATCACGTATTGCTCAGCTTGCGGATACCGATCTCTCATTGACACGAAGAGCCGTACAACATCTAGTGTACTATGGTTGCCTGGTGCTACTGGACATATTCAGTTTCAGTGCCATCTATGCGCCAACGGCAGAGATTGGTGGCTTCGTTCTGGACGACGATGTGAAGGAAGAGTGCATGAGATACGTCAGGACACCGAAGATGAGGGTAGGGTCAGCCGCGAGCAAGAGCACAGTTGTGCGAAGCGAGTCTGAAAGAAGCCGTGAGGGACGAAGTTCGATATCTTCTTCAGCATCACAGCGAAGTGAGAGTGCTAGCTCCGCCATCCACATCTCAGGCTTCGATGGCGAGGACCAGCAGGACGAAGATGAAGACGGCGAGTGGCACATCGAACACGAAACCTTGATCACTTTGTACACCTCCCTGCGGCAAGGTCTCACGCTCAAGAGTTGGGTGCTTGACAACCTCGACCTGCTCAGCGGCATTGACATTCGCCGGTTCATTACCTTCGGTGTGATCAAAGGCTTCCTCTACCGTGTGCACAAGTATGCATACGCGACATCTATAGCAATGCCTCCAGCGCCACCGACGAGTCTCCAGACATCTGCTGCTCCTTCGACGTCGAATTTGAGAGATTCTGATACAGCGACCATCCGTGGTAACATTCACCGCCCATCCATATCCAATCTGCATTCACATGCACAGCATCCTTCGTTCTCGATACACCGCCCTTCGATAGCCTCTACAACAAGCCTTAATCCGCATTTGGCGAACACTCAACACCACCATAAAGCGCCAAGTATCACACGAAACCAAAATTTAAAGGACATGGATGACCTGGTTAGCGATAGAGAGAGGGAGGTCGGGATGCAATTAGTCAACTTCTTAGATGGCATGCATTGCTTCGATGAGATTTGCAGCGATCTGTCGTTGCCGGAGAAGGTCGTCGAGGGCAAGATCAGGGGAGTCGGTGAGGGTCTCGGAGTGGTCATACATCGGTAATACCCACCTAAGTAGGTGCTACTTTCTATCAATGTGCGACGCGCGCCAATGGACGCAATCGTAGACCAACACGTGGACCGTTTTCCCGGTGCCTGCGGAGGAATCGTGGAGCGACTGCGGGCCGTGAAGCCTCACTCCCACACCCACATGACCATCATACCCATGCTTTTATCACACGCCGAACCTTAACCCAGCAGGCCCTGCATGTCTTGTGTGCGTGATGCACGTCATCCGTACAACGTCGCGAGGCCGCACACGTCTTGACACAGGTGCTCGCTTACACGTGAGCTGCACCCGCGGACTCTGCTCCGGCCATGTGGAGAAGGATTGGGACGTTGGGCGCTCAATTGTGGACCTTTGGGGTATGGGGTATGAATACAAAAGGCTGATGGAGTGAGAAGTGAGCATTCAAACGTGCCGTGCCCATCCTCTCGACTCTGTTGCTTATCACAGTCACTCGAAACTCCCACTCTCGACACCTTCCCCACCCATCATGCTCACGCTCCTCGGCGCCGTAACACTGACCCTCGTCGCCGGCCTCAAGCTCACAGCCCTCGGCCTGGTCTTCAAATGGATGGCCCGCTACTGAGCTGTGTCACACTTCTCCACCGCGTGAAACTCGGCACCGCCAGGCCTGCCTCACTCGGCACGTCACGCAAATGAGGCGAATATCGCGACCGTATACGGCGGGCGACGCACCCGAGCCCACGCTCAAAACAAAGTCCACAAAATCCAATATCCACAATATTGGGCTCGGAGATTTGTGTCAGTGTCCGGGCAGGGCGTGCGACAGCGGCAGGCGCGGGCGAGCGAGGCGCCGCGCTGCGCTGTGCTTGCGATCATCGAAGAGCGCGGAGTTTGGTCCGCCGCGGGTGCTCAGACGGCGACGCGAGCGATGCGGATGCGGACACGAGATGGATTGGAGGAGCGGAGCGCAGCGCGCGCACTGCGGAAGCGCCCCGCTTTACTGCGACTGCGCTGCACTGCTACCCCGCAACACCGATGCCGGTGGGCGATGGTGTGATGTGGTGCAACAACGTGGTGTCGCGAGCGAATCGACACTGGCCTGCGTCGTTGTGCTACTCTTGTTCTCCCCGCTGCATCTGTCTACATACCGCTGCAATGGCTGCCGAACCTCAATCCTTCACCGAACTCCCCGTTCTGCCCCTCGCGCGTGCCCTTGACCCCGCCACGAAACCGCAGTTTCTGGCCGATTTGCGGGACGCGTTGCTGAATGTTGGCTTCTTGTACCTCAGCGAGACGGGGCTGCCAGACAAGCTGGTGCGCGATGTGATCGAGGAGTGCACGAGATTTTTTGAGAAACTACCACAAGCGCAGAAGGAGGCGATTGAGATGAAGAACGAGAAGAGTTTCCTGGGCTGGAGTCGGGTGAGTTGAATTTATCTCATTGTGCTGCATGCTTGTGTGTGGCGGAGAGGCGAGGAGTGCAGCTTTGAATGTGATTGTCGTTCATCTATGGTCTATTGGGTTCGTGCAGTCATGTACTATCTACGATCTGCTGTGTATATGCAGCGATGGAGAAAAAAAAGGAGACGCTGGAGCTATTACAAGAGCAGGGAGAGAAGGAGGAACAACAAAGAACGCGCGTGCAGACATCCTTCATCAAACGCAACGAATCAAACCTGGGTATCTTCCCACGTGTATCTACCAAGACAACGATCGTGTAGGATCGTTATGCCGTCATCCTGCCATTACATCTTCCTTCTCTTTTGCTCGACAACATTGGACACCTTGCTGACGATCTTCAAGCTCGACAACGAGACCACGGCGTTCAACACAGATCACCGCGAACAGCTCGACCTGTCGACACCGCATCCAGTACCAGGACCAGAGGCACCGTTGTACCACAATCTCCTCGCTCCAAACCAATGGCCATCACCGCAGCACCTCCCGGCATTCCGGCCGGTCTACGAAGAGTACATGCGTCGCATGTCTGAAATTTCTGCTCTTTTCACGTCACTGATCGCGGAAGCGATCGGCCTGCCTGCCAACGCGTTCAGCCAGTTCTTCGACGCGCAGCAGCAGCACAAGCTCAAAATCGTCAAGTATCCCGAGGTATCCGTGCCCGACCTGGCAGCAGACGCGAGCGAGCAAGACAGGAGGCAATGGGAGATCGCGCGCCAGGGCGTCGGACCTCACAAGGACAGCATGCTCACCAGCTACTTGCTGCAGGCCAGCAGCCAACCGGGACTGCAGGCGCAGAACGCCAGAGGGGAGTGGGTGGACTGCAAGCCTATCGCTGGCACGCTTGTGGTTGCCATCGGGCAGGGAATGGAAGCTCTAACGAACGGCGTATGCGCGTCAACTACCCATCGCGTGCTGAGTCCGCGGAAGGGCGAGGGCGCACGGTTCTCCGTTCCGTTCTTCCAGGGCGTAAGCTATGATGCAAAGTTTGAGGCCATGGATGTGCCAGCGTCAGTCCTGCAGCTGCGTGACGAAGCACGCAAGGCGCGCAGGGACGACGTTGAATTCACGTTTGTCAAAGGCCGGTGGGCGCATCTGGGCGAGGCGACGCTGATGAATCGGGTGAAGAGCCATCCAGACGTGGGCCAGCGGTGGTATCCAGAGCTGCTCCGGCAAATTCGCGCGTCGCAGCAGTCGTAACTGCCGACCGCACTTGCACCATCAGCAGGAAAACGTCGTCCTCGTTTTTCGTCCCCGCTCGTGAATTCTCAAACAAGAGACTATTGATTTTTGCGTGCGGGCATCATCGCGCAGGCCGCACAACGACGCAGGTTGCGGTGAGCTGATGTCCAGCTCAATGCGGAAGCCCTGCCAGAAGCATGAGCACGGGTGAGGTCGGACCACGGCATGCCCCGGCGCGCAATTGGCTGGAACGGTGCCAGGTCCACGTCGTCGGCTCGGCGGATGGCCCGCCTAAAGCGCGCCACCGACCCTTGTGGAGTGCGTCGTTCGCTTGGCGCAGGGCTTTTTTTCTGCTGGCCTCGGCGGATTGGAAAACATTAGCCGCGCGCCAGAAGACGTAGGGCCGAGAGCAAAATGGACAGGATGAGGCAAGATGTGTATTTGATTGACGTGTTTCAAGACCCTTGCAGATTACTGTAACGGTAGCAGAGCCAGTGCGGCATGCCATCGCAAAACTGTAGTGTGTTCCACTTGTTTCTCGGGGTCGGTGTCGAGGATCTCGGCTTCTTGTCTGTTTTGGGAGTCGATCTCGGAGGAAAATTGAAGCGAATAACGCCTGCAACCCTGTCTCCACGGCAGATTCCACTTTCAGGTGACCAAGCTCGGATCCCACCTCATGAGCATCTTTGACCAGGGCTACTTGCCCCTAATAATTCCAAGGTCCGTATTATGGGCGCCGAAGCGGATCCTTCTACAATCCTGCTTCCTGCCACCCGCTCATTGCGACTATGCCTCGAATGGATCCTGCGTGCTGCGTTTCATTTCGATCCATGCCGTGTGGGGACGATATCGAAGGTTTGCCCAAGCGTTTCCAGATGTGCCATCTCGATTTGATCAATCCGCAACCAACGTGCCCACGACCTGAGACCTCGCTGTTCTCGAGTCGCGGGGCATGGGTACCTTGGCCGGCTTCGTCGGTTATCGGGTGCATGTCATGAGCCCAGACACTACTCTGACCGGTCATCATGCTCGTGCCGCTGCCGTATAGATTCCAACACCCTGGTTTGGGTAGGCGAGCCGCGAGCGCGAAGTTCGAATCAGTGTCTACGTCCGACTTCGGTATCCCTGCAATTGGGGTCTGTTCACGGAGAATTCTATGACGACTGCTCAGTGCTCGACTTTCATATTGGGCTGCATATACATGATGTGCTGGCCTGGCTCGCCCATCATTTGCGGCTGCGGCTGTGGGTGCGAGTGCGGAGCATGCGCCATCATGGGCATCTCGCCGGGATGGCTGACTTGTGGTGCGTAGCCTGGGTGAGCATATGATGGATATGGTGCTGAAGTCTGCTGCTGTGTGTGCGCGTGGGGGTGTTGAGGCTGGGGCGGCACCTGGTGGTTCATGGGAACGCTCATGTGTCGCTGGTACTCAGACGCATGTGGCGAAGGGTGCGAAGTTGGGGTGCCATAGCCCGTCATTTGCATCGGCTGTGAAGTGACGAGGGGCGCACTGTCGAGAGGATAAGACATGGCGCGCGCGTTGCTCTCCATGCTGTAGGAGCTGGGGTAAGGCTCAACAGCGTGAACTGAGGGGTGATCTGCCATGGAAACTCCGTGATGCTGGGGGTGCGATGAAGGATGAGGGCTCCAGCGCGCATCGTGGTGTGGGGTTGACACGTCCATGGGCGCTGGTGCGTCACCATGCGGCGAAGAAACGTGGTGAGCATATGAGTGTTGTGTCTGCCAGTGGGTCGCCTGGGAGGCTGGCGTTGCGATTTCAGAAACCGAGTGGACACTTCTTGCTGTTCCAGTGGAAGATCTGCGAGGCTGGCTGAGCATCTGAATGCGGTCACTGGGCGAGGGAGCGCCTGTCATTACTCTGGTTAGCCATTATGCAGCAGATATCGCAGGTGTTTCACAAGAACAATGAAGCGGTCTCGTCTCGCCAGAAAGAGAAATGAGCAGACGTCGTTGCAAGCGACGCTTGTCGCCAGAAAAGGAAATAAAAGCAGGGCTGACAACGTTGGCGAACAACGGAGAGTGACAGCGGCGCATAAAAGAGGGTCGGCTGCACAAAACGGGCGCGGGCCGGGTGGGAAAAAGCAAGCAAGTGAGCCCACATGGCTGAACAGGGAAATTCTGATCTGTGCTCTAGAGACAAAAGAAAGTCATCACATACCTGTGTTGTGTTCGGGGACGCCCAGTGTGGAGGGCGCGTGTCCCATGCGTGCACGGAGCATAGCGTTCTCCTGCTCCAGCTCTTCGTTGCGGCGCATGACATCGATCATTTTGGAGGAAGAGGTGTTTTCCAGTTGGGTTTGAAGGTCGCGAACTTGGCGTTCTAGGCTCTCAATGTGGTCTTTGGTCCTCTGGCGAATGGCTCGTTGTGCTTCCCGGTCGTTGGCGCGCTTCCTCTCCAGCTGGGCGGCGGTGAGGGTTGTGACGCTGCGGGTTCCTGCTCTTGAGGGGCGCTTCTTGCCGCCAGACATGGTCTTCCGCGACTCGCTCTCGGAAGAGTGCCCATCGTAAGAGAGGGCCTTCTTGTGGTCATCCATCATGTGGGGAGACTGGTAGCTGGAGGTGCTCATGAAGTCGCTCCGGTATGCGATAGGATCACGGTAATGGAGTACTGAAGTCATCGAGGATCCGCGGGGGGCGGTGAGTGTATTAGGCAATGTGACGATGCTGTGTCAGCGGGGCCCAATTGAGAAGCGGTCCAAGCGTGAGACGGTATCAATGGGGTGAAGTGACGACGGCTGTTCCTGAATCCCAAGATCAGGGTATTGGCGAGGGTTAATGTAAGTGTGCCGCAATGCGCACAGATGACCCACGGACGTGGGAAGTGAGTGAGTCGTGGTGAGGTTAAGACAGCGGAGATTGCAAGTTGGGACGGGAAGGCTAGAGGGGAGAAGTGCCAGGACGAGGCAGAAGATGGCTGGCAAGAGGCTATAACCAGTTCATGCTATCAAGCTGTGAATAGCGTCTTTCCGTGGCGCGTCGACCCTGGCGAGCACTAGTGGTTGCGTGGCATCCCGGCATCTGCAGCAGCCATACGCAACACGTGGGTTTCTGGGGAATGGTTTCACTTTGGCCACTAGGGTTGACACCATGAAGTTTGGTGCCTGACAAGCGCTGATCACGCAAGCTGGAAGGTCTGCAGACCCTTTGCAAGACTGCATCAGGTTGCAAGCGTGGCAGCCAGCGGTAGAACAGCGGGCATGGCAGATGCCTGACGATGGAGCCCTGCCCTGCGTCCGGCGAGCGCAGTGGCTGTTCTGGAAAGGCACCACGGGCTCTAGCTCGAGCATTACAGCACGCTACCGAAAGTGGCCGTAGTCGTGGCCGTGGCCGTGGCCGAGCTGCTGCGCGACACTAGCCCTCGGCCCACCTTACCCAGAAGATGCGGAAGGCGACGGGCCCACCAGGAAAGCTTGCGACGGTGAAGGACGGAGGGTGCGGACCGCTTCTGCTGCATGTGCTGTCGGCGCCGCTACCACGCTGGTGCTGGTGGTGCTGGTGGTGCTGGCCGCCGTGCTGCTTCAGCACCGCAAAGCACGGCAGCAGGATGCGGCAGCGCGCGCAGAGGAACACGAGCGGACCGTTCTGTGACGTTTCGCGGCGTCCCATGGCGTGGTGCTCATGCTTCAATTTGCTCAGCGATGCCGGACGCAAGATTAAACAAGCCCTGCTTGTGGCGCCAAGCCGCCCACACGTGGTGGCCCTGTCGACTGGCCCCGCCCAAAAACCTCCTGCCTTCGCCGCCGCCGCTCCGAGCATTCCACCATGCTGCAGTATCTGAGCTAGAGCCATCCTTTAATAGACCCTGCGAGCGTACAAATTCGATTATGTTTTGATTGCGGGCCTATCTGTGCCGCACGCTGGCCAGCCGACGACGGCGGTCGATCATGCGAAAGAACAGGTTCTCCGGACGACTCGCACGGCATCATCGCAGAGGAAAGCTCCGTCCTCCCGTGGCGGGAGCCCGTGTCGTGTCTGCGAACTCTGTTCAGCTCGTTTGCCAACCGCGTGCTTGTTCATCAGGCCAGGGCGCCTTTGCTGATTGCGCAGGCACGTATAGGTGCACCTGCAAAGTTTGCCAGGGTGTCGCCGACCTTTACTGCTTCTTCGCTGCACCTGCGCATTGCACTTTTTGCAGACCGGGGCAGCACGTGGAAAAGCACACACATATGCTGAAACCCTCCGCTATTGACCGGCATTCCTCTGCCGAACCAGTAGTTGGGCGCACACAAAATGAGATGGAGCAGGGGCCTGTTCCGTCATGGCCTGTTCCGTCATGGCCTGAATCCAGTGAACTGTAGTCCGCTCCCTAACCAGCTCTTGTGGCTTGCGATGACATGGTTACGGGCGTCTAGTAGACATCTAGCAGACAACAGACGCGTAGAAGACGGCCACAGAGCTGCTCTCGTGATAGTCTACCGGTGTCATACCTCCGTGATGGTTTACCTACCGGTGCCATACCTCCGCGATGGCTAGACGGCCAGCCTATCGCTTTGACACCGCATGTTCACCGCTCGTCCCCTGCATGCTCTAGGTCGATCATGTCGCAGCGAACATTGAGCCAACGCCGAGCTAGTCTACGTACAACACTGTACAGCTCGGCATCCTCCAGACGGTTCCGCTGACCCTAAAACTCGTCCGTGACTCCCTTTCCGCCACGGAACACTGCTTGGCAGCGACATTGGATGTGGTTAATTATCGGCCGAACATGGCTAACATAGCTGAACATTCATCGGAAGCACTAGGCTAATTGGCCGCGGAACGACCGCGAGCCGCGATGAGAGAAAGGCCCGGATCAGTAGTGGAAGACGAAAGAGAAAATCACGTTCGTTGCGACTCGCACTGCATGTTCACCGCCGCGCAGGGATCATCGACCTCAATCCACTATGTAGCACCCTTTTACGCAAATTGAGACCACTCCTAGTTTAGCAACGTTGGTGCGAACGGCCAGGAGAGTGTCTTTCGATATACCTGAGACAGCTACAGCTGTACGTCGTTGTAATAGGTACCGCCTTATCTCATAGCTGCTTCAGACAACAGACACACAACGCGAAAGCTTGTACATCCTCTGTTGTCGAAGGATTGCATTGGCATCCTTCAATAAACAACGCCTCCGCATAATATTGGGCGCATCCGAAGACACGTTGCTGGAAATGGTGCCGAGCTCGGTTAGGTCTCTACATCTGGGTATTGAGGTTAGGTACTGACCCCTGAGGCCTCGTTGTCGTGTGTACGTTGTACGTCTGAACGGTGAGGATAAACTTTCTACCCCTGCGGAGAAAGGACCAATGGTCGCACTTTCGGCGCATCTGACAACCACCGAACCACAGATCTCCGCAGTTGCCTGAAGCCCAAGGTGCGTGTCAGAGTGTCTCGACTCTCGAAACCCATCACGAAAATAGCGGCAGATCGCTATGTTGGACATGACAACCAGCGTCAGCGGAGACTATGCAAAGACGGGAAGACGCTCTTCTGTTAGCCTCGATATCGGACTGCCTACATGCTCGCTTGACCTTACTCGCCTGTCGGATGCATGTATGCTTAGTCCCCAAATCTGGTCGAGCAAGGTTGGGTTACCCTGGGAAGAGTGTTTAGAACGACGTCCATGCTCCAGCAACCGTTCGCATGATTGCGCAAGAAGGAAGAAACATGGATACGCAAGTGTGACGTCTCTAGCAACGTCCGAGGCATCAACGCCAACTATCGTCGCACCTTTGTGCTCCTGTCTAGTGCCCAAATCTGTTACAGCGGTCGACCGAGACGTTGCGATCCGTGGAACGCTACTCCCGCCCCACCCGGTATTCTTCCGCTAACACAGAATGCAGCCCGTGGACTATTTGAAGCGCTTTTTTAGCGGCCTGCGTCGCCGGACACGAAGGCCACGAGGGCGCAACCTGAAACAATCTCGCAAAAGATTAAAGTTTGCGGGAGGCCATGGGCCGGCTGGTACAGCTCGATTCGTGCAGCGACGGCAGGCGGCACCTGCACATCATGAATCTTCGAGTGCGCTTCTAGCTCCCCGACTAGAAGGAGATCAGATTGACGAGCGCCGAAGGGCATGGTGCATGGCCGCTGCGCTCGGAAAGATTATTGCGATGGCGACGGCGACGGCGATTGCGATGGCGAACTTCGGCGACTCAGGCGTGTACGTGTGGCATATCGGGCGCAGCACCCGGTTAGTCAAGTAGAAATAGCGAGGGCGATGTCAGCAACAAGCGAGTGGCTGATCTAATGGATCTGCCGTAAATGCACTCTGTAACCATCCGAAGGACCGATAGGAAAGAGGCTCGCCTTGGGCGTCAGTCGTGCGCGTGCGCCTCAACACATGCGGAGAGACGAATATTGCGTACTGCTTCTTACCCAAGACGGATGCACCCCCGGAATCCCTGAAGGAACAGAATTTGACTGCCGAAGCTCGATTGCATGCGCGCTAGAAGATTGCTAGAAGGACAGGATGACATTCTCTGCAGCTCATCTCGTGTGACGCCACACCCGTTGCACGACCCAGCTTAACGAAATTGTCTACTCCTTTGCAATATACTGATCGAAGATCTTCGAGATCTCGCGCGCGCTTTTCTTAGGGTGACGCTTCTGGCCACCCGCGTAGTCTACATAGGTGACACCGAATCGCGTCGTATATCCCTCGGCCCATTCGAAGTTGCTGGAGGCATATCGTTAGCACATCGTGACCATGCGGAATACTAGTGGAAACCTAATCAATACGAAGCTGGAGAGCGAGAGCGAGAGCCCAACCAGGAGCGACGCTCGCCCTTCCAGAGTGCCGAGAGGCGATCTTGGAACATGTTTGGAAGACGGAAGGAAAGTGGGTTCGACGTACTCCATCAGACTCCAGGCTGAGTAACCACGGACATCAACCCCATCGAGGGTGTGAGCATCAGCAAGGGCCCCTATATAGCCTCGGAAGTATTCAACGCGGAAGTCGTCGTTGAGGAGCTCCTCCAGAGGTAGTTCGTTCTCGCCCTTCAGACTTGTCCCGTTCTCGGTCACATAGAAGGTAGGTCCACCGTAGCGGTCGCTGAGCCACTTGATCAGTTTCCTGAAGCCAAGGGGCATTGGCCTGAGCCAGGCAGATTGTGTCTCTGGGCCTATCCATTCACCCTCTTTGTTCTGCATGAGAATCTCCATGTTGCCGACATGATCGTCTAGCTCCGGTTCTGTGTCCTTGTGTTTGATGTAATTTGCACAGTAGTGGTTCATACCGTAGAAGTCATTACTGCCCTTGACCAACTCGGCCTCCTCCGGCGTGAACTCAGGCAACCTGTCGCCGAGCTGCTTGCGCATGGAGTCTGGGTATTTACCAAAGTAAACTGGGTCGCCAAACCAGCAGATGGCGAACTCAATCTTGCGGTCGCATGCTTCACGGTCTTTAGGATCAGCCGGATCCCACGGTTCGGTCCAGTCACCTATACAGCGTTAGTTATCGGTCTTGCCATGTCTTATTTAACCGCGGCTGCGCGTGGCAGGAAGATGCTGGTCGGTCGCGTGTCGGTCGCAAGACATCACAGACCATGTGGATGGAGGAGTAGCAAGTGGCGTCGGAGAAAATCAATACCACGTGGAGACGCTTACCATTGAGAGTGATACCGATTTGGCCGCCATCCTGCTTCTTGAAATCCTCGCGATACGCTTTGACAGCGGCACCATGGGCGAGCAGGAGGTTGTGGCCCACAATCCAGGGCTCCCTGCTGCTGTCTCCCTCTTTGCTCTTGCTCCTATCACTTGTGCGGCCAGGCGCGAACAGACCCGTACCGTAACCGAGAATGGAGCTGCACCACGGCTCGTTGAAGGTGATCCATAGTTTGACAGTCGACCCGAAGGCCTTGAAACACACCCTGGCATAGTTCTCGAAATCTTTTACAAATTCCTCCTTGTTCAACAAGCCGCCGTACCGCTTATCAAGGCCTTCAGGAAGATCCCAATGGAAAAGTGTTACTAGCGGTTCAATGCCAGCAGCGCGCAAGTCTTTGGCGAATTGAACATAGTGGTCAATACCCTTCTGGTTGATGGGATCGTTCCGTCCACCAAGTGGAATAATGCGGGACCACGAAAGCGAAAAGCGGTATGATTTTGCGCCGAGTTGCTTCAACAAGGCAATATCTTCGTCGGTGCGGTGGTATGAGTCGCACGCAACATCGCCGGACTCGCCGCCTGCAATCTTGCCGGGGATGCGGCAGAAGGTGTCCCAAATTGAGTCTCCACGGCCGTCCTCTGCAGGAGCTCCTTCAATCTGATAGCTACAAAAGATTTCTTGATTAGCATACGAGTGACGTTACAGCATCAAGAGTGGGGTATCAGGTCCAACAGAGCTATCGAAGCACGCACCTGGCTGTTGCAAAACCCCACAGGAAATCCTTTGGCAAGTATGAGTCTGGCATGTTGAAACGTAGGTGCAATTGAAGTGGACTGATCAAGTCGACGATCTTACACGCAATTTAAGTTTGAGAGGCGGATATCTGAAGTTCATATACCGAAACTTGGGCTTGGTAAGTACCTTCTTGCGTCACGGAGCGTGTCCCGCCGCAACCGTCTCTACGCGTCTACGTAACCTTTTCAGACACGAGTAGCACATGCGAGCCGATCCTACACGCTGAGTTGCATACAGACGGGTGAGCCGCCGTTTCTCCGCGTCCTCAGTGGCTGGTTGAGTTATGGCCCCGCTGTAAACTACAGTGACTGGATTCTATGCTTGCAAAGTCACAAAGATGTATTCCGTTACTGCCGTGGATCTCACGATGTCCGAGGCGGTCAGTGGAGCCGCGGCCCGTCGTATCAGCCTGCCTTTTATCCAGAACAACAGCCTTAAGCCTGGCCTTACTGAGCTCACTGAAGTGGGGTGGCGGGGTACTGTACCTACGGAGCGAGATAGTGCGAGCTTGATCTTCTCCGACAACTTAATCTTCGTCGTCGACTCACGAAGCTGCATTCCTTTTGCTCTCATTCGCGAGTGTCGGAACGGGATGACGACAAACGTTCAACACTGGCGGAACGATCCCTTTGGGAGTTGTGGTGGCTGAACGAAGATCAGCCGAGACAGGCGCTTTCCCTTGTTGAGAATGGCATCCGGAAGCTCAGCTGTTCCCCACATCTACAGACCTTCAATTCTCTGTCGGAACCACGTCTATGTTTGAGGAAGCAGCGACGCAGCAAAAGGCATATAATGGGCGAAGTATTGGAAGAGAGAAGGCCATCCTGAAGCATCAATTTCATCGCGACGACAACCTCCAATCGCATCCGCCATGCTTTGCGCACTTCGAACCATCCGAACCCCAACCAGACGGTTTGCGACCCAACTGCGCACTGTGGCAACACAGGCGCAGAGGCGCGCAGGCGACATTTCCGATGCGTTCGCATCGCTTTCCGGTCAGGAGTTCAAACCTTTGACGCCTGAATATGCAGATCTTAAAGGTCGTCTGATCAAAGGTCGCGAAAGCGAAGTACGAGAGTCTTGGGAGCGCTTACTCCGGGAATTGCGGGAGGAGATTCCGCTCATTGTTGAGCTTGGCTCCAAGGTGATTCCTGAGATCGACTTCAAAGACATCGACAATGCGCCGGAGACGTTCAGCAGCGAGCTGAGGAAGCGGGGTGTAGCCGTCATCAGAGGGGTGGTATCCGAAGAAGATGCGCTGCAATGGAAAGAGGACCTGCGCGAATACATTCGCCAAAACCCTCAAACCAAAGGTGAGGATATTGGAAAGACACATAGACAATCATATTGACGACGTCACAGCATTCCCCGCCGACAACCCTCAAGTCTTCGAGCTGTACTGGTCGCGCGTACAGTTGCTCGCTCGCGGGCATCCGAACATGCTCAAAACCCAAAAGTTTCTGATGTCTTATTGGCACAGCATCAACCCGCACATCCCAATCTCGACTCAGCATCCCATCAGCTACGCCGATCGTTTGCGAATGCGCCTCCCTGGCGATGCAAAGTTTGCCTTGGGCCCACACGTGGACGGCGGGAGTGTTGAGCGATGGGATGAGAAGGGCTACGGCTTGGGCAAAGTCTACGACTCTGTCTGGAAAGGACGCTGGGAAGACTTCGACCCTTGGGAGGCGAGCTGTCGTCTGCCAGTGAAGCCCGACCTTCACCAGGGTGTAGGAGCTTGTACCGCGTTTCGCATGTTCCAGGGATGGTTGTCCCTGAGCACCTGCGGCGCATTTGAGGGCACTTTGCTCGTCAACCCACTGTTAGCAAAGGCGACGGCATACTACCTTCTTCGCCCATTCTTCTCACCGAAGCGCAGTGTTGAGCCTGGCGCTCAGACAACTTCCGAGGCAGTCACAAAATCAACCGACTTCCTCGCCTCGGACAACTGGGAGATGGACGCTTCGCCTACACCCTGGGTGCACGGCGCAACTCCAGGTCGCGGCCAGGAGCTGTCGCATCTGCTCCATCCTCACCTCGAACTGCAGAAGTCGATGATTCACATGCCCACAGTCACGCCCGGCGACTACGTTGCATGGCATTGCGACACAATACACGCTGTCGACAAGGTGCACGCCGGCAAGGCAGATTCGAGCGTGCTGTACATTCCCGCTTGCCCAATGACTGAGGACAATGCGAACTACCTCGCGGGCCAGCGCGAGAACTTTGTGAAGGGAACACCAAGCCCAGACTTTGGCGGCGGTGTTGGCGAGAGCGAGCACGCCGGGCGCGTCAAGCCTGAGGATATGCTCGAGTTGGTGGGTGAGGAGGGATGCCGCGCAATGGGTCTGGAGGCGTGGGACAGCGACGCTGCTGGAATGATCCCTGGACAGAGAGTGATCCTGGACAGGGCCAACAAGATCCTGGGTTTTTACGAGTAGATTGGAATCAAAATGTAAGTAATATAAACTTTGCGACCAGCATTGAATTCAAAAAATTATAACATGTTCAATCGATTGCACCTGCATTGCATGTATTGGTATTGACGGTTCGCATGCCCGTGTCGCTCCTGCCGCCTTCCCCTAGCAGCAGCCTCGCTTCTACGCCCGCCTCATGCACGATACCTACTTATCCACGAAGGTGTCGGATTAACTGCTTTCAACTTTTACCATCTATTGCAGTATAATCCAAGCGTCCTTTGGGTCCGATTTCGACACCGGCGAATCCTGCATCCCTCAACCCGTGGCAGCCACCAAGCGATTGCGCAGCTGCATCAACACGAACGGGAATTGCCATGGCGCCTCAACTCTTGAGCGAGGACTTGTTCCAGCACGAGCCTCTCAATAACGTTCAGTCGACAGCTCGTCTAACCAATCTTTCCCCTGTTGCCTCAGCCGAAGGCTTGATCCAATGCGAGATATTTCAAAGTACGACCGTGTCTTAGTATCGATGTCTCTCGTATAGATGGGGTGATGCGTACGCAGAGTACCCAATCATGGTTCAAGAAGCTCGATTTAAGGTTCAAAAGCAGCTATACGAGTTTCTGGCGTTGCAAAGATCTACACAGTAAGACGGTAACTGGTTCGAGATCTGATGAGCCGTTTCGCATCCACGTGTTGTGCATCCACCACACGAACAACTCGGACTGTAGTCATCAAGGCTGCGCAAATAGATGAGATCTTTAGAAAAGCGTCCAAGGTTCTTTTTTTGCGGGATAGGACGCCATTGCTAGCATCCCTGGTTGCGGCTCTGAAAGAGACGCTTCATTCGTTTTGTATCAAGAGTGGTGTTTGAGAAGATAGTGGCGTGCTCCCACCTCTGCAATGAAATTGGTGAGTTGAACCTAGCCTACACATGGGCGGTTGGCCAGGAGCCTGTTGCTCCGGGATATCTCGTGTTTGAAAACGCAGATGAGGACAGCCTTCAACAATTGATCGTTGAAGGGGGAGAGTTTGCAACAAGTATTGTAGCCGGATTTCGATTACTCAAGAGATCTGTCTCGCGCAGCAAGCAGTACTCGTAGCGTAAATTGAGCACGATATGCGCTCCAAAAGGTTGCTTGATAATGTGCAGCAGACAGCCCGGGTTTCAAAAGGCTCACACTTTGGGAGCTCAGTCACGGTCTCTTGCTGACTTGAAAAGAGCCTCCACCAACGACGACAGATGGCTCAGCGAGGCCCTTATACCATTGTCGCATACATTCCGAGATAAGAAGTGTGCCATACCCCGGGACGAGTGTTCTGTACCGCTGTGGCCATCTATCAAGGTTGACTACGACAGTAAAGAGTATGAACTGGTAGTGAGGCATTCTGGTAGCTTAGATGGAAAAAGTACATGTTTGCTTCGTTGGTTTCATTGTGTATAGCCTTAGACCCCTATACAGTCCCCTTGGTTCAGGATTTGTTGGAGACAGATCTTCCATTAACGATGCTTTACTGGGAATCTTTGCTGAGATTCAGGACATCGAGGTTCTCAGAACTTTATCTCTCCTGAAGGATCAAAGAAAAGCAGTCACAGCATACGCTTACGCACTTGACTATGCAAACGACAAAGCGTCACTCCTGCTTGAAACATATCACGCTTCTCGGTCTACTGAATCACTGTTCGTGGACTGACGTCCGTATCCCAGGAGAGCAGACATAGATTCCTACCACATCTGTTCAGCATGAGAGCATGGATCATCCAAAAGCACTATCTAGGTCTGAGAGTTTGAGAAAGTAGAGTTTGTACACTGAGGACGTCACTTTGCAGAAGTGAGAACAGAAGACAGATGCATGATCGTTGCGAGTCTTACTTTCAACTCTGTGTGCATAAATGGATGAGATAGAGTGGATACGACTTCAGCTGTATAGCCATACCTGCAGAGATGTACGACTTTGCCACAGTGCTGAAGTTGTACGTATCAACTTAGTATCATTCCTACCATGTCAGAACCTAACCCATTTCCTTTCTACCAAATCTGACATTGGTAATCCCCGCCACGGAGGTTGCAGTCCTCGTGCTTGAACAGATGACAACGCGAAAGTTCCCTCTGGTTGCACTTGAGGTAGCACTTGAGGTGCGGTGTGATCAGCCAGGGAACAAGTGAAGTCACAAGAGTACTCATACGGCGTCAGATTACTCAAAACCCCTCGATTTGTAAGATGCTAGTCACCTGTCGGACAAAACTAATGCTATCAACTTCCTAAACTCACCGAGGAAGGTGATGACCTAGTGTTACACCGGGCTATCAGAAGACCTCTCGGGCATAACAAGACTTCTCGTGGTCGAAGGCGAACCGGGAGAACAGGTGCCACCTTCGTACACCATCCACGTATCCGATAAACCAGAACGAACATGGGGCGCAACACTCTGACAAGAAGCTTGCTCATCTGTCTCACTGCTTTTTTCAATGTGCACAATGTCCCCGCTTGAAACATAGTGTGTGTCTAGCCAACTCTTGCACATGCGACTATCATACGTTGAAGTCAAGCAACGTACCGATGTACTAGTCTGAGTGGTCCCGCTCCAAGCAAGGACTTTGAGTGGCACAAGGCCTGTCCTGTTCAGTTCTTTGTCTGCTTGGTAGAGGAAAAAGATTTTTCTGAGATAGGTACACACCTGGGAATAAGATAACCCGCAGAAACACCTACAAGTTGGGTCAACAGGTGATCATGGCCAACTGCGGCACTCCGACGAGTTTTGCTACCAAACCTTCCCTCTTCACTTGAGAAGTGTATACACACCAGCCTGGTACTGTAAAAGCCCATCACCTCTGCTAAGTAAGCTCTTTACCATGTTTTGAGAAGTTCTCGGTGTCGATCACGCTTTCGGGTAAGCATGATGGATACGGGGAAATCGCAGTAGATCTCTAGGGGATGCCTAACGCACATACCTCGATAACATCAATGCTCTGTTTTCTACATTCAATCAAAGTGGCCTGCAGCAGGACCTGAGTGTCGTTCGGCCTAGGAATGAGCCACCACCTCCGGCGTACGATGGCATTAACCATATTTGGTCTAGACGATGATGTCACTGTACGCTCGGCTACCATCACCTCGATTCTACTATACATAACTGTTTATAGCAACTGCAGCCTTAAAACTAAGTTCCTGACAGCATGCTGGTTGCCTCGTTAGGCCTACTAACGGCGTTGGAAGCGTGTACTGTAGCCTTTGTTCGAAGTGATGTATATGACGTCGATCCCGGACTCCGTAAGATTGTGCGTACCGCCTGCGACGCGGTGTACGTGGAGTCCCGCCATAGCCTGCTGAAGATCCGCTTGAATCTTGTGGAAGATAGGGGTAATGTCGTTGCTAGTCTGAAAGGCGACGTCAATTCTATCCCACCTGTCCATGTCCTCATGTACATCATTGCTTGACTCCTAGAAATATCGTAAAAGTTAGGTATTCATTGGAAGGATCTTGTCTAGAGGCAATTACTGTGAAGATAAAGAAAGCTTACACAGGTGCTTCTCCTCACAGCTTCCTCCGTTGATACCTTCGGGTGCATCCCATCTTCCCATCACGTGAAACGCTGCCATCACGTGAAAGATCGACAGTGATCCTTGCATATGTAAGCAGTAGGACAATTCGTGAAACCACCTACGAACCCGAATCCCGAAACATTACCCCGAGTCCGTGGAAACCTCGATTCTGTATCGTTGCACGGTGCTAGGCTTCCAGCGGTTGGAAAGCAATTGACAGGCATCCTGCAATTTTTCGATGTCCGATGAACTCAATAGCATTGAACCAAGTATGAGATACTATGTACTGAAGTGTATAAGAACTCGATATTCTTGCTCTGTATCTTAATTATCAACAACCATCAAACCATCTTCTCCAATTCCCAACCATCATTTGCATCTTCCAGCCCAAGAAACACACTTTATCTTCAATTTCAGCCTATCTTTCCAAACAAGCAAAGCAAAGCAGCTCAACATGTTTGGTCCCTCTCAATTCGTTCACTTCGCGGCTTTCCTCGCCCTTCTATCCCCTGCGTTGGCTAATGTCTATCGCGTGGATGATCGCTCGCCTCAACAGATCCGAGATGCTGGAGGCTTCGTGGCTAGGAACCCTGCCGGGACAGGTACTGTCATTCAACACGTCAGGAAAGAGCTAGGGGACCAGGATCCATGGGTTTCAACCACGAACAGTAAAGAATATGCTAAAGGTAAGGATCGCAGTGCGAACCCCATATCTAGGACATTCGCTAATCATACATCTTTCTTTTGCAGATAGCGCCAAATCCAACCTGGACGCCTATCTCTACTACATTTCGGAGAACGGCATTAGTCTTGTTGACACCAAGAAAGCATTCGAGGACGCGAAAGAAGACCACCCTCACCTTGGGGAGTACGAATACTCAGTGAAGGGTCAGATCGACTGGGATAGTATCATCAAGTGGGATCACTACGTGAGAGGCAAGATCGTTGACGGTCAGACCAGAGACGACTTTGAGGATGGGGAAGAGCCCGAGAAGCGTTCAGCCCCTTTGGTTCATTCGGTAAAGTTCAGGGCTTAAGCTCAACTTTTCGAGGCTCAATCGATTGCAGCACGCAACAACCTCAACTGCTGGTCATACGATGTACATCTTACAACACTGTTTTCAAGTTTGGCTTTTATAGATCTCAAGTAACTTAGACTGTCGTTTATGCAAACAAATACACTCTTTCCAGTATAGATTCTATCTGTTTGTTATAAGTGAATGTGGGAATGTACGCTCTGGGTATAGTGTCGCGATTGGCTTGCCTACAATACTCCTTTGAAGTGTTGTCGCAGCAGGTCACCAATCGGTCATTCCACCTGATCAGCAGGAGGGCACAAAATATAATGCGGCTCGCTCAGCTCAGTGCCTCGCTCTTATTAGACACTGACAATTGGAGTATATAACTGAGTAGTTGTAACGCCTTAGAATATATGATTAGAGAACTTGATGAATTCAATTGTGTAGATCTACGATCAACCACAAGTGCCTAAAGAGTGCAGTTACCCTGCTTCTTCCTGTAAGTGTTCCGACCTGGCATGTTATACCTAAGCGTCAGTCTGTCGGTGTCGAGCTGACCGCATGCACTCACCACAATCATCGGGACGAATCTTCCGACAAACCCATCACGCAATCCGGGGCGATTGTGATCTTCATGACCTCACAGGCAGTGGAAAAAGGCTGCAGTGTATCAGGAATGATTGGATATACTGGGTATTGTTGACTACAAAAACCGAGAAAAAACCCAACAGTATGATGACTCCTCCAAGCTTGCGAGAGGGTCTGGTATCTATTCCTCGTCCGGCTCTTCGATACTAAGCTGTTCCAGGCGCATTCTCCAAGTCGCATTTGAGAGTGAGTCTGGTCAGAAGCACAGCTCTCTCCTTGGCCTTCTCTACATCGTCTCGAGGACCAACCATGTCGCTTTCCCAGGTAATGCTGTGGATCTTTGCACTCGCGCTATCGTCGTTGCTTGATTTTGGGGCGATGTGAAGTATATACTCCTCGAAGTGTACATAGTGTCGGATGATGTGGATAGATATGCTGCCATTATCATCCTCGATCAACCAAGCGTATTTGTCGTCCATGTTTCGGGGTCTGAAACCAGCTTTGAGCTTTTCCACATCGGATTCGCTAATCTCCAGATTCCAAGATGCTGTGAGAGGCTTCTTCATGGGCTTCACCAGTTTGGGCTCGAAAACATTTGCACTCCACCTGTTCCAAAATTCCTCGTCATCGTGCACACTGTCCCAAAATTTGTCATCCTCCCACACGTTGACGTTTGCATTGCTGTCTGAAGTCATCCTGAAATTAGACTCGCACAATTTCCTCGCTGTGATAATGCTTCAAATATCGAGGGTCGTAGTTGGAAGTTCGTACGCGCCGATGTGTCTGTCTGATCGGTCTTGGAAGTTTGGCGTGAAGGCGTTTTTCGACTTGGAGCAGCAAATTTTGAGGTATTGATAAAAGAAGAAAGGAACCAGGACCTAGCTTTGGGGTGGTGCTGGATATATAGGCTGCAGTGCCACAGTCTGCCTGAACACAAACAATGGGTGACATAATCGCCTAGACCAGATATGGTTAGTCCCATACATGTCACCGAAGCCCGTGGTAATCTTCGGGGATTACCACGGGCTTCGGTGAAACATGACGTAGGGTTGCGCATACCATCATGTAAAGCGTTCATTCTGTTTTGATTTTCTTGGTGGGGCTAGTCCCAGCCACCTGGTCAGGTCCGCTTATGATCTTATTGGACCTGTCGCGCTTAGTATACCTATTGCAGATCCTCTGATACTATTTCCTCTCTAGTGCAGCTGTTCTCCTGCTGGCAAATATCTCTGTACTTACGTTAGGATCCCTTGAACTGTTCTAGGTAAGTCCAGAAAACCTCCTTTTTTAGGCTTATACTCCTTGTACCTGGCTCATGAATGCTAAAAGCTGAAGAGCGAAAGATGCAGAGATACTGCAGGATTCATGCGAAGTCACTGTGTCACACTACATTTGTTTGAGCATGTTCGGTGCGAATGCAGAAGGACTGGAAGCTGAGAGCTCGTAACACCGTGTCGGCGCTGCTCATATAATGTACAGGCCTATTCGTCCCTACAGGGGGGCACGTAACACAGACATAAGGCATCAGGCTGTGCAAGAATGCATGGCACTGATCTTATTCGTGCTTGCTCAAGACCGAGGGTTACATACATACCTCGCTCGTGGGCCGTGACTTCTCTCATCCGTTCGAAACAACTCGTGCCTTCCTGGCACCCAAACAATGCGATTAGGCCGGCCCATTCAATTTAACTTCAGACCATCTGCGGCTGTCTTAAGTTCCTCATCGTTCGCATCTATCCATGGACCGCATCTTTGACCACGAGACAACGGTCGTGTTGCATCAGCTCTGCGAAACCTGCCGGCAAGCTGTGACCTTCTTCGCAAAGAATGGGTCGTGGAATTTGAAACCCAACGTCGGTGAAAGTAGCTATGATACTGGCACACCAAGTCCCTGGCCACACTTACGGTACCATGCTAACCTCGATCATCTCCGGGACTCGGCTGCAAAGGGATGTCACCTATGCACAATCTTCGTGCGGGACTTCAGAGATTCGCATGTCAATGCAAGTGAAGATCAACTGTACATACAATCTGAAGAAGAAACCATGGGTATGGAATTAAAAGTCATGAAGGACTCAATACGCTTACATGACGACGTCACTATGCGGAGATTGGGAGACCGCAACTCAATCAATCCGGATGTTATTGCCAAACACCAAACCGCACTTGAGGATCGTGTCGGACAGTGCATTAGTACAGGGGCGCCGATCGGGTTCCAGATGATTAGCAAATGGCTAGAGCAGTGTGTTGCAGACCATGAAGTCTGCCGTAAAGGGATAGGTGATATCTGGCCAGCTCGTCTCTTGGACCTCAACGAATTTGCAGATTGCGACGACCTACGGTTGGTTCTTACTTCCGAAGTTGGCAAGAAACCGTATGCTACTTTGAATTACTCTTGGGGTGAGAATACCAATCTCACGCTGAGTTCTGGAAATTATGACAACTTCCGATCCCGCATTAGACACGATGCTCTACCTGCTACAATCCGGGACGCAGTCGCAGTCTGTCGGAATTTGTCCATCCGATACTTGTGGGTGGACGCTTTGTGTATCATCCAAGGGGATGACAGGGATTTCGCGCAGGAGGTCTCCCGCATGGGATCAATTTACGCGGCATCACTCCTCACTGTGGCGGCAGGAAACTCGAAACACTGCGAGTCCGGAATCTTCACAACTCGTCAGCCACTTGGCGAAGAGTACTGCATGGTTGAAGTTGATGGCAGTATTTTCCGATTTGCACGGAGACATTGGCGCAACTGCGGACGTCACTATATAATGGTCCCATTTTCCGTCCTTAATTCTCGAGCTTGGGTATTCCAAGAACATATGATGTCGCCTCGGACGATACAGTTCACCGATAGTGAAATCATCTGGGAATGCCGGACGCTAACGATGTGCCGACATTGTGTCGACACCAAGCCCGTCTCACAGGGGATCAAATCCACGTACGTGCGTTTGCACCGATATCAGGATGTATTTAAGCAACAGACTGCCATTAGAATCTCATGGCCATGTCTGATGTCACGCTACAGTCTATTAGAACTAAGTGATGAAGAGGACAGGCTGAATGCATTGGCAGGCATCGCACAACTTGTCCACCGATGCGGCTACCAGATGTCCTATGGCCTTTTGTTAGCAGATTTTCTCAATGAGATTCTGTGGCAAATCACTGATGCCGTTCTTCGTGAGGGACGCAATTCGGAAGAGCTCAATCATGTTCCGTCTTGGTCGTGGCTCTCAAGCCACGGTCAAATGAGGCATTTGAGCACAACGCAGAATCAGACTGGAGAAGAACTGTACCATGGCCGAATATTGCGACTACCGATTGCTACCTCTTTCGATAACATCTCCAGAATGACCTTACAGTGGCCGCCGCAAACAACCCGGGTCAGAATTAAGGGACATTTGCGACCCTGTCGAGTCACTAGACTGAGGTCAGGTTCCACGTGGACCTTAGCCCCGATGAGCGGCGAGATACCTCCAAAAGACGATACTTTGGAGTGGCTTGCTTACGGATTGATGCTGCATGCATACCCAGACCATCCAGCAGTATTTAAAGAAGGAGATCATGCATTCTGTCTTTTAGTGAAGCGCATGACTGGTGCTGCGCCAATAGACTCATATGGCGCCAATTCTTTCGATGACCCCATAACAGACTGGGGACTCGCCCTGCGCCCAATCAAACCGGAGTTAGGCATATTCCAGAGGATAGGCTCCTTCAGGGAGACCGCAGAACGCATGCACCATCGGCTGTTCAGCAATCTGCAGCAAGAAGTAGAGATTGAGATCGAGTGATGAGCTGGACATCTAACGTGTTCATGACTGTCTGCAATCTTCGAGGTTTCACCAAGATATGCATCTGCGACCTTCTCAGGATCTCCACGTAGATGGGAGGCTTCAGTCGAGTACCCTCTGGACTGGGAGACCCAGAAGAACGCTGATGTTTGCGTTCGCGATTGGCACAGGGTGCGATTTCCCCCAAATCGCGTCATGAACTTTCTGTTCCAGTTCGGACTAATACTTAGAAGTGTTCTCGCCAGCGCCGTTTTGAATGGATATACCAAGCGACAGGGTTTCATTGGCATTTCTCATCGTACACCAGATGTTGATGTTCTGCAACAAGGATCAACATATATCTATTACGGTCAAAGCAACAATTGAACCCTCTACCGCAGCAATCCTACCCCCCCATCTACAACGCCCGTACTCGCCAACCCAGCAACAATACCACCAGCCACCACGTCTGCACTCTCCACACCTACACCACCACCCACCACCACCACCATTACCACAGCCAGGCCACCCAAACCCGGCCTACAACCCCCGGCACCTCCTTACAACCCCGCCCTCGACATGCACACAAACAACACCAGTATCAGTTCCAAACCAACAATAGCAAAGGCGACGGCCTCGACTTCGCGCGGCCGCCGACGCGGGAGGTGCCTGGGCTGCAGAAATGGCGGAGTTTTCTGGGATTGGGGGCCTGAGGGGGTGATCTTACTTTTTGACTCCAACGTGAGAGGCGAAGATACGATGAAGGCAGCGAAGCGTAAACCCGAGAAGCAGCGGTCTCTTACTGCACAGCATTCCAGAGTGCTGCTGGCGAGTAGTGTACACTAGGAAACAGTCGACGCGGAGAAGGGTTGTAGAATACATGTACACTGCACAGCATTACATAGTCATGGACCTCTTTACATTGTGTGCCAGTGTGATACAAAAGTCGGAAGGTATAACAAACACACAATTCCCTTGCGACAGCACGCCAAAATAGTTAACCCAAGATCTTACTACGTCCCTCTCTGTCCTGCCTTTCCAGTCTGCGGGACCGGAAATTGTGGAGTCGTGCAGTGGTGGTGGCAGCGCGGGAACAGCTGCTGTCAGTCGGGTAGTAGTACGCTATGGCTGTTGGGCAGAACACGTTTCCATGGGTCTGGAGACGCATCTAGGTGCATCGTCTGTTTGGGATGGGTGGGCGGCGGTGATGGTGAAGGAGGTGTGCACGTGCGCACGCGCTCGCGCGCCAGACTAGCGCGTTTCGCTCTGGGACAGCGAAATACACTGGGTGCAGCAAACAAGAAGCAGAAGAAAGGGGTATGCGCATACAACGCACAGCAAAGCAAGGGGCCCCGGGACCGCGCTCCAGGACAAGCGCACAACAAGCCGCCCCGCAGTATCTATTCCAGAATCAAACTCTCCCCGTTCCCCATCTCCTGAAACCTTACATCCCTAAACGCGTCGTCGTCGCCTCCCGCGCCCTCCCCGCTCTCCTCCCGCGCTTCCCGCAGCGCCTCCCCCACCGTCCACACCCTGCGCCTCAGAAACCAGCTCACAAACCCCCCGCCCGTCTTCACCTCATCGTGCGTCGCGACCCAGTACCGCGCCCCGAGCAGCCGCTGCGCCAGCACCCCGTTCCGCGCGCCCAGATTCAGCTGCTGCGCCGCCGAAATCCGCACGTCGTGCAGGCCGTGCAGGAACGCGAGTACCCTGAGCTGCGGCTCGGCGTGCGCGATCGCAGACAGCGCCGCGGGCGGGATGCCGTGGGGCGTGTACAGCAGGGCCTCTGCGGCCTCGGGGGCGGCGGCGCAGGGGTCGTCCAGGCCGTCGCCGTTGATGGATAGGCTGGGGCGCTGTTTGCGCGGCGTCGTGGATAGGAAGGGGTGCGTGGCGAAGGTTATGAGGAGCGCGGAGTGGTAGTTTAGAGGGTCTGAGGGCGCGGTTAGGCGCGTTATGCTGAGCCAGGAGGGGAGGGGTGGGAGCGAGACGTCGTGCCAGTCTGTGTCGGAGGTGAACGGGGGCGTGGTGGTTACGGAGCGGAAGTGCGACCAGGAGGATATTAATTTGGCGGCTTGCTGGGAGGGTTAGTATGTGGGTGAGAAGGGGGGAAGGGGGGGTGCGTACTTCTGTGGCGAAGACGGGGACGTCGGGGTGCACCTCCAGTAGTGTGTCTTTGTGGCAGTGGTCGGTGAATTCGTGCGAGATGGCGACGGCGTCGACGAAGGTCTCGTCCGCGGCGCCGGCTCTTCGCTTGCTGCCTCTGCGCATGCCGCCGGCGAGTATCTCGACATGGCGCACCATCTCTTCGACTTCGGCGATGCTCTGCACCGCGCTAGGTGTAGCATGCCATTGCTGCGAGAACCATTTGGCGACATCCGACTGCCCGCCCACGAACCACGGGTCGATCAGGATGTTGTAGTAGACGCGGCTGCCATGCTTGACGGCGTTCGCGGGCCGCGGTATCTGCAGCAACCAGGACGTGTCGGCGTTCAGGTGGTGTAGGATGGGACGGCGCGTTGCGAGTGCTCGGACGACGGCATCGCGTGTTTCGAGGTGGAGCTGTTTTGAGGGCTCGTCCATGGAGGTGATCGGTGTTGGGCGTCACCGAAGCATAACGACGCGTTGTGTATAAACTTGATGATGAAGTATGGCGCGCTAGCGATTACGGGGTGACGCGGTGACGGGATGACGCAGGGATCAGGGTCCAAACTGACTCGTGCGTTGGCGCGAAACAGTCACATCCATCGATCTGTACCTACACGTGTATACACATACTGTGATTCTGATAGCGTAGGATGGGCAAATAGCCTGCAGGTCGAAATCGCAAGGCAACCACGTGGTCATCTGCAGTTCAAATCCAGTCAGAGAACTTCACAGTACTATTCTTAGACATTGAATTAACATTCACTTCTGTTCGATCTCTGTATACTACACGAAATATCCTACCTGCCACTGCCCAGGCGAAGCGCCACAACTTCCCGAAACGCCACGCAATGCAATGATGCGACACTAAATTCCCAAGATGATAAACAAACAGGCGCCAATTTTGGTGGGTACAGACAGGATCATGGGGCAGTCAGTCGTGTATAAAGCAGATCGGAGGGCGCGTGAAGACGCAGGGACATGATCTGGACAACACGCACGGAGGGTTGTCAAGGTGGCACGGAGCCAGCAGATCGGGGTGCTTAGAGACGCAGAAAAGGAAAGAAGCCGGACAACACACGCTGGGTTGTCAGGTGCTCTTGTACCTGTCTAGTTGGAAGGCATGGACTCGTTGTACTTGCGGGAGAATTCCTCGGCAACCTCGGGGCTCTTCACGGCGAAGTAGACAGGCGTCAGGCCCTTGTCTTTGCCTGGCCGTGTGGCCTGTACCATCTTCTTGCTGCCGCCGGCCACGGTCGAGCGGAGGGCGGGCAGAATCTGGTAGTTGAGGGGCGTCGCTCCACTGGGGATGCGGATGCGGATGAAGCACTTGCCGCTGACTTTGTCCTTGAGGATCCACAGAGGACCACGTGCAAAGTTCTCCCACTTCTTGGTCCCGTCGCCCTGGTCAACCTGCTGCTTCGCGAGCGCAAGGTCGATGTGGAAGACAATATCATTCGACTCCTTCTCGTCTGCCGTCAATTGCGACAGATCGACCTGGTCCTGCTTGTCGCCTTCCTCGTCATCCTCGGCCGCCGAGTCCTTAGCGGTCTCGGTCTCCGACATTGGTGTACCGGCACGGGAGTTAAAGACAGAGGAAGGAACGGAGCTAGGGGCTGAGGCGCCGAAGCTGGGGGGAAACAAGGATGATCCAGTTTGTCCACCGAAGTTGAAAAGACTTGCCGATGGAGGAGGCTTTGCTGGGGTAGTCGAGAATTCAGCCGGGGAAGGTGTCGCAGGCTGGAACTGGAAGACTGGGTCATCCTTCTTCTTCTCAGTTGCCGGTGCAGCACCAAACTTAATTGGGCTGCCAGCCTTGAATGTCTGGTCGCCCGCGAATGTGTTCTTGGGGGGTGCAGTATTGGCACCGGCATTCTCAAAGTTGAAGAAGGCGAAGGGCTTGTTTGTGGGTGTCGAAGTCCCATTCGTCTGACCAAAGATGGACGCGGGTTTATCATTCTCCTTCTCAGCCTCGCTGTCTGCATCTTCGGCTCTCGTCATGCGGGATAGCAGACTGCTTTTTCCGCCGGTCGCCTGCTTCTTGCTGATAGCAGCATCCGAGTCCGTCTCAGAGTCGTCCAGCTTGCGCTTCGGTGATGTAGACCCTGCTGAGTCCGCGGTCTGCTCGTTCTGTGACTCGTCCTCACGGTCGTCTTCATCATCATCAGTGTCATCCTGATTGGCCGACGATGGTCCGGAAGACAAATGGTTAAACAGGTTCCCTGATGGGCTCGGTGCAGCGCTGGGCGTATCGAACACCGACCGTCCCCCTGTCGTAGATGGTGCAGGGCTCGCAGCACGGAACATGCTGGGCGAAGCGGTGCCGCTAGCTGGCTTCGCAAGGTTGGCGAAGAGGTTTGTATTGGCAGGTTGCTCTCCGCTCGATGGCTTTGCAAGATTGGAAAACGGGTTTGAAGTAGCTGGCTTTTTACTGACAGGCTCGTTTGCAGGTTCGGAATCAGGGGTAGGCGTGGTAGCACCAGATGCGTTAGTGGAGGCTGGCAGACTGAAAGCAGTGGCAGAAGCGACTGCCTCTTTCTCCTTGGCCAGACGCTCAGCCTCTTCCTTGTCGTATCGAGAGCTCCATTCCTCTTCAGTCTCATCGTCTGAGTCATAGTCGGCATCCATGGCTTTCTTCTTTCGCTCAGCTGCGAGCTGTTCGTATGTCTTCGCGTTCTTGGCAAACGCGGCCATGAAGTCTGTGCTACCACCATCAGAGCTGCCGCCGAATGTCGGTGTGAAGCCACCTGATGAGGCAGCCTTGGGTGCGCCAAACGATGGGGTGAAACCTGTGGAAGCTTTTGGTGCTCCAAATGAAGGCGTGAAGCCCGTAGAGGCAGATGCGGGCTTGGATGCATCTGTGCCATTGGTCGCGCCAAACGCCGGGGCTGCCTTGGGAGCCGCTGAGCCAGCAGAAGCGCTGAACGAGGGCGTAAAACCGGATGTGCTAGGTTTAGGCGCAGATGGGCCAACCGACGCGCTGAATGAAGGAGTAAAGCCTGTGCTTGGTGCACTAGCTGTCGGTGGCTCAACATTCTTCTCCGGCGTGGTGCCCTTGCTGATAGCCTTCGAGAACAGGTTGGATGTTGCAGTGGCGGGAGGGTTGCCCTTGGGTGTAGTTGGGGAAGCAGATGACTTCGGTGTAGGTGTAGAGGGCTCCGCAGGGCGCGAACGCTTAGACGATTCCAGTCTCTCTTCGGGGCTGCCTTCGTTGCCCTTGCGCTTTGTGGAGAGGATGGATTCAGTGCCAGTGACACCCTTTGCCACAGCACGCTGCTTCTTTGCGTTATCGATCTTAGTTTTGAGGGTGCGTGTTTGTTGGTGGTGCCAGATCGACACGGCGGACCAGTCAGCCACGAGCGAAGCATTGCCAATGATGTCTCTGTACTTCATGTTCATAGCTTGGAGTTGGAGGCTCAACTGCAGGATATGGTCAACCAGACGCTCTGCGTCTTGTGGAGCAGGAACATCCTCAAAGACCCAGTCCTTCGGAACATTGAGTCTGCCGATCTTGGGCAGCTGCGGTGACGATGCTGTGTTGATGGCTGGCACACTGGGCTCTGTGGCCCTCTCTTGTGCTGGGGAGGCAGCAGGCTGTGCCTTCGGGGCGCTGAACATGTTGGAACTGGCGTTTGAGGAACCGGGAAGGCTTGCAAAGGGGTTGGACGCCTCTTTAGCAGCAGGTTGAGCGGGTGTCTCCTGGACAGCAGGCGTTGCTTGGGGCTGTGATGGTGTGGGTGCCTCACCGTTTTTGTTCGTCCCGAAAGACTGGAAGGAGAAGCCTGAGCTTGCTTTGGGCTGGGCAGTGAACATTCCTGCTTTCGCGTGGTCGTTCTCTGCAGTCTTAGCAGGCTGTGGTGTGCTAAAACCAGCGAACATGTTTGTCTTGGGTGCCGCGGGTGATTGGAACATAGAGGGGGTGGCAGACTGTTCGCTCTCCTTGGGAGCACTTTCCTTGCTCTGAGGCGCACCGAACATGCTGTTGAAGTCCGGCGCCGGCGTGTCCTTGGGTATCGGAATTTTGGCGAAAACGTTACTGTTTGTGGTTCCTCGAAACGGGCTCTTCTCTTGCTCTGCAGGCTTCACGCTGTTAAATAGGCTTGACTTAGCAGGTGCTTGCTCCTGTGCGTTTGGCGTTTCTGGTGTTTGACCAAAGCTGAACTGTGGTGTGCTTGCAGGTGTAGAGGCCTGTGCCTTTGGTGTCTCTGACGCTTGCCCGAAGTTGAAAAGTGATGTGCTTGCGGTTGCTGACTCTTGTGTCTTCGGCGTTTCTTGCGTCTGGCCAAAGTTGAATATTGATGTGCTCGCAGGTGCTGACTCTTGCGGCTTCGGTGCTTCTTGCGTCTGACCAAAGTTGAACGCTGGTGTGCTGGCCGTAGACGTCTGTAGACTGGCGAAAGGGTTGCCAGCAGCGGGTAGCGTGCTGCCGAACATATTGGTGGAGGGCACGGGCGTTGCCGGCTCTGCAGGCTGTGGTGTTGATGCGCCAAAGTTGAAGTGGCTCGTGGAGTTTGTCGCGGGTGCAGGCGCGGGTGTACCCTCGCTCTGCTTCGCAGCGGTGTTTGCGCCAAAGCCACCGAAGGTGGGTGTCGCAGATGTGCTCTCACTCGGCTTTGCAGCGCCAAAGCCACCAAAAGAGGGTGTAGTCGCAGGTGCTGCGTCTGTCTGCGCTGCTCCGCCAAAGTTGAACAGGCTTGTAGGGGCAGGTGCCGGAGTGCTGGTTGGTGCCGCAGAGCTGGCGGCGCCGAACTGGAAACCCGAGGCGCTCGTGCTGGCCGGGGCAGCCGCGCTGGTCGCTCCAAATTGGAACGAGGTGCTCGCTGGGGCGGGTGTGGAGGTATTCGCGCCGAAGCTGAAGGATGGCTGCGAGGCTGGAGCTAGAGCTGGTGTGGTTGGTGCGGCTGCTGCTGATGAGCTGGCGCCGCCGAAATTGAACGCGGGTGTGGACGCGCCGTTGGTTGACCCAAACATGCTGGGCGCGCTCGACGAGCTGTTTGTGGTGTTCTGCTGGGCGCCGCCGAACGGGTTGCTCGCAGGCGCGTTGCCGAACATGGAGCTGCTGAAAGACGTCGATGCGCCGTTTGTGGCAGGCGCGCCGCCGTTGAGGCCGCCAAAGGGGTTGTTTGTCGAGGACGCGGGCGAGAAGTCGAAGCCGCCAGCCGGGGGCTGGAAGGTGCTGTTCTGGCCGCCGGCGCCGAAGTTGGGGGCGGGAAAGGAGCTGTTTGTGAATGCGCTGTTCGAGTTCGACGGCTGTGCGGGTGGGAAGCTGTTTGTCGCGCCGGCCCCGAAGGCGCCTCCAAACATGCCGCCGGCGGGCGTCGCGCCGTTGCTGTCGCCGCCGCCGATGGGCGCGGACGCCCCAAAGCCGAAGCTGGGCGCCGGCTGACCTCCGCCAAAGTTCACGCTCTGCGAGAGCCCCTGGAGTTTCGCGTTAGCAGCGCGCTGGTGCAGCAGATAGCGAGTCCGCACGGCCTTGCGGTGTGCAGGGCTGTACTTGTCGACCATGGTGCAGGGATGGATGCGATGGCGCGAGTGCGCGTGTGTGGGCGCGAGGGACTTACGGGCGAGGCGCCGCCAGCTGGGCGACGGACCTTTGCCGTCTTGATTCTGCGCGGCAGTCAGCGTGTGAAGGTGAAAGACGCGACATGCGCGCTGCGAGGTGACACGCGACCGCCGGGATCTTCGAGTCACGGTGAGAGCGAGGCCACTTACTTGCGCGCCGCCAATTGCGCTGCGGTTGCCCGCTGCGGGATCTCGGCAGGCTCATCACGCTCGTCGTAGGGGTTCTCCGGACGGCCCTGTCCGAAGAGATTCGAACGTTTGGAGGACATTTCGGCGCCGGTTTGGGTTGACGTGCGGCGATGGTGATGGGCTGGGATGGCAGGAAATGTTTTGACGTTCGGACGGTGTTAGAAGAGGACGTGCGTCGACGTCACGCTAGCCGCACACACAGCCAGCACCCGCCAGTCGATGCATTCACTTCGAGTCGTTGTGATCTCAAGCTGTTGTTGTGATAAACACGCGGTGAATTACTGCTAGACTCTCAAGATTGGACTGTAGTGTTCTAGAGGCATTGACCACGTGCACAATAGCCTTGATGAGGGAGTGCGTTGACTTGTTCTCAGCTCGCAAGAATCTGGATGAGGAGTAATGTCCAAAGACGCTGACTTTGTCTTTTGTCTGTACAGATTCCATCTTTGACTCGTCGAGCAGAAGTGCTCTCTGTTGTACGTAGCGCTGTTATGCGTAGCTCATATGAAGATCGGTGTCTTGTAGCAGGACGGCACTGCTATCTCTGAACCATGAGTACACAGTAACCTGGACGAAGGTCTGACTTGTTGCACTTCACTTCTCCTCCTCATCTCATCACATGTTCAATTATCATCACTGATCCACGGTGTTGCTCTTGTTGGTAACAGAAGAGACTCTGAACTGTCAGCGTAGACAAATACCGCTACTACCTAACTTGGTAGCAACGAAGCATCTATGTCCACAGTCACACGACCAAGATCCCTTCCGTCCAGTTAAGACAAGGAATCATCTATAACGACCGCCGATCATCCTCCGATCAGCTCAAGCGGTGTCGGTGTGAGGTTGCATATCTATATTCAAAACAACGAGTTGAGCACAACGGTTCAGGCGTACCAAGGCCTGTACAGTGGAGATACACGTACCTCGGGCGTCGGGAAAACAACGGCAACAACTTAAATAGAACGAGCATTGATAGTTATGTTTGACGTTTTCAAGTCGGTGCGAATCGAGATTGAGTTCGACGACTGTTCGGCGACGGCTACGACTGTATCAGAAAACGGTAAACTAGAGACAGCTGTAGTAAGGTGAACCGTGCTGCGCTCTGGTCGATGTCGTGACGGTGCAGCGTATGGTAATTTCCCGTAGGCTCGATTACTGGCCGTTGCGGTGTACATGGACAACGCTTTGAACCTCTAGCGAAAGAGCGGTATACACTCGCCATAGAGCAGACCCAGGACAACGTTTCATACCTCAATGCACTGCACAACGCCAGAACCATGGCAAGCGAGCAAACCTAAGGCCGCCGTCCAGGGTTCCTTGATGCGGCCAGGCCCTCGTCCTTGGCCGAACATGCTGAGACGCGGGGGAGTGCGTGACGGCTTGAACCACGAAACGTTCGCACGGGAAAGACGCGGGCGGCCAACATCTGCCGTCAGCTGCGGTTCATGAAACGAGCTCCACGCAGGTAGTCGACCTGGCAACTCGGATGCTGCTCCGCACGTTCTAGCAGACCAAGGCAGCTCGGTGCAGTGGTCCAAGGGCCAGAGTCAGTCGGTGAGCGCGGAGGCTAGGCAAATGGAGTCGCAGGATCGCAAACATGATTCGGCTGGGAGTGCCGCAGCTGCGACGGCCGCCAATCACAGCGGCGGCGAGGCGACTGCTGTGCCACTGCTTGCGCGTTGGAGTCGTCGTTCTGCTGCGACCCCTCAGGGCGACAGCGAATGGGGGTGTGCACGAGCAGATGCGAACGCGACCACGATGGACAAAGCAGCGCGCTGCTCACTGTCGTATCGGCTGGCACGGACGCTGGTGAAGCCGGGGCGCCAGGCGAGAGCCCGCTGCGATTCGACGGCTGGCTCATCTGGGCTTTCTGGGGCTTATCACTGAATCCATGAAGTCGCCGGCTGGCCCACTGGCTCACGCTGGGCCACAGCCTAGCACCCCCACCTGCTTTGGCTGCGGCACATTCTCACCTCATATAAGCAGCGTCCGCGCTGGCCGGTGCCTGTTGAACGTGAGGTTTTCACTCGACTACGCATAAATCGATCGCCGCTGCCGATCTCCCTCCAGCAGCGCATCGTGCCGTGCCCTGCTTCCTGGAACCCCGGATTAGCGACACACCAGTCTGCTAGCGACTGCAAACCGGTGCAGCGTGGTTCCGTCACCGATCCGATCTCTCCGCGGCGCCAATTCCGGTTGATATGGCTGTTGCTTGGTGATTGATGCTCGTGCTACATTCCCCTCCACAACCACTGCTCTGTTTACACCTGACATGCCCTGGTAACACGACGAGTGTCCAGCACACCACCATGGTCCACAGAGCGGCGCATTCGGGCCATGCGCGGCTGCACAAGCGCGGCCACTCGGCCTCGTCGTCGCTGGCGAGCCCGCTGAGCCCGGTTGCGGACGGCGGCGCCTTCACCTTCAGTCGCTCGGAGACGCCGCGGACGACTGTCGAGGAGTCGTGGACCGACCTGCCGCGCCATGTGACGGGCGCCGGCCATCCGCTCAAGATCAAGCCTTATCTGCGCAAGCTGTCGTCCAAGGACGCCAACTCGCTGGACCTGTCGCGCCCGGCCGCTGAGAACGAAGGCCTTGCCAGCCTCGGCATCGCCCACGAGTACCACGGCGCCTACTCACGCTCTATCTCAGACGTCACCTTCAGTCCCGTCAACCCGCGCCATCGCCATACGCGTTCCACCTCGAGCACGTCGCAGTTCTCCACCTCGTCGGCCGGCCTGTCCCGCCCGACGCCCATGCCGGCCATCCGCCAGACGCCGCCCACGACCTACCTGCCGCCCGCGTCCAAGTCGTCGCCCTCGTCACTGCTGGGGCTCGACCACGAGGGCGATGATATCATGTCGGACGAGGAGTTCCGCCTGCGACAGAACGCATACGAGCCCGGCCGCCGATCGGGTTCGGTGTCGTCGGTGCCTGGAGTATCCCTGCGCATCCACAGCAACAACTCAACCACGCGACTCGCCAACAACTACTCCCAGTCCACCATATCCCTGACCTCGCCCGTGGCCCAGGCCCGGTCCCGCGGCGACACGCTCAAATCCATCGACACCACATCGCCCAGCTCACGCACCTCGTTCGACCAGGGCCTGCGCTTCATCCGCGGCGGCCGTGACTCGCCCATCGACGCTGCCTCTCGTGCCGCCTCGATTCGCGCTGCACGCGCAAAATTCGAAGAGGAGGAGCTCGCAAAGGAGCGCCGCTACGAAAAGGAAGCCAATCGGCAAGCCGAGCGCGACTACAAGCGACAGGCTAAGAAAGAAGAGCAGCAGCGCAAATCCGAGACCAATGACCGCGTCGAATACAAGCGCTCCCGCAGCGTCTCTGACTCCAACGAGAAGGCACCCCGCCCTTCAGTCGGCGGCCGCCAGTACTCGGACTACCGCGAGGCGCACATCAACTCGTTGCCCAAGCACGTCAGCACCGTCGACCTCGAGAAAGCCGGCATCACGCCCGAAGTCACGACCAAGCGCGCCGCCAAGGGCCGCTGGCTGAGCTTCATCACCTGGCTCAAGACGCGACTGCTGCGCATGTCTCGGAAGGTGTCGACATGAGGCCGAGGCGGAGGCGTTGCGCCACGTCGCCGTGCAGCACAGCCCGGTTGCGTTCGCGTTCATGCGCGTCACCATCCTCGGGGCCATCGAATCCCAGTAACAGAGTAGGGATGCGATTGGTCCATCTCACTCATCACATCACTCTCATCTCATCTTCAGCACGGCGTTTGGTTGGACGGCCTTTTACGATTCATTGATCATGCTGCATCTTTCGCGAGCATTTCTAGCATATATACCTAGCATTCGTTCACAGGCGCTTGGGAAGGACGGGGCATTCCCCCCCTTGCTACTGCGCTGCTGCTTCTGCGCTGCTGCTTTTGCGCTGCTGCTTTCGCGTTGCTTATTTGCGTTGCTGCTTTTGCATGCTGGGTTTCCAGAACTGAGTATTCTGGCGGCGTTGGGTTTAGGACGGCGCGGATGTATATATGACCGCTTCGGCGATGAGCTCTGGTGAAGACCATTGAGTAGGAATGCTATCTGTTCATGTTACTTAGGTCTTTGTCGTCACGATGTCGCTACGTGAGGTTCATGCAACTATCTCCTGCCGTTCTGAGATGGCAGCAAATCGGGTGACACCAGCAGCCGAATTGCGGGGCTCCCGAAGACGTGGTTCGGTGCAGGGTCGGATATAAGGAACGACATCACGCTAAATCTTGCGCAACCCGAGCTGCAGCACAAGCTTCCCCTCACGCCTCGCTGCTTACCATGTCCCACACTCCTTCATCGTCGCCATGTCGCTGAGCAGAGCATCGATGCTGTCACGAGGCAGCACTCGCGTCGCCGGGCGCGCGCTCGGGCGGTGCGGCCTCACGCAAAAGAGGTGGGCGAGCAACAAGAACCAGAAGCCGTCGCAGGACCCCGACCAGCCGTTCTACCTGCAGCTGCAGGAGAGCATCATGGAGCGCGTGCAGAAGGAGAAGGCCGAGCAGATTGAGATCCAGGAGATGCAGCAGCGTACTGCGCGCGGCAACTTCTGGGCCACGCTCACGGGTAGGCGCCCTCGCGATTGCGGCGACTTGCGATGCTAACGCTGCCAGCCGTCGCCGTTGCCGCCGGCATGGGATACTACTACGGCCAGATGAAGCCGCCCAAGCCCAACACCGCCTCGACCGCGCCGCTGCACTCGTTCCCGCCCGTCAAGCACAACATCTCAGAGGCGAACATGGAGGCTGCCTGGGCCGACTTCCGCGACATCGTCGGCAAGGAGAACGTCTCGCTCGAGCGCTCCGAGCTGGAGTCCCACAGCGGCTCGTCGTGGTCGTCGCACCCCGCGGCCCCCGGCGACGTGCCCTTCTGCATCGTCAAGCCCGCCAGCACCGCTGAGGTCAGCGCCCTCATGAAGGTGTGCCACGAGCGCCGCATTCCCGTGACCCCATACAGCGGCGGCACCAGCCTCGAGGGCCACTTCGCCGCCACCCGCGGCGGCATCTGCATCGACTTCAGCCGCATGGACAAGGTCCTCGCCCTGCACCCCGACGACCTCGACGTCGTCGTCCAGCCCGCCGTCGGCTGGGAGCTCCTCAACGAGGAACTCGCAAAGAGCAACCTCTTCTTCCCGCCCGACCCCGGCCCCGGCGCCATGATCGGCGGCATGGTCGGCACCGGCTGCAGCGGCACAAACGCGTACCGCTACGGCACGATGAAGGACTGGGTCATCTCGCTCACCGTGGTCCTCGCCGACGGCACCGTCATCAAGACCCGCCAGCGCCCGCGCAAGTCCTCCGCCGGCTACGACCTGACCCGCCTGTTCATCGGCAGCGAAGGCACCCTCGGCCTCGTCACCGAAGCCACCCTCAAAATCACCCCGAAGCCCCAACACACCTCCGTCGCCGTCAGCGCCTTCCCCTCCGTGCGCGCCGCCGCCGCCTGCGTGTCCCGCGTCGTCGGCACCGGGATCCCCATCGCCGCGATCGAGATCCTGGACGACGTGCAGATGGCGTGCATCAACGACGCGGGGCAGACGTCGCGCACGTGGCCCGCCGCGCCCACGCTGTTCTTCAAGTTCGCGGGCACGCCTGCCAGCGTCAAGGAGCAGGTCGCGCAGGTGCAGAAGCTGGCCAAGGCGGCGGGCAGCGTGTCGTTTGAGTTTGCGCGCAGCGAGCAGGAGAAGGAGGATTTGTGGCAGGCGCGCAAGGAGGCGCTGTGGAGCGTCATGGCCAAGGGTGATGGGAGCCCTGATGTCGGCGTGTGGACGACAGATGTCGCGGTGCCGATTAGCCAGTTGCCGCTGATCATCGAGGAGACCAAGGAGCAGATCGGGAAGTCCGGACTGTTGGGGAGTATCGTGGGGCATGTTGGCGACGGGAACTTTCACGGTATGTTCAATATCATCAAACCCCCCCCCCCCCCCCTTGTCTATGGAGGGCACACTAACACCTCCCAGCAATTATCCTCTACAACCGCAAAACCGAACACGCCAAAACCGCGCACCTCGTGCACACCATGGTCAACCGCGCCCTCGAACTCGAAGGCACCGCGACCGGCGAGCACGGCGTCGGGCTGGTGAAGCGCGACTACCTGCCCCAGGAACTGGGCGCCACGACCGTGGACGCCATGCGCCAGCTGAAGAAGGCGTTCGACCCGCTGTGCTTACTGAATTGCGATAAGGTGGTCAGGGCGAGGGAGAAGGGGGAGGAGGAGAAGGAGGAGGGGAGGGGGAAGGGGAAGGTGGAGTAGCGGGAGTGTAAAATATATGGTATGGTATGGATTAGGGGGGGAATGAAGTATATGTACACCCCACCCAGTCTCTTTTTGCCCTGTCTACACGATGCTCTCGCTTATTCCGATTTCCGTACGCAGGCAGGCGCTCCTACGCAGTCGAGCGATTTCGCTTCTGCTCGGTCTTTAGCGCAGTTGTCTGCAAGGCAGGGTCGTGTGGGTGTGCGCTAACCACCTGGTAAAAGATCACCGGTCATGGACTACGAAGGGAGAGTTGGAGGACTAAAGAGTGAAGGAGCGATTCTGTGGCTGGTTGACTTCCACGTTGTTGCCCTGCAGGACGGACGTCGAGCCAGATTGATATAGCCAGGGGGGGTGGTAAGGCTTTTACACTACCCTAAGACGCTATGTCTTTGTTGTCGAGGCGGTCAGACTGTAAGAGAAGAGAAGAGAAGGAAAGAGAAGAGCAGGAAGCGTGCGCGGGAAAGAACAGCAGCGAGGCTGCGAAAGCATCGTGGTGGGGCTGTGCTCTGCTGCTGTGTCTCCGACGACTGCGCCTCAAGGATGCATAGAGGGGAATTTTGCCTCCAAATATGCATAGCAATTTTCATACGGTTAAGGGCAACAGGAGGCTTACATGGAGGCAGGGGCCTAGTTGGAGGACAACCAGATACGTTTTCTTTCAGCGACGCAATTCTAATGGAGACAGTCGTAGGTATACGATCCGGCCATGATGGCGCAGCATGTATACCGTATGCATTCAGCAGTCTTCTATCAGCATGCTGATGCTTCCGTCGCGATCCATGGCGCCCTGCGATCGAAAGTTTGCCTTGCCCTCCCCAATGCTTACCCGCAGCAAGGCTATCGACCTGCAGATGTACAGACCGCACTCACAGCCAATGCCTTTTTTTCACCCTGGCTGCAGAACCTTCGGGTGTGCCTGCTTATCCCAGGAGTCTGTTCAGTGCGATTCCTGGCGTATGAAACTAGTATTGCACACTTGGCTTGCAGCTTTGTGAAACCCGACGCGAAGTATGGCCGTACTGTGTAAGAACATTCTGGCATCGACCAATCACAACACACATGTTAGACCGCCCTTTTCAGGCTAGCTCTCTCGAGTCCTTCAGCCTTCCATTATTCTTGAAATTGACGAGCCCCCCTCCAGGAGGAAAATCTATGAATCTGTTCTATCAGCGATTCAATCAGGACCTTTGCCGACCTAGCTACTACTATCATTCCCGCAAGCATGGCATCTCAAGTCCAAAAGCACAAGGCACTCATAGAGCGGCTGTACAGAAAGGACATGGTCGGTCTCACGGTCGAACAAATCATGGAATACATGACTGTAAATCATGATTTGGTTGCAAAGTAAGTGTACAATGTCTTTGAATATAGGGATCTGACCCGCTCTCAACATAAGTTAGCCTTCACTAACTCCGTCCAGCAAAGGGGCGTATCAGCGAACAATTCGGAAACTGAAAGTCAGGAAGAACCGCAAAAAAGACGACTGGAAATGGGTCGACAGGACAAGGAAGAGACGGGCCAAACAAGGCAAGCCGACGAGGTTTCTCTACAACGATCAGATCGTCAGCGATGAGAGCATCAACAAGGAAATCTCGCGCAACGTTAGCACTATGCAGCAAATCACCACCGGTTAGTATGAAGCAGCGACTTCGAGAGAAAGATTGAAGATCACTAATGTGTCTTGCTACCTAGCAACAACACCAAGGACACCAGAGGGATGGGCGGTAGTGACTCCCGCTGTATCAATGACTGCTGTGTCGATGACTGCTGTATCGACGACTGCTGAGTCGACGGCTGCTGCATCAAACACCGCTTCATCGGAAACTGCCACGTCACGGGAACGGGAAACTTTGGTACGTCCAATATCGATACCAGTCCAAGGCTTTGCTAACGTATCACCATAGCACTGTGCGGCATCGCGAGGGCATTTCAAAGTTGTCAAAGAAATGATTGACCGGGGCGCTAGGATCAACTCGATCTCTGACGAAGGGCAGACCGCACTTGATTTGACTTCTGACCCACATATTCGTGAGTTCTTGCTTTTTCATGGAGCACGGGCGGCTCAGAGCATGGAAAACGGACTTCGCCTCATCGACGAGGGGAATATTTTTGAGGGGGGTTCTTCCACCGATGAAGTCGATTCTGACTCGGATGTTGCCACGGACTGCGATGACCAGGAAGGTTTGCACGCATCACCCCACGACGAAGAGAACTTCGAAGACGTGCCACATTCAGCGTCTGCATTCGGTAGCCAACATAATTCCCGAAGTGCCATCAGGGAGGTCCCGGAAACCAGCTTTCCCTCTTTGTCGTTGCAGAATAATACCCAGGCCGCAAATCCGCCCACAGTTCATGGCCTTCTTCCTGGAATCACGGAATCGTTATTTCCAAACAGCCAGGATATGGGCCTTGTTGTCAGTCCCGCTGCCGATTTCGTCAGCGAATCTCCTCATTCCTGGCAGATGTCATTTCCCAAGACATCATTTCCCAAGACACCGGTGCTAGATGATGCATCTCAAGACTCGTGGACTACTCCTCAGATGCCTCGTCCCAAATGGTGAAGCACATGAATGGCTTCATAGAGTTTTTAAATTCCGACGTTCTGGAATTAGGATTCTTGTTTGGTTCATCTTATCTTCTCGGGTTAGCAATGGCATTTAGATATCTATATAACCTTCTGTATCTTTATTGTTAACCGTTTTGCTGTTTGACGCAACGTTGGTACCGACAAAGGAAAACCTGAGATTTGTAGACAGTATGCATTCTTATGTTGATAACTAATGTATCATCGTCAGCAGAGCACATCGCCTCTACGTGCGGATCCAAGACACAATGGTTCCACCCGTACCTGCGGGCGGAATCCGCGACTCTGCCAGGGGGGCAGAAGTAATGCTGCACGACGATATGGCTCTTACACTATAATTGGCTGATACCAGAACGTCGTCCACGCAGTGCAGGCTTTGACCGCTCTTCACATCATCATAGACGCGTCTTGCGATTCGTCAATTCCATAGTATTTTGTATTGACCGGTCGAGTCATGCGGAACTATATACTATTGGTCAGTACCAGAATGTTTTGGTCTGTGGAGTCGCACAGAATGGGCCTTGCAGGCACTGAGCCAGCCTTGATTGCGCTCTGTCGGTGTGAGAATGAGTTCAAAAGCTTGAGACGTCCCATCAAGGCAATCCCGTTACACCGATCATAACGATAAACTTTTCTGCCGCCAATCTCCAAGCTCTTATCAATGACCCTCTCGGTGGAAGCAATCGTTGGGATCGTGGGTGTAATGATCGCTATACCGTCTACCATATACGTCGTCGGACAAGTGGTTGCTTGTTCTCTCACTGAAGCGCCTGAAGAAGGTGTGTCGAAGTTGCGTCTGAACACGGGTACAAAACACTGTACTCATTTGCACACAGCACACGACGTCGAAGTGTTTGGCACACCTGAAGGCGGTCTGACGGCCACCAATCCCGAGACGCATTGATAGTATGATCCATTGGAGTATTTTACACCGCTGGAGTTCTTGGTAAACGAAGATCTCGCTGAACTTGTCCATCGTCATACTAACAATCTCGAAGGAATCTGCTGAAAAATCAGTAGTGTCATATAGATGTGGCCAGGACAGAACGTACTGGGAGGTCAATGAACGCAGTATTTGGCTCTGGTCTGTAGGAAACGTTTCGCATTGGTCTTGTCTCCAGCCGTCGTCAAATCCAACAATTAGCGTGGTCTCTCATATTGCATTTGCGTGCAGTCTCTTGTCAACCACACTCCACCCCAAGCCCGCAAGACGTATATTACTTGTATCCAAGACGGCGAGAGATGTTCCTTCGATTCTCTCGCTTACCCTCAATCCCGCTGAGGAAGGTATTTCTTCTGTTGCTCTTCGCGACGCCAATGTGAAAGGCCCTTCCTATGACTGTACCTCCATTCAACAGACGACTCACCACCGAAAATCGAGTGCGATCTTAACGCATGAGTCATCTGATTCTCAGTGGTTGATTTACTCACCTCAGGAACTGGTGTTCTCACTTTTGGATGAGGGGAGGCCTAAGGGGGTCTGACTCATACATGTGAATGTGGTAAGCATGACTCCAGATGGGTGCACGGGCGTGGTGTATCACGGTATATAAGGAAAGTGTTTAGCCACCAAGTTCTGGTTGTAAAATGAATTAGTTTTGGACATTGGACACGAAAAGGAATTGGACATGTTGACGGACGCAAATTACGTGGCCGAGAACACCACATCCGCGCTCCCAGAAACTGTTCTGAAAGTTCCAGAAACAGCATCGGCAAAGCCGTTGGAGACTATGTCAGAGAACGTAGAGAATATGGGCAAAAACGTAGAGGCAACGGTGGCGACACTCCCCGTTCCCCCCTCCTCTATCAAAACACCCCGTCTCCACCTTGTTCGCCTTACCGACACGTCGCAAGGATCTCAGCACGTCCAGTGGTTTCACGAGAATTGGTCGGATCCTGTGGCTACGAGTTGGAGGTACGATATCTCCTTCCTTCCTTCAATCCTTTCCACTCCCTTCGTCTCAGTACGACCCATACGAACCCCCCTCGGTCTCACCGCTGCTCCAATCCTCTCCTTCAGTGTGAAGGCACACATTTACAGTCACGTCCAAATGCTAAGTTCTACAGTGTGCACGGTGCCACCAAGTCCCTCGACGACAGCCGCGAATGGATGCAACACCTGTTGTCGGAGCTGGACAACTGGTTCTATGCCATATTCCTGCGCGATGATATCAGCACCGACAACGACGACGAGAAAGACGCGCCGATAAACGCCTGCGCGACTTCTAACAAGCGCGAGCCAGTTGAAAACCCAGAAGATAGGCAAAAGACAGACAGCGAATCTCTCCGCCCAGGAACCCTAATTGGCAGCGTCTCCCTCCGCCGCCCTCCCGAACCCGAACTCCTACCCCCTCTCACCTTCGAAGGAGCCAGTGCAGTCGGTCACGGCGCCCCCCTCAACGCCGCCGAGATACAGACCCGCACTGAGGACTTGCAGGACGTGGATCTGCACCTCCGAACGCTGGGGTACGCGCTCTTTGCGCAGGCGTATGGGAGGGGGTATGCGACGGAGGCGTGTCGGGGATTACTGGACGAGTATAGGGGAGTTGTGCAAGAGTGGAGGAGTAAGGTTGTGAGTGAAGCGGTGGGACAGGAACGAAAGGGGCTGTTCTATGTGGAGGCCGGTGTAGATATAGAAAATCCGGCGAGCCAGAGTGTGCTGAGGAAGTTGGGTTTCAAGACTGTGGGCATGAAGGTTTTTGAAGGAAAGGTTTGGTTAGCTGGGGGATGGAGGGGACCGGGGTGGTGGATTACAGGTATGTATATGTAACCTGGAGTGGAGTAGAGGTCGGCAAGCGTCAGAGGCCGTGCCCGGAGACCCACCAGGTAAAAAAAATCTGACAACAATACAACGTCGCAAAAACAAAATACATACAACAGTAGGGATTCCCCAGTGGTCACCCACCTGAGTACTAATCTACCGGTACGTTGCTTAAATAGGGCTGAGCGAACGGGAAGCCTTGTTTTCAACGTCCTGTGGTCGTATGTGAAAGAAATGCCGTTTGGAACAAATATATACTAGCTAGCTACGAAACAGCTCGCAGATTCGTTCCTATGGTCTAGAGGAGCGGCATTCATGTACAGAGACAAAAGCCCTTCAGAAGTGTAAGTAGGACTTTACTACGCCACGATCTCTGTCATCAGATCTGCCGGCCATCGTGGCTGATCTACCCCGTTTCCTCGCGTGCCAACGTTGAATTTCAACTCGACTTTCCCGCCTGGGAACTGAATGATTGGCTTCGGGCAACGCACGTCAGCGCCAATCGCTGCCGAGTGTCGCGTCTCGAAGAACTCAGGCCGGAGCACCACATCTCTCGCGTTCGCATGCAGCATCTTCATGAAGCGCGGCAATGTGTAACCCATGTTGTGGTAGTGTCGGAACACCTGGCGTCCGTTGCGCGACCACACGTCGTCCCAAACCGCAGGTGGGTATTCACCGACGCTATTCACTAGCCATTGAGAGTAGTAATTCAGCGCGACCTGTGTTGTCAGTAACGCACATGACAAGTCTCGGAAGAGGGGGAGGGGACTCACATCAACGAGGTAACTCCCGCCTTCATCGCCACGCCTTAACAGCGCATTCAATACCGCAATCACCCCCGAAGTCCCCGTACAGAAATCCGAGTTGGGATATACCGGTGTTACGGGTTCTTCGTTTCCCATCGCCTGCCCAAACGCCATTGACACGCCACAGCACGCATCGGATATCTGCTGCCACCCACTGCGCCCCTGCCACGGCCCCTGCCACCCATAGCAATTCTCCCTGACCACAACAAGCCCTCTCTCCCTTCCTCGCGTCATCTCCAGTAGGCCCTCAGGTGAAAACCCGTACTTGTCCAGCACCCCTGGCCGATAGCCTTGCACGACGACATCAGCGTCGCGTACAAGGTCGCGCAGCGCCTCACGGCCAGCCTCGGTGCGGAAATCCAGGTGCGCATTCCATTTGCCCCAGTTGAGGTCGACATGTAGACTGCTCATGTCGGTGATATGCGGGGCGGTGACGCGCATGACGCTTGCGCCGAGCTCGGCAAGGCCGCGGGTGAGTGCCGGGGCGGCGATGACACGGGTCAGGTCTACTACTTTGAGGCCAGCGAGAGGGCGCGCGGGAGAGGTATGTGGGGACTCGGGCCACCAGGTGGGCAGCTGAGTTGAGGAGGGGTGGGCATGGATATCGTAGAGGGCGATATGGGCGTTTTGCTTGCCGTGGGGAGAGGCGCGAAATTCGTCTGCGGTCCAGCATATGGTGCCGGCTTGCTTGAACTTGTCGGTGGCGAGACGCTGCATCTCAGGGCTATCGATTGCGGCGACCGCGTCGGCATATGGTTTGCAGCTTTCTTCTGGTGTGGAGGTAGCCTTTTCGTGTGGTAAGCCGAGGGAGTCCTGGGTTGGCTCTGGGTTCATGGAGCCGTGGAGGTGGAAGTATCGGCCGTCCTTGCAGCGGTAAATGTTCGTTGCGCTGGCACGGTACAGGCTCGAGGTCTGTCCGTGCAAGTCGGTGTTTTTGAAGTACTTGTCATACATGGTGTTGTTCTCGGACCCAAAGCCTATTGCCTCACCGGCAGGGTCGATGGTATTCAGCAGTATAGACATGAAGAACAACTGAGCATGATCACTAGCTTGTTAGCGTCCCATCCGCAAGATTAGGTAGGCTGACCAACGTGTTTATCACTGCTTCTTGCGGTTCTAAGCCGTATTTGCGCGATAGAAGAACGTTGATCATGCTCGCTTCGAGGCCTTTCAGCGCGGAGATGCTTTCTGCAAATCGCCAGTTTATCGGGATGCTAGGCTTTGAGGTCCCCTCGAAACGAACTTTCGCTGCTGCTTCGGCAATACCCTTTGGTAACGTGGGCGCGATCAGGGAGTTGTTAAGGATGCCATTGTCGAATAGCCGTTGAGTTTCCTTAGGAACTGAGTAATCTTCCACGCTCTTTGCAGTTCCATTGATGGCTCTGGTGCCGTTTGTGTCGCCGTTCACGCCGCTGATTGCCATTGTTCTTGCCTCGAAGGCTGCTTCGTGCCGAAGTCAAGAATGCCAAACATCGCCGACTTTAAGTCCCTGCTCTGGCCGTCTCCACCGTCTTCGGATGCCCGCAGTCATCAGACCGCCTGGGACTGCTTTTCCGGTGACACATCGGCTGTATGTAAGTTGGTCGACGTCGTTGTCACTTACCACCTGTCCTCGGTCGAGTCGTAGTATGCGACTCGGGGTTCTGGCCAATCGGATGCATCCCCCTCCCCGCATTATTAGTTCCCTGGGATGGGATACTCAACTTATGCCGAAGAACAGGCAAACAACAAACTATGAGTCGCTATTGATAAATGTTGTAGTTGCTGTGGCTGCTGTTCTCGTACCGGTCCTGTTTGACTATTCCTTTTCACTCACCACCTCTTGCGAATCAACCAATAGACTTAACCAAAATGTCAACACCAGACTATAGCACACGATGGACGTCCCAACACGGGACCCGTCCTGTTAGGATAGCTAACTGTTCGGGCTATAAAGGTACATTTCGGAATAAGCAAACCTCGATCTTTATTGACTCTCCCAGCGGATCCTGGGTACCATATGCGCTACCAGGCTGAGCTTGGAGATGTCGATTTCATTACAGGCGATTATCTTGCAGAAGTCAACATAGCCGAGAATGCACAGGCTCACGCCGCTGGCACGCATCCAGGATGGGAGCAGACTGCTTGGGATGGGATCGAGCAGACCATTGATCTGTTAGCTGAGAAGAGGATCAAGGTTGTTGTTAATGGCGGAGCGCATAATCCGAGAGGGCTAGCGGAGAAGGTGCAGGAATTGGTAAGCCAACTTGCAGATGTTGGCGAAAGGGTGTCTAATGCATGTACAGGTGACGAGTAAGGGGCTGGATTTGAAAGTGGCGTTCGTGCTCGGCGATAACTTGATCGAGGAGATGAAGGACATCCGAGAGAAGGGCTTGCCGCCACATCTTGACTCCAATAACAGTGATATCACAGTTGCAGAGCATACGCTAGATCTCCTAGAGAAGAACGACAAGCCGATCGTTAGTGCAAACGCGTACCTGGGGGCTCGCGAGATTGTCAAGGGACTTGAACAGGGCGCAGATATCATCATTGCAGGACGAGTCGCGGATGCGAGCCCGGTGAGTGATCTGCTGAGTCGATATTACTTGTTCTGACGAATTTAGGTTATCGGCGCAGCGTGGTACTGGCATGGTTGGGCTGACACAGATTATCATGAGCTCGCTGGAGCGCTCATCGCCGGCCATCTGATCGAGTGTAGTGGCTACGTGACAGGGTCGAACTTCGCCGGCTTTTACGAATATCCATTGGAGGATCTGTTCGATCTTACTTTCGGAATTGCTGAGGTTGAGAAAGACGGGACGTGTGTCATTACGAAGCATGATGCGAAGAAGGGGTTTGTAACCGAAGACACTGTGAAGTGTCAGTTCTTGTACGAATTGCAGGGCAACATATACTTGAACAGCGATGTCAAGTCGATACTGGATGACGTGCAAGTCAAGGCGGAAGGCAAGAACCGAGTACGCGTGTGGGGGATCAAGGGCGCGCCACCTCCACCAACGACAAAGCTGGCTGTCTTCTACCGCGCTGGGTACCAGAGTGAAGTCGTTGTAAACGCGACTGGCTACGGTACAGCCGAGAAGTTCGACATGTACGAGAAAATGTTCAAATTCGGTCTCAAGCGTCTCGGCATCCTGGAAAAATTCGATGTTCTGGAGTTCCAGCGCATCGGAGTTCCTGAGTCGAATCCCAAGAGCCAGTTGAGATCAACAACATACCTACGCATCTTTGCTGAGGCCAGCGACGAGAAAGTGAATCTAGCACTCGCTAGTCTACTTGGCGAGTTCGCTATGCAGCACTACTCTGGCTTCCACAGTACCTCAGATCACCGGACGGCGATACCTAGGCCATATATCTCTTACTATCCAGCGATCTATCCGCAGTCTTCGCTCAAGACGTCGATCAACATACTGCAGCCGAATGCGTCCTCTGGGGACAGTAAGATACACAGTATACCTACCGCACCGCCGCCACAGTTCGAGGACCTCAGCAAACGAGACAGCTACGAGACTCGCGACCCCGTCGAGCTTTTGTCCTTCGGCCAGACAACACGTGCAAGGCTTGGCGACATTGCACTTGCGCGCAGCGGCGACAAGGGCGGCAATGCAAACATCGGCTTCTTCATCCCGACTCAGCTTCCTTCAGCTTACCCTGCCTCGTCGCCTCTATACGCTGAGTCGTGGGATTGGCTCCGCAGCTATCTCACGATCCCCAAACTAAAGGAGATGTTTGGTGAAAGCTGGAGCGACAAGTTCTACATTGAGCGAGTCGAATTTCCGAAGATCATGGCAGTGCACTTTGTAGTATACGGTGTGCTCGGAAGAGGTGTCAGTGGAAGCAGTAGACTGGATTCTTTCGCGAAGGGTATGGGTGATTGGCTGAGAGATGTTGAGGTTGATGTGCCAGTCAAGATTCTGGAAGGGCGGAGGAGGGTACAAGATGAGGATGCAGCGAATCGTTCGAGGCTATGATAGGTCGGTGTAATCTTCCGGAATCGAGTTATTGTCGATGAGGAAGATGGCCTCAGAGAGAGTCCGCTTCGCCAAGCCGGTGATGACGTAATTGCGTTTGTACATCATCGCTACCGTTGTTGCACAGCCACGACTTCACCACTCTTGCTGCGCCATATTTGCCTCCTGGTGTGACAAATAATCAAGATCATCACCACGAGCTTGTTCGTCTTTGACGTGAATACTTCATCTCGCTCCTCAACGCGTTCCACCATAAGTCCAATTTAGTTCACCCCAACGCGCCGCACAACCTCTCGAATATCGCTCAAGAGCCGCAATAATGTTCAAAAAGCTGAAAGAGAAGGTCAAAGGGGACGATCACAAATCTCAACAGCAGTCATCTGGAGAGCGACCTCAACAGCAACTACAGTCCAACAATCCATATTTCTCATCGCAACAACACAACGCTGCGCCTACAGAAAAGTACCAAGCACCCCCCGGCCCACCTCCGTCCTACTCCTCCCCAAAGTCAGAATACCAGGCCCCTCCAGGTCCCCCTCCAGGCAAATCCTCAACCTCAGGCTACGCACCGCCCCCAGGTCCACCACCCTCACAACAAGCACCCCCTAGCTACGAAGCCCCCATCCAACACAACTGGCAGATAATCCCCGACACAGCCCTCCTTCCCCCGCCCCCATCTCTCGGCTACGATGACTCTCCCACCGCAAACTCCACCGCCGAAGAAGGCGACTCAGCCTACGCCTGGTGCCAGGCGCACCCGCTATGGTCCCCCTACGCCATCGCCCCCTCCACCCACACCGCGATCCGCAACGCGCAACTCGCGCTCCTCAAGCCGCCCAGTCTCGCCGGCACACTCGCTCCGCAGCCCCAGGCCGGCCACTGGCGCGTCCGCACCCAGCCCTTCTGCCGCGACTCGTGCGTCCTGACCAACCTACCCCTGTACGCAGCGCTCGCGGACTCGCCGCTGCGCACCCACCGCCCTGCAACGCTGTACTACGAGATCCGGGTGCGCAGTGCAGGGCACGGCGGGAGTTCGCTCGCGGAAGCAGATGCCGGCATCGCGGTCGGGTTTGTGGCGCCGCCGTACCCGACGTTTCGGCTGCCGGGGTGGCAGAGAGGGAGTCTGGGCGTGCATGGGGATGATGGGCGGAGGTATGTGAACGACACGTGGGGCGGGGTTGACTTCACGACGGCGTTTGCGCCGGGGGAGACGCTAGGGATTGGCATGGTGTTTCGGGTGCCGTCGCAGCCGCCGGGGTATGGGGCGGGGCAGGGGAGGGGTTTGGATGTTGAGGTGTTCTTTACGAGGAACGGAAAGAAGGAGGGGGGATGGGATGGGAATGAGGAGCTGGATGCGAGGAGTGAGGGAGGCACGCTGGGCTTGGGGGGTGATTTTGATCTGTTCCCGGCGATTGGTGTTTTTGGTGGTGTGGACTTTGAGGTGTTCTTTCATCATTCACAGTGGCTCTATCAGCCGTTTTGATGGACTCGTGATTTAATTGCTCTTTAATGGTTAGTACACCTCACATGCCATCGTCACCGTAACCATCCTCGTGAAGTATTTATTGTTTCTATTACACAAGGCTGGACGCTATTTGACTACGTTAAGACCATGTGTGAGATGAATCGGTGGGATCTCTTGTTGTCCACCACACCTCCAAGTTCCAAGAAACTCATAACTAGTCCCTGTGTTCACCGAACGTTGGACAGTCTCACTGGATCCAGAGACCACTGAAAACGTCAAGTGCCGGATCCTAATCTTCCGAGCTGAACTAGGGATTCACTACTCTCAATAAACTTGGATGGTTGATACCATCTACTCGTCTTCGTCGTCATCGTCAGTCCGTATATCCGTGACTTAGCCAGGTGGCAGTTTGGAATCATTAGCCAAAGTTCAGCGTAGCAGTAGTCGCTTGCTTTAAAAATGAGCCCAGTACTTCCAGTGCAAGCTAGAGAGCTCGTCGCCTAACTGGTCCCGACCAAAGACTGCGTATGATGGACTGAGATTGACGTAGGTCATGGCACGCTGATACCCGAGGTGCTGTAGGCGTTCCTTTGTGTGGTGGGCAAAGCTGTTCTTGTACGTGAATGTTCTCTTGCCAGACGCCTTCGAACAGGTCACACTCTTCAACGAACCCCGACCATCCATACAAATATGGTCGAACGTAACATTCTCACAGGCTCGAAATCCAGCTGGCCATTGCTCCCTGATGTCTAAAAGGACAAGGAAGAGGTTCAAGTTCAGACTGTCAACGTCGACATTGAGCACCTCATGGTACGACTTCCCCTTTTGGGAACAAGTCAGTGAGACTTGGATCTTGAGGCTAGGCGCCTGGCATAAAAGATACAAAAGACCTCGAATATCAACCTCGAGCTCACTCAAAGCTGTGTTGCTGCACAAGCCGAAGTGAAGCTCCATATTGAGCGAGGACGAAGGGTATAGCTTTATCGCTTCATCAAGAACGTCTCCAAATACACCATGGTATCCAAACAGATCCGTCACCATATCGGAAAAGCTTCGTAGTGCAGAGAAATCATCAAAACTTGTCTTAGCCATGGTGGTAGAAGCCTTCACCGTGATTGGGTGAGCCAGAAGACTGGAAACAAGCAGTGACCGACCGATACGGAGAAATTTGACCGCCTGCAAGATACGTATGTCAAGACCTCCTACTGTTCGATTGTTCAAGTCGGCAACAATTCCCAAGGAAGAGCATTTCAGAAACTCGCATATCCGACAGAGGACGTTCTTCGGTAAGATGAGAAGCAAGTTTTCCGGTGGCTGTCGAGGACATGGTCTGAAGGAGGTTCCGTCATTGGAGGCTTTATACACAGCCGAGTGTGTTGCAGGGAAGTCGACCTGAAGCTTCTTAGAACCATCGAATACTGAGATACATCCGAGAAGACGGTTCAGGTGTCTGTAGCGTTTGAGATTTAGGATATCCTGGGTTCCAAGGCTTTTCATAATGCCGTTGAGGAGCTCTGCTCTGTCTCTTGCTTCGTTTGTCGGTCTGGCTGTAGCTTCCACAGGATGAGCGACCCGTCCCTTCGTTGGGGAGAACTCGACTTTGCTTTCAAGTTCAGGGTAAGACCAAAATAGAATCAGAAGTGGCTTGATTTTGCATACTGCTTCCATTCTCCACAGTGAGAAACATGTGGTACCGACATCAATCAGAACCTGGCGCAACAGATCTATCTGCGAGCCGATTCCAGATAGCCACACCGGCGCATAGTTGATTTGATTGAACTCGTTGCATCCAGAGGAATTCAAGTATTCATCGTGGCAAGGGAGTGCGCGAGTGATGATGAATGTGTTGCTTCCATACAGGACCCCGACGCTTTCATGGTAGACCTGACGACAGCTCAAGAGCAAAGGCAGTCCACCGCCAAGACCATGGTTGAACTCATGGTCTGATTCTAGGTTCTCATCGATCTCTTCATCGTAGAACTCGAGTTGCTCCATGTGGTCATCATCTGCCATATAGCTGGCGGGGTCGGGATACCGCGGGTAGCATGCATCGGCGTCATGCAGCAGAACCGGATCGTCACGCTTGAATAGCGCCTCATAGATAGCGTTGCGCACCTCTGGCGGGAGTGTGGTGAGAAACGAAGGCTCGTTCGGATCTGCGGGACTGGACGTCGTTTTCGGTATCTTCTTTGGCTTCGGCATGATGGCGGCGAGAGCAGATGCAGCCAAGGGCGCACTCTTGGAGGTGAGATGAAGTGGAGTGCAAGAAGGTGGGTGAGTGGAAGTGAGGAGATGGAGCGCGAGGTGGAAGACTTAAGTAAGTGTGTTGGCGGCGGGCACGTGCGCGTCCCTGCAGCAAGATCAGAAGTGAAGTGAAGTGAAGGCAGCACCGAGCGTAAATTCTCACCTTCACCACCGGGATTTACCATGACCGATTCTTAACGGCTAAGAAGGCAGCAATTCAGCCCAGCTCGCACAGCTGAGCGGCCAGCAAGAGGTAGCTCGGCCTGAGGATAAGGTTTCGAGTGACGTCGACTGTCTGGCAGCTTGCACGTTGCTTGAATCCAAGCACAGCAGAAGACTGTTTAACAGCTGGTCAGTATAAGCAAAAAACCAACCCATCGACAAACTTGTGCTGCAACACTCCAGTAGATGATAGATCAGACATAGACAATCGTACGATACCTACATTCAGACGGCAAGACCTGACACAAGACCGAAGCAACGCAACCAACCCGCAAGCGAAGCAAACACAGCAATTGAAAGGGTTGAACCATGTGATTTGGGTATATATATATCTTCACATCAGTCGTTGAGACATGACTTCGTCAATCCGCGCTGGGACCTTGACATCCTCTCCACTCTATCGCTTTTATCGTGCGCCGCAACTCCATACTACCAACACACCTTACCGCCAATTTTTCAAAAGCTTATTTGCTCAAGTCTTGACCCCAAAGCTCCTTCGCAATCTCTACCTCCAGCTTGACCTTGGCCCACTGCTCCTCCTCAGACAGCTCATTCCCCTCTGCGGTACTTGAGAATCCACACTGATGGCTCAAACACAGCTGATCCAGGCCCCCTGGTGCAACGGCAGCGGCCTCCTTCAGCCTGCCCACAATCTCCTCCCTATCGTCTAGCACATTCTTCTTGCTGCTCATCACACCCAACACAACGACCTTGTGCGCAGGCAGGTGGCGCAGCGGGCTGAAGTCACCACTGCGCGCATCATCGTACTCGAGGAAATATGCATCGACGTTGAGTTCCTTGAACAGGACCTCGGCGACGGGCTCGTAGCCACCCGACGCAAACCACTTGCTGCGGTAGTTGCCACGACACAGGTGGATTCCGATTTTCATGTCCGCGGGGCGCTTGGAGATCGCCGCGTTGATGAGTGCGGCGTACTTGCGGGGCAGCACGGAGAGGTCTTCGCCGCGCTCGCGCTCGGCTGCGGCGCGCATGTCTGGGTCGCATAGGTAGGCCAGGTTGGTGTCGTCGAGCTGGACGAAGCGGCAGCCGGCGTCGTAGAGGGAGGCGAGCTCCTCCTGGTAGACGCGGGCAAGGTCTGCGAAGAACTCGTCGAGGTCGGGGTAGGCGGAGATGTCGATGCTGGCGCGGCCGCCGCGGAAGTGCACCATGGTGGGGCTAGGGATGCACACTTTTGTTGTGGCGGCGCCCCCATTGTTCTTGATAGCCTGCTCGAGGAAGTTGAAGTCATCAACTTGAATGGCGTCGGGGTGGCCAAGTTTGCCGGTAACTACGAGGGTGGGCGGGCTGAAGCCGTCCTTGTGGCGGATGTTGCCAACCTGACCCTTCTCCTCGATGCCAGCAAGGTGCTTCAGGAAGTCGAGGTGGAAGTAGGCGCGGCGGAACTCGCCGTCTGTAATGGAGCGCAGACCATTCTCGATTTGGAGCTGGGCAACTTTGGCGACAGCCTCGTCTTCGATCTTGCGCAAGTCGGCAGCGGAAATCTCGCCATTGGCGGCCTTGGCGCGAGCCTCAAGAACAGATTTGGGGCGCAGGAAGGATCCGACGTGGTCGGCGCGGTAGACGCCGTGGGGAAGAGGCATTGTGCTGGTGGTTGTTAGATATTTGGTTGTGGGAATGTGCCAGGGGTCCAATGGTGTTGTTGAAGTGCTCTTAAGCTCAACTGTACATCGCCTGGGTCCGAGAGTTGCCTTACATGTGTGAAAGTGTTCAAAAAGCAGTTGTAGAATTACAGGAAGAACAGCACCAAAGGGTGGCAAGGCTTTAAGAGAATTCGCATTTCGTGCGTTGCATCAGTATCAATCTTACTTGGGCCATCGCTGGAGCTACCCCACTCATCAAGTCACGGCAGTTGTCTCGACGAGCTAATTGCTGGAAAGGTGTCCGAGGCTCCGGGGACAAGCGCTCAAAAGAGTAACATGTGGACAGAGCCGGCGGGGTCCTTGTCCACAGATGTGCGATGAGGAAATACGAGGTCAGACCACGACATCTTGGTGATGCATCGGCAGTTGCGATTGCTGAGTGATGCACGCAGTGATCGCAAAAGAGAACTGACAGCCATCACTGCATGGTCGATCAGGGTGCCTTGCAGGTGCAGGGAGGCCCCCGTGGACCCGCATGACGTTGTCAGGGTCCGGCATCGGCGTTAAAGTTTGAAAAATGCCGATCGGCTAGGCATATCCACGGGAGACGGCATGGCAGGCCACATGTGAAAGTAAGCGTGCAGATGTCAAACAGCAACGGGGTATATTGCATTGGTCTTCATATGAAAGCAGAACTGTGATCCCAGCTCAGGACTCGAAATGCATTCAAGCAGCCCTGAGTAGCTTCCCCTCCAGCATCTCACCGAACATGCCGCTCCATTGCCCCTCTTCCTCCTCATCCATGAAGAAGCCGTCTTTGGCGCCATACAACCGCTCTCCTTTGCTGTTGAACTTCTTCTTCTTCTGAGGCAGATCGCGCTGGGCGATTCGGATTCGAATCGTGCCCGCGCCGGCTCCAGAGTCGCCTTCCTGTTCAACAGTGGCCGTCTTGTAGTCGCTGATTTCGGGCGTGACAGTCACAGGGTTGACACCAAAGAATCGGCAGACAAGAACCGCGCCAGCTTTGATATCAGCGGGAGTCAGATCGGGTAGAGTGCTCAGATCTTCTGGCATTGGCGGAAGGTCGTCCTGTTCCTGCTCGGCTGTTGCAATGTCTTGCTGGAGCTGGTCTTCGATGGCTGCATGGATTTCAACATCTGGGTTCTCATCACCCGGGGTATCATCGTAGTTGAGGAATATCTTCTCCTCCTCCTCTTCAGGTTCTTCCACTGGCGGAGCCTTTTTGCCTCCCTTCTTCCCCTTCTTCTTCTTCGCAGCGTCACGCATAGCTTTGCTGGCAGGATCCCAGTGCTGTTTGAAGGGGAAGGGTGGAGCAGTCAGTTCGTACTCTTCTTCCCAGCATTCGAACGCGGAGAGGTTGATTCGCGACTTCCAGAACTCGGGATCTGTTGAGACTTCTGGTTCTGGAGTCGGTTCCTTAGCCTTCGCGGGCTTCTTTGCAAGATTCTTAGTTTGACGGACGAGCATCCGGCCAATGGCTGATACATCAGGTCGCAATCGCCTCCGCTCTGGGACATTTTCCGGTGTCACGACTGGCTCTTGTGGTTGCTGCTGCTGCGAAGAAGCTGAAGCAGGCTTCGCGGTTGCGCTCGAGGCAGGCTCTTCGACTTGCATTTGCTCTTCGACTTGCACTTGCTCTTCGACTTGCACTTGCTCTTTGACTGGCGCTTGCTCTTCGACCGGCGCTTGCTCTCCGACTTGCGTCTCGGCGCCCTCCTCGCTAAATCTGGCTATCATCTCCTGCTTCCGCTTTTTCAGCTCTGCTACGTCGTCGGTTACTGGCTGTGTGGGCTCTTCTTCGTCGAAGCGCTTCCTCTTGCCACACGGCTCGGCAAATGTTTGTCGCTGTACTACGGGTCCATCTCGTAGTCGCTGCTTCAGATCCTTAGCGTACTCCTCAAGGTCTTTCAGATCAGCATCCTCGTGTAGTATGCCGGCTTTTTTAAGAAACTTGAGGCGTTTCGATTTCATTCGGCGCTTGTTTCGTGACTTTGTGGATTTCTTGCCTTCTCCAGGCGGACCTAATTTTAAACCGATCGGTAGTTTTGGCAAAAGTTTCGATACAGGTGCTTTCGAAGACCGCACTTCGGGCGCCGCGTCACTGTCGCTGTCACTGTCGCTCTCGAGTTCGGAGTCACTCGAGGAGTCGCCTGAACTTGATGAGTCTGTGGCGTCCGAAGCACTCGATGAGTCTGTAGTGTCTGACTCCGAGTCATCAGATCCATCAGCGCTGACTTCGTCGTCCTCTTCTCCTGGCGCAAAATCGTCATCGTCCTCGTCCTCACTATCTTCATCCAGCTCCATCTCCGCCTCAGCCTGTTCGAAGTGCACTGCCTTCTCACCACCTCCAGACTCGCGCCCGGGTTTGTCTGCGAATGGCGCACTACGGTTGGTAGGCACTCGGCTCTTCATGATAATTCTCTGCTGCTGCGCCTCGGTCAACGAAAATGCCTCTTCATCATCGGTAATTTCCTCCAGCCTCTGCCGTTTCATCGGTGGAATCCTAACCTCGGGACGATTCGGCTGTCGTAGGTATGGTCGCCCAAACGGCAGGCCATCAACAAGATGCTGCCCTCCAGCGTTGATTTGGTGTCGTCCTGTGAGCGTCCTGGCGCGTATCTCGGCGCGCATGAGCGGTCTTATACTACTCTTCGTTAGCACTCTGAACGACTTTGTATTGTAAGCAGACGCACGTAGCATGGTCATCCTCCTTCAAGCACTGCCCCACCGGCATGAAGTGCAGACACTCGAAGCCAGCCACTTCGATAACATAGTGCTCCAGGCCCCAGTGCTCGGCCTCAAGCGGCACAATCAAGTTGACATCCTCCAGCAGTCTAGTGACGGTGTATGCAGTAGCGTTGTTCGTGTCCGGGACGCTCCAGAGAATGTTAGCGGCGGGTAGGCCGTTGCGCTGGATCGTGAGGCGCAGACGCATCGTTGCGGTCGCGTCGCGGTGAATAAATGTTCGAGATCGCGAACTTTTGGTGAGCGGAGCCGAGCTGTGACGGACTGCCGTTGAGCTAACCGCGTTTGGAAGTAGCGCGGCACGGAGGCGGTCCGCGATGAGCAGGAGGTATCTGCAAGAGAGGATACAGTCGAAGTTTCAATCTTGCTGGATGACGCAATTGCTCTGTTCGACGTGTTTATAATCCGTGGCTCGGCCGCTGATCTGGACTCAACATCTCTCAGCCATTCCTCCCACCAACTCACAATGCCCGTCTCAATGCCTATCAACACGCTAAAAGGCACCTGGCAGCGCCTTGTCAAGAACGACCGCCTCAAACGCTCTTCCCAGGTACTCTCAGTTATCGACAATCAAGTATGCATATTCGGAGGAGAAATTCAGCCTCGCCAACCTGTTGACGATAAAGTCGATATCATTACTTTGAGCCCTGGTACTTACCCCTCCACCGCGCCATCAGGGTACTCTGTACTAACACCCCCAGACGCACCCAACCACGACACAAAGTCCACCTCCGAAGCGCCAACCCCTCGCGTCGGCACCGCCTCCGCCGTCATCAAAGATGCTCTCTACATCTTCTCCGGCCGTGGCGGCGAAGCCATGACCCCCGTCGACGACGCCGGCGCCGTCTGGCGCTACACCCCGGCCACGCACTCGTGGAGCAAGCTCACGCCTGCCGACGCCGCTGCACCCGTCCCGCCCCCCCGTAGCTACCACTGCGCTGCGTCTGACGGCACGAGCACAGTGTACATCCACGCGGGCTGCCCGTCGTCCGGACGGCTCGCCGATCTCTGGGCCTTCGACGTCGAAGCGCGGGCGTGGACGCAATTACCTGATGCGCCGGGGCCGCCCAGAGGCGGCTCGGGGCTGGCATTCAGTGGCGGGAAGCTGTTTCGGATGCATGGCTTTGATGGGAGTGCGGAGGTGGGCGGTTGCGTGGACGTTTTTGATGTTAGTGCAAAGACGTGGAGTGTGAAGGAGTTTGGGGCGGATGGGAGGGATGGACCTGAGGCGAGAAGCGTGTGCACGGTGCTGCCGGTGCAATTGGGGCGCAAGCAGAAGCTGATCACGCTGTTTGGAGAGAGGGATCCGAGTTCATTGGGACATGCGGGAGCGGGGAAGATGCTGGGGGATGTGTGGGCATATGATATTAGTGAGGAATGGTGGACAAAGCTGGAGCCGAATGCTGGGGATGAGGGGAAGCCGGCGAGTAGAGGATGGTTCGATGCGGATGTGATCAAGGGAGAGGGGATGGGCAATGACAGTGTGGTTGTGCACGGGGGGTTGGGAGAGGACAACGAGAGACTGGACGACGTCTGGTTGCTGAAGTTCTAAGCATGTCATTAGACTTTTAATCAGAAATAGTTAGGAGTATGCTCCATGTTTACTCAATTGAGGCTCAAGGCTAGTGCCCCACTAATCCTCACCTATTTTCTACCAAGCCACCCACAGTCCAGCACCAACGTCTCCCCGCTTGCGTAGCCCAGGAATTCCATGTCCTAATCCAAAAATGACGCGACACGATTCTGGTACCGATGATCCTGAATGTGGAGACCCCAATCAGTGTTCAGTTTACCCACGCTGGGAGCTCCGGCACGGCTTACCCAAAGCAGACATATATCACGGCCACCGCAACGCACAACGCGCACATCAGCAGAGGGGTCAATTGCACAAGCACGGTCTTGCGCAATCCATGGTACTGCTATCTGAGTACCTTATAATGAGCAGTTGCTCGTCCTGAAATTAATTCTTGTTATCTCACTTTCAACAAACACATTCTTCAATAGTGCGTAGAACGCAAGCCTTATCGTATTATAGAATTGTGTACTAATAGATGCATAGTGCCTGCAAACGTCCCCCTCACAGTCATCAAAGGCGCTGGCCAGGAACACATTCCAATCCCCGCCGGCGAGAGCGCTATCGTCGCCGACTTCCACTCGTACGTCCTTCACCTCAAGTCCAACTCCAAACCCCATCCCGAACCTGACTAACCTCCCTGCAGTATCCAGACCCAGACAACGGACAAGCCCACCTACCTCACATCCGGCTTCTACCGCATCCAACCCGGCCCCACGCGCGACATCCCGCAGTACACATACGAGGAGACCAAGTACGTGCTCAACGGGCAGATCGACGTCCTCGATGAGGCCACAGGTGTTACGCACCACCTGGTCGCAGGCGACTTTGCGTTCTTCCATGTCGGGTCCAAGGCGCAGTTCAGCAGCAAGAGCGGAGGGACAGCGTTCTTCGCCGTCACAAGGCCGATAATTACTCAGCACCCGGGGCTAGTGGGGAGGGAGGAGAAGGTCACCTCGAAGTCGAAGTTGTGAGGACGACGAGATAGAATTTTAGGGGTTGGAGGTTGAGAGTAGAAACATGAGAGGCTAATGGACATTGCACTCAGAGTCTGTAGACGGCGGCGTGCGCTGCCGTGTGAAGCGGATAATGCGCTCTTCGATTTCAGTACCGCGCGTCCACCATTGCCCGTATCCAAAATCCCAGGCTTCCTGTTCACTGGCTGTCTCGTGCGGTCTGCTGTGGTGTGCGCTTTTGACTTTGCCGTTCCATGCCAACTCGAACTGTGTGTCTGCGATAGGGAAGCGCCATGTTTTTGCGCACTCGACGACCGTGTCCAGCTGTGCCTTTTTCTCTGTGAATGTTTCTAAGACAAGCTCGAGAGTCTTGATGTCGGGCAATTTGCTGATGATGTGGCCCCAGCCTGGGGTATCTATGTTGAATGGCGCGCTTGAGGTGGTATCGTACCCGTCGCGTCGCTGCTGTGCTAGGGCCTGCATTTGCGTGCTGGTGGGACGGGAGGTGAGATTGTCCTCCCCGTTGCCCACTGTTGGGTCCAGTGCCAGATGATTGCGTTTGGCATCCGTGCTGCTCGGGTCATCACTCCATGTCCACCAATCCGTGCAGCGCATGCGCAGCGTAAGGTGAACGAGCGGTCTTGCGCGTTGCAGGCGCATGTCGGACATCGGCTTTTGAAATTCAGCTGGTAAGTCCATCTCCTCTAGGGCATCACGCAGGCGAGTCCTATCGCCACTGATGCCCGTAGATAGCAGCGTAAAGTTGCAAGACTCGTAGCTTCCCCACGGAGTATTTTTGAGGCCAATGTCTGGTGCTACGAATACGTTTTGATGACGAGCCTCTGGCTGCCAGCCTGACGGACCGAAGAAGAAGTTGTACAGACTTTCGCCCTCGAGTGATACTTGTTGGAGTGTAATATCAAGCGATTGAATGTTCGCGAACTGCCACGGGAGCCTAATTCTTTGCTTTTCGCGGGGGAGCCATTCGGTGAACGGAAGCTGAAGAGCATTCAGGCGAAGCGGAAGAGCGAATGTTTCGAGATACACGGCCTTGCAGGTGTGTAGAAGATTCAGTGCGCGATCGCCCTTCGGACTCCTGGCCGACCACGTGCTGTCGGTAAGAGCATACTCGCAAATGAGGTTTCTGAGTTCTACTGGAATGGCATTGAAAAGTGGGCAGTCATTCTGCGTCACGACTTCGTCGTCTTTGATGTTCCAAGCAAGAGGCTCAGTGCAGCGCTGCACATCACAGTTATCATATTCGTTCCTGCAACAGCATCTGTCTCGCTATCGTGTCTCGTTAGAAAGTAGGCGGTTTGTTCTGGGCTAGACTGACTTGTCTTTTTACTGTGTGTGATCTCAGGACTCTGGTGGGTTTTGTAGTGTTATCATGAGCGAGGCAGCTAGCTGTTTGCTTAGTCCTGGCCATTGCGAATCACAGAATTTGTAGAAACAGAAGTGACAAAGGGCGTGATGGATAGAACTTATAGTGCTGTTCGCATATCGTGCGAAGTAGATGTGAGGTGCAAGGGCCGTGCGTGGATGCCTAAATTATCGGGTGGGGACCGTTGGGTGCCTGAGTTCCAGGTGGAACTTCAAGCTTTGAGTGCGTAGTGCACTCATATAGTGCTCGATATTGCCTGGAGAAATCACCGGCAGTATTGAAATCGGAGTGAGGGAAGCTCAATTTGTGGCGTGGCCTTGCAATTGCAAGATGCTTAGTGCACTAAGACCAAAAGCGGTATAGTCGATTTACTTTAACACTCACCAATGCATTTGATCCTTTGATCCTTGATGTTTTACTGAACAAATCTACCTCTAAGCTCTCTTTGGAACCTCATACGTAAGATCTATTGGGTAAATACTAGGATTCAAATATCTACAGTGGGGACTTGTGTGATTGAGCCACGTCTTTTGGAGAATATGGTTGCTGTTCATGCTACGGCATCAGCTGGATGCTATTGTACATTGACCCGAGTATCATCTGTTCGGGATTCCGGAACGAACTGTATGCCAGTCTCTTGCTAGACAGGAAGCGAAAGGGAAAGAAAGCTTGTTGCGTACACGTTAACGGTGTGGGTTCATGTCGGGTTTGAATGGTCACGATGTGAGAGACACTCGAGGTCTATTTGCGGTATGAGAGATCTAAAAAACGTATAATGTTATGCTGTTCTTGAACGGCGCGAGGCCGCAGATAGCCGTGAACGAGATCGTGTCGCTTCTCTATGAAACATCATATTCGGAGTTGTTACGGATACCGGAAGGCCCTGGTGCTCTCTACGAGAGTTCTGAACCAGATCTTCGACGTCCACGATACCATGCTGTTTGGCGGCGTGCATCTTGAAACTGTCGAGGCGCATATATACTTTGTAGGCTTTCGAACAGCCCTCGTAAGCACACCGATAGCCCCTCCCGGCCTGGCTGTGAATGGTCTTAAGGTGCCTGTTGAGATCGGCGTTGTGCTTGAACTCGGCAGCGCACCCCAATTGCGGACAGGCAAACTTTCGTCTCAGTCCGGGGGAATCAGAGCGATGAACAACCTCGAGCGCGCGGATGTGGGCATTATACTCACTTGACTCTCGTTGTTGCATTGGGGATACATATTGATGCTCGCTGGCGCAGTATGACCCTGTGTCGACTTCGGACCATGCCGAAGTACTGTTGTGGGTTGACCTTAGATCTTGGCGTGATATTTCTCTGCCCATAGCTTCCAGCGGCTGTATAGTCATTTCATATGGCTCATAAGAGGCAGCGTAAGGATGTCCCATATAGAATCCATCCGATGTTGTTGATACCGGTGACAAATCGTCCAGCAGGTCATCTGCCGGAGAACATAGGTTATGAGCGAAGGCGCCTATTCCTGATGTATCTGACAGATGTTCTGTCTCTTGATATGGGAGAGAATATCCTGCGCTGCTGTCGAACTCCCAAAAAGAAGACTGTAGACCCGATGAAGCCGATTCCGGCAGCCAAGTCGGATACGCATGTGAGACCTCGAACGGAGAATCCAGATATTCCAGCCTTGATCCACTCATCTCCTGAGTTTTTCCTTCTGGTATGTGTATTCCTAGCGTTCTGTTTTGTTGCATCGCTGGTTCGTAAGCGGGCGACACGAGACGATCGCCGCTGTTCCAGTGGGAGGCCTCCGATGGACTGAAGCATGGCGTTAATGAGCTCTGGCGCCAGTCTCGCACAGAGCTTTCTTGAAAAAACCTCTGGTCGTATATTCCGTCTGAGAATACATCTACAGATGCGTCGCAGGATCCTGACATAGTTGAGTCCTTCTGATGATAGAATACCAAAGAAGAAGTTGGGACAACACAGCCCCACCTGACACGCCAGTGTGGCTTGGCGTCCCAGGAAACGGAGGATCCGACCCCAGGAAACGGCGTCCACATGGTGGACCCGGCGACGGCCCGTAGGACCCAATCTTTGAGCATAACAGCTCGACATCCACATATTGCAACACCGTGGATAAAACCTTCGTGCATGTGCGACAAGCGAGAGCTTTGCGGCAGTTTCTGCGATTGATCTCCAATGACTGCGGCCTCGAGTCTGAGTGAAATTGTCGAATCCAACTCCAAGCACGCAAAAACGCGAAACGCGATTCTTCAGCCGAATGAAGGGACTGCGTCATTCGTGTGCTGGTCTTGACTGAGGCCTTAAGCCGCTCTGGCTAGACCTACTTCAGCACATTTCCCGACATTCCAGCCTGTCAGAAGTCAGCACGCCCAGGCATGCTGGCCGGCGACTGCTCCTGCTCCCTCCGGTGATCCTTGGACCACCGTGTGCCCACAGTCTACAACCACTGCTTCTGCGCAACTCGTCCTGTCTCCTGAGAGCATTCGCACGCAAAGCATTCTCGCGATTCTAGTTACAGCTGGCTCACAGGTCCAGCGGTGCGTCGCGCAACTTCGAGTGGTCTTCGGCAGCAGCAGTCACGGCCGCCATCTGTCGCAGTCCTCCGCCGCACTGCGACATCTGCATATCAGCACACTCTCGCAGCACGTTCTGTGCAGCAATAGTAAGATCCAATTTAGCCTGGCAGGTTCAGCAGCATGATGTACTGACGATGTTGTATTGTGTAGGCCCACACTATCGCGCACCTCTCCTCCTCCAGCCACCACCACCTCCGCCGCCGCCTCCTCCCGTGGTTCGCCATCCGACCCATACCTTACGCTTCGCAAGACATAATCAGCAACGTATAATACGCTACCCATAATTCCAAAGGCCATAGCCAAGATGAAGACGCTGCCTGCTCACGCCGATACCCCGCTGGGCTCGAGACGTAAGTGCAACCCCCTTGTATGACGTGGTGAGGTCGCCATCGCCGAGGCGATCAGATGACTGCAACACGTACTGTCCCTAGGTGGCTATACCTGCAGGGCTCCATACAAGCCCAGCCCACCAAGCTCAAGTGTGCTTCCATAGTGGCGCTCGAATACACATCCCGGTATGCCACAGGTGCTAGCACCCACACTAACATCCAACAGCCAGACCTCTCGAGGCACGTATCCAAGTCGTGATGAAAGTATTCCGAGATGGCAACTTCCACACAGCGCGTGGGAAGCTGCTTACGAAGATCGATGACGCGGTGCAGGGGAAGGTGGGTAAGATGAGGGACGATAAAGCTTTGATCATAGCCAAGCTGGTGGAGGAGTTGAAAGCGAAGCTTGCGATAGACGGTGACGACGAGGCCTGTTTTATCGAGAAGGCGCAGCAATTTCTAAAGCTTGATGACTCTACAGCGTGGCGTAAGTATTGCTTCGGTTTTAGTATGAAAGGTTCATGCTTACAAGATACAGTCCGCAATTGGTTCTACGAGGCATCCTCTGATACCGGACCGGCAAGAGCTGCCACGAAGACAGCGGTTGAGAATGCGAACAAGCCGACTGTGAAGCCACCAAGCGGTACTCAAGGCCGAGTCCGCGATACCACGGTAGAATCGCCGGCCAGTCAGTCTAACCAAGGACCCCAGCACAAGCACCGACAGTACTCGCAGAGCGAAGGGCTCCAAAGGTTATCGCAGATGCCTCCCGTGGCAGACTCTGTGGGGCTCACACCCGGTACTTCCGCAATGATGTACAGCAGCTCCTCAGCCGCGGCACATCCCCGTGTACGACGCGCAAGCGATAGTGCGACGTTGTGGAGCAGGATCGCTGCCATGTCGCCTTGCCCCCGTTGTGGTCGCCCGTGGCATGCCCATGAGCCAGTGGTGACAGATGTGTCGACAACGGCAAGAGAAGCAGCGCTCATCGCGCAGTACAACTCCGTCGTTGGCCAGGGAGCTGCTTCAGGCCGTGATCAAGTGGAGTTGACTGAATCTACTGGCGGCATAGGCAACTTCCCAGGTGGATACCTAAGAGTGGGACTGATCCCAGAGACCCATATCGTCCAAGAAATAGTGGTTCGCCATGCGGTTGTTGTTCCACAGCCGGTTCGACAGGAGACGCACCACTTCTACCATATTCCTCTCCTGGACTGTGTCTTCTGCGCACTCATGTTCTTGGCATTCCTTCTTGCGTCCGCATATCTGCTGGAGGGGTTGGTAGGAGCATCGAAATAGCCTTGGTAATCCTGCATCCTCCATCAGCGTCTGTATCTATGTTTCTTTCTCTAAGCGGCATACCATCAAGGGCGATTTCGATGTGTCGGTGCTATTTTGTGCATAGCTGGGTCAAGGAGTTCGGTGAAACGGTTTAGGTCAACTTCATGATCATACAAAATACCAAATCAAAGGCAGTTGAATATTCATTGAACATACAGAGGGAAGTATAGGAAGGATGGTGAATGTTACTGTAAAGCCTGCGAGAGGGCTTGCACGGCAGCAACCAATCAGACTGCCGAAGCAAGCCCCACTCGCTTACATGAACAAGCTAAGCCTAAGGCGGCCCAAACCTGGCTGCAACATTGGAAGACCCTGCCGTTCATCCTCGAACCGTCAGATCTCCTTGCGCGCTGTGCGTGACGTCCTGCCTTGGCTGTGGAGCCACCGCTTTATCACCGGACCAGTCGACTGTCTGCTCACATCGGTGTCTAAGGTGCCACGAGGCGCAGTGTTCCATTACAGCACATCCGTAGGCAGGCAGGAGGGCAAAATTGGTCCATGTGCATTCACATGCGTCAACACTGACACTAACGTAGACCGTGCCCCTGCACTCTCTACCTATGTTCAGCGGTAATATCAATCTTGTCCGATGCATGTTCCAGGGTGTACATCCACAGGCTTTGGCTTTACCTGGCCTTCCATGCTCAGTCGCGGTTTGGGAGAAAGCAGCCTCACAATCTGAGAGGACCGGTAGCCACATTCACTGCCTTGCTTCAGCTTCGAGGATGAGTGCTTATCAGGCTTGCACCACAACAAAGCTCGATTTCGTGGAATGTTGTGCTAGCGAAGGCATGATCATAGAACAAGAAAGCGCTCATTCAAATGATCGGGAGAGAGGCCGATGTTTTACCTTAGACGATGGACTACCGCAAGATTCCAATAAAAGGCCTTTCTCATCGGCCAATTCACATCAACTTTGTAGGCGAACCCTGGGCGGATAGGTAAGGGTCCTCCATGGTGTTTGACCTCGACAAACATAGAATCTTGAGTATGTCCAACCGTTCATGAGCATCCACCACTTTCGCCGGGACACCCATGATCGCCAAGCGGAAGAAGAACCCACATAAAGAGTCATCTTTATGCGATTGCTCCACAAACCAATCCCAGGCTGCTTGCATCTCTCTGTCGATCCATTGTGCAGGTGGAGTGGCAAGAGGCCCACCGAAACAAGACCTCCGATGTGGGCTTCTCAACACAAAGTCCAAGCTGTCACGTTGTCCATAATCTCCCTCCGTCAAATTCAGCTGTAACAGCAACGCCCTGGCATCCTCGGGATTGCCTACAAATGTCTGTAGCCATATCAGTGCGTCCATCATGAGACTGCATTTCTTGGTAGTGGTGTAGTCCGTATCCAGCAACTCCTCAGCTTGATCACTATCGTGCAGGACATCGCGCAACATCTTAGAGATGAGACAAAATGGCGCTAGAAGACCAGGCGGAGGTCGAATAGCAGGTTCGTAGCTCGCCAGTTCACTTTCCAGCCCGACTCTAGGATCGTCAGGGTAGCCAAGGTCTCTGAGTGCGTTGCGCACGGCCAAGGGATAGTTCCTTTTTGTACGGACCAGAAACCGGTAGAGGAGTTCCTTCCCGTCGAAGTCCTTCCCTTCGTAATTGAAGTCTTTCCAATACCCGCTTCGGAGTTCGCATCCCTGGTCATCTACTTTCTGCTCCAATACATCCGAGTCTCGTAAAAACATGACGAAAGGCTCGAACTGGTGCCACTTAGCAACAGTCCTCTTGGTAACGGATTCGCGGAACTGTTCCAGCAGAAGATCTCCAGAGATGATAAGACCATTCAAGGCATCCAGGATGCGGCGTTCCTCGGTCGGTGGCCGTCCATATGCGTGCGTTTTGTACAGAATATCGTGGCCAGCCTCAGCCCATGCATGGCCAAGCGCTGAGACGACCTGGATCTCAACCATGTCATCTTCTTTCCACACGTAAGATCCTTTGCCCTGATCTTTCTTCATCAATACACGATAGTGCACCGCTTGGTAACCGAGATGTCTTCGAACATACTCGCCCCCTTCTTCATTGGCCTTTGCAGCAGCTTCCGAGATGTGGTCCCCATGGTGCTTCTCCTCAACGTTGGGGCCCCATATCTCCTGGATTACCTCCTTCACCTTCTCTCGTTGCGCCTTGTTGGGGGTGTATAATACCACCCGAACACCAGCGAGGTCCTTGACATCCCTCAATATGTCAGTGCCAGATCCATACTCTTCCTCGCCCATGACTGAGCGCTCGAGGTTTCTCATCTTCAGCTTTTCTTCCAGGCTCTTCTCCTTTTTCGCACGGAAGGTCACCATGACTTGCATTTCCTCATCATTCCTATCTCGCGTTCCCTCTAATTTTCTCTTGATTAGTTTTTGTGCTGTCTTAGCACATGCATCCCAATGCTCAGGGTGAAACTCGTCACGAAGGAATTTTTGGATTACAGGGGTCGTGTCTAGGCCGGTTACTGCGCGGGTAGGGACTCGTGGTCTGAAGTCGTCCTCTTCATTGTCCATGTTCTGGTCTTGAGGGGCTCCATTCTGCTCGTCCGAGTCGATACCACCCGCAGCTTCTGGTGCGTACTCGTTGGTCATGTCTCTTGAAGTTGCAGCGAGTTTACGATCTGTACCCGTTTCGCCTAACCGTTATAATCAGCAGTGATCAGAACGCCAATGGTTTGTAGTACATACCAAATCGATGGTCCGGGTGCTTAACACAGCTTACAGGAAATTTTCCGGGTAGAATAAAACGGTTACTGGATGTTTTTGAAGCCGGTGTCTAGCTAGACTGATCTTGGGGAACCGCCACTCATATGCAGGATATGCGTCTGTCAGGTTGAAGGATGACAAGGCTGTGGATTTGTCTTAAATGCGCCTGCAAGTTCAGGCAAACTAATAAAAACGACCAGGCTATCAGTCTAGTACTCTGCGAGTATACCCAGCCAAGCCTCCGCGGAGTCTTCAGGGATCAGGCTGAGGCGAGTGCCGCACTCGCTACCATCATCAAGTGACATGGATTCTACAGGAAGTCCTCCAGACAGTCATCGCTAGACCCTGTTTATCTTACGATGAGACGCTGCTGCGTCCCTCTCGCTCTTCAGCCTCGCTTCGTTGCCTGCGACTGCCCCCGCTCGCAGCTGACGATTGCGCATCCTCGCACAGCCGTGCGACAAGGCTACTGCCTACCTGTACGCCACCCCGCTAAACGGACAAGGTCCTTCAGCTAGATCTTCGTTCGGCCCCCGGCTTCGACAACCTTTAAGCCTCAGCCGCGCGCGTACCAATCTATCAAACTATCGTGCACCACTTTTGTTTGACGTGGGCGGAGCATGTCTTCGAGCTCAGCATTCACTCCACCTCCGAGCTACTCTCGCGACAAAAGCGACGTGTACAAACAGTCTCTTACCTATAAGGACTACGTTCGGACCCTGTGCGCCAGAAATCCGTCGTTACTGACTTTGCACTCGTTTCTTGCAAATCCGAAAGCTCGAGCTTACGGCTGCCACGTGACGGCATTAGACTTTCATCATGGTACGGCGACTCCTTCCGTGCGACTGATACCAGACATCGACTGCCTGAGCTATGAGTTGGGAGAACCGCCTGGCTCGTTGGCCAAAGAGAAGGGTCGCAACACTAATCAGTCACTTCACGGCCGGGTATTGATAGTAGAGGACCTTACCGTCCAGGTCATTGAGCTTCTAGGTTCCGCATTAGATCTCGACCCGTTGTTTCTTGCAACTCATCTGCATACTGTACATAGAACAGGAATGCGTCACCAAACACCCGACGATGCGACTCTGCCGTCTCGTTTCCACGGCCGTGACTTTGTAAATGTCTCGTACCATCAGCCACTGACATCCAATGTTGCGTATCCCCTCGGAGGGAAGTTTGCTCTAGATGCTGCGATTGATCGTAAGCTCGTATTTCTGCGTGCCACAAGCATTGGGCTTGCTCAGCATCGCGTCTCTGTTATCAAGCTCCGGCGTGATCCTGGTTTCTGGCTCGGTACGTATGCATCACCTCTTTCTACTGCAGAGCTGATATCGTAAGCCTTGATGCTGGTTGACCCACCAATTGGCGATACCTACTATCACTCGGAATACAAAGATGATCCGCAGCACAAAGTCACTCTGGACGTGAATCCTTATTTGGGAACGTACGAGAACTTCATGGATCTACCCAGATTCTCAGAGTCCTGGGATCAGGACCAGACAGGGATCAACTTACGACAATCTATGGCGAATGACTTGATAGGATACTGGAAAAAAAGCCGTACCGGGCTGTTTCGATCCACTCGATCCTTCGATACAGTCACTTGCGTACTATCCGCTACGGATAGTTGCTGCAGAATGGGTGAAATACATCGCAGTAATGCAGCATTGCATCAAAATGTACGAGTACGAAGGCAGCCAGCTAGATCTCGAGAAATTCAATATGGATCTGCGAGAACTCCAAGGCTGGCGACGGAGGAGCATGATCTCTCAGCAGAAAATCAGAGCAGTCATTCGGCATCTCCGAACACAGCCATCTCTAAACCCAGAGCACGTTTCTTGTATCGATAAGGTCCTCCAGGACTACACAGTGATCGAAAGCGACATCGAAGACGCAGGCCGTAGACTGGAGAACATGCTACCAGTTGTCACATCACTAGTCCAGATTATTGACGCACGACAATCGTTTGCCGAGACCGCGAACATCAGTCGCCTGACAGTACTGGCGCTGATATTTGTTCCGCTGAGTTACATCTCTAGTCTGTTCAGCATGAACAGCGAAAATATGCCCGGCAGCAGCGGGTTCTGGGTGTACTTCGCAGTAGCGATACCGGTGACGGTCATCGTGTTTTTAGTCGCTCGACCGCCGACTGTGCGAGGAGTTCAGCAGATGTTCGCGTGGGTCCGTGGTTGTTTCAAGCGGAAACCACGCCCGACGGCGTTGTCTGTTGATGCTAAATCGGAAATCGACATCAAGAAGGAAGACTGGGTTCGCGTGAGAAGCAAAACAATGCGGATGTGAAAGTTCACGCAGGGATGGAGTTTGGAAGGACTCAGATTGTGCAGGCAGAGTTACAGAGACAACATTTGGAATTGGAGGCGTCTGGGTTACGGGAACAAGACTACTAGCTACTTACGCATTCACTGCACAACTCCACAGGTAGATTTCAGAATACACCATCAAAGACGTTTAAGATTGAAGCACTCCGCGATCCCCTGTAGTCCAAAGAACCTCCGCCTCCCACCTTTTGATCTTCCACAACCCATCCCCCACATCCTTCACAAGACCAAGAGTATACAAGCTCGACGCCGTGTAGGAGGTATCCTCCTTTATGAACGCATCCTCCGGCCGCACATGATACGACATAGCGTGAGCAGTCAAGACTGCCTCGCTCGCGCCGTCTTCCACTTCCACTCGAATACCGCTGATGGTGTGCGTGGTGACCAGAACGAAAAGCCTGTCGAATAGCGCTTTAATTGCCGTCCAGCCCTGGATGTTGAAGCCGTTGCCGGTCCAGGTCATTTCCTCGGTTTTCAAGCAGGCAGACTCAAAAAGAGGTTGGTTATTGCTGTCGATGCCGAGAATGCAGCGGTGGAGTGCGTCGGCGATGGCTTCTCGGGGAGGGAGGCTGGTGAAAAGCACTGGGTTGGCCATTTTGGCGAGGGGGGGAGTCGTCGAGACTTTTGTTATCGAGTTATGAGTATTGCTGTATAACCATTTCCTGTATTGCTGGGGCTTGACCCTTGGTTTATGTGTTTCTATGCTCCGGGTTTGGTGTCGAGTCGAGTCCCGAATCCCGCCCCTAGCCCCATAAGAGGGCAATACACAAAGCTAGCATTTCTGGATGACTCGGAAATAGCACAGTGAGCGTGAACGGATCAGTACTCAGATAGAAAACGCAATTGGAAGCCTGTAGGTTGTGTGTGTTGATGATGCAGTTCAATTTGATCACGTGACTCTTGGACATCCAGATTCCGAAGTAGACTGCACAGTGAAGGCTTTGAATTAACAGCGATTGACCGGTATCGAAGGCCTCCATTTCTCTGCAACCTCTGCCAGCGTGAAGTCCCCACCAACATTGCCAGGAAATACGACATAGGGCAAGCCAGGCCATTTGCTCGTCGGCTCATCGCATCGCCAGAGAGGAACTCCTGGAGCTGCTTGTCCAACAATCGTAGCCTTTTTCATCTTCAGTCCCTTCGTCGCCATATCACTGCTTGTAATGCCACCCTTTGCGATCAAGTATCTCGGCTTGACTTCCAGTCGCTCCAAAAAGGTGACAAGTGCAGCTGCAACAACAGAGCCGATGTCCAATGAAGATCGCTCATCTGCGCCGGTGATCAGATCTCTAGACGTCATGATTAAGACGTCCTTTGGCTCCTGTAGTGCGCGTGTAGCAACCTCAAGAGCATTGCTGAGCTCTTTGGCGCGCGAATCATCGCTTTCGAGAAGCTTGTTGACGCTCAGCTCCACCGTGATCAGCTTGTCGCCTGCGACCTCAATTAGAGCCTTCAGTTGAGTGGTAGTCTTAGGGACGTATGAGCCAGCGATGATCAGCCCGCCAGTCGCAGTGCTGAGCCGAAGTTGCCGCGAGGTGATAGGTGGAATAGGAGATATTCCAAGGCGGGCAGACACAAAGGCAGCTGCAGATCGGAAGAGAAACTTCTTGCCCAGCGCAGATGCCTTCAGAATCCCAAGAACAACCACATCCATATCTTCCTCTGCAGCTGCGTTGACGATAAACACCGTACCTTTCGAGGCGCTCTGCAAGATCTCATTGACTTTATCAGGTCCACCCTGTCGTATGTCTCCAAGGCTGATACCACGCACTCGATCTCTTGATATTGCCCCCTTGCTTTTTTCAACGACCCAGTCCGCCATTTGGCTGCTCTTGAACCCGAATGTGGCATCCTTCGCAAACGGAGTCTCTGCGGCGGGCACCAACGTGTCGCCTTCAGCAACATAGTGAACATCGTCGATCGTGTATCTTCCACCCTGAAGGAAAAACGGTGCGAGAATCCATGCATCGCTTGCACCAAGAGCTTCCTCCACAGCCTCCGGTTCGACTGGAAAGTGCCCTCTTAGTGTCGAATCACCTCGGAGAACGACTTCGAATTTTTTACCTGCTTGATTTGCAGCTTCCTTTAGGTTTTGACATATCTCAATAGTCAGCTCTCGTGCAGCTGGTGGATGCAGCGCTCGCGAATTGGTAAGAATAAAGAAGCCGCTTCCAGGCGCTGTGCTTTTGAATTCTGCTGCCAGAACTGGAACCGTCCAGGTCGTCAGCACATGAATGTCGTGGCAAGTCTGTGTCCCGGTTGGATCATCGTCGAGTGCCACCAAAATAGGAATATCGGAGCTGGCTTGAATGACATCCCGCGTCTGCGATCGGAGCTCGGTTGAGGTTGAAGACAGAGCTGGAAGTGCGTCCAGCGTCTTTTTGAGTGGCAGAGGAGTTGGTACTACTGACGGGGTAGACATTGTCGATAGCGAGTTCGAAGCAAGATCGGTGTTGTTATAGGATCCGTGTAGTCTGCGGGCAACAGCGGGTAACGTACTTGACGTGGGGTTGCGGGTAAGTGGGGTCGGACTCCTTGCCGATCGTGGCCCCTCCCGAGGTCGCTCTGGGTGTCTTGGAACCGCGCCATCACTCCTGGCACGTGTTTTCTAACATGCTTACATCATTCAGGCTGGCTTATATCTCGTACAGGCTGTTGAACGCAAGTGTTTAGAAGCTGAAGCCAGCGAAGTCAAGATCGATTGTACCTGTGTCAAAATTCAGGAATGACGAGGCCCCTGGATTGTATGCATCGTCGAAGCCGCCGAAGAAATTCTCGCCGTAGGACCCTCCAGTCAACGGGGTATTGAGTTCCGATCCAGTAGGTGCACTAAGTTGACTCGCTTCCTTTGGTAGACTGGGCAGGATTCTTGCCGCTGGACTGCCGCCCTTCTTTGCGATCATCTTTTCGAGTCCCTCTGCCATAAGGTGAACCAAATGCCACTTACCAACAGGGGTTGATCGAAATTGCTGCACGGCTTTCGTCGTCAAGTCAAACACTACAGTATCAGATATATACTGTCCGCTGTATTGTGAAGCGATGTTCAATAAGAAGGCACATGCAAACGCCACCATTGAATGAATGTAGTGTGGAATGCCGACAAGTCCTTCCTGAATGTCGTAGTCAGTAAGGACCATTTCGATCGTATCTGTAGCAGCTGTTACAGCAGCGACCGCACTATCGCGGAAGTGGGCCGGTACGGAGGCACCCTGTAGGCCTCGAAAAACGTGGGAGTGTAGATGAAGCTTTGCGAGGTGATGATGTATAATCACGCCCTTTGTAGGGAAGCCGCCGATGAATTGATGAATTTCTGAATATGTCAGCATTATAATTAAGGGGCCTAGAAGCAAGCAGTATGTCTTACTCAGAAGTTCCGTCGACCAAAAGCCCATCCAGTGATCGATTTGGCGGCTGAAGCTTGCCAGTTGTGGTGCAAAAGCTTTGGGGATTGGTTCGCCAGTGTCAGGTCCAAAAAGCTCTCTTGCATTGCCCATGATGATCAGCAGAGCCATCTGGCTTACAAGTCGTTTATCGGCTTCAGTGAAAGCTGAGGTCCGCATAAGCGCCTCCCACCCAGTAATAGATACTTCGTCTTTGACGATTGACGGTCGACCGTACAGAATCGACAAGTGTCGGTCGCAGATGTACAGAACGTACCACAGTCGTATGCACTCCATGGAATCCTCATCACCACTAGCAAGCACGCGCTGATAGCTGCTGCTTAAATTGATCTCCATGGCTCGTCGGATGGCGTATCCACTAATCGTCCAGGAGAGATCGTGTAGCCAGTATGATGCCACGCAAAGAGCCCGCATACGGTCGCGATCGATCCGTCGGTCAAACATGGATGCTGACATCAAACGGCGGAACTCTCGACTGCACGGTTTGTAAAGATGATTACTTTGGGGATCGTGCAGGGCTGCGACAGTACAGATAGTTACAGTAAGAATGGTGGAGCTACGGCGAACACTGTCCAGATCGCGATAGTGATGACTCCCAATCTTATACATGAAGTGATCAATTCGGTTTAGGAAGAAGCCGAAAAGACGCTCGGCATCTTCAATGCTAACGATGCCGCGAGAAATGAAGTCATTGACAGGGTGATTGGCCGCGAAATCTGGGGTGTGCTTGCGTTCCTCGGTTGGGTCATCTGATCGAAGTGCTCGGAGACGGGTGAGCTGGTACAGAGACTCGATAGGTGCATGTGGCAAAGCATCACCTTTTGGAGACGATCTTGGTGAATTGTCACACGATGGGACGTCCTCGTCTCGATCCGCAGCGTCATACTGTTGGACTGGATCCAGGTCATCCACGGTAGTGGCGTTTAACGATGGCAGTGCAGGTAGTGATAATTTGCTGAGAACTTGTTGAAGAGACGCGTGTATGACACCAAGATCACCAACAACTTCGTGCTTCCATCTGGTCTGGTTAAAAACTGGCCTAATCGATGTCGTGACACTTACTGTGATCGCTCGTCGATCAACGTCTGCAGGCTTTTGTTCAATACGCACGAAAGATTTCGTTCAGCACAACGCTTGCATGGCGGTTCTGCACCATCCATAATGCATTTGATCGGCTCGACATCAGTACCGGGTGACCGCGTAGACATAGATCACTTGCTAACCTTTTGTTTTCGACATGCTGCGCAAGCTTTTACTTTCCGCGAAATTGCCGGTGTTGTCGGCTCAAGCCCAGCCTCCGATAGTCGTGGTCGTGCAGCCGCGGGTGACAACTGAGGGCCATTGTCAATGACCTGTGACCAGGTTCGTTTTGGTGGCATCAGCGGAATCAACGACACCAGCGACGGGTCTGCAGTGCTCTCATCACAACACCAATTTGGCGCGTCGGATGTGGAGATGGGTTGTGCGTCTGGATCGTGGGCGATCGGTGATCGGAGCCCGTAGTCTTTGATTGGCTAGCGCTACCCCGTAATCATCTGGCTCTTACCTTATTCTGCTGAAATTCGCGTTTCGGAGGCTCGATCGCGAGTGAGCAGACTGGAGGCGCACAACATGTTTCATAAGTCCTAGAGGTAGCGACATTTACTGTCACGGCTCGATCAGCTCAGCTGAGGCTGATGGTTATCAATCTGACGCTAAAATCTGGCTGCTCGATTTGACCACCCATCAATACAAAGCGAATCTACAGGCGCTCGTCCATGACCACCAACTCCCGTGGAAAAGATACAAAGCGCAGGTTGCTGTTCAGTAAGCCTCTGACGCAAGCTGACGTTGATGCGATCTGCAAGGCATCCAGCCTCAGACAGGGCCACTCGAGTCGCCATCTTCAATCTCCACCTCCCCACCGCTACGCGTCTTGATCGTACTGTCTTGATGCACAGAACGATTCTCATCGTTGCTCTCTACTCTCACAGGTCTCCCTGAAAGCTTGCTGCAAACATCCTGCACCATTTGGAGTTGATGCGCGCTGCAGGAACCCGTTCGCAAAGCGACGCCGGTCCAGGTTCGTGCCTGACGATCTCGCTTTGACGCACTCCTGCACAACATCAGTAAAGAGAAATCTTTCAGATATCACTTCCGCGTTGTGAGGATGTCGCAACGGCCATGGTCGGGCTGGACAGATCCAGCGTATCATCAACCACCAGCGCAATTGTTAGACAATCGTTCTTCAGCATTCTACCAGAAACCCATTCCGCCCTACGCACAGCCGACGGTGCAGAGTATACACCCTTTTTATGGGACGGCCGAGCCGGCACCCATTATCGCAGAGCTCCCAGCGCCTTTGCCTGCAGTACCGCCAACGACAACATCAGAGAAGCAATTGACAGAGGACGGACAGCTTGCAAGGAAGTTGTCAGCACCAAACCAGCAGGTGACGGAAGATGAAGCGCTTGCAGAACGACTTCATTTACTTGAAGTACAAGAGGCAGGGAAAAAGTACAATAACAGTATCAGCCAACCATTGCGTCCAGCCAGTATGGTGTTGCCAAGCCCTCAGTGGACGCCGTCGCTTGCACAACAGCGGTCTTTGAATTCAATGAGGCCACACTCTCAAAGCATACCCCAGGGTTCTGTGTACAGTCCTGGGTTGGTACATCAGCAATCTACGCGGTCCCTGCGGCCGCATTCGCAGAGCCTCTCTGGGATACCATGGAATCCTGGATCGTTCGGCTCACCACCACAAGCGCCATCAAGATACAGCATGCTACCAGAAGTAGTTCCGGACCAAGCCCCAAAGTTTCCTCCAAGTCATCTGCCACCGGTAGTTGTAAGCGACCTACCCGAAGTGGTGATCAGTAACGCGCCCGACGCGCTGGAGATACCATCAAATCCAGCGTCTTTGGCCAGCCATCTTGAAGAACATCGACATGTCCCCTACCCGCCTCAGTGGAGACTTGGTCCGGTGGTCAAGATGTACCATGCTCAAACGCGCATTACCGCAAAAGCCAATTGGCTTGATGTGCCAATGTCATCCGCCTGGTCGAGTCATCGACGGTCAGAGGATTCCTCGAACTCTTCCCCTCCGACCTATGTATTCTCTTTCAAAAAGTTCGGCGGCAGTTATCGTGATCCAAGGTTTTCATGGGTCATGCTCACTCACGATGCAGATCCCCGTGTCAAGAAGCGACATCCGGTATGGTCCTACGAACTGCGATTGGACCTCAGAAGTGGTGTTCGCAAGAAGGAGGTTTTGAATGCAGGTGGAGGATCTGATATACTCACTACATACGTCCACGCCTCGAACTACGACTCGCTTCGCTTTGTTGGCAACGATGCGAAAACCTACTTATGGGTCAGTCAAATGCCAGTGAGCTCGACTCAAGGCCAGCGCTACGACATCATCCGCCATGCACTTTTTGTTGCACATAACAACTACCAAGACCCACTTTACGGTGATATTGTCGCGGACCACACCTATTGGGACGGATTCGATGGCGATGTGCGAGTTCACGAAGGAACCACTTGTATGGAATGTCAAGTAAAACCAATAGTCGGTCAGAGGTGGAATTGCAAGACCTGTCCAGACCATGACATTTGCGGCCTCTGCCACTCTCGTGGGAACCGCAGTTCCATCAAACTGGGATGTAAGATATCGTTGACCTGTCTTCCCGATGAAACGCTCTACATTCGTTCTCCGTTAGTAGACCACGCCCTTGTCATCGCCTCGCTGCAAGTTCTGAAAGACTGGCAAAAACATGAACTACGGCGGCAGAAGAGCCAAGATCCAAAGGGTTTCATGCAGAGCGAGGAGACGGCGCGAAAATGTGATCTCGGAAAGCTAAGCTATTGGAGAGGAAGCGATTTCACCGCGAAACATGGCAGATCGAAGAGTATCAACGGTAGAATGGAAACTGCAGAAGCTATGCAGAACCCAAATGGGATTGCGGGCGCACTGGGCAATTTAGCGGATGCAGGCTTGGCTATGGCAGCTCAAGGGCAACAGGGTGGGTATGGTGGACATCACGGAGGGCACCATAGTTACGGGGGAGACGGAGGAGGTGGAGGAGGTGACGGCGGCGGCGGCGGCGGTTAAATGTAGCGCCATCTACACTACAATCATATCATCGTGGTATCAAGTCGATCACCTGAAGAATGTAGTATACTTGATTAGAACATTTGAATTGGCGCTCTTGCACGCAGGACGTGGCAAGGCCAAGCGCGTGTTGCGCATGGAGGAGATTGCGCGAGTCAAGGGCAGCAGGAGCTCGGGGCGGCATTGTGTCATCCTAACTTTTGTGCACAGCTGGGAGACACAACGCCACGCTCGCGCCAACAGCCACTATCAACACATTTCACTCGCTGCATATTGTTTTTCAATCTCTGCGCTGTTCAGTGACGGTCAATATCAGCCATGTCAACGCCGTCAGACCCCCCACCGCCCTACGATGCAGCAGCCAAAACACCCCTTCTATCAAACCGCAAGTCGCCAGGCCCATCTGATTCGAAAAGAGGGCCCCAAGGTCCACCGCCTCCTCGCGGACCGCCTCCGCCGCTCAGCATACCCGTGTTAGACGAATTGCGACGAAAGCGCGTCATTCTTGCCTCGGCATCTCCTCGACGAAAGCAGCTCCTTGCCCAGCTCGGACTTCAAAACGTACACATAGTGCCCTCGCAGTTTGGCGAAGACCTCTCACACGACCTCGGCGCGATCAACTACGTCCTTGAAACCGCAACTGCAAAAGTGCAAGACGTATACCGCCGCGAAATCGATAACACAGATCAAGGCGAGCCAGCGCTGTTCATTGGCGCAGATACAATCATCGTTAGTCATGATGGCAGGATACTTGAGAAGCCAAGAGGCGCCGAACACCATATTTCTATGCTGAAGATGCTGAGGGACCAGGGTCAGCACAAAGTCATGACGGCTGTGGCAGTGATGAAGCCATTAGAAAGTGCCATGGACCCAGGGTACAGGCTGGAGACGCACGTTGAGGAGACAACGGTGAAATTTGACCCATTAGGTACGTCGCATAGCAATGCTCTCTCAAGGCAACCACTAACAGCTGGCAGTCACAGACGAACTCATCCTTGCGTATGTGCGGACGCGTGACGGCAATGACAAAGCTGGCGGCTATGGTATTCAAAGCGGAGGTGCTGTTCTTATTGAGCGCATCGAAGGGTCGTATGATAATGTTGTCGGACTACCCATACGCGCAACATTGACCCTGATTGAAAAGATCATGGAGCCCGAAGAGGAGTTGGACGACGAGATGGATGATATGTTCGTCAGGGAAGGCGACTAGGAGAAAGACCACACATCTAGCGACGAGTCGTGGTGTAACATGCATTAATGCAGGCCCCTTTCCTCCAGGGGCATGCAAACATAGCGGCGTGCAGAATTGCACAATAGAATCATATAATTGCACACCCGAATACCGTAGTCTTCGAGAACACTCGTACGAGGGGCCCGAGCGGTCGAATCCGGAGCATTGGCATCTTGACTCGCCGAACAGCACCACAAAAGCTTTCTTGACTCTTATTCATAGTGTCAACTCTATGCCGCCCAGTACTGGCCTCCTGAAATATGTCTCTCCTTGACAGCCAACCCCAAAGCCGTACGCAACGGCCGGTACATCTATACGCCGTGTCGGACAGTTTGTTAATCTGAGCTCGACCCCTCCTTACAAATATTCCCCACTTGCCTCGGCTCTCTTAGACACTGCGGGCGCTTGTCTCAAAGCGGCTCAACTCCGGACCACCTGCACCACCCATCGTCGTCATCCCTACATCGGTTTCTAATCGCACGTAGAAATTTCTGCTTTGAGCCTTGTTCCGCTCATTATAGCCATGCGACGTTGCGACCGAGGCAGTTGAGGCGACGATTTCTAATGCTTTACTGTCTGCGTGGCGCACGAAACACACCGTACCGCAATTCGTTCTCGGGCTGAGAACGGCGAAAAGTGTGGCCCAGACAACTTTACTCTTCTTGTCGTACCTCCGTTAGAACTCGCTGGTAGGCACTGGACCCTTTCACTATGACGCAATACGAATTTGGCTAGTTGAAGCCGTGTTGACATAAAAGTCTGCTGTGGAGGAGCTATATGTAGGTCTCTTGTCCCGCTGCATTTACGACCTGTCATACCATTTACTTCCTTTGTCGAATACTTTATCGAGATACCCCTCCTTCCCACTCTCAGTACCCAAGAGCATATTCGTAAACAGACACAATGGTTCAGAACAAGGGCCTCATTTTCAAGAAGGTGCCCGTAGGCTGGCCTGTCGCTGGCCAGGACCTCACAGTCGAGGCCCGCGAATTCGATCTTGATCAGCAGATTCCCGAGGGCGGTCTTATCGTCAAGAACTTCTACGCATCATTCGATCCCTACCAGCGTGGCCGCATGCGAGATGCCTCGAAGAAGTCGTACTCTCCTCCCTTCGCGCTCGGCCAGCCCATCACCAACAAGTCCATCTTCAAGGTCGTCAAATCGAACAACAAGGACTTCAAGGAGGGCGAGGTTCTGATCACACTTGCTATCACACCCATTGAGGAGTACTCCCTTCTCGACGCACAAACCGTCAAGACCGTTCGCAAGCTCGAGAATCCCTACAACCTTGATACCAAGCTGTTCCTCGGTCCCCTAGGCATGCCCGGCCTGACAGCCTGGTCCTCCTTCTACGAGATCGGCCAGCCCAAGAAGGGCGAGACAATCTTCATTTCTGCCGCGTCAGGTGCTGTCGGTCAGCTTGTCGGCCAGCTGGCCAAGCACGAGGGCCTGAAGGTCATCGGCTCCGTCGGCGACGACAAGAAGCTCGAGTTCATCAAGAACGAGCTCAACTTCGACGACGGCTTCAACTACAAGACCGAGAAGCCCGCGGACGCGCTCGCCCGCCTCGCCCCCAACGGTATCGACATCTACTACGAGAACGTCGGCGGCGAGCAGCTCGAGGCCGCTATCAACGCCATGAACAACTTCGGTCGTATCGTTGCATGCGGTATGATCTCGCAGTACAACCTTAAGCCTGAGGAGAGCTACCCAATCAAGAACCTGATGTCCGTCGTGGCCAAGCGCATCACCATGCGCGGTTTCATCGTCTCCGACGAGAACATGGGTCCCAAGCACGCGAAGGACCACCAGGAGAAGCTGCAGAAGTGGTTGAGCGAGGGCACATTCAAGGCCAAGCTCAGCGTCACTGAGGGTATTGACAACGGTGTTGAGGGTTTCTTGGGTATGCTGAGGGGAGATAACTTCGGCAAGGCAGTGCTGCAGATTGCGGATTTGGAGAAGGAGCAGTAGATTATGATACCACTGATGGCCTTTTGAGCCACGAACGAATTAATTTTGAATATTTATCTTTGATAACTTCTCGTCACGTCATGTCATTCCATTCATCAGCTGTTAGCTAAGACACGTGACTTCAGCTAGGCGCTTTCCAAACTCGAGAGGGTCTCTGTCGAGGAAAGCCACTGTGTGATATCATGGATATGGTGTTCCACCAAGTATCCTTTGAGCACGAGCCATTATGCACGTGACAGTCCGGGCTTTCTCACAGACACACCCCGATCGTTCTCCGCCTACTCATGCAGCAAATCATGCAAGCCTATATTGAATGACGCATATGATCAAAGGTATTCGTCATCTTGGGGTCTCTAATGGGGGCTGACATGCGCCATGAAAAGCCACTATCAGCTAACCAGCAAGGCCGAACAAAGTCTACGGCAGACTGCGAGTTGAGAGAATGCTGGCATCTAATACTCACGACTAGCTTTCCCTTACTTAATTGTCAGTAAAGCAAGGCCAATTACTTTGCTGTCGACTCTTGCTCCTCCAGAACGAGGGTAATGACAATTCGCCTCATGATCACACACGCATGACTGTTACTGCAGCCTGACACAAGCCAGGCAACACCTACATGAGAGGCTGCCATCGAAAGCTGACGATCGCACGAGCCGCCCTTGGCATGACTGATAAACATGAACGAGCGCCAACGACAGGTCGGAACTCGTCAACAGTGTCTACAATTTCTACACGACCCAGTAACGCCTCTTCAATCCGCATGAACGCTCCAATAAAACCTTCCCAGCAACCGGGATCTTCTAGCACCACCAATCTTATGTAGAAACAAGTCGCTGGACATGTATCTGGCGTGACCTAGCCGGAGCAGGGAAATATTCTGTGTCGAGACTCGTTTCGGTATACACAGCGCTCGCATGTGTCAAGAATCATGAGTATTTGTCTCTCGAGCTTGTTTCAGAAGCTTTGTCTACTTTCCTTGAATGGTTGTCTATACCCATGTGCTCCCCTGCAGTATTAATGGTTTCATTCAGGGGAGTTTGATCTATCAAAGTTGAACTTACGCAGGTTGAAGGCAACGTAGCTATTTGTCGAAACTGGGTGGTCTACCTAATTTTAACGAGTTGGGGTCCAAGATCAAGCTTATGTACATAAGCGCTGTGGCTGGTACTGCAGGGTGGCTGCATTATGCGAAGCGTAACGCTGCTAGGCGGATTGTACTTGCGTATAATAAGACTCGGCCATGCTGAAATCCGATTTCCAAAGTCTCTTCCTTCACCACAGTGATGTCGACTACTAACAAGACAGTTGACTGTTCTATCCACCCCACAGAACTCCGGCCTAATCAAGATATCACAGGAATAGGTGTATGTTCAGGTGCTCAATATCGCGGCAAGGGTCGTCCTAATGCTATGATAGGTCAGCCTTGCCTGGACGATCACAGCTGGGTTGGCTCTTTGCCTGGTCGTAGCCAATTATTTCGTCGCATACCGTCCTGACATCAATCCATTCGGCTCCCATCATCCAAACCCCGGACGTCATGCACAGTTCACTTTCAAATCCAACCCAATCGACGAGCAACTCCTAGGATGGCGACTGAAAAGGTTGCGTCAGGTCGGCCACACGTCTGCAAGTACACAAGACCGAGACGATGCTCAAGCGCGCAGAGATCGCATTCGGGATGCTTTGACACAGGTTTGTAAGATAAGAGGCATTCCAAGGTGCAAGCTGACATACTCAGTGCATGTTAACTATGAGTGATTTCCAGTTGATTACAGGTCTTTCTGTGCTTATCAGCGGGTACTCTCAGCTTCCATCCGGTATATCCGCTATGCACTGGGAAAGAGTTATCGACTTGGCTTGGTTCTCAAGTATCACGCATCTATGCTGTTTAACGTTCTTGCGGGATCACTTCCGACAAAATCGGCGAGCACGAATTTGGAGAATACCTGGAATGGTCATCCTGATTGTTCTATTGAGTGTCGCTCTGATTCCTTCATCAAACTATATTGATTCTAGGATAATACATCCCGGCTATGAATTCGCTTACAATCCTGTATTTGATTACGCCATCTGCTTTTTCAAATATAGCGAAGAAAGATCACGAGGCTATCATTACGGTGATTCCGAGTGGGAGAGACAGGTGGAAATCAAGAAGCAAAACACCATCATCTCGGCTATAATTTTGATTTTTGGGATGGCGAACCGGATCTGGCGTCTGTTCGAAACATCGACGATATTTTATCTTTCTGCAAAACGATGGCTCAGCCAACACGTCAAAAAGATGCTGCGGTCGGTCTTGAAAGAAACAACATCTAGATCAGCAATTCTGATGTGTCTCATTTACCGGCCCCTGCTTGCGAGTTACCTTCTAACCCGCATGCTGTTGGATATCTTACTTTCGAGGGCTTTTGAGGTACGTGTAGTTCTTCAGCGGTAAAGGTACGAGCTAATACAGGAAAGATCTGGTGGCTAGCGGTAGGTCTTGCCTGGGGCTTGACAAACCTACTTCCCATTTCTGAGCCTGACGACCATGAGTGGACTTTCGGGCAGGTTATTGCGTCTTTGATGCTAGTCGCCCCAGTAGTTGCTTTGGTCGAAACCTTAGTCACGAGTAAGTCTATTTTAACGCTACCTAGGTAGTCCCGTAACATGATCGATGATTGTGACTGACCAACGCATAGCCACCTATCAAAGTCAGCCAAATTCAACGATCCCACCACAAGATCACGCACCTGATCAACAATTACTACCAAACCCACCATCAATATCAAGTACGAGGTTGATCAAGGATCAATCAAGCAGAGAAGACCCTGACTTTGACTTCTACAATCTCTCCTTGGCTTTTACCGTCACACCGTATGTTATCTTAGCGTTCATTGCATCTATGAGCGTGATCGTAATCGTTATCAAGGCCGGATGGGATGATTTGAAGCTACTGGAGATGATGTGGACTATGAGCGAGGAGTCTCCTAATATCCTCTTCCTGGCTCATGTCACAATAAGCATTCTATGCTCATTGTCAATAGACCAACATACGCCAGAAACTCGATTTGGTCGAATCACGGTTAGAATATGCAGCTCCATGCTAATCGCTGCTTTAGTTGTAGGCGGTTTTGTGATGGGTGTAGTCGGTCGCTTGTGGGGTTATTGTTTCATCATTATTGAGTTTGGGGTGTACTTGATACTGCTTGTCGTGGAGATGATGCTCAACAGACGGCATTCGTTGAAGTCCGCACCGTTGCCTGCGGCCCACGCAAACGGAAGTGCGTTGTCCTTGGAATCTGTGCCAGCGACATCGACATCGACAGGGGAACCTGCACAAGATCAATCCACAACCGCCCCTGTTGATGGACCATCGATGAATCTTCCATCTATCGATACTAGCTCTGCTTTCGGGCCGCCCAGGAGACAGGATACAGAGGCTGAGATAGGCGTGACATTAACCAGGGCGAACACCACCTGATGTATCAATCAACGATGTGAGACATCGTATACCAATTTTCATATGCTACACTTTCGGGAAAAAATACATCCAGCTTCTATGCATAGTGATTCTTCACCTCCAACCCCTTGTACTGGAAGCTTGTACCCTCGCGCTTATCTAGCACTTTCTTGTGATGCACATCCTTGACCCTCGCCCTCACATACTCTGTTCCTGACGGCACTGGCCTACTCAGATCCTTATCTTCCTCTTTGATAAGTCCCAGTCGATCCAGAAGCGGCGAAGGCACAGTCCGCATCGGCGCGTGGTCTCCTGGTCTACTGAAGTACAAGAGTCCCAGGCGTGGAATGTCGATTTGGTCCTTTGGTGGTGTGACGACGCGATGAATTGTCGATTTGATGAAGCCTGTAGACATATCAGCATTGAAGCCAGTGTCGGTAGAAGGAATCACTGACCATTCGTTAGGAATGTGAGTGTGTCTGCAGCATTACACGTGATGCCACCCGAGACCGGCTTGACGTATTTCCATTCTCCCTCCGGCGTCCTGATCTGCAACCCAGCCACGTGCTGACTGAACAGCAGAGTCAAGCTGCCGAAGTCTGTGTGGCCGCCCTTGGAGTATGCTTGTGCCTTGTCCCACTCCTCTTGGGTGCGGACGTTGTAGATCATATAGCTGCAAACCGTCAATCACTGTTTGCTACGAAAATCTGAACAGCTGCGTACCGCAAGTGGTCGTCCGAGACCTGGTCGTACGCGTGAGCATCTGCCAGGTAATTCTCGGGAAGTTCCAAGATAATGGCGATCAAAACGAAGAGTTTGCGAGCCACTTCCCATACGTCGCGGTGGAAGTCGCGAATCTCATCCCAATTTTCCTCGACAACTTGATGTTTGCCGACATCCTTCCACGCCGGGATATCTTTGTGAATGTTCAACTGTAAGTCATCAGCACAGTGGTCTGGCTTTGAACACGCTATTTATAGCTGCATACCATTTCAATGTTCTCTTTGACTCCAGTATCTCCAATCCATCGCTCGTTCTCTCTGTACCCAAAATACTCGCCTTCTGCAAAGTTGCATGGATACCTCCTCTTTTCCTCCAACGACTCTTTGAAGAAAGTGTTCCCAATGCTGAATTGGCGCAAGACTCGCTCATCGTCGATGCCGGAGCCGGTAACGACCCAAAATCCTACTCTTGTGATAGCATCGTAGAGTTGCTTTGCCAGCTCTTGCTTGCCACCAGGTTCATCAAAGCGTGATAGGTCAATGCTGGTCAATGGTGCCCACTCAAGATCTTCTTTGGTCTCCTGTGGTCTGCTCCATGGCTTGACAAGAAGCTTGTTGGTGGCCTCCAGAGGAGGTGAGACTGCGGACGGGGCCATGGTGTCAACACTTATTCAAATTGTTTGGAATAGTCGACAACACAGACACAAAAGATGAGAAACTACTTGGATCATACCTATGATCGTGTCGCTCAACATACTTATCATTCCCTCACGTTCGCTGATGTTCACGCGGGGTCTATGTTCTGATTGGTCGTTCCCGATCCGAGACGTTGTTCTCCCCTCAATTGCGTGCTTGCCAGCTGCAACAACGTGCTGATCCTTAGTTCATCGGCAATAACATCGTGGTTCATTTTTCACCATTACCGTGTCACCGGAGTGCTTGTCTCCGCATGAGGCGTCCAGCAACGTGCTTGAAGGCCGAAAAGGCGTTCATGGCATTGTGGAGATCAGATAGGCGTTTCTTAGCCGAACCGGAGATATCACAAGCAAACATAGCACTATGCTTGTCAAGGCTTGCTGATGCATATGGTCGCTATCTCTTGGTACAGTATAGCAGGGGTAAGTAATCAATGTAGATCCTTCAATATTCTTCTTCTAGCAGCACCTCTCTGCAAGTAATGGTGAAGCACACTAGACTAAACAATAAAGTGCTAATATTAAAGCTGAAATATTTTGTATACATCTACAGGTCATGTTTTGTTGACAGCTAGCTGCTGCGAAGTCTTGTGACACATTGACTACTTACCCCTGTCATACTGTAGTGGAAAAGGCCACTTATCGTCATTCTAAGTCTCATGTCGTGACGGGTGCAGTTCGGTTACAGGCATGGAAGACACCGGCGTCGATGGTGACGGTGTCTAGTAAACGCCGCTGCACGCGGAGAATAAATACTTTTTGCCATGCTCCTTGATCAACACCCGGAGACAACCTGTCGGCGTTCAGTTCTGCCTTCTGCGGTACCCACTCTTCCCTTCCTGTCGATTCTGTCAGACTCGAACCCAAAGCTACGGCCATGGGTTCCACGAAGGATCCCATCGACAAGCTGAGCTATGTTGCCAACGAAGCGCACTTGGTCTCTCACAAGGGCTCATCGTCAGTATCACGAACAACATCGGATCCGACTGCAGAGTCTCTCAGCGTCAGTCCCGAGTTCGAGAAGAAGCTTATGCGAAAGATCGACTTCTGGCTCGTTGGCTTCTACTCACTCGTCTACATCTTCCGCGTCATCGACAGCGCCAACTACTCCAATGCTGCTATCATCAATCTCGAGGCTGGAACTGGCATCAAGAAACAGCTGGGCTTCACACCCTCGCAGTGGGCGTGGACGTTGTCAATCTTCTCATACAGCTACCTGATCTTCGAACCTACTAACACGATACTGCTCAAGCTCTTCACGCCTTCGAGATGGATGTTCGTCTTGATCATGGCCTGGGGTGTCTCAGCTTGCTGTTCGGCGGCAGCAATGAACTTCTCAGGCATGATGTGCGTGCGCTTTGCGATCGGCGCTGCAGAGGCGGGTTTCTTCCCGAGCGTGCTGTACCATTATGCGTTCTGGTACAAGCCTTCTGAGATGCCACAACGCATTGCATTCTTCTATTCAGTCGGTCAGGTTTCGAGCGCATTGTCTGGTCTGTTGGCGTACGCGATCTCGCACATGGACCAGCTTGGAGGCCTATCGGGCTGGAGATGGCTCTTTCTCTTGGAAGGGCTGCCAGCCATCATCCTTGCGTTCGTCGCCCTTTGGGTGCCAAACTACCCGGAGACAGCCAAGTTTTTGACCGAAGAAGAGCGGTCATACCTAAAGAACAGGCTATCCAGCAGTGCACCGAAAGACGAGAAACACTGGGATTGGGGGTCGCTGAAGGCCATGACAAAAGACCCAACCCTGTACAGCTTCAGCTTGTACTGGATCTGCCACGGTATTGGAGGCTTTGGAGTCGGCTTTGCGTTGCCGACTGTTGTGTACCAGCTTGGATTCACCACAACAGCTTACTCACAGCTTATGAACATAGTAAGTTCGGAGGGATGCGACTGTCCACATAGATACTGACCCTTGTAGCCACCCTATGTCTCAGCATTCTTGTTGCTGAACACCTTGGGCTTCATGCTGCAAAGAAAGTGGATCAGGCCTTGGGTCACCGCCGTTGGAAGTGAGTGGCGTACAGAGCACTCTCAGCGCACAAATATGCTGACAACACCAGTTGAAACAACCATCATAGTGTGCTACATTATCCTTCTGACTGTTGACAACCCAGTGGTACGCTACCTCTGTCTGATCGTCGCCGTCGCCTGCGCTGGGTGTGCGTATCCAGTCATCTGGTCTGAGCGCATCAGGGCTCTGGAGGGTACAGTGGCATCGGGTATCGGCATCGGTCTGACGAATGCCTGCGCCCAGTTCAGGTACGTCCATGCTGTCTACTCGGTGTACGTCTGCTGATATTTTGTGCAGTGGCATCGTAGGACCTCACGTGTTCAGCACAGTCTTCGGCCCAAGATACCGCACGTCATATGGCATCAATCTTTCGGTCCTTGTGGTTGGTATCTGCGCAATCCTAACAAGCTGGTTGCTTGTCGTCAGAAAAGACCGAAGACGGGCGGAGTCAACGAAGGAGGGCTGAGCGATGGACATCGGAGAGCACGGCCAATGTGCGACTATTTTCTTCGCACAAGGCTGCGAGCCCCGCCTCACCTATCGACGTGGCGAATAGCAAGAGCAAGGCTTTGATTTGATCGCCATAGCACTCCCAAACCGTGCGATGAGTGACGTACCGCCTTCTCCCTAGGTACTAGCCTTTGGGTTTTCTAGCAACGACAGTTGACGATTTGGGTGTGAAAGATTGCGATCATCCTGTCTTGTAGCTGCCTGACTTTAGCGGGTGCGCAGACGCCGCAACTCTCCATGTCGGCCATATTTGGCGCTTCTCCTGCACATCCAAGTTGCGTGGCTTTCACAAGTGGCTGTAGTGAAGAAGTCTCCTTTTGGTGCTAAGACATGACGCGTGTTTAGAGTCAGCGTCACAAACGACTACTGGACAGGCGAGATTAGTTGTTTGCGGAACGCATACGATGCATACCATGCGGAGAAAGTGACAGCTGTCTATCGCATGGCTGCCGAGATGTCCGCCAAAGGATTCGAAACTATGTCCAAGTCGAATTCCCTTAGGCTGAGGTCGTTGCCAATGGTCACCGTCGGGGTATACAACGAATGCACGGAGAGCTTGACCGCGCCGCACTTCGGCAAGCGAGCTCGCAATCTACGCAGAGGCGATCTCTCGTACGGTAAAGAGCATCGCCATGCAGGGGACAGGTCATTCGGAATGCGCGTGGTTTTGAGAGAGGATCGTGTCGTGTCTCCACAAGTCGAACTAGCCAAACTAGGAATCTTGAAACACTAGCGTGGTGACATGACGTTGGAACGCCAAGTGCGGAAGGCGTCCCTACTGCACTTACTCCAACACGTTGGCTCGAAATCCTCGGCGCATGAATGCGCCGGTAGGGGCCCAAAACACCAACGGCGGCATCCAAGGTGCTCAGATAGTTCAGCATCTCTAATTCCACTTACTCTGAAACCCATACTCCCTACGCTGATGTGAGGCGTGCCGGTGCGACGATCATCCCATCAGCAATTACTCCGGGTACTTGTGACAGGCCACCGCTCATCCGTGAGGTTGTATTGCGGCATTGATCGCCGCGGTCGCTCTCGGAACCCGTCTGACCTAAAGAATGATGATCACCGGGGGCTTCCTTCCCTTCGCACTGTAAAACCGAGGTCTGCCTCTCCTTTCATTCCTCAATTACTCGTGATATCGTACGAACGCCGGTGGACTACTGCGGCTCATCCCCGCTCTACTGCACGCGAAGCAAACGGCGCCGCCTTCCATGGGCCGCCGCACCTCCCCTCTCTAACATCTCTTGGTCCCCAGGCACACAAGCACACCGTGTCGCCTCGTCACTCCTTGCACAGGTTCTTTCACTTCTTATCGAGCAAGGCCTGGTGCCGTTGAATCGATATCTTTTCGAGCATCATGGCGGGCCGCACCTTCCTTTGTCGGCTAGTCCTCTACACTGTTTTCTCCATCACCGTAATCAGCCTCTTCACCAGATCCGGAGCGCCTTCTTTCTTCTACCGATACTCGAACTCCGCCGCTCTTGAGCGAGAAGAGATTTTTTGTCCACAATCCGAGCTTGCCGACGATGTATTGGTTGTCCTCCGCACAGGCGCCACCGAATCTCGCGAGAAGTTGCCCGTGCACTTTAGGACGACCCTCCGATGTGTGCCCCACTTTGTCATCTTCTCCGACCTGGACGAGACAGTTGAGGGACACGAAGTCCATGATGTTCTAGGGGGTGTCAGCGATCAGACACGCCAAGAGCACGAAGACTTCAAACTGTACCACCAACTGCACAAGCATGGCAAGCGGGGGTTGCAAAACCAGCATGACGTTACCTCACAGTCGGGATCTTACAAGGGCGACTACCTTCAGACAGAAAATGCCGGGTGGAAACTCGACAAGTGGAAGTTCCTTCCCATGATCGAGCAGGCGTATGCGAAGAAGCCAGATGCCAAGTGGTTTGTCTTTATTGAGGCCGACACCTTCCTGGGGTGGAGTAACCTACTGGAGTACCTCAGCGGCTTCGACGACAGCAAGCCCTACTACATCGGGAAGCACCTCTACATCAACAACGTGGAGTTTGGCTATGGTGGCGCAGGCTTCGTCCTCTCTAACCCTGCCATGCAGAAAGTGTCCGAGCAGCGTTCAAACAACCTGTACCACTACGAGGAGTTTACCAAGTCCCACTGGGTCGGTGACTGCGCGCTAGGCAAGGTGCTGGAGGACGTCAAAATCCCATTGCACCGCGCCTTTCCCCACTTCCAGAGCGACTCGCCAGCAACCGTCGACCCAGCCATCATGAAGATTGACCGCGACCTCTGGTGCTACCCCACCATCACCTACCACCACGTCTCGCCGACCGAGATCGACGAGCTCTGGCGCTTCGAACAGGACTGGTACAAGCAGCACGAAATCATGCTGCGCCACCGCGACATCTTCATCTCGCACGTGCGCCCCAAGATCGGCGCCTCCGTCGCGTACTGGGACAACATGTCGGTGGATGCCGAGTACAACGCGCACGACCACGCCTCCTCAACCAATAAAGAAGAGCGCGAGGCGTGGAAGTCGTTTGCGCACTGCCGCGCGCTATGCGAGAGCCAGACCAAGTGCATCCAGTTCTCCTTCGACTCGGGGAGCTGCTCTGTGTCGACCTCGTTCCGTTTAGGGTATGCCAAGCCCAACGAGAAAGTGAAGAGCGGATGGATGACCGACCGGGTGGACGATCTGTTCCGCGCGCTCGACGACCGCTGCGGGATCCGCGATTGGTTCACGCCGGCCAATGAGGGCGTGAATGCGAACGCGAAGGTGATGTCAACGATGCGACACCAGCGGAGATGAGCGCGAGAAACCAAGACTACGGAGATGGATGCGACAGCGCAGACAAAGCTCCAAGACCGAAAGCAAGAAAACCAGGCACGAAAACCAGGCACAAAAACCCAGCGCCCACGACGCGCTGTGGAGACGGGAGGAAAGGACCACGATGATACCCACACTCGCTCGGGCACAGCCCAGCTTTTCTTATGCGTTTACAGATACAACAATAGCAGTAGATGGCACGGCAGCCCGTAGCCTCTTCTTAATCCACCAAAAAAATTGGAAAAACTAGTAACTTCAAGGGATTGATGACGTGACTGGTGACACTCGCACGCATCTCACCGACCTCTATAATTTCATAATTCATAATCTCATAATTCGTCCCGTCTACTCAAAATCCCATAATCCCATAATCCATCCTATCGACACAAAACCCCATAACCCCACAAGCCATCACATCACATTCACCCCTACAGCATCCAAACCCCCGACAACAAAAACCCCGCATAAACCCAGCACCCCAAAACACCAAAACAACCCCTCCAACTCAAGACATGAAGTCAAAATACACTCTCCCACCCCAGCACAAACACCGGCACCCTAGCCCACAACACCGGTACCCTAGTCCCGCGCGCGCACCGGCGCTCCAGATGGCGTTCTAGACCCCCCGCCGCCCCGGCACATACAGTACACACCCTTGTCTTAGCCTTCCCGATGCGGCGGCGTGGGGGCGAGGACGGGATGGGCTGCGGGGTGGATTCTGTGCTCTAGTCATGGGGGAAGTGTTGGGTTTTGTTGTTGCGGTGCTGATCTCGTGTGGGTGTGGGTGTTGGTGCTGGTGGGTGCGCTTCACCATCCCCACCCGCTGTGCTGCGCTGAGGCAGAGTCAGAGTTGGTATCGGGAGGAGGGGCTTGCTGCGCTTGGTCTGCAGCGACTTCGTCGGCGGGTGCCTCGTAGGGCACGTAAGGCTCGTTGGACTCGTCGGGGCTGGCGACGGTGGGTGTGTCTGCTTCTGCGGCTGGGTCTGCGTGTGCGAGTGCTTCTGCGTTTTCTGCGGTGCCTGCTTCGCCTTCTGCGGGTGCATCTGCATCTGCTACTGCTTGTGTGGGTGCGTCTGCGTCCACGCCCACTGCTGCGTCCGCGTCCGCGGCCTCAAGCAACTCCCCAGGCCGATACAACTCCTGCACAATCTCCACCGGCTCGCCCACCGCCTGCACAGCAGCACTCGGCACGACTTCCACCACGGCAGCACCCGCGTCCCACTCGCCCCCGCCAAAGTCTCCAGCCTCGTCGTCCCACTCCACTGCCTGTGTCTCTGCATCCGGCCCATCAATCCCCACCAACTCGCCCTCCTCATCTCTCAGCCCGCCGGCCTCCGCCTCACCCTCCTCATCTGAATCCTCCAGACCCACCTCCAGCCCCTTAAAAGCCCCAACCGTACTCCCACTCCCACTCCCCTCCTCGCCCTCCACGCCCACGCCCACGCCCCCAACCCGTTCCCCGCCCCAACTCGGCCGCTCCCAAATCCCCTTCAAATCAACCCCGGACACCATGCCATCGCCGAGCACGCTTCCACCACCCACATACGGCGCCCCAACGAGCCCCCCGCCGCCCCGGCCGGCGCAGCCGACGGCCTCGCAGCGCCAGCCCAGCCCTGCGAGGCCGAGCAGCGTGAGCAGGATGAGGAGGCGTAGGAGGGAGCCGCGCAGGGGGGGGCGGGGTCTGGGGTGTTCGTGTGCGCTGTTCGCGTCCGTATGCGTCTCCAGCCCGTCTTTCTCGGACAGCGACCCCCGCCGTCCGTACTTCATGCTCGCGTGCCTGCCGGGCTGGTGCCAGGCGGTGACGCGGTGGTTGTGGCGCGCGGGGCGGCCACCCGGGACGAAGGAGCGCGGCTTGTGCGAGAAATAGTCGCGGGCGAGCTGGGATGTGTGGGTCATGGTGTGTATCTGGTTCTCGGTCTGCGAACTACTCTGAGATCTACTCTGAGATCTATTCTGCGATCGACTCTGCGATCTACTCTGCGATCTACTCTGCGATCTCTTCTGTGATTTGATCTGAGCGCGCAGCGACTGCCTGAAGAGCGGGGACGTGGGGTCGAGATAGGGTGTGTGCAGCTGCGACATGGGGGAGGAGCGTGAGAGCGTGGAAACGGGGAGATGAAGGGGCGTGGAGGGGCAGGGGTGGTGGGTGGTGCCATTGCTGGGGGATCGGAGGGGGGATAGGCAAGGGAGAGGGACGCTGGAATGCGACGGAATGTGGATTTCGTACTACTACACTTTCTGCTCATCTCGCTTGCGAGCGAGCCATCATAACTTTAACGTCAACTCGAAGAATAGTCTGGTATGAGATTTTGGACCGGGCGTCCGGTCAAATGCAGCAACTAGATGTAGATAGGTAGGGCAAATGCGGGGTCATCCAGGTCCTTCCAACTGCGGGCCAAGGTATATCCAACTGTGTTCGGTGCGCGCCACCACGTTGTGGTAGACATCTGCTCATAGAATGTATTAAAGGGCGTATAAAAAGCAGCCGAGGCGGGACGGGGTATGTGACGAATAGGGAAGAATGTGGGGCTAGGAAACCAGCGGGGGAGACTTGGTCGGCTCTGCCTCGGAGATATTCACCGACGAGGCGTGGTGCGAGCCTGTCTCGGCGTAGGCGAGCAGGGCTTGGGCGTCGTCGAGGCCAGAGATGGCGAGTCCTTGCTTCTCGTCTTCCTCGTGGATGGTGCTCTCTTGTAGACTCTCTTTGCCAAGGTCGCTCCGCTTGCTGGCGGTCTCAGCATCCTCGTCCATCAGGTTCGGCGGACGCTGGCGCATGGCGCGTGCTTTCTCGAGCGAGATAGTCTTCTGCTGATATGTCGTGGTGAAGGGGAGGCCGTCATCACGGTCGATCGTGGCTTTCATGAGTGCGGCCATCCACAGTCGGCCCACCGCCAGACTGTCCACCGCGAAGTAGTGCACAATCGGCTTCGTGAATTGCACGCCCTTTTGCAGTCCAGCTCGTGGTGGGACCAGCTTGAATATGAACATGCCGTCCAGGTTCTCTTCCACACTGTTTGCAGCATTGGCGCTGTCTACAGACGCCGCAGTCTGGAGGGACGCGTTGTGAGGTGACGACGGGGACGAGGCGGCGCGAGTGATGGATGCGTGCAGACCGGTCATCCTCTCGTTGTTTGCAGGCAAGACGCGGTGCGACGAGATGTCGATGAGTCCCTTTTCTTCCGTGTCGTTCTCGCTGTAGTAGTACGCCAGTCGTCGGCCTCGTAGCACGAAGAGACGAGTCTTCCACGTGGTCATCAGACTCGACGACTTCTTCTTCATCCAGCCGCTGTAGTCGCAATCCTTCATAGCTTCCTGTGGTGTGATTTGGTGGCGACCCTTCAGATAAGCACTCGTGCCGTGCTTGCTGGCCTTCTTCTTGACTTCCTTGGTGGCCGCGGAACCGCTGGTGAGCCGCCTATCGCCCTTGTCAAGCTCGAAGCTCTTCGACACGGACGTACCCGACGGAGTGCTGGATCCAGTCCGTGTGGGTGACTGCATGGGCGAATCTTTATTTGTCGAGTGGGCAACATCGACTGAGCTGGCGTTGGCTCTTTCCCCACCAGTAATAGCGTCGGAGATGGCCCTCAGGCCTGCAGCACGCTTGCTGAAGAACGAGTTCCCCGACGGCGTTGTTGCTGTTGGTGCCGGTGATGTGCGGCCAGTCGACGATGTCTCGCTTCCTGGAAGGGCTGGCGAGTTCGCGACGGCATCAATGCTGGGCGTATCGTAGCTGAGCTTGGTGACGGTTGGAGGCGATTCATTTGTGGGTTTCAACGGCCGTACAAAGTCGAAAGCGCTCGAGCGATCGCTCTTGGAGGTGCTTCCAAAGAACTGTCTGGTCGTAGAAGAAGCAGTGCCCGATTTCGCAGCAGTATCAGCGCTGCCGATTCTGCTGTGCCGTCGGCTGAAAGAGGTGCTCATGCTGGGATTGCGAATAGGAGTGTCACTATCTCGTTTTCGAAGCAAATTTCGGCTTTTACGATTGTCGACCTCCCCACCGGAGAAGTAGCCCTTGTCCACTTCGTTTGTTACGTTCAGACCGGGCTCTTTCGTGTCGAAAGCTGTCCCACTGGAGCTCAGGGCGTGCATGTGGTTTGAAGAAGCAGGACGGTGCAGATCGTGTGGCTGTTTCTGTGGTGAGCCCATGGTCCAGTTGCGGTCGAACGACGGCGCCTTTCTGTGTGCTTGTGCAACAGGCGCGGTTGAAGCAGGCTTGACATAGCCAGGTGTGGGGGGGTTAACGTTGTAGTCGATGGAAGAATGACGTCTGTTGTGGTTGAGGCTGCGTACAGAGGCAGCCGAGGGTCGACTGGCGAGGGGCGGGGAAGCTGGGATGGTCTGAATGAGTGGTGATGTCGGCTCGATTGTCGAGCTTGTGGAGCGTCCTGCAGAAGACATGGCGCGGGGGATGTTCTGGCGGCCGGGGCTGCCCCGTGATCCCATGCTCTCCCTCAGCGTGGGGATGCGCGGCAGCATGCCGGCGCCCAGCGACGAAGCGCGGTTTCTTGTGATGGTCTCCTCTACCGGCGCAAAGTCTTCCAGGCTGTCGTGGGGCGTCAGGGCTTTGGCGGCCTCTTTTGCATTCCTGACCTCCTGCTGCAGCGCGTTGATCTTCATCCACGTGCGCAGACGAGGCCCCATGGGCCCCAGGTCGAACTCTTTCATGAAGATGAAGTTGCGGTCCACGCCGAGCAGAGCCTCGCCGTCGACGTCCTGGTCTCTGAACACGTCGCAGTGCTTCTTCTCGACGCCCACGTCCTCGAGATATTCGGCGACGCGCGCGGGCGACCACGTCTTGACCTCCTCCTCGGTGTGGTAGTTCTCCTCCTCGTCCTCGGTCTCTTGGCCGTTGACGTACGACAGTCGGTGGTGGCTACTATACTCGCTACCGGAGTCGTTATTCATACTGGCCTTGAGGTCGCGCTGGACGGCGGCGGCGCTGTGGCGGGGCGTGCTCATGTCGGTGATGTGCTCGTCGATGACGCTTAGTGTCTCGTGCATGACAGGGCTCCCAATGGCGGGCTCCTCCTGCGGGTCGTCGCCGTTCAGCGTCATGCTGATGCTCCGCGGGCCCGTGTTCAGCGAGGTGCGGCGGGCAATCTCGGCGCTGGTGGTCGAGTTGGCGACGTTCAGGGGCTCTGTCAGGCCTTGGACCAGGGCGGGCGACTTGGGGGCAGCCGCAGACTGGGTGGGCGGCTGCGACACGGCGGTGCCGGGGGCGACGGGCAGCTGGGTGGGCGTCTGCTGCGACACGGCCGAGGGCGTGCGGGCGTGGGCGGCGACGTTCGTCGTGGTTATGGCGGGCGCTGGCACGGGGCGGGTGTAGACTGGGATGGGTCAGACAAGCTTCCAGCAGCGGCGACAACAAACCTTCAGGGAACAGCCCGTTCTCGCCGTTGTCCGTGTTCCTCCCCAGGAACCAGCCGTCGCCAAAGTCATCGTCGCGCTCAATCAGCTCGACGCGGTCGCCGCGCTTCAGGCTGAGCTCGTCGGGGCTGCGGGCGGTAAACTCGTCTGCGGGCGTCAGTGTTGTTGCGCGGCTGGGCAGCACGGGCGCCGAGGGCGAGGGAGGGGAACTCACGCACGACCACCAGCAGGTCGCCGGGGCGGCAGTGCTCCGTGTGCGAGCGCAGGCCGGCCATGGACATGGCCATGGTGAAGGAGCGGCGGGAGGGCCGGCGGCGGACAGCGGGAGGGCGGGCAGCGTGGAGGAGGGCGTCAGACACCAGCCAGCCTCAGCGGCTGTGCATCATGGACTATGTAGTGTATAGTGCGGGCGGTTCGCGCTATCGCCGTCGCCAAAAGGGTCGAGGGCCTGACTCGGATGCGCCGCTTTGAGGATGCTCCCGACGCGCCGTTGTTCGAGGCGAGCGGAGGGCAGCCTGGCCAGAGTGTTCAAAGTGTATGGAGGTGGTGCGGCAAGCGTCAGCTATTCTGGGCGAGGGCGAGGCGGGCAGCCACTCAGGCCTCACCACTGTGTGGCACGTCGGACGGTCGCGGCCAGCACAGCAGCACGGCAGCGCAGCAGCACGGGACGCTGGACGCTGGCACGAGACGGCGCGCTGAAGCCCGCCGTGCCCGCCTCGCAGCGCTGCAGCCGGCGTTGCTCTCGTCGCGCCCTGCAGCAGCGCTCCAGTCGCCGCCCAGCGTGTCTGCTGTCCCACCGCGGCGGTTGCTTCGCTAGCGCTGTCGCCGCGAGTCGTCGCGAATCGCCATGTCGTCGCGAACGCCTGCAGCTCAGCTCAGGACGACCCACCCGTGCCTGCCCCAACAACCCACGGCGCCTCTGCACCTTCCGCCGCCACGGCCAGCGTTTGCACCGCAGCGCAGAGCAGGCACGCCGCACGCAGCACACAGCACGCAGAGAGCAGGCACGCTCCGCCTCCCACAGCAGGCACGCCGTCGTGCCGTGAGCGCCGCCGGGGCTGATATGCTCTCCCCGCATTTGTCGCGATCCGGGACCGGCGTGTCGCTTGCCTGCCCACGCCGCAACAAACACAACTCCACCACGGCGCTTCTCGTCTGAACACCCCCGCTGCCAGATATGGTCGCCGGTGCACGCGCCGGCGCAGCGGCCAACGCCCACCTGGCCGACGCGACCGCCACCGCGAGCACCCTCAACTACGCCCTGGGCACGCGCCACATGAAGTCGTGGATGCACGGCGCCGCCCATGGTGCTCCTGCTGCCTCCCCGCCCGTCGCATCAAACCCTACGCCCGCCGCGTCAAACCCTGCGCCCGCCTATGCCCCGAATCCTCACAGGAAAAGAGGACGGCCGAGGAAGTACCCGCTGCCAGACGCCCATCACCACCAGCACGCGACAGACGCCCGCCCTCCGAGTGCGCTTTCGCACGAGAGACTGCCTGCCTCGAACTCGACCTCCCCCCAGCTGCCCAACGTCGTCACAAACCGTGCGCGCCCTGCCAGTCCTAGCCACGCCCACATCGTCGAGTTTCCCTCGCCTACACCAAGCGCGGACGATGTGTACAGCGCAGACGCACACGAGCCCGAGACCAGCCATACAGCCACCTTCCGTAGATCGAGCTTCGCCCCGCTGCAGTCCCCAAGCGCCTTCGGCCAGCCAGCCTCGCTTGGACAACACGCGTCTGTGTGGAAGCGACCGGCCGGAGACGACCCTGCGGCTGGGGAAAAACGAGCTCGCATAGATACTGCACCTCGGAGACAACCAAGTGTCGCAACGCGTACACCTAGTACCGCTTCAAGCTCTGATCCAACCCCGCAATGGATCCGGGACACAACAGCGGTTTTACAGGGCCAAGACTTTAGTCACAACCCGTCACGTGACCAAACCTCGAGCGCGCAGACAGCCTCCCCACAGCTCGTGCAGATGACCCAGAATCCCCTTCACCCACCTAACATGCGGAGGCAGAGCCAATCATGGCATAATCGACCTGACCAAGCTTACCCAGCTCAAGGCCCGCCTCCAGGTCAGACGCACGCGAGTCCACTGGTCCCGACGCAACCGTTCGGGGTGTTGCCGAATGCGCAACAGCTTGCGCACCAGCCTGCGCACCCTCACCGTGCTGTCGTCTCTCCACGCCAGGCTCCAGAAGACGTGACATGTTACTCTGTCGAGCTCTGTAATCGGATGATCGAGGTGTTCAAGATTGGCATCTCAGCTCACTCCGATGGGGACCAACTACGCTTACATACTATAGAGGATGCAGTGAAGATGCAGGATTGGGCTTATTTGACTCTACATCAGTACTACTGTTTAATGACCTGTTCGGTGCCATCTTTGCCTGTAGATCTGCAGCGCCACCCAAATTTCAACGCAACATACTCGCTGATGCATAATTTACTCCAAGACACCTGGCCGCTGACAAAGCCCTTCCTGCGCTTCTTCTGCACCTTCCCCTTCTCCTTGGACTCGCTTGCGTCGACATGGCCTGCGACGTATCAGCAATCCGTGCGCATTATGGCGACGTTCCTGGACCACTCACCAAGGATTCTGCAGTTGAAGGATGCAAGCGAACGACGACGAGTTCCGCCTATGCCACGGGAGATTGCCGATTGTTCAGTCACATCGCCAATGATTGAACGGCTCCTCGTGCAGTCCATCATTCGTGCGCTCGGGACCTTCTACCCGCAGGGTCCTGCACAAATTGTTTTCTTAGAGCAGACTTTGCGAGCCTTCTATCTGGCGCAAACCGACTTCCGGCAGCGAAGGTCTCACGGTCAGCTGGGAGGACGTCAGCAGGCAGACGAAGAATGGCAGGCCTGGGTCTCCAACTTTGCTCAGATTACACGATCCATCGAGCTCTCCATACGGCAAAGCCTCCAGTCAAACAACCCACTATCGCCTGAGATGCACCAACAACCACAACCACAGGCTAACAATCGACCCTCGGAAACGACGGTCCGACATCGCCCACAGCCGCCGCCCCCAGCAACGTATGGTCGAGCGGCATCGCAGGTGCAGCCTTCATCCCGCCGCCAGAGACATACGGCGCTCTTACCACGGCGGGGTGTTCTCTTACAGCAGCAGCGCGTGCCGAATCCGGCCCGTTATGGCCTGCACCAGGCTCATCTGAGAAGTCCAGTCTTGCAGGCTTCGGATCATTCCACTCCTTTGCATTATTTCTGGCAGGGGTTCTTCAAGAAGCCGACGAAAGTAGTGAATGCGAATAATGCTATTGAGACAATATCCTTCACCCTCTCTCAAGAGGATATGCGCTTGATTGCTCCGGTAATACCCGCCGCTCCAGGCGCCCCAGACAGCAGAGCTATTGACGAACACCACAAAACAGCGCGACTGCGCTGCGTCAAATGGCGCTCTGACGAAGAGCCAACGGAAAGCGCCTGGGCCGTGGCTGAGACAAGCTGGATACCCCACGCGTACTTCATCTTCAACGAAACCCCCCTCCAACTCCGTAAGAAAATCCACCACGGCAAAGACTTGCCCGTCGACCTCACAGGCCTCCTCCGCGAAGGCCCCAACACCCTCGAAATATCCGTCATGAGCCCCGCCCACGACAAAGCCCACCACAACTACCTCCTCGCGGTCGAGCTGCTCGGCGCCCGCAGCAGCACCTCGATCAAAGCGGACTGCCTCGCCAACACCATCCCCGCGCCCTCCGTCCTCGCCGCCATCAAACGCAAACTCGCCCCCCGCCCCGCCTCCGACTCCGACGCCGACGACCTCGTCATCGTCGCCACCTCCCTCACCATCGCCCTCCGCGACCCCTTCACCGCCTCCCACATCCCCCTCACCCCCGTCCGCGCCGCCTCCTGCGCCCACAACGAAGCCTTCGACCTCGACACGTTCCTCGCGACGCGCGCCCGCGCCGGCGACGTCTCGCGCGCAGACGCCTGGCGCTGTCCCATCTGCCGCGGCGACGCGCGCCCGTGCGTGCTCGCGGTCGATGGGCTATTGGCGCATGTCAGGGGCGTGCTGGAGAAGAGGGGCGAGTTGGGTGTCAGGGCTATTGAAATCGATGCGAGTGGGGGGTGGCGCGTGAAGAAGGAGGTGCGCGAGGGCGTGCGGGACGAGAGCGAGGACGAGGACGACGGGGTGCAGAGTGTGGCGCGGAGTGCGGCGCGGAGAGCGTCGGCATCGGCGTCGGCGGCGGCGACAGCACCGGCGGTCGAGGTCATCGATCTGGATAGCGATTGAGCGTCTTACCTTTTTTTTTCTGTCCTCTTCTTCCCGCGCCTTGTTTTGTTGCGTGGCGTGTACGGTGGCGGCGGCATCTGCATCCCCTCTCCCATCCCCCGGTCTTATAGTGTTTTCCTTCTTTCCCCCTTTTCTGCCTCTAAATGTCTGGGAAAAACAGGCGTCCGGCGTCTCTGGCGCGGCTCTCTTGTTCGACATTCTGCGTTCGGCGTTCGGCGTTGGGCGTTCACGACCACAGTCGGTTCGCTGCTGGTGCGATATACGATACGATACGATACTCGGTGCGATATACCCTACATATGCATGTCTTACTCCTTCCCCTCCTTTCCTGCTTACTTCTTGCCTGCTTTCCCAGGTGGGCAGTGGGGAAGGGGGGTTTATTATAAAGTTCTTAGTGAGGGGTGCGTGTGCATATCTCTCTCTTGTCTCTTCTCTCTTAGCTCCTCGGTTTCTCTGCACGATTGCTCCTGTGTAGATGTGGATATGCATGTAGATGCGGACACACGAATTGGTTATCCTCAAGTCGCGAAGGATCGGGTTGGGTTGTGTCAGGACGAGTTGGCCGGGATGCACTGGTGGACCGGTGGACAGGCGGCCTGGGTGAATATATCCATGTACAGTACTCTTACCCTATCTAGATAGACCACGAATCACGACGACGACGACGATGAATCACGCCAACGACGATGACGATGAATACGTCCAATCCAACGGCTGTGGCCTGTGTGCTTTGCAGTGCGTTTCAGTGGATTATGGTGCAGTGCTATGTACTCAAAAATAGCGTCCCAGAGCAGACCTGCATCACAATCGTCTGATGAGTATTTGGCGGACGTCGGAGCGCCGAGGACACCTGCTACTGCTTTAGGGGTCACTCGATGCGTGAGCAGGTGAAAAGTGCGGAGTACGCGTTCTTCTGGGGAAGATGGGTCTAGGTTGCGAACGGCGTCCTTGGAGGCGCGGCTGAGGCCGAGGAATAAATGGCAGATAGCTGTTCGGGGTCCCATCTTGTGGCTATTAGATTGTAGTGGCGGGTCTTCTTCGTTAAAACGAACGGGAATGGGTGTGATGAATTATGCGAGCGTCTAGAAGTCTATGAGATGACAGTGTACTGCCTAGGTTCTGTTGATTATACTAGAAAAGTTTTGCTTGAGGTTTGTTAACTCTCGAGTAGTCGGTAGGCGCCTAGAGCAAGCGCTGTCTACTATCAGCCCTTTTCCCGGCCTTTCTCCATAGGGCAGCCAACCCCCTGACTCTAACAAGTACCCTGAGATCGGATCACGGCGTTGCGTGATCCTGTACTTCATCTCACATGGCGGGTTTTCTTGTTATTCCTTGTAGAAGCAGTATCCAGTATTCGATGGTCCACCTGTATTGATAGACTTCTTGGCAGTAGAGTCTCTCAGTACTGATCAAACTTTGTTCGAGGAACGACAAGTCCGTCACTATATAGAAAGACTAATGTGCGAGCCTCTTCACGGCCGAGAGATATCCCAGAGCATCAAACCCGTGTGGTACAGCTCTTGCTATACACAGCCTGCCCCAACAAGTAGACTTAAATACTGCTGGAACAATGTTATATTTGAGGCACAGTCCAGCCGGCTCCGCCACACAGCGATATGTTGCCGCCTACCGCATCCAATCGATAAGCATGTTGGGCGCCTAAACCAGCCCCATGTACTTCAAGTAAAGTCCTCGCCCACCCCACTGCGACGAACACCACTGGCCTTATCTATTTGGTATTATAACTCATATCTCTCCAGACCCGCCAAGTCAAGAAGTCTTGCAACTTTTGAATGCAATAGCTAAGCCATTAGCTTCAAAAGATCGCACAGATACAGGTCATCCTAAATCAACTGATCGGACGCTTAGTCAATCAGTAGCCCTCACTCGTTCGGCTTCAGCCTGACTATGCGAACGGTTTTTGAGCCTTACTGCGTCTAAGAGCGGACATAGACACGGACCGGCAAAATTATGTCGCACACGACGAGATCAGCCCAGTCGCAACATTCAGAGAGCACAGGCTATTCTGTACTTTCTGTCGCCAGCGACGCACAGCCCAAGGAACGGCGATCTGCCTCGCCAAATTACAACGCTCTGCGAGGGTGGCCTGAACAACCACAGCAGCCTCCGAAACGTACTTTAGGTATTCTTGGTGAGCTGGCTTTGTTAAGTCTGCCTGTGGCTTTTCTCGGTTGGTCTGATTGTTTCGTGTTGGCCTGACTACAGTGCTAATTCGTCAAAGCCCTAGCAGCGACCGCTTAAAGCTTCAACAAGCAACCTGTCTCCGAGCATGGAGCTACCCTGCAGCGCATCATGCTTCTAGGCCCTACCGTATTCCCACTCGCATTTGCTGCGCTCGGAGGGCGTAGCTTGAAAAATATAGCGCTTTGGAGAGCAGAACGAGGCTCCACGCTGGGAGTGAGTGGAGAATCTGTTTCCGGCAATGTCTGTTTGCTGAACTGTGACAGAATCTTGAGAGCCTTCATGGAAGCCAGAGCGTCGTCAGCGCCATTAGTCTTACCATTTCTCTTCGATCGTTCAGCCTTTTGTCGTTAGCTTTGCTTCTTCTATGGTCACTCTCACCACTTGGCGGCCAGAGCTCATTGCGTCTTCTCTACGAAGCAAATCAAACCATCACAACATCTCAACCAGTGTACTATCCTGATCTCAATGCTGACAGCTCTTTGTTCAAGCTCTGGCAGGAACAATACCTCAATCAAGTAAGCGTCATAATCTCGTCTTCCATATCGACCATGGACACACTTCCAAATAGTCCTGTTGATATCTGGAATCACCCAAAGATTCCTCGACTCCAGGAATTAGAGCGGAAAGTCCCGACCAGTGAGGCAGACGATCTATGGGTTGACGTTCATGATGAAGACCATGCGTACACCTCTTTGACAGGCTTAAGCGTAGTAGGCCTGCAGACAGATACTAGCGCAAACTTCTCCATCCCCTATGAGTACATTCACACGGACTGCAAACCTCACTTGCGTGCTAGTGGAGACAAAGTCAAAGGATATTTCGATAGTGAGTTTTCAGACAACATGCTACCTCCGGGCTGGCCTTTTGAACCCTACAACAGAAGTGAAGTCAACGGACAGGCTTGGTTGACCAATGTGACTTACTCAAGTCCTGGTCGAGGTGTATTTTACGAAAGCAGCTTCTTCCTCGTCAGTCCTATTAATATGAGTTGGGGCCCCGCAACGTATCTGTTCTATGGCACCAAGGATACGAGTATCGACGGAGGGTTATCCCTCTACAATTGTACACTCCAGAACATGGAACTCGAGGCCAATGTTCTGTGCAATTCTGGTTCATGTCAAGCTATGCGATTGCGACGAGCTGTCCATCCGCTCCCAGAGGATGCCACCACTGGAAGTCGTCTCTGGAGCGTCACACAAGATGTGTACAAACTACAGAGTTTTTTGGAGTACCTTCGACTATGGGTGGCATGATCACCGGGTCCTCATCACATCCCATCGACAACTACATTTATGGTAATATGAGCACATCTGGTTACCGCTCTTCCTACTTCACACCAGAAGAATATTTGGAACGCAATTGGACCGCTATACCCGACTCGCAAGTTTCACAACGTCTGACCGAGATCCTGAATACCTACTGGGAAGCAAGTCGCTGGACAGATACAGCAACACGAACAGACCCTTTCGGATTCTTCTCAATCAACCAAACCTCAGGCGAGCCTTTCTCGGCACTCCAATTGAGCCCGACTACGGCAACTGTCACTCGCCAGACACCTATCTATAAAGCAAGCCTGCCTTGGATCTCTATCCTTGTGCTGTGTTCTGGAACGCTCTTCGCCCTGGGCCTATTTAATGTTTTCGTTGTCCTACAAACATCTGTACCCGACATCTTTGGCTTTGTGTCATCTCTTACGAGAGATAATCCGTACGTCGATGTCCCCACAGGCGGTTCAATGCTCTCCGGACCTGATCGTACCCGATTGATCAAAGGACTTGAAGTGAGACTGGGTGACGTGCAGGAGGGGAGAGTGTAGGTCTTATCGCATTGAAAAGTATGGACAAGGAGGCTACGGGCATAACGACTAACTTAGATAGAGGAAGATTGTACCACTGAGCCAATCATGTGGTGATCATGAAGGTTGATACAATCTAGGGAACGTTGGTAACACATATTGACCATATCTTTTATCATGATAGTCTGTATGTATACTTCTCAACAGCCACTGTAGCTATCTCAAGACTATGTACAATACCCTGTAACTGTAAGCGTGAAACGAAGTATAAACATAACAGAACCTCGGACGTGGCTTCCGGGAGCTTAGACGTTACCAATAAATAACAATGCAAATAGATCTACAAATGTATCTTCTGAATTGTCTGGAGCTTGACCATTTTTAGAACTTGGAATCATCTCTGGTCAAAAAGGGTGTCAATGTTAACGCAGAAGCTGAAGGATACGGATGTGTTATCTACGCAGCCTCGATTGAGGGCCATGACGAGATCGTCAAATTAGTTCTAGACCACGGCGCTGATGTCAACGCAAATTGCGATGGATCTTACGGCACTGCTATCCTGGTGGCTTCGTCTCGTGACCACAAAAACGTGGTCAAGACCCTCGTGGATCATGGTGCTGATCTCAGCACCGAATTTGGAGGAATCGGTAACGCGCTTCAGGCAGCATCGTTTGAGGGCTATGAAGAGATCGTCGGATTACTTCTTGATAACGGCGCAGACATCAACGCAAAGACTGAAGAGTTCTGCAGTGCTCTTGTTGCTGCCGTAACTGGCGGCAATAGAGAAATCATCACTACATTGCTGAAACGTGGAGCAGACGTCAATATACGCGGCGGAGACCCTCACACTGCACTTATTGCAGCTGCGTGCGAAGGTGATACAGAAATCACTGAGCAGCTTCTTACCCACGGTGCAGAGATTGACGATCAGGACAGTCACTACCTTGGAACTGCGCTCTGTGCCGCATTGTATTATGACAAAGAAGATATAGTGGCACTCTTGCTTGCCAAGGGTGCGAACATTCACACAGAAGGTGGAAAGTTCAGCAACGCACTTGGAGTCGCTGCCTACAAGGGTAACCAACCAATGGTTGATCAGCTGTTACGTCTGGATGCAGATATAAATGCACCAGGGAATGTCTTCTCCGGTGCCCTTCAAGCAGCGATCGCTGGAGGTCACAAAGAAATTGTAGACAGGCTCCTTGCGCAAGGTGCAGACATCCATCGACAGGGTGGAGTGTATGGCAGCGTGCTAGGAACTGCGGCAGCTGAGGGGAAACTCTGGGTCATCGAGCTACTAATCGATAAAGGGGCTGATTTGTCTGCGACAAATGACTCTGGAGAAACATTGCTCCACCTGGGATCAGCAAGTGGTCATATTGTAGTGTTGAGACTGCTGATTCAGCACGGTGCACACCTGGACAGTCAAGACTACAACGGCATAACGCCACTGATAGCGGCGCTGAGGAAAAAACATGCTCAAGCAGCTGAATTTCTTCTTGAAAAGGGCGCGAATTTCTCGATGGTTTCCGAAAGTGGCGTCACTGCGCTTACGTTGGCATCAGAGCAAGGAATTGTGGATATAGTCCGACATATTCTCGACAAGATGACAGGATTGGGCACTGTCAACGACTGTGGACTCATCACAGCGGCGTGCAATGGTCATCTTGAGGTGGTGAAACTCCTCCTGGACAATGGTGCAGACCCCGTCATCGCCGGCAACGACGGTTGGTCGGCGACCGCCTTTGCCTCAGATCATGGTCATCTTGAGGTACTTAAGCTATTTCTTGGTAGAGGTGGTGATATGTTCGCCATCAATGGTGGTTGGACTCCTCTGCTTCTCACCGCCAGGTAGGGCCACACTAAGACTGTCAAGCTACTGCTAGACCACGGCGCAGACTTGACCCATAGCACGCTCAAGGGATCTACGCCACTTCAAGTCGCAGCGTTGAACGGCCATTTATCAGTGGTCAAGCTGTTGATAGCAAGAGGGGCAAGTTTGTCCGCAAACCCAAGCAAGATATCACCTCTTTGCGCCGCAACTGTCAATAGTCATGTAGAAGTTGTCAAACTGCTGCTGAAACTAGGCGTAGATCCATCATTTAATGACCATCAGCACGGCACACCGCTTCATTATGCGGTGGCGTCTGGCTATACAAGAATCTCCCACATACTGCTGGCCAACAGCGCCAATATGTCAGCTCTTAACTCTGGAGGATGGACAGCGCTTACTATGGCTTTGAACCACGGTAAAGCAGTGATTGCAAGCTTAAGGCTGTTGCTTCAAAATGGAGCATATGAAGCTGTAAATGGTAAAGATAACAAATACGGTTCTCTTGCAAACCTCTTCGCTTTCAAAGGTCATATAGACCTGCTGAAAGTAGCTATTCAGCGTAACGCTGATGACCTCTCCTTACTAGACTCACACCAAAGATCTCTCATACAGATCGCTGCAAGAGGTGGTCATTTAGACACTTTCCAACACCTTGCGAACTATGGCATGGATTACACTTCGGTAGATGCCAAAGGGGAGAACATCCTTTGTTTTGCAGCGTCTGGAGGATCTCCTGAGATTCTGAACTTCCTGTTGCGACAGTTCCCTAATCTTATTCATGGAGCTAGCAGATGGAGTCTACTGCATTGGGCTTGTAGAGCTGGAAATGTCGAGGCTGTGAACCTACTTGTTGCGAACGGACTCCAGCCTCAATGTGTCTCGATCGCCGATATGAAAGGCGATTGGACACCTCTTGCTGTCGCAATCTTCCACGGGAAAGAATGCATGATCGCACAGTTGACAGAAAACTCTCGAACTGTGTTGATTGCGGGTGGCATTCCATCACTCTCAATTGGCAATCATCATGGTGGTGCTTGGTGCAATGGGTGCTTCCATGTAAGTGCATGAAGTGTATGTCAAGCTGTTGCTAACAAGGTGATCTAGGTAATATACGGCACTCGCTTCCGGTGTCGTACCTGTGTTGATTGGGATTATTGCTTCATGTGTATCTCGCTTCTACGTCATATACACCAAGACCATGACTGGGAAGTGATACAGGCCAACTCAATGATCGAAGGTGAACATGAGTCCTCGGCGGAAACGACGTCTGGACCATAGCATGTTACACATGACAAAGAGCCGTTACTTGTCCTTTCAGATCCAAATTTTAGCTCTTCCAGCCCGCTCAAGATAAAATGAAGATTCGGGACTACCGAATTGGATGAAGTGCAAGTCTCCTTACTCACCATACATCGACTCAAATGCACCATCTTCGCCAACCACTATCTTGAATGCGACCTTTGCATATACTCTCGCAGTCTCTGAGTCACCCCATGACCCGATGGCCATGAAGGCCTCCCTTGCTTGCAGGAATGCTTCAATCAGGTGATCAACAAACAAGCCCCACCTCACAATCCTGAACGGCTCGGGCGTACAATCTGCACCAGCTACAGAGAAACCAAGGAGAGAAAGAGTCTGCTGGAAAGACCCCAACGCTTTTTCTATCTTGCCTTGCACCAGATATATGCGCGTCAACAGTGCTTGCGGATCCCAGACCAGAAGACGGGGCACCTCATCCATGGAACGCTGATAGGTGTCATTTAAAGCTTTGAGAAGACGCTTGGCTTTGCCTAGCTTCAAGTTTTGCTGAGGAGATGGTTGAAATACTTGCTGCAGCTCTTTGAGGAGCTTCTTTCTCTCAGCATGCACGGTAGCTTCCGTTGTTGCGTCATCCTGGCAAATGGCACAGTCACAGACAAACTGCCAATTCTTAAGCTTCTCCTGAGCTTTTAGAGGTTCACCGGAAGGCATGTGGTACCAGAACGTGATCTCCTCCCCAGGCTGAAGATCTCGGGTCGCGCGTACGATCATCATGTCGCCGATGAAGGAGCGACGGGCGTTCTGCATACAGCTGTGGTTGATGTACGAAGCTTGAGTCCAGATTCCGCAGGAGTGGTAAGCGGCCTGGGTTTTGGAGTCGTTGGCAGCGGTGGATTTGTGGGTCTCCAGGCTAGACAGCGGGCAACCGAAGACGTTGAACCCCATGATCTTCTCTACGAGGAAGCTATGCGTGTATGTTCAGTATTTGCATACCAGCACCTGAGATGCATCTTTTGGTCATACTTACGTGTCAACCACAGGCTGTCCATCGACACTGGTCGTGCTTGCCGTTTTATAATCTCCATGATGTAATGCGGTGAAAGTTGCAGCGAGAGATGGGTTACGGTAGATCTTCTGCACGATGATCTTGATGAGATCAGCTTGACCACCCATGAATGAACGGCCTGCCTCAATGTTGACCAGTAGAGTGAGCCTGGAATTGCCAACGCCAGTCTCAGGAACATATGCTTGGGCAAACGCCTTCTCGCATAAAAGCAGCTCACCAGCTTTCACAGGTTTGGTCACGAATATTCCGCGACCTTTTCCCGCTGATTCTTTGATTTCTATAGGTCCCATGTATGTGGCGTGGTCCAACTGTGGAGGCTGCAGCTTCTTTGCCTCCTTCTGGAGGAGTCCGAAATTGTAGTTCCCACTGCTGACTTCCGTGCGGCGGCTTTGAACACGATCAAAGATGGCTTTTGCTTGTTTGTTGTTGGGAAACTCTGTGCAGAGTGTTTTCAATACACGGTTGCATTCATCGAATCGTTGAAGGAAGTAAAGAGCCTCGGCGGCTCGGAACAATGCCTTTTCGGCTGGTGTTGGTCCAAAGTCGGGGAAGCCTGTATCGGAGAGAGCGCTGTCATAGTGGTTCGTCTTGAGGTAAGCAAGTGATCGATTGCGTTTGATGATCTTGATCCTTTCCGATGTCGTTTTTCGACTCATCGCTCTCGAATATCTGTGGCTACGGCTCAGTACATTTGCTTAAACGTACAACAGAAACTTCATACTCCTCGATAGCTTTCCAGTAGTTCCCTGCACCCACAGCAGAGTCGCCCTTGGATTTCGATATTTCAGCTGACTGCTCGGCCTCAGACATGGGTGGATTCCATCTCTTGGGTAGGATGGGATCACCCCTGTCAACGTATACAATGTCAGAGAGGTGATCCACGCGTAGGCCATAGTCGCCCGAAGCCATGATTTTGAAATATGGCTCCTTGACTAGCAGCGTTGTGCCGACGTTGACGACATCAGTGGCTTGGCGGATGTTTTCTTCCTCCTGTTGATACAGCTGCAGCACAACAGCATCCTCGCTTTCATCTTCAGCAAGTACAATGATAGCAGTCATACGATTTGGGGGGGCGATTGCTCGAAGCAAGAGATATTTCCCTCGGTGATGCGTTTCGAGCATAAGCTGCCTAATTGACATAGGCGTAAGCTGTGCGAGAGGTGTGGTGCAAGGGAGATATGCAGGGGGAATGAATGATGAATGGATCAAATTACTTTGGTCTCCCCGATCTGCTGTTGTGGTGTTCCTAAGAACCATCATAAATTCGATGTACATGTGTTCTTTTGGCTTTCGATCGCTGGGACGCTGACCTTGTCTACTTCTGGCTTTTTGGAGTGTCTGCTTCTGGCGTTCGATTATATGAATGAATTCGCTAGAATCCGAGTGGACCTCCATGTTGGCGACGGCGAAAATGAAGACGGTGTTGTTTTTAAAAGATTGTGGGTGTTGACATCCTCGCGGAGGATGGCCGTTCACCTCGCACGCACGCGCCGCAACTTCCCCGCTCGCGATCAGGAGCGCCCTCAACAACCACTTCTTCTCTTCGCGCCCCCACTGCACATCTACAGAAAGAGCCATTTCTCAGCAAGTCCCTCATCTTGCAGTAACATGGTTACGATAACGACTATAGGCTGCTGGCTCTCAAAATGATCCACTGCGCGATTCTGTCCTAGCGGTCAAACAGCGTCACCATCGCCAACCCATGAAACGTGTGGATCTCTTCGCGGTCGATCTACCGCATGTGGGTACCTATCTTGATCGCACATCAATGGCATAACATCGTCTGCTTAACACAGCTGCCAATCAGGCAAATCACATGTGGCATTGGCTGCTACCGCCGACGCGTGAGATACTGCACCCCTGCATGCTTGGCTGAGCTACACTTCATCAATCATCAATCGCACCTTTGATCTGGGTCATTCAAGTGACAACTGGTACGACGTAGACTCCGTGACTTGAGCTCAGCTTTTCTCGGTACAGTTTTCGACATCACGTAGGACGATTCAGTACGACTGGAGGCGGCGGGAAGCCTTGTCATCACATGTTCGACGACTCGACTGCAAAGTCTGTGCATACCTTCAAACGTTTCAACATGAAGGATGCGCATCTGCCTTCTATTTTCGCAGTAAGCAACACTAGGTATGCGCCTCAGGAAGCGCCCTCGAATGGAGAGAGCTCATGCGGCCGAACTCGGTCTTACGTCAAAATGCGGATCGCACCGCGCGGTATCTGCTGTGCTTAGAATGATCCAGGAATCCGACGCTGCTACATAACGTGGTGTATTTTTCTACCTTATCGCACAAGAGGACGCATACAGTTAGTTCCGAGGTCGCTCTATGTCGACATAATGGTGAGCTGAAATGGAACTTTAGCCAGAGGAGAGGTCTGGAAATGATGCCTGGATCTTGGATGCCTGAAGAAGGCCATCAGCCTCGTTGATAGCATCACTCCAGTCAGCCTTGTCAATGCCAGCTGCATCGTCGAACAAGGCTGCCTGATCTTGCGACGCCTATTCCGCACTATGCAGTGAATGGCGTGTTTCTAACAATTTCCGTCGCAAGATTTGGTGGGTGGGCTGTTGTATTGATTGGATTGATAGAGAACTGTGCCGTACACCTGCAGAGTCTCTTACGATGACCGAGACGAGCGCTTAGCCACTCTTCTGAGTTCAAAAGCCGCCACAGACCCAGCGGAACATGTGTACAACGAGCTTAGATTTTTCCTTCCCCACTTAGACGACTACACATCACTTCGCGAAGTAACAATGACAAGGGTACGTGACGCATGCAATGATCCTACTCAATTACTAAGACTGCGCTACCATACAGGGCCGGCCACCAGCCGCACCGATAAGCTCAGCTCCTATGTCTCCTGAATCATCGCTGTCATTACAGAAGTCGTCTCTAGAGGATCGGTACATTTTTGGCGCATCATCTGCCTTCTTTGAAACTCGTGGCGCTTTCACTTTTGACCCAGATACCCCTCTACCGTCTGTGGAGCGAGCCCCTCTCCCTTCGGATAGTCAACAATGCGCGCCGAGCACACCGTCGATTGAAAATTTCACTGAGCAGATATCTGACGGGGCTATTGTTCAGGAGCAAATCGATGCTCTGCATAGTCTGAAATTGACATCGCCGGAAACCTCAGAGCTTTCTCCGGAACGAAAAGCTCCGACACCTTCAATCTGTATATCTCCATCGGCGTCCCCAGTTCATGTGGTTAGAAGCGACAGTCTTGTTGCAGATCTTCGGACTCTACACATAGATTCTCGTGATGGAAACTCCAAGCCACCGTTACGCACACCATCTTCGCCCTCCCCTTCCCGCCGTCGTCGCTCTGGGTCTGGGATTATTCGAGATACTCATCGAATTGAAGATGAACCCCCCCACCCTAGCCCTTTCCACAATCCTGAAGTCCAAAATTCTCTTTCTGACGTCAAACGTTGCGTGTCGAGAATGGTCACTGCCCTGTCTAGCTCGAGTTTACATCTCGAAAGCGGCTCTACTATACAGAGTCTTCACCAACAAGCCCTAGACTTGGTTCACCAACAACTGCCGTCTTCGCGCATTGTTGGACTCATTGGGGATTCAGGGGTTGGTAAAAGTAGTCTCATCAACTCCTTGCTCGACAAGGAGAATTTGGTGAGAGCAGTAAGTTGCTATGACCTTCTCAAAAACAATGAAGCTGACACCAAAGTAACAGAGCGGTAGCGGCACCGCTTGTACATGTGCTGTCACAGAGTACATTTATCATGACAAGGACAACTTCATCATTCATGTGGACTACTTTACGTTAGACGAGTTGAGGAGACAGTTTGAAGAGCTACTAAGAGCATACCGTGATTACGAAGAGCTGCCTGAAACTGCGAAGAGCAAAGGTGGAAACAAGGAAGCACAGAGTGTCAACAAAGTGCTCGAGAAGAAAGCCAATCTCGCCACCCAAACGTTCAGCGCAATCTTCAAGGCCAAGCTCGGAAACGAGCCTACAGTTCTCTCTACCATGGTCTTTGAACGCGCTATAAATCTGATGGTCGGCTGGGCGGAAGATTTACTCCCTCGTACGAATGACCAAGAGTCCTTCAACACGGACGAACAATGCTCTTCTCGGCTCAGGGAATTGACCTCAGAATCAGACGCGCGTGCAACCAATGGTGCAACCCAGAACCAATGGCCGCTAATTCGAAAGTTGCGTGTACATCTGAATGCTTATATCCTAAGTAAAGGACTCATCGTAGCCGATCTTCCCGGCCTTCGCGACCATAACTCTGCTCGCAGGGCAATCACAGAACGATACGTTCGACAGTGCCACCAAATTTTCGCCGTCGCTCGGATTGACCGAGCTGTCACGGATGAAAGTGTCGAAGAAATCTTTGAGCTCGCACGTCATGCAAAGTTATCGAAGATTGATGTGGTGTGCACCAGGTCCGAGGATATTCAGATACGGGAGGCTAAGCACGACTGGATCGCGGAAAGAGCGAGAATTGAGGAGCTTGAGAGCGCAATTGAGGCCGATACGCAAGAGGTGGATTCGCTGAAGGAAGATATCCAAGACTTCGAGCAAGACCTTAAGGATCTGACTCGAGAAGAGCGCCACGAATTCGAACAGCTGCAGCAAGATTGTCGCAAAGCTGAACAGTCCAAACAGAAGCACGAGTTTGAGATGTTGCGCCTCATTGTCACTTTGCGGAACGCAAAAGTGTCCGATGGATTACGGGCATATTATAAGGACCACCCCGTCGCTTCAACACTCAGAATATTCTGCGTCAGCAACAAGATTTACTGGGATCACCGCAGTAAACCCGCACCAAAATCCGCACCTTACCTCAAGATGAGCGGCATCATACAGCTTCGGCAACACTGTATTGGAATCGTCGCGGACAGTCGACTTCGTGCCGCTGTGAGCTTTATCAAGGACCAAGTTCCCGCGTTCCTTGTCTCCGTGGGGCTTTGGGTCGAAGCTGGATCTGGCAACTCGAACGCAGAAAAGAAACAACAGATGTTGGACGCCGTTTCTGCTGTTCAGCAAGCCCTTGATGAGGTATGTAACTTACCTACCGTCTTCGCGTTGCTTGGAACTGAGATGAATCTGAAGTCGTGTTCTGTTGGAGGAACGATCTTCTGAAGAGAGAACCGCGTTGCTAAGGCAGAGCCCCAGTTCAAAGTTACTGGAGCAGAATCACTGATTCCAAATTGTAGATGGCATCCCCGAGGTCTCAAGTCAACCAATTCTCTCGTGATTTGTTGAGAAATTACAAGGAAAATATCGATGGATACATGCGTAAGTGTAGACTCCATTGTACCTTATTTACTGCTAACTTGCCAATAGAGCAGTACACAGGACGATGGACTGCTAGTGCCGAAAGAGCAAGCATGCTCTGGCAAGGAGTAAGCGCCTATTGAAATCGGGCAACATCCGCTGACTGCTTCACAGTGGCATCATTCGTCTTTCAGAGCGTTCTGCTCCAATTATGGAGACCATTGTACACCAACAATAGGTCGGCGTTGCTGGAACAAGGAAGCAATGGCACAAATGAAGAGTGATATGATTGATATCTGGTCCGATTTTGCAGCGGATAACGATGATCACCTTCAGGACTCTCTCGACAAGCTCGGAGAAGATTTTGAGGACGTTGTGAGTGTCGACAGGTCTGAACTTGGGATCAAATCCCGATCAGTCGCACGGGTCCTTCATGGAATATTGGACCATCGCAAGGATCTCGTGCTTTACGGCATCGAGGATGCAATTGAAGAGTATCGTCGTGGGCTTCGGTATCTTGAAACGGATGCTTTGGCCCCTGTCCGGACATCCTTCATGGGCAAACTTATGGAGGACACTTATCACGCAGCGAATATGGAGTACGGTAAGTCGACTTCCTTGTATCCCACTTCTGGATTCACGGCTAATTTTGATTAATTGACAGGCACGGGGAGCGATCAACGCCGCAAAAGACTGATCAAGGGAGGATTCGGAGACAGGGATCTCATGGAAACCTACCGCCGAGCTTGTAAGGCTGGGTTCAAGGCTCTTGCCCGTTCTTTGCAAGAACAGATCAGTGAAGTTGTGGGGCAGCAGATCCAGCTCATAGAGGCAGATTTGCAGATACTCAACAGCGAGAATGTAGTGCTGGAGAGCGAACGAAATCCGCAGTTCAGGAGACGAGTTGGGTCTGAGTTGGATTTTGTAAGGAAAGAGCTAGAAAGAGCTCAGCGGATTGTCACGACTGCGACATAAATTCCTTTAGTCGATCTCCATTTATAATATTTCTAGAGACTTATAAATACCGCAGGATGGCAAAGCCGCTCATTGTGAAGACCAATTATGAAGAGGGTCATTTGTTGGCGATAATTGATCGAGAAGCGTAACGAATGAGGGGAAGATTGGGATGGTGGCCCCACAACTGATCTCACGTTATCCTGTTCACTTGTCGTCACCACCAAGACTACCTCCAGTCTATTCTCCCCACTCGTGGCATGCTCAACGTGTGCGAGGTGATACACTCTAAGTCCGCAGTCCCGCAGGCGAAGTGCGGGGACCCCACATTCGGCACATCATGGAGCCACTGCTCCCCACATCCGGATCCGACCATCCCCCATATACCTATGCATACATCATGTACGGTTTCCTGATTCCGTTGTTTGATCGTTGGAAAATCACAAGCCGAGATTCAACATCATGATATTTGCCAACATGCAAGAAACTATCACACCTGCAGTTCGTACCTCAACTTTACACTCCACTTCGACTCCAAAAACTCACTTCCACATAGCAGCCTAGTCGCGAGACCTCTCCAAATCGCGGCTTCTCAGTCCCTCAATCAGAAGCAACTCCCAAACCCAGCAAACCTTTACGGGAATGGCAAAAGGAGCAAGGCATTGATCGTGATGCGCAGATCAAACTCACAAAGCTCGTGCACATGCGCTACCAGCACCCCGATCTGGACGTCATCACAACCTTCCTCCGGGACTTCGGCATGACTGTCGCCCACAAAACAGACACTGCCCGCTGGTTCAAAGGCTACAGCGACGACCAGTACGTCTACTACGCGCAACAAGGCGAGAAGAAGTTCCTCGGCGGCTGCTTCGAAGTCGAGAGCTACGCCGAGCTCGAAAAAGCCTCGAAACTGCCCACCGCCGGCCCCATCGAAGCCCTCACCTCCGCCCCCGGCGGCGGGCACCTGCTCACACTCTACGACCCCTCCGGCTTCCCACTCTGCCTGCTCCACGGCCAGACCAAGAAGCCCCCCGGCCCCTACCCCGAGATCCTCACCACCAACTACGAGGCCCTCAAACCGCGCGTCGCGCGCTTCCAGCGCTTCACCCCCGGCCCCGCCGCAGTCCATAAACTGGGCCACTACGGCCTGTGCGTCACCGACTACCCGTCCACCCTCGCCTGGTACACGCGCACCTTCAACCTAGCCCCAACCAACATCCTGACCGCGGGCTCCACCGACGTCGCGGCCTTTGCGCACATCGACCGCGGCGCCACGCCCGTAGACCACCACAGCATCTTCTTCAGCACCGCCGCAACCAGCCATGTGCATCATTGCTCCTTCGAGGTCCACGACTTCGACGCCCAGGCGCTGGGCCACGCGTGGCTCGCTAAACGGGGGTATGAGAGCGTGTGGGGCGTCGGCCGGCACGTGCTCGGGTCCCAGATCTTCGATTACTGGTGGGACACCGCGGGGAATATGGTCGAGCACTATGCGGATGGGGATTTGGTGGATGAGGGGACGGAGGTTGGGTGGGGGGAGGCGGGGGATGAGGGATTGGCGGTTTGGGGGCCGGAGGTGCCGGGGTGGTTTTTGGATTGAGGGAGAGGGGGGTGTTGTGGGTGTTGGGGGAACTTTTTTTTTGGGGGGGGGGGGGGGGGGGGGGTCACTATGGACATGGGTACAAGACGACTCAGCAGCGGAGTTGGGAAGCGTTCGTAAGATAATTGACATATCGCTGTACAAAGCGTGGTGCCAGATACAACCCTAAGAGCAGAGGGTGAAGGATAGGGCTAGTAGGTTTGGTGTTCGTCGCCAAGGCGCCAGCCTTCGCTTAAACTCTAGCGCTTCCATACCAGCATTAGAAGTGTGGGCCACGTGGGCGTCCACAGACACGAAGAGTGGACGTCCCCAGCCGCGACGGACATCCACTCCTACAAAAATATTCACCGACATTCGTATCCACGAGCAAAAAAAGAGGTTTCTATCTCCGCTCCCAGAATCGAACTAGGGACCTTTCGATAACAATGTTGCTATTACAGTCGAACGTGATAAACCAACTACACCAAGCGGAGGGGTGCAAGAGAAATCTTGCGCTTGTGATTGATGGTCATGTGACCAATTGTAAAAAATATATTGATGAGTGGAAGGAGAGGGAAAAAAGAAAATGAGGGTGGTGAGGACAGCTGTGGGGCTGACGTGAGATGGGTGGGGCGTGTGGGGCTGAGGGTGATTTGTTGCTACGGGTGTGGAGGAGCATGATGGGAGGGAGGGGTTGGGAGGTTGAGTTTAGGTTGGAATATGTTTTGTGTGTTTTGGTTCGTGTACATACATTGCCCTCTTTTGGGGCGTTGAGGCGCTGGGGCATGCCAGCCAATGAGCCATGCTGTGACCATGCCATGCAAATATCTATCAAGACTTTTTTCGACGTGCTAACCCCGGCGTCGCTTGGTGCCGTTCTGCACTGCAGCGTTGGACCGCCGTTCGTCGCCGCTGGCCGCGACTTCATCGTCGTTCATCCACTCGCGTCCCGCGCCCGGGCTGCGGCGTCGGAACTGCCCGGCGCCGATGGCAACGACCTCGTCCTCGCTGTCGCTGTTCTCGATGTCCAGAATAACCGGCATGAGGAACTCGGCTTGGCCGTTGGCTCCGCTGTCGGCGGCTGACCCCTTGACTTCGAAGGTGAGCACGTCGACCTCCTCGTCTTCCTGGTCGAGGCGGCGCTTGTGCAGCTCCTCGAGGGGCTGGATGTCGAACTCGTCCTCGCGCTCGATGTATTCGACGTTCTCTTCGACTTCGACGAAGTCGGGTGCGAGGGCGGACCAGCGCTGGGGCTGCAGGATGGACCACAGCCAGACGCGGCCGGAGTCGACGCCGACGGCTGCAACGAAGGGTCGTAGAGGGTGCCATTCCACCACAGACAGCTCCTCCTTGGTACCTTCCAGGATCTTGACCAGACTGCCTTGTCCTCGCTCCCAGACGTAGATGTGATGGTTCATCCATGTCGACGCCGTGACGTATTCGCCGCTCGGGCTGAAGGAGACGTGGTTCCATGAGAGTCTCTGCACCAAATCCTGGAATCTGTGCTCCACTTCAAGCTGGAGTGTGTCGAAGTCGAGTTTGGGATCGCTGAAGTCGGGCAGATGCAGCGTGCGTACTATGCGGTCGCTTGCATTGACGACAATGTCGCGTCCGGAGGGAGTCAGACGGATGTACACGATGATGTTGTTGGTGACCCTGTATGAGTATTTGACCTCGTGTGTTTCCGTGTCGATGATGTTCATCCACCCCTTGTTCGTGCCGGCAATGATGTGCTTGCCGGAGGGCGTGAAGAGGGTCATGGTGGTGGTCTGTTTGGCATCCTGCGCCGCCTGCTTCTCTGTGGCGTTGTCGCGCTCGACCTGGGAACGGCGAGGCGCGGAGGGAATCTGCTGCTTGACGGGGATCTGCTCGGTCATGTCCACGATGACGGGCTGGTCTTCGAAGAGGGCGGCGACGAAGAGCATGTGGTTGTTGGGGTGCAGCTCGGCGATGAAGATGGCGGCATCGAAGCGGACGGTGCGCACGCGGGAGCCGTCTTGCAGGTCCCACAGCACGCACTTCCAGTCCTGGCCGGTGCTGAGCAGGTAGCGGTCGTTGGTGGACCAGCTCAGCGACTGCACCTGGCGCGTGTGGCCGCGCAGCTTGCGGGCGACGCCATTGGTCTCGATGTCGAAGATGACGACGATGCCGTCGTGCTGTGCGTGTCAGCGGGGACAGGAAGCGGCGGGGGCTTGCATACGCGGCCCGAGGCAAGCAGGTCGCCGCGGTGGCTGAAGCGGATCGAGGTGGAGTGGCCGCTGCCTGTATGCTGTGAGCTGGGTGCGCCGGCGCAAAGGCAGCACACTCACGAAGGCGGCCGGTGATCACGTCGGGGCAGTCCTGTGCGAGCACAAACGGGTCGACCAGGGACAGATTCATCTTCACGGCGCGGGGTGCAGGGCGGTGCCGGGCTCAGCGGGCATCGTCAGCGCCAGGGCCCTCCATGCGCGCAGGTGCGGACAAAGCGCGTCGCCGCGTCGCATCCATCTGCTTTGTGTTGCGCTGCACGGCAGCGATTCGGCGCTAGGCGCTAGTGGCTTGGCGGGCCGCCGCTTCTGCGCTTCTGCCTTTGAGCAGTGCACGCCCGTCGGCGCGCCCACCCTCTGTCACCGCCATCCCCCATCTCCCCGCGACCGTTCTGCCCGCCCAGAGCGCGTCTTCCACCTCTTCAGCCCGCTCGAGTTCCCCGGCGAGCTCCTCCTGCGCGCGCCCTCCGCCGCACGCGCGATTGCAGCGAGCCCCCGACCGAGCAGCCTCGCCCCCCGGCGCTATTCTTCGACCACATCACTTCCAGCGCGCGCGGCGCATCTCCTCCATCTGCGAGCGCGGCCTCCAGGCGCACCAGCTACTACGGCACATTACTCCCGTCTAATACACGCGCCCAGAGCCAGGCGTGGCCCTGCGCAGACGCCTTCATCGGCCCTCGGTCAATAAAACGATCGCCCGCACACTCGCCCTTCACCAGCCTCTCGCGATACCGCCACTATGCCGCCCGGCGCGCCAGCAGTATCGAAATGTCCGCTCCGGACCATCAAGGAGATCCAGTTCGGGCTGCTCTCCCCCGAGGAGATCAAAGCCATGAGCGTCGTCCATATCATCTACCCCGAGACCATGGACGAGGACAACAAGAAGCCCCGTGAGCAGGGCCTCAACGACCCCAAGCTCGGCACCATCGACCGCATGTACTCGTGTGCGACGTGCAAGGAAGACATCCAGGTCTGCCCTGGGCATTTTGGCCACATCGAGCTGGCCACTCCCGTCTTTCATGTCGGTGAGTGAAATTCGCCGAGAGTGTTTTTTCATCACTGACACACGCAGGTTTTGTGGTCAAGATCAAGAAGATTCTTGAGACGGTGTGCCACAGCTGTGGCTTGATCCTCGCTGACACCGTAAGTCTTCCTCGTGAAGACGAACTTTTCAGGCATTGGAGATTCCTGTACTGACTGCCACTGCCAGAACCACCCAGATTGGGATATGGCTATGAAGACCAAGGATGCGAAGCGGCGATTTGACAAGATCTGGCGCATGTCGCGCACACGGCGAACGTGCGAACAGGACACCACTGACGATGACCCGAAGAAGCCTCGCCGCCCCCATGGCGGCTGTGGCAATCCGCAGCCCGATACTATCCGCAAGGAAGGCCTCAAGCTCACCGGCACATGGAAGGAGAAGAAGAAGGACGAGGAAGAGAGCCAGGGCGACCGCAAGGAGGTCATTACCCCGCAGACGGCCCTCAACATCTTCAAGCTGCTCAACGATGATACGCTGCAAACACTCGGCCTGAACAAGGACTACGCCCGCCCAGAGTGGATGATCCTCACCGTTCTGCCTGTCCCCCCGCCCCCAGTCCGTCCCAGTATCTCAGTCGATGGTACCGGACAGGGCATGCGTGGTGAAGATGATTTGACCTACAAGCTGGGCGATATCATCCGCGCCAACAGTCGTGTCCTGCAATGTATCCAGGACGGTTCACCGCAGCACGTTCTCACCGAGTTCGACACGCTGCTTCAGTACCACTGCGCAACGTACATGGACAACGACGCAAATGGTGTCCCACAGGCTATGCAGAAGTCCGGCCGTCCGCTAAAGACCATTCGTGGTCGCCTAAAGGGCAAGGAGGGTCGTCTTCGAGGTAACTTGATGGGCAAGCGTGTTGACTTCTCTGCTCGTACTGTCATCACAGGTGACCCCAACTTGTCGCTGGATCAGGTCGGTGTGCCGCGCTCGATTGCTCGCACACTCACCTACCCCGAGGTCGTTACCAAGTTCAACATCAGCAAGCTGACTGCACTCGTCCGAAACGGTCCCAATCAGCATCCTGGTGCCAACTATGTCATCAAGGCAGACGGTGTACGTCTCGATCTCAAGCACAACAAGAACCTCGACGATCTGCGACTGCAGTATGGATGGAAGGTCGAGCGCCACATCAACGACGATGATGTTATTATCTTCAACCGTCAGCCCTCCCTTCACAAGGAATCTATGATGGGTCATCGCGTCAAGGTCATGCCTTACTCGACCTTCCGCCTCAACTTGTCGGTCACATCTCCATACAACGCCGATTTCGACGGTGACGAGATGAACCTCCACGTCCCACAGAGTGATGAGACCCGAGCTGAGGTCCAGAACCTGTGTATGGTGCCTAAACAGATTGTCTCGCCCCAAAAGAACTCGCCGTTGATGGGTATTGTGCAGGATACTCTGTTGGGTGCCTATAAGATGACCCGTAAAGACTCTTTCTTGCCCATCGAACAGGTCATGAACATCATGATGTGGGTGCCTGACTGGGATGGCGTTGTCCCCGAGCCTGCAATCTTGAAGCCCCTCCCGCTGTGGACCGGAAAGCAGATCATGAGCATGGCCATTGCAAAGGAGGTCAACATTGTCAGACTTGACGATAAGTCCAAGCCTGGGCCGTGGAACGACATCGAAGACAAGAGCTTGATCATTATAGGTGGACAGCTTCTCTTCGGTCAGATCACGAAGAAGATTGTCGGTGCGACAGCTGGCGGTGTCATTCACATCATCTTCAACGAGCTTGGGCCCATGGACGCTGTGGCCTTTTTCAACGCTTGTCAGCGCATTGTGTGCTACTGGCTGTTGCACCACGGCTTCAGCATGGGTGTTGGTGACGCCATTCCTGATCCCGCGACATCCAAGAAGATTGCCGATTGCATTGCCAAGTCCAAGCAGGATGTTGAAGATATCATTCTTGAGGCCACTCAGGACAAGCTTGAACCGCTGCCAGGTATGACCGTTCGTGGCACCTTCGAGTCGAAGGTTCAGAAATTCCTGAACGAAGGTCGTGAGGGTGGTGGTACTGCTGCTCAAAACAGTCTGAAGCATTTTAACAACGTCGTCAACACGGTCATTTCTGGTTCCAAGGGTTCCACTGTCAACATCTCGCAGATGGTGTCTCTTGTCGGTCAACAGGCCGTCGAAGGCCAACGTATTCCCTTCGGATTTAAGTACCGAACCTTGCCTCATTTCACAAAGGACGACTATTCGCCAGAGTCTCGAGGTTTCGTCGAGAACTCTTACCTTCGCGGTCTTACTCCTTCGGAGTTCTTTTTCCACGCCATGGCTGGTCGTGAAGGTCTGATCGATACCGCTGTCAAGACTGCCGAGACAGGTTACATCCAGCGTCGTCTCGTCAAAGCGCTCGAAGACGTTATGGTCAAGTATGACGGTACTGTGCGTAACTCGATGGGCGATATTGTGGAGTTTGTGTACGGTGAGGATGGTCTTGATGGTGCACACATCGAGAACCAGAAGCTCGACATCATCACTTCATCCGAAGCGAAGTTTGAGAAGCAGTTCAAGCTTGACGTCGTTGCCACAGGAAAGCCTCCTATTCCGACCAGTCAACTCGAAGTTGCGGTTGAGATCCAGGGTGATGTTGAGGTTCAACGGTACCTGGACGAAGAGTTCGAGCAGATTAAGATTGACCGCGAGTACCTCCGTGACTTCATCGAGGACGATGACAGTCAGCAGTTCCAGCTTCCTCTCAACATCCAACGTATGATCGAGTCAGCGCAAGCACGTTTCGGTATCAAGCCGCAGCAAGATCGCAGTAACCTCCACCCCATCGAGACCATTACCAAGGTTCGCGAGCTGCTGGATCGCCTTGTGGTCATTCGCGGCGAGGACGACATCTCCAGGGAAGCCCAGGCAAGTGCGACCTACCTGTTCAAGTCGCACCTGCGATCTCGTCTCGCTTTCAAGCGTCTTGTTGTTGAGTACCGTCTGAACAAGAAAGCTTTGGACTACGTTCTTGGTGAGCTGGAGGAGCGCTTCCTCAAGGCTGCCGTCGCGCCTGGTGAGATGGTTGGTGTCCTGGCAGCCCAATCCATTGGCGAGCCTGCTACCCAGATGACACTCAACACTTTCCATTTCGCTGGTGTGTCTTCTAAGAACGTCACACTTGGTGTGCCCCGACTCAAGGAGATTCTCAACATCGCGGCGAACATCAAGACGCCGTCCATGCTTGTCAGGCAAACGAACAAGGGTGGAGACATGCAGGCTGCTATGGATTTGCGGTCTCGTATTGAGCTCACGACTCTTCGCTCGCTCACGTACGCTGTGGAGCTCTACTACGATCCGCAGATCAAGGAAACACTCATCGAACAAGACGAAGATATGGTCGAGTCCTACTTTGTCTTTGGCGAGGGTGACGAAAACCTCGACCAGCAGTCTAAGTGGCTTCTTCGTATTGTGTTGGATCGCAAGAAGCTGCTCGACAGGAGCATTACCATCTCCGAAGTTGCTAATACCATCAAGGAGGAGTTCAAGCCTAACCTGGCAGTCATTTTCAGTGATGAAAACGCCGACGAGCAGATCATCCGTGTTCGATTTATCTGGGATGCTTCTCTCGAGAAGAACGAAGACGATGAAGATGAGCGTGACGAGCGATGGATGCGAAAGCTTGAGAAGCATCTTCTCGACGACGTTACCCTCCGTGGAGTCCGTGGTATCGAGCGTGCTTTCATCCGAGGACTGATCGTTGTCGTCGAGAACGAGGATCGTTCTTTGATTCTGTCAAAGAATGACAAGCGTTGCAACGAGTGGGTCCTGGATACCACCGGTTCTGCCTTGGCCGACGTCCTTGCCATTGAGGGAGTCGACTCCACTCAGACATACTGCAACTCCTTCATCGAAATTCTCGGCGTACTTGGTATTGAAGCAGCTCGTGCTGGTCTTCTCAAAGAGTTGGGCATGGTTCTGTCTTTCGATGGTTCTTACGTCAACCACCGTCATATGGCGCTCCTCGTTGATATCATGACGCAGCGTGGTCTGCTGATGGCTATCACTCGTCACGGCATCAACCGTAACGATACAGGTGCTCTTATGCGCTGTTCGTTTGAGGAGACTGTCGAAATTCTTCTTGAGGCTGCCGGCTTCGGTGAACTGGATGATTGCCGCGGTGTGTCTGAGAACATTATGCTGGGTCAACTGGCACCTATGGGTACTGGAGAGTTTGACGTTGTCATGGACAACTCTATGCTTCTCACCATGGTCGAGGACAACTCAAGAGTCATGGGCGGTGCTGCAGCTGCTGGCAACTTCCTCGACATCGGTGCTAGTACGCCATACGACCTCGGCTCGCCAACGTACGAGGGCGGCATGGGTATGGGCGGTTACGATGCGTCCTTCTCTCCTCTTGCTGCTGCTGGTGGCGACAATGTAGGCGGCTTGAGCGAGTACCAGCCCAATCTCGACAATGGTGGTTTCAGCCCGTACATCCCAGGCAGAAGCCCGGGCTACGCTCCAACGTCGCCAGGCTTCTCAGGCGCCAGCCCGACATCCCCAGGGTACTCACCCACCTCTCCCGGGTACTCGCCCACTTCGCCAGGCATCAGCAGCCCGCGATTCGGTGCCACATCCCCAGGCTATGCGGCTACCAGCCCCCAGTACTCGCCAACATCGCCGAGCTACTCTCCAACCTCGCCCGCCTACGGGTCTCCTACTTCGCCCTCATACTCGCCCACCTCTCCAAGCTACTCGCCGACGTCGCCGTCTTACTCGCCTACGTCGCCAAGCTACAGCCCTACTTCGCCGGCACATCGTGGTGCGACGTCGCCGCACTACAGCCCGACCTCACCTGCGTATAGCCCTACGTCGCCAGCTTACAGCCCTACGAGTCCGCAGTTCGGCGCAAACAATGACAGGCGCTCGCCTGCTTCGCCTACATCCCCGGCATACAGCCCTGCCAGCCCACAGTACTCCCCCACAAGCCCCACTGGCAATGCGGCGTACTCGCCCACGTCACCCAAGTTCTCTCCCACGTCCCCGGGCGCGGCGCCATACTCGGCATCTTCGCCAAAGTGGTCGCCGACTAGCCCGTCTTACTCCCCTTCGTAAGTTCCACGGTCATAGTTGTAGACTCTCCCGCCTCCATACAGCGGCTAACAGCAGCAGATCTCCGAAGCAGTAGAGGATTGTCGTAGTCTGAGAGTGGACATGTTCATGTAAGCACAGGTTCTACCTTGCTTTGTACAAAAGTTATCTTCGCTTCGCGGATGGCTGACTTTCGGTGACACAGCAGCCACCACTGCTTCACTAAAAGTTTGCACCTCCCGGCTGGTCTCGTCCCGCAGAGCCCCCGGCGTTCCTTTAGCTAGGCCCACGCCGCCCACCGCTCCTGCTCCACGACTCGCCCACCGGCACTCCGGTTCTTAATGTCTTTCTTTGCACTTCTTTCACTAAAGAAACTGTACAACACCCCGCTGTCGCTCGACGCACACAGCACCCAAAAACCGTCCTCCCTCGAGCTTCCTCTTCCTCGAGCACTCTCCATTTGCATCCCATACTTACATCATTTGCGGGCGTTTTTTTCGTCTCCTGGGACCCTTGTTCTTGTGCCTTGTTTTTTTGTTTATCCGCCCGACACACACGAATGGGTTGCGGCATTTGGGGCTTTTTCTGCGGCATTACGTGCAATGCGAGGCGTTTGGGGGTTTGCGTTTGCGGGGGCTTTGGGGTCTAGATGATGGGGCCCGCTAAATTGCGTGAGGGCTGGGGAAGGGGTTTAGATCGATTTAGGAGGGTTGAGCATAGGAGGGTGGGGGGTTGTGCGTTGGGGGGTTAGCATGTAGGAGAAATTGACGGTTGAGGTCATTTGAGGTGTGCAGTGTGCAGTGTGTGTGGTTGTGATGGTGGATGTGAATGTGGTGCGTAGTGTGATGCGTGAGTGGTGGGGGCCTGCGTCAACGATTCCGTATCATCGGCCGCCTTATGGCCTATCCAGCGGCAGAACGTGTACTCACATAGATGCTGTTCCTCCATCTGTGAGAAAGCAAGGCAAAGGGAGGCGTCCAGTCCAGACAGCACAAGCGAACAACGTGATGTGATGCACGATAAACTAAATACAGCAAACAGCATATCCACACTATACACGCCCCCAGAAACTATACATGAAATCATCCAATGCAACCGTACGCCCAGTCCACCCAGACGCAAACTCCGTCTAACGCCAGAATTGCAGAGCTATCTCTAGGTCGCCGCCGCCATCGCCTGCCACGCCCCCGTATGCAGCACCACGATATCATCCCCGCGGGCCTCCCACGCGACAACCGTGCCCACGGCGCTCAGCGCGCGCCGCAGCACGACGAGCATCCTGTCCCGCAGCAGCCGCGCCGGCCAGCCCGCCACGCACCCCACAGCCACGGTCCCCGACCCGGGGCCCCTGTTCTACAGCACCACCTTGCGGGCCTCCCGTGGATGGCTCTCGCTCGGACAGTACGGACACTTGAACCTCCCCCCCTTACTCAGCTTATCCAAACTCTCGGCGGCGATGACGTGGCCGCAGGGCATCATCATCGGGGGGTTCGCGTCGGTGGACTGTTCTTTGCTCACGGGGCACACGAAGATGGCGTGGAAGTGGTAGCTGGGGGGCAGCGGGATGGCGACGGGGAGTTCGTGCTGCGTGGTCCACTCCGCGCGGCGCGTTTTCATGATCGAGGCCATTTTGAGCAGGTACGGGAGCGCGATGGCGCCCGCGGTTGCGGCGATGAATAAGGGTGAGTCTGCGGACAGGCCGAGCAGGGAGCAGAATTCGCGGTTGAAGGAGTGCGCGGCTTCGGTCCAGGCGTGCGGGTTCGCGAACAGGGGCGCGTAGGGCGAGGCGGCGAGGTTGGACGCGTACGCCATGGCGCCCATGAGGTGCTGGATGTCGCGGGCGTAGCGGCGCGCGAAGGGGGCGAAGGCGGTGCGTGCGTATTCCCAGGCGCGCAGGGGGCCCGCGTCGCCGTCCGCTGTGAAGAGACACACGAAGTGCAGCCGGCACAGCTCGAACTCGAGGTTGCTGCCACGGGCCTCGAGGAGGGCGCTGCGGTCGCGGGCCCAGGCGATGGCGGGCGCGAGGTCGTGCTCGGCGCGGAGGGCGTGCAGGATGTGGTACATGTCGGCGAACTGGCGCTGCAGGTTCGCGGAGTTGAAGGTGCCCTCGGCGAGGTCCTGCTCCCACGAGTCGGTGCGCGAGGACGGGTGCGGGGTGTTGAGGGTGGGTTCGGGGTGCGGGGGGCGGCGGTGGGCTTCGTCGACGAAGGTGGAGGCGACGTGGAATTGGCCCTCGCGCAGCAGGTGCATGGCGATGGCGCGGTTGATCAGCGAGGGGTGCGACGAGAGGGCGTCGTTGTCGGCGCTGGGCAGCGGCTTGTCTTTGAACTTCTGGGGGGCTGTGAGCAATGCCCTAGAACAGCTGTTGCATGTCGCACCTTGTCCAGCGCGCGGCCGTACTTGTTCAGGCCCGAGTAGATGGGCTTGAGGTCTTTCTGCGCTGCGTCCAGCGTCTTCTTGAACGGGTCCTGCAGCTTTGCCAACGTCACCGGCGCTGTTGCGGCATCTGGCGGCTGTGAGCACTGCACGCGGGTCGCGATAGATGGACGTACCGGCTGCGATCTTCTCGCGCGCTGCTATCAGCAGGCTCAGCGCTTTATCCACGTCGTCGATACTCGCTGCGAGGTTTGCGCTGCCCTCGAGCAGCTCCATCTGCTCGCGCAGGTCGTCCATGGTGTCGCGGGCGGCAGCTATCTCCCGATGGTCGCGGTGGGCGGATGCAAAACTGACGGCGGCGTTGTCGAGCGAGTGTGGTCGAGTGAGTCTGGCCAGCAGATCACATGCCACTGGTCCATGGCTTCCTGTCGTTCGTCGTGTCGTTGAGAGCTGGGGTCGGCGTCGCGGCTCCTTCCCCACACGTCATGCCGAGCTCCAGCGCGCGGGTCTGCAGACCTTCACGCCAACACTCCAGACCACCAATACGAGCGCCCCGATTGCCGTACCCCTGATGCCTCGCGTCGCCTGCGCTCCACGGAAATATGTATAGCTTGCACCCTGTCGCGCCCGCCACCTTCATCGTCTCCCTCTGGCAGCCCAGCGAGCGGCGCCGGACTCTCGTGCGGCCTGCGCTGGCGCCATGAACCGCCGAATCTCGTGGCATTGTGCAGCATACACTCCGAGCATCGCATAGGCTGGCCGCCACCACCACCGCGCAAATGGCCTTGAACGGCCACATCACCCTGTCGCGGACAAACACCGCAATCAATGCAGAGAAGGAGCTGCGCAGACAGATGCCCCCCCTGCAAACCGCCCTGGACCACGACTACACCACCACCTCGCGCCCGCAGACCGCCCGCGAACCCGCCGACCTCATGTCCAACGACGGGAGTCTGAAATCCCCGGCCTCGCCGACCCGCCGCCAGCGCTTTGCCATGACCGACATGATTGCATCGCGCTATCTCGAGGAAGACCCGCAGACCACCGTGCTTGCGCGCCGCCAGCAAATCGAGGGCTACGAGGCATATGTTGTCGAGCAATGGGCCTGCTCGCGGACGCATCCGACCTTCTTCATCACCACCTACACGGGCAATCCGCAGGACGTCGTGCTCGTGACCATCATCAGCGTGCCTGCAGACGAGACGCAGTGGTCCAAGCCGATGCAGCTGTACTTCAAGTCGCTTGATGAATATCACGCCAAGAGGAGAGAGACGCCATACGGCACGCTGATGATCACGAATCTAAGCAGCTTCCCGTCGTCGTTGACTGTCCTCCCAATCCCCGGCGGCGACATGCGAAAATACCGAGAACTCTTTCTTGTCAACGAAAATCTGAAGAGACTGGGCTGCTCCGGCCGACTGGGCATCAAGCTGGCACCGCCCAGCGGTGCGACTGAAGCCAAGTTCCACCAGCTCTACCGCACCAGCGAGAAGATTCCCCTGAACGGCGCTGTCATCGAGCTCGTCAAGCTTTGCCAGGTCGCCTTGGTACTGTTCGGCAAGCTCGAGCCCGAGTATGCAGACGGTCTGCTTTGCGATGTCACAGAGAGAGCCGTCACCGATTGGTGGGTCGAATTTGGCGCAGAATACTACGCAGTCGAGCCACATGACGGCATTCTAGGACCCACGACCGTCGCTGCGTTGCTGGGTATGTTAATAGGGGCGCGAAACCGACTGAGCGCACTCAATGCCCCAGTCGCCAAGGACGTGTTTGACATCGAGAGCACCAAGAAAGGCATCGGGCATTTCCAGAAGACTCATCACATCCCGAGATCACGGCGTTTAGACAGACAGACGCTGGATAAGCTACGTCGGTCGACTGCAAAGGCCGCGAGTAAAGACGGGTGGGGCGTTCCAAGGGCGTTCAAGTCGACCGTGGCCGAGCTCGGCGGGAAAGGCGGCGAAATGATGATGGGCATAGTCGGTGCGGGCGACAAGGAAGGCATTGCGGAGGTCGAGACAGTGGACATTGAGCGGTTTGTGGAGCTCGTGCGAGGAGATCACGCCAAATGGTTGTGGCACGGCCGACCTCGAAAGACTGCATCTGGGGACATGTTCGACCGACTGCCTGACCAAAATGGCCAAACGTCACCGACCACAATGCAGGATCGCAGTCGCAATCCGCTGAAGAGACAGCCCACGCTCGAAGACCAGAAGCTGTCGCGACGCGAGACCACGCGAGACGAGCACAAGAAAGAGATGTTCAGTCCGGATGGCACGGAAGCAAAAGACAGAGATCCGTTCTCGAAGCGCGCAGCCATCAAGGCGAGGCTCGGTCCTGAGCGTAAATTCCACCGCATCAAAGACGCTGTTGGTCTTCGCAGTCATGCTACCAAACTGTCGCGGGAGGAATCGACACGAATACCTCAGGCGTCACCAGGCGTCAGCAGTCAGCAGAGTGACGTGGATGGCTTTGGCGAAGACGGGGATGAACGGACAGATGCCGAGACCTCTTTCACCAAGGTCCTTACCGAGACACCACGAGACTCTACCAGTGATCTGATTCCAAAGGCGCCGTCCACACTCGATGGCGAACAGGACTCGTCCGGCTCGAGGATTGTAATCGCCGAATCAGAAGCTTCCACCCAGCCGCCGACAGCTGAGCCATCAGTTGCTGGCTCCATATATCACGGCATCGATCTGAACGAAGTACTACCTCTCGAAGTCGCCCATGCCTACCCACCCCTCCTCCGCCGCACGCAGTCCTCCGACCAGCTCACCCTCTACAACACCCACCACAACGACAACTGGTGGCCGCGCCACCTCTCCTTCAGCGTCGCCGAAGACAGCATCCTCACCTGGCGCAGCATCGTCGCCACCCCCGACGACGAACCCCTCGACACCTCCACCACCGCCGCCGCCCTCGGCACCCAGCAAATAACCCTCGCCCTGCACTCCTCGCAGCTCAAGCGCCTGCACCACCGCCTCGCCGCCCTCTCCGCCACAGACGCCGCCTGGGCCTCCTCCCGCCTCGCCGACATCGCCCGCCTCGACGCCGCCGCCGACGCCGACATGCAGACCCTCGACGCCATCTACTACCCGCGCCTCGACACGTACCACTCGCTGCGCGCCGACACGCACGCCGCGCTCACGTCCTCGCGCGCGGACCTCACCGCCGCGCTGAGAGAACTCGACAACGTCAATGATAAACTCGAGTACGAGATCGGCGCGCTAAGGGGCAAAGTCGAGGACGTCGAGGACTTTGTCGACGAGTTTGAGAGGCAGGTTGAGTTTGTGTGTGAGAGGGTTGAGGAGCTGGAGAGGACGCTGGGGGGCAGGGAGGGGTGGTGGCATTGGGTGTTTCGCAAGGCGACGGGGATTGGGAGTCGGCCTGCTTAGTGGATATGGATTCTTGGGGGTCTGCGTTGGGGTGGCGCGTTTGAGTGTTTCTTTTTATACCCTCGGTGTTGTGTATGGGCGTTCTTGGTGCATGGCGCTGACATGGACATGTAGTTGAATAGCAGATTCTCACGCACGCTTATCATGGCTTCTGTGCACCGGGCCTGGATCGCCAGCTCCAGTGGCTGCGTAGACACGGGTCCTCTGCCCTCGCCGCATCGCCGTCATGCAAAATCGTCTTCCGCGCTTTCCCCCGTTCTACAGCCGTGCTGGCGCTTCAGCTCTTGCTCCTCGCCCGCGCTGACGCTGTTCAGGAACGCCTTCGGTACATCGGTCACGCGGGAAACGTTGCCGTCGCACACGCCCATCAGCGCACTCAGCATCACCATCCATGGGGTCTTCGCATCTTGAACAGAAAGACTTCATTTCTGCTAGATCCAGCGTTTCTAGATATCTAACCCTCCGTCCCCTAATAATTAAACACCATCAACCCCGGATTCAGCACCAGCGGGAACAGGATATGCATCGCCACCGTCACCGCCATGGGCACACAACTCGTAATGCCCCTGATCCTTAGCCCCTCATCCGCAAACACACCCAAATACACCATAACCGCAGCCAGCGCGCCCATCAGCGCAAACGTGCCCCGAAAACAGCGCCAGATCCGCGGCGCCTCGGTCCAGAAACTGTCTTTTTGCTTTTCTTTCGCGGTGCTGCCCCACGTCATCTCGATGCCCAGCATGTGCGCGCTGATGGCGTACAGCAGGTGCAGGGGCAGCCCGCCGAAGAAGACCATGAAGAACGGCATCCACTTGAAGTTCTCGAGTAGTGAGGCGAGGAGTGCGCGTTCGCGCAGCCGGTACCGCATCACGGCCAGGCAGATGTTGGAGAGTACGTTGAACACGGCGAGAAGCGCGATGAAGACCTTCCACGACTCGACGTAGAACTGGTCCAGGCGGCCGTTCTTCCACCCGATGAGGAAGTAGTTCAGCGTCCCGAGGGGCACCGCAGAGGCCAGCGCGTAGTACGACGACACGTACCCCACGATCGTCAGCTTGCTGGAGAGCTGCAGCTGCGAGGCCAGGAAGGCGCGGAACAGCGGCGTGATGGGCCCGCGCCGCAGCCACGCGTGGAACGGGTGGAACACGAGCTCGCTGCACCCGTACGCGTACTTCTCCCAGCGGTCCAGCTCCGCGAAGATGGTGAGTGAGATGCCTTCCTTGAACGCCCCGCCGTGGTAGCTCGCGAGTCGTACGATGTACCCGCGTATCTGCAGCCGCAGCGCCATGTCGAAGTCCTCGCTGACGTTGTGCTCGGACCAGAAGCGCGTGTACCCGTCGGCGTCGGGCGGGGGCGCGACGTCCTGGACCGCGCGCCAGCGCAGGAACGCGTTGTGGCCGACGAAAGGCGCGGTTTCGCCGCTGCCGATAGCGAAGCGGATGGACGAGTAGACGAGGTTGGTTAGGTAGGTGATGCCGTTCTCGAACCAGTCCCAGGAGACCTGCAGCACGCTGGTGTTGTGCTGGATGATGGCGACTTCGGGCGCGAGGAAGAGCTCGGCCGCGCCGTGCAGGAGGCAGTCGGCCGGGACCTGGGTGTCGGAGTCGACGAGCAGCACGACGGCGCCCGTGCGGATGTTGCCGCCGGCTTTGGCGCGCGGGTCGCTGCGGAGGACGTGGGTGAGGGCGGTGTCGTAGAGCTGCGCCGCCTGCTCTTCTGTGGTGTCGGTGCCCTTCTCGCACAGCGCGCCCAGGGCGTCCTGCAGCGCGAATTCGACGCGCGTGGCCACGTTGAGCGCGTAGTTCATGTTGGACGCCTTCTTGAACTTGCCGGCGCGCTGGAAGCCGTTGAAGTTGTGCCCCGGGCGCGCGACCCAGCCGATGTGGTTGTTGGCGTAGAAGGCCTCGAAGAGCGCGTTGTCGGCCTCGGAGCGCAGCGCCATGCCGTCGTCGTTGATGAAGATGCGGGCCGTGCCGCCGATGGACTCGTAGTGCGAGATGGCGGCCTGCAACGAGGTGACGGTGGGCTTGATGACGCCTTCCAGTGACTCCGTGTAGATGGGCATCTGGATGGTGATTGGGGGCGGGCGGAATCCCAACGCGCGCGCGTGCTCGACGTCCGGCTTGACGGCCGAGTAGAAGCGGCTGTTCATTGTCATCGAGGTCATGGGGCCGCACAGCTGGAAACAGTTGTTGAAGACGACGATGACGAAGAAGAGACCCAGGCAGAAGAACACCGGCTGCGAGAGGACGAGCCCAAGGCGCGGGTAGAAGTTGTCGTCCACGATCTGCTCCATCAGTGCGCGGTTGCCGAAGCCAAAGACCAGACAGAACATGAGGAACGCGCCCAGCGCGACGAAGATAGCGCTCGTGAACACCGCCGGGCGGGAGAGCGAGTCGTTCTCGCTCATGTCAACTACATCCTTCTCGCCGCCCGTCCCCTCATCATACGGCTTGCCACCCTTCTTCTCCCAGCTCACCGCGGAGTCCGAAGAAGCAAACGACAGCGAGTCGTCGTCCACCTCCTTCCCCGCGCCCTCCACCAGCGCGCAAATCCGCTCACTCACCTCCAGCGCCCTCGCCAGCACCTTCTCCACCTCCTGCTCCCACACGACCAACACGCGCTCCTTGCACACCAGCGCCGCACACTGCGATCTCTTGATGCCCGCCGCGCCCGCCACCGCCTCCAGCGACGCATAGACCTGGATCTGCGCGCCATCGCGGAACGCCAGCGGCTCGCCGTCGCAGACAGTGTCGAGCACGGGGTCCAGGTCGGCCGTGGACAGTGCGATGGCGACGGCGGCGTTGATGTTCGCGACGGCGGCGACGAGACGCGGGTCTGTGGTTTTCGGCTCGACGGCGTAGGAGCGCGCGCGTTTGCGGATTAGGACCCCAGATTTCACAAGGGTCGGAGGGATATTGGTCTCGGTCCATTGTAGGGCGCATATTTTGGCGTGGAGGGTGCGTGCGAGCTAGAGGTGTTAGTCGGCGGTCATGACTGTGGGACGAAAGGACTTACCGCGCGGCATCTGGTGCTGTTTTTGGCGTCCGACGGGTTTTCATGGTCGGGATCGCTGGTGCTGGTCTCGTTGCTTTCGTTAATGCTGCTCTCACCGCTTCCGCTGCTGGTGGAGGTAGTTCCGTCTCGAGACTGTGCTTCATTGCTCTCCAGAGACCGTACTTCACTGCTTTCTTGGGATCGCACGTCGCTACCCCCTTGAGACCATACTCCGCTGTCCTCTTGAGATCGCACCTCACCGCTCTCCTGAGGCAGTATCTCACTGTTCTCCTGAGGCAGTACCCCACCGCTCTCTCTTTCATGCACCGAGTCCTCTACATTGTTAAAATCTTCATCCGGACCAACAGACCCGCCAGAGCTCGATACTGGCGGGCTCGGTGGTGGTCGGGTCGGTTCTGGCGGGACATCCCCAGCATGCTGTAGAGACGCCGCACTTCCAGAGTCTGAGGGTGCTCGGGGGCTCGGTGCAGAAGGGCGGTTCTCATCATGCTGTGAAGATCTCTCGCTTTCGGAATCTGAATGATATCGAAACATCGTGTTGCAGATATATTGGGTGGGGAGTGATGGTGGTCAAGGAAATCATTGCATAGGTGAGAAAGCACGAATAAAGGCGTTGATTTTCGATACCGAATATTAAGCTGTCAAACCACATCAGGCGTGGAAAAGTCTGCTGAGAAAGTCAAGAACTCGGGCGCAGGGAGACTTTTCGTCCAGGGTAGCGTTTCTCAACCGTTCGTTCGTCGAAGCGTCCAGGATCAACGTGTGCCCACTTTCGCCCTTCCAGGATATTTGGACTCCAGACTTCTTTAGCACACCGGGATTGACTTCGTCGCCCATATTGTAGGGCACAAATTGTCTGCAAATGAAGGCTGCGACCATCCTCGCGACATGGCGTATTTGACATCAGCATCTCAAAAACACAGGCTGACCCTGGATTCACGAGTTCTTCCCTTATCAGTTACACTTATGTTGAAGAGCTCACTTAGACTACTAACTAGAGATGGTCATCTCTATCTTCGCGCACACATGTGTCGTCGTTATCACATAACGTCGTTTCCTTCCTGTGCCGATATTGTGGCGTAAGAAGCATGGCTACGACTGCCGACAGCATCGAAACGCAGGCGCGCTCGGCTTGCTCTTCTAACTTCGTCGCAACACCACGCCGTAACAACACGTTACTGCCAACGGATGCTCTACTCTGTTAAGCGATAAGCAAAAGCCATTATTTCTCGCACTGCACCTTGTACATTCATTCCCATACTACGCCGTTACCAGCATACGCCCATTTTTATGAACCGTCGTCGAAATGGTTGCCATGGATCCCGATGCTGGAGTTCCCTCAACAGAAGCTACTGGCAGCGCAACAGAAGCACAGGGTGAGGCTAACGCTCAGAATCAACTGGACCCTCTCACCGAGACGACTCACCTTGCAACGGCAGCGGAAGCGACTAGCCAGTCCATGATACGAAGGCGTGGCAGACGGCCCCGCGGATATGAGAGCTATCTTCTGATTGGAGAGTATGTAATTCACCGCTGCAACAGACTTAATGCCGATGCTGAAACGATACAGATGTGAGAAGCCATGGCTGAAAGATCCACGCTGGAACCGAGCAAAGCGAATCAACGATGCCATCATGATATCCGGCTTGGTGCTTGAAGTGCTCACGAGCCTTGTCATTCTATAGGATGGATACTGGGTTGCTAAACCTCCGGGAAAGGTTGCTAGGCTCCTCGAGGGTATCTGAGGCTTCACTGACCCAAGCAGTACTGCCTGATCATGGACGACCACTTCGATACCATCGACTCTGAAAATTGGAGCTACGAGATACAGGTACTGCACATATCTTCCGCCTACGGAACATTTCTGACAAGTCACAGACTGGTGGTTTTGGGACTGGCGAGTTCACTTGGGCGACGGACGACCCGCAGAACGCATTCGTCGACTCTGAAGGTCTACATATCGTACCCACATTGACGACTGAAGCCACCAATATCACCGACATACAAATCTTCCATGGCTACGCTGTAAATCTCACAGTGGCCGGTGGCGATGGCACTTGCACATCTGCAGACGTCGACAAGTGTTCCGTCAGATCCAACATGACACTTGGCCGCATCATTCCGCCAGTGCGATCCGCGCGTCTCATTACCAAAGGAAAGAAGAGCATCAAATACGGTCGAGTTGAGGTTGTCGCGAAGATGCCAAAGGGAGATTGGCTGTGGCCAGCTATCTGTACGTCGCGACTTCATACAGCTGTAACACTGCTTATGCAACTTAGGGATGATGCCTGAAGACTCGGTCTATGGCACATGGCCCGCGTCTGGTGAGATCGACATCGCAGACCTGCGCGGAAATGATCGAAAGTATCCTCGCGGCCGCGACCTGGTGACTACCACCCTGCATTGGGGCCCTGGCCCCGATCACGACGGCTACATGTTAACGTACGATACGTTCTTCTTCAAACGTGGAGATTTCACGGACAGGTTCTTTACATACGGATTGGAATGGAACAAAGACTACTTGTTCACGTACGTCAAGAACAGAGGAGAACGCATATTCTCCATCAAGTTCAAGGGGAAACAACCATTCTAGGAGAAGGGCAAATTCCAGGGAACCGCAACCCACAACGGCACACTGTACACCAATCCTTGGTCTGAAGCTAGCAACTCTATCGCGCCTTTCGATCAGAAGTTCTTTCTCAATCTCAAAGTTGCAGTCGGTGCTCAAAACGGATATTTCTAGTGAGCGCTCTACGACCCCGCAAAGCATGCGCTCGACAGCTGACAGTTTGCAGTAACGGAAAGTTCAACAAACCCTGGATAGATGGTACCATGCTTGCTGCAACTGAGTTTTGGAGGGCCAAAGACCAGTGGTTGCCTACTTGGGGTGAAGGGAACGATCGTGGCATGACGGTCAAATCTGTCAAGATGTGGCAGCAGTGCGATGAGAAGTGGATGTGAGGACTAATTGCGCCGCATCTTATCTCCACCACAGCATATGGTTGAGCAGACACACTGGTACATGTTTCAAATTGCTGTTCTAATGAAGCACTTTTCGACCCGCTAACGATCCCTGATATCTTTGTCTCCGCAGTCTCAAATCCTCACAGCCGCTGCCCACCCGATCCTCGCAGCTCGTGCAGCAATCAATGCAGCACAGCCTAGAAGCATAGCGCCTCCAGTACATAGTTGCAGAAGCAGGAACGGCTCCATACCCGATTCGAGCAGTTGAGCTCCGGACTTGATAAGCTCCCCGCCCACAGGGGTAATTACCAAACTGGCAGCTCCAGCGGCTCCAAATACAATGCCGATATGCAACCCAATCCTCCTCTTATCGTCGCAGAGGCTCAGGACTCCAGCTTGAACCAGCGTTGCAGTTCCACCAGAGAAAAACCCGTAGGATCCAGCCCAAACAAACATGCCTGCTCCGCTTTTGACCAGTGGCCAACATAGTAACACAGTACTTGTTGATAGCAACACTAAGATGTAGGTGTTGATTGTACCGAGTACACTGTCAGCCAACAGAGCTGGGACGATACGGCCGGGGATGCCTGACGTGTTGAGTATCATCAGCACCGCGAAGCAGTCGAAAGAGTCCATGTCCAGGGCATCAACGGCAAAAGTCCGGACATCAAAATAAGGTATCCAGAGGCCGACAAAGGTGAAAAAAATGGCGATAGTATAAAGAACCAGAGTCCGGTTCTTGAGCAGCTGCCATACAGCCCAGCTCCTGGTCAAGACTTCATCTTCATGAGCAACATCCTCACCCAGCTTTTCCTCATCAACTCCAGCCCAGCGAAGTAACACCTGGACAACCACCGCATTAACACCCACTACCCCACCCGCAACCCACAACACCCTCGCCACCCCCAGCCTCTCCATCGCTCCCCGCGCAAGACTCGCAAACACCATCCCCCCCGTCCCAGCCCCGCACCCCGCCAAACTCAGCACCGTCGTCTTCCACTTCACACCCCCTACCAGCATCGCCAGCCGCGCCACCGCAGGCGCAAACGTCACCCCGTGCCCTACGCCCACCAGCACGCCCTGAAACACCAGCGTCACCCCGTACGAATGCGTGCACCCCGCGACCACGAGGCCGACGACCTGGCACGCCGCACCAACGAGAAGCAGATGGTTAAGGCATATGTAGTGCAGAATGTAAGGCGTTGCCGGGGCGAGCGCGTACGCGAGGAACACAGGCGTGCTGGCGATCCACGACACCGCTGTACTGGAGGCGTGCAGGCGGGCTGGGTAGCTCGGGGTCAGGGTGCTGGTGGCTTGGATCAGGCCGAAGGAGGTCGCGATCACGAGGTGCGTTGCGAGGAGGTGTGGCCAGATGCGGGGGCGGGGGAGGGGCGCGCAGGTGTCGAGGGCTTCTGGGTCTTGGGGGGGTTGGGGTGGGGTGAGGACGGAGTCGGTTCTGGGCGGGTCTGCGGGCGTGGGGATGTGGGTGTGGGTGGGCAGCGAGTGGGATGCGCAGGACGGGTTGAGATGTCTGGGGATGAGGGCGCGGAACTTCATTGTGGTTCTTGAGAATAGTGAGTTTGCATCTTGTCGGTTCTCGGTTTTTCTGCTCTTCTTATACACCTCAGAGTGTAGGGAGTTGGTTGATACATCGCACAGAAGACATCATCATCTACCTATCGCCTTGAACCGTCGTTCCCAGCGACCAGAATACAGCGACATCAAGTGTTCTTGAAAGGCTGTTATGAGGCAGTGTACCAGCAAGTGTCGTCGTAGCCTTGCGCTTCAGTGATGCGGTCTAAGAGTAGATAGTGTGTCATAGTCCCGGCAACCAGATCGCAGTCCGCGATCGAGCGATCTGGAGTCGCACAAAGTACACAGTTCCAATGTCTTAGAGTGGAGTACTGGGGAAATTGGAAAGGAGATCTTGTGATCAATGACAAGACGATAGATAAACGGCGTGAGTAACGACTTAGGAACGGTCCGTACGTGGTGCCTCTAGGTCGACCAGTATATGCGCTCTGAGTCAACGCAACACAACATGACACTCGGCCCACAACACAACACACGAACTGTAGGGATAAAATCTGGTTTGCCCTAGACTCTGCTGTGCAGCCTTGCTAGGGCGACCCTGACCCGGATTTCCACGCAGCCGCCTAGAGTCAGTCTCAAAGCGTCCATGTTCGAGCCATCACCGCCTCTCTCGTTCACTCACCATTCAGTACTCAGCACCCATCACTCATTACTCGTACAGCTCCGCCCACTCCCGCCGCAGCAGCGCCATATTCTCCCGCACCATCTCCGCCTGCAGCATCGCCTGGTGGCTTTGATCCATCGCGGCCGACGAGCGCGAGAAATCCAACTGCGAAGTGTCAGTCAAGTGTCCCGCACACCGCGAAAGAAGGAAACTTACAGGCGCACGATGATAATACCCATACCCCATAGTCGTCCCCTGTATCGCACTGATGCGCTCCATCGTCTGCGCGGACTGCATCTGCACCCCGTACATTCGCGCCTGGCGCTCCAGCTGCTGGCTCTGCAGCTTCATCTGCTCGAGCTTGAGATTGTACTCCTGCATCTTGGCGGCGCGCTGCATGAGCCGCTGCTTGTAAGTGTCGAGATTGTAGCTCGCGCATGCGTCCGCCAGCCACTGCTGCAGCCGCGGCGAGTACAGATCGCACGTGTAGCCGTGCGGCGGGACATTGGGCGTGACTTCGCGCAGGATGGTGGGCGGGGAGGCGGAGGACAGGAGAGGCTCGATGTGGGTGATATAGCACTCGGGGCAGGCGGCGTAGCCGGGGATGGAAGTCGGGAAGGTGTAGCTTGTGGAGCCGGGCGGGACCTGTTGGCTCTTGAGGCAGACGGGGATGGGCGCCCATTTCGTGAAGTACGCGGTCAGAGGGCGCGTGTCTCTATGGCCAGAGTCAAGGGTGGCTGCGGCGGTTTCGGCGATTTTGTCGAGGTAAAGCTCCCCGCGCCTTCCTTCGTTCTCATTTTGTGCGGTGAGAAGATCGCACGTGGCTTGCAGTTTTGCACCGTTTGCCACAGGCCGGAAAATGTCATTGAGGCACGGGAAGATAAGGTTGAGACGGACGATGCAGCTTGAGCAGACTGTGAGGTCCTCGATAAGAGATCCAGTTCCTGGGTTCCAGAGACAATACCAGGTTCGCGTCACAGCTGGCTTGCCTCCCTTTTGAGCCACTGGGTCCTCAATGTTGAGATTCGGGCAAGGGCCATCTTCGTCCGCATGCATCTCCGCCACGCGACCCAGAAGGCTGAGGTCTGGGGCATTCAGAGAGAAGATCCAGTATATTGCTACACGGGTCCAGCGATCTGATAGGTCGCATCTCGTGGCTACGTCCGTGGACTTGGGTGGAGATTGGGAGATGCATCGTGCATATGATGTGTTGCGAAAGGTAGTATTGTAACAGCTTGGGCAGATATCAACGTTTGGAAATGGAACAGGTGTAGTAATCCGGAACCAATCGGTGTGTCCTCCAGTAAAGCTTGACCGAGGGCAAGGCGCAAACTTTGGGACTTGTTGTGCTTGCGGCTCGACGGATGATGCCGCTCTGGGTGGTAAACTAGGCTTCACAAGAGGCATGGTAGGCAACAATCAATATCGAACCCAAAGCTCACTCAGCGATGCAGTAGTACCTGTGTGAAATGTGTCATCGAGAAATCTTGTTGCGGCCTTCCGTATGTAGTGGTGGAATGTTCCGTGCAGCCCTCGCCTACCCTTGTGAGGCTGAACAAACCATGGTGCGAGATACGACCACCGGTGAGACACGCGCCCCACCGAGCGGGAAAAGGCAGGACGTGGGGATGCCACGCATGTACAGGGTTGCCAAAAGCATGCAGCGGTGATCAACATGTTTTGATGTCTACAATCAGCACCTGCCCACCAGTCTTCAGTGCTCAGCGGTTGAATTCATGCAATTATTGGCCGAAGGGATCGTCGCTTATTTCTGTCTCCACCACTCAAGATGGAAACTCCGACCCTCTTTTCACACCCCATGCATTCCCGAGTCTGCGGGTAGCCCGCAAGGCTAACATCTGACAGCCCAAGCCAGACGCGAAAGCTGACTCGGTGAGCCTGGAGAAAAGAAGTAAAGAAGATCATTGATTTGAGTCCAAAGGTGATTAAATGTGAATATTTACATGGAATTGAACAAATGTCTCGGTCAAATTTGCTTCGTAGATGATCGTTGATCTTGCAGCTTCGTGATGAATTGAAAAGAGTGTTGGGGTATAGAGCGAAACAAAGCAAAGGTCCGCCCAAACAGACGCGCGCGTGCAAAAACGACATTCGTTATGCGTTGATGATGAGGTTACGTTGGCTGCTGTCTTCAGGGTTGTTGCCGAAAACGAACCGATACAGATCACGCAGCCACTTGAACTGCTCGCTGCGTGCCATCCATTGAACCGACCGGCCGATTTCCACGGCGGTGAGTCTCCGGGGTGGCTCCGTGTGCGCAGTTCGTAGTGTAGGGTCTGAGAGGACAAGCTTTCGGTAGCTCTCAAAAAGCTGGCTCTGCCATGATAGTGTTCCAAAGCTATTTGAGGGCAGAGCACGAATGAAGTCGGGCAGTGGAATCTGGCGGCTGTAGCCGGCATTGATCGCGGCCTTGAGGATCAGTCCTTTCAGTCGGACAAGGTTGGGGTCTGTGCGCCCCGCAGTCGCTGTCGATGAGCTGTGTATGGAAGCATCGGAGTATGTAGACAGATTTGAAGATGCTGAAGACCAGCGATCATGCGTTCGTGTCAGGCCAGCTTCGGGCCCTAGAACCAGGATATTTGGCACATTGTTCTCTTCGGCAGGCGAGAACTCTTCGCGATCGTCAAATATAGTCGTGGGCGTATCCGGCACTGATGGAGTCTGTCGTCGAGAAGAAATAGCGGAATGATATGAATCGTTGACGCTTGAAGTCGAGCGTCCAGACCTTTCAGAGTAAGAACGTTGTGAGCGTGTCACAGAGCCTGCACTGGAGCCCAGGTTGAACTCATGCTGAGATGGGCGTGGGGTGCCGCGGTCAGGTCGAACCTGAGTCCAGCCCTCGCGGAAGAGATCACACAATTCCCAGCAAGCTTGTATGCCAGATCCTAGAAGCTCCTCGTCTGCAGGCTTGCCGTCGCGACTGTTCTGACGGAGACTGAAAAGTGTCTCTGCTAACGACCAGCAAGCATGGAGTAGCGAGTCGGTCTCCTCCGGTAGCGACGTCCGTTGCTTCATCAGCCGGTGACACAGCGTCAGATAAAAGTCTAGTGTACGCTCTCGGAACGCCTCTGGCAATGCGCGGTCATGAGCATTGTAGAGGTGGTTATTCAGCTCGAAGCTGACTCTTAAAACAGAGTCCGATGAATCGTCTCCCCGCTGTCGCACGTCAAACAATGCCTGACAGAAGTCGCGGCAGAGCTCCAGCGTTGGCATGACCTGGGTCGAGGGGATCTCGTCGCGGCTCTCGTACAGTTTCTGGCACAATCGCCAACACGTCCGCCAAGCATGCTCTTGTTCGTCGGCACTACCGCCAGAGTAGCTGAACATCCGCCGGCGATGGTTCTGGCTAAGCTTTGCGAGAGAGTTGCAGAGAGTCCAACACTCATCCAAGGCACTCTTCAGCGCGATTATCTCTTTTTCAGTTTCGTTTATGCCGTGTAATGCCTGTCCCATGGTCTGTGTACTGCTGGACGCGTCTTGCGATAGTGAAGATTCATCGTCATCCTGGTCGAAAACAGAGCTTGCTGAAGAGTCTAGGGGGGTGTGATCGTCGTGTTCTGCTATGTCTGTTTGGGTCAGCGACGATGTACCAATTCTGCGATACAACCTACCAGCAAGACCCATGCTCATTCGAGCGCTACGCCTCTTCAGGTCGTCGTCATAGTCATAGCGCGTCTGCGCCTGGGGTGTACTGCGGTCCCATACACCACGGGGGACAGACGTGTCAATTGGGGTTGTGTAGGTATGCTGCAGAGGTTCAGCCATCACAGCCAGTGCAAGGGCGAGGTGGGCAAGACGCACCTTGTCGTCAGCTTCGAACACCATGTTCGCCTCGGGGGTGACAGGCGACACAACGGCGGTGTTCTCTGACGTATTTGCGCTTGAAGACGCTGCTGAGACGCTTCCACGGTTCTATTTCAGGAGTCAGCGCCTAAGCAGTACAACCAAAAAGGTAGTCCGTACGAATTGCTTGAAGTCCGTCGGCACATGGATGACCGACGGCGGAGCCTCGTCTGAATCTGACCGCTTGCGCGCAGGAAGTGAGGTGTCGAGCTTGAAAGGCTGAGTGGTGGTCAGCATTGCTCTTGTATGCGGGCCGCAATGCAGGGCGCAATGCAGGTCGCCGGAACGGTCGACGTACCTTGGACTGGCTGGTCTGGCTCGCCGGACTCACAATGTCCTCGGTGTTTGGCGATCTTATGTCATTCAAATCGTCCTGTGCATCGTCCTCAATCTGCATGTGTCAGCCCCGCTTGTTCTTCGGTCCTGTTGTGCGCGGCTCTATATACCTCGGTGTGGTCGGTGGCACTGGTGCCATTGCTGTCGACGGGTGAAGGATCGACAGTCGCAGGATACGGACTGGGAGGAGGAACCAGGTGGTCGGAATGTGCTCCAGAAGACCTGCGGGAATGCATCAGTACGGCTTATGTAGAAGCCGCAGGCGGGGGGCCGCACCTATTTGAAAAGACCTGGTTGAAGTTGGCCGGAGAGCTGGGCGAGTCCGTGTAGGGGCTGAAGGCAGAATTGAGGCCCGGGCCCGTTGGAGAAGGCATCAGCATCGCCATGCCTCAAGGCTGCCTCACTTGCGCCAGATCTGCGCGGCGCGTGGAGCTGGGGGAGAGCTCGTGGGGCTCCCCGTGCACTGCCTGTCTGTCTGGCACCGGCGACGTCTCGGGCGCGGGGCTGTGGTTGACACGGCGACGAGTCTGTCGTGCCTCTCCGCCTCGAACGGGTCAGCGAATGGGGAGGGAGGGCGCGGCGCGAAGAGCGTTGGTAGCGGCGACGGGGCGGTGGGCGTTGGAGGCGCTGTGTATATGAGACGGACCGGCGTGGGCTATAGCAGACCAGCTGCTGCGGGCGGGTGTAAATATGCGGCGCGTCTAACAATCGTGTGCGAGCGAGCGTGCAGACGGTACAAGACGGTCGCCGGCAGCAGCCTGTCAGCCTGTCCCAAGCCGACGAGAGGGCTGCCCGCGCATCAACAGCTGTCGGCTCCACAGAGGGCAAGGGCAGGCGCACCCCTGGCGAGCTGGGCGCCGCTGATTGGCCCGCCTGGTGGAGCCCAGCGCTTAGCAGCTGCCACCCTTGTCCCAAAACGCTCTCACGAGCTGCGGGATCGCTCGTCGTCACATCCAGCGCCGTGCTGCTGGTTCGAACGGCGACATGGCTGTGGCCGCTTGACTCAGCGTTCGACTCTGCAAGATGAGTCCGCTGGCGCCGTGTGATTCACGCGATCGGCTTCAGGCCTGCCCGCAGCCTCTGCGGCATCCTCTCGCCGCTGCCTCGTGCCCACCCCTCCACTCGGCGGGCGTCCTGCAGCTCGCAGCGAACGGTGCACTGTCCTTCCTATGCTGGGGGCCAAGGGCTCAGGCAATCCGCGACATGCCTGTAGCATGGCGCGCTAATGCACACCTTTCCGCACAGCAAGTGGCCAATCGACGGCACGAAGAGCCTTGTGCACGCGCGGGAGACAGACGCATCTCTGCGGCAGAGTTTGGATTATTGCCAGCAATTATCCGGCCGTCTGACCGGTGACAAGGTCTCGACTCTGGAATCCAAAGTCTTTGTGTTGACGTGGCCAGCAGACAGACAACAGAGTGGATCAAAGTGGAGCCGACAGCCACTGTCTGTTGGGAGAAGTCAAGAGTGCGACCCAAGGATTGTCAGCACATCAACGCTCGTCGACGACTCGCTGCCGCGCTGCTAGGCTTGTCAGCGCCGGTTACCGTAGCTCCGGATTGCCTGGCGGCTGTTGCTCGCCTTCTCCGCCGCCACTCGTAGCACAAGAATTGGCTGTCAATGCCCCCAACGAGCCTTCTCCGCGTTGAGCAAACGGAGTGAGGCCCAATTCTTTGTGTCGCCCGTCTTCCGCGCCTGAAGTTAGCCGCGCCTTGAGGCCTGTCAATTGGCGCCATGTCGTACAGGACCAGAATTATTGAACCTGGATCCTTGACAATCGATCCTGTGACGACCTGTGGGTCGTCGATCCGGCTCTGACAGCGTCGACAACACGACGATAACTTCGTAGAAATCTACCCAATAAACGCGTCAAACGTGCTGGTTCGGGTGCGTGCTGTTGTTTGGTATCCAATTACGCTCGTTATCAGCCTTGCCTCTCGTCATGCGAACTACTGATCTAAGCTCGGGGCTGACGACTACACGAGCACGAGAACCAAAACTTCAGCGCACTCGATCCGGCCAATGCAGCACAATGGGCCCATACCTACTCTCAATGCAAGCTTGAACTTTCTCGAGTGTGCGCCGGCCGCTGCGGCTCAATCCCGTTTCTAGCGTGTAGTCGTTCCTTCCTCCACGACCTCTTGTGTCCACCGGCGCTTACAGCCCATGTCTCAATGGCAAGCGATCCACCAACACTCCACCAAATCTTCTCGCCGATAACAACACACCAGCTCCAACGCCTCTCCGGACGCCCTCCTCCTGCACCGCGCCGCAATCTCACAGTGCCTCCAGCGCCTTCGGGCTGTTGCTGACATGCACAACGCCGCCGCCTGAAAATTGCATAGAACAATGCCGATCAGCATAAATCCGCCTTGCACTTCCGTCCGTCAGGCGGCACGAGTCCCGCGTTGCACCAGAGGCCGTCTTGTGGTACACACAATGCACGATCCTGATTACGCATGCCCGTACCATCAGAGCTGACCAGCCTCGCTACCATCACTTTCCCCCGCCACACAAACCCTAATCCACCACCAACACCACCGCACCTCGCTCGCCTAACCACCACCTCCCCCGTTCTAAATAAACCCTCCTGTGCAGTCACACTAAAACTAACACCCAACTCCCCACTGCCTCCACCACTGCTCCGCCCACTGACACTGACGCGCTGAGACCCCTCCACTGCACTGCTCACCGCTGACGTAGCACTCCTCGAAATACCCCCGTGCCGCCCGGCGAATGTTCTACAGATCGTGAACGTGGCACAAGGGAGATCCCGGGGCCGCGCCGTCGATCGGCCTGCGCCTCGATGGGTCCGGAGGTGTATATTTAGAGGTCGGTGTGTGGTGAGTCTGCCTTGCTGCGATGTTGGGTGAGCGTTTGGTGTTGGTGCTTTGTGAGGTGGGCGATGGGATCGGTGAGTGAGTAGACGGTGTGTTGTATGATGGGTCTGAGTGATATTTCGGTATCTTGCTACGAGCATACTCACTGTTTATACGCAGGCAGTCAAGGAAATTGAAATCGAAATCGGGGTTGTGGCATGTTTGCTGATACATGTTTGCTAATACAGAGCGTATGCCTAGACGATCTCGAGACCCGTTGCTATCAACCTACATGCATTGCAAGTATATAAGCGTTGCCTATGATGTTCCGTGTATGTAAGTGATCTCGACCACTCTGTATCCCATACTCTCCTCCAAGCTGGACACTCGAAGACTGTCATCCCACCTCAACTCGTCTCTGTAGACTCAGCGTGCTGACATACGATTACGTTCAGCGTCTGCCTTCACGCATTCTCAGCCCAGTCAAGGATTCGCAGAGCATGCCACAACGCATGTAATCTGTTCCGGTCAACAAGCTCGCCGCAACGTTGAGCGACGGATCCGTTGAGCGTCCAAGGCCAGAATCCCTTCCTTTCGTGCTTCTGCGTCACCCTCTCTACGTAGTCTCTCCCTAATGACTGTAGATCACTTTCTGTGGCAGGATACCCTGGTCCACGTCTAGCCCGGCCAGAATTGGAACTCGGCCATGACACCTCCATGGCAGCACCAGTTCCATCGATCCAAATATCTGGTGCGATTCTGTCCACTGTCGCTTTGAGCATTGCGGCGGATAGTAGAATAAAACACCGGCGGCGTAAATTCTGCAGTTGTATCTCGTAGGTTTCCACCGTGCCTCCAGCAGGTTCCAAAGCTCCCACAGTGAACCTTACAGTTGTGTACTTGTTCAGATCGTATGTCAGACGAATCAAAGGCAAGACGTTGATACGTAAGCCTGCCAAAGTCTCATCGGGTACATTGAATCGCAGCAGCATTGTTGGACCAGGCCAAAAGTCAATTGGTCCTGAAAGGTGGGGACAGAACGGTTTCAATATTGATCCGTACATGCCTCCCAACCAGTCGCGCAGCTTTCTGAAATTGTCGAAGCTCGATTGTTTCTCCAGGGTCTCCATCTCCAAAACGATCTGGTTATGTTTCCTTAGATTGTTGTAAGCATACCTACGAGCATCCCAATTGAGCCGCAGGAGGGTGTGGTCGAGGCCAGTGACTGTACTGTTGTGTAGATCAAAGGTAATCGTGGTGCCGTAGGTCATGACATAGTGCCAAATGTCGAACAGCACAGAACATGGAAGAGTATTATCGAGTGTTGGCTTTCTAACGGAAGACCGTCTAACAGTACCATTGTCGCTAAGCTCGAATCTGGTGACGCTGATTGCAAAGCGTTTCGGGCCCCAGGATCTAACACTTGATCGATAGATAATCTCATCCAGCGGAGGATAATCTTGGTTATGGATGATCTCAATGTAGACACCCTCCAAAGATCTCTCGAATCGCCCGTAACGGCGGATGCCCATGTGGTCTGCCACGGCGAACGAGTGCAACATCTTGTTCATCCGCGGTATGCAGATCTTGGGAGCTCCTCCGTTGTCTAAGTGATGATGAACCATACTGTGGATCCTAAGACCTGTATTGTCGAAACAGATCTGAGGCGTGCTACCGGGTCTTGCCCACAGCACACGCAGTAGTGGTAGGAGGTTTATTTCCCTGCTTTCTTGACACGTTTCTCGACAACATCGGTCAACGTCAATGACGACTTTCGTGATAAAGGAAAACTGAGAGCCAATGGATTGGAGAAAACCGGACGCTGTTGATATCTGAGACGTGATCCAGTTGTGTCGGTGTTCAGGTACCGTGACACAGAACGTATTATCACTGTAGAGAACACCGACAGCTTCGTGATAGATCTGACGACAAACTCTAAGCAGTAGAATTGCATGGTTCAAGTCGTGGGTCTTCTTGTCCATGTATGCAGCGGCTTCAAGCTCTGCTTGCGATTCATCCTCGGAGGAATCCCCAGAGCGGTATTCGTCATCTTCGAGCCACGCCGGATATTCCTCTTGCATCTCAGGATCAATGACCAGGATAGGCTGATCTCTCTTGAACAGAATCTCGTACACCGCATTTCGTACCTCCGGCGGGAACGTGGTGAGGAAGGAAGGTGCATCAGGATCGGCAGGCTGCGACGTCGACCGCTGGATCTCGATAACTTGTGGCTCCGCCGTGTCATTTGGACCCCCTCGCATAGGGATGGGCTCATTGAGAATGAACTTCGGAGGCGCCATGATGGGCCGGCAAGCTAAAGCTTTGACTGCGGCGTGCGCTCGAAGAGGTGGTAAGTGCCGCTGCGGAAACGCCGCTGCGTGGTCTGCAGCTGGTGGACGCGAGGTATTAGGGCGGCGGCGACATGTTCGTCGCGAGGTAATTGTCGTGGTGAGAGATGGGAGCAGGGTGAGATTAGGGTGGAGCAGTAAACAAGAAGCAAACAGCGCCGCGCAACGGAAGGCGCCAACGTCACCTTCCTCGCCAGATATGTACGTCCGCTCACAGAAGAAATTTTGACTAGGTCTGCTCTATTGAACGGTACACTGTTACTCTAAAACAAGGCAAAAGACCCCAAAGAAGCTGAATGCTCTACACCTATGCTTCATGCGACGTTCCAATCACGACTGTAGAGACGCTCTTGTAGGTATCCTCCGGCTCAACATCGACCATTGATGTTCAGGCCCACTGACTGGGTCCTCGATCTTCCGAGAGCTGCCAGCTTCTCCAACGAGGATATGAGTCCCACATCGCTTCGACGTCTGAGCGAGTCATCTTGTCCCAGTCCTCGAAGTCAACGATGTAACTGCCTCCAATGTTAGTAGATTCTTTTCTGATGTGTGAGGCGCACTTTACCATTTTCGTCCATATTCGTCCCACATGATGTTACGTAGAGCACAGTCTCGGGGGTAGATCTGACATTTCCAGAGTTCTCTGAGTAGCTGTTAGCATGTAGACGTGAACAAACAGACCATGCGTACAGAAGCGCAGTTTTGAAGGCTGCCCTGATTTCGTCCCTCTCTTCCTTGACTTTGTCGTACCAGAAGTCGTCGTAGCTGATTTTCTGGCCAGGAACCTTGGTCATCAAAATTCCTATCATGTATCCCCCTGCCATGATGATTCTCTCCTCGTCGACCTCTGGGGTGAGACGGAACGCACCGGCCTCCAAGTAATGCGGTGTGTACGCACAGTCTAGGTCGCGAAGATGCCGGAGTGCAATCAATTCGCTTTCAGTGTAGCGATGTGGTACTTCGACTGGATTTTCAGCTTGATAGACCAGGTCTCGTGCATACTCGAACTCTTCTAGCCTGCGTTCGCGTTCATCCTGGGACTCTTCTTCGGCGAGTGCCTGACGGCAATCATCGAGATTCTGCGAGTAGAGAAAAAGTATCTGACGTGTTCCTTTGATCCTGTCAATCGTTAGTAGTTAGGATGATGCAGCCGAGATAAGCTTACTGGTACTTGATCTTGATGATTGCATCCTTCATCTCTTCATACAGATTTTGTGGATCGCAGACGCAGACGCATTCGAATACCTGTCGAGCCTCAAATGGCGGTTCACTTTGCTGGTATATCTTTGGCGTCAAAGCCTTGGTCAACCGCCAAACAGCGCCGCTGGGGAAAGTCAAGGTTTTCCCGATCAGCCGTCCAGTGTTGATGCCATGTTCATCCTGAGTGATGCTGATGCCTGCAATACTCGAGGTCATCGGTGACTGGCTCATCACCATGGTGGTTGGAGTTGTGGAGTTGTTGTCTCGAGTGAGGTTGACGGTAGATGGTTGCTGAGACGAGGTGATGATGTGATAGCTGAGAAGGTACATACGCAACACTCTATCCCTAATCGCGTTAGCGCGATATTACCCCCTTCACTTACTCCGGCTCGCAGGTCGCAGATAAACGGCAAATTAAGGATGTGAGCTAAGTGACTACGCAACAATAATGTTAGGTAACAATGTAAAGAACTTTTGTAGAACGCCTCCGCCTACAGTAACATAAATGCTTACCTAAATCATAGCTTTAACTATCATTATGGCCACATTATGGCCACAAGTGGTGCTGAAAGTGCTCGGCTTGGAGATCAATCATCCGCCGTTCATGCAAAAACATGAGAGTCCGGGACCTGCTTTTGTTGGCGCTTGGTATGAGCATATCGTTTTGCTTTCACTGCGTCAAAAAACTGGGTATGTAGACAATGGAACGTTTGCTTTACATAGTGAGGAAAGTGCTGGAATAACTTCACTATGTGCCAGAATGCCTTCACTCCAGTACAAAGTGAACGAGAGCTTCACAGTGTGAACAGTCCCTACTGCCCATAAAACGAGCCCGAACTTCCCCAGTATTGGTATTCGACATCTTTCTTACAGAGCATTGGTGAGCTTCAACTCAGACAAGATACAACCCGGTGAACAAGATGCAACGTCAACGGAAGACTGGCCATGAGCTTGTGCTGGGCACAGACAATGGCAAGCCTTCTTTAGATCCCATTGACATTAAGTCGAAGCCGAAATTACCCAAGCACTTTCTAGGTATCGAACAGCTTATATCCCGTGGGATGCCCGCAGCCAACATGGGCGAAAAAGGCAAAGAAACGGTCAAAACAGCTGGGACAGTTAAGCGATACTTTAAAGGCCAACTGAACCACTGGAAGTCGTTCCAAGACGAAGTGTTGACCTTTTGGACAGACGACCAAACGGTTGACGCTTTAGGTCGTTGCGACCACCTTCCCGTCGGAGTAGATCACTCAACTGTCGGAGAGCTCAATCCATACGCGATGTACTTCGGTGAGCGCATACAGTGCGGAGGTGAGATCACCATCTCGGGTAGATTCTACTCGAACGCACTTGAGCATGTCGTACGTTGCGTCGAGACACTGGGCCAACACGCAGGCTTTGGGCCCAAAGAAGTTGTCTTTGGCGATTCGTGGATTCAATATGTTTCGGATCGTGTACCAGGCCAACAGCCCGATATTCTTGGCCAGTTTCGTGTCGGTAAGAACAAGCATGAGGTACGTCTTCTGGGGGAAGTGAAGTTCCCCCTCACCGTTGACATCGCTGATATGGTCAAGCTCGTGTTGGAAGGAGATACAAAACAGTTCTGTGAGATCCTGGGTCAGGTCGTGAACTACATGCTGGGTCATCGCTTGAAATACGCGTTTCTGACGAATTACCGGGAAACCACTTTCTTGATGTTGCACCACATCAGGACAGGCCACGGCACATTGGAGTCACGGATCGCGTTTTCCAACCCGATCATGTTTGATGACACTGTAAACATACACCAGAAACGTATCAGTGTACGACTTGCACTGTTATATTTGATCCATAAGACGGGGAACAACACGAACAAGAAGAGTAAGAACAAGGACGATGAAAATCATTCCTGGCAAATCTCGGAACTCGCTTGTAAAGTCACTGAGAAATGGATCTCAGAAGAGCCTATCGTGGATCAGGGTATCCTGAACACTCCTCTCGAAAACCCCAACCAAGCATCCGAGCGGCGTAGAATAGACAACATCCCTGATGACGACGAGGACGACGACAAGGTAAAGTCTCAGCTGGTTCACACGAACCCTTTCATCGGACCGCGCCCAGACCGACGCACTGGCGCCCCTCCAATGGCCATGGACTACCGCAATATGTCCTCAGCATACCACGAGACACCGACCAAGTCAGCAGGCAACTTCTCCATACAGCGATCGACGTTCTTGGATAACTTCGATAACCATGACTCTTTCGCTAATCGCCCCTCCACCGCGTCCAGGGGGCGCCACGTGATCCTTCCACAGCGCTTGCGCGCACCACGCACTGCACCAGACACCTCCCGCACTGGCCCAGTCAAGAATTCCGGATTCGATGGCAGCGGTATGGGGAATTCTAAGGGTACTACTGAGGTTGCTACTGAGGAAGGGGAAGAGGACGAGTAGGTCCCGGGCTGGGATCCATCGCACTTGGCGCGTGGCAGGAAGTTGCGAAGGCAGCGACACGGAAAGGCAGAGTATCAGGTGGCCCTATTGAATGGGAAGGTCACATGACAAGGCAATCACTGAAACACAAGTAGAGGGCTATCCCCATCATCAGGAATCTATCGAATTCGTATGCATTGTTTGACCTCCTATGCTAGTATAACCCATAACTAACACACGCTGGGTAGCCAGAACCCATTCGCCAGTCTGACGTTCACTCTTCTGGGTTCACATCAACATCCACACCATACTCCTCTACGATCCACGCGCAGAACCTCTCCCACTTCTGTGTCCACTCCTTCAGCCTCTTGGCGCGGTCGCCCTTACCCATCATACCATCTTTGATGTCTTGTGTCCACTCCGTCGCGCTAAGGTCGTCGAAGCTTGCCCATCGCACGCTGTTCTCTGCGAGGCTACCAAGACCCTCCAATCCAAGGTTCTGCCAACCTTGTAGCGCCTGCCAGAAGTCGTGCGACATACCAGAAACACCTTGTCCAAGGATCGTCGGATCATCGTTGCAGAGCGAGCAAGGGACGCCTCGAGCCAACAGCGCAGGCAGCGGGTGAGACATGACTGAGCCGCAGAGGCGCAGCACTTCGTTCGACACTGGGCAGCTTTCCACCAATATTCTCTTCTCCTTGACCATATCTATCAGTAGAGGGTGCTTATACAAACTGAAGCCATGTCCGATCCTCCTTGTTCCCAGAATGACAGCGTCGAAGAGATTCTCGTCAGTGCTGTCGCCATCGCCAAGGGTCTCGCCGGCGTGGAAATAGAAGGGTATGTCCACACCTTCCTCCGCACATCGCTTGCGGAACCAAAAGAGTTCGGGCATCAGATCAGCGAGTGGGCGGCCGAGATCTTCTTGCCCAACAAGGTCATATCCAGCAATGATCTCAGGGAACTCGATCTTCATTTCAATGCACGCTTTCATACCTGTCCCGTGTTAGTGAGCCGATCTCTGTGTAGGCTTGTTAGAGATAGACGTACTCTTGATAACGCTCTTCTTATCAAATTGGCGAATGGTGGTCCAGATCATGCGTGCACCCCAGAATTCTTTGCCTTCCTCGCTCTTCTTGAATTTTTCGATTTCGTCTGTCAGGTGATCAAGCATGTTGAAGAAGTCGGGATCCCAGTCTTCCTTTCCAGCACTTCGGTATGGTGTGTAGAATGCTGAGCGCAGGTCGACCCAGTATACGCCATCATCGAGAAGTACCTTGAACATCTTGCGTAGAAACTTCCGGTAGATTGGTTCGTAGTAGATAAGCGAGCCAAGGATAGGGAAACATGACATGAATTTTCTCCAGACCTCGTTCGGTCCCTCGTGGTGCGAAAGGTGTTCAGAAGGTGTGATGGTGACTCGTGACCGGACCCATTCCACAAATCCCTTCTTGCCACCATCTGGGAAGCTGTCGGCAGCCACGTTCACAAGCACTGGTGTTTTGGCGGTATAGTCTGGAGACCAGAGCGATGCACCTTCTGCAGCGGTCTTGACATACGCAAAGGAGAATCCGGTTTTCCTTTGGGAGTCTTTGTCTGTTATAGGTCCGTCTGCAACAACAGCGATGCCCTCTGTATTGAAAGCCTCCTCCAGTGCCCAGTCAATATCGACCATCGCTTCGATATGACAGTGGAGCAGGGTTCCCTTTGGCATTTTCTTGACAATCTGCCAAAGTTTACTCTTCTCCATACGGTCCTTGGCAAGCGAAAACATCATGCCAGGGAAGACATCAACATGCTCGGTAAGAAGGCTGTCCTCATACTCCCTGGTCCATAGAGTTTGCTGCTCTTCAAAACGTATCTGGGAGACTATGGCAGCCGCCTCCTGGGCCATAGGCGATAGGTTTTGGCGGAACAGGTAGTCTAATATATGTCAGGTCATTTGTTACTGAAAATCATGCTCTTAGTCGAGCGACTAACCGCTTCGCTGCCTCTTTTCCTGTTGGACCAATGCATCTCTTCCAGAAAGGTACTTCTGGATGAATGGTTCGCTCAGGCTCGGAACACCCTCGGCTTTCTCCCAGTCGTCATTTACAGCTCCGTTTGACGCCATCTTGAGCTTGTGAGAGAGTTTTGTTCAAGGCGCAGACAGCTGTGAGGAAAAGTTGAAGTAGGCATCAGTGTTCGGCGGCGCCCGAGGCTGCCTTCCAATTCAAGATTAGCACGTGCTGACGTAACGGCGCGGCCAAGAACAGCCCAGGCTGGATAGCTACTGCGTGCAGCTCTTGTGGTGTTACAGCTAAGAATTTCTATGCATAATGCCTGTGAGCTCGTTCTGATCTCATTCCGGAGGTCTTTCAAGGGGTCCCAATATCCGAATCACCAACTACGGGTGCCGTCTGCGGCCTACCAAACGCACGAGTCATGGTCCAGCTTGGTGAATCGATAAGGACATGGTGGGGAGGCAGCCGACATCATCTGCCTCGACAGCCGCATGTGCACATCCACCCTAGGCTTCCGCCCTGCATTATTATCCTCCCGTGACACGCACACGTCAACGGCTCGCGCACGCCACGCGCCTCACACTTTACCTGCAAACGCCTTTCCACCTCACGTCCTTCCGCTCACCTAACGCTACGTCTTTACGATCAATACCCCAGTCCCCACTTTACTCCAGCCAAACACCTGAAATCAGGGTCCAGTGCACACTACGGTACGCCAATACTACGGGACCACGCTGAAGCCCACCGATTACTTCAACACATATGGAGACTCTTCCGACACAGCGGTAGGCGCTCCACGGCCTGTAGCCTGTGAGCCGGCGCATCACCTACTGGAACAGTCGCCATGGCTTTCTTTTCGGCTGTCTCGAGCTCGATCGGCAAGAAGCTCCTGCTCTATGGGCTCCGGCAAATCGATATCTTGGACAAAGACCCCGCCGAGTTCGTGAGTGTCGACGTCGGCAAGCGAACTACACTTGAGGTCCGGGACGTTGGGCTTCACGTTAAGGTGGGTTCGGAGAATAAGTGGGCAAGCTACATGAAGACTGACGCGGTATGACCAGAAACTTGTCGCCTTGCTTCACCTGAAGTTGCCTCCCGAAATCCACCTCTCATCAGCCAAGGCATCGGTCTTGCGAGTCACCTTCGTTCTCGACTTCGGCGTTCCGCAAATATCGATAGAGGTGGATGGAATACAAGTACAAGCTAGTCTGGTCGATGTAGCCGAAGATGTTGCAACTGAGCGGGAAAGCTCACGCCACATGCCTCGAACGCAGTCAGCGTCTCCACGAGATGCGCTGGACGACACGTTTCCGGATTCCGAGGAGCATGTGCCTACGGTAGATGACCTTGCGAAATCCTTTATTCGAGCGGAGCCTGCAGAGGAGATAAGAGAGCTGGCTCAGGAGCTAGAGTCACGATCAAGCTACATGCAGGAGTCTGTATCGACCGATGATGGCGAAGAAGAGACTCAAGCCGGTGTGGGTGCACCGCTCGGGCTACCTGCCTATTTGCGAAACATACTTAATACCGCACTCGATCGACTCAGTATCGTAGTCAACAATATAGATGTTGGAGTGGAGGATCAGACATCAGCCGAGCCATCGAGCCCACCGAAGCCCAGCGAATCATCACCAGTCTCCCTCAATTTCCATGTAGGGCGCATAGGCATTGACTCTGTGACTTCTGTAGAGCCACGCATCGACATAAGCTCAGCATCACAGCCACAAGGTGCTGTTTCGAGCGCCGGAAAGCGAAGGTTACGCATTGAGAAAATCTGTGCCAGGCTTGTGTCTGATGTGGAGACCTTCATTTCGTCATCGCAAACTTCAAGACCGTTGTCACCAGAAATCAATCGCTCCGAGGTCTCTACCGGACAAGCCTCATATCACGAAGAGGCTGCAGGCGCAATCTTGTCACCCACAGGGTCTGAAGCACCTACTCCTGATGCGGATGATACGCCATCTGTTGAGGTCGTGGAACCTTCTCTTCCAGCACAGGAAGACTCAATCGAGAAACCGAGAAGTACAGGCACCACTCCGTTGACGGCCTCTATTCAATATGACCCGCCTCCAGCGCTATCCCCACGTGAAGAGGCTCCTCTAGCAGTATCTGTAGCGACCGTAGACGACGACAGATTTGCCGACGCGTCATCCGATGATGGGTTGGAAAGGAGCAGGCACGATAACGGCTTAGACCCTTCCATACACGGGCTTCCTGCCCAAGGCTTGAGCGGGAGCAGCATATTATACAATGATGAGGGCGTGCTCGACTATGCGCTGCAGAATGATATGCTGAACTCGGCTTTCGACATCGAGTTTGAGGATGACATGCGCGCTGGGGAGACGAGCGCTGAGCATCATACCCCAAGCCCAGATATGGAAATCGAGTTTTCACCCCCTGCAAGCGAAGCCTCTACATCTACACTACCGACAGTGTCAGGCCTAGGGCTATCTTTTGCACAGTCAGAGGCGGTAGCTTCGTCATCGCACTCTATAAGTCATGGCACATTGCAGACTTCCATCGAAGAGCGACAGTCAAACAGTCAGCTCGTCGAGGAAGAGCAAACACAGACCGCTAGCGACATGCAAACGTCTGCACATGACCTGGAAATCATGCCTGATATGACAGCGTCGGCCTCATCATCTTCTGATGCGTCAGACAGTATGTACATGAGCGCTGTGAGTGCAACTCCCGTCGAGACTTCTCAACGACACCTCCCAGGATCCTGGGACTCTGCTTCGACATCAAGCCGCGGCAGCACATCAGATCAACCAAGGTCCATACCCGAAGAGATGATCTCAGGCAGCATCTTGCAGCCACGCACAGACGTCGAAGACAGCTGTGATACACCTCGGCCGGGTAGCCCCCAGAGTGCAACCACGACTGCACCGCTGCCACCTGTAGAACGATGCTCCACAGGGGAAGCAGAATCTCAAAAGCAAGCAAAGGTGTTCTTGACTATTGACGAAGTTACCGTCTGGTTTCCTTTGGGACTCGACGATGACCGATCATCGACCCCTGTCTCAAGCGCTGAATCGGCGGCCGATGCATCAATGCTAGCATTTACGCCATCAAGACTGGGAGAAGACTCGATTTTTGCTGAAATGCCAGGGTCGTTCTCGAATTACGCACACTCAACATCAACACGCCGACAGGGCTCTATGGTCGAATCTTTACGAAAACCTACTCCGTCGAGAGCGTCACCAAGCCAGCTAAAACATCAGCCTGTGAGAGCCTCGGTCGCACCAAACGTTATCATAGACGTTGGTACAATAGTAGGTCATGTGGACTTGGCAACTGGACGCATCATGTTCAGCATGCTCAATCGAGTACTTAGCGCCTTGACAAGCGGCAGCCAGCAAGAGAAGCCAAGTCCGTTGCCCAATGTTGCAGTTGATGAAGCCACTACTACCGTTGAGGCCACGATCAGACATGTCGGGGTGGCTTGGCTGGAGAACGTCCTAGCAGAGTCTGTGCCTAGTGGGTTGACAACAAGTCGTATGCTTCATCTGAAGCCAGACGATGCACTTCTGGGGGCCAACTTTTCTGCACTCCGATTGACAAGTCAAAGCAGTCCCGGTACGATGCGCACAAAGTTGCAAATCGAGAAACTCGCCTTTTCATCTCTAGGCATCGACGTTATATCCTTCCACGCACGAACTCGCTCAAGACGTTCTGTCAGCAATCTTTCAGAGCAGCTGAGTCATGACATTGAGATTGACTACGAGCAAAGTAAAGACAAGAGAATCACAATCGTGACGAGGCCAGTCAAAGTCAACTTCGACATTCAGCAACTTGATGATGCACTAAGCTCTTTTGGTGGATTCAGTGGTGTCCTCGAGCTGGGCAATTCAATATCCTCGAACAATCCATTACACAGTCCAGTTTTGACACCAGCAAAACCAAAGCCTCGCGGTGTACATTTTGGCGACTTACCACCAGTGCCTGAAGCACCTGCTCCAGCATCCAATATGCCAAAGATACAGATACAGATAGGCGAGGTGGCTTTCTTCCTCAAGGGCCGTAGTTGTGCTGTTCAGCTCCAGACAACGACAGTCCGCATTGCAGTCCGACAAAGTAATGTTCGTCTAAAGGTGTCGGAAGTGCACCTTTCGGGCCCCTACCTGAATGCACAGCAAAAAGGTGCGGCTCTGCTGGTCGAGATCCATGGAACGACAGTGAACTTCCTCTACACGCCTGAAGAGGCAGATCTTACAAGATTGATCTCCTTGATCACCCCTTCAAAAGACCCTTACGAGAACAACGAAGACATCCTGATCGACACCTTCCTTCGACAACGACGTCAGGGATCCGTACTCAGAGTTGAAGTCAGTAATGTAGGTGTTCGAATGTCTGATCTGGAAGAGATGCGAGCTTTTGAGGCACTTGGAGTCGAGCTTGCTCGTTTGTCCAAAGTTACAAAGTATCTCCCAGAAGATGATCGTCCAGGACTGCTTACTCTGGCTTCTGTGCAGCAAATGAAGATTGGAGTTGCAGTCAACGAAAAGCTTGGCGATGTTACAATCACTACCCGAAATGCTTCCATGGCACACGTCGGCTTCCCCGCCCTATTTGCTGTTGAAGTTGGAACTGCCTCGCTGGAACGGGACGGAGAGGTGCTTCTCCACGAAGTAGTCAAGCTCGGACCGCAAGATCAGCTGCCTATGGTCATGGTCAGGATGGTTGGCGACGAGTTAGAGCCTGTAGTAAAGGCAAAGCTGTTCAATCTTTGTGTTGAATACAGGGTATCCACTGTAATGGCTGCACTAGGAATCAGCGAGGATGGCACAGTTGAGGATATCGCCGCAGGTATTGCATCAAGTGTGGCGACCATCACAAGATCCAAGTCACCGCAGCTTATCAGCCGACAGTCATCTGACTCAACTTCTCCCTCAAGCCGAGCTGCTAAGCCATTACAGATTGACCTTCTGCTCAGAAGCTGCGCAATTGGCCTAAATCCTCGGAATGTGGCCTCCAAGGGCTTGTTCGTCTTGACCGAAGCTCATTTGACCGGCAAGCAGATACAAAAAGATTACTCCGTTCAACTGGACCTTCGAAAAGCCTCCATGCACGCCATCGATGATGTTGCACGCTTGGAGGCGGAAGCGGAGGACGCAAAGCCACCTCACAGCGTTTCGGCCCCAAACCGGCATTTACAAGAACTGGGCCGTCTTGGCTTTGTTTCCCTCAGCTCAATATCGGCGGCGAAAGTTCTTGTCAAGATATTGGGTGATGGGAATGAAACACCGCAGCTTGTCAGCGTCGAGTTCAAAAATGAACTTCTAGTGCTAGAGTCTTGCGCCGATTCTACTCAGACCCTTATTGAGATTTTGAACGGCTTGCAGCCACCGACACCACCCTCAACTGTTGAACGCTACCGCACGGTGGTTCCACTCCAGGAAATGATGGAGTCATTCACTGGGGACGCAATGCCTGCTCAGTATGAAGGTGAGACTGAAGACTTTATGAGCAACGCAGATCTAGTCGATGACGAGGTACCCACAAACCTGGAATTTGTTGGAAGCATTTACAGCCAAGACTTACCCACCGATGAGGACATGGCGGACAGTATGCTTGATCAAGACGACCTTGGCGAACTAGCGACATCGCCCGTCGTCAGAGCACGTGGCGATCGAGGCCTTCTAGAAAGCTTCCAGGAACAGTACGAGGTCAGCAGAGAGGAAGAAAGCTTCGACTTCAGCACGGACTACTTCCACGACTCCGATTCGGAAGGGAAGGGCAAAGCCCGCAAATGGGACTCAACTCAGAATCAGTACCACCTCACGAATGAATTCAGGACACCAGAAGCACCGCTTAAGGTCACCGTTCGCGAGGTGAACATAATATGGAATCTCTTCGACGGATACGATTGGCCCAGGACGCGAGCCATTATTTCACAAGCCGTGGAAGATGTTGAAGCTCGCGCAGAAGAGCGGCGGCGAAGACCAAGAGACGAAGAAGAAGAGGACGATTTTGTCGAAGAAGATTTCTTGTTTAATTCTGTGTGGATTGGTGTTCCGATAAAAGACGAGAAGGGCGCGCTTGCACGCCGTATTAATCATGATATTGACGACCTCGCAAGCGAGACTGGCAGTTACGCGACTTCGACTGCAACTCGATCCACAGGGGCTACTAGTCGCCCACGTACTGCGACAAAGTCCGGGCATCGTCGTTTGAAGCTCGAGCGAAGTAAGCACAAGAAGATTGCCTTCTCGTTGATGGGAATTGCGGTCGACTTAGTGGTGTTCCCACCGAACACCGGAGAAACGCTGAATTCGATTGATGTCCGCGTTCGAGACTTTGAGATCTTTGACCACGTACCTACATCAACTTGGAAGAAGTTCATTACCTGCAACATTCCACCCGCTGAAAGAGAGTTGGACAGGCCGATGATCAACTTAAACCTTCTCACTGTCAAGCCGGTCACTGACCTTGCAGCTTCTGAGCTGGTCATCCGAGTAAGTAGAATGAAAATCTCTTCTCTCTTTGCAACATGCTAATCTTAGCCAGGTCGCGATTCTTCCATTGCGCCTTCATATCGACCAAGATGCGCTTGACTTCATAACTCGTTTCTTTGAATTCAAGGACGACTCACTCGATAAACCCGCCGCCCCTTCTGAACAACCGTTTATCCAACGTCTCGAAGTACAAGCTGTCGAACTCAAACTTGATTATAAGCCCAAGCGCGTAGACTACGGTGGTATACGCTCCGGTCACACTACCGAGTTCATGAACTTCCTCATTCTCGACGGCTCAGACATCACCCTACGTCATGCTATTGTCTATGGCATCACCTCCTTTGACAAACTGCACAAAACTCTCAACGACGTCTGGTCGCCTGACGTAACGCGCAATCAACTCCCTGGCGTACTCTCCGGTCTCGCTGTCGTTCGTCCCCTCGTCAATGTAGGCTCTGGTGTGCGCGATCTCGTTGTCGTACCTATGCGTGAGTATCAGAAGGACGGTCGCATCGTGCGCAGCCTGCAAAAAGGCGTATACGCCTTTGCAAAGAACACCACCAGCGAGGTTGCGCGCCTGGGTGCAAAGGTCGCGATCGGTACCCAAACTCTGCTGGAGGGCGCAGAAGCATTCCTCAACACCAATCAGCCTACGTCTCCGCACCGCTCACCGCGCTCTCAGCACCTTGACTGGACAGGCTCAGATCCGCCATCGCCTGACGACGAGCCACGTGCTGTATCGAACTACGCGAACCAGCCCATCGGCGTGCGCGCTGGCCTACGCAGCGCGGCGAGACATTTGGAGCGCGACCTTCTCACCGCGCGTGACGCTGTGATCGCGATACCCTCGGAAGTCATGGAACAAGGCAGCGGCGTCGGTGTTGCGCGTGCAATAGCAAGACATGCTCCGACTGTCATACTCAGGCCGGCCGTGGGTGCAACCAAGGCTTTAAGCAATGCACTTTTGGGCGTAGGAAACGCATTGGATGAGACGAGTAGAAGGAAGATCGAGGATGTAAGTGCTTTACTCTTCCCGCTTCACATAGTCGGATGCTAACGGTGTGCAGAAATACAAGTCCTACTAGACCGAACGTACATTGGGAATATGGGTGGTGTTTTGGTGCACAAATTTGCATTACTTCTCTTCAGATTGTTTGCATAGCGACGGTGCAGCACAGGATTACCGGCGTCGCATCTCCACTCTTTCATTGGCCCTGGCGCATTAGCATTTCCCCATAGCGTTCTCATCTCTTCCTCAAGAGTCCGATAAATACGACGTGATAACACAATAAACCCGAGTAGCAATACATCAGGTCGTGGGGACTTGAACTTGAATTTTTTCCTTCCTGTTTTGTCTATCCTTGCAAACACATCCCTGATATAGCATCGTATGGATGTGCACGTGCATGCTCCTCCTTACATGCTTGACGAGAGTCGAGACATACATCTCTCCTGGCTCTTAAGTACAGCCACCGGCTCAACTGATCATGTAGCCTGACCATATGATAATCGTTATAATATATATGCCTTAATATGTCCTTTCATGGTCCGTGCGCACCTGGAGCCTCCTACGGCCGCGGTGCATAATTCTGTTATGCCGGTCTTGCAAGTCGTCGTTCACGAGACTCTGCTCGTGTGCCGTCAATCAATGACGACCGTGACCCGAGCTCTCTTCGTGTGCACCTTGCTGCGATCCTCCACCATTCTCATAGTCTGCCTAATCTCTTCATTGACCTTGTCGTCTTCGTCTTCGCCCTCATCGCTGCTGGCGTTGGCAGTGTGGGGTCCTGGGCGTTTCTTCGACACTCTCATACCCGAGCTCGTCCCAGTGGTCGAGGAACCGGTAACACTGCTGCCTGTGCTAGTTCCGTCTTCAACTCTGGAGAATTGCGTGCGTACTGGCAAGTCCGAAAGAGCGGGTGCCATGAAACCTCGCAGACTGCGTCCAGCTAGACTGGGGGCGCCAGCAAGCTTTGCGTTGGGATGGGCTTGGTTGTTCGTCATGCCGTCCATGGTCTTTATCTTCCTTCTCCAGTCCTTTGGGTCGCGTAGCTGATCACGTGTGGAGACATCGAGACCGTTTATGGTGTGCAGATCAAGTGCCTGAGCACGGCTATCCGCCCAGTACCAGTTTGCATCAACTTTGTCTGCTATTCGGTTGTCATTCTGTGTTGAGAAGATGCGCGACTCCATCAGACCCTCTCGGCCAGCATCTAGTAGATGATGATGGTGGGACTTTTGGTTCAGCCACAAAGCTAGGGCGTCGCGCTCATACAGGCGACCAAGTATGCGAGAGTAGGGGACGGCGAGCTCCTTGGACGGTGGGTGGAGGGGGTACCATTCGCCGTAATCGTCAGCGACTGCGGGAGGGTGAGCGTCTGATAGCCACTCCTTGTTCATCCGAGAGGAATCGCTCGTGTATGCTGTACCGTAAATCCAGACACTGGAGCGGTATGGTCTCTCTTCGTCCCAGTCGTTTCCCGATGCGTTGTCAAGGTCGGACCACTTGAGGCGGATCGATTTGACAACTAATATATCGGTTGATGTGGTCTGTCCGAGACTAAGATTGGGGAGTAGACGGACGACGTCACCGACAGCGAGCATCTCGTGTCCAATGTACATTCCACGACAATAGACCACAGCCTCGGGCCACGTGCCTTTGAACCGATATTTACCGGTGAGTGACATGACCGAGGTGACTGTCTGCGCGTTCTGGATTGTCGGGTGCCACTCAAACTTAGGTACTCGATGTAATAGATGTCTCCAGAGGACAAATGGACGCGTGTGTCGAACCGGAACATACCTGTGGCGTTTTGATTGGGATTTATCGGAACTGTTCACGTCTGGCAGTGGTTCCACGCGTAAGCCAGAGTATGTAACGTTGCTCTCCTTGTCGCCATTATCGAAGACGTCTTCTATCGTTATGGGCTCAGTAGGTGTTTCGCCGACCAATCCGGCCTTCCAGCTAGGATGGTCCAGCCACAGTTTCGTCCTCTCGTCATACATTCTATAATCCGCCGTAATAGGGTGTCGAATGATGTGTACGTCTTCTGCGAGATCTCGCACATACAATACTATATCTCCGACACGAGGAACCCATTGCTGATTCTCCTTGATCTTGCGAAGCATGTCAGGCAGAATCTCCTGCTCGGCTCTCCAATCCATACTCAACGGCTCTTCGATGAGTTCATCGATCTTCCCATGACGACGAAGCTTGTTGATCAAATTGCGATAGATGTCAGGCGTGCCCTCTTCGTCCACGCGACTTGTGTCCATACCAACGCCAACAATCTTCGGGCGACCCTTGAGGTGCACAGGCACGGGCGGTACCGGTGCAGCAACTCGTGTTGGTAAGGCCAGTGGTGGAGCAGGCTCAGTTGCCGACGAAGGGCGTGAAGACGTGTTTGAGGACGTACCGCTGTAGCTTCGCATTTTCACGCTACCGGATGCGCTCTTGGGTAGGACACCGGAGCTGCCGCTGCAGACGGTGCACGGGCATCCTATACTGTCTCCATTTTCCATAAGATACTGGAAATGGGGAAAGAACCGGTTCGGGGAGTCGAAAGTCCTATGGCTGGGGTGCCCATAGAGATACCTGTCGAGATGTTTGGGGTCTTTCGGTCTTGGGCGCTGCCACAGCGAGTACCCTGCAGGAAGGCTCTCCAAGGTGTACTTGACATGCGGCTGAGCTTCACCTCGTATCTGCATCCATTGTTGCGCGAGCTTTTCCAGATACAGCGTGGGGGGATCGAGCTGCTCATGACTCCCAGACTTTGGGATATGAGTTGCATCTCCATCTGAGCCTGGTCGCAGACGCACAACAACTCGACGTGGCGAAGACATCTTGGTTTGATTTCGATACGAGCTGGAGCGAGTAGCCGCTGCTTAGATCAAGTTGCGTAGGTTTCTGCTTTGTGACTAACAGCACGATATCGCAACACGGGGTGAGTCGTAGATGTGTGGGACGCGCAAGAGGTTGAACCCAAGGCCGCATCCACTTTGAACAATAGTGAGTGTAAATTGAATGTAAGCGTTCTTCGATATCAATCAAGAGGTATTGGCAAGTGAGTTCAGCGATGGGAGTACGACCTCGGGAGCGTTTGTTTGCTGAGGCGTGACGCGAAAGGAAAATTGCAGTCTGCGTGCATCTGGTGAAGCGCACGCGTTTGTGTTATCGCGTGATCGTACATTAGACCTAAATCTGCCGAACTTTTACACCTCGACGTTTGTTCACCTTCACCACGCGTACAGAAGTCGCAGCGTGGTGGAAAGTTCGATCCATAGGTGGCGTTTGGTTAGCCGAGCCACACGTGACTAAGATCTGACACGACACGTCCGCGTATCCCTGTCTAATGCAGGAACAGACATCCTCCACGAGTCAAACGTCGCGCCTGCCCCGTTCGTGTGTATCACTATAGGAAAAACAAACGACTCACGGGGCGCTTAGCAACCTTGTTGCCGTTTACTTTCTCCCGTCAAGGATGACTTCAGATGTTCGGAGATGTTCCCAAACACGTTTGCATGGCGCAAGCGACCTCCTGGACGCGCCATTCCATACACCGCAAAGGGGCTCTGCTCTGCAACTAGATCACCAGTCCTGGCTACTCCCGCCCCGTACAGTATCGTGCCGATGGTCCAAGTCTCAATAGCGTGACAGGGCGCCGCCCGCGAGTGTGATGGGATTCAGTGCTAGCTCGTATAGGCGAACGCGACGCTGCATTGGGTCTTTAGCGTGTGAATAGGAGCTCATGCCATGTGCTCGAACCTCAAAAGGTCCCGACAGTGGACCTCGACGCCGGACGGTCCGTCTGAGGTCCTCGACGGATCCTTCTTTCTGTCTCCTTGTGACCTCTTTCAGCAGCGGACTTGTTCCAATTGTTTCCCTTTCCCGCGTTCGCCTGACTCAAACATCACTACACCATAACATGACTGTCTAGCGTACCGACCGTTGGGGATCGAATATCGAACGATACTTGCGTGTGGACGCCAGCTCAAACACAAGCTACGCACCGCTGCCACTTCTCAACGCCTGAGGCAGGACACCAGCAGTCGTCGACGCCATCATCACCATGGATTACTTCCGTTCTAAACGCTCAAGCGCTCATCAGCCCATCGAGGATGAACGTCCGGCCAAACGCATATCTACGCCTGCAGGCCAGCGCTTGTCTATTGTTCTAGAGGCCAGTCACCTGCGAAGTAAATCTACCAAGCCGGAGCCGAAGTCGAAGATAGAAGTCACCACGACAAGCACATACTGTAACGATCCGACACATCAGCATATCGGTCCAACAGTACACGTTCACGAACAACGAAAGCCTGGCTTCCTGTCTGTGCTGACCGGCGGGAGGCTGGGCGATACGCCGCGCGAAAGTATGGAGGATCAGAGTCATAATGGAAGTAATCTAAGTGTCAGCGTGTGGAGTGAATCGCACACTCCAAGGAGCGAAAAGTTCAGCCAGTTCAAGCCTGAGGTCAAAAGAAAGAGATGGGGTTGGAAGAGACTGGCAGTCATAGGTGCTCTGGTGGTCGCACTCATTGTAGCATTGGCCGTAGGCCTAGCCGTGGGTTTGAGGAAGAAGTCTTCGACCGAGTGAGTACCCTTACAAACCTAAGAAGGCTCAACTAACGCACGGCACAGTGGCCCATCTCCGACGTCGACTACGGGTGCCGGCTCACAGCCTGATAGTACAGAGACCGACAGGCCGCCCACGCCGTCCTCCACGCTCACTCCATCCGCTGTGCCATCAGGTTTCCCTCTTGGGGCCTACTCCCTCGTCACCTTTCTCGATACCGTAGCCACGGATTGTACAAGCAATAACGCGACTTGGACATGCGCACCATATACCGACTACTATTCGGATCCTCAAAAGGCTCTTGCAGTCATCAACTGGGAGATCACTGGATCCGCGGGATCATACAAGATCTCGTCGAAGGACACGTCTGATCTCTACATGACCTTTCAGAATGCGCCGCTGGTTCTGATTGATAAGGATAAGGATACAGAACGATACCGCTTCCAGATCAGCCGGACAAAGACGGTCAACATGACGGGGAGCATTGGCAATACCAAAGGCGACTTTGAGTGCGACTACGGTGCGACCAATCTACAGGCTTATCTCTACACCAAGATGCAAAGGACATACCCCGATGAAACGATCAGTGTGCCAAACACCCCTAACACTGTATGGCCTTACGGTAGGCCGAATTCGTATTCCCTTCAGAGTTCCCTTGCTGACTTGGATATAGCTGTGCGTGTCGAGCAAGCAGTAGGAGGTGGCGAGAATGTCCCTTCCTGCAGTAAGCTATCGGGTGAGAAAGTCACCAACGGCATCAGGGCGCAAGACGCGGGAAACCTCTGCTCTTGCTTGTACAAGAACTGGACACCAGAACGAGCACCGTGATCTAGGGTACCACCCGTTTTACATCCGCTTGGCGTTTATCTTCTTCAGCATCTGCATCAGCATCATCACCGGCGCCTTTTTAGAGATATCCATATTCACTAGCTATTTCCTATTGTCACTCGTTTCCCGATTCATTGCAGCGTTCAAGCCAGTCGAAACACATTATAGAAAAGCGCAGTGTGCGCACGGTCTTTCTACGCTATCAACTCCAATACGAACTCTTGAAACATCTCTCCCAACGCTGAGAAACTATACCTTTATCCTTGCACACACGATTTGTTGAACCCTGTTGCTGTTTGCTCCAGCCTACTCAAACCTACCGTTTGTGGACCTCTGCCGAAGGCTTAGCGTTATGCAAAGCGCGTTCCTCGCAAGCCGTGCACTTCCAGTACTTCAGGCAGATCAGATCCGGCCTGCGACCATTGCAGGGGAGACCTGCCTCCACGTTGCTGCAAGAACGTGAGACAAAGGCAGCACTAGCCGGATCACCGCAAGCGAACAGGGTAATCGTAAAGGTGCACATGTTAAATGACGATTGTTAGGTGCTGTTCTTGATGTGGTGTTGGAAGCTGTCAGAAACTGTGTACGTGGTTGCTGCTCGCTTTATATGGTGTATGCCGTTCAACATTTCTTCTGATTGTGAGACATCGAATGTCTGTTGCACACAGTGACAGCCCGGTTTCAAAGTGAACAGGAGATAAGCCGTTGTTGTAACTGGACATCATTGTGTCAGCTTCGTGGAACGCGAAGGTTCGACTGCTTAAAGTTAATTCCCTTTGGAGCCATGGGAAATAATTGTTTCGTTTCGCCCAGCGAGCCAGCTACCACGTTGCCTAGAAGCCACACGACATATTTCAAATTTAGTTCTAGTTCGTTTCACATTCCCGGTTTAGTGCACTGCTCTGAAGATTACGGATCACCTCTACAGCACTCAGGTACATCCGAGTTGCCTTTTGGTAGCGTTTGAAGCATTGGAGCCTTCTTTGGCACAGCCGATGGAATCCCAAATTAAAACTGGGAACATCCGCATAAGCGCAACGGCACCAACAAGGAAGCTTTCCGCTTAGCGATGCATGGCAGCTGAGTTACTGGACTTTTGGTATTCGTTCACCACTCAGATACATAGGTACTTCACACCTTCGCCTCACTAGCACAGCAGAGTCTCCAATAGGCGCCACAACTTAGATTGTTATTTGTAAGTTCGAGTTGATACTCCAGCCCTATATAATATGAGTGATACCCGACAGCGTTTGTGTGAAGCTTGTCATTTGGTGGCTCCTTACATATGCCGACCCTTTAATGTCAGGCCATAGCAGACCTAGATATCTTGTTTTGCGCAGCGTACGCCAAAAAACAACGTCATCAACACCGAACATGTTTTGGAATACGAATTCATACGCCTTAACGCCTTGACACCTTACGACTCGCTGGATCTGCGAATAGCACCGCCCCGAGGTCTACAACCACAATCGGCCCAATGCCACCTCTTGCTACGCAGATCACAATGTCTGGAGCTGCCTACCTAGGTAACAAGCAGCAATGAAAACCTTGGACACAGCCAGCTGCAACATTCAAGTGCATAATTGTGATGAGTGTACGTACAGTACTTGGATGATTTCTGACGAGATGACAGCACGGCAATCGGAAAGCAGGGGCAGCAATGAACATGCCTCTATTGTCGAACATCCAAGCTGAATCCCATGTGCAGCCTCCACAGGCCTTTTGCTGGTTCGCTCGACATCACAAGTTTGTTTGCTATCGGCTCTGTCTGGAACGGTCCGAAGTCAGTGTTATGAAGCCTGATTGGTTCCACAATTGATGGAAGAGTGGTGTTCGTGGAATGCATGTACGACTCATGTACACCCCTGACTAGCCTCCTCGGTTACGAAAACTCTGCAACGTCTTTCACAATTCACACCCCTTGAAGAAGAAGATGTGAATGTGTGCGGCAAGACCCAGCTCGTTTTTAGCTAACATTATAAATTTATTTTAGGGAATGTCTGCCATCAATGAGTTACAACTTGATTTACGCTTCAGTGGTTTAGTGGTAAAATTAGCCGTTGCCAAGCCTGTCTTTAAAGTAATAAAACACTCTAAAGTGACAGCTCAGTTTCGGCTAGCCCCGTGTTCGATTCACGGCTGATGCATTTTGTGGCCGTGAAGATGCCGCACAGATTGTGCCGCTTCATTTTTGCGTGGAGGAATGCTTGGACAGAAGTGATTGACGAGTTTGGTGGAACCAGGAACATCATTTTTGTGGGATTTTCATACAGGGGCTATACCGTTGACTTGCATTCCACCTCGTTGGGGATTGCTCTTCCAGTACGATAGTAATTAGTCTTGTGATACATTACGGGTTGTGCCGTCAAACAAGATCTTCGCCATACTGCAGTTGAGCCGTGCTGCTGTCACCGAGCGCAGTACATAAGTCAGTCTGCGCTCCGTTGATCAGGTCTATGGCGGTAGCACAACCTCAGCTACGATGCTGCAAACTCACTTCCCCCCCGTGACCCGAATGATCATGCCACTGACAACGGTCAACTTTGGCAATGTCTTTTCTACCCATGCGATCCCCATGGGTTTGGAGCGAGAGCTTTGGCAACGCATCGTGCAAAAATCGATGTCGTGCCTAAATCTTGCCGTTTTGTTGGCTTGGAATCCACTCAGTGTTGTTGTATCTGGTCACCCAGAGCCACTATCACGGTTGAGAGCTGCGGCGAAGCATGCGGAGCGGGCTTGCGGAAAACCACAAATCCTTATCCTTGGTCCTGCCTTTGGCTTGTATGCTGATGACTCGTCCATGATCATGGCATGAATTTTAGCGGTGTCTTTTGCGAAGAGGGAAATACTAACAGTGACGGGGCGGTAGCGGGACTCTTGCACAAGGAGATTGCAGTTGAGTCAGGGATCCTGGATGGATAGAAAGACCTTATACCTGCCCTCAGCCGGATGTTGCAGCGGGGTGGCAGTGTAAGAGCGTGAGTCTTTGCCGGGAGGTATGGTTGCCGGTGAAGGATATAATTTGAGGAAAGGATGAGTAGAGCACAGCAGCAATGGTGGAAATCGCTTGCTGATACTAATCTCACAAACGTCCCCGAGCATGGCCACGCTCACTTTCACCACATCTAGAACAGTTGTTTGCGTATACCCACCTTTCCATACCGTAGCAAGAAGCGAAGATCATCGTTAAAACTTCAAAGGTAGCGAAGACGCAAAACGTGTACCTGAAGCCAAATGGTGTTCGCATATGAGTGAAATCTGTTCTCTTGTCTTGCCTGCGGCTCAGCTAAACATCTCAGATCGCCACAGGAGTATCATGGTCCCTTCGTGCTTTATCTACTCCATGGATTGGTTTTTCTCTGGACGCGCCAACCAGGATGCGCCCTCTCACTTCCGGCCTTCCAGTCTCAGCTTGCCTCCGGGTCCTGAGTGGTCGTGCCACTGGCAGCGGTCCACCTTCAGGAGTCCTGCAATCCCTCGAAATTCGACATCTGTTCTATGAGACAGGAACGGGAGTACCTCGCATAGAAATTCTGCGGTGTAGAGGTTTGGATGAGCCACCATATCGCTCAGCATTGCCGTGTACTTATACAGGTGAATCAAGTATGCGCGAAACCTACTTCCCACTGCGGTCTTCTCGTAGGTCATCTTGACTATATTAGCATGTACTGCACTCTTGGCCATTATTTTTTCATGCAACATGTCGATAGCGGCATTGCCAAGTGCTGGGATGCCGCGGAAATCGGCAAAAACCCAGACGTCGAGCAACGATCGCGTTGAAAGATAGATATCCTTGACGCGCTCCATATCAGTGACAGGATCCTTAAGTCTGTTTGTGTGAATCCAGCAGCAAAAGACTTCGAAAGTACTGTGTGAGCATTCGAGGTTTAGAAGCTGCTGCTTGTCCTGCGACCAGCCGCCCTCTGGGTCGAGAGCCGCTGCGAAGTATGATGAATGCCATACCAATAATCTACGAAGCAGGGTGTATTCCTTGCGCTTCTTGTTATCTTCAACGCATACCACGACAGTGTCTTTGAAGTCGTAACAAGAGCTTTTGCAGCGTAAGAAGCATACCGTCATTCCTGATTGTCGACATACCTTGGTGCAGCTGTAGAAGGACCCTTGCAGACTGAGAGTGACGAAGGGTCGGGCACTTGAAATTTTTTTGTGGTGGTGGGCGTCGGCGGCGTATCTTGTGCGATGAAGATGGAAGATGCAGAAGACGGTCTGGAGAGCGTGAGATGTGGGTCGTGCGAGGCCATTGTTAGATCAACGTGTGGGCTGTAGTGGTCGATATGAGTACTGGGAGGGCATGAGAGATGTCACAACAATATTGACTGGGATCGCCGTTCGCATCTGCCTTCATGCTGGGATCCACAACACCGGCCCGGCCCGTCAGTCGGTCTATTCGACCAATAAACCACCGATCCTTCAAAGGCTTCAAAGGGAAAGTGAACCACACCTCTGTCTTGGCGCGAAGTTGAAACTCATTATGTTCATTACAAAGTGAAAAGTACCTAGTTTGTGATGGAAGCCCTTTTCTCGAGCTCAGCTATATACACGCTTAATTTGTACAGCTTTTCTCGTGATTGGTATCGACTCTTGATGGTAAATTGCTCCAGTCCATGTGTCTCAGAACGCCAGTGGTATAAAAATGGAAACATAACCGCGGCTAATCCTACTTTCCGATCTGCTTCTCGACGTCCTCAGGCGGCGTCTTCACGGAAGGCATCTCCACTGCATCCGTAGGTGGTCTATAGGCCTGGTACTCCTGCTGGTGCTCGCTCTTCTCGTTGATGACAGGCATGATCATCGAGCTGTCAAGCTCTACGGCTCCTTCATGATTATGCGGGAATGGCCCTTGAGGCTGCCCTGGCGAGTATCCAGGTGGTGAACTGCCCCATGTAGATCTGTCGCCTGTTCCACCACCCATGAATGCGGTGTCTGGAGCATACGGTGTGCCTGACCCGGGCTGGAAGCCTGTCCCTGAATCGAGTTCTGCCTTTCCGGGTATCGTGGAGGTAGGGCGGCCGGGGCCAACAGGATTGCTATCGATTTCTGAGGTTCCTGGCCGCGAGTGACGATACACCTGCTTCTTTGGTGACGCAAGTGCGGCAGGTGCAACATCTGGGGACTCGCCACCATCGGCAGTTGGCTTGTACGGATTTGTCCTCTCCTGGCGACGCTTGCGCAACATCCACAGAACGATGCCGATGAAAACAAGACCCAGCGGGATGCCGACTGCGCAGCCTACAATGAGACCAATATTAGTACCAGAGCCGCTCGACGAAGATGCGCCGCCACCTGAGGCATCGGCTGTTGCGGTTGCGGGCGGGGTGATAATGTTGGTGATGTATATGGTCTCGGGGCCCGAACTCCCTGAAGCAGATCTGACGCTTGTCGCGACCGAGGTTACAGGCGTCGAGATGGCAGACGTCAAGCGCACCGAACTCTCAGAGGACGATGGCGCATCCGAGGTAGAAGGAGATGCTGTTGAAGAGCTAGCTCGAGAGGTGGGTGAGCTGCCACTTGAGCCGGTCGCAAGGCCTATGACTGTCGAGACAACTGGATTAGTGGATGCACGGTTCGAGCCGATTGTAGCGTATGCGACACCATCTTGGAGGTTGAAGAACGGTCGTGGCTCCGGCTCTTCCTGGCAACAGTTCACGCTCGTTGCGTCGCCGTTGCAACACCATTGATTGTTGTGATTTGAGCACTGAGTGATGGATTCGCCACCTCCAACAGTCATGTTGTATGTGCAGAGATTAGATGCACAACCGGGTGAATTCCAGTCCTTGTCGGTACAGCTGTACCTGCCGTGGAGGTCATCGGGAGGGTAGTAGCAGAGTCCGTTGTCGAGACACTGCCAGTTGTCAGGACAGCAAGCAGAGCCTGAAGCTGACGAGCAAGGCTTCTCTGTTTTGGGAGCTGTATTTCCGTTGGGGTAGTCTGATTCTATCAGTCGTCATTCTCAAACATCAGTAGACTTGCTTACAGCATGTCTGCGAGACTACCTGCTGTGCAAGAGCGGCGACGGCGACAGTGCGCGCCCACGTAAGTGTCGACCTAACCATGATGTGTTTTGGTCATCGACAATTGGATGTTGTGGGGAGAAGTGATGTGGAGACAGCGGAATCCTTTGCGACTGGAATGCTCGAGCGCAGGAAAGGAAAGGTGGGTGAGGTGAGAGGACGTGGAAGTCAAGGCACACAAGCAAAGAGAAGGGTCGCAAGGCAAGACAAAAGGGTACACGCCCACAGCAACGATGATCGCACTGCAGGGTTCTTAGGGAACGCTCCCGTTTCCCGTGCACGTTTGTTTGTGCGCTTGTCAAGGCCTTCGCGCTTTTAATCTCTTTCATCTTTAACAGCTCACAAACTATGAAATAGCACGGCATACTGCCCAATGAACACGCTGCACGCGCCCAATGACAGGATAGTCTCACGATAGACCGAAGTGCGCGCGAGGTCACGGTGACGTCTTGCGCAAGGCTAAAAGCCAGATACGGAACCACCATCAGGCTTGGCAGGGAAGCGATGGCAAGCACATCTTGCAAGGTTACACTTGGTGTCGATCGCATCGTATTGGAGTCCAAGCTCGGTTTTTGAAACGGTGCGTTGAGCAGGAATGAAGACAGAGCAAATAGAAGAGAGGGACGTACGCATGGGGCTTGATGAGGTTGTCAGGGTACAAACAGGCAATCGACAGTGCCTCAGAAGCAGTCGCAAACAAGAATCAACATTCGCGTCCTTCGATATTGCGTGTAATATGCTTGTGTGAACCGGCTTCTCCGCCTCCCGTTGTGACGCTACAATCACAAGAGCTTTTCTCTCTATGGTCCAATAGTCCTATTTTGCGACCAGTGCCCGTAGCTCCTTCGCGGTACGACCTTCGGCTCACGTCTCACGCGCGACCGAGGTAGGCAGATCGTCCGCTCCGCGCTGGTAGGTAGATCAGCAGGCGACCGTATTAGCCACTCGTATTGTGCAGACTTCGATACGGAATGGAAATGACGTTGATGCGCGGTTAAGGGAGATGGAGTTGGTGGGGAATGTCCCTGAGACGGCGTGTGGCCGTGCGTGTGGCGAACCCAAGAAAGTAACGGAGACGGCGCCGTTGCCCTGCGTCAGGAGGATCGATGGCAGTGACAAGAATAGATCTGTCGCTTCAAGGTCGCTCTACTAAAGTACTCGTCTTTCGTCGATCTGCACTCGTGGTTGCAGCTCCATAACTGTCTGTCGCAGCCGCGGCAAAATTTGGTCGCTGGGGTGAGCGAAGCTTCGAATGATTGAAGCCACGCGACACGGGCGCTCCGACTGTGCCTAATCTGTGGAACTAGACCCCAGTTTTTCGCCCGGCCTTCGTGAACTTCTGTGGGTACACTTGAAGCAATCCGCTGCAAAAGCACCGAAACTCCGTCAACACCTCAAATCTTAATAGGTAGCACATTTGAACTTTGCAATTGGACTCGGCCGAACCACCGCCTTCCGCCCCACATCAAACTTGTTCTGGTACTGGTTACACCCCATCAGCATCTGACTGGCAGCACTGACAACGTTGAATGAGAACTAACCGTGACATCGACGTTCGATGAATCGAAGCAGCAGAATTGAGTATTACAGTATCGAATTCAGTTTAGTACAAGAGATGCCTTCTCGAACTCAGAAGGCTGAGCCATTACCTCACTAAGCCCCCGTTCGAACGACTTCCATATCACTTTTGAGTGCCTCTACACCAACCCTCCCTCCACAGTATCATTTCTGTACTATTATCGAATGCAGTTCTCATGGCTGTCAAGACTCTTTAGGACCCGGCAGGCCTCAATCTCGCCGTCCGCCTCCGCTTCTCTGCTGCACTCACCACGTTGTTGACCTTAGTCTTCGCGCTCGCAGGCCCATCATCTTTGTCGTTGTCCATGTCGGCATGTAGCACGCCGATTTGATGCTTGATGACCATCAGCAGCAGGTTCCGTTTGAGAGTCTCCGGAATTTCTACGGTTGGCATGACCATCTTGTTCTTCCGAACTTCTTGCTTTGCCTCCTCGGCTTCGTCTTGCCTTTCGGTCTCTTGGTTGGAGATAGAAGTGATCGGGACTGGCTTGGAGCACTTCTCGCAGATGGGCTTGCAAGTGCATACATCCTCTTCCTTCTGCCCGTCGCTCATCTCTGTATCCACTTCTTTTCCGGTGACAGGACCGGCTGCGTTGGAAAGAGGCAGATCCGCCACCTCGTTTGCATCCAACGTCTCGGATTCATCACCATTGAAGCCTCTCACCAGACTCAGCAGCGCCATGACAAAGAGCTCTTTAAGATACGCAAAACTGAAGCCTTCAGATAGCTTTGCGATGATATCGCACAACTCCTCTGGGAAGTCTACAGTCTGGTTCCTGAGGAGCTTCTTACGCCAGTACTCCGTGTATGCGCGTCGCTCCCCCTCTCCAGGTATCTTAAAGTGGTACTTCCTGTCGAATCGACTGGGACGTTTTGAGATAGCGGGATCGAGCTTGTCGAGATGGTTGGTGGACCCGATCATCAAGATCCCATCGTTGGACTCCAGCCCATCGACTTCGTTCAGGAAATAGGAGCGAATGTCGTCGTTGACAAGCGAGTCGAGATCTTCGAATATGAGTAGGCAGGGCGCCATGCTTCGCGCTTGCTGGAATATCAGCCGGATGGAGTACTGCTCCGTCTGGCAATTGGTTTCGAAAGACTTGACGTAAAGCGATGGAATGGGATCGGGCCGGTTGTATAGCGAGGCCATGAGCGCCTTGATCGAGACGGTCTTGCCGTTGCCAGGAACGCCATGAAGGATGACACCGCGCTTCCAGGGTACAGCAAATTGAGCGTACAGTTCTTGGTTGTCGAAGAAGCCTTGTACGTCGTCGATGAGATTTTGCTTCATTGCTGGCGAGAGGATCACATCATTCCAAGATGCACCAGAAACAGACCTCCAGAGCTCCGTCGACTTGTCCCAGTATCCATTGTCAAAAACGAAAATCTCTTCGTGGAGCTGCGAAGTCCATTTTCCTGCAGCCAGAATCAAGGCATCTGTTTCTTGACAGTGGCCATCAGCGATATGCGATTCGGATCGCGGGTGGAGGATGTAGAAAATCTTGGTGGGTGAAGCGAGCATCTCTTGCCAGGTCGCGTAGTATACGATGAACTCTTTGTCTTCCCATATGTACTGGAACCTAGTAGAGCTTAACATCAGATAATATTAGATGGGAGGGGAAGCTTACCTTGCGAACCGGAAATCGTCCGTTGCTTTACCGGGATGCATTTTCTTCTCGATGCCCTCACCAACAGCACGCCAGTGCCTCGTGGCATTGAATTGCTCGTCATCTGAGTCAAGGTTTAGTAGCGCCTGATCAGTAGCAGCAAAGTCGAAGAGTGCGATGGTTTTAGCGTCCACTTCGGTGACGTGGAAGTTCTCGTAAGCGTTGCGGAGCAAATTCAAAATCGTAGTCTTAGTATCGACGCGTTTGGCGTCACAGTGCGACTTGAAGTCATCGAAGATGGAGGCACTGTACTCATGGGTTGCCGCAAGAGTGGATCTGGCTGCCGGCATCTTGTAGGCAGAATCGCTTAAAGGTGATTGAGAATTTGACAGACTGCAATAAGCTCGGAGTCGAATTGCTTTGAAACCAGAAAGTACTGTCTAGAGAGAAGACAAACCACAGAGAAAGCCGGGCGGTATTTATGCTTCAGACGATTACACCCGCATGGTTTAGGTACACTCTCGGATATAATCAAACTTCCAGGAGACACACCCTACACAGCAAGCCCTTCAGCTCGTTGGTCACAGACTTGCACGTGCGCATCGTGAAATAGACGTTCAGGCGCCAGACGGCAGCCTATGCGTGCTTGAGTACAGGTGAAATCGCCACGCTTACGCTGAAGACCATGATAGGTCAGGCTCATCAAGGCGTGCACAACACAGAAAGTGATATTGCGTATTAGCGTTCCTGCAGAACACTGGGAAGCAAACTCGATTAATTACCTCTAATTGTTCCCGGGGACACTGCTGAAGGATTTCTGTATGTTTTCGATAGGTAGCACTGCGACCTGTCAACGCGGATCTGTGCAACAGCGACATGTTGCCAAGCTACGCAACACAATGCATGCTGCAGCAAAGTGGACAAGTCGTTAGCGGGACCCCCTAATCCAACAAATAAGGCAACAGAAGAACACGCGTTTGGTGTGCATCATGCGGGTGCACAGCCGACCTTGCAAGTGTACAGCCAGGCTACAACGTTAAGCCGCATTTGGATGACCGGTGAAACAACAACAATCCTCTGCTTTCTGGCGAAAGTCGTTGCTGTAATTAATAAGATTGTTGAACGTTGAGAGTTATTTTGAGAGAGTTAACACACCCATCAGGACATGTGACATACCTGCATGTCTGTAAGCATACATGTGATGAAGTTTACAATGAGGAATAAGTGCCGTTGGGCTGAGGAGTTGTTGGGCAGGCAGTATAACTAGGGCTGTACTTATGACCATAGGGACCTGGCCTGAATATTCTATAGGCTTCTTTAGTCATTCTTTGCAGTAGTTCACATCAGAAAAGTGTTTGGTGGTTTGAATTATTCATTGGATATCTCGGTAGTTTCATGCTGCCCTCGCATTTCAGCAGAGGAAGTGCAGCTTATGCATATGACTTGGCCAATCTTTCAGGCGTGAATGTAAAGCTTAAATAACTGATGTCCTCTCCGACAATTGCCGATCATGTTCATCGCATCGTAAGAAGTCGAGTCGCAAATCGAATCGCTTAGTGAGCACCCATGGAGCCCTTGCTGTCGTTGGTGTCACCCTGGCGCTCGGCATTCTGTGGTGTTGTTAGAACAGCTCTACACTCAATGATGGCAGGCAGCGATGCTCTCGCCTCAAGGGTATGACGTACCTGTGATGTCTGAACGTCACCCTTCTGGAGGATTTGCTTGATGACCTCATCCTCGTTCGATGTACCGAACTCGTTCTCGAGAGTACCCTTGCTTGCGGTGTTCAAGATACCCTGGGTACCGTGGCTAACATCCATGTCAGACATGCTTGCCTCAATGCAAAAGATGGATAGGCTTACTTGTCGGTGACCAAGATCTTGAAGCCGGAGACAACCTGTGCAAGAGGAATGCTGGAGTCCTTCTTCCAGTTTTGTACGGCCTCCGTGCTGTCAACGAAGACGATGAAGTCCTCGGCCTTGCCCTTGTAGTGGACCTTGGTCTGCTGAGCGTCGCCGCGAGCCATGATGTTTGTATGAGTGGGTTGGTGGTTTGAGGAAGTGGTTTGGTGATTGAATTGAGAGATGTGGAAGCTGAGTGAATCGTTGTGATGAGGGGTTACGAGCGAAGCTCTGGAGGGGTATATAGAGCTTAAGAGCTCGGACCTGGTGACTACGTCATGCCAAGCACGTGCCCTCCTTTCAGCAAGCAATTGCGTTCTCTCGCCTTCTCCTGCAGGATTGCGTGAGACGTGAAGCTCTGGCTGGACCGCAGAATTACCCAAATGCATGGGCGGTGAGTGGCCAAGGACGTAATTTTCGGATATAGAGCCGCAACGCGACTATAACACGTTGCCATGCGTGAACATGCATCAACACCAATTTCAACAGCGTCCTGCGAGATGTGGGTGGCAATTCACTGGCACTCTTTGCCCTTTCATACACTGACTGCTATAATCAAGAGTTGATTGCGATTTCCTAAGTCTATGTTTGTTCCAGACGCACCACACCACACCACAGGCTGTGCCCGCGATGCAGTGACGTCATCCTGTTTCGGACTCAACTGTGGGGCATACGGGTGTGCCTTGCAGGGTGTCGTGTGATCGACTCGATGCTGTTATCCCATCTCGGCCTCGTCCAAATTGGTTTAATGCCGCTATTCCGATAGTATGTCATCTCATAAGTTGCTGTCAGGTGCAATAATAGCATGCAGTCGTGGCATCGTCACAACCCTCAGTAGTCCAACCTTTCCTTTGTAGTAGTCCAAACGGTGACAGAAGAATCGTGATCCAAACGCGAGTATGTTCGAGAGCTTTCATCATCTTCATATCCAAAACTTGAAAATCCGGCTCTTGCTCTTCAGGAACTTCTTTGATGGCGTTACACCGAGGCTTCCTTTTCCCGAGCTGCCACTTTCTCTGTCGCCTTTTCTTTTCAGCTTTGTGGTTTCATGGTTCTGTTGTATCTCAATGGAAGGGTCAGGTCCGCGCATGACGGTGGCATTGGAACCAAGAGACGTCGTCCTTAAAGTGGCCTGTGCACTAGACTCGCTGCGTTGGAGGCTGATGATGTGAGAAGAAAGTCGTCTTGTACGCTTCGGTCTAGCAGGCGTAGGCTTCTCAGTGGAGCGTTCTGCACCTCCTGCGCGATTTGCTAACCGTCTTCGTCGGCTTAGTTGCCGCGTGTCTCGCAGCTCGAAGTCTGTAGGCAGGAAAGCTGCCGGTGCGTTGTGAAAGTCCACCACTGTAGGGGCTGGTCGACGTTCCGATGCGTGAGTCGAACGTACGTCTCCATGCGAGGTCTTGTGCGCCCTGCTACCATACGAATCTTCTGAGCGGGTGTTGCTCATGCTGGAGTAGCTTGGCGAACGGCGTGAAAAATTACTGGCAATGCTTGCCATACTGAGCTTTCGCATGACAGAATTTGCTGATGCCCGAATCTGATTTTCGACTCTTCGATTCGACATCCCTGGGAAAGGGATCATATCCTTCGTCCATACCTCCTCAAGTGCTGTCTCAAGACGTATACGCTCACCTCTTCTCGGAGCCAAGGTGGGAACATGACTTGACGACAAGAGTGACTGCGAGCGAGCCATCGCACCAGGTGAGTACGTCAAAGTGGCTTCCAACGGCTTCTCCGCCTGAGTGTTCTTGATGATGACTTGTGTCAAGTTGGTCTTTGCGCCCAGTGTCACGGCTCGGTGAACGGACATGCGGCGCACCAGGCTGTCTGCGTGGCCGAATACTGGTCCTAGCGACTTGATGTCCAAGCTCAGGGAAGAGACTATCTCTTGCATGGTAGACTGTCCATCGACAAAATCACGCGTCTCGCACATAATTCTTTCACGTAGCTGCGTCTTCCAAACGTCCTCTTCTTGTGCTGAACAGGCACTAAGAATGATCTCGTGTAGCCGATGGTTGTGTTCAAATGCGAACTTCCAGGTATGAGGGGCAGTGTGACATTGCATGCCTATTGATGTTAGCCATCGTCTTTTGCATGTATATTCTAAAAGATACTCGTACCTCGACCATTGTCTGGTTCTTCGATGCTGCCATTTGCAAGGCTGACACAAGCGACCACTGTATAAGGGGTGTAAAATCGACTTGTTGTTGCAAGAACAAGACATGATTTGTACAGAACGCAAACCATGTATTGTCCCTTCACGCGCTCCGGGTTTTGGTACGCTACATGCAGGATTCCACACAAGAGAACGTGACCTAGCAGGCGGAAAACGACGGCACGCGACATTGCCTATAACGCGTCAGCTTTGAGAATGTCCGATAGACAGATGACTTGCCTGTTCCTGGAAAACGAGCCTGTCTTGTAATTGCCAAGTAATTTCGATCAATCGACGGGTCTTTGGGTCGTCCTTTGCTTTATTGACTTCCCGTATAGTCTCTTGTAGTCGGAACAAAGCCTTTTCCAACTCGGCATGAGCCTCTGGATCATCGCACACAGGAGTCTGGCGACACAGATCGTCGAACAGGAGAGGGTACTTGCAAACCCTCTGAATAGGCTACGATCATTGTCATCAGAACGCTGAAGCGGGGGCCAGGGACCTCCTTACCTTGATCAGCAAATCAGGAAAACTCAACGCCTTCTTGCTACCGGACTCGCGATTGTTCTCGGAGACGACGACTTTCTGCAAAGATTCGACCCCTCGTTCGTATTCTTGCCAGCCATGTAACCCTTTACACATTGCTGTGAGATCCGAAGACATGGTCGTCCAATGCGCGCCATATTCTTCATAGGTAAAGAAACGTTTCATCTCAGTCGAATTAGCGAAAGCGCTACTTTGACCATATACAAACCTACATGTCGATTGAATATACTCGCAATATTGCCAACAGTCTTGGTATCGGTGACAAGACCTCGCGGTCTTCTATCCGGAGACCGGCCGATCTCGAGAGAATGTCTCAGGCGCCGAGTCGTTCTGTGCTCGCCCAAGCGACCGGGGATGATGTCTGCACTGTGAAAACGGATGTGCTTGGCCTTGGTGATTGGATAAGCTTCTTGTTGTGCGCTTTTGGTGAAATCCGCTTGAGGAACAGCCTGTTGAAGCTCTGTAAGAAGATCCTCGTGGAGATGCAAGATCTGGGCTATGTTCTGCTGAATAGATGACTTCGTCTGACCAGGTAAGGCAGGAAGGGCAGTAAGAATCATGAAGTAGTCCTGTGAACATGTCAGTCACTGGAGGGAAGGTGAGAAGCAGTCGACCAACGTTGATGAGAACTTTGAGGTCGGCAATGTAGCTTTCTTCTGAAGCCATCAGTTCTTCTACTACCTTGCGGCGCTGCAACGACCTGAGCCACGCGCTTTCGTCAATGACTGACCCAATACCACCACGGTGACTGTCTGTGGATCGACGAGCGTCGGTATTGCTGCTCCTGTTTCCTAAACGGCCATTGTTGTGCGGTCCTTGCTCGGAAGCTGGCGCAATGCTCGTACTTGCAACTGTGACTGATGTAGTCTTGGTGGCCGTGACAAAGCCCATGGAAGACGTCATCGACTCTGAAGTGCGCCGTACTGAGTCTGTCGTTGTCGGTTGAGGTGACCGAACAAACAACACTTCCTCCCCACCATCGAAGGACAGCTCTTGCTTCCTGCGCCGATGTAGGTGCCGCCGGCGCAGAGTGCTCATCCACCGGCGAAACGGTTGCGGATCCGTCAAAAGCGCCTCCGGTGTATCGATTCGTCTTTCTCTTTTGTCGTCACCACTGTTGGTTTCAGGCAGAGGCACATGTATAGCCTTGTACAGATCGAATAATTCCGATCCATCCGTGCGGCTATCGTCAACATCTACACCGCTTGGAGAGCTTTCGCTCCTTTTAGAGGACTCTGTGACATGTTCTAGGTCTACGGCCTTTCTGGAGATATGATTGGAAGTGGCCCTGCTGCGAGGCAGTGCGGATGGCGCTCGATGAAGACCGTAGGTACGTTTTCGTGGCACATGATCTCCAAGCTGCAACCTAAATTCGGATGCTTGGTGCTCAGTTCCAAGATTGAGCAAAGATTGCGACGTGAGAGGCGGCGTGTTCTCCTTTCCAAGCTTCCAGAAACTTGACCTGTTCGAGCCAAGCGTATACAGAGAGCATGCGGACGTATTACGAGCCGTGACATCGCCGAGAGGCACGAGGAATGGGTCCTTCATAGGAGAGCATGACTGAAGGTATGGGTTGTCGCTGAAAGACCGCTTGAGCGGGCTGTGTGGTTGCAGGGACAGCACGTAAGCCATGTCAATGCTGAGGGGCCCGATGCACTGAATGTAGGAGGAGTGCGGGAGGGTGGAATGGCATGTGAGATGAATAAAGCCGCAGCACTGCAACGGCAGAAGGAGTGGTAGGCTGTTACAGGACCTCGGAATACACAGAAAGCATTGCAGTGTACGACAATTGCAGCAGAAAGCACTCCGCGTAACATGGGAAAGCGCAACGAGGAAAGTGAGAAGTGGACTGGCCACGACACGTAGAAGGGCCAATTCAGTATCACACAGGTGCAGGGGAGATTGCACATGGTTGAAGCTGCTGAAAGGTCCATGGGATGCACATGGAGCCGCATGGCAACCATTCTGGCAGGAGCAGGTCACTAAGAAGTCAGAGGTCGTGGACAGTGGCCATGTGCGGAGCTTCAACCAGTCGATGGCAATATTCGTGATAAGTTGGTTCGCTTCAGCTACGATATGTTGTAGTCCTATCTCATCTAGGCCCTCGATGGCATGTTGACGAAGAGAGTGCGGTGGGCGTGGAAGCAATGAGGTGAGCTTAGCAACCTGACCCAGCCCCGCGTTTGCCTCTGAGCGCGTCCTCGAGCTCCCCACCCCCACGTCTGCAGTTCTTCAGTAGCGTCAACACCGACGACCTGTAGTATCGATACTCGCACAATGGATAACATTCACGCGCCTACTGTTTCTTCGGGGCCAACTTCTGGAGGCTATACAAATGGCGTGCCAAAGGAGCAGCTCTCACTGCAAGAGCTCATCGCGGAGAAGGATAGAGTGGAGGCAGAGCTGAAAGCCCTGGGCCAGGTACTGGATTCAGTACGTCCAGCCCAGCCTATACTACAGGAGTCAGCTGACACATGGCTGTACAGCACGGAGTCAACATGAATACTGGCCTCACCACTTTTGACGGCTTTCCACGCAGCGACATCGATGTCCCACAAAGTATGCGCCACCACGAGCACCAAGTGCGGAATCAACTCTGACCGCAGAATAGTACGAACAACTCGAGCGCGCATAATACGGTTAAAGAACGACTACAAAGACCTCATGTCGCGCATCGAGAAGGGTCTCCATGAGCACCACGCACGGATGGCAGAGCGGTCGCAAAACAACTCGGTTGCTGCGGAACAGGCTCAAGCAGGGCAGAACGCGGTGCCAGCAGCTCTAGAAGCACCTTTTGCAAAGGTCAACAGTGTGGTGGCTGGCAGTCCGGCAGACGAGGCAGGCCTCAAAGTGGGCGACAGTATAACCAAATTTGGCTGGGTGGACTGGACAAACCACGAGCGCCTGGGACGTGTGGCCGAGGCAGTCTCACAGAACGAAGGGGTAAGTCACGCAAGCCTGCGGTGCTGCCAGCACTTCAGCCTTACAAGGCTACAAGCTGCAGGGCTTGCACCTAGACCTAGACGCAAACCAAAGCTGACAACTGCGCAGATACCAATCACAGTCAAAGCCTTGCGGCCCAGCAGCTCTGGTGGTCCGTCAGAGACCGTACAGATGCAGCTTACGCCGCGTAGCAACTGGGGCGGACGAGGCTTGTTGGGCTGCCACCTCCTGCCTTTGTAAACAACATCTTCGAAGGGGACCATATCGCGTACTCAGAGCCACCGACAATACCGAGAACCTCAGAATGACGTAGGCCCAGCACGGCCTGACAAAGCATTGTGGTGGTTGGGTTGGTGGCTCAAGGGCGGATCTGATGGGAGACAACAGCGCTTGCTGCGTGGCGCATTGGGCGTGGAACAATAGCATAAGCATGATACCCGGCGTACGATTTGCTGCATTTTAGAATTGAGAAATAACAAGTCGCAAACTGCGGCTTGCTTCGCGCAAATGCTGTGTTTGATTTCTAAGACAAAGCGCAGCCTGATTGGTGCCTAAAGGGCGCCTTTGCCTGCTGTCACAACTGACGTTGCTAAGGAAAAGCGTGCGACCAACAAGGGAAAGTGGCACCGGCCAGCTAGCGATCCCTGACCGCCCGCCGCCAACATCCAAATCTTCAAAACAACCTCTTCATTGCCCCTCACCCAACCCGTCTCTCTCTTCCCCACTCTCTACTAAAGAGGTGCGTCCGCCTGCTCCCCTGCCAATTTTTGGCGCTGCTTTCACCGACCGCCGCTGACATTTCGCCTTGACCAGATTTTGCGCCTCACATCACACATACCCCACCACAACAGACCGCAACCATGGCTGAAGCAAGCGGCGCCATTCCTACCTTCAAGCTTGTGCTTGTCGGTGACGGCGGTACAGGAAAGGTGCGTTGCGACCTTGCAGGCGATGTTGAGAATGTTTTGCGCGGCAAAAGACCCGCGCTCAGCACGACAAACAATCAGCCAGCCGCTCAACAACGAGGGCAGAAACTAACAGCGTCACTCTACAGACCACCTTCGTCAAGCGTCATTTGACTGGAGAGTTCGAGAAGAAGTACATTGCGACCCTCGGTGTCGAGGTTCACCCTCTTGGCTTCACCACCGTACGTTTACCGAACCATCGATCGCACGACCCGGCCACTAACGCATACATAGAACCTCGGCCAGATCCAGTTCGACGTCTGGGACACAGCTGGTCAGGAGAAGTTCGGTGGTCTCCGTGATGGATACTACATCAACGGACAGTGCGGTATCATCATGTTCGATGTTACCTCGCGTATCACATACAAGAACGTCCCCAACTGGCACCGTACGTCATTTCGCTAACATGTCTCGTAATCTCTGCTAACCATACACAGGTGATCTTGTCCGCGTTTGCGAGAACATCCCCATCGTCCTGACCGGCAACAAGGTCGACGTTAAGGAGCGCAAGGTCAAGGCCAAGTCCATCACCTTCCACCGCAAGAAGAACCTCCAGTACTACGACATCTCCGCCAAGTCGAACTATAACTTCGAGAAGCCTTTCCTCTGGCTCGCCAGGAAACTCGTCGGCAACCAGACTCTGGTATGTTGAAACTTACTAAATCATGCATATTTGCGACTAACGCGGTTCTAGGAATTTGTCGCTGCCCCCGCTCTGGCTCCTCCCGAGGTCCAGGTCGACCAGGCTGTTCTCGAGCAGTACCAGAAGGAGATGCAGGACGCCGCTAATATGCCTCTGCCCGATGAGGACGACGCCGACTTGTAGATACGACGATCAATTCGCGTCGAGTCCTACCGCTTGGCTCGGGCGCAATAATGGGTGCACGACATGGTTTACGGAATTTAGCGATCTGAGATAGTCGATTGGGCTGCATCATGAGCTTCGGACATTCTTAGCGAAAATGAAGACGGGCTATGAATGATGGATGGTATCGAACCGGGCGCCGGACTAGCTGGCGTTTCCGAGGCACGAATGCATTAGACGACTTTGGTTTCATAAGGCCTCCTATGCAAGTAAATCGAGTGATTGCGTGCGTTCGAGAGTCTGGCAGATGCGATTGACGTCATCGACAGGCAACAGCAAACAATAAATTACATTTTTGGGCTTCTAACTCCACCGCGCGGAGTGGCTAACAACTGATCGTTCCTCATTCAATGAACATCTACATTCGTTCGTATTGTGTCGACTTTATTTTTCGTTGCTGTCTTTTTCTCCGCCAATTGACGGTTGGGATCCAGAACGCCAGGATGGTATAGTGATAGAACATGCTCATCAACGCAGGTGGGACTGAGCGGAAGCAAGAACGATGAGTGTGGAGACCGCGCAAGGCGGTGAGCGACTGACGCATCGTCGGCGCTCTACGACTTCAACATACTATTCCGCCTGTGAGTACTCGCACAAAACACAACGCACGACAGGGAGTACTTACGGAGCAATCAACTGTGCATAGTTTTGCGGTGGCACGCTGCCACCCTCTTCGATAACGTCCCTGATCACATCGCCCTGGGCAATGTTGCTCCACAAATGGATGCTCATGGCCTTCTTGCTGCTGAACAATGTGTGCGCCACGCCTCTCACCTGACCCAGCACCACGTTAGCGATTGGCCAGGTGTTGCTGTACTGCTGCAGTGTACCAACATCGAGACGAATAGACTGCTTGACAATATCGTCCTGACCATCAGGAACCAGGAAAGACCAGTAGGAGAGGTGCACGACGGACGCCATAACAACGACACACGTGAAGAACGGCGTGTGGTACAGAAGATGACCGGGGAGGCGGATAAGAGACGATATGTTCTCGGCGGAGGTGAGACACTTGGCTGTGTGGATCTCACGCGTCTGCGTCGGGAGCAGGACCTGGCCTGGTTGCACGCAGATGTTCACGCCTTCGACTCGGCCAAAGCCCAGATTGCTTCGCGGTCGATGCAGCATGATTGTGCTGCCGGCGTTGACCATATGAGCTTGGAAGAGCACCTCGTCGACCACGCCGTCGTTGTTGACGATCTCGAGTTTGTTGACAGGAAGATGCAGACGCCAATTAGTCAGATACTGGTCGACGACGTCGACTGCATGGTACTCGAACGCCGAGTCGAGGCGGGCGCATTCGAAAACCTTGCCTAAGATGCGGATAGCATCGATCAAGTAAGTGTAAGAAGAGTAGACGGGAAGGGAAGGCATGAAAGCAGAGTCATCGTAGTCTTGCAAAGACGCCGGGTAAGGAATTTGCTAAAGACAGTTAGTACAGCTTTAGGCGGTGATGGAGTCGTATAGAGCCTAGTGCAGTGGTAGCACGGGTCGAGACTGTGAACCAAGAAGGAAATGATGCCAAGGCGGAGGTATACATACGCCTGAAAAGTACTGATCGTTTTCGCATGGAAGCGGGACGTCTGTAAGAACGTCCTTAAGTTTGAACTGTACACCGGGGTTGACGGCACACAGCATGCCGTTTGCACAGTAGATTCCCCACCATGTTCTCCGCCAGCTCTCTTCGATTTGCGGATTTGACTCTCCGTGGAGTAAAGCGTACTCCATACGGTTAAGGCCGACCTCAAGTGTCAAGTCCTGTGCGATAGCAAAGATGTGAGAAGCCCGAGGTACTTCGTTGTTGGCATGGAGACCAATGGCATAAAGCGTTAATGCCTGTACTGACCACCCATCTCTTGCATAGCTCCCGCTGTCGATATATCTGTCCAAGGCCTCCTTGTACATTGCCGTAGGTATCGCAGCGATATAACTTGAGCCAAGATATTGCACCGCACACTCGAGTAGTGGAGCTTTTCGTTGATTAAAAACCTCCAGGAGCCTCGCCTCCGGTAAGCAGAACGGATGTGAAGCGTAAAAGTAGTGATAGAACGCTTGGATTGCTGTTTCAGGACCGAGGTGGCCGAACTTGTTCAACCTCTGGGTCCCATTGAGATTCATTTGCTGGGGTGCGGCAGGGGGAGGCATGGATTGGACGCTAAGGCTACTTGTCGGGCTGGGTTGACTCATGATTGGTGCATCGCCGTTATAGTAAGAATTGGGGGTCGACAATTGACCATGAGGAGCAACGATGGTACCGTTCGACATGTGGCCATTACTGATGGGAATTGGAGGTGCTTGTGCGCCGTTGATGGCAGATGGCGAGATCTGGTCTTCTGGCTTGCTCTTTCTCTTACCCTTCCATCCACGCCGTGACTTAATATAAGTACAGTCAACACCATCCGCTCGACATCTCGAACATCGAACACCGCCATCACACTTCAGATGCCTGCTACGGCACGGCACGCACGCGACAGCGACAGAAGCTCTCTGGTTGGCGTCGGCGGCGTTTTTGCCTTTCTGGCTGTTTTGTTGGCCATCTGCAGACGAATTTTTTCGGCTGTTATCTGACTGCGGTGTTTGTGCGGTAGGCGTTATGCTCTGTGATATACTGTCGTGGGCCGACGAGTATCCTCCTGGTGACGGCTGCATTGTCCGTGGGGAAAGAGAGCCGTTCGACAGGTCGTGGGTCCAGTAAGCGGGATCTACGCCAGCCGAGCCAGCAGGAACACCCTGCATTGTTTGGGCCATAGGCATGGCGTGAGGCGTCATGCGGAAGCAACTTGCAGATGAAATTGACCTGAATCTGGGGTATGTTGAAACGGGCGGACACACTGACAAGTCAATTAGTGTCAGTGTAGACGTTGAGATCTGAAGCGCGGACAACGGCCGCTATTTCACTGCGATCACGTGCTTGGATCCGCCGCGAACCTAGCGTGCGTCAAATCAAGATGATCGCTATCCCCGATCAGCCTTCGCGACACGCGACGCGCCAACAATTGACAGGCTGCAAACAACTCTCCTTGCCTTCGGCGTGGTCCGCATCTCCTTTGTTGCATCTCGTGCTACCCGAGACCCACTTATCCACATCCGATTGTCGACCCGAGAACCTTAGGAGAATCTCGGTCTAATGACAATTGGAGCGCGGGGTACGCGATTCGTTACTTTTTTCTCCTTGTTCGGCAACTCCTGCGTTACCGTTGTGCTGTCGCTGCATTGCAGGCACTCGATTGCGCTTGTGTGCCGACTCGCCAAACTCAAGCCACCCAAGACATGATGGCTGGTTCGTTGACGTGTTGTTTCAGCTTCATTGGGTTTCTGTCTTGCCCACCGCGGAGCACAAGCCACCTTCCCCAAGTCGTGGCGAGATGCTCTGTCACTTCATCATTGTGCTTTTCTGGGCAATGCACTACGCGTCACTCAGAGATTTACATTGCCTGGAAAGAAAAAATTGACAAGACCGTTCAAGCTTGTGGCTAACCAAACATTTCATGGAGTTCATCGCTTCTGCTACGTTGATCGCCATTCGTGGTGAATGACGCTCGGTTACAACAGCTCTACCCTCTTGTCGGATCGGAAACGTTAACATTGGTCCCTTTAGCCACTGTCTGACTACATGGTGGTAGCACAGCATCATTTCAACGGTGTGCTAGTCAACTGTGAGATTGCGTGACGGTGCTCCACGCGGCTTCCATATCTCACATGGCAAAGGGGCCTCTTAACCTGCTAAACTGAAGGGCTTATGTTTGGTGTTTGTTCTTTTCTCCTTTTGAAGGACCGGAGAGTTCTTGAAACACAGATTGGCGATTGCCCATTAGACTCCCCCTCTATCGAGGTTGAGCTGATACATACATGTACCAGACATCTGGTCTGATTCGGAAGGGACTTGGGTTATTTTAGAGGCTCAAATGGATGTAACGTTGAAACGAGCATCCTCAAATGTGCACTCACATGCTCCGCTCCATACCTTCCAAGCCAATACAGAGTACAGCGTAATTTCATTCTGTACAACAAGTAGGAAAAGCATGAAAGGCAGGCTCATTAGCGTTTGAAGCATACGTCGTTTGCGACAAGGCGATTGCTTATCTTTCAATCCGCACTCAGCTACCTGCCGTGCGTGAAACTCAGGTGCGCCACCTTGCCAGTCTTCCGGCGCCCACATTGCTTCGATATATGTAACTGAGTCAGTTATTGATATCGATTGACCATCTTTGTAGAGGAAGAAGAACTTCGAGGATCACCCGCGATCGAGGAGAACATTCTGCTTAGTTTACAAGGTAGGTGGCTGAGGCTGACTTAGCGTGGAGCTGAGGTCAATCAAGGCTGCGCCGCACACACCCCGAAAATAGTATTTGCGGCAACGCCGCAGTCGCGGTCATCTTTACATGCACCTCAGCAAGCCATGGAAACCTGAACCTACGACTACACGTTAATGCGACAATTGATTGCTTCATGTATGTTGAGCGTGATCAGGTTGCTGATCCTTTGTGTGATTCAATTGACAACCTACAACGCGCTGAACGCACGTCGACGCAGTGTTGATCAGTACACCTGCGTGTTCTAGAAACAATGTCGGATTAGCGCAAGACAGCACATGAACTATCATATGATTATGTTCAAGATCCTGACACCGCGCCGCAATCCTTCTACCCATTGTACTGCGCTCCAAAGCCCGGCGTTGGATTTATGTATGTACGTTCGGACTCCGTATAGCATCAGCCACTGCACAACTAGGTCAGCTCACCACACTGCAACATCTGGGCAAGCACTAGCGAGGGGTTGCGGCTGGGGCTCAGCCGTCCCCCAGCTGCACTGGGTAAGGTTGTGGTCGTGCCGTAACACCACCAATGGTGCTCTTATTTAGAATCAACGACATCTCCTTGAAATTGGAGCGCATTCAATTTGAAATCCAACACTACCTGGCTCTCTACACCAGGCCTACGTAATCGGTCCCTGTTCCAAGCACCAACCAAATTAAGGCATGAGTTCAGTCGAGTCACCGCAGGTGATCCCGTCCGTTGGTCACAAGTCGGCAGAAGCGATTCCCGTACAAGTGGTCACAACCGAAATCTCGGATTTGTCTGTCTCAGGACAGGGGTCGCCAGTACCAGCAAGCCGGTCTGATGAGACTGCTACCAGGATCCTCAGGATCATCGAACAGTATGGACTGAACTACGAACGCACAGGATCGTGGGATGGCTTTGACACGTTCTTTCCCATCGTATTGGGGCAGGTTTCACGCGGTGAACCAGTCAAGATGCTCCTTCCTGGATTCCCTTTCAAGTCCCCGAACTCGCGGGACAAAGTCCTCAGCAATCTACCTGATCTTGGAGAAGAGCTTGCATTGCAGCATCTCAACGGTCTTTGCGAAAATATCAAGACAGTGTACGAACATGGTGCCGAGGTACACATCACGTCCGACGGGCTCGTCTACAATGGTAGGTCTTCTTGTCCTACTTCTAGTCGGATGCAGTGATTGATACTCACAGATTTGCTCGGTGTTCCCGATGAGGATGTTTGGAACTTTGGCGAGGCTGTTCGTCAAATCACAGTAGACCACGGCCTGCACCACCTTAGCTTCCTACGCTTGTGGGATCTGCTCGGCACTCCTGGAACATGGTCGAAAGAGCACTACCTTGCAAATGCAGCAAACATTCGCCAAGATCTGAACCGTCGTTACGGCGACCCTCAGTTCGAAGCGGACATGGCCAATAAATCCAGTAGTGACATGCAGATGACACACACCAAATACCTTGAGTTCCTGAAGTCGGATCTTCTATTGAATGAGAAGTGGCTGGCACAATCTGCAGAAGAGCAAGCTGTTACCATTGCGGATACTGCAAAAGCAATGATGGGTCGTTGGAAGGCATTCGCCGCAGCACTTGAAGCGAACCGTACGGACTACGTTCGCTTGTCCATCCACGATTCTGGTGGTAAGGACAAACTGTCTATGGCGCTGATAACACAGAAGCAGCGTGGTGCATTAGGAGCCACGCCATGGCACTCTGTCGTTGTCGCAGAGCTCGATGGAAACTATCGCTCTGTACAGAGACACACTGTTGACCAAGAGAAGTATGAACTTATTTATCGCAACGGACGGCCATACTTTTTCCGCGCCAAGTCGGACCTCTTCAACTGGAGCGTTGAGGGTTGCGACGTCACTTTCGAGCATCTCTATCCTACAGGACTCATCGTTCGTCCCACTTCTGAAGCGCCTTCCATCACTGCTATTCCCATGACGAAGGTCCGCATCTTGGCGAACACGTTCTCTCCAGTCGTTCTTCGCGGTTTCTCCAATACCGCCGAGAAAGACATCATTGTCAAGAGCGCTCACGCTTTTGGAGAAGCCGGACGGGACGACAGTACAGAGCCTGTATTAGGCGGATCCACGAAGGTACTCAGCATCACGGATCCCAGCTACATCGCCATAGCGCCCAAAGGAAGTGGTAAAGCACTCTTCACTCCATCTCGTCTCTTCTTCCGCTACCTTTCGTCCCCCTGGTCAGTGGAACGCCTCGAAGCTGTGGTCCAGCGCCCACACGACACTGAATTCAACATTCAAGACCAGAAGCAACTTCGCCTGATCGTCAAACATCCAGTCACAGGTGAGCCTTGCCTTCGTTGGCTCGACTCTAAAAATAGGACGAGGCTCACCACACGTGATTTGATCCTTGCGAATGACGATGAGATGCTGATCGATGTAATCAACGCTGGGATCTATGATTGGCGTTCCTGCTTGAGATTCTGCTGGAATGAGGGCGATGTGCTCGTCAGCGATGCTACTGCCACACTGCACATTATTACTTCGGATGAAATCGAGGAGCTGTAAGTTGGCTTGATTTCAAAAATTTGAGATGTCGGGAAAAAAAACATCCACGATCCGGGTTTGAATCTTAAATACGACTACTTTGGTGAGTTTGCAGTATGTAAATAGTGCGCAATCGATGTGGCTGTTATTCCATGCTTTTTGCCATGTGGAGCTCGTCGAGTGGATCGCTACGTGAGGCCGATACCTTGGGCACCAGGGCCGTGATGGGCCGCATTAACTAACCCCACTAGCTGAGCGATGTGATTCGTTTTTGCTAATTTGTGGTCACCATCCTACGGTACGTGTGATAGTCATGGAGACAAAATTGACGTTGCTGTGTCAGGACTGCTACTTCGGTCAACCAGCTGCCCCCGCTGCCCAAGAACCCGCCAATAACACGCGCTGCTTTATTGTCAAACCAATTGAAAGATCAAGCATGCTGGGTTTAGCGTTCGGAAAGCGTTTGAGTTTATCTGCATGCGGCATCTGGCTTGCAAACTGTTGCTTTCATGTAGATCATGTCTCTGAACGTTGCCTGTGGGCAGCATCGGTATTTCAGACTTGTCGATACATTACGGCATGTACATTTGTTTGTGATCGACCTCGTGGTCTATTTCAAAGGGGGCTTTGCATCCTTGATGGACAAGACATTTGGAATCCCATACAGCACGCGGTTCCCAATGCCGTTCCCGATGGGTGACGTAAGTCGCTTGCGCTGGGCAGCCACCACACCTTCAAGATCCCAACAGCGACTCTTACGCTTATACTGTGTATGTATGTTATCATATTGCGGAGTACACAATACGACGATGGACCTTACGAAATGAGGTTTAGCGACTCGTGTTGTGGCGAGGTGCCGCCGTTCGGCAAACGTGCAGGCCCCACTGCAGATGTTCAGTCGATCGATCTGAGCTCAGGCCGCCTGATAGCCCGCACGGATACACCGACGAAAGGCCGGATGTCTCGCGCCGAGATGGGCCATGACAGAGGATCAGTCCCACATGCGGCTTGCCGACTGTAAAAGATGCTTGTATCGCACCGCACTCGACAGACACTCCTGCCGTGTCGTTGTGGTCGCCGCACCGTCTCATGGATGGCATCGCACAGTGCAAGCAGCAGCACACTCCGCCGCCCGAGAGCGGAGATGCCATGACCCTGACGATGCCCGATGGTCAGCGTGCTCCGGAGCATGACTGGACTGAAGATCTACCAAAAACGGACCATGTACGCTTCTTCAGGGAAACTGTATGGAGCAAGAGTAGTCTTGGGCCACTTCACACGTGGTCGCCGACCCTGCGACTATTCACAGGGTTCGTGCTGGCCGATTCACGCGCCGCTTGTCTATGGTGGTAAGTACAAGGACGTTTGGTTCCCCAAACGGAAGTTTACAACCTGTCGCTGACTGGGATAGGGGCGAAGACTTAGTTGCCATATACAACGAGCACTATGCGCCGCTCGCATGCAAAGCTCATCCCAAACTAATGGGATCTACCTTCCAGCAAGGCTACCCAGACCTATGGAGTGGTATCGAACCAATCTTCGAGCGATGTAGAATGACAGCAGCGGGCGTCAACTACTCGTCGGCGACGTCTTTGCTAGTGGAGCGCAAGGGATGGCGTGAGGAGACGTTCTTCAATGGCAATTTCGTCCCCGTTGGACCTGCGTATGCGCCGGAGGGCTTCTACAACTCTATGTTCGAAGTCACACAACAAAAACTCGACGACCGTCGTACGATGATGCTGAACAGCCTCACTTCTGTACCGATCCTCACAGTTGATGCCGTTTCCGACCATGTCCTCGCGACGCTGAGGACGAATACCAACGATGTGCCTATGGCGCTGTTATACAGGATACATGACGAGGGGATGAAACCATGGGCAGGTAGCCTATATTTGGAAGGGCATATCGGGATACCCGATGGACACGAACTGCTTTCGAACGACGTTTCGATCGAGAGTGAAAAAGGGTTGACGCCAGAGCTGTTGCGTGCTGGCACCGACACACTGTTAATCGACTGCGACGAGCGCTTTGATGGATTAGAGTGGCAAGGATGGCGTGAGCGCGCGACGAATATTGTAATCATGCCTTTGACAAGCGGAACGCGTCTGTTAGGGTATTTAGTCGCTGCTGCAAACCCATGCCGGCCGTACGATACACACTACGAGCAGTTTCACCGGGACCTCAAACGTATGGTCTCGACCCTGATAACTTCGGCCTTCGATTCAGAATCTTCCAAGAGACGTCAAGAGCAGCTTGAGGCGGATCTCGCTTTTAGCGACCTAAAGCTTCGACACCTGATAAATCACGCGTCGGTAGGGATGTGTCATGTATCGCTACATGGGGACATGTTGTGGGCGAACGATCACTACTACGAGCTAGCAGGAAACAACGCCGCGCAACATACACAGCCTTTCGCTTTCCTTGACGTATACTACGAAAGTGATCGATCAAAGGCTGTGGGAGTCTGGGACAAACTCTTGGCCGGTGACGATCATGCCACCGCCGAACTGCGTGTGAAGCGGCAATACAAACCACCCGTTGGCGAGCCAGAGCCAGCTCATATTCACATCATGGCCTTTCCTTATCGCGAGAATGGCGAGATCAGATCCGTCATGGCTTGTACAACAGATATCTCTAGACTGAAATGGGCGCAGAGCTTCCAAGCTCGACTAGCAGCCGAAGCTCGAGAGGCCAAACGACAGCAGGAAGCATTTATCGATGTCGTGTCGCACGAGATGCGCAACCCTCTCAGCGCGATTGTTCATTGCGCAGATGCCATCACGACTGCAGTCGAAGAGTGCCAGGCTGAGCTCTCAAATATCCCTAAGCCGTGCATCGATGCACTGAACGACAACATATCATCAGCGAACATCATCTTACAGTGTGCTAATCACCAGAAACGCATCATCGACGATATTCTGACGCTCAGCAAGCTTGACTCCATGTTACTCTCGATTACGCCAACTCCTGTCAAGCCATCGAAGTTGACCAGTTCAATCGTTAACATTTTTGAGGCTGAGTTAAAGAACAACAAAATTGATTACAGCATCATCGACGACCAGTCATTATCAAGGCTCAACGTCGACCACCTGCTCTTGGACCCGTCCCGAGTGACGCAAGTATTGATAAACCTTTTGACTAACGCCATCAAGTTCGTCAAACCCTCCAACAACCCTCGCATCGAGGTCCACTTCAGCGCCAGTCGTCACAGTCCTCGCATGTTATTCCCCTCGGATGTGTTTTGGGCTACGACCAGTAATCTTGACAACAACGTAACAAATAGTCCAGAGTGGGGCACTGGAGAAGAGCTTTACGTGGCGTTCAGTGTCCGAGACAATGGCATCGGCCTCAAAGACAAAGAGATTCACAATATTTTTGAGCGCTTTAAGCAGGCGAATGTGAAGACGCACGTCAAATATGGCGGTAGTGGTCTTGGTCTGTTCATCTCAAAGGAACTGACTGAGAAACAAGGTGGCGAAATTGGAGTTTCGTCTTCTCTTGGCCAGGGTTCAACGTTTGGGTTCTATGTGAAGGCTAGGAGAGCAGAGCGGAGACCAAAGACCGTTGGCGAGCTGTTCAGCGAGCTTGGAGCCAACGAGAGAGCGCAACAACCACTCCAAGTACTGCTTGTGGAGGATAACATCATCAACCAAAAGGTCCTTGGCAAGCAGCTTAGAAAAGCAGGGTGTACAGTTTCGGTGGCCAATCACGGTCTTGAAGCATTAAACACCCTCGAGAAGGAGACATTTGATGTCGTGCTTATGGATCTGGAGATGCCTATTCTCGATGGTATGGCTGCAATGCGCAAAATACGAGAGAAGGAGATCGCAGAGGAGGGCCTGCTAGGAGAAGACATAAAGCGTGGCGCAAGAGATGGCGATCGACTGCCAATCATCGCTGTCACTGCAAATGTCAGGAAAGAGCAGATTGATGCTGCAATGGCTGCCGGTGCGGACAGGGTCATGCAGAAGCCATTCAAAGCTGCTGATCTGGTGTACATGATGAAGAGTCTATTACCTCTGGTCACTACCCCAAGGATTGATCCACCGACACCTGGTTTGATAGATCCGGGCGATGCATTGGTACCGTGAGGATTTGAAATTGGACCCAAGGAGTCCAACAAACAGAATATCCAAGCGTGCAGCACTGCATACCGCAACCAGATCGCCGTGACCAGTCGCGGACGACTTCAACTCTTGCCGCAGAATGATCGTCGAAGGGGTTCTCTCTTGCATAGAACCCGCCCGCAGTCTCGATGAAAGCCAATTCTGAGCACTTCTGAATCTTGGGCGATCGATAGATCACGGAAGGGATACAGCATACTCATGTGTTGAAATACATAACTCGCCTCCACAGAGCGAGTACAAAGAACGAAGAGTACATGAATGAAAGCAACACCTGTTATTGCTCTGTGTGTTTTGCGAGTAACATAGCCTCCAATCACGCATATCCGTGTTGTCCAGGTGTCCCGTTGGCCTGTCACAACGATGCGTCCGTGCAGCTACTTCACCTGCGTTGACCGAGCCACGCTATGCCGTACCTTCTATTCCTGTCATTCAAACTACCCTGAATCATCGGCCACAACTTTACGGTCCCGTCACGCAAATGTTGCGCTACCCCATGTATCACCATCGCAGTGACACAAAATTTCGATGTTGGAGTCCTCTGATAAGACGCGATTTTCTCGTCTTGGGCAGCAGTAGCGCTAAAGCAACTTCGTTCTCGAGGAGGGAGAATGGCGGTTCAATCAAACTCGCATGCTGTAAGCAAGGGTGAGTATCCAGTGGCACGTTCTCAACTCAGGCAGCCCTAACACGCCATGACAGCTATAACTTCGTCGCCATCATCGCTGGTTGAGGCTGGAAGTGCTTTGATTCAACAAGGCGCCGCCATCCTTCGAAGCACAGCCTGTCTCCCTGATATCGAATATAATTGCGGCTCGAACTCTCTCTTCAACGCCTGCTGTCCGAGCACCCTTACCTGTGTGGGAATGAACAAATTTAGATGTTGTTTACCATGGACAAATTGTGCAACTGAACAACTCTGCGCAAACTCGTCCTGGGCTCTATTCGATAACAACGGATACTGTTGCTGCGATCGCGACTCCTCGGGATACAACCTAAGCCATCATCAAGCATGTCTAGGCCAAGGGACTTCGATAAGCAGCGGAACACTGCTGCCCACACTCCTAATTGACCCTGGTGAGTGATTTTGCTCGGATTAACCCCCAAATTCAAGAGGTTAACGCTCGAATGTAGCTGCTACGCCATCGCTGATTGAGACCATTGTTCCTGCGGGATCGTCTTCGAAAGCCGCCGCTATTGGCGGAATACTTGGAGGCATTGTCGGATTTGCCATTGTCGTACGCGTGACTTGGGTCATTCTACGTCACAAACGACGGAAGAGGCTTCAGGGCCTTGCATGCGCAGAGGATAGGCTTATACAGATGGCCAGAGAAGACATGCGTAGAAGCCAACAGCTCGACAATCTCTATGCAATGTATGGAGATGAAGGTGGCAAAAGCAGATATTTCGCTCACAATAAGGAGCAATCTGTGCGTCCGTCATCTTTCGAGCTGCAGTGGTCATCAATCCAGTCACCCAGGTCTGGGCAGCCTGCAGCGATCTAAGGTATAGGTTAGGGAAGGCTATCATGTCAACCGAAGAAAATGACGTATTTTGGTACTCATCTTTCATGCCCGCACGATAACGTCCCGTGACTATTACAGTCGTTGACATGTACGTGTCGTTCCTTCACAGTCAGTCCACATCAATGAACGCCAAGTTTGCTCCCCAAACAACATGGAAGGGTACGACCCTTGGAATCTGTCTGCTTCGAGCCAGAAGTGAAAGTGAGTACCCCACTGCGCTCACCGTGAAAGCACATAACTCTTAGCCCCCACTTCACAGCCTTTCTCATTTCCAATTCAATACCGCAATCTCCTACACCAACCACTACGTTTCCACGATGAGCTCAAGGTTCAAGGTGCCTGCTAAGGCTGACCTGTCGACCTGTAACAGTCCATATGAGACTCCTCCAAGGTCGGTATCGCACCTATAGAATAGAGTTACCAGATTCTGATACATTCGCCAGCACTTGTTACGATCACCAAGATATGACTACCATTGTGGTCACAGATGCCGACATAGACAAAGAGTACAAGATCTTTCGCACACTGCTTATGTGGCACTCGTCGTACTTTGCCGCCGCTCTCGAACCCAACAGTGTACTTGCACCTAGCGGTGGAAAGGCGCTCAAACTCGAGTGTTCCCACGAAGTGTTTGACGCATTCTACTGTTGGTTGTACATTGGCAAGCTGAAGGACTCAGTAGTAGAGTCGACAGAATGCAACGATATTTATCTCTCGGGATTCCTGCTCTGCAAAATCTGGGTATTTGCAGACTGCCGCGGCATTCCGGAGCTTGGCAATCGGGCCATAGATATGCTGCATGAGCGGTGCGTAGCAGCATGGCAAACACCTGGCCGCATTGCGTACATCTACGAGAACACAACGGTTGGCTCCAAGCTCCGTGACTATCTGATTCAGTTTCATGGCTCGACTCGGACGTTTGGGTCTTTACAAGAGGGATCAGTAAACCAAACGGTTGACTTCTTGCACGATATGGTACCTCTGGTCGCAAGCAGGATGGCAGAGGGTCCTCTGGGTAGAGATGCGGTCACACGTTGGGATCGTTGTCAGTGGCATGATCATTCAGGACCGGGAGGCAAACTGAGACTTGAGGGCCGAAAGTAAGGGAGCCTGCCTGAGCGAGAACCATGGCAATTAGTTCTGGAGTGTGAGATCTCAAGAAAACAGCAGAGTAGCTAGGGCGAATAGTAATGACACACGTGAGCCAGCAAACACTGCACAGGTACCCGTTCTGAGTATTATTAGAGTCATCCAACTGCTACCCATGCCATCCTCTAGCTCAAAGATAGCTTCCTGCCCGTCCACCTCCACGTGTTCTGGCACTTCATACCCCACCAGGACCAGCATGTGCATCCTTCGCTTGGCCACCCCTGTTCCGCTCCCGCTATCGGTGAGCAGCCCTACGCTTTGCGCAACGAAGGGGCATTGCAGTCGCACTTTCACCATATCTTCATTGTAGCGATGGCATCTCACATATTTGCACGTGTAAACTCTTGGCTCTTGCTACGCGCCAGAAAATATGAGCACTAAGCAATTGCCTCTTTTGCTCTATCTTCTCGACAAGGATGGCACAGATCATCCGCCTATCACAGTCGAGCATCTGATCGGGTGCTGAGCGTAGCGGCTGACTGTACGGAATATCAATACTCGTCTATGTATGCCCAGCGCGGCTGAGCGAAAGTGACGTGGGTATCCGGGTTGGGGCTTGGAGAGGCAGGTGGGCGTAAACGGCCTGTCAGCAGCGATGTAAGATGCAATTCCTAGGATCTAGCCTTGCTTCTCTCTTCGGACTTCGGTCGTTCATTACTGCGATAGCTGTTACAGTGACAGTCGTACGTCCTTCACGTATAAGGAGTCAATTGCGCATCATGCGTTCTATACGCTTGTGCGCGCTTCTGTTGTTTTTTACGACCACGGATGCAGCTCAGTGCGCCGCGCCGCCACTCGAGCTCCCGCTTCGCTCGCTTTCGGTTGCTCCTGGAACTATTTCCCGTGGCATACCCATTTCGATTGGCACACCGCCGCAACAAATCGTCCTTTCGCCGTCGCTTCAGCTCGACACGCCGTTCATCCCGCGCTATACCAAGTCTTGCATATATGGCGCCAACACACCCATACCGGCCAATGACACAAGATGGGAGGGTCAAGATGAAAAGGCAGTATGTGCAGGCATATACGGGGGAGGCTTTGTCCCGAGCTTGTCAAAGACGTTTTACGACAATGGAACCAATAGTCCAGTCAGTGAGATCTGGTTCAAGAGAGCTCGGTTCTCGGAGTGGCATTTCGTAACCGATGAGTTCGTGTTTGCGGATTACTTAGAGGCGTATGTGCAGCAAACCGAGGTTTTGCCTAAGAAGCGATATGCGAACACTTCTTTCGTATTGGCAGACGAAGGGGCGACATTTGGAGGTTTGAGCAGCTCGGCGTTGAGTTTGACGCCAGCATCGAGGATGCTGGAGACGCTGTACCAGGGAGGTATGGTCGCAAGCAAGAGTTGGAGTTTATCGAACGAGAGCTTGTGTTTGGGGTGCATCGACGGAAATGCATACACTGGAGAGTTCCGAGATGTCAGACCCGCGACTCGTGAACGAGGCGGACTTTCATGCTTGCTGCAAGTGAAAGTCGAGTCGCTCGACTATCACGCTGACGCTACCAATGCGGGTGTGGCGCTGATTGACACTGCGTATGTTACTTGTGTCGAACCTGGTGTACCATTTCTGGTTCTCCCAACGGATGTACGCACCAAACTACCTGGGAAGGTTACTGCTGGTATTGAAACAGCTCTGGGCCACAACAGCTTCTTGAGATTCAGGATTGAGGGCGGTCTAGAAGTGGACGTTGTAATGGAAGAAATTGGAGGAAGTGACACTAAGATCATCGGCGAACAGATCATCTCACTACAAACCGGCAGTTGGGGTGCATACGGGGAAGGGATACCTGTGCTAGGCAGACCATTCACTAAGAGCATCGTTCTGCGCTGGGATGAAACATCACAGCAGTACGGCTTAGCGAAGAAGACCCCCAAAGCGGACGAGAAGACAGAACTGAAGCCATTAGGCTGTGATGACTTTCCTTCCATCAGCAAGTCAGTGGAGACCACGCCCAGTATAGGCGTCATCGTTGGCTCTATCATTGGAGGATTTGTAGCAGGGCTCATATTTACGATGGCTGCAGTATTCTTCTACTGGAGGGGGCATAGAGGCGTGAAGAGCAAATATGAGGCCATGCGTGGCGACGACGCAGTCTCACTCCGAGCAGTCGATCTTGGAGGGCGTACGCTCGAGTCTCGGATGAGTAACGCGTCGAGCGTGCCAGCACCAAGTTTCAGAGAGTCATTACGTTCACACTTCAGCCAAAGATCGGTTTCCCCCCAAAGAGCCGTATCTCACCAACGATAGCCAAGTGTTTGAGGCACCAGAAGGAGGGACAGCGTACCCGACGAAACGGACTAGAGGAGAAATGGGCGTGGATTTTTACGATCAGAGATGAGGGAAATAGTTGCTCCACTCTGGCGTACTGTAGATGGCTTCTGGCTGCCGCCTCAGACAAATGAAAGCTTCTGCGACGATGAATACTCTTGCCGTCATGAAGAGCGGAATCAAGATCCATTTCCAAAAGATCCTGAACTTCTTGCTGTTGCGCACATGGCTCTCTGCTGCTTCGAGTTGCGGTAGCTGGTTCGTTGCAAGGAAGAAAAGCGCTAGAACAAGGCCGGTGAGCCCTGTAGCGCAGGAGCACGAGATCCACATGATCCTTTCAACAGATGTTGGAAAGTAGTCGTTCCACGCAGCAAGGTGTAGACCTCCATATGCGGCCCCGGCGAAGGCTACAACGGTCTTCAGTCTGTCGCGCTGAACGTTGACACTGCCGAGGAAAGAGAAGCCAGGAAAGTTAGGAATATGATCTCCGACATAAATGGGCTCTCCGACAAAAAGTCCCAGGGATGAGTCGGTGAAGAAGAAATTGTCGTAGTTGGGCCGCCTTTTGCTTTCCTCGTATAGCTCATCAATCACTTTATTCGCTAGCTTCCAGCGCTCGATAGAATTGATCGATAGAGGATCGTGGTTTGTGCAGTCGCTGAAACCTCGTCGGCAGTAGTTACGGGTGTGTTGTAATCCATGTGTATGTCCTTGGAGACTGAAAAAGACCTCGTGTTCGGTTGCTACTCTTTCACACTGGTAGACGTAGCTAAGATCATGATCGAAAGGTGTAAATGAAGACTGATGGTGCTCCGCACCGACTTGCATCTCGTGCAGTGGTCCGATGAACTTACGAGGATCTCTCGCGCCTACTGATCCTACTGACAGCCGAGTCCGATGAGTTTTAGAGAGGCTGATCTCCACGGGCTTAGTACTGTCAACTTTCAGATGCGTGGTTGGTATCGTTGGCGATGCATTGCTCCTTTGCCCTGGCGTTTTGTATGCCAGACAGCGGATCTCACTTATCTCATCCACTTTGTCGCCACTGATCGGGCTGCACATCCACATCAAAGCGATGCAAGGATCAAGCTCGGCGTTGCGCTTGATAATGTATGGGTCCTTGATATCCAATGGCTTGTTCCACCAGAGCATGTAGAGAGCAAAGGCGCATATCACATGCCCGATGGTATTGATCTCCAGAAGTGTGACCGGAAGATCTTGCTGGACTCGGGCAATACACTGTATGATCATCCATCCGGCTTGCACGACAACCAGAAACTTGGCAAGACCGTCCGCTTTACTCTTGTCGCGTACCTGGGTATCTCTTACGTCTGGTAGACGGTTTAGAAATGAGAGCAGACGCGCTCCCTCAGCAGTGATACTGAGGGGGCGACTGGCCGTAGACAACTCGTCAGGTCTGCCATGATCTTGGGCTCTGCTATGGTCGTTGTTGTCTATGTAGTTACCAGGCTCAATTACGATGCCGCCCATAACAGCAAAGTAACATTGGGTCATGGTCCATTCTCCAGGCTGTTTCTCGTTCGTTGCCTCGTCTGCCTGTATACCTGTCAGATAATGAAAGAATGCACTGCGACGTCAGAGCTGGCCGTAATCTAGACCTTCGCGCGGGCTATGTACAGAAACAGAGCGGCTCACTGGGTTGTTGCGATACTTGATGTCTTCTCGAATCTCATTCATCAACCATCTCGCGGTTAGGTACTGCGCAAACGCTGTGCTTACGACGACTTCTGGCGCGAAGATGCCGAGCAAAATCCATCGCAGTCGCCTGACGTTCCTGTCCATGAGTCTCGATTGTGTGGTGGGCACATTGAGGTGCAGGGCTGACCAGACACAAATCATTAGTGTCAGCACGCAGGAAACGATGAGATCCCACGTTCCACGTTCGTTTGGTGCAGAATGCCACGCCACCTCCACGACTGCTGTTGCCGAGAAGGCGCCCCGGACAAAGTACGAGAAGAAGCACAATAGCAACATCGTAGATGCGCGCGAAAATGGATTGCGGCCGAGTCAGAAGGAAGAGAGGCTGACATGGTGAAAACCCCGAGCTGAAGATGAGATGTGGGTGTGAGCAGGTGCAGGGGTACTGTGCAACCTCTGCAGTCGCCATTCGTTCGTTAAGAGATGAGGCAGACTCAAGCGCTCCGTCAACTGGCAAACCTCAGTGAGGATATTCGAGCTCGAGATCCGACTGCACTGTGCTGTAGGGCAAGTGTTGACTGCTACTGTCATGTGCCACTGGAGTGACATGGTGCTAGTGTTATGGTGACGAGCAGCGACCAGTGTAGCACGGGTCGTACTGCACCTAGATAGGCACGTCCTGCCAGATGCGATGAAGACGGGGTCTACAAAAGTGATGAATGGCTGGCCGGACGTGCCTGAGTGCCATCTACCCTCCGTCTCAGGAACGGTTTCCTATTGTGTTGAGTCTCAGTCACGACAGCTTCAGGCGTCCAGCGGCTTGTGGAACGCTTGAACCCCTTGAGCAGGAGCCCCGTCGCTCTTCAGAAAATCGGTAAAAGAAGACGCAAACACATCCCGCCAAGATGGATCCGTAATGACGACTTGGATGTATGGTAGGGAACACCGGGCGAGTACAAGACTACAGGTCGTAGTGTACTGCGGCACAGTGTTGCGAGCCGGGGCCGTGCGCCTCCCCGTTCCGACACACTGAGCGAAACAACAACAGCGGCGACCCTCACCATCACGTAGTTCGGCCATCTCGAAACGCAGCACAGATAGCATACCCTAAAATTAGTGTCGGCTCCGTTTCGACCGCAGTGTTTCCACCGGAGCAGCCTTTCTGGCATCGGAGCCGGACGCCGCTAGGCGGGGACCCGAAGGCTTGTGTAGCAGATGTCTCGACATCTGAATCGCAAGCAAGATGAATATATAGAGCGCAGAAGATGTATTCAGGAATGTTACAATAAAGACTCAATTCATTCAAATCCTTCACAGCGAGATAAACAACACCCCACACATACCAAACATCATGTCGCAACAAAAATTGAAGCCTACCTTTGACGATGTCATGGGTTGCCAGACTGCAGTCTACGAGTGGGCAGACAGCTACGACAGCAAGGCATGCAATCCTCACTATGTTTCACGTGACGAGACTGACAGCAAACAGGACTGGGACCGCCTGCGCAAGTGCATCGCTCCAACACTGAGAATCGACTACCGCTCCTTCTTGGATAAAATCTGGGAAGAGATGTCGGCTGAGGACTTCGTGGAAATGGCCTCTGACCCTGCCGTTCTCGGAAACCCTCTCCTCAAGACACAACATTTCATCGGTGGCACACGGTGGGAGAAAACTGCGGAGGACGAGATCACCGGATACCACCAACTGCGCGTTCCTCATCAGAGGTACACGGATGAAACGCGCTCGACTGTTGCCGTCAAGGGCCATGCACACAGCGCGAACACGCACTGGTACAAGAAGGTCGACGGCGAGTGGAAGTTTGCTGGTCTCTGCCCAGATATCAGGTGGTTCGAGTACGACTTTGACAAGGTCTTTGCTGAGGGAAGGGACTCGTTTGGCGAGGAGAAGGATTTGGCGCAAGCGGCCAATGGAATCCCGGCAGAGAAGATCTCAGGGCACAAATTTGACTGAGATGGAGTCTGAGGAACACGGATACAGATCCAGTTGTCTGGTTAGCGCCAAGTGAGGGAGTTGTTCAATGTGGAGATACCAATAAATGACATGATTTTTCTGCTAGAGCTTTGCTGATGACGCTCATTCTGGAGTGGTGTGGTGGCACATGACCATCAATATCGAACTTCGACATTGCCATGCATGCCTTTTTTATGGAAGGTGATGATGGAGTCGGTTCGCCTTGCTTGCCTTTTGCAGCGCCTGGTGGTTAGTGTTGGTGTTCTGACCAGCGCGGTGAGGTAATGCACCTGCAGGCCTGCCGTTGGCCTGGCGGGCGATTAGCTGGAGCCAGTACCGAAGAATGGAAGCGCACACTGGCAACGTGATTTGACGAAAACGTTGGTGCAAAGTCTGCAGCGCAGCACAGAGCCCCTCACAGGCGGCCACAGCTGGGCCCAAGCAGCGCTGGTGGGGACAACGCAGTTCACGACGCCCTCGCGCCAGCGGGCAGGAGGCACAGCAGCTGCAAGTCATTCACCGCGCGCCTGGGGGTGGGCCTCTATTAATAATGCACGGCCGTGTGGCCCTGGATCGTGCAGAAGCGCTGTCCGGCCAGCGAATCTGGAGCAGGGCTGCCACGCAGCCTTGTCGGCGGTCATCGCAGGCGAGGTGTGACGGAACCACTAGGGAGAGAGGGGAATCGACGTGTTGAAGATCGCCAAAGCTTGAATTCAGCCCCTCAGCCAGTGCGCCATCGTCCCCAGGTTGCTCGGCTGCGAAGCCTTGGTGCCAGAGCTTTCGCTACCGATGCCCGCCGCCACACACGACCAGCGGATTGGGCGGAGTCCAAGATTTGGGCGGATTGGTCCGGCAGCGAAGCTCTCTTGAAAGGCCCGTTCTTCACATCGTCTGCGCTCGCTCTCCCTCCTCTACCCCACCCACTCCCTCTTCACATCTCTGCTCAGGCAATCGTCTTGTGCTTTGCTCCTCTGTGTTCCTTTGCGTAGTCGGTGTTCTCTGCTTCGCGGGAGTTTCCTTTGGCCTTCAGGTAAGTCCTCCCCTCTCATAATTTTCTCGCTTGCCTTGGCGCGGGCGCTGCGTGCGGCCTGGTGGGTGCATGTTCGCAGGTGACGCACATTTTTGGTGCAGACTGTGCGCTCGCAATTGTGAAGCATTGCGATGCATGCATCTGACACTGAGCGGTGCTGGACTTCTGACGTCGTCGCCTGCACGGACGCATTCAGCGAGCGCATCTGCTTTTCTTGCCCTCGCCTGCTCGCTGTCTGGTGTCGCCGACGACGCGCTGCTGCTGCCCACCCCGGTAATGCTGTTGGTCTGTCGCCTCGTGCTACGCCTGTGCATGTGACCGCTCTGTCAGACAGACCTTACTGACTGCTGCCGTAGATCTCAATAGAGCGTCTACCTCACGGCCACTCTTTCACCCTCCCGTCTTCGTCAGGCCAATTTTGGATCGCGAGTCGGAGTTCAGTCTGTCGACACCTTTCCTGTCACCTACTTGCGCAGTCCTTGTGTCTGTTACCTTCCGTGTGCTCTTGCGCCCGTTGCAACACGCCGCTTCAGTGATAGAACTCACTACCGGGACCTAGTGGTGAGTGCAGCCTAATGCTCATTTTGCACCCCTCACTGCGCCTTGGCCGCCACCAGAGTTTGCGTCGTTTCACTAACGCTGACTGTGGCTTTGCAGACTACACACACGACCGCGCCTCTCTATCATACTTACGCGCATTACTCTTAGTCGACGCCTCATCCTTCGCCCGATCATTACCACTTGATCTACCGCAACAATGAGCTTCCAACAGCAATACGAGCAGTACCAGGGCCAGCAGCCCGGCGAGCAGGGTCCCAACCCCAACGTCTCGCAGACCGATCTCGGCCAGCCCATGGACCAGTCCGGCGGCTTCCCTCCTCAGGGTCAGATGGGCCCTCCCGGCAGCGCTGGCCCCGACGGCAACGGTCAGGGCGCCGGCAAGACCACCCTTTGGTGAGTTCCATACCACAATCGCCTGCGAAAGCTCAATTGCTTGAGCGATGGCGCTAACACGATGCAGGATGGGTGAGCTTGAGCCTTGGATCGACGAGAACTTCGTGCGCAGCATTTGGTACAACATGGGCGAGACCGTCAACGTCAAGATGATCCGCGACAAATTCTCTGGGTTAGTGCACCAACATGTGGTGGCGATGTCATACAGGCTAATTTGTGCAGCAGTAACGCAGGATACTGCTTTGTTGATTTCGCCAGCCCTGATGCTGCGTCGAAGGCCCTTAGCCTCAACGGACAACTCATCCCCAACTCCAACCGCCCTTTCAAGCTTAACTGGGCTTCCGGTGGTGGTCTTGCTGATCGCAGGTGAGCAACTCATTCGGCAATTTGGGCGTGGTTCAACGAAGGCTAACATCGAGACAGCCGCGACGAGCGCGGTCCCGAGTACTCCATCTTCGTCGGAGACCTTGGTCCTGAGGTCACTGAGTTTGTCCTCGTCCAGCTCTTCCAGAACAAGTACACCTCTACCAAGTCTGCCAAGATCATGTCCGACCCCATCAGCGGCATGTCGCGCGGCTACGGATTTGTCCGTTTTGCCAACGAGGAGGACCAGCAGAAGGCCCTCACCGAGATGCAGGGTGTCTACTGCGGCAACAGGCCCATGCGCATCAGCACCGCGACTCCCAAGAACAAGAGTGGCGGACCCGGTGGCCCAGGCGGTATGAACATGCAGCAGGGCGGCGGCGGCCCCGGCATGGGCATGTACTCCATGGGCGCTCCCCCCATGGGCTACTACGGCGCTCCTCAGCCCATGAACCAGTTCACTGATCCCAACAACACCACCGTGTTTGTTGGCGGCCTCAGTGGATACGTCACTGAGGACGAGCTTCGCTCTTTCTTCCAGGGCTTCGGCGAGATCACCTACGTCAAGATTCCCCCGGGCAAGGGATGTGGTTTCGTTCAGTTTGTGCAGCGTCACGCCGCCGAGATGGCTATCAACCAGATGCAAGGCTACCCTATTGGCAACTCCCGTGTCCGTCTCAGCTGGGGTCGTTCTCAGAACAACTCTGGTCCTGCTGGAACCCCATACAGGCCTGCTCCTCCCCCTCCCGTCTTCGGTCCTGGCATGGGTATGCCCCCCCAGCACCCTGGATATGGAGGTGGTTTCGCCCCCATGAAGGTAAGATATCCCAGCATTAACCTAATGACTTTATGCTAATAAATCGTCTAGTAAGCACATTCTTTCTATCTATCTCTTGCTTGCACGGCGCTTCTTCCGTGGTTTGCTCCGTTGGCTTCTTGCAATGACCCCTCTCATGACTCGTTACGCGACTTTCGAACGATTTGGTTCCTTTCTCTACCTAGGCGGTTCTCCAAAAGTTCTAAGTTCATTCAACGACACCAACCTTGCACGAGGGCCTTAGAAGGGCGTCTTTGTATACCAGGTCATCTTTTTGCCCACGGGTTTTCTTTCGGAGCTGGCTACTTCTCAATGAGCATCTGGGATGCGGTGGTGCTGCTTTCTGTCAAGTGCCCTTTCCTTATGAATGTGCGCTACTGCGACTCAGATTGGCTATCATTCCAATCACATGGTTCTTTGACGCGTTCTTCGTTTGTCGTCGTGCTCTGCTTGATCGGTACCTTCCGTTTTTGTGAGCGTAGTGCAATTTCGCAAGCTAGCTCGAGTCTCTATTTCGAGTACTACTGTCCATTCAGTGTATGCTAACGACAACCTCTAGTCCCTATCAGCAACTGCCGCAGCAGCAACAGTCGGCTGGCTACGGAGGACCCCCCGGTCTCCCCCAAGGCCTCTCGCAGAACGGTGGCCCCGGTAGCCTCAACGGCCTCGGCCCACTCTCCCCCCGCGGTCCTGCTAGTCCCTCCAACGGCACCCCCGGCGCGTCCGATCAAGCGTTCTCGCAGCAACTGAACTTCAACAACACTTACTAAAAGCGTCTCGCGTTCAGCATCACTGGGCATAATCATCTGCGACATGATTTAGCGAGGAGTTACGGTCCAATCATTACTCGGAAAATATTCTTTATGATTATGCGAACATGGGAAACGCTAGTGCTTCTTATCATATTGGGACGGACATGATAGCTTTGCAATACTTCCAGTACGGCGTCTGGCGAAGTGTTGTATGGTGTCACCGTTGGAACATCAAAAGCTGTGTTGAAGCCTGTTGGAAAAGTTATGAGTCTCGTTGGCGCCGGGCGGCAGCAGCTGCCTCGCCTTTGTGTCCCACTTACTGTCTTGCGGTCACTAGTACTTTGTGCTTGTAACTGCTTTCATGAGGGGTTGGGTCAGTAGACTGCTAGGCCCCATAAAATAAAATTGAGGTACCCTCCAAATGCTGTTCCCTATTCATTGCAAACCCGTTACAGTTTGTCAGTGGAATCAAAATGGCAATGCGGTGTCAATTCCCTGTACTTAATTTTTTGCCTGCGTCATGCTGTCGGTCCACGGCTAAGATTGGAGGCTTGATTGCAGTCGCACTTTCCGCAGACACTTCCCAGCATCCTGCCCGCGCAAGGCTCGTGGACCGTAAACAAGCCCAGTCCTCTTTCTGCCAGCTCACACCCTCCACGCAACACGGCTGCCACACTTTTTGGGCTTTGCAATCATTGTGCAACGTTGGACAGCCACAATTGCTTGCCTGCCATGCGCTACGACAATTGGGATATCATCCTCTTCCCTGATGAATCGAACATCCCCATCCCCGAGTACAAGACTGCTTGTTACTTCTCACGAGACGAAGGTGAGCCGCCAGATATCATTGCATGCCCTACGTCTACGCATCTTGGATGTGAAGGGCAAAGACTGACGCGACCTGCTAGACGGCGTTGAGCTGCCTACATTGCGAACATACATCGGCTCGCTCAAGCCAGAGACTCCATTTCGTATCTCTGTTCATCACTGGGGCCCACAGAAGCCTTCGCCTTTCATACAACAGGTCCAACGCAGGGTCGGCTCAGATATCACCTTCACCGTACAAGTCATCATCGACGGTACCAGGCTTTAGTGAGCTCAGGCTAGATGGCTTTGATATGGAATCCAATCTGATCAATGATAGCCATGGCAGCTTTGCGGTAGACACCAGTTCACCACAAGAAATTGGTACGTGGTCCATCACATTACGGCTCCTTGCGTATGGAAATAATTGGAAGACAGCATACGAACAGCGATCCTTCAGGTCATCACATTGTAACGAGCAACCTACCAGTCATCCAAAACAACGCCTTCTGTTCCCCAAAAGTGACAAGAATGCCCTGTTGCAAAGCTCGGCATGGCAACCTCGTGGAACAGATAACCGTATCAAGATCATACTGTCAGAGCGACTCATCAATGAAGAGGGCTCACTCAGTATGGACTGTTGGGGAATCGTCTGTTTTTCTTTCCAACATGGTCCTAGAGGTACGTACTCGACTTGCGTATTAGATGCGCCGCGCTGAATCAAACAGAGTTGCTGGAGCAGGCCGGCATCGCATACCCAATAATTGACCCCTTGCGCTCCTTGGTGGGAGATAGAGCCACGTTCACGGCAAAGCCTGCTCTATGGAGCACAAAGACTCGTACTCTACAGCGAGGCTCTCGCGAAAACCCCAAATATTCACCAGACTCCGACTTAGAGTCTTGCAGACCGCCCAAACCTGAGCAACACAAACAACCTCCTGCACGAATGACGTCAACCTACCCGTCACAGCTCATGGGAAACCAAGAGGGCGGTGTCCCTGGTGTCTGGCATGACTTCTATCGACCTTTCATTGATGGTGACATCAGTATGGAAACATGGCCGTCGCAACGGTATGCATCCAACGTGACTGGAGTACAGGGCTTCCATCATTCTCCCCTCCCTCAATATACAGTACCTACTTGGCCACACGGTATGGTAGCGTCAGGACAGCACACAGGTCCGAACATGGGCGGCACTCGGCGTCGAAAAGACAACAACGCTCAACAGGTCAGAACGGCCCTTCGGGACGAACAATTTGGGCAGGTTCTGGAAGCTCTGAGCCCATCCAAAATGCATCGCGGTATACCAAATGAATTGCTTGTACAACAGCAAAAAATGCATCAGCTAAGTACCCAGCCTCATCGTCTTCCTAGGATGGGCGCCCTCTCTGTTCCAGTTCGACCCGCCTCGGCAGCCGTTGCAAGTTCGGCTGCGTATCATGATCCTAATGTTGTTTCGCGGAACGGTGCGAAGAGACCCTCCTCCGAGCAAGCGAATTTCAGTGCGAACGGGCGCTCCACGGTCAATCCCCGAACAATGCATCACACAGACAATAAGGAAAATCGTGATTCAAGGATACCAACACATAATCCATTGGCACATGCGCCGCAGCAGTCCGGCTCGGATGTCTCTGCGAGAGACGGTTCACCAAACTTCTCGAGTCTCTCGAGGTTTGAAGCAGATCCGGTAAGTCTGGGCAGCACGATTGGCGGCAAAGCGAAGAGTAAGAAAAGAGGGCTCGCGGCTGAAGTGAGTGACTCTCTCGATATTGAGATCCGTCAAGACCCAAGCTTGCTTGTTGTCCCAAGCGCCAAATCCACAGTGCAAGAACAGCGCAACGCAGAGAATTCGGAAAGAACATCACGCAACCACACAAGCGGAGGGTTTTCCGGCGTTCCTGATCATGTCGAGATCATCGATGTGGATGCAATCGATCCGAATTTGGTCGCAGAAACGACAGCCGATTTGGCTAAGTTGTCACCTTTCAAGCCCTTCCACAAGGCTGGTATGTCAAGTATTAGCAGTACAGGACTGCTTGAGCGGCAGTTGTATAGTGCTTTGGGAGAAGAGCTAGGCAGTTTCGAGCAGCAGATAAGTTCAACGGGGATGGGGCCCGAGCTTGCCCAGGCTCTGTCTGGTGTTGGTACAGACAACGAATTGATTGACAGCACTATGCCCGGTCCTACCCTGAGCGATTTTGGGCCTGCAGGCAAGAGGAAAAGACAAGGTACCCTTGGTGGCGAGAGAGATCCGAGTCCTATGAAGAAAAAGGAGGGGGCGCGAAAGGCTATGGTGGAGGACGAGGAAATGCCTGAAGACCTGCCGCAAATGAGGGGGGATTGACCTATATATCAGCAATGGGTCCCACGTTGCTGGAGATCCGGCCGTCAGCTGCTATGGAGTACTGTTAGACGACTTTGTAACGTATTGAGATCATGGTGGTGGTATACATAGCGACACAGAACCAGCCAGGTGTATTATCACGTTTTCCGCATAATCTACTCCTTGAACCTTCCACCTTCGCTTACATCAGGATACACATCAAACCGCCTCTGTGTATACAAGGGGATACCCTTTCGTGTCTCTTCGATTTTTCCTGCCTGTAGTTCTTGCACGATGATCCCCTCTTTCTCCTCTAATTGCTGCAACACATGCGCATTGGGGTCGACCACCATACTGTGCCCCCACGCATTGTAGTCTGCCTTCATATCTCTCGCAGGGCTGCAGAGTCCCACAAATACCTGATTGTCCGTAGCTCTCGCTCTAGCCAGGAGCTCCCAATGAAGTGCGCCGGTCGTCAAGTTGAAAGCGCCAGGATAGATGAGCAGGAACGCGCCCTTGCGTGCCGCGATTGTCGCCAACTCTGGGAACCGTATATCATAGCAAATCGCGATGCCCACTTTTCCATACTCGGGCAAATCGACAATCGTAATTTTATTCCCTGGCGACAGTACATCGGACTCGACAAACTTGATCTTCCCCGGGATATCGATATCGAAGAGATGCACCTTGCGATGCGTTGCAATCAAATCTCCCCCGGGCCCAAACGTCAGTGACGTATTATACAACGTTTTCGCATCCGCATGATCGCGCTCCGGAATGCTGCCCCCAACCAGGTACACGCCGGCCTCGCGAGCGAGCTGAGCCAGCGCGTGGAAAGTTGGCGATGCAGACGCGCTCGGCGGCGACGGCTGCAGCGTCTCGGCGTACGTGTCGAAATACTTTGTGCCGTAAGGTGAATTGAAGCATTCGGGCAACACGACAAGGTTGGCGCCTGCGCGGGCGGCTTCGAGGACTTTTGTGCGCGCGTTGTGCAGGTTGGCGGTTTTGTCGGCGCCTGAGGCGAGTTGCACGAGCGCGAGCTTGAGAGACTTTTTGAGGAGTTGTGACATGGCGGGTGGTGTGAGGGGGAATTGGGAGGTACCAAGGAAGGTCACGGTGAGCGGAGGGGAGTAGAGGGAGCGGAGATGCTTTACGAGCTCCTTTGTGGAGCTGGGAGCTGTTGTGGAGCTGTTGGAGTAGGTGTTGGAGTAGCGGGGTGCTGAAGCCGATGTCATCATTCGCGTCTACTTGCCTTCCGCGAATCGCTGGTCAAATGCCGACGGAATTGCGTGGTATACGAAGTACTCCGAGTGCAACTGGGGTGCCATGAAGCCATACATCGCCGTGTACAAACGATTAATTCCATCTGTCTTTCAAATGCGCAGATCACCGCCTGACATTACCGCAGAGGCGAGAGATACAGTCATCATGAAGGATTTAGCCCGCCTGGTGACGATTTCGGCTTCTAAGCATCAGGTACATATCGTCCTTTTGAAGACTTGTCTCAGCGCCTTCCGTGATGTTGATTGACGAGGCAATTGTTAATTGAAGTACAAAAGTAAAGAGGGAGAAAGTCACGCGAACACGCGCCACTTCCGCGTCACCTTTGTCTGCCTGAAAGACGAGCAAGAGCTCTCCCGCAAGATGAGTCTTAGGGTGGATCTATACGAAGAGGAATACATAGAGTTAGTCCAGACCAGCACATTTAAACCTCTTGGTTCCTGGGCCAGGTGACGCGATAGATGCGAGCACGCTAAAAATGCGCTTGCCGGTCTCGGTCTAGGTCGGCGTGAGATCGAATGCCGGTGCCGGTGATGAGATAAGGCTATAGTGCGCCCCCGCAAGTTGACTCCAGTACACAGTCTTCTAATACTTACACACCATGGATCAAGGATACTTCGAAAATTATATACCACCCCGATCAGATGAGGTGGATGACATATCCTGGCTTTCGGAATTCGTTGCCACTGATAACGCCACAAGCACCGAAAATTGGCTGGACGAATTCCCTCAATTTTCACCAGTCTCGATTTCTAACAATGCGAGTACCGGCCCACTTGAGTATGACTTCACCGATCTTGGAATGCTGGCCACTCCGGACGATCATACAACAAATACGGTAGTGCCTGATATGGCAGCGCCTCTATCAGTACTACTCCAGCAGGTCGAACAGGAACGCAAGCTCGAGACCGTACAACAAAAAAGGGCGCTTCCCCGCAAACGGAGCACATATTTCAAACGCCATTCATGGAAGTCGTCCAGTCCTCTACCGATCCGGACACCGGACAATGGTGATGGTGCAACACAGTCTCTAGCAATGCAAAGATGGCAAGATTCTCCACCGCAAAATGAAGCTGCTTCTCTATCTGCTATCTGCAACGCGCTAGAAAACCCTGTGAGAACTGGTACTCCCAGCAGCCCGTGGATGTCCAATCTCGACGCCTTTCGCACATATCGAACACCACCCTCATTGACCAGTGTCGCGAGCAGTGTATCCTCTAGACATTCGGCGGGCTCAAGTCATTCGGCGGCGTCTGGAGCATCGAAACGTTCTCGCATCGCAAAGAAAACAAGGAAGCCAAGGACCATCCGGAAAGATGCTAATCCTGAAGATCGCATCTTCAAATGCACTTTTTGTTGTGACACATTCAAACACAAGTACGACTGGGCGCGACACGAGCAGTCACTACATCTGAGTACAATGGAGTGGCAATGTGCGCCCCACGGTGGATCTGTCGTGCTTTCCACTGGCCGGGCTCACTGTGCCTACTGCAGCGCACTGGATCCAAGTGCAGAACATCTGGAACAACACAACCACAGTGCCTGTCATAGCGAGTTGGCTGCACCACGATCGTTCCGACGTAAAGATCACCTCGTCCAGCATCTCCGCTTGTTCCATGAAATAGAGACATTACCTCTTGTGGAAGACTGGAAAGTGAACCTGCCACCAATATCCTCACGTTGTGGGTTCTGCAACGCAAACATGAGTAGTTGGGACGAGCGTGTCAATCATCTGGCTGCACATTTCCGGGAACGCAAGACAATGGATGACTGGACGGGCGACCACGCGTTCGATGCAGCCACGACAGCCCGTGTTGCTTATGCCCTGCCACCATATCTCATAGCAAACGACTCGAGGAGTTTGGTCCCTTTCAGTGCCACCGACCCCGCGTCGAGGGATCACTTCCTGCAGCTGACCTCGCGCCTCGACCAGGAGAGACAGCTTACGGCCCCAGACATCCAGAATCAGGCCTCCGCAGTAAACCCTGTGGCGTTGCCGATAATGATGGAGGATGACACACTGATGTTCGCTGATGTTCTAGCCCAACACCTTAGTCAATTTGCGCGCAAAAACATCTTAAGAGGTATAATGCCTACGGACGAGATGTTCCAGCGTGAGGCCAGAAGAGTCGCTTTTGGTGATGAGGATGGTTGGAACCAGACACTAGCAGACAATCAGGAGTGGCTGAAGAGCTTCAAGGAACAGGGCTGGCTGGATCAAGCGGCACAGCTTCGTCTGGTCTAGAACATGGGGATGGTCAGCTGTCCTCAGTCATCTCCAATTGAGCATGTACTCTGTGTATTATACCGTGGTGGGCAATCGCTGTGTCTCATTTGGGAAGAATCACGCCGACATGTGTCTTAGTCGGTGCAACCTTAGTGTCACGTTCCAAGCTCATCGAAACCACTGATGGAATGTTCACTGTTCGCCCGTTAACGACTGGGTCTCTAAACATAATGGCGGGGTGACTGGGTCAACGTTACTAAGTAATCGGGATACAAGTCGTTGGTACCTAGCCCTAAAGTCTGTCGTTAAAGGAGACCAAGAAGGTATTCGCAAGGCAATCGAGAGATTGAGGTTAACGATACTTTTGACTGAAATTTTAAAATAGCGTAGGATTCGCTAATCGTCTTCTGGCTTTTCTCGCAAGCTGAAAGCAAAGTCAATCCCTTGTCGTACCTATTGAAGAATATGCAAAGCTTGACAAAATCGAAGATATAGTGTGGACTTTTGCTCATATACAACTGTTTTTGTTGTTGGGTATGGACCCCACAATTCCTTCTTGATGAAATTATTGTGCTTGCCTCTCCATCCTTATAACATAATGTGCAAAGCAACAATTTCAAAATTACCTTGGTCGGCGGACTACCTGCCGTAGCCAGTACGCAGGGCGTGGCTGCAGGGCGTCATTGCCCGTTACGGCTAGCGCCAAAATTCCGATCTCGCAATCAAGCAAGGTATAACATCGATATCCGAGGCATTAGTTAGCACATATGCAGGTATCCAAAGACCTATCGGCTTCCTCCAAGTGCACTGGAGCGATGCGAGATGCAATGGACCCTCACATAGAGCTCGCCTCCAGCTACTCCAACGTCCCCCAGTATGCCTTCGCATTCTCAAAAGTATGTGCAACGCAGCTAAACATAGTGGATAACGCTCATTTAGATTATTCTAGCGTCAGAAGCAGCTTGTACTGTTCACAGGTCTCATCATTGCATTCAACAGCACCCTTGGCTCGTCCCTTCCGTCCGGTGCCAAGTCATCCATTCTTCGGGACTTCAATCTCGACCCGTCAGCCACGAAATTCGTTCTGTTGAACTCGCTTTACCAAGTTGGATTTGCAGTATCGCCGTTGTTTTTTGCTCCGTTGAGCGAGCACTTTGGTCGCCGGCCACTGCTAGCAGGCAGCTTCAGTTGCTACGCGTTATGGACGCTTTGCTGCGCGGTAGCGCCTTCCTTTACTGCCTTGGTCATCTTCCGGCTTCTCGCAGGATTAAGCGCTGCGGTTCCAAACACAGTTGTCGCCGGGTTGTTCGCGGATATCTATGAAGGGCCTGTGGCGCGAGGTCAGGCCGTCTCAGCGTTTTTGGTCGTAGCAGCGTGCGGTCCTCTGGTAGGACCTCTTATTTCCGGATTCATTTCGGTGCACCTCGGCTGGCGATGGACCTTTTGGGTCGGTCTAATGTTGGCGGGTGTTGGACTGCCGTTCGTGTGGTGCCTGCCGGAAACATATGCCACGGTGATTGCAACAAAGGCATCCGAGAAGTCATCGCAGGAGATGCCGAAAGCTGCAATGCAGCAACAAATATCTAATCTGGGAACCACACTGAAGAGACCCTGGCTAATGATGATCAGAGAGCCGATCTTGCTACTCACGGCTCTGTATCTGGCTCTTGTGTATTCCATGCAGTACTTGTTCTTCCAAAGTAACCCCATCGTGTACGGACAGATATATGGTCTATCAGAGGATCTGATCGGCCTCTCTTATATCCCGAGTATGTCCGTTCTGCAGTGTTTACATATCCAAGTGCTGATCGATGATAGTGTTGGTGGGGGTGCTCTGCGGCTTCCTCCTCGCGCACTGCTTCGGCCTCCTATACACAAATGCGGAACAGAAAAACCGCGCCTGGACCAACGAACCTGAGTATCGTCGGCTACCGCTTGCTTGTGTCGGTGCTCCATGGTACGTTACATGTGTCCGGTCAATTGTCAGGCACAAGCTGACCACATCGTAGCATACCTATTGCTCTTCTCGCACTGGGGTTCACGTCCGACCCATCGATACATCCAGCCGTGCCGATGGTTCTCTCTGGTATCTTCTTTGGCTTTGGGTATATTCTCGTCTTCTTCGCAATGATCCTCTACCTTTCAGATACGTACAAGCGCTATGCTGCTTCGGCACAAGCTGCTGCAAGCACGACTCGATCTCTTGCAGCTGTTGGTCTCCCCTTTGCTGCTTCAGCATTGTATCAAGACTTAGGTGTCATATGGGCAGGGAGTGTCCTGGCCATCGCATCCGGAGTAATGGCGGTCATCCCCTTCATGTTCCTCGTTTTCAGGAGAAAGTTGAGGGCAGAGAGCGCATTTGCTGGCTGATCCAGTTCATCAAATGTCAGACATTCGTGTTCAGTATCATGTGTTAATTTAAGTATCGCTGGACTCCAAGCGATAGATCAATTTATACTGTCTGGATGCAATTGATGACCAGATGCTGGAAAGCAGGTGAGCGACCTGCGACTCGGCCCGATTCGGTCGCGCACGCCACATTTGCGCTGGGAGATGTGCAACGGTCTTCAAACATTCACTCGTTCAGCTTCCTATTAAATCCAAAACGAATCTGTTTGTGACCTCTTAACTTCTATACACGAGATGTCGTATTGACACCGCCGTGTTCTGTCTTCACAGTCTCCGCCCCACATATCTGAGCCGGGGTTGACGTACGAAGTCGTCACAAAGACACCCCCTGCAGTTTCTCCTCAATTGTCAGCACCTTCTTTCTCCACACAACGATCAGCGTCCTACCCTCTACAGTCATTGTCTGAGTTTTCTCGTGTGCCGAAGCTTACATGCCACTGGTCGCGGATTGAGTGTTCCTCTGCACCCCCTCCTACCCATGTTCTTGTGGTCCACTTTTCAAGCCGTTTAGAGACACAGCCGCCATGGCTCTACTGAATAGACAATCATATCTCCTGCTTGGAGTCTCAATATTACCACTTCTCATCCTGTGGTTATACAAAATCATCGGCACAGATCTCGCTTTATTCGATAAGTGGACGCCAGCAGCAACGCAAGCCTACTGCCTACCACCAGGTCCACTCCTTCCGCCGCCAAAAGTGCTCCCCACCTCATCAAAGTTCAAGATTCCAGATTCGACATTCGAGAATCTTCCAGGGATATCAGACACGTCCTACGCGATCAAAGCATCAATTGGTGATGTCACGATCCTTGAGTACGAATACTCTGCACCTGGCCGCGAAGTGGGCCAATCTCTCTCAAATACAAGGCTTCGTATTGGCAGCGTCACTAAAACGTTCACTTGTCTAGCAGTCTTGCTTAGTGCAGATATCAAACTATCAGACTCGATTACCAAGTTCATTCCTGGGCTGAACAAAGAGGTCTACAAAGATGTTACAATCGCTGCCCTGGCAAGCCACACGAGCGGGCTAGGCCGATACATCTATGTTGGAGATCTCGCTATAGTGCCGGGTTTCCAGGCTGCTGCTCTCGGCCTTCCGGACTTAAACAGTACAGGCAAGAAAGCCCCGCCCTGCGATCCGTTTCCGGGTGGCCGTATCTGCACACGCGAAGAACTACTTGCGGGTCTCAACGATCCTGCCTACTACCCCCGCTCACCAGGATCTAGTCCTCTGTACTCAAACATAGGTTACACCCTTCTTGGCATGGCTCTTGAAGCTGTCCACCAACAGACCTCTGAAGAGATCATCCACGACCTGATCATAAAACCCCTCGGGTTGGGCAAAACATCTTTCTCCGTTCCCAAAAACACTAGCACAGCCCTCCTGCCGCGCTCTCCCGCAGATCGGAACTGGTTCGTACCCGACTTTGGCAACTACAATCCATCTGGCGGTCTCTGGTCGACACCTAACGACCTGCTCCGGTTCCTGCAGTCGATCCTTTCCCACAAGCTGCTGAGTCAACGCGAGACGCGCCGCTGGTTACAACCTCGCGTGTTCCTCCCCTCGCTGCAACAAGCAGTCGGCGAGTCTTGGGAAATACTCCGGCCGACGACCTTGGAACTTAAGACAAAACGACCGGTTGAGATCTTCACGAAAACGGGCGGTGTGACGGGGTATGCGGCATATGCCGCAATCGTCCCGGAGTACAATATTGCACTTTCGATCACCGCTGCTGGTGGAAAGGCGAACGATGCCGTATCGACACTGTTCCCGCTCATGTTGAAGCCGTTGGTAGCGTATGCCGATGAGTTGGCACAAGAGCAGGCGGCGGCAGAATATGCAGGAGCATACACAAGCACCATCGCCGACACGACAAACAGCATGACTCTGGCTATGGATGATGGGCCCGGGCTTGCTGTCACAAGCTTCACTATGAACGGAGTCCCGGTCCTTCAGTCTCTGGCTGCCATAAAGGGTATCCCCAACCAGAGTCTCAGCGCTAGGGTATACCCCTCTGATCCAGATTCTATGGGCACCGGAACCGAGGCCTGGAGGATTCAGATTGACAGAACAGACAGGGAAGTACTGTTTGCTGAACTACAGTGCATCAGCTGGAACTGGGCCGATGCGTTGCGTTACGTGACAGAGCCATTAGACATCGTCGTCTTTCACAAAGATGTGCATGGGGCTGTAAGCGTTGAGCTTCCCGGCTGGCGCGCAAAACTGGACAGGTCATAGATGACACATGGAGAGTGCAAGATGTCTAAATTAGTATAATTCTATCTATCAATGGGATAACATGGTCGATTTCTGGTCCATGTTGGGTATAGTTGAAGCCCGATGCGCTGAAACATCGGTATGCTGAAATCCTCCTGCTTAACATATAAATAGACCGAGAGCCGGAGACTCTTTATGTTGAAAGAGTGATCTTGTCGGCATTTGCTATGATACTTTTTAGTCGATCTTGATGGCTCCATATATCCTTCTCACGAAAGTGTAAGCCGCGAGAAAACCGATTGTGCCAGTGAGTAGCGCATACACACCACAGGCTAGAAAACCGTAGGCAAAGAACAACATGCTCGACACGAAGCCAGTGATGTGGAGTTTTGCAAAGTAGCAGTAGATCAGATAGGCGTACATCCAGGCTGAGGAAGAGCCGCCGATCATGAAGGAGTGCCACCACCAGTGGTAATCTTCCGAACACAACAAGAAGTACGTAGCGACGATGGTCACCTCGACAACGGTGACTGTCAAGACAGCGCTGACGATTCCCATAAAGCCGAAAGCGTAATAGTAAGTAGTCTTGTCTATCCATAGGCTCTTTACGACGAACGTCAATTCGACGAAGATGACCATGAAAGGCACAAGACCAGCGAGAATCAGTCTTTGTCCACTCAAAGAGTACCAGCGTCGATCGGGAAGCTGACGGGGGATAGCGTTTGCGGTTATAGGGTGCGTGTATGCGCCCATACGCTCGTAACCGAACCAGCTGCCGACGTAGACGAGTGGAAGCTGTACAAAGAGCCAGAGCATGACGAGCGCGATGAGTGTACCGAAAGGCAGTGCTGTGCTTGAAGCCTGCATCCACACGAAAAGGTTCAGGATGAACGTTGTGGCGAACAGAAGTCCCGGTACCAGCGAGGCCGTGATGATGACGTTCTTCTGCCACAGCTGACCCCCAAATGTTCTGTACAGGCGTGCGGAAAAGTAGCCAGAGAATATCCCTGCGAAAACGAACAGCCCGACACCAACACTGACGTAGCCACCACGGAAGCTTGGATTGAGCACGCCCAAAGTGCTGAGGACGAGGAGACCAAATGCCATGTAAAGAAGCTGCATGCCAGAACCAACAAGTGGGGCGAGTAGACCACCGTAAGCTGGTGATCTGAACACATCGCCGTGGAGCAGCTTCCAGCCTGGCACGTCTTCGAACTCTTCGTCCGACGCGGCATCATCTGTGTCTAGATCTGCCATTGGCCCGAGCAGACTACTCTTCTCTCGCTTCAGTGACGGCATTGTGCGGTTGGAGATAGTGTTTAACCCAAGCAGGTCGGTATCGTAATGACCTCTGATGTCGCCGCGGATTGTGCGTGTTAGAACAACGGAGACGACTGCGGTAAGCAAGCCGCAGATTACCAGGGAACTTATGATGGCCAGCCAGTGAACGTTTGCACTATCGTCCTGTGCTACAAAGTACATGTCCCAACGGTTTTGCCATTCGAGGCGGTCATCTTCTCGCCAATAGACCGAGTACGTGTAGGGTATTGTTAAAGACGTAGGTTCGATCGTGGCATCGGTGGTGTTCGTGCTGTTGGCTTGAGGAACTAGGACGAAGGGATCGTTTCCGCCTTCAATGTGCACTGGAAGACCAGACTCATCTCGATTGTCTGCTGTGATGCTCCGTGGGAACACTTCGAACCCAACAATGACCTTCTTGCCCTTATCGCCGCCTTTTCCGGGAGCACGATGGTAACGAATGACGAGTGTGACGTGGTTGTTGAGTAGGTACTCCGTAGGACCGCCAGCTCCTAATGTCCTCTGGTCACCAAGCTTGAATCCTGCTGCATAGTACTTTCTGCTCTTGTCTGTCGTTTGAAAACTTGTAGCGCCTGGCAGGTTGTCCACGAGCCACTCGACGACATATCCGTCCCGGATGAGCTCTTGTGCTCTCCGTATACCCTCGAGATCGATCGATCGGCTGCAAAGATACCGGGCTTCCTCGTCAACACCCATAACTAGCTCATAGTCTGAGACGACAATGCGATCGCCTCGCAGAACCTCGCCTAGGCTAAGAGTTATGCTCGTTCCGCTTGTGAGATGCCCCGCGCGTAGACGGCCGGTCGGTGGGCAGACGAAGGGAAGTTCGGCGAACGCATACTGCAATTCGCTGTGGTCGGAGTACACCTTGTTGATAAAAAGCGGTATTGTGTCGCCGTCGCGATAACTTCTGTATGAGAAACCTGCACGCCGTCAGTACAAATTTGCCACGAGGCCGAGAGACTGACCTGGCATGTAGAAGGCTTGTGTCAATGCCAGCAAAGAGCTGGCTACTATCCATGTACGCATTGTGGAGATGCCAGCGCGGTCGTGTATTTAGGAGCGGTGCGGAAGCGTGTGATGTGGAGACGCGCCACAATGAAACGTGAGCATGCGAGAGGAGGCTGTGAATACAAGCTTGAGGCCAGCGCAAAGCGTAAGGTGGTCAAAAGCGAGTCGTTCACTGATAGAAGCGGTGACGACGCACACAGCACAACTACGGGAAGTGCGACAGAACGCACGAGTACAGCAATGGCGCTTGGTCTAGAACTTTGTGTTCACCCTTTTTTTTCTCTAGCATCGCGACGTGAAGAGAAGCACAGCTCCGAACATGCGAAATGAGCACGCTGGACGCAGTCGAGATTGACACACGCCATGACGCGTTAACGGACGATCAAGGAGGCTGCGGCCCCACAGCGGCGGCCAGGGTTGAGATAATGTCGCGAACATTCTAGACTGCGGCTCGACAGCGTGAAATGTATCACTGGGCCAGAGATGCGATAGGACATGGTGTTGATACTTGAGAAGACTTCGTGGTATCGATAAGGTATGTAAGGATACGAGGCTGGATCGTGCTGGGTGGTGCCACCCACGCCATCGGAGGCTTACTCCGATTCTACATAAGCTCGACGGTTACGACCATCACCCTGCACAGAATGGACCTGGGACTTGTTCCCGAGAGACCTCCAGATCGAGTAGCTGCGCTGAAAAGCCCTGAGTAAAATCAGATCTTCACAGTCGCGGCATTCATGTAGTTCCAAAGATATGTGCAGGATAGCCAGCGCCTAGGCCTAGTGTGATTGGAATAATCCTAGTGTCATTCATCTGTATGAGAAACAACGAGACGATTTACAAAACATTGATACCCTCAGGACATTTCAGAAACGGTCTTCTCGGTTCAGTTCCACAAAAAAGAAACGCTGAAGAGTTTATACCTGCGACCGCATGAACGCACGTCTTCCCTGTCTTTTTGAATATATAGCACGACAGCACCATGTATAGTAGACGGCTGGGCTGATATGGAGAAGCTGACACCTGTCAACCAAAGCCATTATGCGCCCAAACAGCTGACCTAGTGCAAACCTATCTTATCGTCAGTAATATCATACCTTTGATAAAGGTCAGAGAGAGACGGTTCATGGGTACAGTTCAACAGACAGTGTTTAAGTTCCGTCTTCTTCTCGATTCGCTGTACACAGTATGCAAATGCTAGTCCAGTACCGCAATTGTTCAACAAGGCATTTCATCCACCACATAGCTAAAATTGGCTTCGTACCCATAAGTTACAACATCGCTCAGCTCTTACCCCCCTCTTTCTCACCATCCTTCTTCTTCTCTTCCTCCTTATCCCCCGACCCGCTCCCACTCCCCTGATAATGACCGCCCTCCTTCCCAGGCTCGAAAATCGTATTACCTGAGCCCGCCATCCAGTCAGCTTGACCATTTCCCAATGACACGAACACCCAATTGGACACTCACACGAAGCGCAGTGTGCGTAGCTGCCGTCCTTGGTCAGGTCCGCGCCGGCCCCGCATTCGGGACACTTAACCATTGTGGTAGGTTTAGGGGGTCGCTCGGGATGTAAGTGCGTGTTTCGGACTGTTGATGAGCACCTGAGTGGACGTTCCTTGTGGACTGTGAGTCACGGCGTTGGGGAAGGAGGAAGCGAGGAGTGCGCTAGAGTGGGGCATGATGTCATGCACGCGACGCGTTTGAATCAGTACTGTGCAGTGTGCAGTACCGAAACGTTCTTCATTATGCTGGATAGGTTGGAGAAACCCAAGATCTTGGTAGCATGTACTGAGAGTTCTGGACCCTGCATCACAGATTGCAAAGTTTCGGCAAGATTTTGAAAAGCGGCGTTTTGAGCGTTTCAGCGGCGCCGCAAACGTTCGCATTGAGACACCCATTGCTGTACTCGTTTGCACTCAATGATCGTCTTTATCAATCGCAAACTTCTTCAAGGTTTCCAGGTCTACCCCTTCCAGGGCGCGCTGGTTGGTGGCCTTCAGCACGATCTGGGGGACCTTCTTGTCTTCGTCGCTTGTTCGGTTCTCGAAGGCTTCCTTCCATCGGGACACGCACAAACACCACTTGCATCCTCCCTTCAGACCTGCATCGCGCAGGTTGTTTCCCTGTGCGGCGCTGTAATCGAGGAACTCCTCGGTGACGATGGCGGCAATGCTGTGGTTTCCAAAGTCTGATCTCGGCGCTTCGCAGTAGCCGGAGCGGGTGAATCCCGTCAGAGGTTGTGTAGAGTGCAGCGCGAGGGGCTTCTTGAATACTGCGGTATGTTAGAAGGTATTGTACAGCATATGATTTGCAGATGGCTGATATAAAGCTGGTACGGTATCAAGCTTGCACGCGGACTATTGAGGTGCTAATGCATCTCGATAGAGCTGTGAGTATTGAGACAGTCTGAACTCACCATTGAGTGATTGTGACATGTTGTTCCCGCTTGATTCTTTCTCCAAGATGTCTTTTGCAGGATACCGTGCGTACTCTACTCTGACGTCGTGGACCTGTGCGTATCGTCTCTTTCCTAGTGTTGTGAAGATGTTGCGAAGAAAACGCATCGAGAAAGACTGCAAGTGGTATTGTCACGCGAATTATAGGTGTAAACGGGTTGTTGTATCATGGTGATGCTCACGACTGCGTCACAGACACAGATCTCATAGGGCTGACAGGGATGCGTGCGGGCAGCAGCTGCAGCGGCCAGCCCGCCGCCAGATCGGCGGTGTGAGTTTGGCTACAACCCTGAACCTTGAAACGCGTGATCGGCACCGTTGCAAAGCATCTCTATCGATCCTTCAATCGCAGTTTGCAGAAGAGTAATTGTTGAGAGATTGTGTTTTGCTTCTGCTGTAGTTTGCCCGCCGGCTGTTTGTTCGGCACTACACGCCGACTTCGGGCGGCTATTCGAGACATGTCCCGTTGTGAGCTGAGCGCTAGGGGGCTCCGGCAGAGGTTCTTGGAAATAACGCCGATCAATACGGGCAGAAAATGAGGCTTCGGTGTATTCTAATTGTTTGTACTGCGGAGGGTATATATAGACAGACGCGATTCTTTTGTATAGCCATTATGCATCGTTGTCGTTACTGCACATGTAGGGTGATTCAAAGTCCCCTATGTTGATGAGTGATAGTAGAGAGGTCGCAAAAACTCCTGACCCAAAATGCTTCCCATCCAACAAAAATGCAAATCAAAATCAGAGAGAGCAATGCGCCGTAGATAATCCCAGAAAATGGAGAACGAGCCGAGCCCTTCTCGTTTCGCGGCTTGCTGCCAGTGCTATGCAGCTTTTATCCGTGGGTATAAGGACCAAAATTGTCCGTCAAATCGCGCGCAAAGCGCCCAGGTTGGTGCAAAACCTGTCATATGTTCTTTTCGCATCAGCGCTGCATCCGGGCGCCTGCCTTAATCTCCCTTTTCATTTCCTCCAGCTTCTTATGCATCTTGAGTAAATCATTTCTTTGTGCTTCGGTTGGCGGGGATGAAGCCTCGGTCAACCTCCAATACAATTCTTCGTACTTGGTGTAATACTTTTGGAACTTTTGCGACAGCTCGACTGTTTGACGGAAACTAAGGCTTGGAACAGTGGGCGATGTAGTCGAGGATGATGAATCGCCAGGGGAGGGGTGGGAGTTATTGTGGTTGTAGCGAGAGGCAAGGCCGATGTTGATGCTGGTGACCTTGCGAACCTTGGGGGCGGTGGCGGGAGTGTTAGATGTGGAGGAATCGTCAGATCTGCGCTTGAGAGAGCCGGCACTTGAAGGTGCAGAGCCGTTCAGCCTGCCGTTGGTATGCGATGGGGTGTGACTGGGTGTCGCGCGGTCGGCGTTGGGCTTCTTCACGGCCAGGCTGTGGTTGTGGATGTCGCTGTCAATGTCGTTCGCTTTACGCTTCAGCGAGCGGTCGGAGTTGCCGTAAGACGACTTCACAGGCGATGCAGCGGCAGCAAGAGCTTTGTGGACCGGGTGGCTATCCTCGAAGTCGCTGGCGTTGACTGGAGGCGAAGCTGAGAGGGGAGAAGGGTTCTTGGGCTTGGTGTTGTAGACCGGCTTGACAGGCCTATGTTGGCGGTTCTGATAAGGCTCGCGGGCAACAGATGTCTTTGGCTTTGTACGGGGTGTGGAGTTGGAGGAATTGACTTCAGCGGCGGGTACCTTCTTGGTACGGATCTTGGGAGCCTCGGTCGACGGGGCAGCTTTGCTCTCGGAGGAGACTGGTGCTGAAGAAGGAATAGCTGTTTTTGACACCTCTCCCTTGGTCTCTTTCACGGCTGGCTTGTCTGAACCCACGATCCTGTCCTTTGCTGCCTTGCTCAGCTTACTGGCAGCACCCTCCTTGACAGACTTGAACTTCTTCTCGCTGTCGACCTTCTTCTCCAAGATCTTGTCGTCAGCCTTCTTTGCAACAGGCTTCTTCTTTGTGAAATCCGACACCTTGTGCAGAGGCGTTGCAACCTTGGGCTTGGCCTCCAGAGGCTTTACCTTTGAGCGGGACAAGCACTTGCCCTGTCCTCGCTCCTCACGCGGCAGCAGGATCTGCCAAAGCTTGTCTTCTTTTGTCAATCGAAGACGATCAAACGCCTTGATAGCATTCTCAATTGCCTGCTCTCGCTCCTCAGGTGTCGAGTAAGGGAAGTTGTAGGGAGTAATCTCGCGAAACGACTTGTCAGTCAGCTGCCACTTGTCTGTGTCTTGAGTGGAGCGTTTAGCAAGTTTGGGTAGCAGCTCCCGCATGGTAGCAGTAGATGTACGGCATGTTCTGGCGAGAGAAGTCTCGTTGGCCGACTCACGGGCAAGCAGGTGAATGACTGGGACGCGAAGGGCAGCAATGATGGCTTCGTGAGCACCGCTCGGCTGCGACGTGGGCGGGCGCTTGTCCATGGGCGAGGCAGGCATGCTCGGCAGCGGCGAGCCAGCTTTGGACGGAGCGAGGTGCACCGGCATGAACCCTGTCGAGGGATAGCGGCGGTGACCGGGGGTGCGAACAGGAGTAGCATCGCCGACGATAGTCCTGAATAGCAATAATTGTCAGTCCAAGTGTTCTCATGTCACTGTTTCTATGTAGGTGCACGCAGTGCAGGGGTGCTCGAGTCTCTCGACTCGACAACAGAGATCGCTGGGCAGCCATGGGAACACCGGGGAGGCATACTTGTTGGCTTCCTTGAACTCTGAGATCGCAGCCATGCTACTCTTCAGGGAGGCCAGCGCCGAGTCGACGCCGGCCGTCACGTCGGCAGCCTCCTGCACGATGAGGGTGTGGTTGATGACGCCGGCGAACTCGAGGTCGTCGTCGCTGCTGGTCCCGCTGGACTGGTACAGCTCGTGTGTGTGCGTCTCGGGACTGCTCTGCAGTACGTGGGTCTTGTCGCCGACTTTGAGGTGCTGGTGCGTGTTAGCTCTGGCGTGGGCAGGCGAGTGCACTGGGAGTCGCGGCAAGCTCCCAGCGGCGGCGGCACACATACGGGAGAGCGGCCAAAGAAGATCTGGGGCGGTGACCCGCTCCTCATGCTCTCAAGGAGCGCATCGACAATGTCCTGGGTCATTTCCACCTGCATGGCCTGCAGCGGTGGAGGGCGGTCTGCATCGCTGGTTGGGGCGCCCACGAGGGCAATGCCGGCAGGCGGGAACATGGTCGTCGTCATGTTCGGTCCTGGTGCGTCGTCGCTGGGGAGAAGCAGACAGGCGGAGGCAGAGGCGGAGGCGGAGAGGCGTGGAGCTCGCACCGAGATGGCGTCAAGGGAAGCACTGCATGGAGAGAGCACCCAGGCGCGGTGAAGTGAAGCAAGCAACCGGCGCGGCGTGAAGGGCGGCGTGAAGGGGCGGCCCGTCACGGAGCTGCTGCAGTCTGGTCGAGCGTGGGCACTCCTGGAGTGACGGAGAGCGAGCAGGTCAGACTGTCATAGCGCGGCGGTCCCGGATTCCCAGCGCACGGGTGTCAAGGTACGCTGCTGAAACGATTGGCCGTCACGAATGGAATGAACGGCAAGAGGCCGTTGCAGATGCAAACACAGTCAGTTCGGCGTGCTCACACAGGTGCCAGTGCGGTGCTGGTGCTGGGGCTGGGGCAGAGTGAAGGAGAGCGGCCGAGCCGGTGCAGCAGTGCAGCAGTGGGCGGCCGGCAGCGTGATGCGTGATGTTGGGCGAGCGTGCATGCCTGTGAGGGCGGTGGGCCGGACAAGGGCGCGGTCGAGGCGCACACCCAGTTCTGGATGCCAAACCCAGCGGCGGCCCGCGTCAGAGGCACCTCGTGCTACCTCGCCCTGGCCTGCTGCAAGGCATTGGGTGCTGCCCGGCGCCGTCCCATTCCAGACGGCTCACAGCGACCAGCCGACGAGCGAGAGATACTAGAACCGCCTGCGCCGCAAGCAGCCTGGCCGAGTCGAGCTGCCGGCTCGCGCTGAGCTTGCCAGTGCTGCCAGTGCTGCCAGTGCTCAACGCTGCAGACCGCTCTGTCTCTGCTCGAGTCACCTAGACTGCGCCATGCACACCGCGCGCTGACCTGAGCACCGCGCCGGGTCTGGCGCGCCAGGCTCGGCAGCTCCACCGTCACTCGTGGCAGGCCTCCGCGAGCAAATCGCTCTGTTTTAAAACCGACAGGCGGAACTGGCGTGCCGTACCAAACACCCTGGTTTCGCGCGCAGCGACGCCTGGGATGGCTGTGCGTACCTGTTTCGCCTGGATGCGCCCAGCACAGCGTTTGAGGCTGCAGTATCGCCGCGCCGCCTGTTGGCTGCTGCTGGCTGCTGGCACGGCCACGGGCACTGCTGCTGGCTGCTGCTGGCACGACACGCCCGCCCTCTGCTCCAGCGCGCCTGACCAGCAGTGCACCGCAGCCACGACGCGCACGTCTGCGAGCATCGCGTCACCCGCGCTGTCATCCGGCGTGGCGGGTTCGCAGCGTCCGTGTTGAGCTCAGCTCAATCGGGTCGCGGCGTCGCAGCCACGAACGAGTCCTATTTTGGCTGCAGCCCCAACCTGCGGACGGAAGCCCCGCTTCTGGCACCAGCCTGCAAAAAAGGACCATGCTCGTGCTGCCACCGCTGCGAAATGCCCTTTGTAGATGCCCTTTGCAGGCACTGCTCCCAGTGCCGCGAAGGGCAGCACATCGAGAGTGGATATCTCGACATCATCAGGCCATGCCGTACCCACTCTGCCAATACTGCTTCCCCACGCACCCGGGCACCCATCCATCCATCACCCCACTCGGGCGTGATGACAAAACAGCCAGGCAAGCGAACATGCAGAACACGCAGGACTTGACCGCGTGAAGCGAAGCAATGAGCACTAGAAAACAGACTAGAAATATATCCGTGTCGGGTCCGCGTTCGGCTCGGCGGCGAGCAGGATTAACCGGTAGTGAGTGGGAGCGTGTTACGCTGCAGCTGCGTGAGTAACCACACGACCGCAGGTTGGCGAGCTCGAGCTCGATCTCATCCGATTCATGCAACGAGCCAGCGCTGCCCGCCCCGTGTCGCGCACGAATGCAGGCACCGCTCGACCAGCCCTGCACAGAAGCCATTCTTAGTAGTCGCTGCTGCGAATGTGTACAACGCAATTGACCGCTAGCAATACACTGCATTTCGGACACATGGCGCCAATCAACGGCAGCTTCTGGAAAGCAAGCCGCCTTCTGCTGCGATATTAATTGTAACGCCGCAGCGGGGTACATTGATAAGTACTACAAGCTCAGTCACCAGATCACCAGGAACAACCGACTAGTGCCGGTGCTGTCTCTATCGAGCTCGCCCTCTCGTGTAACCGTCTCCGAGGAATTACATACACTTCGGAGTGCAAGACCGGACGAACTAACAAAGCAATTGCAGGGACAGACAGACGTGTCACAGCGTTCAGCAGTAGCAGTCATTCGAAGAGGTTCCTGAATCCATTGCAGAGTAACTTACGCGAATCAAATCTCCGGAATTGCTGTGTGACCCTGACGTCCAACAATGTCGCTTGTGTGGACCCTTCTTGACGTTGAGGCTGACTAGAAGAGGCGCCCCGTCCACCCAGTTCTTTCACAGCACACCACAACGGCTTGCTTTTGTGGCCCAGCCACGGGCACCCAATCCGGCAGCGTCGCTCGCCAGCATCTACTCCGGAGTCGCTCGCAGTCTCGCACTTCGGTTCGACTTGAACGGCGATCGCCGATCAACCCAGCACCCAAGCCAGCACCTCGGTACCTGATCAGCGTGCGCCGTCTCCATCTACAGCGCTCAATTCCAGAGCGCCGCTATCAATTTCAATCTTTCGAAACCAGCAACCACACCAATCTCGAATCGCAGCCCAACCCCTCGCATTCCAGCTCGTGTTCTGGCGCTTCGCAGATTGGGTGCTAGACGTGTCACACTGCACGCGTCTCCATTCGGCACCATGCCCTAGACTGCTTCGGGCAGTCCATATCAAGTTGATTGGGATGTCACGTCCGCGCAAGTAGGCTGTATTGGCATGCTTCACACCTGCTATTCGCGTCTTGGATTGCGTGATAAGGCGGCGGCTGCAAGGGACTTCTGAAGTCCTTCACGCAATAGAGGACTCACGGCAGAGGACTAATGGTAGAGGACTTGATGTCTGAGAAAAGACGTGTGCGGCGTTTGGCCGTGTGACAGGCTGCGCCATGATGTGATTGACTCCACCTGAGGCGACAGTGGCGTAAGGCAATATGATCGCCTCATGCCCAGTCCATGCCCAGTGCCAATCATGGATATTACTCCTGCAGGCGCCGTACAGCCGTGCTGCCGAGATTGAGGATCGTTTCATTAGCCGTCACGGGCAGAAAGAATTAACAGCGAGATTCGCGAGTATCGTATAGCCGCTTAGGTAAGAATGTAGGTCCATCAAGGCATTGTGCGTCCATTGTGTGAGCCAAAAGCAAGTAACCTTTGAGGTCTGAATCGACAAATGTGTCGCAACCCCTTCTCGTGCCACTCCAATCAAAACGCCTGCAATGCTTGCTTCACTCTCGCCGGTCCCGGTTCCAACTCCAAAATGACTCAAAACGCCAAAGCGTGTGCAAAGGGATCGAGCGCATGAACGCTCCACGATGTCACGACTGAGGTAGTGTGACAGACCGGCCTCAAGCGTCCAGCTCCTCGGGTGTCTGGTGACGGGCGAGAACGAGGCGCTTGTACTCGGCAGGGTCCTTCTCCCAGAGCTCAGCGGCCTGGCCGTTTAGCGGACTCGAGCTGTTCCTTGTCAGTACTTGCTTTCCTGTACCGATTTCATTGCCAAGACCCGGCATGACACTCACTTGTTTGGCTCTCCCAAAAGGCTCTGCAGACTCAGCAAGACGGTGCCAATGTTGTAGATCGCACTCCACTTGTCCTTCAAGATGTCCAAGCAGATCCTCCCCGAGAAGTCAACGTTGGGATGGTAGATCGGTGTCTTGAAGAGAACGGTAGGCGGGCTGTAGGGGTAGTTGTTTGCGAACTCCATAGACAGCTTGAAGACGAGGCCGGCGTAGGGTGTGTCGGCGGGGCCATCGATGGTTGCAGTCCAAAGTGTGATATCAGCGTCTGACGGGAATGCGGTGATGCCCGGCGTTGGTTTCATCATGATGTCCATGAGCTCCTTCTGGAGACTAATCGTTGTCAGAGAGCGAGCACAAGCGATGCAATAGATTGAAGCATGGAAAACATGTGTAACCAACTAGTGGATGAGGATGCGTACCGCTGGGCGACTGTTGCGTTGCTTCCTGCCATGGCTGTGATCTGGTCTGTGTACTGCTTCGAAGAACGGCGTTGGTCGTGTGTGTTCGAGGTGCCCCACTCAAGCTTTGGAGCTCCGCTTGCTGGTGTGGAAGTTTGCTGGAAAGACGGGGTCTGAAGTATCCAGTAAGGCAAGAGTACAAGGTTCTAAAATGGCGATTTGGGTATCAGTGCGGTGTTGCGTATGTGAGCGTGTGGTCGTGAGCCTGCAATCTTTTGCTAAGTTGTGTTGTGTTATGGGTCCCTGCGTCTGCCCGGGTAACGCCATCGCGTGGCAGCGATCCCTGCACGCGTTTCGCGGAAGGTCTAACCTTTTTTGTCATCGATCGCCCGTGTTGGCATCCCCAGATCCGGGTATCGACGCAACTCTTCTCTTTATTGTACTATAAATCTCCATGAAACTACAATGTGATGATTAAGATATCATAGACGGTCTCATGATCCAGTCATTATCCAGGGTAGTTGTGACTTGTGGAGGTGTATTCCCAATATCGAGATCTATGGTACACCACAAATGGTCCTGATCCTTTCATTGCAATGCTTGTGTTCAACTGTTTTGACGATCACTTACTACAAAGGTATGAAGAAGCGGAAGTGTTTCGACTGGACTAGTCTCGGAAACGACTGGTCTTGGAACCGTTACGAGTGGTCCGTTCTGGATATGAAGTACTCGATCAGACAACACCAACAAGATTAATCAGCGTAATAGATAGTGTCAGGGCAAAGGCTTCAAGTGACTGTAAAATTGGTTGCAATCATCAGCAACCAAGCATCGTTCATTTCATAAATATAAAGCTTGCATCCATCAAATTCGCAGCTTGAAACCAGCACATTACGCCGTACATCTCCTCGGGCAACGACGCTCACAGATCATTCAATCCCCCCATCTCCTTCTCATCCACAAGTCTCCGCTCAAGACTACACCTCAGCACTCTATGATCCTCCAGCACCCCCCACTCCTTCAACCGATCATCCTCCCTATCCCAATACACAGCCCACCCATACTCCCCACTCTTTTCCTCCACCGCAACCAAGCACTCCTCGTCTTCCAACGTCAGCCCCTGCTCGTCCTCTGTCCAGTCCCACGGGCACACCGTGTGCTGTTTAGCTTCCGCCCTAGGCCCGTACTTCAGCTCGCGCGTCTCGCTGTCGGCGTATATCCAGTTGAGTTTCGGCCGCATGGCATTTGAATTTTTATTTGACGAGGGGATCGTGCTCACGAGCCCGAGCAGCGGCGGTGCGGGCATGGGGCGGTGCGGGAGGTCCAGGTCTTCAGTGGGGAAGGGGTGAAAAAAGCCGGTGAAGGGATGTGGAGCGTCGCCGCCATCAGGACCCGGTTTCGGGAGGCCGGTCTTGGGGTTCTTGGGCCATAGGCGGAGCTGCGCTGTTCGTCAGTATGCATTGTGCGGTTTGTTCATGTTTGTTCACACCTTGCCGTCTTTCAGCACGATTATGGCGCCGTGGACCTCATCTTTCTTCCGCGATTGTGCGGAGCAGTAGACGTCTAGGTAGAAGGGCTCCTGGCGCTCTGGCGCTTCTGCTTCTTCGTCTAGGAGCTCTTGCTGGTGGACTGCTTCGCTTGCGCCAACCGCGGTGGGAATTCCAGCTATCGTCAGTAGATCGAATAACACCATCACTCAGGTTTGGTTGATCCGTTGCAACAATGCAAGAGGTCTTTTTAGAAGTTCACGCGACTGCAACATGGCGGATTGACGGGGAGCTTAGAAAAGTTGGTTGTTGAAGCTGGCTAGGATGCGGCGCGATGCTGTCATCGGTCGCACGATTGCGGGGACGCCATCGCAGGGGTCCGTCCTCCTCCGACCCAACATCGACTTCAGACGTTCATCTCCGTCTTGAATAACACTGATACTGGCAAACTCAGAGCACCCGGTCCTCCCGACCATACTCTTCGGAAAGTCGCCAGCCCGACCACCTCGGTATGAGATCCCAGAACGCCTCGGGGTCAGCAATATTTGACCAAGTGTAGTCCTCGAAGTCAACAAGATAGCTTTCTCTGATCAGCTGACGATAATAACTTATATACAGGTGCGCTTACCACTTCTTCTCGTTCTCATCCCACATGATGTCGCGTAGAGCACAGTCATAAGGGTTGATTTAGTAGGCCTAGAGTTCCCTGTGTGAAGTTAGTATCCAACCTCATGAGCAAGCAGGGATGCGTACAAGAGCGCGACCTTAAAGGCATCTCTGATCTCATCCCGTCCTTTCTTGTCCTTCTCGTAGCAGAGCATCTTGTAAGTTATCTGCGTGCCAGGAAGCTTGGTCATCAGGATTCCGATCATGAAGCCTCCAGCCATGGCCTGCCTGTCATCATCTTCGGTCAACCAGAATTCCCCGCAGTCCAGAAGATGCGGCATGTGAGCAGGCTTCTTCCTGGTGAAGCGTCGAAGCGCGATGAGCTCGTTTGAAGTGTAGCGGTTTGCTATCTCGACCGGATGAGTTGCTTGATACAATAGTTCTTCTGCATGTTCAAATAGGTGTAATTTCCACTCGTGCTCTTTGCGATCACACTCCTTGGTAACCGAATTTCGACCCTCTTCGGCATGTTCTAAATAGAACTCAATGCTTTGTGCGGTGCCTTTGGTTCTCCATCTCGTTAGCAAAGGACTAGTGGGATCGTCGGGCGCGACAACATCCTGATACTTGGGACGGTGATTTCGCCGCCTTTGTCCCGGTCCATTATACGCTCAGTCCTGTCTTTCATTATGCCAGCAGAGTTGAGTAGAGGTCCTGAAGATGAGTTGTATGAGACAAAAGGGAAGAACCGTCTGGCAGAGATATAGTGGAGAGGGTACAAAGTCTGAGTGAAGGTCTCCATCTTGGTGAAAGCGATACTTAGCGTCAGGCAACGACAACGGAACCCTTCGCTTGATAGCCGTACAGAGTGAAAGCTTTCTCACACGCAACACCGACGAAATAGATGGGTGGCTGTGCACGTAGTGAAAGAAGCCTTTGGGAGATCCTGCATGCACTAGTGAGTTGCGTTTGCTCCTTCTTGGTACTTCTCCTCTCACCTGAATACCGAACACCATTAATTTACCTCGCATTTACCATCCGAAACTACGTCGCAAGTGATACCTATTCGCACAACATACATCGACTCGCCCAATTGCTAAGCTTCGGTCAAATCGCGCGCTGGAACTCCATTCTGCTTCTCGGGGGATTCACAATGGCTGTTGACAAAGGCCTTGACGCCGCTGATCTATCAGCAAGGAGAGCCGCCGTTCGAGGCCAGGCAAGTCTTTGAATGCACTTGCATCTGCGATCCCGAGGGCGTGTTTGGAGGTATCAAGGAAGCTATCCTCAAACTCAGGTAGGTTCTACTCGAACGCCCTTGAGCCTGTGATGTCTTGCATCAAGACATTATCGGCTTCTGGTTGGAACGGCCCTCAAGACGTCACCTTCGGAGACGCGTGGATTCGCGACGAGTGGGTCCCGTGTCAGTTCCCAGACATCGTCGGCAAGGTGGAAGTTGACAGGTCCTCAAGACTCGCCTGGTTGGCGAGATCAAGTTTCCCGTAACAGTGGACATCGCGGCCATGGTCAAGGAAGCCGTCGACGGAAACTCCAAGTCCGATCTCCGCGCCATTCTGGGCCAGGTCGTGAAATACATGCTCGGCCACCGCCTCTAGTCCGCGTTCCTCACGAACTACAACACCACCACATGCATCCAGCTGTCGCAGTCTGCCACGCGTGACCGGCCCCAGATCGCCTTTCCAGAGACCCTCAAGTTCGACAATACTGTCGACAAAGGCCAGATCAGCGTGCGCTCCGCGCTGTTCTTCCTCGTCTGCAAAGTGCATGCCAAAGACGCTTAGCGCGCAGGGGTGGTCAAATGGTCCTGGAGCCATGAGTGCTTTCAACTACATGTTCGCGCAGGTGAACTTACGATACCCCATTTTCTTTTGAACGGCGCGATACCTTTTTCATTTTCAGGTAGACAAACATTAATGGGTGCTACAACAAACCGCAACCTCAAACCTTTTGTTCCCGCGTACACACTGTATTCGTTATATGACTATTATTGATACAAGACAATCCGAGAACACTAACTGACAAGCTTCTCAGGCTCCATGTAAACATCTAATTCCCCCCACAATCTCCCCAAGCGCATCCAGAGCTCCGGTGTAGCAGAAACGGCGAGCTGTGGAACATACTTTATATCTTCTGTACACTGTGTAGTCAACCAGAGCCATACATATCTGCAGATACTCTGTAGTACTATTATCCCCATGCTGCAGCTCGGGAGTCCGTATTGCCATAACGCGCACCCTACGGTACTTGTTGAATGTGAGACGCTGTGTATACAACACGTCACTGCGCGATCTGCAATCGCTGTTACATGCCTGCAACAACGTACCATCACAATAGTAAGTTGGGAGCTAACACAACGTCTAGGTTCTGATAGGGGCAGCGGTAGGAGCACCTCCATACCCTCCCTCGAGCAGGAACATCAGCCTCACAGATGCAGACAAGCAGATCGGCAGATCGATAGACAAGGTGGCTGCACACCTGCAGTATAACATCTTCTCGACCCCATAGAGCCCAGACAGCGCACCACCCAGCCATCCACGCAGCCTCACAACAGAGTCTATAAACAGCGTCTACCAACACACCACCCCCAACACCCTACAGCAGGCCGCCAGACACGCCAGCCTGCCCTAACACCCAGACTCTGGACACTCGGCCAAGCATCCCAGCGCTACGGCATCACCCCGTCTTGAGCACACAAACATGCCGCAGTGAGAAACGCGGGTGCTTGTTTTGACACCGTATGCCATGCCGCAAGGGCCCGCGATGGCCTGTGACGCACGCCATGGATTCCATCAACGGGACCACATCGGGAGGCGACGGTGAAAGATATCCAAGGGTGTGGCGCCGGGTGCGAGGGAGCGTGTGGGATTGTAGCACACATAGACGGATGGGGTGGACGGGATGCGGGGGAGTCTGCGCTGGTCAAGCAGGCAAGCCACGCAAAGCAGGAGCAGGAGCAGGAGCAAAAGGGTAGAAGGGTAGAAGGGTAGAAGGGTAGAAGGGTAGAAGGGTAGAAGGGTAGAAGGGTAGAAGGGTAGAAGGGTAGAAGGGTAGAAGAGTAGAAGGGTAGAAGCATACAAGTGTGCGGAAGAACAAGCGGTGCGAACAGAGTCCATTCCTATATACAACGACCCGACACAACCTCAAACAACAAGGAAAAAATGTACGACGAGACAGAGGTGGTATCGCTAACCAACACGCGCATTACTACAAAACCCCCCCTTAATGTAATGAACAACAAGATGCCTGACGACAACGCTCCCAGGCTACCGCTCGCTCATGTCCTGCAGCGGCACGTACCGCGCCTCCTCCTTGTTGCGCCGCCACGCGCCCCAGCTATCGACGACCCACTCGCGCGCGGTGCCCAGCACGCCCGGGGCCGCCAACGCGGCGCGCTCAGCCTCAGCCTCGTGCGCGGGGACGTCGGCCTGGGGATCCAGCAGCGCGACGCGGAGCCACTTGGGGCGGGTCCAGAACTTGAGGTGCAGGGAGGACAGCACGACCGACACGGACGAAGACGCCATCGCGGCGCCGGCGGCCATGGGGTGCAGACTGAGCCCCCAGGGCAGGAAGAAGCCCATGGCGAACGGCAGGCCGATGAAGTTGTACATGCAGGCCCAGGCCAGGTTGAGTTTTATGCGGGCGAAGATGGCGCGGCTGAGACACAGGCTGGCGGGGATGGCGAGCAGGTCCGTCGTGGACATGAGCACGATGGAGGCGGCTTCCATGGCGACGTCGGTGCCGGTGGAGAGGGCGATGCCGATGTCGGCTGCGGCGAGCGCGGGCGAGTCGTTGATGCCGTCGCCGACCATGCCGACGACGAGGCCGCGCGACTGGAGGTCTGCGACGATGGCTTTCTTGTCGGCGGGCGTCGCCGAGGCGTGGACGTCGGCCGAGTCGATGCCGACGGCGGCTGCGACGACGAGGGCCGACGCGGAGGTGTCGCCGGTGACGATCGACGAGCTTATGCCGAGGCGGGTGAGGGCGGCGACAACGGCACGGGCGGAGGGCTTGATGGTGTCGGAGAGGCTGAGGGCGCCGGTGTAGGTGGTGCCGATGGCGGTGTGGATTGTCGTGATGCCGGCGGAGCGGGCCTGGGGGTTGCGGGCGTTGGGGTTGGGCGTGAGGGGCTCGTCGACGAGGTCGGGGACGTTGACGCCTTCGGAGAGGAGGAAGGTGGCGTTGCCGATGAGGACCTTGTGGCGGATGCGTGGGCCCGAGACGGCAGCTTCGACGTAGGCGCTGATTCCTTTGCCGACTACGGCTTCAAAGTCACCGACAGCACCGTCAAGGACACCATCGGGTCCAAGGCGGAGGTGCTCCTTCGCGGATCGAACAATGGCCTTGGCGATAGGATGTTCAGAGCCCATCTCGGCAAGACCGATCAGTGTCCACCACAGATTCTTCTTGTTGGCCCACTCGCCTTGGATATCGGCCTTGGAGACGCTCATCTTGCCAACCGTGAGAGTGCCGGTCTTGTCAAACAGGACGTGGTTGACCTTGGTAGCAGTCTCCAGCACCGCACCACCCTTGACTAGAATACCTTGCTCGGCGCCGACACCAGTACCGACCATGACCGCGGTGGGAGTTGCAAGGCCGAGGGCACAGGGACAAGCGAAGACAATAACAGCGATGCAGAGCTTGAAGCAGACCATGAGCTTTCCACCACTAGCGTGGTTGAGGAAGACCTTGGGAGGGTAGGGCAAGAGATGGCTCAGGACCATCCAGGCAACAAACGTAGCAAGGCCAAGCGTGATAATGATAGGGACGAAGTATCCAGCAAGAGTATCCGCGAGACGCTGGATCGGCGCACGGCTGGTCTGCGCCTCCTGCACAAGGCGGACGATCTGGCTGAGCTGGGTGTCGCGACCGGCACGCGTGACGACAAACTCCATGCGGGCCGCGCCGTTGACAGTACCAGCCATGAGAAGCGCACCCTTCTTCTTGAGGATGGGCATTGCTTCACCAGTGACCATGCTCTCATCGAGGTAGGACTCGCCACGTGTGACTGTACCATCTGCGGGGATCTTGTCGCCAGGGCGCAGAATGACCACGTCGCCAACCTCGATGAGCTCGGTAGCAATCACTCGTTCTTCCGCAGCGCTGACATCCATCGAGGGGCGGCTGTCCTTCTCGTCAACGGCATCCCAGCCCTCGGCAGCCTTGGCGGCAGCAATCGGGTCAGCGTAGATGGTGGCCATGGAGGGCGCAAGAGACATGAGCCTGGACAGTGCTTTGGAGGTCTTGCCCTTTGCGCTGTTCTCGAGGTAGCGGCCCAAGCTGATAAAGGTGAACAACATGGTGCTGGTGTCGAACAGTGTCGTGGGCTTGGTGTGCGGCGGCACGAAAATGGACACAAGCATTGACGCGACGCTGAAGAAGAAGGCCGAAGAAGTACCCAGAACAACCAGCACGTCCATTGTTGGAGAGCCGTGGCTGAGAGACTTGTAGGCGGAGATGTAGAAGCGCTTGCCAATGCCGAACTGCACCGGGATGGTGAGGGCGAGACAGACGACATCGCCAAGGTAGAGGCCGGGCAAGATCCTGAACCGGCCGTAGTCGAGGAACGGCAAAAACATGGGGAAGATCATGCTGGTGAGGAGGACGGGGAGGGCAAACCAGGCCGAGAAGATGAGTGCATGTCTCCACTCCTGGATCTCTTTGGTCTTGGCGAGAGATTCGAGCTGAGCGTTGTTGTCGTCAGAATCCGAGACCAATGCGTTGTAGCCCGCTGCCTCGATGGCTTCGACTATAGCCCGGAGCCCAATGATCTGGGGCTCGCGCTTGATAATCGCCCGCGAGGTAGAAAAGTTGATCTGTGCGGAGGTGACGCCTGACCGGTTCCTAAGCATGCCCTCCAGTTCCTGCGCAGCCTCGATGTCCGGCAGGCCGTAGATCTTGAGGTTGATGGGCGCATTGGCTGTCGAAGCCTGCTGCAAACTGGCATCTTCCGACGACAGGATCGTGGCGTCGAATCCGCAGTCCTCGATGGTTTCTGCGATCTTCTCCGCACTCAGCTTCGCGGGGTCGTGCACGAGCACCGCGCGGTTTGCGAGCAGGCTGATGTTGAACTGGTACACGCCAGGCACGTCCTTGAAGCCGCCCTCGATCGCAGACGTACAGGCTCCGCAGGTCATGCCCTCGACGGCCAGGGTGGTGGTCATGGTTCTCGACTTCTTTCCGCTCCTCTTCTTTGGCGCAGGCGAGTCGGCAACGGTTTCCAGCACCTTTGCGTCGAATCCAACGTCTTCTATTGTCTCGGCCAGCTGCTCGGGCGTGATGATTTTGGTCCAGTGCTCGATGACGGTGCGTTCTGAGAGCAGCGATATGCTGAACGATTTGATTCCCGCAACGTCTTTGAACGCGCCCTCCACCGCAGACGTGCAGGCGCCACACGTCATGCCTCCCACAGAGAGCGTGGTGGTCGACCAGCCGTCGTTTGCCAGCAGGGCGTCCTCCTCGTCTTCCGAGTCACTCAGGAAGTGGTCGTCGGTCGTGTGCGAGACTGGCAGGTCCGTTGACAGCACCTCGGCGTCGAAGCCCCTGTCTTCGATAATCTCCTTCACATCGTCGGCAGAGATAACCTCCGGGTCGTGAGAAACAACGGCGCGCTCCATGACCAGGCTGATGGACACGTTTCCGACGCCGGCCACGCCCTGGAAGCCCGACTCGATGGCAGAAGTACATGCGCCGCATGTCATGCCCTCGACCTTCAGCGTGGTTGTCGCCATGTGCGCAGCTCCTGTCGTAGAAGCCATGGCTGGTTGTGTACTGTGTAGCGTCGCGCTGGGCGTGTCCCTGTCCTGTTGTGTTCGCGTGGGTCCACGGGGCGTCGTCAGTCTGTCAGCGCGGTTGCGCGGCTCGTACGAGGAAAATGAGCGGATCGACCGGTCTTATTGCGACATGCAAGGGCCAGCGGTGGGAATGGCGGCGGAGAACAGAGAGCGAGCGGTAGTAATAGCAGAAGACCAGCTTCAGGAGTGGCAGAGGGCGAGATAGATTAGGTGTCGCTGGGCAGAGCACACTTCCGGGCGCTGAATAAAGCACCGCGCTCGCGGGCCGGCAGGGTGGGGACACGACAGGACTCCCGTACCCGTTTGATTGGACTGCTATGAATGGAGGGCGTGCGCTTGCAGTGTCACGCCGTCAACCAAGGTCAGACAGATTGCAGTATTACGGTAGCAAGGGAGGAAGAAAGTGTTTGGTGGGAGGTGCCCGCTGCGCTGCTTATACTGCGAGCCGCCACCGTGTGCTGCTCAGCGGCGACGATAGTGTCGTGTTCTGGGCGGTCTGAAACGGGAAGGTCCTCGAATACTCAGACGATGCCGAGCTGAGACGAGCGCAGCCTCAGGCTGGCGGCGACCCGGCAGCAAGCGAGCGAGCTGCTGGATAGTCGAGCCTGTGTTTGGCTATCCAGTGAATCTGCGTTTGGCCATGGTGCATGTGTTTGGCCGTCAAGCGTGTCGCCATTCGCTTCACATGTTCGCGACCGCAGTCTGGAGCCGTGCGGCTGTGGCTAGTCGGCTGCCACACCCAAGGTCCCAAAGAACGAGCATGCAGATTGCCACGCCTAGATGGTCTTTGGATGGTCTTTGACAACAGCCATGCTGAGCGTCGCCCGCAGCGGGCAGTCTGCAGCGCACGCCTGTCGTCCGGCCATGTCTCGCGCACCGCCCACGAGCACGTTTCATGTTCCGGATAGCCTCGCTGCGCGTGAAACATGATCTTCGCCTGGCACGGCAGGCCTCGGGGCCAGGAACAGCGGCGGCGACCGCACAAAGACGGCAGCGCGGCGAATCGCAGCGGCCGGGCTAGCGCGAGGAATCGTGGGGCTGCGCGGCGCGGGTGGGGCAACGCCCTCCACTACCAAGCGCCATAGCTGCCTACGCAGTACGAAGCTACGCCATCACCACCGCGCGCTCGACGACGTGCGGCTGTCAGCAATCCGACCCCGCCGCTGCACGCTGCCCCCGCAACCATGGAGCAGACCAAGGCCCTCAACGCGCTCGAGCCCTTCCTCGCCCTCAGCAAGTCCGCAACCTCGCCGCGCGCCGCGTCCGACCTCGTCGTGCAGGCCACCAGCGCCCCGCACACGTTCGTCTTCGCCGAGCTGCTGCAGACGCCCAACATCCAGGCCCTGCGCGCCTCGCCCGACCACGCGCCCTACCTGACGCTGCTCGAGATCTTCGCCTGGGGCACCTGGGCCGACTACAAGGGTACGCCCCCTCACAACCCCCGCGCCCATCTCACCACCCAACCAACTAACCCCCCGCAGCGCACCCCGAGCTCCCCAAGCTCTCCGCCCAACAGCACCAGAAACTGCTCCTCCTGTCCCTCCTCCCGCTGTCCCACGCCCACGCCTCGCTGACCTACACCCACCTCCTCTCCGCCCTGGACCTGCCCTCCCCGCGCGCCCTCGAGCAACTCCTCACAACCGCCATCTACGCGGGCCTGCTAACCGCGACGCTGGACCCAGCGCACTCGCGCGTAGCCGTGACCTCTGTGGCGCCGCTGCGCGATCTAGCGCCGGGCACGCTGCCGGGCTTGCAGGACACGCTGGCCGCGTGGAGCGCGCGGTGCGACGCCGCGCTGGGCGCGCTGGAGGCCCAGGTCGACGCTGTCAAGGCGGGGGCTGTGCAGCGCGAGAAGCTAAGGCGCAAGAAGGAGCGCGCGGTTGAGGTGCAGAGTGGCGAGGATAAGGGGAAGAGGGCGCCGGAGATGAGGGGTGGGTATGGGGATGAGGACGCGATGGATATCGATCAGGAGGGCAGCGGGCGGACGACACGGGGGACGAAGAGGGGCGCAGGCGGGTTTGGGTTTGGGGGCACGGGGAGGCGGTTGTGAGGGGGATGGAGATGCGGGTCAGGACTTGAGAGCGAGGAGGTGCGTAGGGAGGTGGTCAGTAGCATCCCCAGTGCGCACCAACTCCCCAGCTGGCATCACAGCATACCACAACCACAACTAGACAGCACGATGTAATGCCGAAACGACAAGCCACAAAGTACATGCTCGATTATGACTATATACCAGCCACGCATCCGTGACTTGGTCAGCCAACCGAATCCCCCAACCCAATCAACCCAACTTAAACCCGTCGAGCCCGAGCGCCCGTCTCTATATACATGCAATGCCGTGCCCACATTACCCGCCCAAGACTAAAACCTGGGGTATCCAACATCATACGCACCTACCATTCCAAAAACGCCTCTATGTGCAGAAACGCCATGCAGTGCATCGTAAACCCAGCCCGGAAATGAATAACAAGCAAACAACGACTGCCGCCAACGGACGGAAATGAAGCCTACAAGGGCCCTGTCTCGAGCCCCAGCGGTATGAGGGCGGGGAGGTCCGCGAGCTCCGCGTCCGCCGGCTCATACCACGACACTTCCAGGGCGTCCGTTGGCGGCACAAAGGCCGCCTAAGCCGGCGCAGCGGGGTGTTGGAACGCCTGTTCTGGCTGAGCGGCGTCGGCGGGCGCGGCGGCAGCGGCAGCGGCCTGCTGCCCCATCTGCACGAGCTGGTCGGCCATGGTGCGGAGGGCCTCGCGCGTGGCGTCGATGTTCAGCTCGCCCCGCTCCTGCGCCTCCTTCAGGTACGCTTCCCACTCGGGGTCCATGGGGACGTTGGCGCCCTGGTCGCGCAGCGCGGCGGCGTGCAGCAGACGCGCGTTGAGCTCGAAGCCGACGCTGGCGTCGAGCTCGTCGTGGGCGTCGTCCTCGCTCTCGCTCTCCGTGTCTGCCATCTCCGTGTCCCGGTCGCGCGGCCGGCGGGGCTCGCCGGCGCCCTCGGCCATGGACGGCACGCGCTCGATCTCGACCTCGATGTCGGTCTTGACGTTGATGCCTTTCCGGCTGGCGAGGCGGCTGTGTCGGTTGTCGACCCACTCGCCAATCTCCATGCCCGTTGTGTCGACAACCTTGACGCCCTCGTCGCGCTCGTACCGCTCGCGCGCCCAGAGCGTGCCCTCCCATCTGCAGAACCCCTGAATCTCGCTCTCCGTCAGGCCGAGGCGGTCGAAGGCGTCGAAGAGGCGGCGGTGGTGCGGGAAGCGGCCGAGGCGTTTCCGGTGCGGCCCATGGGCGTAGTTGAGGCCGGGATACCGCGCCTCGATGGTGTCGAGCGAGCCGTAGAAGTTGGCGGTTTCGATGCGGACTTCGCCGACCAGGTTCTTGGAGAGATGTGCGGAGAAGGAGGGCGGGTCGGTGGGCGAGGGCGAGGGGAAGAGCTGGCTGTAGACCAGCACGGAGATGGGGTTTTTGCGGTGCATAGTCGTGGCGGGTGGCTGGTGGCGGTGCCTCGAGGCAGGAGAGAGGAGAGCGACGGGAGCGGCAGCGCGCGGTGTGCAGAGGTGCGCGGGTGGCCGAGGGTCGCAGACGGGCTTCGGTGTCGCAGCGTGGGCGTGTTTGCGGGAGGGACGCAGGCGCTGCGCGGTGTGCTGTCTCGCACCTTCTGCAGCGGGTGGCTGACTACAGCGGCGTGACGGTCAAACTGCGCCGCTGCTCGGCTCTCGCTAGTCAGACGCTCGTGAAATGCGCCAGCTGACCGTGCTGCCGAGTGCGGGTGCGGTCACAGAGGCCAAATGCAAGTTTCTGAGGGCCGCCGGTTCGGAGAAGCGCTTTGCAGGAGAGGGCGAGGTATGCCGGCTCGGCGAGGCTGCAGGAGGCCCCGGTTTTGCTGGGAGATTGCGGTCGGGGAGGGCCAACGTCGTGACTAGCAGACGCTCGGGGTTGCCTGCACACAGCCGCAGCAGGACGCACGGTATGGATGACTGCGTCGTTGGACAAAGACGGGCAGCAAAAGGAATCCGTTTGAGACGCCCAACAGCCAGGGCGCCACGACGGGATATAGCAGCCCGCAGCTCACCGCCAACCTCCAATTTAGCCCAGGGACAACCCACACTTTGTCAACGATGCTCGCGACTGCCACTTCTAGACCAGGGTCTACCATGCGCTGCCAACCCTGGTCCGCCCAAAGCGGCGGCGTATCAGCGTCGCGCAGCCCTCGCTTGAGACGACTCGACGCGGCGACGCTGCGACGCTGCACTGTGAGCGTCTGTCGCACTGCTGCACTGCCGTGGGTAGCCCTCTTCGCTGTCAACACTGTGCGAGTGCGTTGTAATGCATGCGCCCAATGACCGCCCGCCCGCCGCCAGCCCGCTGCCGTGCATGTGAATCCAGCGGAACCACTGGCCGTCCATGCTCCACTGCGTCGAGTCCTCGTCGCGCCGGCAAGGGCGCAACAGGAAACAATGCCACCATCGCCCTTGGGGTCCTTGGTACGCCGCCCGAGCGGGGTCTGTTATGCAGACGCTGCAAATGCGCTGTCGTTGTATGGCATTCGTTGTTTGGCTTTGCCGTCTCAGGCACAAGGTCACCGATGCGGTCCGCCTGACGCCACCCAATCGCTCGCCTGACTGCCAACCCCACGCATCGTGCATTCCCTGATCTGGCAAGTGTGGCGGACTGTGCGCGACACTTTTGCCCCGACGTTTCGTCCTACAAAGCCTCGTTACATCCCATCCCACTCACACGCCTTTTGGCCCTCTGAAATAGACCTGACACCATGCACACTTGATGCACAGTCGACCTAGCTAGACATCCCACTGAGGCCATCACGTCAGAGAGAGGCTGCAAACGTCACAAGCAAGAGACCGTGTATGGGATCCAACAATCTGTTATCTCGGTTTACCTAGTTTACATGACCAGCTCTGAGAGCGTTGACTCAAGGCCAACAACATTGCATGAGTATGAGCGCCCGATAGGTATGAGGTACCTGTTCCTCAACCTTCCTCGTAGTCGTCGTGCTTTTTTTGTGTGCGTGCTTGCAATGGTGACGAGCAAGTAGGACTAGCCGTGAGGCTGTCAGGTGTGGTGGAGGACCGTAGCCGCTTAGAACTGATCAGCCCAGTCGCCAGACGCAGCTGCACCAGCATTGTCGTCGCCCCAACCTCCCGTAGCAGCGGTAGAGTCTGCACCTGCGTTGTCCCAGCCACCGGCAGCAGCACCAGACATGTCCGGAGCATCCCAGCCTCCAGCAGCACCGCCGTCAGTACCACCAATGGGCTCGGGGCATCTCTTCTCGCCGTGGCCGTAGTTAGAGCAGTTCTTGCACTTGACGCGGCTCCAGTCCTTAGGCTTAGGGCATTCGCGGCTAAGGTGGCCTTCAGCATCGCAGTTGCGGCATCGGTCGACGCGAGGTTCGGGACAGTCAGAGGCGTTGTGGCCCGGTGCGAGACAGTTGAAGCAGGCACGACCGCCCCCACCACCGCCAGCACGGGGCTTGAGAGGCTCGGTGCAGTCGATCTTGCGATGTCTAAGTCCTGTCAGCATGTTTCTGTCACTCTCAGCGTGACAACGTACCCCTCTACGCCGCAGTTGAAGCAAGCCTGACCGCCTCCGCCTGAGCCGGCGTTGGGGCAATCGCGCTTTGTGTGTCCGACCTCACCACAGCCGAAGCAGGCACGATCTCCAGAAGCACCACCTTTGGGACAGTCGCGCTTGGTGTGGCCGACCTCGCCGCAGCCGAAGCAGGCTCGGTCTCCAGAAGCTCCGCCCTTGGGACAGTCGCGCTTAGTGTGACCAACTTCGCCGCAGCCAAAGCAGGCGCGGTCGCCGCCACCGCCACCCGTCGTCTTGCTGTAGCCTGAGGAGTTGAAAGTGTTGTCAGCATCGCCAGAGGCACCCCAGCCGCCGTTGCCAGAGTCGGCGGAAGGAAGGTCGAAGCCACCGTCAGGCGTGAAGCCCGTGGCCTCACCACCCCAGCCACCGGCGCCGTTGTTGCCATTCTGAGCGTTTTCCTTGTCCTTCTCCGCTTGCTCAAAGGCACGGTGAGCCTTAGAGTTTTTGTGTACAGGCCAATCCCGAGTGTTGATGGTGCGGTCACAGAGCTCACACAGAGTCTTCTGCGGAACTGGCGCCTTCATGCTCTTGTATGGATTTGACGCCATGCCTGGCTGCAGGTTCAGCACTTGACCGCGACCCATGGTTGCTGGGAAGAGTTAGCAAACCTCTGCACGTAAAGGTGGCTGTTGAAGGTGAGGTGAGTGGGGAGAGTGTCGCGTCTCGGTATGAGATGTCTTAAAGCTTCTCAAGATGGCTTGCAGTTGCTTGCTAACAAACAAAAGTTTTCGCTCTTATTTGTGGGCTAGAGTAGGTTGGGAGACGGATGAACCAGGAAGACAACGTGACAGTGAAGCTCGAGATGCACTTACAGGTGAGAGTACTGGAAGGCACTGCAGTACAGAGATAACAGCAGAGGGCCCACTGGTTATGCAATGCGAGCGACGCCCAGGTATTGCTGGTCGAGTTGAGGGCGAGGCGGGGAGTGGGGTGTGAGTTTGACGGAAGGAGCTCAACAGAAGAACTAAATAGAAGGCAAACGCGAGCAGCAACAACCGTGCACAGGCCTGGGGCGAGAAAACCACGCCATCCCGGATCGAAATAGACAGTGCAAGTGATGATGAATGTGAAAGTGAGAAAGACAATCGACACTGATTGGCCCGGCCCCGGGTAGAGACAAGAAAACGGTCAAGCTCACGGCTACCTGCACGACGGTGTAACTCTGCAGACTATTAATGGGTTCTGGGGCGCAAAAGACGTTGTGCTGTCCGCGAAATATGGATTATGAGACCTTGGGGACCTGGCAGGCGTATGCAGGGTATATGAGTGATACACAATTGTGCTTGTTGTGAGAGTTGCTTGTTGTGAGAGTATCAATTTGCACCTCTTTTGCATGCAGCTGTTGCTCAAGATCCCCCGACAATTCCCTCCTCGCCAGCGATAGTCTCCTCAGGATCCAGCTCGGTCTTTGGCACCGGCGAATTCCATCCCGTGCAAGCTTGGACTAGCGTCACGACAATAGCCAGTCCTGTGGCGGCGTAGAAAAGGGCCTTGATGGCGTCTTGATACGCACCAACAGCAATTGTCTTCTCGACGCCTTCAAGCTGACCCACAAGAGCAGGGCTGCCTTGTAACTTTCTCACCAGTTCACCACGGTGTTTCAATCCTGCATCCTCGAAGCCATCCACGAGCGAACGATGCAAAACACGCCCGAAGAGCCCGCCTCCAATCGCTGAGCCAAAGCTACCAGCAAAGCCACGGAACGTTGCGAGAAGGGATATGGTAATCGGATGAAGCTCGGGCAGCGTCAAGTGCAAGAGGTGCACAAGAGTGTAGTTGAGCGCAGCCCCGGTAACGAGGCCGTTGAGAAACACCAGGAGCATGTACAATGCCATAGAGCTCGTTGGTGTAGAGATGAGAGCGATAGCGACCATGGTGAGGGGCCACAGTGCCATGGAGATGACGCCGTGCGCATAGAAGCTTCCTTCGCGTTTGATATGAAACACCCCAGCAAGGATACCACCAGCCGCGAAGCCAGTGTTGGTAGGAATAAGGATCGATCCAGCAGCGGCAGGAGCCCAACTACGGACGGCGAGAGCAAACACAGGCGTGTAAAAGAGAACTGCCCATCTCGCCATCATAGAGCCTACAGTGGCTAGACACGTAAGAAGCGTTCCACGCGATTTCATCACTGTAACAGGAATGACCGGGTCCTTCGCGATGTATGCCTCATTAAGGACAAACAAGGGAAGTGCGAGTGCAGAGAGAATGAGCGGCTGTGGAAGAATCTTCGGGCCAGAGAGACCAAGGAGGAACAGAACGATGGTGCCGATCAGTAGTAAGGCCCCAGAGTAGTCGATCCGCGCAAGTTTCTGTCTCAAGGAGAGCTGGACGTAAGAATTACCCTTCGAGGTATAGTTCTCTGGAATTGCCAAAAGAAGTCCCATGCCAGCGAGAAAACAAAGCGGAGACTGGGCTCCAAACAGTGGTTTCTGGACATGTTAGTATGCGTGGACAAAGATGGGCAGACTACTTACCCATCCAATTTTAGATTCCAGCGCTCCTGCAATAACAGCCCCAAGAGATACACCTGCAGTCATGCCCGTGTTGCCGAGCCCAATGAATAGTCCACGGCGCTCTGGACTAGTCATTTGGATGGTGATGATGCTAGCAACAATGAAAATACCACTGGCACCTGCTCCGGAGATGACACGGCCGATGATGAACATCTCGAACGTATTCGATGTAGCGACGATGAGTGTTCCCACAGCAATTAAGACAGTCGAGAAGAACATGCAAAGTCTCGGGCTAAAGATCTGCGACAAACGCCCCATTAAGGGCGCAAGAGACGACATTGCGATCAGGTAGGACGAAGTAAGCCATGTTACTCTATCAAATGCATCTAGGTCTGCAGCAATTGCGGATTGCGTCGTAGTCAAGATCGAAATGTTTGTAGCTAGGTTCGGTCGTCAGTCGGATTGTCTCGGATGCGGTAAAGTCGCATGGCAGCCTAAACCACTTGGGTTGAGAAACATGTGTACTCGGAAGTGCAGTACCTTGTAGAAAGATGAGCAGTCCAATAGATCCTATGATAAAGCCCCCTCGAGTCTTCGAGATTGGTGCTTCTTCATCATGTCGAAGGCCCTCAATTGCACTCGAGATGGAACCGCGAATTACAGCTGTAGGCTCTTCAGCAATCTCGGTGATGCGGCGGAGGAGAGGAGTCCGCTCTCGGACGCTCCGATAGTATTGGTCCCGCGACAGTGGCATCGTGGACAGCCAAATGAAGAGGAAAGGATATCAATTGGCAACCCCAAGGCGCGTCGTTGGGAATATGTCGCGTGCCGTGAAGAGGTTCGTTATGATGACGAAGTTACGAGGCGCTACGATGACAAATGCGGCAGGAGGTCACCGAGATTTGACGACCGTGAGCACTCCCAGATGCCGTATTTCTAATTGCAATGTTTGATATATCGATCAATAATGAAAGAGTTGATGGATGCACACCATGCACAGCTGCGTGAACATAGGCTATACCGATATGCTGGAGCGCAGACGTCTGTTGCAGTGACGTAGCTGGTGATTGGCCGTTGAGCTCCATTTAGCGGCATTCGCGGTCGGGCACCTTGTCAGTGGAAAGCTGGCCTCAAGCAAACAATCTCACCACGACACCCGTAGTGAGCGTTTCTGCTTGTGTTTGCACCGGTGAAATGTCGCAATGATCATTTCCACCATATCGCAAATCCAGTCCCTTCAAACCGCAAGATGAGGCCACCAAGACAGCGGCTTCTGCCGCTCATCTTTGGTAAGCACGCACCCTGAGCACCATGATAGCATCCTGACTGACGTGTAGTACCGTAGTCATACTATCGACATTCCTTTCCTTCACCACAGCGCAACACGGCGGCAGCGATGATGCACGCGCGCAGCAGAAACCACTGGGCAGGAACTCGGCTCCTTCGGCAACAGCGCATGGCACCACAGAAGAGGGGGACAGCTATGGCAAGGGACATGTTGCGTTCCAAGAGGCAACTTCTCTGCTCCACGAGGTGAAACCTGCGGCCACGCCCTGGTATGATTTCGACAAGAATGCCGGGATTGTAGGAGCGGGCGCATACTATGCAAAGGAGCTCTTCTTTCTACTTTTCATGAACGGACCCGCCGAACCAGAATCATTCACGACCGATCCGCAGCCCAAGAAGCTCAGTCAGCCTTTGTTGAAAGCTGTAAAGCTGCTGAAAGACGCCGCCGCGCAGAAGGACGCAGATGCGATCTTCACACTTGCCGAGATGAACTTCTATGGCAACTACTCGCATCCACGTAATTACTCCGAAGCTTTCCGCCGATACCACGAACTCGCGACGCTCGATGGAAACGCATCAGCGCAGCACATGGTCGGCTTCATGTACGCCACTGGCATCGGTGGCGCGGTGGCGCAAGATCAGGCGAGGGCGATGCTGTATTACACTCTTGCAGCGGAGGGCGGCGATGTGAGATCAGAGATGACCATTGCGTACCGCCACTCTTCCGGGATAGCGACACCGCGAAACTGCGACGAGGCGGTGCACTTCTACCGAGAAGTCGCCAAGAAAGCAATCGCATATATGCGGTCCGGACCACCTGGCGGACATTCGATGCAACGGGAGGGGTTCAGGATCGCCGACGATGAAGGCGGTGTCTACGGCGAGGGTGCAAGCGTGAGCAGCTCAGGAGCAAACGCCAAAACGGCCAGTGTACACTCGGATGCCTATTCCTCCCTGGATGATGTGGTGGAATATATGGATCTCCAAGCTAGGAAAGGCGATGCGAGAGCAAGCTTCAACCTGGCCAAAATAAACTACGACGGAGCCAAGACATCGAAACGGGATCTACCGGCCGCAAAGAAACGATTCTTGGAGCTCGCTCGCATGTATTGGGATAAGAACGGCAAGACAAAGCAGAACGTATCTCCGCTCACCCAGAAATTGGCGGCGAAGGCAGCTGGATTCTTGGGCCGCATGTTCCTTCGTGGAGAAGGCATGCCTCAGAGCTTCGACATCGCCAAAACTTGGTTCAGGCGTGGCATTGAGCATGGCGATGCTCTGTCACAGTACTCAATGGGTCTTATGTACCTTAAAGGACTCGGTGTGCCGAAGAACCCCGTCAAAGCTGCCGAGTTGTTTGGCGCTGCTGCAGATGACGATCTGGCAGTGGCCCAGGTCCGGCTCGGTGCTCTCTTCCTTGATCAGGGCGACATTGCTACCGCGATGAAGTACTTCGAATTGGCAGCACGACACGGCCATCTCGAGGCTTACTATTACCTGGCCGAGCTCGCACATGAGGGTGTAGGACGCGAGAAGTCATGTCACGTTGCTTCCGCTTACTACAAGATCGTGGCAGAAAAGGCCGAGGTTATCTCGACATCTTTCCCAGAGGCGAATAAAGCTTACGCTAACGGAGATCTCGAGACTGCGCTTGTCCGGTACATGATGGCTGCGGAGCAAGGATTTGAAACTGGTCAAGCTAATGTGGCATACTTGCTCGATCAAGTCAAGCCCAGGTTTACCCTTGGTTCGCTCATCCCGTTCATACAGAAGAAGACCAGCCTAGCCAGTGATGCCGTACTTGCGTTGATCTACTGGACACGCTCTGCCGAACAGAAAAATGTCGACTCCATGGTCAAGATGGGCGACTACTATCTCCAAGGTCTTGGCACTTCTCCCGACCACGAGAAGGCAGCAGCTTGCTATCAAGCGGCGGCCGAAACACTACGCAGCGCACAATCGATGTGGAACTTGGGCTGGATGCACGAGAATGGCATCGGCGTCGACCAGGACTTCCACCTTGCAAAGCGACACTATGATCTAGCGTTAGAAACCAACCCTCGCGAAGCCCATCTGCCAGTCCTCCTGGCGCTGTACAAGCTGCGGTTCCGCAGCTGGTGGAACACTATCACCAACGGCAAGATCAAGTCCATCCAGAACGAACCTAGTAAGTCTTCCGCTACCTACTACCGTATGACTGTGCGACTAACAACCCCCTAGCGGTCAAGAAAGACTTCTCGCTCTCCGAGTGGCTCAGCGCCTTCCTCGAAGCCGAGCTTGCCGGCTGGGACGACTACGAACCGGATGACTACGACGACCACATCGACGGCGGCGACGGTTACTACGCCGACGACGTCGACTCCGATATCCTCGAGTCGCTTGTCATTCTGGCGCTCAGCGGCGCCCTGGCGTTCTTGCTGTACTACCGCGCGCAAAGGCAGAGAAGGCAGGAGGAAGAGCGGCAGCGGCAGCAGTTGCAGCATCTGCAGGCAAACGGGTTGGCGCCTGCGGCTCCGGCGGCGCCTGATGTGCCGGTCCAGCCGGATCTGGGGCTTCAGCCAGACAACATGTTTTGGGCTGGCGGTGGTGCGGGGCTCTGAGGGAGAGGGAGCGGGAGGGTTGCATGACTGGCGTTATTGAGGCATATCAGCGTTTGAGGGTACTGGGAAGGAGTATCACGATTGTAAGGGGTTATCTGTATCTAGACGTTTGAGTGTATACATGAGATTTGGCAGACGCACTTCGAACGCTCTCGTTTCTTGGAACGATGCTATTTGCCTTCTCGCTGTGCAAATGCAACCGCACAGTCGGAATCACCGTGTATCTATCTATAGGCCCAAACTCCCGCTATGCTAAACACCGAAGCAAAATACCCTCACTCACTTCCCCTCAACAGTCTGCCCAAACGCCTCACTCTGCAGCACCGCCTCGCCCGGCCCCATCCCCACCTTCGCCCCATCCCCCGCATCCGCCCCCTCCCCAATACACACCCACCCCTTAACCCTTCCCTCGCGCGTGCTCAAAATCGCATCATCATTGCAAATCTCCTTCCCGCTCTCCACGCCCTCGAACTCCAAATCCGCGACACTCGTGCTCGCAACCTCGCACCCACTATCCCTGAGCAACTGCAGCACCGCGCGCGCATTCAGGCGCAGCACGCGCGCCGGCTCGCGGGCGCCGAACACCTTCGCCGTGGCCCAGGGGAACAGCACGCCGAAGTCGCTCTGCGAGAGGTGCGCGCTGGCCACGGGGTAGAAGATGTGCGGGCCCGGGAGGCTGGGTGCGGACGCGGGGCGCGCGATTGTGCGTTTCGTTTCTTGCGTGTTGGAGGCCCATTTGTAGAAGCCTTCGCTCAGGATGGCGAGGAGGTTGGCGCCGCCGCGGGGCGAGGCGTAGGAGGGCATGGGCTGGGAGCGCAGCCAGGCCGTGGCGGGGGATTGGAGCGGGAGCGTCCAGAGGTCGAGCAGGATTACGGGGTTTTGGGGCGTGATTTGGGCTTTCAGGGCTGAGGAGGCGCGGGGGGTGAAGAGCGGTTTGTAGGTGGAGGGCGCGTCGGTGGGGGGGTAGTAGACGGATTTTACGAGCTGGACGGTGGTGGCGGCGCCGAAGGAGTGGCCGGCGAAGCTGATGGAGCCAGGTTCGTGGACGGCGAGGAGGTGCGAGAACATGGTGAGCATATCTTTCCCGCCGGCTTTTGTGGCGTCTTCGGCGACGTTCTTGAGGCGCTGGCGCGTGTCGATCTTCAGCAGGGCGTCGTGGATGAGGCCCATTTCCCAGAGGCGAATTCGGAGTTGTTCGTCGCGGGCGTTGTACACGTCGGTCGAGGGCTTGTGGTCGATGCGCCTGTATTCCGTGCGCTTAATCTTTTCTTTCAAGTCTGGGGTGTGGATGAAGTTGATCGGTGAGCTGCCGTCACGGTGGTCTGGGGCGACAACGACAATGCCGTGGCTAGCCAACGAGCCACAGATGTGGGAGTACGCATTGCGCGAGCCACCCAGGCCGTGAGAAAACATCATGACTGGCCATCGTTTCGATTTTGTGTTGGGTTCAAGAATGTCGGCGTTCGAATGCACGGGTATCGATGTGAATTGAAGTAATTGAGGGAATAGACTGATCACCGCGTTAGTTGTCATGGTCTCATTTTGCTGTGCTCTTCAATGACATACGAGAAGACGCTTGCAAACGCGCTGTTCGCCCCCAAGAATCGAGCATACGCAGCAACGTATTCTCGCTGTGGGCTCGGTATCCACCTCACGGCCTTCTGCTCGCTGTCCTGTCTGCATGGGTAAAACACCCTGAATGCTACTGTAGGTATATCTGCGGGCGGCGCATCGTCGCTGGGATTCTCGAGTTCGCTCGTTGGGATCTCTATGTCTATTGACCCGACTTTGTGCGGTCCGGTGTACGCTGGGAAAGCGGGTGTTGGGTTGATGCTTTTGAGCCACGACATATTTGCCAGCGCTGCAGGATTCACGCCCTTGGGTTGCAGAGAGGCCGGTATGGCGGAGCGAAGCGATTGGAAGACTCGTGTGAGCGACAGCTTGATAGTGTTGGTGTTGGAGTTGGGAAAGTCTACGGGTATCCGGTCGCTAACAGCAGGACAGACAAGAAGAGAATTAAGGAGAGCGGCGAAGAACGAGAAGAGCAGAGTCTGGACAAATAGAAGACATGTACATGACGCAAGTCACAAACCTATCGCCCTATCGTGGGCACTAGGGCCAGGAACCAGTCCGAGGCACGCGACACCCGCGAAAAGTTGGCCGGTGACATAGACGCCGGGTGGCGTCAGATCTGGATCGCCGAGGCATCTGCCGTTTCACGGGATGTCGGAGCTTGTAAAGATCCGAGAAACCTACAATAACGCAGGTCACCAACACGCACCTTTCAAGGTGAGCATCGTCGACGCGGATGCTGTTGTGTCGCGTGTCCCTTGGCTTTCTTTTGGCAGGCGCATTTCTTGGTTGCGGCGGATGACGGACGGCAGGCTTATCGATTGTGCTAGACCTGTTACGGTTAGACGGTCAACGCCTGACATGTGACAGCGTTGTTGAGGCTCTGCGAAGTCAGAGGTGCGCAGGGGCAAATGTTGGACTGACGGAATATACATTACTGGACTAGGAAAGAGAAGTCGCTCGCTCATATATGCACAAGGAACAGCATCACTACAGAAATGTACCAAAGCAAGCCCATTTGTCGACCTGCTCGACTCGTCCAGGTCAACAGCACCCGCCTCTTCTTGTCCCGCCGCTTAACCTGAAGACCTCTTCCCATTCTGTCCGCGGCTTCTTCTTGCCCCCCCTCCAACGCACTGACCCGCCAGGGTGGCCGCTGACAATGCTGCTGGCGCCGTCATCCCAGCCCAGGTCGCCGTACTGTATGCCGCTCTGCGGATCGTCGGGGTCGATTTCGCCCAGCTCGATCTTGGTCAGGATCATGCGCGCCAGCCGGTTGAACAGCTCCTCGACGTTCTCGCCATTGAGGGCCGAGACCTCGACGGCGACGGGTATCCCGTTGGCGCTGGCCCAGCGCGAGGCGGCTTCCTGCGACACCTCGCGTCCGTCCGGGGCGACGGTGTAGTGGTTGTTGAGGCTCAGGTGCAGCGATGACTGGCTCGAGGGCGTCGGCGGGGGCAGCCCGTAGTCGGAGCTCGGGGTGCTGGCGTAGCTGTAGCCGGCGCCCGGCGGCGGGGCGAAGCCGTCGACGACGTCGCTCTTGTTCCCCGCCAGAATGATGGTGATGTCCGGGCCAGCCAGGGCGCGCGCATCGTTCAAGAAGGTCTGCAGCTGCTCGAAGCTGCGCCAGCTGCTGACGTCGTACACGAGGATGGCGCCGGCGGCGCCGCGGTAGTAGGAGCGGCTGACGGAGCGGAAGCGCTCGGTGCCCGCCGTGTCCCACAGCTGCAGCTTGATGCGCTTGCGGTTCGACAGCGACGCCGACTTGCGGTCGGCAATGTGCACGATCTTGCTCGAGAACTCGACGCCGATGGTCTGCGACGAGAGCACGCGCCACTCGTCGCGCACGAAGCGGTGCAGCACGCACGATCTGGCGGGGTCAGCGCTGCGACGCCGTGGGGGGAGGGCACCGACTTTCCTGCGCCGCTGGGGCCCAGCAGCACCGTCTTCGCCAGGTAGTCGTACATGCTGCCCAGCTCCTGCGCCCAGTCAGCGGCCGCTGCGTCGACACATTGCGTGCGTGTAGGTCTATTCCACGCCCGTGCCTACCTGTGTGGTCGTCTCCCCACTGCGCGTCGACGCAATCGACGTCGCCCGGTTGCGGCCCATGTTTGGCTGTTGTGCGCTGCAAGCACGGCTGCGCGTGGTGGAGGGGCAGAGGCAGCGGCAGGCACGCTCTGACGCGCCGAGGGGCAGAGGCCGGGGTCGACCGTGCTTGGATCGTGATGCGGCTGTGTTGTTGTGCTGCTTGGCTTATCTGTGACGCTCCAGAGACGAGTGGATACGAGTCAACCGCGGCTCGCAAGGCTCGCACCGGTGTGTCACGCGACGATCCATCGCCTAGCCATATCCAGCCGGCTATCAGACCGCCAGCAGACATGCGTTGTACTGCACCCCGGCAGGCTCTGCTCTCTGACTCTCGTTGAAAAGACGAGAAGAACCGCTGCTCCCAGACACCGTCTGCCGATCCGTCCGGGGCACAGAGACTTACCACGCATCGCACATTGTCAGCCATTTGCTGTCAACAGTCCTAGGTATTCTGCAGACGACCTGCTGTCGTCAATGCAATACCCACCACCATGCATCGTCTTCGTTGGCCGAATATCTGGCTGTACATGGCACGAACTCACAAAAGCACTGGACGCGATTACACGTCGTTTGTTGGCTGGCCAATCATATGCCAATCGCAAACAGGCAGCGCCACTAGCGCGCTCTGGCAACGCGACACACATTATACAAAACCCTTGAACAGTCAACACTTGAACACTCGACACGGACGCCCAACAATCCGCACTGCTTTGCACTTACCTAGTATGCAGGACCGTTACACAAAGCAGCTCTAAGGGACACCCAGCTTTTGCAACACACTGCAGGCGATACTATACAGCAACAGCTAACGGCAATAGCTTAAAAGGCACTACACTTTTACCTCCCACTTTCACCTCCCACTTTCACCCCCCGCTCTCACCACCTACTCTCGTTATCCACTCTCATCATCCAATCTCACTTCTCACTCTCACCTCACCTTACCACAGCGTTGTATGCTGTCCTGCCTACCTTTCTGGCATGACATGAACATATCCACAAATAATCGTTCATCAGCATCAATCTACCACCTACCAGAGCTGACCAAGGTGACAACTTTGACCCACCAGCCTTTATGGAACCACCTGCTGCGCCTTCCAAGGCCCTCTTGGATACGATACGGCATGCGCGACAGCATCCTCCGGCTGCGCCCTCTAAGGGTCTCCTGGAGATGATACGACATGCAAGAGAACATCCAGAAGAGGTCGCCAGGAAGCTTCGAGAGGAGGCTATTCTCAATGGCAAAGACCCCGATACAATGAAAAATTGGATGTTGAAGATCAAGAACAACGCACCGTCAAGCTCAAGAAGTCATACTTCTAAAGAAGATCAGACTACGGCCTTAGCAGAGAGAGGCGAGCTTACTATCGAGAGTATGGATATTGACGATGGACACGAGCCTACAATCGAGAGTATGGATATTGATGAAGCCGAGCACTGGGATCGAAGTGACACACCTATCCATGCTGCGCCAGCAATTCGCAAAAGCCCAGTGCCTCAACATCACACTGCAGCTCCACAAGCAATTCCAGCTCTACACCACACTAAACGTCCTGAAGGGCCTCCTTCACGGATGCAGCAAAGAGTGGGTTCCACTGGTCAAATTTCTAAGTCAGCGCAAAGGAAGATGAGAAAAGGCGGAAGTGGTAGGGCATCGCCCCTCGCTTTCTCTGGTCAATCTCCAGCAGAGTCATCGGCATCAGGTTCTAGCATGCTTGAGGATCCGAACTCACCAGTCACGAGCCCTTCCCATTCACTGTATCCCTTTCCCACCCGACCTGCGATGCCATCCTGGTACAACAATGTCCCGAAGCAAAAAGCGCTAAAAAGACGCCCCCCAGAGATTACTGCCATTGATGCCCTGAAAGATAGCATCAAACGAACCATCTATGGATACGGGCCAGGAGGACGTTCCAGTTTGCATAACGAACTGCGCAACCATATTCACGGAGTCGGGCTCAAGTACGACAATATAAGCGACGTAACGATGTTAACATCACGCATCTTGACAGACATAGGATTGCCTCGCATATTCGATGAACTTGCCGCTCTTCCTTGGGACCTGAAAGCTGACGCGTGGGTTTTATATGAAAGGTGGATGAATAGAGACTTTGATGCGAGCATTCTTCGTGGCATCACCACTGTCAAGGGCAAAGACAGAAACGGCGACCGTCTTGATCGTGCTTACACGGAGAAGTACCCAAAGCAGCCTAAAACTTTCGGCAACAATGGGGCTGTAATTGGCCAATGGTGGCCTACGCAGCTCTGTGCTGTTCGTGATGGCGTACATGGCGCGCCACAAGGAGGCATGTTGCGCCTAGCTCTTTTTATAGCGTATCTGCTAATTTCAGTGTAGGCATCTATGGTGACAAAGAAAGAGGCGCATATAGTATCGTACTTTCCAGTGGTGGTTACCACGATAGAGACGATGGCGACACAATCGAGTATAGCGGCACTGAAGGAAGCAACTTCGAGATCAAGGCTGCGACGCAGTCGATGGTCGTCAGCTCCAAGCTCCGAAACCATATTCGTGTTTTGCGTTCCTCCCAATTACCGAAGTCCAACAAATACCGCCCAAGCTGTGGTCTGCGGTACGACGGGCTGTACCAAATCAAGTCTTACAAGATACTGGATCAAGAGAAACAGATCCATCGATTCCATCTTGAGAGAGTTCCCGGCCAATTCCCTATTCGGTTCGAGGGCGACGCGAAACGGCCGACAATGTTGGAAGAAAAGGCGTATGCCGAGTGCAAGGGCATACACTAACCATTCGCATGCCGTCATCCGGCCTGGTGCGTCATGCTCTGAAGGACGAAGTGCTCTAAAAGTTCTTATGTCATTTGACCTAGTTGGCTCGGTCGATGGTGTTCGGAGTTTTGGCGGTCATACGCCGGCGTTCCTCGAGTTTAGATAGTACAATATTCACACTGGCAATAGTGTTCTCCCTGTTGTCAGCAGCTTTTGGTTCCGCCATACTGGTGTTGAGGAGGGGATGTATGACAGACCTCATTGGCCAGGCAAGGCACCTCACATTGGCTGCCCTCACGAACGGTCCTTCAAAGCACAAATGAAATGAGTATCAACCTCCGGTGCCTCAACAGATACAACACTAACTGAAGATAATGTTTCACAGCCTCATCGACGGATACTCAAGCCCTCGCAGGTCTGCCGGCGCAAGGGGCATGTTGTCGGTAAGTGACTCCGAACTCTACTTTCACGACCAATCGACCTCACCTATACTCAAGGTGACTATTAAGAGAGCTATCAGCGCTGTCTAAACCATTTCCTAGCCCAGCTGCCTCGTTATTCCCTGCCACGATAGCCACTGGCATGCGGCAAGCGTGAGTCTCGAACGTGGAATGCTCGGACACTATGTTTCTATCTTCACGCTGGAATGCAAAAATCGCGTCAATCGTCGCACGATACACCAACACCTCCCTCGACATCTCCCAATGAGAATTTAGCGATCCTCGCGTCAGTCATGCAATTTCTGGTTTGCCAGTTTGAACTGTGCCTGCATGGACCGTTTTGGTCACACATTCCTCCCTTGCCCATCCATGAAGCCTCGCCACTCCCTTACCTGCATCACATATATACCACTCTTCGAAATCGACCAGAGTCTCTTCATTGTCTCAAACTCTCACCACTTGTCACTCTTTACCCCGCTTATCAGCGCCCGGAGCCACCATGTCTCCCGTCCGCTCCCAAGCAGCCATTCGTTTTATTGTTGCGCTTTTTCTCGCGCAGACCTTCGTTAATGCAGTAGCCGTCCCCCACCCCCATGTTCACAAAGTCTTGGACCCTCGTCAGGTGGTTTCTCTCCCGGTCGTTGAGCGCCAGGAGCCCGAGAACCCCGAGACCAAGAATGTCTTCGACGCCATCATTGACACCCTCGAAAGTTACAACGGATGGCAGGTCTTCCAGGACTTCTTCAGGAAGCTTTTCAACGGTAGCCCGCCTAACATTGGAGACGGAGACGACAAGGACGGTAGCTACAATGTGCCGCCCGTCGTCGTCGTTCCTGGCCCAGCCGCTTCCGAGTCCCCCGTCGACGTGATCAGCGTTATTGAGAGCATCATTAGCGAGGTCGCTACCGCCACCGGTCCCGTCGTGGCCATCCCTACAGATCTCCCCGCGATCAGCGAATCTGACCCAATAATGTCTATTCTCCCCATTGGGGACCTCTCCACCGCAATCGAACTCTTCCCCACCGGCGAGCCTAGCATCCCCACAGAGTTGCTTCCCGAGTCGACTGACCTCCCAATTGTCATTGTTGTACCCCCGGTTGAAACCAACACTACTGATATCGACGTTGAGCTGCCCACCGGCGTTGCGCTGCCCACTGACTTCCTGCCTCCTCTCGTCACTGCGCCTATCGTCACTGCGCCTATTGTCACCGGCCCGATCATCGTACTCCCGCTCCCGACTGTGTCTCCCCTGTTCCCTATCGAGAATGTCACCGTGGTTGCTCCTTCGTCTCCCTCTGGCCCTATTGTGATCATCGTTCCCACGGATCTTTCAATCGCGCTCCCTGAGATCAGCGCAAGCATCGGTGTCAGCGCTGACCTCAACGCTACAGCCAGCTTGACTGCCATTGAGATCCTTCCCACCGAGGTCTCCGTCCCAGAGATCAGCGCGACCATTGGCGTCAGTGCTGATCTCAACGTCACCGCCGGACTGACCAGCGTCATTAACATCACTGCCACTATCGAGCCCACTCTGCTCATTCCGTCAGCCGGAACTGCGCTCCCCGTCACTCTCTCCGTGGAGGTTCCCTTCGCCAACGTGACCGCTGTCATCCCGACTCTTGTTCTTCCCACGCTCTCTATCGGAACAGATGTCGTAGGGTCTATCCTGCCTTCTATCTCGATCGACACCATCAGCGCGCCCTACTCCAACGCGACTGCGTCGGCCGCTATCTCTCTGATCGGTACCGGCGATCTCACAGCCGTTCTCCCCATCGAGACCACTCTCCCTGAGTTCCCCAACATCACGGAGATTGTTGTGCCTACTCTGATTGGCACCGGCGATCTCACCGCTGTCCTTCCTATTGAGACCACTCTCCCTCAATTCCCCAACGACACGGTTATCGTTGTGCCCAACGACACGGTTATCGTTGTGCCTACTCTGATCGGTACCGGCGACCTCACAGCCGTTCTCCCCATCGAGACCACTTTGCCTCAGTTTCCCAACATCACGGAGATCGTTGTGCCCACGCTAATCGGTACCGGCGATCTTACAGCCGTTCTCCCCATCGAGACCACTCTCCCTCAGTTTCCCAACGACACGGTTATCGTTGTGCCTACTCTGATTGTTACTGGCGATCTCACAGCCGTTCTCCCCATTGAGACCACTCTGCCTCAGTTCCCCAACAGCACGGATATCGTCTTGCCCACCCTCCTCCCTGGAACCGGCGCTCTCCCGCTGCCCTCCGTCAGCGCTCTTCCTCTCCCCAGCATTGCCACCGATGGACCCTACCTCAACACCACCGTCGAGATCCCCATCATCCTCCCCACCCTGGAGCTCCCTACCCTGACCCTCCCCACCCTCATTCTCTCCACTGGTGTCCCGAGCGTGTCCAGCGCAGAGGCCCCAGCCGGCACCATCATCGTCGTCCCCGGTGGTCCCGATGTCGTGTTCCCTAACATCACCATCACCGTCAACGCCTCGGACGTGACGCTCCCCGTCACCCTTCCCCTGCTCACCCAGCTCCCCACCGACATCGTCGAGGCATCGGTTTCCGCTGAGATCTCAGTCGCGCCCATCGCGACCGCGCTGCCCATCAACGCCACACTCCCGGCTCTGCCGATCGAGACTGCTATCCCCGTTAACGTCACTCTTCCCCCGGTCTCCATCGAGACAACCCTCCCCATCAACGTCACCCTCCCCCCTGTCGAGACAGACCTGCCCGTCATCCTACCCGTCGACGTCCCGACCCTGAACGTCACGCTGCCCGTCGTACCCATCGAGACTGCGCTGCCCGTCAACGCGACCCTCGCTCCCGTGGTCCCCATCCCGACCGAGTTCCCAACGATCCCGATCGTGACACTGCCGATCGACCCCAGCGTCGAGATTCCTGAGGATGCGCCCGTTGTCGAGTTCCCGGGTGAGCTTAGCATTCCTAATATTCCTGATGTTGTGTTGCCTGAGGTTCCTGCCCCGACATTCGATGTTTCTCCTATTCTGCCTGTTGTTGAGCTGCCCACCGTTTCTGTTGAGATTCCTGATGTTGAGGTTGGTCTTCCGTCTGTTGCTGTTGAGATTCCTACTGTTTCCGTTGGGCTGCCGGATGTTGAGGTCGCACTGCCCACTGTCGCGGTCGAGCTCCCTTCTGTCTCTGTTGAGGTCCCTTCTGTTGGTGTTGAGCTTCCTACTCTCTCGGTCGAGCTCCCCGCCGTCTCAGTCGGTCTTCCCTCGGTCGATGTTGCGCTCCCCTCCGTCGGTGTTGCGATCCCCGATATCTCAGTCGGACTCCCATCCGTCGCCGTTGAGCTTCCCACTCTCTCGGTCGGGCTCCCTGATATCTCGGTTGCGCTTCCCTCTGTCGCTGTTGAGCTCCCCACGCTTTCTGTCGACCTCCCTGCTGTCTCTGTCGCGGTCACCAGTGTCTCAGTCACGGTCCCTGCTATTGAGCTGCCAACCATTTCTATCCCAACGCCTAGCACTGTCGTCATCGCGGTGCCTGCTCTGACACTGGTCACCTCGCCTTCCGCTTCGACTGTTCCGACCTCAGTGTCTGCTCCAGCTTCATCGTCTGTCGCACCTGTTGCTCCGGCTTTGACATTGGTCGCACCTTCTCTGTCGTCCGCCCCCGTTGCGGTTTCTGCTTCGGTTGCGGCTTCTGCCTCCCTCTCCGCTGCAGTAGACGCCGCCGTCTCGGTTACAGACCTCCCACCAGCGCCGACCACGTCAGCCGTGGTTCTCCCAGTCGTGCCCGTCGTTCCTGTCCCGGCGCCGGCTCCTCTCACGACTCTCCGCCCCGTCGTGTCACCGGCTCTCCCCCTACCTTTCTTGCCGGTCTCGATCCCGGCTATCCCGGCTATCCCCACCCTGATCCCAGGTCGTCCTCTCAGGTTCCCACCTCAGTAGACTGACTGAGTGGATCTGATGGCGTTGCTACCCTCACTTCGGGTTCGTTTTGCTTCGGAGTTACTACTGGTGCGCGCATAATGTTCAGTCGTTCCATCAGACTGCGGCAAAGATCTTGTCGAATGTCAGTCACCCGAAATACATAGCTGCGACCGTTAGCACGCTTTCAATATCAAGTCAAATACACAAGACAAACATTATGCACGCTTGTAGTGATTTCGAGGCTGCGGCTTCTCATGTACTCTTCTTTCTCGTTCTCATTGTTTCCTTGACTCGCGTTCTCCTTCTTTCATACGTTTCTCCGAACATACCGAGGCAGCACAGCATCAGTATCTCACCCGAGCCACCACAGCTAACCCAACCCCAGGTCTCCTCGCGCTCCGCTCCATCTGCCGCGACCCCACCGTCCACCAACTCACCCTCCCGATCCTGAACCGCTTCTACGGCCCCTCCGCCTACCCTGCCCTGTTCTCCTTCCCCGGCTGCCTGCCCTCCAACGACCGCCAAGCTACCCAAGCCCCCGGGCTCCTGAACTGCACCGCGCTGGGCCACGAAGTGCAAACATGCCAGGCCTCTGGCCGCCGCGTACTGCTCAGCGTGAAAGCCGACAGCGCCATCGCCGTCGGCGGCGGCGTCAGCTTCGGCGACCCAGCCGCCGGCACGCCCTGGGGCGGCTACACCGCCAACGGCAGCATCCCGCTGGGCGTGTACTTCCCCAACCTGTTCGACGAGCGCCACGTGCCCAGCGCGCTGGCCCAGACGCTGTTCTCGCTCTTCGGCGAGGGCACCACCGAGCGCGCCGATCTGAGGCCCCTGGGCCCGGATACACCGCCCGAGGACGGGATTTCGTGGGTCACTAGGCCCCTCGGCGAGGAAGTTGTGGTCGATGGATTCGATGTCCAGGTCCCGCAGGCGTGGCGCGGCAGTTATCAGGAGGGCAAGTTCAACGATTTCGTGCAGAGGCTGCGCGAGTTGAACGACCAGGCGTGGACGGCGAGTGGAGGCGTCAAAGGCGGCCCGAATGATTTGGGGCGTGACGGTAAGGGCGTTGTGTACCAGGGCTGGAACGCGAAGAGGGCTGTTCAGCGCATCATGATGGTTGGCGAGTTCGAGGTTGTTGTTGAATAAGCCCCGAAGTCGTGGAGCTCGCGGGCGATGAGCTCGCGCATGAGTCAAAAGTCAAAGAGAGTTAGTTGTTGTTGCCGAGTGCGATTGTTTCCTGTCTGCTATTGACTACACCGGATATTTTTAGAGAATAGACTTAGCCATGCATGTTAGCAACATGGTACCGAGCTGTACGCCACGATGGCCGTCTGCGTGAACTCAGCGCCCGCGAACAATATCACGACGCGTGAGCACGTGATCTGCGGTGAACCAAACCCCACAAGGCAGAGATACCACAGATGGCCCTGACTCGCACGCTGATCGCATGGAGCCGTAGACAGAAGTCTGGAGCTACCTCGTCCACAAGCTTTCACATCCCGTCGCTCTTACCAAACCCCGATCCGGGGCGCCCGACATCCCAGCCCGCACGTCTGGGACGTCTATCAGTCGACCCGGCATCCCTCGGGCCCGACGGTGGCATAGCGGCCCCATCGGCTCGCCGTGGGTTTTTCCTCTTTGACGTACTCGGCCAAACGGGCGCATCGAGTCAGACGTCGGTTTTACTCGTATCCGCGATACTACGGAAGCGCTGCTTATCCCGTTTGAGCCTACACGTTAGGATACTCGCGAGAGTGCCTTCCCGAAGCGGTGGTTAGGAGGGAGCGAGGGGAGGGGAGCTGCACCGAGGGGTGAAGTTAGTCGCGGTACCAGGCGGGCCACGTTCAGACGAGTGCTGGTCATGATTGGGGCGATGCGCCATGCTTTTTGGACGGCGCTGTGGGCTAGCTCATGGCGGGCGTTATCAAGGACGGTAGTGTTAGGAGATTTAAAGGGTCCGTCTTGATTGAGAAGATCCGGGGCGAGGAACGAGTCGATGAGGGTTTCTGGGACCAGGGTAGAGGAGAAGAGAGCCATTTGAGGGGCTTCAAGAGGACGGCCGTGCTCCTGTGAGCAAAGACTCGGTATGGCTTGGCGGTAGAATGCTGGTATGTTCCATGTTAACAGCGAGCCTTGGACTTGCAGAATCGATCCTAGGGGCTGCGCATTGGATTTGGCGTGGACAAACAATACGAGATAAAGGCAATATCTAGTGGTTGTGCTGATGGTCGCCAGCTGACGTCCATTGGCAGTCACTTTGTCGGTTCTGGAGAGAGAGCAGATTTGGCAGCCCCTATGAGTGAACAAGGCCGATAATACTACCTTCACTGGTAAGGCTTGCCGACATCGAAATACTCGCCCAGGGGGCAAAGAGCGAATTATGATGTTGACCGAAAAGTAATGACTTGTTGCGATGTCCTCGGAGTGTCGCTACCGTTGATCTAGACTTGTACTATGGTCGCTTACCGCCCGAGTTAAAGTGCTCTGTACAATGCTTTTGTTGTTGAGTAGACCAGTACCTGGCTTTAACGCGGTGTATCGGCGATGGCGGCGTTCTCGGCCAAAATACATCGGGACCTGACGTTTCGGATAAAAACCAAGGGTCCATGACGATCGTCCCGGCGGTACGTCAACAACGTTTCTCACCGATGTCAGGCTTCTTCTGGAGAAACGTGCACGCTTAGATTAGCAGTGCGCGTGCGATGATCCGACGACGGGCCTTTCAGCCTTTGACTGTGTGCATTGGCCGTTCTATGATGTGCGTGCGGAACCCCTGAAGACCGGGACTTTTACCGAAGGTTGAGTCCTTGTCGATAAGTGTTGGCAGATGTTGCTATGGGCGCAACACGTGGGAGCTGATCTTTCCGACCCGCGGTTCCAAATGAAAGTCAATCTACTTTGATGGCAAGATGACAGCAAACATGCTCATCTTGTCACACGATAAACTTTGGTTGTTGTTCGGCCCAGGATCTATAGCTCGGGTTTTGGTGAGATGACCAGACCGTATCTGCCACAGCACAATGACTGGCTGCCACAGTGTCACCGAATGCACAGAGCATGCAAAAGCCACATGCTACACTCGGACGCTAGAGGTTCGGGAGCAGACATCCATGAGCTAACGGGACATCGAGCGTGGGCAAATGGGTAGACCCAGATGAATGGGGACTGACCTTCCATGGTGTATATATTGACGTCGAGCCGGTATTGCATCCATATCCAGAATCAGCAACTCTTCTGCCTGTTAACAAACACCTTGTAATCATCATGCACTTCATTCATTCACTTGCTGTTGCCGCTCTGGCCATTGGCCCTGCCCTTGTCGATGCCCAGACCAAGACCGGACAGACGACCAGATACTGGGACTGCTGCAAGGCATCATGCGGATGGTCTGGCAAGGCCAACGTGAACTCGCCCGTCAAGAGCTGTGACAAGAGCGACAACCCTATTGCGGACATGGCAGCTCGCACTGGCTGTGACGGTGGAGGAGCCTTCATGTGTGCCGGCCAGAGCCCCTGGGCTGTCAACGACAACCTCGCCTACGGCTTTGCTGCTGCCAAGCTTGCGGGTATGGGCGAGAGTAACTGGTGCTGCGCCTGCTACGAGTAAGTCCTTATTCATTGACTTAACATTTCTCTGCTCATCGGTTTTCTAGGTTGACCTTCACATCTGGCCCAGTCAACGGCAAGAAGATGGTCGTGCAGGTGACAAACACCGGCGGTGACCTTGGTGACAACCACTTTGATCTCCAAATGCCCGGAGGTGGTGTCGGACTCTTTAACGGATGCACTGCTCAGTGGGGAGCTCCTGCCAATGGATGGGGTGAGCGATACGGAGGCATCAAGCAGCGTTCTGATTGCGATAAGTTCCCGGAGAAGCTGAAGCCCGGATGCTACTGGAGGTTCGACTGGTTCAAGAACGCAGACAACCCGAACGTCTCGTTCAAGCCGGTTACCTGTCCCGCTGCCCTGACCGACAAGACTGGATGCAAGAGAAACTAAGGAGACATAAAGCGGACGAAGAATGACAATGATTTGAGAAAGTTGAAAGGAAGTCTGTTCAGATGGAGTGACCTGCTGTCACGACAAGAGCCCATAGAGCGCGCGTGTTGGAGAAGGTCAAGGTTGCAACAACGGAGTTGGTCCTCGCTTCTGCGCGGAACTCACTCCGCACCAGTCACACATCAACACCACACCCAAGCCATCCAACCTACTACAATGCATCACAACGCGTATAGAAAATAATGACATCACAATATTGCAACATCTTTTCTCCATATCCCCGCTCTACAGTGTCACGAGGCGCAATGTCCCTTGCGCTGGTTGGTTATGTGGGGCTGGCTGCGCGTCGGTGTCCGCGCGCGGGCTGCACTTGGCGTGGCGAATCCTTCCGCTTCGAAGTTGCTGTTATGTTCTAACATCATATATCCATCTCGAGGGGTTGCTTGTTGTGCTGATCCGGGCACAGTAAGATATCTAATTCTAGTATTATGGTGCGACCGGGGTGGTTGGCGTCTTTGACGCACCACAGCGAGAAGCCGCCGGCTTGGCTGAAGTTTAGGAGTTCTGATGGCTTCATCATTGGAACTGTATCTCTAGCTGTATTCACTGTAAGTAAATTCTCAACACTGAGTTATCGAGGAGATACATGCTGTATCAAGGTGTTGACTTTTTAGGACATGTTCTTGTATGGCATCATTGTTCCTGTTATCCCTTTTGCCCTACAAAGTCGTAGCCATGTTGAAAAAGATCGAGTACAGTACTGGGTTTCTGTCCTAGTCGCAATTTATGGAGCCTCCCTTTTTGCCTTCTCACCTATCTGTGGTTGGCTTGCAGACAGAGGAGCGTCTCGCCGATCGCCACTTCTGCTTGGCTTGATTGCGTTGTTGGGTTCAACAGTGCTTCTCCAGGTCGGAAACACGACTGGAATTCTGGTAGCTGGTCGAGTTCTACAGGGCGCATCAGCAGCAGTTGTGTAAGTCTTCGAAATACAATATTGACTTACTGCTGACCCTACGTAGATGGGTGATTGGTCTTGCGCTGCTGGCAGACACTATCCCCCAAGAGAACCTTGCACAAGCAATGGGATATGTGAGCTTGGGCATGTCCTTAGGCACCCTAGTATCGCCCCTACTTGGTGGGATTGTTTTCGATAGAGTCGGCTATGACGCCGTATTTGGCATGGCGTATGGTCTAATTGGACTCGACATCGTGCTTCGACTCTTGCTTGTAGAGAAAAAGGTGGCTGCAAGATGGGAACCGGTCGCTGATGTCCAAGCAAAAGCGGCCGCAGGCTCACCAGCCATCAGGCCTACTTGTGCGCAAGACGATGCAACCGATACAGAGAAAGGTGTCTTGTCTGGGCAGTCTGGAACGTCTGCTCCAATTGGAGGCAAACATCTACGAGACCGCAGGCGCGATCGTCTCCCGCCTGTTTTAGCTCTTCTGTACTCCCGCCGTTTGCTGGCTGCGCTATTCTGTGCTCTGATTCAAGCAGCACTCCTTACATCCTTCGACTCTGTACTGACCATACACGCCGCCAACTTATTCGGATGGACAGCGACAGGTGCCGCGCTTTTGTTTCTTCCCCTCGTAATTCCAACCTTTCTTGCGCCAGCCTTTGGGTGGATCTGCGACAAATATGGAGGACGTTTCCCCTGCGCCCTGGGATTTTCAGGCGCATGCGCTCCGTTAGTTTGCTTGCGTTTTGTTGATGAGAATACACTGAACGACAAGGTTATCCTTTGTGCGTTGCTCGCTCTCACAGGATTATGCCTTGCGCCCACTTTTCCGTCAATCATGGCGGAGATCACGTTCATTGTTGAGGCGAAAGAGAAGAGTTCACTTGCAAGTGGCCGCGCTGGTTTTGGGCAGGGAGGCGCATATGCACAGGCTTACGGTCTGTTCAATATGGCTTTCGCAGCTGGGTGCACGGTAGGGCCGTTGTTAGCAGGCTTTATTGTTGAGGACAGGGGCTGGTCAGTCATGGCATTGGTCTTGGGAATACTCTCAGCTGTGACAGCAGTTCCGCCTTGTCTGTGGCTAGGAGGGTGGATTGCGGGAAAGAGCAGGGTCAAATGAAGACAAGTTGCCTCCAAGGTAGCAGGTTGAATCCCGGTGTTTGGGGTCAATTGTAGGGAAGATGATGATCTCGAGAACTTTGAAGAGAGTGCCACCGGCCTCCCTGATATCTAGTTTGTCTATCTGTTCCTGAGTACGAGATGTGCTGCTAAGTAGAATGGTAGGACAGCCATAAGCGAGTGAAGGTGAAAGGTGAGAGGATGGAGCAAACGAATAGAGACCCGGGCCGTCACTTCCTTGCAAATATACGCGCCAGGCACCTAACCGGGCCGCTAAGGCTGCACGTCAAACTTTCGCTCTTTCCAAACAAACATTCTACCTACAACCCACCATCACCCAAGGCTGTTTCCACTCTATCAACAGATCTAAACCATACAGGCACCATGTACGACACCACAACCACCTGCAAAGTGAGAGCAAAGGTGCCTTGCAAGCATTTTGCCAGCGGAGAATGCACGCGGAATACGTGCAAGCTTGACCACCACCCTAACCTGGACCCCACACTCTACCAAAATAGACCGCACGAACACAACATACCTAATGTCTCAGGTACTGCGTGCGTAAGATGCGTACAGCAGCTTAGAGAGGTAGGTCTAGTCTGCGTTGTTGTGACCAGTACTAACACCTAGTCAGTGCGACAAGCTCCACCGCAGCGGCCAGAATGATCCATGCTCAGAGTGTCGGCATTTCGGTGGTCCAGGTCATCAATGTAATCTGAGCAAAAGGCAAACTTACAATGATCAAGCCTGGGGTCAGATGATGGCCAGACCGGGAACTGGTTTCGATCTCGCGCCCCCGAAGGCTAGGGACGCTCTGGTTGGCAACAAGGTCCCGGGGCCTATGAACGACGACGAGCTAATTGCTGGCTGGGAAGGTAAAACGAGAAAACAGCTGTTGGAATCACCAGATTTCTTGCCGGCATACGCTCGCTCCCAGCCAAGGGCATACCAAGTCCCTCCATCTCTGAACGAAGAACGCAAGAGAAAGAATGAGAGCTTTATACAACAAGCCCGTGACAGACGGCAGCTTACCATGGCTCCAAATCATACTAATACTGCTCATTCAGCCTTCGCGGGCGTTGCTCGTTCGTCATCATACGCGACGCAACCGACATATTTCTCGCCGCCAGCAGTCGTTCCGCACTTACCACAACCGTTCAACTTGGGAGAGCTTGAGGGTATCTCTTACCTTTATAAGAGCGGTGCCCAGATTGTACTACCTCCAGGTGCAGTGTTTCCTCACGGAACTGCTCCGGTACCTAGGGTATGTACCATCTGTCAACAATCTCACCTCGGATTACTGAACAATAGCTAGCCAACCTCTAATTCTCTGTATGGTGGAACAGAGAGACCTTCAAAATTTCGGCGTAGCAATCGAGATTCTCCAAGCCAGGGAACCCTACCAACGAACACAGGCTTACCGGCCAGGCCTTCACCTCCGTCTTTGCCAGCACATCATTATAGAAGTCGACCGCAGCCAATCTCGAACCCAGCACAAACAACTACCAATTATCAGCCAGCGGGAATAAGGCCTTTGACGCCAGCGCTCTCAGAGCAACCGCCTGTCGTTCCACATAATGCGAGTCTGCCTGCTGGGTCTACCTGTGACGGGGCTACCTGTGACTGAGCAGAGGAAGACGCACCTCGCTGTAGCTTGGCAGGCATGTTAGTCTCTACTTTTCAAGACATCTCTGTGAATCTTGACAAGTCAGAGACTTCGGGGAGAACGATGGACCTGCAGGGACAAAGAGCGTAGCGAGGACAACAGTGACAGCCATTTCAACCCTGCTTCGAGCTATTGACTAATTCCTGGTCTGTCTTTTACAATATTTTCTGTTAACTCAGGTCCCTGGCTAGTTTCCCACAAGACTGTCGCCGAGACTAAATAGATGAATTTAACGACTATTTTCCTTGTCAGGCGGCTGTTTGATTTCGCATAGCAGTTTATCGCTTGTCCCACTAAGGCACTGATCCTTATGAGCATTGAAACCGAGTTAGCGTTCAGAAATACTATAATAGAGTGCCTTCCTTGCTCAGGTGTAGCGTTTAGATCCAACCACGGTGCGCGCAAGCCAGACTTCTTTCTAAGTTGAGTGTCGTTCAGGCTTCATTATAAACCATCGACAGTTATGTGTACTACAGTACCACTTACCACAGTACTGCTGCTGCCACGTGTAGCATGTAGTCGGACTGTGGTTGGAGTGGATGGTGCTGGCCGAGATAATCATCTGCCAGCAAACGAGCAGGATGGTGACGTACATCGCCAAGCCCACACCTGCAATTTCGAAGACCATCTTTCTCACGAACACTTTTGGACTCATGTATCTCTGTTAGTGTTGCAACTGCAGAGTGTCACCATGAACGCATTTTAAACCTCATGTCACTGCGGTACATTCTGATGATGAACGTATTTCGCCATTCATGGCTCGGACTCTTTGCTCATTTAACATTCCATACAAAAGTCTGAGTATCACGCAGTTTCACCCGTCTTTTGCGACATCCGTATGCTAGATTACATTCACCGCATCTGAAATAGTGTGTTTCCCCCGAAGCGCCACACGATAGTCTCTCCATACAGCTCAATCGACGGGCCGCATGCGGCTCCTGGACAGGCTGCCCATCTTCACAACATGCAGAGTCGACGTGACCGTTCCAACTTAGGACCCTCTCGTGCGCTACCCACGAACCACGCTATCGGTGTCTCCCGCTGCACAGATCGACCGGCATGACCGCGGTATGGGGTGCCTCATTGCATCGAGCCCGAGCCTGATTACATGCGCTAGATGGGCCTGTGTGCCTCCAAACGCCCCCGATGTGTTGGCATACCGCTCTAGACGTCGGAGCACCGCTCTAGATGTCGAAATTTGCCAGTAAACCATTCACGGTAGACTTACTGCAGGTACCGCTTGCTGCACTGGCCGCCAGACCCGCGACTGTTTGCAGCCCAATACAGATCGCGAGATCTGCCTGCTGCGGCCCCCATTCAGCTTCACGAGGTCTTCAGCCCTCAGCTCTCGAACCGGTGATAGACTGCTGGGCTTGTCGGCAAATGAGTTTCGGGCTGTCGCGTGCAGGGTGAAGCGATTCGAATGTGAGCATCACAAGGTTGCCAAAAGCAAAGATGGCAGTCTAGGTCCATCATCAGTCGCCATCTCGACAAGGCGTGACAGTCAGATATACTATACCCTGTCGTCGAACCAGCTCATCACCCGACACATCGGTATTCGGACCACAAACTACATGGAGCTACAGTGCAGCATTGTTCCTTCAATCACAAGGTGATGGCATCCTAGAGCTCGCCATATAACGGAGAAATGATCAAATGCTCCCCAAGCCTTCGGTCGAGCTGTTGCGATGTCTTGTGGGAAGAGCCACGTTATGGTCCTATCGTCTGTCATATCTCGGACGACGTTCCTACTAGCGGGATGCGGGCCCTGGCCGTTTTATTGGCGCCAAGAACGCGAACCGATGTCGCCATTCCATGGCACAATTGCGATCTCACACCCCTCGTTTTGCGCTTGCGGCAGCAAAGGCCATCAAAGTTGACATCAAGAGCGGGACCGTATGCTGTAAGGGTATGTTTAGTGCCATATATGCGAAATCTGGAGAAATGTTACACTGATGGTGACATTGTTGAAGATGGTTCTTCGAAACGTCACTCCAGGTACGGCAGGATAATACAACGTGCTACGCACCTAGCCAACCACACTGCTTGGATCCGGCATGCAATCTATGGACGCTTCAAGCCATCTCGGCTGTTCCTTCAGCCCGAACTTCACAAGCTCAGCGCCATGCCCAGCCCAGGCTTCCCAATGTCTTGTCCTCTGCTCGTCCTCCGTTAAGAGATTTTGTACGCTCGAAGCACGTCATTCTTGTCTGCGCGATGTGATTGAACGGAATGGCTTCTCTTCAGTGTGTCCCACGCCAAGTTAGCGAAGCCCGCTCCAAAGAGCGCCGCCTGCTTGGGCACATTGGACCATAGCGTATGAGGCTTTACCTTCCGGCGTGGATCTGGAACCTTGCAGTCTCTTTCTGTGGGTACATGAGAGATCTCCACGGGTGGTTTTCTATGATCAGTAGTATAAGGGTTCACCTATCCTCGCTCAGTGCACTAATAAGTACTCCCGACGAGGCCCAACAACACGAAAGGGTTATTCCTGTCTTTCTCAACCACAAATCGATCGACTGTGGTTTCCCCAGCTCGCCTTGTGACGACCAAGCTTTGGACAAGCAACCTCGTCGCTGCCACGAGATAACAACACATCGCCAATATGGCCTCAGCTGGGCGAGGCGTGGCCAAGGTCCTTGGTATCAACGTTGACTACCGCAAGGAGGCAGACCCTCTCGAGAACTCAGGTGCCTTGTCAGTATCCTCGGTTGATACCTACGTGGAACGAGAGCCTACTGCCATCGAGTGGCTCTCCAAGTTTTCGCCTTCCTTCGCAGGGTTCAAACGCTATCTGCGCAGCTTGTTCCCATTCCTTGACTGGATCTTCCATTACAACTTTACATGGCTCTTCGGCGATGTCGTTGCTGGTATGTTGCGTTCAAAGCCCGTTTCAAGACCAACAAGTAACGTCTATAGGTGTCACGGTCGGCTTTGTTGTCATTCCTCAGGGCATGGCATATGCTCTGTTGGCGCAACTGCCAGCTGAATATGGCTTATACACTAGCTTCGTCGGCTTCATCCTTTACTGGGCATTCGCAACTTCCAAGGACATCACTATCGGCACCGTAGCTGTCATGTCTACGATTGTTGGTAACATTGTTGTCAAGGTCCAAAGAGATCACCCCAACATGTCGGCTCCAGACATCGCCAGAGCCTTGTCTGTCATTTCTGGAGCAGTGCTACTGTTTATCGGTCTCACTCGCCTTGGTCGCATTGTAGAACTGATTCCTTTGGTTGCCATCACATCGTTCATGACGGGTGCGGCAATCAGTATCGGAGCGGGCCAGGTACCAGCCCTCATGGGGATTACAGGTGTCAACAACCGTGGACCAACTTACCTTGTGATAATCGATACCCTCAAAGGCCTCCCAAGGACGAAAATAGATGCGGCAATGGGATTGAGCGCTCTAGCTATGCTCTACCTCATTCGATCCTTTTGTAATTTCATGGCAAAGAAGCAGCCTTCGAGGAAGAAGCTATGGTTCTTTGTGAGTGCCCCGGCGTCCTTCTACGGTTTATAATTGCTAACCATCTCCAAGATCAACACTTTGCGCATGGCTTTTGTTATCCTCCTATACATCATGATCAGCTACGTCTCGAACCGTCACGTCAAAGATGCAAAGAAGGCCAAATTCAGACTCCTGGGCAAGGTACCTCGAGGTTTCCAACACGCCGGCGCACCAAAGATGAATACGGAGATCCTGTCTGCTATCGCCCCCGACATTCCGGTCACGATTATTGTTCTGATCCTTGAACACATCGCCATTTCGAAATCATTCGGGCGCATCAACAACTATGTCATTAACCCGTCGCAAGAGCTTGTGGCAGTCGGTTTCACGAACGTCATTGGACCCTTCTTAGGCGCTTACCCTGCCACTGGTTCCTTCTCGCGTACTGCTATCAAGTCTAAAGCAGGAGTTCGTACACCTCTCGCTGGTATCTTTACTGCTATCATCGTTCTCCTGGCTTTATACGCTCTAACAGCTATGTTCTTCTACATTCCTATGGCGAGTCTGTCGGCCATCATCATTCACGCCGTGGGTGATCTTATCACGCCTCCCAATGTCGTTTACCAATTCTGGGAGACCTCACCTCTTGAAGTCATTATCTTCTTCGCCGGAGTGTTTGTGACCATCTTCACGAACATCGAGAACGGAATCTACGTCACTATTGCAGCATCCTTTGCGTTGTTGCTTTGGCGCCAGCTCTTCACTCACGGTCAAGTGCTGGGCAAGGTCCGTGTATACCGTGCAACTCCAGACTCGATTGCTCGCAAGGAGGACGGTGCTTTTGCCCCGAACACCGATCATGTATCCCGTGAGGCCTTTGTACCCATCAACCGTCAAGATGGAACGAACCCGGATGTCGACATCGAGTCTCCGTACCCCGGTATCCTCATCTACCGCTTCAGCGAGGGCTACACGTATCTCAACCAGCAAGGATATATGGATGAGCTTGTTAAACATGCACAAAGCATTGCTCGACCAACCACGCTCGACCGCTATGCGAAGCTGGGTGACCGACCTTGGAACGACCCCGGCCCACGACGTGGTAAACAGATCAACGTCGACGACAACCGCCCTATTCTTCGTGCCATTATCCTAGACTTCAGCGCTGTCAACAACGTTGACGTTACTTCTGTCCAGGGTCTGATCGATGTTCGCGCCCAGCTTGACCGCTACGCGGCCCCAGAGAGCGTCGAATGGCATTTTGCGTCGATCAACAGCCGCTGGACCAAACGTGCGTTGACCACCGCTGGATTTGGCTACATTGATCGTGAGCGCTTCGCGTCTCGCCAACACTGGAACCCTGTCTACAGCTATGCGCCTCTCGATACACCCAGCCCAAAGAACGGAGATGTCGAGGCTCAAGACGAGATTCAGACTGTTGGTGGACAGAAGGGCTTTGCTGGCAAAGTTTCCACTCTCCATGGTTCAAACAGGCCATTTTTCCACATCGATGTCGCTGCTGCAGTTGAGAGTGCGGTATCTGGTATTGAGCAGAAACTGGCGCATGTGAGCACCGGTAGTTCGGAGAACAACATTGGTCAGACAGAAATTCCTACCAAGCAGGCATAGAATCCTCGTTCAGCGTCGTGGGTTCAATTTTGTTAGATTGTAGTCGTCCTTCACTATACCACATTAGTTTATAATGGATTTGTTCAACAGAGTATAACACTATGCATATTCAAGTGAGCCGCTCGAATGTCACCGCTACTCAAGAAAGAGGTGTTGGAGACGCTAACTATTGCTTGATCTTGTGCCACGGCTTGCAACGAGATTTGGCATCAGTTCTTGTCGCAGCTGATCTACTGTGGCTGCAGACAGACTAGCGCGACAGGGGGCTAAGAGGCCCAGATTTTGCCAACGAGGAACAAGAAGATCGACCTCTCTCCGTATTTCACTTGCCTTCTGCGCACGCCATCACATGCTTGTTGTTGCTGACTCTCTATGATCTAACGAGCATAAATCTTTTGTGCCATTTTCGTGGTGTTGTGCATCTTGACAGGCCTCACATCCCCAGGTTGTTGACGACCGCTGTCGCCAGTCTGGCGTTCTTATCACCCGTTTGCGCCTTATCGGAAAATGCAGACACATTTGCAACCAACACTGGCCGTGAGCAGTCATCTTGTTCTTGTTCCGTCAGAATTGCAGATCGTGCATCCAGCAACTTCCCAAAGCGACAAGCACCCATTCGGCTTACACGACCTTCCGGATGACTTACTGATACTCATTTTCTCCCTTTGCAACATCGAAACAGTCCTAACCCTACGACTGACTTGTACCTCTTTCTCTGCGGTCATCCAGGCTTTCATCAAGAACATTGCGCCTTCCTCCGCACGCGCCACCTTCCCGGATTGTAACTCACTCTTTGCACCACCTCCAAACGGATACAGCTTACACTGGTTACGCAACCTCATTCCAGCTCAACTAGCCAGTCTTACTCTTGATAAGGACAAATTACGCCGACATCACTACATCAACTCAGGTTTCCTTTATGGCATACCTAGTGAGAGCGCTTGCCCAGAGGCACTGTACTGGCGTCAACGCGTCGCGAATGGATGGAAGGTGCTAAGGTCGTTTCATCTAATCTCAGTTAATGTATATGCCAGCTGCGACGATGAGAGCACGAGGCCGAACGCTTTTCGAAAGGTCAGTGGTGGTGTGCGGACGAGTCGCATCTGGCAAGCCGTATCATGTCAGTATGCTGGTTGTACAGAGCACGGGATAAAGCATGTGTTTGCCTCAAAAAACCGCCGCGACTCCCACGACAGCCACAGCCAGGAACAGAAGGACCCAAAAGACTCTATTGCAGAAGTTCGCCGCAAAGAAACACAGGTCCTGAAGAGGCGACTAGCACGTGTGAAGAATCTGTCAGATCAAGATCTCCTGGATTACATTTATGTCTGGCGTCTATTGCTCCACGTCTTCCGACCATATAGTAAGCCGGAGACAACAGTGTACGACTTCACACGAGGTTGGCCTTCGCACTCCTCGATACCACGCCCGAGCTGGCCAAATATAATAAGCGACATGGCCCAAGGCTGCTCTTGGCTCAATTGGTTCGTGCTACACGTCGGAAGTGACCCATTTCTCACACAGTGGGCACTCTCCCCGAACGCCTCTCACCACCCTAAACACAACCACATCCGCAACACTATCTGGACTGCCTGGAACGCACGGAGCACCCATCAGATCGAGATGGAGCGCGAATACGTCTCTAAATTCGAGTTTGCACTGCGCAAACGGTGTCTCTCGTCCGAGCGCCTCAAGCGCCTCGAGGCGGAGATATCGCGAGGGAGGACTATCAATACGATTAGTCTGGACTGCATACCCTGGATCTATGATCAGCACCACCGCATTCCGCGGCCGCCTACCGACTTTCCGTGGTATGAAACTGAGAAGCCGGTGTGGCTGGATGGCGAGTGGGGAGTCACTTGTTCGCCAGGAACGAGTTGGAGTCAGCCGGGTGTGTTGAGGGGAGATATATGCCGCCACAGAGAGAGCGTCAGAGACGGCGACCTTGATCCGGACAACACAGATCCACTAGCAAAGGTGCCGTATCTCGTGTACCTGGGCACCGAAGAGGCAGTGAAACTATGGCCTGGGAGCGACGGCGACGGGACGGAACTCGCATTCTGAGGAAACCTGCGCGCTGAGAAACGGTCTCTTTGCATTAATGAAACGCTGCATACAATACGAAAGTCTATCAGATTAACGACGCTGAGGTACTGCGCACGCCTTCCTCCCTCAGCATCCTCCTCCGCCGTCGCCACCACCACCGCCGCCTCCACCGCCTCCTCCATCACCACCGCTGCTGCTGCATCCTCCATCCCCTCCACTATAGCCCGACGTATACGAAGTCGTGCTATAAGAGCCACCGTACCCACCCCCACTGCTCCTCACCGCTGGCTTCGGGGTAGCCTTGGGCGGATCGACTCTGACATGGCTCGGCAAGTCGTAAACACGATTCTTGCTCTCTTCGGCTTCGTTGATAGAGGTCTTCTGCTGCGACATGCTCGGTGGGGGCGATGGCGCGGGAATCACGCGGATGGGCGTAGCAGTTGTGGGTTTGGGCTTCTTGCCGAAACAGAGGAAGCGCATCGTGCCGAATATTGTGGGTGTGTTTGACGCGCTCGATGTTGTTGGTGTATTGAGTTGAGGTACGCAGCAGATGGTTGATGCTGGTTGAAGTGCAAGTGAGAGTGAGATGGAGATGGTGATTGAATACCGCAGGAGAATACAATTTATATGTGCGCAATGTTAGTTGTGATAGCCTTGTGCGCGACAGAGCCGGTGTGGTTTTCGAGTGTGAGGCTGCGTAGCTTGTTGCCTGTCTGCCTGCGGTGACCGCATGGGGCAAGTGGTGTGGCTGTACTTGCCGCGGCTATACTGCATGAGGTTCTCATAGACGAAGGCCCGCAATGCAGCCGCGCAAAGTGGAGATCATATGGATGAACATTACCCAAATGGTTTTTTGACACGAGTTAGGTTGCATGTGTCTTTCGCTTGCAAGTTCCTCTTTCTGTTGGGTGGTGTGGGTCATCATAGGTAGATAGCTACAAGACGGTGTTGCATCAGGCAGACCAGATGTAGCCTTGCGGTATAAGGCTGTCTTGTGCTGCGGTTGTGGCGGAGGTGTGAAACCGGGAATAACGGTCCAAAATCAGCCTTGTAGATTGTATTGATGCTGCAGTGGTGCTTCTGATCAGACATGGTAGGCTAGGTTCTGAAGACCTGTAGACTGTCAGCAATTCGTCAACGCCCCGCTATGAGAGAGGCCTTCAAAGCAGGGCGAAGCGAGAACGGTACCTTCCTGAGCAGATAGACGGTAAATTCTTGAGCAGTCAGACAGCCATGGAATCTTTTATCAAAGAAGCGAAGCATGGTGAGAGTAGCTGGAGATTTCCTAGCTGACCACATGAATCCAAACAACGACAGAAAGTGTAGACCAGACAGAATCTACACTCCTGTCAGAGTCATGGTCGACGGAGGATAGAGGCTGCGTGACGGAGAAGGCGAGGGTGAGTGTCCCTGGTAGAGGTCAAGTGTTCCCGGATGTCCAGGAGAGTGAAAGAGATATCCGACGAGCCATTGGCCTCATCGTTGTCTTCATCTTCGCTATCTTGTGCGCCGCATGTCTCATGCAACGGACCAAGTCGGATCTGCACACGGTAGGCGATCTCCTCGGAGAATAGCGCCTATTAGGATCTTCATCGGGATCATCTTCAAATGTACCCAAGTTGTAGCTTGGAAACCTCTCCAGAGTTTTCGCAAAGGTCGGTCTCGTGCAACACACGGTACAATGTAGAGTCGAGCGTCGGAGATATCCACCGCGCTCAGCTCCCATCGTGCTGCCGAAAGCCTCCGTATCAGACTCCCAAACCGGGCCAATTCTTCGATACCGACGCGCAATGTTGATGATCTCCCGAAACAGAAGCTCGTCTTCCTCGGGTTCGTCTTCCTCGGGCTCGGTTGTCGCTTTTAGATTCCGATATTCTTTCTTTGCGGTCCTGGATCTAAAGTGGTTAAATGACGTCATCGGGGTACAGATGACTGTTCCGAAGATGCTGGCCTCGTACGGCGCAAACATATACATGTTGGCTATTCGCTCTCAGGTTTATAAGGGCAGATATGCGGCTGGTACTTACTCAACCCAGAGACACACAACGCTCGTTACCTAGGAAGGCATCAAAACATTTATTGTTCCTGGGATTCCACATCTGCTATTGCCTCATAGTTTACGCCTAAAACTTTAAATTGCTTGACGTCGACTGCAATTCTTAAATACTTATCGGGAGCCAGTTCGATTAGTGTAGAGCATGACAGTGGTATCGACATGCGCCATGATTGTCGTCATCGTCGTTCGTCATCGTCGTTCATCATCGTCGTTCTGTTCTTGAAGTACGCATCGTTGTACTCACCGCTAGCCTTGCAAGATTGTCTCTCTCGACGACAGGAACATCCCCTTCAGCTTCGATAGTGAGCGGGCAACAGAAGACTCTAACATCCCGGCCAACTTGTTGAGCGCGTATTGTTGGGATAGTCGTCTTCAAGTCTCGGTTCAGTTCTCGTTATCACGGAAGTGTCGAGCTGGTGCTGAGATTCGCTCTTCCGTTAAGCTCAAAATGTTCCTAGCTCTTTCCTCGGTCTTCTTAGGGTCGAGCTGGACGTAATTTTAGCGTGTTGTAGGTGCAGCTTGGACATTGGACTAGAGGTTATTGGCGGACGGCCAAAGTAGGTTATATAGCAGGCATGTGTGCTTATAGCTGGGAGCGAACCTCCGGTAACCACAGTACAGATCTTGCGCGCTACGTTTCTTTCCTAACCTCTACCTGAACAGGGACGACCGTCAATCATCTTTGGGCAGATGGCTTTTCCCATCGAATTCATCGACTACCAAGCTTTTGGCTCAGAGCTCGCAGAGGATTCCATGTTCGAATTATTACATGCAACCGGGGTGGAATGTCAACATAATAAGGCTGTGGCTCGGAGCACTTGCGGTATCCAAGCATCAATTTTTCTTCACAGCGACCAAACGCGCCGCACGTGTAACTCTGAAGTAGAGTTCTTCGACGAAGCAAATTTCGATCTGAGCCCCTATAACTTGGCGATAAGTAGGATGGATCTGCATCGACGTCTTGTGCCTGTGGTTGGATATGCTGCTTGCTCTTCTCTGGCAGCGACCGGCGTTTCCATCAACCAGAGTAGGGTGTTTGGGCGCACTGGCGGATGTATCAAAGCTTCATCAAGAATAACAGAACGTGTCTGGTGCATCGGACACCTTGACTGGTGTTCTGCCATGTCAGCAATGACCAAGGTCTCGTTTACGGCAGCGACTGCAAGTGATCAAGGGAGTGGCGATCTTCGTTGCGTCGTGCGAGGAAATTCTGCAAACACCATCTTAGAGATAGGGTGTCCTTGCGCAGCTGGGACTCTTTCTAGAGAATAGGTCCTGGAATGTTTGTCGCGAGTCTTCATTCGGGCACGCCGAAACTAGTCACTCAGGCTCATAGACACAACACATTGAGATGGGATACCGTTCTACGGGCGGCGGTCGTGCGCGCGATGTCTCATTTTCTTGACGAGACGCGTTGACGGAGGCGGTGCGCGTGTGCTGGTCGACGTGTGCCTGCAGGCTGGTTGTACGACGTAGATGTTCCGCCACCAGCCAGGAATTTGCGCTGGTCCGAGTTTTCACGACATGGCTGCGGCGACAGGGAAGTGGTGTGTGGAGATGACGCGGTCACATTGGTGCGCTGCTGAAGCCAACAACAAATGCAGACACACTACGTCCGAGTTTCGGCACGGTTGCGGCCAAGAGACAGCGCCTGGGGTGCAAGAAGGGCTCCGGCTTTGCATGACATCGTGCCACTAATCACAGGCTCGTCATCCATGGCAGGAGGCGTTGAGAGGGGCAGGCAGGAACGGCCGAGCTCGACGGGCTTGGATCATCGTCCACAGCCTCTCCACGCGCGAGAGAAACACCGGGCGCAGCGCCTGTTTTGGGCCGGCAAGACAGGCAACATCGCAAAGCGCGCAGTGGAGCAGAGCCGTGAACCGGACAGAGCCGTGAAACGGAGAGTGCAGGGCGGTGCAGGGCAGGTGCTGCTGGCCGATTCGTGCAGGTGCACTTTGGTGTTCGTCCAGACCGGCGCAAACTCTAGCTGAGAGATTGAAGCCCCCGATAAAGAAGGAATGTGTCCACGGGAGACGAGCGGCTAGGAAACCACGAGATGACACGGGCCTCTCGACCAGCAGAACGCCAACCATGCCGCAGACGCGCCGTGCAAAACAGCGCTGCGCACCCGTGAATAAATGCGTGAAGATGCTGCCTGCCATCGTGAGATGCTCGAGTGGGCGAGGCGCTGCTTCCCCATCCGGTTAGGCCCAGGCTCGCAGTCCTCACCTTCTCCTACGTGCTGGTGCGCGGGCCTGGGTCAGGTACTCGAACGAAAGCTGTTTTAGCGACCATGCCGCGCCGTGAATGCACACCAGCTCCAAGGGGGACGCCGCGCTGCTCCGGCCAGCACCACCGGCCCTCTTCCTTCTGCTCCCACTCCCCCATCGCCTGCACTCTGGTCGCCGTTGCTTTGCATCCCCTGCTCGACGATAACTCGCCCTGAGGACACCGCGCACTCACGCCCACGGTTGACCTGCAAGCGTACCAGCCAACCGCCAACCCCAGAACAGGCTGACTGCAAGGACTGGCCACGCCCGCCACCAACCCTCTTCCCATCACTGCCGTCTGCACCCATCACCGCCATCACCGCCATCACCGCATCGCGGCTCCACGTCGCCGGCCACTTTGCGAAAATGTCGTCCAAGCCAACAAAGACGCTGACTGCTGTCCTCAAGCTGTCGCCCAAGACACTTGCCCAGTTCCCCCACGAGGCCACCCCACAGCCGTCGCCGGCATCAAAACCCGCCTCGACCCCAGAAGCCTCACCTGCACCCCAGATGGCCGACTCAGCTGTTGCCGACACGCCCGCCGACACACCCGCCGCCATGAACGGAGCGAGCACGCCGTCGTCGCTCGCACCGCCAGGCTCTGCGCCCGGCAGCAAGCGCAAGGGGGCCGCTCCGAAAGCAGGCACAAAGCGCAGCGCTGCTGCCCTCGACGGCCCTAGCACGCCCAGAGCTCGCGGCAAGCCCGGCCCAAAGAAGCGCAAGCTGTATGTCGCCTCCGCCGCTGTCCCATCACAACATTTTGCTAACGACCAACAGCGCCGACATAGTCAACGATCCTAACAGCAAAACTGCCTCCGCCACACCAAACCCTCTCCAAAAACTCGGTCCCAAGGCAAACCAGGGCGCCATCAATGCCGGCCTGCGTGCCCTTGACCGAACTGGCAAATTCAAGGCTCGCAAGTGGGAAAAGAAGGGGTTCAAGCTTCGCAGCTTCACTGGCGTCGTCTGGGGTGTACCCTCTTGGAAGGCACCCAGCCGTAGCTCGGGCTTCGCAGACGACGTCAAGAGCGACTCGACTGGCTCCAGCGACACCAAGATCAAGGACGAGAGCAGTGCCGTCAGTGAGAAGAGCGGTCTCAATGGAGACGCCGCGACGCCGCAGCCACCGATCATGGAGGCTCTCAACAGTTCACCAGCCCCTATGCCTGTTGTCTAGTACGCAGCTCCTGCCTACTTCTCTTCTGACACTTGTACCATTTTGCATATTTTCTAGCATTTTCGGCGTTCAGAAAGCGCATTGCGGGTATACCAAACGGGGTTCTTTGCAAAGGCGTTTGGATATGGCACAAGGGGAGACACGCTTGTTCATGCCGCGCGTGACGTGCTCAAACCCGGGTCGGGCGTCCTGGGCATAGCTTGCATCCATTGTGCATTTATTGGGAAGAATGATGAGCTTTCGTAGTAATATTGAGATAAAGATTAATTCTGTTGTTGCGCAAATAGACCTTCGTCCTAGGTGAAGTGCTGCTTCTGAACTGGGTGTGCCTGGCGGCGCTATCGTCTTCCCCGCGATAGAGCAGTCCGTCCTGCCGAGAGTACCCTCAACCCTCGCTCGGCGACACCTCCAATAACCAGCTTCCGGGCTCGTCACTGTGTTGGTTCCGGAATAGAGCATGTATGCGTTTGCGATCACGCATTGCCGGTGATTCGGCCTTCCCCTCGTCTGGCACCACTCCACAACGTCCTACGCCGCACCTCGTCCACGACACCACTCTCCACTCCCCACGCCTCGCATGTCCACGCGCAACACGTTGTGCTTGCCTGCCTAGGAGCTTGAGCGATCGTATTTACGTTCACACAACAGCTCTCCACCACCGTTCCCGGTCATAGCCGCCCCGGCGATCGCCCAAAGTGACAGAGCAACTGCTTGCCTGTCTCGCTCGGACCCTGACGACGCTATCGCGACACGATGCGGAGAAGTAGCTACGCAGCTGCCCTGTCCGGCAATACAGGCAGCAGCCCTTCAAATACCGCGCCTAGCCGCTCTGGAGCTTTCTCGCATCTTATCAACAGCAGCTCAACACCTCACGCCATAGGCCAGCACCGCCACTCGCGCTCCACCGACGCCGACGGTCACCATAACGCCATGTCTGCAAGTTGGGGAAGAGGCGGAGCATTGCCCTCATATTCCAGTCAAACCGGACATTGGCAAGGGCTGGGAGGGGGAGCGCAGGACATACCACCATTCTTCGTACCATCGTACCTACGCGGATCGAAGCACGCCGAGAAGCTGCAGGAGGCGCACAAGGCCAAGGTTGCGGCGCAGCGTGACCTCAGGTCGACACAATCATCAAACGCAGGGTCCTTGTCGACAAGCTCGAGCAGCGCCAATCTCCACAAAATGGCTGCTTCACATCGCGGCTTGACACATGAGGTTGTCGAACGAGCACCTGTCTTTGTCGACGAGCCGGTATCGCCCTGGCCGACAAGCTGGAACGAAAACGATAAGTTTTTGCAGCTAGACATCGAAGATGGAGGCAGACAGGCCAAGTTCTCTGGCTCTCAGAAGACCCATGATGAAGCGGCATCGGTGCGCGCAGACTATCCTATGCCACGACAATGCGGAATATATTATTTTGAAGTGACTGTTGTCTCGAAAGGGAAGGATGGGTACGACAGTCTTACAACCTACATGAACAGCTACTTACAATTTCTACAGGAGAATGATCGGCGTTGGCTTCTGTGGGCCCAAAGTCGCCTTGAGTAGAATTCCAGGGTGGGAGCCAGATTCATATGCGTATCACGGCGACGACGGTCAGATCTTCCACAACACAACATCAGGAAAGAACTATGGACCTAAGTTTGGTACGCTTGATGTGATCGGATGTGGCATTAATTTTCGCACGAACGTAGCATTCTTCACCAAGAACGGACACATGCTCGGTATGGACAGTCACGACCTCTTTGAAAGTGCCATGTACTAAGTGTTCCAGGCACCGCTTTCCGTGACTTCAGTCCCACCGTATCTTACTACCCTACAGTTGGCATGAAGAAGCCTGGTGAGACACTTCGAGCAAACTTCGGTCAGGAGCCCTTCGCATTCGACATCGACAAGATGGTACAGGACGAAAAGGCTGCTATACAAGAGGAGATCAACCAGACAAAGTTTGCAGCTAGTGCTGCCTCTGCTCCAGACGAGACACAGTTCATCCACCGGTTGATAAGCCAATACTTGGCGCATGACGGCTACGTCGGGACTGCACAAGCTTTTGCGAAAGAGATTGTTGATGAAGCACGAGCACTTGCCAATGAAGACGACGCGACGATACCGTACCATGAGGCAGTCGAGGATTTGGATGCCCTGAACCGACAAAGTAAGTCTAGCTAACGTGAGCTGCTATATATGCACGCTGATCAAAAGCAGAAATTCGCGCAGCCATTCTTGAAGGCGATATTGATAAGGCTCTCAAACATACCCAGGCATACTACCCATCCGTACTCCAAAACAACGAGAACATCTACTTTAAGCTGCGCTGCCGAAAGTTCATTGAGATGATCAGAGACTGTAATGAGCTCAACACACAGTGCCAATCTTCACACCTGTCTAAACGCTCCGCTACGTCCATTCCGAACAAGCGAAATTCTACGGCAACAGACGAGTACGACTTCCAGATGGAGCTCGACGAGCAGTTTGGCGTCAACAACCCTACGCCTAGTCTTGGCGATGTTGATGTAGAAAACGATTTAGAAGATAAGCAAACCAAGCTATCACAGCTAACGGCCAATACGATTGCATATGGCCAGGAATTGCGCGCAGAATTTGCAAACGACCTGCGAAAAGAGGTCAAGCAAGCGCTGAACGATACATTCGCCCTGATTGCATACGAGAACGCCAAAGAGAGTAGCTTAGCACCGTTGCTGGAGATTGATGGGCGCGTTCCGGTGGCCGAGGAGCTGAACAGCGCTATACTAGGTAGATACTCCCTGCACATTGATCTGATGTTTGATGACTGCTAATAACTACGACAGTAAGCCTCGGCAAATCTAGCTCAGCAGCCATTGAGCGCCTTGTCCAACAAACCGAGGCTCTGGTTACCGAACTCGCGGACGACGGCGGGCCAGGTGCTTTCATCAATGTGCGCAAGGACTTCTTGCAGTAGTGTGCCTAGAGCCTCCCCTTGACGATGCCGTTTTTGAGTCTTTAGGAAACACGCGCTCTGAGATTTGAAGGATACGCGACAAGAAGGGCATCAAGGTTGCTTGCTTCGAAGGGCTGAATCGCGCGATCTGTAGGATATGGACTTAGAATCAGATACCTGGCACGGCTCGAGCTCCTATGTTGATTCAAGGCTGTCAGGCAGTAATCTTGACAGTCAGCCTTGTTCACAGGTGGAATCTGAACGGGCGAACGAATACGTCACGGCTTCGATGGCGCTGATGAAGCTGTTCAGTAAGCCTGGGAAGCTGTGATGATCAGGGTCTTTTGCATATGGGTTCCGGCGTTCATTGGGCAATATGGGCGCTGTCGAATTACAACAACGAACAGCACGTACGTGCTTCTTCGAATCATGTGAATAGTATGCGCAGGAAGGCGCTATAGTACAATATCATCAATATTCAACTCTTCACAATTCTCTCGTCACCACAGCTTCCACCAACTCTTCTTCACTCCTGTTGCCTTCGGTGCAGACGAAACTGCGCTCTTGTCCAGCTTGTCGAAGAAGACTACCATGATCGTGGTGTCATCCACAGCATACCGTCCCATCGGCGGCGGTACACTCAACACGCCCATAAAGAGCCCTCGCCTCGACCCACCCATTGCGTTCCGCGCAAGACAAACCGCAGCATTCTCATCCTCAATCGCGAAGTACTCCGGCGTCGCCTTCCACTCGACCTGTTCGCCTGTCGCAGCGTCGAACGTCATCCCCGGATCCTCAGCCATCGGATTACCAAACTGCGACGGTTGGGCCTGCAACTGTGGATCGTTTTTGACCTCCCCATTCCCGCGATCCCGCGCCTCGATCCAGCGCTCCACACACTCCACTGCGTGCTCGGACGAAATGCGGTCCCACAAGCCATCCGACGCCATGATCATAAAGTCGCTCCTGCGGCGCCCGTCCTCGCCCTTCGCCACACGTACAACCTCTGTCTCCGTAACCTCCGGCTCCGCCGTCATGTACGGCTGCGACACGGCCTTGGGCCGCGGCGCAGAGCCCCAGAACTTCGCTTGCACGGCGCGCACAAAGTCCGTTTCCCATTTCCAGCGGTGATCGCCGAAGGCACGCGTCACGGCGATGCCCATCAGGCGGCCGGTCTTGGGGTCGATGATGTCGGGCTCGTCGGGGTGTGCGGCGGCGAGGCGCGCTACTTCCTTTTCGTTGAAGCCGGTTTGGTCCTCAGAGAGGGGGAGTGTGGTGTAGCGCTGGGACGAGGGGTCCCAGCGGCCGAGCACGGCGCGCGAGTCGCCTGTGCATGCAACGTGCAGGGTGGAGCTGGAGGGGTCGAAAGCGGCGAGGAGCGCGCAAGAGCCTGATAGGGCGGGTGTGAGGGCGGAGATGGCGGCAGCATTGGCGGCAGGGAACCAGTTTGCTGCTGTGCGGGCGGAGTCCATGATCTGCTTGTCGACGCGCAGGAAGGTGTTTTTGATAGTGGATTCGACTTCGAAGGCGGACGAGTGTGAGGGGAGAGCGAGCAGAGCGCTGGACACGGACGGGATCAGCTTCCATTGCAGAAACAATGCTGTGTGGCGCCCGGCATGGCCGTCCATGATGCTCCAGTAGTTCCAGGGCTGCGCGCCGGGGCCGGGAGACGTGCCCAAGGCGTAGTAGTCTTCGCAGGGCTCGTTGCTCTTGAAGCGGCAACCATGTGTGACCGGCATGTCCTCTTCGGCTGCGTCTTTCTCACTCATCTTCCACCCGCCAGCCAGTTTGTCAAAGTTCTCGCTGAAGAATTGGGCAATCTGCGGGTCCTTGAGTGCCCCGGTTGTGTCCGGGACGTGATGAGCCACAAAGTGATCCAGCTCTTCTTTATTCGCGAAAAATTGGAGCGGAGTGACACCTGCATCGTCGACCGCGAAGCTGTTCATAACATCGTCGGTCCAGCCCAGATCTATCTCCTCACCCAGGTAATATATGAGCCCGGCGAGAATGACGACGAAAACAAAGGTCTTCTTGGGGAAAGCTGACTGTAATAAAATCGGAGCTGGCCCATTCCGACGATTTGCTTGTGCCCGTGGGGTGTTCAGAGAAGTTCGTTTCGAAAATGTTGGTTGGCCATGATGGGCACGTGTTTGCAAGCTCGCGGCGCGTGTCGTGGGCCTAAAGTACACGCGGCGGCTCCCTGCAGTGGTGGAGCTCCTGTTCCAGCTCGCGAACTGTGTCGCTGTAGAGCAGCGCGATCTGAAGGTTCTCCCCACTCTTGATTGCAACATGTCGGCTTTTGATGGTTGATGGACAGGTCGTTCTTCGCGACTTTGGAAAGTGTTTTGCGCGAGCCAATCACGATCGCCTGCTCACGTGGTGTGCTTAGTCATCATGCTTCCATCTGTCAACGTCTCCATCATCTTCATCATTCTCTTCATCTCCATCAAGAATGACTTCGCACACTACACTGGCTGGCATGAATGATTTCCTGTGTGAACGCCATAGCGGCGATCAATACCCCTCCCTCCAGCAGTTTGGGCTGGGGTGCTCTTACTCCAGCTTGTGATAAGAGATGAATGTACTTTCCCACGCGGACATCTAGAGCATGCAATAGTTACGTACTTACTGAAGGTTTGCACTCTTCTCACAAACAAGCGCTCACTACTTACTACCAGCACATTTTCTGTCGTTATTCACTTGCAACCATCGTTATATCTGTAACATATCATGGCGACACAAGATGGCTCTCAGAAGAGTCAAGGTAACAGACGAGCATTTGAACCAGGATCGACTCGAGACATACCAATTGAAATCGAGTCCCTCTCCAGCGATACCGCAAATATTGCAACCCACATTCCAAGCCCTCCTCCCAGTGGCAGCCCAAAGATCGCGACTTATGTGGCTAGCCTAAGTGCGGAGCAACGCAACGCAGTCTCGGATTTCATTTCAGCTACAAAGGAACCTGTCAGTGTTGCCATCCAGGCGCTACACGAGGCTGAATGGGATCTGCTCGACGCCATCTCGCAGTTCGGCGAGGATGTTGACCCAGACGAGAATGTTGACCCTTCGACTCCCGCAATCGAAAGCATCAGGCCTCGAAGCACACCGAGTCCCGCTAAACGGTTTCGAGAGACACATGATGAGCCGCCTCTGCTCCGTCAGGCACTCGTGAATATCACACGCAGGAACGGCAAAGACCTTCCAGGAAGCCTCAGATCCATCATATTCGATCCAGTCTCGCTAGACTACTCCTTCCTGACTAGCGATACACAGTCTATCCCTGCGTTCATCTCGCCTTATGATGAGAAAATGTGGTACACTGGCTTCATGAGGCCATGGGAGGGTTTCAAAGATGCCGTCCTGGACAATTGGTTGAATCAGTCTTACACTGATATTTTCAAGGAAGTACAAGGGACTCGGTGGTCTGGTCACTTCTTCAACAAGAAGATTACTGTTGTGCGCGATGATGCCGAGCTGTTTGAGAGTGACTTCGAAGACGACGTATTACTTTCCGCTTTAAGTGTAATGGACAGACTACTGATCACCGAAAGTCTCAAAAGACTAACCAGGACGAGAGGGTGCCTCATGGCTAATGCAGAAGAAGAAGATATCGCTACCGAAGACTGTGTATGGGCACCACGCTATGTTTTCAGGTTCAACAACTTCGGCGAGCGACGTGAGACACGTCTCATCGGGCACGTTGAATTTCTCGCAGGACGCCCTGGAGCTCTGTCCGAGGCTTACGAATTGCGAAAGACCGCGAAATGGGGAAGTCTTCGTTGCGTTCTCGGTAAGGGACCGTTGCCTACCAATGAACACTGTGCTGATTACGTGCAGGTGACATCGTCCAATGGATGCTCATGAACGACCATCGTTACTCTTTCCTAGTCAGCACCGACGAAATCATGTTTCTCCGCATGGATATCAAGGCTGTGAAAGTCAACGACAGGAACAACAATCTCCAACCCAAGACCGTACTTTACGAACCATGGTTGCATTACTCCGTGCCCATGAAAATCGCGGACGCATTCGATTACGGGAAAAACACGATCACAACTCGCATGGGCATATTCCATCTCTTATGGTTGGTCATACAGGACGACCGGAAGTGGCGTTTGCCTGCTGAGACGGGTAATTGTCTGAATTACGCTACCTTCACTGGTGACGAGGAAGATCTGATTCCAAGACGTACGTGTGTGCCGGGGCCGTGCGTGGCAAAGTAGCCTAGAGGTTTCTCAGGGCAGCTTACTAGATCTGTAATTGCACTAAGGGTACCTGGTGTTGCGCTCAAGCCAATTGTCTCGGTGCTCATGCCGTGTTGATCCTGTCAGTTGGCCAAGTAGCATGCTAATCGACCTTATATCTGTGTGTGGTCTAGATGTCCTTGGCAGTGTGGAGTTAGGTATCTAGGCATTTATGTCCGTGTTGTCGTCCATATCATGCTTAGACCGGCTCCTGCATCCTACATGAGACCCGAGCCGGTGCATCCGAAGGAATCCGGGCTGAACGTGGGTAAGAGAAAATCACTATGTATGCTACTCGTGAGTCACATGCAGATAGAACGATATGTTTGTATGTTGATTCATATATGTGTATCGATCCAGCCCAAGATCTCCCTAAAGACTTCATCGGCACACGGCGGGTCATGCAACAACTCGTGTCTCCCGTCGTCGTACCTGCTCAAGGTCTTGTCCTCTGAAGCAATTCCTTGTACAAACTTTTCACTCCCTTTCCACAGTACATACGTGTCAGCCGTCCCATGAATAACAAGGGTCGGCAAGCTCCACGTCTTCAACCCATCGTTAACCTTCTGCATTGTATCCAACGCAGTGGCAGCTATGAGAAATGGAATCTGTCGCTGCGGTACAAGCGGATCACTGGTGAATCTCTTTACCTCCTCCTGATCTCTAGTCAAGCCATCAAGCCCAGCAGACGGCAGTGGGACAGAAACCGTCGGCATAGCCCTAGCCAGGAGTCCAATCGCAGCCCTCGCCAGACCCGGAAATTGGTCAGGCAGCGCAGGTCCTGTCAGAATAACTCCTTTGATGTTTTCAGAGTCTGCAGTTGCACTCCCTGCGGTGACGAGGCCGCCTAGCGAGTGTCCGAACAGAATGATCGGTGCTCCGTGCTTGCTGGCGAGGCGCCGTAGGTGAACGTGGTCCTCCACGGCTTTGCCGAGATGCGTCACTCCGCGTGTACCAGGTGAGCGTCCATGGCCCCATAGATCGAGGGCGTACACAGTGTAGTTTGCAGCGTTGAGCTCTCGGATAAGGCTGTGGTGTGCGTCGACATAGCGTTCGGCATATTCGCTGAAGCCGTGCTGGAGTACTACTACCGCACGAGCAGGCGTTGTGTTTGTTTGCCATATGTGTGAGACTGAACCTGATGGCAGTGTCATGGTCTCGTGCTTTAGATCGGTGGCTGCTGGTCTTGCCGTCATCGTGGCCGTTGTGCTAAGCAGTTCTATCGTGGCGCCGGCTCAGAGTAGTTCTCGTGAATAACAATTCTGAAGCCGCAAAATCCAGAAGTGTTCGAAAGTGCAGTTGGTTCTCGTGTGTTGTTCGAAGACGAGTTCGAAGGGTCGTGGTTGCCGGACCGAGCCGTGCTTCGAAGGTCGGAATGCAGAGTTGCGATCCGTCGAAGACGTTACATCGAGATATTCGCACTGTCTTTCAGACGCAATGTCATCTCTTCTTATTCACAGTTTCTGTTGTGTTCGTCAAAGGACAGATCTGGGGGAATCATTGTGTTCGTCTACGGTCGCGCACGTGCGTATTTGTTTGGCTCAGAGCAGTCTGGTCTGTCCTTATCGAAGGTCGCGAGAAAGAGCAGCTAAGTGAAGTCGAGTCGTCTACGTCTCGTTTTGTTGGATTAGCTTATGGACCATCACACTTCCGGATTTTCCGTCGCAACGAAAGCGGAACGGTCGCTGAGAGGATCCAGTAAGTGTGCTCAAGTGTTCACTTTAACCAGAATGGAAAGCTGAGATATACGAAAGACTGATGCCTAATTGGATAGCTCAATATAGGATTTGACAGAAGGCATGTATATGGAGAGAGTGAGGTTGGGCTCACCAAGAGTGCAATGTCTGGTTGCGGACTCTGACACGAAGACGTGGACGATTGTCCTCTTCGTTTCGCGTCGGTTTGCACCACATCTCGATTTGTCGATTTCGTGCAGTCCATCAGCTATGGTGGCTGGAAAGCATCTGCATACCCTTGTCCAACATCGCTTAACCACTTGGCAACAGTGAGAGAGCCTCGGTCTACCTCCAGAGGATGTTGCAGCCATTGGAGTCGTTTTGCTACTTCATTTCTGTACCAACATGCTATCGTTGGTGGTTGGTCTGAATTACCTTTAGGCTACGGGAACCCTCGGATAGCTTGTTTCCAGCAAGAAAGTAGCCTCGGTCGAAATAGACGCCTTGATTGGCAGTCTTGGTCGTGGATTGGAGTGAAGTTGACGTGCATGAAGAGGCGTATTTGATGGCGTCGCGGGACAGAAGGCCTGAACCGGAGCCTCGGTCTCTGAAATGAGAATCGAGCATGATTGGCAGTGTCGAATCTGGGGGACATAGCGACTGGGGAAAACCCCAGACAGGACCAAGCAACTGGGTACGATAAATGGGCAGATCAATATTAGACGTCCAATTCGGGATGACCATGTGGCATGATGATCTGTGTGCGTCGAACAGCTGTGCCTAGATCTAGATCTGTGATAGTAGTCAGGGATGTAGTCAACTGATCGTGTCAAGATGCAGGGCCGCGATGGATGTGATCAGGGAGCCGCGAGCACTTTTTACATCTGGCTGTTCACAATGAGGGGCCACTGTTGGCCAATAACAATACGTGCGTGCACTCATGTTATCTTCCGTACAGCCACACATATTGCTTGACCAGCGACCTCGAAAAATCCCCCGTCACCCTCAAATGAGCCAATCTGTGTGAAAGTGAACATATCCCACACATAGGCCGACGGGAGGCAGGTGCCAACCTTGGAAGGTCGCACGGATATCCAAGGCGTCCATGTTTGCAGTAGAGGAGAACACAAAGCAGTTTCCCGGCTCGTGGGACCTGCTGATCTTCCATTGATGACACCGCTGCGTCAGCCCAAAAGCTTGGAGGCTCGGTGAAAGGCCGCGGACGCTCGTAAGCGCGGAGGCAGTCACCCGAAAGCGCATGTTGAGCCATGACGAGTCACAAACGAGCCGCTAGTACGCGAAACTTGGAAAGCCCCTTACCCTATGAAGTACAGCATCCTGTACAACTTCAAACTCCAATCATTCGATCATATGCTTGTGAAGAGCTGTGCTCGTGCATCTGCTACGCATTGGAGCCCTGACTAGTGCTTCAGGATAGGGTGACTGATGGCGCGTCGTAGATGCTTCTTCAGTGACAAGCACTTGGTACAGCTTGAGGTGCGAGGGCGACTATTAAGTGCCAAGCCGGATACCAGATGCTAAGTGCATCTTCCGGCGTGGTGCGGCTTGGTGCAGTTGCATCAGACACCGCCGCTCATGCCCACCACCGGAGGAGTGTCCCAGTTTGGCCAGTTCTGCCAGTCCAGGCGGAAATTGTGGAGTGAATGGATTTACCCCGCGTGCGAGCGTTGGAACACGGGACACGCAGATCATTGACAGCCGAAGGGGCACGACGTTCGACGTTGATCGACGTTGAACAAAGAAACACGCGTTGGCTGGGCTAAGTTTTAGCCGCAAGCCTTCCCACGCGCGCAGCATCGCCTTGACATCAGTCAAGAGTTGCAAAGATTTAGAACCGCCGAACAACAAGCGGAAAGCCTGTGGCCGCGACTTCGCGTCTCGATTGGTCCGAAAGTGGGTCCCCTAGCGAAAGGGCGTCCTCTCATATGCGGGGTCTCCACGCGCCAAGCCAGACCCCAGACGCGACCGTCACTGAGTGCCCATGGCGCCTCTTTTGCGTTGGAGCTCTCCACAATCCTGGAGCCGCCGCTGGGATAGGGGTGAGATCCCACTTCTGCAATGGGTACAATCGCCGAGGCCTCGGTATCTTTCCACATTCTGACTTCGAGAGATGATCCACAGGCTGCTTGGCAGCGTGTAATGCGGGTCACACAGGGGCGAGCTGAACATATAATAATGGCAGCGTGCGATCGTCGACTGCTGCGACTCAAGCTCCTGCTCGCCTTTCCCAAGCATTCTTGCTGACACCGCAGAGATGGCTCACAACGCGACGGCTGCTAGCGAATATTACAACGCCGACCACGAGAAGGAAATTGTGGCTCACAATGAGGACATCAACAGCTCTACGCACGATGACTTCGAGTCTGAGTTTACGCCCGAGGAGCAGAGGAAGATCATCCACCGTGTCGATCGTCGCCTTGTTATCACAGTAGGAGTGCTTTACTGCATTTCGCTGATGGATCGTACGAATTTGTCAGCTGCTGCCATCGCAGGGTATGTCAACAAATTAGAAGCTTCGCGGACCGACAGGACTGACCAATGCTTTTAGAATGACCGTCGAGTTGAAATTGGGCGTTTTGATGGGCACTGTTTCGCGTTACTCGGTCGTAACCCTCGTCTTCTTTACCACATACATTGTCTTTCAACCACCCTCGACTGTCATCATCCGCTACCTTGGACCCCGTGTGCATCTATCCACTATTGTGACCCTTTGGGGCGCAGTAATGATTGGAATGGGTTTCGTCAAAAATTGGGAATCCCTGGCCGCGCTGAGAATCGTGCTCGGTATCTTAGAAGCCGGATTCTTTCCTTCCTGCGTTTACCTGATGTCAACCTGGTACACACGTTATGACATCGGAAAGCGATACAGCGTCTTCTACATTCTCGGAAGTTTGGCGTCGGCTTGTGCTGGTATCCTTGCTTACGGCCTGATGCAATTGAACGGAAGGGAAGGTCTAACAGGTTGGCGCTGGTAAGTTCCATTATCAGCCTTGTTTTTCCTATCACAGTACTGACAGTTCTCAGGATCTTCATCATCGAAGGTGCCCTGACAGTTTTCCTCGGTATCGTTGCCTATTGGCTGCTGGTCGATTTCCCTGACAAGGCGCACACATCCTGGAAGTTCTTGACCGAGCGCGAAGCCAAGTTCATCATCGCTCGTGTCGATAAGGATCGCGGTGACGCTAAGCCTGAGCCATGGAACACAAAGAAATTCTTCAAGGGTGGTGCGGATTTCAAGGTCTGGTGTTACGCCATGGTAAGTCATAATAAGCTTGGATGATATAGTGTACTGACCTTGTCTAGATCTTTTTCAACACCACTACTGTATCATATGCCCTTGCCTATTTCCTTCCAATCATCCTACAGCGCAACATGGGCTTCAGTACCGGCGCTGCGCAATGCCTTGTCGCGCCCCCGTACGCGTTCGCTGCTATTATCATGTACGGATGTGGATGGCTCGGTGACAAGAAGAAGATTCGTGGGCCGATTATCATTTTCAACATGATTCTCTGCTTGGTTGGTCTGCCTATTATGGGCTTCGCGAAGTCTCCAGCCGTCAGATACTTTGGTGTCTTCTTGACGACCGCGGGCGCCAACAGCAACGTTCCAGCAACAATGTCGTACCAGGCGAACAACATTCGTGGACAGTGGAAGCGTGCTTTCTGCTCGGCAACGCTTGTTGGCATGGGTGGAGTCGGTGGCATTGCCGGAGGCCTTGTTTTCAGGTAAGTTTGATCTCTCCACCATGTCAGAGACGTATTTCATGTCAGAGCGTATTTCTAACTCATTCCCTTAGAACACAAGATGCCCCGAACTACCGCCCAGGAATCTATGCTTGTATTGCAACAAGTTGCCTTAGCATCGTACTAGTTGTTGTGGTCACCATTCTTTCCATGGCGCAAAATAAGAGCGCAGACAGGGGCGAAGTTGAGCTTGAGTACAACGAGGGTGATCAGAAGGGTTTCCGATATACCTTGTAGAGTCTTGCTCTCATTAATGATCTGAACTTCAGATGTGAGGGAGCCTTCACCGTTACCCTGCGCAGCACGTTTTGAACGACACTTATGAATGTATACCCCAACAGCGCTCGTACAATAAATAACATCATTGTGAAACGTTGAACTATGAGTATTCTGATGATCTATTGTAAATATGACTGCGACAAAGATCGCATGGGACGTGTCTATGAAATTGATAATCACGTGACCTCATAATGGGAAAACTGTACACTAAATCGTTCACCGTTGCGTCTAGATAGGTCCAATCGGCACTTTTGTAGGATCCAACCCATCCGTGTCACAGCCAATAGCTCGCAGAACTACGACTGAATCACTGCATTTAGGCGTACACACCCTAGCAGAAACGAGCTTTCTTGCACGATTCCGTTTTGCCAAGTCATTCGCTCGACTGCATTTCTGCTCGACTTTATGTGACAGGCTGCGAGGAATTAAACGATGCCTCTCTTAAAAAACAGCCTCGAAGGAGATGGAAGCACCATGAAAGCTGATGGCGATAAAGGCTGCCCATATACTACAGTGGAAAGGAACAGCTCCGCGCGAAAAACTCGTGAAGGAGTCGCAGCTCCCAAGCCTTCTTTTTTCGTCCAACGCACCCAGCAGAGAGTTCGGTGCTATATACTCATGTGATCCGCAGTTCACTGCTGGCGCACAGCAGTAAGTAGGCATGAGTGCACTCCATAGATCCAATCACCGTTCACCTTGCGCAGTGTTCACATGCACCCTGATTCTAACACTCGACTTACAGGACGGATCAAACGATGGCATCACTGACGCCTAGCAATTTCTGTGGGAAATGGAAGAGGGCTCGATCTTGTATTATCACTGCCTCATTTTCTCATTACGTGTCGTTCGTGCAGTCCCTCGACAGTGCGCTTCCAATATTTACAAACAAGTGTCACTGGCTGGCCAAATACAGTAGAGGAGAACCATTGCATCAGGTCGGCGAACTGCTTCACAACATCAGCTGAAGCGGTGATCGAGTAAACTTTGGCTTTTAACTGACTATTTCCACACCAGTAACCGCATATGTGGATCCTGTAGCAATAAAACACCAAAAAGATCACCGCAAACCCATCTGACATTTGCGCCTAGGCTAACAAAGGTACTGAAAGACATTAAATCCCATGATTGGTAGTTCGCGCCGTCCGCTCAAAGATGTAGCAAGTCTACAGGGTATTGTCCCAACACAAACCAAAGCCGCACCGATACCCATATTCCTCTTTACGAGTTCATTCGTCTTGATGCTCGTGACCGAAAGGCAAACATAACGCCCATCATGACCCAAGATGACGCCATGCAAAGCAATTGTTGTTCGATAAACCCCAGTGCAAATGCAAACCTCTCCGCTTCGTTCTCGACGTCTACGTGCTGAGCTTCTTCGGTTCATCGAAGCTCACTCCGCTGTCAGTCGCCTGCAGTGCCTTCTCCTGCAACGCCTCCCTCCCACTCTTCTCGCTACAGTACTTCGCGTTCAGTTCCTCGATCTTGGGAACCAGCTCACCGATTCTAAACGGTTTGGAGACCACATCATCCATGCCTACTGCGAGCAGAGTCGCAATCTGTTCGCTTCGTGCATTCGCGGTGACCGCAATGATCGGCACATGTCGTCTTAGCTCGCCTTTGCGCTCCATCTCCCGAATCTTGGTGGTGCATGCTAACCCATCCATCACTGGCATTTCTTTATCCATGAGTACAACGCCAAGGTCCGGCGCGTCAGGGCCGGAGGAGGCATGGTAGGATGAAGAGGACAAAATCGTTATGGCCTCTCCACCGTGATTAGCGACGGTCGTTGCTATGCCGCGATTCTGAAGTTGGCGCTGTAGAACTTTTTGATTCACTGTGAGGCATTAGAAAAATGAATCAGCAAATGGAAGTGGAGCATAACGACTTACCAAGGTTGTCTTCAACAATCAGAACGCGAAGGTGTGCGTAAGGACTTTTTGGTCTCTCCATTGTTGGAGTGACTGGTGCTTGAGCAGCGAAATCCTTGATCTTGGGTACTTCTGGACGCCCTCTGTCTCTCGCATTTGACACCTTTCGAGATAATGTCACAGCGGCGGGAACACTGTCGATAGGTTTGTTGGGCTCCGAGCTTCTACGGCCCTTGACGTAAAAGGCAAACGTGCTGCCTTTACCAGCTTCTGAAGAGACACCAATCTCGCCACCTTGTAGTTCGGTCAGCTCGCGAGAGATGAACAGACCAAGCCCAGATCCACCATACTGGACATGTGTGCGTGGGCTCGCCTGAGAGAAGCGCTGGAAAAGGAGTTTGAGTTCCTCTGCACTGAGACCTCTCCCTGTGTCCTGAACAAGGAACTCGAGAAAGACTTCTTCCCCGTCGCCCCAGTCTGGACCAAGGGTCTGGTCTATGCCTTTCGACTTCATAGGGAAATAGCTCACGACGGGTGACCTACTGGCCGATGGCCGAGTCGTAGACGCTGAGAGCACGACGGTGATGGTGCGAGTCTCTTCAGTAGAAGTGAACTTGATCGCGTTGGTGGTCAAGTTGATGAGGACCTGCAGTACTCGGGACGGATCAATTCTGACCCAGTCAATGTTCAACATCTTGAAAGAGTTGCCAAGCACAAACTCCATCTGAATGCCAGCTGTTTGGACTTCACCCTCAAACATTTTCAAGGCCCGCTGAATGACTTGCAACGGCTGTGCATCGACCGGAGTAACCATTAACATCGCACTATCGAGTTTCGATAACGTCAGAACATCATCAACGATTCTCTTCTGATGCTGTGCGCAAAGAGCAATGGTTTGAGCAGCATCGATCGAGTTGGTAACGATCCCAGGTTCGATAGTTCGCAGACCAGATTGCCGGAACTCGCCAAGAATTGTTGAGATTTCGTCAGCACATTGCAGGATGGCGCTGAGCGGATTTCGCATTTCGTGACTCGTAATGTCCATGAAGTTTTCTTGCTGCCGTTTGAGCTCGACGGCCTCTTCCATCTTTCGCTTCTGGAACCCTTCAGCCCACTTCTGAGGACTGATATTGGTAATGCTTCCAAAAACGCTCTTGAGCTGACCACTCTCATCCTTTTCTGGGAAAGCACTGAAAAGCACCCATGTGTCGCTTGTCGCTTTTGAACTACGATCTTCCCACGGAGCTTTGAATCTAAACTCGACATTGATCGGAGCGGTATTTTCGACAAGGCGTTTCCAATGGTCCCGAATAAGCTTCTGATCCTCATCTTTGACGTACTCGATCCATCTATCCGTCTTGTTCCGTTCCTTTGGTACCCGGGATATCTCGAACCATGTATCGTTACAGTAGGTGATGCGTCCAGCGTGATCGGCAATGAATAAGCCTGCAGGCGAGTACTCTGCCATCCTGGTGAATCTCAATTCGTTCTCTCGAGCTTCTTGTGTACGAGCTGCAAGCTGTGTGGACAGGTTGAATCGATCCTCGGCTGCCAACTTCGCAGCTTTCCGGCCTCTTCGAATCTCCTCCTCAAACAACACAACCGATGCGAGGGATGTCGCGAGCTGCCGGCTCAAGAGCTGAACAAAGAGACTGTAATCATCGTCGTAAGGCCTGCGCGGATTGACACCCATCACCAGAAAGCCCAGGAATGTTTCTCCTGTAGTGGGATGAACAGGGCATACCACTACGTCCCGACAGGCGTCACCAAAACCTCGCCATTCAAGGCCGTCCATCATAGACGCAGGGAGGTCGACCGATCCAATGCTGATGACAGCAGGTTTATTAGTCTTCATGACGTCGCGGAAGACAGGTCCAAAGCCTTCGTGGCCTTCTTTTAAATCGATCTGTTCCGGAGCAGCTTGATGGCCACTTGGCACTCCTAAAGATCCTTCGAGGTAACAGTGCTTGACGCCCATCATACTGCTAGAGTGAAGGGAAGAAGAATCGCTGTCGTTCTCGTCGGAGACTGAGTATAACATGACGAAGGGTGTGTCAAACTCGTTCTCGGTCAGTGCAATAAGAACCTGATCCCAGAAACCTTTGACGTCTCTTGCCATCGCAGTTCGTTCACCGACTTCGCGAAGAGTAAGCATTCGCCGTTCGGCAATCTTTCGCCTTGTCTTCTCGAACGCTGGATTGTACAACCCCATCACGGTACCGTCTTCTCCAACCATGGGAATGATTGACCATGAGAAGTACGTCTCCTCCAAGAAACCACTCCGTTTCATGAACAGACAATCATCGTCCTTCATCGTGGCTTGACCCGTGATGCGAGCATTAGTAAAAACGTCTTTGACTTCGTCCCAGATCTCGGCCCAAGCGACTTTGTAACTTTGACCCATTAGTGTAGGATGTTTCTGGCCAGCCAATCCTACAATTGTTAGCGGAATGTTAGCTTCCCTGCACAGGCCAATGCTCACCAATATATGCCTCGTTATATATAGCGACTAGTTCATCTCCCCAGTACATAGCAGCTGGATGAGGGCTTGCCCTGCAACCTTGTTAGCGCCATGCTAGCAAACACTCATCTTTCTGCAACTGGCAACTCACATAATAAGATTACACATGGCTCGAAGATCGTTCGACCAGTACTCGATGGGTCCCAGTGGTGTCGAGGCCCAATCTATAGAGCGAGCGAATTGTATGTGTCTCGGTAAGCAGGTCGCTAATGAAAGCCTCGTCCAGTCGAAGAAGCCCATGTCGTGATCCTCGGCTGCTTTTGGTTCTCTATGGAAAGAGTCAACGTCGCCTGCACTGTGAGCCCTGAGAACGCACTCGTTTGTGAAGGACGGATCCTCAATTGAAAGTAGACTTGGATGGTCAAGGTGTGATTTTGACCCACTAGAATGACTGGATGCGCTGATCGCTACGTTGCTCATGTGGTTATGCGCCATGGCATTCAGCGGATTTGGCTCCTCGCTCCCTTGGATTGCTGGAACACCGAAGTAATCCTGTTGCTCCCCAGCCTGATTCGCAGTGTCCAGCGTGTGCCCTGAAGGATACCCTACCGACGATGCCGAAGGTATTGCGAATTCCAATGAGCGGCTCGTGGATGGTACTTGAGCAATAGGTAGAGGTGGCGTTGCTCCAGAAACAACTCGTAAACGCCTCCTCAGTGTGTAACACGACCACACCGTGCCACCATGCTCGACAGGAGAAGGGTTTGTATCCGGATTGTCACCTGGTGTGGCAGTGGATAATAACCAGGCACGAAATTGAGCGGTTGGGTGTGAAGCTGCCTCGTCCGTAGGCTGTTCAGGCGGCTTCCCAGCAACCGTCTCCCATATCGACGAATCCGAGCGCAAGGCGTTGTTGGCGAAGAGGATGTGCAAGGAAGACGAGTCCGGCGTATAGTTAGTGTGGTCGCCAATGTCCACGATGAAGGTGGGTCTTGTGTCGTGTTCAAGCAGTTCGACCACGCCAACAGAGCCCAGAAGCTTCAGAGGATCCCCCCGGTCGCGCGCATCTGGTGAGGATGTGCGAGGGAGACTCGAGCGTTCAGAGCTTCGCCCGCTCGTGACACTCGTCGTACCAGGCGGGCTAAGACCGCTGAATGTCCCCCGAGCCAATGTTACTGTTTTGATGCCGCCATCCTCGCCGCGTGTCTTGCTCAGCATCCTCGCAGCAGCCTCGGAGCTGGAGAACCGCGCGGGCAGGTGTGGGCGCGCGCGCTTGGACGAGAAGAACAGCGGTGAGACTGGTTGTCCGTCGTAGTAGAGTGGCCGGCTGCTGGCGCAGGCGAAATTGTCGAGCGAGTGGCGTGCGCGTGTCTGTACTCGTCGGCGCTTGTGCAGAGGTTCGCTTGCGGGTGTGTCTTTACGTGTGCGCGGGGCTGATCTCTTAGAGCCAGCGACTGCGGGCGGCGTAACGGGTTGCGGTGCCTTGAATGCCTCACCACCACCAAACGAGGGCGCAAGCGCAGAGAGACGCGGGGTCGATGCGCGAATGTCAAGCGGGTTCTTCAACGACCATGGGCGCTCACTTGGCGGGAGCAGTGCGCTGGATCGCGGCTCGGTGGGCGTGGGGGGTTGCGAGCGCGCTGGTGGTGGATTCAAGGCCTCGTGATATTCGGGAGTGCTCAAGCGGCGGCGGTCCTCAGAATTCGCAGATGACGGCGCGGCTCCGGTGTATATCGATCTCGGCTGAGTGGACATAAGAAAGGCCGGTCGACCGTTGTCTGTTCAGTGCAAGAGCCAGCCCGCACGCACGACCGTGTCAGTCTGCGGGCATACCCTACTGGACTACCAGGATCCAGAAGCGCAAATGTCGCCTGCTTGAGCTTCAACGCCGCCGCGGGCCAGTTTAGGACGCTTAGGCGTTCTAAGCGTCGCGCTAGGCTAATCAGAAGCCTGCATGGGTTTCGAGAATGACGATCGTGGTCTGTAGCAGTCCCCAAAAGAGGCGACAGCATGCATATGGAGTGTGGAGCGTGGAAACAGGGTGCAATTGATTGGGGCAATGTCCGACTGTCTCTTCTAGCCTTCTTCGACTCGGTGCTTCGAAAGGGTTAGAAGTTGGAGATCTCGCATCGCCCTGGATCTGAACACGGACTGCATCGACGATCCCAACAAGGGCGTCAGGAACGCTTGAGCTGGCTGCGGCACTCCACAGGACTGGTCAGCCCTTGATGCATGTCTGACATCTCACCTCTCGTGAGCCCAGTGCCGAGCAAAAGGCAACTAACCTGATACCTGGGACTCCAGCAAAACACACAGCCAAGAGCCGCCGTGAAGCCTCGTGCTCGCTCATCGTGTTTTGGCGGCGACGTCATGGTTCGAGACCTCGATGGTCAAAGTCGATCGTACGCCAATGGAAGGATCGCGAGTCAACTGTTTGCAACACCAAGACACGTCAGCCCATGTATCTGTCTTCATATCGAAACTGGCCCAAAGGATGCTCATCATCTGTGCAACACTATCGGAGCTACGCCTAGGCAGCCACCTCTTTCCTTTTGGCCATGACTGCAGAAAATTCCAAGATCCCACCTGATTTTGCCGGAAATCACATGATTTGTACACGTGACAGCCGCTGCTCCACGTGATCTCGAGATCGATGCAGGGCTGCACCGAGGCAGTTCACTGCCGCCATCATCCGAGCTTCGTAGTGTGCAACACTAACGCTGATAGGGATGGACAGTCGCGCTTCTCGATCATATCTTCTTCCTTTTCTGACTCTCTGTTTGTTTGACATCGAAAATGATACACAGCCAGCCTAAGTATTTGTTCCTTCTGCAGGAAATGTTCGCTCGCACTTCAGCTTCTTCCACACATGGATCCTTCGTTAGGATCCAAGTGCGACGAGAGATACGAGCACTTATCTCATGCCAATCGTTGTTGACATTCTCGCGCGCGCCATTCACGATGCAGTGCTCGCAACGCACGAACGCCAAGCTCGGCTGCACTTGCTGCGCCATTTATCTGTGGCTACGCCTAAGCCACCCCATTACCGTTTGAGCGATTACAGGACGGGCGACTCCCGTTACTATACTTACGCAAGAATGTGGACTTCCGGTCCTTCCCTGATGTGGCACCCGTCCGTCCACTCTGGTCCACATAGTTTTGGGCCTTAGACAGTTGTCCGCCGTTGAGGGGTCAGACCGCTTGTGGAGCTGAGCTAAAACATTACATACTGGAGAAAACGTTACTGAACCCGTATAGTAGGAAAGTTCGACTGTCCTACACGCCAAGTCTCGATGACCCATTGCTCATATCCCACGAATCTAATCCTAGCCGCCAGAAGCATGAGACCCTCGCAGACCCCCACTTTAATCGACATACTCGCCATACGGATGGTGTGTACTCAGCTGGCCCGGTGCCCCTCAATTCATCGACAAGCCGTTTGTACAACTTAGGCAAGCTGTCCAGTGCTGTTGCCCTGCATGCCACCAAGGGGTTCTTCGTGGCCCGCTGCGGATGGGCTGTGCTCGATATCGTGGCCACTGTTTGTTTAAATACATAGTCACCCCGCTTCAACTTTTGCGTTCTTATTCTCTTCCCTCTTCTTTGCTTCACCCTTTCTAAACTCACAAGGTACTTGGTCTCCACGTGCTTCATTACACATCGCCAGCATGGACTTCCTCAAGAAGAAGATGAAGGAGCTGCTCGATGACGACGATAAGCCCAAGGATAAGCCCACTGGTGAGCCTCGCATATCCAGCTACCTCGTGGGCAACTTTTGATCCATTTACAGATTCTTCGAATTCAAGTTCGCAGCCTGCCCATGGTGACTCTCATGGAGCACCTGGTGGCGCCGCTCCAGGCGATCGTGCTCTTTCTGATGGCTACTACGGCGGTGACCATAACAGCGGTCCACCACCCCAGCAACAGTATGGCCAGCCGCCGCAACAACAGTACGGTCAGCCGCCGCAGCAGCAATACGGACAGCCGCCTCAACAGTACGGCGCACCCCAAGGTTACGGCCAGCCGCCCCAGGGCTATGGTCAACCCCAGGGCTACCCTCAGCAGTATAACCAGGGCCCTCCCACACCACAAGGCCCTCCTGCGCCGTATGGCGCTCCCCCTCCAATGCCGCCCGGCTGGAACCAGCAGTGGGATCAGAATAGCCAGCGCTGGTTGTAAGTCAATCGCCATACCTACATGGGGATTGCATGTGCTAATGCGAGTCAGCTACATTGAGCAGGCTACAGGCCGCACCCAGTGGGATCCTCCTTCCAACCTGCCTCCTGGCCCCTATGCTCCGCCTGGCCCCAACGCTCCCTACGTTGCTGGAGCTGGTCACGATGAGCGCGGTCTGTTCGGCAATACCCACGGACACAGCGGCCATGACTACAATACAGCGCCTGGCGCACCCGCTGATCCTCTCAAGGCCGAGAAGGAGAAGAAGGACAAGGGCCACTCGACTGCCATGCTCGCAGCGGCTGGTATCGGAGGTATCGCCGCTGGCGCCTGGATTGGGCATGAGCTGAGTATGTTGCGCACCCAAGTTGCACTTCTAGTATGCTAACGCCCGACAGCCGAGAATTCCGATGACGAGAAGAGCTCTGCTGCCCCTGCGGCTGCTGCCGCTGCTCCTGCCGCCGCTGCCCCCGCAGCGTATGCTGCTGCGCCGCCGCCTGCTGCCGACCCATACGCTAACGACCCGTATGGGGATCAGGCCTTCCAGGAGCCTCCCCCAGTTCCTACTCATGATGCAGACGGTGACTCGATTTCAAGTAGCGACCGCGAGTCGCTCGAGGAGAAGCGCCAGGAGCTCATCGAGGCACAGGAAGAGTACCAAGAAGAGCTTGAAGAGGCGTACGATGACTAGACATCTCTTACTTTCGATTCTCAGTTCAAGACAATGGTAAACCTCAGTGCGCATGCACGAAGGGACAGCTACGGCCGAATTTTCTTTCTTACCCCTCGCTTCTTCTATAGCACTCAGCAAGGATCACGCACAGCGTAGCGCATGGTAACCCTATACATCAAACTCTGTATCGTTTCGTTTGTGTTGAAATGGAATGAAATTCTCGGCTAAGGTCAATCGACTACATAGCCCACCACCAAACTCCCTCGCCTTTTCCGTGTCGCAAAGCCGTGACCTTGCCCTTGTGGATATCTCGCGTGTGAACATGTAGGAAATGCAGCGAGTGTGCTGGTCGTTTCTCAGAAACCCGCATTAGTCTCTCTCCCTCCATCTTTGTCTTCTGCAACTAGTGCGACTGCCTTAGCAGCAGCAGTCGAAGCAGTCCAGACAGCACTCGCACGTCTCGCCGCACAACCAACAACAACACAGTGTTGCCAGGCACGCGGCCAGACAACCGCGGTCCTTCTTCTCTTCTTGCGGCGGCGGCGGTGGACCTTGCTGGTAGTACATCTGCATCTACGTTAGTCACTTGCGCTTGCAAAACTCCAGATCTGAAGCACAAATGCCGGGTATCTTACCTGCTGCTGCGGTGGAGGCGGGCCTTGCATGTACTGGCCCTGGGGCGGGGGCTGGGCATAGTAACCCTGGTTTGGCTGCTGGTAGGACATTCTTGCGTTGAGTAATTCAAGTGTGGTTGGAATAGGCTCGAGGTGTGGCTAGGGATAAGGCTGGAGGTGAGGCGTTCTGCGGCGGTAGCAGTCTCGAGAGCAAGATGTGGCAGAAGCTGTGGCAGAAGCTGTGGCAGGAACTGTGGCAGGTGCACAGCAAACGGGCGCTCACAACATTTTATTAGCTGCAGGTCAGGGGCGGATCGCCGGCACCTGTGAGCAGACTGCGCGCCGTGGCGCAGTCAATGGAACACGCAGAGCCCGCGTATCGGCCGCACATGCCGCGTTGAAGACGCTGCGAGGTAGAGCTGCCGTAGGCGCCGCGGGAGGTTTGACGCCCTTGACCATGCTGCGACTGAGCAGCCACACGTGTGGCAGCAATGGATCGCACAAGGCCACTCCCTGATGCAGCACTATTGACCCTGGCGGCTGGGCGCTGCGGTACGCGTGGAATCAGTGTCTTGGCGGCGAAGAGTTAAGGCGCATGACTGAGCGCATTGCATTGAACACTTGTGAGTGACGGTGCATGAAGGTGGTGAAGAAACCTAGGTCACCATTTGCCCTTTGCACACTCCTCTAATATCTACTGTGCATTTTCATGTTCAGTGTGATGTACACATTCCCTTCATTGGTGTTCTGTGGACGATTAACACGTATTTGCGAGATTGCGATGCTAGGTGAGGTTGCTTGAACATGCAAGAGTGCCGAACACCCGTGTACTAGCTGGGGTCTGCTTGCGCCTTAGTGTGGCGGCCGCGGGCACCGAAAGGGCAAGTTCTGGCGCCTCGGTCCGCCGCGGTGGCTTTGCAATGAGCGTTTTCCCAGCACCGCAGCGTAAAAATGACATGTATTGTAACAGAGGCTTGGCTGCATCACAACGTAATGTGGCGCATGCAGAGCCGCGCCACGAAGGGAGACTGGATTGGCATGTGTCAGTGGACAAGCGAAGGTTTGGCGAGAGAAGGCCGGCATTTACTTTGGTATCGAGACGGACATAGCCGACACGCCGTTAGAAGACTGTTGGTCCTAGGTCAGGGATCGCAGATGACAACAGCGCAGTGGACCGAGGCGTTGACAACGTGGGAGTCCCGGGCCTTGCAGGATCGCCCGTTTCGACAAAACAAACAACGGTGAAACAACAAACCGAACAAATACGTGTGTTGCAACCGAGTCAACGACTGACCAAGTGTGAGCTGCGGGCATTACAATGATGAAGGCAAGCAATGTTCAAGCTGCTCGCTCTTCCTTAACCTCTTCCTTAACTTCTTCCTCGATTCCCCCAGGTACGAACCCACGCTCCTCCCGCCTCCGCTGGACCCACTCCCCAAAAGGCTTCCATATCGCCTCCTTCTCCGCAGGCTTCAAACTCGCCGCCAACCCACTCGTACTCGTCGTCACGAACACCTTGCTCCCCTTCCACTCCCCCTCCACCATCCCCATGTTATGCCTCTCATCCTGCCACCCATACGCAAACTCTCCCTTGCTCATACTCCTCCCGTACCGAAACCGCCACACCGCCTCCCAAATACCCTTGCCCACAATACATACAGCCTCCGGTCTGTAGAGCGCAAACTTGCGCTCCAGCTCGCGCGTGCCCTCGGTCATCTCCTCCTTACTGAGCTGCGCAGCGTCTTTGGACGGGCGCTCCACAATATTGGTGTTGCCCATGCAATACTGCGCAGGCAGACTCCTGTCCTCGCTAGGCGCGAGGCGCCGTTCAGTAAGCCCGGACGAGTGCAGCAGCTTCCAGAAATGATTCGAGGGGTGCGCGTACGCGTGTCCGTGGAGCGCGGTGCTAACGCCTGGGTTTGTACCCACGAAAACACATACTAGGTTTGGTTCTAGGATGTCGACGAGCGGGGAGAGGTGCGCGTATTGTGATGGGTCGGCGTATTTGCTGGACTTGCGCTGCTTCTTTGCGGCGCGAGGAGATGGTGTGGCCTTCGTGGCGGTCACAGATGTAGTTCGTAAACGCTTCGCTGGTCGCGCAGGGGATGCGGATGACGGTGTCTGATCTTCCTTGGCTGAGCTGTTGGTGTACTCATACTTTGCTATCCGGCCTTTGAACGATGCAGGTGGTTGTGACGAAAGGGCCTCAGGAGGATCAGGCAACTCATTATCACTCGACAGCATTGTCTTGCTCGAGTCTTCAGTTTTCATTGAGCGTGTTCGCGGCATTTCCTGATTTCTCGGACACGCAATGCTTGGGTGCAGACCAAAGCTGATTTAATGTTATGTTATGAACATGACTTCTCGACCATTAAGTGCCGGATCTCGCTGACGTCATCAACACGAGAACACATGATGAACTCGGAGTGAAAGCTATATGATATGTATATCAATTACATTACTACATACAGTACATATGTAATCACGATGAAACTTGCAGCGAGTGCGCGCCACAGGCGTTGTATTGAATAATGTAGGGACTCTGACTTTTTGTTTCGAAAAACACTACTCGCAATCCACTCAAGCCCGATATATATACTTGAAGATTGAAACAACTGCTCCAAATACTCATTGACCTGCCCCAGATGCTAATACCGTGAACGCCCATCCAATTGTTTTATTTGAGCAACCTTCAACCCAAACCAGCGCCATGCTTAATGTGTAAGGGACTAGAATTAGGAAAGTATTGGTAACGAAAATCGTGCGCCATGCATTACAAAATCATAGGGTATTGAACCAAACGACTGTAGGAAGGGAAATTGAGGGAAATTAGGCAGTGCCTGGTGATATCGCGGGTGAATCGATGTGCTCCTTCGTCCCAGCTATTAAGGAGAAGGGTCCTCTTGGTTGACTAGCAGACGTGTTTATCGGTGCGGGTGCCGCTGGATTGGGAGAATTTTTGGGTGGCGTTCTGTCTCCGCCTTCGTCTTCTTCTTCGATGGGTGGACAGTAGGTCTTTAGAACGTGTTTTAGCGCGGGGCGTCGGATGGGTTTTGACAAGAAGAAGTCCATTCCAGACTCCATACATTGCTTAACGTTAGACTGGGGCGTTGTTAGCATCTTCTAGCTCAATCCGGTCGTTGCAAGTTCATACCTCTTCAGCGTAGGCGGTCAGGGCGACGATAGGGGCGCTGAACCCAGACTGTCGAATCAATCTTGTTGAGTCTAAGCCATCCATGTTCGGCATCTGTACGTCCATAAAGATCAGGTTGTACGGTTCCCCTGCCTCCATACTCTCTTTGACCCTGTCGAGAGCTTCTTGACCATCTTTCGCCACTGTTACGTCGTACACATCCTCTAGCTTGAGCATACGCATAACCACGATCTGATTGGTCGTGTTGTCTTCTGCCACAAGGACCTTGATCTTTTTGCCACCCTTAGTAGCTTCAGCCTCCACACGCTGCATCGCTGCTGCTTGTGAGTTCGGCGACTCTAAGGGAGCATTTGACGCAAAAAAGGGCTGGCTCAAGCCAACCAAGCGGGGTTGCGAGTCTTGCTCAAATGCGACCGGCCCTGCAGTTGTTCCAGCAGCAGCCACGTTTGCGTTCACGTTAACGACAGGAACAGGACTGGGTGCATTTCTGGTCGAGTGCCCCGAGCGAACGGAACGGGCATCCTCCCGTGAGGTAGCACGGGGCTCGTCGACAGAAGAGTTCCTTCGCGAGGTGGGGTCCACTTGCGAGCTTGCTGTACTGTCGGCGCGACTCGAGAGGTGCTTGAGCGGTATTGACATGGTGAAGACGCTACCATGGCCAACCTCACTCTTCAACCCAACAGTACCCTTCATTAAGGTAGCCAGCTGCGAGCAAATGCTCAATCCCAGACCAGTTCCGCCGTATTTCTTGCTAAGACCTAAATCACCTTGCACAAAGGGCTCGAAGATCTTGGCGTGAATGTCTTCAGGGATACCAGGTCCGGTATCCTCGACCTCAAATTCGAAAGATAACCATCGTCCAGGTGGGGGTGTGGCTGCCCGATCCGAAATCATAATGTGTGAATAGGCGGTTGGTTTCTCAAGTGCGTTGATGTGATTCGCCGTTGCGAAGCCATTTGGAGTTGTGGTTGACATTGATCCGACTTCCGAACTTGTCGCCCTGAAGCGGTTCTTCGAATTTCTCGCTGAACTTTGCCTAGAAGCCAGTGAAGCTTTTCTACTATCGGTCATATGCGCTTCTCCAGTACAGCGTATGGTCATCGTGACGTTGCCACCTTGAGGTGTGAACTTGAGACTGTTCGACACGAGATTGATCACCACCTGTAGGATTCGATGTTGGTCTCCGTAGAGGATCATGTCCTTGAGCCGTCCAAGTCCGAAGGGTCCCAGATCGCCAGCGTTGGTTGGTCGTCCATCGTCGTTCAAGTTGGCGTCGTAAGGTCCCTCGAAGCGCACGTTGAGGTTGATACCGCCCTCTTTCGCTTGTTTGTCGAAGATAGCCAAAACTTGTGAGCTAATGTCACGCAATCTAAACTCCTTTTCATCCAGACTCAGCTGCTGCCCAACCTGGTTCTTACTGAATGTCAGAAGATCCGTCAGAAGATTTAGAAGGAGATCGCCACTCTTGTAGATGATACCAAGGGATCTTCTGAGCTTCACGGGATCGTCTTCAGACATGCAGACTGCGCACATACCCAAGATGCCATTAAGCGGAGTCTTAAGTTCGTGCGAGATATTGGCGATAAACAAGGTCTTGCTCTCGTTTGCAGCTTCGGCGGCTTTTTTGCTCTCATTCAACTCAGCTGTGCGCTGCTGCACTCTCTCTTCTAGCCTCTCGTACTGCATCATGAGCTCGTCGGTCATCTCGTTGAATGTTGTAGTCAAGTCGGTCAGCTCATCGTGGATCAGGTGCTTGCGGTCCTTGACCTTCCCAGGAATGCGAAACTGCCGTCTTCTTTCGGCTTCCCTTTTTTCGGCTTTGTTGGCATTTTGATTCCGCCTAAAATGGATAATCTGGCCAAAGAAACCTTCTTTGCGCGCGAGGACTTCATCGTGATCATCGTTCGCACCATCGTTGCCGGAACTCAGGCTTACATCATCTTCGAAAAGATGGGGTGAAACTGTCTTCGTCGTAGCGTCTCGCAAGCGTCGAATAGGGCGACTTGAATAATGCGCGATTGGGAAGGTGAGAATCAGCATGGCACCCATGGTGCCAAACACACAGGCAATGATGACGTTTCGCAGTTGGTAGATAGGTGCCCACACTTCGCCATGAGTCTGCTCAACAATAACAACCCAGTCGACCATTGGACTGTTGACCACACCATAGCCAATTGCAACATCATCACCCTCTTCGTTGCGTGTAGAGATGATACTTCCGGCATTGTTGGTGGCCCCAGTATTTACGCTATAGGCTGTCTTGATAGCAGGGAATTCGGTCCAATCGAATGGAGGTAGATCGAGTCCAACGACGTGATTCCCGTGCCTTTTGACGCTGTCTCTGACCGTAGGAGGGACCAGAAAACGTACTTGAGCGTTTTCGGGTGGGTCGGGATTTGGGTCCTTGTAGAGGTATCCGGCTGGGAAGTGATTGGTGGCGTTATCAGGTCCAAAGAGCATCGTTAGACCACTGTCACCCAGACCCTCCAATTGATTGATGACATTAGTCAGGAGCGAAGCGTCCAGCACAGCCGTCAGCCAGCCGAGGGTTTCAATACTCGATGTATTGTTAATGATCGGTAAAGTGATTGACACCAGACTGAGGGTGTCGTTGACTCTGTACGGCCCAGAGAACAAGTAGCTGGCGTTGTTGATAGTTCTTCCCTCGAATTCGCCTTCGTATGTATTAAAGGTTGAGTTGTAGGGTATTGTTCTGACGTTGAACCTAGGGTACAGCTCTGGAACATAGCCGAAGGCTTCGTCGCCCAATTCTGCTGGTTGACCGTTGGCGTTGTTGAAGGGCAACTGCACACCAAACATGGTGTTGGCAGTGCGACTGAAAAGAATCTGGTTGGACGTGTTCCTGGGGTAGATCCGAGCCTGGATAGCAATGCGGTTCATCATGTCCCCTGTGAAGATAGCATCGTAGTCTTCGCGCGTTCGACTCCACACATCGTTCGAGGTGTTCCCGTTGTAGTAGCGTTGCAGAGCAGTCTGCGGAGAAAGGCGCTTCGAAGCTTGGGCAACGACAATCTGCATGAGGTTTAGATTCGACGACACCTGGGCTGCCTTGAGCGAGGCAGTCAAGTTGAGTCGCGTTGACCTGTAGTCGGTTCACGTTAGCCCAGAGCCGCACGGGCAAGCAGCGCACCGACCTGATGTTGAGCACGAAGTTGTGGTTCGTGACCCAGGTTGCAACAGCAACGACGGCCAAGCCGATCATGGACGCCAGCAGGACCAGACATCCCAGCTGTTCACGGATTGGAATCCGCATCTTGACCATTGCCTCGACACCAGACGGCTGGTGTGTGTCTGTGTCGGTCGGCAGGCGGTGGAGAGTCACAGCCGGAGCGGTGCGGAGGTCAGTCAGCGCACGCTACTCGCAAGCTGCAGCTGGAAGGCGCGGAAGGCGCGGGAGACGACGGGGTCGGGGAGCGAATGCGCGGCTGTGGGCATCCCATTCCTCGGTGCGGGCGCGGACAAGGCGGAGGCCGTGGTGGTGGGCACTGGAGATCTGGTGCACAGTAGGCGCACGGCGAGCGCGGCTAGGCCTGAAAGGGGGCAGGATCGGACAGCAGTCGCAACAGACGGGAGCGCGGACATGCGCAGAAGAAGGCGAGGAACGAGGGGACGAGCAGGGCGCTCTTGGGGCGGCGGCGGTGGAGAGAGACGGGGCGCAGGAGTCCCAAGGAACGGGGCCGGTAGTGGACTCGTTGGACGTGGAGTGCAGGCGAGCGACAAGACACCAGGCACGCCACGACGCGACTGCGTTGCTCTGCAGCCGAAAAGAAACGAGCTGCGCGGACCGCCGGCTGAGATTGGGGGCAGGCCGTTCAAGGCTAGTCGTCGCTTGCAGCCAGACACGGCCTGCCTGTGCTCCCATGCACAAAGTCTGTCAGCAGTCAGCAGCAGGCGCTGCCGCTGCCGCTCCAGTGCTTGCAGAGTGCATCTCGGGAGCACTGCTGAGTTGAGTCGCATGCCATTCTCGCAATTGCATGTCTCGCAGCAATCGCATCTGCGCGGCGCCGCAAATCTGCGGACGACTGGCCGCGACGCAGGATGGGTGGGCGTCCAGCTGCAGGCCCGTTTGTTTCGCGGGCGTCCCCACCTCTCCAGCAGATCGGCAGATTCGTCGCTGTATCGAGATTCTGGCCAGGAGAGTCGAGACCAACCGGCTTGCAAGGGCCCATGCCACGCCTGCCATTTCCGCGCCCTCCTCAAGACCCGACAAAGACAATGCGCTGCTTCGAGTTGTCGGCCAGAGGCAACCGCCATCCACATTCAGTGCAACGAGCGCCGGTTGCTCCTGCCCGCCAACGGCTGCTAGCTGCACACCACTGCACACCGCTGCACACCAGGCCAGTCGCTGACGGGCCGCGCCGCTGTCTGTGGTGGAAGACATCACTACTGGACGCACTATACACATCATCATGCCTTTAGTGCATTGGTGCTTCATCGACGTTTATGCGCCTGCTATGTTCCTGGCTTCATCTCGTCGGCGCCGCCAAGACACCGTTTGATGAGCATGTCTCGTTGCCGCGTCCATCCCAGACACGTTCGCCGTTGACGACTGTTCCCAGAGGCATGTCAATGTCTCACCCTCCCACCGCCCTCAGACTCAACCTGAGACTCATTGTTGCTGACAATGCTTGACTGTTGGTGTCTCAACGAAACCTCAGCCTGGCACACCTGCGTCACCTAAGCACAAGAACGCGCTGCTTCAGTCAACCGCTCAGGTACGTCAAATGAACATCATTGCTGTCTTAGTTGACAGTGAATCCTGCAGACGATCCACGGTGCCCTGACCGATGCTCCTGCACCAACGAGTTTGTCCGTGATCTCGTTGCGTCGTTATTGGAGTAGTGTCGCCCAAGCTTTTGCAGCTGTGTCAACGCTACCATCAGACTGCACACGACCTTCCCAATTCCATCTCTCTGCATTGTCAAGCCATCGCGATAGATAACCAGATCGCCGACTTCGCCTCCTCGTACAGCCAATGTTCCACGATCTGAGTACGTGAACCGCGCAATCACTAGATTCGAGTTCCTCTCGCTCAGCTCCAGCGAGATGGGCCACATCCCAAGTCGCCATTCGTATGCTTTGTTGTCGACAGTAACTGTCCAATCGGCGAAGTTGCGCGAGTCCATGTCGAATCTCGCAGTGAGACCACTGGGATCTATGTGATCGAAGTGAGCGCGCGGCCGCCAAGGCAAAGGTCCATTGTCGTCGAAAGAGATGGCTGCCAGTGTTCGCATGCGGCCATCGCCCGTATACAACACCTCCATCTCCGGCTTCCTCGAGAAGAGTCGGAAGGTATTTGTCGTGATTCGGTATGCTGAATTCGCAGATGGCCCGTACGACACCAGCATTTGGATTTTTCGATCGTATCGTCTCAGGTGGAATGTCCGATATGGTCCGTTGTGGTCGTCATCGTCGTACGCTGGAGCTGTTGAGGCCTCATAGTCAGGCAGCTCCTCGTCGTGCTCAAGATGATCATCATGTATGTCCAGGGCTTCGTCTAAACCAAGGCGGAGAAACTGCTGCTGCGCGTCCATGGCGGGCTTGCATGGCGGCTGGGCAGACTAGTCGAAGGGCTGTGGCATATATGTAGGCGTGGCGTGCATCTTACGGAAGCTCATAGCTCGGGTGAGGAGTGAGGAGGTATGACGACGATGATTTGACATAGCTGATGATGTCGCCTGTTAGTCAGCGATCTTTGACGCGTGAGAGCTTCCGTCTTTGGCAATATCTGCACTGCAGGCCAACAACTTCACACTGACCGACAACTCTAGACGCGTGTCAAACGCCTTCTAAGTATGCGCATTGATTTATCAGACATCGCGATCATACCATTCACGCGTCTATGTTGCTACATGAATGCTTCTGCCTCCGCACAGACTAGCGCAGCCCTAGCCGCATCCCTTTCTCCGGTCACATGCTTCTTCCCTGCACCATCCAAGGATCTCAACACTCGAAATAACCTACACGCGTATTCAGGAAGAAAGAACATGAGGCTCGTCTTGAGATGATTGCCAATCTCCACTTTCCGAATGTAGCTAGTTCCTCCGTATGGTCCGTATCCACACCCTAGTTCCGATCCTGCCAGCCCTGCAGGCGCAACGAGACGCGCTATGCGTCGCGCAAGCAGCAAAGCCACGAGTGGACTGTTGTCCCGATATCGCTTCATAGCTTGTTGGGCCAAGGGCGCTTCATACCGTTTCTCCTGGGCGATTATGGCGATGTGGGCGACCAGCCGTTGCGTACCAAGGCTGACATGTGCGTGATTGCGTTGGCAGGACTCGACGACGGGTAAAAGCAGAGTCTAGATGGTGGTCAAGACCGAAGATGGGCACAAAAGTAAAGCTTCAAGAACATGGTTGCTTAGACAATTTTGACACTGTTGGACAATATTGAGTCAAAAAGATTTAGGATGTTTGAGATTTGTGGCCGGTATTCCAATCGCAAGGTTCAATTGACGGCACTTCGCACGCCTGCCTCACTTGTGCGGATCCTACTAGGTATCCTACTTCTATGTCCTTCACGAATACTCGTCTTCGTCAAAGTTATTGAATGTCCAATGCTCGCGCAGCATCCATCGCTCGCGTCCAGACTCAGCGGCCTCGAGTGCATCAGCCTCGAGTGCATCAGCCTTGAGCTTCCTCTCACGTTGTTGCTTCACTTCATCATACTGATCTAACGGCACCCACCCTTCAGGCCCGACTCCGATCACATCCCTACAAGCCCGAACTTGCTCGTCTGCCTCGATCTGCGCGGCATTCATGCGTAAGCAGTCCTTGGCCTCTTCCTTTGAGAAGTCGATTGGGCAAAGGGGTCTTGCACCTTCATTTGTGCTCGTGTTCAATGTTGTGACGTCGGACCAGTTTTACCCCAACTTCTTCAGATCAGCTTCGGAATTGGTGTTGTCGCCTTCCTATGAAGAAGTGAAGTGATGATGTGCGGCACAGTCTGCAAGTATCTTTCTGGATTGTGTAGGTGCTCAGAAAGGAATACTTTCTGGTAGTCACATAGTTCTCGGCGCAGTCATTGGAATGGGTGACGCGGTCGACCGATTGCTATCAGGTATGTAACCTGTTTCTTAGCCCCAGCTATAAGAACAGCCGATGGATGTGCGACTGTGGAATGGTTAGGGAAGTTACCGGCCGAAAGGGCATCAAGGAAGCATAGCTGGCATGAGGATTCTCAATTGCATCAGTGACAAAGAATTGATACAGATATGGACCACGATCGACACTCAACTTCGGTCTCCTCCCATACCATGAGCTCAGTCTTGTATCTGGACCAACACCCGAGCGACTGTTGTTCGAGGCATTGGTGATAGAATCTTCAATCTTGCAGGCTTTCTCGTCCAGATTTTTTGTATAGTATAGACTACCGCTTGCCGTGAACGGAAGAGCGAATTACAGGTAGTCTAGCTGGACGAGTCGAGTGACTGCAGTAATTCTGGTATTCTCCAATACATCATACTAGACATCACCAAGGTTCGTCCCTGATACTAAAATCATGAATACATACATAGTGCCAGCTAGGTTCTCCAATGTGATGGAGTAATTGTAGGTCTTAGGAACGAGTATGCCGTTCATGCAGATAAAGTCCAGTGTTACAACCTTACTAGCGATGACTAGATGTTTTACTTTGGTAGTGGGATAAGTTGTTCGCTCGACAAGCTGAAAGCTATCATGTATCGTGATCTAAAACATTCGATGGAAGCCTCTTTCATCAAGCTTCTCGGATCGAGCCACATCTTCTACACTCCGGTTAACGACTGAGGCCGCACGATGCTTCAGTTCTGATACGTTGGAAGGCAACCTTCGTTCTGCAAGCTTCAGAGCGTTGTTTCAACTAAGTGTGTCGTCAGTATCATCGATGATTCCGATGGAAGTCAATCAACATCCATCAACCCGATGTATAATTGAATAGCTCTGAAGGTTGCTACCCAGGGCAATCCGCAACATTTTGTCATGAGGCTGCGAAGAAAGCCTTGGACCGCTCTTGGAAGTTTGGACGATTCAAGTCGGTAGAGGAATCTGTGAATCGAAAGATCTAGTGAGGCCCCTTTCTATTGCATCGATACTGTTGTCTCTGGTTGCTGTCTAGTGATGAATTAGACTTTGTACTCGGAAAGACTACCTATCGCCTCGGAAGTTCTTGTTGCATGGGTTAGGCATTGGCACCATTCTGTCCGATTCGTGCGTAAACTCTCAGGGGTGAAACTTTGTTGGAGCATTGTAAGGATCTTATTGATCTGTAAATGAGAGTTCGGTTTGTACTCGGAGGGTATGTGAGCGAAGGAGAGAGTATGGAGAGGCAACGCGCTGCACCTAAACACGTCCAACCAGCCAGCTATGCAGTATACAAACAGTGGTGAGGGAAGTTAACTTGTCATAACCCTTCTGTGCCTAGACGAGACTATCATTCTGCCTCCAGGTCAGTGACGCTTGGGATCTATAGGTTCCAGAGCATCGAGACCGCCGTACCCGAGGCCCCAAGTGTAGGCTCCGTAGTATCTTCCATAGTTCCTCATCCATACGGCCCTGTAACCTTTCACTGCAGCCTGGAAGTCTTTGAGTAGTTGCTCGGCCTTCTCCTTGTCATCTTCACGGGTCGAAGGAAAGTATTTAGCTTTGATGACGTTGAACCAAAATGTCGACTCGGCCGTGGCCATCAGCCCTAAGCCAGCATAGACAGTGAAACGTACGGCCGGTCGTGCCTCCTTGATTTGAGCCCACAGGCTGAAAGACGATGGTGGATTTTCTTGAGGCGAATCAACTTTGTGTGAGAAAAGGAGTCGTTGATTCGGTGGAGATCGAAACGCCGAGCATGGTAGGCTGTGCAGTCGGCGAGTTGGGAATCGTGAGGCTCTCTGCGCTGCTACCAGCATCTGAGCTGTACGAGACATGATGTTTGTGACTTGCAAGAGACGAAAACCGAGAAGGTTGAACAAAGTGTTTATGAAGAACCTACCAGGCAGTACTCACCACTTGCTTCTATACTCCAGCATCTCGCACTTTGTGTCTACAAGTCGGTGATGGTGTTACAGTCAGCCGCCAAGCTGCATCGTCCCTTTTCGGATGGAAAGGGCGAATTTGCGAAATCGACGCAATTTCCCACTAGCCTCGACGACGGGCGAAGAGTGCTCATGTGCGCCGGTGACGTCTGGGTCGCAACGAGATGCAAACGTGCGAACCCATGGTGTGGGCGTGGCAGCCGTGCCTGCAGCTCATGGCCGGCCAGTGGTCAAGTGACGGTTGTACCGTTGTTTGAAGCCTGCCAGCCACTCCTTTGTTCCCTGTTTGCTGGCGTGCAGCGCGGGGGAGCAACGAGCAGGGATACCGCGGCATGGCCATATCCACATCTATGTATCGTTTTGTTGATGGCCCACCCTTTTGCGTGCATCACTCAGGAACGCAAACAAGACTCCACACACCTTGGGGCACTCAGCGCTCAGCACTCAACACACCTACCACCTGTTTTCTTCGCGTCTCTCGACCCTATCGCTGTCGCCTTGAGTACTATGCCCACCTCAACCCACCTCGGCGCACCGCATCCAGCATCTACTATAAGCGCCCAAACCTTAATACTGCTGCCCGTTCTGGCAACCCCGCGGTAGCACAACAGCACGCATGGCGACCAGCAGCGCGGGCTACATTCCAGGGCCGCGCTGTTGCTGTGGTAGCAGCGACTGTGTCTTCCTCGCCCATAATGGCCGCCTGCTCGAGGGTCTCGAACGGGACGTGTCTAAAGCTGCGCAGCTCGGTCAAGTATGTCTACAATTACATGCTCTCCGCCCTGCTGTCCCCGTCTGGCTGCTGCTCCGCTGAGCGGTTATCCTCACCTCCGCGCCATGCCGCTGACCTTTGCACTGCAGGCTTTGCTCGTCCGACATGAGGCCTACGTCGCCGACTCGGAGCGCGAGCGCCGGCAGATGATGGCAACGATCGAACGCCTCGAAAACGAAAAGCTCGAACTCGAAGCCAAGAATGCGCAGACCATCAAGCAGAACCGCAACCTTCTGGACCAGCTAGAGCAGCTGAACGAGTCGATTGGCAGCTCAGACATTCATATTCAGGCCTTGCAGGATGCGCTGCGCTCGACCGAGGAGGAAATGCAACGACTGTCCTCTTTGGCTGCACGAACACAGCTACTAGAAGCTCAGCTATTCGATCTGGAAAGGGAGCAGTCACGACTGCAGCACAAACTGGACACCCGAACGATCGATGAGCGCACGGCCATACAACGCTGGCAAAAGGCCGAACGAACACTTGGCGATCTGCAGGACCAGATCGACCGCATCGAGCGGGAAGCCCGCGAAGAAAGGGAACGCCATGTTGAAGTTGTCGCACGCATGGAGCGGAGAATGGCAGTAGAGGGCGAGCTAGGCTCCGCGGCAGCACGACTCAAGGCAAAGGCTGGACAGGAAAAGAGCAGTAGTACTGTCGTCACCCACTTCGTCAAGGACATACTACATGATAACGCAAACTTGCAACATGGCATCCTGGAGCTTAGGGAGATGCTGGTTAATTCAAACGAGGAGGTCGAGCGCCTACGCGACCAGCTGAGGCTCCACCAACCTGTCTCACCGTCGCCTTCCCAGGAGATTCCCAGGTCAACACTAGACAAGGAGTTAGACCTGGAGACGGATACCGTCGAGCCTGTTGGAAGCCAGGAACTGCACATCCACCATCACTATCATGGGTCGAAACAAAACAAGCATCTACCAAAGATCGCGGCTCAACGAAAACACAACAAAAAGAAGCGTTTCAGTCTTACATCTGGCCACTTCGATCCTGCGCCGTCCCTAAAGCGGAACTCGACTGCCACCATTCTCTCTCAGACATCGGTGACTGTGCCTAACACACACCGCTGGTCGCAAGCGACAACACTCGGCCCTAGCTCTCTACCAAGTTCTCCAATCTCCGAGTCGCATCGCGGATCCATGCACGACCGTGTCTTCAGCGACGCAGCTTACGACTCTTCGAGACCAACCAGCCCTCCTGATTCTATTGATATCCAGTCGCCCATGTTCGGACCAACAAAGTCGGGCGACTTCTCTTTTGATCCAGACACAGTACCTCGTCAGCACCGCAGGAGCAGATCCCGGACTTTGAAGCCTCCAATAATTCTTTCGACAGTTCGCAATACTAGTAGCCCGATCGCCATGACTACTAAGAGTGCTGCCCATGCTGTGATCTCCGCTATCAGCAGCCCAGCTGGCTCATACACGAACGACGTGTTCGTCCTTTCTCCCACTCTCTCAATGAATCCTGAACCTCAAGCTGCGATACCCGAAGAGAACGAGGATGCCTCGATCTTCATGCCTGAAGACGCTGTAACAACTCCACCTGAGGAAACTGAAGACGACATTGATGCCATATCACCTGTTAGGCATTCACGACCTGCCCTACGTCGACATGCGTCCCATGAATCACTCATATCAATTTCCGGGATGGATATACATACATTGCAATCTCGCCCTGCACAACTCCTAATGACAGGTCGATCGCGCTTCACCGGCCCTCAAGGCGCTGGGTCAGTGGGCCCTGAGCTCACTCCGTGGACCGCTACCGCCCACGGCAGCCTCTCGCAGGGTAGAGCAGATAGTAGCGACAGTCGCTCATTCCTGTACTCGACCATCGCAAACCAGAGGGGTGGTCCACGTAAGAGCGACAACCCGTCAGATGGAAAGAGCTCTGGGGGCTGGTTCTTTGGCAAGTGGGGTGCTACTCCTACCTCGACAGCGCCTGCTGCATCATCGTCATTACGGCCGACCTCTTCAGACTCGCGCCAGACAGAGTCTTCACAAGACACCGCGAAGACAACAACGCTAGAGCCTACGGCTCTTAAGAAGAAAGGTCTTGCAAAACCCAAGTTACGACCAAGTGGTGTGAACCAGAACGGTCCGATCTGGGGTTTCTTCGACAACATACCTGAGACGCCCACAAAGGTCGTAGTGGTGGACTACGATGCTGAAGCGCTTGGAGAGGCACTCAATGATCGCAGCCCATCTCGTGTTGTAAGCGATGTCTGAGTTGTATGGTAATATCTCGACACTCGTTCGTATATTTTCTTGGATACCACATTTCCACTAATCTCTACTATCATTTAAATTTTCTTTGTTTTATTGGGATAGAGAAATGCGCTGCTTTGTCTTCAGATAGAAGAACGACAGGCGCGTATGGCAGACGATTTTGGTCTGAGGACGTTGACAGGCACTGTGGATGCCGAATGATGTTAATATACCCCGACACCGTACGGTAGTCTCTCATATGTATCGAACCACAGCGGAGCAACTAGAAGAAGATGTGCAATATACTGATACACAAGTCTGATACTCCATCCCGGTCATCCATTGCTTGTCGAGTTTGCGGGATGATCCGCAATGGATATGATAGTGGCGACATCCTAGTGAGGGATGTATGCAAGGAGAGAACGTTGACACCAGTCCCATTTTTGACCTTATTCATGTAGCGCTGCTCACTCAATCTTCAGCCTAACACAAAACTGATCCCGACCAAAAATTTGCGAGCCACATAGTCTAGGCAGTTGTAGTGTTCGAGATGCTCTATGAATCGCTATCACGCAATCAAAAGCTAGATTGGCGCATCCTCGGCGCTTCTCCATCCTCCGACACCCAACAGAAATGTCTTCCGAAGCTTGACACCCACAAGCACGGTAAAGAAGCTTCTTCTGGCATTGCCCTAGCTTTTTGAGCCTCACGGTCGCTACCCCAGTGGACGCCGCTCGCAGGCTCTCGCCGCTGGACGCGTGGAAATACGGAGCACGCAATATCTCGGCCCTTCTCGCAATCGGTACATTTCTTTAAAAAAACTAGGAGCATGCCCGTCGGAGCTGGTCGCACACGACCAAACTTCCACGGCGAAGATGACAATGTTAATGCGCCTCTGATTGATGCGACTGCTTCGCAAGGCCAGTACAATACGTTTTCAACAGGGACTTCCTCCGACGGCCCAATCAGCAACGCCACCTCATATTCATCGGGCAGGAGCCCCATCAACGGCACCATGAGTAAAACAGACCTCGATGTCGGCACCAACGTGTCCCATGGTGATGACCTCGAAGCTTCTTGGAGTCGACACCAGGACCATGAGGGCGACTTCGTTACGCAACTCGAAAACAACAGCCTCGCTCGAGGTCTGCGCCAACGCCATATTCAGATGATTGCCATCGCTGGAGCCATTGGAACGGGACTCTTCCTTGGACTTGGTGGCTCAATCCAGACTGGCGGTCCCCTGGGTGCACTCCTGGGCTACGCGACTGTTGGACTCATTGTGTGCGCAGTGCAATTCGCGCTGGGAGAAGTCGCCGCGCTGTTGCCGGTAACGGGTTCCTTTGTCAGACATGCCGAGTTCCTCGTTGACCCTGCGTTCGGCTTCGCAATCGGATTGAACATTGTATACGGCAATCTGCTTTCGGTACCCGCAGAGATCTCGGCTATTTGTGTCCTCTTTCAGTATTGGACTGATCTGAACCCTGCAGTATGGATCTGCATATTCATTGTCATCACCTTTGTGGTTGGCATTTCATTTGTGGGGATCTATGGAGAAATCGAGTTCTTCTTCGCTTGTTTGAAGATCCTCCTTGTTGTCTTCCTGATCATCTTTGGTCTGGTCATCGATCTTGGTGGTATTCCAGGACAGGAACGGATTGGCTTCAGGTACTGGAAGCAGCCAGGTCCATTCGTTGAATTTGTCACTACGGGGCCATGGGGCCAATTCCTTGGATATTGGGCCGTCATGACGAATGCCGTCTTCAGCTTCGCGGGCGTTGAGAGTCTAGCAATGGCTGCTGCTGAAACGCAGAACCCGCGCCGAAACATCCCAAAGGCCTGTAAGAAGGTCTTCGCCCGTGTCTTGATTTTCTACATTCTAGCAGGTATGTTGAGCTCTCCTGGGTGTATAGATATTGCTCTAACGACATTTAGTTCTTATCGTTGGTATGATTGTGGCCTCTGACGACCCCCGCCTGAATGACCAGTCTGGCGACGCAACACAGAGTCCCTTCGTAATCGTCGCTTCAGCCGCTGGCATCAAAGCAATTCCCTCAGTCGTCAACGCTGTTGTGATTACCTCTGCCTGGTCTTCGTCCAACCAAGCTCTTCTCTCCGGTACCCGTGTTCTCTACGGTCTCGCCATCAAAGGACAGGCGCCCAAGATTTTCCTCCGCACATCTGCCTGGGGCGTGCCATACGTATGCGTATGCTTCAACACATGCTTCATGTTCCTCGCCTTCATGGCCCTCTCGAGCAACGCTATGACAGTCTTCTGGTGGCTCGTTGATCTTACAGCTGCTGGTGTCCTCGTATCCTGGTCCTCGATCTTGTTCAACCACATCCGTCTTACCCAAGCAATGAAGAAACAAGGCATATCGCGCACCGAGTTACCATTCTACAATAGCTGGACCCCGTATTCGTCGCCGGTCGCGCTGTTCATGTGCTTGACCATCCTACTTACTGGTGGCTTTTCGGTGTTCACGAAAGGTGGATGGTCAACAAGCAGTTTCGTGTCATCGTATTTGGACATTCCACTTGTAATTGCTGCCTTCTTGCTGTGGAAATTCATCAAGGGGACAAAGTTTGTGGATCTGACTGAAGTGCCGATCAGAGCTGCACTTGAGCAGGTTGCATTGAATCCTGAACCCTTGGAGCCAAAGTCTACAGGGTGGAGAAAGGCCGTCAACTTCTTGTGGGACTGAGTGCTTTGACTTAGCGATCTTTGAGTATAGAAAGTGCTTTATCCAAAGTTTCACAACCACTCTATTCACGACTAATTTTGAGGACTGACTTTTGAGATTCCTAACGGGGTGCCACACCAATATCCGGGGTCACATGACAGCCACATCGTAAATTCAAGATTCGTACTCGAGAAAGCTGACTAGCTATCAGCGACCTTGGAATTCAAATATTTGAAGGTCTGAAGGCTGCTTGCGATTTATCAATGAAGGGCCTCGACATTTCATCTTAGTCGTGATCAGCACTAGGTATAGGTGCTAGTCATTATGCTGTCATCGGCACGGCTGGGGCAACTGCAGTCTTGTAATAGGCGACGCGTCTACAGCTGCAGCGCATCACCTGTCTTTCTCGTAAAAAGCAAGCCTTGTGACCCGTCGTTCCCATCGTAGCTTTTTGTGTACGTCTCTACGAGGTTGCCTGACGTGGTATTTGGGTGACGCCCGATGACGTGCCAGCAAACACGAGACAGCCACACAAGTTGTAGGCAATAGGCAAAGGAGCTGCACATCAATAACGTTTCATCATTGAACTTTGTCGTCACCTTACATTGATACGGAATATGTCATCTTAGCTGCCTACAAACTCTAATATCACATAGCGTGCAGACGATCTACTGCTAGGCAGCCATGCAACAACAGCGACAACAGGAGCCGGCTCTAGTCGACGAGTTCGAGATCGGACTTGACCGAGCCAAGATCACGAAGTCTGCGCAGATCCAACTACCAGAGTCACATGAAACAGAGAAGCAGGGCACAGAGTCTGATTCGGAGTCAGACAGTCCACGCTCGCCGTCTCATAATCTCGTTGAATCGATCAAGTTTAAGAAGCACAAAGCTGGCATCAAGATCAGAAAGAAACTTCATATTGGGAGGGCCTCAGATGACTTCGATCTTACTACGACAGCCATCGCAGGGCGACATGACGCATCACAGTCACGGTATGTGACCGACGCACCAGAGCCTGACCGCACCACATTCAAGGACTTCGTCCACAATCCTATCGATAGTGTTAGAGCGAAAGTGGCAGAGCACAGTAATCAGCAGTTTGCAGGACAGATGACAGCGAAAGAGATACCCCATAGCAACGAGGTCGATCTCCTCCAGGCTTCAGAAGCAGTTGAGGCTGCAAACACCGATGCACAAAGGTTGCTTGCGATACAAGACCTCTCCAAGCTGATGAAAGAGCGCCAAGCTACTTATGCACGATGGACTATCGATCGCCACATAACAAAGGTCAGGCTTTTGCCGCGCGAAGAAATGAAGTTGAAGTCAAGGTCAGACTTTGAGAAGTACAGTCCGCAGGAAGGCCTAGTCATCGATTGGAGAGCATATGGGCAACATGTATGTTTGGGCTCGACCACCTCACTTCAGGGTCTTCTAACTAGCAATAGTTGCTTGTGTACTACGCACATCAGTATGGAGGACAGTATATCGGCTACGGTTCAGATCTACCAGCACCTTCCAAGCACACGATCATGCCGAACATCGAGCGTTTTTTGATTGCCTCATCGCCGCTGCAAGAGCTCATAATGACATCGCGAAGAGTTTACCGGTGGGAACAGCCGTCGAAAACGGCCAAGTACCTGTTGGTATATTCTGTTCTCTGGTACTTCAACATGTTACTTTCTGGCTGCGTAAGTTTAGATAAGTGCCGGGAAGGTGGAACAATTCGCTGACTTGTACAGTTAGCAGCATTTGTGTATCTTGTGATCGAGCGTCGTTCACACGGGAATACCATGCAGGATTTACGCGAAGACATCAAACATCGAGAGGATCAGCGCACGACGGCTTTATCGCTAACAGAACTAATCGTGAAAGAAGGCGACGAACAATGGTCGCAAGATCTCATTGATGGGCTGGGCCCGTGGTTCATGGTCCAACTTGCTGACTTGGCAAATTTCTTTGAGACTATGCGCAAGTATGTTGTCTGCATATCACATGGTATTTGTGAAGCTGATCGGTCTATAGCTTTTACGAATGGCGTGTTCCTCACCGGACAATACGTATGCTGATTCTTCTCATCGCTATTACGCTCGTCACGGCACTGGTCCCGATCTGGTTATTCGTCAAAACTATAACATTCTCCATGGGCTTCACATTCTTCGCGCTTTACCCAATTGCGGTCAATTTCCCCGAGTACAGGCTACTGGTTTCGCCTACGAAGCGTTTCCTGTGGAACATCCCAACACATGGTAGGTCCAACATTGCTTGGTGAGAGAAATCCCCTGACGCTGTCTTAGGCGAGTGGGCTATTAAGTACATACAAGCTGAGGGAATTCGTCTTGCCCAATCTTCTGAGCCTGTCGCATCTGGTCCGGCACAGCTTTCTCCCACGTTTGATCCTGCCCATGATCACAACAGCTATACTGCGCACTACAAAAAGATTACCGGGCGTCTCATCGTGAGCGCTGGAGGAGTTCGTTTTGTCTCAAACTTAGGACACAGCATCTCATGGTCTATCAGGTATGATGAACTCCAGCGGTTCGAGAAGGAAGAGCGCGTTGTTGAAAAAGAAATTCCAAGTAAGCTGCAGTGGGACTCTGGTCAAGATCTGAAATTTGTTAGCAAAGATGGGAGAGAGTACCTCCTCAAACAGGTGGACAAGCGAAATGAGGCATTCTCCCAAGTTGTCGGCTTTTCCAATATCATTTGGCAGGTCGTTTGGTGAGGCTACGCTTCGCCGCGGTTTACCTGAATCGGAACGCACCTAAATGACCCACAATTCACTCTTGGCTTACCCCACTCTTTGCATCTCATGGTTACACTATCTCCGATATCGTTGGCGGAAAACAACCACCCATGCTAAGCAGCGATAAGACTTAGACGCGGCTGCTTGGCCACGCCACGGCTGCACGCTTTTAAAAGCAATGCGCGCCGTATACAGGCTTGAAAGATAATTCATCGGTTCGTCTTCGGAAAGTACAGGACATCATGGCAAGTCCATCACCCGAGCAGGAAGTCGCCCCTGCGGGCGACCAGCACAGCGATGACATCGCGAAACGCGTCTTGCGCAAAATTGACTGGCGACTGATTCCGCTCATGTTCATCACGTACAACTTGAACTTCATGGACAAAACTATCCTGTCTTCAGCCTCAGTATTTGGCTTGCGAAAAGACAATGTACGTTGTGCTCACTTCGCCGTCGCTGCCTCGAATCTCGAACTGACAGCCTGCAGCACTTGGAGGGCCAACAATACTCTTGGGTTTCTAGCGTCTTTTACTTTGGATACTTTTTCTGGGAATATCCTACCACCTTTCTCATCACTCGACTCCCAGTGGCGAAGTACCTGGCTGCGAACACGTTCGTCTGGGGTATTGTTGTGGCTCTCACAGCAGTCTGCTCCAACTATGGCGGCTTGATCACTGTCCGATTTTTCCTTGGTGTGGCTGAAGCCACCATCACTCCAGCTTTCCTATTCATCACAAGTACCTGGTAAGCTTTCACACCAACTCTGCGAGGCTAATCATGTTTGGGGCTGACGAATACTCCTAGGTACACACGAGACGAGATTCCCACTCGCACAGGCTTGTGGTTTGCTGGCAACTCTGTCGGCGGCCTCGTCGCTTCCTTCCTTGCGTATGGCCTAGGTCATGTCGAGAACTCGCTTGCACCCTGGATCTGGATGTACATCATTCTCGGATCGCTAACCTTTCTTTGGGGTATCCCCATGCTTCTCTTCCTACCGGACAGTATTGCAACGGCCAAGTTCCTGACAGAGGAGGAACGTGAAGTCGCAGCACGACGTGTAGTCCTTGCAGGTACCGGAAGAACTGACAACACTAGGTGGAAGCTCGACCAAGCCCTAGAGTGCCTTCGAGACCCTAAAACATGGATAATCTTCTCCATGAGTCTGCTCACTCAGATACCCAACGGTGGCACCCAGAATTTTGGTAACCTTGTCATCAAGAGCTTTGGCTTCACAAGCCTGCAATCCACCCTTCTAGTCATTCCAGCCTCTGTGATCGCAGCAAGCACAATCGCTGGCACAGGGTGGGTAGCCGGTCGTTTCCGCCAGATGAACTGCATCCTCATCATCTGTGTCGTTGTACCCGCCGTGGTGGGCTGCTCGCTGATCTACGTCCGCCCAAAGACCTCTTCTGGCGTCCAGCTCTTCGGCTACTTCCTGCTCTCCACCGGTCCCGGCGCAATCCCACTACTCATGTCCCTCGTAGGCGCAAACTACAAGGGCGTGACCAAGAAAATGACAATGACGGCGATGCTGTTCATCGCTTACTGCGCTGGTAACATCGCCGGACCGCAGTTCTTTCGTGCGGCGGAAGAACCTCATTACAACACTGCGTTCAGAGCAATTCTGGTGTGCTACTGCTTGGTTATCGGACTTGCTGTCGTGCTGAGGTGTTATTTGCAGTGGTTGAATGCGAAGAGGGAGAGGGAAGAGGGCGTCAAGGGTGATGCAGGGTCTTCCGGGGTGATAGCTGGCAAGGTTCTTGATGAGTCAGAGCAAAGCGCTAGAGTTACTGAGGTCGATTTGCAAGTCGAGGGGTTGGACGATGTCACCGATTGGGAGACATTTGGCTTCAGATATCGTCTGTAAGTGATTGGTCATGCGCCAATATGTCGAATATCATAGCACGTCAAAAGTCTGAGTAAGAAATGTAATGTGGTCTTCAAGTAACGTCTTCTCAACTGAAGATTTGGTTCTCAGTCTGACAAACGTTCAAGTTATCATTAGACATTGTAGCTACCACCTACTCTCACAACTCACTAGCGGTGATTCCACCGCGACCATGCGACAACACAATTCACCAAATACCACTCATCATACCCGTCAGTAACGCATCAACATTACCAAAGTTCGCCCACCTAAAACCTCTCCTTCCTCATACTAAGCCATCAGACTTCCATATAAGCTTAGACAGCCTCTTCCGGTACAGTAGCGGGCACAGGACCAACACCATGCTCCTTCTCGACACCCACGGCATCAGAGCCCCTGAAGCGCTGTACATCCCAGAGCCTCGCCTCGAGCAGCGTACCAACAAGGCTTGTAAAGCTGCCTCGAATCAGCGACCATGGACCTCAACAAAGTCAAGACTAGGGAAGGAGCGACTTACAAAGCGATAAACGCAAACGCCTCCAGTGTCCGCTTCAGACTGCACTTGTTCACGAAGCGAGGCGAGTTCACAGCACAGCCGCCGTTGTACTCGTAATCCTGCGCCGCGAAGATGAAGGCCGTGAGCCAGAGGTACGACACCACCCAGGCGAGCGGGGCGAGGTAGCCCTTGTACGACTTGATCAATGGCAGAACCAGCGCGGGGATGTAGAGGAAAGTGTCAATGGCAGCCTTGTCACGTGTTAGTAGCTGGGCGAGGGCGAGGGATGTGGTGTGAAGGGTGACGTACAAGGGCGACCCAGTAGCGGAGGTGCGTGTTGTGGGTGTACTCGTTGATGAAGTAGGCAGAAATGCCGAGGACGATGATGGAAGAGATAATGTGCAAGACGTGGTTTGCTGCGAGGAGGGGACGGAGCAGTTTGTTTGCGCGAGGGGTAGGAGCGCCGTAGTCGTTTCCATGCTCTGCTACTGCGTTGTTGCGACGTCCGAACCTCATCATTGCAGTGTGATTGGACAGTGTTCGTGTTGGTGTTAGTTCTAGTGAAGAAGGGGAATTATGTGTTAGCTTGAGAGACGCTTGCGTTTGTACTGGAAGTTGCGTATTCAAGCTGCGACGAATACCCCCTCTTATATCTCCTTCCCAGCCATCGAACAACCCCTCACGGCACTGCACCTCATCAACACAACGTCGTCACACCCCCCAAGCAAGGAAAGTACCGCTTCCAGCCACAGACCCCCTGCGTGTATCACCAGACTTACTCACCATTATTCCATTATGTCGAGTCCATCCTGCGGCTCTCGACCAATCGAAATGCACCTGAAAATGTTTTGTTGAAAAAGAAACTTAAGACGAACGTCAGGATGCGCCAAATCGGCTCCATCCGGATGCCGTGGTAAGCATGTGGTGCGAAATGCAGGGATGCCGGAGCGTTTTGAGCCACACAAACTCTTAACACAAAGCTTGGCAACGTCGATCAATACCACAACACTGGGACGCCGAACAGTGTCAGCATTATCGTTGATCAATAAGGCTACGAAAAGCCATCCACGGCTGTGGCGTGACGTGTTGGCTCAGGGCCTATGTGTCGTGGCTGCAAAGGATCTGTGAGCCAACCGGGGCTTGCATCATGCTCAGTCACGACCATGGTCAATGGAAGCGGTAACATACTTCCTCAAGTACTTCGTAAAGCAAGTTCCGCCCCAAGACGCTTCTGCAGGCGTCGGCACCAGGATCTTGTGGCCATGGAAGCACCTTTTTTGTAGCCAATCAACAAGGTTCAGCATCCATGCGTTGGCAGGAAACATCCGTGACAACGAACGGTAGAAGTTAGAACGTCATTATTACGTCCAGCTGTCTGTTTGGATCACGAGTCAACAACAGTTGTGCCAACAGTCCTTGGCAAGACCATATCACAGGATCCAAGTGCACGATGCTGACATACGCACAGCGAGTCGGGGCCTCTAGGAGAATGATGCGATGTCGAAGATTGGCCAAACCTTACTGTATACATACATTGCGCACCGGCATTATGCATCGGTCCAATGTGGGTGGATTTTGTGGTGCAGTCCCATAAGCACAACGACGCAACATTCACATGATCGAAATTTTAGTTGTGAGGTGCATAACTGAGCACATCAGCAGAAGCGGTGAGACGAAATCCCCAACGATCAATTATGCCTGTGGGAAGATGCCTGGCATTGACTGAGGCCGGCTCGCGTACTGGAATCAGGAAGCTTATCTTACCTGTACCAAGCGGTGGATTTGTTCTAATTCCGACATTGACCCTGCAAAACGATGATTTCCTTGATGTCAATGTACAGTACTCCCTGGACATATCCATCACTATCGACGTGAGCTTCATACTGCGCACTGAGCAGTGTAGCGACAACGGAGTCGCATTCGCAGGCGATACCGAATCCATGATGCAGGGATACAATCACTAAGCTGCTTATAAGGTTCTCGTTCAATGTTTTGCCGTAAAAGACGGTGTCAAATGTGTGTGAACTCCGACCCTGCTTTCGGCACTGGTCAACACGAAACGGTTTAAGACGAGGCTGCAGAAGCACAGCTTCACTCACCGCTAGCATAGGAAACTCTCCGAACAACCCCTGTAATTTGGCCTGTTGGCCAGATCTGTAAGTACGTGAAGGCACTTATTCAGTCGCCGTCTAGATACTCATATGACCTTTAAAAGCGGAGTCTGTCATTCAGAAGGTGCTGATCGACTGTTCTGTGACTCCAATCAAGGATGTAGAAACAAACCGACATTGAGTAAGCAATCTGGCCTTCATCATAGCATTGATACCGATGTAGACGTCCTGAGTGTCTGACTTGGCCAACAGCGGTCTTGACACTGCAATCGTGCTCGTTGAACCGCAACAACGCCGATACATGAGCCTGTTGCCACCAAAAATAAAGTCTGAAACGCAAGGTCTTATCTCGGACCTACCAAACTTTAATTGATGTCTCACTTGTTGATTATTCGGGTTGTTCGAGGGTAGAACGCCACGTCAGTAGGGTCGTCCGGGGACGTGGGTGGCCGAAGTGATACCAGCATCCTTGGTATTCGAGATATCTAGCAATGGTGCCTGCACTACTGTCGAGGCGCGACGTGGAAATGCGATGAGGAGAGTAGGTGGGTCTGGAGACCTGGGCGTTCCCCGCCTGACACAGCGTCTGAAGGCAAGGTCCTGCATGTTGACTCTTGTAATCTTTCATACGTATAGCAGGCACTATGACCAGAAACAGGGTCTGCGCCATTCGAGGTGACAGCAAGGGGCTATGGGAACAGCGGTTGTGTGAAACTGTGTTGGCAAAGAGGTACGGTATGCATGCTCGAAGGTTTTCGTTACCGTGTGGTCGGGCCATCACTCGTAATGCTTCCCGGTGTTGTATGTGAGGCATCATCTGCTGGGTGGTTTGAGCAACGTTGCTGGACTCTGCCCCGGCTGGAGCTTTAGTCAAAGGCAGATGCCGCCCGTGAGCGTACAGGTCGCGCGTTCGCCGTCTGCAATGTTGGAGGCGGTATGCAGGGGTGAACTGGAGAGGAACTGAGGAAGAGTCTGAGAGTATCATGGAGTATCAGAAGGCGCTACGATGCAGAAGCGTAAACGAGGAAGCTGCGATGCGTTGGCTGCGGGCAAGCTCCACCATCCTGACCATATCGTGACTCCCAATCCTACGACCCAACAATTGACGATCCGACTCATGCGCCTTAGCAGCGCACGATGTTTTGCTGCCGGAGCCTCCATCGCTGGCGTGAGTCATGTAGATGTGGTCGGTAACTTTATATCTGTTTTCCGCCTCAATAAATTCGACGCTCTTGCCGCCATGGTCCAGACTGCTTCGTTGGTCCCGTTCCACGAGACAGATCCCATCGCGGCCACTTTATCTGTCTCGGAAAGCTGCGATACTACTCGACAGATCTTGGGTTCTGGAAGACTTATTATAAATTCACCAGGGGCGTCTTTGGTGCCTGTGGTGTTACCGACACCAAGGGACTGAAGGCATTGTGAATGCGGCATCAACTTCTTTATTTCTCCCTCTGTGCCCTCTCCTATTTAGTGGGCTCTTAAGTGAAGTAGTCCATATTCGTGCTTCGTCTTCGCAGGCGCTAACACTTTCAACGATTCGTTACCTTGATTGGATCTTATCGAGCAGGCTTTTGGACAGTTCAGAGCATGTCTTGAAGTATGGCTACTGATAGTACCCTCTCGTGATGGCTAGCGAAAGGCAGATTGCGATGCCCTGACCAGCTACCTCAGTGCCTACACACGCCAGGCTGCATCATGGTGCAGGCGCGGCATACATACAGCAAGTCGGAGTCTGCGGGATATGGTCGCACTGTTGAATGTAGATTGGCCAAGTTTGAATAAATGCTTGTGGCTAATTGAGTGGGTATCATGTGTCGCTGACATGCAGGGTCGATTTGTAGACGGGACGCGATCTCTGCACCAGCCAATCGTCACGCTTTGGAAAGCTTTTGCCTCTGCAAACCTGCGTACAGTCGCAACCTGATAGTATGCATCCTTCCCCGCAGGAATGCAGCTGTTGATTGATCCTTTGATCGATCGATCGGACTACGATAGCGTGACTTCAAGTGGGAGACGGGTCGGACGGTACCACGACTAGCACCGGAGAAAAAGTCCTAACGAATTATTAGCCCGTGTCGGTATTTGGTGCATTGAAGTACATGAGCGTATAACTCGTATCAGGTAAATTGAGAAGATATGGAATTGCTGGTGTTTGGAAGCATCGTTCCTGCAACCCTATGCTCACATGGTGTGCACCGGGGAGGAACTAAGATGGCCCCAGCTTGGTCATCACAGAATCGGCGGGAAAACAGGGATGTACTTACTGAGCGTGCGGCGCCAGCGCAGGAGGGCTCATGTAGCGTCAGCTTATGAAAGACCTGATCTGCATTGAGAAGGAGACGAGCATAGGCAGACACCGTCTGTGCATACAATCTGAAGGGGTGGCTCTTCTTGCCATGTGAAGACAAATTACGGTGGTGTACCTGCATTCAGCGAAGGCAACCATGCGGCTTGTCTGTACGTCTAGCATGGTCGGTGTAAGCTATTGTCTAAGGAACACCCGAGCCTATGGGAAAACAATGCTTCCAGCGTGTTGGGAGAGCATACATGCACCCGTGCCGTGTCCGTGCCTAGAGCGATGGCTCTGGCCACGAAACACGACCAGAAATGCAATTTAGGGCCAGATTGGTGTCTATGATCGACGAGTGGAGTGGGAGGTTCTTGCAACATCGCCTTGTAGCGAGACACAGCCACGGCGCAGCCGGTCCGTATGCTTCCTGGGCACCGGCGGGTCCACGCAAATCAGGACCTAAGCCAGATGATTGGTGCATACAATGATTCAGGGTTCTCGGACGGTGCTGAGATAGAGTTCGCCGGCTCCCGACTTCCGAAGTCGTGTGCAAACGGATTGCTGCATCTGGCTGAACTGCGTGCCTGGTGGATCTGCTGGAGACTGACCGGAGAAAGAATAGCCCCTACACGTGCTTTGACCCTGAGTTCTCCACACCTTGTTCCATTAGACTGGCTATAGGTGGCGGAGGATAGCGCGTCGGCGAATCGAAGCCTCGGAAGTGATTTCTGTAGAGCTGGGTCGCCGACAAACACTGACCGGTGCTATGTTGGCGGGTTGCTGGTGTCAGATAGACGAGATAGCGTCGTAGGCTTTCGCTGCTGACGAAGGCGAGCAGGCCGAGAAAGCACCGCCACCTTGCCGCACAGCAGCAAGTCGCCAACCTCTGCCCCGCCAGTAAGTGTTGCGGACATGACGCGCCGAAGGATGCTGCAGGAGCAGGAACTGGAATGATGAAGCGAGGCGGGAGCAGCGGTGTTCGGTCGAAGGGTGCGCGCCAATTTCTTCCAGAGGATTGGGCCCGCCGAGCCAGTTCCCGAGGCTCCTGCTTTACGGAATCCCCCCGCCGGTCGGCGCCAAACTCCTGCTCGTCGCGCAGATGAATCATGTTAGAGTTTTAGCCCCCAACAACTCCTTCATGTTTATTACCTACGTCGTGGGATCAGCATGGCCACTTGAATGGAGGCTACATCATATTGGGTATATACCTCGTACGCTTTAGTTACTCGTTCTCGCTCTGGAGGTGACCTACTGCTCGATGCAGTAGAATCTCCGTGTACCGGTATGTTTTGCAGCCTGCAGTGGGCAGTCAGCCTAGAAAGGCCGAGCGTTCCACATACCTCACGTTGTGCCAATTATGTGCTTGCATCCACTGCCGGAATACACAATGGTGGAGCACACGTTCTTGTTGCCGGGACGTTGAAACTCGACGCGTGGCAATGACATATGCACATAATAGCAATGTCGAGTCGTGGCAGGTTGACGTACAGTTTTGTGGCGGCAATGTTCAGGGACAGAGGCGGAGATCTACAACGCTTTCGCGTGCAGGGTGTAAATCGCTTGTCAAATCAGGAGACGGCGGGGCAGATGTCGCTTCGTGTGGTTGACGAGTTGAAGGCAGATATTATATATACTTTGACAAGAATGTTCATACACCGAAAGGTGTGATGCTTCGCCTAGCAGAATGTAGGCCTAGAGATCACTACAGAACAAGAATAACGCGGCGAGGGCGCCCAAGCAAACCGCCGTAAATTTGAGAAAGCCCCGCGGAGATGCGTAAACGCTGAGACATCCAACCTGGGCGTGAAGAGGCAAAGTCGCTCTTGATACGAGATGTTGAAATGCATGGAAAGAGAATAACTGCCTGAAGCACAGCCTCGTTACAAGTCGTTCAGATGTCGTCGTAGCGAAACCAAGGTATCATGTTCCCAAGCATGACCAAACGCCGAATATGATGTGGTTACCGAAAGACTCCGATGACTTTTCGTCGCAAAGAGCGCCACAAGATTGAGATGAGTGATGCTCGAGTAAAAGGATGAGCCCATATTGCGGAAACATGCAGTGTGTTGTACAACATCATCCTGCACGATCACAGGCTCGATTTTCGTGCGACCCATTCTTAGCGTGTAGAACGGGTGCACTTTTGGGGCTGACGGTACGCTCCCGGAATATGGAATGTGCGTAAAGCCGGGGCGACTGTCGAGAGTTGCTGACCGGTCTCTCGAGAGTCGCATGTAGACCGAAACAACAAACGCAGGAATGCAATGCGGTCCAGGTTGTCGAAGGTGTTGGCCAGAGCGGAGTCGTGGCGGGCGAACACAGTCGGAAATAGCAACGGCGTTATTGGCATTACAAGCGCAATTTTAGCAGACTGAGATGCTACTGCTGGGGTCGGCGGGCAGTCCAGATATGACTGTGGAGCAAGGGATCAGTATTGGCTCGTAACCCCAATGAATTGGTACAACGGCAGACAAAAATACAGTGACTTACATGTTGTTGTACGCATGGATCTTGCGATTGCAGATCTCCTTCTTGACGCCGTCAAGGAGTGGTTTGACGTGGGCGTTGAGGTCCCACTGGTAGACGCGGGTGAGAGGGGCAAATGACAGTGCGTCCAGTCCCTCGGTGATGCCTAGGTTGTACCACCTGCCAATGTCTTTTTGGTGAGGATCATTGGGCCACGAGTTGTAAGGAACACGAATCACGGTTTCCTGGATGTCGATGAAGCCGGCGGCCTGCAGGTTCTCGCGCGTCCGGTGGTCGTATGCGATTGGGCGCGAGACTCGCCATGTCGCGTCTGCGAGGTAGCCGTACCACTGGACCAGCTTGCCCTTGGGATCGAGGGTGCCGTCGTCGCAGCGCGGCTGCATGTCGATTTCAACGTGCTCTATCCAGCCGCTGCCGGGCTTCAGGTGTCTGCGGGGGTTAGTCTCGATCGAGCAGGCACAAAGGGCAGCGTACGCAAAAACTTTCTGGTACAGCTCTGGCCAGCTCGAGACGCTGCCGCAGGCCAATCGCAGGTGGATCAGGTCCCAGGAGTCCTCGCCTAGCGTCCACGGGCTCTCGTAGTCGCGTGGTACACGGAAACGCAGATTCGGGGGGATTCTGCATGGGCGCAAAAATTAGTGCGTGTGCCGGCAGACAGGTGCAAGGGTGGACACATACCGTTCCGGCTGGATGTTGACCAGATCTAAGCCCAAAACCTGCACAAGTTCCGTCAGCTGTCGGTCTCATAGCGCACTGCAGCACCGCGGGTCACGCACCTCGGCGTTCAGGAATTTGCTGCACACGCGGTTAGCCTCGCACAGCACAGCACAGCTGCAGGCGCAGAGCGCGACTTACTCGGCCATGTCTATCGCCCAGATGCCGGTGCCGGTGCCCAGGTCGAGAATGCGAGTTTCTCCGTGCTGTGGCACGGGGGCCTGGTGCAGCATGTCGCGCCGTGCGACGCAGAACAGCTTGTGGTAGATGTCCATGCGGTCTTTCTCAGGCTGCAATGCACGTTAGAGCGGCGTGTGGCAGGGCGGCGGGCGGCTCACCTCGTCGCACGGATATTGGTAGATGCCTCTCCGGTAGCCGTGGTAGTAGCGGCCATTCTCGAGGTAGTTGCTATTATGGGCGGGCACGGGCAATCTGCGGCTCAGTCAGTGCTCGCTCGTCGCCGTGGTTTAGGCTGGCCGGGCGCTGCGGCGCTGCGGCGCGGGCTGCGCGGGCGCCAGCGCGGGCCCGGCGGTCGCACGGAGCGGGGAGGAGCAGTGCACTCACCCATTCGATGCCATTGTGACCATTGGGGCGATGTTGAGCAGCAAACAGGCCGCGTGGGCGGGCAGCGTCGACTAATATACCGCCTGGTCAGCCGGGCGGGGAACTGGTGCCGTGCGTGAGGGCGCGCTGGTCATAAGACGCGCGCGCAGGCGGCTGCTCGTCGCTGCGGCCGGCGGCAGGATGCAGGTGGCGGGAGGCAGCAGCGGGCGAGGCCGAGGCGAGGCCAAGGGCAACGTGCTGGGGGCTCTCTGCTCTCTGCTCGGCGCTGCGTGCGGGTGCGGGCGGTGCTGGCGGTGCGGCGGTGCTGGTGGTGCGCGTGCTGGTGCGGGCGCGGGCGTGGTGCTGCGTGCTGGTGCTGCGTGCTGGTACTGGTGCTGGCAGGCGATGCGTGCGAGTAGGTCGTTTATTAGTCGAGCACCTGCTGGCAGGGCGGCCGGGATTCACTCAGTCATCAGGGCAGGAGCGATGCGGGAGGGTTATTTAAGACAGCACCCGCACGCCCCCTGCACCGACGCACCTCAAGCGTCCCTCCGCAGACACTGGGCTCCTGCTCGTCCACAGCTGCGTCCCCGAGCAGAGGCAGCCCGAGGCGGCTGGATCCACTTGCTGGTGCTTCTGGGAACCGCCCGCGCATTAAGCCATTAACAGCACCACTATTAATTTGCAACCCTGGTCCCTGCCAGCTGCGACAGCGAAGAGCCCGCCTGTGCCCTCGGAGCGTGGCCGAGACGGGTTTGGCCTTGGTCCCACTATCCACTGCGTCGGTTCTACGACGAGCGCGAATAGCCAGACAGCTGGATCTGTGCTTGCCTGCCCCTCACCCAGCGCTCCCTGCCCGCTCCCTGCCAGTTCCTGCCAGCAGCCAAAACCACGCCCTAGAACCATACAAAGCAGAACCGCCCCGCGGCTGCGCTGCACCACGCTGTTGCTCCAGCTGCGCTAGCTGCTCTGCTCCCGTTGCTTTGCTCCAGCGTCTCCTTCATCTGGCCGCAGCGAGCGAGCCTCCGCGCCGCTGCTCCCCGGGCCCATGCACCATGCTCGCCGCTCCATGCTACATGCCACCCTGCTGCGTGCCTGCCTCTGCTGCTCTGCTCTGTGCCCTCACCGCTCAGCACACGAAAACCTTAGTGCAGGGTCATGCGCATGAATGATGCCGCCTCTGCTTTGGCTCACTGGGGCTGACCGAGAGGACAGCTTTCGCCGGCGCCGAACTGGTCCATCCGCCCAATCGCCGCCGGCTGCTTGGGTCAGCCAGAGCAAGCCCTGCCACCATTCCAGGTCCTGCTGTCCACACGTTTCGGCTGCCCCATCGCCGTTTGACGCTGGCATGCCAATGTCACGGCACGAGTGAAACCGTGACAGATGCTGCAACCATAACAGGGCAGCGCATGGGCCGATGGAACAGCTCCTTCGGCACTTGTGCTCAGGATCGAGCATCGCTCGTCATGCGCGACGCATTTGCACCGTAGCCCGTGGTAACATGGGCCTGAATCCGACACTGTGGTGACAATTTCCGCCCTATTCCAGCATATTTCTCAATCGACCCATTGCTGACGCGAGACGCCAGTTGTGGTCAGCGTCAGCTGCAAGCTTGTGTAGGAACAATCATGTCCAAGCGCCGTATCAGGACGCGCAGACCTGGTAAGCCTGCCTTCGGTCTCCTGCATGTGGCTGCTGCTGGGATGGCGGTAATCAATGGAATCTTTCAAAATAAGGCGCCAAACCCCGTCTAGTGACAAAAAAACGACAATTTCTAACTTTGCAACCATGCTTCCGACTTGCATCTGTTGAGGCACGGTCACTGCTGCATCAGTGCACCTCTCCTCGCTGCCCGCGTCGGCCCGCTGGCGCAAGAGCGCAGCAAGGGGCTCGATGGCAAGTCGGTGGAGTCGAAGCCCGACGAAGTCTGATCAAGTCGCAGGCATGGTCAGTCGCCCACCCAAAAACCGACAGCAGCAAGACTTTCGTCCACATTGCGATTCATTGTGCAGCACTGTTGCATGATAGGCAACGAAAATAACAGGTATCCGTCGCTTGCTGAGGCAAATGGATTTCTGGCTCGGTTACAGCTTCTGCAGCGCAGTCAGTGCCTGCAGGCAGAACACTGGGTCACCCACGACATTTCTCCTCGGGCTTCTGCATTTGGGCTGAAACTAGACTCGGCCATTGGTTTCTCTGGGCTGGCACTGCGATTATTCACCCCGGCAGGCGGTTGCAGGGAGCACATGACGTATTGGGATGTGTATGTTGCGACTCGTTGATTCCCAAGAATCTGGGTCCCAGTCGGAACATGTGTTAGCTGCCGCTTTCCCCTCAGTGCCAATAAGGGATCTTTGCAATGATTGGCAAGAGATATGCATGCGCAAGGATTGCCGTACCTATTCCGCAGGTTTTGTTTAAGACCGACTGGAGTGGGCTGGGAGCAAGCTTGTCAAACATTCCCTGGTATCTTCGAAACTGACGATGCCTAACAGGGACAAATTTTGGTATCATTAGGCACAAGTGGGGTCAAAAGCTGGCAGCGGAAGTCAGGCTGTCTCATGATAGACAGCGGTGACTTACCTTCCTGCGCCATGTCCCGCGAAGCTCCGGTACGTCGAGGGAAGAGGAAATGAAATTAAGTGATGAACAGAGTTTCACCAAAGAGCGGATTTGTCTAGAGTCTAGCAAGTTTGGCTCTGGGATCGCCGGTGCAAAGCCCCGCGCCACGTGGTCGGGTTCACCAGCATTGTGGGGGTCATAGTAATGGCAGACCAATTCTACCACTCACGATGGACGCGGCAAGCTCGTCCAATGCGCGAAACGCACGAAGACGCAGTGATGAGATTGGTCGTAAGGTTTAATGTGAGGCGAAGTACGTATCGGTGTGATGAGTGCAGGGGAGGTGGACAGCCGCTAAACTGCGTAGCCGAACCATTCTCTCGGGTGTGCAACTTTTGGGGAAGGTGCGTCTGGCTGGAGGCACTTACCTTTGCGCATGCAAAGCAACCGAGTTGCTTTGTTGCTAAGGGGATCAAGGGTCCAGACTGTGCCGAAGCTATTGTGGAGACCGAAGTTGATACATTATCAGCACTCATGATGTAAGAGAGGCGCGTTCTACTGTGGGGTCGCAGCTGGGATTGATACGCAAATACAACGGTATTCGCGAACGTGCAACGCGACCGCATAAGTGCACCTGCATACTACATCTCTGAGACGCATGAGTGTGATGTTACGATTCAGAGCGGCAGCTTTGGTATCTAGTGCCGGTGCAAGGGACATGCGTGGCTATACCAAGTCTTCTTAAGAAGGAGGGATACACACTCGCTTGACCTGCACAATCCAGTGCGCTGCGTGTCGGCTGCAGGCAATCTTGCTTCGCTCACGCGATGGATCGGCAGGATGCGTGACTTCACCGGATCTACTACGCACAGCTTGAGCAGAGGATGTGAGGAAAACCCTGCCAGCATGGAGAACAGTGGTGCCACAAACGGCGCAGTCGTATCCTAACGAAACTTTACGGTAAGCTGCTCCTTCCAAACTCATCGACTTGCTGAACAGCCACTCTGAGCTGCCCCAGGGATGGTATAACAGTCGCGGTCTGTCTAAGAAGATCTGACTTATGGCCCCAAAAGGCGGTGTAAAGATTTACGTGGTTCTTACCAAGTCAGAACTCCTGCAGTCAGCCTCAATTGCAAGGCTATCGCAACGATGACCGTTATACAGACGCACCGTAGAACACGCTGGTACATACATCTGCCTTACCGGTACCGTGCCATTGTACGCCACATTCTCTCTCGATCCTGCCGTCACCATGAGGTCTTCCAGGGTGTTGCCAGCAGCTACGAGTCAACCATCAACTACCCTTGTCTTGGGTCGCTTCACTTCGCGCTTCCTATTCAACCCAACGACTTGCTGAATTCCAGCAAAGGCGATCGCTACGACGCCGGCCTGCGGTCCTGATCAACCGGCACTACCTAGGTAGGTACCTTGGGAGAGCATAGATGAGTAATAGAGCGGTGGCAATACGCCGAGCAATAAATCAAGTTACTCGAATACCCCGGATACCTGCATACCTACCTATATTACAGTCAGATCATGCTCCCTGAGTCCGATCTCGAATCGATGGACACAAAACCGGTCTACCCCGAGCGCGGCTGTAGGCGTCTAGTCTCGCTCTTCTCCGACACCCTCAGCCACCGGCTTTGCTAGCAGTATGCCTAGGAGACGGCACCCGCGTGTCAATACAAGTCAGCGGCTATTAGCGATTGATTCCAGCTACTTCTTCGAGGCACATGAGTAGATGCAAGGTGGCTTCGTTTGTGACAAGGTATTGCAGCCAGGCATCTACTCCGAATCATAGCATGATAGCAGCACACAGTGTCCACATCATTGATTTCACACCGTCCACAACGGGTAATGCGAATAACTGAACGGTGAGGAGTCTGACATGGTCATCCCCGCCCGTCGGATACCCACTAGTTGTACAAGTTATGAGCAATTGCTCACGACATGACATTCTCACACGTACGCCAGTGCACACAGACATGGCGTTGTTGCCTGGATGGCCTAGCCATGACTCCGCAAACCTCTACGGAGCCACATCATGAATTCAGTATTATACGCCGATTGTACTTGCGCCTACAACCCATACTCTCACGTTACAGGGCAGTCGCCGCCGAAGATTGCGTATTACTTTGTGGGACGTGTTTCCGACAAAGTTTGGCCCCGACGCTAGAAAGGACGCATCCAGCCGGGTACATGCTCTCAAGCAGGTCTTAGATCGAATGGTGTGGTTTCCGGTCTTTACTCCGGCACCAGCTAGAGATGGCGTATGCTGGTTCGTGCTACGGCAACTTTAGTGTTTCCGCACCAGCCGTGTACGAACCACGGGAGAACGCCAATTATATTGTCATCGGTTCGTCGCTGTCAGGCGCCTTCCCGAATCTACTAGCTTCGACCTGGACGAATCCCAATACCACGGTCATACCTCGTATGCGCCATTTCTCGCGTGGAAGATTCGATGCATTTGGATGGATCAACAGCTCGCGCTCCAGTAGATCTTCGGGCTACCTTCTTTCTCCAGGCTTCCTTGGTTACTGAAGCGCTGTCACATGTCTAGTTTTCACTGGCTGCTGCTTTCACTGGCTGCTTGTTGGGATTACCATGCATTCGGTGAGTGACATTCACGCTACAGCAGTTACAAGTATACGCTGTGCTGTCGTGATTCGATGACTCGTTAATTGTTCCAGCCGATCGAAATCAAAGCAATCGCTTAGACCCATCGCCATCTCTTCCTTAACCATTGTAGTACGTATACTAAGACCACCAGCACTGGGACTTCGATTAACGGACCGACGGTGCTCGCCAAAGCTTGTCCACTTGACGCACCGTACACCGCAACTACTACCGCAATCGCCAGTTCGAAGTTGTTGCTAGCAGCTGTGAACCCTTGGACGCAGCTAATCTTATACTCGAACCCCATTTTGTAGCAGAAAAAAATGGTGGCCGAGAAGAGAACGAGGAAGTACACCAGTAACGGTGCGCATACCCGCAGGACGTCAGTGATCTGCCTGACAACGTGCGCGCCCTGACTGGCGAACAGGACGATAATTGTATACAAAAGGCCGACTAACGAGAGGGGTCCGATGTACCGGAGGAATCGTCTCTGGTATCTCTGCTCGCCAATAATCGCTCTCAGTAGTAGTCGAGTAAAAATTGCGGCACCAAGCGGAATCCCTAGGAACACACCGACACTCTGCGCAACCTTGTCGTACGAGACATTTGTCTTCTCGCCATGACTGACGATCTGAACGTAGAATATCGCCAGCGGAGCGAAGAGAACGATCTGGAGTATAGAGTTGAAAGCGACGAGTACCGCGCAGTAATCGCCATCTCCTTTCGCCAAGTCGGTCCAAATAAGCACCATTGCGATGCAACGTGCAATACCGACAAAGATCAACCCTTCTCTTAAGTCTTGACGATCTGGCAGAAACGCCCACGCTAAACCGACCATGAACAGCGGTGCGATAATCCAGTTCAGGACGAACGAGATGCCGATTTGTATCCAGAGTGCCTTGTGCGAGAGCAGGAGATGCAGTGTTTCGTAGCGAACCTTGCACAAGATGGGGTACATCATGACGAGAAGACCGATGGCTATCATCTCACGGTCAGCGACAACGCAATCGTGAGAGCTCGAAGACGTACCGATCGGTATACTAACACCCACAAATTCGCCCTTCTGCAGTGCTGGTCCTGCAGAGTCGACCGTGTTGCCAATGGCAATGCCAACTCCCATGGCGACGAGGATCCATAGCACCAGAAAGCGATCCAGAAACGACAGTCCTTTCAAAGGTGGTAGAGCTTCCTCGTCTTTCTCGCAGACGTCATCTATCTTAGTCGTCAAGCTTCGTCCCCGCGACACATAGCTCTTGAGAAACGTACCCATAGCGGACGCATCACCCTGTCCCTTCTCAATGTCAACATCTCCATTGCCAGATCTTTGCTGTTTCTCGCGCGCTATCGCGCCTTCTTCGACCGAATTCATCGTTTCTGGTGGCCTTGAATATGGAACAAGGATTGTTAGACCCTTACCTTTTCTATGATTTGTGCTGAAGCTGCACTCATTTTTAACCAATCATGAGGGGGCAGTGACAGTCTGCACCTAGCCCTACGCCAAGAATGTTGGCGTTGTAGAACGACACGTGGGCGGTGAGCAAAGAAAATGGGATTTCGAAAATGCCATACCACGATTGTTTTCTCAATATGCATTAGTCGGAACGGTTTCGATCCGCTCGCTCCATGATGAGCTCTCTCTTTTCGTGTGGCTGTTCTGGGGTGTCTGCCTGGAATTCTCTTGATCGCACATCGCTGAACATTCGATGTTGCCTCAGAACCTAGGACGTTATGCCTTTGATGTCCCGACGGACGAGGCAAGCGTACACACTCGGGGAGTATGTCCTAGCTGATGACAGGTGATGATGGCAGGGGGATCAGACAACCCTGATGCTCTCGAGATCCTCACGGCGTGATGGCTTCACTAAACCCTAGCGGACCCTTCCACAGCTCGCGCGCTGGAGTCCCAGCTATAACACATGTCGCTATTGCAATGGGAGGGTGTAAGTGCAGCGTGTGAACTTCGATAGGGAATTGAAGTAGCAGGCATAGTTATGAGCTGGAGATATCAACAATTCGGCAGGATGCAGAAGAAAACAAGATTCGATAACTGTCCTTCCAGAAGGATATGCAAGATACGGAGGATTCGACGCCAGACACCAAGCTTGCAGGGGTATGCATCGTGTTGGGCATCCTTATCAATCAGTTTTCACGCTTCTAGCATCCCGACTCATACCTCCCACTTCAACCGTGCTAGGCGTCCCGCCCGGGCCGTTCCTTTTGGGTCGAGAGCGTTCCAGTGCGCAGTAGCGAATGTTGTTGCCACGAAGGAAGAGCTTGCTTAGAGATTGACAGGGATGTACCAATGCACGGCTCTAAATCGAGGCTGGCAAGGCTGATAGACAGGTTGCATGCATGCACTGGTGAACGATTGCAGTCTTTGCACGGTCGATCGAGAACTGCACAGTGGTGTTGCACGTTGGTGTTTACTTGGATTTGAAGTAAGAGGGTATCACTATTCATCGCTTGCTACGCCCAAAAGCCTCGTCTCACCCTCTGCGCTTGCTGTGTACAACTGTACATGCAGCCACGCCTCGTCTGGACCTTGGTTGCTGCTCAGATAGGCCTTCACATTCTGATTTGGTGGCATTGCCCGCAAACCAGCTGTCAAGTCCCCTCGACTCGCGACTTTCTTATGGGCAGCCAAAATATGGCAGGTCGCTCCATCGCCTCGCATCCCCATACATCCTACGTGCCTTCTTCGGGGCCTTCCAGCTTTCGATGGTGGCCTCTCGACAAATCGGCCCTCCGTCCTGCTCCTCACTGTCTCTTTCCTCGAGCAGCACAAAGTCATCGTCTACGACGGTCGCCGTCTTTTCACAACTCCTTGACGAACACTCGTGACTATGCGAAGCGACCCAGCAGGGTGTGGATGATGTGCATTGCTGGTACGCAGCTGGTGCAAAAATGTGACTCAGGATGCTAACGAGGAATGCCGCAATTTGATGGTGATCGACTTGATGCGCATGTTGATGTTCGCCGTCACGGTCTATTTGGGAAGGAGTCTTCGTTATCTTTTGGCGATCACCAAGAAGAGTGGAGTAGGTGGAAGAGTGGAGAATGTTGGGGAAGTGCGACACGGCGGGTTTTGTCCGTGGAGAACGAGTTTCGGTTCTGGCGTGCATTGATGCCGTGGAGATGCGGATGCGGATGACTCTGCGCGGTATCCACAAAAGTGGGATTTCAAAAAATCTCAATTGTAAGCGTCGATTGTGTGGTGGTGGCGATGATTGCTAATGGAGATGCTTTGCAGTGCCAGCGGTGTTACCTTCAATTTATGACTTTCGCATGCGTTTGAGCTGTAACGAGAGTGTCAACATAGGTACCTTGGTGGTGTGAGTATCAGCGATTGCATTGTCGCATTGCGCACGCGTGGCTTCCGCATCAGGAAAACGATCGCCCATAATCAGCACTCGCGACATAATATCAGTTGATACACAGGCGGAGCTGGCAGGTGATGTGGTTTTGCACTCGGAGTTTCGACAATGGACAGACTGGATGGCGTGACCGATGCCGGACTCTCCCGAGCTCAACATCAAACTTGTTCTGCACCTTAGCACCTTCATCCTCCGCATTCGATAGCCCTCCAACGCCACAGAAGCCCAGTTTATCCGGAGGAAGACATGAATATCCGGAGACGAGTAGGGAGGCGACCAGGGAAGTGGGTTCTGGAAGGCGAATCTCCCCACAATTCTCGTACCTCGTGCCTGTTTTTGACTCGCTAGTCGTGTCGCCTCGCGATCCCCGAGGTAGCGGCGTTGCCCCCGAAGCTATCTTTACCTTAGTCTACACCAGCACGGACATTTGATCCATCGTGACCGTAATTTAGAATTTTCGCAGAAGCATTGAAAAGCTGGAGAGCTCCCAGTCTTTCTTTCTCTCATCATTCCATCCATCATATCTTCAACAATCAAATCAAACAACCACATCACACCAAAATCAATCACAATGTCTGCCCAGACCGCCATCCCCAAGATCCAGCTCACTGCTGAGGAGATTGCCTTCAAGGCCGAGCACGACGCCATTACATCCTACGAGGAGGGTTGGGACAACTGGGACGGCCCTCAGTGGCCCATTGGCACCGTTCAGTGCTCCATCCGTACGTCTTACCTCTATCTTCACCTTACATTCAAGTCACTAACGATATCACAGAGGCCAACTGGGAGGACCGCTCCGTTCCCCCTACACCAGCTGTTGAGGCCGACGAGCCCCAGTTCAAGAACTAGAATGTTTATCATCTAGATTATACGATGTTCATATTAGCACTTCTTCACGTCTATATGGAAACGCCACCTTGTTGATATTGGCGCGCAACACGACATCAGCTTTAATACTTGGCTCGGATTTGGAAAGGACCAACGGACAGTTTTGGGAATATTGGCGCACTTGGTTATAGATTCATGGGCAAACCTACGGGACCTGTTTTGCGAAAAGCGAAAAGCTACAATTCATCACATTTCAACTTCAAACATCACCACATGCGCTTTCCGTGACATTGCGCTCCGCCATGATCATGTGTGCATCGCACTAATTGTCGAGTACAAAACGGTCTCTAGATTCCGCGAAACTTGTTTGTCCGTAACTTCCATGTATGATTCTTCCTGGTGATCCGGCTTAATCTTCTGCTCGACCTTCTCCTTTTGATTTTGCCACACCAATTTTCGAGGCGGTGAGCTTTTGATCTGCAGCCACACGAGTCAAAGCGGAGCTTTGGCGGAGTTATGGCAGGTTTTGGTGGAGTCGGGTGGAGTCGGGTGGAGTCAGAGTGGAGTTGGAGTGGAGTTCAAACATGCAACATCTTTCCACCCGCTGCCGCACCGGTAGGCCTGACTGGCGCTGACCCACTGGCAGTGCTTATTCCCTGACAGGTTTCGAGACAGACTCGAATCACGTGGAGAAAAAGGAGGATTGAGATGTCGAAACGTAAAGTTGATAGATGCATATTTGTTGAAGTGAGCCGGCTTTGGCCGCACATAAGCGGTGCAGCCAGCCTTCTAACGCCGTATTGTTTCCCAGAATTGTGCCGTCTATGGCAGCCCGTTCTCCTAACGCCTATCATTACATGCAGTCAATGTGCTGCGGGCCGAGTGGATGAGAATCCCTGATAAGGGATCCTAGTTGCCAAAAGTCGGTCAAGGGAAACACGAACAGACCGAAAGGATTCTGTTTGCCCAAACATCGAACGGGAGCTAACTGGCTGTCCAGACAAACCAACCCGGAAATGCTACTTTTCTGAACGCCCATTGAGATGCTTCTTATGACCAACGAAGACACGAATTTCATGTCGCTGAGTGAATGGGGTTTGTGAACCGGTATCTAGACGAAATGCCAGCATCTTGTCGGAGAGGAAAGTGACGTCGATGATCACTTTACTTGGCCGTTGATCTTCATGTCCATGACATACTGCATCAAGCTGCAGTCGTCGCACTTGACCAGTGCCTGTAGTGCCTTAACCCGTGCTCGTAAGAGAGTGTTTTCATCTGCGAGAGCCTTCTTGTCCTTCTCTTGTTGTTTGATGTGAGCCGTCGCCGATGCAAGAATGACGGCTTTGCTTGGCTTTGACGGTGTTGGAAGGTCCTCGATGTCGGCGCCGTCGCATCCTCGAGCATTCTGTTGAAGAGACGGGACAACACGTCGAAGAGACTCGAGTTGAGTGTTCAGCGATTCGCGGTACTTGCGCTCGACCTGATTGTGTGGCAGTCGACGACGATTCTTGGGCTTGTCGTCAGAAGCAGCAGGCGGCGAGTCTTGGATCGGAGAGTCCTCCGTAGTCTCGGTCTTCATTCGTTGCTTTGCTTCAGCGACGAGATCGCTGGCAGTCTTTCTGGGTTGGGAAAACTGTCGTCCTGTAGCCTCGCCTGCCGACGTCTCACTCTCGGATCTCTTCTTTCGACGAGGCTGGATCTCCACGATGCCATCCTCAGCAGTGACCTCTTGAGGCTCAGCAAGTAGATCATGGATGTTGGGTAGGTTGTCCTGGTCAGCGAACAGGAAAGGAGCACAGCCTCCGCCACATGTGGAAGGGTTTGGTGGTGGTCCGTCCTGGTCATGGTTAGGACAGAGCGGTGACGTCCAGCAAGCAGATAAGATGTCGGGCTTGTTCTTGCTGCGCTTGGTGGGCTCGATGGATGACTTGGTCCTGTCGAGTGCCGGCTTGGTTTGAGACGGTGAGTCTTTGACCCCATTTGGGAAGGTTAGATCTTCTACAAAACCTGCTTCGAGGTTGTTGGGGAACATAGACTCATAGGCGGGGTTAGGGAACGTGTTGGCACGTTGTACTGATTGCCTTCGCAGTGACGCCATCTGGGGTGACTGATTAGAGTGTGTCGACATAGATGCGGGGGTCTGGTAGGTGGAGAAGTTGGCAGCAGCGGTTGAAGGCTCAGGTGAGGACTCTGTCGTTGAACCACCGCCAGCAACGATGTTGCCATAAGGCTGCAGCACTTCCAGGTCGCTCAGGAAGTAGTCGTTCGATATGAACAAAGAGTCGTCGAAATAAGGGTCGGCTGATGTGCCGCTGAGCAGAGTGTCAAAAGCTGTGGCGTCCTCAGGCGTGGACCCTGAAGTCTGCGAGGAGATGGACTTGGGCATATCAGAAGACGGAGGGCCTGTTGTAGGTGCTGAGAGATCGGACCATTGGTCGTGCGGTATATTCAGACTCTCAGTATTGAGGAATGCGTCCCAATTGAGAGCCATAATGACGGTCAGTGGGTTGGTTGTTGCACGAGAGTGCTCACGCGTTGATCAGGAGATATCAACGCACGAGTCCTGCTAACGTGTCCGGACCAGGCCAATGAAACGGCTAGATTGTGGACGTAGGCGCCCGAAGGGGCTGGGGTCAGAGAATATAAGCTCGGTACTTCTTCCTTCAGATTCCCTTGTTTCGAGGATGTAGCAAAGACGGCTCAGCGTGTTGATGGGGACAGGGTTAAGTTCAAGCACAAGAGTAAAGGTTGGTTTTCGTCGACCCGAAAGGAGCCGTTGCGTGTGACGCTTGATAAATGCACAAGAGCGCAAAACTCGGGCAGTTGCTGGTGACTCTGGGCGAATTCCACAGCGCTGGTTGAAAGGGTTTGGTACAATGTGAGACACACCCGACTGGCTCCGAGCGTAGGCGTGCAGTACTGGTTGTGGTGAGCACCTGAACGCGAAAGAACTTTTCAGTCGCTTGAACGGGTATCTCGGTGCAGCAATGAAGCGCGAGCTGTCGAGCCCGCGAATCTGGGAGGACCAGAAAGGATATCAGACCACCAGAGGTGGCGTGACATTTCGCTGAGACCCGCTTTTCCCCTCCAAGACTGTGCTGCATCCTGGCAGGCACAGCCATCTTGCGCCATCGCCACGCCAACGTGAAGAGGACAGTGCCAGAATGCGATCGATTTCCTGCAGGCTCTGCGATGGCACAGCATGGAATGCGATGTCTAATCTTGGTGTCGTTGTCCGATGGGGCGGCGGTCGGGGTGGACTCGGGTCTAAGAAAAAGTTCCCGCAAGCGCCCCTGCAGAACCCGAGCCTGCAGAAGCATGCACGTGATAAATGGGCAACCAGCAACTCAGCTTTGAGTCTACAGCACACCGACGGAACGACCGAACAGAAGCAATTCAGTTCTTTCAAAGATTCTAGATCGTACTAGCATTTACAGCTGTGCATCCCGGATTTGGTACGTGCCTCCCACATAGACACGAAGAGCCTGTGTGACGGTGCTGCAGGAGCATCAGCTCCCACTCAGACCACCCTCACCAGCGCTCGTAATATGTATTCAAGCGTGCAGATCATGCGGTTCGGGGAGCCTCATGTCAATGCGAGCCACGGGACGACCCGCTCCCCATGTCCCACTAAAGGAGACTGCGGAGCCGGTCTCCGCCATGCTTGCATGCATACAAGGGTGGAACTCTCTGGTTGCTTGCTTGTCCGTGGCAATACGATGCCCTACGAATACGAACCCGAGTGGCACCCAAGGCAACATCTTTGTCCAGAATCTTGCCTCGAGGTGTCAGTAAGGCATCTCAAGTCACTGCCGTCCCTTGAATAATCGCTTGCTTGCTTCCGCAAATCACCTTGTGCAGCGAAAAGCACTGTAGTCGTCGCCTGACATTCCTAGCTCTCCCATTGCGGTAGCGATTGGATGTAGATACCACCAGCTTCTCATTCACTGTAAGAGCAAGTGGGTGTTCAGATCACTTTGATCATGTTTGCCAAACGATATGTCATAACTTGATTATCCAGAATGTCTACAGGCTATCGAAGCTTGCGTGGAACTACTGTCAAGGCCTCTGTTGAAGCAAAGCACCTAGATTCACACATTACTCTTTGCAGCAGTATGGGAGCCTGAGCCTCCGTTCCTGCGAGTCTTTGTCGCTCCTTGTGGGGAGCAAGGATACTCATATTCCGCAACCATTCGATGCGATCGTAGGAAGGGACACCCTGTCACGACATGGCACCAGTCTTCCCGTTGATATGTGCTGCATGATGAGCGGCAATTACGAGAATCCCGCGGAGAAGAATTCGCGAAAGCGAGCAGTCCCTAGCTCGTTGCCTTACCGCACTGTCATCGAACCATCTTCCTTGATAATCGCGCAGCTGTCGTGTGCTCTGTCGACACTCGTAGGCGTATACGCCAAGGGGCCAGAATCAAGCCACAGAATGCGTCTACGGCGCGGCAAGTTGGTTTTCAAACGACATGTCCCTGTCAAGCCTTAGTGGATCAGTCTTGCCACCAGTAGCACGTACAGAGAACGGACAGGTATCATACCATAAAAGCGACAGGCATCGGTCGCGGCCGTTCCGTCATTCGCGGTCTCATAGGCCGTTTGCCTGGTATGATGGTTCTGTGGCACAGTGGGCAGTATTCATTATAGCGACCAAACCACTCGTCCAGACATTGAGTGTGGAAAGCATGAGAGCATCGCAAACCCCGTATCTGCGCATCCTCGTCGAACTCGTCAAGACAGATCGCACTGCAAGTGGATTAGTACAGATCTACCCATGCTTCTTTCAGTATACCCACCACACAGGGTCACTAGTCAGAAGTGAGTCAGGGTTCTTCTCTTTCTGTGCAGCCAGCCAGTCGTAGAAGTGTTCGGTCTTGATGTTGCTCTCCAGCTCGGCCCGCCGCATTCGTACGCGTTCTTCTTTCCGCGCTGCTTCGACATCGTGACTGAGTCCTGGCAGGAGATACGTTCGGTGGCGATGTCTTATCGGAACTGCTAGTATCGGGGTACTATGAAGGGAGTGGGAAGACTCACAGTATGAGTAGGGTCATCAGAAGGATAACGCAACAGGCCGGGACAATGATCGCAATTATGATGGTGTTCCCATTGGGCTGTGTTACATCAGGATTCGACATGTTGACACAGACTCAAGGTGTGAATCTCGCTGGCTGTGTCGTGTGCTTTTGGGCGTGGATTTTCACACAGATTAGTGAACCTCCGCGTTTGCCGATTCGAGCCTCGTGCTTATGATGGGTGTCGCAAGTGTGCAAGAGGCATGCGCTATCCAAGTGCATAGGTGTTGTGAGACCTGTGGTGGACCGCTCGAAGACCCTCAACCACACGCTGTGCCTCTGGTGGTGATCGCATGAACTGGAGGAGCGAAAGGCGGGCACAAAAACGCCCAGCACTTGGGGATAACGACATGCTCATATGATACAACACCAAGACTAGCGGCGTCCAGCTCGATAGAACTAAGACGGCCCTTTCCGGGCATAACAAGCTTACCGGACCTCTCAGGTCGTGCGCCGGTTGGCTAAGCGAAGAGCTGTCAAAGTTTCGCGTAGCTGTTCCAAGGTTGGTGTTCTTGTGACGCGGGGAAGGTGCTGGGGTCGAACCACATCACGTCTGCATCCAGCCCGCCCAAAACCGGATCCCCTCTTTTGTAGCACGTTGCGCAACTCGTTTCAGTCAACGTGCACATTCGAGCTCTGCGATATATGAGCGTCGCTCGGCGTCACCTTCTGCAGCATGCCTGCGAAATAAGCTAGGTGTTGTGGTGTGGCGATGCTGTCCATAGTGTCTTATCGTATGTACGTGCTCCATCCTTAGCTGTCGATCAGAGCGGAGCTGCTGTTAGCTTGCTGCTGTCCTTCATCACCGCCACGCCACGGAAATAATAAATCAAATTCACAGAAGGGGAAGCGGAAGCGCCTCAACCTAGCCAAAATGCCTTTGGCCATGGTCTTTTCAGTGCCTATTTTCAATTCAAAGCGCTGCCCTTGCTACCCTTTTGGAATTTCGTCTTTGTCTAAGCCCTTCAAAAACCTAGCTTGACAATTCAGGCTCGGGGACATAAGGTTGTGGCGGCGCCGAACATCTCCCTTGATGCAGGCCACACCATGATCACGCCCGAGCTTGAGATTTTTAGTGTCATTGCGACGCTCTTGACAATGTTATGTAGCCAGTTTCCATGGACTGTCGACTTACATGCGTGTCGATTCGCTGCATACTTCCACAGGTTTGCTTCGAGACTACCTACCAACCTGTATTCGTATGTTGCGAAGTTTCCAACCAGACATACTGATGGCTGATTGGTCAACGGAGCATTCCCAAGTGCTTTTGAGGTTTGTGATAAAAGACGCCTACACATGCAAGCCCCGAGTGGGGCTGTAGCGCGTTAGTGACGAAAGCAACGGACTGACACGCTCAATATGTTCAAGACTTAGATATTGGGGAAATACCCTGCCGATCTTGGAGACCGTCTCGATTGTTGGAGGCAGCAAGGATGGCCTTGTTCATAATTCAAGGACCGACACGACGAACCCCGGCCCTTGTCGTCAGTTCTGTCCACTTCTTTAACCTCAAAGTGAGCAGCTCGTATCATAGTGATCGTTCTTTCTGCGGCCTACTAGTCAGCTCATATGTTGTTCTTGTCCCGTATACATAGGTTCACTAAGGGCAAGGAGTCCATAGCGATCGTGGCTGTGATCTCCACGAACACAAAAGAACGTACCTTTCGACGTTCAGGACGTACAGCTACGCTATTTTGAGAGAAGAGCACAGAGACTTACGAACATTCTCGTTCTTAACCCTGCACCGACCAGCAAGAGGTCGATTCTTCACAACAGGTACTGCAGCGACGACAGTCATAATGTTCACTGAGAAATGCTCGATACCTCCTTCCAGAAGGCAAAGGTCCAAGGATCTAACACACTGCGCTGATTTGACTAAGAAGTTGGTTGAGAATTTGTGCTTCTTCAATCAACACCGAGCCTCTTCCCAAACTTGACCGCAACTTTGTCCAAACGTCATTTTGTATCTGTTGTCCAGCGATCAGCATATCTAGCCCTTTGAGATAGCCATGAATTGCGTTATGTCTACCAAAAGAAGATCATCATCGATTCTATGACCAATGCGCGGTAACGTCAACATATTGTGAGGCTCGTAGAGATTTTGGCAATTCAGTGTTTAATCGACGTGCCATTGCTCAGCGAGACACCGCGATAGTGCACGCTCCACATATTCCATTCAATCTAAGAAGTGTTCCTGTAGCTCATCGGCCGAGAGGTCCTGTGAGGCTGGAGATTTTTGGGAATTGTAGCTTTCGGAATAAAATCTGGCATCGGAATACTCGGACTGTCAGCTCCGAAGACAACGCCCTCGACCAAGCAAATGCCGTCTTGGTAATCATGTCGATATGACCTGAGATCTTCAGAGAGTTTTTGTTATTGATTTTTATTACACTATAGACAGTACAGCAAGGGTATCCTAATGGCATGTGAGACGCAGTCTCAAGCAGTCGCTACGACAATTTGATTAAGACGCATGAGCGCTGATGTCCACCAAAACCAACGCCTGAACCAACGCCTGAACCAGCGCGAAATTTAGCCAATGAAAATGGGTATCCGAAATCATAGTACGAGAAAAGTGCTCTATCTCATGAAGGACCAGCCTCCATTCAGGGCTCAAATCGAAGCCCTCATTCTAAGCGCCACAGTGGCAGGCGCAGCACTCGAGTATTCGGGCGGTAAATCATCCCTCACATGGGCAGTGCTTGGTGAACCGTCGAAGTTTGGAGGCGCAATACTTCTAGGTGTGAAAACGTCTCCAGCCTCTCTGTACATGACTGCCTCAACGCTGCGCGCTCGTGCGTTCTCGATGCCAGTATCGCTGCCGTCAGCGCAGATCTGGACCGGAACTTTCAGATTGAAGCTTGATCCTCCCTCTGGAGCGAATTGTAGGCCAAGTGTATAGATGCGCGAGATGAGACACGTGTGGAACGTTGGGATAAAGTTCTTCTTTTCAGTCAAAGTGACAGGTACTAGAATCTGTGCGGTATAGAAAGTACCGTTTTTGTAGTTGCTGGAAGGCACGAGGACACCGGTCGCGAATGCGTTCGCCGAGTCGCTCGCCGTAGAACAGTCTGAGATGCCGGAATCACGGCGTGTGAAGCTTTCAGGTGCGGGGTTCGAAGCAGCCGTATGCGCCTCCCACTTGGCCTTGGAAATGCACAAACTATTCAACGCCACACTCTCGGCGTAGATACCCTGTGACACGTCATATGTCAGGTGTGTGCGGGAGGGCAAGTTCTGCCTAGGTGTCGTGGCATAGTAGGTCGTTACTTTGAGCTTTGTGTGCAGTGAGCCCAGCGCTGGCGGCTGCGCTCCTTCTTCCGCAGGATCGAACCGCAGTACCAGCTTAGCTATGGTAGTGATTGGTTTGTTGTCGGAGGTGCGTGCCCCTGGGATATTAAAGGGCTTCGGTTGCATGGTGCGAGCAGTCAAGGTGCCAAGCTTGCCCTTGAAAAACCCCTTCTTGATTGTCTTTTCTTGCTTAGGCTTGTATTCTGTGTTATTGTCGATGTTGAGTGGCGCTTGTTCGTCAAAAGCGGGCTTGACACGGACTTTCTTTACTCGCTCTGCAAGGATATGGATGTTGTCCGAGATCCCTCGTTGAGCGATTCGAACCTTCACCCCGTAGATAATCTTCGACATGTCTGGCGCAAGATCATCAAGAAGAGTGCTTCCGAATCCTGACAAGTCTGGATCGCCGAATGTTGGAGGAAGCATCAGGTGCTGGTCGCGAACGTGATCTGCTACTACATCGTGGGTACATGCCCTGGGTAGCAGTCTCTCTGGGATGTTGAAGGTGAACGGAAACTTGTACGTTTTTCCAGCCTCAAAGATCCTTGGTGTTGGGAAGCAGGTGTGGTCAAGTGGTTGTCGTAGCGTAAGGAATCTGTGGCTGCTCTCCGCTCGTCCCGTTATGGAGGGCGACGTGGTGACTCTGTCGACAAAAGTGTGACTTGTGCCTGCATCTGAGGTCAACTCCTGTCCTCTCGGTCTGAAATGAATTTACCCACCTACGAAAGCAATATCGATGTCCTCAAATTGGGTATCGGCTTGTGCAGTGATGGCTACATATCCGGAGATAGTATCCATAGTAGAGTAGCTTGGAATTATACGGCGGGGTCCGTCGCTGTCATCCATGACGAACTCGATGTTCGGCTGGCCAACATTCGCAAGCGTTCGTACCCTTGCACCTATCTGGTTTCCTAGGCTTGACATAGGATTTCGGGTAGCTGAGCTGATCGATGCGCGCGAGGAGGTCGGCATCTTGAAAATATGTCGTGCGCCTCAAGCAGGCGACTGCTAGAGGACTGGAAATAAAGAGAGATACGGCGCAAGATGGTGGGGAACAGAGACACTAAGATAGGCTTGTGAGTGCGGAGTAAATTCTAGCCCGCGGTGTGGAACAGGCAAAGATCTGAGTCGTCTGTATCTGGGCGTTCTTTGTGGATTTGATGGTCTGAGGCTGCAAACGCCTGGGGCAACGATGATCTTATACATCTGGACCACATCTTTCCCTGAGTCATCTGTCGATGGTAGCTCATCGAGGGACAGCTGCATGGCGCGGTTGCAAGGGAGCTGACAAAGTGGCAGCCTTGGCCGACGGACGCGGGAACGAGAGACGCGGGGATTGATCCAACACGCCCTACACCAGGCTGCAGCCAATAGCACGAGACACTAGGATCGGAGTTCATCATCACCCTGTGCATCCTTCGAATCATTCTCGAAGAATCACGCTCCTTGTTATTGTCGCCGACGGCAAAATCATGAAATGAATACGGCACTTATCTGGAACGCGCTGCTAGCTTGTATAGTCCCAGCTTTTTGGTGTTCTTCGTGGTGCCGCATTCAGCCTCTTCCTACCATACACTGTCACAACTTCAAGGCTAAGAGCCAGCTCGACAGTGTAAGTTAAGAATACACGAAGCGACGCGCATTTTCATTTCGGAAACTCAATTGCCGCTGAATCTAGCCTCCACGGCCAAGAGATAAACAATAATGCTCTATAAATGTGCCCTAAGCCTCGTAAGTGTTGTCAAGCCAAAACCTACCTTACACTGTCAGTGACCCTTACGCTATTACTCAGCGTGCACAGGCCCTGACAGTGTAAGTTAGGTATTCGCGACTGAGTGGAGTCGACGTGTCATTGTCCTGGTTGCAGAATTTGCTTACTATACCGTTAGATGTTAGCCTCAATGAAAACGAGGTTCGACAGCACTCAACAATCGGGGACGGCTGATGAGTGAATTTTCATCGTCGTATTGCAACTATGGACTCCACAGTACTCACTAACCCCAGCGTGCACGTGCGTCAACAGATCATTGAATGTGTGGTGTTGCGCTGTGACAAGTTGCCAAAGTTGTCGGTAGGGCGCATGTCGCACGGAAAAGGGCGTTGCCCAACGGGTCCTCAAATTGACCAATCAGAGCGTCATCTGGTCCGGCATCGCCTTAGATCATCGTGGTTGGTTGGCAGCCATGAACTCCGAATCACGCATGTGTGCTGATGGTATTCCGAATGTTTATTAGCCGCCAATTGCGATCATCTCACAATAGCAATCAGCCATTTGCTGGTTGTCACCCTTGCGGATTGGTAATATGTGGTCATATGCAAGTAGGCCATGGTTGTGAGCGATCTTCCAAACACCTTTGCAGTCGACGGCTGAACGAGACACTTCTCAGATCGAACGCACTAACTCTCGGCCAACTTCTGTTTCACAACTTGACGATATGATGCTTGGTGGCTTTGGATGCGCGGTGAGAGCATGCATGCAGTATCTGCCGTGCTGGACACGCACTCGCAAAATGCTGCACAAAACATTGCAAGCTATTAAAATAAGCTTTGTTTTATTCCGGTACTACGTAGGTATGGTCGACTACGATCTGGATGTACGAGTCATTTTCCGTCGCGGAAAAGGTGGCCCTGTGACTCAGATACAGCGGTCAAGCTTCCTTCGAGTTTTCCGTTGGCCATCAAGTTTCGGTCTGGCCTCCGGCAGCGTACGTCTTTTGAGCATACTGTTGGCATCCCCATTCTTCCTTGCCTCTTGCATCTTTCCCAGCGTAGAGAGCGTTTGGTACAATCTTCTGAATCTGTTCCGCAGCAAGCCCAGCATGCCGAAATTGCGATCCCTCTCCCAGATCGCCCCATTGTATACCGTTCGAAGGGAAATCGTCTAGCTGTGTCGTCGCCGCGCAAAGCACTCTGATGCTACCGAACATCTGTGGGATAAATCCCTCGCGTCTGTATGTGAAAGCCCACCAACACACGCCAGTCATCAGTAAGCTGAGGAACGTTGCTGCCCATACGGGATATGCAGCGTAGGTGATCTGTTGCTATCAGTGATTGATCTCATTGCAAATGAGGCGAGCCTACATTGTATCTTGAGTGCTCGACATGACGACCGTCAGCGTTTTCGAGCCATATGGCTTCCTGGGTTTGAAGCGCTTCACCAAGCATCCAGTGCGTCAGGACGCTGTAGGCCATGGTTGGGAACAGAATTTTCTTTGGGAGCTGCAAGAGATAATCTTGTGCGAAGCTCTCGCCGGCTACGATGGTGGCTCGAAGACGTTTGCGCCCATACTCGAGCTTGCCCCAGTCCCGCTCCTGCTCTTTGTTAGCAAAAGCCCCGCTCGCGAGAAGTTGTGTGCATACCTGGCTGACCAAGGTGACGTTATAGATCATCATCAAATACAACAAGGAGTAGATGAATTGCGCACCGTTGGAACTGGGTCTGGTCAACAAATATCACTCAGAAGTCTGCGTGAACTCACATTGCGAAGGACATCACCTCATTGCTGATATGGTCAGGGTCCAAAGAAGTAGCAATCAAAGACCGATTGAAACCGCCCCAGCCGCCCGAGATCTCCGCGAAGCGATCCTCGTCAGACAGCAAGCAAATAGCTGGCTTATTCATCGAGCCGTTGCTGTACTGACGGCAAGCAGCTTTCTGCATTGTGTCTGTTGTACCCAGGCTACAAGAGTCAGCAAGACTATTCGTTAGTGGAGTGCGTACCTACGGAACAGCAAGGACTATCGATGCCCCTACGAGACCCAAAGTGCATAACATGAGGAGACACATCTGCGTAAGCGCAGTGTTGCCCAAGTTGGATATCAAACTCTTCTTGAATTTTGTGGCGATGGTTGGTTGGGGTTCATTCGAAAACTTGTCGGACGAGTTCCATCTCTTGCACGTCTGGCAATGACCAATCTCATCTAAAGAAAGATCAGACATCAGCCTTCCAGAAAGACAATCCATGTGACTTACCACCTGTTATCGATTCGTCAATGTCGTCACGACAATGCTTGTGGCAGGTGTGCGTATTATTCCTGCGATAATTGTCTCCGCCATTGACCATGCATTCACTGGTAGGCATCAGTATCGATTCAAAAGGCTGTGTCTGTGTTCCTACCCTTGGACTCTTAGATCTGGGTCAGACGCTGAAGCTACAATGACATCACCGAATGTTAGGCAGTGAGACTTCAGCTTGCCTCGCGCCATCAGGTTGACAGACAGCATGTAGCCCGATTTTAGAATCAGACAAGCAGCAAGGATGAAAGCAGCACTCATGCGGACATTCAGTCGACAATTACCAGGCCTCTCATCGTGAAGACTGCAGTATACTCCTTGCCCCATTAAACAACTACCTTCCTGGTACATCGGCCTGCGAAACGATCCCAGGTTCGGGTCGTATACAAATGAGTTCTCTAGTGCCGTAACATCAGTCGTTGTCTTCAAGAACTCGGCGCAGTTTGTGTCATAGTGCACCTGCATCGTACTCCATGACCTGCCAAATTCTCTCGAATCTGCGCCATACACATCGCGGCTTGCCTTCAAGATCATGGTGCTTTCCGGAAAATGAGGTTTGCCAGTCCTAAGGGCGGACCAACAGACGAAGGTTGCCGAATCGCTCATGGTCTTTTGGGTGTAGAACATGTTGCCTCGCCGTTGCTCCCACAAGGCGTCGGTCGTGTTGGCAACAGCGTGGAATGACACTTCGTTTGGAAGACTCTGAACGAAAGAAGGGCCAATTAGCGAATTAGCTAGATGACTTGATCAGCAACTGCTCGTTCGATTCAGCAAGGCGCCTACCAAGAAAGTGCACCGGCATGGACGTCAACACAAGGAAAAGCCATGCAGCCCATGACCGCTTCCTCCCCTCCCATTTTTGGTTTATACTGAACGGGGAATTTGTTCCAACCCTCGAATCTCCAAACTTGGAAAGCACATGTTTCAAATCTGTTATCTTAATGGATGTAACCAATTGTTGATACGTGTTGCTCATGCCTAAGATCATGGTGGCGCACACATTGATCAGCAGAAGCATTGCAGTGTTAGTCTGAGTTACTTGTTGGCAAGACTGTGCTTCACCACCAACGGATGTCGTGTTGGTATTCACTCGATCGCGGAAATGCTGGGCATAGATTGAGATCAGAACGATCATCCCGATGGCGAAGAATGTCGTGAGGGCTGCCATCCCCCGGAGGGATCGGTCAATCAGAAGTTGATCTTGCCAAAGACCTTTCGAGACCCGAGTTGGCTCAATCTCTGCAGCGGGATGTACTCGTATAGAGCCTTGTAAATATCGTGGTAGGGGCTTCCTGCGGATGCGGTTGCCCAAGTTCTTAAGCTTCTCGTAGCTACTTGTGGAAGACGTCGCTGATTCGAATGTATCAAAGCTGTTGACCGAAACAAACCCGGTCTTTTCGTCCATGCTGTGAGTCGGCAACGGCCGCCGTGTGACTTGTCGGCTCCATAACGAAGGTCTCGGATAAGTGTTTTCGGACGCGACATTCGCATTGGCCTTGTCTTGAAACTCCTGAATGGGATCCAAAGGATCATAGCCATATTCTCCAGCCATCTTTCACGCGCCGATTGGGGACGCGTCGGACCCCTTCTCCTCTTTCGTATCACGCGCTCTGCTCGTCGGTATGCCGCGATGGGATTACATGTTCGAACACGAACGATAATGGCAGAGTTTTAGTGCTTCCTAGCACGGTCAGGTATCTATCCCCGGATGACATCTTCATCTAACGCGCGGCGTAAGGCGTCCAGCAAATGCACTTCCATGATGGATTCGGGACAAGTCGCGCAAGGATTTGGGGCTTGTAAATTATCCGCTATTGGTCGACGGCTGCGAGGCTGTGCTTCGATGCTGCCAAGGCGGAGTCATGCCTGACGAGGCTGCAGACCGATTCGCTGATTGAAGGATGAGGCTATCGTTCCATTGTGACTAGGTTTAGTGGAGTCTTCCATCCACTTGTCAGAAGTTGCGCTCCGCCCGGTAGGAAACCCAGCTTGCTGTTTGGTATCCACCAGCGAGTTTTGACCGCCCGAACGCCAAATTGGCCCACGCGCGGAAGAGCGCACCCTTAGGCAACATCTTTTACACAATGGCTGCAAAACATGCACGTTCCCGGCGCGACATAGATCAAGACATACTTCGCCGTCGATCAATGAGTTCTCAATCTTGATCGAGAATCCAGTTAGGCCATCTAGGTATGAGGGGTGTGGACCGCGGCTATGGCGACTCTTCCAACGCCATCCGTTCGTGCAGAGAAGCGCATCGTTGTCGGTGCTTGCCAGACTGTACGGACACTCCTACCCATGGCATAGAGGTGCGGCAAAGGCCTCTGAGTGGCTTCAAGTATATCCATTCCCAGACCAAACCGAGAAAATGAACTCGTTGCAGAGCTGTTTATCTGTCGTTCCCCGTTGCACGTACGTACCTGCACTATGCTTGCAGACTGTTCTATAGTTAGGGAAATCCGTTAACAATCATATGGATAATAGTGCTGAGCTGCATTGTAGTGCTCTGACAGCATCCAACTTGCAATGGTCTTGGCGTAGAACGACAGCTGCAGCTTGTTGCTTACTCACCAGGGACCGCTTCTTATACCTCCAGCTTCCACAGAGCCATCGCCTCACCCAGTGTCGAAATGACTTCAATCGCCAGCCCTAGCCGTGCAGACTTACCAACCCCACCGTCTTCCTCTATCGCGTCGCAGCATCCATCGCCCTTACCACAGCCCCGGAGGCGCCCACTGCAGCCCGGCGGCACGAAAGAGAGCGAGCTCATCAGATACCTGGACCATGGTCTGAAACAAATTCAAAAACGTGTCGACAACCGCATCACAAACAGGAAGACGCCCGCACTGTTGGGCCAGGAAGAGGGGTATGGCGCGTTCTGGGAGGTCGCAAAGCAATTAGACGGTCTTGTGGACGTCGTTTGGGTCTCAGGGTCACGTATGTGCTTATTATGCCTCTGAAGATTTGGACTGACTTAATGCTCTGGCAGCAAACCTGCAGATACCCTATCTCCTCAACATCGCGGTACTCACGATCGATTACCTCCCGCAATTCCATAACAACACCCGCTCTACACATGCCACCTTCAGGCTCCTCGCGAAACTCGATTATGCCTTCTCATCTCTATTGACGGGCCATGACTCCTCGAGTGGAGAACATTTGCCAGGTTTCGAGACAGGCCGCACCGTGGCTACAACGGACAAGGTGCGATTGAAAGGCATTGTGGATCGCACGCGGTTAACGGTCGTGCGTGTGCTAAGTGGAGAAAGCGTCGTAGGGGAGAATGAAGAGACAGACGAGGGAGACTCAATGGATACAGACACAAATGAGGATCAGAGAGCAGGAAGTCGGACCGATCAAGACACTGTGGTATTTGAGGGATTTGAGGATAATGAGGATGCCGATGAAGACGAAGATTGGGAAGAGCGCAATATTGGCAGCATATACGAACAAACAATAGGGGGGCTTGGAGATGTTCTCGGTGGACCACCCATTGGAATCATCACAGACGATTGTGGCGTCAATGGAGCCAACAAACTGAGAAGAGAGCAAGGCTTCGTTGAGTCTGGCGGAGAAACTGAGTAATGAGCATCTTGAAGCACAACGCATGAGCTGCAAGACAGAAGGACCACATGTGCAGGCTGTATTGGTGCCCAGCTGTCACAGCTGCTCAGAACTGCCAGCCTCGAAGCTCCCATGATTGTACCGACATGAACAAGCGAGACTTGAGATGTGGAGTCAAAGATTTTAGGCCGGATCAGGACAGAGTCGCCCATATGCGCGAGCGAGGCTGCAACGAAAACACCTTCACAGGCCCAACCTACAGACGGAACGACTTCATAGCCACAAAGATACCTTAGCACACGCGTTCATGTCGTTCTTCGGAAGATTGCTCGAAGCTGATCCTACGAACTGCGGTGTTGCAAAGTAATTGCGTACCAGGAAGGCGCGTCCGTTTGCTCTTGCCCAAACCGACACGTGCTACGTCAGACCTTGTTACTACGCGCACCATGCGATTGGCCTGCTGTCGCACAGTGGAAATATCGCGTCGCGAGTAAAGCCGTGTCAAATCACGCCTGCACGCCAGACAGACGACACTCTCGTCGCCGGTCGCCACGATTCGTTTCGACGCATGTACTATAGTGTTTCTCTTCTCTCTACACTCAACTCCCCGGACGTTTCTTTGATCTTCTTCTAGCATGCCAACATATCATGCTTGTAACATCACCGTTTGCCTGGGCTCTGTGCCCCTCGCTGAGACGACTACCAGCGATGTCGTTCTCAGGAAGGGTGAGGTAGCGAAGCGGCAGAGCGAAACTGCCGAGAAGAAGCTGCTGCACAGCTCCTACTTGAGAGAGAAACGCGTGTTGTTCCCTGGCGATCCGGACGGGTTTGAGCTCAATTGGCTAGGTAACGCACCATTTATGCAGGTTGAGGCTGATGACGGCTTCGCTCGGTCCCCAAGACCCAACGGCAGCCCTCTGCAAGACCGTATAGCGCAAGCGCTCACTCTGCATGTCAAGCTATCTGACAAGGCTCTTCACTCTGGCTTCACCGGAAAGACACATCTGAAGATGGAGGTGCTCTTCAACGGTCAGCTCTCGGCATGTTCTCTCATTCACGCCAACGACATACGTTCGGGGGCAAAGTCACTTCATCAAGTCTTTTCCGGGTACAGAGTGGACTTTCTTGCTGAACGCCCGTGGGTCTTACTGCCACCCTTCACTACTGCAGATGGCGGAGCGAGAAGATTTCGCAGAACAATTACACCATTAGAACGTTTCAATGAGATCAGCACTTCGATACTCAAAGAGGCTAAAGAGCGAGGCACGAATAAATCCGGAGACTCGCCACCGTCTGCTGTGTTCCTCAATGCACTCGCCCAGATGCAGGCGCCAGCTTGTATCATGGACATGCAGAAGCCTGGTGGCAGAAAGTTCGGTGTTCTCGACGTAGTCATCACAGCCGGAACAGGCAACAAACCCATTACCGGTACGAGCTACCTGAAGAGCCCACAAAGGCTCAAGGATCCTGACTACGTTGTGCGAGCGGGGCCCGAGAACAAGATTGAGAGCGAGAGCGGAACTGCCGTAGTCGGTATAGGTGAAACACTCGACGAGGCAGACGAACACCTAGAGGCAGCCAACGTAAGCCCAGACGGTGGACACACTGATGCAGGAGGAAATACCGAGACACAGAACGAACGTCCTACAAAGCGTCGAGCAGTTTCCCTGGCTGAAGGTGTCTCATGTCGTACAACTCAGGGCACAGTCTTTCAAAACCCCTTCTCGGGCGTGCAAGTACCCTGTCTTTCCCCTCAGGAACTGTTAGTGGCGCATCAAGACGAGTCTACAATCACTGGGAGAGTTAGCCAACGTTGTCCATCCTTAGAGCACAGCAGTGATGGCCATAAGGAACCATTACCTTCTAACGGTCGAAATGGTGCATATGATGCGGCATGCGAACCACCAGAGATGAATGGATGGCACAGCAACGGATCTCATGCTCCCCAGGGCCACCTCCCTCTGCCTCCAAGGCTCTCCTCAAACATCCCGCAACCAATGCAAGCACCATCAACGTTGATCAATATGCCATCATCTGATTTGGTGACTGGACATGGAGGGTTTACTGACTTACCATTCCCCAAGCCCACCTTATGCTTGAGTCCGATGGCACAGACGCACAGCGGAAGTGGCCCCTACTTTCCGCAGCCTGTGTGGCCTGGTGGGAATGACACCTCAGTCCCTAGTATGAGTCCATGCCCTGCTATTCCAAACATCGCACCAACTGCATGGATGATTCCCACTGCTACAAGCTGGCCAGCGTCATCAAGCCCGGTGGCTTTACCTTATCGTCGCCCTATTATTCTCCCACAGCAAGCACAGTCAACCCTCTACACTCTAGATCCATCCGCTTGTCTGCATCCAGGTGGGTTAAGCAGCCCACTCTCACACATACCGGACTTCTTCAGCCACCCAGGATCTGCACCGTTCGCGACACCAACGATGCCGTCATCACCAGCTTTCCCGACATGCGAATCACTGCCACCAACCGCTTTATTCTCTGTTACTTCAAACTCTAGAACAAGTGCATCACCAACAAAAGGCATGGCCACAGTCGACTCAAATGAACATTGTTCTAGTGTGCTGATCAGCCGAGTCGTAATCAGCTTCAACAGCAGGCCGGTGGTCGATCATCGTTGTAAGGTCGCCCATCACATCATCGTGAACCATGGGCGTCCTCTTAAGGGAAATGCTAGAGATCAAGCAGAGTCACCTGATCTCGAGTGTGGTAAACTAAAGACTAGGTCTCGCGCTCGACAATGGCGTGGTCCACACAACAAAATTATTCAGACAAACTACCGAGCAACTTCTCCGATCGAAGAGGGGAACATCTCTAATGGCGAACAAGGCTTGCGTGAGAAACGGCGAGACAGCGCCCAAGATGGTCAGGCTGGTCAGGCGACAAAACTGCCGCTTCCATACCTCAAGCGACACCAAGGCTCCTTGAGAGAGAACTTGCCAATCAATGCGCGAATCGATGTGCCAGACAACATCGCACCGTTCGTGCCTGCGACTGTGCTAGCGAAGAGCACACCAGTACTGGCGCCAAGTTCCATACAGACTCATATGCACGTGCCCTCTTTGCAGTCAGCTGCGACACAGCGCCGTGCTTACTCGCGAGATGCAACCCCTGGTATACAGGGTCCTAAAGCTGCCACATTCCTTCTCGACGATCCTGAAGAAGTTTTACGTGAAGCAGCGCGAACGAGGCGTTCCAAATCACCAACCAAGCCAGCAGCGACTGTGTATACCGCGCCTACCACGTCAGCAGCTCAAATCGGCAAGGAATGTCTGAGCGGCTCGTCCCCTTTGTCGAGCGTGCCTGGATCTCCCTTACCCGAGAGTCCGATCGAGGCGAGTAGTGGAGCATTCGTGCCTCCTGGTCACATCCCGCAGCTTGATGGATTGGCAGACAGTGCATCGCCGGTAGACTTGTCACACAGACTGGCAGAATCATCAGCTGAAAAGGCCTCTCTTCCAACACCGCAGCTTCAGCGTTCCGGTCTTGCTGCTCTCCCGTCTGTATTGGCAGTCCCGAAGAAGCGTAAGTTGACGCAGCAGTCGCCAACTAGAACGCCACGAGATCCCGACCGCCTCAGCACTGTCAACAACCCGCCACTCAACGACGATTGTGTCATTGCATTTGCAGAGAGTAGCAAAAGCGGTGCAGAAAAAAGAATTCTGAGACAGGTCAAGGGCGAGAGGCAAGGGTTGTTCAAAGAGGAGTACGTGGTGCTTGCGGTGAGGTTCTTTGTCGCTGGAGGTTGAGCCGAGGAATGCAATGTACAACAAAAGATCAAGACGCGTTCAAGACATGTAAGAGTATCGAGCCGCAATACAGCGTGTTTCGTTAGGAGAAGTAAGGGGATGATGCTAGCCTACAGATGTAGAACGTACCCCTCAGGATGCCAAATAGAAATATACCAATAATGAAACCAAAATCGTACAACTTTAGACCGCCAAAGATAAAGTGATCAGGTAGTTGCACACTCACTGTACTGTATGGACCGGTTCGTTTTGTTGAGCTGCATCGACATCTGCGTTTCCCAGCCCATTCATCCATATCATTTTTCCGAACAGCATATGGTGTTCGTGTGTGTGTCACCGCTACATCTACAGCTCAACATATCTGATAATATCCTTCAAGAGGCTTACCCTGTATGAAGCCAGAAAAGTCGTGCAACGACGTCAGGCTTTTCAAAGTCGTGTACCGGGGATTCCACGGCCCATGAATAATCAGGTCACGGTTGTAAAGCACATCGGACCTTTCCTGTTCACGGTCAGCACGTATGTTTCTAAATGTCAGCACGATATGAATGAGATGCTGTTAGGTGAAATTGGAATGCAAGATAATATGCCGAAAGATGAGAATACTTAGATTCATTTCTAATAGGAGCAAATGGTGCACCTATGCCGAGCGGAGCGAGCTTGTGTATGGAGCATGAGAGCGCTTCATTACAGTACTAGCTCCGGTATAGCGTCAAGGAGCTCCTGTCTACCTTGACTGAATCTGTTCGTTAGCCCTTTCTACTTGAGAGATTCCAGCGTGTTCGAATTTCCAGAATTCGACAACGCCTTTACCTTTGCGCATTACATTTCTCTTCCTTGTGTTGATGGAGAGCTAGCACGCTTTGTTTCAAGACTAGTTCTCCAGGACAGGAGCAATCTGCGCCTCCTTGCCTTGGCCGTGCCTAGGTTTGTTCAGCCCTTTGTTCTTGCCAGACTTCGAGGTTTCTGAATCCGGCACCGGCTTTACCTTTGCGCCCTGCGTGCCACTCTTCTCGTCCTTGTACTGGCGCAACTTACTGAGCTTTTGATCTTCATAGACCTTCCAGGGCGCGATCTTAAAAGCCTCGTCGTTGATACTGTCCGGATCCAGCTTCAGCCTGGCCTCAAAGTCCTCGCCTATCTGTTCTACACGCTCCGCCAGGGCCTGCTTTTCGTCGACAACGATATCCTCTGCTCCGTTAGAGTAGTTCAGATCTCCCCATGTGATATCATCAATCTCTTGAGAGAAGATGCGGAGCAACTTTGTATTAGTTTCAGACCGCGAGTGTATCCCGCACCCACCAGATATCGTCTTCATACGATAGCCGCACCGTACGTGCTTCCCGTCCAATTTCGACTCCCAATCGCAACAGTACATCATGTGACCTCGCAAATAACATCGACGGGTCAAGGCGTGGCCCCGCACGTCACCGCCGCCTGTGCAGTGGTGCGGCTTTGTCACCGCACCAGTGCGTATGTTGTTGACAGCCGGATTGAAAATCTGGCCATCAAAGTTCGGGCCGTACAGAAACGCCAAAGCCGTTTCCATGTCTGCATATGTAATCTTTTCTTCGTCTTTGTGCTGCGAGTAGTCCCATGTTGATGTGACGTCCTTTGGAACCGTCAAGTCACGTCGGGACAACTTACTATTCACGGTCTGACTGTTCTTTGGGTTGGTCATGGCTAGCGATTGGGAACTGGTTGTAGTGGTCTTGCTCGGGGGCTCAGTAGGGGGCGATTTGGATAAGGGATACTCTCGAATGAATCTCTGGAAGATATAGGCCTCGGATTGAGTATGATAGTGGTTGCGAAGGTGGATCTCTGTTTGGAGCGTTGGAAAGATGTGGGCATGCTTTCTTGTAGCATTTCGGGGCTGAAGGTGGCAGATTGAAACTTGTTCGAGCACAGTGATTGCATCTACTGTTCGCGCTCAACCAACTACAGTCAGTCATGATGTTAGCCTCAAGTGCACAGAGTAGCAGCGCACACAAGGTCGCTCTAGAGTTGCAGGCAGTATTGACTCATGCTGCAGATATTCACGAAGCATGCAATCATACAGAAAAAAGCTAACAATAATTGCAGCTCGTCGGGGTATTAAGCCTTCTGGAAGATGGTACATTGGATAAGCTTCAACGAGGTGCATTATTGGTATTTGGATGATTGGTAGTTTCCATGTCCGTTGTGCGCTCAGACACTGTTCCTTCACTTCGCCCACGCTCGAGTACAAACACCTCCCGCATTGTTAACATCTGTATTGTAGCGTTTTGCTACCACCAAATCCACCATGCGGCGCTCTTTTTGAAGCGTTTAGATAATGGAGTGTCGCACGGCTTGTTCTCGACCTCCAAAGCGAAGATGAAATCCACGTATCAAAAAGTGACAGTGAAGTTGCGGCGCACTGCAGGCTCTCTTTCTGCCCCCGGTGGAGTCATCGAAGTCGTTGACTCGGCTCCAGTCCTCCCTCCTATCATCATCGGTACTTCCCCTGACCTCGACAACTCAGTGGGTGTCATGCTAAACCATCTTGCTGAAAAAGACTCTACTTCCGTGTCAGCAGTACGTTATACGGAAACTGCGTCCAACAACTCTGGTACCTCGACGCCGAAGTCCCGGTCAGATGATACCTCTTACGAGACAGTCCATACCTCAGACACGGATCTCACCCCCCAGCTGCCCCAATACACGAATGTGCTACCAGGCTGCGTCACTGACTTACCTGTCACTGCAGTCTCGACAGTATTGGCAGACAACACCCCCCCTGAATCTACAGAGTCACAGTCTGCAGAATCTGAGCCCATCGCAGGTTTTTGGCGGTGGATGGTGTTGCAACCTAGGGGGGCCAGTGTTGTGTTGCTTGCGTCTTGTCCTCGTACGGTTGAAATGAATGATCTTCGCGTGAGCCTCAGGGGCTGGATTGACAACTTCGTATAATTGACACTCTTACACTCGATTCGCGTTCATATTCTTAAAGGCCCAATAAGAAATAAATGTTTGCAATTCCAAGCACTGTTGAACTCAAGTGGATCTTATGCGTCGTCGACTATTCTAACGTCATAAACATCAGCGCCTGTCAGAATTGTGACAGAGAAGCGGGAAAACCCTGAGTGTCTGCATATGTCTGGTTTGACGTGCTGTAAGGGCAACATGGACTCTAACTAAACATGCAGGTACATTATAGTACCATGGTACGTGCTATTGTCAGCTTCTGGGCAGTGGCATCTGCATATTTAGACATCATTATCCCAACTTCACACTGACATATGATTCGAACCTGCATGTCGTTATTCGTCCTTGACAACTTCCTCCCGCCTCCAACCCTCCATCTCCTGCTCTACATCCCCCGACAACCCCTAATACACACCAGGAAACAACTTCCACCTTACCACCCGCCGATACCCCTCCCACTCGTCGCCATACTTGCCCTTCAAATACGCCTCCTTGGGCGGAATCGCATTGTAGCAGAAATTGCTGAGATACATTGCCACCGGGGCCCCCGCAAACAGCGGCCCGGCGGTCGCAAACCCATACGCAGCGCCATACACAACGTTGAGCGCGAAATTCGGATGCCGGACGACCCCCCACAGGCCGCTGGCGCACAGCTTCCCGGCATTGCGCGGGGAGGCCTTGAACCGCTTGCGCTGCAGCTCGGCGGCCAGCTCGGCGAGGGCGGCGCTCGCATGCACTGCCGCGCCGGCGTACAGCATCCACGGGCGCCAGAGCGGGATCGAGGGCGCGCGCGTGAACACGGCGGCGCAGATGCTTTCGTACATGAAGTCGGCGATGCCGGCGAACAGCGCGAAGGGGAGTGTCACGGCTTCGTTGCAGATGTAGAGGACCCAGATGGACTGCTTGAGGACGAGGACGGCGGTCATGCCGAGGAAGACGGCGAGGGGGCCGGGCGGGGCGGGGAGTGCGGCGGGCCAGAAGGAGAGGTCTGTGGGCGTGCTGGGCAGCGCGGTGATGATGGCGTACTGCAGGGGGATGCAGACGAGGCGGCCGGCGATCATGAGGAGAGGGCCTGGCAGCGTCCAGGCGTAGTTGCCGCGCTGGACGGAGAGGGCGTTGTCGCTGGCCATGGTGTGGTGATGGAGTGTTGCTGATGGCGGGGACAGAGGGAGTATGACGCTGGTGCTTTAGTGCTGACAGCTAAATGCTGACGCCATGTTCTCTCGAGGCAGCATGGTTAAGGCAGGTCGATGTCTGGGGTCTGGATTGATTGGTTTAGGAATGCTGATGTCGGCTTGCCGTTGTTGGCGGTTCCTGTCGTGCATCCGGCGGGCCTGTGAGATTCGTCATGGAAACATGTAGGCAAGAAAGAGCAGAAAGAACGAACGGATGGTCTAAATACTCTACCCTATCATACACCCAGCAACCCCAAAAAAACCCTACGAAGGAGGCAGCTCCCCCCCCTCCCTGCTCCCACCGGTCTGCACCTTCTCCTTCACCACCTGCTTGGCCTGCTCCACCTTGCTGCTCCCCCCGCTGTTCAGAAACGACAGATAGCAGTTCCAGCCCAGCGAGATGACGTTGACGACCAGCACGCGCAGGTCGGCGGGCACGTACTTGAAGTTGACAAACTGCACCCACGGCCAGACCATGAAGTTCTTGGTTAGGCCGGGGACGTAGGCGGCGCCCAGGCGGTCGCGGATCGAGGAGCCTTCGAGGTAGGCCATGGAGGAGAGGAAGAGGCCTGGTGGGGTTAGCACCGCTGTATAGATATCGTGTAGACATCCTGTAGACATCTTGTAGACATCGTAGAGAGATCGCAGTATCATAGTATCACGGGGAAACGCACCCATATTCACCGGCGCAAACAACAACTGATCGCACGCGACCCTCGCCACAATCGTCCCGTTCTTGGACGCAAAGTTCACGTGCCGCGTCAACAGGCCGTACCACGTCGTCGCGGCGGGCCCGAAGATCAGGCCCCCGTAGGCGCTCATGCGCAGCGTGCGCTTGGGGTCGTGGGCGGCCAGGCCGCGCTTCTCGACGAGTTGCTGCGCGAGGCAGTCGCCGGTGCCGAAGAGGATCTGGGGGCGTTAGTTGGGGGTTGGGAGTCGAGGGTCGAGGGTTGAGGGACTGGGGTTGAGGGACTGGGGCTTGGGGAACTGGGGCTCGAGGTTGGAGGAATTGGAGGTCGAGGGTTCAGAATTGGAGGACGAGGGTTGAGAATCGCAAGCTCGAAGGCCGAAGAACCAGGCCCTCTCGGGCTGAAGAATCGTGCCTCGAGGGCCGGAATTGAACATACCGCGGTAGTAATAGCCTGCGTCGCCAGCGGCGCCGTCTTGAGCTTCGCCTGATACCTGCCATCCATCAGCACCCCGCTCCCACACACACTGCACACCACAGCACCCAACTCACCAACGAAACGCCATTGTGCCTGTCTTTCTACACGAACTGCGGGATGCGAGAGAGGAAACGAGAAAGCGAGCGAAAGGAGTCAAGACAGTCGGCCACCTGTCGTGCTCGAAACTTTGCGGACGTTGCGGGCTAGCTAGGGGCGCCCGATGATGTCGCACGGCGCCTGGGAGTGGACCCTGCGTGGGGAGCGCGCGGGCGGCGGCGCGGCCTGTGATTGCTGGGGAAGCGGGAGGGCCAGAGGTTAGCACTCAGGAGAGCCGCACGTGGTGTGTGAGCACGGCGTACAGCAGAGTCTGGGCTTTGTTTTTCATTGTTTGTTTTCATTGTTCATTGTGCACAACGCAATACAAGGCAAAAATACATTGCGCCGCCTGATCAGTCGACTGCCGGCGATGCGTGGGGGTATAAAAATAACCAGGCCCTACTGGCGATCGCTGGGCAATCGGGCTTCGGGGTCCCGCTGAAGTAATGGGCTACAGTCTTGCTCGCTCGCGACCCTCCCCGGCTGCCATCAGCCAGGGCATCCTAATCCTACAATGCCATAACGCCGTCCGAGACCGCTTTCGGCCGGATGAGAATTAAACTGGTGCTCGCGAACCGCAGAGCCGGGTATTCAAGAGGTCGTGTCGTGAATTGTATATGGCTGGTAGAAGTCATAAAACTAGTCAAACAAATGCAGGCGTTCAACTAGTCAATCTCCATGCGCTGGTTGGGCTGCGGCCCTTCCACCGACGGCATCTCGGTGCCATACGCCTTGTCGCTCGTCACCGACTTCTTGTTGACGTGGGGCTTCAGGCCCTTGTTGAAGTTGTGCGTGCAGATGCTCGCAATGACAATGGTCATCAGCAGCAGGATGATGGTCAGGATGGCAAAGGCCGTCAGCGACTTGCGCGCCGGCTTGTAGTCCTCCTGGCGGTCGAGGTCCGCGACATACATGCGGATCAGCTTGAAGAGGAAGTAGGCGAGGGCCACAAAGTAGACGAAGATGCAGGCAATCATGCCGGCGATGGACTCGCGGCGCACCCAGAAGGCGGCGGCAAAGAGCAGGAAGAAGGTGATGACCAGGGCGGCGGCGGTGAGGACAATCTCGACCGTGGACGTCTTCTCGACGACGACGAGGAACTGCACGGTGAAGGCCAGGAAGAAGAAGAAGTCGAACTTGAGCAGGGCGATGTAGATCTGGGGGGGTTAGACAGATTTGACTAAACATGTAACGTCATGCGTACCTGGTATGTCAGATAGCGCCGCTTCAGGCGCAGGTCGGCGCTGATGTGCTTGTAGATGGTCCAGGCGAACTCGTCGTACAGCTTCCAGGCCACAAAGGCAAAGGCAATGGTGGCAGCGCCCATGAGCACGGGCACGGCGATCAGCATGGGCTTGACGTCGTGCCAGAAGTCCGAGGGGATGAAGTTCTGGTCGTCGAGCTGCTTGGCGGCGTCGCCGATCTGGTCGTACTGGATGGCGGCGTAGACCATGATGCCGATGTTGTACATGACCAGGCCGATGACCTGGATGGTGTTCTTCAGGCGCAGGGCGTCCCACACCAGGAACAGCTGGTAGAGGTAGCCGAACATGAAGACGGCGAGGTAGGTGGGCACGGTGCGGGCATCGCTGTTGACGTTGGGGGCTTCAAAGTGCAGCTCGCTCTGGAAGCGGCCGAAGACGTATCTGGGCGGGTCAGCAGGGCGACAGCAAAACAAGACGGACGGGCACACGCACGACTCGAGGGTCAGGGCGACGACGACCTGCAGGATGGCGACGAGCATAAAGGCCCAGGTCCACTTGGTGTTGGGGATGTACATCCTGGGCGGGCGGCGGACGGGCGGCGGCAGGGTGGTGGGGAAGCCCTCGCGTTCGTGGTATCCGCCCGGCGGGGCGGTGAAGGTCGGCTGGCGGGGCGGGTAGGCGGTGTTGGGGTAGGGCGCGTAGTCGCTGTCGAGCGGTTGGCCTCCCAGGAGGGATGTGCGGGCCTCGTGGTGCGTAATTTTGGCGAAGGGGCAGCCGCGGGCAGCGGCTGGGACACGGGGCTATAAGGCGCGGAGTCGATGGCGGCGGGCGTCGGCGTGGATAAAGAGCGGTGGCAGGGCTGAGCTGAGACGAGGGTGAGGCAGCGACGGGCGGGGATGGTCTGCGCGCGACGACAGCTGAGACGGGGCACGCGGGCAATGGGCGCAGCTGGGGAGCTGGGGGCGCGCTGTGTGGACAGGCTGGCGCACGCTACTGAAACCGCGCGGGAGCTTGGCTGCGGCGAGGCCGAAGCGCGGGAGGCCGAGGGCGGGCGAGGCAGCGCGAGGGCAGGGCAGCGAGGGCGGGCGAGCAGCGGGCAGCGGGCAGCGAGGACGGGCGTTGAAGAGAGCAGAGGGCGCGACGGACACTGAGGCCTGGCAGCAGGGCCGCTAGCATGGGACGGGCCTGTGGAGAAAGGAACGCTTGCGATGGTGCAGGCTGGCCGAGCTGGGGACGGGGCTAGACTGGAGTGCTGGGGGTGTGCTGCGACGGCTGAGAGAGCAGCGGACAGCAGCGAGCAGCGAAGATCACAGCGAAAGAAGAGCGCAGCGACGACGAGACAGCGAGACAGCGAACAAGCAACCAGCCGACGACGAGGTACCGGCCTTTTCACGAGGCCGCGCAGCGACCAGCACTGCCCTGGCCGGCCGGCTTTGCGCCCGTCAGACTGCAGCGCACAGCTGCTCGCACCGCCGCTCGCACCGCCGCTCGCACACTGCGGTGTAAGACGCGAGGCGCGGCAGGCTATATTTGGCGCGCCCTGTGGCGCAGGCGTCCGTCGCGAGTCGCGCGTCGCCCGTGGGCCACCGTCAGCGTCACCGTCCCCAGCATCACCACCTCAGCGACCTCCGCCCGCAGACATGGCCGCAGGTACGGCGCCCCTCCGTGTTCGCTCGCACCGCGCGCGCAGCTGCTGACCGTGGTAGCCCACGCCGTGCTGCAACAGGCCGCGGCCGACGGCTCGCTGGACAGCGCTGAGTGGCCGCAGACGCTGCAGTACGTCCTGGCCCGCCTCGACGACATCATCCACGAGTTCCCCAAGCCGCCCGCCGACGCCGGCCCCGACGCTGCCCCCGACGCCCATGTCTCTGCCTCTGCCTCTGCCTCTGCCGCGCCCGCCGCCCAGCAGCCCGCCCACAACGACGACGCGCCGCCCACAACCCCCCCGCGCCCGCCGCCAGTGCCCGTCTTCGCCGCCCCCGCCGCCAGCGCCAGCGCCATCCCGCCCGCGACCACCACCTTCTACGCCGCCATCCGCGCTGCCCTCGTCCGCAACTTCGCCACCCACCCGCCGCACACCATCCAGCGCCTGGCCGAGCTCGTGCTCGAGCCCAAGCGCCGCTACAAGTACCTGTCGCCCTACCTGCGCGCCCTCGACCGCGTCGTGTCCGTGTCGTCGCCGCTCACCGTCTTCCCGCTGCCGCAGGCCGTGCTGCCCAGCGCCGGCGGCCTGCTGAACGGCACCACATCCGTGCCGACCGCCCAGACCCCGACCCTCGGCTCCGACGAATCGCTCGGGGGGGCCCTGCTCACCCCCATCCCGTGGCTGCACAGTCGCGGCCAGAATGAGCTGATCTCAGAGAGCACAGAGATGGTCGACGGGCCGAACGGCGCAGGGCGCATCGAAACCGTCACCGTGGGCATGCTCACTGGCCAGGCCGCCCGCCAGGAAACCGCTGCCTCGCCCCCAGTGTCGCAGATTGCCTCGTCCCACCCCGACGGTGAAACGCTGCCGTCAACCGGGCCTGTGACCCAGGGCGAACTGCTGCGCCAGGAACAGCAGGCTGGCATCGTGCTCAACAACCCCCATTCCCTGACCACGAGCCCCACACGGACAACCTTCGGCGAAATTGAGGGCGGGGGCACTGTCGTTGAAACAGTCGAGGCAGAAGATGAGGCCCCACATGCCAGAGGCCCTGAGCGGATCGGCATGGAAGATACCGGCCCCCAAAAACAAGGCGCGTCACTCGACATTGAAGGAGCAGTTGGACGCCCTAGCCTCGAGCACTCAAGCCGAAGTCCCGGCCCAGCAGCCCCTGATGCACCCGCCGACGAGAACATGGAAGACAGCGCCGAGAAGAACGAGGACGACCAGGCTGCCGAAGAGCAGCTCAAGACCGAGGTCGCCGAGAAGGAGAGGACCGATGCCCACGATGTAGAAATGAAGTGAGAGGGCGACTGCTCGCGTTTTCGCAGTGCCACATGGCCTTGCATCAACCAGCGCAGCGTTACGCTCGGAGCTGAACGCTGTAACGTGCAGCTGAATCCAGCACGACGGTAGGCAGCAGGTTGCAGTGCATCGCGCACACAGGTGCGCGCCAAAGCGGGCGCACAAAACAATGCGAGGCTGGCGCTGGTGTACGTAGACATGCAAAGGCTCACATTTACGTGCGCGCAATCCCTCCATGCATCATTCCACTCGTGCAGAATCCCATGCGTGACACCTTTCCGGAACGACATCCGCCAATAACAACGCAGTCTCGACTTCCCCTTTAGACTAGCAAATTCTTACCAGCATTACCAGCTTCCTGATTGCGCTGACCTCATGTGCCCCCAAATGACGGAGCTGCAGTGCAAGCGGGCAGTGTCTGGGGATCGCGTGGCCGTCTCCACTTACCGCGTCGTTCGACGCCAAATGACGTCGACAATGGCCGACATTGTCTCGACCAAAGCAGGGTCTCTGCCCATATGCAGGTCAGCGAGGATCGCTCGACCCAAGAACATCAGGCACATCTGCTCGTGACAACGCAATCGACGCTTTCTCATCCGACACATCAGCCTCATGCCCCACCCATGTCGTCATGCCGCTGTGCTGGTCGCGACTTGGACCCTGGCGGCTTTGTCGGACCAGTTTGTTGTGCAGCGTCTGCATACCAGTCCACCTGTTCCTTCCCGTACGCACATCAGTGCGGTTAGCGCCTCGGCAGCAATACTCTACGCTACCGTCCTCGGCCGTGAACGCTTTTTCGGCATGACGACGGGCCTCGCCACGCACTCCTCATCGACGGCAGTCTTGAACATCTCAAAACGTCCTTCTCATCGACCGTTAGAGCTTCGGCACTGCGCTCCCGGTAAGCGAAGGAGCCCATTCGCTCGCCTTCTTGCTCCGTGGCCTGCACCCTACCTGGTCAGATCTCATTCGGACCCTCACATCGTACAGATCATGTTCTCTCCCTCAGCTAGGTCCACCACATCCAACATGACGACATCGATCCAGCTCCGGGGAGACTTCAGTACATATCTTCCGAGCAATCTGACGATCCGGGTGTTACTGCCAAAATGCAACCCGTGTTCCGACAACTTGCTCCTGCTCCACCCCATGGGAATCCAGAGCCCAGCGGCAGCGAGCCGCGGAAGAGGAAGAGAAAAGCACGATTGGCCTGCAACCATTGCCGACTGAAGAGAGTAGGAGTAAGTATGCCGATTCGTCGTTGATGCCATACATTAGCGCCCGCCTGGTGCCCGTTGTCAGCCTGCGTCCGACGACTAACAACGTCTTGCAGTGCGATGGCACTCGTCCAGAATGCACTCGATGTCTGAGAGCCCGCGTGCCCTGTGTCTACTTGTCAGACGATGCAGAAGCTACACCGACAATGGCACTCAAGAGTGAAGTGGAGAACCTTCAGCGCCGACTACAAGAGCACAGCGACTTCCTGCAGAACCTCTTCACCGCGCCAGAGGACGAGATCTTGAACATTGTCCGCCAGCTGCGATCCGCCGACGGTGCCTCGGCTCTGCCGTCATCGTATCAGAGCAGCGCAGTAGTTCCAACTCAACTGTCCGAGCATGTTCCGGCACGAGCAGTCATGGCCTCGCCAGAATCCGGCATCGAGCTTGAGCTGGTCATGCGCCATCCCACGGCATATCCAGCTCTCATATCACCAAGCCCTTCATCGATAACGTCGGCCAAGCTCACCGGAGGATCTGCTCAGACCACGCCGTCCGGTACCACCTCGTCGTCTCCCAGCGATCCCTACACGTACTGCGATCCTCGCCTCGAAAATCTCTCAGTAGGATACTGGACGCGAATACCAATCGACGACGAGCTTGCTGCTCGAGCCATATCACATTTCCTGACAACCGATCACCCTGTGCTTGGACTGTTCGATGCCGACCTCTTCATTCGCGATCTGGTGAATCAAGGACTGAACCATTGCTCATCCTTCTTGTTCCACTCTGTCATGTCGCTCGCTTGTGTATGTTACGTTGAATGTTCGAAAGACATATTTTGACCAGCACAGCAATCGTACAGCGCAGAGAACTTGCAAATAGTGCCCTTTGCGACCGCGTTTACTGAAGAGGCGCTCAAGCTATGGCACGCCGAGCGTTCGACTGACTCAACCCCGACACTTGCAGCTCTGAACTGTCTTTCGGTGGCCACCGCATGGAACGGGAGAAACGAGCTTGGAAACCACCAGCTACTTGCGGACGCTCGTGCGATGGCTACGAGAATGCAGCTCCTTGATGTTCCCCCTTCGGACACAGCCATGGATCAGTTCCAAGATTTGGCCGAAGACGAATTGCGGGACCGGGCACACGTGGCTTGGGGCAGCTATGGCTGGCAATCGTAGGCCAGCCGATCCAAGTTCGCGGGACAGCACGCTCACCGGTGCAGGTTTTGCGCCAGCTTTTTCCCCAAGTCGCCGATCAAGTATCCACCCAACTTTCCCATTCCTGGTGATCATTTCGACATATTCGCCACGCTTGACACGTTCGGTCCGGCGCATCCGTCGCCAGACTACGTCGGGCATACGTTCACGGCTATGAGCCAGTTTTGGGTCATCGTTCAGGAGATCTTGGCCGTATACAGCATGCAAGATGAGTCGCCCTTGGTCGACAGAGTGATACCATCGTTCGCTGAAGCGAAGTACCGGAAGTTGTTGGCTTGGGCAGATACGCTTCCAAAAGAGCTCGGCAATAGTTCAAACAGCGCAGCACACGTGTACCTCTTCCAGTACGTCTACCTATGTATTATTCGACATATCTGACCTTATCAAGCGCCTTATACCACACGACCATCCTCAATCTATTCCGGCCCTTCTGCAACCCGCCCGATATCATCCGCCTGCGCTCGTTCTCCTCGGCGGACAGCACATCTCGTAATGTCTTCTCGGCGTCTGTCAAGCAGCTGAAACGGCTTGTTTACAACTATCGTACCTATGTGCCTCGGCGTCTCGCGCGCAGCATCATCTTCAATGCGGCTGTGCTGCACCTCAGCAGCATCATTGTGCATCAGGCCGACATTGACTCGTCGTGGAGATTCTTCTTCCGCATCTGCTTCGACTACTGGAAAGACGTTTACGTCTGCTACCGTGTCGTCGCAGGGATAGTACCGGCGCATCTGTCGCTCGCACTGCAAGCAGGCGCCATCACGCCAAAAGAGGCGAAGGCATTGAAAGACGAGTTTGTGGCCGTGGGCAGGCACCACAAGATGGCAGATGGAGTATTGACAGACGCATATGTAGATTTCCACAGGGCGATCAGGAAGGAGGAGGGCGCGACCATGCACGAGCTTGCGAAGAGGTTCGATGAGCTTATGATGTTCGAGGACTTCACCCAAGAGCTTGGAGACGTCGAGCGGTGGTAATGACTAAGACACGAGCTTTCCAAGAATACCAAGCCCTTGACCGTTGCAACTAGGAACAATTCGCGGGGTAAGTCCGGGGTAGTCTTAGTGCACGCGCCTCCGTGACACTGAAGCCACTGCAACCTTTGCTGGAACAGCCGGCAACTACTCATAATGTCGTGATCACAAGAAACGGATCACCTCTATAATGAAACGCCATTTCTACAACGCCATGGTTGTACGCGGCCTCATCAAATATTCGTCCGCCACCAAATTTATGGCGCCACCTCGGAAATATACCTCGTTGCGTGAAACATCATAGGGCGTCCCCGATATGGCGAAGACCCGAGCACAGGTAACGCGGGATTGGCTGCAGAGACAAAATCCTACATTATTTCCAAGACCGGCCGGGCGGAAGTGAAGCCCAGCGAGTGCGATATCGCGCGTGGGAACAGGGGTGTAGTATAAGTAGTCAGGTACCGCGCACGAAGAATAGCAAGCCTGCACACAACTCCTCAAGATGCACCTCACCACCGCCCTCCTTGCGCTCGCGGCCGCCCCGCTCGCGGCCGCGCTCCCCGGCTCAAACACCCCCAAGTCCGTCAAGCCCCAGGACATCATCAACTCGCTCGCGGGCACCTACGCGCTCGTCAACACCTCGAGGTATGCATTCACCACCGCATCCGAAGAACCCCCCACTAACCCCCCACCCCAGCACCCAAAACAACATCCCCATCCCCGACGCCGCCTACGGCACCGCCCCCGTCGGCCTCCTAACCTACACGCGCGCGGGCTACATGAGCGCGACCATCACCGCAACCGAACCCCAACTACGCCCGAACCTGACCTTCCCCTTCCAGCCCGCCGACGCAGAAGCCGACTGGGCGCTCGTCGGCAAGCACAGCATCGGGTACGCGGGGCCGTTCCGGGTGAATACCGCGCTGCCGGCGAGTAAGACGGAGGGCCAGGTGTTCCATGGGCCGCTGACGGTGGCGAATGTGCCGACGTGGGTGGGCACGGAGCAGAGGAGGAATTATACGGTTGTTGTTGAGGGGGGGGAGACGTATCTCAGGATTGGGAGTGAGCGGGGGGGCGGGTTTAGGGGGGTGCTTTGGTGGAGGAGGATTGCTGGGGCGGTGTAGTCTTGCAGAGAGAGAGAGAGAGAGATTAAAAATTTCATGTACTGCTGGACTGAGTGTTTGTGGACTGAGTGTGCGTGCTTCGCGGTGCCGTGATATCGTATGAGGTCGGTTGTTGCGCGGGAGATCTGGATGCATCAGTGATGTGCGCGGGCCGCACGGGGGTTTCTCACAACTCCTTCCTTCCTTCCTTCCAGAAAAGCGGGCGTGCGTTGCTCCCGTGCCTGCATCCGCCTCTTGCGCCGCTGTGCGTGGTGTGGACTGGAGGGCACGGGTGGTGTAATCATTCATTCATTCATTCATTTATTTCGTGGGCCAGGAGACACGCATCTAGCGACTCCTTGGATACTGCGTCTAGTGGCACACGGGCTGTATAGTCTCTCTCTACACTGACCCACACAACGACCCCCACAACTCCTCTTTCTACCACGGTTGGTTGCAGTTGATCATGTTATGGCGAATGGACTGGGATAAGCCCGCGTGGCGAGTGGATTGAGGCACCGCACACCCATCTACGCTCACCCGTCTACGCTCACCCGTCTGCGCTCACCCTCTACGCTCACCCTCTACGCCCACCTCAACGTCCAAGTCCCCTGCCATGCGCCTCCCTTCGTCAGCTCATTCAGCCCCGACAGCTTCAGCGTGCTCGCCGACGCATTATACGCGACCTTGTCCGAGTCCACCACAAGCTCATTAAGCGTGACCCGCGTCGGCGTGCTGTGCACACCCAGCACCGTGACATTGCCCAGAGCATTCTTGTCCTCGAACTCGCCACTAACAGTCGCCGTCAGCGCGCCGTCGCCCGCGCGGAACACGACGTCCAGCACGCTGTCCTGCACCAGCGACGTCCCGTCGTCGACATACAGCGACCCGGCCGCCGTGCCGTCAGCGGAGAGCGCAACGAGCAAGCCCCACGGATTGCGCCGCGACGCCGTCGTCGTGTACCCGGGCTCCTGCAGCGGCAGCACGGCGCCGCCGCGCACGAAGACGGGGATGTGGCCGAGCGGCGCGGGGATCGAGGTGTTGACGCCCGGCTTGGCGGCGACGCGCTCCCCCGTGTACCAGTCGTACCAGACGGTGCCGTCGACGAGGCCGGGGAACACGGCGCGCACGGTCGAGACCTGCGGCTCGAGGACGGGGGTGACGAGCAGCGCGGGGCCGAGCAGGAACTGGTTGTCGACGGCGGCGAGCTGGGGCTCGTTGGGGAACTGGGTGTGTTAGTCACTCAGTGTGCTCGCAGTCGATATGGACGTACCTCCCACGCCAGCGCGCGCATGACGGTCGAGCCCGTGGTGCTGGCCTGGTGGAACAGCGTGTACAGGTACGGCAGCAGCGCGTAGCGGATCTGCATTGCGGCGCGCGACGACTCGGCGACGCTGGCCCAGCGGTACGGCTCCTGGGACAGCGCGGAGAGCGTGTTGTGGTTGCGGTAGAAGGGGAAGAAGGCCGAGAGCTGCATCCAGCGCGCGCAGAGCTCCGAGTTGGTGTTGCCGTTGAAGCCGCTGCGGAGGTTAGTGTGAGTTCTTCATAGCATGGGGCATGTCTGGACTTACCACGTGTCGACGCCGAACATGGGGATGCCGAACAGCGAGAACGAGAGCGCTTGCGGGATCGAGAAGTACATGTAGAACCACTGCGAGCCGTTGTCGCCGCCCCAGTGGCCGGCCCACTTTCCGCTCCCTGCGAACGTCGAGCGGCCGATGATGAAAGGTCGCTTGCCGGGGAAGACCTTCAGAAGGCCTTGATAAGTCGCGTTGATGATCTGGTGGCCCCAGACGTTGTGGACATCGTACTCGGCCACGCCGTTCTGGTGGGTGGCATTGGGGCTGACGGCATGGACCGCGAGATCGCCCTGGACGTGGTCGAGCACATAGGGCGGGTGGTTGACGTTGCGGACGCCTGGGGTAGGCTTGGTGCGGAGGTACTCAGCCGAGACGGTCGCCGCCGCGGTGGCCGACGCAGCAGCATCCTGACTCGACTTGGCAGAAGACGCCGCCGCAGCCTCGGTTGCGTTGGTAATATTGAAGCCCTCCGGGAAGTCGTAGATGATGTTGCCCAGATCGCCCGGCAGCCAGAAAGGCGGGTGGACAGGATTCAGCGTCACGTTTCCGGTGCCGCACGAGCCGACGCAGAAAGACGAGACTTCGGTCATGTCGACCCAGAACCCGGAGAAGGGGACCTGCTTCGACCATCTGACCATCTCTTGCACCCACCAGTCCACGCCGTTGGCGGACAGCCAGTCCGGGAAGACGGTGTATCCGGGCCACACGGCGCCGATGTACTGGCTCCCGTCGGGGTTCTTCAGGAAAACATCCGAGTCGTTGCCGCGCGTGTACGTGTCGTACGCATCGCTAGCATTAGTGGGGTTGGGGATGTAGATGGCGGCATCGACAATCGGCACAAAGTGCTGGTCATTGCCATGCAGCCAGTCGAAAAACTCCTTCACCCCCGACTCCGGGAACGAGAACGGGTCTAGTGTGAAGTCACGGTACTGATTCATGTAGTCGATATCCAGCCAGATGGTCTCCATGGGGATGTCGAACTTGCGCAGCGTCTCCACGACCTCGCGCACCTCCGCCCAGTTGCGGTATCCCCAGCGGCACTGGTGGTAGCCAAGCGTCCAGTACTGCTGCATGGCGGGCAGGCCGATGGCGGAGGTCTGGTATTGCTTGGTGACCTCGGGCTGCGTCGGGCCCTCAAAGAAGAAGAGATCGATGCTGCCGCCGAGACTCCTCCAGGTCAGGTTGGAGGGCTTGAGCACGACCTCCATACCGTGCAGGTTGCGGAGGTAGACACCGTGGGACTGCGACTCAAAGATGGAGCCTTTTCCGTCGGCGGGATAGCCGCCATTGCTGTCGCCGTAGCCGCTCGCCTCGAGCTCGGATTGCGTGAGGGGCTTCCTGGTGCCGTTGTCGCCTGCGGGAAAGTAGCGAGTCTCCAAATAGAACGGGTGGCTTCCGTAGATATTGCGATCGACTGGGTCACCCACGTCGGCAGCGTAGATGGTCGCAGTGTAGTCATTATTCAGGCGCAGACCGTGAATGTGCTCACCGAGACCGTAGAGATTGTAGTCGTCAGGAAGGGTGCTGACAAACTCAATGAACTGGTCTTCGTAGACAAGATGGGAGCCCTTGCTACTGAAGATAACGTCTTTGGTTGATTGGCGGGTCACGGTAAACCAGAAGGATGGATCATCGCCCCAATCAAATGCGAGATCGAGGTCCTTGTGCGAGTCTTCAGCCTGAGGTCTGGGGATCAGGCTTTCAGGCACGATATAGTGTGAAGCGTTTGACGCATCCTGGTTATGTTAACGTTTGAGGCTTCGAGCATTGCCAGAGTTGGTAGCAAACAAGTACTTGATGGCGAGCAGACAGAATCCACAGTCCCTCCGCCACCAAATAGCTGTTGTAGCCAACCCTGCGGGAGACGTACAAGATATGCAGGGCTGATGTTGATCGCCAGCCTGTCATTGGATTGGTACTCGACCTTCAGGTTGAGCACATCAACATCATTCCCGTAAACGTTACAGGGGGCCCCTGCCAGCCTCAACACAGCGCTGATACCATCGTCTGTCTCCTGCAGCTGCGAGGCCTTGTAGCCCGGGCACACATCCTGAGCATTGACTGCTTCGGGGTCATGGATGTTGGAGATGAGATAAGCTCCCTGGTCTGCAGACGCCGGGATTGTGAACTGAGAGCGAACCGACGTGGACGTGGACGTGCCAGTCAGCGTTGTGCTCGCAGAAGTCGGCGTAGCCGTCTGGACCTGCGCAGCGGTGCCCGCCACAAGCGACGTAACCAGCGCCGAAGCGTGCAGAAAGCTTGACGGAGCCATGTGGGCACCTTGGTGAAGTTCAGCTGCCGCCGGCGACTTCTGATAGGAGCGAAGGAGGTAGCAAAGAGAGAAGAGACTCAGGCCTGTTGCTGCTGCTGCCCTCTTCCACGGCAGCGCGGGACGCTGCATGTTATACCTGTGTCCCATCTGAACGGGAGCGCGCTGCTTGTCGGCCATGGTGAGTTCCCCGCAATGTAGAACAAGCGTATGATGACGATGCTCACAGGGACAGATGCACTGCAACGCAGTGGTCGGCGGGATTGACGTGCAGTCCACATGATCGTACTTCCAAGCATCACCTCCGCACCGACAACTGACCAATCGGCGTGCGCAGTCGCGCCGGCACGGTGGATACTCTTGGCGCTAGCTTGTTAGGGTAGACAGCTTGACCATACAAGACTCGTACCACGAGAGCTTGCTTGCGACAGTGTTGCGGCTGCATCTCAACGCCTTGAGCCGCAAGTGGTACGAGTGGGGTAGATCAGTCGATCTCCATCGTTCCCCGCATGTCAACAGCTCGACATGTCCGCCTTGCTTCCGAGCCGGGCTTCCGAAGTGGGCATTGAGTCCTAGTTCTGACGGATGTCTTCAAGGCTGGTTGGGTAGAGTCTGAAAGTTAATAATTCGATGTTAGAACACAGTCGCTGGTAAGAGAAATCCAGTACCAGACACCTCTGTGTGAATGAAACATAGACTTGGATGAAAAGCTGGGAGATGTCCGGAAAACCTTCGTGACCGCTTGCCACTAGCAATTAGCTCTTAAAGCTTGCGACGATTGACTCTGAGAGGTTCCGTTCAAACCGAACGTCAGATCTGCACCCTGTGTGGTCCACGTCAGAACATTTGCTCGAATGTGGTATTGTACCCTGACACGCCTTCAAATTCCGTAAACTCCACAGTGGCCGCTCTAAGTTGTACAGTAATTGTAATAAATGTATGATTATTTTCAAGTATTATTGATATACACCTCATCCGTATTCCCGCCGCCCACAAGAGGCAAGAGGCTCAAGCGCAGATCTCCACACCAATGACACCACCTCCACCACCACATCATCGCGCTGCCGATCCCCTGCAGTCTGCGGCACCGGACAAGCTTTGCAGCCACAGACTCGCCGCCTTCTCCGTACCGGAAGCTTCTTTCTCGCTCGGCAGGTTTTTTCCACGCCTGCACCTGCTCCACTGCGCTCCAAATCGCAAAACACAACGATTGGCCGTATGTCGGAACGCCTGGTATCTGAATAACGAAGGGTTGCGCGCTCAAAGGCGTCGCAAGTATATAGTACACAAAAAGGAAATATCGTGGCCGTTTCGGCGGTTCGCCTGAACTTGGTTGTAAGAGAGAGTTTGGATCGAGGAGATCTGCAGATACTGTCCCAATGCACTGGATTCAACGAGCGGACTGCCTCCAGGCTTTCGAAACCATGTGGTGATTGGCAAAGTCATGTTGACTTTTTTGATTCCGCCAACTACGCAAGCGGCGAGTACGCTTTCCCCCCGCGCTGAAACACCTCAAACGAGTCCTCTGTGCCCTCCTCAGGCAGATAAAGCCCATCGTCCGGCAGCCAACTGCGCGAGAAATGGCTGTGCTGGGTGACAGCACTCTGGCGGCGCGACGTGCGCCCTGTACGCGTCGCATCGCTGCCGGGCACGATGCTAGCGACCATAGACTGGTGGCGCAGCAGACGCGGCGGCGGCAGTGCGTCCTCGGGGATCGCGAGGTCGTCTTCGGGGAGCCAGCTGGCGTAGCGCGAGGAGCGGGAGTAGCGCATTGTGGACGCGTCGCTCGAGGGGCGGGTGCTGGGCAGGCTGGGGACGAGTTTCGAGACGCGGCGTGCGTTTGGCGGTTGGTAAATGGTGGGAGAGAGGCGGAAGTTGGGGCTGGAGGGACTGGGGAGGGATGACAGTCGGGCGGAATTGGGGTGTAGGTGCGAGCCAGCTACGGGAGAAGGAAATGCTGGTGACAGGGGTTCTGGCATCAAGCGAGAGTCGGGGGGGTTTGAAAGTAATGGGTTTATGCCTCTGGCTGGGCTTCGAAGTGGGATTTCTGGGGTTGGTGGTATTTCGTAGGTTATTTCAGTGACGGTGTGGTCACCGCCGATAATGTCCTGGTACCAGTCGTAAGAGCGGAAGCTGAAGCTAGGACTCGGTGGAGGCAAGTCAGGTAACGAGAGGCCGCCTTCAAGTTTCGAAAGCGCGTTGTCTCTAGAGTTCAAATATTGCGACTCGTCGTATTCGTCACCGGCATCCGATCTAGAATGCCTTGTCGATTCGATGTAGTCGCTGCCGTGCGGGTAGTTTTCTAGTTCGTACTCTGAACTGATCGTACTTGCGGCTCTAGGCTTGGCCTTTGTGATGGAAATCCGAGGGTTGCTCGGTGGGACGGGCGGTAGGTACTCCTCGAAGCGATATCTCGGAGCGCGTTCATGTGGAGTGATGACCGGGCTGGGAGCATAAGCGGCAGCGTTGAACATGATATCGTCGAATATCATGCTCTTGTTGATGTTGACATTGATTGCATAACGCTTCTCCTCAGTTGGTGGACAGGGAAGAGCCTTATCGACTGGACTTAGAGGCGTCTGGCCGTTCTGATTCCCACCATCCCGGAGCCTGTACTCCGCCGCCTGCTTCTCCTCGTCATCCATGACTTTTCCGGATGTGGTGTAAAATTCTGAAGGAAATCCAGACGTTTGCGTGGCAAATGCTGTGTGCTGTGGGCTGTTCGGTAACGAGGCGACAAGCGTCTTCTGATCATTGTCTATCGTCCATTTGGTTGCAGTCGATGCAGACCGATCGCGGGTGGTGGGAGGTGCTTCGGGCGAAGGAATGGGCTGCCGTCTCTTCCGTATCCTGAAGAACCAAAACCCAAGGCCTATCATCAAGGCAACGAGTGCTACAACTCCCACGCCAATACCAATAGCTGTCCCGGTGTCGAGATGTGTTGTTGGTTCTGTACTCAAGCTACCAGCAGGCGCAAACGGCGCAGCTTGACTAACGGTGGTACATATCCCATTAGAACAGGTTTTGTCGGCAGCGCAGTCACTGTTGGCGGAACATGTGTTGCTAAGGGCGGAAGCGGAAGGAGTAGAAGTGGGTCTCGACGAGGTCGCACTTGGTGAAGGAGTTGCAGTATCGACCTCGAGGGAAAAGCTGCGTCGGGGAACGGTAGACATTATGATTAGAGAACGTGTGAATAGAAAGTATGTTCAAGTGTACTGATAACAGATTTAGCTGAGTCTCTCATGATTGAGCTTTTTACCATACTTGAATAGAAAGATCGTATCGAACGTGTAAGTGTTTTAATGAATGTATGGGATGGCCAAAGGCATCGGATTGTAGAGGTTGACGAAAATGCTCACTGCAAACACTACCTTGCCACAACACCGCCGTCCCATTAAGGGTCTTTCTCGTTATTGTACGGTCGGCTAAGAAACGGATACTTTATTGGGAGTAGCCGTATGTAGATCCGACTCAAGTTGGTGGTTTCGACCTGACTTAGCGCGCCGCACCGCTTCAAACTTTCTACCAAAACCGACACTTCGAGACAAGCGACAGCGGGCTTGCACCGAAAAAAGCACAAGGGAAATGAGGTGGAGACAACGGCGACGATGTTGTGCATGAGCAGCGCGACGGAGCTTGAACGCGCTCTGGTGCGAAAACACGAACGCACACAAGAATGATCCATGTTCTTAACAACTCGACGCGGGTTGCCAGAATTATCGCCTCGTCCGAAAGGGGCCGAGTCATGAGTCGAGAGTTTGTGCCTGATACCTCGATGTGGTTTCAGGAGGTGAATTCAGTAGTCGCAGCCGCTAGTTCCTCGTTGCCAGCCACGCGACCACCTCCTTTGCGTTCGCATCGGGAGGGAAAACGGGATACCAGACCCTTGCGATCTGGCCATCTTGAACAGCGAGCGCAAGCCTTTTGATGAGCGTCTTTCCCTGCCACTCGAAGGTGGGCAGTCTTAGTTGTTTCGTGAACTCGAGATCTGCGTCCGATAATAGCTCGTACGGGAGATGCACGCGGAGCTTGACCTCGTCTTGGTACGGGGTATCCTGGGTGGACACGCCAAAAATGGAGTCTACACCAAGTTTGCGCAACTCGCCCATCTCATCGCGAAAGCTGCAAGCCTGGGGCGTACACCCTCGTGCGCCGGGGATTGTGTTCCACTCATCTGGGATTGTCTCCCCTGGTGCGCCGGTGCGTGGGTAACAGAAGATGATGGCTAGTCCTGGCAGCCTTGAGACGTCCACTTGGTCGCCCGATGTTGACGGCAACAAGACAGGCGGGATTTTGAAACCAGCTAGGTGTGCGCATGCGCCATCGTCTTGAGGAATTGGCAGATCGCTAGGAAACGATGTGTCTGGTTGTGTCAGTGGCTGATCGCACACATCGCAGCGTGAGACAACTGACGAGCCATAGTGAACGCAGGCCCCACCAGCCGTCATCTATGTATATGTCACGGCTGTCACTGTCAAAGACGCCTGGTACCCGGGACAAATGGTACGTGGATACTGCTGCTGATTGAAGAGGTACCGAATCAGAAATAGAACGCCAGCACTACATGATGATGGCACGACGTCCGCGAACCTCGATGTTCGTTACTACAGGGTTCACAAACGTCACTCGCTGCAACGCGTCCCCGCCTTATCGATTACCGCCGACGCGGTCGAACTGGTCTTCATGATGTCACTTCAGCAAATCACGGTGCAATAGAATAAGCAGCCCCGCGATTTGCCAGCGCGCTCCTGCAGCCCATATACCGACGACACCCATCAGCGTCCGCCATACGCACTTTAATGCAGTCACTACGTCTCCTGCCTACTCTGCGAACCTCACTACAGCTTCAGTTCAAAGCACAATTTCTCACGACTAGCATACACAGAGCTGCATTCAGTACAACAGTCCGAGCTATGGCGCAGGAATTCAAGCTCAAGGACGTCACGTCCTTGCAATTGAAGAACGGCGAGAAGAAGGAGGTCGAGGTTGAGGGTGTGGAGGGTGCTAAGGTGTTGCTGCTCAAGTCCCAGGACAAAGTCCATGCTACCTCGCCCACCTGCACGCATTACGGCGCACCGCTTGTCAAGGGCGTACTCACGCCTGAGGGTCGGTTGACATGTCCTTGGCACGGAGGTATGTAGTGGCGTGTGATCAATCACGCTATCGTCATTGACACTGCACAGCTTGCTTCAACGTTTCCACCGGTGACGTCGAAGAAGCGCCAGCTCTCGACCCAATCTCAAAGTACGAGGTGTTTGAGCGCGATGGGGCCGTTTACGTCAAAACAGACGAGCAGACACTGAAGGCTGGCCGAGGAAGCCTCAACATCAAGTGCTCGGCAGTCAGTGATGAGAAGGTCTTGGTGATTGGAGGGTATGTACTCTCCTTTACTCGTCAGTAACTGCTAACACCGTTAGTGGGTCTGCAACACTTGGTGCCGTCGAGGGTCTTCGCGGTGGAGGGTTCAAGGGCAAGATCACGGTCATCTCAAAGGAAGGCTACCAGCCAATCGACCGAACGAAGCTGTCAAAGGCCCTTCTTGCTGACCTGAGCAAGGCGGCCTGGAGGTCGAAGGACTTCTACAAGGACGCATCAATCGAGTTCATCGAGGGTGAGGCTAAGAGCGTCGACTTCTCCGGCAAGAAGGTCGAGACCAAGTCAGGCAAGACATACGAGTACTCCAAGCTGGTGCTGGCCACCGGTGGTACACCCAACTTCTTGCCCCTTGAAGGTCTCAAGGGAGATCTGGGCAACACTTTCTTGCTGCGGACGCTGCCGGATGCACAGAACATCCTGAAGGCTGTTGGCGACAACGGCAAGAAGGTTGTCGTGATCGGTAGCTCTTTCATCGGCATGGAAGTTGGCAACTGCTTAGCAGGTATGAAGAACGATGTTACAGTTGTCGGCATGGAATCGGAGCCAATGGAGAGAGTAATGGGTAAGAAGGTCGGAAAGATCTTCCGCGGCCTGCTCGAGAAGAACGGTGTCAAGTTCAAGATGGGTGCTAGCGTCGAGAAGGCCACTCCATCAAAGAGTGACTCATCGAAGATTGGCACTGTCCACCTGAAGGACGGCACCACACTTGAGGCAGACCTTGTCATCGAGGGTGTGGGTGTGAAGCCTGCCACAGAATATCTGAAGGACAACTCCAGCGTCCAGCTAGAGAAGGACGGCTCACTGAAGACGAACGAGGCCTTTGAGGTCCAGGGTTTGAAGGACGTGTTTGCCATTGGCGACATTGCGACCTATCCGTACCACGGGCCTGGAGGCAACGGCACACCCGTTCGCATCGAACACTGGAACGTTGCACAAAACGCGGGCCGGTCGGTGGCCAGGTCGATCAACGAGCCCGGCTCCAAGCCCAAGGCGTTCATACCCGTGTTCTGGTCAGCCCTCGGCTCGCAGCTGCGGTACTGCGGTAACACAGTCAACGGCTACGACGACGTTGTGCTGCAAGGAGATGTCGAGAAGCCCTCATTCGTGGCCTACTACACGAACGGAGATGAGGTTGTTGCAGTAGCCTCGATGATGAAGGACCCCTACATGACGCAGGTATGTCAAGTGCTCCTTACGGTGGGCGAGTGCATTGTCCCTTGGACGAGACGCGTCTTTGTTGAGTATGCGCAGTGCTAACGTATGGCAGAGTGCGGAGCTGATGCGGAGAGGGAAGATGCCTGGCAAGAAGGAGCTGCAGAACGGCAAGGACATCTTGGACATTGGGCTCCCAAGCGAAATCAAGATCTAGAGGCGTACCATGGAACTCGGCGGTGGAAGGGCCGCATACGGCAGGAGAGACAACACGAGGAGAGTAAACAGCCGGCAAGGCGAGAGAAATAATATGAGCAACCACCCAACACTTGCCCTGTGTGACGTCGTGCTGAACTCGCCCTTTGCGGCTTCACCACACATCCCAGTGATATCTGACTATAAGACAGCTCACGGCGCACAGATGGCCCTCGAGTACCGGTAGAGCAGCACCGGCCGGCAGGACTAAGCGGAAAGAGTGGGCCAGGTGACACTCGGCCGGGGTGACCAAAGCGTCGCTCAATCTCCGAGGATGGGCCAAAAGAGGCAGAGGCACAGAAACAACTACAGATGTGCCGCTGGTGGCAGCGGTGCGTCATGATGGCCATGATGGCGTCGAACCTCTCGAAAGGAGGCTCTCGACGCCCGGCAGACGGTGAGGGCGAGTTTCGAGTCACGGGGCAGGCGCGGCGGTGATTGGGCCAGGAGGCGAGTTGGCGGGAGCCATGCAGGGCGCTTCCCTTGCAGCGCTGGCGGCTGAGACACGGTGACAGACAACGTCGCGAGCTGGCGGCGGTGGCTGGCTCTGCAGAGCACTGAGGGTTGAGGGCAGCGAGCAGCGAGCAGGGCAGGGCGGGCGTCGCGTGTTGCATTCAGGCGTCACGTCACGGAGGCCGGCAGAAGCAAGCAGCGGCGTTCTCAGCAGCACACAGCTGGCGGCTGCGAGGCCGTGGAGGCTGCAGCCGCATGAAGGCAATTTGCGCACCGACGGGCTGTCGCTGTTTCACGCTGCACGCAACCCTGCTCGCCGCGGCGGGCGAGGGGCGACAGCAGGCGCGTCTTGCAGCAGCAGCAGCAGCGCGTGCGCGAGGGAGGGCGCTGCGATGCTAGTGTGCTCATGCTCCAGGACGGACCCGGCAGTGGAGATGACGGACGCGATGCGCGCGTCGGGCACACGGGGACTGGTGATGTTTATGTACGGGCCACTTGCAGGCCGAGCGGTGGTTGATGCACTCCTGTCGCCTTAACGAGATTAGAAGACTGGCCCCAGCCGCGCCTGACGACCGTCTGCGCTGCACCGCTCTCTCTCCACGCACGTCAAGCACCGCCGGGTCTCTCGAGCTCTCGAGTGTGCGCGCGCTGCCTGAGCCCTTGGTGTTGTCTGCGTTCCACGCCGCCCCGCGCTCCTGACCACCGGCCTCCGCTTCCCACGTGAAAGCGCTGCCAGCACTGCGCAACGCCGCGCCCGCGCCGCCACACCCACCTCGCCGCATCGCCATCGCCGCCATCGAGCCCGCGTAGCACGGCAGCCTGCACTCGCCCGCCGCCCAGCGCAGCCGCGCCGCCCGCCCTCCGCCGCCCGTCCGCCGCCCGCCCGCTGCAGCCCTGCCCCGGAGCCCCCAGCCCCCGCCCGTGCCCCGCGACCCGGCCAGAGCATGTCTGCTGCTGTCGCCTCGCAGGCGCATGGCCAGCAGCACTACCAGCAGGCCCCCCGCGCGCGCCGCCCCTCGACCGGCGCGTCCAACGCCTCCCCCAGCACCTCGCGCGCGAACCCCCAGCCGCAGCCGCAGCCGCAGCCGCCGGCCATGAACCCCAACGCCGCTGCCCCTGGCGGCCCCATGCCCCCGCCCCGCACCTCTTCCCACCGCACCAGCAATGCCGCTGTGTCCAGTCGCCGCGCGCAGGACGGCAGCGCGGGGCGCCCGCAGCCGGGCCACAGCCGCTCGGCCACGGCGGTCGGCCAGCCGCCCGTCGGCACCAGCCTGCCCCGCGAGGAGTCGGCCATCATCAACCGCATCGGCGTGTCCGATCCGCAGGACGACGTCGCCCGCGAGCAGGCGCGGCAGGCCGAGCGCATCCCCGGCTCGGGCGCCGACCTGACGCCCATCACCGGGCTTGGCCTGGTCGGCAGCGAGGGCGTCGACGACGGCGGCCGCGGCGCGAGCGGCAAGAGCCGCCAGGACCACTCCAAGAGCGAGGGCTCGGCCAAGCGCACCAAGTTCGGCAACTACATCCTGGGCCAGACGCTCGGCGAGGGCGAGTTCGGCAAGGTCAAGATGGGCTGGAAGCGCGACAGCAGCGTCGAGGTCGCCATCAAGCTGATCCGCCGCGAGACGCTGGGCAGCAACTCCAACCGCCTGGCCAAGATCTACCGCGAGATCCACATCCTGCGCGGGCTCGACCACCCCAACATCGTGCGCCTGCACGAGATGGTCGAGACGGAGCGTCACATCGGCATCATCCTGGAGTATGCATCCGGCGGCGAGCTGTTCGACTACATCCTCAACCACCGCTACCTCAAGGACGGCCCCGCCCGAAAGCTGTTCGCCCAGCTCATCTCCGGTGTCGGCTACCTGCACAAGCGCGGCATCGTACACCGCGACCTGAAGCTCGAGAACCTGCTGCTGGACCGCAACAAGAACATCATCATCACCGACTTTGGCTTTGCCAACACCTTCGACCCCAAGGACGAGCTGAGTGAGGAGATTGAGTACCGTCTGGGCGATAAGGACTTCATAAGACAGATGGGCCTCGACCAGCCGGACGCCCGTCGCGGTGATCTCATGCAGACCAGCTGCGGCAGTCCCTGCTACGCTGCGCCCGAGCTGGTCGTCAGCGACTCGCTGTACACGGGCTGCAAGGTCGACGTGTGGAGTTGTGGTGTCATCTTGGTAAGTCCCCCTGAGCGCCCGTCTCATTTATGCAAGCTGACCGCAGCAGTACGCCATGTTGGCCGGCTACCTGCCCTTCGACGACGACCCAGCGAACCCTGAGGGCGACAACATCAACCTCCTGTACAAGTACATCGTGTCGACCCCGCTCACCTTCCCCGAATACGTCACACCCCACGCGCGAGACCTTCTGAAGCGGATACTCGTGCCCGACCCAAGGAAGCGCGCCGACCTGTTCGAGGTCGCCCGTCACAGCTGGCTGGCCGACTACGCGCACGTCGTCGGCTTTATCACCACCAGCAATGCCGCCGAGACTGCCCAGCAAGGCTCCGTCTATGCTAGTAAGCAACTGCGCGGCCCCAGCAACAGTATAGACCGTACTAACCCCAACGCAGAAGAGCCGTACGAGCAGCCACCGCCCCTCGCCAGGAGTGCCTCTGTCCGCGAGCCCACCAAGGCCCAGGCGCCACCATCTGTGCACGGCGGGCTTACAGCCAAACGAGACCAGATCAACACGACCGAGAAGCCGAAGACATCCCGCGACAACAAGCGCCGTACTGTGCAGGTCGAATACGTTGCCCCTCAGTCGCAGACCCAGCGCGGCGAGACGTCACCACCAGGCGATGCCACGCCCAAGGCCCGTCCCGTCGAGCGCGCGCCTGTCGAACTCACAAACCCGACTACAGATGGCTACCAGTCTTCTTCCAGCGCGAGACCGTCCCGCTCTGCGGGCCAAGGGTCTGCTTCTTCACAGGCCCGTCCGGCTGGGCAGCCTCAGAGGTCAGTCTCTGACTACACCGCCTTTGGTGCCTTACCGGCCGCAACGACACGGCCATCGACTGGCGGCACACTTGCTGGCGGCTCAAGGATGCCATCGCGAGGAAACTCGTACGCGCAACCCGCAGCGGCTACAGTGGCCCCGACCAACGCCGAAGGTCGTTTCTCGCAGCCCAAGGGCAAGAACTACTCCATCTCTACGCCATACCCTCAAACGCAGCCTGGAGTTATGGGCGAGCCAAGCATTGGCCAGCCTAGCACTGAGCGAGTTCAGTCAATTCAGATTGGACCGACTGGCGGACACCCCAAGGGTAGCCACAAGCGCTCAAACACTGTCACTGAGACGATTGGTCGCATGACTTCCATGTTTGGCGGCCGTCAAAACTCATACACGCAGGATCCGAAGGGTTCGTTCACGTCTCAGGACTCTTACGGCAGGCAGGATGAGGAGAGGAAGCAGAAGAGATACCCGCCTACCTCGATGCCCGCGTCCATGTCGAACGACAACTCGATCGGCTCATCGGGGCCACGTCCTAGCACAGACTCGAGGCGTCGTCCATCCTTCAGCTTCTCGCGGAAGAACACCACCGAAGACCCGTCCAAGCCTCCCCGACGCTTCTCGCTGCTCCCATCCTCCTTTTCCAGGAACTTCGGTTCCCAGAGGGAGAGCATGCCTGCTGACGGCTACGGTCAACGACGCGGTTCCAACGCTGGCCGAGCCCGTAATACCTCTCGATCTAGCATGGCTTTCGGTCGCGGTGCAGAATCTCGTTCTCCTAGTCAGAGCACCATGGGAAGTAGCGCCGTGCCCGCCTTCTACGATGGCCAGCAGGACAGCAACTCGCGTACCCGCCACCCCAACACCAGCACCCACTCGCACGGTGCTCCAGGCCCGTCCTCTGCCCCGCCGCAACAGACTCAGTTCGCCTACCCCGAGCAGGCGCCTGTTGGAGATGACAAGTTCCCCAACCCCGCGCAGCCGCATCCCAGCCACGCACCTGGCCATGCACCCAGCCAAGCGCCCAACCGGCCATACGGACGTCATCCTAACGATAGCCAAGCTAGCGAGGAGTTGACGCCCACGCAGTCTCACGGCTCGCCGCAGCCCGCAATGTACCCACAGGGTATGGGTGAGCCAGAGCAGCGCGGTGGCAAGCTGCAGAAGCATAGGAAGTTTGAGGATGCGTACGAGGGCTCCGGCGCAAACAAGGGCAGCTCGGGCAGCAGCAAGAAGGTCATGGACTTCTTCCGCCAGATGGGCAGGAGACGCGCCGGCAAGTGAGCAACCAGCTTGCCCGGCCGCCCCATTCTTGAACATATTGCTCGACCCGACAGATCTACACCGCTGGCAGCGAGCGCCGCCTCGCGCTGCCAGCCACGCACAACCACAAAGAGGCGCAACGCACCGATCGAATTTCACTTTGTCTGCGTTCTTGCTTGCATCGCTGGATAGAGCATCAGCGAATGGGATTCGATAATATTTGCATTTCGAGGCGTTTCATTCCATTCCATTCCGGCACGGCGTTTGTCTTGCCTTGCCTTTTTTTCCCCACGCGTTGGACTTTGGGGCCCCTTGGGCCTGTAATCTTTACTTCTTTTTGTACCTTTTCGAGTTACTATTCACACACACCGCGCGCTGCAGGCGCTCGGCCTGCACTGCTGTTTGCAAGCGAGCGCTGAAAGATTGATCTTTTAAGAGTGCGGCGAGTGCGATACGCAGGGGTTCGTGGAAATTGTCAGAGGACGGGGGGTTGGTACAACTAGTTCGTGTAGGGTATAGTGTGTAAAGAAGGCGGTTAGGGAATGGGAATATTCTGAACCCGGGACTTCAGTTTTTTTGATTGTACAAGTGTGGTGTGAGTCGGCGGTGGTTGTGGTACTCGTGCCTTCTCCGCGCTCTCGCTTTCCTTCTGGCTACCTCCTAGACCAACGGCAGTCACGGCTGCTGCCACCCCGCCGAATCATTCATCTCACAACCAGCATTCCTCAAGAGCACTCCGCAGATGCGCACGCTCCAACCCACCTCATCGAAACTCTCTATGTCATCCCTAGACCCGTGCTCTAACACCGGTCACAAGCAAGCGAGGTCACTCACTCCATCACCACGTCCTCTCAAGCTCAAACATCACCCACGACTGCAACAAGAGCTTCAATCCCAAGGCCCCGATCTCACTATTTGCTGTGCTAGAAGCGCCTGCTCTGCATCACTTACGATATAGGAGTCAGCAACAGCAGGGTCAGCGACGATGCCCCAGTCGTTCGATGATCGATGGCCAGGAGTTGGGTCTACACGCTACAGGGTAGACTGCAGACTGCGCTACAGATGTGTGCTCATGTTCACAGGTAATTGGCATGCTTGCTTGATAGCATCGGATGACGCAGAACATGGAGCGCTTCACGCCCAGTGTGGGAGTATGGTACAACTTTGATGTTGTTTCGATCATGAATCATGCCCAGCTAACATAGCATGCTCGCAGAGCACCGTGAAGTAGCCTGGCAGTTCTACAGTGGGAGGCTCAGCAAATTACTTAGCACGACAAGCACGTGTGAGACGCAGAAGCCAGCACTGTATGTGAGTACGATCATGTCGGGTCACAGATCCTGCAACACACCACTGATGGGGTCTTCAAATAGTGCCTGTCCTTTCAATGCGGATCGTTTGTCACAGATTGCTTTGCACGCTTTATAGGTGAGTCGACCTCTCTGCGTGCTCGGAAATCCTAACACTTTTGCAATTACCAAAAAATCTACGGTTACGAAGAGATTTTAGAAGACTTTATCCATAATTAGTACTCACTCGTACAAGACGGCGCTGATTGTCTATCTAGACACTGTCCCGTCGTCACCTTGTATCACAAAATCCACAGACCAGATCAAAATCGGCGGTTCTATTCCCCAGGAGGTCAGAGACTCGAGTCACAATGCAGACCACTAAGACACCTGACAAGGAGAAGAAGGCTCCACGGCAAAAGCTCGCGGAGGCTGTAAGCAAATTCACAGCCCGGCTTTGGGACCGGAACCCAGTCCAGATTCCGGACACCGTCGACGAAAAGCAGCAATACACGAGTCCCTGCCAATGGGATATTATCGACAAAATTGAGCCTGAGACAATTGTCGCAGTCGTGCGCTCTGCCCTTGTAAAGCGCAACTGCGCATACAGCAAGGCCCGTATGTTTTTTCTTTTCTATAATCGGAGCGAATTCAACAAGTCCTTCGTCGTCCAGACACGCAACCCCGACTCGCACAAGCTCGAGTGCTGGGCCGTCAAAATCCCCGGCTGCGGTACCCCTGATGTCTGGAACGCAGAATATGCGCAATTACTCACGCAAGAAGTGCAGACGCTGGGCCTCATTGCCACATACGCCAACGTGCCTGCCCCAGTCGTCATCGACCACTCCCCCACGCTAGACAACACCTTTGGGTTCCCGTACATCGTCACGACAGACCCGCACGGCCAACACATGGGGTTGATATGGTTCGACGAGCCCGGCGTACCTACACCACCAGAGAAAGAGCAGGGGCGCCTCACCTGTCTGCGCTCGTTGGCGCGGCAGATGACCGAGCTGGATAAACTACAGTTCGCTCAGATTGGCGCCCCCATGTTCGATCCGCACACAGCCCCGGTTGAAAACTGCAAGGACATTGAGGCCGAACGCCTCCCCGTCGGCCCTTGCGTCGCCTGGCCCTACAGCGACTCACACGAGACCATCATGTTGATCGGTCCCTTCCCTTCAATTCAAGCCTTGGTCCAAGCCGCACTCGCAATGCCGAACAACTTCGACCTCCGTGACAAACCCGGGTCCCTTCCCAGCTTCCCACTGACACGCGCCCAATATCGCGACCGTGGCACCGCCAAATTCCTTAGCATCCTCCTCGCACATCCCAGCTTCCACTCCTCGCCCACCGAAACATTCGTCCTGACCCAGCCCCATCTCGACGCGGATAACGTGTTCATCTCGCCCTCAGGCACCGTAACCGCCATCCTAGGTTGGGAAAACGTCATCGCCGGCAGGCGGTGCACCGCACACGCCTCCGCTCCCTCCTTCCTCGAAGAAGATTGGACTTTCGCTCCCGGATGGCCGATGTTCCCTAGTTGGCGTGCGCCGTACTACCGTACCATGTGGGCGGCAGCGCTCGTCGAAGCAGGGAACTCGGATGCGCAGGTTGCAAGCAAGAGTCATATTTGCGATGCGATATCTCGGGTGCTGTGGAATAATAGGGAATACACGAGTTGGTTGCTGACGCGGGTGGTGTGCGAGATGGGGTTGCAGGTGAGTGTGGATGAACTGGTGGAGTTGCTGGGGATGGGGTGTGTGGCGACGGAGAACATGCTGCGGGAGAAGGTGGATGATATTTTGAGGCCTGAGATGCCGCCAGAGGGATTTTTGGAGCACGTTGAGGCGCAGATTGCGGACGCGATTGTGCGAGAGTGGATGGCGGGCTTTGATGGGTTGCTGGAGTGAGAGACGCGTACTTGGCTGTAGTGGAGAACTTTACAGTAGTGTTTGAAGATGTTTGTAAGTCAGTAATTTAATTGGAGACTGCTGCTAAAGAGTACTACAAGCTAGGGACAGCTAAATACCTCCTAGCTACCTACAGTCGACAGAACAAGTGCCATCCGTCTTCTCCACAAACCAAAAGATACTCAGCGTCTGTACGTGTGTACCAAAGCACCAACAAAGTTTTTGAAAACATCAACAATACATGCATCATGCGGTAACGCGTCCCACCAAATTTCAAGTTTGTAGGTGGTATATACCGTCACGCGAACGGGTGACGTCAGCGCGCTTCACATCCAGACCACGCATCAAAACCACCACACCACCACACACCACCATGGCCTAACGCACCCAGCCCGCGTGTCCCGGACACCAGCATCACTCAATTCACCAAAAAACACCACACACGCCCATCATGGCCGTCGACACCACCACCGACCCCTCCCCCTCGGACCTCAAGCAAATCGCCTCCAACGCCGACGCCCCCGAGGCCAAACTCCGCGCCGCCGCCGCCCAGGCCGACGCCGCCCTGTCCTCCCTCCAGCAAGCCTCCTCCCTCCGCACCGCGGCAGCCACCATCCGCGACCCGGCCAAGCGCGAAAAGTACCTGCGCGATGCGTACAACGCGGAGATCGAGGCGCACGGCAACAGCAAGAAAGCGCGTATGCTGCAGTCGGGGGCTTTTCAGGGCGGCGTAGGGGGCGCGGGGATCGGAGCGGTTGTTGCGGGGGGTTTGGGGACCGTGGTCGGGACGCTGGTTGGAGGCGTGACGGCGTTGCCGGCGACGGCTGTTGGGGGGCTGGTCGGGGTGGGGGTGGGGTTGGGGCATGGGAGTTGGATTAAGTTGGGGAAGGTGGGGGAGGGTAAGGATGGGGAAAAGCAAGACAAGAAAGGGGAGGAGAAGGAGGGGAAGGAAGGGGAGCCCGAGGGTGGCGATGAGAACAAGGAGAATGAGGAGCCCGAGAACGTCGATGTCGAAGACGCAGTCCCGAATCCAGAGTTGCTACGGCAAGCGGCCGAGGATATCGAGAAGGCGAGAGCGGAAGGGAAGCTCGAGTCCGAAGACGGTGCGCCAGCGGAGAAAGAGCGCAAGAAGCCGCGCAAGCTGGACAGGCAGCTCAGCGAGTCGCAGCAGCCTGGCCAGCCCGACCAGCCCAAGCCGGAGAGGAGGAAGCCGCGCAAGATCGAGGTGCGCAGCAAGCCGGAGGCGCGGGCGGTGTGAGTGTGGTTCAAAAGCAGCAGTGTACAGTCTCGTTTGGCGTAAAAGCATAGCGGCATCAGCGATATTAGTCGGTTCGTACAACCATCAGCGATATTAGTCGGTTTGTACAACGCCTTCAATTAAGAAACAATACAGCCAGCCTCCACCTCCTTGCTTAGATCATCACCCTGCGCCTCTACGCTTAGATCATCACCCTCCACCTCCTTGCTCAGATCGTCACCCTCCACCTCTTCACTTAGATCACTCTCCGCCTCCTTACTCAGATCATCCCCCTCCACCTCCGCAGCTAGCGCCGTCCGATATGCATCCCACTCCTCCGGCCTCCGCCTGCTCCCGCTCGTATCCACTATCGTATCCACTACCACCCGCCGCCGCCGCGGGCTAACGTGCCGCTCGTGCACCACCATGTCTACGACGACATGTGCACGTGCAGGCAGCTGGTGTATGCGGCGCGGCGCCGTGCGCAGAATACTCCGCAGCGGCAGCGGAACAGGCGCTGAGACCCGCACTGACGGACGGAACAGCGAATCGACGTCCGCGTCAGCACGCACATACGCATGCGGATCAAACACCACCCTCGCACCACCACAGCGGCGTTTCCGCCTCGGCACGCCCTCGCCATCCGCCCCCTCGCCATCCTCCCCCTCGCCATCCTCCCCCTCGCCCTCGCTCTCGCTCTCAGCCTCTCCCCCAGCGCCGTCGTCGTCCATCCCCACGCCCGCAAGAAACGCCCGCTGCGCCGCCGTCACCTCAATCACCGCCCGCCGGTCCGCCCAGTAGTCCTCGGGCCCCGGCCACCCCTCCAGCACCGCGCCCTGCATCATCAACCCGCGCCCGCGCGCCCGCCGGCCCGCAACCCGCTCGTTGCGCCCGAACGCGGCGCGCTCGCGGCCCCACTTCTCCAGCGCTGCGCCTGCGCTCCACGGCCGCGCCGCCTCAGCCTGTCCCGTCACGTCCTCACCCCCCTGCCCCTGTCCCTGCCCCAGACTATCCCTCGCCCCCTCCCTCTCCCGCTCCCACGCCTCCTCCTCACCCCTTAGCACCTCCAGCCCCCTAACCACCCTCAGCACCCCCGTCCTCGCGCGCGGATAACTCAGCCCCCCCGCCCCATCCACATGCTGAATCCCATTCGACCCGCGCGCCCGCTTGCGGCCAGACACGAACGCGCACAGCTGGCGGCTCGTTTCCGCGGCCGTCGCGTCGGCGATGCCGGCTAGCGAGGTCTGCCAGGGGGTGCTGCCGCCGTGGGCGAGGAGGGTGGTGGAGGGGGCGTGGAAGTGGGTCAGGGACTGGGTGAGGGTGCAGAGGGGGCAGAGGGGGGTGGGGGGGTGGGCGTGCGCGGGGTGGCGGGGGTGGGTGCATGTGTTTGGGGAGGGAGGGGGTGGTGTTGTGGGTAGTGCAGGGTTGGGGGCGTTGCGCTGGGTGCTGGCGGGCGATGGCGAGGGCGGTTCTGCGGGCCCGCGCTGTATGCTTGCTGGGGGTGTTGAGGGCGGGTCTGCGGGTCTGCTCTGGCTGCTGGCTGGAGAAGGCGAGCCCGGTTCTGGACTCTCTCGCTGGGTTGTGCCAGAGATTGGCGGAGAGCGAGTCTGCGAGCGTGTCTGCGCGCGCGTCGTGCGTCTTGAGTTCGTTCCTGGGCTTGACTTCATTCCGGGTCGTTGTATTATATGGTAAGCAAGAAAAAGTAAATATATGCACAACTAGAAACGTAAATGCATCAATAGTAGAACCTCCTCGGGCAGCTCGCAGCGATCATATCGTTTTGCTTGAGCACAGCACTGTGCACCGCACTGTGCATCACACACACAAAGACATAAAGCAACACCAGAAGAGATTTTTTAAGTGGCAAATAACAATCGCATTGTTTGGGGAAAATATATACACTGTCTAAGACAAAGAATCTACACCAATCTACACCAATCTAAGCATCAACGCACTCCCAGCTGGTAAGCAGGTTCGCGTCACCCTCGCCCTTGTACTGGTTGCGCTTGGGGTACTTGCAGTGGGCGCGCTGGAACTGGACACCGAGGCTCTGCGTGTCGTTGACGTACTTGGTGCCAATGAGCGTCTCGGGCGCATTGCCCTTCTCGACCCAGTCGACGATGGCCATCAGGATGTTCTCCTTGGGGTCGTAGGTGGTGAATTCAGCGCCGCTGGCCTGGCCGATGGCGTGGGCACCGTCGCCGCCGCTGCAGTGGGCAGTACCGCTGACGGTGAAGTAGCGGTAGAACTCGTCGAGCTCGGCGGGCGAGAGGCCCATGGTGGAGCTCACGTGTTCGTAGTAGCGGGGCGAGTTGGCGCTGGAGATAATGGCGTCCATGGCGCCGTGCCAGTGGAGGATCTTGGTGTGCTTCTGGGCCTCGCTGAGGTCGCCGTTCCAGGTCTGGATGTTGTAGGGGTTGATGCGGGCGGCGTTGTCGTAGTCAGTTCCGCTCAGCGTGGCTGGGTCCCATGTTGAGTCGTTGTAGATGGCGTATCTGTACCAGTCTGTGGTGTAGGGGAACGGACGTCCTCCGAGGAAGACTCCAGAAGCAACAATTTCCGCACCGGGTTGCAGACGCGGGTAAACGAGATCACCAGCATCGTTGTAGATTGGCGAGAGTACTTTCTCGACGGTCTCAACTTGCGTGGCAGTCAGGCAAGAGCTTCCGTTGGTGCTACCGGTGCACAGCAGGCCGGCCGGATCATAGTTGCAAAGCGCAGGGTACTCAATGACGCCATCAGCGAAGCCATCGAGCAGATCACACTGCTTGATCACATCAGCATGTACTGTCACCCACTGCGCGCGAGTGAGGAAGGCGTCGGAGGTGTTGTCTCCAGTAGCACGGAAGAAGGAGCCACTCCAGGAAGTAAGGTTGTTGAACGAAAGAGCAGGTGCGCCTGCTACAATGCCGTCAAACTCCTCAGAAAAGTCCTGCGCGGCTTTGAATCCCTGTCGGCCACCAGTCGAGCAACCAAAGTAGTACGACTTGTCGTGGGCCTTGCCGTAGAACTGCTTGGTGATCTGCTTGCCAACTTTCGTGCCGGTTTGGAGCCTGCATCGGTCAGATTTTTCTGGTCTTTCTTATTACAGTGGTACTTACGCGCGGTACGCAAAGTCGTGAACAACCTGTCCACGGTTGTAGAAAGGCGCGCCAGACGTTCCGTTGTGGCCGTTATTAGTTCCAGCAGACGCGAAGCCTGCACCGGAAGTGTACGCCAGATCCTGGTACTTGATACAACCGTTCAATCCACCATTGCCTGGTTTTGTCAGTTATCATAACCCAGTATCCCACGGCACTTCCTCTTACCTGTGCTGAGATACCGCCCCGTCCAGTTGGACGGGAGCCATGCCTCCATGTTGAAACCAGAGGAATTAGACGTCGAGACATAGGCCGCAATTCGGCAGATGTCAGCAGGGACGAGCTGGAAATTCTGCGTGCACGTCGCGTCGTTGTCCGGGAAAGTCAGGTTTGTTCCGGCGGCAACGAATTCGGAGAAGTACACGACGCCATTTTCGATCTCGAGCTTGGAAGCGATGGAGGCGCAGGCAGAGCTGAAGTCGGCTGGCTTCGTGGAGTTGTGGCCGCCTGGCTTCGTGGCGGAGGAGCACGCCGAAGGCTTTGGCCTCGAGGGCGATGAGACGGCCAGGGAAGCGCTCAGCAGCGCTGCCCATACAGATTGTTCAAACTTCATCTTGATTTGAGGAGGAGGGATTGTGCTTGCGCTTACCTCGTGGGTTGAAGGATGGCTTTTGTACTTGAGCGCTCAACATTGATCAGTCAAATATCAGTATCATCGGTCCTATACGCCTGTTTAGCTGCAGGAACCTTCTAAAGAGTGGGGTCCCGCAAGTGTTTCGTGCATCACAGCCCAGGATGATCGGTATGGTAGCCTTCTTGAGCTTAAAAAACAGTTCCATCCCTGTTATGACGAACTTGCGCTAACTTCCCCTCAAAGTGGCTGATAGCCGGCACTTTCGCACCTGCCAGTGGGGCATTAGTGGACGCGTGTTTGCATAATTCTCCAACCAGAAGAGCCGGTTATACATTCAGCCATAGGTGCCTGTGCGGATGTGTACTTAAATTTCGCTTGAAACGGAACAGGACCGAGGACAAAATCCCGTCGGCATTGAACCACGGAGATGAGTTCGGAACGACCTGAGCCGTTCCGGAACATGTCACGTGATAATGAGCATCATCGCACCTGCTTCACGCCATGTCAGGATCTACCGAAAATTGCATCCAACATGCCTTGAGTCCTATTGCACTCTCTGTGTGCAGTATGATGTGTTTGTGCTTTGTTACAGTCCATGGCGTGCCTTGATCGCGTCTGCAGCCTTCTCTGCACCAGCGTAGATGCTAGCTTGGGGACCACCGCCGACGACAAGTGGCCAGATGCTTGCATCTACGACACTGAGCCTCTTTGTACCATGTACTCTGTTTTGTGGATCAACAACGCCGCCGTCTTTCCGGCTCATCATTGCGGCTGTGCAGCATTGATGAGCGTTGCTTGGTGCAAGAGCCTTCTTGATAGCTGCCTTAATCTCGTTCGTGCTGTTCACACCAGGGGCTGGGAATGTTTCTATAGGGCCGAGCACAGACATTGCTGGGGTTGACATGAGCTCGCGATTCCTTCTGTAGATAGCGTGCAGGATCTCGAGGTCGGTCGGGTCCGTAAGAGCGCCATAATCGATCAGGGGCGAAATGAAAATTGATGTCGAATTGATTGCAATGGATCCACGACTGAAAGGGCGAGTCATGTATATACTGGTCTCGGGACCCGTGTTCCAAGACACGCCGCCGACGACTGCAGTGTTGATGGTCTCCTGTATGGCTTCTCGTTGCTTTGTGAATCCACGAAGAACGGTGAGGTCAGGATTACCACCCAACAGGACTGCAGGGTTTTGAGCTTTGGCTAGATCTATAATTGAGGAACTGTTGGCCGTCCAGCCTGAGAGGGATAGTTGGATCATGAGGTTGCCAGTCGTAGCAGTGAGATCGTATGCGCTCGGCCTGCCAGTATTGTACAGAGCCCGTTGTTCAGTCGCAAATGTAGCATTATTCTGCAAGGAACCACTATTTGGAAAGTGGTTAGAAGTGTCTGCAGTGGTGTCAGCGTCCCGAGCAGACGTGGCAGTGATGCGTTCGCATACAATTGTAATTGACCTTCAGCACCAGATGATCTTGCAGATTCTGGCCCACACCAGGAAGGTCAACAACAGACCTAATGCCAAACCTTTTCAAGTAAGCCGCGCTGCCAACGCCTGATAATTGCAGAATTTGTGGGGAATGGACTGCTCCAGCCGCTACAATTACCTCTTTTCTGGCAATCACAGTCTTATGAATCGAATTCGCAACGCCTATGAACTCGACGCCAACAGCAGCATTAGCTTTGAATAAGACACGCGACACGGCAGTATTGGTTAGGATATGGTAGTTGGGCCTCGCAATGTCTTGGTCGAATCGGTTGACCCGCGCAGAAGACCTTGTCTGAGCTTTCGCGTCGATAGAGCGCTGGAGGCGAAAAATGCCCTGGGCATTCCCGTTACCTGGATCCTGTGCTGGCTGTATGCCCATGCTGATAGCTCCGTTGTAGAAGTTGGCTAGACTTGCAATCAGTCTTGATGGCTTTCCGAAGCCAAGCGTACTCACCGCTTCCGGGATAATCGTACGGTGCGTAGCTTGTTTGTACTGGCCCATTGAATCCATGTGCTGAGTCCTCCCAGGTGATGTTATGATCTGCTGCGTACTGCAGATCTGGTCGGCTGAAAGTTTCGCTTTTTTTAAAGTATGGTAACATATCCTCCCACGACCACCCTTGAGCACCTAACATCTCGCAAGTGTCGTAGAAGCTTGCATCAGATCTGTGGAAGAACATGGCGTTGACGACAGAGCCTCCCCCAACGACACGACCGCATGGTACACCGTACGACGTACCTTCCAATGCAGCTTGTGGAGTGCTCATAAGAGGAAGCCAGAGGTAAGGCACGGGAAAGTATGCACCTGGCACCATGACCCCATCTTCGCGCTGGTCAAGTGGGCCGTACTCGATAACGAGTACTGTGACTGGAGCGCGGTCTGAGTGGTTGCGCTTTCTGCGGTGTGGTGTGTATGCCTACCGTTGGGGTTCTCAGTCAATCGATCGGCTACTGTCAGTCCTGCGATGCCCCCGCCAGCAACTACGAAATCATAGGAACTTTCGGTGTTTAGTTCCTGGGCTTCGATGATCGTTGCGTATCGTCCGAGTCGAATCGTTGCTTGAACTGTGCCAGCTAGGACAAGATAGGCCAGGGCATTCCGCATCATGTCAATAATTCAAGGCAGGCAGTATAATCAAGGATGTATAAAATCGAATGTCGAACTTGACGAGGAGTTCGACGCTTGAGTCTGACAGACTGGGAACTCCCCAAGCAACATGCAGGGGCCGGCGGGAACAGGGGTCGTAAAAGGTCAAAGCTCCCTTCGTACATGCTGACACTTGGCGTCGCGAATTGTACATCGGACTATTTCACAGAGATGTCTTCGCTGCGTCGAAGCCGTTGAAGACATTGAAGAATCGTCTTTAAGTTAGCTTGCGTCGGATCGACGGCTGGAAGGGCGGCCCGGATCTATTTCGGCGCGAACCTGTGGCTTCCCCCTCGTCGGAGCACGTCACTAGTCGTTCATGATCAGCCCTTCATCAATAAACTTCGAAGGTCGACATTGATATTGATCGTGTCGATGGGCAATGCGGAATTCTCGATTTGAAGGGTATTTCCACGTTGTTGGCATCGAAACTTTCATTTTCCAGCGCCAAACGATCTTCCAACTCGGGCATTCTCAGTTTGAATCTGTGAGGACGATAACCTGCAGATGAATGAGTGGTGGAATGCACGACATTCGTCTTCTGTGTCTGCGTTTTTGAGGTGTCTATATGTAGACAGCGAGAGAACTTGGGATGTGTCAGCATTCCCCCAAGCTGACAGCTACTGTAGGTGTCTCCTTCGATCTGCATCTCAGACTTGTTCTAACATGCAACTTACACCGCCCGTTAACGATTGAACATCAGTCCTCGGAAGTCGTCCAGTCCAAGAGAGGAGAGTGTTCACCAGTAAGCTCTAATCTGCACGCGACGCTGGCGTCGTGCATCACCCGACCCGTCTGTTCTGTAGACAAGGTGGAAGTATCCTACCTCGGTGAGCCCGGTGAATATACAAACCAACGTGGTAGGTGTGCCGAATGCCGGAATTTCAGCCCCAGCGTACTGCTGAGAGACAGAATTGTTCTCTTTGATATCGGAGATCCAGTCTTGGGGTTTGTACGCTATTAAGGTATAATGTATCATTCAAGCTGTCAGAGGTACAGAGCTCAAAAATTTGTACTTGTAGCAGAGATAAGGCTGAACTGCGGTGTGTCCGCGATGATCTGCGAATCCACGAGTCGGAGCTGGCTCCGCCGTAAGACATCTGGGAGAGCTAACCTTGAGATCCAACCCGTAGCAAACCAGATCACAGTCTATCATGCAGGCTTACGTACGCCACCGGTTTCATGGCTGGTTGACTATGAACGGGGAGCGCGGATCCAAGTTCCGTGGTTTTGATATACCTTTCAACGCTCATCCGTTTCATCACGTCCAAATCTCAGCCCTTCTACTACGATCATGATCCTTAACAATGTTATCGATACCTGTACATACGATAGTAATCGTGATCTTTCTGCAGTTCAACAACTTTCTTGTGTCTGCACACCCACTGGACCAAGCTCTATATGCTCCTCGAGACCAACCCCCTTCCGTGCAGTTTGGCGAACATGTACAAGGTCGTACAACCGTTGTGGTATTCTGCCTGATTTACGCAATCTTACTCGCTTTGGCTCAAGGTAGGATCGAATGTCTACTATTTTTAGCCTAACTGGTCAAAACGGACCGTTAACATCTCCAAGGTTATCGAGCTGGTCGAACTTCTGGTCGGAAAACGCGGGCGAGGTTCTCTGATTACCTTATTTGGGGACAAGGGATCGTCAGTACTGCCATGATTTTCAATGTTGGTATCAGCTCCGCAGGACTCGGACTTGCCACAGACGCACAATGTTACAGAGCAATACGAGTATGTATTGCCATGTACGGAGCCGCAAAAATTGCATTGTAAGTCCATCGCATCTTCATTTAGTTGAGGAACATCTGACATCGTATCCAGATATCTATTCTTGCTTGAACGAGTTCACATTGTACGAGCACCCTTTATTGATCGATTCCGGGATCGCGTGTGGGTCGTTGGTGCGATCCTAACCGTTGGAGGCTTTTGTGGACTCATGGGCTTTCAGTACGTCTCACCAAACGCGCGTCTGTCGCGTAAAGATGGGTTATGTGTAATCGGCATTCAACCGGATTCTGGAATCGCGGTCATTGCGTTGGATACGGTTATCAACGTAGCCTTGACTGGCATCTTCATCTGGCAGTTGCGCCCAGTTCTGGGCTCTCTCGTGCCATCACAGCTCAGCGACACCTCTAGTTCCCTCAGATCAGCAGGACGGACCATCGTGAATCTGTCCAGACGTTCAAGCAACGTTATGGAACAGTCGTCGTCTCGGGCCAATTCTCAGCGCAACTTAAAAATGATGCTTTTTCGCAATGTTGTTGGATCAAGCCTACTGCTCACGACAACAATCGCGGTCAACACTATCTTTCTCAGCTGGCCTCGCGCAACGGCTAGTCATATATGCCTCTTGACGTGCATGACAGACGGTAAGTGCATGGAGCTCTCGGGGAAGGAAAGTCACACTGACGGAGATTATAGTTGTGATGGGCATGCTAGTCACTAATTGGCTGACTGTGCGCGCGACACCGAATTCCAGTGAGAGCTCGAGACAGACTGCAAGTACCTCTGAGAAGAGTGTGATCAGGCGTCTACCAACGCTAGAGGTTGGGCAAATTCCAGACGCTATACAAACTGGCGTTACGAAGCCTGTTCCAGTGGCCAAGGTACAGCGGGAGATATAATTCAACTGAGGTCGTGGTAGAAGCATCTTCGTATAAGTCCGAGCAACACTAAACACTAATAAAACATTCAGGTCATACTATATGATCAGTCACCAACACACGTCTAATTTATACTATACATCCAGTTCAAGCCTGCCTTGATGTGTTGCCGACACCCGTCAGAAGCTCAAATTCGCATCAGCAGTGCCGAGTGCCAACTTCCGTCTCCCTCCTGTTCTCTGCTACTTCATCGTCCAGAACCTCTAGTTCGTACCCTGTCGAGTCGATGTAAAGAGCATCTCACTCTTCTGGCACACAATGACCATGCCAGTTGCGTAGTGTAGAAGTCTCGTCCTGGCTTGAAGCATCTGGATCATCTTGAGCAAGTGATTCTGCGGTATAAGCTCATTCTGATGTTCCCATACATATACAGCACGCGTGATCGACACACATCATCTGAAGTCTCCGTTGTGCCCATGCACTTCCTCTGACATTCCCTCATTGCCCATGTCGTTGGACATCCGTATGGAGTCAGAGAGCTATACATTCGCTCTGGAGCAAGCCGGTAATTGCCTCGTGTATGCGTTGATCTAGCAACAGCACAACATGAATCTGATCATCAGTAGATGAAATGGTTTGGCACGGGCGTAATATTGTTGACAACATGTGGACGAAGTAGCAGTAAGATATAAAGATCAAAAAGGCGCTGTAGATTATGGGGCCGTCTCAGAGAGTCAATGGGGTGTCGAGGGTAGTGGAGTGCTTCGCAGGGAAAACCGCTCGCTTGCTACGAATAAAGTGCTCCGGGAGGTCTTCAAGAAATGTTCCAAGCAAGGGGAACCCGCACAAACGCATGGACAAGGGAACTTGAGGAACTTTACATAGCACACATCACTTGGAAAATCAAAATGCATGTAGTATGAATATATCACGAGCCATGTAATTGATCATATCTACATGAGCGTGTCTTCTCTAACATCAGGGTTCGATGAGCTGTGGCTCCATCGCGATGTTTGCTAGTCTGTTCGTCTGAGGCATAAATGCCGTCTTCCCAACTCGCCTCCTCCGTACTTCAGTACCAGCAGCAATAAAAGCGCGTCTTCCAAAAAGAGCGTTCGGACAAACAAGATCAAATCGTAAAAGGGTCATCAAATATGCACAGAAAGAATTAAAAATCGAAAGGCGTAGAATGGTCGTAACAGTGTGGTGTGTGGTGGTTGCACTTGGACTTGTCGGGTGAGAGAGTCGCTTAGTTGCGGATGATGACACCCTGGCGGCGGGTCTGCTTCTGCTCGTAGACGTACTCGTCCTCGGAGCTGCACTCGTCAGACTCGTCGGAGAACTGGCAGCGGGCACCTCCGCAGTCGAGCTTGACGCGGTCACCCTTGCGTGTGATTCCGTAGCGCTCGCATGTGCAGCAGGAGCTACCAGAGCTGACGCTGGATGGCGAGGAGCTGCCGGAGGAACGCGAAGAGGTGAGCGAGGGAACGTCGGAGTCGGCATCAGAGTCGGAATCGTCCTCGGACTCGGAGTTGATGTCCTGGCTGGCGAAGCGGCGGTTGAGCTCCTCGAGGGTGGTCTGGTTGTACTGGGTGTTGATGACCTGGCGGGTCTGGCCGGGGCGCTGGGGCTTGGGGGCAACGATGCGGCTGGGGGAGACACCACGACCCTTGGGGATGTTCTGGGACGCGCGGCGGGATTCCCTGGAGGACTTGGCGGGGGCAGCGGCGCTCTTGGAGGGGATGTCGATGATGTTCAGCTTGCGGCCGGTGGTGGGCTCGGTGGTGTGGTCCTTGGCGGGGTCGTGGGAGACGTGGTAGCCGTCAATGATGTAGTAGTACCAGTAGCGCTGGCCCTGCTTGAGGGTGGCACCCTGGAACTTGAAGCAGCCGACCCAACCACCGGTCTTCTTGGGGTCCTTGGAGAGGGGAAGCTGGCCCTGGTAGCCGTCCCAGGAGCCGAGAAGGTGGACAGTCTTGCAGTTGGCGGAAGTGCGGAGAGTGAAGTTAAGCTGGATAGCGGCCATTTTGATTGAGGTTTCGATCTTAAACTTTCGGTGGTAGTTGAATTATGATGACTGAAGAGTCTTGTGATGCGTTCTGGCCAAGCTAATGGATGAACGACGAAGTGATTGCTGATGAAGTGGTAGAAAGATCGTTTACGAAAGTCGATTATGCGATATTGTCGAGTTCGTTTGGTGTTGTGTTGAGCAAGTAGAGCTGAAGATTACGTTCTGGGAGTGTAGACCGGCTACGAGGATTTGGTAATAGTAAAAAGAACTGAATTAAGATGGCACCAGGCCGGGAAACAAAAAGGTAGAAAGAGGACGGAAAAACGAACACAACAGCTCTGAGAAGTTCACACGCTTGCTGAAGAGAAAATCATCAGAGTAGGACCCCAAGGCCAACATATATAGAATCCAACATCGCACAGCACTTCGCCAAAGCAGGCTAGGATTGCCGTAAGCGGGACTCGCTTTGCGAGGGGCCAGCCGAAGTGACGGCACTACCGAAGCGATTGATTGCTTGCGCAGCTTACGCATGCCATGTTCGCAGGGAGCAGGCCGGTCGAGGCGTGGATGCGCAGTCTATCGAATGTGTGTTGAGCGCTTGACGGACGCTGTCGAGTGGTGGGTGGTCAGCTTGGTGCTACCCGGCGCCATGCTTCTGTGTTTTCATTGGTCGGAGTGAGCGGGGAATATCCATCTGCTCGCACAGACACGGCGTGAAAACGCGCAGCCTATCGCAGGATGAGCCATGTGATGTCAATCCCTCCCCGTGCATCCACAACTCCATCACAGTGCGGCAGGCCGAAGACGGATGCAGGTGTATTAACCTCGTCTTCGCAACCTTGCTGCCATGTACCTGGTCGCATCGGTAGCTTTTAGCAGCATTTTCCTGCATCGCCCAGCCTCCAAACTTCCCCATTAGCCAATGGAAGGCCGTGACCACACTGCACTCGATCACAAATTGTCCCAAAGCAGGATGTCGGCGGTTAATAAACTTAGAGGCTTGATAGTGCAACCAACCACCGCCGTTATGCTGAAAGCCCTTCTGCCTTGGAAGCAGGTCGGCCGCTCACGACGTCCGCCATGTGGAGATAGGCGTGGAGATGTGCAGAGGTGCATCTGTGCAGTGCATGCGAGCTGCTCAACGGGCGTCTGACGGAGAAATCATACAGCTGCAAGTCGGAGGCACAGCGCTTGAGAACGAGGCCGCCTCTTGCGACATTGGTCGGATCCGTGGGAGAGACCTGCAGAAGCTAGAGACTATGGTAGTGGGACGAGAACGATATAGGCACCATGTACCATGACCCTTGAGGTACAAAGGGCCGTTGCACGTGTGGTTGCGCGATGTTGTGTTGCGTAGCTTGCAGTGCTACCTGTTGTGCGAAAGAGAGGATCGGCGCTGCGACGTTGAGTACTTCAAGGTCGGTACGAAGCCATCATCGACGTTGAAATCTTGCATCTGTTTGCATTCGTTCGCATCAAGGACGCATTGCTGAGATCCGTTGCTGCATCGCAGTACGCAGCCGTATGCACAGGTCAGCGTGATCTCACATGTATCTACGCGCCGACCCACGGCCTCGTTCATGCATCATCCCTTATGAGGTGTCCAATCAAAGGAGGCTTGAAGAAGTATCGATCACCCGCACTTCAGCCACTACAATATATAGGCAGGACGGAGTGGGTTCAATAATTTGAGTGCAAGATCTGAAAACGTTGATTGAATGCAGCTTCACAATGAGCCCCACCACGGAATCGTCTTCATGACACCACAAAAGTATGCATGAGTCGAGCGCAGTCGATCAGCAGCCTAAGAGATTCTCAAGCTCCGCAGGTGTCAACGTGCTCTTTCTTCTCTTTGGGCGTCCTCCAATGCGCAAGGGTTTCGTTGGCGAGCGAGTCGTGCGTCTTTGCCTCTTCTCCTCCGCCACCTCCTCGCCAATCCCTGCTCTGAAGGACTTTACGGGGCTCGACTGGATTCTGGCAGCGGCTACTTCCGCTTCCACCTGCACTGCCTTGAGTTTGTCAAACATACTTAGTTTTGGTGACCGCTCCTCCGGATGGGAGTGTGGACTTGAGTGTCGTTTCCGTGTCTGTCGATAAGTGTTAGAGTTTGTCGCTGTTGACGAGTTGAAAAAATTGGATTGGGAAGAAGAGAAGGTGACGTTGCTAGCCATGTTGATAATCTGGTCGCAAATTTTGTCACAACGTACATGGCGTGGTGTGCGCTCATCTTCGCCTATCGGCCTTGATACGAGCTCTTCGGAGGCCAGCGCTTTCGCAGGGGACGATGGATGGTAAGTCTCTTCTGTGTCGACCATATCCAGCTCGGGCGTGCCTGTGTTTTCGTCCTCTGACTTAGAAGGTGTATTCGGGGTTGAAGCTGAAAAGACGACCTTCCGAGGTGATTTGCTAAGTGAGGCGTTGCCGTTTGTCTCTTTCAGAGCTTGTTGTTCAACTGCAAGTCCAGTTTTTGATGAAGGCAGCTCCACTTCTTCACCTTCCACGTCTTCGCCGTTGAACACAGAGCTGCCGTCTTCCATTGCCTCGTCGCCGTGCTCTGAAGCATCTTCCTCTTCCTCGAATTCATTTTCATCCTCTTCTGCAATGACTGAAATATCATCTGCGCCATCTGTGTCCATATCTGTATCATAATCCAATCCTCGGGTGATCTCGTCGAGGTTGATCGTATCGCCTTTGGTCATGCGTTTCCGCCATGAATCCATGAGCCTAAAGGACTCGCGTAATCGAGCCTCCATCTTCTCCCATCCGGCTCGTAATCTGTGGATCTCCTCTTCTCGCGACTCGACCTCTTCCATCGATACAAAGTCGGGGTTTGTGAGCAGATTCTTGAGGTTGTCAAGTACTGCGTCTGTATCGCTGGCGAGAGCCTCGTAGCTCGTTGGTAGAGCGTGCATCATGCCCTGGCGTGCATCCTCCTCGTCTTCCCCAATCACCGAGAGCTGGTCTGCATCTTCCTGCCCAGCCATCTCTGGCATGCCTTGTAATTCCCTCAATGTCACAAGCGTGCTTCTAACGAGAGCAATCAGGCTGTCATTCTCGTCGCTCAAGCTTTGACTAAGCTGTGTCAAGAATTCCGTAGTCTCTTGTCTCAAGCTGTATCCGGGATCTTCCATGTCTGGCTCATCAGCCCGAAGAGTGCTTGTCGAACCACCAAGGCCAGCAACACCTGGGTTGATGGTGATGCTTGCGCCAACCAGACCTGTCTTATTGCCGCGCTGCTGGGTGGTCAAGTGGCTCTTCAGACGTTGTATTTGTATGTCGCGTTTTCGCACGTCATTTGCGCAGCTTGTTCGTACTTGATCGACGGTTGTTTTGAGTCGTAGCATCTCCGCGCGCAATTTGCGCGCTGAGGATTCGGCGGTTCGTAAAGCGGCGCGGGCAGCATGCTCCTGCGATTGTGCGAGCGAAAGTTGCCGTGTCAGATCTGCGTTACGAGTTTGCAACTTTTCGAGAGATACCAGTTGCCGTGACTGCTCTGACCGCAAAGTTCGCACGGTTTCTGCAGTGGACTCTCGGTATTCCTGGTCGCGCTGCGTCAAAATCAGTACTGAAGCGCCACCCGGAATATTGCGACATCATACATCACGCTTGAGGATAAGATCATGAACGAGGTTGATGATCTGGGCCATTGTGGCCTCCTTTCCGCCCTCTCCTCGCGACGGGTGCGCAAACTCGATGTTCTTGCCATCGCGCAACAGTCCGCGAGCTAACAGCAGGTTGTTTATGTATGTTGCTGCCGTTTTAAGGTTGTACGACTCCATCTTGGGTGTGGCGAGGCCTTGTCGTGCGCAATGTTGGTGGAGCTCATCTGGTGTTTACAAACACGCCCATCTCGTTGCCGAAGTTCACCCGTGCCAACGTGTGTTCGTTCACCGCATCCATCACACATCACAGCCTGTCGCCACCCAAATTCTTCATCTCAGCTAGGACCAAATCGCCTCATGTACCGGCTTATTTTTGCTTTTCTAACTGAGCGGACTACCTGCTTACCAGAACCATGACGTTAACCAAAGCAATGACGCTGAGCGGCCAAACGTTCCAGCAAGCGACCTTCACCACCCATCAACATACATGTGTACGAGATTTTGTCACTGATAGCAATCTTTGCAGCACAACAGGTGATTCCGGCTGCACAGGGCGCCTACACCGGGCCATCACCCAGATAGCGTCAGTCATTCCGAATATATAAACCGACGTAGTAGTACTCCCTTCAAGACAGCCCTATATTCGAAGTATAGTTGCGAATGACATGCTGAATCATCGATCGCCCTTGCTATGTTCTTGCTCAATGGTAGCAGTATGTGTGCTGCTCTTGATCTGCGCTGACATCAACATTGCGCTGCCTAGTCAGATTCTGACGCTACAACTCCTTGCCCAAGAATATGAGTTAGGAATGCAGCAGCACTAGTCCATCAATCTGTGTGGCGTCGATCCAGTATACAAAGCTCAGCTGACCTCCGCATAGGACGTTGCTGCTGATGTGGATGTGATTAACAAGTATACCAGTGTCAAGTTCGCAACAGGTCGATGTCACGATGCTATTGTGAGCTTTGCAACATCCCAAGAGGGCGTACGAGTCGTTGTGAATGATCTCGCAGGCGCGACCTGTGACGCAGAGAAGTATTTGGCCTATGATTAACCAGGAAGTGAATAGAATGATGTTGCTGGCGATGTTGAGCCAAGTGGAGTTGCTGTCATCTGTGCACACTTGGGTGACTGCAACGCTGTATTGCCTGAACAAAATACCACTGATCAGTAACAGGAACTTGTCGATTTTGCAAGGTATTTCATTCAGGATAGCATCTCCTTCCTCAGTGCGCAGGAAAGCTCGCTACTGACGGCATATTCGGCCGGAGACAGTGTTGATAAACGAATCAATCACTGAAGCAAATATCGCCACCCATCCAGATCTCGAACTGGGTATTAGGGGGGCAGTCACCAGTTCGATATCGTCACTGAATAGCCTCGCCGTATCGACGACATTTATGGAGGCTTGTATGTTTAACGGCAGCATCAATAACAGCGTGAAAGACATGCTATCCGCTACTCGGCACGGATTGGGTATCACCGGTACCCAATACGTTATCACGGCAATTATCTTTCCATAAGATCTCGGTCTTGATGGCTTTGAGACCTGCGGCACCTCTACCTTCAATCCACCTAGTACTGGCACCTCTGCAGACCTCCTGAACATTCCTGACATGCAGTGAACTACCAATGAGCGAAGCTATGCTAATCTAGTGAGTGCTCGATTCGGTCGGCATTCAATAGACATCTGCTGATGATGTGCAGCTCAGGTGAAACAATGAAGGTGCAGTTTCTCTCAACACTTCTATTCACATAAACTAGGAGCAGCAAGACTATAAAATATTGATCAACTAACAAACCAAGAGCATACCTGCGTCATGTGCGACTCGGAGATTGATGATCACTGCCGATGATCTTTGGCGAGCTTACTTGCAGGAAGTTACACGATCTCTGAGGTTGAAGTGTGTTGCGTTTTGGCACTCTGCTACTCAGGTATCATGTAACTATAAGGGTATCATCCTACCTTACCCCAATTTCATCGTGGATTCACCACTACCTAGGCACTGCGGGAGCGTTCTTAATGATATTTGAGAGCATGAAAGTCTACCCCCTCTCGCACGTGTAATAGCAACACATGGGTAAAGTGCAGCTAGCGCTAGAGACATTCGTGGGTCTGTTCGAAAATCCATCCTGGTGCAAATACCGGTACCTAGGCACTATGCGCTGACTCCGCGACGCTACGATGAGGGCTCAAAGCCCTGCAGTATCTATGAGGTTTTATGGCGTCGACAGTGAGACTGAAAACATCGTGAGACGTCCTCGATTTCTAGGGAGAGGTGAAGGAAAGAGCAACAAGAGTTGAAGAACAAAGGAGCTCTTGTTCATCAAATACGTCGTAACGACATGACTTCGCAAGATCTTCCGCATTCATAGAACCATTAGTATCATCCATGAGCATAACGACAGCTTTACTTGCCTTCTTTGATTTAGCGACGAGAAACAAGGCACACGTGCCGTAGATTCCTGCCTCGGCAGCGCCGTTAGCGCCAAATGCTGCCGTGTTCACATGCGTGACCCCGGATTCGATCTACATCATCATTGTCACAAGCCTCCGAGTTGTCAAATTGTTCATATTCCCCGGATTCCCGACCCCGAGACTTGTCTACCCCATAAACCCATCTGCATATCCTCACCTCAAAGCTGCTTGGTTTTAGCGCAAGACTTAACACTCTACGTCACCCATCACAACACCACCAACATGACTCTCGCACTTGGTAAGCGCCTTCCGTTCTTACATCTCATGGAAAGCAGACATATGGTCAAGCAGTCGACACTCTTGTGTGGTACTTTTGATTCGTCTGGTTCATCTGTATATCGACAGGAGCCACTAAAACCTAGCTCCTTGCGCATTTCCTAGACGGACCTCCAACACACTACACACAGATATGACCAAGGCTAATAACCATCACAGCCGAATTTCCTTCCTCTGCCGCGTTCGACGCTATCCAAGCCTCGCTCTCCGCATCTCCCGCCGACCGCAAAGCCGCCATCAAGTCTGGCAACGGCATTTTCGCGTTCGTACTCAAGAACAACGGCAAGGAAGAGTCGTGGCACATCGATTTGAAGGAAACAGGCACAGTCGGTCGTGGCACAGCGCCAGAAGGCAAGAAGGCCGGTGTTACCCTTGTGCTCAACGACGCCGAGTTCCAGAAACTCGTCGAGGGCAAGGCGAACGCGCAGAAGCTGTTCATGAGCGGCAAGCTGAAAGTAAAAGGCGACGTGATGAAGGCGACGAAGCTGGATCCCATTCTCAAGAAGGCGCAAGCGCCCAAGAGCAAGTTGTAGATACCTCATAATGCTAAGAAAGCGGAGGACACCGTTTCTCTAGGAGCCCTGCGCGGCACCTGTTCGCAAGTTTTGTACAACAATAGATAAGTGCGATATCTGCGATCTGTTGTGTGCATCCGCATGAATAAGTGTTATTGGCCGACACTCACCGCTGCTACATTGCTTTCCTCCCGCGAGAAAGATCGTTGTCGTCAGAAAGGACACTGGCGCAATGCGTCAAATCAAGATCCAAATCGAGCTGACCTAGCCCTTCAGTGAAGGAGTTTAATACAAGACAGACGTAGTCCAGATCATCTCACCGTGAGACACTGCAGTGAGAGAGAAGACGTACAAGAAGCACTCGCATCCGGTGAGCCTGTCGTTAGAGCTAATATAACCCACAAGGAGTTTCCGCCCGTATGACTGTTGAACAATGATTCTAGACATCTCACGGAGGTTCCAGTCTTTGCTGCTGCGATGTTGGCTATCAAGATCATCCCTTCCTTCTTCCTACCTCAACACCGAGCGCTCATCATGCCCACACGAGACGATGAGCAGTGTTCAGTTGGGAAGCGAACTTTATGCCTGTGCAGGCGGACAAAGGAAAGATGCATTGAAGGATTGTAAGCATGCTAGTCATGTTATCATATCTATCTACATATTTTCATAAGTATGTTCGTGAAGAATGCAGCCGTTAGAGTTCGAGGCCGTTATGATACGCATGCGAAAGCAGTATCAGTAAAGCAGAGACATAAGAGAGGTCGGTCCAGTCGAGCGTCAAGTCCAAAGACAAAACAAGCCAAAGAAAAACAAAAGAAAGCGGACCGAGAGAGGTGTCAAGGTCCGAAGCTAAAAACAACATAAGAATCGAGCCGTAGCGCGTCGTACCAGCCCGCCAGAGGAAGCTGGCACTTGCGCCTTACATTGTGGCTCGTTGTAAGCAAGCGCAACCGTCACCGCCCGGTGTCCGTGGCGCGTGAGAGAACTCCAATTCAAAACCCTGGGTATCACCGTGATTATCTTGACTTGACCGGACCGCATACCTCTCGTACTCCACAACGCCGCAGCTAGTGCGTGTAAGAAATTATAGCAATGACACCGCAATACACAACACCTCACGTACAAAGGTGTGTGGTGTCTATTTCCACGATGAGATGCGCAGGAAGCGCTTCATGTGGTCTGCGTCGAAGAAGCTGTCCTTCTTGTTATGGCAGGGCGAGCCAATTGCAGGGCTCTTCTTGAGTTTCTGGTTAGGCTTGCTAAGCCACCGCGACAGCGTGTGGCCGCCACGGTCTTTGCTCGCGTCTTCGATGGCCGCGTCGACTTCTTCCATGAGGGGCCCCATGATGCGTGGCTCGGTGTCGATAGGGGAGAGCATGATAGGAACGTCCATGACCTCTTCTTGGGTCTTCTTCCAGCGGTCGCTGCCGGTGATGACGGTGAGGGGTTGGAGAGCATCGTCCCAGCTGCCCTCGCGGAGCTTCACGTCTTCGAAGTTGAAATCAATGAGGGTGCGGCGGTGTGTTTCGATGAAGTTGGAGATCTGGGCGGAGTCCATGACAGCGTTTTCCAGCTCCATGCAGCGGAGACGGGTGAATCGAAGAGGCTTTGGCCCCTTGATCTCACCGCGCATGGTTGGGTGGGTCATCTCGTCCTCAACAGGCTGCATACAGGGCTCCTTCTCCAGTGACAAGGGGGATGGACCGCGCTCGCCCTTCCATCGGAAGTGTAGTCGCGTGACACCACGTGACAATGTTCGTAAATAGGCGTGCAGGATTCGCAGGTGTTCGATCGACTGCGCGCGCATTTTGCCCGAAGAGGTTGCAAACGGAATGGATTCCATGCAGATAGACAGCCTTCGGATTTGCGTCCAGCGCTTAGCGGATGATGGTGTGCTTCCGAAGCCGTGCATGGGGTGAAGATAAAGAAGACCTCCGGCGTGGATTGGGTGCATCGACAAGGCAGTCAGGCTGTACAATGGTGCGCGTTCAACGGCGATTCGAATGGAGATGAGCGCATAGTCGACCACGGTCCGGCGGTGTCGAATCTGATTGTTCGAGTCGGGGCACGAGATTTTCAGGTGCGTAAGGTTAATGAGCTCGGAGAAAGCGGAAACAAAGGACGGGACGTTTGTTGCTGCGTGGAATAGAGGAGGATACTGCTTAACAAGCACGTCTTGCATTTCCCAGGTTCCGTACTTTGGTGTCTTGTCTTTCGCGGGACCATTTTGCGGGTTTTGAACCTGCGGCTCGTACACGAAATCTAGCTCGGCTCCGGTCTCTGGGTCAATGACTGGCGGTAAAAAGGTCTCGGGAGTATGTGGCATGTGGAAAGTAAACGTCTTGACATGGCGTCCGATCCGGGAAAGGGCTTCAATGCGCGCGGGCTTGGTAAAGGTTGATGACTTGAAGGTGGTGGTGACTGAATCGAAGAGAAGAGGCGCAGCGCGGGTTGACATATCATGGCATACAAGACGGAGGTTGGCTAGGTCGTCTGTTTCCATCTGCTCCAGCATGTTGTCGCGACATTTGTCATTCAGCCAGAATCGGAGGAAGACTGAACTGGTTGACAGCACGAGGTTGCATACTGATCCGTAAGATCGCACCGCTACGCACCGTTAATCATGTTGCCATACCGTGCCGGATTCGAGGGCGTCTTACATCGTCCATCTTGCGTGGTCGCGGGCGAAAGCGGTATCTCACCAAAAAGCAATTTCGAGCTGGCAGTCGAGGCAGTTGTCGCACGGCTGGCATAACTGCTTTGGCTATCCCCCGAATAGGAGCGCTTCAGCTGCGGCGGCGCCTGGCGCTGGGAATACATTGGATGAAGGTGAATTGGGTGGCATTCAAGATTCCGTGGGAAAGCTGCGTCAGAGTGTCGGTCTGGTGGGTAACTGCAAGTAGGAAGTCGTCATATGAGATTCACAAGGAGGCGGGGAAGCTCGAGCCGTCAATGAATCGTGAATATTCAGGAGTGCATGAAAAGTCGGTGAATATGGTCAACCTCCAGGGCTTCGTGGAAACCTCAGGAACCCGGGCACCCTCGAGGAGCTAGTATTTACCGCATCCTCCACATGCGGGGCCGCGCTGCACGTGAGATGCAGGTATGAGTCAAACATGGTGTGCTGAAGGCAGTGAATCCCGTCCCAAAATGCGACTCTTCTCTTTGAGGCCAGTTTATGGAGCGAAAAACGCGACCATCTCGCGGTGGGAGAGCGTGTTCATATGGTGTTCGACGCGACGATTCGGCCGCTGGGTCGAGTGGGCCTGCTGACTGGAGTCGGCATGAAACGTTTCATGGGTTGTAGCGAATGGGAGAACAGACTGAGTGGGACACTGCATGCAGCTCTTGCAGTAGAGCTGCAGTAGTTCCTTGGAAGTTGTGGCTGGATGCAGACGACTGGCGGTCAGCGCTCGAATTCGCGTGTAGCAGTGGCAAGGCGCGTTAACCTCCGCCTGCACTACTGTGTACATTGCCATGGAGAGTCGCGATTCGAGGGCCAAAACAAAAACATCCTGCGCCTGTCTGCAGTGCCTGCGCTGGTGTGCGCTCGCGTCTGTCCGTAATGCAGCTTTGTGAACGTGCACGAGACAGAGTTATCGATAAGTTGCCGCAAGGCGCGTCCCGCTCTTCAGCTTGACAGTGTCCACACCGTCCGCCACAGCATCATATATGGCCGGCTGCCCTCGTCGTGAAACGGTGACATGTTGAAACATTTTTGCTCAAACTTCCGACCTCACTGCATGGTGCTCCAACAAATCTCCTTGGGAAGATAAGCGAGGCCTCATAGGCTCACTCTTCACACCAAGTACCTACCCATTACCAGCCTAGTCCACGCCCGAAATCCCTTTCAACAAGGAAATCAAGGAAGCAGGACCTAGCAACGGGGCCAGCATCGAAGACAACAGAAGGACAACAAGGCCTGCTCGAAGACAGCACAACAACAACAAGCTTCTCGCCATGTTGGGCTACCTCCTTCCAAATCAAGCCCAGCATCCACTCGTATGACTCGCCACCCATTGCTAGCCTGTCAACGTGCATCTTTTCCAGGATCTCTTCAGGCGAGTAGCATCGTGCATGTCTTGGCCAGACGCACGACTTGCACCATCCACGGCTTCTGCCAGTTTCCGCCCGACGATGCTGTTGAAAATGCCGCACTTGCATGAACTGCCTTGTTGGCCGGTCTTTCCGCCTCCCGAGTTTTGTTAACCTTTTTGAGTGTTTGTTTGTTGACAATTATCTGCACGCAACTAACACGGTTGGAACGAGCCGACTTGCGCGCATTCAGTGTGACCTTCGAGTGTCCTGTACGACCTCATTTCATCCTTCGCCGCCGTTTCCGCAGATCCAGTTCGCCACGCTACGCAGGTACCATTGCCGAGTCAGGCCATATCCAGGCCACGCCTGTGGGTCTGAATTCATTGGTGGAGACGGTGAATTGATGTGCTGTCAAAACAATGGTACCATGTCCGGGCATCTCTCGGCCGGTAAATGATGGTCTAGAAACTTCGATCGCAGCATTGCGATTGGGCTCCCGAGACCCTTAGGCGTGAAACATGGGGATGTTTGTTTCGTTTCAAAGGCCCGGATTGGCCTCAGTAAAGGCTGTTCAGAAAATATTGATTGGCTAGAAACGTAGTTCTACCGTTATGCTGCGGCCCGAGATGCTCCTCCACGTCCACTTCCGTCATGGGATCCAACGGCCACCCAGTCCTAAGGACAGTGGGGATATCCTACTGACCGTCTTCGTGGCCAGATAGTTCCTTCCTTGATCCACAGTCGTGTGACTCTTCAGCGCCTCTTTTCGTCCGAAAACCTTGGTGCCCCCTCTGGCACTGGAGGAGGTTGGTAAGTTCCTCTGTATCCGTTGATAGGGGGCAGGTCCTGTCCGACCGCTTCCTCATAAGTCGGTGGTGGCGCCTCGAAAGTGTCGCTTTGTGGTCTTGCCGTAGCGTTAGGAGATGTGCTTGGCCCTCCGTAGCCTGCGTTAGCTGGCATTGTTGGCGTGTGCGGTCTCTGCGCTTGCGGCGGTACACCGAGGTTTGTAGTCTTGCCTGATTCACCCGTCAACGCGGCCTCTAGCAACGCCTTGGGAGGAGCAATGCCAGAGTAGACTTTGACCGGCAGCCTCAAGGGCAAGACTACGAGTTGGTCTTCGCCTTGGTTGTAGGAACCGTAGCCGACTCCCACGCGCACTTCCAGCTCGTAAAAGCGTGATAGATTACACGTCTGGAACGTCGGTGGAACTGTGTTTGGAATGGGTTTTCCTGACCAGTATTCTGGGTTGACTGGCACCTCTGTCTCCAAGGGATCGCTTGGCGACCCTAACGGGATTGCCATATTGCTGAAGGAGCAGAGTATCCAACTGTTCGATTCTGTACGAGCGACCTCGTGCGCACGTACTTTAGTGTAGCCGATCAGTTCGATCTGAAGCATCTGGAGGTACACATTCTTCGTGCGTGCGCTCATGTTCTTCATAAGCAGCCTCAGCGGAAGGTCTTGGTTAGCTGTGAGAATAGCCGGATTTGGAAGTCGGCCGTCAAGTGATATGCGTGGTGGAGTACCCGAAGTCGTGGGGGATGATGGCACGCTCATTGATGAACTCTTTCTGTCAAAAAGGCCGGGCTTTTTACCTGCCGCTACATTTGGCGCATTTTCAAGAAACTGATGTTGTCTCCTTGCGTACGCCTCGCCATCTTGCCGTTCTGATCGCGGAGGTTCAATCGGCAGAAATGTGAAGTAGGCCGTCGCCCTTGGGTTCTCCTTGAACAAGGACGGCCTGTTCACAGTAACTTTCACGTAGTATCGAATCTCTGCCTCGCCGGGAAAACCGGTCAGGGACGGGGGCAATGTGGACTTCAGATGTTGTGTGGGTGCTTTTGCGAATTCGGGTATTGTGTTTGCGAAGGAGATGTTCGAAATCGGCGCGGCCGCTTGCTGTGCATGGCAGGATGTGTTCAGAGGAATCTATCTTCATTAGCATGAGTATAGCGCTCGAGTATACGCGACTCACTTTGAACTCGAAAGGGTATTCAAAGTTGCCAGCATTCATAGTGAACCCCGTCTTGTTGTTTGTGAGGAGATCATCTTGCGTCATATTCGCAGGCCATACTACTTGAGTCTTGTACAGGACTTTGTGTACCTCCAGCACCGGCCGCTGCTTGTCTGGTCTGCTAGGATGTATCGGCGCAAGTAATCTTGTCTTCGACTCGCCCTCAAGCTTCACTACGATGCTGCTGACATTGGTTGGATGAGGCACCCGCAAAGACACTCTGCCCTGAATAACATCAAGATTGGTGTAATGCTCGTGCGGATGATCAAGGGCTATCGACACCAACATCGTGAGGTTACTATCGTACAAGTGTGACTACGGATCGGCTCCGGCGTCGATTTGGTGACTTGGTGATTTCAAGTGGACGTGTAGTCTCGGGTTGGTTGCGGACTAGGCAGCATTCTTCTTTATACCGACGGATGGGAAGTGTTGTGCTTTGCGCAGGATGACTCGGCTGAGTGTGGTTCACGGAAAATGCGGCACAGCCCAAGAAACGCGTGTCGTCGGTGTTAGAGCATTGCGGCAGGCCAAAGGCAGCAGTAGTAAATTGTCGGAGCGTGGCGGAGGGGCAGGCTTGGCTACGTCATTCCAGTCGAACAAACGCCTACACGAACGCCTACACATTGCGCCTTACCAATAGCTTTCCTTTACAGGCTTTCAAGAGACATCTAATAGGTAGCACATCTTGAACCCGCGCTGTCATTCCAATCGGCATTCAGATCTGGTTTTCATCATCTGGACATGTGCAACCCACAATCCTTGCAGTTTACATTACACAGCCACAGTTACAGCCGCACCACAGGACTGATGAGAGGCATTATCTCACACTGCTCCCTATCGATGGGTGCCATAAGCACTAACTCATAATCGCGACATCTCGCATCCCGCCTCTCGTACCTCATTCAACGTCGAAACCATTGTCGATGTAGAATCGATCTATAAGAACTTGACATCAAGCTACAACTTTTCTTTGGCGAGCATGTCTAGTTTGTCCAGTTAGTACCATCAACATTCGAGTGTTGAGAGTGCGCAACATGTGGCGGTCGCTTCTTACCACATATATCAAGATACAATGCAATGGCATTGAAACTAGATTGCTATTAGTATGACACATGTATGTAAAAGAACCTTTGAATCTTACGTTCTCTTACTTCCAGTCAACTCCCAAAGCCACCACTTCATACGGTTGGTCCAATTAATCAAGTCAAGATGACTGACGCCGATCAACGTTCCTTTGTAATCTCCCCATTGACTCGACGAGACGCTAGCAAAAGGTGTCAGACGAGTTCCGTCTTCGTAGCCAAAAGAACATACCTAACAAGACCGTCGTTGATTCCTTCTTCCCGCTTAACGATCGCATGTGAGGGAGCAAAAACAGACCACCTCGAAGGTTCTAAAGACGCACCATAAGAGAAGTATCTGACATCTTCAATGTCCGGCGTTCGTGGATTGAAACTCTCACGCATATACTTCAGCGTTAGCTGAGAGAACGCGCCAGTCTCGAAACCAAAATATTCGATGACTTTGTATACTCTCTTGATCCTGCGAGGCCCAATTGTCTCGAACATATAATCTGCGAACGAAGAACCTCGGTGCGGTGTCGCGATGGTCGTAAGAGACTTGATCGTGAAATCAGTCGGTTTGAGTTGACTAATCATATAGCGCGAATCGAGGCCTCCCATGCTGTGTGCAATGATGTTAACCTCCTTTCCTTTGGCTCTCGCTGCAATGCTCTCTGCCAGCTTTGCTGCTCTTGCTTCAACGCTGCCACTTGGCGGGACGGTCGCTACGATGACCTCAATTCCCTTCGCCGAAAGTGCCTCTGTAATACCACGCCAGTATTTTAGTCCGGGGAGGAACTGGCCTGCGAGGCGCAGTTCACTGAAGCCAAGGAGGCCGTGTGCGAGGACGATTGTGTGCTTCTGCGCATGTGTCAGCGGCTTGATCGTGGCTGGTGATGATTACGAACAGGTGTAGCTGACTGATATTAGCTTGCATTCAAGAGAGAAGCTAAGACTCCCACCATATTCTTCACGGATCACTGCGAACTCATCGGTGATCTCTCTGCCCATGGACTCAATGCGCGGGTCTTCTTTGCGCCACGATGTGCTGGTAAATTGGCGTCGAGCCAGTGAATATTTAAATATACATGTTGCAGGTGGTGAATTCGTACGAGAGCGGATAGCCGCTCGAGCACATGTAAGTATCATTGGGTTCGGTGCATTGTGGTGTTGACGTTGATGCTCAATAATTCGAATTCTAGGGCGCGTCAACTTAGCTTGGTGACGTATGTAGCGAACGCGCTGAGAGCTAGAGCAGGGGTCTTGCACACATGCGCAATCGATCTGGCGCAATTACCTGTGGATTAGCTATAAATTTCAGCACGTGTTTTTGATCATTAAACAGAACCGTGTTCTTCAATGCATGTGATGATCACTTTTATCGTTGTCGAAACGTGATTTGGCTTTGAAAGTAGCCCACTGATGCACAAACATGGTGTAACAAAAGGCGAAACGACATGTTCGTTGCAGTGCAAGGACACGTTGATGAATGCTGGGACGCTGGTATGGAAATGTTTCGCTAGATTGGGATGTCTATTGCTCAGGTCTTCACAACCACTGTCTTCAACCAGAAGATCGACGGACATGTACGGTAACGTTGCGCCGTGCTCCAGGCATACCGCCTAGAGTGTTCATGGTTTATCATCGTCGTGGTTGATGCAGGTGGTTTCTTCGCTCGGCGTGCGTGGTACTATCGCTCTAGTCCTTGCGCGGAGGCTTGGGGTCGGCGTTCGTGACAGCGGTGATCAGTTGCTCGACGACCTTGCCGCCTGACTTGTTACCCAGCTCCTCCACCTCCTTAACCTTGTTGTCTGTATCTTTCTTGGCATCATCCTCAGCCTTCTTGTTGCCAGAGCTGTGCTGTGGTATCGTTAGCCTCACATGGCTGTCTCAACGGGTGCTTCGCAGATTGTGAGCGCACCTCCTTCTCGAACTTCTGGTACTCCGCCTCCTTCTCCTTCTTGTAATCCTCGATCTCTTTCTGTGCCTCGCTTCGTGCGTCCTTCACTCGCTTTGTGCGGTCTTCGACAATTAGATATGTCTTAAAGTGGGAGATGGGTGGGTATGTCTACATTCTCTGGCTGCGCTCTTGATTAGCCCCTGAGTATCATTTAAGAGTGTTATATCTATTACCTTGCTGGACGATCTTCTGTGCATCGCGCTCTGCCTGTATGCTGTGTGAGCTGTGTACGGGTTAGAGTGGGCTACGGTGCTTACGTCAAGCAGCGTCTGAATTCCCGCAGAGTTCTGGGCGGACTATCGAAGACGTTAGCATCATGCGCACCCTCAGAATCTGTATGTCTTGCCATCTTGAGGGTATGGGAGGTAAGCGGTGGAGGTTCGAAATCGCGGTCGTCGTTGCGGAGAGGCCTATGATGCAGCAGCGGCCTCGAACTTGGCGGCAGGTCCCACCTCGTGGCTGCTGGCCCAAGCTCCGTCCGATTTCGAATTAATTATCCACAACTTTCCGCAGCAGTCCTGCTGAACTTACGCCAAAGTACCCGATATGTCTCGAGCATCCCAGATTACGCTGGCAACCACCTGTGCGACTGCGATTGGCGTTGTAGCATTTGTTCATTTCGCGCAGCAACAGGACAAGGCCGTCGGTCATCTCTCACGCCATGTAGTGAACGGGATCTGACCTTTGTGTAGGCAATGCACGCCGGTGTCATTCGCGACTACGAACAGCAGCGAGTAAAACGCGAACGACAAGCCGACTTCGAGATGCAGAAGGCTCTCCAAGAAGAGTATCTGAAGTACCAGACGGTCCATGACAGCAGCACGCCCGAACCACCTCAAGGATCTCTAGGTACATAGCATTGATCTATGCTTCGCGCGCGATTCAGAACTACGTCAATGGAAGTACACTTTGCAAATATCGTCCAGCGATTCTCGCACCTTGCAATGCGCTACACATAGCTGCGCGTTGCAGTCACCCGCCGATACCTGGTAAGGTCAAATGCCCAAACCCTTCATCGATCAGGGTGTGGTCCAAGACCTACCATCATACTCATACGAACGGCACGAGACCAGCCTGGTTCAGGCTTGCTATAGTGGTCCAACAAAAGGAAGCAGAAAGTGGTGTTTGATCACATCTGGGCATGGATACAAGGACATGAAGCACCTGTTGTGTTGTATAACGACAAATCAACGTTGTCATAATCTGCGCTCTCTCGAATTTAGCGTCAATCCACTCGCTGTGAAGGTTGAGGGGAAGAGCAGCAGTTTTGGAAATCAGCAAGATTGTCGGCAGACCTGAAGATCCCATGCAAGAAGACCGGTGTCTACAGTTACTTTCTAGTGCTTTGCCGCAGATACAAACAAAATGGTCAATTGTGTGACTGCCTTCGGAGTTTGTCACGCGCCACACATCGTGGTCTGCCTAATTTACTGCGCCTTGCAAACGCTTGCCAAATCTTACCTTACGTTCTGGCTTCGCATCGCCTCGCCCCGCACTGAGGGAGACCACAGCCATCGATCACTATCTTTACCCCGAGAGCCGTCCCTGCAAACACTCCAAAGATACCTGATGTTCCTACTTATGTGCCTTGCTCGGCATCTTGTCTCAATGACGCTGAAAAAACAATTGCGCTGCATGCTGTGGCGGGCGTTGAAAGTCGGAAATGGACATTTGTTCGCGATGCCGTTATTCCCTGCGACGGTGATGGATTCAATCCCGCCTACTCGAGCATAATTGCTCTCAATTGTGGCTGTGAACCATGGGTTCGTCTCTATCGAAAATCAACATCCCCATCAACCCTGTCGGGCTTCGGAACCAAAGACAACCGTCTCTGATGGGCACATGAGCCGTATTAGCCACTAGCATAGCATTAGTCGTGAAGCTTTGCGATTTTGGCTACCTTGGCACCGCGACGCGATCGACAGCGATGAAGTCATCCATGCTGTTTGCCGGCTTCCTGATGCAGTTGTTCGTGTAACTCACACGTCAGTAACGTACACTATGAGAGCACCGCTCCGAGGACCCGTGATGAAGCTGCTTGCTGATTGTGAGCGCGTTTCCAAATTGTTGTCATATTTGTGCACACTTACGCCAAGTCAAGGCAGATTGAGCTCTGCTTCCAAATACCCTGAGCCATATGTGGCGAATACATTGGCTTCTAATTGGCTTCTGCCTAGATTCTAGCGTAAGGCTGTGTGCGACCCTGCCTGAACCTGCCCGAAGGCTAGCTGCTTAGACTCGGCTGTTCATGACGCAAGGCTGGTTTGCCCCTGCCATCATACCTATAACCCTAACGCCCTTGACCATCGCTTGTTTCCCTACGAACAAGCACGCAAACACCAAATCGCCTCCTCACATCAAGCTTTGAACAGCTCCTTTTGAAACACTTCACACGCCTTTGACTGTTTCACCGCTTTTTCATTCACGTATCACACAGTTCCACATCACACTCGAGCATCAGCTCCATCACCTACATCCACCCTCATCTACGATGAAGGTATCGCAATGCCTTGCGTATGTCGCCCTCGCCACATCAGCAGTCAATGCTGCATCGATCCCAGAGACCAACGCTATCACGCTCATTGAGGATCGCGCCGATGCTCAACCACGAGCAGCGGACGTTGTCGCACCAGATAACAGCTTAGAGAGAAGGAAGGGTGGCGGTGGTCGCGGTGGCGGCAGTAGCTCTGGTAGCTCTGGTGGCTCTGGTGGCTCGTCTGGAGGCGGCCGATCAGGCGGTTCGATCGGCGGTTCCACGCGCGCCGGCTCTGGAGCACCTCGCGCATACGGCGGAGGATACTATGGAGGTGGCGCAGCCGTACCTTATTCTGCTGGCTCGAGGACTCCAAAGGGCTTGATTGCCGCTCCCCTGCTTCTAGGTGCGAGTCTATTACTCATTATGCCCGGCCTCTGGCTCTATTCAGTGTACCCCTATCACTACAACAACCCGTAAGTGGAATCTTTCGAGCGCCCTGAGCCAGACCACGTGGACCATTGACTAACATGCCGTAGATACCGATTCAATAATCAAAGCGATACGAACTCCACGAATCCAAACGGTACCAACACTACGCTTCCGGTCACTTGTTTGTGCCAGGAATACAGCCCATGTGGTTGCGAAGAGAATGATGACCAGCAGTACCTGAAAGACCTTGTTGGCAACGGAAGTTACGCTTCCCTCAACAAATCTTTGGTGACCGTTTCTAGTGTCAACGGCACACAAACCCTGGTCATCAACGGCACCTTGCCCAACGGCACAACTGCCCCCGGTGGCGAGGATGGTGCTGGTATCAACCTCAAGGCTGGAAAGTACGCTGGCTACTGGGTTATGGCGACTATCGTCCTCACCGGTGTGATGATGTAGTCACCGTTTGCAACCCTTCAGTATATACGTTCACGACTTCATGTATTTCCACGACTTTTTCCACGACTTTCACCCAAGGCGGCATATTAATGGCGTTTTGGTTCGAATGACGAGGTAGGCGGTTGCTTTCTTGTTGGTTTTATACCCGCCGCTCACCCTGGCTCTTGGTCTTTTCCCATTGTTAAGTAGAATAATTAGAGGGATCCAGAATTCTTATGTCTGCTATATCACGACTATGTCCCCGCACACGTCGATCCGCTGGGATCGTTGACAATGGATTTGATGCGTGTGCAGCAAGAATCCTGATCCTTTTCTCTGCCTGCTACGTCACAAGCTTACATTGGCCACCATGGCTGCTCCGCTGGATTGAAGGGCGGGGTACAACTACCAAACCTTTGAACTTCAGTACAATTTACTATACTGGGATAACGCAAACAAACGAGTATTTCTACACGATCGCGTGAGGATCTTACGAGTTATGTTTCTTAGTCTGTGGCTTCCAATCTTTCTCTTCCACTGCCGCCTCACAGATGCGAAACAGATAACTCTGACTCAACAATCACGACTTCGCAATGCCACTATGGACGATGCTGATGCCATAACAACCATTTTTCTTGCGGCCTTTGCCCCACTGCCGGCGTGGCAATATGTGTATCCCTTCCGCAACGACTTTCCTGGCGACCACAAAAAATGTTATCTGAGGTTCATTGTACCTATGCTATCAGACGCCTGTGCACACACCGAGGTGATTGAGGCACCTACAGGCAGCAACATAGCGCTGATTGCCGCTGCCATATGGGTGCAGAAGAGTTCGCATGAGCAGCTCGGCGTGCGGCCATGTCCCGCTAAGGACGAGTTACGCTCGAGGCTGTGTGGTCTAGATTCAATTGTGCTGGATGAATGCATGCATAAGGACATGAACATCACGCGAGCAATCGACTATGAGCGCAAGTTCAATGCTGCAAAAAAGACACATGTTGATGATGTCTTCGGTACCGAGCAGCTCTATCTTGAGCAGCTTGCAACCCATCCGGACTACCAATCGCGAGGCGCTGGCACACGGCTCATCGAATCGGGGCTGGAGCGCGGGAAAAGGATTGGTGTGAACGTTACATTGATCGCAGAGCCTACAGCTGAGAACTTTTATGTTCATCGAGGGTTTCGAGAGGCGAGTAACATCAGCCTTGAGTCTGTCGATGGTGACCAAAGTTTTGAATACAACGTCATGGCATACGACTAAGAGAACAATATTTCTTGATAGTTCATCAAATCTCCGTCAGTGGACGGCTTTCGTCCTTTATCTAATCATGATCTCATTGCTTTTGTTGTTGTGATTGTTAACCCACTACCTTTGTCGTTCGCAAATCATGTGTAAAGAATGGTCACGGCCTTTTCACTTCTTCTCCTGGGCCAGAAGCTTCTTCCACTCCTCCTCTCCATACTGCTCTTGTGGCTGCTCCACAAAGATCAGGCCTCGATATTCACTTCTCAGTCTCAAATACTCCACCACTGGTCTCAAAGCGCCCACCTGAATATCTAATGCCGGCTTACTCAAACCCTCCTCTGCACTGTACACAATGACGACCAACGGTCCAAACCATACCGACTTGATCTCAGCCTCAGTTTCAGTGTCAGCCCCACAAAACCTGTCGAGAAGCTGCTGCACGCTCATGTTTCTCTTCAGATCGCGGCCACTGGGATTGCTATCGTACGAAATCTGGATCCAGTATGATAGGTAGCGGTTGTGGAAACCAATGGTTTTGATGTCATCTGCCGGCGTCGTAGGGAAGCATTTCGCTTTGTCGAAAGGGCGACCGTCGTTACCGTATTTTAGCCACACAAATCGCGGCTTATCCTTGTCGTCTGGGAGATATAAAGCGCGACGGTTTGCAGGGTCTGGACGTGAAGACGCTGTTGAGTGTCTGCAGAGCAGCTTGTGAAGAGGCCAATCGAGCATCTGGCACTTGGAGCTGCAATAGTGGACTTCTTTGCACATGCTGCAGCGCTGGGATGATGCGAGAGCATGACAGGCCGCGCAGAGGGGAGTGGAGTCAGAAGTGACTGGCGGAGAGACGGTGAGGTACTCTTCGAGAAGGAGTGGTATACCGAGATCTTGGGGCCCGCTCGAAGACATGGCTAGGTGATTTGTAAGGAGGGATCGGTGGCTGAAGATCATATATCATAGCGTGGATTGCGAGGGCATATGTTTGTTGGCTTACACGGCTGCCTTGCCGCTTGTTCTAGGTAAAGCCGCGTAGGTAAAGCCGCATAGCCTAAGGTAAAGGCGGAAGATAACATGACAAGACAGAGAGACTCCATCCTTGGACGTGAAACGAATATGCAAAACGAATTTTCTCAAGAGGATGACACCGTAGGCCAGTGAAACAGGAAATTTTGACATTTTCAACCAGTCCAAGGTTAAATGAGCTGCCTACGTATGAGGATATTTCTTCGCGTCTAGAGAATGTACCTGAACTGCGGGTTTTTGCGATCCGTCAGATCATCCTCGTAGGCATGCTCAAATCCTTCAAGCGTGCCTGTCTCATCGCGCTTCTTGTTGACCGCAGCACACCAATAGCGGTAAACCAAAGCAAGTAGGCCAGCCACAACCGCAGTCACAAACGTAACAATGAATCCTGGCTCGTATCGTGGCGCATCCTGCGGCTTGAAAACAAGAGGACCGACGAAATTACCCAGACAATATCCTATGTAAATACCCGATGAAGCGACAGTCCTCTTGGTGTATCCCGCGGTGTTGGCCAGTGCAAGACCCATTAGCACGGCGTAACCGCCCCCGACAGCGGGTAGGATGTAACATGCGAAGAGCAGAACGCCAGTTTGGCTTCGAGGCATTAGCCAGAGGAGTAGTGCAGCGAGCGTGGTCACCATCTGACATCCAAAGATGGCCCATGAGCGCAGGCCAGTGTATTTATAACAGAGCCAAGGAACAACGAGCTGCAGAGTACCCGCGAAAGCACCAGCGGGCATTACCAGAAGGAGAGAATTAAGGGTAGAATAACCGAAAGAGTTCTGCGAGAGATTAGCGTCTGCCCATTACGACCAGTCATTGCCAAAGCAGCTTTGTAGAACATAACTTACAATAATAATTGGGATGAAGGTTGAGATTGGGCCATTGGCGATCATGCACAGGAAGGCGATCGAGAACATTAGCCAAAACTTCTCATCCATAAGAAGCTCCAAAACCTGTGAACCTTTGAAATGCGTGTTGCGGACACCGGAGTTGTTAGTGCGTAGTCGAGCAACTGAAATGTATCGTTGCCTGTCATTGAAACCCTTGGCTCGCACTGGATCCGGAGGAAGGACCCACCACAGCGCGATACCCCAGACGATAGTCAGAGCGCCCGCAAAGAGGTACATCAGCTTCCAGTTGGGCAAAGAACTTTTGGCACGTCCGAAACCATAGTTCAGGACAGGAGAGAATATGGACACATAACCAGTGCAGGAATACCAAATCCTGGACAATGTTAGCTTGACGCTTTCCACGGCGGTTTGATTAACTCACCCCATTCTAAACGCTTGCTCGTTCTTCTTGTAAAAGGATCCAACGATGACCATGAACATAGGGCTGATGCCACTCTCCAGGAGACCGAGAAAGAATCGTTGTGCGTACAGGTCCTTGTAGTCACGACAGACAACTGTCAAGATCAAGCAGATGCCCCATATGGTGACAATTCCGGAGGCAACTCGCTCGATGGGAAACCGTTGAGCAAGGTACATGGCAGGGTAGGCTCCAACAATGAATCCAAGATAAAAGATCGCTGCAGACATAGAGTATCGGTTACCCGTTCGAAGATGCAGATCGTCGCGTAATCCGAACAAAGCCTAAAGGTTTGGATCAGTTAGGTTCAAACATTATATCAGGGCGCTACTGACAGCCTGCGAAAGCATTGCTTTGTCATAGTACTGGAGCCCATACGTAACGCAGAGTACGGGCATGAGACGAAGATCGACTTTCCGTCTCACGGCCTTCTCCTCTTTCTCAGTCCACTCTTCAGGGCCTTGATAGGCCGCGAGCACGCGCATTGCCTCATCCTGGTGGACAGTGTCGATGTTCTTGAGGTTGTTAGAGGCCACCTCTTCCTGAACGTCCTGGTGCTTCTCGATGTCTGTCCCTGCCATAGTGAAGACCCAAGCCGTTGTGGTAAATAGCAAATCTGACAATGCTGAATTTGTGAAGGATGATCGCCATGCTGCAGCTTTATGTTTCCCATGACCAAGCCTTCGGTTCTTTCACGGCAGAGTGACAACACTAACCAGGCGCCACTTTCTGGAGAAACAGCTACCCCGGAACTTTGTTCGCTTCCATCCTTGTGGGGCAGTCTAGGGAGCCGGGGACCTTGCGGTGAGTCCTGGCTGGAAGTCAATAGCCCAGCGAGAATACGGATGTGTCCGGCAGCGAATCCCGCGCTAGGCATTCCATAATGGGTTTACCGAGATGGTCAGACGTCGATGCCGGGTGTAAATCAGGCCGAGGGTGTAAGAAGGTAAGCGCTGTTTTTAGCGCCACTCCAGTTGGGCCCGTTTCTGCCGCCCATGCTCCTCACCCGTCAATCCCGCTTGACCCGATGCGAGATCTCATCTCTCTCCGCACATTGCAAGGCTGATAAGCTTCCTCTACGTGTTTCTCGTCCAAGTATAGCAAAGTTCATACCTAAATACCTTTCAAGGCTGGATGCACACTGCAGCTAAGCGCTGGCTTTCCACCACTGACCCAAAGCTCTCGACGAACAAGGATCCCTTCTGAATAGTCACAAAAATGCATGTCAATATCCCTCCAGGGTCTGCGGCGGTCAAAGTACATCTGATCAACCCGGTCAATTTTGGTCCTGCACAGATACACCGTTTCATGGCACCGCCAGTCCCAGGTCTCGAGACGTTCAAGACATCGCCGTCGCATTCGTTCTACATTGAACATCCCTCAGGCCGTAAGCTTGTGTTTGATCTTGGCATCCGGAAAGATTTTCAGAACTATTCGAAGAGCATTGCCGATTATCTTCCTACCACGAAGTATGATATCCAGGTGTCCAACAACGTCGCAGACATATTGGAGGCGAATGGCGTGGATCCAGGAAGCATTGAAGCTGTCATCTGGAGCCATTGGCACTGGGACCACATCGGCGACCCCTCATCATTTCCTCATCACGTCAGCCTGATTGTTGGCCAGGGTTTCAAAGACGCCATGCTCCCGGGCTACCCGGCCAACCCAAATTCACCCATTCGAGAAAGTGACTATGCCAACCGAGAACTTCGAGAGATTGCATTCGAGTCGCATCTTAAGATTGGAAAGTTTCCAGCATTTGATTATTTCGGAGACGGGAGCTTCTACTTGCTGGACAGCCCTGGACACGCCATAGGTCATTTGTGTGGCCTCGCGAGAACGACGACGGAGCATGGCGGCTCATTCATTCTGCTAGGAGGTGATATTTGCCATTACGCAGGCATATTTAGGCCCTCAGAATACCTACAGATCCCTGCTTCAATCAGCCCACATCCGTGCCATCCTGAAAACCATCCGCCCCTTTGCCCAGGTACTGCGTTCGTGGAGTTGCAGAAGAGTCGAGGCAGGTCTTCTACGGAGAGTTTATATGACATGACGTTCGGTCATGACATACCGCTTGCGAAGAATACTGCGACTTGGTTGCAGGAGCTTGATGCAGATGATCGGGTTTTTGTGATCATTGCTCACGATTCGACAGTCAGAGACGGCGTCGACCATTTCCCTCGTTCTTTAAATGACTGGAAGGCTAACGGCTGGGGTCATTCGCTGAAGTGGACTTTTTTAAGAGACCTCGAACCATATTGGAGGGGGCAAGGTGTAATCTAGTTGCGTCCACTTTACTGAACACGACATAGTTTGTAGATGAAGTTTAACAGTATGCATACAATTTGTTAACACGTCTAATCAAGGTAGCAAGATTTAATGTTAGCTCGTAGGTTGGTTCCATTGGAATTTGGCGAATCTACATGCGTAAAACAGCCTCATGTTCTTCCAGAGGTCCTGACTTGCTGCATGCATGCCGCGCCGGCACTGGTTATTAAACCGACGTGCCGTCCTCCTGTACACATCGTACAAAGAAGATAACAACCTTGAAAGCACGTACCTACCCATTGAAGTATGGCTAGCGCTTTCGGCCAGACCCAGTACGAACGTCGCCCCGCTACCGGTAGGTTCGCTAGCTCCCCCACATATGACTATGCCTAGGAAGGAATGCCGTACTGCATGTGCGGGGCTCCACACAGACTCTGGACACTTGGCAGCAACGAAGATCGTATCTACTTTGCCGTGGGGTAGGTATCGGCAACAAAGCTTGGAACAGAAACGTTGAACCGACCTCGGGACGCAATGGAGTGTGCTTGATAAACTCGCACTCCATCAGCACTCGCAGACAACATTCTCTCTACACTACCAAGAAGACGACAAAAATGGTTGGTCACCTGAACAATGCCTTCGATGGCCATCAAGCAAGACTAGACCATGATTTGGATTATGACGTCCTCATCATTGGTGCAGGTCAGGTAGATTGCCTTCAATCAGCTGTGAGCTGCTTGAGCTAATTGCGAGGTCAGAGTGGGATGTACTCATTACATCGAATGCGCCAACTCGGTCTTAAATCGAAAGTTCTCGAGGCTGGATCAGGAGAAGGAGGAACATGGTTCTGGTAAGTGACATGTTCAATAGACCTGCAATTTGTTGCGAACTGACCTCGACAGGAACCGCTACCCCGGGGCACGTTTTGATTCTGAGTCCTACTCATACATTTTCTCTTTCGATCAATCGTTGCTTGATGAGTGGGACTGGAGTGAGCATTTCGCTGGTCAAGAAGAGACATTGCGTTACTGCCAGTTCTTTGCAAAGAAGTACAGACTTCACGAAGACATGCAATTCAATACCAGGGTGTCGTCTGCATGCTGGCGAGCGGAATCTAACTCTTGGATTCTCACAGACGAGGATGGCAAAAGCTACACCTCAAGATATGTCATCAGTTGTATGGGCATTCTCAACCAGCCTACTCTACCTGCAATTCCTGGCGTGGATGACTTCAAGGGCGCCGCATTCCACACAGCCCGCTGGCCAGCAGATGCGAGCGCTATCAATGGTAAAAGAGTTGCAATCATTGGTACAGGCGCTACAGGCATACAAACAATCCAGGAAATCAAGAAGACAGTCGGTTCATTGACCGTCTTCCAACGCACACCGAATTGGACCGCGCCTCTCCGCAACACCAAAATCTCACCTCAGGAGATGGATGAGATCCGCCGAAACTACCCCACGATCTTCAAGCAATGCCTAGACTCCTATTCTTGCTTCATACATCAATCCAATCCAAACTCTACCTTCAGCGTCAACGATACTGAGCGCGAAGCCTACTGGGAAGAGCTCTACTCGAAGTCTGGGTTTTCGAAGTGGCTTGCCAATTTCTCCGATATCAACACTGATCCTGCAGCGAACAAGCTGTTTTCGGATTTCATAGCGAAGAAGATTCGAGAACGTGTCAATGACCCTGAAGTTGCAGAGAAACTCATTCCTAAAAGTCATGGCTTTGGGACAAGGAGAGTGCCGCTTGAGGGGGGCTACTATGAAGCATTCAACCAGCCTAACGTCAGGCTCGTCGATGTCAATGAGAATCCGATTGAATGCATAAACGAGACCGGGATCAAAACTAAGAATGAGGATTTCCAGTTCGACGTCATTATCTACGCAACAGGATTCGATGCAGTGACCGGCTCATTCAGCGCTGTAGACATCCGCGGTATTGGAGAGAAGAAGCTGACAGATGAGTGGACGAACGGTATTCAGACTTATCTTGGTCTGACAGTGCGTAATTTTCCGTACGTATATACCTTGAGGCACCAACAACGCGGATAGTGCACTGACATCTCTACCCAGTAATTTCTACAACATCATGGGTCCACACCAAATGTTTGGCAACATCCCTCGCAGTATAGAATATGCCGTCGGCTGGGTAGCGGACTTCATCGAGTACATGGTCGACCATGACATCATCGTTGCAGAAGCTACTGAGGAGGGTCAGAAGGCCTGGACACAGCATGTCCACGACTGCGCAACAGGTATGTTGGCGCTTGAAGTTGACGGGTGGATGACCGGAGTGAACAAGAACATTGCCGGGAAGCAGAAAAGGACAATATCAAGGTACTGGGGCTCGGCTGGAGGGTATCGCGAAAGATGCGATGACGTGAAGGCAAGGGATTATGCAGATTTGAGACTAGTCAGAGCTTCATAGGTCCCAATCCTTGATGCAAGTATGCAAGCATAAATGCCGTATACTCTAGATTGAACCGTGAAGAGCAGCTCCTTTGATGCGTTTGATGATTTCACTGTGTGATAATTCATCGTTAACAATCGTGTCTTTGACTCCAGTGATCCCGAAAGATTCGCCGATCGATGAGTTGATTGGAGACTAAATCGAGCTAGGCCGACGCTAAATCCAGCTACTCTTAGCACTTCGGATCCGCTACAGCTCATGTTCCTACACGTCAATGTTGTACGCAAGTTCTGAGCAATGCATCAGCAAATTCAGTGAACATCCCCAGAACCCGCGCCAGATACCTTGATGCGCATGCGAACCTATTTGCATCGTTCAGCTGTCCTAAGGGCTCCAGATCTAAGCGGTAGACATTGTCCGCTCCGGAACGCAAATTAAACGCAGAACACACGGAAGCTAGATCAATATGCCAGAAGAAACCTTTACAGAAAAGTGGCTTCATTATTCGGAAAGTCAGCCAAAGCGAAAGCGTGCAGAGCTTGTGTGCACAGCTTGTCATTCAAAGAAGGTTAAATGCGACTTACAAGCTCGCAAGAACGACGGCAAACAAGACTGCTCTCATTGCAGCTCAGCAAGACGAGATTGTCAGGTCCGCCCCTCGCGGCGAGAGAAGAGGATAAGAGCGAACAGAGAGGGTTCTCGCATGAGAAGTGGTCGGGAGGACGACAACATGCCAAACGGGGTAGATGCACTACTCGCCGCGGACGCCACTTTTCAGGCATTGACGGAAGCTGATCTACAGGCTGAACATCTAGAAATTGGTCATCATAACCATATCTCTCCAATTTCGTTGCAAAGCATCCACATCCGAGACTTCCAGTCCATTTCTTCGCCCCAAAATGGATTCCAAACGTTCCCGATTCAGAGCGCAAACCGACGACTAACAAATGCAAGCCAAACTGCGACAACACCTGCTCAGACCGACGTTGATAGTGGATTTCTGCAAGTTTACGGCCCAGAACATCAATTTGAAGCTGATAATCAAGCGTTCGTGGCTCAAATGGAGCACCGCTACTCGTCAGTTCTGCGAGCCGATCTGGAGCAGATCTTTACAGAGACATATTTCACCTACAGCTACCCTTGGTGCCCTGTACTTGATCGTCAAAATCTATCAAACGATGTGGCAAGATCTCCATTGCTTGCTAATGCCCTTGCACTGGCTAGCAGTCACATCCAGCCCCCTCTGTTGCCACATGATGGACCGGAGGTCTACTACAAACGAGCTCGGACGATCTTCTACGAGGATGAAGAAGCCGACGAAATGACTGCTCTCAAAGCACTCTGTCTATTCTACTGGTGGGCGCCTCAGTCACCATCGCGAGTACATCGTCACAGCTCTTGGTATGTCTATGGCACTTCATGCGTAAGTAGCTGCTAATGTTCCTACAGGTGGTGGACATCGGTCATCATTCGACATGCACAACAAATGAACATACATCGCGAGCCTGCTGTGGACGATCCTATTCGATCTCGTATCAATCTTGGGCTACGACGCCGTATATGGTGGACCGTATTCGTAAGTTCTCATTGTTTCTTAGAATATCATTGAGATTTTGCCCATTCCTGGCGTCTGCAATGTCAAAAGCAAGTGTCCTGGCGGTTGATCTAACAACCTGAGTGATGGGACTCTTCTGCGCAGTTGCAACAATCAAGAGCTGACACATCAGGCCCGAGAGCGACTGACCTCTCTCTGTCAAAGCAAACCCACTATCATAGATCCCGATGATTGTAGCATCCAGCAACCGACCTTGGCCGACTTTCCGGCTGATGCACAAAGCCAGCATCATGGTGAATTGTTCATTTACTGGGTTCGACTAAGTGCAATCATCGGGCGCATTGCCAAAGTCTTGCTGCAGTCTAGCGACAAATCTACACCACTACCCAACGAGCTCCGGGAGGAACTTGTCACCTGGGTCCATTCACTCCCGCCTCGCTTGCGCTTGCATATTGACACTCCACGGACGGAACATTTTGACCGCGACGTACATCAACTGCATCTTTTCTATCTTACGACCATCATAGTTCTCCACCTAAAACGCTCTGAAGGACAACTACCACAGGCCTTGCCACCAGCTATCCTCGCAGCGTCGTGCACTGCGAGGATTCTCAGGGACATTCTCGCGCGCGGCAATTCCCGTTTTCTCATGGCCATCACATGCTGGCATTCTGCCACAGCTTTCATCGCACTTTTACAGGCTTGTCGAATACAACACCTTAGCAAATCCGCGAACGAAGATCTGGATATTCTCGTGATTGCAGCCAAAGAGTTGCATAAAATGTGGGCATCAGCCAATGTCATCACACAAGGCTTCGAAAGGCTTCGGAAAGCCGATGCAACAAGCAACTCTTTGAACACGGGCGTTCAGTTGGATGGTATGCCAATTCACACCACACCAGATGGGATGGCAAATCGCAACTCTGGCACGACTGGAGTTGATGTCAACGATGATGACGGCTTCGATTGGATGCGTTTCTTTCCGTTTGTGTCAAAATCGACCAATGGCATCGCCGAAAGTTTGGTTACCAGAAAGGAACAGGGAACAGCAACAACAGGCTTTCCGTCGCCAAATAACGAGGTGTTCCATGATACCCTTCGGGCGCAGTATCAAGATCTGTTTGATCCATTCACAGATCAGGTTCTATGGTATAATTTTCCCTGAGACGATCAGACCACTATGACTTGGGCGGTACAGGCCTTTCCGCTTTCAAGTATGTCCTTTTATCAACTGTTTTTTTCCTCTTCCTTGTACACACGGACTTTGTAATCGTCCCGCCACTTGTCTTCGATAATGACCAATTGAGTGTCCTGTGTCCGCTTGAAGTATCCCCCGTGTCCGTCATTCTCGGTATAATCATCTTTATCGATGTCCATATATCCTTCTTTGGCCCTGGATCTGGGTGTGATCATCAGGCTCCTTCCTTCGATGCGTCAGCATTCAATGTGTCAAATTGCGGCGTTGGCCTGACTTACCATTCACCGATTTGTCACTCGCGATTCTCATCATGCAGCTCGCCACGTCTTCCTGTTCACCAAAGTCGATACCGCGGTCTTCCAGCCACCTTTCGTACTCTTTCGTTCGAATTGCACTCCTGATCCAGCACGGTGCGACATAATTAATTCGGATTCCTTGTTCCCAACTGTTTCGTCGCGCTGTACGCACAAAGCCATGCAACGCGTACTTCGTAGAGGTGTACTCCCAATTGCCCTGTGAACGTTTAGCTTGTGAGTCTTACAGATAAAGTTGCATGCATACTGGAGAGTCAATCCATCCCACCATGCTCCCCGTGATGATGAAGCAACGATCGCGCTCCTCGCTCTCCTCTTGTTTGCGCCAATAGTGCACCGCAAGCTTCCACGTGTAGAAGCTGCCCTTCAGATTGACATCCACGATTTTTAGATCTGGTTTAACGGGCTCTCCATTGGGATCGTCAAGATTCCATAGACTATCCCCTGAGCTTCTGCTGATACCTGCGTTTGCAATGACAATGTCAACCGCGCCAAACTTGCTCAACGCCGTCTCAAACATCTTCTTCTGCTGATCCCAATCACGGATGTCAACTTCGACAAATACAGTTCGCTGGGAGTTATGTTTCTTGTTGAGTTCATCAGCGAGATTGTAGCCACGCTTGTTGACATCTGCAATGGTGACATTCGCACCAGCAGCTGCAAACTGCCGTACACATGTCTCGCCCATGCCATTGGCACCTCCCGTGATGATTACGGATTTGCCGGTTAGCTTGGAGGCATCCACGGGTATTGTGTGGTCCAAAGGACCGTTGTAGGTGTACTTTTCGACAGGCATATTGGTGGCGATTCAGCTTCTTTTGTTGGAGGAGGACTTGACAAGTTAGCTATTCTGATAGCTAGAGTTCGAGTAACACAGTGGTGGCTGGGATTCAACGTAAAACTTTACAGCGTGTCACTATACCTAGTCTCCACTTTCCTCAGACTACCGGAGTTGCTTTGCCAGCGTTGCTCCTTGCGTTAGCTTACGCTTGAGAAGCGGGTGCGGGGTTGCGTCGGTTATCTCAATGCGGTAGGTAGGTACCTCGGCAGAGACGAATCTAGTCGGCAAACGTCAGCCACTCTCTCTTGCCGATGCCGAATGACCAGACAGCCGATACTGGAAGCCTCGCGACTAGCTGCTAACTTCTTACTGAATTCGTCTGTCCTATCTAGATCGTGGATGATGTGATCTCGGCATGTAGGCACACGCTGCACTGCAGTCGCTAAGTACTGCCGGTAGTTCGACATGCTGCGTTAGCTTTGCTCAGATGATTGAGATTACATATGGAGAAGAACGGCAAGTTCTGTGATCCCTCATCCCTCTTGTCTGAAGATAGTTATCTGCAACTCTTATTGCTTGAGCCGCTAGTATGACGGCGTTTCTCGTTGACGAAAGAAGTGTTCCAACGCCAGCGGCAAAGCCGCATGGCGTCGCCAGGGCACCAGAGACCGAAGGCGAGCTACCCAAAGTCAAAAATGCAACACCAGTCAAGCCAGTTACCAACGGGACATCTACCAACGACTCATACACACATGAGACCATGAATGGAGACGACAACACAACGCAGGACCCTTTCAAGCTCGCCAAGGAGTTTGCCTGCACCCCACGCAAGATCAAAGTCTTCACCATCGGCGCAGGCTTCAGCGGCCTGCTGATGGCTCATAAATTTCAACATCGCTTCCCTGAAATGCAAGACATTGTTGACCACACCATATTCGAGGCACATCACGAAGTGGGTGGGACTTGGCTTGTCAACAACTATCCCGGTGTCCAATGTGACGTTCCAGCACATATTTACGCATTCCCCTTTGACCCAAATCCGGAATGGACGAGATTCTACGCAAGTGGCTCCGAGATACTAGAGTACTTCAAGAAGACGACAAAGAAGTGGAATCTAGATCGTGACCTGCAGCTGAACACAAAAGTCGTTGGGGCGAATTGGCATGACTCTGAAGGCATGTGGCAAGTCGAGGTCGAGCACACACGCACTAAAGAGAGGAGGAAGGAATGGTGTCATGTCTTAGTCTCCGGGCAAGGCGTTCTTGTGTGAGTCCGGAGCCATTTGCGTGGAATCTTGCGTCTTACTAACGAATATCAGGCACGAGAATTGGCCAAAGATCCCAGGGTTTGACAAGTTCAAGGGTCATGTCGCACATTCGGCACGATGGGACCACAGCTACGACTACTCGAACAAACGAATTGCAGTGATTGGAAACGGCTCAAGCGGTATTCAGATCGTACCCCAGATGGCTAAACTACCCGGAACAACCGTTCAGAACTTCATACGTGGCGGAGCATGGGTTTACTACCGTGCGCCACCATCCAAGCACATGGGCCGTGAAGTTGACGATCCAAACCCTGCCTACACAGAAGCCGAGAAGGAGATGTTTAGAGACCCAGTGCAGCATCAGCAGTACCGCAAGGGTATTGTCTCGCGAACAAACAAATCGTTCTACATTTTCCTCAAGGGCGATAACAATGAGAAGGGAATGAAAGCGGCGACAGCACAGATGGCAGAAAAGCTGGGCTACAACAAGCAGCTCTGTGACATGTTGATTCCGAAGTGGGAATTGGGGTGTAGGAGGATTACTCCCGGTCCGGGTTATCTTGAGTCCTTCATGCGAGATAACTGTGGATGTACCAACAGTCCTACCACAGAAATCACAGAGACTGGCATCACAACAGCAGACGGAAAGCACTTTGAGTGCGATGTCATCATCTGCGCTACCGGTTTCGATGTGTCACATCGCCCTCGCTACCCTCTTATCGGCCAGAACAACATCAATCTGCGCGACAAGTGGGCAGAAGACCCAGAGTCGTATGTTTCAGTCATGACACCAGACTTCCCAAACTATCTCATGTACATGGGTCCGAACTGTCTAGGCGGACATGGCTCCTTGGTCGAATCTCTCAACTGGACAGGCGACTATTTCGTAAAGTGGATCAAGAAGATGGCGCACGAAGACATCAAATACTTCACTCCCAGACGTGACAAAGTTGATGCTTTTATGAAGTACCAAGATGAGGTCCATAAGACGCTGGTTTGGAGTGGTGGTTGCTCATCATGGTATAAGCGAGGCCGTGTCGATGGGAGAGTAACAGCACTCTTTGGTGGCTCTGCTCAGTTATTCAACCGGCTGATCACAGACATCAGAGGGGAAGACTTCGATATTACATATCGTACGGCGAATCCTTGGAGGTTCATGGGTAATGGCTTCATGGAATTTGAGATGAAAGATGAGACAGACCTATCGTGGTACGTTGAAATTGCCGAAGAAGCACAAGGGAAGGGCCCAAATAGGGACGACAAAGCAATTAGGCTTGATGCATATCATTAGACACGATGCTCGAATCTCAAGTTTGAGCAATAATATTGCACGAAACGAATTACTAAACGATGACAATTTGCTACGCACTCTAAGATTTTGATTGGGTTGTAAGACATCGAAAACTTTGTAATCAATAGATACGCCTCTTCTACCCGTATTGTCAGGTCAGGTCAATTGAAATCATGTATTCCCGAGATACATCCTCGGTAACCTCGTTGAGGCCTAGCTCGACCGCTAGCAGCTGACTTGTCGATTCCTAGTTGTCTACAGTAAAGTAAAAGAATAACTTGCCATGCTGTGACTCGTTTCTGACACACCACAAAGTTCACATAACATCGACAAGATGGTCACAGCCTTACCAGACACCGTACCGAAGACGATGTGGGCATGGAGGAAGCACCGAGGAAACATGAATCCAGTGAGTTTATTCACCGAGGGCAGATTTTCGTGATTGCTCTGCCGTTCTATCATCACTCGGAGTGTCTTCGCTTACGTTGCGTAGGTCTGGGAAGAGGTTCCGGTCCCCACACCACATCCCACTGGACTCCTCGTCAAGCTCATAGCAGCAGGAGTATGTCGGTCTGACCATAATCTGCTCACAAATGAAAATCAGCCTGCATGGTTCCAGGACAAATTTACACTCGGCCATGAAGGCTGTGGCCGCATTGTTGGCCTTGGATCTGACGTTGCTTCCTCTTCCGGCTTCAAGGTTGGAGACGTTATCGCATTACTCGCAGTACCCGGGTGTGGAGCCGGAGACTGTGAGGAGTGTAGCACAGATCTCGCCCAGCTGTGCACGAAGGCACATCGTTCAGGTATTGGTAATGATGGTTTTTACGCCTCGTACTGCGTCATCGATGTGCGCGGTGCTGTCCACGTACCCAAAGGAGTGACACCAAGCCAAGCCGCTGTGGCTACTGATGCTGTTACCACAGCTTACCATGCGATACACCGTCGAGGAAGGATCACTTCCAAAGATACCGTCTTCTTGTTCGGACTGGGAGGCCTTGGGTTCAACGCATTGCAGGTGATTCGGGCGACCGGTGCAAGGGTCATTGTGAGTGATATCAAGCAAGAAAATCTTGACGATGCCGCAAAGATAGGTTTGACTGAGGCGGAAATTGTACCACCAGGCAAGAGCGTTAGGGAATGGGTCGAGGAGAACGGCTGGTATGGCAAGATCTCGGTTGTTGCAGACTTTGTAGGGACCGCGCAGACATTCAGCGATGCTCAGCATATAGGTACGTATAAGTTCTCGCCATGTATATCGATTCTAACACTGAGGCAGTCCGTCAAGCAGGTAGGTTGTTGTGCGTCGGCACGCTGAATCACGAGAATACCGTGCATATGAAGATCGGGATACGCAAGAGGCTCGATATCATCTTCTCGTATGGTGGGCAGATAAGGGACCTGTCAGAAGCGCTCAACTTGATAGCTGAGGGTGTTCTTGATCCGATAGTCGCAGATGGGAAGCTAGAAGATTTCCCACACGTGATGGGAGAGCTGGAAGCCGGGAAGATCAAGGGCCGGGTAGCGTTGCTGTTTGATTGAGAGCCATCAGTCATAAAGCTGCTTTGTAAATACCTGAGTCATACGAGACTGTCCATTCTCAAGAGCAGCGCTCGGCTCGTCTTGGAAGGTGTTTTCACAAGTGGGGCTCCGCCAAGCTTGATGTAGCTTAGCATCATTGGGCAACCTGTCACCAGTCCCCGCACGCACCACTAGGCTGACCCAGTTACATACAAAACCTTTGTCTCCTATCACATCTGATCTTTTGCAGGCTTATGAACGAGACAACATGGCGCAAGCACCGCAAGTACAAGTCTATGAACATGATGATGCCTGGGACACCAACTGGCTGAGGGTTGATGAAACACACGAACTTTACTATGAGCAGTACGGCAAACAAGATGGGAAAGCAGGTGAATCAATTTCTCGGCTCGCTGTACGTTCACAATCACTGACATACATAAAAGTCATCTATCTACACGGAGGACCCGGGGGTCACATATCAAAGGGCATGTCGTTTTCTCTATAGTCTAGATACTTATCAAGTAGGTTTCTGACACGCACCTCCAGGGAATACTGCATTCTTCAACCCCAGGTACTATCGGGTAGTATTGCTTGATCAGCGAGGATGCGGGAAGTCTCGACCAAATGCCAGCACCATTAACAACACGACCTGGCATCTTGTCTCTGATATTGAAGCTCTTAGAGAACACCTTGGTATTGCCAAGTGGCATGTGGTCTTTGGAGGCTCCTGGGGCTCAACATTGGCCCTCGCGTACGCTCAAACGCATCCGTCGTCCGTGAGTTCTCTGGTGCTGCGCGGTATCTTCGCAGTCCGACAGCTCGAGCTGAAGTGGACCATGGAACCAGGAGGAGCAAGCATACTCTTTCCCGATCTCTTCGAAGAGTTTATCAACTTTCTCCCCGAAGAGGAACGAATCGACCATGTAGCCTCTTATCACAAGCGTTTGATGTCCGAGGATGAGAGTGTGAGTCACCCTGCTGCGAGGGCGTGGAACAAATGGGAAGTTTCTATCAGCACCCTGTATCCGAATGTCAGAGGTCTGGCCCAGCTCGATGATGCGTCTTACAATCTGGCACACGCGAGGACGGAAGCTCATTACTTCCAAAATCAGGCTTGGCTGGAAGAAGGGCAGTTGCTAAGGAAAGAGAACATCGATAAAATCCGCCACATCCCTAGTAAGCGATCTAGCAGGTTTCACGCTTAAATGCTAATAGCACTTGTAGCGACTATTGTACAAGGCCGTTACGATGTGGTTTGTCCGCCTACTACTGCATGGGAGCTGCATAAGGCGTTTCCGGAATCTAAGTTACACTGGGTGTCCGATGCTGGACACAGCGCAACAGTAAGGCCAGAGGACTCTCAAGCGCTTTTCATTACATGCTGACTAACAACAGGAGCCGGGAACACAGAAGAAGCTCATCGAGACATGCGAGGAGTATGCGAAACTATCATTCACATAAACCTTAGTCGAAACAACGAACCGGACCGGTTGCACCCGAGAAAGCGGGTCCGATAACTACATATGAATGACAATGCTACGTTGATCCATCCATAGACAAATGTGGGGTATCCTCCGACTAGTACGCAATCAAAGTGCTCAAACCAGCAAGCTCACGATCAAAGTTCTTGTGCTGCGAGATAGCAAAGATGTACTGACCAACGAAGTCAACAGCCTCCTCCGCAATCTTTACAGCCTCCTTGAAGCCGTCAGGCGAGACCGCGGCGGCTGTAACAACACCATAACTGTTCCTGACGTCGGTGCTGGCGGAAAATTCCATCTCGGGAAGTTCAATGCACTGCTTCACGAAAGCAACACCTTCGCCGGTTGCACCAATGGCCTTAAGATGACCGAAAGCCTCACGGACCCAATGTACAGCACGACCACTCTTGCTGAGGGTAGCAATCGACTTCTCCCCACCCGGGAGGAACACACTGTCATACATGGTGGAACGCTGGCCCTCAAGGTGGTGATCGGCGACTACACCACTACCACTTTGATTCTCACCATCAGCGAATATCCTGTTCCTTTTGGGACTGATGGTAAAGGGCAGGGCACCCTGAGCCGTCAGGGCAGCCTTGATTCCGTTGTATGCAATCTTGTCGTAACCATCGGCGATCAAGATGGCCACCATGCGTGTAGAAATGGTGGGTGAGCTAGGCAGGAAGTCCATCTGGGATAAACCCTTGGCTCTCTTGTTGTGCTTCTGGCGCGTCGCTTCCTGAGGAATATCGGCACCCACCATCTCAGCAACACCTTGTGCAAGTTGAAGGTCGATCTCAACAATGCGCTCAACCATACGCTTGTAGACGATAGGGTCATCGCAGTGATCGAGCTCAAAAGAGAAAGCAGCTTTGATGTGGTTCTTCTCAGGCTCGGACATAGAGTTGTAGAATAGCTCAGCCTGATTCTTGTGTTCTTTGAACTTTCTGCTGTGAAGTCGCTGCTTCATACCAACAATCTTAGCAGGGTGGTCAATGTAAGCACCCTCTTCTTCCTGGGCAGGAGGAACGGTTTCGAAGCGGTTGGGCCAATAATTGACCTTGCCCTTTGTGATGGTGTGACGCATAGCGCCATCGCGGTTGAAGTTCATGACAGGACAAACAGGCTTATTGATAGGTAGCTCCTGCCAGTTGACCCCGAGACGTGAGAGCTGAGTATCGTGGTAGGAGAAGTTGCGGCCCTGAAGGAGCGGGTCATCACTAAATCCAATACCAGGGACAACGTGCGACGTGCAAAACGCGACCTGCTCAGTCTGCGTGAAATACTCCTCGGGGTTCCGATTGAGTTCAAGCTGGCCGATATACCGGATTGGAACCAACTCTTCAGGCCAGAGTTTCGTGGCGTCGAGGATGTCAAATTCGAATTGGTCTTCGTCGCCCTCCTTGATGGTCTGGATTCCGAACTTCCATTTGGGATACGAGCCAGCCTCGATTGCTTGCCACAGGTCCTTGCGGTGGAAATCTGGATCCTGACCAGCGATTTTGAGTGCCTCGTCCCAGACGAAGCTGTGGACACCCAGCTCAGGAGTGAAATGGAACTTGACAAAGTGCCTCTCTCCTTTGTCGTTTACGAGTGTGAAGGTGTTGACGCCGAAGCCCTGCATCATGCGGTATGATCGTGGGATACTACGATCAGACATGGCCCAGAAGTGCATGTGAGTGGTCTCTGGATGAAGATATTGGAAGTCCCAAAATCCATTGTGAGCAGACTGGGCCTGAGGTATTTCGCTGTCTGGCTCAGGTTTGCCCGCATGTATTATATCGGGAAATTTCATGGCATTTTGGATGAAGAAGACGGGAATATTGTTGCCCACAATGTCCCAGTTGCCTTCCTCAGTGTAAAATTTGACGGCAAATCCGCGAACATCCCGAACTGTATCTGCCGAGCCCCGACTTCCAAGAACAGTGGAGAACCGAAGGAAGACTGGCGTTTCACGAGTTGTATCAGTCAGAATGCCTGCCTTGCAAACATCCGCGGCGGACTCATTGAGAGTGAATTTTCCAAAGGCGCCAGCGCCGCGTGCGTGGACGACTCGCTCCGGGATACGCTCATGATCGAAGCGGTGAATCTGTAATTGTCAGTAATTGCCACTGCAGCGCCAGAACTGCGGGTACCTTTTCACGGCCGAAGGGATCCTCCAGAAGTTGAGGACCTTGCTTGTCCTCGCTGACAGCAGCAAGCCAGTGGTCGGTATCGTTCTGCTTCACGCCGTAGTCGCTTGTGATTCTATGGCTTTTGTCGTGGACATCTTTAGTGTAGGCGCTCAACTGAGCAATTTTCTTGTCCTGTACTCCGGTCATGTTCTTGGCCGTATCTGTAATGTTCTTGATAATTTCCGATGCCATTGTAGTTCCAGAGATCGTGGGTGCTTTTTAGGGAGAGGCGAGGGGGTTATATCGCGTCGCGATCTCATAATAATGACAGTGATGCGCATTGTATTTACGAACGTCATAACGACGTTTTTCGATGAACTGACGACCCACTCCCTGCTACTTCGAGCTTTGAGGCCGCATTGTTGTAACGCGCAATGGAGCGAATACCACTCTACAGCCAATTAAAGTCAGGATGATGTTAACACCATTCTGCATCTGGCTGCATTGGCGCGCTGATCTAACTGCCGAGCGACGCCGACATGGCCATCAACATTACAACATTACGGTGCCTTATCTGACCGCATTCTGGATTTTCCCATGCTGAGCAATCAATGGGCTCCACCAGATCAAGCTTTCCCTGAATGTGCGCATGGTGACCGTTGACAGGCTACCGTGCGCCGCAGAAACGCTGAGGTGTCGAATAGAGGTTCGATCAAAGTCTACATACTCGAAAATGATCGTGTAGCTCACCCCGCCTCGGGCCCTTGCTGTAAGTAAGGAAGGAGGTATGGTCTCCCACTCTTCCGCACTCTGGAACGATGTGCTGAGGTATACGCTATAACGGCTGCGCGTCCTCCTATGTATTAAAATTTATGTGTGAGAGTAGTTGGGACTATGTGCTAATGAGATCGGATACCTACAGCCAATCGCTGTCAAATCTGCCAGCGGACCACTCCATGCAGGTATGAGCCCGCAAACGCCTTGCACTGCGCTTGGTCATCTGATGTTTGCTGCACCAGAGCGTGTACGGCCTAGACATACGGCCTGGTCGGCGATCCCTTTGAAACCATACCTAAGGGTGTCACTGGGAGAGGCCCACCGATGCAAAGCTTAGGCTTGAGAACGTTCGCGGGCTGAAGCAAATGCGCCATAGTAAACGCCACATCCCGTGTTCGGATCAAACTTTCGACATTGAGCGTGAGGCCATTGGCGGGATGCATAGTAGGTCTATCGTCCCATTCCAAAGAGAAGGGCTCATACCTATGTACTGTAGGCACAGAAGCTGACGTTCGTAGAATATACTCGGCGTCGTTGCTACAAGGTCTGCAGCGACGGGCAATATCATCTCATTGGGTGGAAAGTCTATCCGGCGTCGGGGTTAGCAAGTAATTTCAGGAACAGGCATTTCATTCTAGCATGTGCCGCCAATGATTGGATTCTAAACCCCGAGCACGTTAAAGACGTACCTCTGATATCTATGTACACGCTACAGAGGGATGCAGCTTCTTGCTATTAGCTCACGGTTATCCGTTGAGAGTTTGGACAGTACAGGACAGCTACGACACTCTCCTAGAGCTTCTGACTTGCTGAATGTATACTGCGCCGGCACACTGTATCAGCCCGACGCTGCACCCCTCTGTACATGGGAGTGCTGATGAAGTCTCTTCGTTTGTTCGCTGACGTTTAGCGCCGACTAGGCCACATCCTCCGCGTTGTCTAGACGCTGCGTTATTAACCTAGAATGGTCCGATGTGGCGCGGATGCATGGTTAGACCTCCTATGCAGCTCGCAAATGCAAGCCGTTGCCGCGATGCAGCAACGTCCGAATTGGGTATGCTGGCATGCTTGTGTCACTTCAAGTTGAAATGCACGAAGTCGCTGGGATGATTAGACTTTGTGAAGCTATTGGAACTGTACCTGAGAGTCGATTGTCATTGGGTGGGATGTCTTCTGCAGATTTCTTATGATCTTCGCAACGGGCAATTCGATTCAGCATGTGCAGCCAATCACGGTATCGTGTACCTTGGAACACTGGGGGAATGTACGTCGGAGTGGGTCTGGATATGAGCGAGTCGTCAAAGCTTATCTTGTGCGGTGCAAGTGTTTGCGTCCTCTCTTTACCTAGGTACTTCGTATGCGTGGATATGCTATTTGGGTCTGTCATGGTTGATCGACAGACATGGCGACTTGACCGTTACCCCTGCACACAGAATATTTATGCTACGTTGTATAGAGAGTCAAAAGTACAGCCTGTTTTGATTGACGACATGACTGAAGATCATGCAACGAGAATTGTCCTGCGTTCTCGCGCCGGATATCCAGGATTATGGTTTGCCAGATGCACAATGTTGGCGAACAGCAGTATGAAGCACCTCTCCTCTCCAGTATACATTGAAAGGCATTCGCGACATGCCCATAATCACGTTATAGAACTCATACAGTGCACTCGGTACCATTGAGCTTTCTCGCTTGTCACGAAGTTCTCGGTCAATATTGACCCACACAAAACACGTTTGTATCCGTGGAAGGACCGAGGAATCCGCGAGCGATAAGTGACATCAAAGCACCGTTCAGACGTAAAAGATCCTGTGAACCTTTCATCGGTTTCGAACCGAGTTCCGTCGAAGCCTTTGAGTTTCCGACACAAGACCCAACGACGCGAACCTGAGGCGCGATGATCAACCGAGAATCGTCCGTCGTCTCTGCAATCCACCAAACAACAATGAAACCACACCACATTGTCCAGTGGACTGAATGTCATACAGACGGTGCATGACAAGATGGACATCGAGATTGTACAGGTCAGCTTCCCGTACACCCGACTAGGTTTGCAGTATGACAAAAGTGGTCAAGCTGTGCATGGTCGTGTCGCAATGTTGATGGACCAGGTTGTCGATCGCTGGTGCTGCTGCGCTAGGTGTGCCTTCATTCGTGTGCTGCAAACCCTCTACGGTACTAATTCATGTGCCGGCTTTTGGCTTTGTGACGGTCGCGAGCGCGAGAATGCAGGTGGTGCTTTTTCGTTGTCGACGGCGCGAGCCTTCTGTGTCCAAGCTGCTCGTGTCACACCGGGCCGAAAGGCTAGAGCGCTTTCAGAAGTGGTCTGATACCCCTGCTGCCGTTGAGGTACGTGAAGCGAGAGTGACAGGCGACACAGCATATGCCGAGCTGACATTGTATCTCAAAATCTTGACCACAAAGGTTTTCTTGAGACATGAGATTGGCGCAGATGACCCTCTCCTTTCCTACCGCATACGCTCTGACCCTCAAGGGAAGTGGAGCCGTCCAGACACGTCAGTCCGTTTGTTTGGTCGACGACATGTAACGTCGACCCTCACGAGCATGCAGCTGGATGTATGCGCTCAATTGGCAGCCTCGTGATGCTGTTGTCAACCATGCGAAGGCAATGGTTGCTGTTATTTGGGACTCGACAAGTCAGAGTCGGGATCCTCTCCATTCCATATTGACCGCTTAACGGGATGTGATCTGGCCTTTCCGTGCTCAATTTCGCGGTTTGGTTGGGAGATGCCCTATTGACAGAATTGGCTATGAACAAATTCTTTGACAACGAACAGGCCGGAAAAGGGCCCGTGGAGGATGTCACGGAGCTCAGCCTGGTCTGCTCGCCATCAATTATCTGTCTGTTTGTAGCTAAATCTGCCCATTGAGAAAGATAATGGAGACTGTCGTCATGCTTCACGCGTTGCCAGTCTGTGTGCAACGGTCCTAGACCGCGCGCTGGGCCCATGCAAGGACTGCCCTTGATTGCCGGCAATAGGTAATGTTGTACCCGATTCTGTTGACGTGTTGGAGCTGCCACAACATATGAATGTGATGAACTTGCCATTCAATCGTTGTTTCTCGTGTCCAACAAAGAACTGTACCGCGGCCAGGGTGCCATGTGTGAATGCAGGCCAGACCAGGGGTCCGCTCCGTGCTCTGCCGGACAAGTGATGTTTCGAGTGTAGCCTCCCCACCGTCCGCACCGCAATTGATGAAGCATTTCGAGCCGTAGCCCATAAATGGAGACGTAGGAGCAGGCTCCCGAGGGGCCACGGTGTATTTAAAGAAGCTCTATCTAGACTGAACAAGCAACGGCTGCCATCACCCGACGTGCCTGGAGCCAGTTCCGCCGATGGCCGTTACAATGTGTTCAAGGGTCCAAGTTTGCTGCTCGACATGGATTCATTCACTAACTGATCAGCCCTGCCGTCTGATGCTGGCGGCAGCCGTTCACCTGCTGCGCGACAGGAGTGGGCGGGGCTCTCCTCCGCTTGATCTGCGTGCTAGAGCGCGGCATAGCGTTTGCACATCCGGCTAATGTTGGGTCTGTGGCCGCCCGTCTCCATCGAAGATAGCTCCTATCAAGCGCGGACCGCCATGTGATGGGCTGCAGAGATGGTGCTGCGCGGCAGCGCCAATTTGAAATGCCCGGTCGTTGTGAGTGTCGGTGACTGGCGCACCGGCTGTTTCCTGCTTGAATGCCGCCGTGCTCAGCAGACCCTGACCGCTGCGGTCGAGGTCGCTGCGCGCGAGGGGCGCGGACGCAGTGAACGAGGGAGGAGCAGCAGCAGGCTGCACGACAGACGTCGAAAGACAGAGGCCTTCTGCGCGTCCAGGTACTGCGATTGGGCGGAGCGGCGTGCAGCAGACGCTGGCCGCCAGACAGGATGATCCTGGCAGGTGCGATCCCTGCCTGCATAGGCGTGAAAGGCTAACGCTCCGCTATGTACCTCAGTCCTTGCCTTTCCGGACGGGGCCAACGGCTGTACACGACTGTCGCACTCTCGTTGCAAACGGCAGCGGCAGTAATCTAACATCTTTCGAGAGGTACCGTCAGTCCGGCACGCTGCGATGTTTGTCTTATAAAACTCTCTTGTTGCCCCGGCTGCCCCTTAGGAAAGCTCCTACCACTCTCTCCCGCACGCTTCGTTTGGCACTGCTCTGCTCGGCTGCACATTTAGCTGGCAAGCTACCTTGACTGCTGCTCCACAACCCGCTCTGCCCTTCGTAGAGCCCCAGCTTCCATCCCATCTCCTGCTCGACGCCCTGCCTGGTGTTCCGCCTGTCAGTTGCCAGCGTTCTGCACCTCGTCGAGCCGCGCTCCGCATTGTTTGCCTCAGTTCCACCAGTGCCTTCCGTCTGCGACGAACTCAGAAGGAGCTCCCCGCTGCCCGGCCAATCAGCGCGCTCACCCTCCACCCCGCCTTCCTCTTCCACGACCTCAGCGCCGCCCGAAAAGGCGCCCCCCGCCGTGCAACGCGCCTGCCTCGCCTATTCTCGCCAGCATTCAGTATGTGCACCAAAGTCGTACACCAGTACAGCTGTGGCCACTCGACCTCAGATAAGGCCGCGTGCGCTGCATCGAGAAGTGCAAACTGCGGTGTCTCGAATGTTAAAACGGTCAAGCACGACGAGAAGTGCGATCACTGTGATCGGTAGAGGTACGACCCTTCCCAAGGCCCTCGCCGCGTCACACGTGTCTGACAGCTCTGTCCTGCAGTGTCCTACCACAGCTTTGATCCAGACGATACCCATGATGGCCGGTGACACACAGACCGTTGTCTGTTGTTGCTGTGCAGGCTGTCTTCATGCGCACGCGTCGCTCGACCTCTTCCTCCTGGGCACAACGAGCCCCTAAGTCATCGCTCGAGCCACAGGCTGCATTTCACGGCGTCACGGGAATAAAAGTATTGGCGTTCAATGGGCATTGGGATAACATGGACTATGGACATTGCGAGTCCGGCGTTTGGAATACAGGTTGGTGTTGCATGGCACTTCCCACCTTGTATTATTCTACAGTTCTTTCTTCGACTTTGGTTACGGGCCCACCTTAATTTGGTCGCGCGATGCGCAGACAGAGGACTCTGCTGGTCTCTTTTCATTTACCGTTTCGCCATTATTGCCGCCATGGTTCTATTTGCGGTCTCTGGCTATATGAAGCCACGAGATGAGGAAGCAGTCAGGCACAAACAAGTCATCTAATTCAAACGCGTCCGAGACGGAGCCCGACCGCTCCGATCCTGGGCAGCCATACTTCAACCGTTGAGTTCGCCTGTGCATGCGCCATTTGCGGAATGAAGAATCAAGACCAATCAAGCAAAGCTGATCTGCCATACAGTATGCACTGCCGTTTCTCGCCAATCGACATTACTGACGCCCCTTCAGACTGTACGACAACTGTAGTCACTAACAGGACTTCAAAACTAGACTTGCTATCTCAGCCTTCTGTGTCGTCATATCATTGGTTACTCAGCGTCAGTCGAAATGCTAAGTCTGACTACCTCGCTCAGACGGAGCATAATATGTCGAACTCGTGTGATAGCTAAGAGCGGATCTACTGGTCTAGGTAAGCTATATTATGTCATGCGACATCCTACTCGGTCCGAGGAGAGCGTCGCGATGCGCTGGTGGACCGAGGAGCAACAGGCCGAACGAAAACCCCAGTGCTTTCCCACCCAAACACGACCCGATAGCTGCCAAGCAACATGGCTAGACAAGACGCTACACTACGAGCCACCCTTTCCGGAGCAAAGCTCAAAGCAGCAAGGGCGTTGGGCTTTCATGTGGTCCTGCGGCGTGGCGCTTGTTGTATACAAGACTGGAATGATCTCCATGCAGCCGAGAATGAGATACATGCGGAGTCGATATGCACAAGCATCCCAATCTGGTACTATGCAGTTTCGACAATTGAGAAGGGGTTCTTACCAGGTCTTGTAAAAGGTTTGCATAGTATCCAGGAATGTCTAGCACGGAGAATGGTAAACAACACATGTTGCAAGTACCGTGTAGGTATTTGCCCAGGCATGTGCGGCAGGTGCAGTTGGTGCAAGCTGATTGATGTCCAGCCGTTGGATAGTGCTGATTGGCCCGATGATATAATTTGCGCCTAGGTATTTGGATTATGCATCATACGTCTTCTGCCGCCACGCCGAGCCCGAGCTTACATGCACCCGTTACGCTATCCCTTGCTCAGTCGTCTACCATTCGTCTGTGGTAGGCTGCTTGAGCAGTGATCTGCAACATGGGCATTGAGACCTGAGCCATGCAGAGACGGTTTGCGGCTCTGGCTCTGTTATGATATAGGTATCGTGCCAATAAAACCGTTTCACGTAAGAACTCAGGCTCAATATTCTTCCACGTAGTAGAAGCACAAAGCGCGAGGCACGTGCGTTCAGCGGGGTAGATTATACATCGGCAGGAGACACACGTCGAACAGGAGACCATGCAGACGCAGGTGCATAGTCACATGTGTTGCATGATATGGACCTTGTTGAATGGTGCAATGGGGGTGGCGATAGCATTGGCGCTGGTCGGCAGGTCGGTCGTCAATTTTCCTGCGCTCGGTGGTCGCTTCCTCATTCGGCAGTCGGACGACGCGTTTCTCTTTCATTAACCCGTGGACCCAACGATACGTCAACAGCAATGTCCGTTGATATCAACTGGGACACAATTACAGGCGGCGCAGATGGGTCCGTCCGCGCAGAGAAGATACGCGCGTTTATTCATGATCGGTTTCAGCAAGTGACATTACCGAGGTTTATTCGCTCTGTCCACGTTCACTCGTTCGATTTCGGCAACGTGCCTCCAGTCATTGAGATTAAGGACATTTGCGACCCCCTTCCAGACTTCTATGAGGAAGATGCAGAATGCTCCGACGAGGAGCAAGACGTTAATGGCGCCGATGAGCCACATGACGCCACCAATGAACACTCGAGATACTCGTCAAAAGATCGCCATACGCGAGATGCCAGCAGAGATCCACCGCAGACCGACCATCGTACCTCCAGACAACCCAGCGTAACACCATCATATATCAACACGAGACCGACTGTGTTCCGACATCCCACTGACCAGCTGGGAGCTCACCTATTTCCCAGGGTATCCACACCCGGTATACCTGGCGGTACCTCGAACCTCAACTACTTCCACCTCCCTCTGGGAGCAGGGCTCTCTGGTGCCACGACGCCTTTAGCTGCTGTAGCTGGTGCACAAATACAGGGCTGGCTTGAAAACCCGCATGGTTGGCCCACAACACCAACCAACAAGCGTCTCCACCAAACTGCCTCCATGAATTCATTGACGTTGACGCCGCAATCAAACCCAGACCCCAGCCCACGGCCCTCCTCACAGCATAAGCATGACGAAGAAAGGATGAGCCCTCTTGCCGAGTCAAATGACTCATCCTCACAGCATAATTATGAGAGAACACCGTCCCCGGCACCAGCTTGTATGCGCGAGAAGAGTCCAGAGGATCTTCAGGTTGTGACACATGTGCAATACTCCGGCGACATCAAGATGTCATTAACCGCCGAAATTCTCCTGGATTACCCCATGCCAAGCTTCGTGGGCATTCCGTTGAAACTCAACATTACTGGACTTACATTTGACGGTGTAGCCATCCTGGCGTATATCAAGAAACGCGCTCACTTCTGCTTCCTCTCGCCTGATGATGCAGACGCTCTGGTTGGTCGTGAAACACTCCAAGGGTCGGATCTTGCGTCGCGCCTAAAAGTTGGAGGTCTATTGGAGAACATCAAAGTAGAGAGCGAAATCGGAGGCCAAGGTAGTGGAAAACAGGTGCTCAAGAACGTAGGAAAGGTGGAGTCGTTTGTTCTGGAACAGGTCAGGCGAATTTTCGAGGATGAATTTGTCTATCCAAGTTTTTGGACATTTCTTGTTTGAAGAGCCAGAACAAAACGAGTATACTGTATACTGAGTGGGCACGTCGAAACAAGCAACTACACGCGATTGACAGTTCCAGCCCTAATTGCTATAACAGGGTGTACCGGAGCAATGAATCAGTCCACTTTGAATATGTCACTCGGCTTCTTCTAGGCGCTGTACACCGCTGTCAAAATGCACCTACCCTAGCATCGCTTCTCCTCGTTACACCGGCCCGCTCTGAGCAACTGTTACAGCGCAGGGCGCGCGTCTCACGGCATTGGCAATACATCTGCAGTAGGTCTGTCCCCATACGCTACACCAGTCCATTTAGGCAACATGGATCGGCGCCTTGTCGTCGTCACGTCACTTGATGGATGTCCGCAATAGCGAGATGTTTACAAGTGGGACACTTGAGCTCAGCATTAATGACAGCGGGAGTGATCGAGCCAGACCACGTTGATGCTACAGAAGACAGCAGCTGTGCCAATCGTTCATAAAGTCGGGTTACAGTGTGCGAGTGTGACAAGCATGTCAAAGTCAGTATCCGTCTCGGCATCTCGCCTCGTCGGCTGTACTACCATTGACTAGCGCACAAAACATTATAAACAATCCCCATTTGATTGTTCGTCTACTGCATTTGACGCGCCCTGCCCGTTTGATCCCGCGATTCCCGTTTCCCATGACTGTGGTTACGGCGTGTTGGGCTTCACCGACACCCCTTGCTGGCAATGCGCAGGAATGCATTTGTATTTTCAAAAAGAGCGTGCACAGGAGCTTCGCCGCCAGCCGATGGAGACACGACTGAACTCACGTTTCCGAGCACGACATCACAGGTCGACTCAACGCCCATGCCCAGCTAAACGAATTTCCACCGTGGCCGACATGACAGGATTCGTACCCCATGATTAAAAGACTGTAGATGAACAAGCACCGTCCCAGTCTAGAAAACCAGACTTCAAATTTGCTTCACGAGGTCGTTGAACTGCCCTGATAGGTCCTATCGTCGCGGTCCCACAGCTGTCATGCATTTGAGCGGGCGGAAACGCACAGACACACGAAAAGCCAAACCTCAGATACACATACAGGGAGAAGTTTCCCAAGCCTGTCAGCAGTGTTGGTGGTTGGATTTTCGTAAGTGCTACTAAGGGTACGCGTTGTTTTCAGGGTCCAAATGTCCAAACCCTGACAAAGACGCGTCGAGTATCCATCCAGGTGGTGTAAGGTATGAGACATCCATCTGTGTGCAATGCCTTCTCATAACATGAGCTTCCAATGTAAGCCTGCCACGTGTGAGACAAGCTCCGAATCAGGCTTCTTTACCCAGTGAATTGCACATGAAACCCCACGTGACGTCAGAGCGCTGCTCTGCTCGCTCTGCCCCGCCAGAAGCTGAAACCCTTGGCGCCCAACGATACAAACCAACGCCTGAGAGCTTTCTCACGCAAACACCTACAATACCTACCATATTTTACCAAAGCTACGATAGCAAGCACGATGCCGCCGAAGCTTTCGTTCAGCGACGTTTGGCTGCCATGCCTTCTCCTCCTTGTTTTCTGGGCTCGCCCCACCCATGCTTTTGGCGCTGGTAACATTGCCAGCTTGAGTGCCATTGAGGGGCAGAATTGGCGCCATGGAGATATCGAGGATACACTACTTACACTACTTATCTCAAGCCGAACCGGCAAGAAGTTCAGCAAGATGGACGTCAAGCGTGTCTACTTTGGCAACTGGCTGCGCGACTACTCACAAGCCGTCGATGTGGGCACTGTCAAGATGGTGTCTGCTGAAGCCATCCGCATCTTACTCTGGGTTCTCGGCTTCCTGAGTTTCGGATATGGGACCAAGGAGTTCGAAGTTACTCGGGACAGGCTGGGCTGTTACCGTCCTGAAGAGCACATTGATGTATGTTGACCGGTGCACTGCGAGGCTAGAAACTAAAGACCTGGTAGAACCCTAAAGATTACGCCGATAACCTTGACGCCCGTGATTACGATCGCCGCCTACGAGGCCCCGTCGATGAGAGCCGCGAGCTGAGCGTTGACGAGCGCACCGGACTCAAGAACTACATTGCGTCAGAGGATCTCGGCATCACTACATCCGCTGCCATGGTTCGTGACCTACTGAGGCGCTGCATTGATCTCGGTATTCGCTCAGGTGGGCGCGGTCCCGACTTCCACGAGGCTCTCCGCCTCCTCGGGACCGCAACCCACTGCCTGGAGGACTACTCAGCTCATTCCAACTATACTGAGCTTGCTCTTATCGAGATGGGAGAACGAGACATCTTCCCTCACGTTGGACGTAACTCTCGCATCCAAGTCCAAGAGGCTCGTAAGGAAGTCTACCCTCTCGTCACTGGTACCTTTGGTGGGGTCGACTTCTTGCACTCCGTTTGCGGTGAAATCACAGACAAGGCAACACAATCCGAGCTCCAGGAGCTTGAAGGCGCCATCACGAATGCTGACAGGACAAAGAACAAGAGCAAGATCAAGGATCTGCTAAGTCAGCTTCCTGACGGCATCTTTGGCGGTAAGGATCAAAGTAGCAAGGCCGACGAGCTCGAGGAGAATGCCAACGCCGCCGCCATGGGTAACTTGCATGTCACGCCGAAAGAGCCTGAGGCTTTCACTGAGCAGGTTGGCGAAATGGTCAAGCAAATCTATCCAATCATGGAGTTCCATGACGAGATTATGCAGGCCATCAGCGAATTCGTCGAGAAGATCCCCGTGCTTCCTGAGCTCATCGAGCAAGTTCAGGACCAGGTTTCCATCTTCGTCTTCAGCCTGCTCGCTCCCTATGTCCTTCCCATCTTGACTCAGGTCAAGACTGAGCTCGAAGAAGGCTCATCCGAGGTCATTGCCAGTTCTCGTGAGAAGCAGCACATCGTCTTTAACGATGATGAATCGACTGACCCAACGCATTCTATGCTGTCGAAAGATCACTTCTCCAACTTGTTGAATGAACCTGCTGGGAAGATTGCTTCTGCCGTCCTCAGCTGGGCGGTGCCACAAATCGTTGAGTGCTGGGATGGACAAGCTGATCCCGAGGAGACTATCAGCCGTATCATTGACGGCGTCTTCCATCACCCTGCCTGTTTACGCGGAAATGTTCGTGGCTCCGATCAGTGCCGCAACATTATGTACGGTACTGTGAAAAGCTGGTGGGACAACCATTCTGAGCGCAGCAAGGACGATCTGCGCCAGAAGCTCAGTCGTCGAGGTGTGCAGAACGGTGAAAACCACAAGCCGGGAGTCGAGGACAAGGGTCACGGATGTGGGAAGCCTCTCGGCATGGCCAATGACTTCGGCAACATCAAGGGAGGCAAGGGACCCAGCCAGGTACCGATTCAGCAGGCCACCGATCACGTCGCTAAGCTTGCGAGTGAAGCTGCTGGAGGTGGTGCTCTGGGAGGTCTTGTTGGTGGTCTTGTCGCTGGAGTCGGCGGCTCACTACTCGGAGATGCTTTCGGCGGTAACGAAAGAAAGAGTAACAGCAACCAGAGCTATGGCCAAGATGGTTCCTACACTCAGTCTTACTCCGAGTCCGGCCATCATCAGAAGTCGTCCTACGGCGATCCTGAACGTTACGGTCAAGCTCAATATCAGCAGACTCAGTATCCTGCTGGTGGACGCCGTGAAGAGTATCGTCGCCAGGAGCAGGATGAGCAGGGTGGATCCTATAGCTACCAGCAAACGGTAGAGACTTCCAGCTACAGCACCGGAGGTGGGTACGAACGCCGCGAGGAACGTCGTGTACAAAGCGGTAACGACTGGCAATCTGAGGAGCGTCGCGAGGGCTTTGATCGCCAAGGACAGTACTACAACGAGGAGAAAGAGTAAGTCAAAAAGCATCTCACCCACAGGCAAGATCATTGACCCATAAATAGGCGACGCGGTAAGTCCCACAAATCCAAGAAAGACGCTTCGGACGACGACAAGTCTGGAGACGAGGACTCGTATGAGAAACGTCAGAAGAAAGAGCGCAAGCGACGCGAGAAAGAAGAGAAGAAGCGAAACAAGAAATATGGTAGTGGTGACGAAGATTCGGATGACGATGCTGACAAGCGTCGTTCAGGTTCCGGCGAGCAAAGGCGCCGCTCGCGATCTCGCGAGCAAGAACACAGGCGCAAGAAGAGCAAGAGCCCGTCTCCGAGGCGCCAGTCTGGAGGCTATGGGCAGGAGCGAAGGTACGGTGAAGAGAGCCAGAGTGGATATGGTCGTCAAGAAGAGACCGGATACGGAGACTATTCTCGTCAGCAGGAGAGTCACAGTCGCCAAGAATCGTCGGGTTACGGGGGCAATTCATACGGTGGAGGCCGCCGTGAAGAATCTTTCGGCGATGACAGAATGCCTGGTGGTTTTGGCGGTGACGACGAGCCTCGCCAGCGAGGTTTCGGTGGTGAGCATCATGGCCGCCGACGGGATGATGAGGATGAGTACCAAGGCCGCAGGCAGGAGGGAGGCGGCTACGGTGGCGGTTACGGTCAAGGCGGCTATGGAGAGGAGGGTCAGGGTCGCAGGTACTAGAGCTCCAGAGCATCTTGATAGAACTGCACTGCAGTCCCGGTATCTACACCTATGAACAGTCTGTCCAAGAGAACTGACCTCTCATGCCGCCTCTCGAGAATGTGATCAACACAGGTCGCCAGCACCCATAGTCTAGTTTGAAACCTTGCCTCTCACGTTGAAGGACAAGTGGCGGGCTAAGGGTGTGAGCCACGTACACCACACGACAGCAAAGTAGGGAAAAATTCAATAGATTCTCACAGAATGCTTGTAATATGGAACTAAATTTTCACTTTTATTATTATAATATCTTCAAGCTGTATGTTAGAGTTACATTGTCAACTTGAACGTCGCTTATCCGCCGTTTTTTCTGAAACGTGAGGACTTGCCAATGTCTACCCATTAGCACTACAGAACAGTTCGGTCTTGTTGTCACGTCAAGTCTCTCGGAGGTAGGCTATATTGCTTCACCAGCAGATACTTCAGCTGTGTTACAGGTGTATGCGGTATGGTGCAAGACAATTCATTGGCAGTCCTGAGCTACCAACTCATACAACCTAACATTCTCTTCTAACGAGAAGACCCACGGCTGCTTTGATTCCGCTTCACTAATCTCCTTACGCTCCCATCCCGTCAACACATCCTCGCTGAGATCCAGACCCTCCTTCTCGAGCCACCTTCTTCGAAACTCTGCCATAACACTTGTCTTTTGCTGCATACATTTGGACTTGGTGATGATTCTCACCGCTTTAATGAGCTTTTCTGACGCAACCACATCCGGAATCATGGATCGTGTTTTCTCCTTGAAGAGCAAGTACCAGTCCAAAAATAGATTTTCGTTGCCCAGAGAGAGGTCCTTGTGCGCAGTTTCAAACGCAAAAGGGAAGAAGCCTGCTTTGTGGCAGTCGATGATACCAACAAGTTCGTAGTTGGTGGTCCCGTCAGTGCTAACAACGGCTTGCACGGAAATGTTGCGCGGTTCAATATCGTTATGGGACAGCGCAATGCTGTTGTCCAGTGTTTCGATATCCTCATGCGTGAGAAGAACTTGGCCTAGCTCAGGGAGTGAAGAGTGTATCAGCACGCCGTCTGCAGTCTCGACTATGTCGGATGTGGCTGATCGCCGCAGCTGACTCCGATCGACAAGGTGTGTGAGGAATTCGCGAAGATCTTTCGAGTATCCGTTCCTTGGTCCCCCGATGCACACACCTCCATCCTCATGTATGAACGGCGTGCCCGCAAGGAGCTCCTCAAGAATGGGATCTGTTCGTTTCATTTGATGGACTTGTTTGACTGCCATAACGACAGCATCGATTAAAGCCTCCTTCTGCTCAGGCTTGAGGGACGGCCAGACAGACTCCAAAGGTACAGTTCCAGTGAGAAACCTTGTGACTGTGTACTCCACGTCTCTTCCATCAGCAGTCATAGCCTTGTCGCATTGGTAGGTCTCTGGTACAAGTCCGGGGAACTGATGATTTGCAGCTCTCCCAATAGCTGTCACCACTTCCAGAACAGGCACATCATCAAATACTTCCATATGTACTATCAAGTCCATAGGCCAGTCTTTGCATGGTTGTGTCTCGAACTGCGCCCTAAATGTGCAAGCGTCGAATGTGTGGGTAAGGACGGTTACTGAAACTGGTTTGGCTTGAGGGAAAATCGTCGCTAGAATGACATTATCAGGTAAGAGTTCTTGACCCATCGTTTGTTTGTATGGAACGCGAAAGATGAAAATCGATCAATGTAAGCTGCGATATCGTTCGGTTTTGTGTGAGGCTGGAATTCAAGAGCGATACGGGGTGAAATCAGACCACTTTAGCACGTCTGCTAGCGCTACCACAGTCCAGACCCGCTTAAAAGTGGCTGAATAGGCTTTGGAAGGCACCATCGGCCGTGCACGATTTAACAAGATCTAGAGTTGCGGCGTGAATCCTTGTATGTCTCCATCATCCTTGCACGAACACTCGTTTGTTGACGTGCTAGCACGTTAACGGGGACTTCCACTTTCCACAAATACCGCCACACGGAAGACAGTACCTAGCAACACAGCCACAGGAGGTAACGAAGAGCTTGATCACTGTATAATCATTGAATTTGCTCAACTTTAAGGAGCTTGCTGTGCCGCACGATCGGTGGCGTTGTCAAGCAGATCCTTGACAACCTTGCTCGAATCCGCAAATCCTCCGCGGACACAATCAACCGTGCACCTGTCTTGTTTCGAATCTTCCTGACATCAATAGTGTGATCTTGGCAACATGAATCGCGGTGCATCTGGCAGCATCATTGGTCGGATCAGTCTGCTGCGGGGAAACGGGTTGAAAGTGAAGCGCAAGTACATGATGGTAAAGAACCACCATTGGAGAAGTCGAAACATGAGGTCGCGGTTCAAAACGCTTATATAATGAGGTCCTCCCCCATCACAGCATTGATACATGTTCAACCATAAGCAGCGACTCTGACCTAATTACGCGACAGGAGAGCCTGTTGCAGGTTGGTCTGCTTTAAAAACTAAGTATACCTAGGTCTTTAAATAAATCCGGCGCATTCTGGGTTGGGTCTGCTTGGTGAAAGTGCCAAACAAGCCAGGGCATGAATATGTCTTTGCGTACCAATGGGCCTCTCATTGGTCGAAGTCTGTCGTGCAGTGGAAGAACGTTAATGGTGCATTATGTTACTTAAAGCTCCTGCTCAGACTACCAAGCAGAGGAAGGGTAGAGACCTGACACGAAAACAACAAAGCTGCTTGACATTCTGCTCGGTTCGGTCTGGTCACATGCTCCATAGTCCTCGGGCTTTGTGTCGCAGTCTGAATAGTGACTGAGTCAGTATAGACATGGTGTCGTGCAGGGTACCACTTGCGCATCAGCAGAAGGTTATACACTAGGCTTGTCGAAGTCGCTAGATACAAGATCAAGCACACGCTGCGTGGTCATCGCCCATGACAGTGAGCCCCTTCCTTTTCTCCCCCACGCGTGCGGTTATCCACGTTGCTTGCGGCACTAAGGATTGTTCGGCTACACACACGAGCAGAAGTCTCTGTTATCATCAGAAGACCCATCATGTGTACGTCTTTATGGTCGTGCGTTGCGGCTGCAACGCATGTCGAGGTGAATCCGTCGACCAATTCCCAACCGGCCCCTAAAGTGCAAAGCGAGGCTATGAGTGCTCAATCAGCTGCCTACTGAGTCGTTCTCGCCACCACCGATCATTTGCAAAGAGGAATCGATCTATATGTGTATGCTATCACGGATAACTTTCAGGAACGCTCAAAGAAGATGACCGGAGATTTCATGGGTCGTCAGGAGTCGCTCCCTGACGATGTCTTGGTACATGGAGCAACTGTAAGTTCTGCTCTGATGCAAGGTGCAAGATGTAAGATTTGCACGCGAAATCTAAGATTGGATCTAAACCACAGTCACCTGCAACCACTCCACATCTGGAGGTAGGCTCAATGAAGAGGTATTCAGTATTCCGGAAAGTCACCGTCAACCGTTGCTTTCCAAGCTCTTAGTCCACCTCGTATATCTCCGATAAATCTCTTCCCACCACAGTCCAGCCCCAGCTGTTTCAGCTTCTTCACGGTCACTTGCGAATCGTTCCCAAGGCGACAAACCACGAAGATGGGTTTTTCAGGTTGCTGCCTAAGCTCTTCTATCCACAACGGCTCCTCGATATCCATTGAATAATAATTGCCATTGACGTTATTGGCGGGTGCCATAGAAACTTCTGAAAATGGTATGTTTCGGCTTCCGTCAATGTTGCAAAGCTCGAATTGGACTCTTTCCCTAGTGTCGATGAGAATGTGGCTGTCCTTCCTCGACACGGTGCCTGTGAATGGATTGACTCCTGAGCGGAGCTTCGCGTAACTCTCAGCAGAAATACGTTCTTGTGGAGTGAGTATGTTGGTGGGCTTGATACTTCCACAAAACTGTACGTAGTCTAGACTTCCCGAGTTGAGCGCCTCAGTTGTGATCGTCGAGTGCGCCGAGCACGCTATACACTTTGGCTTACGTGCACGCAAGCGAATCGACCGAAAAATCGGACTGGAGTATGCAGAAAATAGCAGCAGACTCGGTGGTTCTATCGATCCTGTTGTTGTTGTGTAGAGCTCCTGTGTCAGAACTTTGATCGCCTCCAGAGCTTGAAGTACACCCATGACACCCACGACAGGGCCCAGAATACCTCCATCTCCACAGGATACGACCGATTCAGGCGGAGGTGGTTTAGGAAATATGCATCGATAGCAAGGTCCACCTTTGGTGTCGCCTGCTGGCAAAGGCGGGTTGTTCAACACCATCAGCTGGCCATCGATTCGTAATGCGGATGCTGATACGAGCGTCTTGCCAAGTAGAACACAAGTGTCTGAGATGAGATAACGTGACGCCGGGTTGTCCGTGCAGTCGAGAACAAGGTCGTAATCTCTGAAAGTCGCAAGAGCGCTGTCTGGAGTAAGACGGGATGTGTGAGGCAGAAGTTCGACATTTGGGTTCAGCCTAAGCGCGTGTTAATGTCTCAGTCGCCGGCAAGACCCCAAATATACTAACGAGCTCAATGCGACCATAGCACTTTCCACCTTGGTCATGCCCACCCTTGCTGTGGAGTGTAGTATTTGACGATGCAGGTTGGACTCTTCGACTACATCCCCATCTATTAATCCAAGGGTACCAACTCCTGCACCTGCTAGGTAGGTCGCAGCTGGACATCCGAGACCGCCCATACCTACAATCAGCACTCTAGCTTTTCTCAACTTCAGCTGGCCTACATTATGACGCATTAGATTCGATATCGTCGAGTTGTATGCGACCAGTGTACAAGCTCACCCTGCAATCCAATCTCTGGCATAATTAATTGCCTACCATATCTCCTGTACTCGTTGGGCGTGAGCGGCCATCGCCTTCCTTCAATTGTATTGTTTTCTGCTACTAGAGGCCCCTGATCCAGTATCGCAAAAACCTCTGATCGGAAATCGTCTGGGACACCAAAATTCATGTCATGATCCAAAGGGTCATTCGAAAGCTTTGGTTTCTGACGCAGAACCTTCTCTTGTTGCTGTTGGTTATGTTCTGCCTCTGCAAGCTGTTGCCGTAGATCCTGAAGAGCAACTTCATGAGCCGCTATCTGGTGCCGCAAAGAGTCTATTATTTGGGCCATCTTGCCTTTTTCGATGCGCTCGGTCGAGAGACGGACTCCAGTCTGCGTGAAGAGGGGTGGGGCACAATCGATAACGGCGGGCGCCACTAGCGCTAAGGCTGACTGACTCGTGTGCGAAGTACCAGTACGATCGTCTCCGAATTTCACTCAAACTAACCCTGAGCTGTTGCTGCATCTAATAACATTATCAACCTTGGTAGCCAAGATTAAGAACAGATTCGTATTCCTTCACGGTCATCAATCATAAGGCATCTTGCATGAGATCTTATGTCCATGTATCCTGGAGCTGAGCCGTGAGGTGAGGTAAAAAGCCATCACGGAGGCTTGAACTTACACCGTTGCTCCTTACAGTCTCAATAGTCGATACTGAATCTTTGCAGCTATGCCTATTGCCTCACATTTCAGACCAGACGACCGCTGTGGGTCGCCCGGGGTCGTTGCTGGGTAAATACAGCTACCCTTGCCCTACATCAAGAGTGTCCGGGAGTTTATTTCGTCCTAGAAGACGGTGAAGTTCGATACGCGACTATAGGGCTCGACACGCGATACTTATGCAAGTAATCGCATTGCGCGTGACGAGCTGTCGCAGCCAGAATGCTCGACCAGGCCAAGTTCGTGTTCGCTATTGTAAGCACTTGGGTGAAATAAGTCTTTCCGATATTGCAATCTCACCCATGTCTGAGATGAGCCAATGTACTGGTATTGCGATCTGATGGTGATACTTGGTAGACCAAAACAGCGTGTCTGTAGCAACTCTGCAGATACATGGCAGTCGGGACACTGGCGCAACGAACCCCGGGCGTTGGGTCCGGGTCAAAGCTGCAAGTCAGCAATGGTCTGAGGCCAGCACAAGGTGTAGCGAGCTCGACCAATTGTGGCTTTTGTTTGATCCCAAGCTCGATTGCATCTGATAGTCCCTGTCCTGGTGATCCAGCCACAAGGCTGCCGTAAAATACCGTGGCTCCCCACACACATTGTCCGAAGGGGCCTCTTCATTTCGATTTTACACTGAACAGCGCGCTTTGCGCCCAAACTCTAGGCTCAGCTGAAATTTTAATTGTGAAATCAAGCGATCGAGATGACAGCCTGGTAAGCAAAAAGCAAAAGGATGGACATTTGTCATGCGTAAGATTCCGGGCGGCTGGGATTTTCCCAGGCATGCGGGAGATTGACAGAGAGTGGGCCCTGAGCATTGACACGAAGTTCGACTGCTTCTCTTGGGTTCGTTAGCAAACAGCTAGACACGCGTCAGCCTGCAGTGGTGTTCATCATTCACTCCCGTAGTGGAGACCACAAGTCTGAGATTCACGTGCACGCACTCTGTTGCTCTTCTCCACGAATCAACGAGCATTGTAAAGCTACGCCTCGAGATCGAGCCAATATCATCTAGTGGCAAATAACGTGACTCTCGGACTTGTGGTCACCATCATGAAGACGCCTCGTGCCCGAAACCTTTGATTCGGTAGCCGGGCTTAGCGGAAAGACCCCTTAGTTGTTCCTTTTACATACCACGTCCCAAGCCTGCCTATGGTCAATGTTCGGCAGTGCAGTACTTGCTCGAGACCGAGCTGCCGAAATAGAGCTCCACACTGCAGGACAAGCGTGAGCACGCAGGAGCACGTTCCGTTGGCACAAGCGTGGCAAGGGCAATCGAGGAGCTGACAACATACCACAGGCTCAAGTGGGTCCAGACACTTCCTGCCGTCCTTGGGACGCATCCATATCTCTGTTAGTGACAAGTGGCTAAGGGGCTCAGGGTAAGGCACGACGCAATATTAATACATGTCGCAGTCAGATGCCAGGCGTACAAAGCTCGAAATACCCCGCGTCCTTGCTGCAACCCAACCCCTCCACAAATCTACCACCCTGGATACGGTGTGGTGTACATTGACCGCACTGCGTCTCTATTAACCTTATCGCGATGATGGTTTGCGCGACCTGCAAAGGCTTGCAAAAGAATTTGAACCCCGTGGATGGTGCCCAGGACATCGAAGCGGGCGCGCTGTACTGGGTCGATGCTTCAATGCCAGACCTTCGTACAAGTGCCGCTGATTGCCGCGCGTGTGGATTGCTCTTGCAAGGCATTCTGTTGCACCACGAGCGTTTCAGAAACGTGAAGGAAAATGACATCCGAATCACAGCAGAATCATTCAAACCAGTGCCCGAACGAAGCTCCCAAGATCACCTATCGGTCGAAGTTCGATGGCAGGAGCAGCACAGCGACGACCAAGAAGATGACGAGCACGGCAGTGCAGGCTGGCCGAACCTTAAGCTCGAATTCTTCACAGATGGAGGTACGTTTCCACTCCAAGCAACAGGCACTATGTTACCCATTCTTAATCTTCGTCATGTCCGAGAGCGTGCCGATCTCTTCTACAACAGGCTTAGTAAGAACGCGTGTGGCTGACCTTTGCAGATGGACAATCATCCTTCTCCGCAATTGGGCGAGGCCGTCAGATCTCAAGCCAGCCTCTGCAGGACACAGGCCTTGCCACGATTCGCAATCTACTTAAGTCCTGCCTCGCAACCCACTCGAAATGTCGACAACCCAAATCAACCACATTACCGAAACGAGTTTTAGATGTGTCAGGAACCGACTCGAAAAGTATACGTCTGCATGAGTCCGACTTCAACCAGGAAGAGAGCAGATACGAGTATGGAGAATACATTGCGCTTAGTCATATTTGGGGCACGGCAAAGAGCTTGCCAAAGAGTGCGACAAGAACGATACAATCGCACAAGAAGGGCATACCATGGACATCCTTACCAAGAGCGATCCAGGAGGCGATCGTTCTCACAAGAGCACTTGGATTTCGTTGGCTCTGGATTGATGCCTTCTGTCTCATCCAAGATGATGTTGCCTCCAGAATCGAGGAATCAATGACCATGGATCAAATCTTTGGCAATGCCTTCTTGACCATCGCAGCAACCTCTGCAACTGATAGCAGCACCCAACCTCTTTTTCCTGCCCAAGTGCAGCCCTTCAAGATCCAAGCGACTGACAATAAAGGTTCGGCTTTCAAAATATATGTCAGGGAACAGCCGAGTCATTACAGTTTCAAGGCACCTTTCGATGAAAGTGCGCATATGAATGATTGGGAGCTTCCCTTTAACATATCTGATCGTGCCAATCAGGATACGCCGTTGTTGAAACGAGCTTGGGCATTCATTGAACGTCTCCTTTCACCACGGATACTTCACTTCACAACGAGCGAGATGATCCTCGAATGCCGCGAAGGATATCAATGTGAGTGTGGAAGGATTGCTGACCCATTTCTCGATTCTCGGGCTACCGATTCGATCAAACAAGAGCTCGCACGAATGATCTGGGAGACGAACAGACGGCCATCGTTTGACGGAAACGTGCATGACCCGATGAACGGGATCGAGAGTGTCACCTCTCAGCTTGCCTCTACGACCCTTACCAACAGAGCAAGGAATATCTCGCAAAAGCGAGAAGAAGCACTCCAGCTTTGGAGCTACGTCGTCACAGAGTTTACAGCCAGGAACATGACTTACGACTCGGACAGACTGTTGGCTATAGCCAACATCGCGAACCAACTATCCCCCGCTCTTCATTCGGGCTACATTGCTGGTCAATGGTCATTTAGCACGATGGGATTGCTCTGGTATCCTAATGATAGCACCATATGCCGACGATCTAAACCTCTTCCTGGTCAAAATATTCCGAGCTGGTCTTGGGCATCGGTTGAAGGCTCTCCTATATTTTTTGACACCACTTCAGCAATGGATCTTGCGTGCAGGGCATCCTTCGCTTCGTCAGAGGAGGATATTGCAAGCTGGTCGCCACTGTCTGGACAAAGTATTGAGCTGTCAGCGGCTATGGCAACAGAAGTCACGTTCAACTCCATGGTATCAGCGGAAGGTGCTTCGTATCTTCTCTCGAGAAATGGTGTCGTAGTCGACTTCATGCCAGATGTACCTCTAGCTCGACACGACGAGCCATTGCGCGATGGCGAGACACTCACTTGCGTGTTGGTGAGCATGACATATCGGTCTTCAGTGATTGGCCTTGTGCTGCAACGATCCAACAGCAGTGGCATGTATCGCCGCGTCGGTCGCCTCGAATGCTACGAATGCTCAGGAACAGGCAACGACGAGATGAGCGAAGATGCGGAGGCACTCTTTGACCACTGGTTCCCTGATATTCAGGATATGTCGCAACTCGACAACTACCCATTGCAGCGTTTCACTGTTGTTTAGGCAGGCACATTTCTTATTGGTTTTTCTGCATCTTGAAAAGGTATAGATGCTGCGAGCGGCTCGCATTCGCTTATTGTGCTCTCGATACCCTTCACACTGGCTAGCGTTTAGCTTCGATACTTCTCCCGGAGTGGATTCATTGGAAAGCGGGAAGTTCAACATTGGTAACACAATTATTGGTTCTGGAGTGACTTCCTGCATGATTTCTGCATGATGAGTACATGCATCTCGCATGGTAGCCAAGCCGATCTAAATGTATTCACTCAAGCCCGGCACCCGCAGTAAGCGAGTACCAAACTTGATTCCACAATGCCAAGTGCACCGTTCCGTGCGACTTACTAGTGCATTGATTCCGATGGTACAGCAGTACTAGTGCCTTGTACAAACTCGGTACGTCGGGCTGATACATGATGTTAGTGCGGCTGCAGACCAGAGCCTGGGGCAGCCGTCTCGACTCCGCGGACTCGCTAAACGCATAACGAGCAACATGCATTCTAGTATGGTCAAGATGACGGTCTGTGGTCGGCGACATCGCTAAACTCACGAGGTCAGTGAGATGCCTAGGTCAGAACTGACAGCCCCCTTTCAAGGGTAGTACGTAGATCACATTTGAGACGATGCATGTCGATCATGCATGCAAGATGTCAATGAGTATTCATGCATCAGCGAGACCAAGAGTACCTGGGTAGCATCTTGGCAATGTGGCACCCGTTCTTGCATCCGCGGAAACGGATGGTTAGCACGTGTGGTTAGAGATAAGGTATCTATTTTGTCAACAACTAGGCAAGGTTGGTTAAGAAAAGACATCAAACACTCTCCTAGCTTGTGTGGGCCTTGCGCAGATACTAGAATTTAACATGCAAACAACCTACCCTCTTGCAAGTTCCATCATTGAGCTTAATTGAAATGATATTCTTCGATGCGTGGATTCTCGGGTCAGCGAATCTCATAGGAACTACTTTTTCTCGTGGCATTAAGCAGCCTGAGTAAGTACAAGGCTAGATTCATCTATATAGTAACTTCAGCAAGTCCAACTGCCGCCGCAGGCGGCCTAAGAACCTGTAAGAGGTCCCAATCGAACTGTCATGCTTGCCGCTACGTACCTAAAAAGTTTTCGCACTCATACAAAGTAGGAAAATGCATAAAGCGCTATAGAATACTTTTTTGCCTATAACATAGGTATTGCTTAGTCCAGTGTGATTCCAAAGCATTTTAATAGCTTTAGCTTTTATGTAAAAGTCAGTAGACTTACAGGTTGCTTGCCCGCTGTTTTCCCAGAAATGTGAGAGGCGTGGACGCATCAAGTGCACGTGGCACAAGATGCTCCAAGCTCCTTGACTCCAGCTTTTTGGGCCTTGGAACGCGACATCATTGCTTAGATCCAGCGCCCAAAGCACCAGCAACAAAACACACCCTCACATTCCGCTCCATCGCTTCAGGTTTCGCCAATAACTACAAACTTCTGTCCTTGTAGAGCAACACGAAATACACAAGATGTCTTTCCTCTTCGGCGGCCGCCCCCAGCTCTCCTCCGAGCAGAAGATTGCAGCAGCAGAGACCGAGATCGATATGGTGTCCGACATGTACAGCCGGTACGCATATCTTCCCTCAATTCCATCAGGGTCACCACTTCATCTACTGTTATTTCTGCTGCTCAGGTGCCAATGTGACTACTACAGCGCACACTCAACCCAACATCGCCCTCTTCACACTCGTACACATGTGCTAACTGGCTGGTGTCTAGTCTGCTCAAGTCCTGCTCCGCGAAATGTGTCGACACAGCGTATCGCGAAGCCGATCTTAACAAGGGCGAGTCGGTCTGCCTCGACCGCTGTGTGTCCAAGTTCTTCGAGGTCAATGTCAAGGTTAGCGAGAAGATGCAGGGTGAGGCGCAGGGGAAGCAGGGATTCCCCGGTGCAATGTGAGGCACTGGGTATGCAATGAGGACAAGAGGAAGCTAAGAAGAGAAGCAAATCGACATGACAGGCGGCATTGCAAATAAGCAATGGGCACAAATCCTGTGGCGCGAAGGATCTACACTCTGCCTCCGACTCGGCGCTCTGTGTTGCAACACCGATCACGTCTTAGTGTGGACTTGTACAATATGTATATCACATGCGCCGTTTAGCTTGGCCATCATGAATTGAAAAAGGTTACATAACAACGATTTGAGTGCAAGAGGGTGATGCAATGCCTCTGTCAGGCAGACGAGAGTAAGATATAAGGCTTGAGATTGTTGGAACTGCGCTGTACCTCAGCAAAGCTACAGGCCCTCAGTGAACTGTCGCGGCTTCAGGCAGCTGTTCCACATGAGCAAACGCAGCCTAAGATTCCCGACAGATCGATTCCACATTTTTTCAGGTGTGATATCGATCCTACTGCCAGCCACCAGGATAGTAGAGCGTATGATGAAACCTCCTTTGAAGTTCAGTCTCACATTATGAGGGTCAGCGTAGCTCGGCAACATATTATTCTCTAGTCGAACTTCCGAGTTCATATGAACACATTATTTCCCGCTTGACTTGGGTAGCCTCGTAACTCCAGCCGCGGTGATTAACTGCTTGATCGCCTGCATTGTCTCATTGTCGAAGCTAGGCTGACATAGCTTCTGCAACCGCTCCAGCTCGGTACCTGCGCACTGAGCTTTCAGGTCAGCGTCACGAGCATACTTCCAAGCTAGCTCAGCACTCAATTTTGCCTCCTTAGAGCACTCAACAGCCTGCAAGATAGCCTAGATAGTTCAACTTGTCAGTACGAATTCACACAGTATAACAGAATAGGCACGAAAGTAATGCTTACCTCTGCGATTTCGAGACCACGCAGTCGATCTGGAGACTCCTCTCCCATCGATGTAACATTATCGAGAATCCTGTGGACTAAGTCTGCTGTCTCGTGTTGTTCACTAGGCTTAGGTCCGTGAGGGAGCACTAGAGGGTCAGCGGATCGCGTGGCCTGACGACAGTCCTTTCGGTTTACTGTCTCGGTACTATTTGTATAAGACACAATTCCTTGTGCGGTTCGCGGTATAACTTCAGTTGGCCTTGATAAGCTGATCTTGGAAAAATTGGTAGAGTTTCTGATGCGCTGAGCTAGAGTACTTCCAGTAACGAAAGACCGTTCTGGACCCTGTTTTTTGGTTGATGGTAGCGTGGTTCCTGGGTCGCGCCTGTGAAAGATACTTCGAAGACTGCGCTTTTTCTTCATTTCTAGCGTGGCGTCAACTGTGGACTGCTTAGAATTCTGGTTATCCTTGCTGAATTTATCGCGAATCCCAGTACCGACGTCTTGCCTCAGAAGTTCTGTCTCTCCCGATCTAGAAGAACCTGATTTACAAACACTAGTTTGTGACAAAGTAGAATGTGCGAGTCTCGGCGTCTCTGAGCTAGGTGCACGTATCGAGGAAGGACTAACTCGAGCTTTGACACGCTTGGTCGATAGGAAAGATGAGTTGGTACTGCCTATGACCGTCGGATTCTCCAGCTCGGAACTTGTAGACCTTTGGGCTGTCTGTGTCATGAGTTGCTGCTTTCGAAATACTGGCCTCAACGATCCGACAGCAGAGTCATGGACTTGCATCTGCACCCTATTGTAGAGCGTTGTGGAATTGCACCCAGATTCCTAGCATGTGAATTAGCTGTGAATCAATGCAAGCATTGGATTAACTTACACTACCGTCTTTTTGGTTCTCATTAAACACCTGAGGCATAGTGTCTGGCTTAGACTGCGAGGATGATGTTTTTTGCCAAGCCTCGAATGATCTTCGAGGCTTTGCTCGAGATGAGATCGGCCGATCATGCTCCTCTATGAATCTGATTGGTGAAGGAATGTCTATAGCCGCATGGTTCTCAGGAGAGGTCTCTGTGTTGACTCCCTGAGGTAGCTGCATGGACCTGATCGGTGTGATCTTAAATGACCGGCCCTCTAAGATTTCCATGGCTGTTGATGACGGCATCGGTGTGCGTGGGCTGGTGGAAGAAGCCATCTGTACGATCAACTGCCGAGATACCCGTCCAGCTAAAGTACTAACGGTACGCTCGTGAAAGTTTGGCTCTAAATTCTGCTCAGGTAAGGCTGGTGTTGCAGAAACGGGGTCACACCGACCGAGAAGTACTGCATCTGCATCTGCAGAGATTCTCAGAGTCGGACCAGATCCAGTACTGGACGAAGGGCACGAGAGGCGTTTGACTCGAACGCTACCTTCATAACGAATCTCGGATTCATTATCGAAAGACGACTCGTCAGCCAGGTTCCATGTAGAAGCACTATTGATCAAGCCGTAGTTATGCTGTATCATGTTTGCGTTGTCGAACAGTGCGAGTGTAGTGGCTTCCGGTTCAGCGGTATGACAGTGTGAGATCTCACTGGTTTCCCCGTTGTCCAATTGCTCATCACTAGTGCGCTCGGTCATATTTTCGATCTCTGACCACCTGTTGAAGCCTACAGTGATGTGTTGGAATGATGCAGATGGAGGCAGGGCAGGAAGCTCTTCTGTTGCAGCGTCTGGGGACGGTAAAAGACTACGCTTGGAACTAGTACGAGGTGGGATGGCCACGCATGGCGAAGCTCGCTGCTTTTGGGGAAGCAAACTATCAACAGCTACCTCGTTCACCGTCGAAAATGCGTGGAAGGGTTGCGCATAGGGGTTCGTGGAGCTGAGGGGGCGCGCTTCTCTTGTCTGGTTAAATTCGTGGCTGGACCTCTTTTCCTCGGTAGAAGTCTGCGACAGTGTGCACTTCTCAATTGAGAAGGATGTGATGGCTCGGCTCCTGGGCATAGGTGTAGCGTTCTCTTCGAGTGCCCAGCCTCCAGAGATGCTGCGCTGTGATGGCTTGTCATCAGTCAAGGGAGTGGATTGTTGTGACGGTGAGACATTCTCAGGTCGAAGTATCGGCCACTGTTCATCTGTAGGAGTGCCGGCTTCTGCGTCAACGAGTGTGCGCTGGGCTTTGAGTGGGCTTGCTGGATTCACAATCTGCGCGATGGGCGGACTAGGCAGTGGCTTGTTGCAGCTGAGTGGAGTTGTAGTCTTGCAAGAGTTCTGCCTAGTTAGTTGCAGTGACAATATATGAAGAATACATGCTTACTGCGTTTAACGGCACAGTAATCGCAGTAGGTTGGTGCCCACCTCTAGCACGTGGCGAGACTGCAAGCGGCGTCGTGAGCCTGCAGTTGTGTGCATAGGTTTTTGAGAACGTGCTTTGTGTGGGCGTCGTCTTACGCGGAAGTTTGGATGTCGGCGCGGGCGACCTGGCGTTGGACGTGGCAGATAGAACTGTGTAGCATGGCGATCCAGTCGTACTTACAGAGAAGGGACTGCGACGGCCTGCACTGCGGGATTGCTGAAGCTTGGGAGGACTCGGGATTCTCGAACCCTCTTTAGTAAGACTGAAGCCAGGCTGTCGCGGGGTTGAGTCCGTGTCGAAGAGAGGTGCCGGCATTGTGAAGCTCGCTGTCTGTGGTGGTAGTGTGAGTCAAGTTGTATGGAGCAAAGAGGGTGAGAACTTGACGGCAAACTGATGCATGTTGTTAGTGAACACTCGAGGTGGGGCCGCGTGTCAATGCGTGTGGCATGATAGTGAAGGTGAATGTTGGTTCTTGGCGGAGCCGTCAAAGACAGACGATCAATCATGAAGGCACTTGGTTGCATGTCCAACAGCCAGGGCCCCGCAGTCTGCGTGGAATTCCATTAAACCAGGCAAGAGCCACCCAAGGCTTCTTCGCTCTAAGATACCAAGCGCTTTCTGCTCATCAATCTCGTAACTTGGTATTGCGCCAGAACCCCCTGTGGACAGCTGGAGACGGTGCTCATACATTGCACTTAGTGAGTATGAGATCGGCAGAGATGCTACTAATATTTACTGTGATCTTGAATGCCTGCAATGGCTGCAAGCACTGCCTCGCTAGAAGTTCACGATGTCGCAACGAGTCATCGCACACGCGCGAACAACCCGTTCAGCTCAAGTACTGCATCACCTAGGGGACTCTTACTTCCCAACGATTCGGAAGGCGTCGTCCTGTTACCAGCATGGGGTCACCGATTTGATGAAGAAGTGGTATCGATTTCGATGTTCGATAGGAGGACCAAACGTAGACGGTCTGATGACGTAAAATTCGACGAAGGAGCTCGGGCCACGACTCCAGACCACTCGACACGTCGAGCTCAGTAGGCCTTTCCGACATCACGACGCGCAATTGGCGTCCACAGACCTCGACCCATGGCGCTGAAGACGTATAAAGAAATGAAGGAGGCGTGGGTGACAGGTCACACCGGTAGCTCTGTCGCCGATGTGAACAGCGTTTCCCTTGCCATGCCTGTACCGTACACATTCTACCAAATGCTAAGAAAGGCTCGGCTGACGCCCTTCTCTAGTTAAGCATTCTGCTATGGTCCGTACTACAACAACGACTTCGATTGTTCATTCCATATACGCCTGCAGCCTGCTTTGTCGACTTTCTCCTCAATTGCGCCGCAACGCTCTGTGCCACGACCGTGTACTCCTCATCGCCATGGACCCTGAATATCCTGCTGCTATTGCCAGCGGCGGGCCTCATCGTTCTCGAACAGCCGGCGGTAGTCAAGCGAGATGTATCACGATCGCTGAAGAAAGACAAATCTGCAGATACTAGGCTCGATGATTTACCAGTGAAGCCCTTCATAACACATTATCGGGGTGCCATGATGGTTATGACCTGTATCGCTATACTGGCTGTAGACTTCCCTGTCTTTCCACGGCGCTTTGCAAAAGTTGAAAACTGGGGTACATCATTGATGGACATGGGTGTAGGGTCATTTGTCTTCACGGCTGGCGTGGTCTCTGCTCGATCAGCACTCAAAGAGGGCTCTGGCAGAAGATCACCGCTCTCCAAACGCTTGATCATATCCTTTAGACATGCCATACCACTGCTCATCCTTGGTATCATCCGATTCGTTTCAGTGAAAGGCCTGGACTACGCCGAACATGTCTCAGAGTACGGGGTACACTGGAACTTCTTCTTCACGCTCGGTTTTCTGCCTCCTTTTGCCGCTTTACTGCAAAGTGTTTTCAACCTTGTACCTTCCTATATGGTCCTCTCATGCATACTTGCAGGGCTGTATGAGCTGGCTCTAGACAACACATCTCTTGGCGCCTTCATCCTGGTAGCACCGCGAACGGATCTGTTCTCCAAGAACCGTGAAGGCATCTTCTCCTTCATCGGATATCTTGCCATCTTTCTCGCTGGCCAGTCTCTGGGTTTATCTGCTCTTCCTAGACAGCAGGCACTTCCTAAGGGGGCCCCAATTCTGACAAAATTGCGCCACACGGCACTCGGGCGATTGGCCCTGATCTCTACTGTCTGGACAGCTCTCTTCTATGTCTCGACTAGCCACTATGGTCTCCGGCTTTCTGTATCTCGACGACTCGCCAATCTTCCCTACTTCTTGTGGGTATCATCTTTCAACAGTTATCAAATCACTATTGTCTGCGCTATCGAGGCCCTTCTCTTTCCCAACATCCACAAGGCTTCTAGCAGAGAAGAGGAAACACAGAGAGTCAGGGATGCTACAAGCACGGTTCTGTACGCTTTTAATCGCAATGGTCTTGCGGTCTTCTTAGCTGCCAACCTCCTCACGGGTCTTGTCAACATGACGATGCCGACGCTTCACATGGGCGTTTTGCAGTCGATCGCCGTACTTGGTGCGTACATCGCGACCGTCGCTGGTCTCGCTATCGGCTTGGACAGGTTCAACATTTCCATAAAACTGTGAACGTGGTAGATACCCTCATTCAGACTAATACATTCGAATTGAGCTTGATCTCAGTCGACGAAGAGTGCTTCATTTACTTCAGCTTCGTGAGCGTCGCTAGTTCATTGATACACATCATGACTAGTCCGAGATCTTCGGGGGCATACTTATCTATCACCGGGTTGTCATCGTAATGCTAATGTCCTCTTTCGTGACAATTGTGGAAACACTCCTGCCATGCTTTCGAGTTGCAATCAACCGTTCCAGTCGTGTTGCACCGCGCAATGTAGCTGATAGTGAAGGAGTAAGTGATGAGTCTTCTGGGCGTTCCGAAGAATCCAATTGCGTCGCCTACTTACAAACCATCTTTGTGCGCCCAAGGCTTGGCCTTGGAGTAAGCTCGATTTCCAGGTTCAGAAGAACGGCAACCGTTCTATCTTGCCCTTACGAGAGGCATCTTTGATCCCTTCATGGTACACAGGTCCTAGATGTGCACGCGTCATCCCCTGTATATCTCTAATGTGTTTCTCTTCGCCACAAAGCATGGACACATTGTGGACGTCCTTCTATTCGGTGTTCAGTCTCGAAGAGGATTTGGATATACCACAAAACAGAGAAGGCCAAACAGTCTTGGAACATGCAATCGTCGGATGATCGGGTTTTGTAGATAGAGTTGCATGGTCGCATCTGTACTTGTTATTGTGAGGTGTCGCACGTGATAGCGTGATTTCGCATTTCGCGCTTTCCCTCTCCACAATCGTCCAGCTCGACATCACTAACAAGCACACTTTGCCTCGCACATCAGCATTTGCACACATACACTACACTCAATGCCGCCGTGCAAATCAGGATGTCGACGCCGCAAGCCAAACGCCGCAGGCTGAACGATGCAACGAGCACGCTAAAGAAGCCGTTCAAGTCACCATTCCGGACACCACTCAGGCCCAACATTGGCTCTGACCCCCCCTCCTCTGATCCCCCTGACATCAGTTCACCCGCAAAATCTGTCTCGTACGCAACCCCGCTCACGACATCCCACAAAGCTCCAAGCGTACCGACACAACCTCTGGCAGATGCTGTTGCAACAACGCCTGCATCATTACAAACACGCTTTGTCAAGCTGCATGCCTCACAACATAACGGTTCTACACCTTTGAATCTCATTCCAAAGAAGACTGCGCCAAGGAAGAAGCCATCGAAGCCGTCCCTCACGCGAGAGTTGATGCAGTTGCGCAACGAGATACAGATCCTGTCACAAGCTCACGCACTCGCTGTTTCTGCCAAGGACGAAAATCTACAGATACTCATTGATAGGTGGCGGGCTGCGAGCCGCGCTGCAGCCGAAGAGCTCTTTGGCAGTACACGCGACCGCGTAAATAGGATGGGCGGTGTAGGCGCCTGGAAGGAGCGAGAAAGGGAAGCAAAAGAGCGGACAATGAAGTGGGATCTCGAGGAGAAAGAGGCCGAGAGGGAGAAAGTGGAAGCGGCCAGAGAAAACGGCGAGATTGGGGACGAAGCGTACGACAAATACGCCGAGATGGCAGAGGAGCAGGGCCAGTGTGAGGAAGGAGAACACACGTCAAAAGGAGCCGACGACGACGTACGTCAAGACCCCACATCAATTGTTGGCTATACTAACCTCAACAGTCGTTCACGATGGACATGATGCTCAAGACACTCAACATCGATTTGCGACTGATCGGTTACAACAAGGAGGCACAGCGTTGGGATGGGTAAAAGGGCACTCAGATGATTCTGAAACTCGACACTGCGATGTGTACGCGACTCAGGCCTTGACCCGACCGTGTCTGCTCGAAGTTTCGTAAACCCCACTTTCAACCTGCATACCCACAGTGTGTCGCAAGGGATACTATCGTCACGAATGTGTTCAGCATAAGTCTTCCATTGTTTGAATGTAGACTTGTTAGTGGGCATTCGGGGAAAATAACCCCATACATACAAAACCCAAGAGCATCAAGTAGCCGATTCAGTTGTGTGACGTCATAGTCTCTGTGCTCCTGTTGCTCCCGAAAAGATGAGTGGCTCGGCACACCACCGAGATGAACCACAATTGATCCACTTACCGCCAGACTGTACGACTAAAGACTTATCTCCTAACACCACTCGCAGCATTAGAAATCAAAGAATTCTTATGAAGGGAATATTTGGACACCATAGCTTGTGACATGTATTTCCAAACTCGGCACGATCCATGACCACGGAACTTTCGATCAGCAATCACGATGTCTCTCAAAAACCAAAATGTTCTGATCACAGGCGCCTCCATGGGCATTGGCGCCGCGATTGCCAAACGTCTTGCGTCCGAATCTGCCAATTTGATACTTTTTGCACGCTCAGAAGACAAGCTCGACAGCGTGGCCCACGAATGCAAGAGCATGCAATCAAGCATCAAGGTGCATACGACAAGCGTAGACGTCAGCGATCACGAATCCATGAGAAAGGCAGTTTCAAACGCAGTAAACAAGCTGGGCCCTATCGATATCCTTATCAACAATGCAGGCCTCGCTGTGGGTGCACCTAATAGGTTTCCCGACTTGACGATCGACCAGATCACTACCATGAGTGGTACCAACATCAATGGTTTTATGTTCGCAACGTACGCAGCTCTTAATGAGGGCAAGATGAAGGAAAGGAACATGGGCACAATCCTCAATGTCACTAGCGTAACTGGGCTCGAGGTCCCTCCCTTCCCTGGCGAGGCGGTATATCATGCCAGCAAAGCGTTCCAGGAGGCTTTCAGCAATGTTCTTAGGACGGAGCTTGTAGGGACGGATATCAAGGTCCTGGCATTAAGACCGGGAGTTGTCGCAACAAACTTCCATGAATTACGGTACGTTGCAGTTATATTAATTCTCGGTAACAATTCATCCTATGTACAACTTTGGCTGACAATGCTCTAGTGTTGGTTACGACAAGGGTCAATATGACAACTTCATGGATGGCTTTGAGCCACTTATCGCAGAGGACATTGCGGAGGGTACAGTATTTATGCTGAATCAGAAGGACAGGATCAGTGTCAAGTCGTTAGATATTGTCCCTACTGCGCAAAGGAGCCTGCAGGTCATCGATAAAACGTGGAATGAGAGAGGTGGAAGGAGGAAGAAGACGGAACTGTGATTTAAGAGCATACGGATGCTTCAGTAGTCGCAAAAGTCTCATAAAGCATGGCACGTGAACACTGTTCAACACGGAAAATACTCAACCTTGTCCCCATGGCACGTTTGTATTCGGGTAACCGCCCCAGCCTATGACAAGGCCACGAGATACAACCTCCTTGTTAAAGACGCGTATATTGAAAATTGAAAAACGACGTAACTTTCGATCAGCGCGCTAGGAATCGTGTATCTAGACCTAAGAAGAGAGGCAACAATGGATCAAGCTGGAAGAACGCCACAGGAGCTGCTGCGCCACAGAAGCCACAGCGCTCGGGCCCGCTTTCCAGCTCGTCATCTCTGATTCGTCACGCAAACCGACCCATTGACGTAGGCGCTTCAAGCAAGCAAGCAGGCCCGCAAGGTTGCGACATACTGAGTGCTTGGCTTGGGCTCCTTCCAGGGCTGTAAATCGGTTGCTGCGAACCAACACAGCCCCCAGATTGGCCACCTGCACTTCCCTTCTCGTATATATTCTTCTCCTCGATTCACGCCTATACCTACCTACGCCTCGCAGCAACCCCTCTTCCTCAGACATAAACTACAGACGTCTAAACATCATGAGTGGCCATGGCGATCCCAGACTTCTCTACACAATTGGAGGCATCAAAGCCTACCACATTCAGCAGGGTGAGGAGACGTCCCTCACACCCTCAGGACCGCAAACGCTCTCTCTGCTTATGGTCCCTACCAACTCACCATTCGCCGATCTTAGCAGTACACGGCCGCAGAGCGAAGCGCCCGAGGAGGATTTCTACCTACACTTGAACCTGCCACCCGAGCTCGACCTCCCTCTTCCTGCTACCACGCAGATCTACCATCAGCCACCCCATAGTTATCTCATCCCACGATGGGACCTAGGTCCAGAGAGTGGCGCCTTCACAAGAATCGAGTTCCCCGCGATCGGCAAGGGACCTGGCGCTGTCACGCAGGAGGATATCGATACGTTCGAGACCATCTTGGCTCAATGCACTGCTTTTCTGGAACGCGCACAAAACCCCTATCCGTCTGAGAAGGGTGGTCACAAAGCCTACAATCCCCAGGACTACGCGCCTGGCCAGAGTCACGCAAGTGCCGGTGTAGCAGGGTCTAGCAAGCAGCAGCAACATGGCGAGATTGTCTTGATAGACGAAGAAAACGGCAGCGTAGTCGGCGAATTGGCCGAAGGTGCTCAGATCGTTGAGGATCCCAGACTCCAAGCTGGATCGAAGAGTAAGTCGCTACCCTACTCTTGGCACGTCATTACCTTACCGCTAACGTAGATCCAGATCCAGTCGAGATTGTTGTCTCTGCCGACGGCAAGCGTATCGATGTTAAACCTCTTTCTGAAGACTACCTATCGATGGCCCGCCATCCTGCGTATAAGAACTCGACACTCGTCCAGAACTCGGCTGCTGCGTCACGTTTGATTGTCACTGGGTCTAGCTACCTTAGCAACATGATGGTGTCTGGTGCAGAGGGCTTTATCAACAAAACTAGGCCGAACGAGAAGCCCATGGTCTTCAAGCCCGCAACGCACGAACGCGTTCGAAAAATCAATACGATGACCACCGGTGTCGCTGGTTTCTCGGCTAAGACAGTTGGTACAATCGGCAAGCACGCACAGAACTTCGCCGCCGGTCTCGCGGGCCACAAGAATTCGCAGCACAAAAGTTTGAATGCAGATGGCACAGTAAACGAAAACTACAAGCCAGGTCTGCTCAATAAGAGTTTGATTGCGTGGTCGACCATTGGCGACGGTCTCGCTCACTCGGGCAAACAGATCCTCACCTCTGGTGGTGCTGCAGCTAGTGCTGCTGTTGGTCACAGATGGGGCGCAGAAGCTGGAAGTTTGACAGGCGATCTCGCTGGGGGAGTCAAGAACGTAGGCCTTGTCTACATCGACGTCACGGGCGTGACTCGTCGCGGTATAATCAAGAGCGTCGCCAAGGGCATGGTTGTTGGCAAGGTAAAGAACAAGAAAGGCCAAGAGCAGACCATTATGGTCGGCGGTGGTGATGGTGGCTCCATTACACCAGGCACTGCTACTAAGCTCAACCCCATGGACAGCGCTAGCAACACTGGCCTGCCACCCAATACATCGAGCAGCAACCCTGCTGGTCAGGTCAGCTTTGGCAACCAGCCGCCACCAAGCTACAGGACCGGTGTCGGTGAGAGTCTCGAGGGTCAGCCAGCATATCAGGGTTACCCGAACGAGAAGAGGTGAAGTGATGCTGTGTAGGAAGCAGTGGTATGATTGCAGGGAGAATTCACGAGTAATGACGTTGCTATCCATAGTTTACAATTAAGGCAATATCACGAGTCTGTTTATGTATTCGAGTACAGACGATAACTTACCGGATTCTTATGGTACGTACTTTGGCCGTATCCAGCTCTGAATCTTGTAATCCCTCTACAGTTTACAGTCCTTCTTACTTCAACATCCACGTCACGTTCCTCCAGGCCAGAGTCTACATTCTAGCGTTGCCAAATGAAGCGTTGTATACTGGGACACAGTCATCACAATCTCTCTTGTCGGTGTTACTTCCCCATCTGCTTTTTGACACGTACCGCGAGTCTAGACCTTGAAGACTTCAATATCGGGTTAACAGTTCAGTGTGTTCGATTGATATTTGCATGTCCCGACAATAAGTGACTTTGGGCAGCAGCTGCTCATAATGAGACTCTTTGAGACTGGGTGTTTACAAGAAGATTGCCATGGAAATAAGTCTACCTGCTGTTCCTGATTTACTGGTAACTACACTATTCAACGTAGGCCCAGGAACGGCTGAGATGGATGGGTGAGATAGTAATGATATGCTGGCGAATTGTTCATCTACTCAGACATGCAATTAGCCAATGGAGATCGTGGCCATGCCAGAAGAAGCCTGGCTGGTACCCAGCTCCGTTATATCCCGTTTATACGCTAAACTTCAACTTGATCTATTTCGCATGGCTCGGAAAAAGATAAAGTCTGCTCCGACTCTGTGAGCGGTAAAGTGAGATTGTTATCAGATGTATGTGTGTGAGCCTCGTGAGAGTATACACGTGAAGGATAGATAACATATTTGAGATAATATCACCAACTACTCAAGCTCAAGTCAAAAGACTCCACAACAGTACAGAGCGCAAGTCAAGATCACATCCACGCTGCATGTTTCTTGGCGTAAGAGGTTTCTGGGAACTACGCCTATTTATTGCTGTCATCGTGGTGCGCTTGTGACTCAAGACTTCGTGTACACACGTAAGTCGTTGGCCGCCGCGTTAAGATCCCGAATGATATGTAAGAAAGACACGTGAAGAGTGCCATGTACCTTGGAACCGTGTATTGGAAGGCCACGTGCGGTCATAACTCCTACCGTTTGCCAGCACAGTGGTGAGATTGACAAGCTTCCGATTGTGATCTGTATGCGGCTGAAAACTTAGATCTAGAGTATTAAGACTACCATACACAGCATTCAGTACATAAGCCCCCCGCTCTTCGTTTTCGTGACCCGCGAGTCACAGTGCATATACGCTGTTACAGGCAGATCCCTTGCGTCTTTAAATCATAAGCTGAATGAAGTCTTCCTATGACTAGTACTGAAGATGATGAAGCATTGTTCGACATATGTATTTCTCAAGAACCTACACTAATTATGTACAGGGGGGTAATCCTCCGGCTGATAGCTCACGGGCATCCATTAAGATTTTGGCCAATCTTGAACAGCTGTGACAACCTCCCAGAGTATCTAACTTGCTGGATGCATGCCACACCGGCACAGTATCAGCCCGACACTTCCCCCCCTGTATCTCAACATGAATGGACCGTGAGCCGAACCCAAATGTTGACCTCTCTGATGTTATGAACCCAGGTGAACCGTTCTGCCTGATGCCATATATGTTCATAGATTCGCTCTTGCATATTTGGTAGTATGCAGCCTTGTGGTCAAAACAAAAACTGTAAGCGTGAGACATCCCGTGCTACCTGCAGCAGTCAGTCTACTAGCCCTGCGAGCTGCAGATCTTCTGCAGTCTTTCCCCAGAGTCGAGTGTTTATGACGCCATGTGTCGAGGTCAATGCTTGTCAGATTATAGAACGGAAGACGGCAGAATCGCAAAATCTCTGATCGCGTCGTACGGGCCTACTACACCATACATACTGTTGCGTTGCGATCAGCGGTCGTGGAACCATCAGCACGGCAAACCACATGGTTTCTTTCTCCTTAATACGAGACTCAATAATATCACGATTGTGATGCCTGCGATCGTGCTTGGGTGACCAAAAGTAGACTTGGTGTGTATAGAGGCTGCTGCATACGTGTGAGACCCAACACCATCTGTCCTACGCTCGGGACCCCTAGCTCTTGCGTATGAACCTTTGATGAGTCATGTATTCCGGGGTACACCAGATTGACTTTCAGGATTTGTGCGGAGAAGTAAGGGGTTAGTTGGTACTCTGTATGGGTTGTCAATATCCTGTCGGTTGCGGAGTGGTGACCGAAAGTTGGTGAAGGCTGGCAGGTGTCTGTACCACGAAGGACATCAATAGCTTCATTCGTCGTCAGAAATAGCGTCCGATCACCCCGATCAGTTACTCATATGAGGTGAGGTGTCAAGTACTTCTGTATCTCTCGAGGTCTGTGATGGCGTCATCTTTTTCGCAATCACCAAAGGCGTTGCGTATCAGTTGCTTCATTAGGGCGCTATACGTCAGTGTGTTTGTTCTAGACTCAAGCAACAGACCGATTTCATTGACCTGCGGTGCGAGGTATGCTGCGAGTCAGCGGAGCTGTTCACTGGCCGGCTTGCACAGGAACCAGACTCTAGTGAGACTTTAGTCGTATATCTATAGGATTGGTATGCTGGTAGAGGCTGGAGTTTCTTGCATGGACTTCTTATTCGTAAAGCACGAATGATCGGCTCATCTAGGATACACCTCCGAAATAGCGTACGCCCTTATGTACGACATCAAAGATCGTCTCGGTACACCCATGTCGACCGCGTCGCCTCGGTAAAAGTCTGTGGCTTGACCTTGATGATGAGCCAGCTTCAAGCCAACGCTTACAGTACCTAATGTTCTGTAAGGAGAGAATCCTGAAACTATCCGCGATGGTCTGCTGCGTTCGAGCATCGTGCAAGTGTGCACGTGAGGGGAAAGATAAGCATAGCCAGGGATTGGCTACTGCAAGTGACAAGGAGGAAGTATAGATTGGCTTGCTTACCTTGGCTACCTTTTGGATGATGGCTCATGCACTCGACACCTCACACCGTTCGCCCAAGGAAGGCAATGGAGAGGCTGGCCAATGAACAGAACGCCACCTGTACCTATTGAGCCGTGGAGTCCTACGGTGCTGTCTGCGTATGCAACATACAGACGTAGCGTCGCCGGTCTCAGCCTCGAAAGTGCTCGGATCATGAGGGCCATTTTTAGCGGAGTTGCGGGACTTGATTCCTATCCCTGAAGCGACCAAAACAAGGTGTGAGAGGCTCTGGGGTGTTCAGGTGTCTCGCTTGGACTACCCTTTGTTGACATACGGACACTGACCAAGCTTTCTTGACGCCATGTTTCTGACAACCTGCAGAGACGTGTTGAGACCAGGCGCCGGTTTTCTCGTATGCGATCGGTTGTGACGTGTGAACGATTGACTACGGGTTTACCCTAGAAAGCTGGAGGTGTGCAGTGTCACCGGGCTGCCACTCACACCCCTAACCCAACAGCCTGGCGGGGCCCTAATGCCTGTCTCCATGGATGATGCCTGAACGTTCCGTCCACACCCTGGCCCCAGTTTTGCATAAGCAGTGCGGCAGTGCTCACTGTGATCCTGTGTACACTATTGACGAAGGATGGGGTGGTGTTGAATAGCCTCTGTAATTTCCGTCGTTGTTTGCTCGGCTGTTTGGTGGTGTTTGTTGCAAATTGGCTCATCCCGGTCGAGGAAAGGCAGACGCTTCACTGACGCTAGCGGCAGGCGCGGCTGCCATTTCCCACCCTCATGAGTTCACTTTCACCTCGCCTTCCGCCTCTCTAGCCTTGCTGATGCCTATACACGCAGTCTGCTGCTTTCTTCATCGGCTCTTGACCACTTTGGTGGCTGAATTGGTGTGGAAGCCTTCCGTGGAGGCATAAGCCAATAGAACAACAGCCCCGCCCTCCATGTCTCTGCTCCACACTCGTGACAATACAAGTCCAGATTGCTGTGATCCAGTCCTACAGATGCAATGACACGAGCGGGTGCGCGATCTTGATTTTTGAAGCTGCAACCACCACGGAGTGTTCGTGAGGTATCGAATCACACCGGTGACCGAGTTGCACCCGACTGCCCCTCACTGGACAGCGTAAACAAGTCATGGGGCCCCATTCAGCATGACGCAACCAAATTATCAATTGAGAGGAAGCTAAAAGACAGCAGCTGACAACGATAGATGGTTCAATGTTCGCGGCGATGTGGCAAAAGTTCTGATCCGAGTGGGACGATCAGGCCAAATTCGTGTCGTGAAGGTGGTAATAGCAGTGACAACAGACGTCAATCGATGAACTGTTGCTTTGTGAAAGAGCCCTTGGGAAGACAGGTATATTTCTCAGTGAAGCGGCAAGTCTCGCCGACTCAGCGGCATCCTTTATGCGAGGTTGTTGTTACAATTGTCCCCAAAGTCCAAATACAAATCTCAGATGTGTTTATCGCCGCAATGCATTTGGCTCAGCGTTTCGTCTGTACCGAAGAGGGCCTTGCGCTATGGCAGCTGCTTTTCTAAGACATGTGTTGTCAGCTCAATCTTGCCTAGAGGGTCTGTAATAAGACAATGGCTTTATATACTGGGCCTGTTAGGCTTGAAGATTCCCGCTCTGCAATCGCAATTATAGCCATGAGGTCAGGTAGGCCATCCATCCGTGAGAATCTTAGAGTCTTCGTTGAGCCATCTCTTGTGCCAGGTAGTCTTTCCTGTTCTAGCTTCTCAGTCTGATAACACTCATCTTTGCACTAGCACCTCGGTCGAGCCTGTTCGTGAATACTCACGGTGGTGTCGACGAAATTTCGGGATATCAAGGTCCTTTCGACGCAGCAAGTCAAGCCATGAAGTCGTTGTTCAGTCAGCCTCCCTGCACTCCAAGCTTCCAGCCCTCAACCTATCGGATGAACCCTCGATCATGCCGTGCAGAAGTGCATGGGCGTGCGTCCAGATGCAGGTATACGACTCTGTAAACGGCTGTGTGTCTCGCGAGGAGACGGCAACAGATCCGCCATATGCGAAGATCACTTTGGACCAAGCATGTACCCGGGGCCGCAGTCTAATGACGCAACATCGAGATTCATCACGAATTATCTTCGTTACTATGCAGTTTTGCAATTGCCATGTCTAATCGAGCAGCAGCAATGACAAAGGTGACGCACATGACGAGCAGACTAATCTGCTACAAGAAATGCGTTGATAGAACCAAGCCACACAGCGATACAATGCATGTAACCGTTGCATACGAGTTTCGAAAAAATTGTACGGAAAAAAATCGTCTGAGACTTGGAGCATAAATGCGGATGGTTACACGCAGGGAATGCACTTAATTGTTATGCAGGGTATTCCGCTCAGCAGAGATGGCGTACACGGAAAAGTTGTCATTCGATCGCCTGCATAGCGGCTGTCCACACCCTCCCAGACAACTTGTATGCATGCATGAGCAGGCCTCGTACATACTTCACCTCATCACAATTGGAGCGCGTAAGCAGTCCCGCGGGCCGGCAGCTTGATCTGCAAGAGCAAGGTACACACCCCAGTCCCACAATATCTGAGCTTCAGTAAGTACTGCAAGCGAAGGCGGGCCATGTACCTCTTCAGCCGGTGCAGGTACCTCTTAATCCCAGCGGCTTAAAGAAATTGAACAGTGTCAACTTCGAGGGACAACGGCACGGCCTCTCTGGTCTATCGCAACTGCAATAGGCAAAGTGTCTGACAGGAAAAGGCATTCGGCCGATGGCCGGACGCAAGGCGCCGTTGCTGGCTACTACAACCGAGCACGAGCAGGAGGCACGCCATATGCGCAGCCTTGTAAAGCACATGGTATCGAGCACATTCCACTCGGTATTCCTGCCCTTGAAAGGGCCACGTTTTTGGGGATGCTCGGCTGCAGATTCGTGGATGCCGTCAACTAATATCGACTGCTTGACGACAAAAATCCCGTTCGTCGACTGGCACGTCCTGCGATATTGACTGCAGTAGCGATGAGATGTTGAAGAGCCGTGATACACCAATTAGCCGTGCGGACGTATAAGCGGAGCGTGAAGACGCCAGCCCTGCCGCCAAAGCAACCGGGGCGCCTATCGTCGCCATTATCGTGTACGCCACGCCTGCTTGAGGTCCGCTTGCAGCGGCTAGTCGATGCGCTCTAAGAGCAATGCGCAATTGAGGCCTAGAGCGATTCTCCACTGAGCTCAGATGGATTGCCGCTAAGCGGGGCATGTATTGGCCTATCGATCATCAGCCGCATCGAATGCCTGCCCGCGCGGCCTTTTCTCCATCTCGCGCGGCAAGCTGGCGTCGAAACAAGGACCACTGGGTGGGCATGCACAGCATCCCGGCGTGGGCGTTCAGATGGCGCCATGAGGTGAGAAGGGCGCGAGCAGTCAGTCATTCGCGCAGTCTCGTGCCCCAGCAGCTTCAGGACCGGAGCGAGCGCGGGGCGGTTGCACAAATGCCTGCACCAGCTGCACGACGCCTTCGCGCTGCAGTCGATCCCTGAAGGCGCAGCATCTAGGGTGCCCGGAATATGCGAGCGATTCAACGGCTTGCGGGATCCAAGCATGACGCTCGCGCTCACCTGGCGCAGGGACTATGCCCAAAATGTCCCACACCCTGGCCCGCCTCTGGAATTTTGCGACTTACCCTCATGCTCCAGCCAGGTTCACACTACCCCAAACTATGCTAAGGGAATGTCCTGCAGCTCCATCAGCGCCGGGAAGCGAAGCAGCAGTGGCCGCCGTAGCCCGCGCGCGAGCATGTGTTTAAATACTAGACACTTCCGCTGCTTCCCCGGTGCAAGCGGATTCTCTCTCCCACCATTCGATGTGATCTTCGTTCACTGGTTCTTTGTAGTAGTTCACGTTCCGTAACTACCACGCTCGCTGGTCGCCGCCATGTTTCCCTTTTCCTTCGGCCTGTTCCCCAATTGGAGTTGGTTTTGTATTTTCGTCACGCTCTTGTAGGTCACCCGTGCTCACACCACATCCGGCCACCGTGCTGTTCCCGCGTCTGTGTTGCAGCAACTGACTCGCCAACTCAGCCTCTTCCGCTACTTCAGACTCTGGGTCAATCTCGCAAGCAATTGGACATATCAGCCCATCCAGCCTGTTGACGAACCTACTATCACATCTAAAGATGTCACAGTCATCATTCCGACTGTGGCCGAAGACCTACAACAGTTGAAAGAAACTGTTCAAAGCGCCTACCGTCTCGAGCCGTACGAGGTGATCCTTGTCACTCCTGACTTGAGGATCAAGCGTGTCTACCAATTGGTGGCAGAGCTAGGCAACCCTAAGCTGATCCAGGTGCTGTCTGTCAGTCAGGCGAACAAGCGTCGCCAATTGTGCCGAGCGATCCCTGAGGTCGAAACAAAAATCACATTACTGCTGGACGATGATGTCTGGCTGCCAGAGAAGTTCAGCAAATGGCTCTTGGCACCTTTCGAGGACCCCCGCATGGGAGGCGTTGGGACCAACCAGCAGCTTCGTCGCGTAAATCGCAATAGCATCTGGGAGTTTCTCGGCGCCATGTACCTGGTGAGGAGGAACTTTGATTGCACCGCCTGCAACTGGATTGATGGTGGGCTCCCATGCCTATCTGGCCGAGCAGTGGCGTATCGATCCGAGATCCTGCAGGACCCCAAGTTCACCTATGGCTTCACGCACGAGACCTGGGGCAGCGATCACTTTCTCAACGCCGACGACGACAACTTCATCACACGATGGTTGTTCAACAATGACTGGAAGATCCAGATACAAAATCACCGGGAGTGCGAGGTCGAAACAACACTCGAGAGCGACTCGAAGTACCTGCGGCAGTGTCTGCGGTGGGTGCGCTCTAATTGGAGGAGCAACCTAACGAGCCTGGCTGACATGTCAATGTGGATGTACGTGCTAAATGCCTCCTGCAATGCCGATGCCTGCATAATTTTCGCGTTGTTAGGCGCCAAGCATCTGCCCCTCCCTCCACTCATTGCACCGACCACCTCGCTAACGCACTGCATTACAGAAACTACCCATGGTCACTGTACGCCGTCTTCCAGACCACCATTACGCAATGGGCGTTCCCTCTCGACTGCCTCCTATTGGCCTCCTTCCACTTTGCCTTATCCGAAGCAGGATACTATGCAGTGGATGGTGAGGTGCAGCCCCAGGCCGAGCAATGGCAGCTTTCGTTGTTCTGGGGACTGTTCCTCGCTCACTTCGTCTTCGCAAAGACGATCAAGCTAATTCCGCATTTGTTAAGAAACCCGGGCGACGTGCGCATGATCCCGGTCTCGGTCGCATTTGGCTATTTCCACAACCTGATCAAGCTGTACGGCTGCATCACTGTCACAGAGGTATGTTCCCGGCCCCACATTCATGGCTATCGACACGCGGCTGACTTGCACTCCAGACCACCTGGGGCACTCGTGAAGGTGCAGATGCCGACGACAACATCAGGATGCTACCCATCCCCAGCACACCTCTAACTCCTCCTATGAGCCCCACTCCCGAGCCAAATAAGCTTCGCGAGAGATGCGCCATGTTTTCGACTGCCGCAAGCTGAGGTACCACATCCTCTTTGACCAGCACATATCCCGGTCAATGGATGCGCCTTGGCCGCGCGAGGACGCAGTAATTTAGACGTTCAACGACCCACGCCGTCCATCCATCACCACATGGCGGATTCGAGCCAGTATTTAAGTTTCCATTTACCACTTCTTTGTTTCAGCGAGCATCATGTCTGGGAATATATCCTCTTGGTCACCAAAACAGGACGGACCGGCTACACGGCGTTCAGGGGCATCGAACATTTTCGATGCAAAATTGCAGCGTTTTTCTTCTCATCCTTCAGGCATTTCGGGCCTCTTTGCCCATGTAGTCTACGCAAAAAGTTGCTGTGGCATGATAGCATTTAGCTCGTGGGTACGCTCATGGAAGTCTCAACTTCGACTCTACAATGAAATATTCGCCAAACAAAAGCATGCTTAATAAGAACCTCATCAGCACCCCTCATCGTCGTGCCAAGCATCCCAAGTGAGATGTTCCGGCTGGCTACCATCCTACGAGCACGGTTGTTTGACCGACGGACCCGCCACTTGATGGGCGTTGGTCGCGCTCCCCTTGCTTTTCCCTGTGTTTAAAGAGGAAGCCGTTCTTGTGTGCCACCGCACGGAGGATCAGAGATGCATACGCCGACCGGCCACCATTCCGGCACCCAAGCGGCACAAACTCAACATAACCCTCACAATCTGGCCAATTGCCCTGTCACCGAAGTCTCGTTGACCTTGCTCCAGACGCTCAACCCACACAGCACAGACCATGTATCTATAGCGCGAACCATCACCGTGTCAGCAACCTCGTCCTGCTCTGATCCTTTCCGTTTTGCTCTGCGCTACAGGCCAAATTGTGAGTGATTGCGACATGGTATCTAGCCATGCTTGTCGCACTACAGGCATCACCAGGCCAATACTGCCCGCCGAACCATTCAAACGCGGCAGGTGCGTGAATGTACCTAGGTACCTCTCCGCTCACACGATCGGGGCTCAACGAACACCCCTTGCGGGCTATCTCCACTTTCGGCCGTATCCTGGATTAATTTCGATGGCGGAAGATTATCAGACTTGCGTTCGAAAGCGCGCCATTGTGGAGCACACGGAAGACCAGAACTGCTTCGCGCCCACAGCCACAGTCACCACAGACACTTCCAAAATCGCAGGTTTGTGAAGCCATGGAATTGCTTAATGCGTTGCACATTCCAATGGCATGGACAGGTCAAAGTTTCGACACGGAATGCTTGTTACCGAAAGTCCTCACACCAACACGGGTTTAGTAAAGCGGGCCTGCATCCTGCGGGTCTATCCACTTGGGGTATGAGAACAGACCCAGCGGCGCCAGACTTCTCATGCACTCTTGCATCGCCAGTCCCGTTAACCATCATCGTGCGTTACGGCATTTGCAAATCCTGTTCATAGTATCCTCACAACGAGTCTCAAAACTTGGAAATACTGGCCTTGAATTGTAATACGCCCTGGCCCCGGATAGCGCGCGAGTAAGAGAAAAGAGACCCTTCTGATCAAACTTTATGCCCGTCATTCCCGCTCCCGCAGGGTCAGCCTTGAGCAGCTCTCAGCTCGTGCACAAGCTCGTGCGCTATACCAGCGCCGAACGTGGCGCAACGCCAGTCCCGATCCTGCACGTCTCGTCATATTCCTCGGAGCGTCTCATGTAAGTGCTTGTCACTGTGCAAATAACACTCGCAGGAGGGATCGTAGGTAATAATGCAGCGTGCAAGGTACCTCCCGCGTATTACAGCCTCGATACAATATGCTGCTTTGTGGCCCGAATCCCCGATGACTTGATGGTTCCTGGCCGATCTAAGCTCACTCAAAGCGTTGGCGTGCATGTCAGACGTGCGCCAGACTCAAGTCAAATACGGTCGGCACTGCAGTCATCTCGATGACACGGCTCCTACTATTTCACACCAAACGAATAGAAGCATCATATGCAGCAATCTTTGCACATTGCAGAAGACCCACTGTCTCCGCAAATTATTATGGTCCACCCACGGCTATTCTCACTTGCAGCTTCGAAGTCTTGTTGCTCCTCTGTCGCTCGTGCGCATCGTGAATGGGTGCCGCTCAACCGGGATAGAATTCGTCAGAAAGGTTTTCAGACGTGGCCTGATGCACGAGCGTCCGGACACTCCTCACCGTTCAGATGTATCTTGGGAATGAGACCTTTTTTGACTCTATGATTGGACAGGCAAGATTGCACGACAGAGCTCGAAGGAAGTTGCAGGATCCATTCATCCGCGGAGGAAGATCCATTCCTCATACTACATTACAATGGCCAAATTCTGCCAAAGTTCCTCGTTTCGAGTCTGCCGACATCTATGTACCTACCATTCTCCGTTGTTTCCTCCGAACTATGAACAGACCGAGCATGTGCGCCCCACAACCTTCAGCAGCTGGTTTTGGTCACAGCCACTGTCTTATCTCGCAATTCTTATCATTCCATGATCGCATCGCTTCCAGCTGACGCAGGGTCGCGGCGGTAACCAGGCGAGCCCCGAATGCCAAGCGGATTTCATGGGCGATCTGTGGATCAAGAAACATCTGGGGCACGAGTACGTGCGGCGCAGGTCTCTTACTTTCCGCCTGTCGCCTTGCAGACAGTTAAACAAACAGATGTCTCTACGTGATATCGCGTGATGTTTCTGGTGCGTCACAGGGTCTTTGTGGACCCTGCGTGCTTCTCAGTAACAAAGTTGAGTGACAGGTTTGTCGGTCAAACCACAGACAGTTAACCTCGGGTGCACCCTTCGGTAGCGTTCCGTGCCGGTTGACTGTGCGATCCGAGATCTGAGCGTTCAGCACGAGCTCTCTGTCGACCTGAGTCAGGAGGACCCTGGGGGCGAGAGGGTGAACGACAACTGATCGTCGCAGACGAGTCGTAGACCAAGCAATACGCATTGCAGATGACACGGTAAATCTCATAACGCCAGGCACATGCTTGAGGCTCTTCATACTACGGTGCGTTATGTGGCAACCTTGGCTGAGCAACTTGTTACCCTTTGGGAAGGTGTGTCGGTGTGGTGGATGCCACACTGTATGTGATCTAACTGAGTACGTGGGATGGCTCTCGACAGCACATATGCATCTTCCATACATCAGGCCAGATGTAATGTTACACGACGATGTTTTCTGTAAGGGGAGGATAGCAGAACCCAAAGACAAGGTCCCGACAATGTCCGAATGGTTGGCCGCCTAATCAAGGCAACACGAATCGATTGTTCCGGGATGCAGAAATCCACATAGCGCGAGTCGCACATGTAACGAAAATTCAAGACCACCCCACAGCGCCAGTGAAGTGCGCCTGCATACGAGTGCATAGAAATTATCGATGACCCAGAGTAAATCGGGTACCCAAATCTTACCATGTACAATCGTTGACATCTTTGGCGACCCGCTGAACCATGAATCTTGACACGCTTCCAAAGGTCACAACATCACCGAGACTCGGCGAGAAATACCGGGCAAGCCGCAGCGCGCGGTCACCTCCACATCACAAGCCACACACCACACCCTAAAATGACATGCAGCTCGCTGACGCTTGAATCCTTGGAGTGGACGGTTTCCACTCCACATGGGTCCTGTCCTGTTTATTCAACTCCTTTCCGTGCCCTCATGTGCATGGTATGGGAGTCAGAGCCGAACTGTTCTTGATTCGCTTCTCGCGTGTAATCGTTTCAGATAGGCTGATCTTCCAGAGCCGGACGAGTCGCACAACTGTCAGCTTCTGTTACGACATTGGGACGTTTTCCACGCAACGCCAGCTAATCAACAAGCTCTTGCCTCTGCCCCGATGCTGACGCTCACGATAGGCCAACTGTTGTGGATCTTGCATCGGATAGCGTAGGATGGTGCAGTGGAGAGTTCTTAGTCATAACGCCTGCTCATGGTACGTGCTCTGCTATTTAGCACGAATCTACCAATGCGGACTGTCATGGCAAACCAACAAAGACCGGTCCCGTCGTGAGCAGCTCGAATCGGATGTTCCCTGTCACACGTACAATCGGAAGATAGCTCAAGATACCTGGTCATCAGCTGAAATGTGGCTGACAAGCGACCTGACAACGACAGTCCGAGCGACTCCACAACTGTATGCAGAGACTTTCCTTGTCGACTGCATGTTGCCGATGTTTCAGTCTCGGTATCCACTCCTCTCACGAGAAACATCTACCTAACGCACGCTCGCTGCGAACACGTGACGCTGCTTCTGTTGAGCTGCTATCGTGACCTGCTTTTCGGCCTTCTTTCCTCCGCCAATTGTCCTATCTCGGACCCTGTGATATGTCATGCAGGCCATCGCAAGCTCCGGGGGCCGTTAGCTTCCCCACCTCGATGCTGCTTAGTCCTCAGATTGAGTTCGAGGATTGGATCTGACATGTGCAGCAGACCCTCAAGCCCGGCCAGACCCTAATTGTTATATTGAGTTCAGGAAAGCTCGGCTCAGGCTGCAGGGACGATCAAGTCGCAATCCATGTGTCGGACGGACATCTCTGGATATGTGCCATAGTGGACGATAAGTTGCATAAAATCGCGAACACAACATTGAGCCAATATATGCATTTGCAAGGACCAAGTAATTGTGTTGTTGCATACACGACTAATCGTTTCAACATTCCATGACGTTTACTCAAAAAATGACGAAAGACGCTCATGTCGTATGATAGTGCGCAACAGCTCTCTTTTAATATTACACCTACCGTAGACTCAAGTTTGAACGTCCTTCGCGTCTTCACTGGCAGCATTCAAGGCGCTCGAAATGGTTGATGGTTTTTTGGGCGTCTGCAATCATTTATCCGACCAATTTTCCGAATCACGATACATTAGGCAGAGCTCTTAACGAAAGAGCCTAGGTATGAAACACACAGTTCGAGGGTTGTACCCTCAATAAACACGATCTCTGGGACTGAGAGCTGCGCGTCACGGTGATATTTCGAGTGAACTACACCTCAGTCTTGATCTCATCACAACAGGAAACATCGGAAAAAACCTCACTCGGACCATTATACCCCGCAGTCCGAAACAGCTCAGCTCCCCGCACTACGAGCAACACCGCCAGCTCTCAAATTGTCAAGCATATCAAAAACAGACATTGGTGTCATTTTGCAACTCGCAGTACGTGAAATATCACGCACGACACAATGCCACCCTCCCGCATCCTCGACTCCCATATCCACCTTTGGCCCTCAACGGCCACAACCTCCAAAGACCATGGATGGATGGCAGACCCAGCCCATCCCCTCGTCAAGCGCCACGGAATATCAGACTATAAAGCTGTCACTCAGCTCTCTTCTGTCGGTTCTGTGCTGGGGGGCTTCATTTACGTAGAAACAGATCGGTATCTCCCTTCCAAAACACCGGACATCAGCCTACGTGCAGGTAAAGAGGAGGTTGAGAGAGTACTGAGGGAGTGGGCGAGAGCTCCTCTTGAGGAGCTGGAGTTTCTGAGGCGACTTGTAGAGGACAAGCCGCAGGAGGGTGATGGATTTGAGAATGGCGACGGAGAGTTGATGAAGGGTGCTGTTGTGTGGGCGCCTTTCCACCTCTCTCGGGATAATTTCAATGCGTATCTTGCCATTGCTCAAGCTGTCGCCGGCCCGCAATTGTGGGATAAGGTGGTAGGATTCAGGTACCTGTTGCAAGGCAAAGAGGAGGGCGAGGTCAAGAACCTTGTTGGAAACGAGGCATGGATTGAGAATATCGTCAGCTTGGGTAAGGGGAGAGGAGGGAAGGGATGGGTGTTTGACGTTGGTGTGGATATTCATCGCGATGGGACGGAGCCGTTGGGTGAGGTCGGCGAGTTGATTCGAAGAGTGAGGGAGCGAGAAGCGCACATAGGGAACGGGGGTCGGCCTGTGCGATTTGTCTTGAGTAAGTGGATTCTCAGTGTGACGGGATTCAAGGACTAATATGACGCGTAGATCACCTCTGTAAACACGCTCTCACAACTAACTCACCTACGGAACCCGCAGAAGCATGGCTCGAAGCGCTCTCGAAAGCTGGACCTGACAACAATGTCTTCATGAAACTGTCAGGCGTTTTCAACGAGTTTGACGCTGCTACACCATCGTCTGCCTCGGATATTGTTAAATCGCTGAGCTCCATTACATCAAAGGTGTTCGACACTTTCGGCGATAAAGTCATGTTTGGTTCCGACTGGCCAGTGTGCAATGTCGGAGGTCCAGTAGGCGAGAAAGAGAACTGGGGATTGTGGGTTGAGAGCGTCCAGTTACTGCTGCAAGAAGCCAAGATTGCGGGTGTCACCAGCGAATCAGTCTGGTGGAAGGCCGGGGTCAGGGCGTATGATGTTAAGTTTTAGGGGTTCAAAATCGAAAACAGGACTTGACAACCATGTTTGATACTGCAGTACAGGTGAAAAGTGTGGAGCTGCATAGCAGTAGGTCCTTTGAGTAAGTTACACCATGCACAGCTGCATTGCTGAGCTTTTTCATTTGATAGTTGATCTGACTTTATTCGCTTATTGCCTTTACTCGTCGGATAGTCAACACACATACCGTACTCACTGTAAATTAACAAACAACCCACCGTCAACTAGCAACTGAGCGCCGGTGATGTAACTGCTTAGGTCACTGCCCAAGAAGACTGCTGGGCCGGCCAGGTCTTCTGGCATTCCAGTCCTGCCTAGAGGTATCCTACCCTCCATGTACTTCCTCTTCTCGTCATCTTCGAGATCCTTCTCGTTCAATTGTGTCTTGATGGTGCCTGGCAATAGCGCGTTACACCTGATGTTGTATTTGCCAAGAGCGCATGCTGATGACTGGATAAGAGACAACACGCCAGCTTTTGTAGGTGTATAGTGGCCTTGTTGTGCGCCACCAACAAGCGCAGAGATGGAGGAAATGCCGATGATCGAGCCACCCGGTGGTGACTGTGTGGACAGTTGTTTCGCAGCTGCTTGGATGGTGTTGAATGCACCTGTGAGGTTGGTATTCAGGGTCTTGCTCCAGAGCTCTGGAGAGATGCTGCACGAATGTAATCAGCTCGTGTTCCTCTGACTCTATACGCAAACACCGTTGTAGTACCTACTCCAAGAACTCTTTGAACTCGCAGATGCCTGCATTGCTCACAAAGACGTCCAGGCGGCCCCACTTCTCCACAACCGCGGCTACAAGCTTTTTGCCTGTCTCTGGATCGCCAACGTCGCCGGGAATCTCGAGCAACCTGCTGCCGCCTTCTGAGGCCTCTTTGACAAGGGACTGATACTGCTCAGAGGACCTCGGGTCTCCTAGGTGGTTAACAGCCACATTGGCGCCCTGTGCAAGGTAGCCGAGGACGATCGCACGTCCAATGCCGGTAACGCCGCCTGTGATGGCCATAGACTTGCCAGCAAGAAGCTGTGCCATTGTTGATTTGGGATCGCGAAATGTGGGTTCAGAGTAAGCTGGTGGGGTAGTTCTGATGAGGGAGGCGGGGTTCAGGGAGGCAGTCGGCGTACACAGTAGCACTTGACACAAACTGAATGGCAGAGGGGGAGTCTACAGTCCAGATGCGCCATGGCAATATATGCTGGCCTATGGAGCGAATTTCGTTAGTTGCGATTGTACAAATGCGAAGCGTGCCCGTGTGGGGAGTGACACGGGTCATTGCAGGCCGAGGGCAGGCACAGCCAAGGCGGCGTTGAGTGCCAAGGCTACAGTAGGGCGGTCACCATTTCACGCAATAACGCGTTACAGACCAACTACGCAGTTTCTCTCCCCAAGTCAATAGTCTGCGAACCAGATCAAACATGGTGTACAACTGGGACGACAAAGAGGTTGACTGCTATCGACTCTATGTGGAGGAAAAGAAGAGCCTTGATGAGGTGATCTCATACTGGGAGACTCAAGGCTTCACTCCGAGGTATCAATGGATCACCGTACAACGGCCATCAACCTCTCGGAGCTGACTGCGTCATACAGTAAACGCGCTTTCCAAACACAGTTCAAACGATGGGACTTTCCCAGCAAACAGAATCCAGCACACAGAAATTCTGCCCTTGTCGCTCGCCTCCAGCAGCTATGGGAACAAAATTACACTCAGAAGGATATGGTCGATGCCCTCCAGAACGAAGGCTACCATATTAACGATCGCGAGGTGATCAGACTGCGATTGAGGCTCAAACTTCTACTCCGAGAAAGCGTCCCTAGACCGAAGAGAAATCAGAACGTTGAGGGTGGCGTACAGAAGAGGTCTAAGAAGAAGGGCAAGTCGAAGGCTCTGCCCGGGAGTGGTTTGATCAACCAGCTTGGCAATGCTATACTGGCTGCGAGTTCCGAGAGCGAAGCAAGCTCGGGGGAGGAGGAAGAAGAGATCACGCATATAATGACAGGCAAGGCAACCACCTCCGCCGAACATGTACGGCCAACACAGCCCGAGCTCGACACAACTTTGCTCGATCCCGAAGAGACGCTGCGGAGACAGCTACGACAGGAGCATCTACAGCAAGAGAGCGATGAGAAATGGCGGACACGAAAACGGCGACGACGAACACGGGGCTGGGCAGGTCTACCAGCAGACACACCCGGCGAGCCACCCCGATTCCCCTCCGAGACTACGATCGACGAAGCGAAAGCATATCTTGGTCTAGACAACACCATGTACCGCCGGCTGCGTGAGCGATTTCAGGAGCTCTGCGAAACTGAGGGTGTGGCGAAGAAGACGGTAGCTGGCCCGGAGAAGTGGGCACAGCTAGTGCAGCGACTCATACAGGAGGATGAGCAACTGGTCGCTGTCTTCCACGAGGAGCCTGAAGTATTTCAGAACAACGATGCGCTGTTTCGACCAAAAGGACAGAGGGCGCTGTCCATCGATGTCATATGCATGGACGTCACAAAGCGACTACGCACCATGGAAACCAGAATGACGCTAGCGGACGCAAAGAATGCACTCGGTCTCAATCCAGAACAAACACGACATGTTAGAGCCGCTTATGTCTCAAAGCTGAAGACGGCTCATTTTACGAACAAGCATGAGGCTGGAGAAGAGCAGTGGGCGCAGCTTAAGACGTCTTGGGTCAATGATTCTGAGCATCTAACGAGAGCTCTCTCACAAGGCGAGGCTGACGCTGGGTATGCGCGAAAGCTGCGGGCTGTTGAGGTGCTAGCTCGAGATGTCATGAAGCGGCAGCAGCAGGAGAAACTGGCCCAAGACCCATCGAAAAAAAAGCAGATTCACCAGGGCCCTGGACCTGGCCCAGCCCCTCCCGTTGTTGCACCCCAGCCAGAAAGACGACGACAAAGCGCTGCACTGGAGTACGGGTCTTCTGCGCAGACAAGTCATACTGCCTTACCAGCGCTACCTCCTACAAGTGATCTGCAGATTGATCCCTCATTGCTACTAGCTGCGAGCGATGCCGCCATACATCCAGGATTGGCGTATCATCAGTCTGAGCATCAGTATCAAGCACACCACGACCATACACAGAACACACAGTCACTCTCAATTTCTCACCATGCGCCATCCCATCACTACAGCCAAAATTACTACCCGGCAGCCACATCCCAACATTCCCAGCCTATGCCCATATATTTTCGTCTACATCACCTGTCTGCTACGTCTTTTCCTTCCAAGACCGTTTGGCTGTCTATTCTGCATACACATTCGGTCAACGAGATCAGCAATCTTGTTACTCGTGAGCATCCAGGGACTATTGTGCTGAAGATCGAAGGATTAGTTGTGTACAGACAGGACCAAGGCGAACGAGAGGTTGTTGTCGAAGTCAGTGATGATGAAGAGCTCGTTGCATATCTAGGTCATGTCAAAAGCACAGGACAAGGGAAAGCGACTTTTGTGGTCCTGCTCGGAACTGGCGGTGGGGTTTATACATAGCCTCTTGCCTTTGGGAACACAATTACGATGGCCATATTGGTGGGTTGCAAACATCATGATCTTCATAATGTGGACTTACCCCGGCTCTCTACCAAATCATGAGTGCGAAGATTAAATTCTAGGCCTGTTAAGCCAGAGTTTTCGCAGTCCTTTGCGACTTCCATGTATCCAGGGTGCTCAAGGGGTCTCGTCAACCAGGGAAGCGATGATCAGCCAGTCCCTACTAATGGCATCTCTTTTTGCGCTTGAACATTGGCACACGTACCAATTTTGAGAAAGTCCTGCCTTTATAAAGAAACCGGGGCTAGTATCATCTGTCAACAGCACCCCTGCATCTCTCTCAGCCTTTTCTACGCTACAAGACAATCCCAGAGATACGACCTGCCTGTCCATCGCAATCAAATATTTACCGACATTCTGATCGGTGCATCAGTTGATACATCGTTAAAAAGCAACAAATCCGCAAGGCAGGTCTCCTAGCAATACCACCTTCACGAGAATGTTGAGGCAACACGCAGTTGTTGATGCTGAGCGGCCACTGAGGCGTGCACGGATTCGCCGCAGGTATTATGACAGAAGTCGACAGATCTACGAACTGCAGTGTATTTGTCCGCAGGAGTTGTCCCAATTTCCTACCGCGTCGACCTTCAGATTCTGGAACGGTATCGCCAATGACGGCTTACAGTACAGGCCCCTGGAGATTGGCCGCATATGGCCTATGGACTCAACTCAAGCCGTCTCCGGGACTGGCCCGGTGCAACTATTCACGATTGACAAAGGTGCATACAACAGCGACATGCCTGATCTCGTCCCCTACACCATTGAAGGAAATAGCCAACGGTTCATCGTGGAGGCTAACGGCTTTGTACCCACTGGAATCTTGGAAAATTTCCGCCAATCTTCAGCATATGGAAACTTCAACTCCAGGCTTGATGATCCACTCATCTTCAGCATAATTCAGTTCATCTTCATCCTTAGGGGCATAAGGCGCTATTACTTCTACACCACACCCCACGATGCACCGCCACATATCCACCTCGGTACTCTGGCTCAAGCTCTACACAGGGCCACTCTAGGGAGCAGATCCGCTGCACACGGACAACCCCCATCACTAAATAGCACAGGGATGCTAGAGATACGAATTCCACAAGCCCTAGGGTTGCAACATCCACACACCACAATGGACCCTAGGCTAAGAGCGAAGGGATTGAGCACCACAGCCAGCACCATCCCTTACGATGACATCACCAGTACCAATAAAACCAGGGGTAACGAAGCTGGGAAAATTTACTTTGCTAGCCTCGAATGGGGCACTATTAATTGGGTCACGGGTGAGGGACTTATGACCGACAGCTCTACGCCTGAAGGACACACGACCGACAGCTTCACACCCGAAGGAGTTGAAAATGGTTTAGAGGTGTCGGTACCTGGCACCGACAATGAGACTTAGGCTACTGCTTAGAGAACAGGTACGCCCGGGTTCTCATTAAGGTAGGGGCGCATGTAAAACCGGCACTGTTGGTAAGGAAAGAGTCGGTTTACGAAAAGTGGTATTCATGGATGGTCGTAGAAGAACCTAGGTGTTTTCTAGATAGACTTTCGATGTAGACATCAAAGACTGGAGAACAGTATTTCTATCGTTGTCGGTGTTGCTCCTATTGACTTTCCGTGAGCACACTAATCTTTTAAGTAGACTTCAATTCCGTTTGACAAATGTGCCACACATATATATTATGTGTAACTGACGAAGCCGATGACGTGTTTTTCGGCTCGGGCGACAGCTGCGGGCTGAAAGCTGCATTGTCGATTGCTTGTACCGATGAAGTGCTTCTTGGTGCACCTAATAGGCGACACCTCGAAGTCAGCGAGTGCAAGGGCCGTGATCAGCACGATGAGATGTGCAAACAAGGGACATAAAAGTAGCATATCGTGTGGGTCTGAGCATTGATAAACCGTGATGAGTAGGGATACAAACATGAAGCGTCCCGCAGAGCCCGCGTGACCCTGTACATATCAGAGCAGCACAAGTTGAATGATTGAAAGAGTTGACATAATTCCATTAAAAGGTGGATGTCATACACCAAACGCCTTCATCTCGTGTCAAGGACAACACTAGCTGTCTAAAAATGTTCCTTCCAGAACTTAAAGTTAACCTCCTGGCATGTCGCCTCTTTACACGCCTTCTTGATATCTCTCGCTGCAACGTTTGGCCCGCAGAAGTATACACCCACGTCTGTCCTCAGCGTACCTTCAAGCCCGTTCATGTATGTACGATCCAGCAGCCCATCACGCATACCACACAGCAAGCGCGGAAAATCTGGACGGCCGAAGTTTGTTCTGCTTTTGAGCTCCGTGAGGGGGTCTTTGTCCGTACCGACAGAGTTGAGCACGATATTTTGCGCGGTGTTCGCGTCCATCTTCTGCGTTAGGTAGGTGTGGATGCGCAGGAACTGGTCGCCGTCACTGGCGCCAACAGACTGCGCTTCGAGAGAGGAGAGCAGAGTCTGGAACCATTCGAAAGACGAGGTATCTTTGCAAACCCAGATGAATTCAACACGGCGCAGACGCTTGGGAGGGTTGGGGGACAAACGCAGATGGTAGATGGACTTGAGGATGGAAGCCCAAGGTGTGACACCGATACCTGTGCCGATGAGAACTGCCACTTCGTTCTCGAAGACATCTTCGGCGGGTGCGCCATAGGGACCGTCGATGCGCAGAGCGGGCATCTTCTGGCCATGCTGAAGCGCAATTTCGTACATTCCCATAGGGTCGAGCTCATCGTAGAGCTTACTCTGAGACTGTCCAGCACCAAGTGCATCTGCGAGGGCGCGGGTGAAGTCGCCCACCTGGCGAACATGGACAGAGATGTACGGGTCATGAGGGCAGGACGTAATGGTAAAGGGGTGCCACTGGTGGTAGCTGACCTCGGGACAGTTGAGGAACAACCATTGTCCGGGTTTGTACTTCATGCTAGGCTTCGTGAACTGAATCTCGACAGCATCGTAGGGGTGGCGGACGACCTTGACGATCTCAGTTTGGCGTCTGCAGCGAATTTCGCGGTACAGGCGGTCGAAGAGGTAGAGACCGCCTCCGAAAAGCTCCCATCGCCAGCCCTCGTATCCAATACAGTGGGTCCAAAAGTTGTCCTTGTCGAATGGAGAGAAGGCAGGTGCCGTGTCTCGGACGAAACAGCTCGTTGCGTGTGTGTACATGCCGAGGAGAAATGGGATGAATAGATGGTGTGTGTACCAAAACGTTTCGAAAGATTGCTGTCGAATGCGGTGGTGGGCAGTGGTGTAGATTAGAAGCATGCAGAGAAGCATAATGTGTCCAGTGATGCCACCTGCTTCGGTGTAGTGGATCTGGAGTGCTATTTGCGGTCGCACTTGTGTTCGTTCAACATTGAAGAAGCTAGAGACTTGTAAGCTTCAGATGAGCGAACTCTGCCAACAAACTCACTTGACGTAATGCGCTGAGGTGTGGAGGACAGTGAAGAACAGCATAGCATAAGCGACCTGTCGGTGGAACCATTGGGACTCGTCCAGGGGTAGCCATCTAGCCTTGGGTCGAAGCCAACGGAGGATGTTGCGGCACATAGGCATAACGATGACCATTGTGTCGACACTCAAAACAAGGCCAGCGCCTCGAGAGATCCATACTGAGAATTGTAGAGCGTTCAAAGGTGCTAGTCGAGCGTCGCCTGCTTGCTTCCACCTGCAGAATGTTAATTATTGGGACATCGGTCACGGGCTTTGGAAGACTCACCATCCTATCGCAAAAAGCGCCCAATGAAACCCCCAAAAGAAAAAGTGAAATGCGAACTTCTTCGGCATGAAGAATCGCGAAAACGAGTCCCCAGCTGGTGCGGCTCCCATGTTGGCGGTGTTACTGAGGACCAATGGCTGTATCTCTCTATGTTGTTATCCACCAAAGACGAGGTCGTGGCCGTGATGCTTGGGTATTAGATTGCAATTAAAAGAAAGTAAGCAAACAGAACCTCGACTGAAGGGACGTTATTCAGTCAAAGTTTAACCCGGCCAGCCAGATACGAAGCGAAGAAATGAATGTTTGCGTCCAGATCCGAGCGCTTGAGGAGTCGAAGGAACGGAGGTGAAGAGTTTAAGGCTGCAGGGCACGGAGGATATGTAAACGTGCAGCTCTAACTTTGGTCTGTGCTGTGAACGTAGATCAGGATCTTAGAGAAGCCGTTCGATTTGGGTGGAACGACTCGTTGCGCTGAAACTGACGGGCTCAAACACCTAGTCCTGGTTGCAGTATGTATACCAGGCGACTTAAGGCGGATGACAGCTTCGTTGAGCGAATTCGGCAAGGTTGCCTCCAGGTAATTGGGGCCTGCAAGCCTCACGGGCCTTAACGGCGGTTATGAGTTGGCGTGAATGGTGGAGGGGTTGCCGCTATGCGTTGAACGCCAGTCGTCAGAGGTGTGTCTCAGACCTGAAGCGCCAGGCCAGAGAGCATTCTTCCTTGTAGATCAAGCGGGTTCTTGGAGCCTCAAGAATTTGGAAAAGGCTTGAGCTATGCGCCTAGAATCAGCGAGGCAGCAGCTGTCTCGTACAAGTAGATCACTTGGCCGTTTGGTGTTGTGATGCGTGGCGGCAGGCTTCTTTCGGTACACAGGCACGAAGCAGAGGCGCCTCGATCTTAGGTTGCGGACGTTAACTAATCTTTGTGCCTGAACCGCTGCAATGCTAATCTGGCAGCTGTCACTCGGTTTCCTGGGGAAATGCAGCTGCGATCGTGTCTTGCGTGTGCTTTCTGGTGATGTTCCTGATACGCAGGGGTCTTCGCTGAGACAATGCAGGTTCGAGGCGGCTCAATGTGGAGAGAGATGGTGCCGGGGTACACGGAAAAGTTGCCAGGACAATGCGGCGTGGTATTTCCCAGATTCGTGGTTACGGGATGAGGTCCAACTTTGTGTGATCAACGGTCTGACGAAGAGTTCGTGAAGGATTGTGTGCAGCAAGAAGCGGGCCGTCCTTTAGCCAAAATTTCCTGCAAAGAAGCGCTGCACCCAAGACGCATGGGCGCAGAAGAATTGCTGGTGCAAGCATGTCATGACTTGCTTTGCTGGACGCGCCGAGGCGTGAAGATGCGCACAGCGTTCAATGCTCCTGAAGCCACTTAATGCTGTGGTTGGTAGCACAGCCAGCAAGTCGGCCTCGGCGCCATCTGCCAGCGCGTAGAGGCCCAATCAGATTGGCCGACACGCTCCCCACACAATTCAAGCCGCTCTGGCTGCAGGCAAGCGAAGGAGGAGACGCTATTTCTGGACCACTTTGCTGATGGCACTTGCAAGCCTTCCATGATGGAATGCCGGCTTCGTAGAGGCCTGTACCTAATCAAGATCTGTACGGGTAGCGTGCCTTAGGGCTGTGATAAGGCTGCAGTCACAATTGAAGCCGAGAAACACTTCTTGGTCTTCCGATAAGCACGGCAAGGCCGGAATGCTGAGTGATGAGAGGGGGCCAGACTACACTGTACAGTTGGATGAGGGGACGCTGAGTCTCGGTAGTGCTGCTGCTCAAGATGCATCGGTATACCTATGCTGTTTTGAGAAAGCTCGCAGGGCACAAAAACGAACCAAGACTATTAAACAGCCGCGGACCATGTCACTCTTGTTGATCGCTGCATACATGCCCACCAAACTGATACTGAACGCTTGTCGTACGACGTTGTTTGTCTCGGTAGCCGTTAAGCATCCAACCGAACGGCATTGACATCATTTCACGATCTGAAGTAAACTTTGTCGTATGATGTTGTTTGACAGGCACCTTCGGTTCCTGAGGCCATCCATGATCTGCCATGCAGCTCGTGTGCTACAGAGCCGGTCGCAGACTTTTGTCCTAAGGCACGAAGGGACATCGGAGACTAAGGCATCCGTGAGGCACCCATGCAACAGATCACACCGAATACCAGCCTCATGTGTCGAATTGGCAAAGAGCGGTATGTGAGGAAATATCTCCCAATAATGCCACAATGCACAGTGACTCGAGCGATTGCATGTTCCTTGCGCTGCAGCCCACGTGCAGCTGCAATTCATGGAGTCCAAGCATTGTCTCGCGACGCCACTCCAGCCGAGCGGGCTCAAACGCATGCTCATAGGCCACGTCCCCTCAGCGGCGCCATCCGAGAAGCCCGCGCATGCACCGCATCAACCCAATCACAGCGTTCAACACACCTGCGCACGTAGCGAGAGACCTGGCTAGCGTAACCCAGTTCCTAGCCCGCCCAGCCCTCAGCGGCTACACAGCAGAGTACATGGCCAGCACAGGCCTTCGCAGCGCATAAACCGCATCTACAATTGCGGCAGCTTCCCGCTGTCTTTTTGCTCGTACTGACACACTGCCTGTATCGAGCGAGCATACCTGACCCGCGCTGCCTGAACACCTAACAAGCCTGAGACACGCATCCGCCTCAGCCATCTATTGTGCCTGACACTCGCTGCCACGCCTTACTGCTTTCGAGCGTGCGCCAACACAGTGCCTGAGGGCTTGCATATAACGAAACCCCCCGCCGCGTGAAGTTCAGCATCGTGAGGGCTACTGGTAGTCTTTGGGAGTAATATCTGGACTCGCGGGTTCTTTCACGACTTTCGTTCGCTATCCACGCCGCGGGCTCGGTTTATGACCTTTACTTTCGTTTAATTCCTCTTGTTCTCACGACATCATGGGCAAGTTAATCAAAAACCACTGGGCGCGTCTGGTCGTTATGACTGCCGCTGCATGTAAGTACAAGTCCCAACATTCGTCACTCTCTCCGAACGATTAAAAGCCTAATATTTCCGTCATCTTCTTTGTGAGCATACACTGACAGCACCAGACCAGATAGCTGCAGCCCTGGAAGCTTTCTTCTGGCCAAAAATCTTCTGGGATTTTCTTACCAAGAATCTCGACTCCGCCGTGAAGCCTTTCCCAATCTTGCAAATCCTGAACCTACTCCTCGGCATTGTGGGCCTGGCGTGGGAATGGCCGTTGCCACTTTTGGCAGGCACAGGGCTACACCGTAGCATCGAGGCGCGATTGATACTGTACCCGCTGAGCGCGCTGTGCGCTTTACTCATCTATCAGGGCACAAACAGCGGACTGTACTACATCATCGGGATGGGCGCGTATTTCTGGGCGTACAGCGAAGGCGAGGTAAGTCCATCCTTCACCTCTGGGCCGAGGGACACCGTGCTAACACGTCATTAGATCGTATGCCCCGAACCTTGGACGCTTCCCAAGCGCGGCTCGACTGTGCGTAAGATGGGAGTGTAGAATCTCTTGACGAAATCCGACTTTCAATTTTCGTACTTTCCTTAGCGCAACGACTTCACGTACGCTCGTCCATGCAGACGGCGTACTACATCACGAAGCGCAAACGTATCATTTGCCTCTTCATCTGCATCTGCATAGCTAGAAGCGCGCAAGCGCAATACCCAACAGCAATATCAATATTACGGATCGAGATCCATGCAAAAAAACATGCTAATGAACTTTCTTTGAAGACTACGTGAGGCACAAGACATTCCAAGCCTGGCGGATGCCTCACTGTGGCGTGGTGTCGAAGCTTGCAACTTCTTGTGCTTCAGCATGCCTGTCAAGATCCACTTTGACTTCTGTGACGATGACACGCATAGTGACGTTCCAGGGACTCCTGGCTGCCTCGATTCGCACAGTGCTTGGTTGCGAGTACTCTAATTCATTCGTGTAGTACATGTCGCGGATGGTGCATTGCGCGGCATTGTGCAGTCTTTCCATTTGAGGATATGCCAATAAGCACTGATACACACTCATACTATGAAGCTAACAAGGATATTTTCAAGTCTGATATCTACTCGTCATCGCTGTCCTCATCGAGGTCATCGTCGTCCTCAATGTCGTTAATATCGTCCTCGAGGTCCTCGTCTTCCTCAAACTCTCCACTATCAGCATCGAACGTCTCGGCCTTGGCCTCTGCATCCTCCTTCTCGTACTCTTTCTTCTTCTTTTCCTCTTGCTTCCTTGCATCGTCGAGCTGTTTCTGTTTCTGGTCCCTGACTTTCCTTTGGCCAGCGACGTAAGCGCCCAAAGGCGTCTTTTCCCAGTCCACATCCTTCAGGAAATTATCAACGCCAGCGCGGTCGTTAGGCGCGAAGTCGACCTTTGCACGCTTCTCTTCAATCCACTTTGCATTGGCCTCCAGTTTTTGAATAAGCAAAGCGAATAGAGAGTTGATCTTGGCATTTCGGTTGCCAGAGGCTTTCTTGGTCATGGCTTTGACCCAACGCTTGAGCATCACAATCACGGGGAGCGCGAGTTCGGGGAACGCGATATTCTTGGTCCATAACAGGAAGAACTCTGACAAGAGCTCAGCAACCTGTTCACCTACACCATCCTGGTAGATACGCGTGCGCAGGTAAGCTTTCATAGCGCGGATCTGTGTGCTGAACTCGAGGGACTTGAGGGTCGAGGGTTTGGGTGACTTCTTCATCTCGGCGGACTGCAGAACTTCGATGAGCGCGGGCGCCAACGGAATATAAGTTGATGTTGCGGACGAGATGCGAAGTAGGGAGCGAATAAGCTGGAAACGAAGCGGGAAGTATTGTGCTGTGGGGATGAGACGCAAGGCTCCGAGGGTGACCTGGACGACGGGGTAGATCAATGGTCGCAAGGGAGAGGGTTTGCCGGACTCGGCTTCGCGGAGAGATTCGCAGTGGGCAGCTATGACGCGCGACCAGAAGTCGAGAGAGTGGACGTATTGCCAGTTGTAGACCGTCTTGTATGAGTCCTTGGTTTTGTTGGTAATACTGGAACGCAGGTGAACGGCCAGTTGGCGGATGAAGCCGAAGCCTGTAGTATAGCCGACAGTGGGGTCAAGTCCCCAGAGCTCAGAGGCAGTGTTCTTCATCAAATTGATGCCTTGTATGTTATGAATCGTGGTGTTTCGAGCGCCCTTGACGAGGCCTTGGTAGACCTGCTTTAGGACTGCTTCCCGCAAGCTAGGGTCCGAGATGACCATCAGGCGTCGCAGAACTAAGAAAGCTGAGAGTCTGGTGACTTCATTGTTGGATGAGTCCGACCAGACGTCTGCCACAGTCTTGACTATCTCGCGAACGACCTTCTTGAAAGACAAGATGTATGGTAGCAAACTCAACAGCGAGTCGAGTGTGGTGCGTAGCGTAGAGGCGTCGGATAAGTTCTCTAGCAGATGCTGAATCGAGACTGTATGCGACTTGAGGAGCGGTGTCAATGTGCGGAACTTCTTCGAATCCGTGGACACACGGATTTTGCCTCCAGCGCTCTCCTTCGCGGGCAAGTGGTGTTGCAGAACCTTAGGGACAAGCGTGAGGGCGGAGACCAGAACTTGGTGATAGACTGCAATGTGTCAGTAGTGTAAGCTGAATAGAATTGCAGCATGACATACCGTCAGGATCTGATATCGAGTACTTGTATGTTTTCCCTTCCTCGTCGTTGAGATGTGCTGCCGATCGGAAGGCCAGTACAACCTCCTTCATTGCTCTCAAAGACGACTTTGTGTCCATGGCCGATTTCCACTTCTGGATGAGCTGTATCGAGACCTCGTTGCCAGTCGCTGCCTCACTTTCATCATCTGACTCGGGCGCGTCCTTCGCAACCTTCTTCTGCTTCTTTCGCGGCGTTGTCTCGTCCTCACTGGCGCTGAGCGCGTCAATCTCGTCAAGATTGGCGTCCTCGGCGAAGTCAAGCAGCTCTGCATCGTTGCTCTTCAGGTAGTTGTAAAATTCGGGATCCTTCTCCTTCAGCGCCTCGATGTCACGCATGTGTGTCTCGGCGTCGTCGCCCGATTCGCTGTCTGAGGCGGAGTCGTCTTCGCTGTTCGCTGTCGCATCGACCATCTCTTCGTCTTCCGAACCCTCAGAGTGGTCCTCCTTGACAGGTGTCCGCTTGCGCTTCCCGGTCTTTGCTTTTGTCTTCTTCATCTTGGGCATGTCGAAGCCGCCCTCGAAGAACTGATCCATGGACATGTCGCCGAAGTTGTCCTCGTTGGCAGACTTGTTAGCCTTCTTCACACCATCCTCTTCGAGATCCTCGGCTTTTGCGTTGTCGGACGCCTTGCGCTGCTTCTTTTTTGCGTCCATTTGCTTCCTCTGCTTGACTTTGGCGACATTTTTGCGCGCCTTGATGACATCGCCGAGTTTGTTCTTCTCGAACTTCTTGGTGGCCTTGGAGACAGGCATGGTGACAACAATATGCGCTTTGCGCGGATTGACGTTCTGTTGTTCTTTGGCCGGCGAGAATGTTCACAGAAATCTCAAGCACTACTTTTTCGACCCACTTTGCTTCAAAAAGTTAAGATGGTGCAAGCTTGGCAGGGTCCAAGCTCGCTGTGGCTCCTTCCCCACGCGATGGGCTTGAGCAAGCACGGCCAACCATTGCCGAAGCTTACGCCATCGTCAACAGTATAACTCGCAACACAGTCGACGACTTCCCTGTAATCTGATCTTTTGGCGTATCACATTGCCTTCTCCGGATCATGTACAGCACCAGGCAGTTGGCATATGCGCCTACGCCCTACATTCCACGCTCCGCCCTGAATGCGACCATCAATCTCGACGAGGAAGCCAAGCTGTCCACGACAAATGCTGAGCGCGACCTCAACGATTCGCTGGCGGAAATTTACAGCATCATCGTTACGCTAGAGGGTCTCGAGAAGGCGTTCCTCAAGGATTCGATCATCGAGGGCGATTACACCGACACATGTAGTAGACTTCTGAAGCAGTACAAATCCAACCTTGCAGACGAGACGATTGCGAACGCCTTTGGCGATCTGGACTTGTTCAAGAGGGAATGGGAGGTATGTCGATCGATTCTACAGCCTTATCGAAGGGTACGTCATCCGCAGGCTAACACGGTACTCAGCTTGACTGTCCGCGAGCGACTGAACGATTGCGTGTAGGCGTTCCCATAACTGTTGAGCAGGGCCCATCACGCACGACAGCTCAACAAGGCGACTTTGCCGATGCGACGCTCGTTGTCAACGCGACCGAAACCTTCATCACTCTGCTTGATGCCATCAAGATCGGCCTCGTAGAGAAAGATACCCTTCACCCCCTGCTGGTCGAAATCATACAGTCTGTCAATCAAGTGACAGATAAAGAATTCGAAAATAAGGGCAAGATTGTACAGTGGCTTATCGCCTTGAACCAGATGCGAGCATCGGAGAAGCTCGACGACGAGCAGGCCCGACAATTTCAATTCGACATGGACCAGGCTTACTATGGCTTCAAAGCTACCTTAAAGAAGGATTGATAGGAGTGTTGCAGCCATTCCGACATGGAACATCCTCACCCACACCTCCCTTGTGTGTACACAAATCTAGCCCCGCCAACGCACGGGCCAAACCAGATTTCTCACGATTGTTCACCGACAATGGCGAACACTCGACTGAGCATTTCCAAAAATGGAGACACTGGATGGTAGGCTGCACGTGTTTCCATTTAGCCAAAGAAGCTGACCAGTATTTCCAGTTCTTGATCTACCCCAAATCTATACCCGACCATCCGCCGAGGCACTCCTCAAAACGCTCGGACTTTTGACAATCGCACCCCAGTCGTGGGACGTTGATCAAAATGCAGAACATACCAAATTAGAACACTCCGAATACAGAGAGCAGACCACTACGCAGAGAGCGGTTCAGGTGAACCCTGAAGGCGTCACACGATACCTCACAAGCATTGTGAGCAGTCCTCTCAAGTGGATACACGACGACGAAATCAAAGAAGAGATATGGAACCAGGCGAGTTTCCGACTCAGCGAACGCTCTGGTCGAACCGCTATGGGCGCACTATCTCGCGAGTTCCGCATACCTACGACTCATGACTCTTTCATCTTGAGCATTCACGAACCTGCCTTGACTGGCGACGACCTTGGCCTAAAGACTTGGGCCGCATCATATATGCTCTCTAAACGACTGCACCAATTTAATCTGGTCAAGACTCCACGCGATTCAAGGTCACGTATTCTAGAATTGGGGTCGGGTACCGGACTGGTTGGACTTGCCATGGCTGCTCTTGGGGCAGATGTCGTTCTCACGGATCTACCTAGTATACACGAAAATCTCGCGCGCAATGCGAAAGATAATGCTGCAATTGTCGCACATAATGGTGGTTCAACACGTACTGGAACACTAGACTGGACACATCCTGCATCTTGCGAATTGTACACCGATGGCGTAGCCACCAAAACACTTGACGCTGCCACTTCGAAGTTCCCTATCATCCTTGCTGCTGACTCACTGTATTCTCCGGAGCACCCTCCCATGTTAGTCGGCACGATTGCAGCATGGCTGTCTGAAGACGCCGATGCCAGGGTCATTACCGAATTTCCATACAGAGAAGCCTACCTGCCAGAGATCAGAGACTTCAGGGAGCGAATGGAACGCATTGGACTTCACATTTTGGACGAAGGCGAGGAGAGTGGCTTCGACGACTGGGGGGCATCTGGAACAGCTGATGGCGAAGAAGACAGAACGCTCGTGACTTGCTGGTGGTCTCACTGGGGCAGAAGGATTCATTGATCCACTTCATCACCGCCTGCGGTGAACCTCCGAAGAGCTGCAAAAACATCCCGGGACAGACACCACGATACCATGGACGAAGTCGTATTTGAGTCTTAGCACCATCGTTGGCGCGGCTCAACACGTTCTGAGTGGCTTGTCACTCGTTAGTCGGGAAGGCATTATGAAGCCGCGGTAGATCAGGCCAGTAATGCTCTCGGTGAATCGCCGAGGGACCAAAAACCGACTCCGACAATCAGACGCCGGATAAATGGCGCGGATGATCTTACGCTTCTAGAACCCCAATTGCACTAGTGGAGCTTTCGGCGGTATAGCTGAACGCGAGGTACAGCTGCGGCTCCACTCCTCCTTTCGTCATAAATCCACAACTTTTTGGTCGCGCGTGAACATCTTGTCAGGTTGCTCTATTATATCTCAAACCACATTCCTCCAAACCTCTTCAGAATTTGTAATTGTTGCTGGAACACAAAGACATTACACACCAACCCAGAAGCCATCGCCATGTCTCAGACAACCGCCCAGAAGGTAAGCTCCGCTGCCCCACCACCCCGCGCGCCAGATGAACCCATCATAATCAACAACTCCACACGTACAATTGCAGTCGCGTAGACCTAACAGACTCTCAGAACCCCTCGTTCGTCCTCAAAAAGAAAGACGAAGTCGTGTACGAAGACCGCCCGATCCCCGAGCTACCCTCTCCATACGATGTCCTCGTGAAGCCCAAATGGACGGGCATCTGCGGATCTGATGTCCACTACTGGGTCGAGGGCCGTATCGGGCACTTCGTAGTTGAAAAACCCATGGTTCTTGGCCACGAGTCGGCCGGCATCGTTGAGAAGGTTGGCGATAAGGTCAAGACATTGAAGGTTGGCGATCGTGTCGCTATGGAACCAGGTGTTCCATGCCGTCGCTGCGTGAGATGCAAGGAGGGCAAGTACAATCTTTGCCCTGATATGGCTTTCGCTGCTACACCACCCTACGACGGTACCTTGGCCAAGTACTACGCGTTGCCCGAGGATTACTGCTACAAGCTTCCCGAGAACATGAGTCTTGAGGAGGGCGCGCTCATTGAACCCACAGCTGTCGCAGTCCACATTACAAGACAAGCGTCGATAAAACCAGGCGACTCGGTCGTGGTATTCGGTGCCGGTCCGGTGGGATTGCTGTGCTGTGCTGTTGCAAAGGCCTACGGAGCAAAGAAGATTGTTACAGTCGACATTAACGACGAGAGGCTAAAGTTCGCACTCCAGTATGCTGCAAACGCCAGTTTTAAGAGTGCTCGTGTAAGCGCAGAGGAGAACGCAAAGAACCTCATCCAAGAGTGCGAGCTTGGTCCTGGCGCAGACGTTATCATCGATGCCTCAGGTGCAGAACCCTGCATCCAGACTGCTATCCACGCCTTGCGCATGGGCGGCACATACGTTCAGGTACCTCTTCCTCCATCTTCTCTCAATCTCAAGAAACTGACGTGTTTCAACAGGGCGGCATGGGCAAGCCAGACATCAACTTCCCCATTATGGCCATGTGCACAAAGGAGCTCAACGTCAAGGGCTCGTTCCGCTACGGTGCAGGTGACTATCAGACAGCCGTTGACCTTGTTGCAAGCGAGCGCATCAGTATCAAGGAGCTAATCACAGGGAAAGTCAGTTTTGAAGAAGCAGAGAAAGCGTTCGCGGCTGTCAAGGATGGCAAGGGCATCAAGACCCTTATCGAAGGGCCTAAGGAGTAGAGACCGTCTGAGCAGAGTATGAAGGTAGAAAAACAAACTCATAATAGACAACGTGAAAGATGAAGTTTAACGCTCAGAAGCGGCGCTGGATGCTGTTGGGTGAATCATTAACGACGCGTATTGTGAGCTAAGTGTGTATATTAAATCTTTCTGATCTGGATTACCTACGCTTCACATGTGTCAATTTCATAGCGGTGTAGCAAGACCTCTGAATGAACAACAGGTACAGGATTGACCTGGATTGCTGCAAACGCGGGACAAAGTCCGACCGCGACTCCTCGTATTGCAATATCGCACAGTACTTCTCACAATACATACATTTCAACCAAATTCCCCAAATTGCCATCAAGGCCCCCTCCCCACCATCTACGCAAGCGCCTTACACAGTCCATTGTACGCTTCCTTGGCTTGGAACTGCGCATCAAACAACAACGGTGTACCGTCCGGCCTCCACGAATCCGGATCGCGTACACCCCATACTGTAACACCCACGCAGTTCTCCACGTCCGCACATGCACCTACCGCCGTCTCGTAATCTGCCACCGCTGCGCCTTTGATATCCAGCTCCGTAACTGCACACTCGCTCACCACGCCACACAGTGCCTTCATCGCGCCCGGGAAATCCGCAATCGGCCAATTATTAGCCAAATGCGCCTGCGAGCCAATGCCGTCGATGGGGACACCTGCCGCGACCCACTCCTTGACCTTGGCAATGAGAGCCTTGGTCTTGGTGTACGAGGCGGAGTCGAGGTTGTAGTCGTTGATGTAGAGTTTGGCCTTCGGGTCTGCGGCACGCGCGGTTTCGAAGGCGGTCTTGACGAAGCCTTCGCCGAGGACTTTGTAGAAGACGGAATCACGGAAGGTACCATCTTCGTTAAAGATTTCGTTGACAACATCCTGGGGAGAGTTTAGTATGCGCCGGTAAGGGGTCCTGGGGACAGGAGGAGAGAGACGTACCCATGCGTAGACTTTGCCTGCATAGCCGCCAACAAGCTTGGTGATGTGTGCTTTCATGACGTCTTCTAGCTTCGTTTTATCTGTAATAGCAGATACCCAAGCTGGCAGCTGGCTGTGCCAGACTGTGGTGTGACCGCGAATGAGCTGGTTGTTGGTAGAAGCCCAGTCGACGAGGTAATCGGCACCGGCGAGGGAGAATGTGCCTTCGCTCTTCTCGGTAGCATCCCACTTCATACTGGTAAGTGTCAGTCATAATGGTCGTACCTGAGGATGAAGAACCAATACCTGTTCTCAGGCGTGACTTGACCAAAGTCTGCCTTGATAATGGCGGCGCTGTCGCCAGTGGTGAGTCGGCCCTGGTCTGTTGCCACACCAAAGTACTTCTTGCCCTTGGCCTTGAAGACTGCGTCGAGGGAGCAGTCTTCACCGAAGGCGAACGCGCCGGTGTTGTTCCCAGCACCGGCAGTGGGAGCGGCGGTGGGAGCCGCAACACTGCTCGATACGATGACTACTGAGGACGAGACAGCTTCAGGGACGACAGCAGGACTCGAGGACGCAATCAAGGTTTCGAATGTGGTGGGAACAGCAACAGATGCCGTTACGTTGATGGACGGGAAGGACGCAACGGACGTAGGGACGATGACATCGCTGGTAGCAATTGGGGCAGCAGAAGTCTGATCAGGAATAGAAGTATTGCTGCTGGGCACAGGTGCAGCAGATGGTGCAGAGTCACTGACACCTTCAGTACACTGGGAGTAGTAGTCGTTCCACTGCTTGCAGCCCCAGCCATCTGCGCAGGCTGTCTCGCCAGTGTAGCCTTGGCCACCGCATTGCCCGTAAGGCTGAACGGCAGCGAGAACGGCAGTCGTGGAGGTCAAGCCAACGACGGTGAAGTAAATAGATGACCCACGGACATGCATCTTGGATGTAAAATGTGAAAGGGAGGTATAGAAGTTAGATCTTGTCAAAAGAGTGTGTAGGTAAATAAATGAATGTCAGGAAGCACGCTTCCGAGAAGGTAGATGAAAAGCAAGTGCTGAACGGAAGGACCGAGTGACGAATGAGTATAGGGAGAGCAAGTCAATATATACCAGGACGGGATCTGCTGGTTTTGGTTGTGTGGGCCGTCCGGTAGGAGTCTTGTTTCAAGAGGGTTGAAACGACATCCTGGAGATCATTAGCATCCCTCATTTATATCTTGTCTGCACCCAACAAATACAGCAATCGCAAGCATATTATTATATTAACACGGAAGCCTTCGACTTTCTTCGGCAAAAGTCTCATTGGTGTCATTGAAATGTAGTAACAACAGTGATGTGGCTGGTCGAGGAAGTCTTTCATTTGGCGCCTCGGCCCAGCAGAGCCGCGGCATCTAAAACAAGTTAGAAGGTATTCTACGTCGTACTGCACCCATGCACAACTCCAGGTTGCTTAGATTGTTTCCGTTTCCCATCCCCACGTCTAAAGCATAAACACCGCAAACTCCTCCAATGAGCCACGAGACCTCGCCAGATACACAATGCGCGTCTCATGATTAACCAAAAGGAAGGTTGATCATTACAATCAATCATGCTACTCCCAGACGCAGGCTCACAGCGCGACGGTGAGCTTCAAGCTCTTCTACGCGTGCGAGCTCCATAACTGCAGCGCCGACGTTCTCAAGGCCCTGCTTTGTGAGATTCGCGCTAGTGATGTGCTTAATGTAAGAGCCCAGGTTCACTCCAGAGTATTGCTTCGCGTATCCGTAGGTGGCTTTCGTATTGTCAGTATGCAAGCAATCACGAGGGCTTAGCTTTCCACTTACGAAGAGAGTGATTGACACCCGCGCTATAGTCACCAACGGATTCTGGGGTCCAGTGGCCGACGAAGACACTGCCAGCATTTTCAACAAGGTCCACCACCTTCTCTGCATCATCGACTTGAAGGATAAGATGCTCTGGCGCATAATCATTGCTCAACCTCATAGCTTCCTGCATGTCATCGACTGCGAGTGTGATCGAGTGCTCGATCGCACCGCGGACGATATCAACACGAGGCAAGGCGATAGCCTGCTTGTGTAGCTCATCCTCAATCGCTCCCAACTGGGTCTCGTTCAGTCCGACTGCAATCAAGATGACCTGAGAATCCACACCGTGCTCTGCCTGACTCAGTAGATCTGACGCAACAAAGGCCGGGTTAGCCGTCTTGTCAGCGACTACCAACACCTCACTGGGTCCAGCAGGCATGTCAATGCTGACTCCAGCGTTAGTGTCGTTGGAAACGAACATCTTTGCTGCAGTAACAAATTGGTTACCAGGACCCAGAATCTTGTCGACCTTGGGGACGCTCTCAGTACCGTAAGCCATGGCTGCGACAGCTTGTGCGCCACCCGCAAGCACAATGGCTGATGCACCGACCTTGTGCGCAGCATAGACAACCTCTGGAGTGACCATACCGTTTGCACGCGGTGGGGTAGCAAGAACTAGTGTCTTGCAGCCAGCTACCATAGCAGGCACGCCCAACATGAGAGCCGTGGAGGGCAGAACGGCGGTGCCACCGGGCACGTAGAGGCCGACCCGCTCAATCGGCCTGGCAAAGCGTGAGCACACAACACCTGGCATGGTCTCGACCGTCAACGGCTTATCCTCTTTCTGCGCCGCGTGAAATTTGCGGATGTTCTCGAACGAAACGTCGATAGCCTTGGCGGTCTCTGGCGCTAGCTGCATGAGCTCCTTGGGGAAGGGAGCTTTCAGGATGGTGGATTTCAATGAAGTCGCCTTTTCGAACTTCTGAGTGTACCCGAGCAGTGCCTTGTCACCGTTCGTTTTGACGTCTTCTATGATGGGCCGGCAGATTTCCAAGATTTTGTCGGTTGATCGTTGTGATGGTCGCTGCAGAACAGATGCGATTTTCTCGGGTGTCTCGTTTGCGGCAATGTATCTCCTCATGGCGATACGTCCGTTTTTGATGCCAGCAGGATCATTCTTAGCCTTTGGTACAGAAGCAGCCTCCTTTACTTCCTCCTTCGAGGGCTGTGTGTTATTTGTCGTGCTTGTACCGTTGGTTACAGCGGCAGCCTGTGCAGCAAACGCAGGCTTCGCGTCCCCTTGACGCCTCTTCACCTTGATGCTCTTAGCATCCAAGTTGCGTTCAACATCTTCGAGTGAAATTCCTGCAGCTACGCACTTGGTCATAGCGAAATAGAAGAGATCGGCTGCCTCGAAAGCAATGTGCTCCTTGGTTGTGGCATCGCAGAGCTCGGTCGCCTCCTCCAGAATCTTCGCTCTCAACAATTGCGAATCGTTGAACAGACGTGCCGTGTATGAGCCCTCGGGTGCAGACTCTTTGCGGCTCTGGAGAGTTTTTTGGAGCTTTGACAATCCAGTGTATTGACCAAAACAGGTGGGTGTGGCCAAGTGGCAGAAGCCTCGTCCTTGTTGGCGCACAATGAATTGCAGGCAGTCGTTGTCACAGTCCAGTGCCAACGACACAAGCTCCTGGATATCGCCACTGCTCTCGCCCTTGTACCACAGACCACGCTTGCGGCTCTGGTACACACCTCTTCCTGTCCGCAGACTCTCTGCAACACTCTCTTCGCTGCTGTATACCAATCCAAGCGCAATGCCTCGCTCATCAGTCACGAGGGTTGTGAAGAGGCCGTCCGGTCGGTCGCTGGTCGCATTGGCCATGAGGAGCTTCGCGACACTGATTGATGAAGGTTCCTTCTGCGCATCAATTGTGAGACTTTCGGCGGGGATTATAGGAATGGCCGAGAGCTTAGCAATGCGCTGGACGCTTTCCAGCTCTGGGCTCGCGAAGGAAATAAAGACCTCGGGCCTGTCTGTTCCATAATCTTTGAGCCATGCCTCGACCAGCTCAATATCCTGCGCCTGGTGGACGTAGACACTGATTTGTGTGCCAGCAATGGCATTGATGATTTCTTCGCGACCATTTCCAGGGAGACACAAGACCAGCCTGTCCTGCTCAATCTTCTTTGCCTTCAGTTCATCTAATTGCGCTCGGGTGACGAAAACTTTTGCAGCCCCGGCATCGAGGAGGGAGACGATGTCGTCGGTCGAAGAAACGCTGGTGACATCAAGATAGTTGGCGAATCTGCCTACGGACTGCTGTAGGTGGGAGAGAGCCTGGTCGACGGTGTCGTCTGCGACGCGTGAGAAGACGTTGCCGACGTAAGAAAGTGCTTGGGAGTTGAGGCCCTTCGCCGATTGCGTGTATGTGCTGGGATCAATCGCGGCAAGAAGCGCAGGAGCCATGATGGGCAAGAGTGTGACACCAAGTCGCTGATCTAAAGCTCTGCAAGTATATGTACAATTGGATGTAGAGCAACAGTGACTCTGAACGCGAAAAAGTTGGGAAGATATGGCATCTGCCAATCACGCCAATCATGACTGGAATCGACCGCGGGGTGTCCCTAAGAAAAAGACCCCACTCTACCGCAATTGGCCGGGAATGACGCATGCACATCTCGATTTCTGAAAGGCGAAATCTGGTTACTAATCGCCCACATCCAGACGATCTCTCGTTCATGATCATGGCTCCCGTGTTTCCAATCGCCAAGCAAGTGCAATAGGGCTCTGGCCTCTCAAGTTTCAGAAAAAGCGGCGGATAAGCGACCTTCAGGCTGACTGACTTTAATACCGAGCCTGTAGACATTACAATACTCCAAGCCAAAATCTATTCAAGTTTTACTTATATCGTACATACATAGGTAAAAAGTGCTCTATAGAGTTTTTGTGCGTTGCCCCGCGTCAGCGCCTCCGCAGCGTGTAAAATGCCGAACCACCCGCAGTTGGCCATTGCCGAATGACTGACCTCATAGTATGCTGACATGAACACCAGCCTGAGCATATAGCCGACTCTAGGACTGCTACTCTTTCAGACATTCCCCAATAAAACACCCTCTTCACAGTCGACAGCGCCTGTAACACAACTGCGAACATGTCATACTCACCACCCAGCTCCGCAAAACCCTTCACCCTCAACATCCCCGACGAAGACATCGAAGACTGGCGCCAACTTCTCAGACTCTCCAAGCTTGCACCTGAGACATGGGAAAGCTCCCAGGAAGACCGCCGGTACGGAGTGACGCGCAAATGGCTCGCAGAAACGAAAGACTACTGGCTTAACACTTACTCATGGCGCGACGAAGAGAAGCATATCAACTCGTTTCCTAACTATCGCATGCAAATTGACGGCGTCGACCTGCACTTCGTTGCCCTGTTCTCTGAAAATAAGAACGCTGTTCCCATCCAATTCTTGCACGGCTGGCCAGGTTCATTCATCGAATTCTTGCCCATGCTCTCACTCATCCAAAAACAGTATCCCTCTGCCAAAGACCTACCCTACCATATCATCGTGCCATCACTGCCTGGTTACACGCTCTCAACACGCCCCACCCACCGCGAATTTACTATAGACGAGAGCGCCGCCGTGCTCAATCAGCTGATGGTAAACCTGGGATTCTCGAAATACATTACACAGGGTGGAGATGTAGGGTCGTACAATGCGCGCGTCTTAGCACAGAACCATAAGGAATGCGTGGGAATCCACCTGAACATGTTGACAGTGCAGGACCAGCCTGACCAGAGCAAACTGACCGATCTCGAGAAGACGGCGATCAAGTCGGCGAGAGCATGGCGTCAGACAGGTAGCGCGTATGCGCAGGAACACGGCACCAGACCGAGCACGATCGGGAATGTCTTGAGCTCAAGTCCGCTGGCGCTGCTTGCATGGTAAGATCTCTCTTATCTTACCACTTCCACGGGAGTCCAACCCACAAGACAACCTCGATCCCCTAACACCACTTCAGGATTGGCGAGAAATTCCTCGAATGGTCCGACACCGACCCAGATCTCTCCCACATCCTCACCAACATCTCCCTCTACTGGTTCACGTCCTCGATCCTGACCTCGCTGCAACCCTATCGCCAGCTGCACGGCCAGTCCGGTATTTCATTCGTCTACATCGAAAAGCCCGTCGGCTTCTCGTTTTTTCCGTATGAGCTGTTTCCCGGCATCAAACACGTCCTGGACAAGGGCGCCAATATTGTCACATACGAGCAGCATGAGAGCGGTGGCCATTTTGCGGCGCTGGAGAAGCCGAAGGAGCTCTGGAGCGATGTGGAGAAGTATGTGGAGGTTGTGTGGGGAAAGGTATGAGGGTCTCGTATGTTTTGTCGTCGTCCTGTTGGATTTTGACTGACGCATGGCAGGCGGGTGGGGAATCGAAGCTGTAGTGAGTGCTACCTTGTGTGCACTTCCTAAGTATAGGAAGACTGCTCGCTGATTGACGAATTCGAATTGGAAAGGGCTTCAGCGCAGAACGGTATTGTGCATACGTTGCGCTGTGATCATCAAATTGAAGTTTCGAGGCTGTTTCGAGGCTGTGCATACATATGGAGGGAGTAATCTGGGATCATCTTTGGGAATCATTTAACTTTGAATTCATTATATATCGTCGCTAAGTTTAAGACTTGTACACGTGGATGACATGGGGGTTGCAGTAAGCAAGCAGACCAGTCTTGCCCCACTCACCACCGATACCAGACTCCTTGTGTCCACCGAAGACGGCCTGGGGTGTGGGCTTCTCGTATGAGTTGACAAAGACCGAGCCAGCTTCCAGCCTTCGGGCGATCTTGCAGGCCTTCTCAACGTCCTTACCCCACACGGTGGCACCGAGACCGGTGTTAGTGTCGTTCGCGCGAGCAATAACCTCCTCAAGATCTGACCATGGTTGTGTTGGCACAATAGGACCAAAAGGCTCCTCTTGAATAATGCGCGAGTCATTGGGTGGGTTATCCACTAGTAATAAATTAGTAATTGCAATAGTAGTAGTGCTTTGTACATACCGATCGTAGGCTGGATAAAGTACCCTTTTGAAGGTGCGACATCAGCAGAACCGACGGCGAAGGTGTAGCCCTTGGATTTGCTGTCCTCGAAGAAGCCCTTGACGCGGTCGTACTGCATCTTGTTCTGGACGGGGCCAAGGAGGTTGTCACCGTCGTCGGGGTTGCCGACCTTGATGGTCTTGGTGTAGTTGACCATCTCCTCGACGAACTCCTTGTAGATGGACTCGTGGATGTAGATGCGCTTTGTGGCAACGCAGACCTGGCCCGAGTTCTGGAAGGCGCCCATGACGACCTCGGGGGCAATCTTCTTGATGTCGACGTCGGGAAGGATGATGGAGGCATCGTTGCCACCGAGCTCGAGGGTGACGCGCTTGAGGGTCTTGGCAGATGTCTCCATGACCTTCTTGCCTGTAGCAATGGATCCGGTGAAGGAGATCTTGGCAATGTCGGGGTGCTTGCACATCTCAGCGCCAAGCTCGTTGTTGCCACCCACAACCTGAAGGACACCAGGAGGGAAGACCTGCTGGGCCAGCTCGACAAACTTCAGGGATGTGTAGGGTGTGAAGGGCGAGGGCTTGACGATGATGCAGTTGCCAGTCATGATAGCAGGGGCAATCTTGCCGACTGACAGGATGAGAGGGAAGTTCCACGGGCAAATAGCCGCGCAGACACCGAGAGGGGAGTACTCTGTGTAGACAGTCTTCTCGTCGTCCTCGAAGCTCTCCGAGGGGACGTCGAGCGTTGTGTGGTAGCCGATGAAGCCGGCAACACCGCTGACCTCGATAGCAGCGAACTTCCTCTGTAGAGTCGTCAGCGCCTTCCACCTGCAATCCGAAGGAAGCGACTTACGGGCTTGCCGGACTCCTTGCAGAGCAGGGACACAAACTCATCCTCGTGCTGCTGGAACAGGGCAATCAGCTGACCAAGGGCCTCCTTGCGCTTTGCCACTGGAGTGTCTCTCCATGCGGGGAAGGCCTTCTTCGCAGCGGCAACGGCATCGTTCAGGTCCTGGTTGCTGCCAATGGGGACGTCCCACAGCTCCTGGCTGGTGGCGGGGTTGATGCCATGGTGGATCTGGTCGGAGCCACGGTTCTCGCCGTTGACGACGTTGTAGAATTTCTCGAAGTCGAGAGTGGAGACCTTTCCGGGAGACATGTTGTGGCTGCGGGGAGGAATTGGGAGGAATTGAGTGCTGTATCTGGGCTGCGCGGCGGTCGCTTCTTAAGCAAGCTCGTTCTGGGGAGCCGCTCGACTCCGTTGCCAATCGCACCTGACTTATCCTCGGTAGTGGAGCGGCTGCATACAGAGGCTGGCCGTAAGAGCTTACAATTGTGCTTGGCTTGTCTCACAGACAGCACTACCCCACCTCGCAGAGCGGCCTAGCGCCACTGCGCCGCAGGGCTACGAGTGGATTGCGGGACAGCACTTGTTTAGCAACCATGTATTGGGATAAGGCTGACGACAGCTACCCGGTCCTGTAGTGCGCCTCTCCGCGATGCAACGGGAAATTGGGTGGTTTAGGGCTGACTAAGTCGAGTTGCTAATGCTCTGACATGCCGATCAGAGTATCCGAGTATCAACTTGGTCACAACCACCGCGTTTACTGATCACAGCAGGGTCAACAGGACCGTGCGGGGTGCTGATCCTGCAGCTTCTGCTGGTGGAGTGACCCGCCTGTCTGCGTTGCTCATTATCTCTAATCGCGGGCGTTGACTAGTGGCAGTCGAGTCGGTGACTCGGTGTTCGGTCTAGGTGGAGCTGGAGCTCCATCGCTCCATCTTGGACGGAGCCTTGACCATCTCAGGCGGCCATGCATGCATAAAGGCGTGGGTCGAGATATATTCGTGTGGTTTCAGTCGGGTTGAAGAGGCTCGACAGACCCAGGGATGGTGACCTGATGATTGGCACTATTAGCGCACGCAGCTCATCCACTTGAGTTCCAGAGGCTGGTCTGAAGCGGAGCGCATTGTGGAACGTCGCGCAGTCGCACTCTGATGGCGGTTACAAGACGGTGTTCAACTGTGGTTACTGCTAAGCATCTGGAAGGCTGCGCTGTCAGCGCCGTCAGATGCACCTCTCCCTAACACGGAGCGCGCTTGTCTAGATTCAGGGGCCCTGCAGCTATTAGGATCAGCCTTGTTTGCGCCTCAGGATCGTCAAGCATTAGTCCGTCGCTGCGGGAGGCCTGGCGACGTGCGAGGCTGTAACAGACACAGCTGCATACGTAACACTGACAGCAACCTAGACAGCGACATTCGTTCGTGACTCAAGTAACCAGCAGTCGAAAGCACACATGTGGCAGCCTGCCTGCCGGTCACAGCACAGGGAAGACAACCTGCTCATGAAACAAAGTACAAAGACATATTGTGAGCTCCATCCTGACGTAGAAGTAGGATTGTAGTAGATGTATCCCAAAGTCGGCACCTTTAACTTTGTGTAACTTTGTGTAAACAAGGACTGGGGTGAAGACCTCATACGCCCACCCTAACACTTCTTCCATTGAACGTACAGATTCGAGCTCAACCTCCCGCTTTCCTTTGTGATACCAAGAAGCCCGTTCTCAGGTCCTGCGAGCGGCGTGAGCGCCACGCTCGCAACGACATTAAACAGCGCAGTGCCTGAGCAAGGCGACCACACCGCGACATCAACGGCATCTTGCTTCCTGAACCGTTCCTTCGTAGGTCCGCTCAGAGTCAGGGTGCTCGACGTCTGTGGCAATCAGCGGTGGTCGGTCGACGTTTTCCAGCCATGCACAAATTCAGGTCTCAGACTTGAGAGACCGGGAGAGGATGAGAGAAGAGTAAGAGGATAGCGTACCTGCTCTGCCTCACCCGAGAAATAATATGTGCCCTTGACCGTCCCGGAAACACCGCTATCCAACTGCGCATACCCAGCATACTCGGCATTGTAAACCGCAAAGCTAAATCCCGCGCTGTACTCCAACTGTAAATTGAGCTGGCAAAACTTGCGCGCGTCTGCGACCTCCACCTTGGGCCCCACAGCAGCAGTGAACTCCTTGCCAAAATCTAGCACTGTCAGTGAGCTCTGCCTGGGGCCCAACGTAGAGTCGTCAACTTACAAATCGGCAGCACCGCGTTGTCGGTCCACCGCACATCAACGCTTCCCCGCGGACACCCCGAGCCGCCCGACACCACATCTGTGATGTTGAACGCAGGAGGGGTCGAGGACGCCGTCTGCGGCAGCGCCGCGGCCGCAGCCGCCAGCACCAGAGTGAGGAGTACAGACTGCATGGCGGAGACTAGCAACTCGGTTCAAGGATGAATTTGTGGGTACAGCGGTCATCATTGACGGAGGGCAGCGTCCTCTTATACCACGCGCCGCGACGCACATGTTATGGCCTGGCGAGAGAAGACAGCGATCCAGAGCAGGTTATGCAGCGCAATCTATCACACTGCAGCCGCGTCGGTCTGCGTCCTTGCTGGTGCCCACCGGCCATGCCCACTTCCACCACAGCACCGCGCCAACAGCTCGCCTGCACGAATCCCCTAGCCCCAGTGACGCCCTCGCCCCCCCCGACCCGCTGCGTCAATCCGGGGTAAACGACAAAACCATCGTTCGAGCAGCTCCAGTGCCCGGTCGAGGCGCACATCGTCTATTCGATATGAAAAGACCGGAGTCGAGGTGCGCGGTTTGGAACGGGTAAATACCGTAAAGCTGGGCGGCGGGGATCAGGGGTCGGGATTGGGGTTCGGGTTGGGTGGGTATATTGGCGGGTTGTATAGGAAGCGTGCGCGGGGCGATGCGAGGGCGCTTTGGGGAGAAATGGACGGGGAGCAGGATTGCTGCGCTGGGAGATGCGTCACAGAGTGGTGGCAGGAGTGAGGGTTGAGTGCTATATGCTGCTTGTATACGGACGCTTACGAGGGCCGGTGGGCGGGGTTCCACGAGCTGGTTGAACTGAAGAGGCCCTCGCCCTGCGCGTCCTGAGCGCTGTTGTGCTCCATCGCGTCAACGACGACTTCATTGTCTTGGCTCAATGGGCTCGTCTCGCTCATGGCACTATCAGCTACTTCCTCGCTCCCTTCGCTATCGACATCCACCGTCTCCGCATACGGCGGAGGATTCAGCTCGTCTCCACCCTCGACCCACACCCGCTCCAGCTCCTCCTCAATTGCAGATCTTCGCGCCTTCCACTCCTCGACTTTGGAGAGTCGCTCGCGGAGCTCGGCCAGTTCTTTCTCGACCGAGGATTTCTCGGACGCGGTGCCGATGCGCTGGAACTCCCATTCCTCACCGGACTCGCCGAGCCCGAGGGTCAGGAGGTGGGTGTGGTATCTCTTGAGAGAGGCGCGGGTGGATATCGTGATGAGTGCTGTGAGCACTGTCAGCCCACATGTTCGTGCGGTGATGAAAGAGTGGCTACTTACTGATACCCTTCGCTTTGCAGCGTTCGTACAACAGGCCCTCGACATCGCTTGACACGGCGCTCGTTCCTTCGTCAATGAATGCGTAGCGGGGCTCGTGGTAAAGAAGACGAGAGATGCCAATGCGCTGTTTCTCGCCGCCGCTGAAGACGTCTTTCCACACCTTCTTCGTGTCCCATCCGCCTTCTCGATCTGGAATATATCCCAGCTTCGCCTCCTCGAGCACAGCCAGGAGCTCTGAGTCCCGCCTTCCGGCGTCTTTCATATCCACTGCTGTGTGCGGGTAAATGACCTGGTCGCGCAGGGTGCCGGTAGATAGGTACGGGCGCTGCGGGAGGAACATGATACCATCCATGCCAATCGACCGAGGACGAGAGACCAAGCCACGGTAGGCAGGCCACAAGCCCGCAACAATGCGGCTCACAGCAGACTTGCCCACCCCGTTGGGCCCGGTGATGAGGAGATGCTCACCGCTGTGCACGATAAAAGACAGAGACTCGAGGAGCTCGTCGCCGCCACGAGGGTGTAGCGCAGGCGCAACGACTGGCACGTGTTCAAGGCGCAAGCCATCGAAGCCGCGGTGCACAGTGCCCTGTACGTCAGATACAGAGTACAGTTCTGGGCGGGTACCTGGGGGCGGCATGTAAGCGTCTGCGTGGACGCGGTGCAGGGTGCTGATGAGCGTGTACACGCGCGATGTGTAGCCTGCGAGCTCGGACAGGTCTTTGATGCTGTACATCATTCGCCCGCCTGCATCGGCGAGCGAGAGCATGAGTCGCTTGTTGGTAATGAAGTCTTTCATGCGATTTCGCTCGCGACCGGACTTTTCGATGCCAGAGGTGCCCGGCAGTTCAGCGGTGGCGTTGAGACCGCCCCAGGCAGGGAGGAAGACAGGAAGGGAGGTGATGAGGTAGCCGAAGGCGGACCAGGAGTACTTCAGGACGAAGTCTTCAAGCATGTTGTACCTGATCTTTAGGCTGTAGATGCCTTCCATCCAGTGCTTGAGATCTTTGAAGCCGCGCTCGAGGAAGTGCTTTTCCATCTGGTCGCCGCCGTAAAAGGCGACTTCTTCGGCGTTGGCGATGAGGCGGGAGTGCAAGGCGCGGAAGTCGCCCTCTCTCCTGCCCTCGACAGCCTTCAGCTTGCCGAAGGGCGGTGAAAGCTTCCGCAGAATGGTTGCGGTCAGGAAGTAGTTGCTGAGCAGGCCAGTCAGGGCAATTGGGCCCAGGGACTTGAACAGCTGGTAGTTGAAGACACAAAGGTCGACGAACGGCTTGCCGAGCGACGAGTATAGTGAGGCAGCCGAGGCGCAGAACAGGGTCAGGTCCTGGGTGATGAACTGGTCGGCGCCCTGGCCCACGCCGCCGTCCATGTTGGACAGCTTGTAGTAGTTCAGGTGGTCGTTCAGGTACAGGTCGTGGATGTAGCGCGTGAGGCGGGTGCGGAAGGCAATCGACACCTTGGACTGCAGGAACTTGATCATGGCGTTGGTGTACGACGAGAAGGTGCCGACGCCCAGCCACTTGCAGATGCCCCAGAGGAAGGCCTTGCCGTTGCCGGCGACGAGGTCGCGCACAATCTCGCCGTCCAGGCGGGCGACGACCAGCGACAGGTAGGTGCGCAGCATCAGGAAGACGCCGTGGCTGACCAGCAGGCCCGTCTCCTTGCTGTTCCAGCGCGGGATCATGATGTTCAGCAGGCTGAGGAACTGGTGCAGGAAGGCCAGGTTGAGGCCCGGCTTGGTCTGCGGCGGCGGCGCCTGCGGGTTGGCGGCGTCGTGCGTGTGCATGCGCGCGGCGCGCGGCGGCTGCAGGAACAGGCGGCGGTGGGCATCGAACGTGGTCGGCTTGGTGGGGTTGATGACGACCTTGGACGTCGAGTCGCGGTTGGGCACGTAGATGGTGCGGCTGCCGTCCTTGTTCTTGAGCCCCGAGTTGCGCCGCAGCAGCCGCCTGCCCGTCTCCTTCTCGGCGCGTCGCCGCGCGTACCACCGCCGGCTGCCGTAGCCGGTGCCGATGATGGTGAGCAGCAGCGTGAGCGTCGACAGCAGCTTCGTGAGCCGCGACGCGCCGCGCACCCGTGCTCGCGCGAGCCGGGCATAGTGGTCGTAGAGGGCGTGCAGCGGGTCAGTGCGCTCTCGCAGCGTCGATTGAGCGGCCATCGTGTGCCATGCGCGTCGTGCCGGGCGCTGCGCTCGTGCCCTGGGGGGTGTTGCGGGCGCTGCGGGCGGTGGAGTTCGCTGGGGTCGCTGGGGTCGCTGGGGTCGCTGGGGTTGCTGAGGGCATAGCGGGCTGGCTTGACATGTGCAGGTGCATGATGCGCACCCGCGCAGCCGAGGCATGTGAAGGCCGTCTGGGGAAAGTGTGGGGCCCCCAGCAACTGCCCCATTCACGTGATCACACCAGCGTTTGTCTCACATGCATCGCACGACACTCGCTGAACCAAATTCTTGTCTTCGCTGCATAATGCTCATCTAAGAGGGATATCAAGACCACCAAACTCCACGCAAGATCGCTGACAAAAAACCCACCGTAAAATCGCCGACCGACACCCACAGACCCTCATCGTCCGCCCTCAATCTCCTGCAGTGTCTTGTACAGCTCGCTCTTCAGCCACGCGCCAAGCACATCGTACAGGAACTCCGCCTGCTCGCTCTGCCCGTTCCCGCGCCAGTTCGCCAGTGCCTCGACCAGCTGCCCGCACTTCTTCAGCTCCTTCAGCACCACCTGCCGCCTCAGGCGCTCCTGGTCCGCCTCGTCAAACTGGTAGAGGCCGAATTTGAGTGGCTGCATCTGCACGCTGAAGGTCGAATGCTCGGAACTTGGGGTGGACAGTGGTGACGAGTAGGCGGACGATGGAGTTGGCGAGGAGCTGCTGAGCGAGGGCGCGGTGCCTAGCGGTGCTGCAGCTGGCATGACGCCCGCGGCGATCTGATACCAGTTCAGGATCTTCGATGTGATGCTTGAATACAGCATCGATAGATGCGGGTCTGAAGAGCACGGGCAGTTGAGGAGTTGGAGGACGCTCTGGACTGCTAGCTTTGTGGTCGACAGGACAAAGTCCAGGCTCTTGGACTCGGTAGGCCAGGGCTGCGCGCTGTCCGGGCCAATGATGCGTAGACTCTCCAGGGTCGAGTGCGCAAGCTCAGAGCAGCAGTGGGAAGTCGGCATCGAGACGCTTACACTCAGGCGGCTGCGCGATTGATCGAAAGCCGTGGTCTTCGGGCTCGGCTCTGCCGACGATGTGGACGAGCCGTCGAGCGAGATGCCGAGACCCACGTCCTGGAATGTGTAGTCGAAAGGGTTGACAGACTCGCCGCCAATGTAGTCCTTGAGAGCCTGGATGTTCGGGAGATCAAGCTGTACCGACTGCTTCTTCGCGAACGGATCACGAAAGGTAAGCTCGGGCTCGAGTGACTGCATCGTGTCCATTGAAAAGTCGCTCGCCGGCAAGAGATAGTCGTCCATGAACGGAAAGCCCATAGCCATTGTGGAGTCCATGAACATGGGCTCCGGTGTCATGGTCATGTCGAATGGCTCGGGCGTCATTTCAAACTCGAAATCTGGTGTGCTTCGCAGACTCGGTGTCGACGACCAACTCGAGTTCCACGCAGATGCGGCGTCAAATTCAGGCAGAGGCAGAGCGATCGGCTCAGGTCTGACTCTGAACTTGCCGAACTCACTGCCGTCTGGCGATGGTCGCTGCTTCGAGTTTTTAATGAAAGGTGTGCCGTCTGGGTTCCTCTTGCGTGTGCGCCCGGGCTTGCCGTGCTTCCTCGATACGCCATAGATGCATTGCGAACCGTTCGCAGAGCATCGCTGGCAGATGGGGTGCTCCTTGCTACACTTGACCTTTGAGGCCGCACAGGCATCGCATGACGCTCGAAGCTTGGGGCGTCGCTCGCGGTCCGCTTTCGTCGAAGATCTAGGTACCGAGGTAGGCGACTGCATGACTGTAGTGGCGAATGGAGTACCGGCCATGGCTGGCGATTCCCAGTGTGATGGTTGAGATGTGAAAGACATGGATTCCATTGTGCGAAGGTGTCGAAGATCTGCTTGTCTGAGTCTGACTTTCTTTGTCTGATCTGCAACACTGAGAAGGAGCACCTTATGTATCCACGGCGATTTGCGCCAGCAACCGTTCCTCTGCACAGCAAAGCACTAGCGCACTCACCCGCATGTCTCAGCCATCACAGTCTCGCCCAGACGATGATTCCCGTGCAGCCTTACCCAGAACGAGAGGTATCCACACCGGGAGTATGCTGGTCAAGCGTAGATCACCGGCGCCCCACGTTTTCACCTCAGTCATGTTTCTTTTTGAGATAGTTGCGAGAATCTGCAGGTGGGCTAAGCTCTGTATGTAAGATGCTCAACCCAATGAGAATGCAATGTCGTGTTAGACGTCAGCCTCGATTGGCTAAATCTGGCGCCCACAGTTCGTACCCCTGTCGCATGGCAATCAGATCGGCAGCTGTCAGCTTCTCGAAAGCTACGGCGGAGATGCTGGACCGGCGCGGTTGACACTCTGAGCTGCAATGGTCGTTGGAGACGTATGATCGAGCAGCTCGACTCCAAACGTCGACACCAACCACTCCCTGCCTCGCCTTCATCGCGCGTCTCTGCACTTTCCATTACACCTCTACAAATTCGACGTATGCCGCTCCTCGCACCCGCTCACGTTGCTATTCCTGACCTGCATCCCCGCCTAAGTCCCCGAGTGAGGCCTAACCACAGCCCCCAGCGCCCACTCGCCATCACCATTCCCATCTGCACGCGGTGCCTGAAAGGTGCGACAGTAGCGCAGACCCAACCGTTCCTTCGGAACGCAGACCCGTTGGGAGCAGACCCAGAATACACATGCGGCGAATCAGGCGCGCTGCCACCCTGAGTCCTGAGGCTCTGCGGCCGTCGTGCTACCTGTCACCACGTTGTGCAGGGCTGCGCGCTATGCGCTTATCGAGTTTCATGTGTGATCGAAGCGAGTTCTCGCCGTCTGAAGCTGCCGTAGTAGACGCCGTCGCAGTAGTGAGTATGGTGCGTGATAATCGCAGCACTCGACATGCAAATGCCCGCCTTGCACCCATACCACACATGCCGACAGAGTATACTGAATGCCTCGAATCCGCCTCGCCGAATGGAGCACCCGCTCGATGCGGTGTATTAACAGCCCCGACAAATGTGCAAAACACCCCCGATGTGGTGCGTTTGCCTCGTTTACCTCGACCTTGACCTGCACGATAATACCCCCATCCGGCAACATGATTATCGAACGCATGCACACTCATCACCACCCACAGCGCTCCGATCCCGCTCGCGCGTGTGGAGGCTGTACACACAGCAGCAAATGCCCCGATCAGGCCGCGAAGTGTGGAAGTAATACGTATTGGCGGGCTGCCTAAGCACCTTCGCACACAGCCTCACCGTCATCAGCGACTTGGCTGCCTACGGCCACTAGGATGCTCGCTCGCTCGCTTGTGTCGGGTAAGGAAAAGACAGCCTCAAGCGAGAGGCGTGAAACAGAATATCTCGACAAAGTGTTGTGATCAAGTGTCTTGGATTGGGACAGTAGCGGTGGGTCACCGGGGCATCAGCAGCGTGCTCGGCCCGGCTGCAGGCTCGGTGCGCATGTTGCAGTACTGCAGTATTGCAGTGTCATGGTGTTGCAGTATTGTAGTTATGGTGTTGTAGTATTGTAGTTATGGTGTTGCAGTATTGTAGTTATGGTGTTGCAGTATCATATTGCAGTATCGCAGCACTCGTTAGCTGGCGTCGCCACCCACCTCACCTCACCTTATGGTACCTGCACCGTGACCATGTAACCCCTCGGTGGTGCAGAGCAAGCGCGTTTCAGTCTGAGTGTGGGCTCAGCACGCCGTGTCTCGTATTGTTATTCGTTCTCGGCCCGGGGGATGTACTTCGTACCTGCAGCAGGTAAGCAGCGCAGGGTAAGCAGAGCAGAGTAGAGAAGAGCAGACCAGGTAAGCGGGTTCGATGTAAGCGACTTACAGTAAGCATCGCGTGCATGGGTGGTGCGACAAGGTCCACGAGCTATGATGTCAGCGTCATGCGTCCTGCTTAGTTTCAGTTTTCGGGTTGAGGGTGTGAGGTGGTAGTTCTCGTGCAGTAAATGGAGGGCGAAGATGCGTATTTATGAGATACCTATATACAGACCACACGGTTCATTTACACTTTCTTATAATTTATTCACATTTTCTTGAATATTCTCATAAGATATCTATATACATACTACTCAATTTATTCACATTTTCCTGACTACATATTCACACTTTCATGACTACATATTCACACTTTCGTGACTACATATTCACACTCTCTTGACTAGTATTTAGTTAATGTCTCCAAGTGTATTTATAACAAGATACTCCGTATAGAGGTCTATATCTCTATACGTAATTATAAGACACTACGTATATATGGATGTATGTAAAGACGTGGCGGTATGCACACTACATGCTCAAGCTACACTCTCTTGGCCACAATCTCCAGCTTGTATTTCTCACCAGCTCCGAATAACAAAGATAAACGCCCCGTGCTGCCTGTTCGCAGGAAAAGTATACAATGACATGGAATAACGCCGTACTGCCCCGCTAAGCCCAAGGTACAAAGAAGGTTATATACACTGACATGACTGCCTATGTACGCTAGGATGGAAAGACTCTCCGCCATATTTTCCTCCATCCAGTCCCACGTTGGGCCTGCTCCTCTGACTCGAAGGTGTCGGAATCGAGTGGCGCGGGGCGGGTTCCGAGGAGATGGAGGGCGCGCTGGCGGGCCCATTCCCTGCGGTTTTGGGTGGGTGTTGGTGGAGGAGGGTCGCATGCGAGTGGGACTGCGGTGGCGGGGAGGGGAGATGCCTGGTGCGGAAGGGTTGAAGTTGGAATTGTCGCTGTGGGTGGATTTGAAACTGGGACCGAGATGGGATATGAGGCAGTGGTTGGATTTGTAGTTGTGGTTTGATGTGTGGGGTGGTTTGTAGCTGGATTTGTGGGTATCGATGTAGCTGGATTTGCAGCTGTGTTCGGCGCCATCTCGATATCCGCCGGCGCGCGCGCGCTGAAAAGCCTCCGACTGGCAACGGCACGGCCGAGAGAGCTGAAGGCGACGCGGGCGTGGTCGGTCATGGTGACTGCGACGGGCGGGGCGACGCCACCGTTGGCGCGCATGCGGGTGATGTGGCGCTCGCGGCGGACCATCATATTTGTGATGGTGACGGGGCATATGCCGGTCGGGAGGACGCTCTGCTTGCACATGGGGCACAGGGACGAGTTGCGCAGCAGAAAGGTGTCGATGCAGTCTGGGTGGAAGATGTGGCGGCAGGGCAGCTCGCGGACCTGGGTCTCATTGGACTCAAAGTCATCGATGCAGATGGGACATGTGGGCTGCGAGAAGGAGACGCTGTTGATTGTGGAGGCGGTGGGCGCGGAGAGGGGCTGAGCCAGAGGGGGCTTCGAACCGGTGTCTGCATCAAGGGTGGCAAGTGCTTCGGGCGGCTTTTCAACGTCGGAAGGGCCAGCGGTGTAGGTCACGATGGGCATCTTGTCGAGAATGTGTTGCGAGACGGTGAGACGTTTGACGCCGAGGGCTTCGAGGTCGACCTCACCGTTTATGACGCGCTGACGGAGGGCATTGCGGCGGCGGCGCTGGATGATGTGCATACACAGCGAAGTGGTGCCGATGGCAGCGATGAGGATGGCCAGGACGATGACCAGGAAGACCCACAGGCTGGGCAGGGTGCCGCCGGAGTCGGTGCTGACGGTGGCCCACAGGCGGACGTACGACGAGTCGTCGAAGATGCGGGCAAGCTGGTCGCCGTGGGGGACGGTGGAGATGTTGCCCGAGTACAGGTCCAGCTGGTCCATTACGTTGTTGCCGCTGATGGAGGACAGGGCGTAGGTGGGGAAGGTGTTGTCCTGCTGCCACATGCCGCCATCCTGCAGGTCCCAGGCGGGGTTGTTCAGCACGGGCGGCTGTGCATTGGTGTTGCCCGGCAGGAAGGTGAGAAAGCCCTTGGTGGTGGGGTGCTGGCGGGCCGAGGTGAAGTACTCGATGGTGCACTGGGCCGAGTACCAGGGGGCGAAGGCGATCAGGGCATAGTTGCGGTCGGAGGGCAGGTTGGCGATGCGGGTGGCGTTGGCGGGCACATGCTGCGACTCGTTCCTCTTGCAGGCCTCGGTGAAGACGTCCGGCACGTACAGAATGCCGTAGGGGTCGGCGCCCGAGTCGGCGCCCTTGGTGGACAGGGTCTGGATGTTGGTGAGGCCGCGGTACTGGAAGGAGATGGTCTCGTTGAGGGTGTTGAACTGGTTGTTGACGTAGTCGATCTTGGTGGGGTCGGGGAACTGGATGGTGAAGACGCCGATGCCACGGGCAGCTGTGCGACGGTCAGTGGCGGGCGCGCGGCTGGGCGGTGCGACGTACTCATGGTGCTGGAATGCGCGCGGCGGGTCGCCCACTACGCGCTACGTGCGCATGCTCGGGTGCTCGGGTGCGGTGCGACGGGCGGCGGCGGGCATGGGCGAGGCAGGCCAGGGCGAGGGCGAGGGCGCGGGCGAGAGCGAGGACAAGGGCGAGGGCGGGCTGCGAGAGGCGGGCGTGGAGTGCAGGGCAGAACGAGAGGGGTGGCGCGGAGCGGATGCGCGGGTGGCTGGACGGCGACTGGGGCGTAGCGTCATGGCAGGGCTGGGGAGCAGAGCAGCAGCGGCGAGGGCATGCGGGCGCAGCGTGCGAGCCAGCGGCCGGCGCGCGCAGCACGGATGCAGCAACAGCGGTACTAGCAGCGGCACCAGCAGCGGTGCCAGCAGCGGCACCAGCAGCGGCACCAGCAGCAGCGCGCGCGTGCCAGTACAAGCAGCGCTGGGTCGCGGCGAGGACTGGGTCGTTGCGGCGAGGGTTGGGGCTGGGCCGGCAAGAAGCCGTGCGCGCAGCGCCCGCAACACCACCGTCGTGATGGCGGTAACGCCGACGCCGACCCAGACTGCCACTCCAGCAACGGCGGTAGCGAACCAGCAACGGCCGCCGCGAACCAACGCGCACCGCGACCCAGCGAACAGCCCTGACCAGCGGATGGCCGTGGTAGCGAGCCGCGCACACCGGGCAGCGAGAGGGACTGCGACGCGACCGACTGCCACCGACTGAGCGAGCGACCGCCCCCGCGACAGCCCCCGCGACAGCCCCCGCGACAGCCCTCGAGACCGACTGGCTCCGCGAGCGACTGTGCCAGCGACCGAGCGACCAACTGCCCCCGCAAGCGACACACTGCCTGCGACCGGCTGCCCGCGACCGATCCCCCCGCGACGCGACCGACTGCCTGCGCCAGCGACTGCCAGCGACTGCCAGCGACACTACCAGCGACCGCCCACGCCTGATCCCCCCCACGGGTGACTGAGCCTGCCAGCTCCAGCAACCGCCCCCCCATGGCGCCCACCACCAGCAGCAAGGGCAAGGCCGTACGGCCTGGGGGCAAGGCCTCGGCCGCCCCGCGCAGCCGCAACACCACGCCGCTGCCCACGCGCCCGTCGGTCGAGCCGCCGTCGGGCGCCGCCGCCACGTACTTTGAGAAGCCGCTCAGCAGCGCCCTGCGCAAGTGCAGCGCCGCCATGGAGGACATCCTCGACACGGGCGGCGCCACCATCCCGCCCGGCAGCACGCTGATCCGCATGCGCGACCAGGTCGAGAAGACGGTGCTGCGCAGCATCGAGACGCGCTGCACCCAGGCCGAGGCCGCCCTGCGCACCCTGCACGGCCTGCGCAAGACGCGCCCGCGCGAGCCCAAGGACCCCGACGACGACCGCCGCAAGCTGAAGAAGCCCGCCGCCGCCGCCGCCGCCCCCAAGCACGACGAGCCCAGCAAGCACCCGCCCGCCGTCGGCGCCCACGGGCTCGCGCGCCAGGACGGCGGCAAGCCCAGCGCCTCGCCGCCGCCGCCGCCCGCCCCCGAAGCCGATCCCGCCTCGCCCAGCGGCTCCGACGTCTCGCACCAGCCCGCGCCCGCGCCCGCCGTGCCGCAGTTCCAGACCTTTGGCGAGGACCCCGTGGCCTTTGACGACCCCACCGTCTACCACATCCGCCCCGTCACCCCGGGCATGACCGACGACGACAAGCGCGAAATCTTCGCCGTCGCCGTCTTCCCGCCCTCGGACCTGCATGACAAGATCGCCGGCCTGCCGCCCGACAAGGACTTCTCCAACGCGAAGCCCGCCACCCAGGTCAACGCCGGCGTCTTTGCCAACTACGTCGAGCCCTACATCCGCCCGCTGACCGAGGAGGACGTGGCCTTTCTCAAGGAGCGCGGCGACCGCATCGGGCCCTTTGTGCTGCCGCGCCGCGGCCAGCGCCACTACAAGCACGTCTGGGCCGAGGAGGACGGCGCCATGCACCTCGACCCCGCCGTCGACCGCCCGCCGACCAACGTCCCGCGCGGCGCCGCCGAAGACGTCCAAGAGGATGTCCTCGAGTCCGAGGTCGTGTCCGCCGGGCCGCTCGTCTCGCGCCTGCTGGCCACCCTCCGCCCCGAAGGCCGCGGCAGCCAGCACCCCGCCAGCGACACCAACGGCCTCAACGGCGATGCCATGGACATTGACGACGGCCCCGCCGCCGCACCTGCAGACACCACCAGCGCCAGCGCCATTCCCGCCGCCACCCAGCTGCCCGACTTCATCGGCCGCGCGCCCCAGCCCAATAGCGCTCGCGCCGACTACGCGTCGCTGGAAGACCGCATGCTGATGGAGCTGAAGCACTACGGCTTCCTCTCCGAAGCCGACACCGAGACCCAATCCTACGACTCCCACTTCGACGACGAGGTCGCCCAGCGCCTGCGCTTCCTCCAGGAGGAGCTGCGCAAGCAATCCATCGTCAATGGCGCCCGCAAACAGCGCCTCCTCGAGCTCACCAATGAGCGCATCGCCCAGCAGGAATACAACACCATCGCCGACGACCTCGACAACCAGCTCAACGCCGCCTACCTCAAGCGCAATCGCAACATTGGCAAGGGCAAGAAGCAAAATAAGCGCCCCGGCGGCGCCGGCGGCGGCTCTCACGCTGTCGCCAACGCCGGCATCACGCGTCCTGGCGTTGGCGAGCCCATCAGGACCCTCATGGAGCGCCGCACTCAGTGGATCACCACCATAGGGCCCGTGGTGAACTACGGCAAGACGGGGCTGCCGACCGAGACCATCTTTCCCCCCGACAAGATGGACGAGCTGGAGAGTCGCGAGGTCGAGATCTGGAACACCGAGGCCGAGGAGTGACCGTCTTCGATTTGGACTCGCGTGGGCGTTGACGGGCATATGGACGGCGTTTGGCATGGGACTGGATGTGTTGCCTTGATGTATTGTTGGCCCCCTCGTGATCTGGCGTTATTCATAGCTGCCCGAGATGTGTACGCTACATCTACCTTGCATTCGCAAGCACTGTTTTGCCATGTATTTTACAGCAATATCCCAAACACCTCGATGAGATTAGTGCTGCATTTTGCCAAGTACTGTTTGGACCTGCCTGGGTGCAATACATCACACAGTCAAGTGCAGAAGCCTACAAATTGCATCAGGTTATCTTTTGATTTGCTCATAGGTATCACTCCACTGTCTAATTTGCCCAGCCATCCACACAACCACCACTACTACACCCGCCATCTAATCCCCCAAGCTCTGAATCTGCACCTTGATAGCGCCCGTCTTGGGATCACTCGCCGTCTTGAACGCCTCGACCGCATCCTCGAGCGCGAACCGGTGCGTCACCAGCTCCCCGAGCTTGATCACGCCGCTCTCGACCAGCCGGATCGCCTTGGGCCATGTGTTGCAGTAGCGGTATTGGAACTGCAGGTCGACCTCGCGCGTCGAGAGTCGCATAAACGGAATCTTGATCTCGTTCTTGCCCACACCGATAACAAAGACCTTGCCGCCGAACTTGACCGTCTGGATGGCGCCCGCGATCGACGACTCGACGCCGGTGCACTCAAGGGCGTGCGACGGCTCGACACCGTTGGTGAGCGCGAGGATCGCAGCCTGGAAGTCTGCGACGCTGTGGCTGAACTCGACCTTGTGCGTGAGCACCCGGGGGACCAGTTTGCGCGCAAAGTCGAGCCGGCCCTGGTCGATGTCGGTGATGACGAGGGGGGCAGCACCCGCCGCCTGCGCACACAGTAGAGTGACGAGCCCGATGGGGCCGGCGCCGCAGACAAGCACGGGGTCGCCGAGGCGGACGTTGGCCCGGTCGAAGCCTGCGAGGGCGACGGAGAGGGGCTCAAGCATGGCGCCGTCCTCAAAGGTCATGCTGTCGGGCATCTTGTGGCACCACATGGCCGGGTGCTTGAGGTAGCGACGCAGCAGGCCGGTGACGGGCGGTGTGGAGAGGAACTCGACCGACTCGCAGCCATTGTAACGGCCTGTCAGGCAGGGCTCGCACTTGTGGCAGATGATGTTGGGCTCGATCGCGACGCGGTCGCCGACCTTGAGGTTTGTGACCGAGTCGTGCACGGCCATTACTATGCCTGAAGACTCGTGGCCGAGAATGTGTGTGTCTTCAACGATCATAGGACCAATGCATCCCTGCGATTGTCAGCTCTGCTCTGCGTAGATCAAGGCACAAAGTCGAGTCCTGTCTTGACGACCCCTTGAATTTGACAGCCGGAATTGAATTCAGAACTTACCGCGTGCCAGAAGTGAATGTCGCTTCCACAGATACCGGTGCTCTTGACGTTCAGAAGAACCTCACCAATCTTGAGATCTCCACCCCTCTGCACTTCCTCCAAGCTAGGCTCTGCCTCAGCAACCCACAGCTCATGCTCTGGGTTCGTGTAAACACCAATGTTTGCCTTTGCAGGCGCGACTGTTGTGGTTGTGCTCATCTTGCCGCTCTGTGTCTCAAGTCGGGGGAATTGGGAAGAGAAGATGAACGAAGAAGAGTTCTCGAGAACACCAGAAAGAAATAGAAAACAGAAAAGTCGAGGAGAATCCGTCAGCTGCCCGTATTGCGGGGCATATCTCTCGTGGGAGCTCCGAGGTGCGTGGCGCACTGGACCCCTCTATCCCCAAACGTCACCCCGTGCCCCGCCAGCAGATTACAATGGGTCGGAAAGCCCACGAATCGAAGTCCGCCGACTCCGCGCAGTCCATCCTTCGGGCCCGATTCCTTACCAATGCGACGCAAGCCATGCTGCATTAGGGAATCCACCCAGTCTTTTACCGTCATGCGGCTGCAACGCAGCAAAACCCACGATGTTTGGCGTGGTGTTGAGGTGGATCTGTGCCGCATGGGCTCGGTGTTTTCGCCGTGGTCCTTCGGATCCCAAGCATGGTTGGATTCGAGCGCTCTGGACCCTGCATAATCATCGGGGCGCCAGCGAAGTCTTAATTCTCGAATTGGCAATGCTCGGGGCTCTCCCGAATATCCCCAGTAGCGTCGGCGTATGCCCTTTGCTTTAGAGAATGTCTTCCTGCCTCACTGCGTTGCTCCCCGTCGATACCAAACCCCCGAAATCAGCCCATGTTAAGTGCGTGCCAATAGCAGCATCGTACGCCAGCTGCGCGTTAGTCGACTTCCGCTTCCTCTCTGGCCATGTTCTATTCTTGCTCGAAGTAATGTAAGGGCGTGGTGTGGAAGCCGCGAACGCCAGCCCTTCTTTTACCGGTGGTTCCGCTGGTGGTTGCTCTGCCGATAGCCCAGGCATCGGATCTAATGCAGACCGCTGTTCACTGAAGTCTTTCGTAGTTGATTTTGCAACATCCGCCATCATTTGCTCTTCCTCGGCCTTGGGCTCTTTCACAACTTGCTCAGCGTTCAATTCTGCGACCCCCGGCTTCGTAATGTTTGAAATCGTGATCTCAGGGGCAGTCTCAAACTGCGTGTTTTGTTGACTCTCATCCTGATCCCGCTTCTGGGAGCCTGCAAGAGGCTGTCTCTTCTGGAAGATACGGAGCATCTCAGCATCGTGGCGGAAGATTTGCGCTGAGCAATGCTCACCGAAGAGAGCCCTCGAACTGAAGCCGGGGGTCCAGGTTGACTCGTCCACTGTACACGGAAAGACATCGCGGGGATTGAATGCAGCAACGAGTTCGCAAAGTTCCGAGTACGAAGAGTGTCGTGAGTACGGGAATCGAATGGTCTTGGTTCGATGCGTTCCCTTACTATCATCGTGCGTTTTGGAAGCACGTGATGCCAGAGCGGCGACGAAGTTCTGCAACGAAAGATCGTCCTCGCTGGCTTGGGTTTCCCTCTGCAACTGCAGGCCAAAATCCATCGAGGCCTCGCCTGTATTGAGAGCATGCTGCAGCAATGCTAGCACCTTTGATGATAAGTCTGGATTGTCGATGGATTGAACACAGAGCTCCATCAGTCGACCTATAGCAGCGACATCGCCAGTCTCCAGCTCTTCCTTCTGGTCGAGGTCGCCTTTGCCACCACCAGCGCCCAACTCCGCAATCTCTATACCGTTGGCCCGAGTAACGATTGGGATGATGTGGACAATGTTCTTATCTGCATCTTTGTCCATGACACTGCAGCCCATTCCGCGCTCACAGCTGTGTATTCGAGCATTCTCTGATGAAGTTAAGCAGCCCGGCTGCACATGGTTGCCGTTTCTGAACCCGCAAAGCGCAGCGGCTTCACGTATCTCGATGCCTGCCTCTCTCAAAAACTTATTTTCACTCTGCACATCAAGTCCTGCTTCTCTCAGACTTCTCCTATCCAATGAGGATAGCGAGCCGTATATGCGCGTGCGATACTCGTCGAGATGTATGCGCGAATCAAGGAATGTGGACAACCCACCCAGACATTTTCGTAGCCAAACGTCCAGGCGTGAAAGTAGAATATAGTGTCCTGCGGGTAAGAGCTGACTTGCTCCAGCAACTCTCTGATGCCCTCCGCCTTTGAGGGAAAGGTCTTGTAAGGCGCATGCTTGGTCGCGAACGTGGTGTCAAGGTAGATGCAGTCAAGGCTTCGTAGTCCAAGTGCGTAGGGGGCTAGAACAGGATTCTGAACGATTGAGTTGACCCACCATGCCTCTGCGCGAATATCGCCCGTGTAGAGCACTGCTTTGCCGTTCCCTTCGATGAGGAACATAACAGCACCAACGCAGTGATTGGCGTCGATCAAGGTAACTCGGATGCTATTGCCAGGCGCCAGCTCGATCGTAGTAGGCGTGTCCAGCGGAAGTGGTTTTGCCAGCTTGCGCATGCTCCTGTCATATGTAACGTTACGGCTCTCGAGTATACCTTTCGCAAAATTGACTCGATAATGGAATTTCTCGAGCCGTAGCAAAATCTGACAGGCAGTGTCAACGAACGCAGGTTCAAGTTTGTCTCTCGCACCTACCTCTCGGGTAGCAGCCGAGCAATAAACAAAAGGTGCTCGCAATGAATCAAGTCCCGCAAGGTGGTCTGAATGCACATGACTGAGGAAGCACGCTAAGGGCGCTTTGTGTTCAGGTTGGTGCCGGAAGTAATCGAGCCTGATCTGGGGGAACTCTGCGTGGAGTCAGCACGGCGCTGGCTCCATGAAGGCGACGGCTTTTACCAGCTACAATGCCTTTGAATGTAGACATTGTCGCAAGATTTGCGCTGGTCCAACGTCATTTCAAAGATAGCTGGGAGGTTGCGCACAGTCTAGGTGGCGGTGTCGTAGCTTTAGAGGTGAAAGTCATGCAGCCAGTGACCAGAACCGCAACCAGCCTAGCACGACCCTCAAGCTGACCAACTTCAACCCTAAATTTGTAGCTACAATGATAATGATCAGAGCTAAAAATGAAGTAGGCATCCTGTGATGTAGGCGAAGGCATTCTACAAAAGGCTTTTACATTGTTGCCTAACATGGTTATCGCGTGGTGGACTTGGCTTACATCCTCCATCCATCATATATCATAGAACCTGCGAAATACCCGAACCTCGTTCAAGGGTTGGTTATGGTATTAACATTATGTACGGAATATGCATGGCGATCGTAACGATCGTTGAAATCTAATGACGCCCCCAATGCTAAGAGAACCCGCTCCGCGCAACAGAATGCTGCAATTCATCGTGCTTCGCACATCTCACTCCTCTTTCGGTTTCGTGATCGGGTTGCCTGCCTCATCGACAAGACCCTTTGCCCTCATAACCTTGAGAGCGTCGTGGATGGGGTCGAGCTCGGGGCAGGGTGCCCTATGGGAGTCGAAGTAGTTGTCACACCAGGTGAAATACTGTCCGTAGTTGACAGTGAAGTACATGTGGTGCAGTGTGTGGTGAGCAGGACTGTTAATGAATTTCTCCGTCCAGTGACCGGAGATCATGTCGCCATCGTGAATAAAGATGGTCCAAATCTGTACCGCGACAAAGAGCACCATATAAAGATACCGGTTCATGGGGCAGAAGAACACGAAAGCACTGATCATGTGTTAGTAGAGTGACCATTGCGTGATTTCTGACCAGATGGGGCTTACTGGTATGGCAGCGACTGTACGTAGCCATCGAGCGGGTGGAATGCTAATGCAGCCCAAGGTGTAGGAACTATCGTAATGTTAATGTGACTTCTTCTGTTCAAACGACGGGGAGACTGACCGATCCACTTGTGATGTGGCTTGTGGATGTACTTGTAAACACTGGGGTGGTGTTCCAGGCGATGAATCCAATAGATGGCAACATCGTTAAAAGCCATGTACAGGAGCGACGAAACACCAAGCCAGGCCCAGCCGTACGACTCGACATCGCCGTACAGCAAGCTGTGTCCACGAACTTCAGCCAAAAACCAGGGAAGGGTCAAGAGATTGATGAATGGCACGGCGGTCATGGATGACTTGATCTCCTGGCGCACTTGGTTCTTGAGGAACCTCGGGTGATACTCCAGGCGTCGATCAAAAACGAAGTAATACGAAAGTGCACTGAAGAAGAAGTAGAGCGCAGAGGCCCCGAATTGCGTGATGAGAAGAATTGAGATGCATTGGCGATAAATGTTGTTGCGGTCCCAAAGGGAGAGAGGCGCCGCACCCGCTGTCAGGAGGTTTGTCGCGTCCGAGGAATTGTTGCTGAAGCTGGCTCCTGGGTGCGGCAAAGCCCAAGCGTAGGCCTTGTCGAAGACGAGGGGGTCGAGGAGTTCTAGTGCGACATCCATGGCTCAATGTGGGCGTCGATGTTGGTGTGCGAGAACTTGGAAGAAGGGCGACAGCAGCGAGGATGTTTGTTTGAAGGTGGCCCGTAATTTGCCATCTCGTTTATCAGATTAGATCCTTTACGCATCGTTCGACTCGGATCAGAACGGCAAGAAAAATTGCCGGGGTTCTTGGCAGGGGTGGCGGGTCTCTGACAGGCCGCGGCTCTAGATCGTCGGCGCTAGCACGCCTGAACGGCCAACAGAAGTGGAGTCTCTCTCCAGGTGGAAGCTTGCCACCTGTCCCTGAATTTTCCATCTAATACACATGAATGCAACGTCAGATGCTGTATTTTACGGCTTCCCATTTCATTGTGACATGTATGTTGACACATGGGGAAGCCCTGAGTGTTGAGATTTGATAGGCGTCATATGAAGTAACGATGCCCAGTTTTAACACTATGATACATGATTATAGACGGATCGTTTTCGACATAAAATACAGCTTAGACATCCTACAAATAAGACGTGACGAGACTTTCAAAGTATCGTCTGGCGCCCTTCAGACTGATACTGGCTTGCTTCTTCAGACGGTCTGCGTCTGTGAGCTTTCGACCAAGAGCTTCCTCCAACACCCGTATGGCCGATTCTTCGGCAGGCTGGTTTACGACTTGCATGTTCATGCCACCATGCTCAACATCACGCTTGCCGACTACGATGATATGGTTATACTTCTTGGAGCGAGCATCGGCAATTTTTTTGCCGAGTGGCCGATTGGTAGTGTCAACATCGATCGGCAAGTGGATATTTGAGAGCGGCAGTGGCTTAGGCGCCGATGACGGACTGGGCGTCGGGGTTTCGTGAGACTGGACGCCGGAGAGGACGGACTGGATGCGCGAGACGTGGTCCAGCACAGCGGGCTCGGAATTGAGCGACAGAATAATGGCTGGTCGTGGGGATAGCCAGAACGGATATTTGCCTGCATAGTGCTCGATGAGCAGAGCCATGAAGCGTTCGATGGATCCATAGATAGCGCGGTGGACAATAACCGGACGACGATAATTTGGGTCAAGGCCGGCATCCATTGATGAAGTTGAGCCGGCGTCCAACTCATCTGGCGACGCCTGATATTGCAAGTCGAAGCGCTGCGGCAGCTGAAAGTCGAGCTGTATGGTCGCCGTCTGATGCTCCTTGCCGTTCGAGTCTTTCAGGATGATGTCAATCTTGGGCCCGTAAAATGCGCCATCGCCTTCATTGATGGCCCAATCACCCCCGATGTTGTTCAAGGCGGTGGTTAGCTGCGCCTCAGCCCGGTCCCACTCCTCGATGCTGCCGATAAAGCTGTCCTTTGGCCGTGTGGACAGAAGAAGCTTGTAAGGACCTAGACCGAATGTCTCATACACCATGCCGACGAATTTCAGCGTCTGTTCGATCTCGGCTAGGATCTGGTCTGGTCGGCAGAAGATGTGCGCATCGTCTTGGTGGAACCTTCGCACTCTCGTCAGGCCGGTCAATGATCCCGATATCTCGTTTCGATGCAGGGCGCTGAAATCTGCGAGGCGGACGGGCAGGTCGCGGTAGCTCTTAATGTCGGTGCTGAATAGCAGACAATGGCCGGGGCAGTTCATTGGCTTCAGCCCCATTTCCTCCTCCTCCTCGCCCTTCTTGTCCCTGCCCTCCACACTGAACATGTCCTCTGCATAGTTCTGCCAGTGGCCCGACTTCTCCCACAGCGACTTCTTGTATATTATAGGCGTGATGACCTCTTGGAAGCCGAACTGCGGGTACTGGGCGCGCAGGAACGCCTGCAGTTTCTGGAAAACGTATGCGCCATTGGGGAGGATAAGTGGCGAGCCCGGGCTGTAGGGAGATGTTATGAACAGGTTGTGTGTCGCTGCGAGCGTGCGGTGGTCAAGCGCGGGTGTGGGCGGCGCAACAGCTGCATCTGTGGTGTCGAGCTGTGCGTCTGGTGCTGAGGAGAGCTTCACCGAGGCATGGAAGCGGTGCGGCGTGGAGCTCGAGCAGCTGCGAAGCAACACCCGGGCAGCTGGGCGGCTCCAGCGCAGGGGGGCTCGCAGTGCTGGGCGAAGCGTGGGTAGCATCGAGTGGACTGGCACTCAATGGCCTGAGTAGGTTACAGCTGCACTGAGAACTGGCGCCTTGGCAGCCATCGGCCACTGCCTTCTACGCTTCGGCGGCGTGCGGCCCGGTCTTCTCCTCTGTGTACAAACAGTGCTCGCATCAAGATTCCATGTGCGATATTGTTTGTTGATTGCCTCCACGGTGCACCAAGTCGTTGAAGAGGACGTCACGTTACCTGGTCGAGCCTGATTGGCAAGCGCCTACATACGTCACAAGATGTTTGCTCTTTGTGGTTATTGTTCCTATATAGTGGCGGGAGTCCTCTCGCCAGCCTCCTACTCAGACATCTTCAGTAGTGACACCTTCACTCCGCCTTGATCTGCTCTTTCGTAAGGCGACGCAGCGGATATTCTTATCGCGCAGCCCCCAGCATCTCATCTGAAGCGCGTCGACTGCCTCCAGCCGCCGCGCATAGTACCGACCACAACCGCCTACGCCTGAAAGATCGACTGTCCCCAGAAATCCACAATGGCGAGGGGCGGCAAAAGCACACGACGGAAGCCGAATGAAAAGCTTGGCGATAGCTGGGACGATACTCACTATTCCACTGATGGCGGCGTCTCCACTGCAAACCACAGTGAAATCGAGCTGGAGCCATCCGACACCGAGCTTGCAAAAGAACAAAAGTCCAAGTTCCCGGCTTCCGCGCATGACCAAAGCCCTCTACCCCACTCCCTTCTCAAGGGCTCTGCAGCTACAAGCTCGAGATCGGATGACGCCGAGCGCACTCCACGTCCGCCAAAGCCGGCTCAGCCCACGACACAAACAGAAGGGCCCAGCTTCATCATGCCAAAGTTGGAAAGCTCCCTACATTCTTCGAGTGACTCACCGTCACGGAGATCGCAGGTTCGCACCAAAAATACGCGGAACAAGACGCCGCACCTGCGGACCTCTGATCGCTCTTCCACGTCTTATTCTCCTTCCACCTCGGGAAGTCAACCATCACCCGCACCGGTAGCGCAGCACCGACGCCTCTATATTTCAGATTATATTGGTCACGTCTACAAAAGCTTCGTTTCTCCGGTAGCTCATTACGTCCTTGGTGTATTCGGTCACGCCATGGGCAATCTTCAGCCCTTTTTTGGATTCGTACTGGCCGTTCTAGTACTTATTTTTAGCATTCAATGGGCTGTCGGTAACTTCAGATCAGGAATGACAGCCGTTTTGTCGCCGATCTGTCTCATCCCCGGTTCATCCTACGTTGTGCCATTCTGCATAACAGGGGCCCGAGATGACCCGCGAGTCGATTTTGAAGGACTAGTGAACGCGCAATCCGGGCTGGAGGATATTCTGGGGGCAGCGAAAGATACTTCGACCCTCCCATCCACTATCAAGGACTCTGAAATCGCCATTCGCGACCTGCGCACCCTTGTCCGCCATTCTCGTCTCCCCTCGCGACACCAGCTCGATCTGGAATTCGAGAACTTTGTCCTCACAGCCAGTGAAGCCTCTATAGATCTCTCGCGGTTCAACTCCCGCATTGGAGCAACCGTGGATCGCATCATCGCAACAAACACTTGGACGAGGGCTGTCTTGTCAGGCATCTCCGAGCAAGAAGGTTCTTACGGTGCACTCGATCGCGTCTATGGTGTTCTGACCAGTCCTTTCGTTGCTCCGCCACCAACGCTCCAAGAGCGTATCTTCGAGCAATACTCACTCCATGTCAGCAAAAACACGGAGGAGATCGGCAGGCTCATCGATACCGCGGTCGCTCTGCTCTCTGTGCTGCAGAATCTGGACGAACGATTGGACACCATCTACCAAATCGCGACGGGCGATGACGCAACAATCACCAAGAACCAGGAGGAGCTCCTGGCGCAACTCTGGACTAAACTTGGTGGCAATAATTCCAAAGTCAAGGCCAACAACAAACACCTCCATTTGCTGAAGAACATCTCGGCATATCGGAAACAAGCGCTCAATCACGTGTCGGGCACGCTTCTGAAGCTCAGGGGAATCCAAGCCGAACTGGAGAATCTACGAGAGGGCGTTGCGGCGCCCGAGGTTCTGGGTTGGAGAGACGGACTACCCATCACGTACCATCTGGATTTGATTGACAGAGGCGTTGAACGTCTGAGAACGGCGAGGGGGGAGAGTATGAGAGTCGAGGGAGAGACGTACAGGAACTTGATCCGCGGTGGAGAGGAGAAGGGGCGGAAAGAGCTGCCTGCACCGATCGTGACTGCGAGGGCGAAGTAAGCATGACGGGTGTTGGGCTCAAGACAGGTTTTGAATACTGCGCTCAGGTTGAATTACTCATGGCTTTAGAACGTATGTGGATACCCCAAGTTTCCTTGCAATGCGATGTAATTACATGACATCTCTCCAGACAGATTGTAAAACACTGCCTTCAGGTTGGATCGCTTACGAGTTTGAAATGTGCGTAGATAGCCCGAGTTTTCCTGCAATGCAACATGGTTACATGACGTTGCAAATTCAACACATTTGCACCTCAAGCAAGCACCTCCTTACACCACCCGTCTCCAAGCCTTCAAAGTCCGTCTCATATGCGACGGCCCCACGATTGGCGCATTCTTCCCTAAAGGCATCGACACTGCCACCGACACCGAAATATACCCTCTTTGCAGCCACGATGGCCTTGCCCGTCTTCACTCTGGACATGAGGGCTACGATGATGTCTGCAAATGCACTCAGGGAGGCAGGCGAATAGATTGTTTCAGAACCGAGTACGAAGGTATCTAATTGAGGGGTTGAAGGGACGAGGTCCAGAAAGGCGGTTGTCGGCGTCCAAGAGCCAGAGAGAAGGTTCAGGGTTAAGCCGATGGACTGTAATTGCTGCTTGAACAAGGCCAGAATTTCGGGAGTGAGGTAGAGATCGCCGTGGTCTTCTTCAGTGTTGTGCAATGGGTTGCCGTCTGGAAACAGCTTTGCGCTGTCCTCCTCTGGTAGTGCGGCAGCCCAGGCGAGAACGAGGTTTGGGAGAGTTATTAAGCGAACGACGTCTGCATTGTAGTCGGCTAATGTGAAGATGATGCTCAGTTGATTCTTCAATGCGTACTGGAAGAGCAGCAGTGATGGCACGGCAGATCCGCAGCCTAGCTCAACGACATGGTTCACTCTGACTAGATCGTCTAGGTCCTTGCGGGGTCCACGGTCGAGCAGGAACTTGACGAGATCGAGACTGCATTCCCAGGTCTTGTATCCGCCCTCGTAGACGTTGGTCTGAAGGTCCGTATTCTCAAGGCCTGCGAGAACATTCTCTTGCGAGCCATCGTCTTCAGCCATCAACTGGACGCGGACGTCGAAGATCTCCCGTCTGGGAAGACGGGCAGTGAAGCCTTTGGGCGAGGTGACGATGAGTGTGGAGAAGGCGAGTTTGTCGGGTAGGCTGGACAGCTTTCAGGTGTCAGTAGGGAGACGACGTGGTAGGTTCGGCGCGCAAAGACTCAGGTCCGTCGCCAGTGTTCCGTTGAGGTAGCCTACATACCAGCTCGTTCAGGTCATGTGCTCTGGCTGCAATTGGTGGCGGAACGTCGGCGGCAGGCGCACTTGTTGCTTGTGGCTGGAGTGCAGCATCGTTCGGATCCTCCTCTATGTCGTCGCCGGAGAAGGCAAAGCTGAAAGCCATGGCGCGTATGTGCAGGGACAGAGCGAGGCGGGCGCGGGCATGTGAAGGTGGGGAACATTTTTGAGCGGTGCTTATCGATAAGAGGCGTGCTGGTGCTAGCTCTTGCCGTTGAGGCCGTTCGCCTGGGCGTCCTCGTTCTTGGTGCGCAGCAGCTGGGCGTTGCAGGCGTCCAGCGTCTCCTTGGGCAGGTCCCAGGCTGCCGTGTCGATGCCCTGAGCGTGGGCGTCGGCGATGATCTGCTGGCGCTCGACGATCTTGTCGCGCATGAACCTGATGGTGGCCTCGAGCACCACGGCCTCGCTGCGCCCCTGGCCGTCCATGCCCGGCACGATCGAGGCCAGACGGTCGAAGCCCTCGCGGATGGCCTCGCGGCGCTTCTGCTCGGAGCGGATGTGGTTTTCCTTCTTCTGGGCCTCGGTCAGGCGCGGGCGGTCGTTTGCGTTGGTCGGGCTTTGCGAGCCCATGGCGGCGCGGAGGGGGGGGAGGTGCAGGGGGTGCAGGGGGTGCAGAGGACGTAGCGGGTGCAGAGGGTGCAGAGGGTGCAGAGGATGCGTGGGTGCGTGTGTGCAGTGTGTGTGTGCGTGTGTGCGCGTGTATACAACAGTGCAGCGTTGACAGTCGCGCGGGGCCGGGGGCTCAGCCCGGTGATATGCGCCTGCACTGCACTGCTCCGGCGAGCATGTGAGAGGGGCCGGCGCCACTGCGCGCAACGGCAGCCCAGCCACCACAGCCTCACGCAGCACGGCGGCCGCGCTGCAAGCTGGACCGCGGCGCCGTCTGCCGTCTGCGGTCGGCGGGCACGGGCGGTGTGGTGCTGGCCCGTCTGCATCAGGGCCTCTGCATCAGGGCCTCTGCACCAGGGCCTCTGCACCAGTGCCTCTGCGTCTGCAGCGCACGCCCAACGATCGCTGCAGGGAGCGCGGGCAGCGGCTCCTGCTGGCACGGCGGCCGTGCTGCTGCCATGCTGGCACCCTCACCTGCACGGGCAGTAGTGTAATTGCCGTGACGAGGCTAATTAAACCCATGGCCTGAACGCCTGCGTGCCTCCATGTCTCCATGCTCGACGTGACGCAGCCTGCCACCGCCCGGCGCAGCTCTCCCGTCACACGTCGCCCGCGTCCCACCACCGCCGTGCTCTCTGCGCCTGCGCCTGCGCCTGCGACCAGCAGCTGCCCCCGCCCGCCGCGCTGCCCGCGCCGCCCCCGACCTCGCCCCCTCGCCCATCGCCTGCTTGCTATGCGCCCGTGAGCCCAGCGGCCCCTCGCCCCAGCCCAGCGGCCCCTCGCCCTCGCCCTCGCCCTCGCCCTCGCCCTCGCCCCAGCCCGCCCCCTACGCCGCCATGGACGCGACACGCATCAGCAACCGCCGCATAAACAGCGTCCAGACCCGCGAGCGCCTGCAGCGCCACGGCTCGGCCAGTGCCCGCGCGAGCAGGCGCCCCGTCTCCGCCCAGGACGCCTACCTGTACGCCCTGCGCGTCGCCTACCTCCAGTACCTGCTGCAGCCCCGCCAGAAGCGCGTCCAGCATGTGCCCGCCCCCAAGCCCGTCCAGCGCGTGTCCACCACCACCGCCGCCAACGTCATATCCGAGATCGCCTCCATCCGCGACTCCAAGAGCTCCAAGTTCCCCCATGGCTTCATGGCCGAGCTGGAGAAGCGCGTGACAAAGGTCCTGATCGGCACCGAGAAGATGCCCGAGTTCAGGGACGCCGCTGTCAAGCGCACCTTTGCCGTCTTCCTCAACGCCTTCAAGGAGCCGCAGGCCCGCCGGAACATGGAGCAGGACCGCAAGGTCGAGGGCCTGGTGCTCATGTTCTTCTCCACCGCCACCAAGGAGATGCAGCGGGGCAAGCAGCTGGGCGACGACAGCTACAAGCTCATGGTCGACCGCCACCTGGCCCTCTTCATCCGCCTGATCAGCTCCACGCTCCGGGACCATGACTGGCAGCGCGACCGGCCCGAGCTGCTGCAGCGGCTCCAGACCATGGAGAAGAAGCTGCTGGTCCACGACCAAGACTTGACCGCCGAGAGCCAGCGCAACGGTGGCCAAGGGGGCACCTCGGTCGAGGTGCTCGTGGAGCGCTCTTATGAGGTCAAGGACATGCCCCTTGTCCTCATTGTCTCGCGCATCTTCTCCGTGTCTTACTCGGATGTCCAAGCAGACATCACCCGATACAAAGACACGTGGACAGAGCAGGCAGCCTTACAGGACCTGAAAACATACCAGACCAGTCTCAGTCTCATGACAAAGAAGACGCTCAACATTGAAGACTTCGACGTGGACGAGGCCTACGAGCTGTGGAAGAGTCAAGAGACGTCTGAGCTTTCGCGCTTGATCATGGAGCTGCTGCAAGCAAACCCAGATCTGGCCAAGAGTTCATCGCAAGGAGCAGCAGCCCAGCTCAGATCTCACAACGCATCTGTCGACCTGGGCTCAAGACAAGGCTCGCAGTCCTCGGAAAGTGGCTACGGGCTTGACCAGGCCATGGATGGTCTCAGCATGCGCGACGACCTTGCAAACGGCGACGAGTCGTACACGTTCATTCCATCAGACCCTCGCAGCTACTATCGCGCCATCGTAAAAGAAGCCCTTACATACGATCTAGCCGACGCGCAACAGAATGACGGAGCCACCGAATACATTGGCTTGCTGTCCAAGCAGTCCCATGATCTACTCAGCGATATCGCTCTTAGATGGAGACTGCCTCTACCTTCGCGCTTCATGTTGTATCTGGATGTCATTCGCGAGAAGTACCTGGACCAAGAGCTGGATCTTGATACTCTGGATGCAGCTTTTAACTTTGTAAAGGAGCCGCCGCCAACCGAGAAGAAGTCGAACCGTATGAGCATGATGCAGATGCCAGCTCCCGACGTATTGTCTGACCGTTCGAAATGGACCGTCCACGACTTTTTGCTCAACCAGCAGATCCTGACATCACTGCACGATGCGCTACTGCGTGAGCTCTTTGAGCTGATGATGTTCGTTTATGACACCAAAGCACCTCCGCTAGGACCTATCATGTACATCATCACAAGTCACATCTACGAGGATCCCATTTTCCAAGCGCCTGAAGAGGCCTTGAATCAATTCACCGAACAGCTTCGACAATCGCTCCGACGGAAAGCAGGCGATGTGTACGGAGAGATGCTGGCCAAGAACATCCCAGACACCAGGGAGGATTGGGAGTTCTACCACGTTATTGAGCTTGGGCGAGCGGTAGTGAAGCTATGTGAGAAGATTCAAAAGCGATACCGCAAGACACCCGAGATAATGGGTGTCAGTCCCATGATGTGTCTGGTTGAAGAGATGTTCCCGGCATACGCAACAGACGCAAGAGACATAGCCTCACGTATCATGGATGTGGCTCATTCCAAAGGCGACGACATACCTGTGCAGGATGGTTTCGATCTCTACAAAGAAATGGTGGATATCCGTCGCATACACAGCGATGCTCTGCCTAATCAACGGTTTGCATTCAACATCGAGGGTTTGTTGCAAGAGTTCGTCTGGCGATGGATACAGATGACAGACTCAAACCTCATTAGTTGGGTCGACAATGCATTGAAGGCGGATCAATTTCAGATCCAATCCCAGAACCCAGTACCCGCTGATGACGAGCGACACAGTGTCTCGGTGGTGGACATTTTCCGATCATTCAATCAGAGCATAGAGCAGATTGTGGCGTTGAATTGGGACGATGATCTACAGTACGCCAAGTTCATGACTGCTGTGTCAAAATCTATCGGCCTGGCTCTTGCGAGGTACTGTGATCTTGTTGAGCAAAAGTTTGCGAGGGAAATGGATCGCTTGACACCGGAGCAGGAAGCTGCTGCGCGACAGACAAAAACCCAGCAGTGGGCAACTATGGCCAAGGACTTGTATGCACAGAAAGAAACTGTTGCGCCGTTCAACTTCTGGCCTGAGGTAAGATTGAAATCGTTGCCAATGTCGCTCGTGCTAAGTCTTGTAGTCACTCGTCAAGCTCAACAATATTGAATACGCCATGCAGCAGCTCGACAAACTGGAGCGTGAGATGGATGTGGATGCATGTGCGGAAGTCATTCAGAAGCACGCACCGCCTCCGACTCAACGGATTCGCAACAACAACTTCGTCTTCACCATTAAGATCATCGAAGCGGAGGACCTCAAGGCATGTGACATGAACGGTCTCAGCGACCCATACGTCGTTCTTGGCGACGAGTACCAGAAGCGTCTTGCAAAAACACGAGTCATCTATGGTAACCTGAGCCCGCGATGGGATGAAACGATCGATATCACCACAAATGGACCGCTCAACATTGTTGCCACTATTTGGGACTGGGACACACTCGGTGACCATGATTGCGTGGGTCGAACGTCGCTCAAACTTGATCCTTCGCACTTCAGGGATTATATGCCACGCGAGTACTGGCTGGATCTCGATACCCAAGGTCGTTTGCTGCTTCGTGTGAGCATGGAAGGCGAGCGAGACGATATCCAGTTTTACTTTGGAAAGTCGTTCAGAACGCTCAAGAGAACCGAGCGAGATATGACACGAAAAATCACAGACAAGGTAATCCGCGCGCTTCGTTGCCTGGTTCGCACATGCTGACAGTATTAGCTCTCATCTTTCATCAATCACACGCTTTCTAGGCGGACACTGAAAGCGTTATTGAATCGAGGCATTTCAGTGACATCAGTCACCAATTACTTCCGAGCAGCTAGACCGCAGTCCGTCATCCAGGGCCCAACACAGCAGGAGGTCACACAGGCCCTTGACCCTCTATTCGCATACTTCGACGAGAATTTCGCCATCATGAAGCAGACCCTTACAGATGCTGCCATGATCATGGTCATGACTCGTCTATGGAAGGAAGCTCTAGCAACGATAGAGTCATTGCTTGTTCCTCCCCTTTCGGACAAACTCTCTCAGCAGCGCCCGCTGACGCAGCAAGAGCTCGATATTGTATTCAAATGGCTCAAGTTGCTCTTTGACTTTTTCCACGCCGCTGATGAAGACGGGAATGTCGAAGGCGTGCCCATGGACGTCCTCAAATCACCCAAATACCACGAACTCCAGAATCTCAACTTCTTCTACTTTGAGTCCTCGGAAGATCTCATCCGCACCAGCGAGGCCATGGCCGGCGCCAGCGCTCGTAGGCAACAAGAAACGGCGGCAAGGATGAACAGGCAATCCGCGCCGCCCACTATGGGTCATCAATTTGGCGGTGCTGCTGGGCTTGTGGGCATGCCAACACGGAAACACAAGACGATTATGTTAAGTAGAAACTTGGGCACGATGAAGAAGGCCAAGGAAGAGAAGCGGAAGGAGGCACAGGCTGAACCAAACGATGACATGATTCTGAGGATATTGAGAATGCGACCTGAGGCTGAGAGGTACTTGAAAGATCGAAGCAGGCAGAAGGTATGTTGCATGCTCTTTCATCATGGGCACTTACTGACAGAGGGGTTAGGAACGACTCGCCGCTGCGCAGGCCGCAGAGATGATAGTACGACAGAGCTTGAATGCCGGCGGTGGCCGCATGGCAGGTCTCGGTGCGGCTCGCGGAAGATAGAACACCTGCGGCGTACATGAGTAGATCCCTTTCCCTTCGCCTAAGATACCTTTGCATTGTTATGTTCGACATGGGATTGGCGCACGCTGAAAGGTAGTATCTAATCATAATCTCAATGCTCTGAGGTCCACAACGCAAGCTGGACGCTTCGCACCTGATCGTAGGTGTGGTATATTTCTGTGTACATGACCAAGAATGCGCTTCGACTGAGGGTGAGCTTAAATCGATTCAAAGAAGCCCCTTTGACTCTGACCTTTTGTTCCCCTTTGCCCTTCTCACATGTACATTGTCTTCACAGCTCTGGAAACTGTCGTTAACGATCTCCATCACCCTATCTACTAGAGCTGATGCTGCTGCACCTAGGCACATCTGAATAGTCATCTGGCACTTCTGTAGGATCCAACTCATGCTTATTCCAGATGATAGGCCGCAAGAGTATAATGAAATAGCTGCACTTCAATGCGGTTCATCTTACAATAGACCCCTTGAAATACCGTCACGCCTTCTTGCCCGATGTTGCAATGTTGTTAAGCAGAGAGGTAGATTTTTACCTTGGTCCCAGTCATGGGCATTCTCTTGACACAGCCCCCGATCTAACAAGATGCTAGCTCTACTGTCTGTGTACTCTTCGACACATCTTGCACGCACACGACTAACGCCAAAAACAGAAAGCCGTGACTGGCTACAGAGCTTCTGTGGATGGGGCGGATGGCATCCTTGCAGTTGGTAAGATTCTCCGAGTTAGGCTAGAGGGGCATAGCACAGGTGACGTGGGTGTTTAGCATACGCAGTATAACAAATGAGAGAGTTGATTGCACAATCGACTATTGGTATCTACACATGGCTTCTTTCAGTCTCCTCGTCTACCACTCCGCGCCGGGCTTTCTGGCCTGTGGCGCTGTTAGCAACGGTTGAGCTGCCGTTTGGCAGGATAACTTACCAGCATAGCGCCTTTTCCTCCAAGCTCGGCCTCCAGACCGTCAGGGTATGTCTTCGGAGCGCTGACCTTGTCCGGATAGACCTGCTTCACGGCAACGCACAGGCCAACGACTGTCACGACGAAAGTGCCAAATAGCACGCCACCCCATCCAGGTGTGAAGTGGTTGTAGTCGTGCAGCGAGACAGCACCCAGGATGTCGTGGTCCTCGTGGCAGGGCTCGCCGTAGTTGCGGCGGTCCTGTTTGTCCCACCAGTCGGCGTAGGGGTCACGGTTGCTGCGCTTCTCGAGGGGAGGGTTGATGTAGCCGCCGTTCTGGTTGGGGTCGGCCAGCTCGGCGCGCTCGTGTGCGGTGAGTGCTGTGCGGCGCTGGGTGAATTGCGGGACGGCGGTCGAGCGCAGCACAGTGCTGGGGAGTGGGCGAGCCGCTGCGATGCGCCGGGAAAGCATGCTGGAAGCGCGTCGGCAGCTTTGGGAGAGCAATTGAGCACGAGGTGTACGTGAAGGCGGAGTTGCGGGGGCGGGTGTGTAATTGCTGGTCGACCTGAGGTTCGTGGTGAGCTCGGTCTTGGCGCAACTATGCACTATCCCCCATTGGGTAATGGACTGATGTCACGCAAGTAGGCACGAATGGTGCGAAGTAGAGTGTGCGGACAGAGTCGCGCCTGGGACATGTTCAGCGAATGCTCGGCGTGGCCTACATGGTCGTCAGTGCCACCAGGGACGCCGACTCTATGCGGCCGCAGAGCATTTGCAGGCTGCTTCTGCAGACGTGGCTCTGCGTGTAGGGATGGCAGGAGTAAGGGTACACTGTAGCAGGAGTAGCTTGCAACTTGACTACGTACACTCTCACGACCTCTACTCTCTAGCACTGTGCTTATAAGTGTTTACTGAGGCGCAGGTTGTGCCATGCTCATCTGGTGGTATGTAGGTACTTCGTGCTTCGTACTTACTGCGCTCGCGCTAGTGCGCGTGAGCCAATCCGACTTTTGGAACCCGGCGTTGGATCCTCACAACACAAACACTCGCTTGCCGCTGCAGCACCAACGCGAATTGCTAGCGCGAATCCGAGAGCAGCAGCATTAACGGCACACGCAGGCGGACTGCAGGGCGCCTTTTGCGGGGCGATATATGTTGTGTGCGCCGGGCCGTCTCCCTGCTGCGAGGCTTTCCGAGGCAGCATCCCTCTCTGAATGGAACCGGGCACGCCTGCTGGCGACGCGCACTCGACCCCCCACCACGAGCCCAGCAGCGCCGACTCCGAGCACGCCGCGCCCCATGGCGCCAGCACCCACACCGACGTCAAGGTGCCGATTAAAGAGGAAGCCGCCGCCGCCGCCCTCGATGGCATCGATGACGCGCGTGTCACGCCGCGCCCGGCCAAACGGCGGCGGGTTGAGTCGTCCACGTCGCGCTCCACTTCACGCGCCGCATCGCCGCCCTGGAAGTCCTTCAGCGCCCACGGGCCCACGACCGTCTTCGAGAACGGCGTCCGCAAGTCGTCGCGCGTGAACAGAGACGCGCTCCCGCCGACGCCCGAGCCGGCCAAGCGCGCTGCGAGGCACGCGCCGAAGACGCCGCAGGCCAACGGCGCGCCCAAGAGCGGCACGCCCAAGAGCGCCGCCGCCGCAAAGAAGCTGGGCCCGCCCAACGGCGTCAAGAAGCCCATACCCGCGCCTGCCAACAAGGCCTTTGCCCCTGCCTTGAGCACCCCAGCCTCGCGCAAGTCGGAGCGCCAGCGCAGACCTCCAGCCCCGGCCCCGGCCCGCGCATCGCCACCAACATCGCCGGTCCTGCGCCATGCTTCGCCGGAAGGCGCGCGGAAGCGCACCGCCCGCACTCGCCGCGCCACTCACACGTCCACCCAAGACACGGCCGACCATCTGTCCATGACCGACCCCCACGACCCGGACGGCGGCCTCTACGCTGAATCCCTCGATCTCTCGGCGTCGGCGCCACGACTCCGCCTCAAGCTACGCAAGCTCGATCCTCCCAGACGCCACCCTCTCCATGCGCCGCCAGCCGCGAAAATCGGTTCGCTCGAGGCCTTTCTTGCCCAGGACGACCCGCTCGAGGGTGAAGAAGCACAGCGCATAACGGACAAGAAGGCGGTGGAGGAGGCCCAGCGTCGCATGCGCATCGAGGATGCTGCCGAACGTGGCGTTTTGAGCCAGGCAGTCTGCAGTGTCTTTGCGCCGGAGCCTGCCCCAGAGCCACCTCAACAGTACGGGCACTGGGACCACGTCACTGCGCATGCCCTGCATTTTGGAAGATTGCTGTGCGACGAGAAGAGAAACCACAGGCGTATGGCCAAAGTCCTCGCGCGCGAGGCACAAGATCGCTGGGCAATCAAGTACAAGCGTAAGAGCAAGGATGAGCTCGAACAGGAAGACACAGACCGGCAGATAACGCGCTACAAGCAGCTTGTCAGGGACGTGAAGGATGCATGGGCACTAGTCAGAGTCGAGATTGACAAGGAGCGTGTGGCCAAGTACGAGGAGGAGCAGCTCCAGCTCGGACACAAGGCTATGGATGACATGTTCAACCAAGCACAGGAGATTCTTGGTCGCGGCGTTGCTGATTCAGCGTCTTATTACAGCGAAGACCGCGAGTTCGAGGACGAGATGGCTGAGTTAGGGAGCGAAGCGTCTGATACGTCTAGGGTTCGGAACGACGACGACATAATGTCCTCGAGCGACGATAGTGAGGACAACGATCGCGACGACGATGACGATGCGAATCTCACCGCCGAACAGCTTCGCGCCAAGTACGAACAGTTACCCGAGCTCCCGGACAGTAGCTCTGGTGATGAGGACTCTGACGAAGGGGGCAATGCTGAAAGGGAACCAGACGAAGGTGCGCCCACGCTCACATCCACGTCAGATCCTGATCTCGAGATGGATGATTTCTCTGCCGCACCACGTGGACAGGGAACCCACCGTAATGGCTGGAGTACCAATGAAGATGAAGACGAGGATAAGGCTCCCTACATCAATCCCGCAAACGTAGAGCTCGAACAAGTCGATGATGCATTACTGGACTCTGATGACCAAGATGATGGCTCTGGGTCTGGCAGCGAATCTTGGCCAAGCGAGGACTCAGAAGACGATGAAGACGATGACGCAGAACCAAGGACTGGGTCATCTGATCACCACACTGACAGTGAGGATGAGGAAGAGGATGGCGGAGACGATGTCGGCCTAATAGGCTTCCTCGGAGCCGGTGACATTGCGAAATTGAAGCATGCCGCGAAAATGTCGATCGAGACAAAGTCCGAGGATGCCGCGCAAATCAATGGAACGAATGGCCATGCTTCTACTTCCGAGGACAGCACCATTCGACATATCGGTTCAAAGAACGATTTGCAGACTCGTACAGACAGACACGCGCACGAAATTCACTCTGTCACCGACGAAGATTCCAGAAAGATTCCCTCGGCCTTGGCCAATGAATTGGCTTCCGAGCAGACGCCCACAGAAGACATCGTGATGGAGGTCGAGGAAGATGAAGTCGAAGAAATCGGAAATGGGCCCCATCGATCTCGCCAAAACTCGTCACCTCCACGCGCCGAGATCCCACCTCTCCTACGAGGCACTCTTCGTGAATATCAACACGGTGGTCTGGATTGGCTTGCGAATCTGTATGATACAGAGACGAACGGTATATTAGCTGACGAGATGGGTCTTGGCAAGACTATTCAGACCATCTCACTTCTTGCCTACATTGCTTGCTTTCGAAACGTCTGGGGCCCGCATTTGGTCGTTGTCCCCACCAGCGTCATGCTTAATTGGGAAATGGAATTCAAAAAATTCCTACCTGGCTTCAAAATCCTCACATACTACGGCGATATCAACGAGCGCAAGCGGAAACGTATGGGATGGCGCAGTACTGGCAAAGATATGTACAACGTTGTGATCACTTCGTATCAGCTCATTCTGCAGGACGCCGCAGCTTTCAAGATGAGAGCTTGGCACTATCTTATCCTCGACGAGGCTCACAACATCAAGAATTTCAAATCGCAGCGATGGCAAACTATGCTTACACTGCGAACTGAGCGACGACTACTGTTGACTGGCACGCCTTTGCAAAACAACATTGATGAGCTATGGTCATTGTTGTACTTTTTGATGCCCGCAGGTTTTGCCGGCGAAGGCCGCATTGCCAACCTTGATGAGTTTACTTTGGCACTAAAGAACCCAACGTCGCAAATCTTGGACCAAGGCCGACAACAACTAGATGCTGAGGCGCAGAAAATCGTTACGAGACTTCATGAGGTCTTGCGGCCATACTTGCTACGCAGATTGAAGTCAGAAGTCGAAAAACAGATGCCTGGAAAGTACGAGCACGTGGTTTATTGTAAACTTTCAAAGCGACAGCGACAGCTGTACGATGGTTTCATGGGTCGTGCGGACACGAAGCAGATCCTTTCATCCGGCAATTACATGTCGATCATCAACTGCCTTATGTCACTACGAAAGGTATGCAACCATCCAGACCTATTCGAGACGCGCGCCATTGTTACCTCGATGGCGATGCCAAAGTCTGTAGCAGCTGAGTTCGAGATTAAAGACCTATTGATCCGCAAACGGCTACATGAGGGCCAGGAAGATAAAAGAGCGGATCTTTGTGCTCTGAACTTAGTATTCGCCCAACGGGAGCATACTCAGATGCGGCATGCCAGACGTTCGCAACAGATTCGTGCAACACGGCCTCTGGAAGATCTAATTGAACGGCAAACCCGTCGTATTAATAAACCCTCCCCAACAGCTGCGTCCTGCCTGCAGTCTTCTATATCTGCACTGGCCCGACGTGAGCAAATTGCCGTCCGCGAGCATCTCCAGAGGTGCCTGAACCTCACTCGTTCCAGAACGCAGTTCCTCCCGGTTTACGGAAAAGAGATTATTGATGCTGTCACTGTTGATTGGCACTCGTACACATTCGGTCCTCGTCGGGCTGGCATCAAAATACTCAGACCTATGCCACCACCAATGAATCCTTACTATCCCATGCAGTATCCGCTGCAGACGCAGCCCATGCCAGTATATCCGTCGCTTCCACCCAGTGGCAACAACCACCAATTCGGGCAATCGACCACCATCATTTCTCCCAAGGAAGACGAACATCAGTACGACATCGTTCGCAGACACCACGGCGATCTTGGTTTCCGAACTCCCAAATCGCTCCGTGCTACAAATGAGTGGTGCACCGAGCAAGTAACTCACTTTTTCGACATGATACCCACACTCGAACAGCGTGCAGAAGCCCTACAGCCTCTGATCTCTCAATTTACATGTACAACCCCGGCGGTCGCCGCCGAGGAGCTCGCTCCGTTAACATTGTCGAGACGTGGCGTAGCTATGGTCAGATCATCAGAGATGGCCTCTGAGCGCGACCCTTTTCACGAGGTTCGCATGCGTCAGTCTATTGCTTTCCCTGATAAACGTCTACTGCAGTATGACTGCGGTAAACTCCAAAGACTTGCGACTCTTCTTCGCGATCTCCAGTCCGGAGGCCACCGTGCCTTGATATTCACCCAGATGACCAAAGTGCTTGATATTCTGGAACAATTCCTTAACATTCATGGTCATCGGTATTTGCGTCTCGACGGATCTACAAAAGTAGAACAGCGTCAGATCCTCACCGATCGATTCAACTCCGATACCAGTATATTGGCATTCATTCTTTCCTCTCGATCTGGTGGTCTCGGCATTAATCTCACAGGTGCCGACACCGTCATCTTTTACGATCTGGACTGGAACCCTGCAATGGATAAGCAATGTCAAGATCGAGCCCACCGCATAGGCCAGACCCGCGATGTCCATATCTACAAGTTCGTCAGCGAATACACCATCGAAGCCAATATTTTGCGCAAATCAAATCAAAAGCGACTGCTCGACGACGTCATCATTCAGAAAGGTGATTTCACAACTGACGCTTTCAACAAGGTCACATGGCGTGACGCCATAGGCGACGACCGCGGCATTGATACCTCGGACGAAGCTGGCGCAGCTATGGACAGAGTACTCGACGAGCGTGCTGGTATCCTCGGTGATGCTCGTGTAATGAACACCGTTGAAGATACTGAAGATCGTAACGCGGCTTCAATTGCTCAGAAAGAGATAGTCGACGAGATTCATGATGACCAGGTCGACTTCAACGAATCTAGCAACGCCACGAGGGCTGCATCCGATGCTGTCGCTGCCGCAGAAGCCGAACTGGAAGGCTTAGTAGACAAGCGGCATGTAGACGAGTACATGCTGAGCTTGTACAGAGAAGAGTATGGCAAAGAGCCGTATAAACCGCCGACAGATAGGCAGAAAAGAAATAGAAAGGGACAGGATCCACATGTGAGGCAAAGAAAGAAGAAGTATTAATCTCACTGCCTGGGGTTGGGTGACGTTCAGTAGAACGAATGAGCGGACCTTGTAATGAGAACACGACTGTATTAGTAGACTGTACACAAATTGGGATAAGCAAATGCGTCCTATACCTTTACACACACTCGTCTGGGATTCCAAAACTCTCACCAGAATGTTTCGGGCGTAGCAATCACTGCGATACTTGACCTTTTTCTTTAGTGATCGTTGCTCCGCCCTAGTGGAACGCAGGATGACATGTGTAGAGTTTGTCCGTGAAATTATCTATCTCACCATATCTACCTGCTATGCCCATTTACCACAGCATTTGTTGACGGGGTTCGTCGGAAAGAGTAGCCAGCAAACTTTCATTGCTGATCAAAGACTGGTGAGTATTGTATTGTGATGCCGTATGAATCATTCATCATTCTTGGAGCGTATCCACCCGCAACAGTGCCTTGAACGGGAGTTGACTCTTTCAGGAAAGACATTGGTGTCATCTTCTCCCTTGTACCGAGCTGTAGGCCGAAGCTGCCTGGTCAATATCATTGAATACGTTCTGTATTCCAGGGCAAGACTGATCCGCTAGACTGATCCGCTAATCGTCGGGGGCGGAAAAAGCGTGGCACAGGAAAGACATGTGGCCGAGATGGGGTGGGTTGAATCGTCCGCCGTAGACAATGACTTCTGCACTGCAAAGGTGGTTTTGTGATATAGTGCTGTGTAACTGCAGGCATAGTTTAAGAAGGTGATATATATCAGGTTGTTGAAATGATGTCATTACGGATTCGAACGTCATCTGTTTCAAGTGTGGATTGATTTCCACGTGGGAATGCTGTCAGGGTTCTGTCAAGATCTTACCTCTGAAGAGGAAGGAGCACACCCAACACCTACGCTGGACCACGCCCCACCCCCACACCTGCAACTGCATCTGCATCTATACCTGCTATAGGCTTATACATATATATGTCCCCTACACGCGTAGGTCATGCGTGCAGCCTGCTAGGGTCAAGGGTGAAGGAGTAAGGCCTCACCCGAGCATGCAGATACAGGGTGTTTTGGCCCTATTGTAGCTAAGACCTAAGAGCGTCTATATACTAGCTCTTGATATACTACTGTAAGGCAACAGACCTTAAGATCTGTCAGAGGTTGAGAGACTTATTATTATAGACAGGAATCAACTTCTACAATAGACAACACAGCCATTAGGGGTCTCTAAAACAGCGCTAACATCAATTTAGACTTAAAATAGTCGACTCGCAATCAAAAAGCCCCCGTGGCGCGCTACAGTACTTTGTTCGGATGACTTTTACGAAGGGTTGGGACAGTGTCCGCATGATCGAAGATCGGAGTTGGAGTGATCACGCGTCCAAAGCAGAAGCGTTCTGCGCCTTCAATGTAGTTGTCTGATTTGGAGTCTGATACTGTGGTGTTGTGACGACAGGTGCACAAGCTGTGCAGGCTCGAGACTGACTAGATCAGCACAATTCCTGGTCAGATCTTCCCCATACCCTTCCTACCTCGTCCATGTCTGCGCCAAAATAGCCACGGTAGCCCAGAAGAGCAAATTATCTTCCCATACAGCGGATCGATCTCGCCAGGTGGCACGGTTGCCTTGGCTACAAGATGCATCGCGGTGTCAGAGACGGTACGCCGACGGGTTCAACATCTGGTCGCGAACCATCGAGAGTCGAATTGCGCAGAACGCACTCAACTGTTCTCGATTGTTTGAGGTGATCCGTGCTATTGACCCGAGTTGGTGCAGAAGTCACAAGTGAACAATCCAAAGCCGCGCCTTGCATCGTGGTGTCTTGACCGCTCGACTTTTGTTTCGCAACATCGCGATTTGCGTTCAGTCAGTAATGCACCTTCAAGGGTAAGACAAGAAACAAGAAAGGATGAAGCCGAGTAACCTGTTTACTTATTCACGTAGTGGGTACGCAATTGAAGGTACCTGCCAAGCTAAGCTGTTTTCACCTGCATGTTTTGAATGGACTCCAGCAGTATTTTCCTCAAGTTCACATCATTTCAATACGGTACCAGATAGTCCTTTTCCATTAGGGGTCATCATAACTATGAACCGATACATTGAGAGCTATCGTCGAACCCAGCAAGTGTGGATGGTTGGCGGAATAAGCTGTAGTCGGATCTTGGCTGGCTCCCATCCTTGATCTCAGATGTTTAAACTCTACGCCTTCAATCTCTGGTAGACTATTTATTTTCAGGCGTGTTCTTTTGTTGCAAATCTACTTTTCACTCCTAGCAAGTCTGGAATGAGAACAAATGCTATAAGAGCGTATGAGACCGCCGTCTAAGGACTGTCAAATAAGAAGGTGATATGATACTTGAACTTCAGGTTACTGTAGCTACTCCAGGTGAAGACTGATTCAAGCCAGGAGTACCGCTTGACGACCAGCCTCGAGTCTCTCTGGGGCCTGGGGATACTGCGCCCAGACACATGTGATTAGCCACTTAGTAAATCGAAGTATCAGACAGGAAGGATCAATAATCTCATCTGGGTGCAAACACTTGAACGGAGTGGTGCAATCGTAGTTCTGCGGCTTATCAGCTGCCATAAAGATACTTACCTAGGTACCTAGGTAGGCAGGGTGTTTCTTACAAAGTGCCGACTGGTCGTATCTGGGTGCAGTACTTCCGTCACCACTCTTTTTTGTTACGGACTTGGTTTGGTGTCGAGACGCAACTTCAGAAAGCTCGTTGATCCGTGCAGAAGCCAAGCAGCAGACTGCACGTGGGTGGACTCCAACCACAAGCGCGTTAATTTGCTACTAAATGTTATCGCAGGTGGTTCAACGTTGAGGCGCAACTTCAAAACGGTCGTTGATTCGTGGAGAAGAGCAGCATTCTTAACGTGATTCTTGGACTTGTGGTCCCCGAGGTCCACTACGGGACACATGGCTAGGCAAGGGATGCATGAGTAGACGATAAGCCAATCCGATCCCGGCATACCCCATGGGGATAGCGGTAGTGATCGTCATTACGTGGGCGACTTAACCTAGTGACGTTGATTTGTTCGGCACAGCGTCACCCGAAGGCGACGGAGAACTATTCAACCGACGCCCTTTCCCCTTTCCATAAATGTTGGTCGAGACCGACTACCCAACAAAATATTCATGCTCCAATATCGGGCGACAAAACCCAGCCTTTAAGCAATCATGGCCGACGCACGGCCAGAACAAAAGAGATATGCCCTCATCGGCACCGGGGGACGTTCAAGCTTCTTTTACACGGCGATCGCGACGACTTACAAGGCCACCTCACAAATTGTGGCCCTCTGCGATACCAATCAAACACGGCTCGACTATGCCAATGCACAATTAGAGTCATTGGGTCACGCCAAAGTTCCAACGTACTTGGCGAAAGACTTCGATCACATGATTCAGGATACCAGACCGGACGAAGTGATCGTAACTACCATTGATCGTACACATAACACATACATTGTCCGAGCTCTCGAGCTTGGCTGTAATGTAGTCACCGAAAAGCCCATGACCATCGATGTCTCACGGTGTCGAGAGATTTTTGACGCTGTGGAGCGAACTGGCAAAAAGGTTCGCGTCACGTTCAACTATCGATATGCGCCACACAATACAAAAGTGTGGGAACTCTTGCGTTCGGGTGCAATTGGAGCCGTCACAAGCATACACTTCGAGTGGATGCTCAACACGTCTCATGGAGCCGATTATTTTCGACGCTGGCACCGCGACAAGCGAAACTCAGGAGGGCTGTTGGTCCACAAGTCGACACACCACTTCGACCTCGTGAACTTCTGGCTCGGCTCCCGGCCAGAGACTGTGTATGCACAGGGTGACTTGAAATTCTACGGTCGAGAAAACGCCGAAAAGCGTGGCGTTACAGAGTTCTACAGTCGAGCACATGGCAGCGATGTTGCCAAGTCAGACCCTTTTGCGTTACACATGGAGACCAACACCAAGTTGAAGAACATGTATCTAGACGCGGAACATGAGGACAGCTACTACCGAGATCAGAGCGTGTTTGGTGACGGCATTACTATCGAGGACACCATGAGCGTCATGGTCCGGTACCGGAACAGTGCAGTACTTACGTACTCGCTGACTGCCTACGCGCCGTGGGAGGGATTCCGTGTATCGTTCAATGGAACTGGCGGCCGTTTAGAGATGGAAGTGATTGAGAATAGCTATGTCAACAGTGGTGGAGACCAGTCTCTTGAGGGCTCTCTCGAAAGTCGGAAGATTACGTTAAGAAAATTGTTCGAGAAGCCTACAGAGATTGAGATACCTACAAGTGTGGGTGCTCATGGTGGTGGTGATGAAGTGTTACTTGCAGACTTGTTTGGTGAGCGAGGGGCCGAGATTGATCAGGACATGAGGGCTGCCACGCATGTCGATGGAGCACTCTCGATCCTGACAGGCGTATGCGCGAACAAATCCATCGCTAGCGGGCAAGTGGTAAATGTGCGCGATGTGTTCGATTTATAATTACGAAGTACTTGCGTCGAAGTCTCCAAGCCAATGAAATCAACGATTACAAATTCATACACGTCACTAGCGAGAAATCACTCCTAGCATTGGAGTATATGTACTAAGCAGTAATACGAACAAACACAAAAAATTGTTCCTGAAAGACCCAATACTGGAGAGTTTGACTGCACAGAACACAGACACGGGTAGGTGGTGGCAAATTGGAATGCGGCAGGATGCCTAGCGAAGATTTGCCCCGCACGTAGTACAGCTTGTTTGAAGCAACACCGCACAACTCGACATCATCGCTTTGTAGGTGGATACTGCAGCATGTCACTGGTTCCACTTGCTGTTGTGATTTTGCTATTCTTTGTAAGCCGCGCCATATACCGGCTCTGGCTCAGTCCGCTGGCACATATCCCAGGACCCAAAATCGCCGGTAAAAGGACTGTGCAGTTCATCAATCCCTAGCTGACTGCTCGACCAGCCCTGACGTCTTGGTACTGCGCCTATCATGATATTGTTCGTGGTGGACAGTACGTGTGGATCATCGAGGCCATGCACCAGAAATACGGTCCAATTGTCCGAATCCGACCCAACGTTGTCCACGTAAATGATCCGAGCTTCATCGAGCAGCTTTATCCACAGTCGCCTCACGTGCGTCGTGAACGTGCGCAGACAGTATTGAACCTATTTACCAAGCATCTATCGGTGCTCCCAACTAAAGATCACCAACTTCACCGTCAGCGTCGCGCTGTACTGAGCCGCTTCTTTTCACAGCAGAACATTCGTCGTCTGGTTCCAGTTATCAACGAGACACTAGCAAACTTACTGCATCGTATGGAGGGATGGGCGCGAGACGGGAATCCTGTTTCATTCAATGCAGCATATAAAGCTGCTACCAAAGACATCATTCAAGTGTACGCGCTTGGTGATGGTCAAAGATGCTTGGAGATGGAGGACTTGAACGCACCATTTTTCGACGTCTTACACTCAGAACGACTGATTCATATAAGCGTTCACTTCTACTGGTTCACGAGTCTTATATCGAAACTACCTCCACGGATCCTTGTGTCCTTGAATCCCTCCATATTGGCGTTTATTGGTTTTGTCGAGGTACATCATTCTTGATTCTGGTTAACAGACCATGAGCTGATTGTAGATTATAGGATCTGACCACCAAGATTGAAGACATTCGCCAAACCGATCAAGAAGATAACTCGAACCATACGATCTTCCATGAGATCCTGCGCAGTGACATCTCTCCCGAGCAAAAAACTACACCCCGCCTTGCTGACGAAGCAATGGTCATTACTATTGCTGGAGCAGACACGACCGCTGCAACCTTAGTTGCACTGACCTATCACGTACTGAGCGATGCTTCTATATTCAGGCGGCTTAGGCGAGAGCTTGAATCTGTGATGCTTTCCCCTGACCACGCCCCGGACCCAAAAGCTCTTGATGGACTACCTTTTCTCAATGCGGTGATCGAGGAAACGCTTCGTCTTTATCCTACTGGTACGCATCGTCAGGATCGAGTCGCTCCAGACGAAGTGCTTGTTTTCACATATCCAGATGGAAGGAAAATTCACATACCCGCTGGAACAATCGTTGGCATGACTGCACCGCTGATCAATCGACATCCTGCGTGGTTCGATGATCCCGAGATGTTCAAGCCTGACAGGTACCTAGAAAACCCTAAGCTGCTCAGGCGCCACTTTACCTTCTCCAAGGGTATGCGTCAGTGCCTAGGCATGAATCTCGCATACCAGGAACTGCAAACGATTACGGCCGGCATCTTCCGCAAATACAGCCCCTACGAGAGTAATGTAACGGATCAGAATGGACCCACGCTTGAGCTATACGAAACCGAGATTGAGGATGTGAAGATGTACGCTGATTACGTTACGCCAGGCTTGCGGCCTGGCAGGCATGGTCTAAGAATACGTGTCCGGCATCCATAAGAGAGATGTATTTATTGGAGAAAAAAGGGGTTACAGGGGTTTCCCTAAAGGGCTACCTTAGCCTCTTATTATGTTTACCTTAGGCTAAGGCTAGGCGCATACAGCCCCTATGTAGACTCTCTAAATTTTAAAGAATTATTAAACTTTTGTAATTTATTTTATATTATATCTAATAATTCTAGCCTAGGGCCTAATCTACCCTAAGTTAAATTTATATTCTAATTTTATAAACCCTCTCTCTCTTCTAGATTTTAAGACAAATTTTGCTAAGTATACTAGTAGCAGCTAATATTATTAAGTAACTAATATTGCTAAGTAACTAATATTATAGAGTAACTAATATTATAGAGTAATAGTAATAATACTAATACTATAATAATTAAGTACTACTTAGGTAGCTATTTAGTAGCTTTAAACCTATTTATATTAATATATTATAGTTATCTACTAACTAAGTCTATTATACTATAGGTCTACTAAACACCTAGAACCTTATACCTAGCAACCTTAGATATTAAAAATTATTATAACTAAGCGCTACCTTTTAAGCTTAATATACTAGATACTTTTCTCTCTACCTCTTATATAAGTCGTAACCTAAGCTACTCTATATATGCCTTATTTACTAGCTAATTATAATTAGGCCTAACTACCCTACCTATAGTAATCCTATTATAAATAATTTAAATTTACTAGTTTATACTTACTCTCTCTTATATAGTAAGAGTAGGTATATAAGCCTATACTACCTTCTAATTAAACTAGACTAGGCCTAGCAACTTATTTAAGGTTAAGGTAACTATTCTATAGGAATATTTAGTAGTGTAAAGTTATTAAGATAACTTAAAATACTCTTTACTCTAGTAAATTCCTAGTTAGGTATAGCGCTTAGGTAATTACGCTATATAATCTCCTTACTCTAAAGAGTATTTTCCTATGCTTACTAAGCCTATAGCTCTACTAGTTCTAGAGATATTAATTGTTCTATTCTTAGTAGTATAGAGAAGCTTCTAGAATAAGCTTATAAATATATACTACTATTATTAGTAGGGATTATATATAGACGTATAATCTGCTTACAAATCCTATTAGTATATTACTAATAAGAATAGTCTAGTATTGTCTAGAATATTCTGCTTAGTAATATAGTAGGGAGGAAGAAAGTATAAGTACTTCTATTCCCCCCTATATTATTCTATACCTAGCAACTAAGAATTTAAGTTATATATACTATTATAACTTACTCTTTTTATATCTTTATTATCTCTTTAGGCTATACGCTTCCCTATTAGGAAATTACTAGTCTAGTAAGTCTAGGTCTACTAGACTAGGGAGAAAGTAGACTAGTCCTCCCCCTACTTTCTTTATAGGTTATAAGCCTAGCTCTTTATAGCCTCTAGAGAAAATTCTATAAGTCTTAGAAATAGCTATATTTAGTATAGCTACTGCTTATATAAGTAGCTTACCTAAGCAATAGAAAGGAGTAGAAGGTTCTAGAAACTTCTAGGATTTTCTATCTCTATTATTATCTACTATTAGTAGTAGATATTCTTCTAAGAACTAGATAGTTCTAGAAGATTCTAGAAAGTTAAAGCAAGAGAGTATCTTAGAGAACTCTTCTAAACTTTCTTCTACTTACTCTACTATTATTAGAGTATAGAAGTATAGTAAACTAGTACTATTATAGTCTAGCTTACTAAGCAGTATCTACTATTAGTCCCTATTCCTTAGGCCCTTAGTAATAAGGATAACCTAAGATACTAGAGCACTAATTCCTATTCTATTTAGCTTCTAGTAAGACTATAATAAGTCTATATATTTAGCTTATATAAGCTCTATATTTAGACCTCTATTAAAGGCATAGGAGGGCTATAGTAGTAATACTATAGCAAAGGCTCTAGGTAGACTCTAGAACTAAGAACAAACTAGGCAGTAGCTATACTATAGTATAGTATAAGCTATAGAGAATAATATACTATAAAATAGATACCTAAGAGACTATACTTATAGTATACTCTATAGTTACGCTTCTAGTAGCTTAGCAACCTACTAGTAAGTTACTATTACTTAGTATATTATTGCAAAAATATACTATTTCTATATAGGTGTAACAACGCAGGTAATAAGACCCTCTAATATAGTTCTAATTCTACTATAAGGTATATAGGAGCACTAGAAAAGTTAATAACTAGGGAGAATCTTATTCCTATAGGTCTTATATAAAGAATACTTAAAAACTATCTATCCTAAAACTACTGCAAGCCTACCTTTTATACCTATAAGTCTTAGTTAGCTATAGATAGATAAGAAATATTAATAAGGGTAAGTTAGAACTAAGTTAGAGAGGTGTTAGTTCTAGATAGCTATAGATATGTCTAAGACTTAATTTAGAATTAAGCTAGAGCTAAGTTAGAGGTTATTTAAGTTAGGTAGTATCTTGTTTATAAGATTTAAGATATTAATAGTTAATTCTTATATTACCCCCCTTCTTTATAGCTATATTATCCCTAATATAGTTAATTAGCCATATGCTTATCCCTGCACTAACTTAGTTCTAAGCTAGCTCTGCCCTGCCTTACTATCTCTTTATTTATACCTTATTATTATTTATTTGCTATATAAATATTAATAAAGGACCCTATATTTATATATAGCGCGCGCTTAGCAGCAGCTAATAAGGCTGCACCTAGCTAAGTTAGAAGGCTTATAAGTCTATAATACTATTTATATAGTAATTTTGCGTCCCTAGTATAACTAACTAGGCTTAGTGCCTAAGCTAGTAGCAAGGTATAAACAATTACGCCTATATACTAATATTCTCTAATAGATACTACTTTCTACTATAAGTTAATATCCTTAATTTTTACTTAGGCCTCTACTAATCCTTCTCTAGGCTTATTTCTTAGTTACTATACTAATACTAGTCCCTCCTAGCGCTCTTGCAGTAGCCTATTAGGTTATCTACCTTTAATCTATGCGTGCCCTAGTAAAGGGCAATTAGATTAAATAGAAGTTTAATTTAAGAACCTTATCCTAGTATATATACTATATATAGTAGAATAAGAAGTATTAACTAGTAATATTATTATAACTTTATCCTACTTATAATTATATACTAACCTAGGAAGGTTCTAATTTATATTAGTTCTAAGTATACTACTCTTAAGGAGGCACTTAATATATAGGTTAAGGCATTAGTAGAGGATAAAGAGAGGATTTTAGCTAGGGAAGCTACTGCTATAGAGAAAGTATATATAGATATATAGTGCAACGTTTATTAGGCAGTGCTTAAGCTTTCTAGTGTTATATAAGTAGTAACTATATAACTTAAGAAGGTGTTAGTAACTAGTATTCTTCTATACTACTTCTATATATAACCTACCTATAACGCGCAGGCTTAAGAGATATTAGAGAGGCTTACTAAGGAGGTAGGTATCCTAATAGAGGAGGTCTAGGTGTTAAGAAAGGTAGTAGTAGACCTTTAGCAGATATATAAGGCTAGAGCGTCTACTTAGAGAAGTAGTTCTGCTACTAGTAGGAGTTAAGGTTATAGTTTATAGCATAGTAGAGGTAGTTATTATATATAAGGTAGAGCAGCATAATAAGATAACCTTAAGATGCTAGATAGAGGGGACAAAGAGAGTAAGCTTTCTAATATCTCTTCTAACCTATCTAATAAAGAACTCTAGTTAGAAGACTTACCTAACCTAGCTATGTTATAGCTTTAATATATATTAATATTTCCTTTATTTTAGGCATTTATAGAATAGGTTTAAACTAGAGGCACTTAATACTATAGATTTTCTTTATTATAATTAACCTTACTATTTTCTCTATACCTACTACTCTCCTTGCTAAGTTAATAACTACTATAAGAGTTTAGGTAGAGAACTAGGTTAATATAGGTGCTTATAGTAATATAACTATAACTTATAAGGCGCATACTTAAAATTAGTAGCTAGGTACTAAGTTAGGTCTAGGTTATATCTAACCTAGCTAGTATAGTATTCTAACTAGTAATGCTTTATCTAGCTACCTAAGATCTCTTATACTTTCTACTTCTTTACTCTATTTATAGGAGTGCCTAGAGGCTTTAGTATAGGTTAACTAGGTAGTAGATTATATAGGTCTTTGTATAAGACGTCTAGTATAAAAATATTATATATCTTTAAGCTAGTAGGTAACCTTAAGTAGTATAAGTAACTAACTTCTTTAATAACTTTAAAGGGACCTTACTAAAGGGCAGCTAGCTTTTAGCTAGGCTAGTTATTAGCTAGGTTCTATATTAATAGGAAGACTTTGTCTCTAACTTTCTAGTTTACTAGAAGCTAGTAAATATCTTTTATAATTTATATCTAGGTCTAAGCTACTTCTAGGTTATCTTTAGCTACTTTCTAAGCGTTATATATCTAAGTTGCTAATGCTATAGCTTCCTTCTAGTTAAGGATTATTATAAGATCTATCCTTAGTTCTAAGAGAGACTACTGCTAGCTTTAGTAAGGTTTGCTCCTATATAGTAACTAGTATAGTATTATTCCTAGAGAGGAATATAGTAGTATTATCTAAACTTAGTCTATTATTAGAAGTAATTTAGACTAGTTATTCTAGTAGTATAATATAAAAGGGCGTAAATATTAGTTAATATATTTGTTTATAATTTTAGTTTAACTATTATAGTAGAGTGTCGACTACTTAGTGCGACTTAAGGCTCTATTAGGACTAGATGCAAGGCATATGCACGTAATAAAGACTTATAGCTTAAAAGACTAGTCCTAATAGACTATTAGGAGAGTTAGATAATATACTATACTTTAACTATATATATTCCTACTACTATAAACTAGTATCTCTAGCGCATCTTAAACTAGCATCTCTTTAGATTAGAAGTCTAAGCTGCTGCTATACTAAGCCTAATAACCTATTAAGCTATACTATAGACTTTTACTTCTATATATAAGTTTACTTTCTTCTTTTCTTCCCTCCTATCTAGATATAACTAAAAGATAGTTATAATATAGTATAAAGAACTAGTTAGCGTAAAAGGGAGGTATCTATTCTAGCTTAAGAACGCGGCAAGCGTATAGGTGCAAGATTACTCTCTAGCAAGGGAGATCTTAA